TGGATGAAGGAATGGGAACCCTGTAGACCATGTGTTGAAGGACCAGGAATCCCAGGAGGGAAAGTAAAAGAATAAAATGAAATGATATAAAAGGAAATAATAAACGGAGTAATATAATGTCATGCTAATTGACCATAATATCCCAATCAGTCCAAGTGCAGGATTCAAATAATTCATTAAAATCCGATGGTGGATTCCATTGACACTACTGCAAAGCAATGCAATCCTTCGAACTAACCACATCTAGATCAATTCTCTTGTTTCACCTTTTGCTTACACACGTGGGCTTGATGCGGGCGCTGATCAATGTATTTTTATCTCTCACTGGTGACAATTATCTTCCCCACCATCTGTGATAAGAGGCTGATGCACAAACCACGCGAAGACCAAACTCCGAAACGAACGCCATGCTGCAGCCACCGTTGATCGCGTGTTTCAGGAATATTGGTACATAGTACATTGCATACTCAGTTACTATTCTTGGGCGGAGTTAAAATCTGGGGATTGAGCAAATATCGTGTTTCATGTTTAACCTTTTGCCACTGCCACATGGTGACGTCTGGACCATCGGGGCTGAAGATTATCGTCAACTGCGTAGACTGTTGTCTTATCGATGCTATGTTTATTTAGGGTGTAACCCTTCGGCTTTAGAAGTATGAATGTCAACACTTCAGGTTTCTTTATAGATTCAAATGTGGATCTACTCCGAACTCCAGTAATTTTTAGAAATCTCTGCTTGATACTATTAGCACTGGAGGCTTAGCTCCGCTCTCAATCCAATTCAGCAAGGTCCCTCAAGTGACCTATGTACCGGTCGGCCGAACACTTAACTTCGCATATATTAACAAAGTTTCCCAAATCTAAACTAAGACATCCAAATTTGGAAATAACAAACCAAGCGCTGAATCCAGCCAACACTAAAGAATTAACCTCTCTGCAAAGAATCAAGAATCCTCCCCCCGAGCAGAACGCCTAACCTACCAACTCAATACCCATTGTCGAATCAACAAATCAACAAAACCAACGGAACCAACATTTCCCCTCCACGAATCACATCCCCCATCAGGCCGCCTCATCAGAGCGCAAAAGCACCTCAACTGCAAGCCTCCTGCGTCCATCCGTGATCCAACCTATAGAAACCCCCAACGACCCCGCTAGCACAGCACAGGATGCACAATGACATCATATTCCACCGACTCGCTCTACAGCCGCTGTTGGCTCAACAAGCATCGCTCATTCGCCACAATACGTGTCCATAGGAGTATTCGGTGTGGGGACCGATGTACTGTACTTTTTTCCCCCGCAAGCCCCGCGGATGCGATCCATTGACAACGCAACAAGGAAAATAAATTAAGGGATCCACAGGAGGCTGCTATCTGTTGGTGTTGGTTTCTACTCAATCCCTGCCAGCGCCGTTTTCTGGGTTCTGGGTTCTGGTTGGTGGGCTGAACTAAAAATCGAGCTTCATTTTAGTCTAGTCTAGATGGTAGGTGGAGTTGCGGTGTGCAGGGCTGTGTTTAACTCCCTTTATTCTCCTGGTCGTTGCGGCTTTCCTTTTGTGGGATATGCAACCTGTGTGCTTCTGAGTTGTCTTTCGGCTTCACATCGGCGGAGTTGGAACCGGTGGCAACCAAAGCGACGATCTGTGTTGATCTGATTGATCTGATTCTGGCTCGGTCACGAAATCGACTGATGGATCGACATTGCGATTGCACTCTGTAGAAAATGGTGAAACATCCACACCTGTCAGTTACGCTTGGAAATTAGGAAATTCTCCGAAAAATCCTTTAGGCTTGGTATACATTCTCACGATCCCATTACGTTTAGTATCAATAAAAATTAAAGGAAATTGAATAAAGACAAAACAAGTAGACAGAGTTCTTCCAGATGCCGATTAGCTGTCATTCGGGTTTGGACTCGATTGATTCCTGCGATCGTCCCCACCAAAAGGAGACAGTCGGCGCTCGGATTTAGTTTTCTTTTCTGCCGCTGGTTATGGCGATCATCACAAACTTGTTGGTCGGGTGAAGTTGGGCCGCTGGACTTGTCGACCAATTCTCCAATTGTCTCAATTATTCGACTATGACCTCAGAGGCGTTTTCCCCTCCCCTCGCTCAGGGATTCGGGATTTGATTTGGGCTTCAGTACAATTGCGCTTGTATCTTGGATGGGTGTTATTTTATATCATGCGTTGAAGGATTTGGGTTGGATCTAATTGAGGCAAATGTCGAGTTGGATAGATTGGTCTTGATGGCTGAAGCCACCATCTGCAGGGCCGAGTTGTTGGATATTTGATGCGTTTGTTTGGGCGTTGTAGCGCCGGTGAGTTTGCATTGGTTTATATCTTCCCACTTTCAACTTCTTGTGCTGGGCGTCCCGTAGTTTGGCGGTTAGGTGCAGTGCATCCATGGATTGCAGCGTTTAATACTTCTTTGGGTTCGGTTTGGTGTAGACTCTAAATTCAATTGGACTTGGGATATTAATTGAATTTATGGGCAATAAGGTACATACTGAAAATGACGACGAAAGAGGATATACGTAGTGGATGTTATGTTTGTTAAGAAATGTCTAGATGTGGCGTTTGTGGATGGAGTATTTTCCCAACATGTATACATTTATATTCGTGTACATATGTCTTGGCGCCAATAGGCCCCAAGCGGGGAAGATGGAAGATGACTACAATATGTAGGCTGACAGCTTCACACAAAACGTATGTGATATTGGGTATGGGGGGAGAAAAGAGAGAAGGAGCAGAAGATCTAGAGGATATGCCCCCAGACCCAAAACTAAGCTAGTCCTAAACGGGATGCCAGCGCTGCTCAGGTCACATGATATGACCCAGGGACACCAACAATATGCCCTACATCCAGCCAGCACATGCTGACATAGGGCATAGTAGATCTATAGAACGACATCAGAAACATACATACTTAGGAAAGGAAACAGCTTCATTGTGTATATCGTGTGTTTTACGTACATACTATATGCATATTTACATTCCAAGGTTAAGTATATATATCAGGTACTACCAACTCCATATTTGTATAGAAATATGTGATTTCAAGACTTCAATGTAAAAGCACTTATATTACCTACATTCTACCTTCAACATTGAAACCCGGCCCATAATGCATGGATAGAACCAACCTCAACCCTCAATCCTGGAGCTCCCTCCACTAAACCATCCTACTCCTAAATCCAACATTCAACATCTTCCCATCAACAACGAAAGTCCCGTCTCGTGGATGATGAAACATCCTCATATCCCCCCCAACAACAGGGTCATCATTCCCAAATCCTTCACCGACCCAAGCCCTGCAGTAGTATTCGAAATCAGATCTTACCATTACACTCTTAGACTTTAAGCCCCGAACCCTAGTTTGAACTACCCTATTCTAATTCTAGCTATTCGCATGGAATTCCCGTTAAACTGTTTTGTATTCCTCAGATGAGTCATTGTTGTAATGCCGTAATTCTCTGTGAAATATGATAGAATATTTTATGCAAAGAGAACAAACAAAGGGGCAATGCTAACAACCGGGGAAGATCCCCTTCATTCAATTCCCTTGCTGTACGTCTTGATCGTCTCTTTGTACGCAGTCTTTGCTTACACCTTCTTGACATCTGATAGAAGGCTGCAGTGGCTACGTAGCTAACAAGCCCTAGTAGGCAAAGATGCCTTTCCTTCCTATGGCTTCTGTTACTCACTACGATTTTCATTCGTTGCCGTTATCGATTGAAAGCTGGTACTCCTGGGAAGCTGAAATGGACTTTTCAAGGACTGTTGTAAAGAGATGACACAGAGCCTAGTTTAAGATATATCATTCTCTTAGCCCGGCGCGCCCGGATTATGGGGAAACGACTCGCAATACGCTCCAAGTCCTAGACTTAGTCCCTACGCAACGCGGTCTCACTATAGTCCTTCCCCGTCTGTGCTAAACAATGAATCACAATCTAGTGCGCTTGGGCTGCTCCGGTTGTCTGAATGGGAAGAACGAAGAATATACGACCGGGGCCCCCCTTACCTAATTCAACTATCATTTTGAGTGGCAAGCGATAATTAATGACCGGGAGGTGGCAGAGGACACAGAGAATGACCTCGCGTTAGTCCTAAGTGCCATTTGGCAACTTTTCTCAGAGAAGAAGCGTATAAAGGTTCTGCGAAGGAAAGTTGCCCGTAACCGTCGAATGATAGTTAACGACACTGCTACTGTCGTTTTAGTCAACAATCCTCCTTAGCTTTATCTAATTAAAGAATTTGATAATACCGATATTAATTAGATCGCTATCGAGTGGTGTAGACAGCTGGCTGCAGCAAGCGTATAAAGTCCAGCACCAGTCGCGCTCTTGCATCAAAACTCAGGTTAAAAAAAAAAACTGCCCGAGTCAAGGCTAGGGAGCTTAATTCGACCTTCGTGATGAAAACTCCCAATTCATCTCAGATTTTAGATCGTACCACCTTGTGTATGTAAAGATCTCGCTATAGCCCCGACTTGGGCGGCCCAATCTCTAGCCCACCCAAACACAGCGTTACTTACGACCGATACGGGGATTCTTATAATATCTTCAAAACATCAGAAGAGACTAACGAGTAGTATTCTGGTATCTGGGCGGCTAAGACGTACTGAGTCAGTGATTGGCTTGGTGTGACTGCGACATGCTTACCAAAGCGAACATCCGCCATTTAATGGGCCAGATTGACACATTAAGCCAATATAAGCATGAACTCAGGGCAGTGATACGAATCCAACTATTACGATATGTCATTAGGTTTCCAATCACGCCCAAAGTCATTTACGTAGCTTCTCATTGGTGAAGACTGTTCAAAGTCACATGAATCGCGGCACAAGCGCGAAGATCCTTATTGAATAAAGTTTCGGCCCCCATCTTCGCGTTTAAAGGACAGCCGCCTCCAGGGTAGGCTAATTAGAAGGAAAGAAGAAAAAGAACATCCATTGGGAATTCTCTCCGACCTGAGATCCGCAACTCCTATCAGAACCATGGCGCCAAGAACAGATTCCGTCTCGTTGGGATCTCTTTCTCGAGTATCAAAACACTCCTACACTATAGTTAGCCCAATTCAAGACGAAATATCCGAGAATGACAAATGTGGGACTGATACCACACGGAATCCAGATGAGGGTGACCGAGAGCCACAAAAACCAACACTTTTAGCTCCCCCATCGGCAAGACTGCATCGCTCCGGGTATATCCTATTCATCGTGTTTTTGTACATTGGCTTGGCGATCTTCGCATGGGTGGTGAACTGTTATCTATCATTTCGTCCCATCACCACCAAACATTACGACCTGCGTGCCCTTGATAACAGCAACTGGGCAGAGCCTGACAGGAAGTTCAAAAATCCTCTTTTCGGTCGCAATGAACAATGGTATCGCGCTGCTCGAATTATCCAGTCGGTTGTCAGCGTTTTGACCATTCCACTGACCTCCGCAGTCTGCTCCAGCGCAGCAGTCGTTTTCATTCAACGAAGAGCCCACAAAGGTATCACAGTCCGGCAAGTGATGACACTGGCAGATAAAGGCTGGGCCGATCTCGCAACCTACGCCAGAATTCTTCCATTCTTCGCAACCGATGGATGGAAACGGTTTGGAAGTTCATTTCTTTTGCTGGCTATATTTCTGAATTTTCTTGGTTCGGTGATATCGCCGCTACAGCAAATGTTTCTCTCCACTCGCACTATCAAGATACCAACTTACCCTTCCTGGATTAATGGTCAACTGGATATCCCAGATCAGTTTAAAGGTGACGCTGATGATGATTCGAACCTTGTTGTGGCCATAACACGCAGCGCTTTAACTTCAACGACGATTTCAGAGGTCCAGTCCCAGCTCTGGCAGGGCGCCAATGTCACTTGCGTGTTAAAGTATGGCTCCGAGAAATTACCACAGTCCTGTAGCTACGGCGGTAATACTTTGGCAGATATGTCTCAACTAACGGAGCCATTTCTGGCGGAGCTCCCGAGTGACTATAACACTGGACTTTATCAACAATTTATCCCTCGATTCAATTCGAGTGCTCAGTATGACAAGATTGCCCAAACTGAGTTCCCCACCGGATGCGACAAGATTGATGGTGCCTTCTATGTCGACTATACGAACGTTACTACCGACCCTAACGGCCTCGTGTATACCTGGGGAGTGCAGGCGTGTATGCCTCGGGACCTCACCACGTCGCCATGGAAATCGACCCGGGACCGCCAAGACTTCACCGAAGAGCTTTACTTGAATGTGACATTGATTCAATATGACGTGGACAAACTGAACAAGGACCAGCAAAATAATACTTTCTATAAAGTGACGCTCGGCACAACTGCTGGTTATTTTGAGTTACCGAACTATATGAATGGCGAAATTGCTGGGCCCTTGCTGGAAAAGGATCCCAATGGACTCTGTGGAGAACATTGTGAACCAGAGACGATCAACGGCGAGTAAGTCTCTTAGTTCTCACTTTGTCTTCTTGCTTTCAAGCAAGCTAATCACACATTGAATACAGTGAGGAGCACAAGATTGGAGATAAGCGACGCGATCTCAACACTGCGATTGATTCAACTCTGCCGCTTGAAGTAGTTGCCAACAAAGGTCCCCTACTGACAATAGCTATGGCGTTATTCGGTGACTCGTCTTTTATTCATAGTCTTCAGGCACATCCCCAAGCTTATGCTTCCGTCATTGATTTCAATGTGCCTGTGGAGCAGGTCCCCGCATACGCAGGGTCTTGTGTCGATCTAGCTCCCCTAGCTATCCTTCTCGCCGGGACCAGCGGCGAGGACGACAGTACTAACGGCATCAATTACTGCATCAGCAATACAGATGGAGGCGTGAACGGCACTGATGTCAACACGGAAGTCGCCCAGTGGATCTCCAATTTCAACTACGACCAAGAACGCGTCAGAAATGCCTTTGACGCTACCGCGTTTTTGGCAAACAAAGCCTGGATGCAGAATAGCGTTAGCCCAGCAGAAAAGTCATTGACGGTGAATTTCGATCTCGGCGCGGATACACAAATTCCTGTTATATCTGTAGGTGGCATGATCTTTGTTTCTATCCTCCTTGGATTGTACATTTTGATGCTCATCCCGCTTGCCATCTACGCCGCTTGGTCACCTCGTTGGACTGCACAGCTTGATTCGTTTGCCATGATGAGAATCGGGGCCGCTATTACCGAAAAGCTGCCTTTGACTGTTGGTCAGAACAAAAACACGATCAAGTCCCTGGAAGAGATTCCTGGGTGGGTTGGCGACACATCTGGGGAGCAGGAACCGCTCGGGAGGTTAGGACTTGGTGCGGGGAGGTCTCTAGCTTCAAGAGCGAATCGGCGGTTTGAATGTGAAGAGGAAGATGACGAGGAGGTCACAGCCGAAGAGAAGTAAGTGGCCCGGATGAGGTCGGAAAAGGAGATCGAGAAGAGTATTAGAGTTAATCACGCTTAGAGAGAAGCCGCACTAGGCCTGTATCTGATGTCGCTAGTCGCGATGGAGCTGCGATATCTATAAAGGGGCCACGCTAAACGGTGACTAGCCTATGCGCCTAAACCCGGCCCGCTTATCATATACCGATTCATCCACATGAACTAGATGACACGACTGAAAATCCGACAAATTATGGAGGTAAAGTTCCCGCAAATCCGCATTACGCTCTTTGGTGTGCTATCGGGCCACCTCTTTAGACCAGCATTTGGCGACAACGGCTCTTCTGATGCTAGAGGCTGTGATTATCGTGTGACAATCCTCCTAGAGTAAGACAGCCATCTCATTAAGGTATAGATCCGGTTCTTCCGCCAGGTGATCGTATAGCGCGTCCACTATTAAAGGTGTTACGGTTGGTTGCCGACCGATACGAGTTGGGGGTTGGGTAGACGCTGTCAAACTACCGCAAGTTTCTGCGAATATTTATGATCGTGACCTTACTGCATTCGGCCTCTTCTGCCATTTGAGTCGTGGCTAGCGACTAGCCCTTTATCATATCACGGGTAAGATGCAGCTTTGAGGGGACAAGTCTCGGGGCCATATTGTAAGCCTAGTGTAGGGTGTCGGTCAAGAGTCATTTATAGAAGAAGCCTGTTGCTTAGAGAAGAGAATAGGGGTGGTGTGGTGTAGCAATTTCCTGTGGTTTATAAAAGACAAGGTCCCACCCGCGTTATGTAGAACGCAGTTTCTGTTCTAGGAACAAGGGCATCTATGGGCTAGCGTTTTTTAAATTAGGTTTGGAAATTGGATTCGAAGAGTGTGGACATAAATCTGGTTTCAGGGTCTAGTAGCTAATATCTGGCAGAATGTGCCTCAGAGCCGAGACCCTGATCATTCGATTATCATGAATGCCTCAAATCCGAGTTACGGAACCATTTTCTGGTTCTCGAATTTTGATCTACTGATCCCTCACAATGTGGATGGAGAAGCGCGAGCACTTGATCTAATCAATCGAGGTACTTCTTACTAGCGAAAGTGAGAAAAATTGAAGAAGGTGAAAAGAAGTGAAATGAAGAAGTTGCTTGTTCCGTTTAGTCTAATGACTAACTCGTGCTCACAGAAAAATAGGGCTTCTATCTGACTCTTAGGTATGTTTCAACTGTCCAGCTAGAATAAGCAAAGACGATATTACCAGGTAATTGGTCTAACAGAAACCAATACTCACACGAAACTCAAAGAAAGAAACAAACGTAAAGGGCAAAGCGGGGTTGACCTGATTCTGCGGAATCAGAGCAAAACTAACCACCCATGTTGAGATAGATGGTTCTTCATCCATATTTCAAAATAGGGATTCTGGGCAGTTGAGCGAAAGCGAGAATCACACCGGGAGGATATTTGTTGTATCGATTGTGGTTGCACCATTAGGACCAAAGGCGGACAGTTGTAACAGATGGTGAGACAGGCATTGGAGTATCTCATATGTCGGAACCATCGTATATAGCCTTCAAACCATGAGGCAGGGAGTATCAGTAAAGCGATAGATCACGTGAAAACAATTCCAATCATACCTAGATGATCAAATCGTCATCGTAACAGTCGTCATCGCAGGTGATCGCAGTCCGAAGATAGCTGCTTGGGCAAGCATCAACTGTGTCCGTTGTCGCGTATAGAGTATAATCAACCACGTTTCCACCCTCGCCGGCTACAAGGACACTTCGAACACCTCCTGCAGCGCCGCATTCGGAATATAAATTCTTATACGCCGTGGCAATGTGATCCAACGCACAGGTTCCTAACTCTGTACTGGTCTCTGAATAGACAATGGCTCGAGTAGTACAGGTATATTGGTTTTCATCGCCACATCCCATATTCTCTGCAGTGTAGCAGATGCCAGTGTATCCTGTGTCCACGGCGGCAGACTCCATTTCCACAACCATAAAGTTGAACTGTTCTTCGCTTATGACTCGATTGCCATCGGTACCGGCAGTGTAACAGCTGGTGCTGTATTCGGTATAAGAACACGAACGTTCATTAAGGGATACATCAGTTCCCAGAGATAAGCCTATGGCATTCGCCATAAGTAAACCTGCGTAGATTTTCATGGCCCTCTTGACAACTCGTGAGACGTCCGGGGAGAGTTTTAGGGATTTTGGTGGTCTTTGCTGGTGGTCGTTGCTGAGTTTTCCTGCTTGAGTGGAAGTTGTCAAGGGGGTTCTTATGGGTTTTTATAGTCGCTTGGTTAGGGGCTTTTACCATTAACCCTAAGCGCTAAGACCTAGCTCATCCAGATGAAGTTACTCTTGTATCGCTTGTTCTAGCATTTTTGCGGCGCTGGAATCTCCACATCAAAATCCTTAACTTTGTAAAGCTGTTACGCGGCGTGAAAGGAGTTTGAGAAAATTGATACACCTGAACTACTTAATCCGCTGCACAACATTTGAGTAAATGGTGTTGATTGAGGGCCTGAACCACTGGATTCTGAGATTCAGGTGACTCGGCATCTTGTCCTATCTAGGGCCCCGAAAGGGATAAAGGCAAATCTAGGTTATATTCAGATTTTATTCGTGCGAATAAGCCCTATCAATCTGGGGAGTGGTAATTTACCATTAAGCCAGGCTAAATCAGCAGCCCTCCTAAACGCATTCTATGTTTTGTATGGTAGACCGGATCAACTCGGGATATCTAGTGTATTATGCCAAGAATGGTATAGATATAGACCCTCTCCACAGTAGTCTACTTAGTCCAACCAATCGATTACCTTCTTCATTGTCGCTTCCCACAGTACTAGAGTGGACGGATATCGTGCGAACCGACACAATCACTTCGGGCCTAATGCCAGGCTGTCCCATCCACGGAACCACCCGGCCGAGTCAATTGACTTATTCCGAGCAAGTGAATGCCGAGTCTCCAGGGCTATTTGTCGATGTCCAATCTAAGTTTTGCGCTCAAGGTGAACCGTTTGAAAATTGCTTTCTATAACCATATATCCATAGACACGGTCTTTGGAGTGAATAAAGAGACAGTTATCAACCACCCTTCTGACCCTCATCAAGGATTGCGTAGATAGCCTTGCCTAGGTATAGGTAGGTACGCTAAGAAGAAGACTAGGTGGAAGGCCACGTAGAAGGTCCACTCGATTACCTAGATAGTACCCAAGTATTCAGAATACATTGATAGACTATCTGAGTCTTTGCTTTTGTATTGGTGTGTATCATAGCGAGATTCGAGTTCAAGACCTCCAGACGTTTTGAACTGTTTTATGCTATAGTAAAAAGAAAATAAATTTTAAAGCTTCATATATCAGACTTTAGGATGAGGATCAAATTTTCAGGCTCGATAATGGGATAACCGTAACAATGCTAAGATCATAGGAACTAGCAAAAGCGCACGCCCGGAGATAATTGAAGATCATCACCTCTCGGGGCGGGGCCGAAATAGATATCGCTTAGCTTCCCCCTGGCTTTTGGCCGGACGCCAAGTTTTATTTCTCGAAGTCATTCAGGCGAGCTAAGCAAAATGTTACTATTCACACGATTAATCAAGCCAGCGTTGATTCTCGTAGACCGGCTATGACTATAAAGCAAAGATCTTCTTTAACAACGCCCCAAAATTTTCAGCTACCATGTATCTATATGGGCGGTGAAGGCGGTGTCGTAGTGGGTCTTGATGCAAGCTTCCGTGCCATCCCAATGGCTAAGTAGAGGAGTGGGACTTATGTGCATGCGCCGTGAAACCCACTTGTCGAGTTCCATAAAGTACCCGGTACATTCGAGTGGTAGTGTACAAGTATATAAAATTAACTCGGGAGAGACTTCAGCCATCAATCAGAAGAACGGCATGCATGCACTTTCAATTACCGATGCCATGAACCTTAGAAGGCTCGTTAAGCGAAGTTTTCAGCCTCTTGGAAAGCATCCTCGCGACGAATCACTAGATTCATAGCAGAAATTTCATTCAGGATCATATCGCCCCATAGTGAATGCCACTTCCAGTCTACGCGGCAACGGAGTTAAGCTATAGATAATTAGGCAGGTATAAATATTCTCTACTCCTGACAAGCGCTAGTACCCGGCTATTATTGCCTATGTATATGCTTTATCTTCCACGTGGTAAGTAGGCGTGTATCGGCGTAAAAGTGGATCTTTGATTAGCAAAATATACGCTCAGGCGTAACTTAGCTTATTTCATGCGATCTAATCTAGGTAACATCCTATAGAAGTTATCCAAGGTCTGTTCTTGACTTGATATCGGATAGCCAAAACCTCACCGGCCGGTCCGTACCACACGATTGTTGCTATGTAATAAGGGGCTGTTCGGCCTAATAATTTAGTGCACTAACTATTCTTAGGTTCAAACCAGGGCCCTATAATTTTAGCGTAAAAGGGAGCTTTTCCGAGTCTAGTACAAACTGCCCTTAGTTAGTGTCAAAATTTCAAACCGCCCCACTCCTATGAGACAAAATGAATATTGGCATTGCTTAGCAGGAGTAAGGAAACGTTGAAGTGACTAAAAGGCGAAATCCGGTTGAAAATTGGAAAATAATCAACATATTGTTATTGATGTAGATTTGGGTACTAGATACGGTAGGAAAATACAAGGAACGGCTGGACCCTTAATTGAACCCTTTAACTCAGGGTGAAGGGTTTTCTTAGCGCGATAAAAATCCGAAGTAGTCTGGCATGAACACTTGGAAGTGGGCTAGGCCGCAGTCCTAGGTCATGTGAAGGGCCAAGTGTGGCCTGGCCCACTCCCAAGTGTTCAACTCAACTACGGACATCCTCCCTACTTAGGCTTGGTTAAGTGTGGCCTGGCCATGCCAGACTACCGCTCCCTAAATAGGCCCGGACAAACCCAAGTGTGGCCCGAAAAACCGGATTAATACACCACAATAGGTCAGCCGTATGTGATTTGAAAGTAAATCCAAACTCTTTTCACACCGTAGATTTACTAATTTTCTCTACCTCCACTGTCCCACTTAGTATTGGGGCATTTAAAATTAAACAAGTGAGAATAGATTATTATATCTATAATCAGTCACTAATATATATTATTATCATTATAGACGCCTATAGGTTCTGGGACGTCTGAACAATATCTACTATAACTCCCAGCTAGTTTACCTAAGTATCCTTAAACCTACTATTGCCCTAGATCTCTATTGCAGTAGTAAGCTCTTCAGTGAAGCGTGACCTCACCGAAGCTGGTCATTTCATATTGTCCAGGGCTTAAAGATGACCGGCCTTGCCAGAATTATGCTTTCAGTGCAGAACTTTCGAGCCGCTATCTATCACAAAAGGAAAGTGCGAGCCAAGGAAAGATCCAGATGTGACCTGGATCATCATCCAGCGCTAGGGTTCCCGTTTTGCCACTCCGACGCATGAGATCTATTGCTGACCCTTTCGTTTTTACTTTCAAATAGCCCGAACGATCATCGAATTCCCTGTCGGGCCTTCCGGTCGTGATCAAAATCAAAATATTCGCCTGCTGCAAAATGTCGGACTTTCTACCGTTGAAGCTCGTCTGCAGAGCATTCTACGACCTCGTTAATTTGCATGAGCTCGAAATTGCTCGGTGATATTTCTATGAGCTTCGCCATGGCACCCTTCCATCCCCTATTGTTAGCGAGCGGGTCTACATAGAAGACCCTCAAGATGATGTGATTCTATTGTCTGACCTTTTCCCACCAAACAGAAACGTAAAGGATGAATACGTCTATACCTTCAAATATCTTTCCAGCTTGCGTCGCAGACAAAAGCTGTGCTCGAGGCTTTGCTACTACCTTGCAGATCGGATGATGGACTGATTCATACAAACCGAGCCTACCTTCGAGAGGTCCTCATATCCTGTAAAGAAGAGCGAAAGACAGGCCTTTACTAAGAAAAGCCTAACATACGGTTCTATCTCGCACCACTCATGTGAGCAATAAGGAAAAAGTCTTCTTGCTAGGATGAATTACTAATATCCTTCCCAGGTACTATCTGTTGTACTTTCTAGACTCGTGCAAATTTGTTAGACGTGAGCATAGAAGCATGCTCTACCGGGATTATGAGGCCGGGCATCTTCTTGCCCCCATTTCACAAGAAATGCGTCAGTCGATGCACCACGAATTGTAGACATGGATTCTTCGATTCCTCCCCCTTCACCAACACGCCGACTTTAATTGCCACACATCATTGCATGCAATTGCTCGTCTCATATATTCGCTATACAATGTCACCTGAGGAAGTGATCGAGGACAAGGATCAGTTCCTTACTCACACTGTCGCCAATTGTGCGGATTCTCGAGATTTTCCCCGCCGAGAATGGTGACGGCGGTAGCCAGTGGGCGCAGCGAAAAGGATTCATGAACAATTACAACCATGACATTACAAGGCACGAGCGCGATCGTATGAACTCTGTGGTCTTTGCCCGCGCGTCTGATCAACAAATGCATAGTCCCGTGGGTGGTGTTTGGTTTGACGCCAACCAGGCGAAATTGGCAGCGAGGCAGGCGACTCCTCATGATGTTGAGAACATAGGGGTGTGGAACGGTATTCCTTTAAGTTTTGGTTGTGCAGAATGCCATCATACAAGGGGATGGGGGGTATGATGCATTGGTTTAGCATTGTGGCATTGGGTTTCATGCCTATTCTTCTGGCAACTCCTTAAATTCAGCTTTACTACTCATGCCTAGTGCATCTTCATGCTTTTACTGAATGTAATCAGCATTTTCAAGCTACAGAGTAGGAGAGAAGAGCTAGGAAGGGGATCAAAATGGAGTATCGTCATAGATTGACGCATGAATGTGATCATAGGCTCCATCGAGAATTCGTTTCCGGGGTACTGGCATGCCGTAATGCTAAACAGCTCTATGAGAAATTCAGTTGTTACATTTTGCACTATCTGTGCCTTCCAGTAGGCCTCGTAATGGAACGTTGAGAACCGCGGTTCTTGGTGCTAGACCTTGGAACCGCGGGGCCGTTCTAGTATTTTTGGACCCGGACCGCGGAGGCGCGACTCGAATCGGAGATCCAACAAATAGGACAAATCAAAGAAAATTTCATTCTAAATCCTAGTTGCTTGGTTCATAAGGAAATGTTAATGAGGGCTGATGTGGATCATTCCAAACTTGATGTCTGAGTCGCCGCAGAAATGGAGGGCGATGGCGAGAACGATTATTTTATTTTCATGATGAACAGAACAATTCCATACCCACGGCCTCGTCACTCGGATACTGGGACTCGGTCCGGCAGATCATGTATCCAGGCATGAGCTATAACCAGCCCACCGACGCTCTGGACGAAAGCTATCGTCTCTTCTTGATTCCTGGTGCAGCACACTGCGCACTGAATGATTTTCAACCCGATGGACCTTGGCCACAGACTACCCTACAGACTTTGATCCAGTGGGTGGAAGAGGGTACTGCCCCAGACACCTTGAACGGAACGGGCGCCATCGATACTATCTGTCGCTACCCACTGCGGCCCTTGTGGTCCGTAAATGGGTCTAGTTTCGAACATATTTTTAGCCAGGAGAGTAGTGATAGTTTTACATACACGCTCCATGCCTTTGCTGTGTCGGTGTACTAGACTTATTAGTGTGATAACATCGTCTGTGATACAGCTGGTAAAATCTGTAACTTCGCCAATCCATTATTCGTGCTCTATGTTTAGGCTCAACGACTGGAGACTGCCGCCTTTTAGCTCTTGGTAGAAATCGTTTAGTTAGAGAGAAGATAGTTCGGGTCGCCGCTATAATTGACGTCAAACCTCATCTTTCCGTCTCTCTGGAAGGGGTAGTGCACTAGAATCTTGGCTGCATTGGTAGGCAGTTACTGATTGTTGACACTAAGTCGGTAGCGTGCTGCATCTGGTTATGCGAATAGGCAGGCTAAGAGTACTGGTTCAGAAGTTTGTGAGTGCCTAGGTCTTAACGAATAGGGTTAGTGAGTAGCTTACTAGCATCGGTGGAAGCTATAAAGCCCAGACCATATTCGAAAGGGAAAATGCCGCTTGTTCAATATTGCCGAAGTAGTTACTAAGCTGAATTCATTTAGTTGCGGCGTTACAAGGCATAATACTAGATCTAGAAAGCTCACGTCACGGTCTAAGGTTATCTTGCCGGTCTTCCTTAACGGAAAGTCCACATGTAGCCACACCTTGGTCATGTCGAAGATATTCCACTGGTAATTCTCAGCCTGAGAGGGGTCTATGACTTAAATAAAGACATCCCACGAGGGGAATCTCTTTCTTTCAAGGGCCTCAGACATACCGCGAATAATACAATCGGGGTCTTCGCTGGCAATCCTCATCGCCTCTTCATGAGTGAAGCTCTTAACGCCCTATCGGGCCTTTATGTGGATTTTCACATTTTTGAAATGAGCCATCCTATTTGACTGGGTGAGCAGATAAATATGTTTTCGTGATATAAATCTAACCTCTTTAGTGAACTTATACGTTTGTCCATATTACTGTAACAGCCTTCAAACCCCATATATCATATATCTCCAACCCCGCCCGATCATGTAACACACACTCAATATTCGCAATAACTTCCTTGGCCCCAATAATCGGGGCCTCAAACTTCGCAGCAGGAATAGCATCGAACCCGAAGCGAGTCCACTTGTCTAATTTATCGCCAGCGCTGTTCCCGATGTCAACTACTGATTCTGCGAGGGAGGCGGATGGGATTGCGAGGACGCAGGAGCTTGTCTCGGAGAGGAGGGAGAAGCTTGTAGCCACGGTCCAAGGCAGATGTTTATGAGAGCGGGGGTGTCATGTTGGAGCATCATGTGGAAACCTAGGGTCATTAGCCTGTGGGTGTTTTGGGGGAGGGAGCTGGTCAAGATTAGGAGGATTGGGCCTGGTTCTATGAGGCGGTAGACTTTTGAGGCGGGGTAGGGTTGGAAGGGGTTTGATGGTGTTTTTGTTGTTGAGGGGCGTTGGGATGCTCTTGAGGGCTCGGTTGATGATGCTTTGCATTTTGAGGGCATGATGGGGGCTTCTTGGGTCTTATTAGAGACGATGGAGGTAGGTAGAGGTGGAGGGGTATTGCTAGAGGAGATATTGATATAACCGAAAGAGGCGGTGGAGATTTAGAGCAAAAGATGTTGAAATAGAGACGAATTGTTCCTTGGAAGGGCACTTTGCCACGTTGTATCCCCGCATTCCAGAAAGAAAAACATGGAACGAACTATAGCCTTCTTGTAAAAGGACGAAACCTCTGAGAAGCTGGTAGTATGACTGATATGAAGTAAGTGGATGGCTAGACAGCCTACATTAATATTCGGTCATTGTTGTGCATATCCATTCTTGCATTAGGTACAGATCTTCCTACTCTTAGTCTCCCGTTCATCCAGGACAAGAGATAATTGTTCATGCTTAAGATATAATCTTGTACTAAATCAAACTCAGCCAAAGGCTGGATTGAGAAGAAGCTATTCAGAAGAAATCATGTGGCTCAAAAAAAAGAGAAAAAGGAACGGTCTGCTCTGAACACAAGCATCAATAGAGCCGAAATCCAACGCCTTTTGGATAGCAGATTTCTCCATTCAGCGAGACGCCATGATTCGGACCGACGCATGTACAGAATACATGGTGAATGTTCTCATGGACACCTGGCGTGATCTTCACTTGGAGATGGGATGTGTTGGTCCACGGCTCAACCAAAGCACGTTCGCATTTAGAGATACCGCTAGAAAAGAAATCAAAATCAAAATCAAATTGAACATTTGGATCAAAATATGGACACCGAATCGGGTCGAGCCATATTCCTTTCGGATATCGTAACTCCGCTAAATAACCCGAGCAAAATATGACGACGGAAGAGAAGAGGCTCTCATAACCAGGGCGGGATCGAAGGAAGGTGATGGTCATGTGAGGGGACAAGGTGACGGTGGTACAATAAGGGGTCATGCAATTCAGCGATCAGGGTTAGTGACCTGCAGGATTCGGCGAGAGAAATCTTGATCATCGTCGATGCTGCCATTACTCTGTCGACGCTGTGCCATATACTGGCCGTCGAACCGCGAGTCTGACATAGATGGTCTCGAGTCACGACCACCGCGGTATCCCTGAGCCTTTTGCCTGCGGGATCGGTAGACGAAAAAGGCAGCTCCGGCAATAGCAGCTATACCAACCACACCAACCACGACACCTGCAGCAATCGCGGCGGTGTTGTGACTTTTGCTCTCTCTTTGCTCCTCCTGCTGCTGCGCAGCTTGGGCCGATGCAGAAGCGGCAGCATTGTTCTTGCTGGTGTCTGTCACGTATACGGTTTGTCCGGAAGAATTGGTCGTTGCAGTGCCACCTGCGCTGCCGGTTTCGGAGGCGGTCGCATTGCTGGTGCTGTTATTACTGCTACTGCTGGTGCCGCTGCTGCTGCTGGCGGTCGTCGTGGCTGAAACACTCTCGACGTTGGTTTCTAAGCCTGTCGTGTACACCGAGAAGTAGTTGGTTCCACCGCCTATGGGTTGTCAGTATTGTTTTCAACCGAATTGCCGAGACTTAACTTACACATATCTTCCGGCCAACCATTACATGATGTATCACAATTGCTCGAATCGACCTTATCCGATGATGGAGGTAGTTCATTGCCACACAGGCAGTACGAACCACCGGTCAAGGCAAAAGCAGCGTAGTTGTCCCCAGAGCATCTATCTTGGCACCATCCTGAACTTTGATACAAGTAGGAGGTTTTATCGGATAAGCCTTCAGAGCTGCTGTAGCAACCCACCAGAGTAGCCTCTGCTCGTGGTACGAGATTTTTGGAGGGCGCAGCAAGCGACCCCGTTGCAAGGAGCAGACTTGAAACCGTCAAAGCGGTCCGCATTGTGAATTGCATCGTGAGATGAGAGGAAAGGGGGAGTATCGGGTCGCGTAAAGGGAATGAAACACCGCAGACACAGTCGTTACGATGAAAAAAAATTGAAGTACGAAGAAAACGGCCCGCGTCACCCTTCGGAACTTCTAGAATGGAAGTGTACTAAAAGTGTCGTCCTTAGAATAGTGTTCTCCGCTTCGACGGGTGTTCTTTGGTCGCGTTGGTGTGCGACCTTGGGATCCGCTATTTAGATTGTCGATACAGAAGGAGCCAGGCGTAATCCAAGATCGGCAAAAAAAGACGAAGGGAAGACGAATGATTCGATGAGCGAGAGGAATCGGGTAATAGCCCGGTAGCACGAAGTCGAGTGGGATGGATATTGTCCTTTCTTTCGGTTGAGAGAAGTGACCGAAGATCGGACCAGTCGAGTTGAATACTGGAGGGTCACGATTGACGGGTTTCAAAGAATGTCGAGGTCGAGGGTGAACGAGCGGACCCTTTGTTTTAACGAATGTGAATAAGAAAGGAAAGTATGAGTCCTCAGGGAGAAAGAAGGAATGGGGTCATTGCTCAGGGTCAAGGGGTCTGTTTCCCGTTACAGCCACTGTACGAGTTTAGTACGCGCTTTATTAGTATTCTTCTGTTTGACTCTCACAATTCCCTTTTTTGGTTCTGGTATGGTATGTATGGTATTTATTGGATTTTCTCTGCCGTCAATATTTTGATCTTTTAACCAATCATAGACTCTAACTTTGATGTGTCATCAGGCACCGCCTCTGACCCTTGGGAACCTGCAGCTGATCGGCTTCCAATTTCATTAAAAGCGGGCCCGTTGGTGGGTCCATAAGACACTGATCTAAACCTCTTCAGATTGGTCCCTGAGCTCTGGTGTGACCTCATTCGTGAGAACTGTCAGATCTGCAAGTTCCTACTGTTATTTCGCCACACAATGAGGGCCTCGGACATCCACACATCCACAGGACACCTCATAATGGAACCCAATCTGTCAGGCCGACGTAGCGTTCAATTCCTCGATAGAACTATGCAGATGGATTATTTTCTAGACAAAGCAAAATTAAATATCGGACCAAGGCAGGTCCGAACTCCCATGGTGTAGTCGTTAATACAGACGTATCGTTCAGGACTGTGTTCGAAAAATACCAGGCGAAAACGCGCCTACTGTCACTCTCTCCTAGGCAAATTAATACCGTTAGCGCAATTTCCCTGCCGTGTCCGGGGTGAGAGGGGAATTTTCAGCGCTAAGACCGCGGGGGTTTGGCTTCCTTTTATTCTGACATGATATGGACTAGGACGAGGTAACTACTAGTACATTTTGATCGCAGCATTCCCTAGTTAGTCTTATATCTACCTGTAATTGATCCTGGCATCGCAGAACATTGAGTAAATAAACAACAGCAACCCCTTTTCCGGACCACGGTTTTTACGCGGACACTCCCGAGTGGATCGTGCCCAACGGACTCCGTTCGGTTAATTACGGTTTCAATACTCATAAATTACAACGTCAAGTTTCAAGCACCTGCTCTCGGCTATTTACCAATCGCGATTGTCGTGCTAGCCCTGGACCCTGAAATCCAGCTATGGAGAATAGACATTATTCGATACATTACATCCTTCACGTCATCCGAAGGTCATCCGAGATATGTAGGGACCATGCATGACAGAAATTTTCCACTCATCTGAAACAGGGTCTTGACCATATGGGTTAATTTGATTTATCGCCTGCATGAAGTACATTCGTACAAATGGCCCGTTGTAGCTACTTAAAAATCACACGAGCACCGAAGTATATCCACCAGACGTCCCATGACAGTCACTTTCGTAGATGTTGAACGCCCGAGGTCATCTGAGCTTTAGCGGTGCCAGAATAGCTTCTAATAATCAGTGGCGCTTACAGTTTATATCTGGCTTGTAATCTTGAACTGGTGTTCACAAACATTGTCACACAAGCGGGCGCTACCGACACGCTTCGTATAACGCAAATATGGCAAGACCAACCATGAAAGTGAGTACTCTGCCCTACCCTTCCTAGTACAAGATACATGCACAACCAAAACCTCAACGTAAACGCCCAGGCGTCTAGACCTGATCCCAGCGGACCCTGACTCACCACCAATGTATTTCTAGCGTGTGGCGCTCACTAGTCCGGTCCGGATCCGCGCAAAAGGAAATATCGGGATCACCCCTTGCGCCCACGAAAATGAAATCAACAAGACCAAATACAAGAGGAAATTCTGATCCGGTCTTTGTGACCGTAACTTGACGATACAAACATATGAAATGGGTTCTTGGACTGTTCTGGACTGAAAACCCTTAAAGTGGATCGTTGCCTTGGCCAAGGACTATGGGGCCTTCGATCATGGTCTAGAATCGATGGATTGTTTATTAATGTGCGGTGTCGGACTATGACGGATGATCTGTGTAATTATGTGGTATCTCAGAGACAGCACTTGAGATCGTTCTAGAAGTATTTAGACCGAAATACTCGGATTGAGGAGTTGAGGTGGTGACCCCGTTTGTTGCCTTTCTCTGACGGATTGTGTAGAAGTGTGGATTTGGTGACTTTTCGAGGATGTGAAAAGCTTGAGTGGAAATATGTCTAACCAGAACATCTGTTTAAGGATTTACAGGAATATCGAACATTCAAAATGTTAGGTATCAAGTTGCGGCGGTCGTTGAGGAATTCACGGTCAATAGAAAATCAGTCGCCACCTTGACCGGACACGTATAATTACTAGTCCCCGAAAGTCGAATTTTTCTCAGATCCCTGTTTGGGAAACGAAGTTGTACTCTAAATTGCAGTACAATGATAAAAGTCGGATGAAAGGTGTCATTGGACACGAGCAGAAAATATGAGTGAATAATTCAATATTAATATCACTAACGAATTTTAAGTCCACGAGATACATGGATATTACTAGTAGATTGGTCTTGCGAGCAACATCAATCCACCTTGACTGGGACTTGGAGGATATATAATCGTAGTCCACAATATTCAAAGCAACCTAGATTCCCATAACCACTTCAGTGCGAAAACTTGGCCGACTCCTGCCAACTTTGAAAGATGTCTGGACCTATCACCCCCGAGGAGAGAGCTGGACCTCAAAGAGATTACAATTTCCCCGAGTCCATACATAATGCACACCAAAAGGGCGACGAGGCTGAGCATTTTCATTTCACGGAAGTCTGCTTTCAGTCCCACATTGGCATGAGGGACTTTCGGGGTATATCCCAATATCAGCGGTAAACCCCAAGAACATCCATCATTTGGACATTCAAGACATTCAAGGCATTCAAGACATTTCTCATACAGCATCCATTCGCCACCTGGCAGTGGGATCAACTGTTGTTCAGATGCGAAACATGGCTGCTGCTAAATCAGAATACTATCCTATTCGATGAAATGACAACCATAAAATGGGACGTTGAATGCCTCAAGTGCTCATTGGATGCATTTTGTATCAGTCACGGGCACATGACAAGGTGATTTAAGATGAGAGATCAACATTTGACTAAGATAGGACAGCGTTATTCTACAAAGTACAGCACATAGGCAATCAAGGGTATGTACAGAGCTTAGATTTTGGCTGCTCAGGAAAGCATGTTTGACAGCTAGTAACTCTATGGACTCCATTTTCATCTTGAAAATCATTCGAAAATGTCTTTTTCCATTAAATCGTTCTCAATTAAGTAGATTGAGATAATTCATTTTGCTTATGGCGGTAAACAAAGAAATGATCTCGGACTTTATTTTCATGGTTGCTTGTCGCAATTTTGAGACAAGCCCAGGCATTCCAAAATGAAATACTAGATCGCTCGACCAAAGTCAACCAGATTTATGGCTTGGGGATGTGAATGGTCTTGCTAACCATCGTGCAGCCATGCAAGACAAACAATAATGCAGCCGGGTGGAACTCCAGAGCAGTACCTTCGGCAATAAGACCGAAGGGGATGTTCTCGTGAGTCCAGCTTTGGGAGACACAGTAGGCCATAAGACCGGCGATATACAGGGTAGTGGGAATGGGAGTGCCCTCGAAGTACTTTGACTTTCCGCTCTTGTCCTTCGGCAGAACAGCCACGGTGACGTTGAACCGGGCCAGACGGGTGAGACCACACAGAACGAAAAAGGTCAAGATGAGGTGATCAACATTTGTGCGAATGCCAAGCGCAAAGGCTGCTGCGGCGGGAGCGAGACCGAAAGAAATCTGTAGCACACCCCAAATAGTCAGTGTCTGCGTTGTGGAAATTGTTGGGCAAGCCGGATAATGTCTCCTACCAAATCGGCGAGCGAGTCCAGTTCCTGTCCCATCAGGGACGACTTCTTGCGCCAGCGAGCAATTTTCCCATCCATAAAGTCGAAGAAGAGACCAAATGGCATGAATGCAAGGGCAGTCCACATGGCACCGTATTCTGTGGGATCTCCGAGACAGTAGCGCATGGAAGAGAAGACGGACATGACTGTTCCACCGGTTAATATAACATCAGATTGTGGAATGGCTGGAACTTGCCTCCGCAGAAACCTGTAAATCAAAGTCAGAAACCTTACTTGTTTGTAATCACTCTGGATCAAGGATAAACCACTTACCATTTAACTCAGTAACCAGATCGGCAAGGTGGAGAGCTCTAATGGCGATGTTAGGAAAAGGAGGCAGTAGCAGAGGAACTCCGACACTCACTTCACCATGCTGAAATGTCCATGCTCTTCAGAGAGAAGCATTTTCTGCTTTTCCTGACCTATGACATGTGAGCGACACTTCACGAGGGGTGCACTGTCGATCGCATACTGACCTCCGTCACTTGAAGGCGGGACGCTGCTGACCTCACTCGACGCCATGGTCGATTTTCTGCGAGACATGCTCAAGGAAAGACCGAAGAAAAATTAAAAGAGCAGGACAGAGGATTTCTGGTTCCAGAATCTGAGAGGGTTGAAGAAGTTAAAATGACCGTCAATCCTGCTTCGAGTTGTTGACGGACGCACAGATTCGCAGAGCGGTCAACGTCATTTCCCGAGGCAATATTCGTGAGGCGGTGCACGCCACTTTCAAGCCACACGCATTTGGACTTCTCCAAACTAAATTAAGTATTTTGAAGATTACAAGCATAATGACGGATTGTCATACGTAGGATGAGCAGTAAAGAAGACAAATTTTATGACTGGATATATTCTACAGTCTCTGCAATCACAGAAGCAGTAATTGTGTCAGGATGCACAAGAAAAAAAGAAATATTCCTGCAAAAAGCTCCCGAATCCCCCAAACGCCGTAAGAAGACACAATAGTCGTTCAGTAATATCTTAGAAGCGACCACCACCACCGCGGCCACCGAAGCTGCCACCACGGGGAGCACCGCGGCCACCGCCACGAGAGAAGCCACCGGAGCCACCGCGGCCACCGAAGCCACCGGAACCACCACGGCCACCGAAGCCGCTACCACCACGACCACCGCCGCGGCCACCGAAGCTGCCACCACGGGAGAAACCACCGGGGGCACCACGGCCACGACCGCCGAATCCACCGCGACCACGGGGAGCACCGCCACGGGCACCACCAGCGCGCTTGACCTTGGGACCAGCAGGGGCCTTGGGCTTGGGGAGGAACCTGGGGTAGATCGTCAGCAACCATACACAGGGCATGAACCGTTGGAAAGGAGATAACGTACTTCTCAAGAGGCAGCAACTTGTCTCCACCGATGAAGACCTTGTCACCAGGCTTGAATGAGGTAGCGACAATGCCGTCCTGGGGCTTGACGGTGAAGTAGACCTGGTTGATGGGGCCCAGAACCTCATCTACCTTACCGATGGGAGTCTATTGATTAAGCCGTTAGCTTAATGAACTTCAAGTGATTTGTAAAAGCGGCGGCGTGGTTGACAACATACCTTGTTCTCCAGGTAGATCGGGGCGTTGAAGTAGGGAACCTTGGGGTTGATAGACTCGCAGACCATCTCACCCTCGCAGGCGTGCATGACGGTACCCATCTCTAAAAACATATATCAGCATTGCGCCCGTAAAATGTCCGCCGATTCGATAGGAATTGTATTTACCCAGGACTTGGGCTGGGGGGCCGAACGATGGCTGGAAACCTCCGCGACCTGTTACCCGGAAAAAAAATTTCGTTAGCTTCCATCCGATCTCTCAATTGGTGTCGCGGGGACATGTATTACCACCACGGTTACCGAAACCACCCCGGTTCGCACCGGTGGCAGAGAAGCCACGGCCACGGAAAGACATTTTTGCGATGTATGAAAGTTTGGAGGTTGGACTTGGACGAAGAAGATTTCGGGTGGTGGAAACTTCATACGGTAAAGCGTCGCTAGCCAGGGCAGTTTACGGTCACATGACTCACCGCCCGCCCCTCCCGCTACGAAAAGAGTCCCGTTTGAGTCACAATTTCCCAATATCGACAGCAGGTTACTCACTCGTACATCCCATTCCGTTTCTCGTCGGCCAATTTCCCTGACACCTCTCTGAGGGATCCAACCATGGCTTCTGAGGCCCCCAAGGATCTGCCCGTGCGCCCTGCCGCCGATGGTGAGGCCAAACCAGCCGCTGCTGCCCCGCCAAACGATGCGAAAGTGAAAAAGGCTCCCGCCCCCGATGTCCTGCCCGAATGGATGATAGCACGAAACGAGCTCTTCGAAGAGCTCTGGCAGAAGCAACTCGAAGAAACCAAAAACCGTGAACACCATGAAATCAAGGTCACCCTTGACATTGGCGACGGCAACCCCTCCCCCGTCCCCGCCAAGGCCTACGAGACCACACCTGGATCCTTCCTGCGCGACGTCCCAAAGGATGTGAGCGCCAATATTGTTGTCGCGAAAGTCAACGGTGAATTGTGGGACCTCAATCGCCCTCTTGAGGGCGACGCTAGCGTCGTACTACTTCCGTTCAGCAACCCTGAGGCTCGCGATGTGTTCTGGCACTCCAGCGCCCACTGTCTTGGTGAGGCTTGCGAATGTGAATATGGATGTTTCCTGTCCCACGGTCCCCCAACCCCACAGGGTTTCTTCTACGACATGGCCATGCCTGACGGACGTGTCATCCGAGAGACCGACTGGCCGGCACTCGACAAGCGTACCCAGGCTGTTTTCAAGGACAAGCAGAGCTTTGATCGATTGGAAGTTTCCAAGGAGAACCTCCGGAAGATGTTCTCGTACAGCAAGTACAAGCTTCACTACATTGAGAAGTTGGTGGATACGGAGTTCAGTACTGTTAGTATTCCCCACTGAGCCCCGTTCCTCACCGCTGACATTGTTACAGGTCTACCGATGTGGCACCTTGGTCGATCTCTGCCGTGGACCCCATATTCAAAATACTAATAAAGTTCGCAGCTTTAAAATTCTTCAAGTCGGTCTCCATCCATTCATTTATTATTACAGGCCAGCTCGCTTATACGTAATAGAACTCTTCTGCCTATTTCCTCGGCGACCAGTCCAACGACTCCCTGCAGCGTGTCCGAGCTGTCGCCTTCCCGGATAAGAAGGGCATGGCCGAGCACTTGAAATTCCTGGAAGAGGCGGAAAAGCGGAATCACATGAAGATCGGTAAAGAACAAGAACTGTTCTTCTTTGACGATGTTTCTCCTGGCTCTGCTTTCCTTTTGCCCGCCGGTACGAAGATTTTCAACTCTATTCAAAAGCTGCTTCGCAAGGAGTACATGAAAAGAGGCTACTCAGAATGCCAAACCCCAAACATTTATTCCACGGTGAGTTTCATCTCGACCTGCTTATGGATAGCAGAACTGATGATTTTCCAGGAATTGTGGAAGCAATCTGGTCACTGGGAACGTAAGTTGCCGAGTTTATAATTTTTTGATATACTATCACATGACTGATGATGTCTCAAAGATTACCAGGACGACATGTTCAAAATTGAACAGAAAAAGGTGAGCTCGTGTTCCAATATCTTCTCGAGTCAGCTCATATTAACACAGCAAGGGAACTTCGACTGCCTATTCCCTCAAGCCTATGAACTGCCCAGGTGCATAAAACCATCCGATCTCTGCTGAGGATCTAATGCTGACCGGAGACAGGGCACTACAAAATCTTTGCTCACCGTGATCGTAGCTACCGTGAACTGCCTTTGCGCATTGCGGACTTTGGTGTCCTACACCGTAACGAGGCGTCGGGAGCCTTGAGTGGCCTGACCCGTGTGCGCAAATTCCAGCAGGATGACAGCCACATTTTCTGCACCCAAGACCAGATCATGTCCGAGATTGAGGGTCTGTTTGATTTCCTGCAGTCCGTCTACGGACTGTTTGGCTTTACCTTCAAGATGAAGCTGTCTACCCGCCCTGAAAAATACATGGGTGAACTCGCGACTTGGAATCACGCCGAGGATCAGCTGAAAATTGTGTTGAACAGGTTCATGGGCGACAAATGGACCATCGATGAGGGTGATGGTGCCTTCTACGGACCGAAGATCGACATTACCATTGAGGATGCTTTGAAGGTATGTTTTCATTCACAATCCGAAACTGTCCTCGCTTGGTTGCTCCAGTGCTTTTTTGATATTTGTTTGATCCCCTAACTCCTCGGTCTAGCGTTCTTTCCAATGTGCTACGATTCAGCTGGACTACCAGGCGCCACTCAATTTCAATTTACAATATGTTACAAACGAGAAGGGTGAAAAGCAGACGAACGAAGAGCCGAAGAAGGAGGGCGAGGAGGCCCAGGCTAAGACCAACACCAAAGAGCTGCCGGCCGGTCGTGCCAGACCTGTCATTATCCATCGTGCCATCATCGGATCTTACGAAAGATTCATGGGTATCCTTACTGAGCATTTCGGTGGCAAATGGCCTTTCTGGTTGAGTCCCCGCCAGGTCATGGTACGTGAACCACTTTTTTGGATCAGAAGTTGAAAATTGCTAAAATAATTAGGTCATTCCGGTGATGCCGGCTCTGAACGACTACGCCCTTGAAATCCAAAAGGTGTTACAGGCTGACAAACTGAATGTCGATGTTGACATCACTGGCAACACTCTTCCGTAAGCATAACTCCCATCCTCCGCTAGAAAATATTCTGATAATCGTTGCAGAAAGAAGATTCGTTCGGCGCAACTAGCCCAGTATAACTTCATTCTCGGTAAGTCTTATTTTTTCCTTTTTAATTGCTTTGACTCTTAATACTGATATATTGTAGTTGTTGGAGCCAATGAAATGCAAGAGCGTAGTGTCAATGTCCGCAACAGAGATGATCCAGCGAGCCAGAAGCAGGGCGTTATGATTCCCCTCGAGGAGATTCGTATCAAGTTCAGGGCGCTGCGCAAGGAGCGGCGGTTGGAGAATGCTCTGTAGAGCGAGATGAATAGAGGTCTTCGAGACATGGTACCCATTTATGAAAAGTGATATGAAGTGCATGCGGGTATTCCGTTGATTTTTCACGAAGTAATTACATCCCATGCATACCTCGTGTAATAGTAGTAATCAGGGTCTGGGCTGGCGGTAATCTTAAAGCGAACACACATACTCAACTTTAAAGACGAAAATTGTACAGTGCTTAACAATCTGTCAGGCAACATACTACCTATTGTCCTGCTTTCTCCGATATTTTAGGGTTTGCGTCTCACCATGCGATGAGGCCCGGTAGCCTGCAATCCGAGAGGCTTTCCCTTGTGCATCCCACCTGCTCATACACTCGCTTCCTCGCCCTTGTGCTCATTATGGCCCCTTTGCGTGGTGGTCTTAAGCTTGATACCCTTTGACACCCGATTGCATCCTTTTGACATCATTTTGCCAGTCAAGCTCCATTTTTCGATCGAATCTAAAACCCTCAACAAAACGCGTTAATTTCAGCCCTGCTAGTGCTTACCACATCCCTGGAACCCTCCATACGCTCACGAGTCACGCATATCTTTATTTGTCAAATCATGATCGGGTTTACCTTCTTTAGCCCGGACCCACACACGCGTATCTTTCTCAATCGTGGCCGATATCAAGGGTCTCGTTTATTACTCAATCTTCATTCATCCCGCACTTTTACAGCAAAGACAAGATATCAGATACTCTCTCTCCAGTGCGAGCAGTTACTTTGAGTAACTTTGAGTAAAGCAAGAACTTCTCAGGTATTGTGTAGAGATACAGGCCTTCCGAGGTTATTTTTACGGTTTTCTCTTTCTTTTGTAATGCGGAAAGGTTGGTCACGGTGTTAATTGATATAGTAGAATCTTAGACTTTAATTAGTAAAACCTTGTACTGGTAGGGCTGGTATTATGCCTGAAGTCTAAGGCATCACTTGGGGTCAACAAAGAAGATTATGAAATTTCGGATTCAATAAATAGATACAAAAAGAAAGTAAAAAACTCTGTATAGCCCTGACTAGATCCTTTATCATTTCTCTTTCATTTCATTACAGAGAACATTTATACTTGCGTGGCCTCATCCAACCGACGCTCCGATCACCCGCGGGGACTGCGGGGCTCTTGTTTCTCATCACACGTCGAGTCGCGGCCCTCCCCTTTTTCAATTGTGGCAGTGTTCTCTTCTCTTCTTTTTATCTTCCTTTGATCCCCTACTCCTCTCCTTCTTTTCTTCTTTACCACATACCTGGCAGAATCCCTCACCATGGCTGATTTGCAGGGTCGCAAGGTCTTCAAGGTCTTTAACCAGGACTTCGTCGTGAACGAGCAGTACAATGTCACTAAAGAGCTGGGTCAGGGCGCATACGGTATCGTATGGTAGGTTCTCTGAAGGCTTCCCAGAGGCTCGTGTGGTGGTTGCTGTTCTCCATGGGTGCGGAGGCTGACGTCGTCAACAGTGCTGCGACCAACGTTCAGACCGGCGAAGGTGTCGCCATTAAGAAGGTCACCAACGTGTTCAGCAAGAAGATTCTCGCCAAGCGAGCCTTGAGAGAGATCAAGCTGCTCCAGCACTTCCGAGGTCACCGTAACGTATGTCCTTTTCCCCGCCACGGATAATACTACGAAAGGCTGACCCGCAACCCCTCCTTAGATTACATGCCTATACGATATGGACATCCCCCGACCGGACAACTTCAACGAAACATATCTCTACGAGGGTTTGTGACCCCTTGCTCTATGCATGATGGTATACGCGATGTGGATTTGTTCTGATGAATTCCTATAGAGTTGATGGAGTGTGACTTGGCGGCCATCATTCGTTCTGGACAGCCTTTGACCGATGCGCACTTCCAATCCTTCATCTACCAGATCCTCTGTGGTCTCAAGTATATTCACTCAGCCAATGTGCTGCACCGCGATTTGAAACCCGGAAACCTGCTCGTCAATGCCGACTGCGAGCTGAAGATTTGCGACTTTGGCCTGGCCCGTGGCTTCTCCATTGACCCCGAGGAGAATGCTGGCTACATGACCGAGTACGTTGCAACAAGATGGTACCGTGCTCCAGAGATCATGTTGAGCTTCCAGAGCTACACCAAAGCCAGTACGTTACCCTTCACCAAGAAAGTCATGGAGCCAAAACCCTAACCCGTTAACTACAGTCGACGTGTGGTCAGTGGGATGTATTCTCGCCGAACTCCTGGGTGGCCGTCCCTTCTTCAAAGGCCGTGACTACGTCGACCAGCTGAACCAGATCCTTCACTACCTTGGAACACCAAATGAAGAGACCCTCGCGCGTATCGGCTCCCCCCGCGCCCAGGAATACGTTCGCAACCTGCCCTTCATGCCCAAAATCCCCTTCCAGCGACTCTTCCCCAACGCCAACCCAGACGCCCTGGACCTGCTGGACCGCATGCTTGCCTTCGACCCCTCCTCCCGTATCTCCGTCGAGGAAGCCCTCGAGCACCCTTACCTGCACATTTGGCACGACGCCTCCGACGAGCCTACATGTCCCACCACCTTCGACTTCCACTTCGAAGTCGTCGACGAGGTCCACGATATGCGCAAGATGATCCTCGATGAGGTCATTCGCTTCCGCAGCACCGTTCGCCAGCAGTCTCAGGCTCACGCCGCTCAACAACAGCAGATGCAACAGCAGACCAATGTTCCCATCCCCGACCAGCAGGGCGGCTGGACGACCGAGGACCCCAGACCCCAGGAGGCTGCCGCCGCCAGTGGACACATGAACGACCTGGAGTCCTCGCTGCAGCGCGGCATGGATGTGCACCACTGAGCAATTCCTGTCCGTTATTACTTTCCTTCGCCCTCCTTCCTTGGGCATGTTTTCTTCGTATTCAGCTCGGTTCGGCTCCGCCTGTTCTGCCAACTGCACTCGGTTTTCCCCTGCATGTCGATATAATGAATTAGCAAAGAGATACCTCCGAGGGAAAGGCCAGATGATTGCATGATTTGCTTTGCTTTCAGATTCAGATTCAGCTTCAGATTCCTTCGAGCTTTGCGTTTTTTTTTGTCGCTTGTCTTTCCTCACTTTGCGTTTCTGGTTGTACCTGGCCTGTTAACCTGTGTTATGTTTTACTCTCCTTGGGACCTGAGTCTGTTTGGTTTCCCTCATGATTTGAGATTTTGGTTTCTCTCCCTTTCTTGTTTTTGTTGGATCAGATAGATAGATGGTTTGTCCGTGGTCCAAACATACCAAAATGCCAAAATGGTGATTTGACTGCAATGTCAAGATGGGTGCTTTGGGATTCTTTATGGTAGCATCGATTAAAACCTGAATAAAATAAATCTTCTGTACATGCGGATGCCATACGCAGAGCAAGGAAAAGTAAAAGGTAAAGACGCTCTCTTATGCTAGTATGGTATGATATGTTAAACTGACCGCAACCCTGAGGCAAAGCTAAAGCTAAAAAGCTAATTACCAGCTGTAGATAGAGCAATGAATTCTGTCCAAATACACCAAATTATCCAAATTGAGGTATTAATGATAATATCCCCTCCACCAGACAGCCATACAGGCCGAAACGACCAAATCCAACATCTTAATACCCTCATCTTCAATTATCAACTTGCCTAATTTAGCACTCTTCCCCCGCATCCCACCCCCAGCAAGCTCTCTCGCAAGCGAAAAGTCCAACCGATCCTCGTCTGAATCTCCACTACTGGTACTCGTGCTCCTGCGATGGAAATGCTGGTGCCCGAATCTATTCGTCTGCTGCTGTGCGAATTTGCCCGCACGTAGAGAGGTTCGACGAAGAATAGCGGCAGGATCAAAAGGTTGTCTTTGGGAGTCAGGCGTGTTCGAAGAAACAGGAGCATTGGGACCGGAGTGAGCACGGGGACGGGCGTAGTTATTTGGATTCAGGAATTGGGAAAGAGAGGTTCGTTTAGAGTGGGTTTCTGGATTTGAAGGGTCGTATGTGGATGTTGGTGAGTATTGATTTGAGGTGTGGGATCGTGGTGCGGCGTGGTAGTGCAGGTTTGCAGCTTGGAAGGGGGTGTTGAAGCGGATCTCGGCTACTGTTACGGCGGGGTTGGGATCGTTTTCGCCGGGTTGGGGTGAGCTTGGGCCTGGAATCATGTGTTTGCATTTGAGACTGCGGCCGTTGACGCTGCTGGCGAATGTGCAGGTGCCGTTCCAGGGAGAGTTGAAGACGTAGTAGCCGCTCTTTAATTTGTCGTGTCCGTTGCCGAATTCAGAGCTTGCGCTGGGGTCTTCTAGGGACTTGGAGACGCAGAGCTGGCGATGGAACTTGCGGGGTCCTGATTGTGGCTGCTGCTTCTGCTGTTGCAGCTCGCTGGGTTGGTTGGCGTGTAGTTGTGGAGGTATAGAAGATCCGGCGGTGCGTATGAACCCCGCAGGGAGGTTAGCAGCTAGACTAGCAAGTGACATCGGCTCATTTGACCCGGCAAATCTGTTGTATCCCGGTGTCGTAATATCAATATCAATTGCATTGTGATCCATATGCGGGGTTGAGATAGTCGCAACGTTCCATTGCGTACCAGACGCGGGGTCACGCCGGATTAGCGTGAGGCGAAAACCTGCGTTATTATTTAGGGGTTGGCGAGGGGCTCTTTTCTGTCTAGAAGGCGATTGTTCGGGGCTTCTTAAAGGTGATCTTGTCCGATGCTGTGGCGAGCGAGGTGGTAGTGGTGGCCTGTATGCATCGAGACTATGGCGGCCAGCCGCATAAGTCTCATGTCTCTCTTTCCCCATTTCACTTCCGGGACCAGAATCCTGCCCCACGAATGCGCTCCACCGGTTCTCCATTCTTTGCGCTTCATTGCCCGCTTGACTGCCAAATGGCGCCTCGGTGGGCCGTAGACGAGTTAACGGCCGCCGCGAGATAGGACTTTGAGCTCCAGGCTCCAACGGTGTCTTCACTGGATCATAAGATAGACCGGGCGACGCATTGGTGACAGGGGTCCCCGAAAAAGATATATTCTCCGCAGATACCTGCGGCATGGGTGCTGGCCGGCGTGGCGGCAATGCAGGAGGATAATTACCTGACGGAGCAACGATAATATCTGGCGCCAAAGCTGGCGCAGTATCCGGATCAGCTTCTGCCCTACCCACGGGTTTCCTCCGAGGATTGTTCAGGCGGGCAAACTCCCGCTGGGATGGGTCATCGAGACCAGCTGCCTCGAGCTCTTCCCTCCGGCGTTGCGCTTCCTTCTCGCGCTCCCGTTCGACCTCCTGTAGTAGCGCATCGTCTTCTGGTGTCGCGACGTGTAAATAGAAAAGCGATGCGTTGATGGCCTCTGCGGAGACACTGGATTTGGTGGGGGGTTTGACGGGAGAGAGGAAGATGTCTGTTCGTGCGCTACCGGTCAGTTATGCAGCTTATCTCTCTCCGATAAGATCTCAAATTCACAGTGGCGGGGACCATCAGGGACTCTGTAAATCACATACCTTGACTTCCAGGAACCCGTACGATGTATAGTACTAGTGGGTCAAGCTTCTCATGTGTGGGATTGCGCGGATAGGCCGGGGGGTTGGATGCGATGGCGGTAATGGAGGATAAGGAGCGAGCCTCGACGGGGCCTTGGGTCGCGGTAACGATAGACATGGCACGGCTGCGATGCGCCGGCCGTGAAATAGATCAATACGTTGATGGATAATTGGAGAAAGTGGGATGTGAAGTCCAAATGTAAACAGGTAGAAAGCGGGTCCCGTTCGGTAGAGGGCGGGGGTCTTCAGGACTTTTATTTACAATGTTAACAGTTATCTGTTAATGCCCACGTAACACTTTGGCCTAACCAAAGTTAAAGCAAGGGCGTCTAAGGGCGTGCGACTGTTGAGCCTGATCGTGGCGCAGTACGCGGCCTCTGTAGGCAGCGATCATTGATTACGTTGATCTACTTGGAACTTGAATACTCCGTACATGAAGATTGATAGGTTGACATATTCATGGTATCTCGGTTGCTAGCTATATGGTTATAGATAAAATAAAAATAAGAAGTAAGAAATAAGAAATAAGAAATAAGATGCAGGATGCATAGGAGAGTAATATAGGTGATGCTCCACAATATGGGGGTGTTCATACAAAGGAAAGTGAAGAACTCCTATCCTGTTAGCGCCGAAAATGACAGACCCAATCCCAATTCCCAAAAAAAGCCAATTCCATGATCATTAGACGACGGTTTCGGACCGCTCTCCTTCAGCAATGACGGCCACTCCCAACCCGCGATCAGGGCTTTGTAACACAAGCTGCTCATGACGGCGAGCCCGCAAGAAATCGCTAACGGCACGGATAAGAATAAACCAACCGACAATCATAAGAATATAAGAAATCCACTCGCTAGTACTGATACCGGCCATGGAACCACCTTCACCGCTAGAGGGGTCCCCCACTGAGTTGGGGTCGAAGTTATGGCTATTGGGATCAGGTGGCGGGACGTATGAATCACCGCCACTTCCATCAGAGGTGGAAGTGTCACTGCCTCCTTTCATGTAGAAGCCGTATTGAACGAGGGTGAGACCGAGACCGGCTCGGCTGCCATTCTTTGCGGCGTGGGTGGTGTGAAGAAGATAGGTCAGGAGGAAACCGACCAGCTGGAATGACATGGAAATCATCGCATTCCAAATGAACGAGAATATCGATCCCACAGGGAGTCCATCCACGTAAACTTCATCGGAGGAGATACCGGGTGCCACGATCGTAGTCTCCCAATATGGTGGGGTTGCATCAGCGGCTGCTTCTTCATAGGACTATAAAGATTCATTGTTAGCAACCAGACTTCGAATACTCATAAGAAGGATATGAGATATAAATCACTCACAGGAGGCAAGTCTTCATTCTTTTCGCCCCGTTCCGGCTTAGCTGCCAGATTGGCAAAAACACCATCATTCGATGATGCTATCGCCCGACTGTTGCCCGATGGAGTAGTAAAGCTTGGTAGTATCGTTGGCCGTCGAGATATTCCCGACATCGCTGAGCGATCTTGGCTCTCGGTTCTGGATTCCGATGAGGACGCAGTGGCGGACGGACCGTTCTCCGCGGGACTATAGGGATCGGGGTTGGCACGCATCAGCCGTTGACGATCATCAGGCTCTTCATCGTTGTCGGAGTCGTCCTCGCTTCCAAAAGCATCAGCTAGGGCGTGATCATCTTCGTCCTGTCGGATAGGGTCGCCGTGCAACAGTCGCCTCGATGGCGAAGAGGACCGGGAACGGAAAGAGGGAGGCGGAGAGTTTGGTGAAAGATTTGATCGTGTAGGGTTTAACGGATAGGAGTGGGTGTTATCTTCATCTTGGGCATTCACCTGTAATAATGTTAGATCGGATCAGGGTCGTTATCTGGGGTGCCTCGAGAAGCCGGACTGGGGGTATCAGCGGGGAGGATGACGAACCCGGGTATAGCGCTGCGAGCTCATGACGAGCTGAGCGAAGGCAGAAGAAAAGAAAACAGTAAAAAAAAAAAAGGCAAAGGAAAGGAATCAAAGGGAAAGGAAATGAAAAAGGGTGAGAATGAAACCTTGAAAGTGTCGATAGATGGAAGCGCCGGGTTCCGTAATCGTTCTAAGGCAACAGGGAGACATTTGATGCCTGAGGCATTAGATTACAAATGAAAACGAATTAACATTTGACGGTTTGATGATTTGATGATCCCATCATTTTTATACATTAAATTCTTCACCCCACATCCACCATGGCTAACCCTCCGGTAGGTAAACCCTTTCTTTAATGCTTCCAATTCAATGGCGCATTTTTTTCTGGTCAATTGATCCAGTCACTGACATCAACCCCAGCGCACCATCCAAGCACGCCTCACCCACCTCCTCAAACACTGGCCTGTAGACAAAGTCCGCCCGGCCTCCGTCTCCGTCCAAACCTACCTTCAAGCGGCCTTAGGCCAAAAGCCAGAGATTGATCCCAAGAAATCCAAGCGCGACCCCGATGCCGTGCCCTTCAGACAGCCCGTGATTTCCGAATCCTCCGCCAACGCGTTGCAAGCACTCCTCGAAGACCGCTTTGCCCGCCGCTACCCCATGACGAAAAACATCCGGTACCCAGCGAGTGACCCAGACCACTATGATAATGTTGTGCGTGAGTTCGAGGAGGCGCCAGATCGGGACTTCTGGGGTCGGGTAAAGGCACGCTTGGGTGGATTGTTCCGGTTGTCGTGATCAAAATGGAAATCAATTTTAAGAGTTCTTACACCATACGCATGGTGTTCTGTGTATAAATGGGTGTTTTTTGGTTTTCTTTACTTTGGATGTCTCTTTTGGGTATCTCTATTTGGCACCTGGGGTTCTATGGGTTTGCATTGCATGTACTTGTATTTGTACCGCTATTCTGCGGGATCGGACTGTATCACTACTCTACATACGAGAAGAAGAAAATATATAATCCACGGGAAAGGATAATGGATGAACTCGATAAAAGTCATCAAAATATCAGAAATTGCCTATGTACAAATGCGATATGTAGACGCTCCGCCAGTATACATGTGAGATCAGAAACAACATTTCAACGAAAACCTTCATGCTGTTTTTACAGCATGGGCTTCAGATCATCAGAAACCTTGAAGGGTGCTTCAGTCTTAGCAGTGACCTCCTCAACGGTAACACCCTCAGCAAGCTCAATCAGAGTCAGGCCATCGGTGAAATCAACGTCAAAGACACAAAGATCAGTAATGATGCGACTGACACAAGCAGGTCCAGTCAATGGGAACTCGCACTGCTTGACAATCTTAGGGTTGCCCTTCTTGTCGGTGTGCTCCATAGTCACAACGACCTTGGTAGCAGCTGGGTTCGACACGAGATCCATTGCACCACCGAAGCCCTTGATCTTGCCAGGCAGCATCCAATTGGCAAGGTCACCCTTCGCGCTAACCTGCATGGCTCCCAGAATAGTCAAATCAATGCGGCCAGATCGGATCATGCCGAAGGACTCGTCGCTACCGAAAACTGAGGCACCAGGGTTGAGAGTGACAGTCTCCTTGCCGGCGTTGATCAGATCGGGATCCTCCTCGCCTTTCTTCGGGTACGGTCCCAATCCCAAGATACCGTTCTCAGACTGCAGAGTCACCTCAACGGAGGGGTCGACAAAGTTGGGCGCCAGCATAGGCATGCCAATACCCAGGTTCGCATACATGCCGTTCTTGAACTCCTTTGCTGCACGACGAACAATGCGCTCACGCTTGCTGGCAGTGTCACCACTACCCAGCGCAGATGTATCAGCGCCCTCCTCTTTGGCGAATGTGTGCTTCTCAATCTTCTTCTCTGTTGTGCTCTGAACAACCCGCTTCACATAGATACCCGGCAGGTGAATAGCCGCGGGATCGATCTCGCCGGGCTCGACAATGTGCTCAGCCTCCACTATCGTCATCTTCGCATTGCGACCCATTGCGCCGTTGAAATTCGCCGCCGCGTATCGGAACTGGCAGTTACCCAGCTTGTCCGCTTTCCACGCTTTGACGAATGCATAGTCACCCTTAATGGCCTCTTCCATAACATAGCTCTTTCCATCGAAAACCTTCACGTCGCGCGGCTGGCTGTATAGCGCAACTGTACCGTCGGCATTGTGCTTCAGCGGCAGATCACCTGTCTGTACAACGGTTCCAAATGCCGCAGGTGTATAGAAAGCTGGAACACCAGCACCACCAGAACGACACCGCTCTGCAAGGGTACCTTGTGGTGTAAGCTCGAGCTCAATCTCACCGGTCAAATACATGCGCTCGAATGTCTTGTTCTCGCCAACATAACTAGCGATCATCTTCTTGATCTGCTTGGACTGCAAGAGGAGACCAAGACCTGAGCCATCAACACCGGCGTTGTTGCTAGCGACTGTGAGACCGGTAATAGAGGAATTGGCGCGCACAGCATTAATTAGCGAGTCCGGTACACCACATAACCCGAATCCACCGGCGAGGAGGGTAGTGTTGGATTTCATGTCTTTGACAGCTTCATCGGCTGAGGCGAAAACCTTGTTGATTGCGCCGCGGCGGACAGTACTTGAGAAGGAGCGTGCGAGGAAGCGCTGGTGCTGTGGCGAATCTAGTTAGCCAAGAGTGTCGTTCCGCTATGTATGAGACTTACCTTGGCTGGGTCAGCAGAGAATTGCCGCGCAAGGCGCAGGCAAGTAGCCACTTGAGAAGGCATGACTGCGATAGGGAAATAATGCAGTGATTTCTGATTAGAGAGGTTGCAAGCAAGAAAATTTTAAGACTGGACGACCGCGGATGACATCTTATACTCAGTTCCGGGGGCGGCAAGAATCCGCACGGATGCAGGCTTCCCCGCAGAATGGATACCAGACTTGACACCTTTAAATGTATCCGACGGCGCGGAAATAAGCTACTTTTGTTGTGAAAGGCTCTAGATAATAAATGATTAGATGAATTCACGTATCAATCAACTTCGATCTTCGAAATTATCTCTCATTTTAGAGAAATATTGTAATCAGTATTACTGACAGCCGCACTGCAACCGAACTGTTTCCGACCCGCGGGCCGCATATGCTGAGTCATGAATCTTGGGCTTCGTGGATCTGCTGATGTAAGTCACGTGATGGTTACCAAGTAACCATGAATGAAGATGAAATGCAAATTCTAAAGAAAGAACTATTTAAAAAAGGGGAAGAAAGGTCAAAAAGAAAGGGAAAGTAAAAAAACAACAGCTGCGGTCAGATAGCAGGCGATCGCGGTAACCACTGCGCCATTGCGTCAATCGACGCAACCAGGATTCGAACCTGGGCACCCGAAGGAAATCGCTATGCTTATACCCTACACTAACTGTTGCTGAAAGAATCTTCCCTACTTTGATATATAAGGGACTCAGTCATCACCACATCATTCTACATGCCATAGTCCGAACCCCCAACCCTGTCTTATTCCATAATTTCACCAACGTTTAAGTGAATCATTACATTTCGTTACATGAAGGAGGTGTATATTTGCTGTTGTCTTTGAGCTATTCTGACATCGTTGACCTTTTTCTAAATTGGTCTTCACATATATCTGATCTCGACCCGCTTAAATACATGCAGCTGGACAACCCATTGATTAATTCCATGATACATTCATATGCATGCATGTAGCTTGCCCACAAGCACCGTTGAAAATCGGCCCAGGAGTCCACCGATATTGCTGCAACATTGAATATGCATAATTAAGTCACAAAGAGTCTGTCTGGACACACTAGCCTTGAAGATACGCTAGATTTGAAGGACCTCATCTCATCATAGGCCAGTAACGCAGGCTCTAAGTTCTTCGTTCATAGTATCTTCGTTTATGTACACAAAGATGATATCCTCGCTGATGCAGGAGACATAAAGAGATATAGGAAGTCATGATAAAGAAGAGGAACAGAAAATAACAGGGGGCGCATCATAATCATCAATCAATTTGATGGTAACCTGGTTCTTGCCAGGTGCCATACATCAAACTTTGTCCTATTCATTCATTTTGATTTCCTGGGATTCCCCAGCCGGAGCAAGAGCCGGCGGAAGCTGCTGCTCAGCCATGTAGTCCTGGTGTGCATGTTCGATCGGATTTGGGCTGAGAATGCCCTCCATGGCAGAGGGGTCGTTGGCGGAAACCTCTGGTTGTGGATCCTCGACAATATCGCGGCAGACGGGGTCGACCATACGATTTCTCTTGAGTTCGTTGATGTAGACAAGGAAATAAGGGGTGGGTGGGTTGGTGTCATCTTTGTTGGCGAAGATTTCGTCCAGGTTCTGGACTTCGGTCACATACTCGTCGTTGTACTTACGCCAGATGTTCTTCTGGAAGTCTTTGATGTAAATCCAGTAATGACCGAACGAGACGGAACCGCGGTGGACAAATACTGCGTACAGTTGGTAAGGCATCTCTTTGGAGTCGGCGAATTTGTCGGCAATCAGTTGCTTTGTGGTCTGAATCTGCTGCTCAAGGGCTGTGAGGGGTTAGCACACTGCTTCATTACAATGTAATAAATGTTTGTTCTCACCCTGGAACTCTGTCTGTACGTCCTCCGACATCTGCTCGAGCTCCTGAATGAGTCGTAGCTTATTCTCCGGAGCGCTAGAACCCGAGTCAGATCCAGTAGATTGCTCTGAATCCTCAGGCATCGAAGCATTATCGCTGCCCGGGATGTTCAAGTCATCAAGGACACCCATAGCCTCGCGGAAGAGAGTTGCCATTTCAAGACCATCACTTTCCTACAAGAATGTTAGCCCATGAACTCAGTAAAATCTAATACTGTAACCTCAGGAACGGCTCTCACCTGAGTACGCAGAAGCTCTGCCTGGCGTGCTTGGATGCTGGCAAGACTTTTCTTCCACTCCCAGCACTGGCGTCTTGCTTCCAGCCGATCCTGCCTTGTAGTATCCATATAACGATCCATGTAGATCGTCTCAGAAAGCTGCAAGTGGTTTGTCGATTTGTATGAAGTCTTCTTCACAGGATCAAACTGTACACGCTGCACCTGGATCTGGAGGATGGGGGGAAGGCGGGTGATAGATCCATATTGCTCCGCTTCGGCGTTCTCAACGCTGATCTTCTGAACATCAAAAGCTCCATCAATAGCATCATATATGTCGCGAGGTCCAAGCGCCACGTTGACTTTTATATCGCACCAACGTTCATCCTTTGACCGTGTGCCTCCGGAAGTGGTAATGTAGGACCGCGTCTGGCCATAGAACATGCTAGGTGATATTAGTATCATACGGGAAAGAAGGTTATGGGTCTTACTCTTTGACATGATCAACTTGCTCACCATCCGAAGCAACCTCTCGAGGCTTGATGGCACACTGGCTCTGGAAGAGAACGTTGTTGATGACCTCTGTGACATCCTGTTGTGCGCCAATTTCCACCTCTTCAATGAGCTGCTTCTTGGGGTCAATTTCAGGAGCAGGTCGGGGAGGAACAGGTGGTGCACGTGTAGGAGGGACAGGCTGAGTGGGTGAAATATTCACATAGCCTTCACTAATTGGCTCAGCATCCATGGGGGGCGCAGTTGCACCCGTCCCATTACTCTCAGATACCAGCGTTGCCTCACTCCCTACATCACTTATTTCAAGATTATCCGAGGCAAAAGTCGGTTGCTGTTCCTTCAGGTCCTCACCGATAGGTTGAGGGGGGCCAAGCGGACCTAAGACAGGGGCCCCATTCACATCGCCAAGACCATGGGTTTTAGAGGCGCTTATTGTTGACCGCCGACGAATAGCTGCTTCATTCCCGGGACTGATAAGAGTCAAACGAGCGAGCTCTTGGCTGGGCGTGACAGAGGAATTCTTTGACGAAATCATATCTCGGAAGAGAACTCTGAGTTCCGTAAGGACTAAAAGCAATCAATGAAGTGTCAAATCACGTCAAAGGTGTTCAAACTTACATCTAAGGGACCGCTCAATTTCCTTTCCCGACACCTTGCGCGACCCCACTTTCTTCACAGTGATACTTGCTTCATTGGTCGTGTCCATCTGAAATTTCTCAATATTCAAGACCATGTCTCTGTACGGCTTGATCGAGAAGTAAAATTGAAGAAGACTGTTCAGGTAACAGGTGTTGCCGATATTCTGCAGCCCGACAGGCCATTCAGAGAGATTCTGCTCTGACTCAGTGTTGACTCCTGCCATGTTCTTGAGAACGGGGTTGTCGAGTTCCCGGGAAATGATGCGGAGGGCGCGATTATAGAGTTCAGCTTGGCCGGGGTTCTCATCTACGCAGATTGTGTAAGCAGCCATAACGGCATCGCCATCCACAGTTCGGTCAGGAATCTGAAGCATGCGATAAGCGTCCCCAATGTCCATTTCTCCGGCAACTGTTTCTCCAGTTTTAATAAAATGACTTAGACCATCTGACTTGCGAGACTCTGCGATGAGTTGCACGGCTTTGTCTGCTAAATCTTTGCAAAGGGGGTTGTCGTTGATCTTTGTTGTGATGTGAGTCAGGTGAAGAAACGGGGTTGGGACCTAACAAAGGCGGCCTACCTTAGCAGTATACATGGTGATAATGAAATCATCTGGGGTGTGATCATCAACCCCAAGAAAGACTTGGGCCTGCTCGACCGTAGAAACACCTTTTCCAAATTAGCAAATTACCTTCTGTTAGGATTGATATCCACTCACGATCTTCAGAAGCTGATTTTATGCGTTCACTTCCCAGACCCTGTCCGATTAACCACATCTGACGCCGTGCCTCTGTTTCTTGATTTGTTGAGCTAAGAAACGCATAGAATTTACCAATAATGGCCTCCTGTGTGAGATTTGGATCATTACGCTGAAGGCCAAAATATCGATATGCTTCAGTTACGTCGTCTTCGGTGTATCTTCCTTCAGAGTAGGCCAATTGAACAGCTTGGTTGATGATCTCCCAATCCTCACGACCTCGAAGTGTACCAATCGCCTTGAGGCAGTTTAAGTAAAGAGGAGCTCGGGATGGATCTGCCTGTACTTGATGTTCATATGACTTTACAACCAGCTCGGAAGACATGTCTTCCACAGTACCAAGATCCTCGTAAAAGCTGTTGAAAATAAGGGTTAGAATGAGTTCGTCAATTCGAAAAAAGGGGCACAAACGGAGCAGGTGGCAATTCAAACTCATGCGCACGCTTGGCTTTCGGGTCTATTGAAAGTCAGCCACAAGAGCTCAGGAGTAGTCAGATTGTTATACGGACAATCAAGTGCCTCCAAGGCATGGAGAATATTATCTCTTGCAGAGGGAGGAAGGGCAACAGGTTGGATCACACGCCGTTCTGATGCAGGTCTTTGATTGATCAAGCAAATCAATTCAAGAATAGCATCATCAATGAATATGCAAAAAGAATCTTGATATGGCAATCCTGACTTTGTATTTACTGAAGGAGGCTTCCAGGCAGCATCATCCTGATATTCTTGTTAGTGTCGCTTTGGGAGTAAGACTGGATGACAAACCTCGGTACAGGAGAATCCCAAGAACTCCAGCAACTTCCTGCAAGGCTCACCCTTCACACCAAATGAAACCATGAAACGCTTGTTACCTTGGGTGATAGGCTTGCTGCGGTCACTATGACGAAGTGCATTGGTGAGGTAGAGGCGTAGATTATCCAAGACAGTGATAGGCAAAGGTGCAGCTACACCTTCGAGACGATCCGGCTGAGACGCGAATGCCTCGTCTGCTCGCTTTTTGATGACATCTGGGTCTGTTAAAAGTTGGGTGTATTCCGGATTAAGAAGCGGTGATATGATTCGCAACGACACCACTGCCGAACATGAATGATGTAGGCATTGGTAGTGGAACGTTTCCGCTGTCTGCCCGGTCTCCATCACCTCCTCAGTTGTCCAGGGTCCCCTTTGGCGCCCTGACTTGTAGATTAAATGATGTATGTGACCCGATGGACCATTCCATGATGCACCCACACCATTTGTATAGTTGACAACCACCTGGAGATGACGGCGACACTTGGAGCATATTGCAGACACTTTAGACATCCCAAGTCTGCGGGGCTGATCTGCCTGAGCAAGGTGGGTCTGGTCTGTTTTTATCACATAGTTATGCTGACATGCTTCTGGTGAAATATACTCCTGGGGACCATCATGACGTTCTGGGTACACCGGAGGGACCTGTGAAAGTAGGTTGCGACCGTTGCTAGGAGGGTGGGCGGCATCGTACAACAGGATATCCTCAGCCAAACGCGGGGCAGTTTTGCCTATAGGAAGAAGATTATTAGTAACGTTTCGCTGAATATCTGAACTTCGCAGCTACATCGTCTTTTGCATACTAACCTGCGGTCTGTAGATACGCCATTAGGTAGGTTGTTTGACAGGTCACAGACTGTAATGAAAGCAGTAGAGTTGCTGTGAACTTTTGTCACAATTTTAGAAGATCCCAAGGGCAAATGACCCATGGGATCTAGTAGAGGGACTGTAAAGGTCGTAATCGCAATCCGTTGAGTGACGCGATTCTAGGTACAGCGGGGAGCCCACCGCACTGGGTATCAGTGGGCGGGAAGCTTAGGAGCAATGCTCTGGGAGCCTTGACGGAAATGAGAGATAAAAAATGGTTGATCACCTGTATAAACTGTAATCTTTGGTCAAAGAAATCGAAAAACAAGCATCAACAAAAAGAAACTTGATCTTGTTATATATATGCCTGGTGTGAACGAGCTCTATGTTTCGGCCAGTGGGCGGTCATAGATGCGGCCATATATGGCAGAACCAGCATGGCTGGCAAAATGGATTACTGAAGTAGGAAGGCGGTCTATACTAGCAATACGCATCCAAAATCCCATCTTGAACTTCCCGTCCAACCCGCAGCTCCATCCCTCTCAGCACACCATGGCGCACCACGAGGAGGAACACCACTACCACCCCCAGGATGCTATTGCAGCAGCCACTAAGGCTCTTGCCTTGACTGGTACAGTTGGTCTTTTTGGATCTGCTGTCCAGAACACCCTGGCCCGTCGCAATGTTGGATCACTTGGCATCTTCATGCGCACTGGAGGTACTATCGGTATCTTCGGTATGTATATCTCTTTGGGTCAAATGCCAATTAAATGCTAATTTCATTAATAAATCAGCTGCTATGGGTGGAACTTATGAATTCGTGAAGACCGCTTCGGCCAACCTTCGTGAAGTGAACGATACCTGGAACACCGCGCTGGGTGGCTTCTTCTCTGGTTCTATCCTTGGTCTGAGAGGTTGGTAATCGAAATTATCTAATCATGAATGTTATATTGATCGTTGAACAGCCCGTTCCTTCCCCGCCGTCCTCGGCTACGGAGTCGCTCTCTCCACCGTCCTTACCGCTTTCGAGTACACCAATGGTCTGTATGGATACCAGAAGGACACCACAGAAGATGAGTTCGAGCGCAGACAGAAGTTGCGGACGAACTACCAGACACCAGCTGGCCAGACCTTTGCCGAACTTGGCGAGGGACGTGGTATGTTGAGACTCTGATCCTATCAATTGGATTGATAAGTCATACAGAATTCGAATACTGACCATTGAATCCAGGTATTTACGGTCCTAACTACGAGGAGCGCCGCGCTGAGCGCATCAAGGAGGCATATGGCATTGAGGTTCCCACAGGGAAGGTACCTGCATCATAAAATTGTCTCCTTGCGTTCCTCTGCCATTTTCTGTTCTCCGGTCGCGTTGTGTAAATTATCCCCCTTTATCATGGTTGCCTCTCTAGCATGCCGGGCACGTCAATCGAATTCAATTTCTTGTGTTAACATGGGGTTTGGGTGACGTAGATGGTGGATGTATGCTTTAGACCACATGGCATTTACAATTGAGGATTTTACTCAGTATTACTTTCAGAAATCATCATGCCGACTAGTATGCAAGTTCTCTAGCAATTAGCCGCTCAATGGGACGAACAGGAGAAGTGGGATGTTCTGATGAACGTGGAGGTTGTCATACGGCGGGGGAGGGGATATTCAGACGGGCCAATGATGACGCGGGTATATCAAACAATTGCATTTCTAACTTCGAACACCCCCAGCATCTTCAGGTCAACTACATTCGTCTTATTTGCACGACATATATAGTGACCAAACAAAAGCTGTCTCAATGATATAGCCTCGGGAGTGGTCTCGGATCAATAATCCTGGGTTACAATGTATCCCAGGTGCCCGCAACCGAATGCAGATAAATCGGGACACCGATCGCCATGAGCGTGGTCGATCTTCATCTAAAGTACGGAGTACAGATTTCTATTATACAAATTTTACTTCGGCCCTACGGGTACGGTCTCCACCAGACTTTGGCAAATTCCCTATGCATGGCATCCTATGGAACAGCATCAGGGACAGATGTGATATCATCCCGATTGCCCCGAAGCGGTACGGGACGACGAAACAGCGACGTCGCAGTCGGGGATCATGATGATCGATCTAGCAATTATCGGAAGCACGCGGTGGGCTTCCCGTCACATGTGTTTAGGCAAGTGAGATCAGTGTTTTTTTTCCCCTTCGGATTTTCCTACGGGGTACATGAGCTTCTATATCTTCCGACGTCATGCATTCATCAAGCCGATCAGGGGGGAAGACATCAAAGTCCCCCTTTTTGGCCTCAGCCACAGATCTTGCGAATCATTTACACTAGACCCATCAGCCACGACAGGCAACCAGATTGATCAGAAACTTGACTATAATTGGAAGTATAATGAGAAAAAGCCCCCTATGTTTAATGAAACCCCCCCCCTTATCGACGCATCATGTACTCTCCACAGAAATTGGAGTTGACTACGGCCAAGACTTCCGAAAGTCCTCGACGTCAACCATCAAGATAGTAAAGGAATTAGCTTTATGAACCTTCCAAATGTATCCTATGGGCAGCCGGGGATCCCGGAGTTGAACTGGTTTTTGGGCTCGTCATATAACCCGATCGCACCCCTCTTCATCTCGTAGACGTCATTTAAAGCCCCCCATTCATATTTACTTCGCCCGTCCCCTTTTCTTTTGGGATAAATTCTTATGAACCTTGAAACCCATGAGAAAAACCGGGGACCTTGACAAACCTTACAAACTATTCGGGTCTAAGAAATCTAGATTCTACCAAAGAGAACTAGTTCTACTAGTCCTAATCCCCGTTCGCCTGGTAACCAAATCCACGACTTCCTGGAATTGATCGGCTTTTCCCTACTTTATCCCTCAGTTATTTTTCTTTATCTTTAGTCCCTGGATTGGTATTTTTTATCTATTCCGAACCTTTCAACCCTTACATCCCCGGATTCCCGTTCCTCTTTTCCACGTTCCCGTCATGGCTATGGCCGCGCGGCCACAGACGCCCGTGCAGGATGCGTACTCGATCCCGACTCATGATCCGGGTGTTTCGAGTCGCGGATACGGTCTACGCACCTCCTCTCGACCTAATTCCTACGCTGGCACTGGTTCCGCCTTCCACTACAACCACGGCACCCCCGAGCAGTCATCACAGATCCCCTATAACCCCCGGTTTAAAGAAGAACTCGACACCATTAGCCACCGCAGCTCCATCGCGCTGGATCGCCCGTCCGTCATTCAGCGGTCCGCCTCAACGGCCTCCCAGGCCCGTTCAGTTACCCCTTCTCGGCAAGGGACCTTGCGCAAAAAGGCATCCCTGAGCAAGAAGGGTAGCTTGCGACGCAATGGTAGTCGGCGATCCTTGGGCGCGGGGAGTGTGAAGAGTCTCAGCCTCGGCGACCACGAGAAGTACCCTGATGGAACGGAAGATGTAAATAGCGTTTTTATGGTTCCTATCCCAACGAGCGGCAACCCAACTGAGGTGTTATCTACACGTTTTCAAGGTAAGTGGGGAGTGGCGTGATTCGATCCTTGTGATTTTAGATCAGAACTGACGTGGGACGGCGTTTCTTAGCTTGGCGCAAGATCCTGAAAGACTTGATCCTATTCTTTAAAGAAGTACAGAAATCCTACGAGACCCGATCTAAGCTCTTCCTATCCGCCTCGAACATCATCAACAACCAGACTATCCCCTCTGCTTTCCTGCAGTCAGGTGGCCTCGCCGATGCGACGGAGATACTGCGCGATTTCCACCGCCAAGGTTATACAGAAGCCAACAAGGCTGTGGAGGTGGAGGTTGAAGTGATTAGCCAATTGACTGGTCTCCGAAGCGATCTACAGAAAAAGACAAAGGAGATCAAGAGCTTGTCCGGTGATTTCAAAAACACCGTTGACAAGGAGATTGACGGGACGCGCAAGGCCGTTCGCAACCTGCAAGAATCACTGGGCTTTGTCGATACCGACCCGTCTGCAACGGCAGGGAAAGGCGATCCGTTCCTGATGCGCCTGAATGTGGAGCGCCAGGTCGAAAAGCAGATCGAGGAGGAGAATTACTTGCACCGGGCATACCTGAACTTGGAGAACTCGGGCCGCGAGCTCGAGTCGATCGTGGTCAGCGAGATTCAGAAAGCTTACAACGCTTATGCCAGTATCCTCAAGCGCGAGGCGGATGAAGCCTATGATACCGTTGAAAAGCTCCGCGTGGGCCCGATCTCCATGCCCCAGGACCACGAGTGGAATGCATTTGTCGCCAATACTGACGAACTAGTCGATCCTCGGATCCCTCCGCGGAACGTAGAGTCCATCACCTACTCTGGTAAGGATCACCCTGCGGCGGCCGAAGTACGAGCTGGTATGCTGGAACGCAAGAGCAAGTACCTGAAGAGCTACACCCCGGGCTGGTATGTCTTGTCCCCGACTCACCTACACGAGTTCAAGTCAGCGGACCGGGTAGCGTGGCAGACTCCAGTCATGTCCCTTTACCTGCCTGAGCAGAAGTTGGGCTCGCATTCAAATGAAGATTCGAGCTCCCACAAGTTCATGCTCAAGGGCCGCCAGACTGGTGCCATGCACCGAGGCCACTCTTGGGTGTTCCGCGCAGAGTCTCACGAAACTATGATGTCATGGTATGAGGACATCGAGAACCTGATCAACAAGACCGGTGAGGCACGGGACGCCTTTGTCCGACATGCCTCCGTTCGGCGCCACGTGCGTAGCGTCAGCGGTATGTCGAACCACGACGTATTGGAGGATGATGAGGCCGACCAGACCCCTTACTCTGCCGAATCGGTGGTCTTAGCCCACGGACAACAAGAGCGACCCACGACGGCCACTCGACTAGCTGGCGGCACCTTTCCCAGCGATGTCCAGATCGACCGTAATATGCAGGAACCACTCTCCCCCTCCAGCGGGGCCAGCTCAGGCGGCCGGGACATGATTGCCGCCGCCGCGGTATACCCGGACCAACATGCCAAAGCCAGCAACTCGCAATTCTACGAGCAGAACGGTGCCGCCGATAGTCGGTCTCAACGCATGGCAAGCCAGAGCCCTGCAGACCAATCTCGGAACCGAATGAGCCGACATGATAGCTACTATGGTCAATGGATGGGGCCCGCTGCCATTGTTACCAAACAGAATCAACAACCCGAGTCCACATTTGATGATCGGGAGATCCGATCTGACGGGGACCATGCCTCGGTAGCTGCGATGTCTGGCGTCATTGGCGTCGAGCGCCGTGAGGCCTCAGCTCCTCCCAATGTTGCTCGTCGTGAGAGCGTGTCCACCGCACCGACCAACACCAACCAAACCGATTACACCAATAACACCCTGGCCACCTCCGTTGATGAGGCTCCGGTGTCTGGCGATGTCGGCATTGTCGGCACTGTTCCCCTCGAGGATGGTTTCACCAACAAAGGCACTGACCTGTACCGTCCCAAGCAGGAAAGAATGGATAGCGTCATGGCCCTTGACATGAAAATTCCCGGCCGCTACCCTCCGACCAATGTGGCTGCATGAGTGATTCCAACATTTCCATTTTGCGCATTTCTTACCCACCAACTTTTTTATGTTTGACATTGGAGTCTTGTCATTTTTCCCTTGATGTATGGTCCTTGGTTTTCATGGATCTATTTCCTGTATTTTGTCCGTTGTACATGTACCGACATATCTGGAATTCCCCCGACACTTCTTAGCTTGCTTTTAGGTGTTTTGATCCATTCGTTCTGGCCCGCTCACCGGCCCGTAGGCGTTCATTCCGGGTGAGGCGCAATGTGGATTACCCTTCCCTTCTTTTTGGCAGTATCATTTTCCCACTCTTTTGATATCCTGGGTGTTGGGCACCCGCGCGTTCGTTTAGGACATTGGAGTAGAGATGTGAATGAATATGTGATGTTATTTTGGACTACTAATGTACCTCGGAATCTATACCTCGGAATTTATCTATTCATGTGTTAATTTAAAGAGGGGAGAGAGGGCGTGGCAATTGAGTAATGGAAATACACCAATACACCAGTCACAATCACAAGTCACAGTCACGCATGGTGACACCTAGGCCGGACTGTGATAGGAAGGTCGGGTTCGCAATGGTGGGAACCTTCCATTGCATTAGACATGATTAGACGGGTATTTTATGTATAGCAATTCCAAGTTCGCATGGAATGCTTCATCAAGGCCAAGTTGGCCTTGAATCAAGGCATTACCAGCCATCAAGATCAAGTTATAGGTTCCCTGATGTTTGTAGAACGATAGGGCGGTGGGGCTCGGTGTTTTCGAGTACATCAAAGGGTAAACAACCTCAAAACTTTCCCCTTCCCGAGCTCTTTTCTCATCTTCTCTCCCCGACTCTCTCTTTTCTCCTGACTTGTACAACTTGAACTTCGACAACCACAACGTTTTCCAATCATGGGTGTGTTATTCCATTTATATTTCCCTTGCCCTCCCCTCCCAGCCCCCTCCAGCAGCCCGTTAGCATCCCATGTTTTCTACGTGTTTCTCCCCCTCCCCTGCGTATCTTGTAATACTCGATACCTTGCCCCAATTACTCCTCATATCCCCTTGGTACATTCTCACCCTAGGCCATTCCCCCTCCCATCATCCAATCATCGTCCTTCTCACCCCCCAAAGTTGAACCTTGACGCCTGATCCTTCTTTTTCGTTCTTTTCCCCCGCTTTCCTCTTTCCCTCTTCCATATTTCCCCCTTATATATTCTTATTCTTGTTGGCTAACTCGTCCAGCCGACGTCTATCGACCATATCAAGTAAGTTTCCATTTGATTTCTTTGGGAATTCTCTCTTTTCTATATCGTATTGTACTTTTCTATCTTCCCTTATCCATTCAAATATGGAATGCGGTTCCCGTTCGCTCTTGAAGCTATCACGGGAATGGTCAATGCGGGGACGGAAGCTTCTATGGAGCGGGATCTTTCATCCAAGAGCTGTGGATGTAAGGAGAGGTGGGATAATAACACAACCCCAAAAAAGCTCAAGCATCATGCATTGGATACTATCCCAAACAATCATCAAAATGCGCTGAGCAAACATGGGGATGCTGTGTGTCCCAAGCCTCTCCCGCGTACCCCCGGGTGGTCCTCGCTCGTTGTCTCAGCCTCCTAGTCACCTGACCCCACCTCCTCCCGAACTTCCTTCTATCTCCACCTACAATCAGACTCCCGCATCCTCTTATTTTTCTCCATTTTCTTTCTTTCATCTTTCTATTTTGAATTTCTGCGCGTCGTCGCAAATCTCCATTCGAGATGTCCGAATACCCTGATTACCATGATCCTGACAGAATGCAGCGTGAGAGGTCTCGTTCGCCCCGTCGTCGTTCTTCTCGCAGTCCCCGACCTCGCCGTCGCTCGTACACTCCTCGCAGCCGCTCACGCAGCCGTGACGATTATCGCCGCAGTGATCGCCGTTCGCGATCTCCTTTGAGTGCAGCTGGTGCAGCTGGATCGGGTTCCCCCTACGGTGGACGCAGTGGTTACGCGCCGGGCCGAACATTCGACGACCGCTCTGTCGACCGCTCAGTCAACAAAGAAAATATGATGCAATCCGTGCGCGACTCGTCCCAGCAAGATCGCCGGGTCTATGTGGGCAATTTGTCATACGAAGTCAAGTGGCATCACCTCAAAGATTTTATGAGACAGGGTGAGCATGGATCCAATGCGGAGGTGTACTGTTCAAGCAAAAGAAAACTGACCGATGGTTTGGTGGTGATATAGCTGGAGAGGTTCTCTTTGCCGATGTGTTACTTCTTCCGAATGGAATGTCGAAGGTGGGCGCCAATACGTAGAGTGGCTGGATCCCTTTCTACTCCCTGATTTTTCGTGGTTTCTGGTTTCCTTGCATGGACTGTTGGGTTGACGGGCTGGGCCTGGCCGTCCGGATATTGTAGGGATGCGGGTGAGTTTCAACGCCTTGATCACCTGCAGAATATTGAGCTAATGCGCCTTAGGATTGTGGAATACGCAACGAGAGAACAAGCACAAAATGCAGTCAACTCGCTCAGCAATCAAAACTTGATGGGTCGTCTTGTTTATGTCCGCGAGGTATGCCATTGAAGGTTCAAGCTGAGGGGTCCCATGCTAATTTATTTAACAGGATCGTGAAGCCGAGCCCCGTTTCGTTGGTGCCCCCCCGCGCGGCGATTTCGGTGGTGGTGGCCGCGGTGGCTTCGGTGGTGGATTTGGCGGCCATGGTGGGCCTCCTGGTGGAGGTGTTCCTGGTCGTCAGCTTTATGTGTCGAACGTTTGTTATCCTCGTCCCCCGCGATACTAATTTTGGTGAGCCAGGCCGTTAACGCATCGTTGTAGCTTCCCTACACTATAGGATGGCAAGACTTGAAGGACCTGTTCCGCCAAGCGGGTAAGTTCTAGCTGCATGCCATCTTCGGCATTTTCCTTTTCCTTGTTGAATGCTTGGTGAAATTGACTTAAACTTCCTTGTTTTTAGCTCAGCAGGGTACTGTTATTCGTGCTGATGTCCACACCGACCCCACCGGTCGCCCCAAGGGTTCAGGTATTGTTGCTTTCGAGTCCCCTGATGATGCGCGCAATGCCATTGCCCAATTCAACGGATACGAGTGGCAGGGCCGCCCCTTGGAAGTGCGTGAGGATCGATTCGCTGGCCCCGGCCCCGGATTCGGCGGTCGTGGTGGCTTCGGCGGTGGCCGTGGCGGATTTGGTGGCCCTGGAGGTCCCGGCTTCGGCCGTGGAGGCTTCGGCGGCCGTGGTGGCTACGGTGGAGGCTTCGGTGGCCGTGGTGGTTTTGGCGGCCCCCCTGGTGGTGCCCCTGGCTTCGGTGGTGGTTTTGAACACCACCAGCAGCCCGTTGCTTCGGTCCCTCCCAATCCATTCACTGATTTCGCTACCTCCGGAGGCGAGAAGAGTGCAATTATCTACGTGCGCAACGTAAGTACAGAGTTGAGGCCGAGTCTATGAGTCTAGGGCTGACATAATGGTAGCTTCCGTGGTCTACTTGCAACGATGACCTGATCGACCTATTCTCGACTATCGGCAAAGTTGAGCGTGCTGAGATTCAGTACGAGCCTAACGGTCGCTCTCGTGGCACTGGTGTCGTTGAGTTTGATACTCCCGACACTGCCGACACTGCCATCTGTATGTGACAACGTTTATTCCTACTCGGTGCGTTGTATGCTAATATCTGTATAGCCAAGTTCACTGGTTACCAGTACGGTGGTCGTCCCCTGGGCATCACGTTCGTTAAATACCTGAACGCTGGACCTGGCCCGGAGATGATGGTGGAGGATGCGGAGCCCACATCGGGCATCACGCAGGATCAGATCATGTAATATATGGATATTTTTATCGTGACGTGATCTGTGTTCTTTTAGGGGAGATTTTCATGGGTTCTCTTTTTCTTTTTTGCCTTTCGATGTCGCTTCTTTTCTCCAATGATTCCCTATTCCCATGTTGTTGAACTCAGTTTCGATCTGTATTATGGAAAACGTCTGTGCTCCGGCACGTGCAGATCCCGATCCACCGAACAAAGCAACTTTACTTGAACTCCTCCCGCGTAGTCTAAACTTAACTTCTCCAACCTATCGCAACATGGCTTCAATCACCCGCTTCTGCCCCCGAAGGGTCCTGACTACTTCCATTAAACACACCCCTCAATCCCTCCGCCCACTCACAACCGCATCTGTCCGCGCAACCCGACCAACAACCACACAACCAAGCCAGCACCGCTCACTACCTCGCAAATACCAATCCCACCAGCCAAGAAGGCCCTACCACTCAACCCTCCACCCCGCCCTCCCAGTCCACGAATACACCAACAGCCAAATCGCCATCCTCGAGGCAAGCCTCGCCCACGCCCCAGTCCACGGATTCACCCACACATCTCTCCTCCTCGGTGCCCGCGACGCAGGCTTTCTCGACGTGAGCGTCCAGCTCCTCCCCCACGAAGAATACGACCTCATCCTCTTCTGGCTAGCCAGTCGGCGCGGACTCCTCCGCGCAGCGGTCGAGAGCGGAGACATCCAATTCACCGCGGGGCAAGATGTCCAATCCAAGATCAAAACTCTTATCCTAGAGAGACTGAAGATGAACGAGGAAATCCGAGCACAGTGGCAAGATGTAAGTTTGGCTCCGCTCAATTGCTCTGGCTTGGCCGATTGAACTGCGTTTGCGATGCGATGCGACATTTACTAACGGAACTTAAAGGCCCTTGCTCAAATGTCTCTCCTCGGAAATATTCCTCTCGCTCTTACGGAGTTACACGCTCTCTCAAACGATATCCTTAACCTGGCTGGTGATACCTCTGTCGATGCGAGCTGGTATACGCGCCGTGCGGCTGTGGCTGCTGTCTATGCTAGTGCGGAAGTGGTGATGACTCGCGACACAACACTGGATATGAGTGAGACGGAGAGATTTATTGAGCGCCGGTTTGAGGATAGGGATTATTTGGCGAAGAAGGTTGAGGTGCTGGGGCAGGGTGTGTCGTTTTTGGGAAATACGGCTCTTGGAGTAGTTCGGAGTTATGGGTTGAAGATCTGAGATATCTTGAATACCCTGGCGCATCGACTGATCTGTGAAATGATTTATATTTAATTGGTCAATGGCAGGTCTGGTCATTTGTATAGGCGACTTCCCTTCTACCCTTTGCGGATTGTACTTTTATTTCATATTTCTTAGCATTTTTTTTATATACTACGGAATGGCTGATACTTTGCATTCTATTGCACAAGACCGGCTCACTATGTTGATTGGAAAGGTTTTATGTCATGCCTCGAATCTAATCGCTCTCAATGGTGGAATGTCAAGATATCATTTCAAAAGCAATTGCCACCAAATGCAGATCACATCCATACTCACAACCCCAATACCCAAATAGGTACTATAGGTATATGTTGTGAGTTGGGTCCAGCTAGCTACCTAGATAGTAGCGTAGAATATAGCAAACCCTGTCTAATGCAAAGAAACATTCTGCAGCGCCTCTTCTACACTCACAGGCGCAGCAGACCCGTTACTCCCGGCTTCTTGCCCATCGCCAGCTCGCAAGTCAAGTTCGGCAGTGGGGGAAGTGGGAGAAACAAGTAAAGTTGGTGATGTGGGTGATGTTGGGGAGAAGGGGTCACGGTCATCATTACTATTACCAGACAGCACAGGGTAGATATGGTCATGTAATTCTGGCTCTGTCTCTGGTTCTGGATTCGTAGTGAGGGACAGGGTAGTCTCCGCGATGATGCCGGCTTCCTCATCGTCCTTAGGTAGACTACCGCTGCTAGTCCCACTTTCGACAGAGTCGGTGGCCATATGGGGTTTTCCACGGCCCCAGCGGCGCGTTTTTGGCGGCAGAGGCTTTGCGCCGTGTTTGCCAGTTGCTATGGGCACAGGGGAAAGAGTGGGTACTGCTGTCCCAGGGGGTGGAGAAGGACGGTGATGACTAGAAGATGGAGTAGTGGTTGTGGAGCGACGGGGTGGAGGAAGAGCCGGGGGTGGGTTTGATGCGGATCGACGTCCGTGGGCAGGGAGTCCTGGGGGGATGAGATGGGAGGTTGTGGTGGAGTTTCGGCGGTCAAGTTGAGTGCCAGTGTGGGAGGGTGTGGCTGGGGCAGTGTAGGTGGTAGGACTGACCTCCACGCCTTCAGGAATTGTAGAGTTGCTGTTGCGTTCACTGCTTGTATCGACCGAGTGCTGCTGGTCATCCTCGTCCATCGCAAGGCGACGGCCTCGCCAGCGACGAGATTTGGGCGGTTCGGGCTTGACTTTTGGCGGTCGAATGCCTAGTCCGTCTTTGCGGCTGGGCGTGATGACACCCGGCTTCTCGTGCAGAGTGGCCACGGCTTGCACGCTCAGAGAGGAAGAGGAGGCCGGCTCGAGATTCATGCCCAGTCGTGCGACTGCGCTGAGCTTTCGACGATACTCTGGGGCCTCGGATGAGCCGCGGGAGTCCATTCTTGTTGGTGATGCGGCTCCTGGTGAGTCGGGGATGGTGCTAGCACGGGATAGTGAACGGGTCATATCAAGTGGATCGCCTATATCAATCGGCGACTCCTGCGGAGCGGTGTCTTCCAGAACGGTGTCAATACTAGCGGTCACTAGTGTCTTAATGGGGGCCTCTTGCGCAATATTAATGTCGGGTTCAGCATTGCGCAGCCACTCTACTGTCGCACAGCGAGCAACAAGTCGCCGAGTAGTCTCGTCAACTTCCTCAAAGTGAAGAATCTTTGCCTCCTCGGTATCATTGCCATAAGAAACTTGCCCTCGTACAAGAAGGCTGAGCACCTTCCGAAGCTCATTCCGCTTGTAGTGGGGTGGTTGTCTTAGCTGAGTATGCGCTAGAAGCGGATATAACACGCGCAAATAGGTATGCCGGAGCGGTGCTGCCTCCTCAGGAAGATCGAGCAAATTTCGGATCAAAATATCTACCAGGACATGAAGATCATTGGTGAAAAAGTACTCGTAAGTGCTGGGGGTTGTGAAAATCAGATAAAGCAGCTTCAATGTCAGCAACTGCAGCGATGTTTCGGCTGGTCTCTTGTTAGCATTTGAATGCAAACATGAAGTTGAGAAACATACCTTCGCGGTTAATGAGCAGGATGATGTTCTCCCCAAAAGTCTTGTATAAACCACCATACACCGACAGAACCTTTATGACCTTGTTGGTCAACTTGGTTGACGAAGACGGTCCATCCACTGGATCATGGGCCGAGATCATAAACTGTTCATTTAAAACGAGCTGTGAAGTTGATTAGTTTTTAGTCTCCGAATACAATTCCATCTTGACTTACTAAGACTCGAATAACAGGATAATGATATGGATCTGCGACATCATATGATAAATCCTCGATAATATCAAAAAGACAACGGATAAAGTCATCATCCACGAGAACTATACCCAAAAAAAACGACATGATTAGCCCGACTGACATCAATGGGTAGTGCAATTCAGAAACATACCCAAGTCCTCGATTCTGACCCGCTGAACTCTTGACATCTCATATAACAGATCCATCAAAAGTCGGTGGAGACCCTCCTCACCGTCCATATCCCCTCGCCTTCGCGCCTGAATAAGCTCCAACAGTCTCGCAAAAACGCCCTCCTCATTCATCATATGCAGCGACGTCTCATTCTGCCGACCGTCAAAGAGGAGAAACGACGTAATCAAGTGTAGGATATCCGGGTCGTCTTCCTGTGAATAGAAAGCGAAATAATCAGCGCACTGGTTTGGAACAAGGATTCACAATGATATGAATGGGGCATATACCTGCAAAAGACCGTAGATGATTTGTCGACGAACATAATCACCATTTTGGCCAAAGATACTCGACGCATATAGTTTATACGAGCATTGCGAGATCTCCCACTCTGATTGTAAAAATTCATCTGCCTCCCATAAAACACAGCGTCAGTCCAAAGCCGAAACGCTTCAATATACACATATGCTGGTGGAGTGCTGGTGGTGTCGCAACGTGACAGGCGACTTGGAGGGAAAGAAAGGCACCTTTGTACTGCGTCGTAAAGCCCAAATATGCTCTCAAAACATCATCGATAAGGTCTTCAGAGTTGGCAGGTTTGGAAACGATCGCTTCGAGTTCTGTTCATCGTTGATTGGGGGATCAATATGGTCACATGAGATTGGATGATCATCAAGTTTGATTGGGGAGGGGAAGGAAAACACTCATTACAGTGCACGATCGCCCTTTTTTGCTTTTTGTCTGGGGTAGTATGAACTTACCATTCCAGAACTGTTCGGGCTCCGAGACCTCTTGCTCCATTTCCCGAGCTCGATCTGCGTCTTCGCGTTAAGAGAGCACTCATCGCGGGCCTCTTTAGGAGGTTGGTTGGAGAAGGCGGGGCGCGACTACGGAGTACGTACCTTGGCTTTCTTCTTTGGGGATTATCCCTCGCCGCTTTTGCAAGTCAACCATTACATAAGCCATATGGTGTGCAAGCAGTAACAAGTAGGAATCAGGATGAATGATTACAGAGATGCGACTTGAAAACAATATGTGCAATTTTGGTATCTAGTATAATCACGTCGGACGCAGGAAGGGATGAGCTTCCGTATTGAGAACATACTTATCAAGGTCCACCACACTCTCATCACTGAATAGCAGAAAGAAATACTTTAAGGTTTCTGCTAGCCAAAAAGATTCCATGGCATCTTTCTGTACAGGCTTCGAGGACAACACGTCCGCGATAGCGGCGTTGGCCAATTCCGTCCGAGTGTACTTCGAGATAGCCTCGAACATCTTCCAGCCCTTGCGGCGCCAGATATCGTCACCCGTGAGCCGGTACATTATAAAGACGGACTCAATAGCCTCGGGTCGAAGGTAGTAATCTGGCGAGGGAATGTTTACCATTCCCGCTGGGAGCTGGTATTTACCATCTGTTTGGGATAGGAGGCCTGACTGTGAGGCACGAGGGGCATCTCGATTCTCGAGATCACTAGCTCCACCTGTGGGGGTTGGGGTTGGGATAGCGGATGGTCTTGTGTCTCTGCCAACGGCGAATGTATCTCGCTTGTAAGGCACCGGGTCCCTATCGTGAGGGTTTAATGAGCCCGGCATGGGTAGAGGAATGGCCATTTTCCCTTCGTTGGTTGCGTCCGACTTGGAGTCGGAGGAAATTTTGACGCGCTGTCCATATGTGCTCTCTCCACTGCGGAACTGGGCCTCGGCGGCGGAGTCGTGAACAGGGCCGTAGCGCTTGACCTCCTCATCGTAGCGCGTCTGATCCCAATCGCAGGATCGTCCCTTGTCGCAAGGTACCAAGCGGAATCGCTCGGGCATGATCCCGGTGGTCGTGGACTCGTACGCCCACACGCAGCCGTCGGTCAGCTTGGCGGCGAGGTCCATATCTCCGTCAATGCCAAAAGCCTTTGCTCCAATGGCGACCATGCCTCCAACGAAGCAGGTCAGATGATGAGTCTCATAAATCAATGTAGATGGAATATCCGTGGTTTTCTTCGTGAGGTCCAGGCTGGACGTTGATGCCATGAAACGTATGTCACGTTCACCCTTAACCATAGGTGTGAAGAGTAAGTTTTTGCGGGCGGCATCGATGGCCTTGGTGTACATTTTCTTGTATTGATCTGCGCCCCCCAGAAGCTATGAAATTATTAGAAGTGACGGTATGAAAGGGGATCAAAAGACATACCAGGTACTCCTTCGGCAGATACTCATAGGTCGAGTCCGCCATTCCTCCCATGGTGTACTTGTTATCACGGTACGCCGTAGGCATCAGCAATCCTCCATCGCACTTGTCACCTTCCATCGCCTCAGTATCCAGAGTGCTAGAGCTGGAACTCTGGTGGGCCGGCTCTGCCTGTGAAAAGTCGTCTAAGATATCGCGATGCGAGACTAAGTTGAGGTAGCTATTCAGATCAGTTGGCGCGGCATAATGCTTGTGAGCCACAGTCGTCGTTGTGCTATTCTGTGTCTCTGTCGGTGTTTCCACATAATACAAAGGATCCTCGGAGCGAGCTTCTTCTTTTTGACCGCGATCGTCTTGTTGGGCCATGTACTTGGGACAGCCTTGAGCATTAACTTTCATAGGCCACAGACCTGGGATAGAGGTTTGGTCTTGCAGTTTCTCAAGCTCGTTTGTGATCCGTGCAATGGCATCGTAGTATTTGTCTTCCTTGGTGAGCTGAGATAGTCTCGTAAATTCCAAAGACAGCGATCCAATTTCGGCCAGTCCAGCCTTGGATGATGCCCTGTGAGGTCGAACAACATGGTCCCTGGAAATATTTAGTCCCGGCATCTTAAACAAACGTGACACAAATTATAACTCACGGCGTCCAACGGTAGTAGAGCACAGGCATGCGGTTTGGGGTATCAAAAGCACCGATTAGGATCTCAGCAAGTTCCTCGGCCTTTTCCAAGAGCACAGAGTATCGCTGTGCAGAGATGTCGTAGGCTCCAATCAGGCCTCCCTATACGACGTTATTAGCTATCCCAGAGGTGTTTCCTACAGAGCTCGGATTTAGCTTACCAGGTACCGAATAACAGTCTCAAACATAGGTATATCCTCCCTGGCCGATGTCATGAAATCAATCTTTTTAATCGCATCGACTGCTTCCGAGAAATCCTCCTTCAGGTCCATTATCCACAGGGTATCCAGTGAATCGACCAACGTTGCGCCCCACCCATTAAATGGGTTCTCAAATGCCGCCGAGAGAGGCTTAACCTCATCATGGCCCATTGCAATCTTCTTGTATCCCTCCCACGCATGTTTGAACTCCGCTTTAATTGTGCTCAGTTGCTGCAACCTTTCTTGCTTATCAGTGGCTGTCTCATCCTTGAACTTGGCCTGCAGCTTTCGCATGGAAGTCGCGTATGTTTTCGGTAGCTTGATAATTTCGTCCGATGAAACGGGGAATCGGTCGGGGAATTTCTTCCATCGCGTGGTTGGTGCTCCAGGCTCCGCGTGCTTGATGGGTATTCTGCCCGAGCCGCCATGATCGATCTCCTCCACAAGATCCATTGAGCCGGACCCAGCAGAGCTCGCATCCGAGTTCACAGGCGGGCGCTTCTGGCCACTGGATCCACCACTGGGTTTGGAGTCGGTATTCTTCAAGCCCTCCGTACCCTTCTCCGGGACCTTGTCCGGTGCATTGTTATACGAATCCGCCCCTGAAGACGAAGACGATGTCTTGGTCTCCCCCTTTGATGGAGCTTTGGAAATGCTTGGTGGATTGACGTTCTCAAGGGGTCTGGATCCGAACGAGTCATATTCGGGCTTCGCAGGCGCGAACCTGTTGCTTGGTTCTTCCAGAACTGGCGCGCCGGGGATAGGCTTCACATCCGGCTTAGACTGAGACTTTGGATATGCTGCATCGGGGCGATAGATCTGAGGAGTCTCGATGACTGTGTCGGTCCAATCACGCCCACGCGACCGGGCAAAATGGAGCACCGCGAGGAGGAAGATCGCAGCGACAATGATGTAGCGACGAGCGCCGCGAAACATGACGGGCCCGTGGTTCAGGCGCGGTTAAAAATGTAGAAAGGAAATGGAAAAGGAACAGGAATAACGGAGAGATGATTAAAGTTCAAAGACCTTTACTCCGTACCCTTGGCTCCCCTTGGCCCTGCATCACGAGACTAGAACAATGCGGAGCGGACGATCCACATGTGATGTGTGTTGCGCGATAGTAACGTTAATATTATTGGCTTGATTTTTATGGATATAGATCTAGTTCCTGAACTTATACTTAGTCTAGACTAGACTGAGAATACATGAATTTCTATTTTTAAATATGCGCCTTCATTATTTGGAAGTTTTTGATGTGAAAGAAAAGAGAAACACCATAAACACCTACCGGTAAAAAGGGGCAAAAAATCAGTCACTGAGTTTCTAGCCAAGCCGACCTTACCAACAGTCGGTCTCGGGCACAAACTGGATTAGGAGGATGAGGGGGTGTAAGCCACAAGCCACCAAGGGTTCAAACGCAGGGGGATCCAATCAGGTTAGACCTTCACTCGGACTATTAACACATTGTCGAATCGAGTCTAGATTGCGGTTTGTTTTGATCAGCAAGGGTCCGACGATGTGGGGTTTATGCCCAATTCGTTTCCGTACCGGTCCGCCGCTCTGATAGATTAACCAGTTAATGATATGAGGGAAATGCCAAGGAAAGCGCCAAGAACGGGGCTAAAGCACAGCGTGGCGGATTCCTGACGAATGGATCAACAATTTACTAAGCTCTCTTTTCTACACAGCCATGACTGCTATCTTCTCATATCGTGACCTTCTTTTTTTCCCAAACATGCTCCCAAGAAGTACGCTCGTAATTAGTGGACGGGGAAATGTTGGATCTCAAAGTTACCAACTTGAGTGAGAGAGAACCCAGAGTTCCCTTGGTAGTGTTAAGAAATGATTTGAAAGACTCAAATCGAAATTGAAACCAGTGGAGATGAAGCTCCTTTAGTCGGGTGAACCTGATGCTCTGAGAGAGCTCTGAAAAGTAACATTCTCCCATATCGCGTGGACCCGAATACCATTGTGAGAAAACAAGCATTTCCAGTCTGGGTGCAACGGAAATCAAAAGATCAATGTAGGTGTTTGAAGTCGGAGTACAATCTAGGTCGTCCTCGTCATAACAAATGCACATGTGAAGATGTTCCAGGACTCCAAGCTTGAGAAGAAGATAATCGCATTGCTCTTGCGTGAGAGGAAAATTAGGAGAAGTCGAGCCGCAGAAGTTGGCACCGCTTGTGTTCAAGGCTCTTATCTTCTGGTTGGATTCATCAAGACCTTGTAAACCCCTTGATAAGGCCAGAGAATTGACCTTGGCTACCTCGTGCCATTGGAGAAAACTTCAGCCTGAGTGGTGATACACATATTCAACTGGATCTCTCGATTTCTGCAACCCTAGATATCGGAATTCCGTTTGCCGTAAATCAAGTAAAAAGTCTGTCGCGTAATGCTTCAATCCGACGGACTCAAGGTTTGTGAATGAAGCGAAGCATGTGTGAAGCCTAGAACCAAATGTGTTTGATTCAAGAAGAGCCAAATTATCGGCTTCTATAGCTTGATATATTGCATAACGAGCAAGTAGCACATCATCATTCTCCCTGAGACGACTCAATGGCCTTGAATATTGAGATCGTTCAAACTCGACAAGGCTCCGTCCGTGGCGACCTTCGAAGACGGTCGGAATCATTTATAACTGTCGGACTCGTACTCGGACGGTTTCATTTTTAGCCAGATCTTCTAGTTGTCGAATGCCTTCACTAGTGGCAATGAAGCAAATTCTTTTGAAATAGCGATCTGCGAATGCATCCAAAGATTTTGGGTAAAGGGAGCGACAAGATAATTTGAATCCGGCCCACTCCGGTTGCTCTAGATAGCTGCAAGTTTTATTCACGAGTTCGATTGGCAGACTTGTGAGGGACATTTTGGTGAGACTTTTCGAGCGATCGCATGGTCAAATCGTCGCGGTGATTCGCGGCTACTTAAATAATACCTTTCGGGGCTGCGAGGGCCCAAGGCGTTTACTCCCTGACCCACCGAACGCGTGCGTCTGGTTCAGGGAATTGATGGCCTCTGGTGGGGGCATGGAAAATACGTGGTTGTACAGCAATATTCGAAATTGGCTTCCATGCTGTACACAGAGAAATTATCTCAACCCCCACCGCTAAGACTATGATAAAACCGTCTAGGCCGAACTCGGCTAGGCTACAAATCATCCTGAATGTATGCGATTGTTGAGATGTGAAATTGTAATTTTTCGCATTTATTGTAGTGTTCTGGGGTGGGCCACTCGGTGGTATGGGCCATTGGCTGGTGAAATACGTTAGTATAAATACATTAGTATAAAACCATCAATCAATGTAGACTCCAGATCATGTGCATTTGCTAATAGTTGATTCCAGTCACTGTATCATGAAAACTCTGCGTCCCCACTTTCAATAATTGTGTCTTTCATCTTTTCCTACCTTGCTCTCCAACACTTGAATCCCGTAATGCTGTTAACAGGATGGATTTAGAGTTTCAACCATCTGGACGACTGCTCGGGGGCTACCCCCAGAGATCTGGCACTGCATCTTAGATATGGTAAGTCCCCCAGAACAGCACAGACTCAATGATTAATTTGAACTCACGTTAAAACATAGCTGGATCGTGCCGATCACTCTTCTCTCAAAGCTGTTGTGCTTTGCAGCTCTGATATGCACAAAATGGCCGCCTCAATACTCTTCCAGACTCTCTATCGAGAGTGCGATGGATCTGCATTCGACCTTTTTTGGGAACAACGCATTCGTCCTACTCGTCTCTGCGCGTACGTGTAAACCATTATCGTGGTACGCCCCAATGATCGATTCCAGGGCTTTAGCTGGATTCACTTCTCTCGTGCTTTTCTTGAATTTCTATACCACTTATTCAAGGCGGCTAAGAATCTTCAAGATATTTGGTAAGCTTCACAAGTGCTTTTCTACCGTTGGGGGCTAGTGCTGATATACTCTAGCTGGTGGCATGAGAAATATATGCCTGGAGAAATTCTGTACCAGCTTTATCAATACTGTCCTCAGGCAAGTGTTCATATCGCTAGCTCCAAAATCGCACTATGTGAGAGATACAACCAAAGTAATACGTCATCACCCCAGCTCTCTTGTGTTCGTTCAATAGAAGCAGAATGGTGCCTTGGGGAGTATGACGGGCCTATCAAGGCCAGTGCAAAAGCACACTATCCAGCTCAGTTGAAAGATATCATATGTCGATGTCAGAACCTCGAAAGTCTCGTATTGATTGGCAAAGGGAGATATAGACCGCGTCCAAGTGCCATATCTTCCAACCTGGATAGGAAGGAAGATGAAGCCAGACTCAATGTGAGGGGGCTGATCACGTTGGAAGAAGGTGATATTCTTCCGCGAGTCAAAAGCCTAAAATTTCGAAGGATGAGACTTGGTCCCAAACAGAGCATATTATGGGCCACACAGCTACGATGGCAAAACATCAAATACTTGTCTTTGATCGAGATCGAGTGGGTTCACTTACTGCCAAACATCACTACTAAGGGCTATTTTCATTCTCTTGAAGCTATAGAGATGAGCATCTCGAATCTGGGTTTTCTAGACAGATACAACCGCTCTGTCTACATCAAACACATAAGCCAGCTCCACGCCTTTCTGAAGGAGCTCCCGCCTTTGAAAATGTGTATTGGGTATGGCTTTCCACAGGACACTCTTGCGGTATTGGCGAAGTATCACTCCGAATCCCTTCATCACCTACGATTTCGATGTAAGTCAATTCCAGTCATACGGGGATAACTTCACGGGAGCAAATTCTCTTTCACGCCAGCATCCACAATATCGATAATTTATTCCACCAGTTCCCCAATCTCCACTCCCTTGGCCTTAATGTTGACTGGACATCCGACGAGAAAGTAGTGAGTCTCCTATCCCTTACGAAGACTTGCTACATATGAAATCTTTAACATCAATATAGCCATATGATCTTCTTGCTAACATCGTTCGAAAACATCGTATTCAGCATTTAGAAATCAACTTACCACACCTCTGTCGTTATGATTCTAAGTCCTGGCCCTACCCCAACGTCGACGAAAACACTTGCCAGGCCCTTGTCCAGTCCCTCGACAAGATCTCAGTAAACCTTCTCTCACTACACGTCATCATTGGCGACTGGTTTCCTTTCAAGCTATAATCAATTTTGCCATGGGTTCCCGAAGCATACCTAATTGGGGAACGTAACTATATGGGTTCCATGCGTTTCAGCAAAATTCGGCAGTTTATGCAGGGTGGAAGATTGATGCGCGAATGTGATTTTGTTTCACGGGTCCCATTGCACCTTAGGAAGGGGTGTTGGCCGAATGATTTGCGACAGGATACAGAAAGCAGAATTAGTGACTTGTTTGGTGGGAAGATGCTAAGATATCCACTTGCAAGCTCTTATTGAATGCTTTTCCCGGACCAGGGCAAAGGTGCAATAATTCTCACCATTGGCATATTTGCTTGAGATAGGACATATACTCATCATTTTGAGAGGATGCGGCCATAGGCCACTTAAATACTACCACCCAAATAGACGACAGCGGGTGGACAGTTGGATACGCTTGGGACGACATCCACCTATCACGGTGTGGAGTTTGTGCCCGTTCGGTTCCGTACCCGTGTGTGGCTGCTTGGCTCTCAACCCTACTGGAAACGAGGGAAATGCCAAGGAATAACGCCGAGATGGTGCATTGAAGTGCGGAGTTGGCAGATTCCGTTGGCGGATTCCTGAAGAATGATCACTTATGGGCCGATAAACCCGATAGTCTATGGAAGTCTAACCTTATACGGCACGGGCATGTCCAAAATTGGTTGCAATAATCATCAATTCTACATCGCTAAGATAACGCCAAAGGATAATCATCAATATATGGTTGGCTCTCATGAAAATCCCTTCAAGGTACTCTATATTCCAACCGTCGTCCGTCGACCATCCGTATGGGCCTTCTGGAACTGCTGGATGAGGCCTAGTACACCGGCTCCTCCGGCGATAGCATCTAGATTCTCTTCGTTCCCTTCAGCTTCGTCCTCATTTGCTAGCGGGTTCATTCGCCATGAATCTGCTAGGTCACCGTCGCTCGTGCCAACCCCGCCACTTGATGTACCAGTGGGGCCCGGGGCATGGGTCTGCAGTGGCGACTCATCATCTTCAGCGGTATCAGACATGGGAAGCTGCGAGCGAGCAAGTCGGGAACGGGGGTAGGGGGCGGCCCGTCCTGCGGGGCGATATCCCGAAGTGGATGGCTGATTATGCGGGTCCAGCAGCATGGACGTGGTGGGGGAGCGACCATGGTCAGCCAGGGGTCTAAACCTTGAGGCTACGAGGGACGGGCCAAAATGCCCGCCCATGGGTCCCCGAGGATGGGGATCATATCGATCATGGAGACCGCCCACCTCATGAGGTCCTAGCGTGGGAAGATTCGGGGGTGGATGGAATGGTCGTCTTCCAGCAGGGGCGTTATTGGTACCATAGTGGTCCAAGAAACCATAGTATGAAGCGAGCATTTTGCCATCCTTCGTCGAGAAGTAATCGGCCCGCAAATCTGGTCTGCCGGAAGTGTCTCTCCGACCTGGGGTCATGGTATTTGCACCTTTCTTGAAATCAAAGACCGCAAAGGAGCAAAGGTAGCCCATCCCGTCAACGTGAACGGTAAACTCGCGGAAGAAGTCGATCAAACGGTCACTACATTTGGGAAGGCTGAACCACAACACAAAGGGCGTGAAAATCATGCTGAGGATCTCGTCTAAGAAGATTACGACCTTCATTTGATAACAGACAGCGAACTCTTTGCGCACTTCATCACTGTGTAGGCGTCCTTTCCATGTGTTTGGAAAATAGTGTGTGAAATCAATCAGCTCGAGAAGTGCGTACTCGGGATCAAAGACGTCGGTTTCTTCCGGAGCCAGCCCACGTGCAAATGCATAGACCGTACCAAAAATACCCAGGTAAAAAAGAACGGTCCGGTCAGGAGTGATCTCAAATCCTAGAAACAATTCGGGGTCCACCACAGAGGCAAGGGCAAGTACCGAGGCTAATGCACCAGAGATGAATGCCACAAAACGGGCTACTTGAATCGTCTTGTCTTTGGGGAATTGATCGATGTAGCGACTGGCAAATGGATAAGACATATTTATCCGACGATCAAACAGATGCCAGAGCTCGTTGAACTCTCGAAACTTCCACTCCGCCAGGGGGGTGTATTGGCGAGATCCGATCTGGCCGGGGTTCTTCTTGAATTCGTTGAAATAGCGGAAAAAATAATGCATGAGGAAGTAGACGACGATAAATGGGGCAACAAAGATATTCATGATACCAGCAAATATGAAGCGCCGTCGCAAGCCGTCGCTTAGCGCTCTTCGATGGGTATCCTTGAGGAATAAGGTGCGCAGCTGACCCTGTTCATTGAAAACGTAGTCCATGATACATAAGTTGAGATTCCATTCGAGCGTACGGGAGAAGAGTTGGCGATTTCTAAGAAATGGGATGGGTAACGTTAGATCCAAAATGTCTTTGTTGATCAATGCAATCATATAGTTCTCTTTGCGCATGAGGCGATTCGCAATATCATGGGCATCCATTCGCTGTTTCGACTGACTGCCCATGAATCGTCGATGCTTGGCAGATACTGCCGCCGCTGTGGCTGGATTAGAATCTCGCAGCGTCATCAATCGGCTGACAACCTCCTGCCATGCGATGGTTTGGACCTCTCCGTCCGAAACTCCAAGCAAGTAGTAATAGAAATCATGCATGTGCTGAAGCCTTCTGATATCCAAAAGATACTGGAAGAGCTTTCCAATCCAGAAGAAACTGAATAACCATAGCAAGAAGAGCGTTGAGCCAGACATCTGCGACGTGCATTTGGGGACCAAAATCTCGTCCAGCGATTTGCTGCCCCGAACCTTGTGGTAATTGACGCAGTTGGTGAGGAACGTCGAGAACCCCACCACAAAAGCAAATGTCAAAAGATTCAAGGTGCGGCTCAATATGATAGACCAGAATCCATTGCCCAAGAAGTAGGTGTACACATCTTTCAAGAAGTTGTCCAAGTCTTCCACATTCGCCCAGCGCCACATGGCTTTCTGCTTGGGGTCAATATTAGCTAAGCTCAGTTGCTGCCCATACAACCACCGTGTCCAAGGTTGACGGTCAGGATCTGAGGGTTGTCGGTTCCGGGATGTTTGCCAGCGTGGCAGTGCAGGTTGTGGCGATGGCTGAGGACTGGGGGTATTGGAGCGACTCCGCATCATTTGAGGCGGGGGAGGTAGCCGCGATTTCAGGTCCTCATCGTCATGACCCTCCACTAAGAGCGACTGTGGCACGTCCTCATCTCGATCGTCAAGTTCGTAGCCCTGTGGTGACTCTGGCGCCATCCATCGGGGTCGGGAGGGTTTGCGACGACGCGAGACTGACGGAGAGCCACGAGGATGTGGCCGACTCAGCAAGGCTGCAGTGGGGCTAGACAGCTGGCTGTCCCTTGCATCTGCCAATGCATCTGCTAACTCCCCGTCGCTAAAATGTTCCGGGTCCATCGGTGCCATCCCTGCCCGCTCTTCGACATCAGAGGAATCGGATTCGGCGTCGTGTTCTCGGATGGCTTCATAGACGGATGGCGAGTCTGTGGGCGGGAGAAACCGCGAAAGTATATTTGAGGACATCATCTTTTCATCCAACAAAGGTTGATGCACTGGAGTCGGGACTTATCGCCATAGATTGGAGCTCTGGAAGGGAATCCGATAAGGTTAACACGGAGCTGTGGAGAAGCGGTCACACCACGACAAGCTCTCAGACCAACACACAGTGTGACATGGGGTGGTGTAAGATAATCTACCCGTTTTTTCACCTTCTCGGAGAAACGTGGTTCTTTTTCAAGAGATTCTGAACCATCAGAGCATCTGATCATGTCCGCGGGACCTCCCATAGCTATCAGTCACCAGGTGACTATGACATAATCTTTAGCCTGAGGCACCAAATCTCATCATGTTACGACATGAGTCATGTGATTAGTCAGTGCGGGGTCTCGGGAAGGGAAGAACCTCCTGTTAGTGGAACACTAGTTTAGTATGCATGATGCACTGCGACTGGGCGTTTTGGATGGATTTTGCTTTCTTTCTAGAACAGTCAATCTGGCGGTGACTTAATTTTAGGTGAAAATGCTTGCAAATGAAGAATTTGGGCTTCACTCGGGGGGATTTTTCCAACCTTTAGGACACGGACACGGATATAAGCGGGAATCTACTTGATGACACGGTCCTAGTCCGCAATCCACTTTCAAAAGTTAGTAAGTTAATTAAGTTAGTACCCGCGTCTTTTTTCCTGCCTTTTCAGCATATTATTTCACTTTCTAAAGTTTCCCGACATAAGCCCGACCTCATGGCTAAGGTGCAATCTACCTAATTTGTACCTTGCGTTTGTTTTATGCATGGAAGAGCTCATCGAACGATAATATTTATTCCCCCGGTAGTAGCTCCAGAAAGAGGGTCCGATCGACAGCACCCGGGATCATATTGAGCCGCTCCTGATTCATGATGATTCGCTCCTATCCACAAGCTACCTCCTCCCCCAAATGGATACGTAATTACTTGATACTGTTTACGGATAGTTAAATAATAATCAATCATGATAGACTACTCCGTATCCTGAAAACGGAGCTCTTTCGGACCCGACGCTAAGGACTACTGAAGAGAAACTAAGGGGAATCGCCATTCTACTGCCGTGTAGCCTATCTAGCGCCTCTCTGCAGTCCCGATTGGCGTAATCTCGGTATTACCGGTTAAAGGCTTGAAGAAGGCGGGATCTGGTTGTACCTGGAGGAATTGAGAGCGGATTTCCGCTTTAAAAAACCGGCGATCTAAGCTTTTTCAGCATTGAAGAAATAATAACAAAATAAAAGAAAATTAAGTTGAAACCCGTTGGAGGTTGGAATTGCTATCAATTCTGGAATAAAGGAAAAGTTGGATCACAGTGGATTTGAACTCCCCTTTATACACCTCAGCTCCGTTATCCACTTCCCTCCCCTCTTTCCTTTTCGCCCCTCTCCCCTTCCCTTTACAAATAGAAAAAAAAAATCACGAAATTTCCCTCAATTTCGGTCCGGAGTATCTATATTATCCTCCCCATACCTGTCTTCCTTGGACTCCCCGGAAGGTCTGATTTTACTCAACTGGGGGATCTGCAAAAACACGGACGCACACACACAAACCCACTCCAAACGAAAGGCCCCCTCCCCTCTCCCCATCTAATTCTGAAGACATCCCAATCTCAATTTCAAAAGGGACTGATGAAGGTATGTGCTTCTTTGGCTTGGTTCATCAGCCCGCTCGCTTTCCCCCCCCCCCCCCCCCCCTCCTCCCCTCACCAATAATAATGATATCACGCCCGCCCCCCAGATTACTCTTTTGGGTACCAGGCTTCAAAACTGACACGCTACACCTTCCCCCGCGACAGTGTCGCAATCAAACTCTCTCCAGAATTACTCACTCATTGAATCTTTGGTAGATCCTGCATCTCTCAGACAAATTACGGTGATCCGCGATTCCCCTTTGTCCCTGTCCCGACCCGTCTCGACCGAATGTACGACTACGGCCTCGTTCCTCCCCCTGGACTCCATGTGTTCTCATAACGCCTTGTCCAAAATCCGACTTTCATTTATACTCGGGCGGCCGAGGTGTAAGGAATATATATACCGGTTTTGAGGTAGAGCGCTCCCCTCCGGTGCGGACCTTCTCCCCATCACGCTCCCGTCGGCTCGCGCGAGAGTGACGACCGGGCAGAATGGATCCAGAAAACCCCAATGGACACAATACAAAACGGAATTCCATACATCAAGCATTATATAGTCGCCCTGTCGAGCGACGATCAAGCAAGAAGTCTTCATCCAGGGACCGCCACGGCATGGTCTACCCCGACAGCTTTCGAGACACCGGTATTCGTACAGTGACCCCGGAGTCCCACTCCCCTCTATCCGAGAGCGAACATTTTACCCATAGCGCCCCCTCACCCCGAACTACTATGCGATCGCGAACTGTTGAACGGATCGAGCCAGAGCTGCCGACGGAGGGAAGGACGATGCGGACGCGATCACGAACCACAACGATGGAGGAGCAGCGCAGTGACATGGCTTCCAATAACGTGAAGGCCCGCGCACGGATTGGATCGGTCAACGCCGCTAGTTCATCCCAACCCAAGACGGCCGAAGGTAAAACCTCAGAGGATTCTTCCTCTTCCATTGGATTCCCGTCGATACAATCTCCAAACTATATTGGTCAAGCAGTTACGCGTCAGCGACTCAACAAGTCCCCTGGGGGTAGCCGATCCCCGACAGTCGCACATAACCAATTCGCCTCCCCTCTTTCCAATACCGATGCCGCCAAGATACTCCAATTGATGAAGACTACCTGTGGAAGGATGCACGGAATTCTGTCGTTCCGAACCTCTTCTAATACCTCGTGGGCGTCAAGCCCCTGGACCTCCGGATACTGTGCAATTAATGTCGCAACTGGAAGTCTTATATACCAAGCCAAGGGAGAGCCCGCCTTGGCCAAGACCCTCATCCCTGACCTCCGCGGCTGCCGAGTTCGGACATTGTTTGATTCAGAGCTTCAGACAACCTACTTGAGCGTCCATACATTCACCTCCGGGCTGGGAATCCAACTACGGCCCCATGTCAACGAAACATTCGACTCGTGGCTCGCAGCTCTACTCTGTTGGCAACCTATACGTCCCAAGGGCGTTCAAAATAAAATGACCAAACCTCAATCCGTCGTTATTGGAGACCGGCGAATCCCAGAACGACGAAGAAACTCAGAAAACGCATCTCAAAAAGATGCCGCCATCATCAAGGTTGGTAAGATGCTTCTTTGGGACAAACCATCTGCAGCTGGAGTGCGACCGGCCTCGGCGGCGCGTCGTGTTTCTACATATAGGCAGTCGAGGGCCCTTTCTTCCTCCTGGCAGCGAGTGAGCTGTAGACTACTAGAGAACGGCTTTTTGAAGCTCTTCACCGAGTCCGACGTTACCCTTGTGGCAAGCATCCAACTTTCCCAACTGTCACGATGTGCAATCCAGCAGTTGGATTCGTCGGTGCTAGATGATGAGTTCTGCATCGCTATTTACCCGCAATACACAGCACACCCCGTTCCCGACGCAGCGATGCGTCCCATCTATCTCGCCCTTGAAACCCGTATTATTTTCGAGGTCTGGTTCGTTTTGTTGCGTGCATTTACCATCCCGGAACTCTATGGTCCACAACTGCAAAGTGTGGAGGAAGATCCGAACAAAACCCCAGAAGCCGACAGTTCTCCTACCAAAGGCATGTTTCGAATCGAGAGAATCCTTCATTTGCGAGTCACGGAAGCCAAACTTTTTCGTGCCAAAGAGGAAGAAACACCGCGCAGTCGGAAACAATCCAGATCCCATGGTTACGCCGCTCCAGCTTCACCCAAGGTCAGCGACTTTTACACCGAGGTTCTCTTGGATGGAGAAATCCGCGCGAAGACTGCTGTCAAATATCGCACCACAAATCCGTTTTGGCGAGAAGACTTCACCTTCAACGATTTACCGCCAGTCCTGTCACAGGCCTCTATATTAGTCAAAACCCTCAACGCACAGAGAGATTGGACCCTCATCGCACAAGGGACATACTCATCTACCCAGGAAGTTAACGCAGTCAATATGCTCGATGAAATCGAGATTTCCACCAATGATGCAGTTTTTGGACGGGTAGATTTGCGATTGGACGAATTGGACTCGGGCGTGGACTTAGAAAAATGGTGGCCCATTTTGGACGACCATGACCAAGCCGTCGGGGAAATGTTCATGAGAGCTCGGATGGAGGAAACGGTAGTACTAATGTCCGAAGAATACGCCCCGATGAAGGAGCTCCTCCACAAATTCACCAATGGCCTGACAATCAACATGGGTCAAGTGATGTCATCCGAACTGACACAGTTGTCCGAAATGCTCCTGAATATCTATCAGGTCTCTGGATCTACGGTAGACTGGATCTCGGCACTGGTTGAGGATGAGATTGATGGTCTCCACAAAGAGTCCACCGCTAGCCACCTGCGGTATACATCAAGGATTCATTCGAATGACTCCCGGGAATCTTCCGGTCACGACCGTAACGTCCTCGTCAGAGATATGGGGAGGACAGCCACTGTGGAAGCCAACCTCCTGTTCCGTGGTAACTCACTCCTGACCAAAGCACTGGACCAGCACATGCGTCGATTGGGTAAAGAGTATCTGGAAGAGACGATTGGAGAACGGCTGCGCGAAATCGATGAGAGTGATCCTGAGTGTGAAGTGGACCCAGCTCGAGTTCCGCGCGCCGAAGACCTTGATCGCAACTGGCGGAACCTGGTTAATCTCACCACTATGGTGTGGAAATCTATTGCGATCTCATGGTCCCGGTGTCCTGCTGAGCTCAGACGCATATTTCGACATGTCCGAGCGTGCGCTGAGGATCGTTATGGCGACTTCCTGCGCTCTGTGACATACAGCAGTGTTTCTGGCTTCCTTTTCCTACGGTTCTTCTGCCCGGCCATCCTGAATCCAAAGCTGTTCGGGCTTTTAAAAGGTAAGAAAGACTGTTATGACCCATTCTGATTCATCCGCTCAGTATTTATAGATCATCCTCGCCCTCGTGCCCAGCGCACTTTGACCCTCATTGCCAAGGCCCTCCAGGGTTTGGCCAATATGACAACATTCGGCAACAAAGAACCGTGGATGGAGCCCATGAACAAATTCCTCGTCGGTAATCGCACAGAATTCAAGCAATTCGTCGATCTCATATGCGATATTCCGTCGAACGCGACGCCTTCTATTCCTCCTCCCACCTATACCACCCCGCTGCAAATCCTGGGACGATTACCGCTTACCTCGCGCGAAGGTTTCCCCAGTCTACCATTCTTGATTGACCAACCCCGGTGCTTCGCCAACTTGATTCATATTTGGCTGGAGGTCGTCCCGGAGCGACTCTCTGAGCTGGAAGAAATCGATCCATTCCTTTCCAAGTTCCATGAGTTGGCACTCCACCTGCAAGAGCGAACTGAGGACTGCTTGGATGAAGCTGAGCAGGCTGAGCGACCCAACGATACCCTTCAGGTCAAGTGGGAGGAGTTGGTGGATTCCATGGAGCGGGCTGTGACCTTTTACGATGAAGGTTCAAGCAAACCATCCACCCCCGCTCCTCCAGAATCCACTGCTACTGCTCCAGCTGCCCCAGGGTCTGCTGCCTCGGCAACTCCAGGTCATCGTGGGTCTATTGGATTCTTTGCATCTCGACCACCTCTACCCCGTCGATCTACCGAAGGTGGACCAGAGGAAGATGACACCCCACCCAGCTCATCGTCTGCAACTTGGGATCAGTCTCGTATGCCCTTCACGATACCACGATGGTCCGATCCTCGCGATAGCACTGGCAGCTCTAAGAATTCCTCCACTTATTCCCTCGACCACTCTGAGACCTCCAAGGCCCGCAGATCCAGTGTTACCAAGGAGAGCTCCAGCAAATATCGCTTTTTCGATTTTGTCCCCGCTCCTTCCCGCCGTAAGGCCAAGGAACGCGATCAGTCCGGTCATCACTCCCACGAAGATCTCCGGAACGAGTTCTGATCAACACACTCCATATGCCCTCGCATTCATTGATCTCCTGGCTCTCTTTACTCTTTATGTGCTCATGAAGTCCACGCTCCTGTGCTTGTGTTCTCGTCTTTTTCCCGTTCCCTTCCTTCTCCATGTCACCCCAGCATATGTCACGGTGTTGATACCCTTTCCCCTCTCTTGGTTTGATTTTTTATTGTGTTTCAGGCTAAATTCTCCTGTATGCCCCTGGTGCTTCCCGATCCAGCTCTTACGCGACAAAGACATGAAGCCAAGAAGAGACAAATTTCATGCAAGATCGGCCGATGGGCTCTTGCTACAAAAGCACACTTTTTCTGGGTCAGGGTCTGCCGTTCTGGGAGGGCTTGTTTCTTTATACTGAATCTGCTTGGCCAGACTCATGGGAGAGGCTATCCAACATGTAAATACTCCTGATATCTTCCCAAATAGACGGATTGGGTTTTATTTTTGATTGTCTTCATATCGTAGTCTGTACGTACCGATGCAGATGGAGGTGAAGGTGCAAAAGCATGAATAGTAAGCCATACATCATCTCCATAGAAGGACCATGAGATGCATGGAGAGATCAGGAGTGTATCTTATTTCTGGAAGAGACGAATGGATATTCGAGGTGGGGTGTTTCCTGAAATATTCCCCCTGATACACTCTTAGCCCTGGCACCTAATGGGACTGGAGCCACATCTTCGTCACATGAAAGATACTCTTCATCAGCATCTTCGCCTCCCTGCATCGCCGCAATTCAAATCATGTGCCACATGAAGAGAAGAACATTCTCCGAAACCTGCTCTTCCTTCACCTGAAGGATATGGCGGGTCTCGTTTGGAGACATAGACGGTCAATCCCACCGGACTGGCCAAAAGATGCCACGAAGAAATTGGGTGGTCGACAGGGACATCCGCTTTCACGAGAAAGACATCATCGGAACAAAGCTCGACTTTTGCCTAGCATGGTAAAGAGTGTTACCTTCACACGGGCAGGTGATCAGCTGGTATTCCAACCCATTGAAATGGGTACTTGACGGTTGAGACCTTGATTGTGCGCTCCACAGTGCTGGGCAGAGTTGGTAACCAATGAATCCAGGCTTCATGCAAGTTCGATCATCATTGACCGAGAGGGGCCACAATGCACAAATCACACGGCCCCAAAAGGCTTGCCTGTTTGCATAGCGTCATCATGTTCGTCGGGAGCTCAGTTTCGATAACTCCAAGACAGCAAAACTGACGGCTAGCAGGTCAGACGGAATATATTGATCGTCGTCCGACAAAGCTATTTCAATCACGCAATTTTTCCACACTGATCCGTCTCTTACTCTATGTAACGCAACAATCATCACCGTCGTCCTCATCCACAAGAGTTTCATGCTCTCCACCGTACCGTGTCTGAAACGATTCGTGGGGCGCATACAACCCAGGCTGGGGACAGGCTTCAGGCTTCACGAACAGTCATGGCGCGAACTCATATTTCACCCCCAAGTGGTAATTGCGAATGCCACCATTCTCGAGCCTACGCAACCAATCCAAAATACCATAGGATTGAGATTGAGGCATAGCGAGACTCACAGGATAGCCCAATACTCCCAACAGCTGATCATCCATCACACTCGAGAGTGGACATTGGAAGAAGAGTATGAGATGCAGGCGGTTACAGATAGATCATAAATTTATAGAATCTAGAATTGAATCAACTACTGTACCTACTTCACAGGCTCTCGAATCATCGAAATCGCCCCCTCAGGAGTGACCGACTTATCCTCCCGATCCTTAAACCCAAACCTCCGATACAACGAAGCAGCATCAACATGCGCATCCAAATAAACAGGAACACCCTCCCGATCCGCAAGCTCACATCCCCATTGAATCAACATCGAAGCAGCCCCTCTACCCCGATACTCAGGATGCACAACCAGCATATCCAAGTCTAAACAAATCAGTATGAGGGCCATACTTCCTTTCAAGCATGCACATACAGTAAAATTTCCTCGTTCCAAAATAAAGCTTCTTCTCCTCATCCAGCTTGGTAAATACCAAATTACAAGTCTCTGAATCCGACTCCGCATGCCAAGCAGGAAAACGCGCACCACTGTGCTGTGGGTCCAGATCCCATTTAGCGTATGCAACCGCAGTTCCAGCGGGATCCACAATTTTGAGGTATTTTCGACGTGGGTTGCGGAGAAGATCGTTGCTGTTGGCTTCGTTCCACCAGTTTCGGATGTTCGGTGTGTCGGGGAACATGAGGAGGTTGATGGGGATACTGAACGATTTGTACCAGAGTTCTGATAAAGAGGGGATGTCGGTTTGAGTTACTGGTTGGAGGGTTAGAGCCATGGTGAGGATGTGACTCGGTTGGCTTGACTGAGTTAAGGAGGTGATGGATAGATAGATTCGTGTAGATTATATGGCTGGTTTCAGTGCTCGGGGATATTGATTGGACTACTCTTCACCAGACCGTTTCCTACGGTGACAAGTTTTGGCCCCATTTTAGCTTACGAGTAGACTGCATCCACATGACTTTTTCAAGTAGGGCCACGTACTTTCCATGAACTAGCAACCTTCTTTTTTGAGGTCTGGGTCGTTAGCTTTGAGATGGCTAAGCTCCCAGGAACTACAATTCATGTGCAAGTCACATGCACTTCCGAATATCTATCAACCCCCAGACATTTATCGTTTGGTCTATATGGAGAAGTCTAGATATAACAAGATATAATAAATAAATTATGTCTAGACAAATATGGTGATATCCGTCCTGCCCGGCCGGGCGCTTATAGTATGCTTATGCTCCTTCTTCCTACTCTCTCGATATCCTTACGTTTCCCCAGTTCTCATCTCATCTCTTACCCCTGATCCCTAAATCGATCTCGCGAACCTTGCTGCTCGTGTCTCCAGATTCCAGAACCGACGCTGATTGCTTATGTCGGCTTTTCCTCGGTAATTACATTCGTCCTAGCGCCCTCCGAGGGTACGTGCTCAATCTCGCCCCATCGCTTCGCAAGTTGATCGGGCTGCCAGTCCTCCCCGTAGCGACCGTCCTCCCACCATGCATGCATGAAATCCTGGCCTGAACATAGCATACCGTCAGCATCCTGCAAGTCACCAGCTCCATCCAACCGGGAGTAGCGTAGGACCCGGCCATGATCATCGATATACACCAGCAGCAAGTTCCCCTTATCATTTGCTTCCTTATCGTAGATGAGCACATTCTCCCATCTGGCCGCTTGGTGGACTAGCGCTACAGCGAGGTCAAACTTGAAAGCCTCCTCTAGGGCTTCCTGCTTTCTTTCATCGGACCAGATTGCAGAATATGGCGTTCTCTCGACAATCTGGGGGATACGGGTGAGAATATTATGCAGCGACTGTAATCCATCGTTCGACCCAGCATCGTAAAGGGCGGCATTGTCGAAGACGGGTTCGTCAAACTCAGCCTTGAAGATGAGCTCTGCAAAGTTTGCATCTGAGCCTTCGCCGTAGAAAGTGCGCACGAGACGTGTATAACTGATGTTCTGCCGGTCTGAAGGATTCCGGACACGAGCAAGGAGATCCTTCTCGTCGTCTGTTATATCATCCTTGTCGATACGCATATCCTCTAGTTTTTCCACATATGGCTTCCACTATTATCAATTATTGCTCATTAACCGGGGTAAATTAGATAGACTAACCATACGGCCACGCGAGCCAATCTCTAGCCACTTGCTGAAGATTGCCGAGCGTTGGGCTTCGTCTGAGATAGCAAGGTCACTATGCCATTGTTCCTAGCAACCATATGGCATCAGTACTGCTCGCCTTCCAGTTTGAAGGGGTTCGGGTAACTACCAGGAGATACAGATCGGCGGCGTAGATCATCACCGTCTCCTCATTATGGGTGCGTTTCAGGGTGTTGCCGCTACGCATCGTGGCGGAGAGGGGTCAACTTATGCCGGAGCAACTCAAGGCACAGCTTGGAGAGCAACGTAGTGTAGGATGCTAACCCCAAAAAGGTAAAACTAACCGGATAGCGTAATTCATAGGTGTGGGTATTACATAGACCAATTAAGGTAGAAAAGAGCAGGAAAAGAAAGAGAGAGAAACGCAACTATTGATCATGAATCCCCCAAAACCTTTCCGCACTAAACGTATACCGGTTATCATCTTTCCACAGATCGTCAAATGCCGTAAAAAGAACCATTTCATCCCCCCGATGCGCAAAACTCCTCCGTAAACTCTCAACCGCAATCCTCTGGTTCTCCGGCGATGGAGTAGCAATTCCATTCGCCTCTCCAGCATGCGGCCACCCCGACTCTGTAAGAATAGTATGCTTCCCTCCAGCCGCCATCGAAACGGCATGCATCTGCTCCAACGCATAAGGGCCAGCATTATGTGGCTGCTGCGTTGCGTCAAAAAAGGCATGGCAATTTGCTGCACAATAATCTGATGTGAGGCATAGTTCTGGGTGTTGAAGGAGTACGGAGAATGTATCAACGGTGACCACGGGACCTTTATATCCCTGTGCGCGGAGATAAGTACGAGCTTGCGGAATAGCGGCGGAGACTTCGGCTGGCGTGGCGCGGCCACTGTTTACGAGTTCGTTGCCGACTGCTATGGTGTGGAAAACGGACCAGTCTTGATTTCCGTTATCTTCTGTGGCGGCTTCTTTGAATGCATTGAGACTTGTTGGGAAGTCTGTAAGGTCGTAGATTCCGGCGAATAATTGCATGTTATGGAGTCGGGCTGCTCGGGCGACAAGTGTGGCTTGATCGCAGTCTGTTCCGTAAATGCGAACAAATTTGTATTGGGTGAGGATGTCTAGGTCCTTGTTTACTTGGTCTTGGGTCTTGCAGCTCCTGTCGGCATTGTATGGGGAGTAGGAGATGCCGAATTGGCGATTGGGATCGTTGTTGGGTTTGGGGTGCTGGGCTGGCTCGGGGCTTTTAGGTGGTTGGTGGTGAGGCGGTTCAGGGCTTTGAGGTAGTTGGTGGTGAGGAGGCTCAGGATGCTGGGGCGATTCAATATGAGGCTGTTTGGGATGCTTCGGTGTTTCAATACGAGGCGGCGCGGGTTGCTGTGTTTCATGATGCGTATGAGTGCTATTGGAGGGCGGTGGATTTTGTATACTCTTGGTCGGAGCATGATTCGTAGCAGTCATATCATATTGCGGATCCTTTTCGGTCGATATTATCCGCGGTGCATTAGGAGTCGGGGTTGATGCTGGTAATTGGGCAGGCAAAGTGTGAGACTTTGACACAGATTAGCAGTCATTCGTTACGTGTAGGTTGCGAAATCTACTAACAGTTGCCTGCGAAGCCGAGCTTGCAGTAAGGATTTGTCTTGTTTTCGTATGAATTGGCTCCCCATCTTCATTAACCACAACAACTACCTCAAAAACAGTTCGTTGAGATGCATCAAGCTGCCCCATGCATCGGCTCGAGTCTACCAACCATTAGCACGCTATGATGCTCCATATGGATGAGACTCCCTCACCCTGAGCTGCATGAATTCCCGATATAGTTGTGAATAAGAGGGCAAATAGCGCCCGAGTAAAGTGCTTCATCGCACTGTTGCTCTTCGCTGCCGAGCCCTTATGGAACCTAGGGTTAGTAGATCACAGGCATAACACTCCACACGCGAGAGAGAGGTATCTGTGCAGATCAAGCGGGTTATATTCATGGGGATAACCCCCCGAAGATCCTTAGGGGAAAAAAGGTGCATACGCAAACAAGAGAGGGATGCCGAGCATAGTTATCCATTGTGGGGTGACATATGGAATGAGATCAGGGTCAAGGTCGCAGCCCTGGGCCCCTTGTATCTGTCTAGACCATTTCGGAACGAGTCCTTGATGTTCGAATCGGCGGTACGTGGTGGGATTGGAGGAATGCCCCTGGTAATTTTTCAGCTCCGTGGAATGCTAGACTCATTCCGTTTGGTCTCCCGGGGACTAGGGTCTTGTATGGTCGCAATCAGCATGTAGATACAGGATAGAGTCCTTGAATGGAGACCCTATTTTTCAAGCGAGCCGGTGGGCTTTCTTCCCCCTGGATGGGGGATCAGACAGCAATAGTAGGGGTGGAATTTTGGAAATCAGTGTTTCGCAAGGAGGAAAGGAGGGAAGGAGGGGGAGGTTGAGGGAGAGCTTCTACAGGGTATATTATCAACACTTTTCTTTTCTTGCAGAATCGGAGGCAGAAAGCTCTCAATTTTGAATATTTCAGCACAGCACTAGGCTGCAGCCATGGAAAAATAGTATTAAACAATCTAAAGCCATGCACCGGTAGACTATGATACTACCCCTCTAAAAAGAAGAAAAGCGAGGAAGTTGGGGCAGTGCTGTACAAGGTAGCAATAGCAAGATGCATATGATCAAGCAACTTGACAATACAAACGCGAAAAGGAGGCATTAGGGCGTAGGTGTATGGGGGAAACCAGAAGATGCCGGAAGTCGTTGGGGGCATGAGCGGTCATTCATGTTGGCGACAGCCATATTTTCAAGGGAATAGCGAAGAATAATCTACTTCTTTCTGCTCATCACCTTTGTGATAGCATGTCGGACGATGGTGCCGGCCTTTTCGATCTCTTTCTTGGTGAGGCCGATGGTGACGCAAACCTTCAGCGCTGCGGGAACAATCTGAGCAGGCTCAAAATTATCCTCAAGAGTCTTGAGGCGGGTGATGAGGACACCGTTAGCGAGGCACTGTAGGGGGGTTAGCGTAGTTCATTTCCCGGGTAGAATTGACGATTGTACGTACCTCATCAACGATATCTTGAAGCAGGAACTGCTGGTCAATATAAGTAAGCTTCTTAGAGGCAACGACCTCAGGCTTGATAACCAAAATGAGGACCGGGTTCTCGGGTGAGCTAGAACAGTAGACCCAGTCGCTGCGGGGGTCAAGTTGAGCTCGCATAGCTTTGGTATGCTCACGAAGCTGCGATACCGTCTCCGGGCTGTTCTGAAGAAGGTTGATAGTCTCACTGGCAGTGGTGGAAAGGAGAGCCGGAAGCGCCGCAGAAAAAGTGTACGCCGAAGCGGAAATGCGCTGGTGGTGGACGATCTCCTCTGATCCAGCACAGAAGCCTCCGCCTCCCACGAGGCAACCAGCCAACGATCCCACAATCATGTCAACCTCCGCAGCGTCAACGTTTTGGTGCTCAGTCACGCCACGACCAGTACGGCCCAGGACTCCGAAGGACCATGTCTCGTCAAGAATCAGGCGGAACTTGTACTTGAGCCTTAACTCGATCTGCAGCCTGTGTTAACGGATGACCTTGCTATTTCTCGAAACCCATGGGTACGTACAATCTTGGGAAGATTCACAATGTCGCCGTAAGACTCAAACATGCCCTCGGTGATGATGAATCGCCGAGTCAATGGTTTCCGGGCCTGCTCCTTGGTGACCTTGGCGAGAACGCGCTCCAAATCCTCCATATCATTGTGATCATACCACCGCACAATACTCCGCGAGATCTGAATACCCTTCCGAATCGCGAAGCTGACACCCTTGTCTGCCACGATAATGTCACCGCGCTTCGAAAAGGCAGGAATGACACTAGAGATGGTCGAGAATGCCTGAGAGTACATAATACAAGCTGCGGTTCCTAGGAACGACGCAATATCGGCCTCGGTCTTCAAGTGGACATCTTGGGTACCGTAAAATCCTCGGGGACCACAGGGGCCAACACCGTAGTTTCGAAGAGTCTGAATCGCCTTCTCCTTGAGAGCCTCGTTGGTATTGAAGTTATAGAAGTTGTAAGAGCTGAGGTTCGTAACGGTACGACCATTGGCAAGCTTGGACTTGGGACCGACAGGACTACACATCCCCGAAGCAGGTATTCGTCAGCATGAGTTCAGCGGAATGAGGCTAGGCTCCCGTCTGAGCTACCGGTCACAGCTTACCCAACAATCACAGTGCGCTTAGCAACTTCCATCTCCTCCAGAGATGTGGGCTCTCCGACAAGCGGCTCGGGAGTCCACTCGTCCACCAGGTCGTCGATCTCATCCTCCGTGAGTGGCACCACGCCGGGCTTGGTCGAGTATTTTGGGGCCAACAGATATCGCACAGCGAATAGGAAGAGGAAAAGTTCCACAGCGGATCGAATTGGATCATCTTGGTAGCTTGATTTGACGTAGCGCAGGAAGATAGCTGAGCCAGGTATTTGGTGGAAAAGGGTCGCGAGTTCATGCAGGTACTCCGACAGGAGACGTTGCGTCTCTGCGAGATCCATATTGAAGACCTCGGTGGCGGTTGTGTTGCTAAGAACACTAGAAAATTCGATTCAAAAGACAAAGGAGGGCTCAGGAGCGGCGAATGATAGACTCAGGGACGTAAAGGATATGTACAGCGCCAGCCGGGGACACGGCCCGGCTGAATCGGGTGGTATCACGTGACTATGCCCGAGCTACGCAAAAGGAAGAACTCACGATTGGTTTGATAATATACCGGGGTTAAATGAATTTTACGATGAGTTGATTCTAGTGAAATGAAGCAAATGCAGATTGTATTCCGTTATGTTTGTGGAGAAAAAAAAAGGAAAAAACAGTCAATGAAAGCGGCATGGATGAAGGTAAATCCCCCAGGGCAATGACGGAATCACTCAAGATACATGTTGAGTCATTCCTTAGAAGCCATTAAGATCAACAAGTACGCCAGTGGTTTGAAAAGAATGCAGAGAATCGCGGGAAAGAAAGATGGAAGAAGACAAAACTTTGTACAAGCCATTTTCATACAGAATGGGGCCAAATCCCCTCAAATCAACTTCCGCACATAGGTAGCAACACTGCCAGTGGTAGCGGGTGTAGCGTCAGATGCTGACGGGTATCCGTCCGGCAAGTTGCTACCGGTATAAAAGGAGGCAGTATCGTTCAATCCCTTGTCCATAGGCTGGAGGAGCCACATCATTTGGCTGCTCACATCTTTGCTGACACCAATGGTACCCCAAAGGCTAGTGAGGAAGCTCTTGGAGACGCTCTCCATGTTGTGAAGGATGATTGGTGCAACAAGCAGGATGATGAAAAGCACCAGCATGCTGAAGTATAGAATAGCGAAACGAACCACACGTCTCTTGCGGAGCTTTGACTGCTTCAAAGAGTAGATAGGAGGACGGATTTGACGACTATGCAGGTTAGTGAATGCTCGAAATGGATAAAAGGACTGAACATACCTGGGACGCAGCCAGAACAAGCTGACGGAATGGAACTTATCCGCATATGGGATAGCCAGCATGGGCAGCATGAAGAAGAGGATAATGTGGCCGAGGACGAAGTCGGCGGCGAAGTAACCCAGCTCGGTGATCTTACACAGGAATTCACGACCTGGTTGGGACATAGAGTGCCATCCCATGTTATACCATTTACCAGTCCACCAGGCGATATTGGACTGATCATGCTTGAACTCTCGAGTGAGGCAAAGGGAAATGATCAACTTGTAGATGAAACGCTGGATTGCCATCATGGCAACGAGGCCAGACATTGTTCGGGCCCAATTGAAGGATTCCAAAACGAAAAGGACCTCAAAGAACACAATGAGGATGATGACAGCAATGGCGTGGGCAATAGCGGCCAGAACAGAACCGAACTTCTTGCAGCACATACTGAATAAAGGACCCATGCAGCAAGCCATACCGAAGAACATGCCGGCAACACCAGCGTTGACAGCAATAGGTGCCACGGCACAGAGAACAATGCGCAGAATGGCGTTGGGAGCGTAGGCCGGGTTGTTGCTGTACATGGTCCGGGAGTTGATGAACAAGTAGGGGATAAGAGTTACGGCGACAACGACCAGGGGGGCGACGATCTCGCTGAAGAAGATGTTTGTGAACCGAGCCCGGGGAACGTCACCTGAGTTCTTCTCAGATGGAACTCCAAGAACCTTACGCTTGTAACCAGTGAGCCTGGTACGGGACAGACGACAGAAACCGATCCAGGAGGAGGCGTGCGATCGAGAGTTACCACGCGAGAGCCAGCGGAGGTAATCACGGTAGTCGATGAAGAAGTCGTTCCATGCAAACTGGTGGGGGTTGAACATGAAGGGCGAGATGATCAAAGCCAGCAGGGAAACCCAGAACCAAAGCAGGGCCGGAGTCCAGACGGTGGAGGTTGAGAAGAGCAACATCATCAGCAGACGAGCACCACCGTAAATGGAAGGCCCGGCGAAACGCGAGTATAGCACACCGAAGGGAATACGGGCTGTAGCGAAACCACGACCGGTACCAATGTAACGGGCACCACCGAAAGACAAGTTCTGGTGCACAGCCTGAGCATAAATCTGACAGACAAACACCTCGAACAGGAAGGACATCGAGGCGAAGTGCTTGGTCAGACGAGTGGCCATGCGCCAGACACCACGCTCGGTCAACTCTTGCACGGCCAGGGGAACCAGGGAGATGAAGAACACGATGAAGATGGAGATGACGCAACGGTTGACCCAGTTGACAATCGGGTGAAGGTCAGCACAGAAGGTAGGCAGCAGAGGATCGGTGACAGGTAGATCGGAATTGTAACGGCAAGTGATGGTCTCGTGCTTCAAGGCACCCAGGTTGATCAGCACAATCATGAACATTTGCACAGACAGCATAATGAACATGTTATTAATGTGGAAACCAGGGTGGGCATAGTAGAAAGACAGGAAACGATCCAAGGGCAGTTGGGTTCCGAGGTAGTAGTACTCTCGAGACAACATCTGTTCACCCATACCAGTACCAATCTTCGTAGTGAAGTTAAGAACGGAGCCGAAACCCAAATCACGACCCTTACCACACTGGTAGTACTCGCAGTGCTTGATACGACCACCACGCAGAAGAGCGTTCATACCGGCGTAAATATCCTCGTTAAGGTGCAGTCCCTTTTGGGCCTTGGAGACACCACCACGCGTACACATGAAGGTGGCATTCAGGAAATCAGGGTGACCATAATGAAGCTTACCACCGATCTGGGCCAGAGTACGTGCGAACAGTGTACCGAACGTTTGTTCCTTGGAGGCAGCGATATCACCAAGCACACCAATGTTCTCAGAGAAAATGTATTCACGAGCTCCGAGAATGGCGATAGGGTTGTTTTCCGGTGAGGGGATACCAGGCGTGTACGGCGAAACGTTGTCAGTGGTCAGCTCTTCGAACTCAGCCAAAACGCTGCGGATCTTCAGACATTCTTCCAGATAGTTGTCCTGGTTGGCGTCAATCAACTGGATGTATTCACCACGGTAGAAGATGATAGCGTGGTTCTGGTTGTCGGACTTTCCGTCACCAAGAATCGGGTTACCAGAGAGCTGAATTCTGAACTTAGGCTTGCGCATTCCGTTCTCGAGGATTTCACAGTGACCATCAATCAAGGCAGAGTACAGGCGGGGCTCCTCATCCTCGGTGGCTGGGGGCTCTTCATCAAGATACGCAATCTGAAGATCAGGGTAGGCACGGAGGAGGAACTCTGTGTTCTCGCGCTCATCCTTGGTCATCTTGGCATAACGCTGCATGGAAACACAGATACGGAACTTGCGGCGAGCCATACGCTCCAACTCACGCTCCAGCTTTTCCGAGTTACCACCGAACATCTGGACGACTTCGGGGTTTTCAACGCGATAAAGCAGCTTGATGGCACGGCTGTAGTTCATGAAACCGGAAACAGTTCTGTAGAGGGTCTGCGAACGAAGAGAGGCCCAGATACGAGTTCGGAGAGTGTATTCAGGAGCCGCCGATTTGAAACCGATGCAGTAGAAAGGCAGATCATCAATCTTGCTCTTCTGTGCATCCTTCTCGCCTTTTTCGTTCATTTCACCGTTGAACTGGGAGGTCTCGTCGGCCAAAATCTTAGTGTCCTTGACAAAGCAGTCCCACTCGTGAGGGTGCAGCTGCTTGAGGTATTCAAGAAGCGTCACACGGGAGTATGGTTCATCCTCGCGAATAATTTCTCTCAGGGACAAGAGAATCTTCTCGCTGTAGTGGGGAATAAGAACACTGAAGGTGGGCATGTTGTCAACGGGCAATGGTTCTGGCATGGGAGTCGACAAAGATTGAGCAAAGAAGGAGATACGACGCTCAGCCTCACTACCAGCCGGGAAAAACTCAGTCTTGAAGGACTGATCTTCCTGAGAGACGAAGAAAGTCGGGGCGCGAAGAGTGCGCTTGCCTTCTTGCTCCGAGGGAACCTGGTGGTAGAGCAGCTTCTGGACATGGTCGATGGCCAAGAGATGTTCGCGATACATGGAAATGATGATTGCATTCCACACCTGGGAGATCAACACCTTGGGCTTGTACTTAATCTCCATATCTGTCGTAGCAAGAACCTTGGAGTAAATACGCTTGGGGAGACGGGAGAAGATGTTTCGCCAAGGAGACCAGATGGAGACACCAAGGTAGAAAGAACGAGCCACGGAGAAGATAGTGTTACAAATAATGTACCACAGATAACTGTCAAGGAAGAAAAGCGTCAGGTCCATGAAGAACATGAGACCGAGCAGAATCTGAGGCTGCTTGTGACACAGAACGTTGCCAACCCAGTAGACACCAGTGCACTCCCAGATGCTCATTGGTGACAGGATGCGAATAGGGTCCTTCAACGAGAGAGTCAGGAAGAAGTAAGACTCAGCAAGCTTGGCACCAAAGACGCAAACCCAGAGACCGTAGGACATCCACATGTCATTTCCGTAAAGACGAGGGAAACTAGCCGTGAATGTCTGACTAGCAACATACTGACGACCCCCCTTTTTCATATAACTCCCGAACAGACCACCGAGGGGCTGGATAGAGAAGAAAGCAGATGTGAAAACGGCCAGGACGAAGCCCACAATTCCCACGATAAGGCCAATAGTGTTCTGGGTACTGGTTTTTTTGCTGATTATGTCGAGGAAGCCAAAGATGAGAACACCAGGGATGAGGTTGACAATGAAGACGCAAATCAGCAACCAGAAACGCTTGTTCAGATGCTGAGCTCCAGCCCAGCGACGCGGGACGTAGATCCACTCGCAGATGGTAGCGAAGATCTGAATGAAGGCAGCAATTGCACCACCGAAGCTGACTGCCGCCAAATATCTGGCGGCGGTAGGCTTGTTATTCGCTTGCTGGGTGTAATGTTTGGTATAGAGAGTTGGAGCGTTGTAGGCAGTGAACATCCAGAAGGCAGAAAGGTGAAGAACCCAGATACGGTTGAAGTTGGTAACCATGTGGAACCAGGACCGGGTCTCAAGGTAGGTCTTGAAGAAAGCCTTCTTCCACACGACATCCTTGAGCTTGGGCCAACGCTCAGCAGGGGGGATATCAACCAAACGAGTCTTATCCTCGAACCCGATGCGCTCAATACCTTCGGGGTACCAGAACAGCTGGTTCATATCATCGTAACCGATGATCTCGTTGTGGTCACGCTCACGACGCACGTATTTGCCATCCACAATCTCGTATCCCTGGTCACGGCAGTACTGGTAGAGGGGAGTGATGATCTCATTGAGGTAAGTGAACTCCTCAACAGGCTCAACACGGCTCTGGCACTCTGGAGAGGAGTAGAAGTCGTCTGCACACTTGAAGATGAAACAGATGCATTCGGGCAAAAATCGAACCTGGTTGGCTTCACCCCAGATGAGCAGGTACAAAGCCACTTGGCGGGCACGGTCATGCTGGGACATGCGGTTCATGCGAGACTTCCAGCGGTACTCGGCTGCCTCCAGGCTGTTGTCGCCTTCCAGGGCTTCCAGAACCTCCTCCTCATTCTCCGGGTTTTCCTTAGCGGCCTTCTGGGCAGCCTTACGAGCCTTTCGGGTCTTGCGATCCGCCTTCCCAAGCTTCATATTCGAAAAGCCGACGGAATCATCAAGGTCCAGGTGAGCGGCGAAGTACCAACGGCGGTAGTTGGCATTGTGTCCACCAATATAGTCGGCGTGCAAGGAGAGTAGGGCCTGGTTGGGGGTCATACGGGAGGCACGCGAATCGAGGAGCGTCATCATATGGTCATACATGTTACGCATGCTGTCTCTCTGGAAACCAAACTTGTTCACCAAGTCTAAGAAAATGTCCTCTAATTCCTCTTTGGAAAGAGGAATCTGAGCATCAGAGGTCCAAGCTGGGTATGGCTCCCGCGAACGCTGGCCAGCCGGCAACGCGTTTCCGTACTCCATGCCGTAAACAGGTGTGGATGCACCGGATGATCTGTTTCCACCGTAGGACACCTGTGAGGATGGGGGGCGGTACCCATATCCACTTTGGCTGCCCGCGTAGCTGTTGTAACGCTCATCACCGCGGCCATAGTAATCCATGTCAGCGGCACGAGCGGTTTCCGATCTCATGGTGAAGTCACTGAATGTCTCTGAATCTTCCTCGGAGTCACCGCGACGGCCACGAGCTTGTCCCTGGTCGTAATATTGTTGATCCCCGTAGTATTCATCGTGCTGACCACCTTCGGCGTATGCCTGTGGATGAGCGGCATCAGGTTGAGCGGGATCGTAGTATTCACTGCGATATGGTTAGTCTTTCCCATTCTCAAATTTCTTCGATTGTGAATGCATACCCTCTGTCGTAGTATCCATCACCGTATTGTTGGTTATCGTAGTATCCCTGAGCATGCTCATGCTCGTCTTGATAATAGGCGTCGCCATGACCTGCTTGGGCGTAACCATCGTCATAATGGCCGCCTGCTTCGTAGCCAGCCATGACGAAAGGAGTGGGAATCGATCGCTTTTTGGTAGCTATATGCACAATGAGTTAGCCCCAGGGTCCTTGGTGATGCTTGACAGATCACGGATTTTCGCGATCTACTCTCAATCTCACCTCAACGATGACCCATGCACAGTATTACTATTCTTGATAAACGGTTTGAATTATTGCCGCATCGACACGGGAACGAATGGCGTAAACGTAAAGGTGTTTGTTTGGCTGAAAGGAATGCCGAGCAGGATCGAAGTGAACCGAATGTCAAATTCGGGGTTGATGCTAACGAATGGACCGGAACGAGGATTCGAAACGGAAGGCAACAATGGGAAGGAGCAAAACTTCCAACAAAAAAAAAAAACAAGAGATCTAAAATCTTCAATTCCTTCCTTCTGAACGAGTGTCACAAGGGAAGGTGGGAAGGTAGAAAACGAAAGGAAGGGGGTTTAGGGAAGGAAAGGAAAATATCCGGTGTTATTTTTGGGATTGGGGGGGGGCAGAGAGAATGAGTTGGAAGGCTAATTTACCGTCACCGTACAGGGCAGGTACGCGTATGCTTATCCGCAAGTACCTGGTACCTGCACTCACTATGTATTTTTAACTAAATAGGGGAGTACCCACTACCCAACTCCACCCTATCATTTTCTTTCAGGGGTTCTCTTAATGTGTGAGGCTGGTCTGGTTCACGATACCGTTGTTGTCCAACCTCCCATTTACCATACAAATTTTACAAGTAAATAATTGGCAAACATCAAATCACATAACCTGAATCAACCAATCAAACCATCCCAACCTCCTTTGCTTTATCCAATCAAACTGTCTCAAAAGTACCGGATTCCAAGGGAAATGCAACGGCCCCTGAGACCTTCTCCACTTGTACCCTCTCAGTATGTAAGAGTGGTAACAAATAATGTGGTTCGTGGTGGGTATTTTCATCGGAAATACCAGAACCTGCTACACGTCCACAACGAGTCTTGATTTGCTTGTGCCTTGTTATTGTTACCGTCCGGCATGCAGGGATAGCGTTGCAAGGCGTTCTTGTTTTTCATTCTTCCCGTTCCTATGTCCCACTGGTAACCGTTTACTTAGTAGATGTATAGAAGACAATCCAAGCTGTTTAATAGCAGTTTATCAATGACAAAGACACGGGCGCGTCCACTGGTCCAGGTTCCATGGCTAGCGATAGAATCCACCCACGCATGTATTTTTGTAGCATTTTATTTCCCCGCTAGGTTTCTTTCTTTTTTTTTAATCTGTAGAAAAACCCCATTGATCGTCGTAGTCGCCTTCTGGATCAAATGATCGCTCTCCGGCCGGATTTTTTTTTACACTAGAAACTCAATTTGCTTCTATTCGCCACTGATACACACGCGTCTCAAAATATGTACACAATTGCATGGTTTGAGTTTTCCACCGTTGCGCTATTCCATACACAGGACAGTGTGGTCCTATAATAAGCCCTTGTACGTACACGAGACCCCACTATCCAGTAGTTGTCACCAAAACCTGTTTGATCAAAACCTCGTATCAATACTTTTTTCGATGCGCTTTGTCTTTCAAGCAACTGATATCGTATGGACTATTTGGTTGAGTTGTGTGCTGTCGTGTACTTTGTAGGGTTGGGATGTACTGTGAACATCAGGTGTATGGAAAGATATATATGTAGACATTTAAACTGGCACATTCCACCACTTCTAATTCCTGAGACGACATTTGAGCTTGAACTATATATCATCCATGGATTAGCTCAAATCAATTCTTGGGTCGAGTCCTCTTTGCTTTGCAATCAATCTGACCATAACTAAATCTAATTAGTTCAAAGTATCTGTGTATGAAACACCGTACACACTACTGGTAACGCCCGTATTGAAGCGACGCAGTCGATCTCCACCGTTGGTTCCAGCCCTCTGCATCCTGTTCCACTCCAGGGCTGTTCAAGTGGGTCGCGCAATGCTTTTTTATTCTCTGATTTGGAGGCTCGGTCTCGCCGGGGAGTCTGCGTACGCAACGCCCTGCGAGTACTGCATTAGACGTATCGATCGTCTCGATCATGTCCATATCGTCGACAGATCTGTAGGCCAGCTATCTGTACCCGAACCCCAACCCCAATCCCGACACTTGAATACCCGTACTTTGCGACCGGGGAGTCCCTGCCTGTGTCTGCCAACTTTTGGCCCAGGATTGCAACGATACGTCCACTGCATGAAGACGGGGCCCTATCATCCACCTTCATTTCCCTGATTGTTGTCTAACCCCTGAACCAATCCGTACTTCCGGGGATTTCCAAAAAAATATTGTAAATGTTTATGGAGTCCTCCATTCTAACTATCTATTTTATTTTATGCACTCCGTGCTCCGTTTACGGCTACAGAGCCAAAAATAAACTGTCCCGATAATGGGCACAGGGTCTGGTCAACGATCGCTCAGTGGACTCGTCTAGCGTTGCAAGTTTATTGTACAGACCCGCCTCCTTTTCCAATACTGACCACTCTCGATCCCCCTTGACCTTTTTTGGCGTAAGTGTGGCTGATTTCCAGCTCGAAGCTTTGCCCTTTTGTAATTATTAATAATTGCCCATGGCTACTGTAGTCTGGCTGTCAAATGCCACTGCCGTAATTGGCGCTATGTTATCATCTTTTTGTGGTTTCGTTAGTTGTTCGTCAGGTTCTTCCACTAAACATGCATCCGACCCCCTGGATTTAGAACATGACTTATCCCTGAAATCCTGACTTGAACTCGCCACCGAAATCTGATAATAAGTTTCGATTCCTTTCGTCTTGTGTGCTTTGGTAATCAGTGGGGGCTGTGCTCTCCACATGAGGTTAACGTGAACAAGAGCCAATCACTTTCAACTCCATCTTTTAGTGGACACTTCCGCACATGTGCACCACTTGACATTGTGCAGGATACCTAAATCTACATGCCATATTAAAAATGTCATATCGTGGGCGAAGGTGTGTCTAGCGACAGCTCAGCACTACTCAATGCTCGCCCTGGCTGACCAGTATTTGCCTTGGTTCATACGCACAGTGCCATGCGGGGCTCAAATTTCATATTCTACAAATGTCCCTCCCAAGGTTCATGATACACAAACTCTATGTAGCTACTGCGATGTACGATGTCTCTCCCATATTCCAGCTTTTTCCACCACAGAAAAGCAGCCCCCGATAAAATAAAATTACACGTCTAGTACATTAGTCCCTACGTCTAACATGCACCCTGCACAGCACACAGCATGTCCATAGATGAGACTGGTTTACAGCCTCCGACGATGAGACCAAGAATGTAAGGGAACGAGATCTGCGTGGATGCATGGCAAAAGAATGGCGGAAGCTTGTCGATCTAGGGATCAGAGCGCCCTTCCCGGGCGCATTTTCCGCTAGGATCGGCAGGGTATTCATTCCACGGGGACCTGCATGGGTATCTGGCCCGGTATACTGCTTCTGGCAAGTAGCTTGTCTATGATGAGGCGCAGTGCCGAGTTTGGAGCCTGCCTTTGGAGCGTGCTGAGGCGCATTTCGTTTTGTTATCAATTCTCGTGTTTAGTGTCGGGTTTTGAGCACTGCGATGTAAGCGCTGTGCCTGTGTTATGTGCCTGCCTACCCGTGTTTCCCAATTTGATACCCTGCTCAGATTACACGGGCCATGCATAGTATGTAGGTCATACTACACTCGCTGTAACTCTTCAGCTTCCGCCACTGTAAGTTAACTGATATAGATTCTCTTAGACTTTGAGAGATTTCGGAGTGTAACTGGTAGTAGGTCATAGCAGCGTACTGTGACTCAAGACGCATTATAGGGTATTTGGAGTACTTGAGGTCTACAGAAGATACACTTGGTAATATATACATGTTTAATATTTTGAATACGGCTCAATGATGGTGGTGAATTATTTCAAATGTTTCTATACAGCATCTTAGGAGTCTAGCAGTATAAAAAATTTCCACCACCTATGTACACTGGCAGATATTTGCATTAATTCAAGCGTATGGGTGAGGGCTTTCTTTGCGTGGGTCTCAACTTTACGTATGTCGTAGAATATGCTATCAATGCACTCATTCGGTGTTCAAATTTTAAATACAAAACCAGATACTGGTGTTGACGTTTCTGAATGCTGCTGCCCAGGTGCATGGCACTCGGAAAATATATCACGACGCCTCCGTATGTATCCCAAAATAAAATTAAGTATTTCAAACACGCCATTGAAATACCTCAGAACCTTTACTTAGATAGACCGATGCAAGTTTAATAACAAAATTTGAATAGCAAAACAATGAACATCATTAGCAATAATCTTGTGGCCTAAAAACTATCTCCTTGATTTCTCTAATCTAATGATATGTCATCATTGGTCCGCTAAATAAGGACCCCACATGATCAGATCACACATGTCTTAGTTTATAAATCCATAAGTCGACGGGACAATAACAACAGCCCGGGTGGTCTAGTGGTATGATTCGCGCTTAGGGCAGCAACTCTAAGCACTCCTGCGCGAGGTCCCGTGTTCGATCCACGGCTCGGGCCTGTTATCTTTTTGTCGCATTTTTTTTTGTAACCTTCCATCCAAGGTCTGGCATTGCGTAGTGACTGCTCTGAACTTTCTGAATCTGAGTTCTTTTTCTTCTTTTTCCTCTCTCTCCTTTTTTTCAAATACTCACTTCATCCAATCTTAGCCAAATCAATAGGAAACTCAGAATACCGTCTAATTCCTATACTGTAGAGTCTGGATCTGGTCGTTGATGTGGGCGACGTTTAAATCTATGTAGCACCCTACCGAAGAGATGGTGCTAATATTTCCTTGTGTTCATGGTGCAACTAGAAGTTTGTTATTATGGACAAGGATTAATCTTACATTGCCACTTCAATCCTGCGCGTAAATGAATATAGATCTCACAACATATTAATGTATCACAGATGTCCACCTATAAACCCATCTGACTCAGCGACAATACCACGGGGACTCCTTACATAGCAATAATATTGGAAAATATTGCTCCTAGTTTTTGATATACCTGCCAGTGATATTGTAAGATAGATTTTCACTTATGTTTAATTGTGATGTGACACCATACTGTCAACGTTAGGACCACATGATCGATTCGTAATTCTAGTCAACTCTACCATGTAATAGTGGTAACTTCAAAGTAATCGTTTCATCAATTAATCTTATAGTGGCTGGCGTATGTTCATCCGGAATCCAGGAGAGACACCATCAAAATGCGAGAGGGACAGTTTGCTGACGCCGGAATAGTTGGCGACACGAGTTCGTTGATTTGATCTGTTTCACAGCACAAAGTTGGAACAACGTCAGAGATTGGGTGGTCCACGGCAGTTCTAAGCAACAATTCCTGATCTATGAAAATGTGTGGTGCACTCAGTGCTTACTAAGACGGAGGTACCTGGCTAGAAAAGTTCTTCAGAGCACAGACTTCAAGGAGGTGGAAGATAGCCACCTTTACCTGGCGAAGGATGACATGTTTTCAAGAATATCACCTTGGCAGTCACCTGGAAATATAGATACCGTTTAAAGACTAAAGTGCGGCATGACATCAGCCGGCTTTTATTTCAATGTCAACCGGCCGGGACATCCCAGTTTAAAGGTTAAATGAACAAGGAGGACCCAGATAAGCAGGGTAATCCTTTCAAAGTTTTGAGAGCTTCTGGCCACTTGCATAATTCACTTCACTTGAATATTATCTCCGCAGGCTCCGATTAAATGATCTACCTGATGAGTACCTCATCCATAACCTCCTCCATGATCCTCACGGAGGAGCTGATTCCATGTTAGCCACTTCAGCTCGGATGACTGGTACACTGACATCGGAAACTTCCTGCGTGATCACCGATAATGGAATCAGACTTGCCGACTTAGATGCTGTGCATACCTTTGCCTGTTTATCCGTGAGAGGCCACCATGATGCGCCGGCTGATATGAATTATGCATCTATTAATTGCTTTGCTTGGAGAATTTTCGAAAACGAAAGGGCGATTTGAGTCGCTTTGCGTATTGGTTTAGTGAGTTGAGACCCGAAACGTTAAATGACATTTGATGAGCTCAGAATTCAAACTTTCATGAGGATTAGTCCATGACTCATTTCATTGACTGACTTGAGGGATTTCTTCTTGGAAGCTCCCTCTGTGTAGGCCTCTTTTCTCCGTAAGCAAGGGTTTCGCTGTACCATGAACACAGGAACAGAAGAGGACCAGCTTATATGAGCTAGCCAAGCCAATGATTGAGAAATATATGAAGTATACGAAAAAGGTTCTTACTAGATATAACTTGTAACATGAGTGTTATGATAAAGTGATAGCTTACAATTTAGCGATTCTGATCACATAGAAACCACTCATGTCTCGGCAATCAAGGACCCCTAATGAAATGAACCAAATCACAATCTGAGGAATTATTTCGTTTCGCAAGTAAAAGTAATGTCCTATAGCCAGCCCCTTTAGATATCCAAACCCATGACCCGAAGCCCAGGGTCACTTCAGTAAGACAAACAATCAGCCTTAGTCAAAAGGTAGATGCAAACAGGCTTCCATGCTGGGAGATTATCGCATAACGGATCGTGTAGCTCTGGGTTCCACTCGTAAAGTTCTGTCAAATTGAGTGGGTAATGGTCGTTAACAATACTGAGGCAGCTATCCCCTTCCCTAGGGTGGTACCAAGACACACCTGCCTTAGATTAGCTTGATACATAAGCCAAAGCAGAGAGCTGCAAGATCACTCACAGGAGCCCACTTCTCGAATTTTTATTGCATGTGCATCAACAGTTCCTGGCAGAACGGAAAGTGTAATGACAAGAGCGGTAATGGTAGCGCGATGAATTGAGAAAGTCATTGCGAAAATTCAAGAGTATAGGCTTCTCGTGAGATGAAGTCAAGGCCCACAATAGAGTGTTGAGAAGTTGATGATTCCAGAAATGAGGGACCCTTTCCTCCTTATTTATTCCTTCCTTTATGATGTTTGATCACACAGTCGAATATACATGAATGAAAAGAAGTTGTTTTGCCTCCAGTCATCTGATATTTCGCTGCCAGAAACCAAATTATCAGATGCCAAACCAAGGCCATCTTGGTCTGATGATAAGCGGGTAATAGCATATAGTTGTTTGACCAAGAGAATCAAGATTTGAAAACTGACTAGAACCCGAGAGTACAAACAGAAAAAAAGATGCTAAAGGTTGTAAGGAACAAAATAGCTATGCAACATACAATCTAGGTGAGAGGACTCTTAGCCTATGATCTGTACAAAAAAGGCTACCCCAATAGTATGCAGCATATTTTGGAAATCTGACAGTGGTCAAGCTGTTTTCACACATGGGGATAGCCTCGATTCTTATTCTCAAAGCTCCTGTAGCAAGGTTTCCTTTCATGAGCGGCTTAAAAAAGACTGATGCCGTGATCATGCAGCAAATTATTGATCTTCTTTGGCTTTCAACTTCCAACATTCCCCCTAATTTACATGGCCCCTGCGAAGGAAAATTCACATAGAACCTTATATCATGAGAATCAAAAATCTGAAGTGTCGATCCACGAGAGGGTCGCGGGAACAGTCACCGTGCCATTGATAGGTAGTCCTTCAGCTGGATCGTCGTCAGTCAACATACTTTAAAGTGATGGATGGGAAAAACTACCTCCGCTGGTGGTCAAGTAGAGAATGTGTTCATCACTAGGCAACCGACCGAACTTGCCAGCTGAGACGCCCGCCAGAATAGTTGAGATATTGCTACCGGCGATGACATTGGCCTTGGACTGTCCGGGGTACAAGACACTAAGCTCATCCATCTGGTTCTGAGCGATAAAGGCAACGCCATCACTTTTGAAGATAAAGTCATCGGCTTTGGGAACATTGCTGACAACGACCTCAGATTCGCCGACAGCAGCACCCCGACTCGTGATGGCGATACGGTTCAAAGTACCGACCGCTGTGTTAGACCAGTAAAGGTAACCATCATGCAGCTTGATACCATTGACACCGATATTGGTCGGGGGGTTTGAGATTGAGTCAAATCTCATTATCTCATCGTTGATGGCGATCGAGTAGACACCGGTGTTGGTGTCAACACGGTACACCCAGCCGTTATAGGCATCAGCGACAAGAATCAAGTCGTCAGACAGGGTAGTAAGTCCGTTCAGGAAATCTGAAGTTTCCACATCAACCAACTTGGAGACGGTGGCGTTGGAAACAACCTTGCCTGTGTGCTCAGATACGGAGAAAGTAGACATATCAATCTCCCAAATGCTGTTGACACCCGAGGTAAGCACAAAGTCACTGTTGACAAAACCAGAGGTTACCACATAGAATAAGTCGGTGGTCGTCTCAGAGATACCGAGACAGCCCATGTAGGTTGCCGAATCCCATGAAGCAACTGTGATTGGATCCTTTATTCCCTTCAGGTCAAGCTGTAACACCTCAGGTGTGTCCAGACGCGAAACAAGGATTTGCCCATTAGCGCGAACTGCGAGATTCTCCGCCCAGGTTCCACTGCCAAAGCTGTAGAGAACGTTGACTTCGACAGAAGACCCAGTGTTATCAGCGGACTTTCTAGCAAGAGAGAGTATGTTGTCACGAGGAAGGGCAAATGCCGTGTTTAAGAAGAAGCAAGCCGCAATGAGCAATGAAAGAACAGGAGCCATGGTAGTCAGTGTTATTTTCCCCAACAAGTTTTCATTGAGGGGAAGTGCTGGAACAGAATTTATAAGTCATTGATTATGAGTTGAGCTACTAGGGTCACTAGTGACCTTAGCCATTGTCTTTCGGAGGCACCGGAGAAGCTAAGCAGAATAGGCCATGAAATGGCTGATGGCGGGATGTCTAGAGGAAAATTGCGCTCCAATATAGTAGATATATTGCGGACAACGGACCCGAGCCCCGTATCCACCCCGATATGGGGCTAAATCTAGAAGGGATTTCTACAATGTGGAGTCAAAGTGAGAGTAATTGCGCCAATAGCTGTTGATGGAGATATTATCATGCATATGCAATCTCTTTTGGCACCCTTAGAGTCATACGGCATTCATAGAAGAGGCGGCGACAGATTGTGGCGTTTATTTTTGTCCTACGAAGTTCTCCGCACATTTTGAATTATTCCGAAAGGCAGCCTCATGTCAACAAAGACCCCTTGAACCCTTTCTCATGTTGAGTTTCTTCATCTTCAGATAATCCCGGTGTCGCTTTCCAGGCCATGTCTGAAGAAGGCGATATAGGTATATTTGAGCAACGTAGCGTCGAATATTTGCACCAAACTGACTTTGCTTAGGAGAACCAGCCCTCGGGGTATGCTGTGGACTCTCCACAATTGCCTTGGTCGTGACGATCGCCAGACTTTATACCCAGGCGCGGATCACCCGTCAACTCGGACTAAGTGACGCGATGCTGGCCTTATCCACTGTAAGTACTTTGTGCCGATTCATGATTCCTCCCGACTAATAGATCAGGGTATTGTTCTTATATTCGCATCGCTAATCACCGTGCAATATCACTATGGATGGGGCCGACACTAACAGACGCTCACTACATATCAGCGCATCGAAGCCTTGAAATATGATGCGATAGGCGGCTCCACTTTTGGGCGCCTCCCAACAATTGCGACCATGTTCACTCTGTTTGGGATAAATCAAAAGCTACGGCGTGGACTCTGGACGCTCTTTGCAGCCCAGATTGTCACGAACGGTATTACTGTGGTGTGTTTGTACGCGCAGTGTACTAATATCGTTCTGCTTTGGGATTCGAATGAAGGTTCCGGTACATGCTGGAATGCGGATGTGCAGACTGTAAGAGAAAGAAAAAAGAAACAATGACCTAACACATGTCATTTTCGGCACTGACAATCGCAGTACCTGGGATACGCACACTCAGCTTTCAATGGCGTCACTGATATTTCCTTGACATTTTTTCCCGCATACATGATTCGGAATTTGCAGATGAACCGATGGACGAAGCTTGGGGTGGGGGTTCTTTTAGGCTTAAGTATTCTGTATGTCTTTCCCGGTCGTCTTTCAAAGTTTAACATGGATGCTAGCTAAGCTGTCAGTGCTGTCATTGCCGTTGTCATGAAGATTATTAATCTCGAAGCCCTTGCGAATCGGGGCGATTATACCTGTCAGTCAAATCCTTATTGAAACCATCAGGATGTACGACTGACAATTCACAGATAATACAGTTGCTCTGTTCACTTGGATATTGTAAAATGTCGGCTTTCCATAACTCAAGACCGTCTGCTAATATACCCTAGAGCTGAAGCTGTTCTTCTCAATATTGCTGCCTCGGCTCCCGTCCTCCGCCCGCTGTACAGGAGGATCTTCAAAAATGCATCACGCAATTACTCATATGAGATGAATAGTCATGAGGTTATAAGAAGCCACATTTCCCGCAACCAAGGTGGCAAGACCAATGACTCCGCAAGTGACAAGGCCATTCTGCAGGATAATTTTCATCACATCACAGTAAAGCAGTCATACTCGGTGACTATGGCTAATACAAGAGGATTTGAATGACATCCAGGCTTCCAATAAGGCTGGGCATTCTGAGGTTCCAGATTAAATTCCAAAGATGATGAAAACAAAATAAGTTTGTGACATTTTCATGGAATTGAACTGTGCGGGAAGAGTTTAAGTTCCGTCGACCCGGGCCTAAATGATAAATGATAATATCAAGTCTACCCAATCATGAAGCTTGAAAAGGCAGCCGATATTGGAAATGCCGAGACGTTCCAAGGTTAGACATGCCAAGATAAGAAAAAGCGGCTCAAATGATTGTGTGGCAACCTTTCTCGATCGTGTTACCGACCGATCTCCAACTGATCTCCGACCAATCTCCGTCACCGCTAGATACATTTATCTTCTTTTGCCATTATATTGAGAAGAAATGTTGAGAGACAAAAAGATACAGGGACCTAAATACTATTGCAAGAAGCATATTACAAGATAAGATCCTCAGACAGTACAACTAATTTGAAAATACAGATCGGAAATATCTCGGAGCGGGCGAAGTTCGGCTGAGACATTTTAGGCGTCCTACAGTAGGACGCCTAAAAGGAAAGCTAACTTTGATATCTTTCCATGGCCATTGCCCAAGTCAGAACATAAATACTTTGCCTTGTCCTGGTAAGTGGTAAGATTTCGCAACATTTGCAGATTCAAGCCTTGCATCACAATGAGTACCTCAACCTCAACCTCAAAGTCAATCAAGTCTATAAGCACCGAAATTGAGGAGATTGATAATGTCTCCCCAATTCAACCACATTCTACTACTATCTCGCGCATTAAGCAACATCTGAGACAAACCAAGAAAAAATGGGGACCCCTAATGGCAGCCAAGGAGTTCTGGGATGACGAGTATAACTTCCCTCCCGGCAGATATGCAGGTCAGGATGACCGGAAGTTGATCTAAGAAGACTGGTGAGGATGCCCAAGTCGTGAATATGTGTCGACATTAAGAATCATATCTTTGACTCGACTTGTCCACGCAGAAACTCGAACCATCGAGACACTCGAAGTGAACATTACTCAGAACCAGCTCGTGGGTTTGAGACTTCAAATATGACCACGGAAAATACGACGAAAATGAACGGCTTGGAAGAAAAAGATGGGAATTCTGGGGTGGGACATTATGTTTCGAATATTAATGATAATGACCAGGACGAATAATGGCATGAACTCTTTTAATCGTGGACTAAAGCATTTATCAACCAGATAATGTGTAAAGTACTAAGTGAAGGAATCGAAATGAATTCTCTGTTCCTATATTGAGGCTCTTTTCATCCAACCATCATTCTGGCTGTGTACGATGTCACCCGCGGCATGATGACATCATTGTTTCCATTGTGGAAAAAAACCGCGGGAACTTCCATCCATCCGTTCCCTGAACTCAACCCTTTTATCACTTTCATCAAAGCCTGTAGGTGAGCTGAACGCTCAATAATCGCAATGTCAAGTCACATCAAAGATGCCGCCATCGCCGAGGCCAAAAGCGTCCAAGCTGCCTCGGAAGGCGTCCTAAGATCCGGCGCATATCTCTATCCGTTCAAGGCAAGCCAGTCCAATTACCACTGTTTATCAGCGACTGACCCAAGATAGGGTATATTTTACTTTGCTACTCACAGACAACTTTGGCGGCCATTTATTAGCCGGGCCGGGCGAATCATCACCCTGGGCTTGGGTGTAACCTCATTCATGTTCTTCTTCACCTATCTCCCCCAGATGGCGATCATGGCCATTACCAGTGGACCGCTTGCTGCTATATCTACGGCATTGCTGGTTCTTAGCGAGAGTGCAACTTTAACAACTATTTTCTCGCGATCCGAAGAGGCCTTGATTGATACGTTTGATGGTACCCTCATCGCCCGTAACCAGGAGTCTCTTGTCGCGCAGGGACGCCAGGTTAAACCTCAGTCTGGGGGGAGGGATGCTGTTGCAAGACTAGGAAAGATTTTCTCCCGCCCGTTTACGAGATTCAAGCCGCAGATGCTGCTACGGTCTTTGCTCTATCTGCCCCTGAATATGATTCCTGTTGTTGGGACGGTGTTGTACATAGTCGTGCAGGGCAAAAGGATTGGCCCGGGGCTACATGCACGATACTTTCAGCTGAAAGGATGGAACTCAGTGCAGCAAGATGAGTGGGTGGCTAAGAATCGTGGAGCATACACTGGGTACGCAAGTTCCACCATTCTACCTCTACATAATGCTGATTAATGTGCAGACTCGGAATCGCGGCTTTCGCTTTGGAGATGATACCCTTCGCTTCCATCGTTTTCTCATTCACGAACACCGTTGGAGCTTCCTTGTGGGCCGCAGATCTCGAGAAGGCGACGGAATAGAAAACTGAAAACCGCTTGGAAAGAATCACCACCCCGTAACATGCTTGATGCGAGAATGCGATTCAAGCGAGAGTACCAAAAAGATAATCTAATAAATAGTATGCAAGGCAAATAATGCAACAAACCTCCAAGAGGAAATCTATATCTGTGTCGTAGCAGCGTTAAACTATCACATCTATTCTATAATACCGTTGTGAAAATACCAAATGCCGAGATTTGAACCCTCCACCTAGGCTGAGCAGGTGAAAGGCGTGCCAATCGATCCTGATTGGAATTTATAAACCTTTGAGGCGTAGAGTTAGCCACGTGCCATCGAAATCGAAGAACATAAGCTCACCAAATCAGCGATACTCGCATATCCACCGCAGAAAAAGATAACCATACCAACCACAAACACCTAAGAATGATTAAGAAAAAATAACTCAGCTTCAAGATTTGGGTTTCTTACCATGGCGTTGTATAGGACTGGCTTCAAGTTATGTTTTTCATACCATGCGCCTTTCATCAGGAGCATATAAAACATCACAGGCGGTAGATAGAAGCTCAGCCCACTGATGAATAATGCTGATATGATCGATAACAAGCTCGAGAATATGGGAATGGCCTCAGCAATTGCCCACGCAATTCCCGTTATAGAGAGAACAAGACTAAGCCATGAGCCCCAGCCTTCTGGTTCCTTCTGATAAACTTTTCCATATATGTATCTGCAGACCACTGTAGTGTTGATAGAGCCGGAAATGAAGATGACTGGAAGAGCGATGCCGAAAGTAATCCTTGAAAGGAGAGGTCCTGCCGACAGCAGGGCTGGCGATTGCACACTCTGCCCGACAAAGGCATAGATAATCGACCCAGTGAGAGTGTAAATAACAATTTGGACTCCACCCAGCCACCACATAGCTTTTGTGTAATCTTTGGGGGTATGCATATCCTCCATGAAAGAGGGCAAACAACCTGCATAAGAATATGAAAAGACAATTATGTTGCATCTGAGAAAACTGAGGTTACCACATATTCTTCACGGAGCTTCATACCAAGAAAACATTGTACATACGCGTTGATAGCCGAGATAAAAGAGGTATCCGACTTCGGCCACGCAGACCAATCCGAAGACCCCGAGCTCTGGATCCCAGTAGCAACCATAGTGACACCAATAGCCAAGACAATCGAAGCGAAATCAATATATCCCAGAATGGCAATTTCTGCAAATGATGGCGGCACGGCGAGAAGCATCATAATGACAGCAGCAAGAACGCTAAAAATCACCGAACACATATCACTCTGCGTGATCGTCCTAAGCGCAATCGCGCCTGTCAAAGTATGCGACCCAATCGCACAAACGAGCAGAGAAACAAAGCTACCGATAAATATCTTTGATCCCCACCTGCCCATAATAAGCGGTCCAACATCTGCATAGTGTGCAACCTCAGGATACATGAGTTTAACTTGACCGACTATGTAGCCTGCATACATCGCACCCAAGCCAATGACCACGGTCAGAATGACACCTGCGACCATACCAAGCGCCGCAAAGGCAGATGGCAGCCCAAGGCTGCCTAACGCGATCGCCTCAACGATCGCAATAACAGTAAGACGCTTCCATCCCAGACGTTTAAATTTGGCGTGACCCGCTGGAATGTGCTGCGTCTCCAGATCGCCGGCATCGAGATCCTTTACGACAGCGTCTTTGCTATTACCCGCTAATAGTGGCTGTCTTTCCGGATCGCAGACACCGGGATGTTTTGCGACAGCGTTGTTGGCCATAACGTCAGTTGACCCCGGAGATCACGTTATCAGTGTTTATGTACAGCCCCGCGCGACAATATCGCGATCTGGCCGAATAACGAGCGACAGCAGGGATAAAAATTGAAAAAGGCCCGAGCTAAAAGGGAGGTGTTGGTTAATGATAGTGGTAAGTGAAGATCAGAGATTATCTGATCGAAGGATCAGAGTGGGCCGAAAATCGGAGGTTCTCCGCATGGTGGAGCCCTGTCTGAAGAGTGAGACGATAAGGAGTAGATGGTAGACCCCCTTATGGACGCCAATGTGCAGATGATCAATCAGGGGTTACCTAGCAGAATTTAGGGGGGTCATCTGCATGCAAAATAGACTAATCAGATTGTATGGATTTTTAGAGCTGAGCCGCTGCAGCCGAAATTGAGCATGGGGTACATGAATAAAATGAAGTATATACTATGCATGAATATGATTCATCCGACATGTATTCAGAATTTGGAACTGCATAAGAGATCGGATTTGCCTTACCTACAGTATATATTTTATTGGTATCAAGTGATTGCATTGGACAAAAACTGGTTACTGCCACTTGGTGCCTGATATGAGAGGCTTAAACATGTCACGTGATAAACAGCCTATGAAGAAAAAATGCCTTTAAAAGGACTGGACTAGTTATGGTATTCACATATTTGGAGAGAAAAATCATTTCAAGTAATTTGATACTTAAATAGTCAACTTGTAATTCTTCATATATACTGCGAATGGTACATAGAACAATCTGTGACATTCGGCAAACGTCATTGGGCGGAAGTCTCCTTCCCGCAACTGCTGCCTCGTGCGCCTAGTCTACCTATCAAGCATAAAACGACACTGAAAGTCTCTCAACCCAGATATCCCAATTGCTTGAACTTGAGTTTGCCTACTCCAGGTGAATAATTCCTGGATTTAACTTGAAACCCGGAGACGGAAAGCGAAGCCTGGAGAACGAAAAAAGATCAACTGACGCGGGGTCTTGGCATCAAAATTCTATATCGAAGTCAAGCTCATCAAATTTTCATCTCTTTTAAAGTGAAGTCCTGGACAACTTTAAAATACCTAGAGCATACAAGCTCCTCGTGAACAATTGCCTCAAAAATGTCAGAAGTCAAAGAGCAAGACTTCTTTGGCGGGGCAATTCGTGGTGTGGTTCCACAGAACTGGGTTGACGCCAGGTTAGTAAATTAATATTCTCCGCGTAGACCCAGACTGAAGACTCTCAATGAGAATTCAGTCATTGGAAGCATGTATCGAAAGATACAAAACATTATCAAATAAAATTGACTAACCAGCATCACAGCAACCTCCGCGAAATTCCTGACCACCAGGAACTATTCCTTTCACGCGACACGCTGTCCAACCTAATCATTGAGATCAACCAGCGTGCCTCTCAAGAAGAAGCATTGAGCACCCTTGCTACTCTCAGCCAACAGCAGCCTTCACTACTAGTCGGCAGCGGCAGTGCCACTAGCGCAACACCCGAGACGGTTGACCAAGCAGCCGCTTTGTATCATCTGCACGATCTCTGCGAAGAAGGCGATTCCATGCACGTAGTTGAACTTCCAAAGCGCGTGACGTTGGGCCGATTGGCTTCCAATGCGCCACCTGGATCATCGATCAGTGCGTACAGGGGTATTGTTGAGTTTAAGTCAGTTCCTCGTCGCCGGGATCAGCGCGTGCCCGCTGTGGAACCTGGTGCCGCGGTTGCGGGTGTTTCAATGGATAGTGCGCCGGCTACCAATTCTTTGACTTGTCACTTCCTCCTTGTGCGGCTCGAGGCGCAGGAGACCGATCTTTTGACTTTCTTCAATGTGCCGCATCAGGAATTTGATAAGGGGGGCGATGCGGGTGGTTTGTCGAAAGAGGAGAGCACTGCGGAGGATGTTATGAAGTCGGTGGAGGAGAAAATGCAGATTTTGGACTGGGGACTTTTTGTTTAGCCTACCTTAGACGAAACGGGTGGAATCGGCTGGTCAATATGAAGGTGCTTATGGAAAATTGGGATTGGGTTGCATCTGGACGAGCAGATACCAAATAGGTTGCCAGAACCTTTAGTTAGATAAAATAAATGATCACATGATAATCGAAATGCCTTGAAAGTTGAATCGAATGTGAAAGAAAGTCTTGATACCAACAATATACAACAAAACAACGACCGTACTCCGGGCTATGATAGAAAAACATAAAAGCAAATGCAAAACTATAGGACAAATCTTCCGAAATCTCGTGTCACGTCATCCACAATCTTCTTTTGGAAAGCAGATGTAGCAGGATTCTTCTTGGGTGACACATTCCGCGGCTTAGGCTTGATCTGCTCAATCTTGTTTTTACAAGCACCACATCGAACACGAGTCGGGTCAATACTCTTCGAGTGACGACCGTAGGTTTGAGCACAGCTCACGCACGCCCAGACGTACTTGTAATCGATCTTATAAGAATGCTTCGTCGTGACATGGATCTGACCACCATAAATGGGATGATTCTTCAATGCCTCGGCACATTTATTTCCCCACATCTTGAAACTCGCGCCGTGCGGGTTATCGTGGCAATTTGATACCATGTAGTTTGCCAGATGACAGTATTCATGAGCAAGGGTGTTGAGCAGCCGGTACTCATCGTCGATGATTCGCTCAGCCAGTTCAATCTTGGCATGATGGCGGATAGAGCTGGGGATCACGCGACCACTTGAATCTCTGTCATTTATACCACGCCATTGTGCTCGACCAGCGGTTTTCTGTAGTGTTTTAGACCAAATGATTTCCACGCCACCGGTCTTCTCGGCAAGCTGGCTAACTTTTCCTCCCGCCACGGCGTCGTCTAGCACACGGAGAAAGGTATTTGCGAAGTCCGCTTTCTTGTTGTCGAAAGAGAGCCGGCGGGCCTTTGCAGCCTTCCGTGCTTCCGTCTCAGCCTTTTTGAGGGCGGTTTTGCTAGGTGTCTTTGCTTCCTTCATGGTGACTTTCGAGATTGATTCCGGCTCGGTACTAGTACTGATGTCTTGGCTGCTGCCTCCGTCTGAGTCGTCGAAGTCTTGGAGCAATTCGATGACAGATCGACCGGAGGTTTTATCTTTGCGTGGTGAATGTTGATCAACCCAGTCGTTGGCTACCTCCTGGCTCCAAAAGGCATCTGTACTTTCACGATGAGGCGTAGGAGGGATGCGGGATTTCTCCTTAGTCGGAGATCTTAAGAATCGATTTCGTGATGGGGTGGAAGGTGGTGTCTGAGAACGCCTGCTTGTCGGCTTTAATGGTGGAGGAGATAAGTCCAGATCTATGATGGACCTGTGATATATACATTAGCAAGTTTGTTCCACGGCAGACCATGAATGCAAAGCGTAACACATACAGAGAAGAGTCCGTCTCCACCTGAGAAGTCAACTCATTGTCGACATTGAGTTCCATGTCTCCAAGCTTTGTAGAAAGATCAAGATCATCTTGAAACTTGTGTTTAGGGTTCACCGGGAGGCTTGAAGGAAGCTTCACAGAATCAGGAAGCTTAACCTCTAGACCGAATGAATCAGAAGGAGAAGAACATCTCTCCCCATTCTCCTCCGTATTAAAGCCAGGTCGCCGTCCTCTGATCAGTCTCTTTCGAGCGGATTTTGGAGGTGGTGGCGGTGTTGGATTCTTTTGAACCTCTGTCTCAGAGTCGGATGTCTCATGATAGCTGGGCTCCTCGTTGTCACTGACAATAAAGTCTTCCAAGGAGGCAAAGCTATTGTCGCCAAAAACTTCTTCAACCCCAGGGCTCAGACGACTGAAAGACCTAGCGGTTGTGTTGGTTCTTGGGGTTCGTGTCGTGTTTCGTCTGACTGTCGATCGTTGTGGAACAGAGCTCATTGTGGGCGAGTTTGTGTCTGTTCCATATTCCGTGAGATCGTTTTCCTTTTCATAGTCATCAGTCTCCAATTTGACACTGGGTCTTTGGCGTGGTCTCTGTTGCAGAGGAAGGAGGAGCGAGTTGGTTCTGGCGAGTTTAAGGGTTCGCGTCTTCTTTTGTTTGCTGGGGGAGATTGATGGCGAATTTTGATCCCCAATCATGCTTGTGCCATCAAATGACAGGTCTTCATCTGTGAATATATCGAATAGTGTGCCTGATCCCTTTTTCGGTTTTTGTGTTGAGCCTTTGAGGTTACGGATTCCAGAACCTAGATCATGGGCTATCGGGCTATCGGGTGACCGGGAAGCTTGTTCGTTCAAGCATGCTTTCCGTGGAGAGCTTCTGAGGCTCTGTGATTTGGCGGTGTTGAGTCGTGCCATCTTTTGTTGAATATTTATGGAAGAGGTCAATCGGTATGTTGGTTGGCTAAGGTAGACACTTGCGCGGTCGAAAATGGGACAGACAGAGAGCTCTGCTATCGCATCACTTTGTCGCAGTGGACTGTAAGTTTTGTTGGTGGTGATTGATGGAGTTCAACAGTTGTGAATTGTTGACAGCCTCCACCTAAGCAGCGTTGGCACGGCAACCACCTATAACGATACATCATGCATCCATTCACTAGTCCATCATGCAATTTTCAATTTACTATTGAAATAAGGATTAGTTCAAAAACTGTACGTCTTAGTTTCAATTATTTCTTCAGCAAAATCACACTGATTTTGTAGGTATACACTCGTCATGAGACATCAATATACATAAATGTAAAGGCAGTACCTTTTTTTGAATAAAACCGAATCTATACTCCGTACATGCACGGATCTGGTATATATCCCATTAAAATGCAGGTAGAAAGTTCCCAACGCCATGCAATAAATCCAGACTATGCAAAATGTGGTAAGTATAGCATTACCATCCACCACCAATCTTTCCAGCAAGTTCAACCACTCGGGTGGTTTCATCGGGAGGGACCTGTTCTTTGCCAACATCACTTTCGACCTTGCGGTAAGTTGTATAAGCAAGCTTAGATAGTGGGATACCCATGTACTGTGACCATCTTTGCAAATTTTCATGGACCTGAATCTCTTTGTCCACAATAGACAGAGGCCGAGATGTATCATCCAATTCAGTTTCCGAGTCGGATTCCATTGAGAAGTAGGCCTCATCTACACGGGCAAGCCAGGCCCGTTGTTCATGGGGAGATGGCTTTGATGCTTCAGATGAAACTGCATCAACAGGCTGAGTGGGCTCGGTAGCTTCTCGGGCATCTTCGACTCGAATTTGCCCACCACCATTCGTACAACCACCAGGACATGCCATGACTTCCACATAAGCATAATCGGAGCCTGAATTGGTTCCTGCTGCGGCATTACGAGACAAAGGCTGGCGACGACCTGCCATGGGCCTGGCCATAGGTTTAGCACCGGGCATTCGAGATGCGCGTGCCGGTTTTAATTTCCGAACAAGGTTCTGGATGTTGCGGAAACCGTAGTACCGGGCCGCCTTCATAATAGGTTGCCCTTCATTAGACATGAGAACGTACTCGACAACGTCTGCATTGCGTCCACGATTTGTGATAAGGTCACTCCCCGGGTTTCGGGCTTGAAAAGTCGTAAGCACATGGTGTAAATAACCTCCGGAGGTACCTGTCGCAAGAGACTGTTCCGCAGGAGAAATTTGGAAGGAGATGAATGACTCTAGGGTCTTTTCTGGGAATGAAGGAGAGTATGCTGGAGGAAGCGGTTGAAGAGGCAGGTCTGGAAGCGAAAGCCCCCGTGATGAGGCCAAGGAGAGAAGTTCACGAGAAGTGATAACACAATCCACATCTCGAACAGGATCATACGGTTCAGTGATGTTTTGCCCTAGACCTTCTTGCCAGGAGACATCTGTGAGCTCCTCACGACTAGCCTCCAATTTCTTGTCGAAGCAAGGCATGACCGCTAGATGCCAGATCTGAGACGGCGGAACTCCAAGCGATTTGCTCAGGACTGTTTTAAGGAATGTCCCAGACATCGCTTGGGGGGATTTGAGCTGAGACAGATGCGGAAGAACGAATGGATGGGTCTTTTCAGCGTAGCAAATCCAACCGGGGCAGGCAGATGACAGGATTGGCCGCTTAGGAGGCGAATCTTGGCCCTCATTTGTACTTGCAAGTGACTCAGACACTTCATCGGCTGTGAGAACCAATACTGCCTCTCGCATAGCATTTGTGTCCACCACCCATGTAAAGGCACTGCCTTGCTTCCCGCCACTTCGCAATCCCTGGGGGCCACGCAAAAACTGGTCGATCATATACCCCGCTTTCTTGTCCGAGATTCCATATGTTGCAGCCAAGCTCGCCCGGACCTGCGGGCTCACACTTGCAACAAAGATCTTGCCTTTCCCTGGCCCCGCAGGTCCAACTGTTGTCCCATGATGTGACTGGGTCAATGGGATTTCCGGGTATGCGTCAAGGGTGTTGAGAACTTCCGTGTGAGACTGTAGCGAGATCAAGACCGCCTCCGCCGAGGTCACACAGCCAGAGCAAGCAAGACAGTCCGTCAAGGAGATCTGCGCCGGAGGAAGGTTTTCTGGTTCGACTTTGTCTTCTGTTGTCACTTCGTAAGGATTCTGAATGAGATCAGTAAAAACCAATAGCACAAAGGTTGAGAAGGCTACAAACCTGAGGTTCCTTTGCCTTCGGAAGCGATTCCACAGGTTTGATACATGCAACTCCTGGCGAAATGAAATCGTTCAAATCGTCGGCCGACAGGATCGCGCTCATGGTGGCGGGGTACTAATTTTGGATAACAAGGACTCCACTCACAGAGAAAGCCTGCTATTTTAGTGTTCCCTTGTCCCTCAGAAAGGTGAGCAGTAGGTACAGGTATAGGTACCACCGACCAAAGAATTCTCAAAGACAATTTTGCAGAAACAAAAATAGTTCAAAAGAAAGAGAGCCAACGAGCGTTGCGGGCTTTGTAATCGGTGGCGATATCGGCTTACGATAAGGAACCGACCGCCTGTGGCTGAACGGTTTAACTGCTGATTGGTTACAAACTCGAACTATTCTTTTCAACTTTGTCTTAAATAATTCTTTTGATATACCCCGGTTCAGCCTTCTTTGATAGTTTCCAAAGTTAGCTTTAGACTAATTTCGTTTGGCTATCCCGAATCAACAGTTGATTTATAAAACCTTTCAGCCTTAGATCACTTCTAACATAAAGTCTCTATCTTCACGAAAAAGGAGCCTACCAAGTCTCACAAAAAGACAACATTTGAAAGCTTATCAATCTTTACCTAACGCCTCTTGCAACATGACCGAGCCGAGTGACGCAGGAGAAGGAGGACGAGGAGGTAGGCGTCGCGGCGCAATGCTAAAACGCGCAGCTTCATACACTGAGGCGTCTCCAGCCTCCAAAGGCAAAGTCGCCTTGAAACAGATTCCTGAAGAAGAGCAAATTGAAATATTGACGGAAGACCAAGACAGTGATGCAACTCGTTTTGAGAGGGAAAGGAAAATCCAGAACCGGAAGAAGGGAAAAACTCACTTATCGAAAAACTACAGGGTTAAAAAGGCCGGGAAGAGCAGACAAGCTTTGCGGCGAGAAGTTGCCCTGAATACATTGAAAATGATGACTTCTATCACTAAAGCCAACGGAGTATTGTTACCAGGCTTGTCCTACAGTGTCAATATTGAAGATATTCCGCCTCTTGACCTGGAAAACAATGCCAATGCCAAGCCGCACGCCGTGACCACGGTGAAAGTCGCAAGACAAGATGTCTTTGACATTGCGCTAATGCTTCAGAGCGCGACTGAGTTTCTAGGCGCCGAAGCCGGGCAGCGAATCTGTGTCTTGAACCTTACCAACCCGGATGCTCCTGGTGGTCTCTGGAGGGAGGGGGCAGAGGGCCAGGAGGCGGAAATGTTCTACCGGAGCACACTGAGCAAGGCACTTCTACCCAAATATTATCCGTTCCCTGACCGGACCGCCAATTGTGTCTATACACCTAATGTCGTTATTTTCAAGGAATGTGGCGATTTCGACTACTCGAAGATGCGGGTAGAGATGCCCGAGGCGCTTCCGCATGTTGGTATCATCAGTGTGTCTATGCCCGAGAAGCCAGCAGTCGATATGTTTGACAGTCAATATAAGGATCCAGCGGATCGGGAAATCACGAAGAACTATATGCGCCTTATCCTTCGTGTTGCTGCTTCCACACACCACGGTTTCCTTGTTCTTAATGCTCTTGGAAGTGGTAACGCTGGCCACCCTGGCAGGGAGGTTGCAAACTGCTGGTTACAGGTGCTAAACGAGGGGGAGTTCAAGGGATGGTTTCATACGATTGTATTTGCTATCAAGTATGACCGGATTGCTGCCTCTGATTACACCCACATTTGGAAGAGAAACATGGAAATCAAGTATTGACCCCCGGCCCCCGAAACGATATGATTCTCATTCTTGGATTTTGATCTTACCGTGCTTGGTCGATTATTGTTATTGTTGTTGTTTTTTTGAACTTGTTTCTGGGTTCTAGGTTCAGGATACTGGTTTTCTTTTGGCTTTTGTGATCTTTTCGTTTGCTTGTTATCAGGATCATCTAGATCACATCAATTAATACTTCTGAACTTGTATTTATCCATATTTTGCCCTTACTTTCTTGACCGAGTAGAGCGTCTTTCAATGCCCGTGTCGATTTTCTTCTCAGTTTCATCCTTGATCGACTTGCTTTTTATCGACCGGCTCTTGGCAGGTTTGGCTTCCGAATCGCTTTCTTCCTTGACACGCTTACGTTTCGGGGGAGTGCCGTTTATGTGAGTGCCGTTTATGTTCTCCTCTTTCCCCCCAGAACCACTTTTCTTTTGAACCGCGGGAACGACAGCACTTGTTCTGCCCCCGACAGTCACGAAGATGATCTTATCGCCGTTTGGAAGAGCAGAGGGTTGGTTTTTCTTTCCCTTGCCCCATCGATGTTTAAAGAGCCAATGTTCAGGGAACTTTTCAGAATCCGCTAGAACATCCATGGAGGTCGTGAAGACGTAATGCAAGGCTGTATGAAGCTCTTTGATCTGATCATCGGACAAAGTGTTGCTCATTTGTTCCGGGTGGATCTTGGCGTGGTATAATATTTCATCCCTGAGGATCTGATTAGCTGATGTTTGAGTTTGGGTGAACCCAAGGCAGAGCTTACGCCATCCAGTTTCCAATGCCGCTGATATTCGCTTGGTCCAATAGCAGAGCCTTGATTGGCATCCGTTTCTTCCTCAACTTCTCCATCAACCAAGACTCGTTGACAATGTCTTTATCCGCTACCGGATCTGGGCCATTTTCCTTCAGAGGTGAATGTTGGCGAATCTCGTCGGCGGGACAATCCAAAAGACGAATCCGACTTAGCCTGCGAGAGTCCACAAATGCGGCCTCTGTCTTGGGCTCATCACTGGTCTCTAGTAAAAATTTCGCATATTTTGGAGGCCATTCCTTGTCTGCTGGTTTATCAGAGCGATAATAGTATGTATCGGCATCCTTAATCTTCAGCCATCCTGCCATACCAAAATGCATCACTGGATGTGGAGGCGACGACATAGTGATCCAGAAGTATTTCCCCTGTTGCCCAGCACCCACCACCTTTTTTCCTTGTATCGACTTCTGAAATTCCTCGGCGCTGGTGCCCACTTTGCCGTACACAATATCATCGTGTTGTGCTTGAACTTTGGACAGGGTCTTTCCGACCAGGTGTTTGCGAATAAAGTGCACTATACGGGCCACCTCAGTGTGTTCGGGCATTTTGAAAGGTAGTTGTCACCAGAAAGCTTGAATGATCTGGAAAAATTGGTGAACGTCTCAAGGGATCACTATTCCAACGCGTACGCTGTGACACGAAACGCGGGATCACCTGACTGGAATTGGAAATCGGGACTATTCCAGATCGAGAGAACATGACATGACTACGGACACTGGATCATTATTCAAGCTACGGAATTACGTCAACTATCTTCAAGTAACAGCAAGCTCGAACCAAAGATACTATTGGATATCTGGTGTAATATTCAATTTATTTCTGATACCACTACTGGTCCGCCTTTCTCATACCTTCCCATCAATCGCTCCACTTCTCAGTCCCCACTAAGCCAAGCTGGAGTGGTTCTGGGTTACCAAGACGAACGTACAGTCCGAGGACACAGTTCGCAACAAGATGCCGGAAATAAGCATTTCGGAGACTCCGGCGCTGACCCCTCAGTTTTGTTTCAATGAAAAGCTTCTTCTAGGTGTGTAGAAAGCTGGTGTCAGCTATCCGATTTGTCTCCACTGACCTTTGTATCGCATCTCCCAGATTTTCTTCGTCTATCCCGCTCGACAATCGACGATTCAATTACAGAGAACTTGAACGCCTTGATCACACCAGCCCGGCAAGGATTCGATTCATCATCAACCGCCGTGCGGCAAACCGATTCTAGAGGCCAGAAGGTCATTGATCCAGAGGCTTGCCAGGGCTTCAAAGACAATGTGCTGTTCTCCTCATGGCAGACTCGCTCCGATGTCTTGAATTATTGTGCTGGAGTGGCTACCAGCCCCGATCCCGAAGATCCGGACTTGATTCTGCGAGAGACCGAGTCCGCACGGGACCGAGAAAGAGTCGTCAATGAACGACTAGACCCATACTCAGGTCGTTTCTTCCCAAAGGAGCCTCGAACTGAGTCACTGGCTAATTTGGTCCGCAATCAGCGTACTGTGGAAGAAATTATACGTGCTCGGACATGGGGGCTGGTGTCAGAAAGATGTGGCCCTGGTTCGTCATGGGAAGATGCCCTTAATAGCTGGCGACAGAAGCACCAGCGATAGGAACTGGATACCACGCATAACTGTATGGGCCGGTTCAGAATATTGATCGTTTGACTCTCCATTCTTGTACATTATACTGCATATAGGAGCGCTTGGTTTGACGAATATAACCATGTGGGCATGAATAATCTTGAGCAATTTTTTTAATTGTCACCTAACATGTTCACAACACTTTTTTTTTTTTTAAAAGACAAAATCATCACAATAAAATCGTTAAATGGATTTCGTGGACTGGTTTAAAGTGTTCTTATACATATTAGCACTCAGGCATTGTCCCACCGCATCTTATCGGCAGTCATTCTGCCAAGTTCGGACTCGGAGAAGTCGCTCCCCGCACACATTGATTCCTCTCTCGCACCAGTCAATCCCCTCCCCAGCCATCGCCCACCATGCCGCAACCATTGAACTCCAAGGACCAGTCCTTGTTTCGTCAAGTGGTTCGCAACTTTGAGCTAAAGCAATACAAGAAAGGTCTGCACTGGTTCCCCTCTCCAATGGCCAGACCTCAGCTGATAGCATTTTCACTGCGATAGGCATCAAAACGGCAGACCAGGTTCTCCGCAAGAACCCGAAACATGGCGATACCCAGGCGATGAAGGCTCTGATCATGAGCAATATGGGGCAGTCAGAGGAGGCCTTTACACTGGCCAAGGAGGCCCTGCGTAATGACATGAAGTCGCACATTACCTGGCATGTTTACGGTCTCCTATACCGACAGGAAAAGAACTACGAGGAAGCTATCAAGGCATACCGATTTGCCTTGAGACTTGAACCTGAGTCTGCTCCTATCCAACGGGATCTGGCTCTGCTTCAGATGCAGATGCGTGACTTCCAGGGTTATATTCAAACTCGCACGGCAATGCTGCAGGCGCGTCCTGGCGTGCGACAGAACTGGACAGCGCTGGCGATCGCTCATCATTTGTCCGGGGATTTGGAGGAGGCCGAGAAGGTGCTGACCACATATGAAGACACATTGAAGGGAACCCCACCTATTGCGGATATGGAGCACTCCGAGGCCGTGTTGTACAAGAACAGCATTATCGCGGAGTCAGGCAACCTTGAAAGAGCTCTTGAGCACCTCGAGAAAGTGGGATACCGGTGTACAGATGTTCTTGCGGTCATGGAGATGAAGGCTGACTACCTCCTTCGACTTGGACCTGACCGCAAGGCTGAGGCCGAGGCGGCATACACTGCGCTTCTGGAGCGGAACCCCGAGAATTCAATCTACTACAACGGTTTGATACAGGCGAAGGGTATTGCCGAGACCGATCACAAGGCGTTAAAGGCTCTGTACGACGAGTGGGTGGAGAAGAACCCGCGTGGTGATGCGGCTCGCCGTATTCCGCTCGATATCCTAGAAGGTGAAGATTTCAAGCAAGCCGCCGACGTTTACCTGCAGCGGATGCTGAAGAAGGGAGTCCCATCCCTTTTCGCCAACATCAAGTCCTTGTACAGCAACCCTGCCAAGCGTGACGTAGTGCAGGCACTAGTGGAAGGGTATGTCGCCAGCAGCTCGGCGCAAGCAAACGGCTCTACTGAATCCAAGGAGAAAGATTTCTTGGAATCGTCTTACTACTTCTTGGCCCAACACTACAACTACCACCTCAGCCGCAACATTCCAAAGGCCTTGGAGTACGTCGACAAGGTCATTGAGCTATCACCAAAGGCTGTGGAATACCAGATGACCAAGGCACGGATCTGGAAGCACCTTGGCAACCCGGCCAGGGCAGCAGAGGAGATGGAGAAGGCCCGCCTGTTGGACGAGAAGGACCGCCACATCAACACCAAGGCTGCCAAATACCAGCTCCGCAACAACGAGAACGAGAAAGCTCTGGACAACATGAGCAAGTTCACGCGTAATGAGACCGTTGGTGGGGCAATGGGTGACCTTCACGAGATGCAATGCCTGTGGTACCTCACTGAGGATGGTGAGGCATACCTACGCCAGAAGAAGCTGGCTCTGGCACTCAAGCGTCTCCACGCTGTCTACAACATCTTTGAGACCTGGCAGGAGGACCAATTCGATTTCCACAGCTTCTCTCTGCGCAAAGGTATGATCCGTGCTTATGTCGATATGGTGCGTTGGGAAGATCGTCTGCGGGAGCACCCCTTCTACACTCGCATGGCCGCCTCTGCCATCAAGGCATACATCCTCCTCCACGACCAGCCTGATCTCGCCCATGGACCGATGCCCACCATTGTCAACGGCACCGAGGGATTGAGCGAAGAGGAGAAGAAGAAGGCTCTCAAGAAGGCCAAGAAGGAACAGCAGCGCTTGGAGAAGATCGAGTCCGATAAGCGCGAGGCAAGAAAGGCTGCTGCAGCCAATGCTAAGAGTGTCGATGGAGAGGCGAAGAAGGAGGACGCCGATCCTTTCGGCAACACCCTAGTGCAGACCAAGGATCCCCTCAAGGAGGCTATGAAGTTCTTGACACCCCTCCTCGACCTGAGCTCCCAGCACATTGAGTCTCAGATCCTCGGTTTCGAGGTTTACCTCCGCAGAAGTAAGCTTCACCAAATGCTTGCTCAAATTTTTGCTAACATAAGATCTCATAGACAAGCACATCCTTGCTGTGAAGTGTCTCTCAGCTGCCCACGCTATCGACCCCTCTAACCCCACTCTCCACCTGCAGCTATTGCAATTTCGCAAGGCTCTCGACAAGCCTGCCGAACCCCTTGACCCTAAGGTTGCCGAGGTTGTTAACGCCGAATTTGAGAAGCTTCTCCCCAAGTCCCAAAACCTCGAGGAGTTCAACGAGTCTTTCCTGTCTGCCAACAAGGGTAGTGCCCCGCATGTGCAAGCCGCTTTGTCTGGCCGTATTTTCCTGAACGCGGACTCGAAGGTGCAGTGCGAGAAGGATCTCTTGGCCACCCTCGACTCATCTGATATCACCATCGATGAAGCCGTTCCTGCCCTCGATCTTCTGACCAAGTGGGGTTGCGATAAATCCGCCTATGCGGAGAAGGCGAGCAAGAAGTGGCCCGAGTCTTCCGTATTCCAGCTGAATTAGACACTTCCTCCAATAGAGCTAAGTTGATTCCATGAAGGCGCGAAGGGAGACTTTGTCGTTATATATGATCACAATCACCTTTCAAGAAGAAAAAAAGCAAACATAAAATGTACTCAAATTTCATACTACAATATCGAAGTAGAATGTATAATAAAGGCTGTATTTTGGAACAGCCCTGTAATGCTCCAGGTAGATGCTGTTTTGGTAATGGGAAATCTTCAAATGATCTATTGCATCCTTTGCCATATACATCCCAAGAAAAAAAGACAGAACATTGGAAGACGCCTTAATATACAAGCCGAGGAGAGTAGATATGCAAACATTGAACAGAGAAACATGAAGTCCTTCATGTTGAGGAGATGAAACAGGAACACCACCTTTCTATTATAAAACATGGACTCTCAAGGAGTCCTTCGAGTGAGAATGCATTACGCATCAAACTCACCATCATAGTTGCCATAGATTGGCTTGCGGCGGATGGTCTCCTCATCTTCACCATATCCGTACTTAATCCACATGCTCTTCCAGAAGGGAACGGGCGCTGGACGCTCCTCGCCTAGGATGTATTCCTTCTGCTCAGCGATGCGCTTAGAACGGGCCTCGTCTTCAGGAGAAAGGATCGTAATGTTCATGCGCGAGGCAATGCGCGGGTCCAGGACAATGTCATCTAGCCACTCGCGCTCCAGCTCATCTTCTTCACGCTTGCGGACGGACTTGTGCCATTCCTTCTCTTCCTTCTCCAAAGCAATTTGTTGCTCGTAGGTACCACGTGGAACGTCGGTAGCAGAGCCATCGGGGGAGGGGGTGGAATCGACGGCGGCACCACTCAGCTCGGAATCCGCGCTGAAGGAATCGTCACGATAGGGTCTCGAGCTGTTGGCGAGGACTAGACTGGCGACCTCACGACCGATGTCCTCGGCGAGGTGGCGCTGGTTGAGGTAGCGGTACATGCGGATGGGGGTGTTCAGGAAGCCGAGGATGTGGGGGAATTCGATGGGGACGGAGCTGTCGAAAGACTGTGGGAGAGAGGGGGCGAGGTGAGCGGAGGGATATTCGGCAGTTGTAATATAGGCAGGGGTAGGTCCGGCGGGCTTGGATGGCTTCTCCTCCTTCTTCTCCTCTGCTTTCGCTTCTTCCTTCTTTTCCTCTTCGATTTTCTTCTCGAGCGTTTCGAGGGTCTCTACCTGAGACTGGCCCTCGACGGGAGCGTCCACGGCCGCAATCTCCTGGATTGGCTCTTCGGACATCTCCGGAACTGGAACATCAACGACTGGAGGAGCTGGAGCATCCATGGGGCCCAGCCAGCCCTCATGTAAACCTCGGACATACTCCTTCCAGGTGTGTCGCCCAATCACCAAGTCACCCTTGGGACCGGGTTCGTCTGTAATGCCGATTGACTCCCGTGTCGCCAGCACAACTTCATCAACACTGGGCTTGTGAGCATCTGTGCTCGACTCGCCGGCCTTGCGCCTCAACTTTCGGATGTTCTCCGCTGTGCTGGCGCGCACCTGGCCTTCCCGTCGGCCCTCCACCACGGTATAGTCCAAGGCCGCAGCCGTCAGGATTGGCTTCACGTATTCCTTGAAATGGTCTCTAGCAACTTTCAGACCATCTCCCGGCGGCGCGGCGAGGTACACGGTCAATCTGCGGCGCATCTCCTCAACAGGCAGCGGCTCTTTCGCAAGATGGGCAACAAGCTCACACCATTTTTGCTGCGAGCGGCGCTTTTCTCGGCGGTCGTAGATAATAGCACCGGCAAAGGATCCAGTAATAGTAAGGAAGATCATCCAATTTCGGGAAGGGAGTTTGAATCGAATGTTAGGTAGACCTGTTGATTTCACAATTGGCATTAGTGTTTTTGTCCGAGTTGCCGCATTTCGGGGGAGAATAAAGCTTTACCCATCATTTTGAAGACAGGATTAGGTGGCTTGGGAGCAGCCTGGGGCTTAGCAGCCCCTGCGGGCGCTGCTGAATTGGACGAATCCGCCATTATTTGGATGTGAAAACCACAGTGACAGTTGCGGTTGCCATCCTGGATCTGGAAAAAAGTCGCCCGAATATCGGGGCCAGAATTGATCCGCGTCACGTGTGAGTATAGATAAACATTTTTCTGAAGTGACTTATCCCTTTGTCTTCCCCTAGGGTTTTTGAGGAAAAAGTATCACATTATCTGGCAAATGCGACAATGAAGCTCTCGAGATAAGTAATTATTTCTCATGTCGGAGTTTGACATGCAGTCAAATCTTCTTGTCCATAGTGTCCGCGGAGAGCGTATCCTTCAGTAACGCTATCCCCGTTAGCAATTCAGCTGGAATGTCTCGTAACTCTGAATCAATCAGGGGGCAATTTACCCCTCCCCCTGGATAATCGTGATCAACATGTATCTACGTTTATGAAATCATCCAATAGTTTGGTCCATAGACCCGATAGTCGATCTCGGATCTAAAACCATCTTTGGTAATATCCAAGCAATAGGCATTAGATCTCCATGGTTCAGTGAAAAGAGGAAATGATTGGATTATATAGATACAGAAGAAAGAAAAGTAAAACGCTTACAGCCTGGTGTGACCAGCCATGAAACTCCAGGGGGAGAAAGGCTATATAGCAATCACCAATAATGGTCGGGGGTGGATTATTCTTTGCCTCCTGAGAGCCACCGCTCCTTCTCAAACCTCCCCGCCTTCTCCTTTACCCATCACCTCCCTCCTTCCCCCACCATCTTTTTGTCCTAAAGTTCCCTGGGAGTTGGGCCCACTGTCACGATGGATCCCAATAACAATCCCAACAACCGCAACAACATGAATTACGGGTACAATGACCGCAACTATAACGCGGCTAACAGCCGCGCCTATCCCACCACTCCGTCCGCTTTCCCCCAGCCAATTTATCAGACTCAGGGGGCTCAGGACCACATTGACCCCTCAAACCCGGCTTATGCTCCTGGATACTTCATGGCCAGCCCATACCCGCCCCAGAACCAAGCCCAGGCCCAGGCTCAGTATGTTCAACAGCAGCAATATGCGCAGCAACAAAACCTGCAGTCGCCGCAGCCCGCCTACCAGAACCGCATGGGTTATGCCAACGATGGTACCAACGGTCTGATCCAGCAATTTTCCAACCAGGATCTCAATGCCAATCGTGGGGGTTTCTTCGGTCGGACAAATCAGCCAGCTCAGCGGCCTCGTACCGCGGGAGGCTCTCCAGCTCCAGGCCAGGCCCAGGCCGCACACCTGGTCCCTCCCGTACCTCGCAGCCCTCGCCCGCCGGCGGAGAACGAGGAATTGCAGCGATTCCCTGACCGGTACTCTGAGAATGTCCACAAGCGGGGTAAGGCAGCGAAGGAATTGGTGACGGTCTTTTTCCATGAGAACATCGAGCGTGCCCGGGATCGTAACATGCGGTAAGTTTTGTATTTCCGCCTGAGTTATTGCAGGCTTCATCTCATTTGAGTTATTTTGGTTACTGACTGGTTTTGTTTGGTAGATCCGTGGACCTTGACAAGACCCTACGGGACCCCAACGTTGCTGCTGAGAAGAAGAAAACGGATGCCGAAGTGATTTCGAAGAGAGAATCAGACTTCCTCCGATTCCTCCGAACCAAAGAAACCCCTCAAAACTTCCAGACAATTAAGATTATCGGAAAGGGTGCCTTTGGTGAAGTGAAATTGGTGCAGCGCAAGACGGACGGGAAGATTTATGCCCTCAAGTCTTTGATTAAGACGGAGATGTTCAAGAAGGATCAGCTTGCACACGTTCGTGCTGAGCGTGATATCCTGGCGGACTCGAAGGATAACCCTTGGCTGGTGAAGCTGCATGCCTCATTCCAGGACGCGGCTTACCTATACCTGCTGATGGAGTTCTTGCCTGGTGGTGATCTGATGACTATGCTGATCAAATACGAGATCTTCTCCGAGGATATCACTCGATTCTACATGGCAGAGGTTGTCATGGCCATTGAAGCCGTCCACAAGCTTGGTTTCCTTCATCGGTAAGTTTTTCAGCCCTGAGTGATCATGTATAGCCTCTGCCAGAGCCTGATGCTAACAAACTTTTGTAGCGACATCAAACCAGATAATATTCTTCTTGACCGTGGCGGCCACGTCAAGCTCACCGACTTCGGTCTCTCGACCGGAGGAAAAAAGACCCACGATAACGCTTACTACCAAAACCTCCTCAAGAACTCAACATCAAAGGACCGCAACCGCAACTCCGGTTACTTCAACGATGCCATCAACCTGACTGTCTCCAACCGTGGTCAGATCAACACCTGGCGAAAGTCTCGTCGTGCCATGGCGTACTCGACTGTCGGAACTCCCGACTACATTGCCCCCGAGATCTTCAACGGCCAAGGATACACATATCTGTGCGATTGGTGGTCTGTTGGTGCTATCATGTTCGAATGTCTTGTTGGCTGGCCCCCGTTCTGTGCTGAAGACACCACGGACACTTACCGCAAGATTGTGAACTGGCGTGAATGCCTATACTTCCCTGATGAGCTGGTTCTCTCGCGTGACTCCGAGGGATTGATTCGGAACTTCTTGTGTGACCCCGAGCACCGTATCGGTAGCGAAGGTGGTCAACATGGTGGCGCAACCCAAATCAAGAACCATCCCTTCTTCCGGGGTGTTGTTTGGGAGCAGCTACGACACATTCGGGCTCCATTTGAGCCGCGCCTCAGTTCGAACATCGATGTATCTTACTTCCCCATTGATGAGATTCCACAAGAGGACACCAGTGCTATCCACCGTGCTCAGGCCCGTGCTATGCCAGAGTCCCAGGAGGCTGAGATGAGTCTGCCCTTCATTGGGTACACCTACAAGGCTTTCAATGCTTTCCAGACAACCTAGATGCTTGGTCATCTTGTTATTTTGTTTCAAAGATTGCCTTTGGCTTTCTGCCATGATAGAACCCAATGTGTGAAGGCGGGCAGGGCTTGCCTTACAGTGCTCTCTATCATACAAGGCCGTGTAATCTCAGACTGTTTTGATCTCGCCACGAATCGTCATTCAGCATATCAGCGCGATCTTTTCCGAATCATGACCCCGAGCGTTGTTTTTCGTTCCACTTATCAATATCTAGCGTCCTACGTGACGATGCTTATCATTATCGCATTCCCCGGAACAGATGGGAGGGCTCATTCAAAGTGTTTTGCATATCAGGTCATGATTTACATTTCATAGTTTGCAAAATCAAAACTATCCCCTCATTGCGATATCCTTGCCGGACTGATCTGTTTCCTGTGATAATTCCATGCTTAGCGGTTGGAAAATTTTGCTCAATCCCACCGCAGAAAGATAGATATCCAACATGATGCCATAGAAGCTAGCACTTGAGGCGGACAAGGAAGATCTCCGCCTGGGGAATGTAGACCGCGTGTACTGGACAATGCAACTATCTGGCCTCAGCCACAACAATATCGACCCGATTTTCAACGATTGTCCTTACATTATCTACTCTTCTGTTACTTGTGTACGTGGAACTTCTGGAAATCCTCTAGTAGACATACACAATAAACTGCAAGACCCCATCACCAAAAGTACCTCCAATCTTCACGCGAAGGCCCTGCAAGGGGCAGGAGTGTCAAACCCAAAGGCCTCAAACGTAGAAACGATAAATGCCTAGCAGCGTGGATGTCCAACCCAGGTGATACGTATCATTTTCAAATCGTCGTTTGCTAGGCCGGGTTAAGTACTTTGAGTGAGGTAACTTCGCATACTGCAAATCTTGAGTCGCGGTACTCCAACAAGGGATTTGAATTATCCTAGTTCCGCTAGGGGTAAATATGAGAAAGAGTCCTATGCCGTGATCCTGTGGAACAAAATGATTGGAGCGAAGTTCACCTTTATCGTGATTATGTAGTACAATGCAACGTTGACGAATTCGTCCAACCTCGCTATGCATGAATCATTGCTCTCATCCCACCTGGGATCTTTAAAATTGTATCAACAGATCCCGTGTCTGGTCCCTCAAGTCTAGAGGATCGAAATTTCTTCAATGTCTCGAAAACCAAGCCCAAGATTGCACCCCACGATGAGTGCACCGGATTCTTCCCATACTGGGACTCGCAAAATCACCACCAAGATGCTCCTTCTCACAATCTGCGTCTCGGGCGCTGCATGGATCGCCGAGTTTGACAACGGCTACACTGGTATCGTCCTAGTCATGCCTGCATACCAAAAAGCGTTTGGTCACTGCAAGCAAGTCCCCGACCCGACCGGAGGAACGATGGAGCAATGTACCCTGACCACATTAAGACAATCCCTCATCAGCGTGAGTATATTATTTATGGCAGTCGGATGCGCACTAGCTGGCTTCTTTGGCTCGGTCCTCGGTCGCAGAGCAACCATTCAAATCGCCTGTCTTTTCTGCATCATTGGTGCCGCCGGCATGCTGGGCACGTCGGGCAATTTCCTGAATTATATGGTTTGTAAATGCATCAATGGAGTCGGGATCGGTCAGCTTTTAGCTTCGAGTATTGTTTACGGCTCCGAGTGCGTTGTTGCAAGTAAACGGGGCCTGTTACTCGGCATCTACAACATTGGTCTTGCGATGGGCAATGTGACTGCGGCAGCTGTATGTACTGGATCCGCGACCCTATCGCCGCATAATGACTGGCAATGGAAGACACCGATCATCTGTCAGATCCCACTGGGTATCTGTCTTGCTCTCGGCGTGATGCTGTTCCCGGAATCACCTCGGTGGTTGTTACTGAAAGGGAAAGATGAGCAAGCGCGGAAGTCTTTTGCTATTTTCCAGAATCTGGATCCAGATTCAGATGTCATCAAGGACCAGGTGGACGATGTGCAAAAATATCTTGATTTTGAACGGACGCTTGACGCCAGTACATCCTGGACGGAGATCTACCGTGGAGTTAACCTGCGACGAACCGCCGTTTCCGCGCTCATTCTCATCGGACTCGCTATCTCAGGCGTCCAATTCGTGGGACCATATGCAGCGCTTTTTCTTAATGGCCTGGGAATAAAAAATCCGTATCTGATCAACACCATCGTTGGACTATGCATTTTCGGTGGTGCCTTCATCGGCCCTTTAGTGCTGGATTACGGCGGAAGACGATTCGCCATGCTTTACGGATATGCAGCCATGGCTGCCTGCATGCTCATCCTGTCCGCCGTAAGTACAGCACTGGGACAGCATAGTCCAGTGGCTCAGACCGTTGTGGTTGTCTTTCTCTGTATCTGGGCATTCGTCTTTGGCGGATTCATTGGTCCCAGCGTCTGGCTTGCTTCGGCTGAGATGCACAGCGTTCGGATGCGTACGTACGGCCAAGCACATACCACGTTCCTATACGAGATCTTCAGCTTTGGAGCGACATTCTGGACGCCGTACATGTTGAATGTCAAATATGGCAATATGGGATCTGACGTTGGTTATTTCTACTTTGGCGTTACAGTCGCAGTCTTGATTTTGGTGTTTTTGTTTGTGCCAGAGACTTCAAGATTGACCCTTGAACAAATCGATGATTGTTTCTTATCTGGGAAGAGAGCGTGGAAGACCTCGACAAAAAGGAATATAGCTATCTCTCGAGGTGAATTGGTCGAGACCGTGAAGTCTGAGCATGATGCACTTCAACTTGAGATCTTCCAATCACAAAGTGCATCTCCAAGCCAATAGATCGATCATTTTATATTCAAGTAAGGCTCGGATTTCTCTTACCGAAATCAAATTAACTACGATTATCTTGATGTCTCTCGCCTTAATGTAGCAGATGATAGATCTTATAGCCCCAATAGTGGGTCCATAAACTTTATTAGTAATCATCTAAATCCGCGCTCCGAAAAGAAAATCCCGACATTCAGCTTATCTTCCCCCATTTCCCACGTCACATCCCTCGAAAGAACCTTCCAGCGCATCATCTTCGCAAACCCCCCCACAAACCTCTCAGAATGTCTCGCGAAGCCTACCAGGTCCCCTCCTCTGTGGGAAACCAGAACGCCTTCAGCAACGATGGCGGCATGGCCATCGAGGTTCCCTCTGTCGTTTACCTGTGTGGCGAGTGCTCTGCCCGTGTCCCTATTAAGCGTGGCGATCAGATCCGCTGCAAGGACTGTGGTCACCGTGTGCTCTACAAGGAGCGTACCAAGCGGTGAGATTAAGTTTCAGCTTCTTTGGAGGCCTTCTCCTTCTGGCGCATTAGCTGACCTTCTTTTCTGCTGAATAGTATGGTGCAGTTCGAGGCTCGGTGAAATCTACACGGATATGTGATGGGGAATAATGGTCCTGGCCTGGACTTGCGGTCCGGATGTTAGGAGTTGAAGGAAAAGAGCTTGTGATAACTTTGCGCTTTTTCATTCTCGTTTTGACGAATTATGCATCAAATGGCGCTTTGGGAGTTTCAAACAAATAAATTTCATACATATGAGATTCGACAGCCTCTTGTAGGTGGCCGTTATACAAGATCAAAAAGCGACTTTACTCTGGTACGAATAAACCAGTTATTTTCCTTTGGGAAGCCTTGCTATTTTAAGTAATCCATTAAATAAGGATATTGATATCTGTCACATTATCATACAGAAATGACAAATGAACTTGACGTAAACCTTTCCATTTTTCATATGAACCGAAAGTCTCATGTATTATGAGTAGAAGATTTTAAAGCCCGAAATGGTAGATCATAAACAGGAATATGACAGTGGCGGGGCTTATTGAAGTTTGTTGCTGATTTCGATGAACTTCTCCAGGGATTGGAGAGCCTGGCCACTCTCGATAGCCCAGCGCGCCCGGCGCAATCCCTCCTTCCAGCGTCCACCACCTGGTCCACGCTCTGTGATGACTTTACCGTCATCGCCAAAGCCCATGTTACTAGTGTCAGCCTCACAAATGCCTGAGGTAACGAGCAGAGCGGCAACATTAATGAGAACAAATTCCAAAATGGGGTCGTCTCGAGGCAGCTCATTGCGAAGAATGCTCATCAACTTCTTGGCATTGTCCTCGGGCATCTTGCGCCCAAAGACCTCACTCAGAGAATGAGTGCTGACTCCAAAGTCTGAAGGGTGGAGCTTGAAGGAATCTACCTCAACAATGGTACGAGAGTTCTGCTCATCATCACCACTGGAATCGGCACTGCCACTACTCTCAGAGGAAGGCTTATAGTTCGGATTGGGGTGCTCCGTTAGTCTCCAGCAGTTTGTGTAACCGGCACAACTGATCTCATCCAGATCCTCCTCACCACATACCACCAGGGCTTTCTTGGCCCCAGCCTGCTTGAGAGCATCCACGAAGACGGGGCCCAGGGACTGGTAAGCCACTCCGACAACACGAGCTTCAATGGCCCACTCGACAGGGTTCGCGAGAGGTCCCATAAGGTTGAAGATAGTTCGGAGACCAAGACCACGGCGCACGGGGTTGGCGTATCTCATACCGGGGTGGAAATTGGGAGCGAACAGGAAGGAATAGTTGGTTTCAGCGTACACTTGCGCGATGTTGTCTGCGGTGACCGCATCGATATTGGGCGCAATAGGAACGATTGCCTTGAGCACATCTGCAGATCCAGAGAAAGAGGTCTGGGCGCGGTTTCCATGCTTTGCAGTCATCAGGAGCGGGGAGGCAACGATCGAGGAGGTTGTCGATATATTGAAGGTTGAGTGGGAATCACCACCAGTTCCAACAATATCGCACTGGAATGAAAGAGGACTTGTTAATAAGAGTGATACGCATATGGCAATGGAGTTCAATCATACCAGGCCACCATTGTAATTTCCCTCAGCACGACCCCGCAGCTTCACAGCCTTCTCCAAAGAAGCCTTTTCAATTGTGCTAGCCGCCTCTCGCATACGGTGGGAGCATTTCGCAATTACATCAGCCTGCTTGTCCTTGCCAGTGGAATGAAGCAATGTCAGCAAAGCTGCAGTCTGAAAGAGCGAAATTCGGTCCTCGAAGATCAGTGCAAATGCTGAAGCAATGTCATCCGCGCTAACTTGGAACCCGGGATCGGCGGGGTATGCCAGGCGCTTGAGAAGGGGAGAAATTGAAACCTTGTCAGGCTCATTGGATTTTTCAATTGTAGACATTGTGAAAATCGTATGTCCGCGGTTCGAAATCAGCAGAAAAGAATTAGCCCAGTCAATGGGCAAAGGTATGACACATATGAACAGAACAGAACAAACATGACTCAAATGCCCCTCCTCACCGCAGCTAGGGATGGCAGAATCATATACCGCCCTTAATGCGCTTGACTGCTTCGGGAATCAAAAAATATCACCCGAAAATACCGATTTCAATGTTCATCCGGGGGCTTCTTGATTCTTGATCCACTCCTTCCATCTCGCAATTGCTTGGATTTTCTTCTATCCAGCAACACACCACAATGCCACCTCGGTTACAGATCTCCTCGCTTCGGCGACACGCCCTGCGATGCCCATATGAACTTCAGATTGTCAGGAAAGCCAGCACCGCAGCTGTGACACCTGCGGCGCCCATTGAGCAAATGACACGCTCACCAGTACCAATCTCGCGCTCTCCTCCTACTCAACCACCGTCGCACCGTAATCCCGAATACCGTCGGTCACAACTTCTCCGTCAATATACTTCAATCCTCCGTACATCTCCCCTGATGGTGCTGTTCCAACACAACAACCTCAAGTCTATGGAATGGGCTTCCATTCGACGAGAATTGACGAAGGCCCTTGAAAAGGTGGATGAGAAGATTGCCGCCGAGGGCCGGACATTCCCAGCGTTAGCTCCCTATATCAAGATCCAGACTGTTCAGACCAGCATCTTCGAAGTTGCCCTGCGCATTGTGGAGCACTTCCGACCTACTGAAGCTGCATTGGCTTCCGGAAAGGCCCCAAGCGCCGTCGACCCCGTTATTCAGACCTCTGCCGAATTGCCCAAGTTCAGCGGCTCCCGGGACGATCCCGCCCTTACCCACGACCTGTCGCGTACCGCCTACGAAGCAGTGAAGCACTTGAAGGGCCGCCACGAACTTGCCGACGTCCTTGTCGGTCCCATTGCCATCCTTTCGATCCCTACTGTCTCTCCCGAGCACATGAAGGCCGCTTTGTCGATCCTTACTCCCAAGGAATCCGGCTTCCGTGCCCCTACCCGCAAGGCCAACCCAGACTACCACGAGCCCATTGTGCAGATCGGCTTGCAGAAGCTGAACATGTTGGCTGCGCGTGTTGACGGTCAGATCTTGGACTTGAACCAGACCAAGTGGGTTGGAGGCATCGAGGGTGGCATGGATGGCCTGCGCTCTCAGCTCATTATGGCCCTGCAGAGCATGGGCTCCAGCGTTACCAACACCCTGGAAGGCACTGGAAAGAGCCTTTACTTCACCATGGAGAGCCGGAGAAGTGTTCTGGAGGAGGAGCAGAAGCCCGAGGGCGAGAAGAGCGAGTCGTCTTAGTTTGATCAAGGCCATTCGGAATCTTTGTATAATATGTCATATAGTTGGGAATTCCATCCTGCATCTTTTGTCCCGGAAGGGTGTATACTGTTTTAGCAATAACATTGAAGTCAATTATTCACACCGTCCAATTATATTCCAAGTGTATACCTACGCGGTTTAGAGCATCGCCTATGTTTTGAAGTTGGAAGTAGGCATTGAGGTTGATCAAACGTGTTTGACCAAAAAGAATAGAAAATCAGACAAAGGTAGAGAAACCCTCCCCACCCCCCACCCAAGTGTATCAGTTCTGTCTAAGACGAAGTTTGGCGTTCATGCCCACAATACAACGCACAAGATCCCAATCACCATCATGACCAACCCAGTCCGTCACCAAGATACCGGTCGAGCAATCACCATCATCGTCTTTGTGACGACGGCAAATGTAGTCAACAATAGCCGGATTAACCTTCGCAGCAATCTTCTCCGGCCAAGTATTAGTCTTCCAGAAGTTACTGGCGCTCAAAAAGTTGATAAAGAAAGGATACTTCCGAGTCTCCTGTACACTTGGCAGCACACCAAACGGATAATGAGCACGTGAAGCACGATCAATCTGCTCCTTAACATACTCAATCTTCTTCTCAATATTAGTCGTTTCCTGGACCTCATAGAAATCCTGTATACAGAGCTGTCCACTCGGGCAAGTCGCGTTGGGGGTATTATCCTCCCAAGCAGCAGCATCAATTCCCCACCCATTCCCTCCATGCTCTTTCTTCAGCTCCTCGGGCAAGTTGAAGCGACGAATAAGGACTACCTTGCCACGCGCCTCACCCAGTGTCGGAATCTTAGGTCGAACCCACCACCGACTACCATCATTGGCGTAGTGCTGTTGCAGGATACGAGCCAGTTGCTCATCTTTCGCGTTTCCGGCACCTTCACGCTTAAGCGAGATAATCAACGACTCGGACGGGTTCTGATCCAGGAACTCGTTGACCTCATTCATCAGGTCGCGGAAGTATTTGTTGCCAGTCAGCGAGATCGGGAATACGCTGTGTACTAGGATCAGCTCATCCTTTGCTGGGTTATCGGGGTATTGTGGCTGAACACGGATATCGAAGAAACGAACACCGTTCTTCAGTTGCTCGCGTGGGCTGACGGCTTGACAGCGCACGGAAGGTGGCGCCATGTGGCATGTTGGCGAGTTGTGGGTGCCAGGGATAGATAGCGCAGAGAGTAGGATGTCATCGCGCAATTCGTGCATCCACGCATTCAGGTTTGCAGATGAGAAAATGCTTAGATGAGATTCCGGGGTGATGTAGATGCCCGTGAATCGGAATTTGGGGTGCTGGACCAGTGCATTCATGGTAGCCGACTCGAGCGTCGGAACTGGAGTTTGAATTTGGTGTCGCTCGCCTTCGACCTCGAAGGTCAGACGCATGCGCTCCTTATCAGAGTTCTTGAAGGCTCGGCGCTCGGTTTTCTTTGTTGTGAATGGCTCCACGCGGATGTCGAGGCCTTGTAGCTCCTCGAACGGCTTTGTTTGTTCAGTGACCGCGAGTACTGGGGCATTGGCGCGGGTTTGGTTCGTGAGAACTCGAGTGAAATTTCTGGCTATGTGGGTGATGTCGGTGTTGGACTCCGGCGCCGCGAAGCGCTCAATGCGTTTCAGGACGATTGGAGTGGATGTGTCATTTCGGATGGTGAGAAATTCGGCGACCATGATGAGCGGGTACCAAGGTTGGAAGGAAGCTTCGAGGAACAATTGGTATATCGGGGATGAGAAAGATGCATTCAAACATCGGAGGAAACTGGGTAAATTTACCCCTCCACCATGGAATCTGCAGGCGATCGCCTATGGGCCTTTCTCTCTTGGCATTGACTCGAACATGATAATTCTGAATCCCATTCTTGAAAATGTCAGAAACCAATCATTTGAGTTCACAACTCAGCTCTTATGAACCAATTATACAGCTGCCGGAGATATTTGGAGTTATGACGCACTTCAAAACAATTAATGTGGGGTACACCTTCATAGCATGCATACTGTAGATAATGCTAAGGATTTTGATTTCGTTCATTGATCTCCTGAAGATCATAAAAGAGTTCAAGTAGAGGACTAGTTTGCACCTATTCAGCTCCTTTATGTGTTCTGATAAGCCCTTCTCATATTGATTGCACCCGATTCGCTACATGTAGTAACTATGATTTCAAAACACCATCTTTATCCATGGCTTTAATATGACTTGACAGACATGTTTTTGCATAATTTGTGGCCATTTCGCTTGAAAAATCTTAAGAACCTCGAAATAAACAAAAGAGGCTTTATGAAAAAATAAGACAAGATTTCCGCAGGCAAGTCACCAACACTTTCTAGCAACCCTGGCATTCCATGCACCCGTTGCAAAAACATTGCTTATACTTAGACAATCGCTTTATCAATCAATAAAGTTGAGAAAAAGCTATCAAGTGAGACATGGGGATATGTTTCCCTGACGGATCCAATCCTTCAGCGTGTGATAGCTCTGGCAGATGGAAAGAGAGCTATGCCACATACAGTAGAAAAGCAGAAGGCAGTCTGTAGTATTGGAGAGGAGATATCAAGTCGCTAAAGATCTTCCCAATCACCATAGGTTTGTCTTGAGGTTGCTGTAATTGCAACCCAGCTGACATGTCGTCGAGCTTTACAGTACCATTGTCATTCATCGTGCTTAAAAAATTTGGGTTTTCAATATAACTTTGTAGAGGGATAGGTCAAAGGGGTACCTGACTCGAAGCCAAGTTATCCCAGCTCGAGTTAGGCACCGTGCAGAATAAATATCAATTGGGGTGACCGTCTTGAGATTGAACCTTTATATCAGTCATGTATCGGCAATGAGGTGGATATTTTCAAGTAATGAAAACCTTCGCCTATCTCCAATTCTAGGATCAAGCCCCTTCCCCGCAAACCCGATGCTGGGTCCTGCGGGGTTTTGTGCAGCACTGGCCCCCGGCTAAACACTGATATTGAGAGAATGATGGTTCAAACCTTGGTATTGGATTCAATTGTCTTCATTGGATGAGAGACAAGAAAGATAGGTTATCTCAGCCGGATCCGGTCACTCATCTATCAAACCCCCCACGCAGATGCGGGAAAGGTACAACGTTACAGCGATTTCCCCACTGCGGAAAGCTACGTTATCAAGGCCGTCCTGTTTTCCTTTTCAAGTATATGAAGGGGACAAGATGCGATCTTGCTGAAAGCTGGAATTGTCACGGGTATTGTCAATGAGTGACAATTCCAACCACGCTTGCTATGGTACAATCCGACAGAGGAACGGTAGATGGAATCTCGGGTATTGGAGACCCTGATATTCTCCACGATGAATACGACGCAGAAAAGGCGAAAATTTTGAAAGACCCTGATGGGGCAGGAGCTCCTGAGCTTGCTGAGAGGAAAGAGCTGAGGTTTGTCTATGAAGTAATATTAGTCAACAAGAATTGAGCTGAGTTGGGTCTTCAGGAAAGGGTTACGGCAACGACATATTCAAATGATTGCATTGGCTGGGACTATTGGGACAGGCCTTTTCCTTGGATCAGGTCGAGCATTGGCGAATGCTGGACCAGCTGGTATTTTGTAGGTCAATCCCCAAGGTTGTCACATTATGCGCAAGACTAACGAATATTAGCATGGGATATCTGTTCATGGGGTTCTTGATATCTGGCGTGACACTTTCCATTGGAGAGCTCAGTGCACTCGTTCCCCTTAGCGGAGGTGTCATTCGTCCTGCCTCTTATTTTGTTGACCCGGCATTTGCCTTTGCACAAGGGTGGAATGTCACATATCAATATTTGATCTCCATCCCAGCGGAGATCTCAGCTGCGGCCGTGATTATCCAATTCTGGGTTACGGTGAACAATGCTATTTGGGTGACCGTATTCAGTGCCGTCCTTTTTGCAAGCAATCTGTTTCTAGTGCGAATCTATGGAGAGATTGAGTTCACATTGGCCATTTTGAAGGTTTGCTTGATCGTTGGCATGAATATCATGGTAAGAATCACAGATTACTCGTATGGATATAAAACTCACAGTTCCAGGGTCTTGTTATCACAGCTGGTGGAGGTCCGGATCACACAGCTATCGGATTTAAATACTGGAAAGATCCTGGGCCATTTGTGCAGTACTTGGGCGTTCCAGGATCGCTGGGTCGATTCATGGGATTCTGGACAGTCTTTGCAAATGCCGCTTACGCATATTCGTCCGTGGAGACCATATCAATGGCAGCAGCAGAAACTCATGCCCCCCGAAGAAACATTCCGAAAGCCGCCAAAAGAGTGTTTGTGCGCGTGATGTTATTTTATGGTTTGCCAACTACATTCTGACGGTATATCCGAAAGGCGCTAACAATATGCCAAGTCATCTCCGTTTTTATGATCACTCTTCTGGTCCCATCTAATGATCCAATGCTTCTCAGAAGTTCAGGTACCGCTGCCCAGTCTCCGTTCCTCATTGCAGCGACTCGAGCTGGTATAAGTGTCGTGCCTCACATCATCAATGCAATTGTTTTGACAAGCGCGTGGAGTTCTGGCAATTCTAGTACGTTGATTCCTGTTCAGGACTATCGATCGCATAAATCAAATTGACCTATTTAGCTCTTCTCAGCGGATCCAGAATTCTTTACGGTCTTGCTCGCGAAGGCCAAGCCCCAAAGTTCCTTGCACGCACCAATCGCTGGGGCGTGCCATACATGGGCGTACTCGCCATCGGGACTTGGATGGCTCTAGGGTATATGTCTCTTAGCGCCACCGCTGCCACTGTATTCACATGGTTACAGGATCTGGTCGCGTGTGCGCAGATTATGAGTTGGTTGGTCATCTGCACCACCTATCTGCGGTTTTATTATGCCATGAAAAAACAGGGGATCTCTCGAAACAGACTACCATGGAAAGCACCACTGCAACCCTATGCTGCATGGGTTACTCTAATCTCTCTGAGCATCATTCTACTGACTGGCGGTTATACGACATTTATTCATGGCCAGTAAGTCACGAAGATCCTGGTGGACTTGATAGTTACTAAAAGTTTCTAGCTGGTCAACCGAAACTTTCATTTCGTCATATTTGGACATTGGGATCTTTGCCTCTTTTTATTTTGGGTATAAGATTTGGTATAGGACTAAAATCATCTCTTTAGACGAATCGCCTGTCCTACGATTTGTGGAGATCGCCGAAAATGACCCCGATCCTCCTGAAGAGCCAAGGTCCAGATGGGCTAAGCTCAATATTCTGTGGAGCTAGGTACTAAAATAACAACAAGAATACTAGTAGATTCCACTCTCTTTTTGCCACTGTGCCTAAGTTCTTCACTGCTAGTCTCGGTAGTTTTCCCAGTCGGGAATACCCCTCTGTGGGGCTTTCCGGACAAGAGTCTACTACGGAGTAAGAGATCGTGCAACATCATGGCCCCCAAAATCCCAATGAGCCACTCATCATAGAAATCAGAGGAGCTGAAACCTGTTCAGCAACGCCACATTATCGCACAATCCCAGTAAATCTGTCCGCGTTGCCATGGTGTGCCCAATTGACTTCCGCTGCGGGACAACGCTAAGCTTTAGCTGCAGGACAAGCTACATCATGGCTCGATAAGCGGCGTCGTCTTGGCCACATACTAGCACGTGTTGGCTGCAGACAATCTGCTTTGCGAATTGATAAGGAAGTCTGCATAAGTTGCCAGATCACTGCGTAATGCAGCATGACGACGCGATATCGGCGGCCCTCGATCTCGATAGTTAAATAGTCGTACCTCTCCTCTGTTTGACCATTCAAAACAAATCATTTCTGAAGCTTCAAATTCCCATTTCCCATATTCCAATTTACAAACATACACAAAATGACTATCTCCCATTACGGTGTCTGGGCTTGTACCCCTACCAGCTACGAAGCTCAAACCACAGAGGAAGACCCCAAGTCTCCTCACATCTACCTCCACTTCACCGATGGTTCCTCTTCTAGCAAGTCACTCGAAGCCGCCATCAACGTCAAGTCCACTGATTCAGACTCCCGCCTCGTGTACTGGCTGAACCGCAACTTCACACACCCCGTCACCGAACAGCTATCCAACCTTGACCTCGGTTTCCACCTCACTTCGTCGCCGAGTAGCAGCAGCGAGAGCAACAAGAGCGAGAGCAACAACCGTCACCGTCACCGTCACCGTCAAGGGCACGTTCGTCGCGACCAGGCCACCCTCCAGGGATTGGACTTCATTCGCACAGCAAACCTGGTGGATATCAACTCGGGAGAGATTCTTGGTAGCGATGGCTCCGACGCTAGCATTTTGGCCGACCTGGACCCGATCATCTCCGATGCGATCAACCAGAAGGCGACTGCTTATATTTTCGGGTCTTCTTATGGGTCTGGCATTCACGATATCCACATGAATCAGGGTAGTTTGCCGAGTTACGCCAATGGCATCTATGAGGATGGAGCGCTGTTGTTCAAGTTTGATGATGGTCACTGGGAGGCGGTTTTCTTGGCTTTTGCTTCGCAGAAGATTCCTACCGATGACCAGGGAGAGTATGAGGCGAACAGCAAGTCGTTGGCCTCTATTCTGGGTGCGAGCGAATAGGTACCAATGTATATACGCTAGAAAGAAGTTATATACCTTCCAATCCAACCATGAAGAAACTGTGATGTTATACTTCCATGTAACCGGCCTGAGCGGGGTTTAGCGGAGGACGAGCCATGTTATGGACAGACTACGTTATGGTTTTGTGACGATCGAGCTTCTATACTAGCTTGCCTCCGTTCAACCTCTTCTTCCTTGTGCATCCTTCTGGTGATGTATACCGCTAGGTGTGTTCAAATGCAACACAGCTTCTTTGAAGATGCTCATTCAATTATATTCATGCAGTTCATTATTTATCTCAGTTGATCTGCACTCTATTTATCTGAGGTTGAGCAGCATCAACTCGGGGGATTCAATCAACTCCCTCACACGGTTACCCATGCGTGCCATAGTCGCCCCATCAATGACGCGATGATCAGCACTCCAGCTGAAATTCACCAGCTCGCCCTTTGTAACCTGGTCTGCCTCATCGAAAACGGGTACCGTCCTTGTCCTTCCAATACCAAGAATGGCGACCTCCGTCGGCACAAGCACAGGCGCAACATAGGTGCCACCGATGTTCCCGATATTCGAGACAGTGATAGTTCCACCGCTCAGATCAGCAGATGTAAGCTTTCCAGTCTTTCCAAGTGCACTGAGACGTGAAATCTCGGCTGCAATATCGAAGATGGACCGGCTTGCCACGTCCTTGATATTGGGAACTATCAGGCCTGCCGGTGTGTCCATCGCAATGCCGATATTGTGCTTAGCGCGCATGATCAACTTCGGTTTCTCAGGGGTGCTGGCGTCTACTCGGGCATTGAGAATGGGGAATTCGTTCAGAGCAAGCGAGACGGCCTTCACAATGAAGGGTAGGAGGGTGATTTTCTTGGGATCCCGCGCATCATTGGCGAGTTTCTTTCGAATGGAAGAGATATCGCTGACTGTTAACTCGTCGGCAAACAGAAAGTGGGGGATATTGAGGGATTTGGTCATTGTCTTGAACATGGCCGATTGCATCGGGGTCAGTTTGACCTCAGACTCGGTCTGCTTGGTGTCTGGTGTGATAGATACTTGTGATGGACTTGAGAGAGATGCTGCAGGAGAGTCTCGAGTTTCAACGAATTTTAGAACATCTTCTTTCATGACACGTCCCTCCTTCCCTGTCCCGGTGATGTCTAGGATGTTGAGGTCGTGGGTCTTGAGCAGCCCGCGCACGGCAGGAGTTGCAAGGGATGCATGTTTCGATGTGGGTATCTCGAGAATAGCTTCAGAAGACGGAAGAGAGTAAAGAGGTATTGTTGAACCCTCAGCAGCTTGAGTTGCTGCCACTATTTGCGATTCGGGAGTTGGTGCAGTTGATTCTGAGGCCGCTTGTGATTCATGTGGTGGGTGATCATCTGGGTATTTTCCATCTTCGACCTCAATTTCACACAATGCCTGCAGGATTAAGTTAGTAAAATGTGAGAAAGAATAATACCGTTAGGCCAACTTACTCGCCCCGTTGGAACAGTATCATCTGCCTCGAAATGAAGCTTCTTGATCACGCCTTCGTACCGGGATGTAATCTATATTTGTCAATTCTCTTCCGCGGAGACCAATGTCAAGGTCAAGGGTGCTCACATCATCAACAGCTTTGTCAGACTGGTACTGACACAAAGGCTTCCATTCCTCAATATGTGCCCCTTCCTCCACGTACCACTGAATGATCTGGACCTCAGTGATACCTTCTAAAATTAGCGATCAATTGGCCGATTAGGCTCTGATAGTGCAAGTACTCACCTTCACCAACATCCTTCAAAATTTGTGACTTGATCCCCCATAAAGCTGGTCCTGCGTGGAATCTACGGCTGGGCACGGACGTGATGGGGCTTTGAATGCGGAGAACACTCTGGGATCGGCAGGATCGCAGGATACTGGGGAAATTGCTCCCACTGCGCAAGACGTTCATGATACCGGGTCACCTAGCGAGGGATATGCATTCAAATTTGAGCAAAGAAGTCATGGAAAGATGGTCTTTATCTAAAATGTTGACTTCCTTTCTCCGATGGTAACCGGCGATAGCCACGTGATTTCCCCCGCATTGCCGCGGAGTCCAATTTTACTTAGAATCAAGATGGAATTATGTCATCTCAATATAAAGGTTAGCATCGGTCACTCGGTTAAACCAATGTATGTGTATCTCTTAAAATATCTGGCATTACCCCTTATCAAATCGACCTAGATCCTCACAGGACCTATGGATAACAATGGGAGACGATTGAATGAAAGGTCAATCCCAAGAGACCATCAAGATTGCTTAGTGACTACCTTAATTTAATTCAGGAGCTTTGCAAATTCGGGCTTGGGAAATGAGGATCACGATTGTTACACCTTTGGGAACTCCCAGGCGTGGCCGCAGTATGGAAGATGGTTCTGGAAGCGATTCACGGGCCCGAATCGACTGCATATGGCTTAGTGGGGACATTTTACGAAGAACAAGTTCGTTGTTGGTGAAGGGGAGTTGGAAAGGAATACGGAGGAATTGGCAAAAGTCCGGAGGGGTAGAGCTCTTGGCTATAAATAATCAAATTGATGATCCAGAGTAGTTAGCTATACATGTAGGAAAGCGGGTTTGAAGAACGGGTGTTAAATTTAGGGTTTACAGCCGGAAATCCACTTAACCTAGTTTAGTTCAGTATAGACAGTGCAATGCCATTCGCCCCAAAATAGGGTATCAAATCAAAAGACGTGTGAGGACAGCTGGTAAGAACATCACGCCAAAACTCACAATGCGAATATAAAAACAACAAGAACACCTATAAACACCGAGTGGAGGAAATGGCAGTCCACAATACCGAAATCTTCAATGCAAAAGCCCACGGAGTTCCATACATTCTTCACGAATACTCCTTGAGCTTCTCAGTAACAGCCCCCAGCACATTGTGCTGCACCTGCTCTGGCGAACCCTCCACATTAATCGTAATAGCATCCCACTCGCCCTGCGGCTCTTCCAGAGCAGCCAACTGCGAATGAACCATGTCGCTCTTCATGTAGTGCGACTTGCGTTGGGTGACACGCTGCATAAGAACAGCCTCAGTAAGCTTGAGGTAGATAAAGTGGATATGTACGGAAGGCGAGCCGTACGCGGCGACACGCATCACATCGCGGTATTTCTGCTTCAAGGCGGAGCAGGCGACGACCACACCGGCGGGTGGTTGGAAGTTGTTGGCTTCGGAAGGCGAGAGGGCATTGATGGCTGCTTGGCGCAAGGAGATGAGCCAGTCCCAGCGGTCTGCGTCTGTGAGGGGAATGCCGTGGCCCATTTTGTCTTTGTTGGATTTGGGGTGGAACTGCGTGGAATCGTATTAGCCTTGGTTCATACCTGTAACTAAATTTCGAGTCGTATTTCTTGAGCATGGTTGTCTGTTTTCTTGACATCCATATAGTGCTATCTCACGTACATCGTCGCCTTCTAGGAAAGGTAGGTTGAGCTCCTTACGGATGGCTTGGCCCACAGTACTTTTGCCACAACCTGCGGGACCGGTCACTACCCAGATATGCTGCACTGGGGACAACTGATTGGTGTTTTGAGGGCGCATTGCGGCATGTGTTGAGGTGCCGTTGGGCTTCAGATCGGGCATGATGTGCGCCTTGGTCACAGGTAGGGACGGCGAATTTACAAGAGCAGGTGCGACCGGTGGCTGAGGTCGTTCCCCAGCGGAGAGCATGATGCTGAATGCGGAAGGAATTGAGCTGAGTTTTGAGGGGTAAGGGAGGATCAAATCGTCTCGCGATTGCAAAATGGCCCGGAGCGGAATGGATGACGGGATATGAGGCGGTGATCCACGGAACCAACGTGAGAGCTGTTTTGATAAAAAGTTGGAAGACGATGAGCGGTTGAGCAGCTTTTTTTTGAGAAGAATTAATTCTGCGCAATCGGACAGAGTATGTAACGAGGGGGAGGAATGGCAGAGTCGCGCGACAGGGAGATCTTCCCTACTTTTTCAAGTATGACGGTGGAGTCGGGGGAAAGAAGAAACCAGAAGCCGAGTGGGGGAGCTATAAATGATCATGATTGGTGGGAGGAGAAGAATAGTTATCCGAGTGGAGGAGTGGGATGAGTCTCCGTGGAGTCGGGAAGATCGATCGACATCGAGGACTCGGCGTTTCTCCAATATTTATCGAATCATTTCTTCATTTTGAGCTACAGATAATATTTCAACTAATATCTCACAGGGAATAATAAATCCATTGAGCTTGACCTCATGTCTGTACGGCAATTGAGATCGTGTTGAATGATGTCACTTTTGTATGTAAATTACGGTGTAAAGTACCCCCACGCTAGTGACACCACCGGGTTGGATACATTTTGCATCCCAATTTTGTTGGAGCAAAAATCCCTATATAAGCTAGCTAATATCATAGATGGCATCATATACTGCTTATCACGATCTTTAATATGGCAGCCTCACCTACTTTGCCGGAATTAAAGATAGTATCATCTAGGGGAGTTGTGTCCAGGTGACCCACAGTCGATTGAATCCGTTGACAATGTGTCCCCCCACGCATGTTTCAAGGCATTCAATGCCAAGCAGTGGGACAACCGTGAAAATTAAGGGAGAACCAGAAAATCAGCTTAATCAACCGGCCCGATTCTCGGATAACGGACACGGCATCGAGAAATCGGAAATGTGGACTGAAATGGATGGGGGCGATCTCAATGTCAGACCGGCTAAACATTCCTTCTACAAGTGGAAAATTTCTTGGGAAGCTAATTCTGCGGGGCTTAATTGAAGTCCTTGTTATGCAAGGATCATATATTGGCTATATTTGGAGCACATCTCGGGAAGCAGAATCCGATTTCCGATATCCGGGGTTCAAAGACTACATCTGACATGAATTCCCGTAAATCTTTCACCAGGAAGCACCTTTAGTACTGGCTCTGGCATCTAAGTTGCCAACCACTTTACTCTCTGGTCAAAATTGGAGAAGACCAACACCTACATAGCAGAGCATTCATAGGAGATTTGACATATAAAGCGGTAGTGATGGTCCATTCAACTTGATTGTAATGAGACGCAATCTAGGGTTCAAGTACTCATTCATCCTCATGATCTGATAGCTAGTCTTAGTGCACTGCTAAATGTGCAGGTGGAGGTATCGGTGGCCTCATGGGATTAACTTTCAATTGGACGGTATCATAATAAGTATACAGTATTGGCCGTTCTGGTATGTCAGGGAGCTCCTCCTGGGCTAGATAATTTGTTTTTCACTATTGTTGATACAGATCTACTCAACTTAGCATGAGTCAAACATGTTTGACATCAATAGTGGTGGCCGCCACCTAGATTTTTTTCTATATAGAGGGTTGGCAGTGGATGCTCGTTCTGTTAATATCTTGTCAATATCTTAATTTCACATAATGCAGTCGAGATAAGGGGACCCCTGTTCACAATGGCAAAGCGAGCATAATAAGGAAGCAATGAAGAAGAGACGATAAGGTTATATAAATGCATGATTCAAATACCATTTCATATAAAAAATAAACAATAGAAACAAATATAGAGATGCGTGTTTTGCTGCCTGCGGGGTCTTACTAAGCAACGAGGCCACGTTCTGGATCTCCGCGCTTGCTCCAAGCATCTTGAACTCACACACCATGGCCTCTCTCTTTTTTTCCACCCCGGTCGATATCGACGTCGTCCTTGACGACCTCGATGACCGCCAGACAGTAGATGTTAAGCTCGACAAGGGTCGCCGTGAGCGGGTTCCCCTGTACATGGATGGAGAGTCCGTCAAGGGTGCGGTGACGATCAGGCCGAAGGATGGCAAGCGATTGGAGCATACAGGAATTAAGGTGCAGTTCATTGGCACGATTGGTGAGTTCCGATGCTATTCAACCTTATCAGACCCCGAACCAGAGCTAACCAAGCTACTTGTGCCCCTCCAGAGATGTTCTACGATCGAGGCAACCATTACGAATTCCTATCGCTGGTCCAGGAGCTTGCTGCGCCGGGCGAGCTGCTTCACCCCCAAACCTTCCCTTTCAACTTCAAGAATGTCGAGAAGCAATACGAGTCCTACAATGGTATCAACGTGAAGCTTCGCTATTTCGTGCGGGTGACCGTCTCGCGGCGCATGGCCGACGTCATCCGTGAGAAGGACCTCTGGGTGTATTCGTACCGCATGCCGCCGGAGACCAACAGTGCGATCAAGATGGATGTCGGAATTGAAGACTGCCTGCACATCGAGTTCGAATATTCCAAGTCCAAGTACCACCTCAAGGACGTGATTGTCGGTCGCATCTATTTCTTGCTCGTGCGGCTCAAGATTAAGCATATGGAATTGTCTATCATTCGCCGGGAGACCACTGGTTCCCCTCCCAATCAATATAACGAGAGTGAGACTTTGGTTCGCTTCGAGGTACGTGCATTGGCCCGGATTCGTCGGCGTCGTGATTGTCACTCGGCCACAACTTGCTAACACTCAATTAGATCATGGATGGCTCGCCTTCGAGAGGTTAGTTCCACCATTGCGATTAGATTTGACTCGATCAATTGTTCAAAAGATCTTTCAGATCATCCAAGTTGCTGACCAGATTGCAGGTGAAACCATTCCCATTCGTCTATTCCTTGGTGGATTCGACTTGACCCCGACTTTCCGCGATGTGAACAAGAAATACTCGACAAGATACTACCTCAGCCTGGTGCTGATCGATGAAGGTGCGTGACAGCAATATCCTATTCGCGGAGGCCGCAATTTAGCATGGGCCAATGACCTGAATTCCCTGAATTCCGTGGGTATTTTACATAGCCGACGGTCTTTGAAACCGTAACGGTCGGGCCGGCTAGTAAATCCCACGGCGATTCTTGCTTTCCACCCCCACGCTAAACTGATTGTGGAACCCAACGAGGGACTACCTTATCCTGATGTATTACTGGCCGTTGCTGATGATTTGCTGTATTCTATAGATCAACGTCGTTACTTCAAGCAATCTGAGATTGCCCTCTACCGCCAAGCACCTGAGATTGCCTCGACACCACAGATCGCCCAGCAGCAGGCAATTCAACAGCAGGTCCTTCTCCAGCAACAGCAGGCCATTCTCCCACCAGGCTCTGCGACTGCTGGCCCAGGACGTGAAGTACCAAGCGGTCACCTGAAGCAGCAGCAGCAGAGTAATACCCCGCCAGTCTCGGCGCCGGCGGCATGATTTGATTGTTTTCGTCTAGCCCTTCTATACCCACCGAACTTGCTCTCATCCAACCTTCTACATTCCTCCTGTATCCAATCAATGGTTCCTCCGCTCCGGTATTGTTACGTTATTTCTGTAGTCTACCATTCTCGTTCTTATCGTCTACATTATTTCCAAAGGGCGCGTTTTGGTTTGATCGCAATTTGTGATTCAATTGCTGGATAGCCTCCGTCCCTCCATGACATCTGCCTATGAGGGATGGCGATTAGATACATAGAACAATAAACACATACGCGCGTTTACTCGAAATGACCCGTCTCCTGCAGTACCTTTCCAAGGGCCTGGAGCACTTGTCCATCATCGCGTTCTTTGCCTGCTACCTGAATTGCCTTTACAACGAGCGGATACAGCCATTCAAGATGCTTGCGGTGGTGACGCGGAGAATTGTCTTCCGAACCAGTCGTCACCGAGATAGTTTTCAGAACTGGTGGATCTGGGATAGCGGAAGGCTCGCTTTGGAGCCGAACCACGTGGACAAGAAGATGAAGCAGAGCCTTGCGCGCAGGTGTAGGTTGAGGCATCAGGCCGCGCAGAGGCTGATCAGCAATGTAGGCTTTCAGCGACATGGCACAGCGGAGCAGGAGGTATGGAGAAACAGATTGGGCAAGCAGGGTCTGCGGGGACAGCATTGATGCATCATCAGTGTCTGCACTCGTAGCAAGCTCGAAAAGAGTGTCCATGAGCACGTAGGCCATTTTCGGGCGCAGGGTTGGAGGGGGATCGAAAGTACGGCCCGATCGGACTTTGTAGAAGTCTTGCAGGGGATTCTTCTCGATCGAAGTGGCTGGGAGATCGAGTCGCTGGGGCGAGTATATGAAGGACGAATTGAACAGGGCATAAGCAAAGTCACGGCGGACCGAACTTGCGATTGCAGATGCTCCGAGCGAAGGTAATATTAGTGTCTTCAGGCGAGTGAAGGCGGCGATGTCGAAAGCCTCATCGGTCTGAATCTGAGCGTTTGATAGTTGCTGGGCTTGGAACCCGCGGGCAGAGACGATGCCATGTGTAGCATCGACGACGCATTGCCAAAAGCGAGTTATTTCTGACGTATTAGCCTCGGTGTATTGCTTTTCCACATAGGGAACTGCGACTTGTAGTACGTTCAAGGATATCGTTGAGGCCTTCTGCCAGAGATATGGCTCGCGGTCTTTTCCTTGCCACGTGTACTTCTGCCCAATTGGCACACTGAGACGATCGAGGGTAGTTGCCAGGGCACCATTAGTGAAAATGTCTTGTTTGATGCCGAACTCAGCGATATACCAGCTGATAAGATCTATGACATCTTTCGAAAAAGCCACGAATGTAGGCCTTCTCGAGTCGCTGTCAGGGCTCCATTGGGATAGTGCCGAAGAAGACAGGACAGCAAGACACAAAAGAATAGCAGCTTGAGAATCTTCCTTTTCCAAACATAGAGACTTGATACAATCGATCACAAGTGCTTGAACGGCGGAAGGTCGATCGATATCTGGCGAATAGGATGGGGATACCGAGTTCCATACGAGCAGCCGCAAGTGACTTAGGACCTGTTCAATATGTTCCGTAGTCAAATCATCTTTGTAAAGACGATACACTTGTTGGAGGGTTTGAATATAAGCCAGCGCAGCATCTTGATTTGGTCGATCCAGATCAAGTTTGGCTTCATCACCAGCGGGGTGCCCATTGGTCCACAGATTCCAAGCACACTGAAGCGCATCTTTACTCAGCCCAGTGACAGATTGTACTCGGATGAGAATAGTTGAGAGGCTGGCAAATGTGGCTTCACTGAATTCGAGGAGACGCATGTCTACCAAGGCTTGCAGGTACTTCAAAAGGCGTGTCCATGACTGATCAAACTTCTCATCGCTCACAATAGTTTCAAAGAAAGTCGTGATCAGATTGGCAACTCCATTGATCATCACGACTGTTGTGTCCACCCAGGATTTGAGATCGCTTTTCACGGCCTTCGACTGCGTTAAGGTGCTTTCAATTTGCTCCACCATCAGAAAGAGGACCCGGTTCAGACACAATCGCCATGCTTTGGGAGAAAGTTGTTGCCCATAAGCATCAAAAATTCTAAGAAGAGTGTGGATCGCGCTGTTGCGGACTTCCGATCTGCTATCCGTGGTTACATCCACATTGCGAAGTAGCAGCAGAAGCCAGAGCGAATTTCTCGAAACAGAGAGGTCCTTGGCTTGGGCGAGGTCACCCAGAGCCTCTTCACTGACAGACGCATCAACATGACTCTCAATGGAAAATCTTTCGATCTGACCCTGGAGAAAATCAGACACGGTCCAGAAAAATGAGGTGGTTGTAAGGGAGATGTTGAAATCCTGCGTTTGAGACGCAAAGCTCGAGAGCGAATCGACCAAACTCAAGAGACAAGCTGCAGGCAGCAAGGAGAGGAAGTCAGATGCGACGAGATGCAGTGACTTGTATGCAGCACGAACTAATCGTGGCCCGGCTGGCAAGCCCGAGGATCTGCGCTCGGTGGGTAAAGAGAGTTGGTCAGTACTTTCCACTTTTGCAACACCTTGAAAGACGCCGGAAATCAAGTCAAATGCAAGGTTCCATCCATCTTGGAACGTTTCTGCGTATTGCTCAAGAATGTTTTGAAGAACCTCTAGGCTCTGCTCGTGAATTTCAACCACAGTGATGGGCAGAGACTTGGAAGAAACTAGATCCGATGCATAAAGAGAGGCAACTTGATCCTTGAGAGTTTGGAGATTCCTTGTCTGCACCTTGTTTTGTGTCTCCTCTTCATCTTCGTTTCTTGGTTTCATCGTCAAAAATATCAATGAATTCAAAATCCCGCTGGCCTGCAGGCGAAGATTTGGACTAATTGCGATGTTCGCAGAGATGGAGATGAGACTTTGTGTCAGTAATTGCCAGGCGTTGTTATCTGTTGCATCCAACGAAGATAGTCTCTCGAGATTTGCTTTAGCCAGTTCATTTCCTTTGTCTAACACGAATTTCAGCTCCTCATCTTGCATCCTTGATTTCCCAACGGTGTGTGATACACGCCGGGCATTTTGATGCAAGCGCCCAGGCGGCCGGGATGACTGTGGTGATTGAGGCAAGTCAGATACCTGCTGGACTTCTTCTTGTTCTTCTCGCTGTTCCGTAAATACGGACAGGTTCAAAAGGGCAAGAAGAATATCCTGGAATGAATCACTGGGGTAATCACCGGTGCTTTCAAACAGTTTAGAAGCAGCAGCTTGCACAGCAATAACTTCTGTGCCGAGATTGGCTGTAGGGATATCATTCCCTGAAATTCCTGGAACTTCCGCCGCACCACTAGCTGATTTGACCATTGCACTTGATGACATGCCAATGACCAACCCAGTATACTGCAATGTCTCCAGCAAAATGGACCAGGCTGGTTGATCCAAGGTTGGCCCCAACGCAATTCCAAGATTGATTAGAGCTCTAAGACAAAGAAGATTTCTCGTGCTGAGAGAAGTAAGGGGACCATCTATGATAGATGAGCCAAGTGAATCCGACGGCAATGAATTGGTTCGCGTGAAATCAAAGCTTTTTCGTTTTTTCTGAAGATCCTCATGAGCCTGGGATCCTGCCGCGGTCGGTGCTCCAAGGGTCTGCACTTTAGAGCTACCCGTGCTTGCAGGCATAGCAGCTTTCCCGAGCGTTGTAAGAAAGGCATCTCGGGGCACTGATAGCCTAAGCAGGCCGGCGACATGGGCCAACTTCTGAAATGCTCGAACTAGGTTGTGGTAGAATTCGTCGTCAAGGGAAGCGTGCAGAAATGTGGAGCAAGCTGCAAGCACAGCAGGCCAACAATTCTCGATGATGCCAGCACATGTCTTGATGGCAGAAAACTGAACATGAGACTGTAAATCCAAGGGATTTATTGGTACGGACGACTTCTTGAACGGCGCAGCTGTCTGTGTTCTTCCCGCATCTGGTGATTGAAGGTCCTGGGAGGATCTAGCCGATTCAGGCCCCTGATCAGGAGTACCAGCCAGTCGATTTCTCCGTTTTTGCTTGAAATCCGGAACAGTGAGTGGGAGAATAAACTTTGCAAGTCCCTCAGCAAAGGCGCTAATGCAATTCAGAACAAGACTGTAGATATAAGTCTCTGGAGGCAGTGACGGCTCTGTCTTGTCAAGCAGCTCCATGTAAGGCGTTCGGACAACACTCCACTGAGTACTGATCCCGGGGACCTTCATCTCGGTCTGGGGAAGCGATGTTCCAATGACACCTGCAACACCGCCAGTCTCAAGAGCAATCTGATCCTCCGTCATTGACCGTGAATGGTCCGCACGTAGGGGTATTGTTGATTGATTGCTGACACCAATCAATGAGGGTTTTTCAGAAGCCAGCCGCACAAAAGAGGCCATATGGTCCCGAAGGATATTCTTCCTGCCTTCTGCTGCATCGAAAAGCGAGTAAATTTGACGAACAACCCCTGGTTCGGAATAAAGGCCCCGGAATAATTCCATACACAGAACTCGCTTCCATGGTGCAGTTCCATCTGGTTCAAGTAAATGAGTCAGAAGACCAAGAACCATCTCGCTTTCTGAGGTTAGGAGAGACATGTGGCGCTTGAGAAGAACAAAGAGAATCCGAGTAACGCGGACGGTCTGGGCAAATGTAGTCCTCTCGGATAGACATCGAACGATCAATGGTACCAAGCGAACACGCAGTACTTGGGACAGTTCGGGGTGTCCTACGAAGAGACGACCACTGTTAAGTATGATGCTCTCGATAAGCTCGAGAACGAAAGGAGGTGATAGAGTTCTGGTGCGAAGAAATTGCAGTTGTTCACCATCAATGAGGCGACAAAGATCATCCAGAACCTTGGGAAAGCAGTCAGTAAAGAAGAGCGGCGATAATCCAGGCGCGAACTAACCTGTAGGGCATCATATGAAAAGTGCCCTATTTCTACAAACTGGCCATCGACTTTCACGGTCTTGGTAGTTTTGGCATCGGTAGAGAGCTTGTCCTCGCTAGAAACTCTCTCAAATGTTGAAACCACAAGTTGTTGAAGTGTAGCAGCGGCAGTACTGCTGACGGCGATTTGCTTGCTTGCTTGTAAAGTTGCACATATTTCCAACGTATTTGCAAGAAGATCTCCACTGAGCTCATTGGAGTAGTATTGCAGCAGAGAAGGTAACGATTGTAGGATTTTGAGCTGAATATCAAGACCTGTCCGATATTAGTAACTCCTCCTCGTGACAGAACTGGTTTTGCTGCTTACTCAAGTTCGTCGTTTCCCGCAGGCCTGTAAGAACATCCTTCAAGCGATGCGATGGCAATGCTCGCGATGCGATCAATCTCTGCAGGCATATCACACCAATTCCAGCAAGCTTTGCATGCCGAGTATGACATGCGATGATGAATGGCTCAACAAAAGTTGGCTTGCGGACAAGGTCTATAACACGATTTAGATGGGCCGAATTACTGGAATTTGTAGAAGGAAGCCTACCAGCTGCTATTTGTGCCTCAGATGTCGAGGGCAACGCTTTCAACTCATTTAGTGATTGCTCTGCTGCCTGGATTTAGTTCGGTTAGCCTTGCTATTCAAGGGGATCCTTAGGGGGAAGTAAGACTAACACTTCGCAGGTCAGAATTCTTTCGTCTAGACTCCTGAATGAGGTTTGCAAGCTCTGTCTGCAAGAATTGTGAAGACATCTCCAACCAGAGAGCTGCATTAATGCATATCCGAGTCCAGTGTTCCTAGATGGTGGTTCCCGGTGGTGGTAAGAGGGAGCTCCTGATTAGAGCCCCTCAGGTGATTTTTATAAAGGATATGTGGCAAATGTTGAACTCTCAACAGCCTTTCATATGTCACAACCGGATCGCGCCAGTCACTGGGGAAGTTCAATGGGATTCAAGATGCAGGTCAACAAATCCCCGTGGCTTCAAATGTGCCAAGCAATCCGATAAGACCCGTATCGCACGTGATCACTCGTCATTAAGTCCGTGAATGCGCGGAACATGCCCCTCTTTATTCATTCAGGAATTCTTCCCAACATCTTTCTCTTTTCTCCGGGTTTCTTTCAAACCCTATTTTCCACCATGTCCGCCACGGTGCCGAGAAACTTCCGGCTTCTTGAAGAGTTGGAGAAAGGAGAAAAGGGTCAAGGTGCAGGTAGGATATCTCCATTGATCCCGGAATCAAACAACACGGACACTAACATATTTTGTTTTCCAACAATTATAGAGGCTTGTTCCTACGGTCTTGCAGATGGAGAGGACATGATGATGAGCAACTGGAATGGGACAATCCTTGGCCCTCCCCACGTCGGTCTACCCCACTACTCCTCGTCGAATATGCCCAATCACTAACACTCGACTGGATCAGAGTGTCCATGAGAACCGGATATATAGCGTAAACATCCATTGCGGTCCTGACTATCCTGACAACCCTCCCACGATCCAGTTCATTTCACAAGTCAATGTTCCCTGCGTCGATCAGCGGTCCGGAAAGGTAGGAAGGGATCAAATACCAAATATATGGGGTGATAACTAAATGATTGAATCCTCTAGGTTGACCCATCAAAGCTCCCTTGCCTTGCTCAGTGGAAGCGCGAGTTCACCATGGAGACCGTCCTGATCGAGCTGCGCCGGTGAGTTCTTTCCTCGCTTTGTTACATGTAGTTTTATCGTACTGACTAGAATTCAGATACATGGCTTTACCCCAGAACAAGAAACTGCCCCAGCCGCCAGAGGGCGCGACTTTCTTCTAAGCCTGCATTTCCATAGGATCGGCTAGGAACCCGGAGTCCCAAGGTGATTTTTCTCGAGGTTTATTCGCTTTTTCAATGTCCCTATGATGATTCTTCTAGAGCGTGTATAGTCTATGCATAGTGCCGCCAAGCTTCATATTATCTCCATTCGTAGTACTCAAGTGTAACTATGTACTATAGACATTACGTATATCGAAAGCCTATTCGGACATTGGGCAACCTTCAAGTAACCTCAATTTTTAAGGCTCGGGACTAGTTTGAAAATTCTTAATATGTCAAACACATGACTGTTCTTTTTTCCATATAATAGAATTACTTTTTTCTCGTCATTGGATCTTCTTGAATCCGGGGAACATGGTCACGTGCCTGCTATCTCACATATGTCCATGTCGGAGCTTCCGCAATTTCTCCCGCAACTTTGCTTTAACAGAATGCGTAAGGCGGTCGTACCAAAACATTCTGGGGTTCATCGCTTTGCTTGTGAGTCGAATTTCTGGTTTATGCGACTAAACTGTTTCAACTAACACTCATCATTTGCCAGGCCTGGCACTTTATCGATCCCTTCTCCGACAATGTTCTCCTTCGGCCGGCAATGCGTCGACCGACAATGCACCATGGCTAGGTGAGACTAGATTTCTCGCGAGGCAGAGATTCCGACGATATAAAGACCTTGAAAGCCCATCACAGGTCGCAAATGCCCTGAGAGCTGGCTATCAGGTATGACATTGCACCAGCGTCCCGTGGACAGCTTCTTCTGGCTATTCCTTGTACTAAGTCGTTGATTGGCTAGGCTCTGGACCTGCTTGACTCTGCCTCCAAAGGAAATCGGCAACATGAGCAGCAGATCACAACAATCCTCGCACAAGCAAGATCAATCAAGGAGAAACAATCTGCCATGCAAAGAGAGATCAGTCAATTGAACCCCCCGAAACCGCTGTCCGGATTACGGCTCAAAATGAAGGAGTCGATTCGCCACGAGAAAGAGACTCAGCTGCGACATCCGAATGCTGAATCGATTTTCTCGCGCCCCCAGCGCAAGGTGAGCGGGAAGCGACATGTGCCGGTTCTGGTCAATGCCCGCGGAGTGCCTTTTCTCCGCATTAAAAAGCCGCAGCCGAGGAATCTTAGCAGTGTTATTCGGACAAAGCTAGATAAGCGATGGAATCGGATTGTATTACGAGAGCGTCTGCAAACAGATCTTTTATTCGCCAAGGATGAAGATGCATGGGACTATCTCACAAAAACCAAAGCCGAAGATCGATCTTCATGGACTACAAGCATCAGAGAATCGCTAGATGATGTTTCTGAAAAAATCAGCCAAACTGATAATGAAAACAGGGAAATGTCAGAGCGCTTGTGGGAAATTGTTCTTAAGGAACGCAAGTTGGCTGCAAAGGAAGAAAATAAAAGACAGGCTGCGGAGGGAGAAAGACCTACAAGTGGATTGTGATCCTTTGAGCTCGTCTCTCTCAATTTTCGAGAGATGATCTGCTGCTATCTAGGGCAGTTTGCTCTCTATCTACGGCTAGAGTTTCAGCCTGATTCTGTATTATATCGCGAAATGATACCCCATGAAGTAATATTTTGATATCGACATATCTATGCATTAAGTTAAGCTGTAACTTTCAGCTTCTCAACTGCAGGCATAGCATCTTCGCCCTCTTCATCATAATCGCCCTTGCCAGCCAATCCTCTCTCCCACAGTTGTCGCCCAGTAAGCTTCTTCTCCTCCTTCCCAGACTTCTTCTTCTTGTCCTCGGCTTCTTTCTCCTCCTTTTGCCGCAGCTCCTCGTCCGCAATTTCCTTCTGGAAATTGGCCATCCACTCCAAAAATGTTCCACGATTGACCGGTGTCCCGCGAAATTTGGCGTTCTCTACCTCCTCCAACTTGGCAGCGACCTTCTCCTTCTCAACCTGCACGGCATTGGCGCGCTCCATCATGAGAGATTCGGCGCTTTCCTTCAATGCGCTCACAAGCGTAAACACCATCGCCATTCCCATATTCTCTTCAATGGTCTCCTGGAGAGATTCGAGAAGTTGGTCCCGGTCCTCTTGAATGTCTAGTCGCGGATACCTGGGGGCATTGGGTGGGGAGGAAATGTTCAGTTGTGGGGCAACATCAGGATAATCTTCTGGGTATGAGACTTCCAGGTATATCACAGGCTCCTCGGATTCTTCGGTATCAAATTCGGGGACGTCGAGAGTTATCGATACTTTGTATGCGGTCTCGGATATGTCTGGTGGCGGGGAACTTGGGTCAGTAAAGCTTTTGCAATCCCAGCCCATGGAAATTTCTGAGTAGCAGTGTAAAAACTCACCTGTGATCTCATCTGGGAAGATGGAGTCAAGAACCTCTCGCTCCTCGATTTGATCTTCGCGACCCATTTTTGCGATCCGCCTGCGGATTGGAGGGGTAGGATAGTAGAGCGGGGTGAGGGTGGTAAACGTGAAGATTGTGCGGTCGAGCACTTGAACTTGATCACAAGAAAATGTAGAGACCGTGAGAGAGAGAACGTATCTTTGTGAAGTTGTATTGTATCGCTGTCGCGAAATAATGTAGTGGAGGAAACGTCCCACATGCAAACCGGGCAAACAGCTCCAATTTTAGGATTTGAGCTTCACTTTTTTTTGTTCAGTGTCCCGCATTTACCAATAACTCATATTTCCTCACTTGTCCACATTTTTTTTTGTTCATACATATTTACAGAATAGATCTGTCATGGGAAAACCCAGACCACAAAAGAAGAAGTCCTCCAAATCCCGTGCAAAATCCGTCCTCGGCCCTGGTGGCTCAGTCTCGAAACACAAAATGGCCCAAACTCCTACCGAAATACTCGATCAAGCCACGATCCTCCTACAAACCGGCCGTGTGGAGGAAGCGTTGGAAACTGCGCAGCAAGCGCTTGAACTGACCAACGGCAATGCGCAGCTGCCCGCATTGAACCTGCTAGGGGAGATCAACGTTGAGCTGGGCGAGATCGATACCGCTAGGGAATGTTTTCTGCGTGCCGTTCAGTTGGACCTGGATGGCTCGATACCGGAATCTGAGGGTGGTGGCGCAGAGAAGTTCATGTGGCTTGCTCAGTTGAGTGAGCAGGGTGGAGTTGATAGTGTCCAATGGTTCGAGAAGGGTGTTTCCTCCCTGCGCCAGACTCTCCAGTCACTGGAAGGAAAGACTAGTGCAGAGGATGTTGCCAATGCTGAGGAGAAGAAGACCAAGCTGGCGAATGCACTCTGTGCTGTTGCTGAGATTTACATGACTGATCTTTCGTGAGTTAAACTTACCCACTGCAAAGGTTGAAGAGCACTACTGACCCGCCCTGCCTTTGTTCTTGATAGTTGGGAAGAAGATGCAGAAGCTCGATGCGAGTCACTTATCACAGAGGCTATCGCTGCTACACCTGAGGCCCCAGAAATTCTTCAGACTCTTGCCTCCATTCGGATTTCACAATTGCGCACTGAGGAAGCCCAGGCCGCTCTCAAGAAGAGTGTTAGTCTGTGGAAAGATTTAGCTCCGGAAGACCCGAAGGTGCCCGATTTCCCAGTGCGCATTAGTCTTGCAAGACTTCTCATGGAGGTGACTCTGGAATTTGAGGCTCTGGAAGTCCTCGAGCGACTGATCCTAGAGGACGACCAGAGTGTGGAGGCATGGTACCTTGGCGGCTGGTGTCTCCATCTGCTGGCAGAGAAGCAAGAGGCACCAAAGGATATCCAAGAAGACGAAAATGAATCACCAAGACATGCTTCCCTGGTCGCAAGCCGTGAGTGGCTGAAACAGAGCTTGAAGCTTTACGAAAAACTGGAATACGAGGATGAGCGTCTTCGGGATCATGCTTTAGAGCTTGTTCAGGGAATTGATCAAGAGATTGGAGAGGATATGGATGACAGTGAAGCAGAGGGCGAGGGTGAAGATTGGGATGGGGAGATCGATATTGAATCAGATGAGGAGGATCACGAGATGGCTGATTCATAATTGTTTGATAGATAAAACCAATGTGAAATGATGATCTAATGTATGCATGTCTATAAATTCTGTCTTGGTCTTTGTTCTTTGCTTTTGTTACTTTCAATTTGTTTTCATTCTTTGTTGATATCAAGAATAAAAGACCGCGCATCGTCCTTGCCTTTCATCATCTTCACTACCAAAGTTCATCTTCGCCACTTGAACCACCTCGGCCCGGATTAAGTTGTTTCCGTGCATGCAGAAGCCGAGTTTTGTCGACACTGCGCAAACCAGTCGTCCCGTTAGTCAGATAACTCCTGCAGGATGGACCTGGTACCAGCGCCTAACGGGGAGACTCTGGTAAAAATACCCGTAGTTGATGTGGGTGCCGTTGACGCCGCGGATCAGGTCGAGGAGACGGTCGCCCTAGAGGAGGTCACATCTGACTTTGAAACCGACGGCGATGATTCAGATGATGATGGGGACGATGGGGAAATTATCAGGTTTCTGCGTGATGACCAGCTGCAAGAAGGTAGGATTTCTTTTGCGTTATCGCGTAGATGTCGCGCCTTTTACCCCAGTCATCCCCGCAAACCGAATCCACCCTTGCAAAGAAGATATTAACACTGCTTCTGCACAGTTCCTGATGCTTGCACTCTGGAAGAGGCGCTTGCGTACCGGAAGCGTCTGCATGATATTGGCAAGTCTGCTTTTGTAGAGGAGACTATCCTGCGTCAAACTGTGACCGCGAAGAAACTCTGCACAGCTTTCGGTATCAGACCGCCAGAGTTTTTGGATGATGCTCCAGATAGTGCCTACCATCCAATCCTTGCAGTCGCTATTTCACGGGAGTTCTCAAGGCGACCAAAGCTTACTCAGTACAACACTATTGAGGACGCAGTCAATCTGCTTCAAAAGGCCAAAAACATCATTGTTCTGACCGGTGCCGGCGTATGTCAAACCCCTGACATTGCATGAACCTGCACTTTGAGACCTATTGCTAATAGAACTTCTTGTTTCGCTTTTAGATTTCGACCAGTCTTGGTATCCCTGACTTTCGTTCAAAAGATACTGGTCTCTACTCCAAACTGGCGCATCTAGGCTTGAGCGACCCTCAGGAAGTATTTGATATCAGTATCTTCCAGGAAGATCCTAGCATCTTCTTCTCAATTGCAAAGGATATTCTTCCTACCGAGAAGAAATATTCGCCAACTCATGGATTTATCAAGCTTCTCCAAGACCATGGAAAGCTCCTGACCAACTACACGCAAAACATCGACAACATCGAGGCAAACGCGGGTGTCCGTCCCGAAAAAATGGTCCAGTGCCATGGTTCCTTTGCTAATGCCACCTGTGTCAAGTGTAATTTCAAGGTGCCCGGTGATGCGATCTTTGATGATATCAGGGAAGGGAAAATCCCCGAATGCAAAGCGTGTATCCAGAGAATTGAAGAGGAGGGATTGAAGTCACAAGGACTGAAGCGCAAGCGAAGTTCGAACGGGAACCAGAAAAACCGCAAGGATGAGGAAAGCTCGGACGACGATGACTACGAAATCCCCACTCCTGGCGTCATGAAGGTGAGTTCGCGCCAGGCCTCAGCGCCATTTCTGCCTATACTAAGTTATGCTCGCAGCCTGACATCACCTTCTTCGGCGAGGACCTACCTGATGAGTTTGGTCAGCGTCTGATTCACCATGATCGAGAAGTAGCGGACTTGGTCATCGTCATCGGAACCTCGCTCAAGGTGGCCCCCGTTGCAGAAGTGCCGGGAGTTCTACCGCGTCATGTCCCGCAAATTTACATCTCACGCACGGTATGTTTTTTTTATGAGACACCTGATTCCAATATTCTCCAATTTACTGACTTTTTCTCAGCCCGTGTCGCACACCGAGTTCGATATCGATCTTTTGGGTGACTGTGATGTGGTGGTTTCTGAGCTCTGTCGTCGAGCCGGCTGGAACTTGCAGCATCACATGATACCTGCGGATGAGAAGGTGGAGATTACTCCCGTTGAGGGATACGAATCACGACATTTGTTTAAGGTGGTTGGTGCATAGCGGTGGAGTTTTGGCAATAGTTTCTTTGCCAGATGGCGTGATGGCGTCTCGGTATTTGTTGAATCTTTCATGGCTGCCCAGGTGGATAAAGTGATTGTAGGTGCCTGGCCTTTCTTCTTTGTTCTCATGATTTGGGTAGATTACGACTAGGGCTGGCTTGCAGTGTCATCTTGCTATTTTGGAGTGATTTTTTCAAGATTATCCTTATATCATGTACGCAATGAGGTAGTTCTACACACATAATTCAATGTTGGCCAATCCACATGGTTTTGGGATTTTGATGTGTAGATTATGACATACAAGAGAAGAAACGTACTCTGTGAGTACAATTTCTGCTGTAATATTCGAGTTGCAGAGTTTTAGGTAGAATTTTGAAATACGGTTATAAGCTTCAATGTTAGCTACTAGTCTTCATGGAAGCCCTGGAGTTGAACTTAGTAGGAATGTTGTGCCTACTAAGTATGTATATATCGGCCTGACCCGTTTCATCGGAGAAACGATAAAAAAATCAATCCCGCAGCTCGACACCCCACCACACCTTGATCTGGTGACCAACATTCCACCAAAGTACACCAATTGGAACGGAATAGTTACTTGAAATCTTCATCATGGAATATGTGATCCGGCTTGCCCAATGGCATGAAACCTTCCGCGTCGCGGAACTCCAAGCCGTGGCCACTGCCATCGGGGCCGACATTGAGATTATTTCCTACGAGGACGCTGTATGTGACCCCCTCAAGAGCTCCGAACAATTAAGGATCATACAGACTTCATCTAAAATTGGGAACCATTAAATTTCCATGCTGCAATTATTTTTTTCCTCTGCGCCGAGCCTAAACTAACAAACCCCACTAGTCACCATATTGCATCGTCAAGCTTCCAGATGAAGCAGCCGCACGCGCATTGATCGCGAAATGCATCTTAGCCAAAGACATCTACGAGTTATGGGGCCATGGCACCAACTACGAAGAAGTTCACGCAGACGTCAAGCAACGGACTCCGCATCTCTGGGCGCAGTATGAAAATGTCCAATTCGGCTTCGACTTAGATGCATATGTAGGAAAGCGCAGCCAAGCCAAAAGAGTGGAGATCATCAAGTCGTTCTCCTACGTGGGATTCAAAGGCCCTCTCAAATTGAAGAATCCAGAAAACCAGTGGTTGATCATGGAGAGATACTTCTCTCCCAGCGGAGTACCTGGGGCCGAGAGAGAGAAGAATCCCGAGCCGCTCCACATCTATTTTGGGCGCTACCTGGATAAAAGCGGTCGAGGCATTATTGTCGACTACGATCTGAAGAAACGGAGCTACATTTCAACTACTACCATGGACGCGGAGTTGAGTCTCGTAACGGCAAATTTAGCGCTCGCGGGACCTGGAAAGATCTTCTATGATCCTTTTGTTGGAACTGGGAGTTTCTTGGTGGCTGCGGCACACTTTGGAGCCTTGACAATGGGCTCGGATATTGATCCTCGCAGTTTCCGAGGAAAAGACGAGGAGCGCAGTGGTCCGCGTGATATCGCGATGCTACGAAACTATAAGCAGTATGGCACCATGAGCAAGTTTGTTGATGCTTTCACTTCTGATCTCACCAATACACCTTTGCGTAATGGCCAACTCCTCGATGGTATTATCTGTGATCCTCCCTATGGTGTGCGAGAAGGTCTTCGAGTTCTGGGAACTCGAAACGGGAAGGTTGTTGAGCCAGTCATCATTGATGGCGTTCCTGCTCATTAGTATGTCTTTCCAAGTCCTTACCGACCCCTGATACTAACTAGAATGTCATGCTGATTCTTTCAATAGCCGGCCTGGATACATTCCGCCCAAGCGGCCCTACGGATTCGAAGCCATGCAGAAGGATATCCTCGATTTTGCGTCTCGAACCCTTGTTACCAATGGCCGTCTTGCAATGTGGATGCCGACGGCTATTTCGGGTGACGATTTGAAGGTACCCATGCACCCGAACCTGGAAGTTGTCACTGTCTGTGTTCAATCGTTCGGCACCTGTGCGTAATATACCTACCCTTTCAAAGCGACGGACGTGGCGAAGACTAATCTACGTAACCCAGGGTCCCGCCAACTTATGACCTATCGCCGTCTCCCCGAAGGCGAGGTCTCTGATACATCACAGGGCAGATCGAAGGTCGACAATTGCGGTGTTACAGCAAGCGAGGTCAATGCTTTCCGGCGAACGGTATGTGCACCTATAACTACTTCAGAAAGTAGAGACTAATGCGCTTGATATAGTACTTCAATAGGCACTCATCTAGGGGAACCGCAGATTAATGGACAAAAATGCTGTCGACAACTAAAACGCTTGCGATGTTGAAATATCGCTGCGTCAAAGGAAGTTCGCCGCTATGTCTGTTTGTGCCTCACGGGCCACACGGTGATAAATACCAGGAGATTACAAGAGACAAAGACCACTTAGGCATTGCCAAGGTGGTGGCAATACCCTCATAATTTACCCCGGCCGACGAGGTCGGCTGATAGATCAATGCCCTCTTCTCTGTGAATGCGTTCGATCTCCTGTGCCAACTCGACTCTCATAGCACGGGATAGTTCCTCACCCTCCTCATCATCAAGTTCTGAGCGCTGTCCACGACCAAACATAGCGAATCCAGGCTTATGAACTCCGTCTGTTTGAGGACGGGGAATGATATGGAAATGGACATGAGGCACTACCTGTGCAGCTCGGGCGCCTAGATTCTAGTTAGACATCGTTTCTCCGTGCATTTCCAGATAAAGCAACGATAAACGATAAAGAAAAGCTCAAAACAATTTAAATGATCCAAGACATAGAAAGTTTTAATAAAACGAACCATTATTCTGTACAACATTCCAATGTCTATCCGGATCTTCACCGAATATAGTTTTCGTCACAACCCTTGAGATAATGGGAAGCCATTTCCCCATCTATGCAAGGAATTAGCAAAGTCCAGACAAGGCCGGAAAATCGTGACAAGAACAAGACTAGTGTAAGACACATAGACTAGGACGAAAGAATACTTACCTCCTGGCTAATCTGAACACCCATATCCCCCAACTTCTCATAATGGTGCCTCGGAGATACAAGGACATGACCCGCAGTTAGAGGCATAATGTCCAAGAAGGCCATAACATACTCCGTGGACAGGATCATATGAGCTGTTGTGTTTGATGCATCGGAGATTGGGGCTGCATCTGTGGAATCGGATGGGGGCTGATTAAAGGGGGCCGGTGGGTTTGTGGCGGCAATATTGCAGAAGGGACACCGGTCAGGCATGGTGGTAAGATAGATATAGATACAAGGGGTATTTGATTGGGATGAATGAATTGTGGGGAGTATTTGTCTGATGGATGTATTAAAAGCGAGGGGGTGTAAGAGGCGGTTTTGATCCCCCGCCGCTGTCCGAGACTCGGAATTGAGGTATATCTTTGTGTCTCAGAGCGGAATAATTTGTATGCCAATTACAAGGTAAGGCTCGTCGGAATGAAATGAGTAGAGTATTCGGAGTAACCGGACAATCTCAAATAGTAGTGAATAGCTTTTTCAAGTTGGATGAGTTGGATGGCCGACAGCTTACCGCGGTGGAATGGACAACCTCGGTTATAATGATGAGGACAATCAACGACCAATTTCAAAACAGGTGACGGTAATTCAGATTATCAGATACCCAAGGAAAGAACGCCTATGTACATAATCGAGATAAAAAATGCCAAAGCAAAAGAATTCATAGAAAGATCAGGGTTGCACAGTAACCACGCTAAGCACCCAGTGCAAAAAGTAACTATTCTGACAAAAAGATAATAAAATCCATGTTTAACCCGAAGGACCTTGACGCTCATTACCACTACCTAAACCATCCTGATACCATGAAGTCTCCATCACCGGAGCCCCTCATGGTCGAAGTAAATCTGTCCCAGCCCTGGCCTTGCCAGCTCCCTTTTTGTTCCAACTGCAATGCCATATTGACAATAACCATGAGACATGCGCAAAGTGAAAAGAAACAAGTTGTCCAAAGTCACAGAGTAGTGGTCCAAACGAAGATAAATCAATGGGGTTAAGGAGATGAAATTCCGATCTGAAGAAAAGAAGACAAGTAAAAGGTCAGACGCCAGTGACACAAAACGCGAATGAGAATGTTTAAAAAGGTATCAGGGCGAGAGACAAGGCACCCCATGCACAATGAAAAGAAATAAAAATCCAGTCCAACAGAAATTAAACCCCAGACTAAGCGCCAAACACCACCAACCACAGAAGCAAATGCAGAACAACTAATCAATCAAGCCATCGTAAGAATATGCAAAGTGGTATTGGATACCAGCACAATGAAATGCCAAAATATGGAGGAATTCGAGTTCCCTGGTCGAGTCGTTGGCCTTGGGATCATCATGAAGGGGAACAACATGGGCGACACAGGGCTAGCATAACATCGTAAGTTGCATCATTACTGTTCGCTGTCCTTGATGTAGGTGTACGGCTCCGAAAGCGAGCTGTCGATGTACAGGTGGTGGTACTTCTTGGCCCATTGACGTGTCAGGATGGAAGCTAGGATTAAATATTAGCCAAAACAGAGCATAATAGAAACAGACAGAACACAACATACCCTTCATAAACTTCTTGCTGGCGTATTTCTTGAAGAAAGCTTCATGCGAAACAGGACGGTGCAGGTAATCGATCATCAAGCGGAAGACAGGGTCAATCTCCTCCTCGGTGTATCCGGCATAGTGGGCAAGAGTAGCGTCCCAGGGCCCACGCTCCAAAATGAGACGCGCAAGGTACATAGCAGCGGCACTGATGTGGCTTTGGGGATAACACATGAATCGGTGATCAAGGAGACTGATCTCCATCAGGTACTTGCCTAGAGTGCGGGTCTGGATGTCGTAGTTGTCCGCCTTGGAGATACGACGGAGGAAGTTCATGGGATTGGGGAAGCTCATGTTGTAGTCGAGGGTTGCGAGGACGTGGCGTTCAGCATCCAGGATCTCCTTGTCGGAAAAGGTTTCATCGGCGACGTGGCTAAAGTTGGCGACATGGGGAGACAGAACCTCTTCGTACTTGGACGCGATGAACATGGCAGTGACACCAACAAGCTGTAGACGGTCAAGAGCAACAACCTCAGCAGACAGAAATCGGTCAATGATGTTGACAGCGAGGAAGAGAGTCTCGGGAAGCAGACGGAAACGGGTGTGGACCTCAATCAACCAGTCGACCAGGATACCACGCATCTTCCACTCCAAATCGGGCTGGTGATCGATATACTGGTGGTTGGGCATGGTCAAAATCTCAAGCTCCTGCAGGTGATCGAAAATCTCAACAACATATTCGGCAGCCATCAATGGGTCCTCCAGATCCTCCGCATCCAGGTCCTCCCACTCCTGCGTAGGTTCTTTTTCTTTTGTAGGTCCGACTTTGACGGGGGCGTCCTTCTCTCCTTTGGTAATGGGCTCATCCTTGACGGGTACTTCCTCCTGAGTCGGTGGGTTGGGATGGTGCCTCTTATGCGGGGGCTCCACGATCTCTATCTGCGATTTGTCCGACTTTGGGTTGCGCTTCTTGGGAGACTTCCTGTTGGGATCGCGAGGCTTGAGAGGACCTGCACGTGTTGAGCTGTTGCGAGTGACCTTCTGAATAGCCCCAACCTGGGTAGTGGTCTTTGAAGACACAGCCTTGACAGTGGGCTTCTTGCCGTCCTTGACCTCGGCTCCTTCAGTCTTGTTGACGTTGCTCACATCGCCTAGGGCGGCTCGACGGCGGGGGATTCCGTTCGCGGTTGACAAGGCACGCTTGACGGGTTGCGTAGGTTTCTTGACGGCGTCGGCAGGTCCATCACCGAGGGCGGCCTTCGCCCGCGTCAGACGCGTCGAGGGTCCGTTTTCATCATTCTCATTCATGGTACCTCGAGGGCGGAGGCTACGGGCCTATGTTGGGGTTAGACATGGTCAGGAGACAAGGACATTGCACGCGTCTCGATGCTCAGACAGCACAAAGACATTGAAACGCGAACTGAGCAAGGACTAGAAATGCTTACCGGTGCCATAGTGCTAGAATCAAGAGACAAAGATGGACAGGGAGGAGGGGATAAAAGAAATACAAAGGGAGAGCAAGATGCTTCTCCTCGTCCTAGTCGGATCAGGTCAGCATTCCGGTGGACATTACCTCAGTGGGGAACCCAAATACCACAGGGTCGAGGTTCATGTGCACGTACCACGCGTGAATATGTAGTCTTATTAGAGAGAACTGCACTGGTGCACTTGTCTGAAGACGGTGGACTGGGGTAGGTCGGATGTTGTGAGTCGCGGGTCACGTCACATACAAGCACGATATTGATGTGGCGAAAATCCGTGTCGCACTTTGGTCGGAAGCAGACCAAAACACGCGAAAAGCTGGAATTGAAGGGCTTAGGGGTATTCAGATCACACGTGAGATCTGTACCTAAGGATTGACCCGCGTAATAGGGTGGGGAGGGATGTAAAAGGGTATCTTGGACTGGAATGATGGAGAGAAAAGGAAGAAGTTCAAGGCCAAGCGATGTTTGGCCCTATTGTGTTAGCGTGGAAAACCGGTCAAACCTGAATGACGCCCCACTCTGCGAGGGTCGCGGGTTGATATTGCAGGTTTTACCCACTGAGCATAAAATAAAATAGGGTATGCTGGGTATGAGGAGATTGCAAATTAAACACTGAATAGGAAAATGGAATTTGCCTGGACCTGACGTGGGAGAGCCGATCCAAAAATGAAGGGGACAGGAAGAGACTGGCAGGGACGGTATTGGTAACAGTGGATACACGTCGCGGACGAAACGTGAGTCGCGGTGGGTAAACAACTGAGTTGCGGGGGCAACGGGGAAAGGGCGTTTGAACCTTGGTGGGTTACATAACCATTATGTCACGGGACTTCAGCCACACTTCCCACCAACAGATGCGTTATGTGGCGGTGCTTCTTTCAGGGTCACGTGTGGTCATCCCAAGAACTTTTTGTTCTGTCAAAAGATACAGCGAGTTAAAGAGCGGAGATCCGAGCCCTGAAGAAGGATTGGGATTCGAGCATTGGGCCACCTCTTTTCTTCTTTTCTCTCTCTTTTCATCACCACCGATTTTGCTTTTACATCGCGCTTCCTTTTCTCAATGATGCTCCAACCCCGAATTGCCCTCCGGGGCATTCGGTTGCCCTTTAGGTGCTTACCTTCCGTACCCTCCGTACCGGCTCGTCGTTTTGCTTCTGTCGTCAATGAACTCGAGATCCCCTCGCCCAAGTTATCGACCTCGGAAATTGATTCCAGTGCTTCATTTGCACCTCCCCCGACCCGTGATAGCGCCGGCGTTCAACTGCGCACATACACTCCCCGTACCCCCGGTGTACGACACTTGCGCCGTCCAGTCAACGACCATCTTTTCAAAGGCCGTCCCATTCACCGATTGACCTTCCCTAAGAGGGGTCACGCCAAGGGTGGTCGTAACAACTCTGGTCAGGTCACTGTTCGTCATCATGGTGGTGGTGCCAAGCGTCGTATCCGCACTGTCGACTTCCTGCGCATGGATCCTGGGCCTCATCTGGTGGAGAGAATCGAATATGACCCAGGTCGGAGTGCCCACATTGCGCTGCTCCGTAGCAAGGAAACAAAGAAGCTGAGCTATATCCTTGCCGCCGACGGCATGCGAGCTGGTGAGACGGTGCAGAGTTATATGTCTGGTATTCCGGAGGATCTCTGGAAGAGCATGGGTGGTACAGTCGACCCCGGTGTGTTGGCTGCCCGAACCGCATGGCGAGGTAACTGTCTGCCGCTGCACATGATTCCCGTTGGAACCCTCATCTTCAACGTTGGATTGCGAGTTGGCAAGGGTGGACAGCTGTGCCGCAGTGCAGGAACTCACGCTACGGTTGTGGCCAAGGGTAGTGACTCCCGACAAAAAGATATCGATACCGAACAGCCCGAAGCTGAAGTCGAAAAGAAGCCCCTCTCTGTGCGTGATCGCCAGAAGCAGGAACGTTTGGCCCAGCATATCACTATCCGCCTGGCAAGTGGTGAGATTCGACTCATCCACAAGGACTGCTGTGCCACTATTGGAGTTGCCAGCAACCCCAACTACCATTACACTCGCTTGGGTAAGGCCGGTCGCTCTCGCTGGCTCAACATTCGCCCGACAGTTCGTGGTTTGGCTATGAACGCCATGGACCACCCTCACGGTGGTGGTCGTGGTAAGTCCAAGGGTAACGTTGACCCGAAGAGTCCATGGGGTATTCCGGTATGTATATCATCTTCACTTTCATCATTCATTCAAGATTTATAAACTAACTCTAAGTGTTTCCCAGACCAAATCGGGTTACAAGACCCGCCCGAAGTGGAAGATCAACAAGGCAGTTGTCCACCCAAGACCTCGCAACCAAGGTCAACGTCGTCGTGGATACAACTAGAAGTCTCCTCATTGACTTTTCTCGTTTCACCGGTATACACGGCTGCCCATCCTGCATTCCTCTCCGAGACATGTTTTCTGTTTTTTATACCTCATCCCAATTGCATGCGGGATGGCTGTACGATATCTTGTCTTGTATTTTTCTCACTTCGCATTCGCCATGTCTTGTCCGAGCCTGAGCACTCTAGCTTATTTGTCATTGGTTGGAGCTTGGGGTCCGGGATGCTGTATAGTATGGTGGCTCAATGTTATTCGCACAAAATGGAAATAAATAGATATAAGTTATGGCATAAGCTTGATGCGTAGAACATACATGGTATAGATTATAATCCCAATATTTAAGGTTTATGGTAATGATTGAGCTCCAGCCCTGTATAGATCAACGTGAATGCCAAGCATTTCTAGGCAACGTCGTCGTGCGTAAGTCACTTGGACCTCGTAAGCGCCGATCGTATACCTCCAAGGCCTAACACTTTTCATAGGAGAGATAAAAAAGTAGATTAAATTTCCAATCTTCCATAGTCTTATTTCGAAGCCCATCGAAGTTCGTTTTAATTTCTCCAAAAAAAGGGGGGAGAAGTTTCCAAGGTTTCAGTCGTCACACTTTAATAAAGGAGCGGTCCAACAAAAAAGTCAGCATTTTAGACCAAGAGTGCTGTCATCTCCATAGGGTCTCCTTGTTCCTACTTGATCCCCCGCAAAATCCAGCAAATCTAGCAGCCTATGGGCCATGAACCCTCTTTGTCCGACTAGTGCATCATCCATGCCCGCAATCATTGTGTCATTTTGAAGATCCCATCATTGATAAGCAGTGGGCTGCCAGCCAACCTCTTATCGGTCGGAATCACTACTCACGCATTTTTGACGTCCATAGTCCAACTGGACTCTCGACTAGCCATGGACAATTTCTCAACCTCTGAATTCTCGCAGGAATCGTCGCTGTACTCTTCGATGCCTACATCCGCCGGAACAGACCTCTCAATCTCAGAAAACAGCGCGCCGACCGAAAGTTTCGCCACGGGCGATAGCAGCTACATCCCACGTCCCAAGCGCGTCGCCTGCGTGGTCTGCCGGCGCAGGAAGTTGAGATGCGATGGGACGCGACCAAGCTGTGGAACATGTTCACGCTTGGGTCATGAATGCGCTTACGATGAAGTACGAAAGAAGAGTGGACCTAAGCGTGGATATGTGAAGCAGCTGGAGGCCAGACTAGGTATGATCCCCCCGTCATCGCGATTGTTGCGACTGTCAAGGAGACTTATAACCCGCTAACCAAATCCGCTCGATCAGCTCAAGTCGAAACTCTCCTCAAAGGCCAAGATTCGGATGCTGCGAAGCGCACATCCCCCCCGCAGCCACAAGAACATGCATTTACAGGAGCCTTTCAGGACGAACCCGAGCTCACCCTGCCAGATCTCACTGGCCTTGGAAATGATATGAGCAACACAATTTCCCCCTCAGCAAATGGACTGGACACGTCTCAGACGAGCCAGCTATTTTACCCGCCAACCAACAATATCCAGAGTGACCCGCAATGGGACCTGATCAGTTTGGGGCTGGAGGAACCTCTTCCGGCACAAGATGCGATTGATGAGCTGTAAGTTCATTATACAAGAAACATGTATAGTTCATATCTCTTACCAATCATTCTAGGGAGGCCATTTTCTTTGAGAAAACATACCCAACGATGCCGATCATCCATCGTCCTCGTTACTTCGCAAATCTCAATCTCGGTCCTAATCAACGACCGCCAATTTGCCTGCGCTACATGATGTGGTCCCATGCAGCCTCAGTCACGGACAAGTACTTTTTCCTGCATACTCATTTCTACCAAAGGGCTCGCAAGTATGCCGAGGCGGATGAAATGAAAGGATTCGGAGAGTCCATCGTTACTCTGGGGCATTGTCAAACATGGATTCTCATTGGGGCCTATGAATTCCGAATGATCTACTTCCCACGCGCATGGCTGAGTGTTGGTAAAGCCGCGAGACTGGCGCTTATGATGGGGCTCAATCGCCTGGACGGCTCAGGAATTGATGTGAAACAGTCGATGCTTCCTCCCAAAGATTGGACAGAACGTGAAGAACGAAGAAGAGTGTTCTGGATGGCCTTTTGTTGTGACCGATATGCAAGTATCGGGACTGGATGGCCCCTGGTCATCGATGAACGCGATGTTGGTTGTGTCCAGGATAGGATATGAGGACGGTGCGGCTAACAGATAGCAGATTATGACAAACCTGCCGGCATCTGAGGAATCGTTTATGAAGAGCAAACCACAGCGAACACTTCGACTAGGGGATATTATCGGTGGCGATGGGGTGTCTACATTGGCTCCATTCGCCTGTGTAGTTGTTTTGGCAAATCTCTTCGGCAGGAATCTGACTCACATTCATCGACCTCAGCCATCAGATAACGATCACGATCTCAATGGTGATTTTTGGAAGAGACACCGGAGTCATGATAATATTCTGCTCCATATTGCACTCTCTTTGCCCGAGCATCTTCGACTTCCGTCTAGCACTGATGATGTAAATGTCATCTTCGCCAATATGAGCATTCATACCTCGACGATTTGTCTCCACCAAGCAGCGATCTTCAAGGCGGAAAAGAATAGAATGCCTAATCAAATCATCACTGAGAGCAAACGCCGATGTCTTGTGGCAGCGAACCAGATTTCCAGTATCATGAAGATGGTTAGCCACATTGACTTGACCATTGTATGTCCCCTTTTTTCCCACTCTGAGATTAAACTGACGAGTTGTAGTTGAATCCCTTCATGTCCTTCTGTCTCTACATTTCAGCCCGAGTTTTCGTGCAGTACATTAAATCGCGGCCTGATGATTCGGCGGTTTATTCTTCCCTGCAATTCGTTGTTGGGGCGCTTAATGCAATGAAGTCAAAGAACCCTCTGACCGAGTCCTTCCTTATTCAACTGGATGTCGATCTTGAGGGCACCGGAATTAGGTCTGAGATCTCAAAATCCAGTACAGCTTATGCTCAACAAGCGATGGTCAGTGACAGTGTTTCCCTTTTTGAATATTCATCAGGTTAACTTGTGCCGGTATAGCAAACATGCGGCGGTGAGCAGGTTGAGTGTGGGCACATTTTTAAATTTCAAGAATCACAGCAAAGTGATACCCCCCAAGTACCTTCGCAAGATCCTACGAATGTCGGTATTCCGAATCGTCCCCTGGTTGGTGGAGCTACCTCTCTGCCGAGTCGACACAGGGAATCAGCCAACATCGATGCAAACCACCGATCTGTGGGCCTTGATCAACCTCACTATTACTCCAATCAAATGCGGCACCCTGGCAGCAATGGCGACGCTGGCATCACAGGGTCTGTCATAGATGTGGATATGGACTTCTCGACGGAATTCAGTCTCGGGGAGAGGAACCCACCCTCAGATCACCCCACGCCATCGACATTGAACTCATCTTCAAACACCTCCTACTCGATTTCGGGAAATGACAATCCATCTCCTGGAAAAAAGCAACACACTTCAGGGACTACCTACTCCGGTCAAGGCTCTAACACCATCCACATCTCTCCCGCAGGCACAGGTCCCCCACAGATCCAAGATATGAACACGAGATCTGGGCCGGCCAGTGCGTTCTCCATCCCTCCTGCGTGGGACTTGCCCACGCCCAGTTCTGACTTGAACAATGTGGACTTCAACGTGAACGTGGACTCTCTAAGTGAGGCCCAGTGGGCACAGCTCCTGCACAACAATGGTGCTGCGGCTGGGTGGGATAGCTGGCGACCTTCATGAGATTCGAACATACCAACGACTACACACGGGTCACATCCGGCGCCGCACCAAATGCTGCAAACTATCATTATTCGAAGCCGCAAGCCGCGGCATTACACAAATTGGACCGCCTTGAGGCCCTTTTCTCATCGAATCTTGGTATAATAATTCGGATGTCGGTGGTGAAGCCATCGGCCATGCAGCCAAATACTTATGACTGTTCCTTCTTACAAATTTCCACGATAATTCCAGGGCCACGACCTGCAATATGTCACAATTGCTGGTCATCGAAAAACGGTACAGCAATATTTCGTTAACAGCCCATTCCATCCTCTTTTCTTCAATGCGAACTCCGACTGCGGAACTTATGTCAGTTTTGGACATGGATATTGGGTCACTTGGCGCTTTAGTTCATCCTTTGTAACGACCTGATGATGAACGAAAACTTCACAATTTCTAATGAATGTATATCTCTCCTCTCAGGATCGAGCTTCAGGCATCTCTTCTCTAGCTTTCCTTTGAAATAATAGAACAACTTGGTGTATTTCAAATGCTCACCTATAACCAATCTTCTAAAGAGGCCTTGGGACTAGAAGAAAATCATCCAAAGTGATTTATATCGGGCAATCCCATAAATAAGAGACGAATCCCAAAATCAAAGACCTCCACCTGCTGCACCAACAATCTTAAGCCCCCCAGAACCTCCACTGCCAGGCCCATCGTTAGTAGTCGAGTAGGCCAACCAATACCTCGATGGGTGCCAGGCAACAGCAGGAATCCCAGCCCTAGTTCCAGCAGTTGGAACAGTATAAACACTCTCCCCGCTCTCAGCGTGGAAAATTTCCAATCCACCCGACGTAGCATCAGGCTCATCCGACGCACCACAAATAAACCGCCCATCAAAGCTCCAGCTCACGCCACGGATGGCACCTCCATTTTCGCTGGATAATGTACGGCGGCATATCCAGTCTGTTGTATCCCATAGCGAGATCAGAGCGTCACTACCACCCACGGCCAGGTAGCGGCCTGTTGGGGCCAGAGAAATGGCATTGCAAGCGGATGTGTGGGCGTTTAGGGTGTGGATTGTGTCGAAAGAAGGGTATGAGACGATTTTGACGCGGCCTTCACCGGTTGTGAGAAATAAGTGGAGATCAGGTGAGTCGGGGGTGGCAATGTGGTTTGAAAATGTCGTAGCGTTTGTTTGGACGGATTGGGGATGAGAGGGGAGTGCGGTATATGTTGATAGACCAGGCTTCGAGCCGAGGTCACTTGAAGGGCCATTGAAGGCGCTTGTTCCGTTGGTAAGAATATGTGGGGAAGAAGGCGATTGAACAGAGATGGGAATTAGGGTATCGTCCTGGTTAAATTCACGGATGAGTGAGCTGCTTTGAAGTATAAACATTGGGATTGAGCTTTCTAACCTTTCTTCCGACAATCATGGTGCTTCCATCGGCCGACCAGGAGAGCGTGAATGCCTCTCCGCCGACATCTAGACGGCTAACGCAGGTCTTTGATCGGACATCCCAGAACCGCACGGTGCCATCCGCGGAGCAACTAGCCAGCTCGGCATCCCGGACAGGGTTGAAAAGGACCTTTTCGACGGCAGAAGAATGACCGCGAAGCTCAGTTGAGTATTTCACAGCAGGGCGCTCGGGGTTCCAAATGCGCAACGTCTTATCAGCGGAGCCAGTCGCAATCAGCTGGCCAGCAGGATTCCATGCCAACGTCCGAAGACTACTCCCAATGTTTTATCAGTTATTGGACGCAGATAGCCAATCGCATAGCACTCACGTGTGAGATCCCGGGGTTCTGGCAGCAGGGTCCTGGTAGTTCTGTGTCTTGACGCCGCCGAAGACAAATGCGAAATGTTCCTTGGTGAGCAGGTCCCGACGCGGAGCGGGTGCCATTGTTGGCTGCCCTTGTGGCGGTCGCGTTTGCTGCTCGATAAATAAATTGACTAGTGCAGGCCCATTTGTTTCAAATGCAATATTCAGAGAGGATTGGAGCTTGCGGAGCAAAAGTAGCTTTATCTGGCGTGTGAGGAATTCGGACGATTTGCTTGAACAATCGCTTTCAGGCGGAGAGATCGTGTTGGTGCCTCAGGCAGCAATATCTCGGTTTCAAGGTCTCATGACGACAAAGATGATGATGGTAACAATGAAAATTTGATTCCGGGGAATTATTGTAAGGGAATTCTCATTCTCTGAGGAATGAGCAAAGTAAAGCGGGTTGTGTCATGCAGGTACCAAGTTCATTTGCTGAAGTATTAGTACAATTTAGTCCAAATACCTAGAAGACTGTGTATTTGATTTGCTCTGAATCTAACAGTCTGTTCGATTCTGGAGCTTGACTTCAATTGACTTTCAATTGTCAAATCGAAGCTTCAAGCTCTGCTTCGCCAATAACGTATTGAATAGACAGGCTTCCTTTGAACTCACCCAAGTTCCGAGGTTGTGGCACGGGGCCATATTAACTCCACAAATGCATGGTTGTCTGCACAACCACAAAGGATTTGCTTTTCACAGATTATAAATCAAGGTCATCAAACCACCCATCCCAGCTCATTGACTTTCTATTACCCGTGGTTATTCCATCATGCCAGGGTCGTGGGTCTGAGATTGATCTCATCGTAGCTATCGATAAGCCCGAGCTTAATCGAACATCAGTTTTGCAGATTTTTGTCGATCACCGACAGCACCTTCTATCTCCACAATTCGTCCCCAGTATATTGTCTCTGAGCAATTGAGACTCCTACAATATGCTTGACTTTGTTGATGACGCGTCGCGACGCGAGAAATGCTTCACCACCATCACGCAGCTCCCCGCATCGGTCGACCCGAAGCAGGTTGCAAGTAAAAAGTCGCCTTTCTCTGCCATCCTCAACCACCCATTTGTGCATACGGTAATTCCGTCTTTTTCTTCTTGAGGTCTATTGTAGATCTTGGGATCTTTGAATCATGATACTGACTCGTATACAGGTCGAAACTATTCTCCCAAAAGACGCCTATGACAGTATTCAGGCGTCACTGGATGCTACGCTGCAGAACCCTCAATACGCTCGGGTTTTCATGTACCCATCTGATATACTCGAAAATGAATTTTTCAATACATACATCAAAACTGGTATGCACTCGTTTTATCGGTATAATCCTGCGCGAATAAAATATCTAACCTCCACAGGAAATATCCTCATGATATCCGAAGGCCGTGCAGGCTTAGATACCGTGTTCACATTGCGAGATGGTCAGTATCGACCCGAGCGCATAATACATCTGACCTACGGTGAATAGAAGACTAATCTATTTATAATTGATAGGCCTGCTCAAGATAGAAGCTGGGAAAGAAATCTACGAACGCATTGGACTCTCGGGTAAATCAATTCGAAGTGGCGGTCGGAAACACAACAAAGAAAGATTCGGTATGTGTGAGCGCTTTCAATTTCCACGGATTGAAATTGATAACTTGAGTAGTGATTGAACTCAATCTACGGCTTCCTTCAATGCTACATGGAAAAAAAGGCTTTGACCGGATTGTATGGTCATTCAAGAACGTTCTAAATCAATCCATGTCATGGTTGTTTTGCGATCTGGATTCCGCAGGACAAAATAATGGTTCGACCCTCTATCTTATCTGGAAGAGAAAATCAATATTTGCTGATATAAAACGCAGATGCCAAGCCAGTTCAAAAACATTCACCTCAGTGGTTCAATTGCGCCCCGCTCCGAAATAGCTTAGGACGAACCGTGATACCGCCGTTGTCAGGCTTAGTCGCAAAAGACACACCCGAGGTTGAGTTACAGGAGGCTTGCGGTTCCTTCTCAGAATGGATTGCCTTAGTCCAAATGCGGTCACCTCGTGTATCTGCTGGTGATGATGTTGACCCCTATCTAAGTCGCTACAGTGTTCCAGACTTGGACAAAGCAAGCACTTCTGAATTGATTAGCTTGAAATGGCACGGTCTCATCTCTACGAAGTGGATTTTACACTTATTTTCGTCTCTGTTGTGAGTTGAACCCCCATAAGGTCAGATTTCCTTAGTTGCTACTTTGAGCTAACATTGCCCTAATTGGGCGACGGGACCAGATCTCAGACCACCAGCTTCAGTTCCTCTGCATGGTTTATCCTTTCCGCATCTGCTTTGGGCAAGCAGGCTGTAGAAGGTAGAGATGGATTCACAATCGCGGCTGCTCCAAACATTTGTTCAGAGCAAGCTGGCGAGGCAGGAGCCACCGACAGGCGCCATGCGATCTGTTGGGAATTTGTGGGAGCAACCACAACAGAGAATTGAAATAGGAAAACTTTAATGGCTTAATCGGTAACTCCACTTGTTATACAATCCATGGCACGCTAGCTGGACGGACGATATCATTACATCAGAAACCTCAACGTCGCTCGTCTCTTTCCCTTCTTCATCCACCTTCGCTCAAACACACTGCATTTCGCTTTCATCAGTTTCATCAGTTCTCTTATCATTTACACCTTCGTCTCATCACTTCTAGCGTCATGTGCACTCGTCCAGCCACTTTTCCTAATTCTCACATCATGGGAGAGCCGGACTTCATACATTTCATGCCTATTGACGAAAACGACCGTCTGACTGCCACAATAAACGATACACTGTTTTCCACTTCGCAGATCCCCGAGATGGACGATGCTCATATGGCAGCTCTGTTGCAAGCTTTCACAAATGATGACTCGGATAACTTTACTACTGAGGTATCGCGAAGGGTCGATTCTTTCTCCTGTGAACCCCTTCTTCAAAGTATCAATCCTTCTTGTCTTCTACTTTCAAATCCCTCAGACTCCGAGATGTCTACATCGGATGACATTGTTTTCTCAAACGAACCATCTTCGGGCGACAGTACCATCGGCTCTTCTGTCTCTCCCGACCCGACAGATAAAGGCGTCCTTGTCAGCACGCTTCCTATCCAAACCTGTACCGCAAAGGACCGGTTTACGGTCATGAATACCTGCACTGCTACGCCGCCTACTCCTGCCGTCAGCATGCCGTCTGAGTATCAGCAGTTGGGGAATCCAGGGGAGAGTCATCCACAAAACATTCAATCGCAACAAATGTTCCCTCAGTCATTCTACTCTCAGCCTGTGTACGCTCAGCCTATGTACACCCCGCATATGTACACTCAGCCTATATATCCTCCATCCGGGCCTGAACTTTCGGCACAGCCGAACATGACCATGGCGCCCGTCTATTCCATGGATTACAACTGCAACATGCCGCCATATGGATTTATCCCATCTCATTACCAGCATACCTATCAGATGGCACCTCCAATGGGGCCCCTGGTGGACCAACAGCAGCTCTTTGTTGAGCCTGCGCCTATCGCTCCGTCTATCGCTCCACCTTCAAAGCGCGTAAACCCTGCACAGCACACCGTGCCAGCCTCAAACACTCGGGTTTTCGACTTCAGCAACACCACATGTCCAGGGGAGTTCGTCGCCAACCCCAACAACCACGGCCGATGGGAGTACGACCGCCATGGCCAGCGCCGCTATCTCAACGCACCCGCCGTCAAGCGTCTTAGTGGGAAGAAGTAAGGGCAATGTGCGAGGGTTCATTCTAATTTTCCTTCTATTGTATTTCCTCTCAAAATTCGTTTCTCTTTGCTCTTGGACGGTGTGTTATCAGAGTCAGTTTTGTACTTTCAGTCTTTTCTCTTGCTCTTTTGCTCTCTTGGTTCTTTTTCATTCTCATCCGTTTCCTTGGTTTTCTTTCATTTCCAATTCGTGAATCCTGTGTGGGGTGGAAACCTGGGCATGTCTAAGGCGTTTTGTACGGAGCATATGGATTGGTGTTATTGTTATTCAGATCATTTTGTATCCATCAATCCATAATTGCGAGGTTCTTTTCTTGTATAATTATCATGTACAGCACACTCAATAAACGTGTTGGCAACCATGTCTTCCCATGTAAATTCCTGAAGACTTTCTTGTATACAGAAGTACGTAGTAGTAATGTCATATCTACGACTGCTATGACCGTATCTTCGAACTTTTGAATTTCTTACAACCCTAACCTCTCCCATCTTAGAGCAGAATCAGATCATGAGATCGAATAATTTTGTCCAACCCCTATATTACTCAGGTACTTCTCTTTCTTTGTGATCCTGACTGGCCAGTCCTCGAAGGTAGGTCTTTTCTTTAGTCGAGTGCATACCTACTTAGGGTACTGAATAGAGAATCTGCCAAAGGCAGGTGGCTACTGCCTATAAGCTGGAGGCAGTTGTAGCTAGCAGGGAATAAAAGTTGTCACAAATGTAAATGAAAATTTCTCCAGGACACTTGAGCTACTAGATTCAAGATACTAGTATCCGTTCAAGAATCCCAGGTCCTGCAAATATCATTCGTGGTTATCAGTCATCATATCGTATAATAGACAGATAATTTCTATGCAACAGAACATGTCAAGCCATGCATTCATAGCGAGTTTCATTGCATCCCGCCTCCCTAGAGACATGAGAGCTGAGGTATCTACAACCGAAGAAAAAATATGTGTAACAAATAAGGTGGGCGGATTCGCTCAAATAGCCGCCCGGGGTGTCATGCACGAAAAAGAAACAGCTCAAGCAGCCATCGTAAGTACGTATCTAGTTCCAGTTAGTTTCTTTCTTTCCAGGTAATCATCAAAGTAAACTTACGATGTGATACAGTCCATGCGCTCAGTCGTTAATTTCAGACTGACCGTCAACAATTCACGGGCGATTCGCGGCTCCGCTTCTTGAAGAGCCTTCCATTTCTTGTCGCTGAGACACCAAGCGACGCACTCGTGTTCGGCTTTGACTGTGGCTGTGCGACGGGTATCACTGAAGAATGGAAGCTCGCCGCACGGCCTGCCGGCGACAACGAGCTCGAAGTAGCGACCTTGAGGGAGGTCGTACTCGCAGCGCAGCATGCCGGCTTCGAGGAGATAGAATGCACGAGGGACGTCGCCTTCGTGGTACAGGATAGTACCTGCTGAATAGACTTCACGCGAGAAGTAGGCGCAGGCAGGGAACCAAAAGTCTTCGTTCTGGTTAGAGAGGCCCTGGAAGGTTTGTAGGAGGAGAGGGAGAGGTTGGCGCATTGCAGACCAGGCGGGGGCAGCCATCATTGACATTGATGTTTCATGTTCGCGGATTGTGGTGGTTGCGACCCGCTGGAGGTACTGGCCGCGTGGGGAGCCGACGATGGTGTCGGAGAGGTTATGATGAGAGGGTTGGGGGACGGGGACTTCGAGGTGATTAGTCCCGTGTGAGGATTCCATGGGTTTGCTGATTAACGCTTCCTGGCGGCTGTAGAAGACTTTGAGGTAGTCGTTCTCGCAGAACTCGAGGGCGGAGTTGAGATCTTCGAAAATTGGGACACCAGTTTCGGGTTCGAAGAGGCCCACATTCTGGAGGCTCTTACCAACGTCGCCTTCTACATTGAGACCAGATATGGTAGTCTGGACGTTGCGCTTGCGGAGGATTCGATTGATGCGCGTGAATGCCTCGGCAGCTGAGAAATCCAATCCATAGACTCGTGAGAAGTCCAAGATCAGGAATCGGATGGGCTTTTTCCTGAATGCATCGTCTTGAATAAGGGCACGCATTGTGTTTTCCACGCTGACAATTGTTCCAAAGAAGAGGTAGCCACCAAGTTTCATGATGACAGTCTGCTGTCCAGCTTCGTGCAAGAATTGCTGCTGGATGGGCGGCCGACGAACCGTTGATCCAGCAATTTCTCCTGAAAAGGTGGCTCGGATAGCTGATTTGCGAGAGGTCTGGACAACAAAGTTGACGCAGGCCAACATAATCCCAACTATGATGCCCATGACAAAGTCCCAAGCACCCATAGTGACAACGATGATAAGAACCTGTAAAAGTCAATTAAGAGAACGAGGTGTCTGTCGGAGCAGATCATACCGTAAGGTACTCGAGCCTCGTGAGCTTGCCCCAGGTGTCCACCAATGCTTCTTCAAGTAATTCAATTCCCAGCAGGAAAATCAAAGCACCGACGACCATGACTGGGATGTACCCAATGATGACTGGGCCCACGACCATGATTCCTGCCGTCGCAGCTGCTAGCATCAGACCAGCTAAGCGAGACTCACCGCCGCTAGCGATGAAAAGAAGGCTGTTTGTGTAGACAAGGTAGTTCTACTTATGTTAGTTTACTTGTTGATTCGCTGATCTGAAATAGCTTACCTGAATGCTACCTGCGAATCCCGAAACTGCATTCGTGACCCCGTGAGCCATGAGCTCTCTATCAACATTGAGGTTGTCTTCTCCTGTTGAGATTCCCAGGGCAGGAACGTTGATGGGTACGTGAAGCACGCCGAAGAAAGTCAATGCAAACATGGCTGGAAGAGTATCCGCAAAGGCGGTCCAGTTCACTTGGGAAAAGTCTGGTTCGAATTAGCATCGCACTTTTGAAGATTATCCGTTCAGGCTTACCATAGAGACTGTAAAAGTGGTACCAGGGGTGGTTAGATGAGGGGGCATCAAAAGCCCAGCCCTTTTTATGAAGAGTGTCCATGGATACCCCGACACTGAGAACAATGATGTAAAACACCACGGCCACGGCAATGAAATAAGCCCCGACAAGGAAGTTTGAACGGATAAAGCGTTTCAAGACAAGAAGTCCAATGGCAAGAGATAACGGTATGATCCAAAGTGCAACTGTATCTGCCTGAAAGAGTTTCTGCAATGTTTCCAGGTCATATTCAAGAGATCCCGGCAGACGGGCAGACACCTCCATTCCAGTTTGCAGAAGGAAGTAGCCAACACCACCAATGCAACCAATTAGAATATGGCGTGGGAAGAAACCAATCAGTGAGCCCAGCCCACACACACCCATCAAAAAGAAAACCAACCCAGTCAAGACTGAGCTGGCCGAGAATGCGAGAATAGTAGTCGCTATAACCGACTGCGGGTTGTCTTTGCCAATCCGATTCATAATGGCAAATGCCATCTGATGGAAGAATGGAACGACTTCGATCATCTCACTACCAATTCCTCCTTTGAAAATCGACCCACCACTTGAGAAGACCACTTGAGCGATGATAGTGCTAACATAGAACATTGATATTCCGTCTGCGCCAAGGTCGGCAAATAGCGGTTCTCCTAGCGGGAACAGAATCATACCATATGACAATGCGTCCAGGATGTTGAGAAGGAGTCCTAGCAGAACAGCAGGAACCAGGCTGATGGGGTGCACGATTCCCTGCTCCCACACAACACGTCTGTCCCAGGATTTGGGGTTCATTATTGTCCGGGAGCACTTAGCCACCGTGGCGAGTCCCTTGGCAAGGGCAGTAGAAGACCGACTCGCAACCCCGCCTTGGCTCTCAACATCTTCAAGTGTCCCGTAACGATGCGGGGACTTGGATCGTTGCTTCGTTAACAGTGAGGTTCGTTCAGTGTCTCTGGGCTCCGGCTCATCGTGAATATTAGGTAAAGATGGAAACGGTTCGGTCTCTGCAATAGGTCCATTGTCTTCCGGGCGACTCAAGGTAGGTTGGCGAATCATCTCTGTCAGAGCCGACGAGGCCAAAGCTGGTTCTTCCTGGGCAGTGCCCGACTCTTCTATCGCCTCCTCCAGAGGCGGGTACGACGAACTGGCAGGATCATGGTGGGATATACTCGAAAAGTGGCGTTCGCGGAAGAGATCCAAGCTAGGCGGTAAACTTGTCCGGGTGCGTGAGGGCTCCTTATTGAGCGACAGGCCGTATGTCGCTAGCTCGGCTGTTTGTTCGCGGAGACCATCCGATGCATAATGAGCCGGGTCTAGAGCAAGGTGAGTGGTCAGTGAAAATGCCTCCTTAGCGGATCCACCCAAAGCAATCTTTTCTCGAAATGATAAATGATTCCTTACCATTTGTTGTATTAAAGGAGCGGTGATAGAATGAGCGACTGGGGGTTCTCATGCTCGATCCATTGTAGCTAGAGGCTTCCACTCCACCGGGAGAGCTACCTAGGTTAGCGTGTTCCACCAGAGACTCCGATGGAAAGGAAGCGTCGAGATCTCGGTCGAAACTCCAATTCCTATGTGATAGGACCGAAGCGCGCGAATCACGCCGGCCAGGTTGTAGTACACCCATGAGCTTTTCAGGTGATGGTGCAATCGATTTTCGGGAGATTATCGGGACTAGCGCAATGCAATGCCGTTGGGAAAAGCAATCGGGATGACGCAACAGAAGGCGACATCTGCACAACGAATTGGAGGAAGTTTTTTGATGTTTATAGCAATTGAACTTGACTTTCTTATCAGTAGAAAAGTCAAGAATAAATTATCGGGTAAGGAAAGACTGGTAAGTGACTAAAAAACCAAGTTTCAGGTTCTGGATCCGTATGTCTTATCTGCAAAGCATAAGCTAAACCGTTTACGGGGATCTCCACTTGATAGATAAATTGATAGGAAATGTAACCAGTGGGATTGAAGTTAGTCCATACATTAGTTTTCATTCAATTTGACTTCTTCTCATCATCTTATTTGCCAATTATAACGGTTAATATCACCCCCTCCGATCGGCACTTCAAATTTTCTCGGCTTGCAGCTTACCTTGCTAGCTATGCATTAGCTTAATTTCTGATGTTTTCCATCATTCAAATTACGCAAATCTCAATGTCAAGTGTTCGTCAAAAGCTATTCAATTGGTCTTTCCATATTATCATGCCTTCATTTCATTTTTGGCCCCCTAATACCCGGCGCTACCGGCTCTGATCAGCCCAAAGGTACTGGGTACTTTGAGCCTAGAACCGAAACCCCGCCCCGACCAAACGTGCTCAACAGCTAGAGTTTTACTGGGGTCTACAGATCAAATGACTCCATTGAAAGTAGATATGGCGTAGGTTTACACCAATTGCTAGCAATTTCATATAGACCGTTGAATGACGGACTGGGGTATCTCAAAAGTACACAAAACTCCCACGTAGCACTAGCACGCAATTCCTCAAATCAACTCAATCGTTCCAAGAAACCTTGCGCAATTAGTCGCTCCACATCTCCTTGTCGCACAAAGAGCTGACTGTTCTTGGTCAAGTTGATCACACTGCATCAATTAGCATTGTCACGCAGAGAGAGCAAGTCCCACTTACCCATATTCCGTCTGAATCTCCCCCGCATCCTTCAACACTCGTACATCAATAAATAAATCTCTGGGTGGCTCCAGGGTCCCCGTCAGATCAATATCTGTCCACTGTCCTTTATACGCTGCGAGCATATCTCCATATTGACGGAAATACTCCTCTTCCTCGGGACTAAGCGAGCTATGTCCGCCCACACCCGAAGGAAGTCCTCGGTCCTCGGCCCCTTCACTGGGCTGTTGCTGTTCTAATGCATCGACGCCCGTCCAGCATAGCTCCTCGAGTTTCTCAGTGCGCACACGGTGGTACGCGAGCAGGCAGCGCTTGTTACGGCGCATGCACAGATGGTCGACCAGGAGGGTACATGCGGTCGCAGGGTCCGCAGAAGGGTTGAAAGAGCCCTCGAATGGATTCAGAAGACGGGTTGTGTCACGCTCTAGATCACGCACTTCGCGGGTTACGGCGCGGACGATCTCGGTTTGGTAAGGTGGAAGGTGGGCGAGGGATTGCGTGCGTTTTGCATGTTGGACCTGGTGGTGATTAGCATTGGAAGACGTAGGTTTGTTAGATTCTTAGTAGGTTTTTTTCTCGAGTATCACATACCAATTTGTTGCCGAGTTCCCCGTACATTGTGGCGACACGATCTGGGTCGGTTTGGAAATACCCGACGCGCTCTTGAGGATCCATTGCGCGCCAAGATAATTAGTCAGGGTGGGGTGATCGGCACGAAGTATGGAGACTGGAATCCCTGAGGGTCTGAAAGCCAAGCAATATTCGAGAATAGCTTGAATAGAAAAACATGGGCATCAATAATAGTAGTTACTGGTTGCTGGTGAAAGTTGGACTGTTGGTCTGTTGTGTTCGTGCGAGCGAAAGGCAAGACCTGTACTGTGCAAAGGCTTAACTAGTGTGACCTTGGGAAGACTCAAGTAACAGAAAGAGTGCGTGCAAAGTATTCATGTAGATCCTCAAAGCTAATATTTTAAAGCTAAAAGCCTCAGTATTGCATAGAGGCCCTCATCCGATTATAATCAGCCTGCGTGATCGGCTCATACTTAGCCGGCTCCTCGCCCCTACAAGACGGGATACACTCTATCACCGAGCCGGAGTCTGGAGATAGGAAATACGGGATTGAGAACCGCTTCCTAGTCATTCTCTCTTGCCCCTCAAATCTATCTACCATTGGCGGCAATGTAACCCGATGGCTAGTCGATCTCAACCGATCTGCATCTATTAGAAGACAGCTCAGCAGAGTAGACCAGGCATCACAAACCATTACTCCATCGCTGTAAGAGATCGCCCACATTCATCACAATGGCATTCTTAATGGGGGTCGCAGGAACAAATGTCCCCGGGCGATGAACGTCCTCCACCTCCAGACCACCGCAGTCATCCTGGAAGAGCAGAGTGATCGAGCTCCAGTCCGTATGCGCCGGGCAGCGAGCCGCACGGTCATTCTCCAGAGCTGCAGCTGGAACGGGTGGATAGTGTAGGAGACGGAGCTGGTTGTTAAGGCCTGAGTGCTTGTTGAGCAGGTGGTTCTCGTCGAGGTCGAGGCCGATAGCTAGAGCTTGCAGGATTTCTCCACCCATGCGGAAGCATTCGGAATAGAATCGTGTCATGAAGGAGCGGAAGCCTGGAAGGGTTTCTTCGGGAATCCATTGGTTTGGCTGGGTGGGATTATTTTCGCTGCCGATATCGTAGCTTTCCTGTTGTCGGTTAGAGACTCGAGCCCAGAGTAGAGTCGATCAAGTCAAGTAAAATGGCAATGTATCGCGGTAATGAAGCGGCGAGTGCTGTATCAAAAGTTGTGCCCTTGCTTACCTTGATATCGGGAACCTCCCGTAGCTCCTTTGCCCGCTCCTCATCATCACCTGCGCTCGTCGCTTCTAGCCCTGACACCTTCTCTAGGCCCGGCCAAGAATAACCCCTGTGGATCGCCCATCCTTCTGGATGAGGGGCCTTGAGCTTCTCTTCTTGAGGGAGATTGAAGAAGAGCTGGGACCAGTGGAAAGCCTCATCCAGGAGAGACTCCGGCAACGAATGGTTGACGATGTAGACAAACCCCACTTTCTGGCAAGCGGCAACTATATCTTGGGCGACACGCAGACGGCTAGGGGCGTCGGAGTTCCACCGGGCAAAGTCCACGATTGGAATGGTGCTTGATGGGTCCATGGCTATGATCGTTGCAGTAAGTTAGGATCGGAATTGTCTACGAAGTCAAGTCCAGGTGAGACCTGTCAGCAGCTGCACAGGCCCACTGGAAATGTTCCCGAGAATCCGACAATTCATTATAGATTAGGAGCAAATCAGGTAATCCCCTTTCGTTTCGCATCTGCAGTAAGTAATATCAAATCCAAGCCGTCATAGTTAGCGTAGAGCTTGGGCACAATTTCGGGCGAATTGGTTGCTGTGGCAGGGATCCAGGTGGAGAGATGAGCGCAACTCCACTACATCATTCCTTCCCTGAACCCTGATCTGAATTTGATCTGGAATTGTTCTCTCTACCCAATCTCTGGAAGTTGAATCCCATTGTCAGTATGTCTAATGAATTCAAATCTTAGTGTGTTGTGTTGCTGTCTCTCGCTAACGTTAATCTTACTCCTTTGAGTAGTTTGTTGACACCCCGACCCTCGAGAACGCTATCTCGGAATATCAGATATTGAGAGCATCGGAGAAGCCCTCAGACACAATTCGGGCCCCCTAAATATTCGGTTCACTCGGTCGCATTCGACTTAAATTGTCACGTCATATTTCCCCGCCTAGAACACAAGAATGCGAGCATCTTGGTGGATCGGGATTTGTGCCACATTCCTCCCCACGGCTGTCCTATCAATAGACACAGCACCCTTCTCCTCACCAGAAGATGCGACCAACAAGCGAGCCTTTGAGGTTCTCCAGATTCTGAGGCGCAACGACAACTGCCCTAGCGGATACAATGCTTGCACCAACGAAGGAAACTCCAATGCCTGCTGCATAACGGGAACCACCTGCACCAAGGACTCCGCCAACAACATTGCCTGTTGCCCGACCGGCGCAAGCTGCACAGGTAGTCTAACGGCCACTGCGACCTCGACTGCGACCGGCACCACTGAGACTGGAAGCAGCTTTGTGTTCCCACAGGGAGGGACGGCGACAACTACGGAATCCGGCTCGGAGACCGCAACTACGGCATCGGGCGCATATCCGTTCGTCTACGTACCGACGAGCTTCGCGAATGCGAAGACGTGCTCTTCTTACTACTCGCAATGTCAGTCGGAGTATACGGGATGCACGCAGGCTCTCATCGGCCGCTACGGAGTGACAGTGGGTGGATCCGGTGGGGGTGTGACGGTAGAGGCGGTCACCGCAACATCGCAGGTCACGTCTATCTGCTCGAGTTTGAGCGTTAAAGCCTGTCATGGGTTGAGTCTTGCTTATTGTGCTTCTATGGAGACGGCGACAGCCACCGATGCCAGTGGAAACGGAGCTTTGCCTGGTCGAGCCTCGAGTCTTCATGATTTGACACTGGGCTTAGTTGTCGGGGTTGCAGGCATGTTTATTTGATGTGATGTGATTAGATATGATCTTGGATGCATTTTTGTTGGGGAATTTCTCTCTATTTCTGTATATTTTGGATGATTTGCTCTATGTTTTTTATGAATCCTTAGCGTTTACGGATGTCCATAGCTACAAAAAACCTCATGACATGCACAGTTACAATTCCAGCTGACGCGGAATTACGGGGTTTTAGCGATTGGGCCATTACTTGTTAGGCTGTTCATTGGCGACACCGATATGTGCCGTGTATCGTCATTGCAGTCAATTCCCGAATGCATACCTATAGGATCAGGACCAGGTGAGATATAAAGCATTCTCTATCCGTACTTGACTACATGCCATAGACCTATTTATTTGTACATTTAGCTGCCAAATTGACTCTATCAACTGCAGTCTTTGAGTTGACAGCTCGAAGATCCGGGATCCGACCGCATGCTGATCGCTGCCACGCGGGGTTGGGACGAGAGAGGAGACACTGCATAAGCAATTTAAAATGGCCTGTCAGAATGCAAGATTCAGAGACAAAGGGCAAGGAAAATAGAAAGAATTTTTCCTGATCTGAAACCCAGCCTCTCCATTTTAAAAACATGATGCGGTAAAGACGTATTAAGTAGCTCAAAATCGGGTGGTTGGGTATACGCAGGAGGCTGGGGACATCCATAGCAACCACCACTTTTTCTCTTCTCCTCTTTGTTTCCTAAACATTTTTGCATTCCTTCTCCCGCTTGGAATCTTTCGCGAATTTTGTTCCATTTGTTTCCCTAAGGTGGTCTACCGCTGTAGATCGGCCAGGGTATACAAACTCGGTACTAGCTTTGGGTCATCCCATACGACATAGCGAACGAAACAAACAACACCTCGATATACCCCAATCAGCAGCATTTTCAATTGTTCGAAGCGAGAATCCGCTTGTCTTTCACCATGCGATCCTCTACCATGATTCCCGCCCTCTCCAGCCTATTCCTCCTATTGAACATCCCAAACGTGATTGCAACCCCTCTAGCAACATCCTTGCCACTGGAGGCTTTGCAATATTTGGAGGGAAATGCGCTTGAAAAGCGATGCGCAAACCCCTGTGGCTCTGACAATTGGTTGTGCTGTGGTGCTAGCGAAACTTGCTATACAAACAGTGCCGATCAAGCAGCATGCAGTACAGCGGGCAGCGAATGGGAATACTTCACTACAACCTATGTAGTCACCGAAGTTGAGGCCTCCACCATCACCTCAGTCTGGAGCTCACAAGTTACGACTACTGCGGCAACGACAACCACCGCAACATGCAAGGCAGACCTGGGCGAGGCGACATGCGGAACCACATGCTGCGATGCGGCCGAAGAGTGTGTGGACGGTGTATGTGTCGCTGAAAGTTCGTCTGCAGCAGTTACAGGTGACGCTACGCCTGCAGCACGAGGTACGAGCAGTGGCTGGTCTACTGCGACAGCGACAGCAGCTGCTACCACGACGGAGGCGTTCATTGCACCTGTCAGCACAGATGGATCTGATCTAATCGGAGTCAAAGCAACCAGCAGTGGTGGACTGAGCGGTGGAGCAATTGCAGGCATTGTAATTGGAACGATTGCCGGTGTGGCTTTGCTGCTTTTGCTTTGTGCCTGCTGCTGCTTTAAGGAAGCTCTCGACGGCCTATTCGCTGCGCTGGGTATGGGCAAACGTCGCAAGAAGCAGGAAACCATCATCGACGAACGCTACTCGCATCATTCGCATGGTAGTCGCCCACGTCCTCAGGGGGGCCGAACGTGGTTCGGAACTAAGCCTGGTGCTACGAGTGAAGTCAGTGAGAAGAAGTCTTCCTGGAGTAGCTGGGGCACAGTTGCCGTTATCCTTGGAGCTCTTGCTCTTTGCTTGGGACTGAAGCGGCACAAGGATCGTGATCATGACGATGACAGGACCGAGAACAGTTACCCGAGCTCGTACTATTACTACTCGGAGTACACCCGAAGTAAGTCTTTCCCCACCAATGGTTCCGACATTCAACACTTGTATACTAATCATTACCCTGCAGGTAGCGACAGCTCGGGAGGACGAACTCGAGACACACGGAGGTCTCGACGATCACGCACACGATCACGACGCTGATGGAGTTGAGCAGTCCTTCGTCTCTGATTATTTGATTTTATTGACCTGATGCATTTACGGCGCTGATTTGCCCTACGATTTATGTACCATAATGACCTATCCTATGATTTTTTGGCCTTGGCCGGGATGTGATGATATATGAAGCTTGTTTTTGTTTATGTTGACATGAGTTTGTCCCTTTTGCGGGTTGATATTGAGCCATTTTTGTCTCTGGCATGCACATATGAGATATGCGAATAGATGCTGAAAACATGAATGAGAACTATTTTAACCTAACCTAGTGGGGACTAATTGATCAGAGTAAACTCTAGAAGCCAGTTTATATAATTCTACTTAAAGACTCAAGTCCAGCCTTGGCTGAAAGGTCAGCTCTGGAGTCAATGGTTGCACTAAGCAAGAAGCCGTTGATTGGGGCTCGTCTTGCAGGTACAATGTCCTCTGTTCGTAAGGATAGCCCGGGTAATCTGCACCACGCACCAATTCTGCAGTCGATCCCGAGGGAGACGAAATGCATTGAATAAGTATTATCTCATTTAAACATTAAAATATTCTTATTCCTTATATAGAAGGCCAAAGGTTGGGGAGTGGTTTAGCAGTAGAATACCCGTGTGACAAGGGCACACAAACTAAGGAATCCGCGGTGGAACTCATTTCGCTCCCCGCCTTCCGACCTTCTCTTTCTCCCTCGTCAGGCAGACTTCCGCCCCGGTTCTTGGTTCTTCCCCCCTCAACCACCAATTCATCAATGACTCTCAACCTGAGTCCATTCTGCTGACATTTTCCTTTTTTCATTCCTCACTTGCGTCCGGGTTTCCCTGTCTTCCCGGTTTCCCCTCTAGTCGCTTAGCAAGGAACCCTTCGGAGCATTACGAATTCCCCGAAATATCTCATCATCGCTCGCCATGCTACAAGCGCAGAGCCAACACGTCTTCTCCCACCAGCATCAGTATCCACAGGCTGATCCCGCGTGGCTGCAACACCAGCAGCAACAACAACATCATCAGGCACAGCCGCACCAGCAACACCAGCAGCAGCACGCCTCCTTGGTCGCCGCTCAGCAACATGCTCAAGTCCAGGCTGCGCAGCAGCAGCAGCAGCAACAACAACACTATAGTCGCCTGGCCATGGCCAATAACAGCGCTGTAAACCCTGGTCAGAGTGCCGGAGGCCTCGGCGGCATGGGCGGAGAGGGTTTGGCCAATGCGGTCTCCGGCATGGACGGTGCTATCAGTGATGAGAATCGCAAGGTCTTCATCTGGGTTGCAGAACTCCTGGATCCCGCCCGCAGGGAAGCGGCGCTCATGGAACTGAGCAAGAAGCGGGAGCAGGTCCCTGAGCTGGCTCTCGTGATCTGGCATTCATTCGGTATGATATTATCGCTATTGTGGGGGCGCTCCCGACCGGGACTAACTGTCGGCAACTTGCAGGTGTCATGACTGCCCTCCTCCAGGAGATCATTTCGGTCTATCCCCTTTTGAATCCTTCGCAGTTGACTGCCGCCGCATCAAATCGAGTCTGCAATGCGCTGGCGCTCTTGCAGTGTGTCGCATCCCACAATGAGACACGCACTCTCTTCTTGAACGGTAAGCCACCACGCCGATCAAATCTCCCACATCTTGCTAACTGTCTGTGTCGCATAGCCCACATCCCTCTATTTCTCTACCCCTTCCTCAACACCACTTCCAAGTCTCGCCCGTTCGAGTACCTCCGTCTAACTTCCCTCGGTGTCATTGGTGCCCTAGTGAAGAATGACTCATCCGATGTGATCAACTTCCTGCTTACCACCGAAATCATTCCCCTCTGCCTTCGGATCATGGAGACTGGATCGGAACTGAGCAAGACCGTCGCTATCTTCATTGTTCAGAAGATTCTTCTTGATGACATTGGCTTGGCATATATCTGTGCGACCTATGAGCGTTTCTACGCTGTTGGCACAGTCCTCAGCAATATGGTTGGTCAGCTGGTGGATCAGCAAACAGTGCGACTGCTCAAGCATGTCGTGCGCTGCTTCCTTCGGTGAGTCCCATCCACATGTACCGGGTGAAAAAAAAAAAAAAAAAAACTAATGCCAGATTCAGTTTGAGCGACAACAGCCGTGCCCGTGAGGCATTGCGACAATGCTTACCGGAACCTCTCCGAGACGCCACCTTCTCCTCCGTCCTCCGAGACGACGCAGCTACCAAGCGCTGCCTGGCTCAGCTCCTGATAAACCTCTCAGACAATGTGTCTGATGGCGCCTCGGCAGCCATGTAACATACCAAAACGCATTTTCTTCATCGCGGGACGTTTTTTTCTTACCACCTTACGATATGCATGGGATAGGTTTCTGGCGAGTATCGGTCACAAGGCGCAAAAGTTATGGGTGAAGCACAAGATAAACCATCTATCACCATGATGGACCTTGGTGATAGTGTGTCATTGTTCAAGCTGCTTCCTCTTTCATTCTGTCGGGTTTTTATCGCAGCATTCATCTTGGGTTAGTTTCCGCGCTTCGGTGATTTTCGTGTCGATGGGAGGGGACATGTATTCCTACGTCATTTTCTTTTCTTTTTTCCTCTGCCATTTTTTTCTTTCTTATTGCATCGTTGCTCTCTCCCATTTATTTACTCCCCTTATATTCGTTCCTGTGGCGCTCACAATCGGGTGGCGTGGGTTTCTGGTTGGCGCTGTCGTTTATGTGCATTATTACCCTCAATCCCTCTTCATTTTTGCTCTGAGATAGACTCCTTTGAGCCAGAGATACCACGATCCAGTCGTTGATTATTCCCTGCTTTTTCTGTTCCGGTGGTTTATCTCTGTACATGTTCCCAAAAGAATGTACTTTTTGACTTCAATGTTAATTCTTCCACATAGTAGACTACCTATGTTCTTTAATCTCTGCAATGAAATGATTTACCTGGTTTTCCAGGTAGCACCCAATCCTACTATATTCATCTAGATATCTTTCTAAGATTATCGATACAGCAATGTACATCAATTGATACATGTAATAGTTACCCAACATTGATGTACAGAATCTGCGTAGTGCATACTGCTAATTTACATGTTCATGGATTCAAAATTTTGGTCAACTCTGTTAGATATCTAGTATGCTTCAAGGTCTCTTTACACGAATTGATCATACTAAAGAAGGACCTGTTCTTTCTAACTCTTGACTAGTCAATTCAATATTTTAATTCTTTACTAGTATATTTGAAATTGAAGTTCTTCCTTTGTCTGTTCTGGGAAATTAACCAAACGCGACATTCACGTGATCTACCCGTACTGACGCGCCATTCACTGAGATCACCTCGCCTCTTGAACACGAATAGAGCGAAAAAGACGACTCCTCCATTTATCCCCCATACCCTGCAGAATTATTCTGATTTCAATAACGATCTGGCACAATCACATACCTGTGCGACCGTAACTACATTCTGACTCCCTGACCCCTCGAAACAACCTCCCTACCAACACCCCGGCCTGACTGGCCGTCCCGCCGCAATGGGATCGCGAAAGCGCAGCCGCTCCGAGGCCAATGCTGCCCTTGTGCAGGAGCCAACAGAAGAGCCAGGTCTGCTCAAGCAGATACGCAGCAGCTGGGAGTTCGCTAGTCTCATGCAATACATCGCCATTTTTGGCAAAATTATGAAGATTGATGAGGATTTCGAGATTGAGGTAAGTGGACATGGAATGCTTTTTCTAGCCCTTTGCGCGTGTCGCATTGATGGCGCATGGATGGCATGGATGCTTTTGAGCATTTGGCGCGCTTGTTCAATTTCGTTCGGCGGGGGAGCTGACACTTTATCTTTTTTTTTGTTTCATCTAGGATCTCGAAGATGAATGTCTCAAGCCTGAGCCTTCGCATAAGCTGTTGGAGATCGGACTCTGTCTGTTGAAATGGGTCTCTTCGCATCGAGGTCTTACGTATGTTCAGATTCAATGCTTTTGGACGCTACGCCTGGAATGAAATGAGAGCTGACAATGTGAGGCAGATCCGAGACTTTTGATGAATACACCCGTCGACAGTACAACGCGAAGTGCCCGAATATCCCCAATCCCTTCGGTTACGACGAGGAGCCCCTAAAGTTCCTCCACTTTGATGTCTTCACAAAGCTTCGTGTCCTTCATCAACTGTCCGTGTGGACCTTCTGGAATGCCGATCGCATTCGGGATAAGATGCCGGAGAAGAAAGAGAGCGAACAGCTCCAATGGGTGAGTCCGATGCTTTGTTGTTAACAAAGCTCCTGCTAACTCGCTACAAGCGCATAGAAGAATTCGGTTATGACCGCGAGGGTCGTTCCTACTTTGTCCTAGATGATAACCGTCTTTACCGCCGCACCGATCCTCCTATCCCCGCGCAACAGCGCCCCAAGAAGAAGCCGAAGAGTCGTTCGTCGCGGACATCCCGAACCTCGAGACGTGTGTCGAGTCTCGCCGTGGAAGAAGAATCCGATAATGAAAGCAAGGGGGAGCCTGCTAATGGTGCCTCTGGAGACGACTACAAGTGGGAATGTATCGCTGTCACCCTGCCAGAATACCAGGAATTTTTAGAGACTATTCGGAAAAGCAAGGACGCGGACGAGAAGTACCTCCACGATCAAATCCAGGAGCATGTCGTGCCCCTCTTGGAGAAGACCGAGGAGGCGCAACAGCGCAAGCGCATCAAACGCGAGAAGGAACTGCTCAACATGCAGCTCCTCGCCGGAGCTAAGCGATCCAGCCGACTTCAACAAAAGGACGAGCGTGAACGTGCCGAGAGAGAGGCCTTGGAGGCCGCTCGAAAGCACGAGTCCGATTTGGCCGAGGCTCGTCGGGAGCAGGCAAGACAACAGCAACTCGAGCATGATCGACAGTCGCGTATGATGACTCGTGAGCAGCGCACCAAGGATCGTGAGCAGAAGCGCATTCTGCATGAAGCAGAGCTTGAGCGGATCGCTGCAGAGCAAGAGAAACTGGAGCGTGGCGAAGGCAGGGTCTCTGCGCGGAACCTCAAAGCCGAACTGGAGAAGTCTCAGAAGAACTTGACCGAATTATCTCAAGAGGACGAATGGGTCTTTGACTGTTCCGGATGTGGTGCGTATGGCGAGAACCTCGATGATGGTAGCCATAGCGTTGCATGCGAGAAATGCAATGTCTGGCAACATAGCAAATGTCTTGGAATCGCACAGGCAGATGCTGAGAAGGACGACTTCCACTTTATCTGCACTGATTGCAAGCGAAAGGAGGAAGATGCCAGTAGGCCTAAGATTCCACCTCTCAAGTTCCGCGTCAGCTCTTCTGCATCGCCTCAATCCACCCCTCCTACATTGAAAAAACGCAAGGTGGAAGACCATGACCTTGTTCCATCATCGCCTGTGAAGCAGACCCACGCTGCTCTGTCTAACATGCAAAATGGCCCTCCACCATCTACTACGCATCCTACCCAACCTTCTCTCCCTCCGCTCACCTCCCAAGGCCAATTCTATGCTCCTCAGTCCCCCGAGCGTCGGTCGCACCCTACAAACCAAACTCCTCTGCCTTCTTCCAGCCCTCCTCGACCTACTTTCTCCCCGCCAAAGAATGTCCCCATCCATCCTTCTATGAACCAACAATCCAGGCTTGGACCCGGCCAGCATATGTTCAAGCCTATGCATCCAGGTCCCCAGCTACCTCCTATTGGGGCTTTCCACCCCGTGCGGCCTTCTTCATCACACTCTGGGCGTAGTCCGACCCAGAACCAACCTTCCATGTCGCCAACCCAAGGCAACCACGAGGTTGGACCCCTTGTAGGATTTCCATACGCAGCGCCTGCAAATGGATCAGGCAATTTTTCTTCATTTGAAAGCTATGCGACTCCCCGTCCTCAGTCTGGGCATGGAATGCCACCGTCTATGTCTAGCCACTACCCATCATTTTCTGCTCGTGGGACCCCTAATGGCAACCATTCCTCTCCTCCGCACAGCTCTCATGGAATTGGCATGTCGGGAATCAGTCCTACCAAACAATCTCCTCGTCCCGTTACTTCGGGTAGTGGTATGGCAGGCGCTCCGGTCCTACCTCCAATCCGCCGGTTGGAACCCAGCCCCAAGCTTATGGGCCGCAGCTCGCCCGATGCCCCGATTCCTCCGCCTGTAAAATGTATGACCCCTGAGCAAGAGGAGCGCCGCGCCCGTGAGAATGCCTCAATCTTTCACCCAGGCCCTGGCCACAGCGCGCTCATGTCATCACCCACCATGAACCGCATCCCCCCTCTTCTTGGGCCTGCAGCCACACAGCCAGAGCCCATGCCATCACCACAGCGCGGTGGCGATGCTTCACGACAGTGAATCTATGAATAATGTCGACGTGATCTGTGAGTGGCCGATCGCATTTTTTGGTGGATATGACTCGGTTGTAATCCAGCCGAGAAACCTCACGTTCAATTAAGCATCGTGGACCGTTTGGCAAGATCCACTTCTCTGCTTCTCCCTTGTCGTCCGATTTGACTTGCGAATTTATGTGGTTTGAGATGAGGTTGAATAGGAGCGAATGGTGACAATCCGGAGTCATTTTCCTCAGCCCAAATTCGATAGCCGGCAAGTGGATATGGTCCGTGTCCTCGATCTCGATCTCGATCTCGATCTCGATTTCGATCCCGATCTCACGAACATCAAAATGTTGAAAATTTTCTCATTTCATGCTGATGGATGGATGGATAGATGGGATGGGTGAATATGGTTTGAAATGCGTTTGATCTGGGCTCAATAGTGCCATTCCCTAAAAACGTGTCTTTTTTTGTCATGTAATTTTGCCCTAGGTGTCTGGAGCCCGTAGGAGCTTTGATAAGTCATTGGCACCTTTTTTTCTGTTCTTCTCGTTCTTTCCTTGTTTACTTTTCATGTGCATAAGATGGTTGGGGATTGGGTGTTTGCAGAGGGCCTGAAGGCCGGAGTTTACGTTTGTTTTATTTTCCTGGTCTATGCTAGGAGTGTATTGTAATAGAGAACTCAGACTAAGATCATGTATGTGCTCAATTATGCTACATTGAAATGCTGATAGATGTCTAGATAACTGCAATTGTAGACGTGCATATCTTAGTGTTGGGTGTCCAGAGTCCTTCCATTGGGTATCCGGAGGCCTTCCTGCCCAAGGCAGCCTGAGGGCTTCTCCCCGTCTTTAGGTACTAGTCATGTCTCACCTGGGCACCTGCTCGGCCTCAAGCTCTTCCGTATATACGTATCCTGTACAAAGAATTATTCCGTGTCTTCAAAGCAAAGACATCCAAGAGTATATAGGGTTATTAATGAATTATCATAGAGGCAAAGAACAAACAACAAAACCATTGTGTGTCACATGATTGAAAGAAATAAAAACCCGGTCTGTTGAGTGGGTCTATGTTGCGAACACCCAAAGACCACAAGACACCAATAGTTCCCCTTACAGCGGTGGCTGCAGACCAAAAACACTCGATTCAACCAGTTGCATCTGTGTAAAGTCCAACAGCGGCTCCTCGCATTTTGCGCAGTCACTGCGCAATGTAAATCATATCTCAGATTTTTGATAGTGGGAAAGAAAGAAAGGTACGTATACAATACACAGAATTAACTAACCTGCATAGGAAGCTGTTGGTCGCCAACGGCGCCGGTATTATCTATGTGGGTCCCAGGGAAATGATCCAGCCAGTCTGGACCCATTATCACTTCCATACCTTTGCACGATACTCTGAATCACTTGAAAAAGGCGGAAAGGCGTGGGCCCCAAGGCGGATATATAGCTTTTTTAGTACAGTTATGCAATTCTGAGTGACCAAAGTCGGGCAACAAAAGTAAAGAAAAGAAAAGAGTGGAAATTACTTAAGTACGAAGATCCAATTCACACGTTAACATGAACCGGGGACCCACATGTTGGACAAGCGATTAACTGATGAGATGACACTAATCAGCTAAACGCGCGCGATCTGCATGGTCCAAGCTGTGATTCAATTCCCCCGAACCGAATCAAATTCCAGTCAAAAGTCCCCGAGTTGGTGCCACGGGATCGATACATCGAAAGGGCTTGATTTCTAATACAGTTTGATGTACTTGATAATGTATGATCTGCCCGAAGATCTCCTAAACCTTGTTACCATCGATTTGATTAGATCCTCGGGTTTAAGACCTTATGTGTAGAGCTGCAACCCGTTTCCCCGGGTTTAACGCAAACCTTGGATCTACTTCGAGCATACCTCATTCGGACAGTCTCGACCGTCTCTATCCTATACGCACGAATTCGCGACGAATAACGTTTCAAATCTCGTAGCGAGGCTGATAAGCTAGTAAGGTAGTTCGTCCTCGTGTAGTTTGGGTGTTCTCGCGCCAAAAAAAGCCTAGTAATGGACAATCACGGTGTTCAACCCATAATCAGAAGTACATCCTTGTAGTAGTGAACATTCCACATGTGGAATAATCGTCAAATGATACCCCATAGGGTTAAAAAACGTGCTCAGTTCCCCCCCCCATATGCACAGGAACAGCGGGATGTCTCCCCCGGCTAATCCCCCCTTTACCAGATGCGGAAAGGTGCACTATAATTTTTGCCGGAAAAAACCGTGGATCGGAGATGGCGTAGCACTATATTTGCTTTGATTGGGTAGAATTACCTATCACATCCCTGGATTTTGAGTGAGGCGAACTGGTCAAGGTGGTCTAGGCTCGGTTAATACGCTATGGGATTCCCGTCCCGTAGTGTCTCGGAGAGTCTGAACCCGAATCGATTTGATCAAAGTTAAAAACAAATATGAGAAGCAAAAAGTATATTTGTTTTTCTGGAACGAAGTGGACGCAGTAAAAAGATTCTATTATCAATTTTGGGAAAAGAAGAACTTGGATATTGGAGTATTTAAATACGAGTGAACCTACTTTGAAGTATTCGGCTAGTATTGCGCCGGAATTTGAATTTAATTAATGAAATTATATAAAAATACGGCAAAATGGTCTTCCGAGATATAGATACTATAGTTAGCTCACGTTGATCTATTCCCCACTGAGACGAGCCCCTTTTCTACTAAACGAATATGGCGTTCTTCCGTAACAAGAAACAAGTCCGGATTATCACAGGGATATTATGAAACCGAAGTGCTAGAAGCGATACCTGGCGAGAAAGCACAATTCCCCGCGCATATGCAGCTATCACAAGTAGAGTTTGACTAAACCTTTTAGACGATCAGGACCATCTTTCGAGTCCCGTGCACCTAGATCCACTCATGCAACTCATTTCCTTATGGAACCGGAATCGGCTACTAAGATGTGTCCCGAACCAGACCCAGACTTTGACTCCTACCTCTTATGGATGTGTACGAGATGTTGAAGTTGAAATGACCTCATCACTCATCCAACCAGATGTCAGCTACCAGTTACCATTAATTCTAAGTTAGCAACCAAGGCAGGTACACATGAAACGCGCTTACAGTGTTTAATATTTTTATGTATAATTCAATCCATGTATGTTTTAATGTGCTACATAAGGTGGGGGATATATGGCGGCGAGTATCTGTAATGACGGGGACCTCTTTGGTCCCCGGACAGAGCACGGACAATTGCATTCATTTTTATTATCTTTTTCTTTATTCGCCAGAGCAAATGTTTGCTCTGCAAAGTATGTAATATCGTGATAGGGGCGTTTTTCATCTAAAGGCTAATTTATGCTATACATGATGGCTGCAGTCAATCGAAGTTTGAATACCTAGTCCAAAGGAGTGACATCCAGTCTGTTAGATAGAAATGAAGCTCGGACTTGCCGTTTCCTATACTTGTAGCAAGACCAAACAAATGCAGAAAATGGATAGAAACCCATGGGCTCATGGCCATCTTGGGTCACAATGGATCAATCGTAATCTGGTGTACCGCCCGGCTGAGCTCGGCCGGGACGAGGGAGGATCACAGAGCCAACTGCTCCAAGACACTATAATAGTAGAGTCATGATGGTAATTATCATGTATTGATACCAGAAACTCTGAACTCTGGTTCTTGATCATCCCTTTCTCCCTTCATCAGTTTCCAGTCAAGATGTGATGATCCACGCAACCCAGAGTTGAAACTCAAAAGCGGCATCTGTCGGAGGCTTCAGCCCTAAAATTGGATCGCCCCTTGACACAAGAAATTGGTGGAGCCGGTGGCCGACCACCAATTCGTAAACACATGATCACATTCGTATGCACCGCTAACATGAGTGCCATAATTGAAAGGCAAACACTGGAGCCTTTGTGCCGCGATGACGAACACCCCCCCGGTCTTTCCCCCTCTTCCTAGGGCCAGATCCCTGCATCTGTATCTTAAATCCCGCAGATTGACGAACGCTAATGATCCCCGTCCGGACACCGTAGCCCGGCATGACTTCCCCGAACTCCGGCTGGCGTGGCTTTTCCCGCTTACGGATAGTCAAGATGTTACAGAGATTGAGATCTCTGGGTTTTATTCCGTACGAAACGACCAAAGTAGACGACTTGTATGAACCTCTCCAAAACTCATGTCTATCCGAATCCGTGCGAGACGATTCATGAATACGAACATTCAGAGTCAGGGGTTGTCTGAGAAGAAGTTACTCCGGTAGTTGTAAAAGAATCAATCACCGATAAAATGCTGACCTAGAAAAAACAAGCAATCTTTTGTACCCCCAGTCCTGCCACGTGGATGTCATAGGTATGCAAGTATAACTTCGAACCGCGTAATTGTGGATGTGTTGGGATCACGATATTGGTAGCAACATCTAGCGGTGTCCCCTGACCACGTCTTCCCTGCACAGGAGAGTTAGTGGACAAGAGATCATAGTTCATGATGATGATCGACAGCAATTGCCGGCCACTCCACTTTAGGAAGGTAGTAAACGGCGAATTTCGCCTTAAGAAGTAGGATCCAACGGTTTTTCCTAGAGTGAAATAGGAAAAGTGGATCGAGATGCATCGAAGCACAGGCAACCAGAGAGGCAGAAGGAAGATACGCGCTAAACGCTTTCTAGCTGCATCTTCGGCCGTAATGTGGCAGGAAGCGGGAGCATACTCAGACCAATCGCGAGGCTTTTCTTGGTGTTGGGTGACAGCGCTATAATATACATCTGCGGCTTGGTTTGTTTCAGGCATGGAGTATTATTTGCTTTTGCTGGTAATTTTTGTTTTCCCTCAACATGTCAGGAAATAATGCTCTCGGACCTCTTGGTGGAAAAAGTAATCTTCAAGCCCCAATGTATGGCGAAATTGGAATGAATCTGGAAGGATTGACAGAAAGAAGATCCCTGAATAGCTTTCTTTGTTGATCGTCTTTTACTCGTGGCAGCCAGGCTGACAAGGTTCTATGTAATCCCCCTAGACGCGGTGAGATCTTGATACCTCCTTGCTTGCAATAGGCTGGCCACCGGATCACTACAGGACATGCCATGGATCAATCTCAAATTATCATGGAGGGGACCAATGACCAAAACCAGACCATGCATGGTGAAACTCAACCAGTAATCCACGCACGAGCCCGAGCACGACGAGGTCAGCCATATTTGGGCGCAATTTTCATTTCTTGCGCCGTTGGACGGACTCGATAGTGACGATCATTGTGCCCTGACTAGTGTCATCTACAGCGGGAAGAATTCCCAGGGATATGCATTATCCAGAAGTGGTAAAAGCATAGCCAATCCTCGAAGTCTATACATCAAATTCTTTATTTGCAAACAGAGTTTCGGCTACTTTCACGTATTGTGTCGATCTTCCACACGAGAGCACCGTCAATGTATAATCGATAAGAATAACTCTTGTCCAGACCGCAAAGTGAAGATCCTTGACACAAGATATCTTTAGAAACACGCCGGACTAGGTTTAGAGATAGACGCGAATGTTTGAGAGTGAGACAGGTGAGAAATGGGATCGGAGCACTTGAGGTGAAGATCGGTAGATTTGGGGCTAAGAATGCCGATCAAAACAAAGAAACACGTGGGCAAAATACAATTAGAAAACGCCCTCTTTTTCAAGTCCTACTGTAGCGGATACTCGGAGTTTAGGCCTGGTTTAAAACCGAGAGCGGCGAGGGGTCGATCTGCGAATGAGATAACTAACGGACAAAAATACGGAGATAAACCTTGTCGTCAGTCAACTGCGACCTATGGAGAAAGCTTGCAAGGCTTGACAGATTTAAGTCTGGTCAAGAGGTCTGAGCACCAATCTGTCAGAAGCCAAATGAGTGGAGGGCTCTCGGCAATTGGACCGTGAGATTTGGAATAGTGCAATTGTGCGATTGTATGAATGTTGAGACTTGATATGTATATCAATATCCGACATGTCGATACGCAATCTGGTGTGTAAATGTGATCTACATCCTCTCCCATGTCTAATGATCCTGAGAAGGAGCCGGCAAAGTGCTGACAGTTTCCCCTGCGATGAAAATAGGCACCTTGAGTAAGATTTAGACACACCCAGTTCCTAGGTGCTGGAGCAGCCCGCCGCTCTCCCTTGACACTGAGTATTCAGGAACTCTAAGTTTGGCGGCCACATGGCAGACTGCGCCCCCACTGAACACACTTCTCGTGCAGCTCATTGGATACAGAATACGAAACCCGACGCCCGGCCACGAGGACTCTCAAAGAAAACCATTCATTCACATCATCGAGAGGCGTGTTAGAGGGGGTTCCTACGCAAAACGATATTCGGGGACCTGCAGGGGTGCACTCGAACTCTGGTTCGTAAGAGCCGTGAAGATGTTTACCGCATTTCGAGGATGATACCGGGCGTAGTCGCGTGGACCATACCCCAGTCATTTCATCAACGTTCAAAGAGCAGTTGTCGTCGAGCTAAGCTTGATCCGGCGGAGGCGTATGTGTCCCTTGGAAACGCGGAGCCGCATAAAATTTGAGCGTATTGTTCGATGATACGATGACTTCTATCCCTGGTTCCCTGACATGCATATGGCGTGTCAAGGGTAAACCTAGCCGGATCCTGATATCTATCAGATTTTGGTCCCCGAAGTTCGTTGACGTATATTGAACCATACAACATGCCCTGTAGGGCTTTAGTGGAGCACACGTGATGGAATGATTAGACGCGGGAAGGAAGCAGCGAATGGCCAGCGATTGAGGGGGCGGAAAAAGGAATCCTGGGCAAGATGGAGAACAAGATTGGCTAAACGTGAGAGAACGCATCGGGGACCCCACACAAGTTGGGAAAGGATATCCGAAAGCAGTCAAGATTCAAATGCAGGTTATCACGATAATTTCAGCCAGTCCAATGGTAGCGCCAATCAGCATCAAGTGGCGCGATGGGATGAGCACCACTTGTTAACTAGCGAAATGGGAGATTGAACAAGAACGTAGGGCTACTGGATCTTGAGCCGACGGCCCAGGCCGACTCCGCCTAAAACTGTCAGCGCAAGCCCATGTCGATCAGGAGGATCCCGGGGCTCCGCTTAAAGAAAGTTTACCACGGAGCCGAGATAGACGATATTTCTGTCATACCGGTAATACAACCCCTCTGATTGGTGAAGATTGTAAATTTGGTATTAATGTTTCTGTCTTTCTGATCATACAAATGCTATTCCATGGTTCAATTTTGTGATGAGACGTCTGGAACTGTTCTATGTATTCTGTGACCATGAGTCTGGGAGTCGGCTATCTCGAGGTGGCGGATAAAATCCAGGAAACCGGAGAAATGGTAGATCGTTATAACCAGAATGCAATTGGTGGGGCCGATCATGGTCAATCTCCCATAATCGCTAGTACAGTTATACTAACTGTTTCGGTTTTTTGAGGAGATAGTACTAGAATCTGACAGCTGTTACATGTCTTGCAGATACATGTGGACACCCTAATTTTTACATCCACTTGCACCGTTCATTGACGCCCCGTCGATAGTTTCCAACGTCCTAGGAAATCTATACCCATTTGACCCGTGTCCCCCCAGATTTGGAAGCTTGCATCATGTGGATGTAAGTTTACTATGTCGGCGTTTGGGAAAATTTAGGGAAAATTTAGCGTAGAATACCGAAATTTAACAAATCTGTTACCACACCTTCGTCTTTTTTTTCTTTTATTATTTCCAAATTGACCATTACATCCCCGGGTAACGGTCTGAGAATAGACTCTAGAGCCTGATAGCCAAAGAATTTTTAGCATATTTCTTTTCTTTCTCCCCCTCTATGTTCCGTCCATTATCCACATTTGGCACAAAGAGAGTATAAATCCCGCTCGTCTAGGTATACAGCAGAGCCCCTCTCAAAATAACCAAAGAAAGAATCAAAGGACAAGCGAATCATGAAAATCAAAGGCAAATAAAAACATAGACCAATGGAAAGTGGTGGGGAATACATTGGACCAAATACAGCCAACCACAATGTGGATGAAATGGAACAAAATGAATAAATCCAAATTGATAAAATACATAAAACAAAAGGATATAAAATAGATAAAATACGAAAATCAGTGTTCCCGGTCCCGATAAAACCGTAAATCATTAAAATGATAAAGTAATAAAATAAGATAAAAATCCCAAAATAAACGATCCTGGTCCATATTGTTATTCTCTGAAGCTTCTTGAGTCAGTTTCAGCCTCTCTACTATGGGAAGTCTCCGTAACAGTGTTCCCTTTCCCTCTAATATTCCATACTTCGCCCCTCCCCATTCCCAATTTCTTATTTATTCAAGAGACCCGCCCAGTGGAACTCATTCAACATCTCTAATCCTTTCATCTGTACTTTCTAACCTACACTTTGATTGATTGATTTCGCAAAGACTTTTTTGATTCATACTCCCGTGAAGCTCTGTCTCTCCCACTTGTCTCACCTATCTCTGCACAGTGTCAGATTACGAGCCTTCAGGAGTTCAGACGTTGGACAACATCAACGCAAGCTTCCTTCCTTCTTCTCTTCTTTTCTCTTTCTGGAAAGCTCCTCTGGATTTTCCTGCAGCCGTCTAGATTGATAGGTGGGCTATTCTACAATTTCTATCCTTCAATAAGTTGCTCATTGGCAATATGCCCACGTCTGGCCATTCAGACATGCCTCTCACTCCCCCGGACGAACAGTCCATCGAGAGAGATCTCCATGAGACGGAATACCCTTCGGTTTCCAGCCATTTCGAATACGCAGTGGATACTCAGGGCAATGTGATCCACGGATCGTCCTCTCGACACCCACCGATTGAATCAGTGGTAAGTTCCACATATCAAGAGCTCGATTGTAGATTCTGATACTGGCCAGATGTATTCCACACCGCCAGCTTACTGGCATCCTTCTATGCCAACTTCACACCCGGTAAGAACTCATCGTCATCTCTATCAACCTGCATTGACTGAAGAAAACCAGATGTTCCCCAACCAGAAGATGGAAACACCTCCTTCCACAAATGACGAACCATCTGATCAACCAAGCCCAAATTGGTCACCATCTTCACAGCGCCGGATAACATTCCGGGCTAGAGCCACCCGATCTCCTCGCGAAAGGCGCCCTCGTGCTCGCAGAAACACTACCAGAGCAGCGCGGTCTCCTAGAGACGTACCTCTTAGTGTCTCGAGCGCGCATCTGTCGGACACCGTTTCAGTCCGCAACATGCATGCCTGGGTCCATCGGTCTGTAGAAGAGAGACATCAACAGGCCGAAACAAAGAAGAAAGTTCCTCGGCCGATGAACGCCTTCATGATGTATCGGTCTGCTTACGCGGATAGAGCGAAAGCGCTTTCTGGCCACACAAACTATCAGGTTGTCAACTCTGACATAGCTGACAGCTGGGGCATAGAATCCGAGGAGATCAAGCATTATTACAGGGAATTGGCTATCACCGAGCGGGAAAATCACGCGCGTGCCTTCCCTGACTACAAGTTTAAGCCAGTTAGGGGGCCAGCGGTCGCAGCCGTACCACCGCCAGTCTCTTCGCCACCCAATTCCATTACCAGTGGAACCTTGGTGGATCATGGCAGTCCTCAGTGGAGTGATTGTGACACTCTCCCGGGCTCATTCCACGATCGATCCTACAGTTTTTCACTTGATCCTATTTATCACAGCCGCTCAAATACACCGGCAGGCTATCCCGATATGGCCAATGGCTACATGACGCTTGCCTGGAATAGCTATCCAGGACAAAGCCACCCCACCATCCAGCCTAGTGCTTTACAAAGTGGAATGCTTGAGGCCATGCAATACCACCACTCCAGCCCTCCTCCTCAGGAACTTCAGTATGGCATATCCAATGGCCTAAATGGACTTCCTGGTGGTTCCCACCATGATCTGCTGCAGCCCCAGCCGAGCCAGTCTTACTCTAGTCACGTTGAAGACGGCAGCCTGGATCCCCAGATGCTCAGCTACGATAGCGAGTCTGGTATTTCAAACCTGCCCCCCGCATACCCTGCAGTGCCAAACCCATATCCTGATTGGGACGATGAGCCCGCGGGCCCGTACCTGAGCACATTGGCTCCACCTCCATCAGGTGCATCGACCCCGGCTTCATACAGTCAGATGATGGTTTCTTCCCTGCCTGCCTGTATGCAACGAGCCCCTTCATGGGACTCCAGCCACCATGATCTCACCGAGGTGGGTGAGCAATGGGATGGGCATAGCACTTCGGTGAACTTCTAAACTAGAAGTGCTTATGAAAGCATATGGTGTATGAACCAGGCGTTATTGTATTTTGAGACATTTCTCTTGGCTCTGGAGGAAAATTGGGTTTCGGCATTGGTGCAATGGATTATGGGGGGTTGCCTGTTTCCTTTCATGGACCCTTTTTCAATTTGTTCCTTCATTTAGTTTGATCTGATTTTGAGATAGGCGATTTGATAATTTAAAGACTTATTTTGCGCTTCCAAAGGACTGGATTGGAAAGGTTGATCACTAAGGAGGATTTGTATACCTGTTTTGATTTGGCGTTTGTTGGTTTTAATCTGCCAATGTCGACTTTTTAGTATTTGAAATTTCAAAGACTGATTCCTATGGCTACATACACCAATTTATGTAATTTGAAATTAAAAATTGCCATGTTTGAATGCTCACAGTCAAAATCGTGTTGTGCTCACCTTGTATGCAACTGGCCTTGAACCCTAAGTCCGGCCAAACGGCCTCACCGCCCCGCGTTTGTCCACCGCCTTCATCATCCAAGCGCTCTAGCTGATCTCCATCGTCAATATTTCTATCTGCAACACTGTCAGAGAGACGGAAAGATTTACCGTGCCTCAGTCCGAGCCTTTTGAACTTGTCCCAGAACATTCGCTACAAACAGACAACCCGGTCTTCCTCCCCCACATACCCCCACTCGACCCCTCCCTCCAACAAACGCGAAGCTATTCGCAAGCCGCCAACCTAGCAAATCACAATGTCGATCCCTCCCGAAGCCCTGCAGAAGGTGAGAACTCTATTTCCGACATTAAAGGGCCTGAGACACTACAGGCTGTGGCGTGTCTACAAACAAGCGCAACGGCTAATGAACCGCCCACAGCTCCTGCAAGAGATCGAGACACGTGCCATGGCCTCACAGCAGCAGATCGGTATCACCAAGGCCCAGCTCACTGCCAAGCAGCGTGATATCCGCATGCAGCAATTGACAACCAAGGAATTGTCGGAGTTGCCATCCGAGACCCGGGTGTACGAAGGTGTAGGAAAGATGTGAGTCTCTTTCCTTGTCATTTTTGATCGCAGCAGCTGACTTGTGGCAGGTTCGTTAATGTTCCAATCAATACTATCAACAAGCGACTTGCGCGCGAGAGCTCCGAGTCTACGGCGGAGATCTCTAACCTGGAGAAGAAGCTGCAATATCACGAGACAACATTCAAGAACAGCCGGGAGAACTTTGAGCAGATTCTGAAGTCTGGAGGACGGGCGTGAGATGCTTGAAGTGATATAACATGGTTTCATAAGGGGCTGGGAGGTGTGGCTGCTTTGTTTGGTATTATGAGGTCCCAGAGAGCAATTGAGTGGCTTTCTGGGCATTATCGGCTGTCTCTTGCTTCAGCATCTGCCATGTCGCTATCATGGTGTGCAAGAAGATGTGTGGAGTACCTGAGATCCCACACAGGTGAGGAAAAGGGGTGCCGGTCCCTTCTCTTGGGCAAGATTGTGTTCGAAATATTTGATTCACGAGAACTACATGACCCGCTACCGGCCTTAGATACCCAGAGTCTGTTTGTGATAACGATGATCTGGCAATGAGACTTTGGATAAAGGCTGCCAGTTTCGTTACCGCCATCTGATCTCTATAAAAATGAAAGATTTTTTTTTGGAATAGTAGTCTATTCCACGTTCTGCTTGTAAGATTATCGAAAGTAGCAGAACAGACATGTATGAAATCACTTTTACGGTAAAAATATGAAATGGAAGACTTCGAGGATCGAAAAATCATAGGAAGGTCTTATTAGGGTAGGGGGTCCTATAGTCTGACTGATAAAAGATGAAAGGGTGAATCAAGTTGGGTAGGGATAGTAGTGGCTAATACATTAACTTAAGCGTTCCCTTATAGACACAAATATAGGGAAGAATTGTGTCCTGGCATCCCCGTAGCCTACCTGACTCCATTGCGCTCTCGTTTCAGGGATGGTTTGCGAGCCCCCACTTCAGGTACATCGGGACCCATTCAACATGGGGATATGGCGTGGTGCGGCGAGTGTAAGACGAAGCCTAAGTTAGTAGGGTGCCCCAAGACCCTCGGCGAGAAAGTGCGCAACAGACCCACCACAATGTATCTGCAGACCCTTTTTTTTTATGAGCGTCAATAATTTTATCTATTATATTTGATTTGTTATTTGTGGTTTAAGTTGGTGATGATGCCATGGATATCGTGAGGTTATGCTTGAAGTGCTGAGAGCGACTTGCGTCAAAGCCACGTTAGTGTATGTTTCCCTACGAAAACATCAAAAATCTCCTTTTTTAAAAAAATGATTTTAGACATCTCAGGTTCGATTTATCGATTGGATTTTATTTTGAAGATGGTTCAAATGAAGTTTCATCGTGTTATAGTCGGTAATTATCATTGAGATCAGGATATCAGCCTACCAGGTACCTGCTTTGCCGTTATTTTCGTCAATCCTTTAGTCAAGTGAAGCAAGACTAAATGCTGGTCTTTCTCGAGACACTTAGTAATTTATCTTTCTACTTCTCTCTTCTTGCTTTCTGCTCTTTTCCATTCTCTGACTCCCCTTGATCCTGGATCATCATTCCCGCTCCCCCAAAGCATCGAACCCCTCTTTGAGCGCATACAGGACTAATGTCCGACGATAGTATAGATCGGGACTGGATGACTAGGGCTTCCGTGGAGAAGCCCAGAGCAAATCTAGGCGACCTTCCATTCGAAATACTCGAAAATATAGTCAAACATCTCTCACAACTCGATCTCCTCTGCCTTTCACTGTGCAACGTTTGGTTGTATTCTTCTTTCCCCGAGGCCCAATGCTACCACTTCAACTCTGACGAGGGAATTCTACTTGAGTTCCTGCGGCGCCTTGCCAGATTCGAGCCACGCCATTATCTCTGCCACAGCTGCAAGCGTCTCCATCGCGTACAGTCCGTTGAATCACCAGGACCTTTCTCAAGACCACCAAAATGCCATGGCGTTCCAAGTCCATACTACTACAGTGCCATAGACACAAATTACCACTATCTCTACATGGACCAACCTCTCCGCATGACCCAGTTCCCCTGCTACGCAAAATACAAGTTCTACTTCGTCCACCTCCAGCTGGCCATGCGCAGCTTCACGTACGACCCTCAATTCGGGATCCCCGTCGAATCACTGTTCTAGACCGAGGTAGCAACCAGCTCAATCGGAACAAATACCAACTCCGCTCAACCCATGCAGCTCGATGAAGGCCAATTATCTGAGGAAGAGATCCAGCTCAATACACTAACAACCCTCTTCACCGTCGACGCCCGCATTTGCATGAAACGAAAAAGCTTCTGCATGCGCACGCAAGAGCTGGCGGTAGCCCGTCGCGAGAAAGTCGAGCAACTAAGTCCAGGAGTGTGGAGTGACTGGATCCGGATCTGCTGGCACATTAGCACCACCGCATCAGGGTCCGAGAACAACGGGATAGGGAATATCGTGCGCGGGTTTGTGAAAATGTATGAAAGTGGTGAGGAGGTGGAAAAATTGATTGCGTCGGGACGGTGTAATAGATGTAATACGGCGTGGAAAGTTCAGATCCGAGAGATTGAGCGAAGGGATGTCTGTCTTGTGTTGACTCGGTGGATGAATATGGGCTCAGGTTTGAATCCTCAGGACTCTGTTTGGAGGTCACTTATTGAGTCGAAGCATTCGTTGAGCTCGGCTTTGATGAAGTATGATCCTCGGGTGCAGTTTGAGCATGATTCTGTGCAGGCGCGCTCGGGGAAGCCGTTGACTGAGGAGGCGCTGTTCTGGAGAAATGTGGGACTTTCGCGGGGGAAGAGATACCGGCGTTTGATGATCAAGTCGAATGATTCCAGGTGGATAGATCAATCCCGGGAGCAATGGTTGAGTGGAGATCTTGGGGACAAAGTGAGATTGAGCCCAGGAGTGGTTCCTGGTGTGCCATTACTTGATAACAAGCGAGTTACGTGAGCTGTAAGAGCTCTAGAACTCCGATTTGAAAATACCAATGTTGGTATCTACCTATTTATCTATTCTTATCATCTGGATGTCCAAAGCGATATTTGGATCAGGATTCAGCGCATACTTCTGGTCTGGTATCAGAAAAATGGCATGCAAGACGAACCTGAGTCCCGGTATCAACACTATCAATATACTATATAGATACCTCAGATGATCATCCTATGTATCCTTAGCATATTAATCTTGGAAGTGTTCGTATAATTCGCCTAGGTCCAAGCTTATACATAGTGGATCTACCACCTTAGTCAGAACCAACTGGCCCGTGGAAGATTTTGCCACAAATACAGTGTGTGGCACAGCGCCATTGTCGTCATTTCTGCACTATGGCGCTTTTGAGCGTTTTTCTCTGCAAATTTTCATTTGACTGGCCCCGATCGTCGGTCCCGATATTAAATATGACGTCTTCCCACTGCTCGGCACAGGCTAAATCCCTGCTCGGGCTCCCATCATATGCTCCGGGGATTTGTTCGTATCAGCGATCTTTGATGGTTGAGATTTTTGAATCATGGGATATCAGGTATTGATACTTGGAAGTTACAGATGACCACACTCTGCATATGTGAAAGTGTGCATTGCTTGGCGCCAATCGGCTTCTGTGTGCAGATCTATCATATTTTATTTATAGTTATTTTGACAATCTATTGTACTAATAAACGTAAAAATAAGTCGAAGTCTGGGCTTTTATTGTAGAACCTTTTGGGCGTTTGTGCATCGAATCCAAAGTGGTGCGACCCACTTGCCCGTTGCCTGCCACTATACTTCGACCTAAGTGAATGTGGGGGTACTACCCGGGTACCGGTCCTCAAGAATAGCCTGGAGTGAAACCAACCCAATGTTCAAATCTTAAGTTGCTGTCATAAACTCCTACCTCTTCTAATGGCCTACTATTCCTATCTGATACACGAAGTGCCGAGCTTGAGGCGGCCAGCACTAGACCGGACAGCGCGAAACGCGCGGCAATCAGGGGTGCATAGTGAGTTCCAGATGGTTGGTGAATATGCCTTCCAGCAAGGTGGAGCGATCCAGTGTTCAGCGCGATCGCATACATCTGATGATCAAGAATTTCCAATATTGTACCATGCGGGGAAGTCACGGGTTTCCCTGGATCATTTCGGGAACAGCCGATCAAGTCCCTTGGTTCACTAAATATTTGAACCTCATGTGTTTGAATAGATTCATGGTAGCTCATGCCCAAAATTACTAGTCAAATAATATGATCAAGTCCTAAAGTGCCTTAGCCCGAGGACTAAGGTTTGGTGTGGTCTCAGGTCCGTTTCAAGAGACGCCCCGCTTCATAGCCTTATGGCGAGTCCATGTACTGTGTACTTTTCTTAGAATACTGTCCAGACACGTTCTGGGAGACATAGGGCTAGCCGCTGAGCGGGAGGATGGTGGGGCGGGGATTTTGTACTTGTTACAATTTACAGGGTCGTTGGACTCCCAAAAGTGGGTCGGTGACGCTGATGCTATGGCCCAAAACCTTGGAAGAAATGGGAACACAGGATTAAGGGACTTGGTACGTGTGGTCCTAAGGACTCTTTCTCATATCTGAAATCTCATATGTTCTCTGCGTGGAAGGCTAAGAAGTATTAAAGTGTAGAAAGTAAAGTAAGGAGTATGCAGTGGGATGGAGTCCGACGATGATCGTTGAGGCTGAAGATGCTGCAAAGAAGAAATGAAATTAGAAAAGAAATAAGAATAAGAAATGAAGTAATTCTGGACGATTCCAGCCCTCGGACGAATAAATAGTAAATGGCCCCCTCGTCACAACTTTCCTCTTTTTCCCTCCCAATCATTCCAGCCCCTCCCCCGCCCTCAGCTGAGCGGCGATCCCGATAAGCAGGATCTCGTGTTCAGGACGCACAAGTCTCGCTTCTGATTCTATTTTCTGTTCTGACTACTCTTTCTCTCCTTTTTATTTCTACCCCTCTAGTCCTTTACCGAGTCTCGAGTGCTCAGGCCCTTCCCCCCTCTAAGGGTCTCGACACTATACAGATCCACCAAAACTCGATCTAACTATAAAGAAGAAAAGGCAAAAGAAAAATAAAAAAAGCCACCCAAAATGCCTGTCGAATATTATTCTTCAGATGAGTCGGATTTCTCCGAGACCGACATGTCCATCCGTGGTCGCAACGCTCGCACCCACATCCGCCGTCGCTCTGTTTCCCGCCATCAGCATCGACGCCCCGAAGTGAGAGATCACCTTGTCGCTCCGGTGACCCGCGTATACCGCTCTGCCTCGACGGGTGGACACCGCCGGGATCGCGACTCCTCCGTGCCAGCCGTAATGATCGTGAACGAGCAGGCAACCCGCACGGACAGCCGAACAGAAGCCCGCAACGCTAACAGCAACAAACCACGACACCGGGTGCAGGCTCAGCAGAAACAGAAGTTCTACGAGTCCGAGTCTGAAGAGGATTATGAGCCCTCACCTGCGCGGCGGGGTAGCTCGCGCCGACGACGCCGAGAGCGCGAGCATGTGCGCGAGCATTCGCACGACTCTGGCAAGATCTCGGCGAATGTCAATGTTACTGCCGGGGAGGTGCGAGTACCTTTTCCTCCCCCGGAGGTACGGGCACCTTCGCCTTTCCACCGTGACTATGAGCTTGCTATGGGGCAGCGCATGCTGGAGCGCAGTGATGTACGACAGGATCTGGAGATCTGGAAGCAGCAGCAGGAAATTGAGAGGTTGGAGCGCCATCTGGAGAAACATCGTGAGCAGCAACGTGAGCAGCAACGCGAACCGCATCGTGAGAAGGGTGAGCCTGCGCGGGATGCCCGTGAGGTTAGCCGTGAGGTCAGAGTGCTGCGAGAAGAAGAGGCGTGGTATGAGGATGAAATTAGTGAACGGTTGCGCCGGCTGGAGCGGTATGAGCGCAAGCAGAAGGAGGAGGAGGAGATGCGCAAGGCCGAGAAGGCGTGGCGGCTGAAGAAGCTCGAAGATGCAGAGAAGGATGCTGCTGAGAAGGAGGAGGTGCGAGAGAGGTTAAGGAAGGAGAAGCTGGAGGAGATTGCTCGGCAGCAGGAAGAGGAGGAAGAGAGGGAGAAGATCAAGAAGGAGATCATTGAGGAAGAGCGCCGAAAGGCCTTTGAGGCCGAGGAGAAGAGGAGAAAGGAGATGATGATCAAGGCTGCTGCTGTTGAAGAGTGGAAGCTCGAGCAGGAGCGTATTAAAAAGCGAGAGGCAGAGGAGGCTGCGAAGAGAGATCGTGATTTCCGAGAGAGACTGCGTCTTGATCTTGGCTATGACGAGGAGGAGATCGCGCACATCCTCAGCAAGAGGAAGCGGGATCAAGAAAAGAAGGAGAAGGAAGAAAAAGAAGAGAAAGAGAAGGAAGAAAAGGAGAAGAAGAAGAAGGAGAAGGAGGAGAAGGAGGAGAAGAAAAAGGAGAAAGAGGAAAAGGAGATTGAGGAGCGTAGGACGACCTGGATCAAGGTATGTTAACAATCTTTGCCTATAACCATATACTTATTGATACTGACTTCGTTTCTAGGTTCATCGCAAGCATCTGCTCCCAGAAACCTTGCTTGCCTATAACCTTCCTTGGGACTGGGACGAGGTAAGCAGACTAGTATGAACAAAACCGTGGTTCTTGTGCTAACTCGATCCAGACTGATAGCAACTACATTATCATCAAGCGATGGGTCACCGAGGACTTCCAGGAAGAGCTCTTCGCACACACCAAGCGGATCCGCGAGGGCAAAGTCATCACCCAGACATCTGAATCGCTGACCGAGCTTAAGGTCAACGACCGGCACAAAGACAGGATGTACCTTGTTCGCAAGAAGACCCCACAGCACCGCTTGCGCATCTTCGCCTCATAAAGCCTTTTCCGCCATCTGCACTATTCATTGAAGGTTGTGCGGGCACGTCTTTGAATTATTCTTTTTTCTCTATTCGCAGGTCTTTCGTTATATCGGTTGTCGATGTTATGCTTTATGTCTTGCTTGCACTATTATGAGACCCGGACCGAATGCTTTGAAATTCTTTTGAGTTGAGATTCCTATTGTTTGAAGCTGGCTGTTGCTCAGGAAGTGGCACAGTAACGAGACACGAGTTCCATGTTCATGACCCTTTTTGGTTTCTGTTTTGTGCCATGTCAATCTCATATTCTACCCAGCCATCTCCCAAGTTTATATCCCATTTTTTGACAGAATCTCTGCAGGTGCGCAGTTCCTGATTTGAAGCAACCGTATAAGATCCATAGGCTTATGTCATATGCAACGCGTGCTGCTTAGGGTATAGTGCATACCTGCAGCTCGAAGATTCAAACACCCTCAACGTAATAATACAAGAGAATAGAATAACCAAATGATCTCAGGTGCTCAAGGCAACCTGGTGATTTGTTTCCCATCGCTTCTCCGCACGGAGAATGAGCTCCTCGTACACTGTCCACGCCAGCGCCGAGCTGAGCGCCTTCCGCGTCATACGAAGACCCAACCCACCAAAAAGACTGCGCATGCCTTCGTCCTTCACCATAAGTCGCACAGCACGCAGCATATTACCATACTTGGCCGGCATGAGCTGCAGTCGGGTTTTCACAGCATCAAAAGGGTTGGTAATAGCGGTGGCCATACCAGCAGCCAATGCTCCAGATGCGAAATGAATCCCCGAAGACGATGCAGCCTGCGGTGTACCGTCGCTGTTGTTATTGGGCCCCCGGGCAGCCATGGAGCCAAGCTGCCGTTTCAGCTGCTCATATATAAGCACGTAGAGACCTGCGTACGGGGCGTCCCGCGCTGCCGTGGCACCGAAGCCAGCGAATAAACCACGGAAGCCTTCTGTTCGTAGAATATCACGGCTAGCGCCTAGAATGCTGCGGTAGGCGTATAAGTCGGACTCGTAGCGAACTTTGATGACTGTGACGGGCATCATGACGAAACCTGCTGCGACGCGGGCAACGGCTCCTGTGGCGAGATTGGCGGTATTGGAGAGTTTGGGTAGGGCAGATGAGGATTGAGTGACGGTTTTGCTTGCGAGAAGGGGAGTGTTGGCTTGGGCGATGGCTTGACGGAGGGAGTTTAGGCTGGTGAAGTAGAGGGCTGAACCGACACCGGTGCGGAGTGCTGAGGGGAGTGTACCGCGCCATAGTCCCCGAACTGGATTTGGAGAGGAGAGAATGCCCTTTAGGGTTGGGAGGAGGGATTGTTGGGATTGTTGTACTCGGGTTTTGAGAAGATCGGCAGGTTGGAGGAGAATGGAGGATGTGAGGCCAGAGCAAAGACCGGCTGAAAAGTGGAAGATCGTTTTAGAAGCTAGATGAATCGTGTCGGTTAGCTTGAAGTTCTTGTGTATGTGAAGGGATTATTTTCAAGTATAAGTACAATTTGAAGTGCCCGTCTTCACCTGCGTCTTCACCTGCGGCGCGACGTACGTGCCATTGTTAGACATGGCGCCGGTACCCGAAGCGCGCCAATTAAGCAGTGTCTTCAGGTAGATTCAGGGGCTTGTAGGAGAATGATTCGATACCTGATCGAATCTTGGGCGAGTCGCGAGATCAGCGAGTGTATAGCAGGGTTTGAAGTCACCGCATGCAGAGGGAAAATCAACGGGGGGAAAAAGACGGGATCGGGAATCAAAATATGGAAGGAGGCCGGGCATTCCAATCAAGCCCAAATTCAGAATTAGAAAAGGCTCAAGGTCAATAATCCTTATAGGCGACAATCGCAAAGGATTGTACCGATGTTGAAGTGATACAAAATAATAGCAAGTGAAGTCATCGGATCCGCGGTCAGAGCCTCGGTATCGATAAGCACTCGGGATGCATCACTGATCAGCACCAATAACGGTGCATTCAAATTTCAGCCTCAAGTCTTCATTTACCACATGACCTTTGTTGACAGATATCCTCCATATCAATTTTGAATTCATTTACTTAGCTTGCGGTATTTATCATAATAAACAAGACCCATAACATCGCCGTTTTCTGCAAACGGACCAGACCGGCAACTCGCGGAGTCCAATGGTAACCAATCAAATCCAAACATTCCAATCGCTGGAGGAATCGACGTCATGTGCAGGTCTTAGACTTGCGGCGTTTTCATTTTTCGTCTTCTTTAGAATTCTTACTTCAATACCAATACCACAAACATGCAGTGGCTTCCCTCTGTTCCGTACCCGCCCTCCAAAGCTGGGTTCTGGAGTCCCGTCACCTCTACTCTCAACTGGTGCGAAGAGGTATGTATGAACCCGTTGATGGCCCCACCAAACCCCAGGCTTCAAGAGCCTAACGTAATGAATTACCTAGGACTACTATGCCACTATATACTCCGCCGAAATAGTCAACACCTTGACGAACTTGCTTTTTATGTGGTTGGGCGTTAAGGGCATTATCAGCTGCCTGCGCAATCAACATGACCAGATCTTCCTGGTGGCTTTGTTAGGCTACCTGGTGGTGGGAACTGGCAGTTTTCTTTTTCATTCAACCCTGAAATGCAAGTATCTCCGCGAGGATACAGGTTCATCGCTGATCCTGTTGACTATTGATTACGTAGTTGTCAAGCTCAAGCTAACCGTTGGCGCTACACACAGACCCCATGCAACTAGTTGATGAGCTTTCCATGATCTACACAACCTGCCTGATGGCCTACGCTAGCTTTTCCTATACTCGCTCGCTAGGCGTGCGAATTGTATTAGGTGCTTCATTAGCATTCCTCTCCGTCTTCATCACCCTCTACTACCACTACCTCCAGGATCCTGTCTTCCACCAAAATGCCTACGCTCTTCTGACAGCCGTCGTCGTCTTTCGCAGCATGTACACAATGGAGACGACTCTGCGACCCCGGTGGCGCAAGTCTCGCGAAGAAGATCGGCTGGAACGGCAGAAGCAGGGGCTTCCGGTACCTACCAAGGAGCGTCAGCACTATGAGAACGTGCGGGACACGAAAACTCTCAAGACAATGTGGTTCATGGTGGTGTACGGGCTGAGTATGTTTCTCGGAGGGTTTGCAATCTGGAACCTAGATAACCAATTCTGCTCCAACATTCGCCGGTGGAGGCGGGTAGTGGGTCTGCCGTGGGGGATTTTCTTGGAGGGACATGGGTGGTGGTATGCGTTTTCTCCTTTTAATCCTTGATTTTGCAATTCTATGATTGCTTGGATTTACTTTTCTCGGCATGATTTGACAATGCTAACTTATACTTCAGGCATATCATGACCGGCCTCGGAGCATACCTGTACATCGTCTGGGGCATCTGGTTACGACATTGTCTGAACGGAAATCAGGAAGACTACCATCTGCGCTGGGCGCACTTCTGGCACATCCCCGAGGTTATCCGCACGACTCCTATATCGGAGAATAGCGTCGCCCGAGACAAGAAATCCACCTAGAGTCTACTAAATCGGTCAACACTGTCTTGTTTCAACCTGACCCAGCAATAGCCCCCCGTCTTATTGCCATCTTTTCAATGCGAATGGCAACTTCGTAATGAAATCGGAGCAAATCGAGCTTTGGATGCAGCGTAAAAAAGGATTGACACATTTTCCCCACTGGGATTCCTTACCACCCACGCTTGAGCGGTGGATGAAACCCTTTCCTTCTCATTGTTGCACATGTCTCGTCCAGGGGGGAACGGAAATTAGCTGACAGTATATATGTTTTCTTTTTCTTGTCGGCGCATTACTAGGTGTCACTGACTTGCGAGAGAAATTTATCACGCAGGATTGCTATAGATAGAAGTTAGGCTTGTATTACCTTTGCCGGTGGTGTTTTATCCTTGTGTACCAGCTTCTCAGTTACCCATTCCCAGATGTCGCTATGAGATATTCAATAGAAAAACCCAAACATTCTATCTGGATTCTATTCTTATTGTAATTTGTTGAGTCTAGAATTCAAAAAGACCGAGTGAAAATGCAGGCTCCACCTTTGCACGACATCTTTTTTTCCCAGATTGTTTTTGGCAATTTAAAACTTGAATGACTGTATAGCATGTAACTAGACAGTAAAAACATTGAAGAAGATACAGAGAGCAGAGTATGTGACGACATCTGGAGTAGCTAGAAATGTACCATTGGTCGCTTCTTCCGTTTATAGATCCGTTCTTTGATGCGCTCCTTCCCCAAATCTAATCTGAGTGAGTTCCAGTCTTTCAATTCTCTAATACCATGAATGTACTCTCCTCTGTTCAACCATTCCTTTGGCTTCTCTGAAATCGAAGTTATCCAACACGATGTATGCGTGCTTTATATCTCCGTCTTTCCTGTCACGTGATCAGGCGTTCGGTTTCGCGCGCGGCGCGTGTCAATGTTGCGGTGAATCGCAACCCCACAACTACCATCTGCAGGAACTGTCATCCATAATGCAACCTGATGGGGAGCCCCAGCTCTTCGAGCAGTGTCGTGTCTGTATTGTATGCACAGATCTGCTTCCTCTTGAGACCGCCGAGCAGGTATGTTTTCTAATTTACAATCACGCGCATCCCGAGAGACTCACCTGTCAAACCCAGTTAGCAGCAGTGATTGAGGAATACGGTGGCGAGCCGTCAATCCATGAATCGAGTCCGACAAGGGATGATACGACCGAGTCCACCCACATTGTATCCAACACAATAAACTTCGAGACATATGATCTCGCCTGCAAGGTCTTGATCCCCGTTGTGAAGCCATCATGGATACATACTTCTCTGTCGAAGCGCAAGCTTGCAAATCCGCGCCAACACAGCCCTGACCCACGCCTATTCTTGCATGATGTGGTTCTGACATGCGGCGACATCCCAGAGGGAGATAAACAGGCCATTGTTGGTGGAGTTACGGCCAAAGGCGGCCTGTATAGCCCGCGGGTTTCCGCTATGGTTACTCATCTGGTGGATTTGAATATGGATTCGGACAAGGCGCGTCTGATTCAAGCGAAGAAGCTACGCATCAAGATTGTTTTACCTCATTGGTGAGTTTTTCCATTGGCACGGTATTCAATGTGATTTCTGCTGACACAATCTAGGTTTGATGACTGTCTGAAACTTGGTCGACGGATTGACGAGCGCCCATACACACTACCGGACCCTGAGATTCTGCGTGCTAATCGCGATGATCCAATTCGAGGAACCATTAATAAGGGTCTGACTGGCGCATCGACGCCCGAGCCGTCTGTTTTGCCCACGCCCCAGAACATCCATGACCGCAGTGTATTTGATGGGAAGTGTATCATGCTATCTCCCGATCTAAGCATTGGCTCGCGCCTCCTGGAATCTATTGAGGCGGTCATCAAACAGGGGGGTGCGACGGTGACAGGAAATGTCAACCAAGCTGATTGGGTTATTTGTCGCTTCCGGGAAGGCTTTGTCTATCGGACAGCCTCACGATTGGACAAGGAAGTGGGCAATCTTGCATGGCTTTACTCTCTCATGACTTTCAACGAATACACTCGGCCGCTGAGCCGAATGCTTCATTATCCCGTTTCTCGCACACCGATCCCTGGGTTTGAAGGGCTCAAAATCAGTCTTTCCAACTATGTTGGTGAGGCCAGAATTTATCTTGAGAACTTGATCGCTGCAGCAGGTGCCGAGTGTACGAAAACATTAAAGCAGGAGAATACTCACTTGATCACTGCCCATGGAACGAGTGAGAAGTGCAGCGCTGCAAGGGAATGGGGCTTACAGGTGGTCAACCATCTTTGGCTGGAGGACAGCTACGCCAAGTGGAAACAGCAGCCCGTCTCTGACCCGCGCTACAACTATTTCCCTTCACGCACCAACCTGGGTGACGTTGCGGGTCAGAGGATGCTGGAGCGCGATGTTCTCGAGAAAAACTTTTTCTCAACTGAGGACACCGAGCCATCGAATTCTCAACCCGCAATGCAAAATAACGACAATGCTTTGAAAATAGAGCCACATGCTGATAAAAATCAGACAGGCGGCGAGAAGGCGTCCGGGCAGAATGATACCCCAAAGGCTGACAGGAAGATCCGTAAGCCTTCAGAAAAGATACAGACCCCTGCTCGGTCTCGACTTCTCCCTGATGGCAAAGAAAATGAGACCCCATCGACGGGCAGCAGTCGCAAATCGAAAGAGGCCGCGATCGCTCATCTCCATGAGCTGGCCCCTGATATTGCTCTTTACGAAAAAGAGAAGAAGCGCGTCGGTGGCGTCATTCGCGGTGGCAGACGGAAGTCAGATGAAGATCGTGTGCGTGAAAATCCCAAAAAGCGCCGCTCAGTCGAACCAGAAGGGAACAGCGACACTGAGCAAACAAACGAGGCCAAGAGGGCCAAGAAATCTCGGCCTGCTATATCAATGCACTTGCTTATTACTGGCTACCAAAATTGGGTCGGTAAAGGCAACGAGAAGAAGGAAGATGCAGATAAGGTATGTTTATTCCAACTTTCTATATACAAAGAAACTGTGTTCATTTTGCATTAGCGACAACTTAGAGAACTGGGTATCATGGTGGTTCAGGATGCCCGGCGATGCACCCATATGGCGGCGCCGTCGATTCTGCGTACCACCAAGTTTGTAAATGCATTGGCATATGCGCCCGTTATTGTCAATACCGAATTTGTCACCACATGCCTTAAGGAGAACAAGCTGCTCGACCCGGCAGAGTTCAAGTTGATTGACAAGATGGCCGAAAGCAAGTACCGATTCTCTTTGGCCAAAGCCACAGAAAACGCCAAGACGAATAAGAACAAGCTTCTGCGAGGTTTCCGAATTTACTGTATGGAGGACATCCGTGGTGGATTTGAAGCATTTAAGTCCATTGTCGACGTGAATGGCGGAGAGTGCATGCTCTTCCGTGGCCGACTTGCACTAACGAACCCGCCACGACGGGAGGAAAGCGACGATGAAGACAGCGAGATGGAGACCGATGATCCTGGGCGACACGACGTGTTCCTTCTCAGCAGTGCCGAGTCCAAGCATGCTCGTCTCTGGCCCCGATTCCGCCAAGTGGCTGGAGATATCAAGCGGGCCCCACGGATTGTCCGAGTGGACTGGCTGCTCGATATGGCCATGTCGCAGGAGTTGAAGGGCCCCGAGGCGTACGAGCTGACGGAGGACATGATTGGCAACGAAGAAGAGTAGACTTGGATTGCTGCTCTGTATCCGCTTATCCCGGAGTTCAGCCTTTTGTAGTCACAGATGTCATGTATAATATGTTTAGCGCATTGGCGAAGGATTAGCCTGCACACATGGGAATATCCGGGCGTTGCATCACGAATAGCCACGTCTTTTAGAAAAACTTGACACCTTCTTGTCCCTCGCTCCCAAAGACCTGCGCCTTGCCGCGCTTAGACAGGATGCTCAGTGTCTTCAGCATAACATCATTATCCATGCCATGGAATTCTGTATAGAGGTCTTAGTATTACCGATCATCAAAGTAGTCCTGCTGAATCTCACCTTGTGTTCCTGTCGCCTCCCCCTGTACAAGCTCATAAACTGTCAGGACTGCCCCGCGCTGCCCTGTCCCCTCCACCCAATCCACAAGTATATCCGCCCACTCCTCTGGCCTCCGCCACCAAATCCATGCCACAGACTTGGGCTGATTTCCTGTGGAAGAATCAATCCACTCTGCGCGCTGTCCCCCGCCACCCTCCTCCTCGCTCTTCACCATCCAGTCTATGACCGCACGAACTTCCCGGATATCTAGACGTTTGCGCAGCGCCGCGTTGTGAAAAAGAGGACTATCGATTGCTTCAACCAGGCTAAGTCGATATAATCTGTGGTGTCGGCACCAAGACTGGATCAACGACGACCATTTCTCGAGCTGGGCTTGGCGAGTGTTGGTATTCGGTTGCGGGGTGAAGAAGGGGGGGAAGTTATAGGTTTGAGGGAAAGAGAAAGCTCCGGGCGTTACTGTGGTCATTTTGAAATGCGTATGCTGTCTAATCTAGATGCAAAAGAACAGAGAATGAGAAAGAAGTAGTAAAGGAAGTAGCGAAGAAGTAGAGCTGTCAAGAGGTTTCAGATTGAGCTTATGTGAGAGAGCCAATCGGAGTGGATAGTGGGGCAAAACCTCCCGCAAATTATTCTCCAATCGATCTTGAACCTTTACACAATACACAAGAGCTGAATAGTGTTCGCTTTACACCATGGCTCCCCCTTCTTTAAACAAGAAACAGAAGCGCGAAGAATACCGCCGCAAACTCGGCGAGCAAACAGCTACCGATGGCGCAGTCCAGATGCCCCAGAAGAAATTCTTCCGGCAGCGCGCGCATGCGAATGTCTTTTCAGACCACAATCTTCAATAGTATGTGTTTGCTCTACTGCACTATACAAATAAACGCATGGGACATTTAAAGGCCCAATCTTGGACCACTACCTGCCACCGTCCATACCAATAGCAAATGGAACGACGACGAGCTAACCCATCTTCAATTCAGTCCCCGAACTCCCGCCCACATGGACTGGTCCCCCCACTACCCAGCATACATAGACCAAGACCCCTCAAACACAAACCTTGCCGGCGCACGCAAGCTTCTCAAGGATGTCGAAGTCGTCGACATCGGCTGCGGATTCGGCGGTCTCCTCGTCGGTCTCGCCCCCCTCCTCCCAGAAACATTAATACTGGGTATGGAAATCCGGACTTCGGTCTCGGATTATGTCCGCTCGCGCGTTCACGCTCTACGTCTCCGTCAACAGCAATTGAAAGCGGGGGTATCCCAGGAAAATACACCACAGCAATTAGAAGGAGAAACTGAAACACTCCCCGATGCCGATGCCGATGCCGATGTTCCTGCTACCGAAGACGAAGTCGGCACTACCAATGCTCTCGTTCCTGGAAACTATGAGAATATCTCCGGCATTCGCGCAAACACCATGAAATTCTTGCCTAACTTCTTCAAGCGCGGACAGCTTTCGAAGATCTTTATCTGTTTCCCTGATCCGCATTTTAAGGCAAGGAAGCACAAGGCGCGTATTATTTCCGAGAGTTTGAATGCCGAGTATGCGTATTTGTTGCGGCCTGGTGGGAAGCTGTATTCCATTACCGATGTGGAGGAGTATCATCATTGGATTCTGCGGCATTTTATCGTCCAGGAGGGTGAGGATGTTTCGGCTGGCTCATCAAAGTTTTTGTGGGAGCGTGTTGAAGGGGAGGAGCTTGAACAGGATCCGTGTGTTACGGTGATGTCTTGTGAGACTGAGGAGTCGAAGAAGGTTTCGAGAAATAAGGGGAATAAGTATGTGGCTGTTTTCAGGAGGAAGGAGAACCCTGACTGGCCTGCTTGAGTTGGGGTTTGTTGGACGTAATATGATGTTCCCAAAAAGTGATCAATTGGTTTAGTGGGTTGAAACCTTCAATGTCTATATCATGCATTGCCAATACCATGAACGACGCTAATAAAACAATGACAATCTGCTCATGCGAATGACCGAAACCCCGGAAATATAGAAAATAGAATCTGATCCAATGAAAACAAGAAAATGAACAGAATACTCGTTACCCGAAATCAAAATCAACAAGTCATCATGCAGTAACATCATAATAATAAATGAATCAGTTTCGGAGAAATGATTCAAGAATTTAACACATGCCTGGTGCCTTGAGACGAATGGCTTCACATCGTTCACAGATAGCTAGCTGTACAGGGCCACCGATAATACGACCCTTGGCTGTACGCTTCGGCTCGCCTTCACGGACAAAGAAGCGGCCTTCAGGACCGAAACCGTCTCCACACTCATGGCAAGTAAAGCAGCGTTCATGCCATTGCCCACCAATAGCGTTGACAACAACGTCATCGAGGACATGCTGCTTACAGCCTAGACAGCGGGCAGCAGTGCGGCGAGAGTGACAATTGAGACACCAGGCAAAGCCATCCCTCTCGACAAAGGGTGTTGTGGAATTGAAAGGCTGTAGAGAAAGAGGTTAGTAAAGTCATATGCTTGACAAGAAGTTATGGATCAAACCTACATCTCCACACTCAGCACAGAAAAAGTGACCAACATGCCATTCTGCACCACAAGCAACTACGACCTCGCCCTCAATTGGGGTCTTGCAGCTCTTGCAGCGGGGACTGTATAGCTCATGGAAATCCAGGTGGCAGTAGAATCGAGGCACACGATCTTCATCTGGTGAGCTTGCCAGACGTTCCTCTCGACTAGCGGAGGGCTCCTCATAGAACGCAACACACTCTAAATGGGTTTGGCAATGGAAGCAGACGAAACATTCCGGGTGGAATCGACAGCCTCCGGCTGTCACGATCTTTCCAGAAATACCGAGCGAACATGCCTCACAGCTCGCAGTTGGTACCCCAGATCGGCTGTACGGCGTGGTCCACCGACTCTGTGGTTGCAAAGGCTGTCTTCCCGAGGGCGTTGGGAGATCCCGACGGTTCGTTGGAGGCACTGGTCTCGATCTACTCTCTTGTTTGACTGACGAGCTATATTCCGAGATAGTTGGCTCCTTGATATCTGGGATGTTGATAACAGGAATGGGAGGTGCGGAGACTTCAATGCTGGGAGTGATCTCAATGCTTGGCGACACCTCGATAATAGGCAGTGGAGGTGGGGAAGAGCGGTTGGGCTTCGACTGTTCCGCTGGCTGCCACTTCGGATCAAAACTCACAATCGGTCTGCCGATTCGATCACTGACAGCAGAAGGCCGAGGAAGATTCTCGCTTCGGTCTTTAAGCTTCTTGCTGGTGGCGGCCCGGATATCATCGCTGCGGATCTCGATACCATCTTTTGTGGGGACCTCTTCCATGGTAGAGGGTTCGGGTGGTGGGGTCGGTTCGTTTCTTGTGTACCCAGCGTTCCGAGACTGAGTAGGTGGGTTCTTATGAATATCAAATTTGGAAATTTTGTCGCGAACTGATCCATTGCTGTTCCGATCCCTCAGCCAGGGAAGAGGCTTGGGTGTACGCGAAAATGCATTGCGAGGTTCATTCCGCAACGCCGACGAGTCAGACCTCGAGAAGAGAGGTCGGGGGTCGGCTGCTTCTTTAACAGGCTGGTTGGGTTCTTCATAAATATGGTCATTGGGGTTTTTGAATACCCCCTTGGAAGAGTCCCCGCTGACTGTTCGAATCTTGGTGACAGGCTCCGCTGGATCATCGGGAAGGGCGAAATTGACTTTAAGGTTCTTCTTCAGGCCCGCTCTAGATGACCGTCTCTTCGCTGAATCCATGGTAAGCTCCGGACTCGAGGGGCTACTCGAAGAGCCACTAGAGCCAATTGAATGCCTGTGTTTCTTAGGGGGGGAGACCGAGCTTCTTCGTGCGGGGCTTGAATCGCCCTTGCTAGAATCCGGATTGCGATATGGCGCGTAGGGGTTCTTGTTGGCCATTCCCGGGTTCTGATGCATCCATACCAGCTCTGTAGCTTCGTCCTGAGCTGCTTGATGTATACGCACGTCGTCATCCTCCAAGTCCAGTCCCTGCAGTGCATCACGTAGAGAACGCGCCTCTTCTTTTTCTTGGAGCCGATGGCCATTCTCGCGGTAAGAGGGGACTGGCGATGCAGCAATAGGCACAGAACGCGAGAAGACTTGCGAGGGGAAGACGTTCTTTCGCACGGAAACTGAACGTGGCTCTTGGGCTAAGGGACGGCCGATGGGACCACTCTGGGGGACATGGGAGGTTGATCGACGATGCGACAGCGCGCTACCAGCACGGGCTTGTTCTTCAACGGGTTCTTCAGAGGGTCGGTACATTGAGAAGGCGGAGGCGGCGCGTGGGGGTAGGTCTTCCTGGGGATTGGTTATGGATGTCGCTGCTTTCCCTGGGTATGGACGAGAACCGGTGGGACGAGCTGGACGATTTGTTCGGAGGTCTTTCAAGTAGTTTGCTGGAGAGGCGCATTAGCTTCTCCCTCTTTTCCTGAATCCCGCGAGCACTCTCCACGGGTCCCAAGGGAATTGAAGAAGCATGAGTCAGACCCAACTTACCGATCTGATCGCCATTCATGTAAGTTGGGCCGGGAGGAGAGGCCTTCCGCTGGCCAGTCTTGGTATTCTTGTGCATCATACTTGCTATCCTTATCCTTGCCCTTATCCGTTGGAGTCCGGTTGAAATCCAGCAATGTAGGGGAGGAACGACGTCAATCCGAGAGATATCTAAAAGCGGGTCGCGATCTGATCTCCGCTCTACCCAACTGCGGGCCCAAACAAACACCACCAGGGCAACCAATCTAATCAGTTATTGCCTATTTTGGCTAGGGCTTAGGGCTTTATCTGCGTTTATTGTTCCTTATCACCAAGACCCTGAACAGTAACATAAAGTATAATTCTACACATATCAATAGCAAAAGATATTCTCATTTGAATCAAGCAATTCATAAGTACAAACGTGGGAAACCACTCTCTCCCAACATTGAAGTAGATTCAATGAAATACTTCATACATCGTACCAAAGCCGAAGTTCCTACAATAGTGCCAACGTTGGAATTCCCTATACGTCTCCGTCCATATATTTTTCGTACTCCCTTTGGTATTGATGGCAGTCGCGATGGTATCTCTCATTATTCTTGTACTTTCACGGCGGGATGTTTGCGTTTGGCGTAGAAACTAAAGCACATCTTTAGGCGACAGTGAGAGAGGATGTGTTCCCAGGTAGATGATCAGATTTGAAAAAGGAGATGATTGGAATCATGACTCCAGATTTGATTGAATTGCGAACAATATTATTTATTGTTTCTGGTACCAGTCCACGAATGAGGTCTCCGAGGTTCTCTTAGATGGCTAAGCCAAGACACAAAACCAACATAGCCACTTACCTATTCTTGGCCTCCTTCGTGGATGACTAGGGTCCTGAATCTACTCCATGATGTTGTCCATTAACATACGCTTATGAGATCGCTCCGAGTACTATCATTGTGTACTCGTGCCTACCATGTCCGGGAGGTCTTGGATCCGGGGTAGGGGATACCCATTCTTGACCGTCACTTCGTTCAGTGCGCGGTAGTCGATACACATCCGCCACTTATCGTTAGGCTTCCAGACAAAGATACCTGGGAGACCCTAGGGGCTACTCGACAGCCGGATCAGGCCGAGGTCGAGCAGCTTCTCGATCTGGTTCAGCTGCTCATCCAGCTTTTCCTTCGGCATCGGATACGGGTTAAGATTGATAGGGGCAGCTGCTCCAGTGTCAATCTTATACTCTAACGGTCGTTCTAGGGGTAACCCTCTTGGAAAGCTCTTCCTAAAAATTTCCTTATACTTACTTCTCTAGCACCTCTTAGATACGGGGGTCGTTATGGTGACTCTGATGTTCTAACCACGAAATCTAAGATCTTTCATGATCTGTGATTCTCAAGGGACTTCCGTCGTTCGCAAGTATCCCTCGCAAATCAAATCCGATCGCTAGGCCATTGCCCTCCTCCTCTGCCTCACGAAAGCCAGGAGCATAGTCATCCACTAGATCGACTTCCTCACCCTGGTAGATGTCCACAATCGGCTTCCGCATATCGACTCTAAGCACCAGTTAGTTTATAAAAAGCCAAAACCGGGAGCAAGAAGACTCACGGCTCATCCTCTAATATAAACTTCGGATCCCTATTCTCATCAAGATCAGGATACCTTTTCTCAATATACTGCAACGCGAGCGGTATCGACCTCTGATTGCCAGGACCAATATCACGATAACATTCGGCATGTTCTGGCGACATAATTTGGGCCCGGTAGGCCGTTTTATAGATACCGTTCGTTTCGAACTGAGCCCAAAGCCCTAGTCCTGTCTCTAGGGTTCGGTCATCAATAATCAGCTTAGGATAAAAATCCCTGAAAAGCACCGTTCCATCAAGCGCCATATGCATATCGAGAAAATCGGGCCGGGCGACGCTTCGCTGGAGCTTGAAACTTTCGAGAATATCTTGGTTATCTTTCACGGGCAAAAACATCACAATTTCCTTCGCTAGAAATTCCTCGCCATCCTCCCACGGAAATAAACCTAGTATAGCCTTAGCCAGTAAGGCTTGTTTCTCTTCGTTCAATTCGGTAATACAAATGTAGACCATGCCGAAACCTTCAACGTCACATTCAATGAAAGACTCGTCCTATTTTCAGATTAAAATCAGAATGGGAAAAGCAGGGGATGTTTCGTACTTTAAGTTCGGGGCCTTCGAAAAGACTAGGCTCATCCTGTGATGCTCGAGAGTGATAACCCTATTGCGGGGTCAGTAGAAAACCAATTAAGCAAGTCACACATCTCGAAATCCTTGGTCTGCTGTCGCCCATTCCTCGATCAGATCTCGTTTCTGTTGATCTGCGGTGTCGCCGCCGACCCACCGCTCACGAACAAAATGCCTCCATGCACGAGTGGCGGCATCGAGATTGTCCCAATCGACATGTTCTTCGTGTTGGCGAATAAATGAGGGGATACCTTCAGGCCACTGGCTATGCGACCTTTTGAGGGACATATTTGAATGGCGTGGTGGGAGTTGTGAGGGTGAAAAGAGGTGACGGACGCCCAAGTTTGATGGATGCACCCAATTGACACTCTAAGGCCATGGGGACACGAAACGAATATTTCCAACCATCCATATCTGTTTTGTTCCCGCGTGCAATCTTGGAATCTGGAGTAATAGCATAGAGAAGACTGGAGCTCCTTTTGCGCGTTTCTCCGCACCAGTTCTTCGGCACGGCCCCACGACCCCACAGCAATTCTCCAAACACTGAAGTCAATGCTTCTTTAGAGTTCCTGGATACACTAGTGTCTATTGGTCTGAAGTCGCCGGAGAAGCCACCGATCCCCCAAGATCCCGGAAATGACTTCATATCCCGAGGTCCTTTTATAGGCCCACGCAAACGCCGAAATCGGCACTAAGTCCGACTTTCATCCTAATTGACTATTACGGACTAGACTGTCAGACCAAAAAGATGTGACTCGAGCACTTTTACGTTTTTCAAGCCGTTGTTTTCAAGAGGCTCATGTTGCGACGAAACCAGTCAGCCAACAGGTGTCGCCACTAGCAGAGTCCAAGAGGGCTTTCTTGGAAAGAACCATCCGGTTCCCTGAGGGTCATATATTCCTCGGAGTTTCGAGGACGGAATCCACTGGAGATTGGACATGGCAGACAATGTGCCTATCGATGTGATCCAGTCACATCAAGATGACCAGGACTCTGCAGCGAGCTCCAAACACGCTACCGAGATTCCTCAACCCCCTACCCCACAGCCTGATCCTGACGAGAAGTACAAGCATGATGTACCCCCCGATGGTGGCTATGGCTGGGTTTGTGTCGCATGTGTGTTCTGGATCAACGCCCATACTTGGGGAATCAACAGTGTGAGTGACATATTCCATGCAGGAATGGCCACATGTGCATGCAGCCGGAGAATTCAATGCTATTACAGTATAATCGCTAACAATTGTTCAAACCTTTAGAGCTACGGCGTCTTCCTCAGCTATTACCTCTCCCATAATGTATTCCCCAACACATCAGCTCTCTCCTACGCCTTCACCGGAGGTCTCAGTATCTCCTGCGCACTCCTCGTCGCCCCATTAGCAACATTTCTCATCCAGCTCTATGGCACCCGCCTCGTACTGAACATAGGCGTCTTCTTCGAGACCCTCTCCCTAGTCGGCTCCTCCTTCGCCACACAGAAATGGCACATCTTCCTCAGCCAAGGTGTCTGTTTCGGCTGGGGAATGGGATTCCTCTTCGTCGGCAGTGTCGGCATCGCACCACAATGGTTCCAGAAACGCCGCAGCGTCGCAATGGGCATTACAGCCGCTGGTTCAGGTCTTGGTGGACTTATCTACTCCCTTGCAGTTGGAGCAATCATTCCACGCTATGGACTAGGCTGGGCGTTTCGCGTTCTTGGCATTGTATCTTGTGTGGTGAATCTCGTCTGTGGAAACCTGCTTCGCGATCGCAATAAGCTTGTCGGGAGTCGGTTTACGGCTTTTCATTTCCCGCTGCTGCGTCGACCTGAGTTTGTCCTTTTTTTGGGGTGGGGCTTCTTCAGTATGCTGGGCTATGTGGCGCTGTTGTTCAGTTTGGCCAATTTCGCGCTTTCGGTGGGATTGACCTCCCACCAGGGGAGTGTTGTTTCGGCACTTTTGAACCTGGGACAGGGTCTTGGTCGTCCTTGTGTAGGCGTGTTCAGTGATAGATTGGGCCGAATCAACATCGCGACGTTTTTGACGTTCCTATGTGGGCTCTTCTGTCTTGTCATTTGGGTCTTCGCTGATAGTATGGGCGTGGTATGTTTCTTCGCTGTGCTTGTGGGAACTGTCTCCGGTACATACTGGGCTACTGTCTCGCCGGTGCTGGCGGAGATTATTGGGTTAAGAGATCTGCCGTCTGGTTTGAGTATTACGTGGCTGTGGCTTGTGGCGCCTTGTACTGTTTCGGAGGTGATTGCATTAGAGCTCCGGAGCCCTACTGCTGATGGCGGGACTTCGTATATTGATGTACAGATTTTCACGGGTTTCATGTACATAGCTGCTTCCATTTGTCTATGGCTTGTTCGTAGTTGGAAGGTTGGTGAGCTTGAGCATGCGGAGCAGAGGCGAGAGTCCGTTGCGCGACAGGGGTCTTTGACTGAGAATCCTGTGACTGTTTCGTCTGCCTCGGAGGCTGGCGCTGCGCCCTTATGGACTCCATTTAGCATGGCACGAAGGATGTTTACGCTCAAAAGGGTATAAATTGAAACTACAGAGCTGAGTAGAAAACGATTTTAGAATGATCAATTTTCGTAACAAGATAATCATTGTGGATTGTGAAATGATAGTATCCTAAGAAAGCGCTTCGACTCTATTTTTTATCCGACGCACCAGTAATAAGCACCCGGACTCGTCGCTTGCCCGCACCGCGGCCCTCTTCCTTAACCGAGCTGACATTAACATGAACTCTCTGGAAGAGCTCAACAAAGACACCGCGTTCCTTCTCTGGGTGGCCCTTCTCTCCCACACGAAGGGTGTACTCCTCAGGATCGAATTCAGTGCTGCGGTGTGCCGCAAGCTCTCGTCTCTCCTTCGCATCCCAGCCACTAGACTCGCCGGGCAGCACAAAGTCCTCCAATCGCACCACACCCTCGATACCGAACCGAGGAACAAAAACAACGACACCATTTTCGAAAACGCGCATGACGTAGCCCTCTTCATCAACACCCTTATCGGTGCCGTCAACGGCCATCTTCTCTCCACGCGCCTTGAGCGCCTGACCGACGTAGTACTCAATACTAGCACGGCCGGCGAACTGTGCGTTACGGTGGCGATAGTTGATATTGCGGCAGATATCCTCCAGCTTTCTGCGAGAGGCGATACCCTCCAGTCCGGCGTGACCATCTTCGCCTTCGTAACCGATGGCGGAAGCCAACTGTCGGTGGACGAGCAAATCAGCGTATCGACGGATGGGCGAGGTGAAGTGAGTGTAGATGGGCGAAGCAAGACCGTAATGGCGGAATTCAGACTCGGCGTGGGCTCCGGCACAGAAGTATTCGGCAGAAGTCATGCATCGAGTGGCCAAAATACGGACAAGAGTGTTAAAGAAGGGGTTCTCAGGGTCGACACAGCGGTCCAGTGAGTTGGCAAGGGCTCCTGAGCTGGAAACGTCTAGTTCCATGTTGCGTTTCTTCGAGAGCTGGTTGATAAGATCTTCAAAGTTTTGCGGCGGAGGAGTGGCGTGTCGTCGTAGTAGGGCGGTTTGAGAGAAGGAGTCATAAATCTTGGAGGCAACAGTGATATTGGCGAGAAGCATGAACTCTTCAACCAAGCTGTTGGTTGCAAGCATAGACTTAGTTTTGACATCCGCCAAAGGATCACCGACTTCGTCAGCATCGGCCTCGATGCGAACTTCGGGGGAAGCAAGGTTCAGGGCACCAGCATCGTAACGCTTCTGGCGGAGGATCTTGGAGAACTTCAGGAGATTCCGCATGCTCTCGGTCAATTCATCTTTTTGGGAGGGATCGTCAATGCGTAGCTGGGCTTGTTCGTAACTGAATGCTTCACGGGACCGAATGACAGACTTGGTGAAGTCCGAAGAGACGATCTCTGCATTCGGAGTGAGCTCCCAAATAACGGAGAAGGCGTAACGTTCAACATAGGGTTTGAGTGAGCACAAATCCGTTCCCAGAAGGTGTGGAAGCATGTCAATGCGCTTATCAACCAAGTACACAGTACTTCCGCGAACACTTGCTTCAAGGTCCATTGGGTTATCAGGCTTGACAAAGTGTGATACATCGGCGATATGGACACCAACTTCGAAGTTGCCATTTGGCAGAGCGCGAGCATGAAGAGCATCATCAATATCCTGGCAGCCTGGGGGATCTATACTGCAGATGAGCAGATCACGGAGATCACGTCGGCCATTCCAGCCCTTATCCTCTTTCGAGGCAGGCACAGTCCAGCCATGCCCCTCTGATGGCAAACAGTCCAAAACAGATTTGGGGAACGGCTTGTATTGCACATCGTACTCTAAAAGAAGAGCTTCTGTCTCCGCACCCTTGGTCTCGAGTTCTCCCAGTGAGCGGATAAAGTGACCCGATGGGTAGCGGGAATCACGGTCCCAGGCATCGATGGTCACAAGGATACGGTGGCCAACCAGATCTCCAGCCTGCCGAGTACGAAGCCGTATCTTGGGGACTTTCTTGTCCATGGGGAGAACGAACACATTCTGCTGCCGACGACCAGAGGCGGCCTGTGCGCCGGTAGAGTTGGAGTCCACATGTCCCACGTATTGGCGCCAATTGCGTTTGATCATACCGACAACCTTGGCAGTGGGTTGTGGCTTTCCTTCGGAGCTTTTTCCGTGGGCCTTCTTGACTTCCTCTTGAAGAACCTTGCGCTCACGGTCCGTCACAACGACTTCGGTGTCATCGGTATCAGGGTTATCATTCCGTGTCACTGCTTCTTCGTCTACAAGCTTTGTTGAAGGAGACTTCCACTGATCTTGGGGCAACACTTCAATCACAACAACATCGCCTGCGATCGCGCGGTTACTATTGTCACGTCCCAGGATAATGAGTGGTTTGTCAAAGGCCGGGACGTTGACAGAACCTTCCAAGTAGTTGTAAGGTGAAACATTGAACACTCCTTGGTGCAAGGTTCCTGCTCGGATACCAGTCTGGAGCTTCGACATGGAGTAGTATTCGGGGTAAAAGAGCTGCCCACGAGCCGAGCCCTTCGCATCTCGTGCTTCCCGAGCTTCACTGATCATATCCAACAGCTTATCTGAGTCCTCCAAGCCAGCAACGTAATCCGAAAGCGACAAAGCAGAGATATTTTCAGCTTTGGCTTTTCGAAGGTTTTCTTTGTCATCCGTAATAACCACGATTGCAGGCACTGACTTTTCTTTCTTGCCCTTCTTCGAGGATGTTCGGAGATGCTCGCCATACCAGCTTGCCACAGTTCGCACAGCTCGGTCGTTGCGGTCATTGATTGACTCGTCCGGTTCTCGGCGCACGTGGGTCTCCAGGCGGAATTCGTTGAAAAAAAGGTAGAATCGCTTCTCGTCGGTCTTGATCAGGGAGAGAAGACGGTTGTAGATAGGGAGCGATTGGTTTCGGAGCTCTTCAAGGACTGTTTGCAAAATGATCACATCGTAGAATGCGCCAGTATGCTCGAATAAATCCATTCCATTTAATAGCGCATTTGTATCGGGTACGAGATAGTGGCCGCGAGGAAACGCCTTCGTCCCGGCGGGACGTTCGGAGAGGATGAATGGCGCAACTGGAATGGGTTAGCAGTAGGCACCGGTCACCAGTCATCGGATCATTATATCATACTGTTTCCATTGGCATCTGCCGGAGCGATCGAAGGACATAGAGAGCAGAGCTTCGACGAGCAAGGAATGTCTTGCCGCAGATAGAGCTCGCGGACAATCTTTTGCACCTTTCCACTTTTTGTGGACCTCACAAAGACTTTGCTGGCGACATTGGAGGCTTGTGGGTTGGAGGAAAAGTCCCTCCTTAAGCTCTTCATTGCAACGGTGGAGAATAGCAGGTTGGGTTGGCCAAATCGAACTTGGAACAAAGTGAGAAAATGATCTTTGCGGGCGACGGTTATCGCAATCACGATAGCTGAGTAATCACCTGGTGGAGGTGGGCTTGATGTGAGCCATCTGGATTATTGCACCATAACACCTCATTTTTTCTTCAAAAACTGAATATACGATATAATGGTTCTTGCAGTGAGTAATGGAAATCTTCTTATCTGAATCCGAGTCACTAATTGTTCCTTTACACAAGGCCGTGGGACAGCTATGCGCGACAGCAAGCATAACATCTAATCTGGCTCAATGCCAAATTCTGGTTCAGAAGGCAGTAGCAGCAGGGGCCAAGGTAAGCAATAGTATCTCATAATTATTATTCTTGAGCTCCGCCGATGGCTAAGTTTGCATCAGGTATTGTTCCTGCCCGAAGCGTCGGACTATATAGCCTCGTCGGCAGATGAATCCCTTGCCCTCGCTAAGTCCTCAGACCAAGATGACTTCGTGTCAGCTCTTCAGAAGGCAGCCAGGTTGGAGAAAATACATATTAATGTTGGCATCCATGAAATCGCTTCTGAGCAAAGACTCAAGAACTCTTTGATTTGGATCAATGATAAGGGTGTGATCACCCAGAATTATCAGAAAGTCCACCTGTTTGATGTTGATATTAAAGGTGGTCCAGTCCTCAAAGAGAGCACGTAAGTCAGCCTACTCTATAGCAATTCTAAATGCAATCAATAATGCTAATCAATATCTGCAGGAACGTTCAACCGGGAAAACAGATTCTCCCACCATTTGAAACCCCTGTAGGGCGTGTCGGTCTAGCAATCTGTTTTGATGTGAGTATCAGTCATTTGTAGCACTTTTATCGGAAAGAAGTAGCTCATCAGACCACGATTTGACCAGTTGCGCTTTCCCGAGATCAGTCTTGCGTTGAGGCGCCAGAAAGCCGATATCATTACCTACCCATCAGCATTCACAGTGCCCACGGGAAAAGCTCACTGGGAGTCGCTGCTCCGTGCAAGAGCCATTGAGACCCAGTCTTATGTCATTGCCGCGGCACAGGCCGGGCCGCACAATGAGAAAAGACGAAGTTATGGCCACTCCATGATTGTCAACCCTTGGGGAGAAATAGTCGCGGAACTAGGGGATGATCACGATGAACCACAAATCGTTACGGCGGAGATTGACCTTGATTTGGTGGCAAAAATCAGGCAAGAGATGCCCCTTCTTCGGCGGACCGATCTCTATCCTGAGATCTAAAGTCGAAGGACTGGGGCCTGAACTAGCTGCCCACGCAATATCTACCAATGAGATATTGCCCATTTCCAAGGATGTGCATGCTAGTGTCATATTCCTGTCTCGTTAGGAGATTATATACGCTAGATTTCAGAATCGGAAATGCATCGGTCGAATAACCAACATCATTTTATTTTAGCCCGCCTGTATTGATGCGATGGAGGGGACGAAGATATAGAGTAAGAGAGCAGGTAAGCAGGCGAAAATGAAAATTGAACATGCGAAAAACCCCCATCTAACAAAAGGGTCGGAACATCATATCTGCCTTGGCAGGTGGTACAGGCGTCAACCGAAATAGTTGCTTTCCGATCTCTCTATGTACAGTGTACAACTTGGGCCCAAAAGCGAGCCGTTCATTTCTTGGGCTCCTCTAGGATACCCTCAGCCTCCAGTCGTCGACGAGCCTCCTCAAGAGCCCAGGTTTGTATGCTAAAAGAAGGAGTCAGCATTCGCGATTCGAATTTCAATCAGTGGCAAGATCAAGGACGCGGCTAAAGCTGACAGCCGCGGGAAAGTCAAAACAAGTAGTACATACGAGGTATCAGGCTTGAAAACATATGCGACACCGGCAACCAGGAAGCTACCGATAAATCCGTAGTACCAGATGTTCTCCCATCCCTCCTTCTCGTACTTGTGGCCGGGCTTCACACCGAACAGCCAGCCAGTCGGGGGGTCATAGTGGTCACCATGGTCGGCGCCACCACGGAGGTTGCTGCGAGTAGAGAAGCCTTGGACGTTTTGCGGCTTGCGGAGCAGGCAACGCGAGCGAAGGATATGCGACACCGGCCGGGCAGGCATCTTGAAAATGGGGGTGGATGTGAGGTGACTAGAAAGTCGATGGCGGTCCAGCGAGGGGTATTTCGAGATAGAGGGTAAGGCTAATTGTCGCCTTGTTCAATATGATAGCACAATCCTAATTGGTAGTATGGATTGACGAGGAAGGAAGGGGAGGGGTTCCGGCGGTGATGTTGAAGCCGCAAAAGGCCGATGGGAGCTGGTGGTCATCACGCTAACCCCTTTGGGGGATTTTACCTTGGCCGCCTTTTATGCCTTAATGCCTTGGTGCCTTAGTGCCTGGGTGCCTGAATGTCAATTCCATCTTTATGCCTTACAAATCAGGCGGGAACGACGCGCGACGCGTCCTTATCGTCCCAGCGCCATTAACCCCATCTTGTCAATAGGACTAAGCGCCGGGCCCTTTCGACTTCTTCATACCAGCCTATTGAGTACATGTTCTATCTTCCTTTGGGTATGTGCATCAAATTTGGCCTGATTGGACGTGTACTATGTTCCATTACTGACAATGTTATGTAGTTCGAAAGCTCCAGAATGTATTGCTACCCACTTTAAGAAGACGCATATGAGGCTAGATCGCCACCATGGCGTCAAACAAGAATTCATACCCGATCTCCTCGAATTCCCGCAGTAAATTGAATGCTTTTCGCTATCAAGACGACGTGGTCCCGGACACGACAACTTCGAAAGACGGGAGCAAAGAGGCCCATCGTAACAAGGAGAACCAAAGCTCATGGTTGAATGGCGTGGTGAAACCAATGCAGCCGTCGAACGATACAACAGAGCAGTCTGTGGCACAACATCCCGCGGTGGACGCTCCTGCGAAAGAGTCAAAACCAGTTAAAGATTGCCCGCAGACCCCCGGAAACCGAATACCTCTAGCGGATCTAATCAGCAATGCGGAAGACTCGTTCAACCCTGCGCCAGGCCCGGAAGTGACTCCTGTCGACCATGTCATTTGGCAGCATATACCAGCCAGCTCGAATCCGGATTCATCTTCCCAAACACCGGCGGGTCGGAGGAAGCGGCGCCATAGCTCTTCACCTCCAGGGTCCCCCTCGAAAAACAGTTCAACAAAAGCCCCGAAGGAGCCTCTTGATCTACAATCAATCCAAGCGCTCTTCAAGACTCCCCAACATGATCTGGCTACGGAGTTGTGGAATAATTATATGGACAAAAACATGGTCGAGAACTCGGAGGATCTTCCAGCACCTCGCCTTGCTAATCTCCTATCCTCCTCACCTCAAACACCGGGGTCGGGGCGAACAAGTCGAGATTCCTCAGGTTTGAGACGATCGATCAGTTGTGCTGCTGAATGGCCAACATCTCGTTCAAAGAGAAGACGAGTTGCCCGACAAGATTCCAACTCAGGCCGAGGAATCTTCTCACGCGCAAACAGCAATATCTTGGATTCGGGCAACGGGAAATCATCTAGGATCAACTTCCTTCTCGACAAAATTGAGAGAAGTCTTAAACCGGCGCCAACCGAGACGGGCCCGTCGAATTCGTCCCCGTTGCGACAACGTCACGACGCAGAAAGATGCCGTTCATCTTCTCCAAGTGTGGATAGAAAGGCTCACGGAGATAACTATGCAGGGTCAAGAAATTTTGCCGAGCCTGAAAACACCTCTGCCGTTAAACTAGTGCCTATTCTCGAAGGGGCTTCATCGGATTTTGGAGATGATGACCTCGATCAAGACTTGATGGACTTGGCCGACGCCTCGGAGGATCCATTTGTTGTGCCTCCGGCCAGTCGAATCAGTGCCAATGAATTTGGTTCTTTTGGATCTAGCTGGTCAAAGTTGGCCGCAGAGAAGCCATTCTCAAGCAATCTGAAGCAACCGTCGACTCAAGGACAAGATCCACAAATTGTGAGTAACATCATGAATAACGAAAAAAAACGGGATGATTCGGATGACTTTGATGACGATGATGATTACGGAGATTTCGAAGATATTCTCGCAGAATGTGATATGAACTCGGGAAGCATCGATCCAGTCAAATCGGCTATGGTGGAACCGCAGGCTGTGAGAGTCCTGCGACCATCCTCTATTGCTGCAATACCCCAAGGTCCAGCCAAGGCAGACACTGCGGCAATTGTTGTCGAGAATGCGTTTTCAGATGATGAATTCGACGATGATTTTGATCTGGATGCTATTGAACAAACCATGAAGCAGACAGGTACAGATGGAGCCTACGTTTGTCACTCTTAATGTGTTTATATCACTAGAACATATGCTAAAATAATTAAATTTAGAATCTCAAAGATCGCCAAGCTATCAAGCGTTATTCAATCGTGGAAGTCGCTGAAAGTACGTATATCAATTCAAAGGGGCATACACAGCCTGAGCAGGTTTGTCATCCCCACCAATCAGCGTCGGCAATGAACAAACCAGTTGACAATAAAACAGGTCCTCTCGGTTGAGGATGAAAAGACTCGAGCCCGCAAAGTTATTGTACTGCGTGAGACTTGGTTTGATACCCCCTGCAACAAAGATTCAACCCTTCATTTGGTTGGAGACTTCGACTCATCTGGCCTATGTATTGTGGACAATACAAACCATATGGTCATCCTTCACCCCGATCATCTTATCTCTGCTACAGTTGTGGCAGACTCAATCGACTGCCAGCGACGCGCTATCATTCAAGATCGCATCAAAGCATTTTCTCAACTTGAAGCACCCCAAGTCTTCGGAACTATCTTCCACGAAGTCTTCCAAGAGGCCTTGAAAGTCAATCAGTGGGACATGAAATCTCTCAGATCCTTGGTCGACGCCGTTCTTCAAAGACATTTAGAAGACCTGTACGCAATTCAAATGAGTGTACCAGAAGCCACTGAAAATGTGATGAGCAAGATTCCCACGGTGCAAGCATGGGCCGATATCTTCCTTCATGCCAAACCGCAGGTACGTGTACTTATCATGATGTGTATCCATGATGCTGACAGTATATCCTTAGGCCAACTCTATGGTTGAGGATCGTCACAATGCAAAACTCAATTTGAGCATACGCAAATTGCTCGAGGTAGAAGAGCACATCTGGTCCCCAATGTATGGACTCAAAGGAAATATCGACGCTACGGTGCAAGTTGTATGTCATGGTGAAGATGGCAAGAAGAATCTTGTCGTTCCGCTTGAACTCAAAACTGGGAAACGAGACACAAACCAAGGCCATAGGGCTCAAACAGCTCTCTATACCCTTCTTCTCTCGGATCGCTACGGTACGTCTTCAGCCCTGGAATAAAGTAGTATACACTGCTAACAATACTTTAGATGTTGATGTGTCCTTTGGTCTGCTGTATTATCTTGAGCTCAACAAGACCCTGTGTATTCGAGGTATCCGTCACGAACTACTTCAGATGGTCCAAGTTCGCAACCGCCTGGCTGTCTACATTCGTGAGAAATTGCAGCTTCCCCCGATGCTCAAGAGAGCCCGCATGTGCAATAGATGCTATGCGAAAACCCCTTGCCTCATATACCATAAGCTATTAGAGGGAGGTGATGGTGAAACAAGTGGCATGGGTGAAGATTTTGACGCAGTTACAGACCACTTGACCCAAAAAGATCGCGAGTTCTTTAACAAATGGGATGAGCTGCTAACCAAGGAGGAAGGAAACCTGGCTAAGTTTCGACGAGAGCTGTGGACCTTGCTAAGCAGTGAGCGCGAGTCCCTCGGTCGTTGTTTTGGAGACGTTGTTATTGATCCTCGTTCGGCATTTGAGGATAAAAACGGGTCCAGGATCAATCGCTATCGTTATACTTTAACCAAAAAGCAACCCTCTCCGGGGTTTACCTTTGCAGAGTCACAGGTCACTGTTGGCGAGCCAATTGTTGTTTCTGACGAGAAAGGACACTTCGCCCTTGCCAACGGGTACGTTCTTCAAATTAGCAGGCTACACATCACTGTGGGTGTGGATCGAAGCCTGCTCAACACCCGCGCACGAACCGCCGGCTTCCACCCCGTCACAAATCAGACCTTCACAGGCATCATGGAAGTTGAGAAGGATGGAGACGAAGTCCTCGAAAACCCTCTTGATGAGCAGGTGATTTACAGAATAGATAAAGACGAGTTCAGCAATGGCATGGCCAATATTCGCAACAATCTTGTCTGCATGATGGACAAAGACCTCGCTCAAGCAAAGCATCTAAGGCGGCTCATCATTGAAGGTGATCCTCCTGTGTTCAAGCCCACATCGTCGGCATATACCATATCAGACCCAGACAGCCTCAATGTTGATCAGAAACAAGCCATTGAGAAGGTGATGAGTGCCAAAGACTACGCCTTGATTCTTGGAATGCCGGGAACCGGCAAAACAACCACCATTGCGCACCTCATTCGGGCACTCGTCGCACAAGGCAAGAGTGTTTTACTGACATCTTACACTCATACTGCGGTGGACAACATCTTGCTCAAGATTCGCGATGACAACTTGCGTGTCCTTCGTCTCGGTGCAGCTACCAAGGTTCATCCAGAGGTGCAGGAATTTGCGGACCTAGCAGCCTTCCCCAAATCGACCATCGAGGAGCTCAAAGACTCTTACGAAAATTCGCAGATTGTAGCATCAACATGCCTAGGCGTCAATCATCAGCTTTTCAACCAGCGCATTTTTGACTATTGTATTGTCGACGAGGCCTCGCAAATTACGCTTCCTGTATGCATTGGTCCTATCCGCATGGCGAGGTGCTTTGTGCTTGTCGGTGACCACTACCAGCTTCCGCCGTTGGTCCAAAGCAAGGCTGCAGCGGAAGGCGGGCTTGATGTCAGTCTCTTCAAACTGTTGTCTGATTCGCAGCCCAATTCAGTCGTCAACCTGGAGCATCAATACCGCATGTGCGAGGAGATTATGCTACTCTCGAACACACTCATTTACTCTGGTCGCCTCAAGTGTGGCACGCCAGAAGTGGCGGCTCGCTCATTGGAAATCCCGAACATCTCCGCGCTCAAACAGTTTCACTCCGATAAATCTCATTCTTCCCAGCAAGAAGTCTGCGGGGGTCCAAACCCTGACCGCTGTTGGTTGAATGACTTGTTAGCGCCATCAGCAAAAGCACTCCTGGTCAACACCGATCCCCTTGGCCCTGTAGCTCTTGAGACTCTGCAAGGACAGCGAATAGTCAACTCCATGGAAGTTATTCTATGCACCCAGCTTGTCGAGGCATTGATTGCATGTGGCATACCAGCCCGAAAAATCGGCGTTATAACCTTCTACCGCAGCCAGCTCGCTCTCCTTCGCCATAGTCTTCGTCGCCACACCCCCGAGCTCGAAATGCACACCACCGATAAGTTCCAGGGTCGTGATAAGGAGATTGTTATTCTCAGCTGCGTCCGCAGTAACTCGGAAAACCACGTCGGTGAGCTAATGCGTGACTGGCGCCGCGTAAACGTTGCCTTCACTCGTGCTCGTACCAAGCTCCTTGTCATTGGCAGCAGATCTACTATGCGCGATGGTAACGAACTTCTTCGAAAGTATGTTCGTCTCGTCGAAAGCAAGAACTGGGTCTACAACCTGCCGCCAAACGCTGCCGAAAGTCACATTTTCAAGTCTGATACATTGAACTCCTCACAAATGCCTTTCGCGTCTCCCAATACGGGCAAGACCGCTTCAGCAAAAAAGCAAAGTCCTACTGTTAAAAACGAATCCCAGTCTCGTGAACCACTCAGCCCTCTTGGCTCGAGACATCCCGCTTCTGGTCTTCGAGTACCTGCAAAGAGAGGAGCGAAGCTGCTGAATGGCAACGCAGTCCTGGGCAAGAGACCTATTCTTCAGGACATTGTGAATGATGTTACTGGCTGATATGGGTTAGAACTTTGTTTTTGTTAGATATTTCCTGTTTATACATACCCTGTAGGTAGCTTTGTTTGGTGCGGTTGGATATCAGGTTCGTGGATGAATGTGTGTATACGTTTAGTTACTGTATGGGTCTTCAAATAAGAAACCAAATGCATTCAAAATCACAACCATCTATAAGGAACCTACACAGCAATAGAAACAATTTTGTCGCCAATAGCGTGATGCTCACTGGCAGCCCGCGCGAGCAAGATGACGTAGAATGTATTCAATCTCTTCGTGGTCATTGATGAGGTGGAATCCCAAGTTCGGGGTAGAGATACCCCTCATCCTCATCCTCATCCATGACATCGTCTTCTTCTTCTTCTTCTTCTTCTTCTTCTTCTTCTTCTTCTTCTTCTTCTTCTTCTTCTTCTCTTCTTCTTCTTCTTCTTCTTCTTCTTCTTCTTCTTCTTCTTCTTCCTCTTCTTCCTCCTCTTCCTCCTCCTCATCCTCATCAGAAAGTTCATCTTCAGCTTCATCCTTATCAGAAGGATCCTCGTCAGGAGAAAGCTTGCCAGGTGGAAAATCATTGATTGAAAACTCCCCAGTCAAATCATTCAAAGCCCAGCGGTAAAATCGAACATGCATCTTATGAAAAATGATGAATCAGCAATCCTTCCTGATGTTATCGTCTGTGGACACAAATCTGTCGAGTTCCAACAGAATAGCATGGCGGTCCTTCTTGTTGAGGGCATCACATAACAAGCTGACATGCACGAGGGTTTGGTTTGCAAGCTGGTAATCGGCAGGAAAACCGGGGTACCATCGGCGAACGGCAAAATCGACGATCTTAGTGTCACAATTGCTTCGCGGCTGAACTTCGATTGCATAATCGGAGCCTTGCGGGTAATAGTAGTTGAGGATACCCAGGACCATTGCATTCATCGTTTGCTTCCTGGGTTCCTCTTGGAAGTTATTCATCAAGCATGTTCATGAGTGGAACGTTGTAGTATTCGGCGGCCATGGTGATGATTGTTCTGGAAATTTTCAGATATTAATTTGAGATGTTTTTTTTCAGGTTCTAGGGTATGGTTACTTGGCGATACAGATAAGACATGGAAGGGATTAGTTGGAGATACTTATATTCACTCGGTAGAGAGAGCTAGGGCGATAAAAATCACTAAAAAATTTCTTGTATCTGGTTTCTAGTCATTCTTTGGACACATCAAAGACCCAAGTCAGACTGTAACGCTATTGATCATGAGACATGTCTAAGACGATCAAAGCCTTTCTCAAAAAATGACTCTGAAGAACAATCTCTATCTAAAGAAACATTATTTGAGTGTTGAAACATCATGTATCAGACTGAAACCCTCCGGGATCTTCTTCAGTCTCACTTGTAGTATTCCGCCACCCAAGCCTTAATCTGTGCAACTTCCGTGTCAATCACCTTCTGGACACCAGCATTCACTGCGCCGTTCTTCAGGATAAGATCCGAGCAGTGGAAACCACCGGGAATGATGTTGACAGGTGCAGAAGAGCGGGATGCAAGAGGACCTCCTGGGCGGTATTCTGACGAGACGGTAGCCTCTCTCCAGGGGTCATATTGTCTAAAATTTCATGTTAATATTATACAATCAAAACACTGAGAAATCCTTACCCGTTAGTCCAGGTCAACCTAGTTGTCTTGGTCAGGTCCCAGCCCTTGGTCATAGCGTTGACATCAGCTGCTGTCTTGCCCTCGGCGCTACCGTAGCTGTAGCCGTTAACGGTGGGGAAGAAGAGACCGCATTGTCTCTGCCAGTACTCTGCGTTAACGGTTCGGGAAACGATAGTCGCGACATCGGCTGGCGCACCACTGCGGGGATTAGACTTTGAGCTTAAATGTGGACCAGATAACTTACTCCTGCCAGTAGAAGAGCGGTTCGTTGCAAAGAAGCCAGTTCCATTGTCTGTTAATCTCGTTGCCCACGGTCAAATCTGTGAAAAGAGGACTGGAGGCATTGTAGCTGTCGTAACACGCAGTGCTGTTGCTATCAGTCCAGTAGCCATAGCTAGCGCACGCTAAGCCATACTCTTGTCAGTGCCGTTGGGGTTTTTGTGAGGATGTTTTGACTTACAGTCAGGGAAATAGACGGTCTTGAACCATTTGGCGTAACCTTGAAGCGCCTTCTTAAGGCCAACTCCACCTGATCCGGGTGTGGTGCTCGCTCCGGCTTCGACATTCTAAAGCCTCGTTAATATTGGGCTGTCCCTCCAGAATAGAACGTGATGCATACTTCAACATAGTCACAGAATTCAAAGAACTCGGAATAGCCGGTATAGAAACTGTTGGACTGCCATAGCCAGGGACCATTCTCCAACGCACTAATCACTGTGAGTTTCCATCTCGAGTTTGAAAGAAGTGAAATTTATGAGAAAATACCTGGCAAAATCATCGTAGTGTTCCAGATCACCAAGTCCGAACAGGGTCTGAAGTTCCTTCTGCTGCGCTTTTGTTCCATATTTGCTGACCTGGTCAACATAGTCTACCACTAGAGAGACGTCTCGGCTGCAGTTCTGGGGCATTCCTTCCTGAACAGGCTTGAAGTATTGCCACTAGACTCGAATTAGAATTTCTGAAGGTAACAAATGCCTTTGTCCAACTCACATAGTCATCAATTGCCTCAACTGGAGCACTGGATGAATGGTATGCCCAGAATGTACCTGGGGCAATCGACTCGGTCCACGCGGACAGAGCGCCACTGTATGATCCTCCGCTAAGAACCCAAGGCTAGAAATGACAGAGAGTAAGCTCAAGCTATTCCCAATCTTCGGGATTGATGCATGCATACAGCGTTTTGAGCATTGCTGCTACTATCGGTGTCAAAGGCCAGATCCACGTTCTTTGCAAAGTACGTCAAATCCGCAACACTGTTCTTCAAGGTCAAATATTGCAAGTTCTCAGTAGTCAACACGTCATATGGTGAAGATTCACCCCAATAACGGTCTATCGAGGAGAGTATGGTTAGCTTCATGTCAGATTCTTAGACGAAATGGCCATTTACGCTCAAGCAAAATCACAGCTCCTTCGATCTCTTGCGCATAAAGACCAGTAATTGTCTTGTTTGTCAGATAGCCGGTATAATCCGCAGCTTCTGCTTCACCTGGGGTGAAAAGTACCACCTAGCAATTACCCATAAGGGATTAGGATCTGATTCAGCGATACCATATCAAGTAGGGCAAGTCACTTACAGGCGATCCCGCACCATTCCACCATTCCGAGTTCCACCAGTAACGCTGCGAGAATGTTCCCAGGCTTGGGTTCTCATGGTCAATCAGCTGTTCGAATGTTGACTCCTGAATTGTCGCAGTTGACTCTGTTGTTGCTGGGGGTGGAGCGGGTCTTCGCATGCCAACCGCCTCTACAAAGGGCGCGGCGAGCAAAGACACCGCAATGCTAGGTAGAATATACATTTCAGCGATTGAGCAATGAGAAATCTCAAGTCATTTTTGAAGGGAACCCCGGGTAGCCTTCTTATAAAGGTACTGAGAGCGTGACCGCGCCTCTTCTGCAGCTAAAGGCATGGTGCCTGGTTTAGTCCACTCATTCCTGATAAACACGGGAAGACTAATGAAGTGGATACTCAGATAGCAATGATTTCTTCATAGGTATGGCGAAGCGAGACCTTCCCGGCGGAGTTCCTAGCGTGATATGCTACTGCATCTTGAGATCTAGATCTAGGAATTGTTTCCCCTTTTTGGTCTATATTTAACGTCACTGGAAATATTTTATATACACCACTACTTCAAGGTAAACAACTCAGCAGGTGGAAGATTGTACTTTGACTTGGTTCAAATGTTATGATTGAGATTGTTGCTACTGCGGGGAGCAAGGCTAACAGCCGAGCTATGCCACGCCCGTCGGGTGTCCGAAATTGCGTCTCGTGGGGCCATCGCCCAACTAAGATCCCTGACGGTGACTGGCCACAGATAAGTGCGATAAATGCTAGTGTCCTCGAGGGGCGAACAAACCATATCATTAAGGTCAGAAGGATTGAAAGTCAGGGGTTATCCAGGGGAATAAAATAGTTGAATAATCCCCCGCACTTGTCAAGAGACGCGGACGCCACACGGAATAGCCGGAGTACTCAGTATGCTATCAGCATAACGCCTTTTTTTATGCCGGTAATCAATATACGTATTTGCCTGCCTATCTTGGTCAAGTGTCTTTGACGTTATTATCATGACTGATTGTTGAATAATATGCCTACAACTATGAAACTTTTGAAGAACAGAGTGTGATGTGATACGTGAATTTTTATGCTCGCGTGGTTGGAGCAAGGCAGATCATACTGTGGCGTCACATTACCATTCTCAAGGCTGAGCCTTCTGCAATCTGATTCGCAGGTCGCAATATTGAACTAAGTCATCTGCATAGACAATCTAGGCAGGTGAAATTGTCCATCATGCTAACCACCATGAGACCATCCATGTATAGATCTCTCTTGCCTTCCATCAAAAAAAACATCATTCTGCACTTCTCTACGGAGATAAGTAAAGGTCAATGGGTCCACTAGAGGTGGCTCCACTGCAGTGGCCGAATGAAAAGCAAAAAGAATGGACTCGCGGGGAATCGAACCCCGGACCACTCCCATGCTAAGGGAGTATTATACCACTAAACCACAAGCCCATTTGATGAAAGCTGCCTCAGCTTTACGCTATATGACTGAGAATGTAAGTATCGGGGCATAAAATGTACAAAAATTCCAAATTACAATTGACAAGGACATGCACGGGAAATAAAACGCTTTCAAGTTTAATATAAAACTAAGCTCTCTGAACCTTTAGAAAATTGGTCTCAATGGACTACTGACGTGGAAGGCTTTGTTTCGTCGTTGACATGCTATGTATCATGTGGCCGAGCCTGGATATATATTGAAAGTCGGGATTGATTTTGAAGCCCTTGAACAACAAACTTTGGAACTTCCAAGGTTGAAATGCATGTGTGCAGTCATTTACTTCTAAATATTTGAAACCAACTCTCAAAATGACATCCGAATCCTTTAAAAATAGGTGACTACTACCTAGGTAATTCAAACTCCTATTGCATTAATTTGTGAGCCCGGTGTCCGCTTTTCAACTTGCGGACAACCTGTATTGTGGCATAGTAACTGCAAGGAGATGCAAGAAACCAGAATCCGCAATTGATGCTTGCCGTTACAATTGAAGCCGTGGGAATAACCTGGACCTCAACTCCCACGGAAACGTCAACTATTTCAATCCTCCATAGTAGAGAACTGTATCGAATCTGATCCCCCGTTTGTATCTGATCTGTTTTGAGTGATGATGCCATGGTTGGAGCAGCATCTTAAGAGATTATTTTATTCGAAGCAACTGGGATTGGAAATTGAAAGTTGAATAATAACTCATTGCGTTGCACAGGGTGATCTAGATTTAAGATTTCGTGAGAATTGTTGTCTCCCTCCCGGTTCTGCGGCACCGAAAAACAGACCGGAATGACACAATATACCATCCGAGGGTATTATGAGACCACAGTTCAACAACCCATGTATGGAAAGTCATTGCATTCCAAGCACATCACGTAATTGTCAGCATGGGTGATGTTCTCCTTAGAAAGCGGGGTGGTTGAAACCCATCAACTCTGCTCTGCAATTGATCTTTCAGGCACCATGGCAGCAACAAAAGAGCGAATTACAGCCAAAAATCTACACAAAGATACAGATAAAACCTCATTACCTATCTCATTCGAGCCCTTTGAGTTGCCCTCCTCGAACCAACGTGTCCTGGGGCCTCCCCATCCACCCAACACAGTGATCCCACTTGCCCTTCAACTGACACACAACAATGCCCCTAGTCTTGATGACATAGTCGAGACGATCAATAAGATACAACAGCAAGATGAGACGTTTACCAAACGACTTGCCCAGCATGGTACCCTCCTCTTCCGCGGTCTCCCCATCTACAACGCCGAAGATTTCAGCAAATTCGCCCACGCCTTCGGCTACAAGCCTCATGAAATCATCGGAATAGTTGTTGACAGGCCACTACTAGCACCGAATGTCTCTCCAGCTAACGAGGCACCGAAAGAGGTGCTTATCTACAACCACAACGAATCCCCACAAGTGCCACACGCACCCGAATACATTTTTTTCTATGGCCAACATGCTCCTAGAAAGGGTGGCGAGTCGCCCATCTCATCATCGCTGGAGATATTTAATCGCGCGCAGCGTGAAATCCCCGAGTTTGTTACCGAACTAGCAGAGAAAGGAATATTGAGTCGAGTGACATACAAGAATGAGAAGCAATATGAGGGCGGTTCCACGCTTCGTCAGGCATTTGGTAAAGAGATTGTCGAAGGAGATGATACAGAGACCAGACGAGCAAAGATTGAGGCTCAGATTGCGCGATATGGACGGGGGAAGCATACAACATGGGAGTGGACGGATGATAGCCTGGTTCTGACGCATCGGTTGCCCGGAATCAGAACTCAGCCTGGAACTAATCTGCCGACTCTTTTCACTGGATTGGCATCTTATTGGAAGAACAGCCAGGTGAATATTGGGGCTCGCAAGAATGTCACGCAACAGCTTTTTGGGGATGGGACTGTCATCCCAGAGAAGTACCTGGCCCATCTTGCCAAGATTACTGATGAGGTTCGGGTCTTGCATCGGTGGCAGGAGGGTGACGTGCTTCTTTTTGATAATGTTATCGCTCAGCATGGACGAGAACCTTGGGAAGGTGAGCAGACTGATCGAGTAGTTCTGGCAAGCTTGTTCGATGGACCGAGTGTCCCAGGGGCATATGGGTATGGTGACTGGGCTCAACTGGTTCAGGCATTAGATTGAACTTCTTCATCCTCTACATGTATACGGAGTATAATGTGGGGGTTAAACTTTCGAGATTTATTTAGATAGAGATGACTTCCCCACTTGATCCAGATATCGGCAATGAATTTATCCCTCAAGTTACCCCACGAGCATTTAAGCCGTTCTACCAAGCCGTTCCTACGCCTCGGCAAGAACTACATTTGTTTGACACATCACCCTTAACCTCAAAAATGTCCCCTCAGCTCCCAGAAGGATGCCATACCGTGGTTTACTCCACGGTCAATTACCATGAAGTCAAGCTGGACTATTACCTTCCCCCTACCACGGGCAACCTACCCGCCATGATCTACTATCACGGCGGCGGAATGTCCGCCGGTTCAAGACGGGGCCGTGGTCTTCCACAATGGATGTACGGTACGTGAGCCCAGCAATTGCCCCTCAATGCCTAGCTAACCATACCTCTAGACCACTGTCAAGAAAAGGGCTACATTTTCATCTCCGCAGACTATCGTCTCTGTCATCCAACCAATGCAATCGACCAGATCGATGACGCAAAAGCTCTGTTCAGCTATATCGCAGGACCAAAGTTCGCTAGCGAGCTCGCAGAGTCCATATCGCTTGACACAACCCGCATCGCTGTGACGGGTTTCTCGGCAGGTGCCTATTCTGCCCGCGCGGCTTGTCTTTACGCAACCCCCAAGCCCGCAGCCCTTCTTTCAGTCTACGGACTAGGTGGAAATATGCTGCTGGATCACTGGACGCGCGCACGGCCACCGACTTCACTTGCAAAAATGTTCGATCTGAGCACCATTCCCGCGTTGTTGGCAGATAAAACCGTCGTCAGTGACGATTTCGTTGAGGGGGGCATGTCGAAGCGGTTTGCGCTTACAATCGACTGGGAGATAAAGGGAACATTCCTGGATGGTGTTTTCCAGAGGCCTGGCTTGTGTAAGTTGCTAGATGCCGTGGAGTATGAGAAGCGGTTCGAGGCTGTTCCCGAGGACTTGAAGCCTGGTATGCTGGAGGAATTCGTTACGGGGGATTACCCGCCGTCGGTGTTTGTGCACGGGAAATCTGATGAGGTTGTTTCTCCTGATGAGAGTATTTATCACCATGATCAACTTACGAAGTTGGGAGTTCCATCGGAGCTGCATCTTGTGGAAAATGGGCCGCATGGGTTGGAAGGGATTGTTTTTATGAGGAAAATGGCTGGTGCGGAGATTCCTGGTGGAGACAAGGTGATTGCGGATTCGATGGAGGCTTATGAGAAAGCCTTGATCTTTATCGATGGGGTCTTCGCAAAACTCTAGTTACAATACATCAAAGTGCTACTGAAGTACCCACTAAGGGGTGGATACTTGAAGGCTAGACTAGCAATCATAGTTATATAGTAGTAGCTACTAGCTAGTCGCTGACTCTTCAATAAGAAGTCTTCAAGTAGAGATACTACAGTTCTAGTACTCATGCGAACAAAGTCCAACCATATGCCCATATTTGGTTTCGATTGGGGGCGCAGTCGGTTGAGGGGCCGGGAAAAGAAACACTCTGCTGAGCCGATCCACAGTGAGTATCTGCTTAACTTGCCGGCTTACTGAGAAATTGGATTGGAATTTGCCTACGAAGGTGCATCTGGTAGAAATTGGAAGTCATGAAGAATTATGGTTGCTGTGGAAGATGAACGACGTATTTCTACATCTTACCCCAGGTGCCAGCAGGAAGAGGTACATTGAAGACATTTAGGAGAAAATATCTAGATACGCCGACCAGTGTACTCATGCAAGGATGGTGAAACGAAAAGCCATATTAAACCCTTCTTTCCCAGGATCACCGCGCTAAAAGCAACGCATTGGACAAATAATTAGACCGAATAATGAAGGGTCACGCCAGTGGCATTCGGCATCGGGCTCAGAGATCCTCAGCAAATGCAACAAAACTTCTTATATACTATTCCGCGCTAAGAGCGAGACACGCATCGACGGCAAGGCCAACCCTAAACAACAGTCAATTGGGATATTCAATAACGGCTACCCATGAATTTGATTATAACTCACCTCCCTTCTTTCATCTTGACCACATCCTCGATGACATCGCGGTCTAAGTTTGGGAACATATTCGATAATGTCTCGACGACATTGTCATGCTCAGCTCGTTGAATACGTCGTGCCTGCGCTTCTTCTGCACTGGCCTGGCGAGCGGCTGCATCTTGGGCATCCAGAACACGACTCAAATTCTTTTTGGCGCTGTCATGGTGCGGGGGCGCACGTTCATCACCTGAACGTTTGCCTTCACTACTGGAACGCGGAGGTTGGTAGACATTTGGGCTGAGGCGAGGGGGTGCGGGCTGAGGTGTGGTGGCAGGGTGAGGAGAACGATCTTGTACAGAGCCACTGTCGGCATCATCTGAAAACATGCGGCCAATAGTAGAAAGGGGTTTTTGGATGGTACGTAAAAGGCCCGTAACGGGTGCCGAGACTTCTTCGTCGCTTGATTGGGAGGTGTCTTTGCGACTCGGCCCTGGTTGTGACTGCGAGGCACCTGGGGTAGTAGACCTATTCGGACTTTTCTCATCCAAAGGCTCTGTCTCGCGGTTCTGCTCCGCGATTGCAGAGACAGCAGCCTCGACATTACGTTCAAACTCTTCGTCGCTGACAGTAATGCTGGTGCGATCTAATGTTTCGATGAATTGGATAGCTCCAGACTGAACGTGAAAGTTAGTAGGCATAACTGAGGCTTGGCGTCGTTGAACTCACTAGAGAAGATAGATAATAACCCGCCTCTCCACCAAGCTTGTCCTGATTGCGGAATCGCAGGATGTATTGTATATTGGAGATAAGGTGGTCGGGATTTGCATGCAGTACCACATAGATCAGAAGTGGAACGAAAGAGTCCGCGGATGTGTCGGCAGTTTTGCTATTCCGCAAAAGACCAAATATCACCTTGCAGCAATTTAAGATGCAAATGACCTTATCACGAGGGGCACGGTAGCCATTCAGCTTCAGTAGCTCTAGAGACTTGTTAGAAACCAGCTACACAGTCAATGGGTGATTTGAAATACCTTGTTGTGCTAGGTTCAGGAAACGCCGCCCACCACCGCTTACAGGAGGGATATCCAAGTGCTCTTCCCTGACCCAGCTGTAGATGCGAATCTTCTGGGCCAGAATATCATCCCGTTCAATATCCTCCTGATGTTGACCTCTTCTCCATGGCCCATGGAGCCTTTCAATCTCTCTCCGCCGACTGCGGCTGGCACTTCGAGGAATCGTGGGAGGGGCCGGAATGGCCGGTGCAAATGTTTGAGAATACAGGCGGTTCATGACAAGCTTCTCCATTCCTTCCTTGGCATTATCAAACTCACTATCTGACACGTCTCTCCATACTTCGCAAAGAGCCATTTTATTCGTGATGAACGCCAGGAAATCGCTGATGATCTTGACCTGCTCGTGAACCATCCATTGTTTCTTTCCAAACTCTGTGAGAAAAGAGCGTAGAAACTTGGCCACGGGGTCGGCAGTGCGGTGTCGTAGTTGTTCTAGAAATCGATGAAAGTCGAATGGTTGATCTGGCTCGGGTTCTGGTAGAGGCATTGATGAGGTTGAAGATCGCCGGGTCAACATCGGGTCTTCAGGCCCAATCGATCGACGAGAAAATGTGGTTGTAGGCGACGGTACATGAGTACCTTGAGAAGAAGCAGCGAGGATACCAGATGGCGGTGACTGAATTTGATCCAGACTGGATTTACGAGGCGGGAAGTAGTTCTGGGTAGCGAACTCCAGGCGAGGCGACATAATTTGTTCTTGATCGGTGGTCCGCGCCGGATCCTGGAACTGGCCCATAATGCTCTGGATTTCTGGCTGAGAATAACTTTCATCTCGCGAGTCGTCTACCTTGGTAGATCGTTTTGATTCCGGGTCGCTATCTCCAGGCACTTCCGGAAGCTCCTTTTCGGAGCTTGGACTAGAGTTCTGTTCGCTCGTTGGCGGTGGTGCAGCCGAAGTTGACGCCGAGGCCAGATACATATCGTCTTTCTCGGGTGGTTGGGGTGCACGGGGTATGTGCTGCTCTGTAGATTGTTGGGCCGCCGTGTTCGTCCCGGATATCGATAGTTTATCCATCTGCCCCTCAAGCAGGTTTGGCTGCGACGGGGTGGACGATTGTTGCTGTGAGGCTATATCGGAATCTCGAGGAGCTTCATTCCCCTCAACACTGACCCGAGGCTCTGTCTCTGCGTCTGGATTCATCTTGTTTTGTGGTAGATTCTCGTTCGATGTATCATTCTGGGTCGTGGGGAGGTCGGCTGCTGACGTGGGGTTCACGACGGGTTCAAAGTTCTCTTGGGCAGCGTGGTCTTTGTTCTGCCTGGTTCCTAGGATAGGGGAGAATTCGGTGGCCGACATGAGCTATATCCAGCATGCAGGCCACGCAATATTTAGTCCAGGAGTTTCACGACTTGTCTTGAGGCTCGCATAGGGCGGATCGGCGTTGGGCTGACTAAGGCATGAAGTTGTGCCTTAGGCCTGAATAAATTAAATATCCCAAATACATATCCGCGTCGCGACCTTCCTTGTACGCCAATTGTCTCTCCCACTATGTGTGGGATTTTCTTTTCTTTATCGTCTGAAACCACACTACCAACCCAAGAGACACTTACTCTACTGGAGAAGCGAGGCCCCGACAGCTGCCAAACGCACACTGTGTACAAGGAGATCCCAACACCAGATGGACCCCACACTTTGCACCTCACCTTCATCTCGACTGTGCTCGCATTGCGAGGAGACCATGTTTACAAACAACCACTTATAGATCCAGCCACCAAGTCAGTGCTCTGCTGGAATGGGGAGGCTTGGAAGATCGCGGGGGAAAGAATATCGGGGAATGATACCGAGCACGTCTTGAACCTGTTTATACAGGCTGTGGCTGGCGATGATGATAGAAATGCCGCCGCTCATAGACTGGGTAAGGCGGTTGCAAGCATATCCGGACCATTTGCCTTTGTTTTCTACGACGCGACGAATTCACGACTCTTCTTTAGCAGAGACTGCCTCGGCCGAAGATCTCTTCTACAAGGATATGAAGAAAATGGGACCCTGAAGATATGCAGTTTGTGTGATGGGTCTTCCTCGGTTTGTTTTGAGGAAGTAGGATTTGATGGCGTTTACATGATTGATCTTGCAACGTATCGTGATTCGTCCGCGTCCAATGATCGATATAAGATTGAGACCCTGCCATGGAGCTCTGACTCCGTACCACCAGTAGGCCATATTGTTAGTCCTCTCTCCTTCCCTAAAGTGAGGCCGACCAGCAACTGACCTTTTCTCACAGAAGAATCCCATTCCGCCGATGAATATGGAGGTCCCATCACAGCAGCCACCTCCATTGACATTGGACACCGTCTTTGTCCAGGAGCTTGAATCAAAACTTCGCCAGTCTCTCGCATTGAGGATTGACGATGTGCCAGAGCCACCGGGTTATATCCAAGGGCAAAGCGCCAGAGTCGCTGTACTCTTTTCGGGTGGCCTGGATTGTACACTCCTTGCACGACTTTCTCATGACATTCTCCCGCTCGAGGAACCCGTCGACCTTTTGAACGTCGCTTTTGAGAACCCTCGAGTGGCAGCAGCAGCAGCAGCAGCAGCAGCATCTGCAAACCGACAGACTCTCTCCTCACCATCCCCCATCTCAACATATGAAGCTTGCCCCGACCGAATCACCGGCCGCTCGGCTTACAATGAGCTACAACAAACATGCCCTGGTCGCAAATGGCGTTTTATTGCCATCGATGTACCTTATACCGAAACTCTCGCACATCGAGACACCGTCAAACGTCTCATGAGACCACACAACACGGAGATGGACTTGTCCATCGCTTGTGCCCTATACTTTGCCTCAAGAGGTCAAGGCACATTTCATGACAGCCATGCAGAACAGAAGCCCCCAATTAACAATGACGCAAATACCTACACCAGTTTTGCGCGTGTTCTACTATCCGGTTTAGGCGCCGACGAACTATTTGCGGGTTATGGGCGACATGGCGTTGCATTTAACCGCAGTGGATTTGACGGACTTGTCTCCGAGATTCACTTGGATGTTAGCCGTCTTGGGCAAAGAAATTTGGGTCGTGATGACCGTATCCTTTCCCACTGGGGACGAGAGACCCGCTTCCCTTACCTGGACGAAGACTTTGTGGCATGGGTACTTCGTGCTCCAGTGTGGGTGAAATGTGGATTTGGCCTTGCTTCTCTAAGTGAAGATCACAATGCCAGTGGGTCAATAGTAGGTATTGATGCAGAGAAAATGGCCCTTCGGCTTGTGGCACTTCGGCTCGGGCTACGCAATGTCGCACGTGAGAAGAAGCGCGCCATTCAGTTTGGAGCTCGTACTGCTAAGATGGAGAAGGGCCGGACAAAAGGTACTGACGCTCTCAGTTGAATTATACCCACAATGAATCCCAAGGCTTCTATTCTGACCACTTTTCCCCCTTCCCCCTCCCCCTCCCCCTCCTCTCCCATCCCCTGAAATCCCAATCCCCTTTACCTCAGTTGATAAATTGATAAAACGATTGACCCCAGCGATGATGACAGTACATGGAATCAGATACTTCTGAAACCACATCTATCATCCCTTCGCTATCTTCGTTTCCTGTCCTGGATCTATTCCCGCTCTCCCACTTCGAGGACAGGCTATCTGCGCTCTTTATATCTTAATCTCAGCACCAGCAGTCTCTTCTGAGACGGCGCGGGGCTCGGGCTCGGGGTTAATAGGGATGTGGAATCCACCTCCTTGTGACGGGGGTGAGTGACAGGGATTGAGTGATGCGAATGGTATGAACACATAGATGCGGTTGATGAAGGCTTTTAAAGGCAAGTCTGAGCTGGGTTGTGGTCTCTCAATTCAAGGTAAATCTACGTAGTTGTATATCAATATGATCCTCGGTGCCGTCCTTTATGCTTCATAACTTCCCTCCTTTGATACTTCCCCATGGGCTATTTTAAAACGTTCCTACGCGTGGCAGTGATTAAAGCCCGACAAAAGTGGAGAATGGCAGATGGATCCACCACCGACATAGGTGGAAAGTCAAGCCACCAACCTTGAACATTGAATCTACCCGTCCAATATCTCAAAATTCAGCCATTCCAAGATCCTGGGTTACTGTTCTCAGGGGGCCTGGATTTACCTCGGAAGTGTATCCACATGGACTAAACTACCTTGCAGATGTCAACAACCAGCTGACAGCTGCCGCGTCTGCAGCTTTAGCCCATATTTTGGCCAAGCAGGACCCACCGACATGGGCTACGGGTCTTTGTCACTGCAATCTCAGTCTGTTATAGCCGATCTACGCTAAATTTCAACAGGAGTGGGTGGACAGGAGTGGGTGAACACCAATCTCGGCCAAATAAACAGGGTCTCGGCCTCAAAGTATCTTTCCCTGCTTCTCGCCCTTGACTTTCTTTTTTAGCTGAAATTTAGGTTGCCTTGCAATCTATTGAAGGCAAAACCTGCAGTGACCGTGAATCATTTGCCAAAGACAGGTGACGACACGAAGGAATTAAAGACATGGGTCCGAATCCTTCCACCTGCCATTTTTTGAAGACAAGTGGATGAAAAACTTGTATGGGAATCGATAGTGTTGTCGATCGAAGCAATGAATCTTCGGGCTTTTTCCTCTCTCTTACGATCGAGGGTATCCCAATCGGCGTCTCGGGGACCCGATCGAGTGGGCACTGTGGTACGATCCACGAATAAGAGATCATGAAGCGTGACAAATACTTGAGGCACCCCGGTCCCTACCGGCCGAACTCTAGTGAAGGCAACGATCGGCAGGGGCAGGCTGAGTCTCTACTCGAGCTAAAGCCAGCGACTGGCCCACGCCTGGTGGAGACTAGTTCCACTTCCCGCAGCCTGCTCGTGCCAGTCCTGCCTTAGATGCATATGATCGTGGGTATAAGGATCCGTCGTGGTCCCGGGTATTTGGAATGGATCTAACGCTCTCCAACTTCATCACTTTCCTTGAGCACTTTCTCTTCCCGTTGCTATGGGTTCAGAACTTGGTATTACCGCTAGCACAGCGGAGCTGATCGATCTCTCGCCAGTCAGTATCTGGTGGGCCACCTGGGCTTGTGTCTGGACGGTCACCGTCGTGTGCGGCGTAACCTATCTGATTCTCCATCGAAATGCCCCAACACTTCGTATCCGCGGCCTCGGTCTATCGCTTTCTGCTATCGGTCTTCTTCACTTATACTGGGCAGTCTGTCAGTTTGGAACGATGATCGGTGCGATCCTACCGGGAGACGCGCAGTACTGGATTATGGGGACTTTTCTTCCATTGGGTACGTCTGTCTCCAAGCCTTTTCAGAAATGTGATACTGACCTTCATCAGGTATTTCCCTGTTTCATGCATCAAACGCTCGCTTTCTTCACGTTGCCAAGCTCCAGAGGAAATACGCCCAATACGGCCACCGTCTATTTGAACCCACGCCCGAAAGAAATCCTAGGGGCCTGGTCAATCGTTTCTGTGCTCTTAGTTACAACGCCAGGGTTTTTGTCCTTGTTGGCATTGGCATGTTTATCCAAATCTTTCTCACGATCCTTATGTGGGTCATTTCCCGCAAGTGGCACAGCTCTTGGGGTATCCCCGGCACTGAAGTTCACGGTACGGTGATGGAACAAAAGACTGCTCAGGGCAGTGGATGGGAGTGGTGGCCCGGTGTGGCTTACCAGCTACTATGGGCTTGGATTATCGCCCCGATTGTTCTCTGGAAAGCTCGCAAGATCAATGACACCCAGGGGTGGCGAACGCAGACAATCTGCTGTGCTCTCGCCAGGTAAGTTTATTTTTGATACAACAAGAGCCAAATCAATCATTGACTTGTTTCTAGCCTCCATGCAACCCCATTGTGGTTGATTGGTCTCTATGTCCCCGCTATGGAACCAGTCAATGCCGTCTGGATTCCGCCTCAATGGTAAGTATTCTTACATCCATTCAAAAGTATAATGTTTTAACTTGATTACAGGATCTGCTTGTCTATCTGGTTCATGGAGATCTTCACCGTCTTCATCCCCTGCTACGAGGTCTTCCGATCCAAGACTCTCCGCAAGGAGACCCTCGACTCCATCGCACGATGGGAGCTCAAGGTCAAGTCCACTGGCTCGGAAGAAAAGTCCTTGAGCTCCGAGGCTACCATGGTCGAATCTTTTATGTCTGGATGGAAGTCCACCAACGAATCAGTCAACTCCAACGGATCCCGTGACAGTATTCTGACCATGCACGCCCTCGAGCACGTTCTTGAGCGCAACCCAGCTCCCCTGCAGGAGTTCTCCGCCCTCCGAGAATTCTCTGGTGAGAACATCGCTTTCCTCACCGGAGTCGCCGAGTGGAAGAACACGCTCCCCCAAATCATGAAGGATGGCCATTCCGAGGGCCCCTCCAAGGGAGCTATCCGCGAGTCCTTCAACCGCGCCCTGCACCTCTACGCAAAGTTTATCAGCGTCCGACATGCCGAGTTCCCACTCAACATCTCCTCGCAAGATCTCGCCCAACTTGACCAGATCTTCGAAAAGCCCACTAACATCCTTTACGGCGACGAGCGCGAGACAAACCCCGTCAGCCCCTTCGACAAATTTACTTTTGACCTCCCCTCGCCCGCTCTGACCGATTCATCTGAGAAGGGACTGAAGCCTTCCTCGGCTGAGATCCAGGACCGGGTTGAGTACTGGGGCCAGATTCCGGAGGGATTCAGCGCAGCTGTCTTCGACGATGCCGAGAAGAGCATCAAGTACCTTGTTCTCACCAATACATGGCCCAAGTTCATCAGAGACCGCCGGACTTCTATCGAGTCTCTCGAGACTTTGAAGCCTGGTATGGATGTCTAATTTGTTTTGAGCTACATGGAACTTGAATGCGAGTATGATCGGATTGCTTGAGTTGGGCGCGTGTACGTTTCACTTTTTGTCTTCGACAAAGGTCTCCTTCCTGGTTTATCTGGGAAGGACTGGACCTGTATATATGAATGAGCTTTTTTGATGCTACTTTGGATACCCCCCCTTCGCCACAGATACCTTCTTTTCCTAATTTATTTGTTTTTCATCTGCATGCACTTCATGACATAGTTTAGATTGTAGATCGTAGACACAAGCTCGAAATTGATTATCCAAGTCCCATCTGCATTCAGAGGCTGTACGTAAGTAGTGGGTCAAACGTTACTGTGAACCGGGTTCGATGTTGCTTCACAGTGGAAGGTGAAGATGGCAGGGTCTGGGTTTGTTTTATTTTCATGTTAGTGCCTACACCGTCAACGAATTTTAGGACAGAATGAGAGGCAGGGGACGACTATATTATAAGAATTACATCAAGAACGGTAGTGCAAATGCAAATCAAGTCAATTTGGTATTAAAATAAGAGATACGAGCCACGAGTCAATCCCGGTCGGGAGACAATCAGAACCGGCTGAACAGATAAGTTCAAAGCAAGAATTTCAGGAAAAACTTCAAAAAAGGAAACACGAACATGACGTCTCACGTCATATGAATAAACTTTTGAAGACGCTAGCGACAATGCGCTGGCATCTGGGTGAGACGTCGGGGAAACAGGCTTGACCCATGCCCCGCGCCACCAAACCATTCGACAGGTAATATAAAAAGCAAAGCCAATAATCGAAAACAATCCAAACGATAAAAGGAAGAAACATGTCATCCAAGATTCACATAATTGATCACTGGTTGGCCTGGAGGACAGCGAGTTGAGCTTGCAGCTTGGCAATCATCTCGTCACGCTGGGTCAACTGATCCTCCAGGGCCTGGATGCGGCTTTCAGCAGATGCCTGGCGAGCTAGCTTCTTGGCACGAGACTTGCGGGCAGCCTCGGTGTTTCGAGCACGCTTAGTGGCGATCGGGTCAAGGGGATCGAACTCGATGGGAGAAAGATCCTTGCGCTGACGGGTGATGCCAGCAACACTGGAGTGTCTGGTTTTGCCGGTCGCAGACATAGGCGATGACTTGACAGCAGGGGAGAGAGGCTTGGGGGCGGGCGACATCTCTATAGAGGGCTGCATCTGCTTCTTAGGCTCAGCGATGACAGAGGCGTATTCCGACACATCAAAAAGACCAGATGCGGTCGGGTTTCCGATAGCCCCGTCATGGAAGAGAGGGGCCCAATCGTCATTGCCCATGTAGTCCACATCAGTGAACAGGGGAGAAGGGTTCTGACTAAAGGTGCCCGGGGAGTCGAAAGGGGGAGTGCTCAAGTCGGTGAAGGTGCCTGAAGGCGGAATGGAGTGGTCGAACATCAGATCGCGGGGGGAGATGGTTCCAGCGGGCGCCTCCGGGGAGAGCGGGCCGGTCTCCTGACCCAGAAGTTCGTCGAAAGTCAATGATCCCATGCCACCGGCAGAGGGGAGACCGAAGAGTTCAGAGTCGTGTGCTGGTGCGGTGTGAGCGTTTGCGCGCGGATGCAAGACGGAACCAAAGGAAGTACCTTGGAAGTTGGGGGTAGACATGTTGCGACGATATTGCATGTACTGTTTTCTATTTTCGGGTGTGATATTACCGGAGTAAAACGGCGGGACGGGAGGACGTTGAGGAGAGTTGGTGGGCACGGTTGCCGAGTAAGGCTGAGAGTGCTTCACGGTGGGGTGAGACCAGTAAGAAGGAGACCGGGCAAGCTGGGTCACTCTGGGATCCTGAACAGGAGAACCAGGAAACTGCTGCTGGAGATGGCGTTGCAACTGCAAACTGAAAGAATGTCGTCGAGGGTTATTCTGCGCCAGAAAGGGCTGAAGGGCAGACGGCCTAAGGGCAGTGTTCGGAGCTAGCGAACGCGAGTCTCTGAATCGAGGCTGCTGACGGGGCTGTGGAGCGGGATAGAGCACAAAGTCCTCTAGTGCACTGTTGTTGTTGTTGTTGTTGCTGTTGTTCAAACTGGAAGCCGAGGGCTGTGTAGGCGGGGGCGTGGGAAGCCATGGTTGCTGGAAGTTATCCGTGGTGAACGACGTGAAGTCGATCGAAGGTATAGAAGTATGGGAACTTGAGCTAAGCGGTGCGCTGCTGAAGTTCAGAGGTCCTAAGACGTCTGAAGAAGAGGAAAGAAGGGGGGAGTGTGTTCCGGTTATGATGTCTGTTTGAGGGAAAGACTGGCTCTTTCGGGGGGCGCTTAGATGGAGTTCATCTTGGATCTGTTGTGATTCAAAATGTACTGTAGATAGATCGGAAATGTTGAAAGTTGGAAAATAAATGTATGTGAACACAAAGGTGGAAAGGAAAAGAAAGGCATCCACGGGGGGGAATCAGGCACTTCTTATGGGACAAATTGAATTGTGTGGGATCAAAGTGGATCTATTGGCTTACGAAAAAACCAATCATAATCATCAGCCGCACGGGGCTACCGAGTCACGGGGTGTGAGTCACAATTGATTCTGCCATTGTCATTGGTTGATTGCATCCCATCTAGAGCCTCGATACCCATACAGTACGTCAATTCACTATGGATCTCCTATATATCTAAAAGTATCTATGATGTATTTCGTTGCCCCGTCTCACCCTAACGAATTGACCAATCACATAGATAGATTCGTCCTCACGGTATGCTCAAAACGTTCCAGGCATCCACACAGCCGGACCAAGCCTCCCTTTCAGGCCCCCGAATACCATCTACAGCAGATAAGGTGATCAAAAATTACAGATCACATACTTTCCAGCATTCTGCATTACAATACCATATCATTCTCCAAGGCGGGATTAATAGTCGGAGACGGTTTCTGGTTTTCCGAGAGCCCCACCGATCTTTTCCTAATTGTGTCCCCGCGGTGGGCTGTGTCCATGGCCCGTGTGCCTCCAATATCTACTTTCATACTAGCCTTGCCGAAGGGCGTGAAAATTGACTTTTTCATTTCAAATATCCAATTTTTAGGGCATGGCCAAACGATCCTTTTCTTCTGTGGGTATTCATGACGACATGGATCAATCAGAATGTTCGAAACAGAAGTACTTAATGCGCACTCCATTCTATTGTCAAGTCTGCAGATGATACTGCAATCATAGGTGCAGTAGTGATGTTGTAATTACAAAATTGGCAAGCTCATTACGAAATATTGAAATTTCACTTTATTTTCTTGTTTCAATTACATTTCAAAATTTCTTGGCATTGATGAGTCATCATTCACTTGCCCGCGACCAAGATCAGCGTCTAATTTTCCACCGCTCGACTCAAACTCTCCAGTTTATCTTGATTGGTCAGCTGATCATTTCTTTGCCTATTTAGGATTAGCGTCATTTCAAGATTTCAAGGCCCATTTCAAATTACATTTCAAGCGGCCAAATTTCAGCAATTTCGAAATTTTGAAATTTCATTTTGACATCCCTAAGGTGCAGCCTGTAGGCAAAATGCATATGAGACAGTCACTGGAAACTTGATTATTAATTTTAGGCAATCCCATGCGATGAAAACGGGATAGGAGGAATCCCCGAAGTGGCGTTCTGGTAAGAACTAAACGAACTAGATGCCTTGGCAGGCTCCAATCAAAGTGCTATCATTTGATGTTCCTGGAAAGCCAGGTTTCGGCTGGCCGTTAGTTTGTTTGAAAAAAAAAATCTGCGACACGGTTCAACTCCGAACTCCGAGTCTTTTATCGCTAATTTAAGATAAGCCTATATTATGTGTTAGTCGCTTGGTTTGGAGCACATGCCATATTTAATTGTAGATAAAGTAGACTGGCTGGGTGGATCTTTAATGATACTTGTATGCAATTACCCAGTCAATGGTATCGAGTCGCTTCTCACTCAATGGTACTCAGGACGTGCACTACCCGTGGACATCGTCATATGCGGGCACTCCCGAGAACGAGAATTTTGCGGACCCGCCAGTCCTCGAGACCCGCCGTACGGAGTAACGGCAAAATCAGATGCACCCCAGACCAACGCATCGCGATGGAGCCCAATGTCGTATTGCTTGCATATAGACCAAGCTGCTAATGCAAGCAATCTAGATGAAAGGTCCACTCTATGCGACGAGACCCATCAACCTGACCAGAATACTTAAAAGTGCTAATGTCGAGGTCAACCATCGACAGAGATGCATAAATCGCAAATATACAACTACAACTTCCTTTCTGGACAGGCAATTCATAATTAGAGTAAAGCAAACAGAAGAGATTCTATTAAGTATTACCTAACGCAGTATGTCATCCACGACGCATTGGAGAAAGAAACCGTGCGAAACGGGAACAACGGTAGACAACTGTAGATGTAGAGGGGACAAGTTGAAAAGCAACCCAGGCTAAATAATTACATTAAGAATAGGCTTAGCCGTGGCACAGCAAATCAAGAACCCTTCCTGCCCATAAGGGTATCAAACACGAAAGCCAAAGCGCAGAACCAGGAACGGCAGAGTGGTATCAATCTAGTCGGGCAACACACCACGTAACGCATAAGCAACGGCGCAAGGCGAAACTCGGTTGCGGGTCGCGTGTCGTAAAAGGAACGAACGGTGATCCAAAGAATCAAGGACACGAATATTATGTGGATTTTTTGGGACAAGCAAAAACAACAAAGAAAACATTGAGCAGCGGGTATCTCATTGCCACCCTATCGAATCAAAGCCTAGACATAGACAGACCATGACGAAGAGAGTGACAGTGTCGAGGCAAAAGCAAAGCAACTGGAAGCGAAAATGATGTGAATCTGTATTTGCACGATCCAGACTCGAGCCTTAAAGGAGCGACCGAGTCTGTCAAAGATTATCGTGGGCGGGCGGTGAAGTGGTTAGGTCCCACCAGCGCTCATATTCCACACGTCCCGGGGAGGCAATTCAAGCGGCAGCCTGAACAGGGGTGGAGACGGGGACCTCAACGTTCTTAGGCTCCTCAGCGGCGGTCTCAGGGGCCTTGACCACCTCCTCAACGGGGGCAGCGGTCTCCTCAACAGCGGCCTCAGCGGAAGCCTCCTCAGTCTGCTCGGCCTTGGCCTCAGTCTCAGCAGCGGCAACGTCCTCCTTGTCGAGCTTCACAGCCTTGGAGGGCTTGCGGAAGAGACCACCAAGCTTGTTGGCCTTCTTGGCCTCCTTCTCGCCATCAGTGCCCTCGTTGTCGGAGGTGTCGGCCTTCTTCTCCTTCTTGCCGAAGGCACCGAAGAAAGAAGTGCGGCGCTTGTCCTTAGGGGTGGCAGTTTCGGTGGGGGTCTCCACAGCGGTCTCCTTGACAGTCTCAGCCTCAACAGGGGCAGCGACGGTCTCGGGCTCAACGATAGCGGCCTCCTCCACGGGGTTATCAAGCTGGGGAGCGGAGCTGGCGACGGGGGCCTCCTCGACGGGGGCAGTGACCTCCTTCTCGGACTTCTCCTGAGAGGGGCTGGCAACCTTCTGGAAGAAGGTACCGAAGATGGAAGAACGCTTGGCCTTCTTCTCTTCCTTCTTCTCCTCGGCCTTATCCTCGGTGGCCTCGACGGGAGCAACAACGGGAGCAACGACGGGAGCGGCGACAGCAGCGGCCTCAACGGGGGTCTCGGTGGCAGGCTCGACAGCGGTCTCAGCGGGAGTCTCAGCGGCGGCCTCAGCAGTGGGCTCAGCAGTAGCCTCAGCAGCAGTCTCCTCCTTGGTCTCCTCGGCCTTCTTCTCCTCGGTCTCTTTCTTTCCGAGAATGGCACCGAAGATGCTGCCGCGCTTGCGAGACTGGGAGCGGCTCTTGGTGGCCTCCTTGGCCTTCTCTTCCTTGGGCTCAGCCTCCTCAGCCTTGGCCTCCTCAGTGGCGGCGGGGGCCTCCTCCTTCTTCTCCTCGGGCTTCTTGGCGGCCGCAACGATAACGGCAGGCTTGGTCAACTTCTCAAGCTCAGCCTTGTAGCCCTCGCTGGAGGTGAGGGTCTCCTTCTCGGCCTTGGCCTCGGCAGACTTGGCCTCGAGGGCGACGTACCAGCTGTCACGCTCGGCGGTGTTGGAGGCCTGGAAGGTGTGCTTCTGGCCACCGACCTTGAAGAGGAACTCGTTGGAACCCTCCTTGGTGAGGTCGGAGATATCAGCCTGTTTTTCACGTTAGTCATGTTCGCGCTTCGTTAATTCCGTGAAATCCTACCAGGTTGAAGATGCCAGCGGGGGTGGCCTTGTCCTCAGCGCGCTTGGTCAGGAAGAGCAGACCCTTTCCGGTCTGGCTGGCCCAGGCAGCAGTGGGGTTGGCGACGGCGGGCTTCTCGTTCTGGTGGAAGACCGACAGCTGCTTAGCCTCAACGGGCTCATCGTTGAAGTAGAAGAAACGCTTGGCGAAACGCAGGCTCCTGCGCGCGAAAATATGTTAGTCGCAAAGCTCTTAGGTATATTGTCGCAATGATATCACTCACTTGACCAGACCGGGGCCCTTGTGGCCGAGAACGCCCTCGGTGGCGGGCTTGATCTCCTCCTTGGCCTCTTCCTTGGCCTCTTCCTTGGCCTCCTCCTTAGCAGCCTCAGTCTCAGCGGGCTTGTCGGTAGCAGTCTCCTCAGCGGGAGCAGCCTCAGTGGTCTCCTTAGGAGCCTCAGTGGCCTCTGTGGTGGCGGGAACCTCAACGGCAGTCTCAGCAGCAGGGACGACCGCGGGGGTCTCCTCAACGGGGTTCTGGACGTCAGACATGATTAAATGGGTATTAAAAGCCGGAGCTTGTTGGGTATCGATTAAAAGAAAAGAGCAGGGTATCGGGGTATCTCAAAAGCAAAAGAAATAAGAGCTGGGAAGCTCGGGTATCACAACGAAGATAGGAAAGGGGGGTATTTTGCTTTGCAGTGGGAGGGAAGGAAGGGAAAAAAAGGGAGGGAAGGGCGAGAAAAAAGACGGCATGGGGGGGGGGGAAGGACTGTTGATGGCGCCTGCCTCCTAAACGGGTAAGGAGCTGCAGCGAGTCCAGACTGAGTGGATCCTTGGATTACATAACGATTTCAGGGGGTTAAAGGAAAAGTTCCAATGATTTAATGATTTACTTATGGATACCTTGGTTGACCCTCGTATCATTAACTATATAAATAACAATCCTATGGTCATCTATTGGTTTTCCCGATCTTGTCTATTGGCTAGGGATTCAAATCGTACCATATCATGAAACACATTGATGAATTAACCTTGATTTTTTCAAATTACAAGTAACACTGTAGTAAAACTTATCAGGATCGTCAATGCAGCTTTCAATCAACGGCCCCCTAATTTACCCGTGCAAGTCGGCTCCGGTCCCGGCTTCGTAAATAATTAGGTCCTTTTTTTGACTTTTCGCACACGCGACCTAATTTTTTGGAATTTCTTTTCTGATTTTTTAACTGGATTTTGATGGTACTTGGTTACTCGTCTGCTGATATTAGGGTTTTTTTTTCTCTTTCTCTCTTTGGTCACCCGATTCCATTCTCGACCGCCGTTACGATAACCAATAAATACTTGTTACACCGTGAAAGGGGGTCAATATCCCTACTCCATGTACTTACTGTAGGTCTCCCATTTAGGTGTCGTGAGAGGCATAATTCCCCAAAGTTAGTTATAGTATTTATATAGAATCAAGTGAGATTCTTTCTATCGCACAAGGCTTAAAAGTTCGCAAAGCCACTCTTGCCTTCAAAGGGAGATCCTTTGATCCCTTGAGGGGGAAGAGGGGAAGGAGTATGTACCTCTCTGCATGATCAGCGAGGGTTGGACAGCCTGGATTCGCTCACTAGAGTGCTGATCCAACGGAAAGGCAGTGCCGACTTTGTTCGAATGTCAAATGACCCGGATCATCAACTCTATCATCGAGTGGCGTGTCAATCCTCGTGGCCAACCAGCGGTGTCGCACCATCTCTGCTTTGACTTTCGAGCGTCATATCTCATCTGTTGTGCCCTATCACTGGCGTATCATCGTTCAAACCAGCGTTATGACGATTGACTAGAATCCCATGATGCTCTAAAGTCAGTATGATGGCTGGCGCCATCTCCGCCATATGGTCCGCGTTACTGTTACGTGATAACGGGACTGAAATCATTTACTTTGTCACTGATCCACTTGTCATTACTGAAATGCCCCCTAATTAAGCCCCTTTTCTCATGGGCCTTTTCTTTGCGACAGAGATTTCACTTGGTTTTTTTTTCCCTGGTCACTAGCGCGGCTATTTTCTAGATGTTCGGTGGATTAACTTCAATGTACGGTTAGGCCCCACTTGAGGTGGTCCCGTGTCTTGAGTCATACATCGTGGCTTGTCGTGGCTGGATTTTGGCTTCCTTTCTACACAGTACAGAGTATCTAAATTGTGTACTTCGTACACGTCTCACAGTCAATATTGGATGCATATGCTTCGGGTGTTACGATCATTCATCGGATCCCCCTTCGTCATAGAAATTTAAGCGTTTGATGCTTCAAGTGATGGTCTGATTGAAAAGTGACTATCGGAACATTTCCAGTAATGATAGTCTAACCGGGTGATCCACTTCAGCCCGACAACCAATTGCACCGTCATGTTACCCCTTTCCACCCGTTGGGGCCACAAATAATCACCATTTGCCAATCCTGCCATGATTTTTCCACCAGTTTTCGTATGCCCCCTATCCAGGCCTGGACGAATGGTCAATGCCATCTTAGTCGATCGAGGGATTCCTGGATGACAGATTTTGGCGTGCAAGTGCCATGCGCTGCCAAGGAGAGTACCCGCTGATGCAGGCAACACTGACTGGGACATGTACTCTGTACTCCTTAGGAATAGTCCAGAGTTGCGTTGGAATATCAATTGTTGATACCAAGTAACTCTATACCATCCGGGCCGTGCCAAGCACTCATTCTCGCAGATGCGGTGTACCCGAGTCGCTCTTGAAACTCTTTTCGTTCATCTAAGCTCTGCACGGATGGTCTCCGTCGATTCTAGCGTCTACTAGACCAGCCCTCTAGCGGTCCTAACCATGGCACTCTTTAATGAGGATGCGCGCCCTCGTACTAAATCAACCCATTCTTCCCTTCCCTTTCGGAGAAACAGACTCGTCCAGGAATGATGCCGACGGAGTTCTACCAATTTAGGGGAAACATGTAGAATATCACGAAAATAAATGTAAAACAGACGAAGAGACATGGACCCATTGTAGACGAGGGACCACCGTACAGAGTTGCTGTGAATCCATGGAAATAGGGGAGGTTCCACAGGAGCTTGCGCTTGGCACCCACTTTTTTCCCTCTAATGTTCCAGGTTGAGTTCTGTCTCATAGGGAAGAGAACCAATAATTGAATCCTGGGCAATGTGGCTTTCATCCATGACATGATCAGTTTATAATGCGTGCTGCAGATGCAAGGTAACATGACAGCTCATTTACCTACGACACCTGAGGCATCACATTTCCTCAAGGAGCTAGCAATGACAAAGCAAACAAGACAAACATGTATTGCTTCTGATTGGTCACATGATCCCTCGCTTCGCTAGTGCCTTCCCTCCACGGGTATAAATACCTTCCTTCTCTCTTCTCTTTCCTCCTCTTCTTTTTTTCTTCTTCATACTTACCTTGTTTGGGTGGCTGCGATCATGAAGGCGGTCCACCACAGATTGGTCCCTGCATTGCACATCGCGGCGGACTGGTTTGTTCAACGGCTTTCGGGTCTTTGACAGGCGTATTCTTTGGCACTTCCACTACGTGGTTCTTTCTTTTCATCAAGGCTTGGGTCAGTGACCTGAGGTTGGAGAAGAGAACTTTGCCTTCCGTAATCGTATCCAATAAGTAGACATGAAGAAACCCCAAATGTGAAATCGTTGGTTCCCATGTGACCTCACTTCCACCTGGGCCCCTGCAGCCGCTGCAGATCATGGCCCGCCTTCACCTTAGATGAGCCTTGCTATTAGACTCAACAGCTCTGTTTAGGTATCGTGACTTGGAGGATCCTCGCATGCTAGCTCTCTTAAATTATCTCCCGACGTTATCCACTGATAATGAACAACAGCCCAAGTTTTCCACTCGGTATTATCATCCCTCATCCGAACACGTGAGCGGTTCTCAACCGACCCGGATTCCAGCATTGATTTCCGGTAGGCCAATCACCACGCAACAAGACCACCAAAAATGGTAATGTTATCCAAAACTCCAGTACGGCTCGGTGGCTCTCAGATCTGGACCGTCTATCCGATGCTGGTACTATCGCCCAGCCTACAATCCACTGGTTAATGCGGGGCGTTTACAGCCTGTCACCAATGGCATTGCATACAACCGTCATGGTATACCTGCGGGGGAGGGGAAGGAGTACAAACTCTCCGCAGGAGGGGCATGCTAGAGTCTGTTATCGCCGACCATAAAGGACAAGGACTCGCTCGCTGCTCCTTAGCAGCGAATCACTCACTGTGATACGTCGAAACTTCACCATGGCTCCTACTCAGCGCGTCGTCATCATCGGCGCCGGGATCGTGGGCACCAATATCGCCGACGAGCTCGTCTTGAGAGGATGGACTGATATCACCGTTGTTGAACAGGGTCCCTTACACATGCCCGGTGGCTCGACTTCTCATGCTCCGGGTCTAGTCTTCCAAACCACACCGTCCAAGACCATGACCAATCTAGCACGCTATACTGTTGAAAAGTTATTGTCGATTGAGAAGGATGGCCAGAGTTGCTTCAACCAGGTCGGTGGTCTGGAAGTGGCTACTACACCGGCTCGGCTAGAGGATCTCAAGCGCAAGCACGGATATGCCTCTTCATGGGGCATTGAAGCACGCCTCATCAACGCAGAGGAATGTCTCCAATTGTACCCTCACCTCGATCAGAACGTCGTCTTGGGCGGTCTCCATATCCCCAGTGACGGCCTTGCCCTTGCGGCCCGCGCAACGCAACTCCTCATCGAACGCACTAGAAAGGCTGGCGTTCGCTACATTGGCGAGACTCCTGTTATCGGTATCGAGCGAGCAGGCCGTCGCGTGACGGGTGTGACAACTCCTAAAGGCACCATTGCTGCTGATATTATCATCTCCTGCGCTGGTTTCTGGGGTGTGGAGATAGGTGCGATGGTTGGGGTGTCCATCCCTCTACTCCCGCTGGCACACCAGTATGCGAAGACTACCGCGGTGCCGGCACTGGCTGGTCGTGATATCAACAAGCGGATGAACGGAATGAATGCCACACTGCCCATCTTGCGACACCAGGATCAGGATCTATACTACAGGGAGCATGGTGATCAGTATGGTATTGGATACTATGGCCATCGTCCAATGCCCGTCATCGCAGGGTCATTGGGCCTGACTCCACAGCATGTCGATGATAAGAACATGCCATCTCGGCTCGAATTTACCAAGGAGGACTTTGTTCCTGCTTGGAAGGAGTCACAGAAGCTTTTGCCTGCTCTGCGGGGCACCCAGATCGATGATGGCTTCAATGGTATTTTTTCATTCACACCCGATGGTGGGCCCATCATTGGCCAGGCACCAAACGTGGACGGCTTCTGGGTTGCTGAAGCTGTGTGGGTGACTCACTCGGCTGGTGTTGCACGCGCTGTCGCTGAGGTCCTGACGACGGGTCGATCTCAAATCGATATCACCGATTGTGAGTTGTCCCGGTTTGAAGAAGTGCAGCTCAGTCGCGCCTATATCAATGAAACTTCGGCGCAGAATTTTGTTGAAATCTATGATATCCTCCACCCATCACAACCTAAAGAATCACCCCGCAACCTTCGTATCAGCCCCTTCTACTCAAGACAGAAGGAATTGGGTGCTTTCTTTCTCGAGCTTGGAGGCTGGGAACGCCCATTCTGGTACGAATCGAACTCCTACCTGCTCAAATGTCTTCCTGCAGAGTGGCAGCCTGTGGAAAGAGATGCCTGGTCATCGCAGTTCTACTCTCCCATCGTGGCAGCAGAAGCGTGGAAGACCCGCAACGCTGTGGCGATGTACGATATGACTTCCTTCCACCGATTTGAAGTGTCAGGTCCCGGCGCAGTGCATCTTCTACAACGCCTGACAACCGCCGACGTCGCTATCAAGACAGGCGCCATAACCCACGCTCTTCTTCTCAACGACCACGGTGGTATTCGAAGTGATATATTTATTGCAAGGCTTGACGAAAACCTATTCCAAGTGGGCGCTAACACCGCCACGGATCTTGCTTACCTCTCCCGCGAAGCTCGTCGCCAGGGACAAGGGGTCCAAGTGCGCGATATCACCGGCAGCACGTGTTGCATCGGCCTTTGGGGTCCTCGATCCCGAGACGTGATCAACATCATAAGTACAGACAATTTCTCCAATAAGGCATTTCCTTATTTCACTGTCCAGAATGTCACCATCAACGGCATTCCAGTGACAGCGCTACGCAAGTCCTACGTCGGTGAGTTAGGTTGGGAAATTCAAACCAGCGCTGAGTACGGCCAGCGACTGTGGGATACCATTTGGAATGCAGGCAAGACACACGGTCTCATCGCCGCCGGGCGGGGTGCCTTCAACGCTTTGCGCCTGGAAAAGGGCTATCGCACCTACGGCGCCGACATGAATACCGAGCACAATCCCTACGAAGCAGGTGTTATTAGTGCTATCCGAGCGAGCAAATGGGAAGACTATGTTGGCAGGGTTGCCCTTGAACGTCTCGCCAAGGAGAAGCCTACTCGCCGACTGCGCTGTCTCACTGTTGATGACGGTCGTTCAATGGTTCTGGGCAAGGAACCTGTGTTCTTCAATGGCAAGGCCGTTGGATACGTCACCACTGCTGCTTTTGGGTATACAGTTCGCAAGCCTATTGCTTATGCTTGGCTACCAAGCAATGTCTCAGAGGGACAAGGTGTCGAGATCGAATACTTCGGTCGTCGGATCAGCGCTACGGTCGCAACTGAGCCATTGTATGATCCGGATTCGAGACGTCTGCTTGATGAGAAGCCGGCTATTGATCTAGATTTGCAGAAGCCGCTGAGACACCGGCTATAGACTCATATCGCCTTTCTTTTTCCCTTGTTATGATGATCAATTATTTGATTGGACGATGTTGGAACTGCACGACCGTGAATGTGGAAGAATTCTCTTTGCCTTTAGTTTTGTGATGAGCGTCTGAATTACATTTAATGACTATCAATGACATAAATGAATATACTATTTATTTGAGACTACAATTCCATGCACGTAGTAGAGGAGTACCATAGCTAGAGTAAAATCCACCATGACGTCGCACCCAAAATAGCTTTCGCCACACCCACATGCCGACCCACACCAAGCTCCCACCACCATCCAACAGCTTCCAAACTTCCCACTCCACCACTCTTATACCATATCTTCTGCAAAAACCATCATATCCCTCTACAACACGAAAGCATTTTCCAAGCCAAATCCAATTCACCTACCGCAAAAATGCCCATCCCGACCGCAGACGTCTACGACAAAGAGCAACAACAAATCGCTCAAAACCAACCCTCCTCTAACACCTCGTCCTTCGAGAACAACGGCAGCAACGAGTACCGCGATGAATCTGGCTCTTCGTCTGCGGGTAGCACTGAAGGCGAGCGGGTGCTGAGTAGGGAGGAGGCGGATCGATTGTATGAGGAGCGGATGGAGGAGGAATATGCGAAAAGAGACGGAGGTGCTTAATCTGATCTACACCGACATCAACAGAGTGTTGAAGCGATCTCATGCTCAGTGGATGAGATAATATTCCCCTTTGGTTGATTGTATATTATTTTGTGGATATGTTTTTACTATGATACTCTCCTGTCAGATTACATATTGTCCTACCCTTGGTGCAGTTGAATTAGCAACACCGTTGAGCTTCTTAGCCACTCCGTCGTACCTATAGGTAGGCTTAATCGGAGGAAACATCGCTCGAGCCGTGATACGATGATTGTGTTAATGACCAGCATAAGGTAGGGGCATCATTAGCTTCATCAAGATTTGTGCTGTGATTTATAAGGATTTGTTTATTTATTCTTTCCTGCTTTTGATTTGAGCCAGCATACACTAATCAGAAAGGAAGAATGGGGGATCATGTCTTCGTAATCCTCGGGCTGCACTGGAGCCGAGGTGTTGAATCTTCTGCACCGATAGGTCACTGACTCATTTCGAATAACCTGGAGTCCAACAATCTACCAAAATGAAATCCCCGCCAGCCAAAGGCAGCTTATACCCCGCGCAGAAGACTAGAGTAGTTATTCCAGCTGAGTTATTCGCAATAGAGACCCAACGACTCCATCTCAGACCGACTGAGCTGTCCGATGCGGCAGATGTTTTCGAATACCGATGCCGACAAGATGTGGCTGACTTCCTGTGAGTCTTCGAGGTCGTCAGCAGCTAAGCCGACCACAGAGTTGATCAACCTCATTTAGTTGGCCGAAAACCCCCCACCAACGGATACAAGACACAGAAGCCATGCTCATTGGTAAAACCTTCCAAACACCAGATGCATCGGGTGCGCTGGGACGACGGTTCTCTTTTGCTATAGTGCAGAAGGATGACCCCTCGCGTAAAGTCATCGGGGTGGTGGGAATCAATGCCCTTGTCCCGGCTCCTTCTATCGGATACAGTATTCATCCTGATTTTTGGGGAAAGGGCTATGTGAGTGAAGCTGTAGCGGGTGTCGTGGATGCGTGGTGGAGGCTCAAGAGGGAAGATTTGGAACAGCCTGGTGATGCAAGTCTGAAGCCGGAGAGGTTGTTTGCGGCATGTAACAAGGCGAATGTGGGGAGTGTGAAGGTGCTTCTGAAGAATGGGTTTGAGATTTATGAGGAAATACCCTTGATGGGAGATGTTGTTGCGTTGTTTTGGTTGGAGAGACCACAAGCTTCTTTATAAGGAATCCAGGGCTCAGAATTGATAAACATAAACTGGACACTGGAACACGCTGTATAATGGAATGTTTGATTACTACATAGACTGTTTAGGGATCGTCTTAAAGAAGAACGTTCGGACCTGGTTTCGAACACAAGTTGTCAAATCTTCCATATAGCCTCACACCTCAACGAAGCTCCAGCAAGGGAAAAAAAAAACTGGTAGCTTCTCTTTGATTGAGCGTGTCATCCTTAGTGCAGGGGCCATGCTAATCTTCTCTGTATATTTTCATTTGACCAAATGTCCCGAAGGACAATGGTATCCCCGATTGAGGGTTCATATCCCAATTATTCGGCAGAAAGTCACCGCCCTGATGAATTGAGGTGTCAGGTGTTCATTGTCACACAGAGAGCAAACAACCCAGAAGAGCGAGGCAAGGTGACACGTGGGGTGCGGTAGATGTTGCTGTTTGTCCTGTAAAGCTGACCCGATACCCCCAAAGACGAAGGATGTTGACTCAGAGTGATCTTGTGGAGCCCAACAACTGATCAATCCCCATGTTGGCTAAGCATCAATGGCCTGAAGGTAACAGTGCATCGCAAAGGACCATGTCGATTGTCTATGGAAGCATTGGTGCATGAGTAGAGAAATAACCGCATGAGCTGTAAAGGAGGGGAACTCTCCAGGTGGTGCGGGGCCAGAGGGGCATCCCGAGGGTTCCTTGCCGCTTGCCCTAGACGCTTTCCTATTCCAGTAAAGCTACGCTCGAAGGTACATGGATGACACTTGTCATTGAGGGAGCTTTCATTTCACAAGCTTGGCCATGCTAGTACTTTCAAGGTCTCCAATGCCCGAGTAATCGGTGCTGAAAAAGAAAATTAACCTTGGAATGAAATCATGATCGCGCATATCTACTACGTAACACCAGGGCTCCAGTGCTTTGTCATTTTAAAATACATGTAAACACACCTCCCACATACTGTCACTCAACCGCACGCATACCTGGCGCCGTGATACAAACTGCGTGACAGACGCACATTCGAGATCAGGAAGCAGATCAACACCATTATGACGAATATATTAAGATTCCAGCAGTTCCCAGGGATACCATGAACTTTCGAAATGGCAATGATATAACGCGGCTACCAGTCTTTTCCCCGATAATTATCGAGTCAGGAATCGCCGAACTATATATAAAAGATGCCAAACATCCAATTCTCTAGTTTGGTTACAGACGACAGTTATGTAACGAGCTTTGCTCTTTTATGTTGACTTGGTGACGCCCAAACCTTCAAGGCAGAACCGATTATGGAAGCGAATACAAGACGATCACATAAAGGCCAAAATATTGGCTTTTCCCGCGCAAGGTACTCAATGGCTCTTCGGCCATGTATAATGCTCAGAGGATGCTGTTTACTTGGAAGCTGGGAATGTTTGCAAGAGCGCTCCCCGACTCCTAATTCCTCTACCCGTATGTGAGATCAGTGAATGCTTAGGAATTGTATAGAACATAAGACGCCCCTTGAAGATCTGTGTTGCGTACTGCCACAGGACCAAACAGTTCAAATATTGTGTTGCAAGAGGCGGTGCCTGGGCAAATTGTGTCCTCATCTCAAAATGGAGACCGGAAGTCTGCAATTTGCCCGGTAAGCCTATGAAAGAAAAAAGATTTTTGGGGCATTACTAAGTATGGTACAAATAAGTATTTGGTGCGAGCCAGTAACAAAAGAAGTCAATGGAATTACGAAACCGTTGTGTCGTTTCTACTAGAGAACCGGAGAGTTATCATTCGAGCTCAAGCACAGCTGGAGAACTAAAAGCGACCCATAGCAGTGGTTGCCTTACTGGACGTATTACCAGAACTGAGGTCAATAACCTTATTGGCCTGAGAATACACTTGCTTTTCCTATATTATAATACTGGTTTACAAAGCGATAGGAGACTAAAGGCCATTCATGGAAAAAGCGCTAAGAATGTGCTCCAATTCATGAGCAGCGCTATCAAGACTATTCCCGCACTTGCTGAAGATATCGCTGCCCTCGAATTGTCTGAGATTCAGAGAGAGACCGACAAACTTTCTGCAGCTACCCAGAGCAAGGTATGGAAGATGGTATCGAAGGGAAGCAAATAGATGAATTGGACATGACGGATCAGGCCATCGAAGACAATATGAAGAGTGAAGTCAAGGATGAGGATCCCCTAGATTCAGCTAGCAAGGAAGAGTTAAAGGATGAGATCAAGGAGAAGGTAGGAGAAGGTCAAGATTAAAGTCGAGGAAGAAAGTCAGGACACTTTTATGGCAGAAACGCTTTAAGTCTACCAGAGTTGTACTGCGGGTAGTGACAGGTCACAGTACGAATTTGATTTTTATTAGTGAATAGTGATATGCGTAACAGAGCTTGCTAATTCAAATTGACATTTTGCGTCCACTTTTTCTAAGTTTCTATTGATTTGGCTGTGAAGGGGATAATTTACAGAGTACATCATGTGATCTCACGTGCAATGCGGCCAGCTTAGACCCAGGAGCTGCCAACTCCCGAGGACCAACAACTCATCTGTATCGGTGTCCCTACCGTTAAACACAGATCTTCTCGAGGTTGAGATTTACCTCTTCGCCTTAATCCTTGACTGCAACTCCCCCGGTGGAAAGGCTTGGTTCCAAATAGCCTGTTCACCACCATGGCTCCGCAGGATACCTTCTTCCGCTCGTCGGAAATGAGCCTGACCCAGCTCTACATTGCCAACGAAATTGGAAGAGAGGTTGTGAGTGCTCTGGGTGAGCTTGGTCAAGTGCAGTTTAGAGATGTAAGTGGAACTTGGTCCCTGGATCAGACTCCTTCAGCCGTGAACAGCCCCGCTAACTTCAATGGCGTGTTCTTAGTTGAACCCCGATACCAATGCCTTTCAACGCACCTTTACTAAAGAGATCCGCCGCCTCGACAATGTTGAGAGACAGCTCCGTATGTGTTCTCCATCAAAGGAGCTCTACCGATGATGAAAATTGACTAATCCACTGGGTCTTTTCAACAGGTTACTTTCGTTCCCAGATCGAGAAGGCGGCTATTCCCATGCGGCCCTCGACAGACTTCTCTGACACCCTAGCTGCTCCCCTCGCTTCGGAAATTGATGAGCTGGCCGAACGCAGCGAAAGTCTCGAACAGCGCATCGCTTCCCTGAATGATAGCTATGAGACTCTGAAGAAGCGTGAAGTTGAGCTTTCCGAATGGCGCTGGGTTTTGAGAGAGGCCGGTGGATTTTTCGATCGGGTAGGTCTTGCTGCGCGCTCTTGGAGAGACAATACTCATATTTCGAGATAGGCGCACACCCAAACCGAAGATATCCGTCAATCCTTCGACAATGACGAGGCGCCCCTGCTTCGTGACGTAGAACAGCATGCTCCTCGTGGTGCCAATGGTGACACTCAAGGTCAGCAGAGCTTTTCCGAGATGAACATTGGCTTCGTTGCCGGTGTCATTCCTCGCGATCGGATCGCTGCCTTCGAGCGCATCCTGTGGCGAACCCTACGTGGCAACCTTTACATGAACCAGTCTGAGATCCCGGAACCTATCATCGATCCCAGCACCAACGAAGCGGTTTATAAGAACGTTTACGTGATCTTCGCTCACGGCTCGAGCATTCTGGCAAAAATTCGCAAAATTTCAGAATCATTGGGTGCTTCCTTGTACGGCGTTGACGAGAACAGCGAGCTGAGAAGGGATCAGATCCACGAGGTCAACACCCGGCTGGGCGATGTCGGAAGTGTCCTTCAAAACACCAAGAAGACATTAGATGCTGAGCTCTCGCAGATCGCACGGTCTCTTGTCGCTTGGATGATCATTGTCAAGAAGGAGAAGGCCGTCTACGACACTTTAAATAAATGCTCCTATGATCAGGCGCGGAAAACGCTGATTGCCGAAGCTTGGTGCCCAACGAACTCCCTGGCCCAGATCAAGTCGACCTTGCAAGATGTCAACGATCGAGCTGGCCTGTCTGTCCCTACCATTGTCAACCAGATCCGCACTAACAAAACCCCGCCAACCTACGTTCGCACCAACAAATTCACGGAGGGATTCCAGACAATCGTCAATGCCTATGGTATTCCGAAATATTCGGAGGTCAATCCTGGAATTTACACGGTCGTCACATTCCCCTTCCTCTTCGCTGTCATGTTTGGTGATCTTGGTCACGGCTTTATCATGGCCTCCGCGGCGTCGGCGCTGATTTTCTTTGAAAAGAAGCTGCTGCGCACCAAGCTTGATGAGATCTCATACATGGCATTCTATGGACGATACATCATGTTGATGATGGGTATTTTCGCCATGTATACTGGTCTGCTTTATAATGATATCTTCTCCAAGTCCATGACCTTCTTCAGCAGTTCGTGGGAGTGGCCAGAGGATATCAAGGCTGGCGAGTCTGTCGAGGCTACTCTCAAGGGCGATTACCGGTTCCCTATTGGCCTGGACTGGAACTGGCACGAGGCTGAAAACTCTCTACTTTTCTCCAACAGTATGAAGATGAAGATGAGTGTTTTGCTTGGCTGGACTCATATGACCTTTGCTCTCTGCTTCCAGTTTGTCAATGCACGCCATTTCAAGTCCAAGGTCGACATCTGGGGCAACTTTGTTCCTGGCATGCTGTTCTTCCAATCCATCTTTGGTTACCTTGTCGTCACCGTCCTCTACAAATGGTCGGTGAACTGGCAGGAGAGTGGGGAATCTCCCCCAAGTCTGCTCAACATGCTTATTTTCATGTTCCTCAAGCCGGGCTACGTCGAACAGCCACTCTACCGGGGCCAAGGCACAGTTCAGCAGCTCCTGCTCCTCATCGCTGTGATCCAAGTACCCATCATGCTTTTCCTTAAGCCCTTCTGGCTCCGTCATGAACACAACCGCGCTCGCGCTCTTGGATACCGTGGCCTCGGCGAGCAGTCTCGCGTCAGTGCACTTGAAGATGACGGTGATGTGAATGGCGGCTATGATGGAGCTCGTGACAGCCTGGCCAGTGATGGCGAAGGCGTGGCCATGCTTGCCCAGGACATCCACGAAGGCGATGAACATGAGGAGTTTGAATTCGGCGATGTCATGATTCACCAAGTCATCCACACCATTGAGTTCTGTCTCAACTGTATTTCTCACACTGCCTCCTACCTACGTCTCTGGGCTCTGTCACTTGCCCACCAACAGCTTTCAATCGTTCTGTGGACCATGACTCTCGGATCAGCCCTCGACCAAGAAGACGGAATCATTCGGGTCATCATGATCGTAATCTGCTTCTTTATGTGGTTCGTTCTGTCATGCAGTGTGCTCGTGGGTATGGAGGGTGTCTCCGCAAGTAAGTCAACTCAAATACCAGACCAAAGATTTTACCAGAATACTAACAAAATACACAGTGTTGCACTCGCTACGTTTGCACTGGGTCGAGGCCATGAGCAAGCATTTCATGGGCGAGGGTATCCCATTCTTGCCATTCAGCTTCAAGACCCTGTTGGAAGAAGACCCAGTCGATTAGGCTGGGCATTGCTGTCTTTATTTCCGGTTAATTTTTTTCAGCACTGTCATGATTTCGCATCTGTGGCACCTAACACTCTCTGGGGTTTGACCTATGTATTGTAAAGAAACTAGAATATACAGTTCCAACTTTTCTACTTGTATATGTGGACTTCTCAAGTGGACTCTTCTTTTGATTGGTTCGGTAGCTGTAAATTAAAACTTCGGTCGTAAATATCGCTAACTTTCCTGCATTTTTCCGTGGGCATCAGGAACTAAGATTGAAAGAGTTAGAGCCGCACCGTCATTGGCTTTTCCAAGGTTTCAATCTCCGGGCTGTGGGGGTCGAGCCTCACGCTAACCTTGGAAGGTACGGTCTTCCTATCGATGAAATTTTCGTGAACTTGAACTGTGAATCGCAAGACTGACTGAGCCTCAAGCATAATATCTTCATGATTGATTCTACATTTCTACGCCTACAATGGAATACTGCATTCACCGCTCAAATGATTTTAGGTAAGCGAAGGGGTCAGCCTGAATTCCCACCCTGAACCCTTTCCGCACGCTAGTCGTGGAACCGAATGCTAGCACTTAGCCATGGCGTTGCGTTATCCAATGAGGGTCCAGCTCAAGACCAGTCTAGCTCCAAATTTGGAAGGGAACATGGAAGCTAAGGGTCTTTTTCAGGCGATGTTACCGGACAAGCCGACTAGGGGTAAGGTCCCTAGGGGTCTAACTACAGTGTAGAGCCTTACTCCGCCATCGATAAAAGAAAGCCAGTCAGGCTTAGTTCCTTTCCTGTTCCATTCCACGCTTAATAAAAATCCTGTCCCACTATTCCCAATAATCATCCCTTCCGTGAAAAAACAAAAAAAAACACCCTACATCAATACCTCATACCGTCAAAATGCACACCTCCTTCCTCCTCGCTACAGCCATCACAATCCTTGGCACTCAGGCTGAATCCAGTACCATAGTCGGCTACTTCGCCCCATTCTGGGATGTGATCGTCCCCGCCGGCGGCTGGACAAGCAGCGCTGCCAGTCTGGCCCATATCAACGCCCAAGCCGCCACATACCACGTGGGCTGTGACGAGAACGCCCCAAAGACAGACTGCGACTTTCCCTCTTCATGGACTATCATCCAGGGTCCCGAGACAGTGAGCTTCACGGGAAAATACATTGCCACGGCTTCAGACGATTATACCAGCTACGATATCACTGTTACGGAGTCATTTGAATGCTCGCTTAAGTCTTCTACGGAGTCTGCTAGCTGTACTATGAGTGTTGGGATGAGTGGGTCGGTTGATGGTATGAAGTATAAGACTTCGACTACGACTAAGGCTACTTATGCCACTGCGCCTATTGATAGCTCTTATCGTGCGTTGACTGTTACTGCGGGTTTGAGTTCCTATACTATGCCTGCGGCTACTGAGAATGGGGGTGCTATGGGTGCTGCTGGGGCTATGATTACGGCTGCTCCGGTTGTTGCTGCTGCGCTTGCTGCTTTGCTTTGATTGAGTTACACGGTTATTGAATGGGCGTGGAATAACTCTAATGTTGACGAATTGTAATAAGTATTGGAGATGTATGAACATATTTAATAGCGGGACGGATATTGGACAATGAACGGTACATTGGTTGGTTCAAGTACTCTTGTGCTTTTGGTCAGCAGAGCACTTAATGGCGTTAAGGCGTTCAGTGTACTCAATCCACCGAATTTTAGAGTTGGTGCCACTGGAAACACCCAGATTATATAAAAAAGCTTGCATATATCCTACAGCATGGACTCGATTTATTCAAATGTTTTAATTATTTTTTTTATATTGTCTTTTGAGCTGATCTAGATGTGGCATCGAAACATCGAAGGCGACGAACGAACCGGCTCTAGATGTAACAACTAGTAAAGAGATCGGAACACAACTCCGACTCAACCGGGAATAAGAAGGGCATGTGATTTTAAGATAAAGGGGTCATGTCGTGACATAAATGAGGTTGAGCCAGGACAGAAATCATGTCCAAGAATCAAACGAAACCAAAATTATGGGCGATCCACTTATTTCTTGTACTTGTTGTACATGTCAATAACCTTCTGGACCTCATCCTTGGATCCAAGGAAGACACCGCTCTTGTCGTGGATGTGCTCGGGAACAACGTCCATCAAGCGCTCCATACGCGAGTTCACAGCCAAACCGCCAGCGTTCTCGAAGACCATAGCCATGGGCGCACACTCGTACAAGATACGCAGCTTACCCTTGGGGCTCTTCGAGTCGGCAGGGTAAGCGAAGATACCACCGTACAGCAGAGTACGGTAAGCATCCGCCACCATGGAACCAATGTAACGGGCGCTGTAGGGCTTGCCACCGTCTTCAGGGTACTTAAGGGAGTGGAAGTACTTGTTGCACCACTCATCCCAGTACTGAGAGTTACCCTCGTTGACAGAGTAGATGGAGCGGGCAGCAGGGAGACGCATGTTGGGGTGAGTGAGGATGAACTCGCCCAGCGAGTTCTCGAGAGTGAAGCCGTTGACGCCGCCACCACGCATGGTGATGACCAGCTGTGCGGAGGCACCGTACATGGTGAAACCGGAGGCGACGAGGCTGGTACCCGGGTGCAGGAGGGCCTCGGGGCCGATCTTAGTGGCGCCCATGAGCTCATCGGGCAGCTGGAAGATACCGAAGATGGTGCCGACCGAGACACCAGCGTCGAGGTTGGACGAGCCGTCAATGGGATCGCACACGACGGCGTAACGGGCATCAGGGTGCTCGTCGAATGTGATAAGTTCCTCTTCCTCTTCTGAGACTAGAATGCGGCACTTTCCGGAGCCGCGCATGGCGGATATGAAGATGTCATTGCCAATCACGTCGAGCTTCTTTTGGTCGTCACCGGTAATGTTGGAGGAACCTGCGAGACCGGTCAGGTTGATCAGGGAGGCACGACGGATGTAGTAGGCGATCGACTTGAAGGAGAATTGGAGGGCGTGGCAAAGCAGGGTGAAGTCACCCGAAGCTTCGGGGTGCTTGGTCTGCTCCTCGGTAAGGAACCGGGAGAGGGTGACAATATCGGTGTTAATGTTCTCCTGACCAACAGGGGGAGCGCTGCCAATGTTCGCCATGATTATTAGGGGGGAATTGGGTGTAAAAAAGGATAGGTGGGTAGTCAAGAGGTGGGGGAGGAGAGAGCGGAGAATAGATATAGAATTGAGAAGAAGGTTGAAGGGTTCAATTTAAGCAATCCCTATAATTGGTGGCAAGAGTTCAACAAGGCAGTTTCGTAAAAAATATGTGGAGCGATTAACGTCAATGAAAAAAATAGGACGTAAACCGGTCTAAGTAGTGGTCAAGCAAGTTGCCGCGGGGGAGTGACTTCACCCCGAAATGCGTTTTCGTCATTCTTCCCCGCGTGACCTGCCCGCTCCGGTTTTCCCCTTGTGGGCCGAGAATGCCCGCAAATGAGCTTCAAGGAAGCTATAAGCTATAAAAACATAGAAGACTTATATGAATAACTACCTTGTTTCAATCTAATCCATCTATCATCTTATAATCCAGGAGCTGTGTTTAGTGATTGAAGCATAGTCAATTGACTTGAAAAGCTTTTGTACTTCCTGGTCCAGACTAGTGTAGATCCCTCCGATCCTTTCCTGATGCCGAGTATCGGGCTCTCAGGATAACTTCCCGTTTGTCGGAAGAATTATATCCCTCTAATTCCTCCACTGTGGGGGTCACCTGAACATGAAAAGTTCGTCCAATATTAGGAGATTGAAGTTGATCAATAGTTACCATTCTTGTGGGTCAAAGTCCCGGTGAGAGCTCTATAATGTGTAGGTGTAGTATATACCTCGGAAACAGGAAAAGACTCGCTGGACGTGCATCGTTGCGGGATTTCCCTCTGCCTATTGGATTCTCGGGTGTTATCTTGTCCAAGGAGAAGTTCGGAAACATTAGAGGATCATCAAAAAACCTCTCAAATACCAACCATAGATTTAAATATCTCGGAAGTTAGTTGCGGAGGCCCCTCAGCCCCCGCCAAACTATAATTTCTACCAACGATTTAAAGACGCCTTTCCAGAGACGCATCTATTTTTGAATCCATAGCATCAATTGATCAAACACGTATACCTTGGAGAAAGAAAATTGCAGATTTATTACGGAGGTGCACTTTTGAATCTGTAGGCTCAATTCTCCAGTGGCAATTGACTTCAGTAAGTCTCGATATGGTATCTCTTGGAGCGTGCACATGTGGCTTGTCCTGGGTTTAGTCTCTGTACAGGGGCAAGTCCTCTTGCAAATAATGAAAGACACGCTTCCTTAAAGTACTGTAAAATGGCTAAATTTACAACTACTAACCATTTCCACATTACAACTAAAAAGTTCACATATTCACTTTAAAAGCCCCATTCAGTCTTCCAGGCATGAAAACCTACGCAACCTCGGCTTCAATCACCATCTCATATTGTTGAGGATCAGGCCAAAATTTGCAAATCCTAAAACCAGATTCAGCCAGAAGTTTCTTCCAATCACCTTCAGTTCGCTCCGCCGCCGAAAGCAACGCCAGCATCTGGACATCCATGGTAGTTTGACTAATACTCGCCCCTTTAGGCGGAAGGACAATATCATAGATGAAGAGCTTCGAGTAACCCTTCACCATTGCGTCCCGGGTATTACCAAGTAGATGCTTAGCTTTTTCATCCGGCCAATCGTGAAGGACCGCATGCATGAAGTATGCTCGGCTACCTGGTTTGAACATCAACAAACAAACTTAACCACTAGAAGGTGAGGGGCTGTTTACCTTTCACTGGCTGCGGTAAGAAGACATCATGGGTCATCGCCGTGATCCTTTCATTCACCTTAGCTTTGGCAATGATCTCGGGAAGATCTTGTAGAACGAGTGCTCCAGCTGGGAGATCCGGATGCGCGACTAACACGTGGGAAATGTCGATTCCTGTGTTTCCACCGACATCCACGACAAATGGAGCACCATTGTTCAGATCCGCACCCTTGAGCAGTCTGGTTGTGTCGTAAACCTTGGTCCAGGGGGTTTTCCATGTCGTCCATGCTTCCATGTGGCCTGTGAATGCTTCAAAGCATGCGGGACTTGCCTGTAGCCGGCCAAAGAAATTGAGGCCATCTGGATCGGAGTCTGAGTAGTTATTCACATTGATGTCGGTCGGTTCTTTGTAGAATGTCTTGGCTAGGTAGCCAGGGAGATTGCGACCGGACGCAATATATTGGTGTGTGCTGCAAAGAGGGCAAAGGGTCAGTATGTGATGTCTCATGGGCGATAGGGGAAACTCACGCTGCTTCAAGTGAAGCTCGGACCTTGGTACTTTCATCACCAATGGCAAAGGAGAAAGGGGTGGGTTTGAATCGATCTTCTCCGGTCTCTTCAACCACGTTGAAAGCTGCTAACAGGCGGAAGAATCGACCTGTGTTTCTTGTAAGCGATGTCTCAACCAGACTCACGAAGACTTACGAAGGAGGTTTGTCTCGACCGTAGGCTTAGTCAAATCAACCAGCTCATCGATCGACTTCTCTCCCCCTCCAATAGCAGTCCAGGATCTCCAAAGTCCCAAATCAATACATGTCTGGAGGGCGGCAAAGACAGCAGGGTGCTCGAAACAGAAACCCCATGCACGTTCATAAGGAGTCTCCACTCTTGCCAGAAGTCGACGTGCAGCAGCGCGGACTTTCAAACGCTCTACTTCATTTCCACCAAACGCGTCAATTTGGATTCCGTCAAGAACGGCGATGATCACTTCGTTTAAAGATACCATGATGAACCAACTGGCTTTGAACGAAAAGGGTTGAGAGTTTTTTTATCTTAACAAGTGGGGATACGGTATATATGGTTAACGCGATGCATTGACCACGATTTACGGGAGCATTGCCTTCAAATGTCAAAACCACTTTGCCTCCACCTCCCTGAGCCGAACGCTAATGACTAGTAAGCTGCCCGATACGGACGTGTACGCATCCCCAATGGCTCCAACGGCGTAGTCTCTTGCCACTAACATTCTGAGCATTATGAAAAATCCGATTGCTCTTGAGCTACCGCAGGAAAAGGTTTGCCAGTCGTTTCACTTTATTGCTAGTTTAGGAAATGATGGTATACTCCTAGGATGATCGTTTATCAAACCTAGGGGCGTGGACCGGATCAAAATTAGGGATTGACGGCCGTTTACCCAAGCCGGGTCAGCTACTCTTGTCATACATCTACCTCTAGGTCTAGACTGATAGATACACTGGGAGGATTGACACTCAGGGGGCTAACTTGGACGTGGGCCGTTTCCTATCAAGCTCAAATTTGACGTGTAGAAAGTTAATTGACCTGTCATGTCGTGGGTACACTGAATGTGGGGCTGTGGCGTGGGCTTGGGCCAAGTTGACTCGTGCAGGCACTTCGGACGGACGGTTAGTGGGCTTTAGTGCACATGCCATGGCATTGTTGCTTCCGGCCCCTTGTCCGCGACGCTAAATTGTTACATTCTAAAACGAAAGGCAACGTACTTTGGACTGGGATCAGAAAGGAAATCGATGTCGCTCAGTCTATAGATCATATTTTCTCTCTTATGCATAGACAAGCATGCTATAATAAATCGGAAGTAGCATCGTGTGTTGATAGCTTTTTGTTTTCTGTTCATCCAAATGATAATTATTCTAAAAACATAACTCGGCTCTTGCCTATCTTTGATATGGGCGTATACGGAGGCTTAGGACCTATGACCAATGCGGTCCTGTGGGTAGAGGCCATGATCTTTGCTCTCTTCGTGGGACTCAGGTTCTATACACGAAAAGCTATTCTCAATTCCATTGGACTTGATGATTATCTCGTTTGCTTTGCTCTGGTCGGTGATGCAAAACCAGAATTACTGTGCTAGATGCTGACATATTGCAGACTCTTCACCTACTTTATACCATCTTCGTCACCATCGGGACACACTACGGACTGGGTCAGTTGTACGCCACCGTTGGGGATCCAAACATCTATTTCACGGCCGTCAAGTATGAGCTCTTCAGCCAGGTGGCTGGTCTTATGGTCATTGGCGTCGGCAAAGCGGCAGTTGGAACTTTTCTTCTTCGAATTGTGCGAAACAAGATCCATATTTGGGTGATCTGGGGCTGCCTTTTTATCACGGCGGTTCTCACCCTCTTTGCTAGCATCACTGTTATAGTTCAGTGCGTGCCTGTTGAAAAGTCCTGGAATCCATCAGTTCCAGGAACATGCTGGCTCAACTTTTCTAATGTTGGCTACACTGTTGGATGTGAGTGATAACTTTGTATTTGCTCCTATTCTTCGGTCGCTCATCCCAGATATTTCTAGCATGGTTTGTCGCCGCCGATTTCTCCTTTGCTATTCTCCCGTGGTTCGTGGTCTGGGACCTGAATATGAAAAAGAAGGAAAAGATCACTGTCGCCGTTGGTCTCAGTCTTGGAATCTTGTAAGTCAGAATTCCCAAAAATTCTTGGTTTATTTCTCTGACCGTACTTATAGTGCCGGGATATGTGGTATCGTTCGCACTGTTGCGCTATCAGGCCTAGATGCATCCGAGTATATCTGTGTGTCCCCTCATCCCATCTGTACCCCCCACACAAGCTAACAAAAACAGATGATACCGTCCCAATGCTTATCTGGTCTGCGACTGAAAGCTGCGTCACAATCATGTGCTCCACCATCCCCGTCCTCCGCCCTCTATATATCCGCATCAAATATGGCAAGGATGGTAAGGACGGCTCTTCTAGCGACAATTCCTATAAGCTGCCTATGTACGGTAGTAATCGAAAGTATAGCAGCAGCAGGCATTACGGTCAGCTTTCAAAATCTGGGTTTGATTCGGTTGAGCCAAAGGGCTTTTCTCAACAGACCACTGTCATCCAGCCCAGTAGGACTCACGATAGTGATGAAGTGATTCTTCGGAGTCCTGCTCGGATCGAGAGGACGGATGAGATTTCCGTTAGTTATGAGGAATTTGGCGACAAGGTTTGAGGAACGATGTTTCAAAATTGTGTAAAATGGAATTTGGCAATCTCCTTTGTCTTTCAGACTTTCCACCGTCACTCCCTTTTCTGCTACTGTCACTCCCCTTAAAAATCAGTAAAATGACTTTCATTTTTTCAATACATCAAGTCCACACCACCTTCGCCGGCGCCTTCCAACCTTAGATTTTCTAGTCTACCTAACCCAACCCCAACCTAATCTAGAACATAGGGCTTAACATAAGGGAGGTTATCACCACCACTCTCTATCTACCCCTCTACTACTTGGGTACATGTATACTATAGACTTTTAGACATATGTCCGAAACCTCTACTAGATTTTTACTTTTTCCCCTTCTCCTTCCACTTCATCTTTCTTCTCTTCCCTTTTTTTCTCTTTCTTTTCTATTTCGCTATTTACAAATTTAGGGAGACCTTTAACCGTTAGATTAATATGATATAAAAGAAGGTAGAATACTAGATAGGATACCGAGTAGGAGACTAAGTAGAAGACTAAGTAGGAGACTGAATAGGAGGCTGAGTAGGAGATATTTAATAAAGTAGTCATAGGTCGCAATAAAAGTTGCAGCAAAATATTTATACGATGACCGGGTGGAACTTTTGACATGTCGCCGGTTTCCCGATTTAGAGAAAGGGGAGTGACTGTAGCAGAAAAGGGAGTGACGGTAGAAAGTTTCTCGTCTTTTCATATGTTCTTTCCCCCCTCTTTTGGATAATTACAGAGAATGCAAGAAATAATCTGTGTTTTTGCAAGAGGCCTGAGCGATCGCATTCCGAGACCAACACTTGGTAACTGTAGCCTGTTTCCTCGTAGTCGGATTCCCACGTAATAGAATCATGGGGATTATACTTCGAATTACCTGTTAGTTCCAGACTATTCAGAGGAACCGATTGTGCAATGCTAACAAGCTCGTCGGCAAATGGAAGCGGGTGAAATAAACATTTGGCGGGGTCCTTGGCAACTGACAGGTTGATGATAGGATTCTCGGCAAAGTCCGCGCCAATTTAAGCATGCGCTATCTTTCCCAACAATGGCGTGATGGCATGCTCCGATTTGGACTAGAAAAGAATTCGATACGCTGTTCATGATGAGATTTTTTTCATCGTGAGATATCAAGGATATGTACCAAAGTACATACACTCCGAATTTCGCAATGGAAAAGACTCCCCACATTCAGAACGCGACAGTGCCAGTGACGAAGAATACGGACATTGAACGTTCAAAAGAAATTCTGGCAGATGCCCCAGGTTTAGAAACAAGGCGACAGAAATGGTATGAATGGTTTGCGCCCACGGACACGCCAGCGGAGCGTCGTCTGATCCTCAAACTAGATGGATTGATCATCGTGTTTGTGTTTCTGGCATACTGGGCGAAGGTGTTGGACTCGTCGGCTACGAGTACGGCGTATGTGAGTGGCATGAAAGAGGATCTCAAGCTCTATGGGAATCAGTTGAACTATTTGAATACCGTGTATTAGTATGGGCTTCTCATCCGGTCGCAAGGGTTGTTTTGACTAACTTCTGTAGTGTTGGATTCATCGTCATGCAAATTCCGTTGACTCTTCTGGTGAGTCATGAAAAGTAACGTGGTTCGAACCAAATCTGACCCTTTGTATAGATGACTCGCTGTCCAGTCAATTACTTCTTACCTGCAGCTGATCTGCTGTGGGGTGTTTTCACTCTTGCACAGTATAAGGTTAGCACTATAACTCAACTTTATGCCCTGCGTTTCTTTGTCGGGGCCCTTGGGGGCTTCTTCTTCCCTGCGGTGCAGTGGTATCTTGGATGTTGGTATAAGCGGTCGGAACTCTCACGCCGAGGGGCCATCTTCTTCATTGCCAGCCAGGTCGGCAGCATGAGCTCGGGATACATCCAGGCCGGAGCTTACGACCAACTGAATGGAAGATTTGGGCTAGAAGGATGGAGATGGCTCTATATCATCTGTAAGCTGTGAAAGTGACTTGAAGCTGAAGCATAACTGACGTACCAGGTTTCGCGTGCACGGTTCCAATTGCGTTCCTTGGACTCTGTCTCCTGCCCAGTACCCCTGATAAATGCAATTCCAGGTTTTTGACTGCAGACGAAATTCAACTTGCGCAAGAACGCATGGCATCTGAGAACAGAGAAGCACGTCAACCTTTCACCTGGTCGGGAATTATTCGGATTCTCAAAGGCTGGCGACTATGGGTGCTAGTCGCGTTTGCCTTCTTTTTCAGTCAGGCAGACGGGGTCTCCTCAAATAGTGGTCTTTCCCTGTGGTTAAAGGCCGAAGGTTATTCTGTGGGGAAAATCGACACGATCACCACCGTCTCACCAGCAGTCACAATTGTTGCCTCGGTGATCTGCGCTGTGTTCTCAGACATTTACGATGCAAAGGCCAGCTTGATCGCAATTACTGCCGTGTTGAACATTTTTGCTTGTGTAGTACTCGCTATATGGAATGTCCCTAATGGCTTGAAGTTCTTTGCTTTTTTCCTGTCCGGCACGGCAGACGGCATTGCGGCTATTATCTATGCATGGGCCAATGAGATCTGTGCCCATAACGCCGAAGAACGTGCACTGGTGATCAGTGCTATGAATACGATTGGAAATACCTTCGGGGCTTGGATTCCTCTCTTGTAAGAAGAATGATCTATTTGGAAAGAAAACTCAGACTGACCGCAGATCTTTTACGTTCTAGTGTCTGGAAGACAGTGGATGCGCCTCGTTACCTCATCGGGTACAACTGGACGATCGCACTTGACGTATGCATGTTAATCATGCTGGCAGTACTTCATCATTTCTGGGTAAGGGAGCAGAGATTGACTCGTGCATAGAGTAATTTATGGGGTAAATGCATTGGTACTTTTGATGATTTTGGCACAATTCCAAATGGGCCTTACAGTACACCACAGGATCGGTAATCTTTAGCCAAAGTTTCGGGCCGAGACATATGTCTGCACGGAGTACAGTTGCCGCAATCTCATTCGATCTCGGGAAGAAATGAATCAAATCAAATCAATATTACCCCTGATCTTATTCCATTGGACCGAATCCCCTGTGAACCTTACAACCGGTTTTCGAGGATTGCTCTAACAAAGAGAACCAAATGCAAATTTCAAAATATAGAGAAAGAATGAACCTATTGAAGATTCTGACCAGGATTAACTAGGATAATCATGGTCAACCCACAATATAACTGGAACCTGGTAACCGGGCACAGGTTATGGAGTATAACGTATCTCGGGCAAATATCCACTATGGGACATTCCACTATGATGATCTCCACCATGTTCGATTTACACGATTGTGACTCGTGTGCTACACGTCTGCTACGGGTCAAGTATTTCTAATAGAATTTTACGCGTCAATTGGCTCAAATTTGAAATTTTTTAATTCACTATCGGCCCATCACCAATACCTACGGACTTACAACTTCATGCATAGCAAGCACATAGTAATTAACATTATATCACATTATATCAAGTATAGTGTTGATCTAATTGATCGTTTGATCGTGCCTAAAGCAGAGAATTGCTGACAAAGAGGTTTCCTAGGTGGGGCATCGGGGAGGAATCAATCTTGTTTTCGTAAGACTGAATCAATAGTGCCGCTGATCGATGCATGCTAAGAAATAACTGAATCCTGGGGCTACGAAACCTACACCTATCAGAATCAACGGCTTCCCGATCAAGTCGATTCCTCGAGTGGTCCGATTAGACCCACGATGGGGCCGGAACGTTCCTCCACTCGGATCCCTTCGCAACCTAAATCTCCTCCACTCTCGATCTACAGGGGACCATCACAGACCCAGTCTTGCATGTGCAATTGAACCAACACCATGGCCCAGGAATACAAAATCTCCGCCTCGGCCTCGGCCTTGCTGCGCTGCAGCAACGCTCTCCAACTTCCTACACTCTTTGAGCTCTCGTCATTTTCCCTGCAAATCAACGCAGTCCCTTCGTTATGGGTTCTGAATTGGGTGTTACCGCTCACTCAAAGGCAGCGGCCAATTCAAGTCCAGTGGCTATCTGGTGGGCCTGCTGGGGCTGTATATGGACGCTCTTCGTCGCCTTGGGTGTCGCCTACCTGATTGTACATCGAGATTCGCCAACAGTTCGAATCCGAGGCTTAGGCCTCACACTATCCGCCGTTTTCTTTCTTCATATCTATTTCTGGTCGGTTCAATGGGGACTTATGATAAGTACGCTTATGCCGGGAGACGCCATGTACTGGATCATGGGTACCTGGTTGCCCATTGGCATCTCTCTTTTCTACGCCTCCAACGGTCGTTTCCTCCATATTGCAAAGCTTCAAAAAAAATACGCCAATCCTTGCAACCGCCTCTCTATCAAATCCAGCCTGCAGAACAAGGCCGGCTTAGTTGGTCGCTTCCAGCGTCTTGACTATTCCTCGAAAAGTTTCATTGTTGTCGGTGTTGCAATGTTCATACAGGTTGGAGACCCTTCAATTGTATCGTTCGATTTGTGAACTAATTGGTGGCATTACTAGATTTTCCTTACCATCTTAATGTACATCATCTCTCGCAGATTCCATGACTCCTGGGGTATTCCTGGCACCGAGGTCCACGGTACTCCCATGGAGGTGAAGTCAGCACAAGGCAAAGGCTGGGAATGGTAAGAGCACCCGAGAAAATCTCTTCGTTTTCATGAAACAACATGAAACAACTAACACGAAAGATAGGTGGCCTGGTGTCCTGTCACAAGTCTTCTGGTGCTGGATTGTCGCTCCCTTTATTCTCTGGAAGGCCCGGGATATACATGATACCCAGGGCTGGCGAACTCAGACCATTGCCTGTGCGATTGCTGGTCTTCCCGCGACCCCTCTGTGGCTCTGTGGAATCTATGTTGATGCCATGGCCCCAGTAAACACGGTTTGGCTTCCTCCGCAATGGTTTTGCCTCTCTATCACCGTCATGGAAAGCTTCACCATCTTTCTTCCCTGCTGGGAAGTTATGCACCGCCAGGCTCTTCGTAAGGAGACCCTCGATGCGATCGCACAATGGGAGGCACGGAATAATACCGGCGGCGAGGCCAAGTCACTCGGCTCCGGTCCCACCATGGTCGAATCTATCTTGTCTGGCTGGAAGTCCACCAAGGGCTCCGTGCGATCCAACGCCTCCAATGAGAGTATCCTAACAATGAGTGCTCTTGAGTATGTTCTTGAGCGCAACCCAGGCCCTCTCCAGGAGTTCTCTGCTCTCCGCGAATTCTCAGGAGAGAACGTCGCCTTCCTCATCGCTGTGGCCGAGTGGAAGAGCTCGCTGTCCGTAGCTCTCCAGGACAAGACCGCCCCTCGCGATGAGAAGATCAGGGAGTTGATGCGTGATCCTTTCAACCGCGCCTTGCATATTTACGCCGAGTTCATTAGCCCAAGCCACGCCGAATTCCCAGTGAACCTCAGCCATCAGGTCCTGAGGAAACCGGAGCAGATATTCGAGAAACCCACCGCTCTCCTCTATGGCGAGCGTGAGGACCCTGAGCCCGCCACTCCGTTCAGAGAAACTTTCAACTTGGATTCACCTGTATCCCCTCTCACGGGGGACTCGGAGAAGGGTTTCAGTGACTCGATAAGTGAGATTAAGAACCTTGTGCAATATTGGGGAGAGATTCCTGCCGATTTCGACGCGTCCGTGTTTGCCGAGGCCGAGGCAAGTATTAAATACCTTGTTCTCACAAACACATGGCCGAAGTTTATTCGCGACCATCGAGCTTCAATTGGCTCATCTGCTTCTTTGGCTGGTGAGAGTGTCGTTCGTCTAGCCGATGAACGCTCCAATAAACCGACATAATGCCTACATGTAGACATGTATTATTCTGGATACATATACCCGAACGATCTCTATATAATTTTTTTATCCCACTTCAATTCAATCTTAAATTCTCTATTTGATGAAACTTGAAACCTAGCTTAGCAGGAAAATGCTAAATAGTGTATGTAGGAGCTACTCCTACCTACGTATGTACCCAAGTGTGTATGAGTAAAAATTGTCCCTGAAACGATTTTGCAGAAATCTAGGTATATAATATTTGAGGATGCAAAGTCCAGTGAGTCATTACCTTATATTTATGTACAGGCGATGTACGTGTGTCCCGCATTTTCCGCATTACCCGATGCTTGGCTTAAGATTGATGCCTCTACTACCCGCGTAGCTCGGTTGATATGCGATATTGATGATTTGACTCCGGGGCCGATGTACCTAGTTAATTACTTGTTGGGATATGATTCAGGTGACGACCTAAAATTTTTCCAAAGTCAGTTGACTTGATCGTCCAAGTATGTGAACATTCTGACCTTCAAACAGTTGAACATATATATAAGACTGGCATTTACACTTGACTGTAGCCTGGGCGCAATTCCATGTTTTACGTTGGAACACCTGTCAATTTGAAGTCATAATAAGCTCAATGTCAATCCTTAGTAGCATTCCATGAGTCCTCCGAGTAACTAGAAGTTTATCTGATCTATCCAAACGCTAGTTACACAGTGATGCATACAAAGCGACTTTGTGCCTGAGGCACCATGATTCACGCTATTCCCCATGCGGAAAGGTAGTGTGTGGTGGATCCGGGGCGGTCTAACCGTCCCAAGGGGGATTAGCGCGTGCAGTCCGGTTAGCTTAAAAAAACTTCGATTTGTGTTTTCACACTTTCCCTTTCCTCCATCAGTGTACATTCCATTGCAATAAAATGTCTTTTGCTTGGACTGCGACACAACTCTTCAAGACGACAACGCCTGCAGCTCACTAACACGAGTCTGTCTGGCAGAAACTCAATTATGGTAAGTCATGATCTCGGTGAAAAAATTTCTTCCCCAACACGAGCATCATCTTTATGATGAAACCTATAACCAATTCAAACTAGAGTCTTTGACCCCTTCAGGGAATGAAACTTCTGTTATTGCACGTCAGTCTGAGCTACTCACGCTCGTCTTGATTATTTTCACTACCAGTCGTCGAGATTTACAGAGAGCTAACTTTGACCTCTTAGAACTAACCAAATCATCAACCCTTTGCAGACTCCCAATTGCGTCAACTTTTGTAATGGTAAGTTGCTTTGCTTTTCTACACAATCACACTTCCCCCTTTTTCATGATGAACGCATTTAAGACTGGAAATTACCGTCCAAGGCCCCCGGGTCTCTGACGACAACCAAGGCTTGTCTGAACTTTTAATATCTTCCACATTTTTGTTTCGAACTTTGCTTTTGAATCATAAGCTAACTGGAATAAAGATAGATGGTAAGCTTGTCACCCACGACTACCCAAATATCCCTCACGTCCGAAGATGAAACGGCACTGGGCTCCGACGGACAAAAGTTCGGTCATGACGGAGATGCCCTTTTTGCGGCAGGCCTAGAAAACCTCGCCCACTGAGACATATCTCATGAATCTCATCGACTCACACATGACTTTGTGACGGGTTGCTAATCAACTCGTTCAGTATCTCGTCCTGACCGACTTGACTCGATCTCGTAGAAACCCCAAAAAGGTAAGCGGTTACTTGGTTTTTTGTCTTTTTCTGTCATTGCCCTATCTTCTATGATGAATCCTTTAGATGACGAGTCTTATCGGCGTTTGCCATGCAGACAACATCTTTTTAATACCATTCATGCCTTTCTGAAATTGTTTTTTCTTTCTCACGAAATTTTGCATACGAAATCTTGCAAACAGTGACTAATTTGTCCTGTCAGACAGTAATATCTTTGAACAATCGTCTCAGCTTCGGGCTTGCCATACCGTAGGTGTATGTCACACTGTCTCCTCCCCACCCATATCATTTTTCATGATGAATCGACGAAAACAAAAGACAAGCATATGTCCGAGCCACTGGCTTTGACGAGATCGTCATGCCTGATCAATCACAAATCGATTTCCGATTGTCTGCCATCCATTCAGTGCTCGATACTGATGGGTCTTGAATAGGATCGACAAAATTGATCACATGACACTAGCGATCGCTCTCTTGCTAATGTAAGTTTGACTTGGCTTGTCTTTTTGCTCGCACTTTGTCTTTTTCTCTTTCTACATGATGATTTACTTTATTATCACGACGGTCAACATAAGGAATTTTCTAATTGATGACCACCGCCTGTGACAGGGCATATTATCTGACACTTTCTTTGCAATTTTTCTTTGTCAAATCACGTTCTTTGGGAATCCCATACTAACGCTGAATTCAGTGAACAGGGATTTTTTTCAGCCTCGTTGTGCCGGTCTCCGATCGAGCTTCATTGCAGAAGCCCACAAGGCCCCTTTAGTGTGCAGTAGTTACAATTCAAATGATTATAAATGCAAGCTATACCCAAAGTACCTCCATTCAATTCATCGACCAGTTGAACGAAGTAAATCCTGCAGCGTACATCCTCATGTATGTTTTATTTTAGAAATCCCTGCTTAATCCTTGTCGATTTATTTCTGAAGGAAGAAGCCGATGAAGCCAAATCCCCGAGCTTGATGTGCTGAGGACGTTCATTCGTTGTTGAACTGGTCAGTGGGTGTGGGGCCCAGCGGTGTTGGACCTGTCAGCATCGACGATAAGCGCTGAACCTGGGCCGTGTGTGATGAGACCCTTCAAGGTGCATATGAGGTTCCCCGCCTCGGCCACAACTTCCCATGACCGCTATGGCTCTGCCGCAAGGTCTTTGTGGTTCCAAATATAGCTCATGCCCCCCTCTTCTCCCCTGTGGATAGCGTGCCATTCGCCTGGGTCCGCACTAATTGGCCCTACGGACTAGGGTTTGGTTGAGTTCGCTTTCTTCAAGCTTTCTTGTATTGCAATCATCAAATTTGGCTCCTCGTGTCTCTTTCTTTGCTTTTGTCTTTGTCTCTGTTTTCACGATTCCATATCTTGATCTCCTGGGGACTATCATGGCCTTAAGTCAGACCGTGTGTTGATGGGTGTATAGACCCAGGATGAACAGGTATGGTAGCATGCTTGCGCCTGTGAACTTTTCAGTTTGCAATGTATCGAGGATTCATGTTGATCGCTTGTTTTTAGTTGGATGGCTTCAAATCATGCAGGCGACGAGCAGCAGTACACAGGCTGGTCGTCGACCGCTGCCAACAGTAATCAACCGTCACCAAATCGTCGAGACCATGCAGTGCAGCCACCTTTGTTGACGACTGCATTAAGCGGTCTTCAATTCCACCATGGAACAACCCCTTTATCATCAACTTCCCTCTCGAGTCCTTTTATACATACCCACTCTCCACTCGTTTCATCTCCGGCAAACCCCAGATCCACATCGTCTTCTAGACAGCCAGCGAACTATAGCGTCCCTTATAATCCACAGGATTGGGGCCCTGTGGGCCTTGCTGCTGCGCAAGCTCAATACCCTCATTCCGGCAGTCAGATTCGACCTGCGCCCCAGCAGAGAACCGAGACAGGTTGGTTTCTCTGTCGTGTGATCTATAGTTCGGCAGGCTTTATATTGACGAAACGTAGATGAGTCCTTATCACCACCACCTCCACCATACTCACCTCCGAGCAATCAAAATCGATTATCACAAGGGACCTTTGCATCTCCCAATCCTAATGTTTCAGTACCGCCTTCGATAACACCACCACATAATCCTCCGATTCCTTCAAGAAATGGCGATTTTAATGCAAGTTCCGAATATCCACGACGTTCGGCGCATCGCCCTCGTCCACTTTCCATGGTCTACACAACCGACACTGAGTCTCGCCAGTTACCACCTCCGCCTCCACCACAGGGTCAATCGGGATCTAGATCTGTGTCACACAGTCGACTCGATGGAAACCAGGGTGTACCCTATTCCGCTCCATCCCATTCCAGGAATCGAGTTTCGTCTTATGAGCAGGCCATTCTGTCCCCAGCTATAAGAGACCAATTACCAGGACCATCGTCTGGTCAATTCGAAGCACCATCGAGACCACCTGCATCGCGTAGAGCTGCCTCCGCAGGTGCAGTGGTGAGCAGCGCAGGTCCCTCGAGGGACCAAAGTCAAACAAGAAATCGATCTCCATCAAATAGTGGTTGGGCTCCAGGTATGCCACTACCACCGCCACCACCAGGCCCACCTCCTACTGTGCGGTCTGTCAGTGTGAGCGGATCATCAGAGTCATCTTCTGCGAGAACACCTCAAGGCCCGGTCAGATCTAGAGCTCGACCGCCACCTTTAATGGGAACTGGCCTGGGTAGTATCCCACCTACACCTGCTGACTGGGTGGATGAAGAATACTTGAAGAGCAGGCCAAGCCGAGATGCTGAGCCACTGCATATTGACACCACCAAAGCGATGGCAACATCTGATCAAGCCGAATACCTTGACTCCAACGGTAAACCGCGCGAATTTCAGAGAACTCCAGGGAGTGGTGGTCTTTTCCGCAGCCCGGCTGTCCGTGATCCAAGTGCTAAGGGTATTCGTGAAAGGCGAATCGAGCGCCGGAATCGACAAAGCCATACGTTTGACGATATGAGTGCTATTTCCTCCAGCGGGAATCCTTGGGCCGATGCTTTGGAACAGATTAAACCGACAAATCTGGTTTTCCCTGAAGCGAGAAACTCACCCGACCCAACACGCCAGCCCTCAGCATCAAGGTTTACTCCCAAAAGTTCACGGAGCCTTCCCTCAGACGGGCAGTTCACGACCTCGCGGTCTCGGGCAAGTTCTGGAGGCCTTTTCACCGACCAGTCATCGTACTCAACACCCAAACTGGACCAAAGTCCGGATTCTGGACCCAGTGGGCCATCAGCTGCATTCACGCAGACGCCTCCTTTTTCGCCAAATGGCAGCTCCTCGTCCGCTCAACCTAAAGAGGCGCCTCAGCCGATACCGCCAAAAGCTTTGCCTACCCCTCCACTGGGTTCTGGCAGAGAGTTCCACCCTCAGCCTCGTCCTCGGGGTTCATCAAGAGGGCCAGAGGATCGCCCAATCTCGCATATTCTGCATATGCCGAATGATGCTCTTGCTATGATGAAGCCACTTTCACCACGTCGAGTTCCCCTGCAAGGGGCCCCGCAGCAGGCTTCCTTGGAATCCATCGTCAAACAAGACACTGATTTTATGCAAGATGCCATACAGCGGCACCGAAAGTTTATCGAGGATGAGGCCGCTGCTCCAAACGATGCCGAAGCCCTCAAAATTTTCACGCAGTATATGATCGCCGAGTCGCAAATTCGGCGTAGACGGTATGCTTCCATCTGGGAATCTGAGTCATTTGACGCCGAAATCGTGCATAGCAAGCTATTTCAAGTACCTCCCGTTCAACCTAGCATGCAGCCTGCAAAAAAGGCAGTCAGGCCTGCCCCAATGCTGGAAATCCCCCCAAATCGACCCGGTAGACCGGATTCCGCATGGTGGAATAACTACCAACCCTGCTTGTCACCCATCGCCAGTCTCAATATGAGCAACGATGAGAGCTCGCGAGGTCGTGCCCCCAGCCGCTGGTGGGAATCAAAGACTGGATCCAGTAGCGAAGGGGATGGAAGGCGAGTGCAGCGCTCCAAGCGTGAATCAAAATACATGGGATTAGCTCGAGACGCCATGCAGTGGGACCAGGAACGGACCCCATCTAGGCTTGATGATGCGGGAGCGAACTATACAGACGAGTACGCAGCTTATGGTCCAGATGAATATCCGCCAGAGAAAGTTGGATGGCATGGAAACGAGAACGATCATTCCAGTGCAGGTACTGAGGGTCGATATGAAGAGTTCATTGGAAACCAGAAGTTAGATATATCGCGGCTGGTCACTCTTCCCCCGCCGTATCCACGCCACTACCCTGCGGTCAACAATGGACATCCAGATCTTGTATCGTATCGAACCACGGTTCGATCTATCACCGATATTTCTGAGATCAAGTCCACCAGACAGCGATATCAGATGGATGTTGAGAGGATGACCAAGGAGAATCAGGAACAAGTTCAAGAGGGTCGTCGCCATTTTAAATCTAATATCCAAAGTCAGATCCAAGAAGGTAGTCTCACCTTTGCGGAGGCTGCTGAGGCCGAGGCTGCCATGATAGTTGAAGAACGGAGACGCGAAAGTGAACTAGCAAAGCGCCAGCTTGACTCCTATCAAAAGATGGTACTGAAGCCAATGCATTCTATCATCACGGATCGTATCGACAAAGCAACATCCTGCATTGATGAATTGAGAAGTAAACTTTTCGACGACGCACAGCACGAGACCCCTGATCAAACGCAAGAAGAAGGCGACGAGAAGCCTGAGCTATTGGAGAAGCTCACACAGCTCAAGTGGCTATTCGAAGCACGCGAGCAGCTTCACCGAGAAGCATTTGATCTTGTGAGAGAGCGAGATGAGAAATACAAAATGGTCGCTCTATTGCCATACCAGCAAAGCAATAACGAAGAAAAACTCCGCGAAACGCAAGCATTCTTCTCGAAAGATGCCTTGGACCGACGTGTACAATTTGAGACCGAGGCATTTTCCCGCCTCGAATCATTCTTGGATGTCATTGAACAGAACGTTGTCCGGGGTGTTGAGAAGCAACTATCAGCCTTCTGGGATATCGCGCCCTCGCTCCTCGCTTTGGTACAGCAAGTTCCTGAAAACCTGCATGGCTTCCAGGTCCAGATCCCGGCAAATGAGTATGAAGAAAACCCAAGCTACCATGCGCATCCGCTGCAGTATCTCTACTCGCTGCTCTCACATGCCGAAAAGTCTAGTTACCAGTACATCGAGTCCCAGACGAATCTTCTCTGCTTGTTACATGAGGTCCGGTCGGCCATGATGCGAGCTAATCGCAACCTTATGGAAGCAGAAAGGATCAAGCGGGGAGAGTCTGAAGAGACAGTTCGTAAGATTATGGAAATGACGCGCACAGATGAAGAGGTCTCTCTGACTACGGATCTGAAGGACAAAGTGGCTACTGTTGAAGGACAATGGACAGAGGCTCTTGGAAGCCAAATTGAAGTGCTGCGGGGGAGAGTGAAAGAACAGCTCATAAGTGAAGATGCATGGGAAGACCTAGAGAGACTGGAGCAGGAGTAGGTCATCCCAACTCACCGGCAGTTGAATGATTCTTCTTTTCTACATACATATTTTAGCCTGAGATTTGTGATATCCCCATTCGTTCGTTGTTTACCGGGTTTGAGTACAGAGTATATTCAATTCAGTGGACCTTTATTTTCAAATGTAATCATTTCATCAATCAAGTATTGACAAGTGAGGCATTTAGGGGTAACGTAGTGTAAGTGTGTCTAATAGAGGTCCACTGTATCACGTGACTTCTCCTTCTAGAGTGTTCCGTCCCAATCGTACAAATATCCGTCACTCTTCTCTTCCTTTTCCCTTCCTCATCTACCTTCAATCACTCCGTCCAGTAGTTTATCTGGACTTCTCTTGAAATTGTGAGTATCTCTGGTCTTTTACATTGCATTACACCCTTGCAAGGATAATTTTATCCTTTACCCCGGGCCCTCAACCCCTCATGGGGCTTGAGCTATCCTGGGTCTGCTCAAATGATGAGATTCAAGCTGGCACCAGTCAGACGACGATGGAATTGTTCCCATTGTCTATGCTGATCAGTATACCGTCCGGCATACGCAGCCGTGACCTGATATTTGTTGCACAATTGCTTTGCGCAATTGATTCCGCTTTCCTTCTACCACGTGAAATTTCTGCGATCATCGCTAACATACAATTTCTTGAAGAACCTTATAGACCCGGTTGGAATATTTCCGCAGAGAAGAGAATTGAAGGAGAAGCAGCGAATTCGCAACTTTCTCGCACAAATCACCCAAATCAGAGTTTTCTTTTTCCAAGTTTAATAGTCCCACATTCATCATGGTTCTCCACAACCCCAACAACTGGCACTGGGTGAACAAGGACGCCTCTGGCTGGGCCAAGGCGTACCTTGAAGAGCACCTGACTGTTATCAGTGCTGAGGAAGGGGGCGTGTCCGCCAAAGTAGACAAGGTTGTGTCGATGAATGGCGACGTAGACGTCAGCCAGCGCAAGGGCAAGGTCATTACCCTGTACGATGTCAAGCTGTCTCTAGAGTATTCAGGTTTGTAGAAATCCACTCGAATTCGAGCAATGGCAGCTGAGACTGTTTATAGGTAAGACCAAGGACGGCGAGGAGGTCACCGGTTCCATCAACATCCCCGAGGTAGCCCACGATACCGAGGAAGATGAGTACGTCGTATGTTTCCCTTGTACCCCGAAGTTCTCCTTGAAAATATAGGAGAGCTCATTTAGAACTTTGCGCAAGAATTGCTCGAAACTAATGCCGAATTTGCTGTTAGTTCGAGATTGAGAACTACGCAGATGCCTCCTCCAAGGCGCCTGTAAAGGACCTTGTCCGCTCGAAGATCCTCCCTCAACTTCGCGTGGCCCTCGCCAAGCTCACCGGTGCTCTCATTACTGAGCACGCAAAGGACCTCCAACACGCTAAGGACCAAGACTCCTCCCGCGGTTTCACTCCAGCTCCCGTCTACCCCCAGACCCCCAAGCCCCAGGCTGCCCCGGCTACCGCCACCACCACCACATCCTCCGACAAGGTCGCCGTCAATACCACCACTGTGACAGCCTCGGATGAGTTCCGCACTACCGCCGAGGAGCTCTATATCACCTTCACCGACCCGCAACGCCTTGCCGCTTTCACTCGCGGTGCCCCTCGCCAGTTCGAGGGCGCCCATGTTGGTGGCAAGTTTGCCATCTTCGACGGCAACGTGACCGGCGAGTTCGTTAAGCTTGATTCCCCCAAGCAGATCGTGCAGAAATGGCGTCTGGCTCAGTGGCCTGCCGGTCACTTCAGTACCCTTGAGATCAACTTCGACCAGAACAACGTCGATGGCGTGACTCAGCTGCGGGTCGAGTGGTCCGGTGTCCCCATTGGACAGGAGGATGTCACCAAGCAAAACTGGGATGTGTACTACGTCCGCAGCATGAAGCAGACTTTCGGGTAAGCTCTTCTTCTCTCCTTTATATCCATTCCCTTATCCAGCTCCGTCCCCTTGGTCTTTGTTCTTTGTCATTTTGACCAGCGGGTCGTCTACATCCAGATTATCGACTTCCAATTCCTTACGAAACAATATACTAATGACTTTCCTTGTGATTCTTCTCGCTATAGGTTTGGCACTATTCTCTAAACAACTTGGCCAGAGTTCAAAAGCTATCTGGTAAATAGAGAACAGATGAACGTGCCTGTCGAGTCTTGATTATTTCACGCCCTACAGCACGGAAAACCACGAAAAAGATGAGAAACGAGAGCATAAAGTGTATTGATGTTTACAACTAGAATCCGAGGACCTATGAAATTTACGAAAATGACCACTTTCAAAACCAGAATAGACTGTGGTAGGCTCATGGGTACAATTTGTATCTGTGGCCCATACAGGTCAACAAAGTGGGGTATGTAATAAAGTACAAAATTTTAATGAAAAATATGCTTAATCCATTGAACGTAATGTACGAGAGCCAGCGGTGAACCGGAATTTTCTTTCATAACATTGAGGTATCTCGCTGATCCTGTCCAAGGGCATGACAACCTTGGAAAGCAACAAAGCAGTGTGTCCAAGCCATATCATCTAGAGCTCTACTCCGTCACCAGCAGCAAGCTTAGAATCGAAGTTTCAACCATGCAGTTCATCAAAGAACATTCCGACTTACCAGTGACTCGAGCCTATGCGTACGAAGCTGACGATAATCACCCGGTAAAATGCTCCTATACAAGCTTATAGTTCTACTTCACAAACAAACTAGACAGAACCTACACACACAAACCCAAACAGCAGTCAACAATTAAGCGTACCTGAATCAGTACTCTCGAAGTACTATCAATGAACGGCTTCGTGTACTGTACAAGTCTCGATGCAAGATGTCCTGCGCTGTGTATACTTCTCCACTTTCATCCACACCCACTTTGGTAACAAGGTCAAGTCCTAGAATTTGACCGTAACTAGATATTACTTGGCAGTGATTGAGTGGGCTTCAATTTCCAATATCTCTCTACTATCTAAGAAGAGGCATGTGGAAAGAAAGGCTACACTAGTAGGTAATTATACTAGGTTTGGAAGTGGAACCGGCGGTTTTTAGAAACACCTAATCACGATTCTATATCATCATTTGTACTTTTAGCTGATTTCTAGCTTTTACACGAGCTAAACACACTTAAAGGGTACGCTCAATCAGCTCAATGCCGTAATCCTCCTTGAGCTCCTTGATGAGAGGAGCACAGATATCCATGGTCATGGGAGCGATGACACCCTGAATTCAACAAATTAGTCATTTTAAGCTTATCAATAAAACGCTAGTGAGTTACAAAACGTACCTTCTGGGAGATGGTGCCGTTAAGAACCTGCTTCACGGCAACACCGCAAGGAACGCCAACTAGGTACATCCGTTAGTATGTGATTTTTATTCTTTCTTTTCCAAAGGCAGAACTCACCGAGCTTAGCCATGGCGGAGTAACCGGCAGGGTTACCGTACTCGCACAGGGTGGAGGTGCGGGTCTCCTTGGAACCATCGGCGTTCTCAATATCGAACTTGTGCTGCAGCATGACCATGTCACGCTCGCCCTCCTCGTACTGCATCTTCTTCTCGAGGACAGCACAGAGGGTGTCGAGGGCATTGCCACGGGGGGTGATGAGCTCATCGGAGAACAGACCAATCCAGCGGAAACCGTTGATGATACGGTCACGCTCCTCGTTGTTGGGGAACTGAGTCTTGGACTGGATAGCCCAGGCGAGGTCCTTCTCGGACGAAGAGGTGGCGCCCAGAAGCTGGCGGGTGGCCTCCTTCCAAGGAACAGCACTGTCAAAGACGGAGTTGGGCTCGTCCTTCAGGAAACCAGTGTCGACAAGCACCTTGACGAACTCAGGGAATCCTTGGAAGCGCAGAGTACCGCGGATAACGGTCTGGGCCTCGGGGATACCGTAGCGCTCGCGGAAGGAAGTGGAATCACGGTTGGGGTAGCCGACGAAGGCGAAGCCGGGGAGAATGTAGTAGGGCTTGGCATTGGCCATAAGGTCAGGGCCAGCGATGTCAACAACCTTGCCATCGCGGTAAATGCGAGCAGCGTTGCGCAGAGCCAACAGGACACCACTAATAATAATTAGACTTGCCACTCAATATGCAATATAATAATGTTTGTTCGTACCGGCTGCTCCACGAGAACTTGTATCCGAGAGGGTTTCCACTGGCCTCGGGGGCAGGCTAATTAATCGTTAGTCTGTCTTAGGGCCCGCGGGCATTTTGTATTCAAACTTACGAGACCACCTATCCAAGATCGTTAGTCTTTGTCAATGGGTGAGATATAAAAAAGACTTACCGCAGAAAGAGACAAAGCCAGTAACCTTAGCGCCAGCAGCGTGGGCTTCGGCGATAGCCTTAACAGCGTAAAGGTGGTCGATACCGGGGTCCAGACCAATCTCGTTCATGACAGTGATACCAGCGGCCTTGGCCTCAGCATCAAGCTCCTCCATGGCGGGCGAGACGTAGGAGGTGGTGACGACATGCTTCTTAGTACGAATGGCCGACTTGATGACAGTGGCGTGGAAGGCTATTATAGCGTGAGCAGCCGTCTTTTACATCACAAATAGGCAGAGGTTTATACTGACTGTAGGGAATCAAAGAAATGACAAGGTCAACCTGAATCGTTGTTGTCAGTTTGTCATTCCGGCCGCTACCAGGCATATGGTCCTTACCTCGCTCATAGCCTTGTCAAGAGCAGCATCATCGCTGACATCGAGGGCAATGGCCTTGGTGTGCTTGAAGCCAGCGGCAAGCTTCTTGGCGCTGTCAAGGGTACGGCAAGCTGTTTCAATCAGAATTACGATCAGCTACCATGTTGCGGCGGTGTGCAGAGAGGTATGTTCGAGCTGTCGCGGAACATGGCGGGGTCGGCGATGCCAGGGCAGGGATTAGAGGTATTACGGGGTCAATGGCACGTACCGACAGTAACCTGAACGCCAGCCTTGTCAAGGACATCGACAGTGGGCTTGGTGACTAGAGAGAATCAATTATGTGAGCCAGTGAACCCTTATATAATGTTGGCGCGGAGGCGGCATTGCGGGGCAGCCAGAGAACAGTCAGGCATTGGGCGTTGGAAGGGGAGAGTAACATACCGAAGCCCGAGCCCAGAAGGAGGACCTTAGATCCAGCAATTTCAGCGACCATCTTGAATTGAATTGGGAATTAGATAGTTGGGGAATTAGAGTCGTGGAGAACTGGAACTTTCCCTGTGTGCTTGAGTCACCTCGTCACGTGGCCGGTATCGGCGCGGGGGTTTAGTAATGTGGATTCGGGGTCTAGATTAGGCAAGAGGGATTATAGATAAGAAAGATGTTTTTTAGACTATATAACCATAGTGTAAGGTGTATCAAAAAGAAATGCTGTTGATGCTGCTGGGATATATGAACACAGGGATCAAGTCTCATACTCCAAACTCCGTTGAATGCTAGAAAGAATACAGCAAAGAGAAACAAAACAGGTGAGCGGAGCGCTAAACAGCTTTCACCTTGCTCTGTCGCAATATCAGGGTGTCTAGATCCTCTTCGCTGGATTCTGTGTGATCACCAGCAAAGTTCCCCTCGGCATCTGGATTCTTTCGTGCCTTGGATATGCGGCGCTGCCACCCAAGCAACACTGGCAAGAAATGCCACAGATCAAATTCTGGCCACAAAACGTCCAAGAAAACAATTTCAGTGCTCTCCTGACACTGCCAGAGCATAAAGTCGCTCAACCGCTCCACAGCTGATGTTCGCACAAGGAGATCCAAGGGCGGGTTACCCTTGGTCAACATATGATCGTTCAGGGTTTGGCGCGTGATAGTTTCGGGCGACATGAAATTTGGCTTATCGCCATGAGATATATTTCCATTTCCAAGGGTACCATTCTTGTCAAGATGAAGAGTAGTGGAGGACGAGAATGAGGAGCCAGACTCATAGACTCGGTTGGTACGATCATTCCCCAGAATCGAATCGTCCTCCTGAGCAGAAGACTCCGCCGATGTAGACCCAGAGTCACTTTGCGAGTCTTGAGGTCTGGGTCCCTGCGATTGGGCCCGTATATTATGTCTGATATGGGATTCGGAGAAGGGGGTGCGAGGGACACCGTTTGTTCCAATTGGGGTACTGTAGTCTTCCACGGTGTCGCGGATAGCACCGGTGATCTCATCGCGAGAGGTGTAAGGGAAGCAAATGTTCAGCACACGGTCGCCGTTGCGGCTGGTAGCATCGACAGCTTTGTTGACGGCGGCTAGGACATCGGGCTTGAGGAGATCGAGTCGGCCAAGGACGCGCACCCTAGCACCATACCGGTCCAATAGGTCTCCGTGTTGGGCCATTTGTGACAGTTTCACCTTGGCCATATCCATCAGGGCATCCACCTCGAATTTTGAACGCTTAAAATTCTCAATGCTGAAGGCGTAGATGGTGACGACCTTGACTCCGCTCTTGTAACAGACCTCTAGAATCTAAAACAACGGTGGATATGAGTTAATGCGGACGAATATGTATCTGCGAAGCTTTACTTATGGCGCAGCTGCCGGCGTCTGCCGCTGGTCGGGGAACGGGATGGGGAGGACCTACCCTGGCCAGTGCTTCGAAACCAAGATTATGTCCTTCTACCGTCTCAATTCCATGCGATCGGGCGAATCGGCGGTTCCCATCCATCACGAACGCCACATGTTGGGGGATCGGGCCCTGGCGAAGTGCGCCAACCAGGAGCTCCTTGAGGTTCGATATGGCAAGCTCAATCGGCGGGGAGGCAAGGAACCATTTCCGAAGTCGCGACAAGTGCATTGAACCCGCCATGATGAACACGGACTAGACCTACCTCACACAGCTGGGTCAGGGAGGTTGGGGGGAAACGAAACGACTTTGATCTGAATTAAGGAAATATGGGCAGTAAAAGGATGTCAAGGCGGAAGAGGTTCGTATAAGCGGACGCGATGCAACGGGCGACGTGGTCAGTTACTCGGGCTAGACTGGACCATCAACTCTGTCCATTTCCGGGTTATGGAAGCATACAAAATCGAAAAGCCAACAGGTTGAGGCGATGCCAGGCTGCACTATTTTTAATTTATTTTACGAACTCTTGGCTGCCGACCTATGATGTTTGCTGTGTGGTGTATTGTATTCCGATTACTGTTTTACAGCATGTGAGAGGCTTTCAATGTGAAAATGTTTTTTTGAATTTCCCCAACCGTATCTTTGCCTTAGAATGCAAAGGAATCAACTCTCACCACTATAGTATTTTGATACTAGAGGCTTTTCGCCGCGCAAAATGCGCGGCGTCTAGAACAACAATTTTTTTAATTTTCCCATTTACCTATCCTTTCTCCTGCCATATCTCCCATCCTCTTTCATACCTTCTTCCCTACCTTACTATTTAAATAGCCTAAGTACTCTGCAAAATTATGAGTCACAGACTGCAAATAAGAAAATAGAAGTTGAAGGAGAAGGGAAGGAAATAAAGTCGGGGTTTCGAACATATGTTCAAAAAGTCTCACTCACATCTATTAGTACTGAACACTTCGCGTTGACGCCGTACACGCCACTAAAAGAAGACCCAATAGAGCGCGTTGCCCCACAATATCAGCTGTCCTATTGATATAAAAGGCCAATCATTTTACATTATTTCAACCTCCATACTGGCCTAGCTTCTTTGAATACAATATTCATGGATCTAGATGACATAGCACTTACCGGAGCGCAACTTGGTAGCCCTGAAGTTTTCGTATATGCTTAGTACAACGACCCTGATGTCAAGTTCGATTTTACTAGTGCTTAGATATGTGTTCAAAAATTTTTCTTGTCAAGGCAAGACAAGTGAAAATTTGTATAGGAGGTCACGTTTAGAACAAAACACATGGGATATCTCGTATATGCACAAGGAACAGAAAAGAGACAATTGTCCGACGCCCAATATCGCAGAACAAATAAGTACGGATCAGAATCAGAGTTCAAAAGTAGCTATCATAGCAGGTCATAGATCTTTTCGGTATTCGTCGCCGCTAGAAGGGGTTCTTGTCCCCGAACTAGCCATATCCCAGCTTCCATCTTCACTCCGACGGCGACGTCGCTCACCACGCTCTCTCATAGCATCTCGAATCCGCGAGCTGACGTCCTCGAAGGGGTCTTTTGTAGTCATAGGGCTGAGTGGTTTGAGGCCATGCCGAGAGCCGGGCCGGGGTGCTGCGGAGCTACTGCGACTGCGGTTGCGGCTTGGCGGTCTTGTGGAGAAGAAACCAATATTGGCCAGGTTATGGAAAGACTCATTGCGGGGTAGAGGCTCTGCACTGGGCGAGGAATCACCCAGATCGGCATCACCGACCCGTTTAATATCTGGCCCATCGTAACTGACCTCCCGGAACGGATCTGTGACGATTCGCGCAGCGTCAAAGTCAGGGAAGAGCTCCGGGCCCATAGTGTTGATAGCATCCGTGACCTGCTGGGCAAGGGCCGCTCGCTTCGCACGGAGTTTCACTAGGGTGTTGGCGGACGAAGGGTTTAAAGAAAGAACCAGGGGACGAAGCGATTTGATGATGTCCATGCCGACCTCACCAATACGGAGAGCAGCGAAAGTGATGGTGGGGAAGAGGACCATTCCCATCATCACCACCATCCAGAGGGGAACCCATTCGGGGATCAAACCCTGGACTCGGTTCCGATAGGTCCAATAGGTGAATGCCGTGGAGTAGAATGCATAGACAGCTGGGGCAAATGCAAGTGCAATCAAAAGCTTCCAGGTTGCCATAACATCCCTGCCCTGGAGTTTGACACTGGAGGCAGCCAATGCTTCCTTGGACTTTTTGATTGACAGATACTTTGTTGCAACAAAGACAGGAGCAAAAAGAAGCAACCCGGGCAAAGTTCCAATGGTCAGGAGGACCAGTTTGCCCAAGCGATAGATCAACGTAGCAATCACCTGCAAAATGGAGAACTTGGCATATGCTACCTGGTGGTCTCGGATGCCAAGGATACGAAGTTGCTTGTTGTAGTTCACGATGGACTTCCGAAGGTTGACAATCCGCGGGTCATCTTTAAAATGTGCGTATCCCTTGACAAGTCGACGGTTGAGCTCCACGACCATCGGAAGAGGAAGCTTCTTTCCCTTGGTGTTGTACAATCGACGGGCCGCTTGGATAACCTATGATTTGTTAGATTTTTCTCACCATTACAAGAAGGGTGGCTTACCATGAGTGTTTCATAGTCCGGACTAGTAACCGTAACAGCGACAAGACTTTGGTAGATGATATCCAAGAGAGCGCCGACAGACTCACGACGTTCACCTCTCTTGAATTGGTCTACAAGTTCCCTGGGGACTTCGATCGGTTTGCCAAACTCAATGACTGCACGAGAGCGGAACTTATGGGCGTGGAAATAGTTCATGCCAGTGGGTACAATTTTCAGCCCACAGTCCGGATTTTCCGCCAAAGTACCAAGAGCCATGAGTGCCACACCAGCTAATTAAATGTTAGGTCGGTAAGCATATTAATAATGATATCTAGCTTACCTTTGAGAGGAAGAAGCGTGGTACGGTCATGGCTACCACCTTCTGGGAAAATGCCAACACAGCCACCGGCATTCAATCTCGCGAAGACAGCTTCATAGACGGCAGTTTGATCCACGTGTGGTGCAACTTTGAACTTAGTGCCCTTAAAGTCCTGGGCTTGATCTGTCGCATCTCCCAAGAACTTCCCATCCTCGTCAATGTCCTGCCTTCCTGTAAGCTGGAACAAGGCATCTCTGTGCTTGAAAGGCTTCTTCAAGATGAGTTCCTCGGGTCCGCGAATTTCCGCAATGGCCGTGCTATGCGATGTCCCCTTGATGGTTGGCAGCGCAATTGTACCCTCCACTTCAAATCCCGGGCCTTCAAAGTTGGTTCCCACGCCTCGTAAAAGGGTCGGCTCGTTGACAGGGTCAGGCAGGTAGATCGTGCCTTTTCCGGGTTTCAAGTTATCCATGGCGCGGGCCACCGGCAGCGTTCCGATGCCCCTTGCAAGCAGTCCGATGAACTTGCGACGGAATGACTTTTCTGCAATTAGCCATGAGATCCGGCGGTGCGCTTCGCTGCGAATGACGCGCATGAGGACGAGGGAATCAACAAACTGCGAAGAAGGGATGTGGTTAGCTGCATGCTTTTAGTCAAGCTGGGAGGGAGGCTACTGTATTGGCATACTTGATTCGCATGAGGAGCGGCGACGATAATAATGGGCCCGCGACGAGGAATTTTCCATGATCCGCGGGGATGCACTTCACGGAAGAAGAGGTCGATGAGCACGGAGAAGGACCAAAGGACCAGATCATACAACCACCCAATGAGGGGTGGAATTTTCGTCTGTTGCTTGGCCATGGTGTCTTCTTTGCGCCAGAGGAGTTAGTGATTCCAAGAGGCTCAAGACGTGATCAGTGGAAGTCACGTTGACATGAAGCGTTGCTGAGCTGCAAGAGCTTGGACCCGCCGGAACCTGACGTCGGTAGAGAGCTTGGTTTTTTTTCTTGGGCCCCGCCAAGTGGAGATTCTCTGTTTGCGATGCTTGTGCAGCACAATAATGATGGGGTATGAAATAGAAAAGAAGAGAAAGATTGGGTTCAAGAGATAGAGAAGAAAACCTTGGGGGGGGGAAAGGTAAATCAAATCAAATCCGGAAAGTTTGGGCATCCGGCTTTAGCCTTTGGTCTTTAGCGCGTTTCTTCCTTTCGGACGCTTCTAGAAGCAGAATCCACTCACACGACTTCATATATATGCACAGTACATGGGAACCGATCTAGGTTTCATGATGGAGTCCTGTGCGCGATTGCCCAACATGTGGAATTTCCAATTACCCAAAACATATGATAACCCGTTGTGGACTGGGGCCGGTGGCCAATTCTATACCCCATATGCTCATCCGCTTTATCATATTGACATAGTAACCCAAAAGAATTTGAAAATAAAGAAGAGACCAAACACAGGTAGACTATCTCTGGGACGTTCAACCCAACGGTTTATATGCATCTATAATTGTTGGGGAAGATCCGCCTAAGCCCGAGATGGAAGTTTCCTGCATTCAGGCGCGGGGATCTACGATAGAGTGGGGGAAAAGGTGTGAGAGTATCTACAGATGAATCAAATTCCTTTATTTTTAGTAGAAGACCGCTAATTATGAGTCATTTCCCCATAGATGAATAAAAAATGTACTCAAATTAATCAGAAAGAAGATATTGACCAAAAATAATGACTTGACCTTCCACATGATTGTAGAATTTCCCCGCTTGCCCCGCAACTGGTCGACTTTCTCCCTTCCGCGACACCGGATAATCAAGGGTTCCAGACCCTGAATTAATCTTTTGGCTATTCAAGATCCTGAAACCTTCTGCGGATCTTGTACCCTGGTCTTCTTATCTGAGCTTCTCCGCTTCTCCGCTTCTCAACGCAACCGAGCAGTGGCATGATCACCAAAAGCCAGAATGTCTATCAAGTACGTACATGCTTATGCTCCCCCCCCTGGTGTCCAGATCCCCGATATCTCTGGCCTGCATTGATAAGCAGATTATAAGAACTGACTAAACATGCAGCTGGGTGATGCTTCATGACCATGAAGGCTTCGTCCGCCTTCCCAACGAACGCTTGATATACACTTCCCCTCCGCGCACCACCCTCGCGCTAACACCGCCATCCGGGTACAAGGGCCCGGAAGCGTTGTCTCTGCAGAGTAGCGCCGGCATTACTTACCTCACCAACCAGAGGGTCTGTCGTGCCTCTCTTGCGCTCTCCTACTGACGAAGCGCTGACCGCTTGTTGATCATCACAGGTAGTCTATCTTCCCGCCCAAGCATCCAATAACTTCCAATCCTTTTCATCTCCTTTACTCAACGTCCGCGACTCTCACGTTTCCGCCCCATTTTTTGGTCCCAATGTCTGGACAGCACTGATAAAACCTGTCGCAGGAGGAGGCATTTCCCCATCTCTTCCAGCCGTCCAGATCAAGGTGACCTTTAAAGAAGGTGGCGCATTCGATTTTCACACCAACTTTGAAAGGATCAGGGAGCGGCTAGAGCAAGCGGTGGAAAACACAGGTGAGGATGCTCGAGGACTACGAGGCGTGGATCTCGCCGCGGTGCATCTGGAGGAGCTGCCCGCCTACGAGGGCCCGGGTCCGAACAATCATAGCGAATCGGCCACTCCAACCAACACATCAAACCCACCGGCGAATAACCAGCGAGCATCAGTCATCGGGCCTGAACCTATTGAGCCTCCGCCAGGATATGAAGAAGTTCAACAACAGAGTGTAGCCGATGCATTGGAAGAACGCTTGCGACAGGCCAGTTGATTTGATCTTATTTCATTTGATCTTAGCATCGCGAAACATGAATAGCAATCCGAGGAACCTTCTTCATTCTAGGCTTGAGTTCTATTGATGCATGTATGATAGACAAGAGCGCGGTGCAGTTGCGCGGTATTTAGAAAGCGAACCATGGCAGGATATGCACTGGCGTCTTCTAAGACATTTCGGAATAGCGGTTTAATGAATAAAAGTAAGCAATACATAGATTATTGCTTAACCGAATCTGACACTGTACATTGTAGTAAACCGAGTCAAGCGTTGCCATATTGTAGTCAGCGAAAGCAGTCAGCCAATCACGTGCAGTACAATTGTGCTCAGCGCCGGGGCGTCCCGATTTTCCAGTCCGAGCTTGGAAAACCAACACTCTCTATCATCAACCCCTACCTTCCAATACCCACCATCTCTACCGGTCCCTGTCCCCTCAATTGACAGTCACAATGGGTTTCGCCGACTTCTTCTCTGACGTCTACGCCTCCATGGGCTTCTCCGAGGCCCAAGCTGAGGCTCCCGCCGCCGACGTTGAGGAGTCCACCACCACCCAGGACGAGCCCGCTGAGAAGACCGAGGAGACCACCGAAGAGTCTTCCGAGGAGACCGAGTCCGCTGAGGAGACCCCTGCTGAGGAGTCTGAGGCCCCCGAGGAGGAGGAGCCTGAGGCTGAGGAGGCCGAGGAGGAGGAAGAGGAGGAGGAGGAGGAGGAGGAAGAGGAAGAGCCTGAAGACATCAAGCCTAAGCTTGAGGAGGGTGAGTGGTTCTTATTCTAATCACATTATGTCTGCCATTTCTGCATTCGAATTGATTCAACGTCATCTGTATCCTGCCAATGTGTCGGCGGTCGGGTGTTTCGCGATCGTTGCCCCAGGCATTCGAACTCGTCCGCGAATTCCGTGGATCTCAATGGCATCGCAATTGGCTTTGAATCATCTCAATCGTTTATTATGTATCCATGACTAACACTCGGCTCTTCCAGAGTGCGCCCACTCCTCTCAGTGCGCCCCCTACAAGCACCACTACGATGAGTGTGTCGAGCGCGTCACCCGCCAGGAGGAGCAGGGTGATGACTTCAAGGGTCCCAAGGAGGACTGCGTTGAGGAGTGTAAGTCTTGAAACAAACAAAATACTCCATCAATCCAGATTCGACCTTTCATTCATGGAGTCTATCCACCCGGAAGTCAACTAACATGTCCTTAGTCTTCCACCTCACCCACTGTGTCACCGCCTGCGCCGCCCCCAAGCTCTGGCGTCAGCTCAAATAAACGGATCGCCGGATACATTATTTTGACGCGCGATTTTCCCCATTTACTCGTGTCAACCTTCCAATGGCATTGACACGAACAATGCCATGGCGTCAAAAGCAAATCCTATTTCTGTTTCCCTGACGACTGCCACTTTTACGCTCTGGCAGTCTGCCCACAATATCCTTGGTTTGAGAGCACGGGGTTACCGGTAAGAAAGTCTGGTGGACTTTCTTTTCGTGTACTCCCCTGTACGCATATGGTGTTTCAAGGCAGGGAGGAGGAAGAAATCATTGGGAAAAGAGAAAAAAAGCATAATAGATATCCTTTCTTTCTCTCTGCCTTGCATGTACAGATAGCTGGTCTTCCGCCTATTCGAACTGTGCTTGTGTTTTTATTTTCTGCTTTTAAGACGAATCTCATCTGTTAAGACGGAAGAATTATATACTTCTCTTTTTTACGCTCTTGCTCTCTACTTCGTTCCATACGTTGCCGACTCTGTCATTCACCCTGTAGTCGACACAGAACTTACATGATTTAGTGCTTCCATCGTGTAGACATGACCGTCCGTATCACGTTGACTGCATCTCGAGGTCTCAATGAATTTGTCGGTCCATTCCATTCAATATGTTGGGTTAATGTTATTCAAGATGTATGGTTCCTTGATAGCTGTCCAGCATCTGAAGCGCCTCATCTGTAGTAATGCGGCCAGATGGCAGAAAACGCATCAATCCTTCAATAACTGATAGTAATGGCTCGAGTTCTGGATCATGCACTTGGTCTTTAAACTTCTGTTCCAGCTTTGAGAGATCCTTTTCGCAGTCTTTGAAGCTATTAGCAATGTATTGACGGCTTTAGTAGTGTCAGTTTACTTACCTTTCTTATTCAGTCTCACTAATTCCTCCAAATCCCGCCCAGATGCTGCCTGGATTTCATCCCACCGAGGCTGCCATTTGGCCGGCAATAACTCCACAAATCCAATCATTTGGACCCAGTTCATCCTCCTCACCAAGATACCAGAAGGGGGATGACGCGAATAGAAATAAATAGATCTACAGTAAATACCTCTGTTAGAGCGGTTTCTGAAAGAGACAATTGCCGACGTACCATGCAACCTATGCGCCACAAATCCAGGCGATAATCAAAGCTGTCTGTAAATATCGTCTCTGGAATCTTTAAAGAACTAGGTTGAGCTAAATGTTCAGGTTCCTCTCCTTGGAAAAAACCCTTTGCCAATATCGAGGAGACGATTGTCCTCTTCATCCTCGTCGATCCAATCAACCCATTCTGCTGACTTGTTTATTTGAGCCGGCTGACCGTTTTTAAGAGGTGTTCCATCGATGCGAGGAAGTTCCTCGATTTCCGGGGCCCCAAGAACCTTGAAAAGTTCCTCCTCTGTTTTCTCTAAGACAGCTGTGCAAATGAATGCGATATTCGAGGCGCTAATGTCTAATAAGACGTAAGAAACAGTGTACTAACTCTCCAAAGACCATCTCAAGACCGATCTTACCTCCATGACACATACCGGCAGAATGAATAAACCTGACGGCTTTCAAAAGCTGCGTAGTCATTCGAAATATGATCTCCGGTTCGAGTGGATCAGGGCCCTCGCGATAATCTGACAGGATATGATACACGGAAGGACCAAGAAGTTCAAATATGAGACATTGATGAACTCTGTTGGGGCCTTCATGGGTAAATGAATCCAGCAGCTGAACAATGTAATTGGAAGACAGAGGTTCAGAAGATTGACTCTCTAGATACCTGATATTCCGAAGCTCTCGCGATGTATCCGCGTTAGCGGTCATGATCTTCAATGCGGCCCATTGATCTCTAGTCCAAATTAGCTAGAACCTAAATTTTGATTGAGATTACAGGTATGTAGTAGGCACTAACTCTGTGTCCCTCACCAGCCACGCAGTTGAAAAGCCACCCCATCCTAATTTATGATATGCTTTGTAGCGATTACTTTTGAATGTATCCCCTAAAGTGACTGGGTGATATCCCCCAGGTATGTATCTTGCCAAAGACTCCTGGGTATAGAGAAGATTGTTTTGGCGGTACAAAGATAAGTCCATTTTAGGTTTGGAAGGCTGTGAATTGAGGAGTAATCCAAAGGGACGGCAAGAAGCAGAGCAGACAAACAAACGGGTGCAAACATTCCATCAATCAAAAGTAAGTAAACTGGACAGCTACACGTACTAATTTCACTGGTACTTGAAGACTAATAATTTTTGGAAACAGTTGAATCCTTCTGAGGCGGTGGACCGATCTACGGAGTAGAGCTTGAGCCGAAGAACATGAATCTACAGCAGCTTTATAAAGTGACTGGTCAAATCAACTCGGTCGATATATCGCATTTGATCCAAATCATATTTCCATTGCTACTAAATGTACCAGATCCACTCTGTATATTCAGATGCTAAGTGGACCACGAAAGTCAATGCGCGTAACGTAAAAGTATGGGGCGCAAAGAATCTGACATACGGCTCTCGGAAGGAATGATTGAACAGCAACAACTCATAGTGCAGAAACAGAGACAACGGCAACCTTATATTGCAAGAACAGAGCATCGCTGCGAGATTGGGTGACCCAGCAGAAAGCTAGCGTACACAGATGAGTTCCAGTATGTGACAAGTCCAAAACCAATACATCCACTTAAGCCACCTTGACAATGTCATCTAACGTAGTAGCTGATACCTTCTGAGGGATATTTTCACTCAGCCCATCATCATCCTTCTTCTGGGGTGGTGATACTGACCCCTGCAATTCAACTCCACGATCAATGTCCAGCCTTCGCCGCGTAACCGTTCTACCAAAAAGGCCAAGCGATAGCGGGAATGGCGCGGCGGCGGCACATATAACACATGCAAAGATCAACGCATTCCGCATATTATAGGGCGGACTAGCATCCGCGCTAGCCTTTAGCGCATCCTGGATGAGAATGAAGCACGCCCCAAGCAATTGTCCACCCGTCCAGCAAATGGTACTCCCGATCTCGGGAGAAAATGGATAAGTGATCTCAACCAGGTACTCCAGGACGACAGGAAGCAAGGAAAATGACGACGCTCCCATGAGGGCCATAACAACGTATGACGGCGCGATTCCCGCAGCGCTGGACGGAGCGAATATCAGCCCGATATAAGAGGCTACCACTATGGGAACCAGAATACGGATCGAGCCAAGGTAGTGCTTTAATCGGTCGGTGAGTGGTGATACCACGGCTGCTGTTACCAACCCCACAACGATGAGGATGGCGCCTGCGATGCCGGCATCGGTTTCGGAGAAGCCATGTGGTTCGAGAATCTGGTTTAGCAGCGAGGAGACACTGTTGAAGAACCCCACATATACAGAAAACGGGACAAGTATTAGCCAGAATTCTACAGTGCCAAGCAGCTGTCGCGTGGCTGGGATCAGCGGCGTACGGGGGATGGCAGATGATGCGCTGGGCGGGGTCGGTGGTCCAGCCGGAAGAAAGAAGGATGGGAGAGATGCGACAGTAGACTAAAGCCGAAAATAATGGAACATGGTTAGTTCCAGGTCTTGGTTGCGTGTTTCTGATCTTTCTCGGGAATGCGCCAACTCACAATGACAGAAATGTATAGAACCATGTTTGGAATGTCTGAGGGTTTAGTCGCCCACTCCGAATCAACCAACTGCCCTATCGCCGCACCTAGCGGATTCGCCAGGCTAGCAACAGCTGTTGCACTGGTACGACCTTTATCGGAGAACCAGAGGTCGCTGTATCTCGTGGGCGCACATAGGCAGAAGGGCTGCGCCAGACCGATCAAGATCTGACCGAACATGGCGAGCCCAAAAATTCCACCATTGGCCCTGGTACCAGCATATCGCAGCCAGTTTCCGACGAGCAGGAGGGTTGCGGTGATTATAATAGCGGGCTTGGGACCGCCTTTGTTCAAGACCCAGATAACGAATCTTTATGCGCGAAACGAAACAAAGAACGGAGATTAGTCGAGTCCCGAAATCAAGTACCTTCAATACAGATACAGTGTCACTCACGGGCTGGCAATGCAGAATGCGAACAGATAACCAGTGCTCATCCAATTGATTGCGCTCTCAGAGACATGGAAGTATTCCGCGGCAGTACTTGAGATGGATGAGAATGTTAACCACTGTATGTTGACATTTCGGTCATTAGCAATCGATTCATTTGTTTCTTCATAATGAGGGTTTTTCACATACATCCCAACTGACGACTATGTTAAGCAGGACCAGCTGTGCGAGACCCCAGAACCGTCGTTTATAAACCTTATATATTGGTCGTGTGACGGACGACTCCGCAGTGAGGTTAGACATCCCGACACATTCAGGTCATGGTTGGAAGAGCATAAGAGGGGAACGGAAAAGCAAGAAGTTCATTTTGGACATGGGAGATAGACCAGGTAGTATTTCCCGTCGTGGAACCTCCGAGGTTTGAAAGAGGGGAGACTTGATTTGGTACATGCAACCCCCCACAGTTACGTAGCCAAGATCAGGTACCGCGGAAGTACCTAAACGGTCGACCATGTGCATGCGCCTGCGCCATGGGCGTTCGCTTACATCGAACTATACCATTTCTTTGTTAGTTGATTTGAATCCATTCTTGTAATTGGTGTGTTATGTTATTATCCTTTCAACTATATGGTCTGGACTGTAATTAATTAAACTCATGTTGATAACCGTAGGGCCTTTGCATCGCAGTACCAAGTGGATCTTGTCTCAGAACATGCTTAAACTACAGATCTGACCCGGGGATTTTGACGAACTTATATACATGTGAGATCATAAACTATAAAGAGATCAATCAAAGGAGATGCAGTTTCGGCGTGTATGATGATTGATCACAAAGGATGGAATGAGGTGGCTGAGTTTCTCTGCAGATCAGTGTCCCCGCCATCTTTCCAATGTTTAATTTCCAATTCCAATTTCAATTTCAGCCCCCGTCCTTTTCTCCCCTGAACGAGTCCAGCCTTCTAACCCGACTTTCCCTCATTTTGTGGATAAACACGATGTGTATTTGCCAACCTTGAAATCAACTCCTCAAAGAAATACTCCCTAATTGGCGCCTTCGCGCCCAAACGGACCAATATGGATATCAGCCTCCGATCCAGCCAGTCGTCATACGGTGACCCTCGATACTTGTCCACCGCTACCTTTTCCGATGCCCACGTACCCTCACCCCTAGGGAAAACCCTTGTCGACGGCTATCGGGATGCGGCTAATCCTCAGAATGAAGACCGGGCGCGGTACAATCCGGTAAGGGGAAAATCCATGGACACCCGCGGCTTCATTTCCATGGCTCACAATGTTTTGGAATCTATAGCTCAATCCAGCTCACCCACGAAGCTCCGCACTTGTCAACACCAGCGACCCTGTCACCATGTATTTACTAGCCGAGACCGCCATTGGCGATAGCTCAAATTACGAGATCTTGTCATTCGAAGAGGTGGAAGCCCTCAAGAAAGAGCGGTCGCTCCTGTCCAGCCGAATCGAAGGCACGAAGCGCAGACTTAACCTCGAGACCAAACTCCGCGACGCCGCTCAATCTATCGGTCGATTATACAGTCCGCCCAGTCCCCGAAGCAGCGCTGAATATGACGCCAACGGCAAGTCCCACCGGAGGAGCCGGAGTATCTTTGGTCGGAGCGGGACAGCCCAGGTTCTTGATAAGAGTGACTCGGAGCTCGCCATGAGTCAGCGCAAGTGTGAAGAGTTGGCGCAAGAGCTATGGAAGCTCGAGCAACGGTCCCAACAGATCAACCAGCGATTACTGCAACACACCGCGGGTGTCTTGCAGATGACCCACAAGGGATTAAGGAAGACCCCGAAGAACCCCGATGCGCAGGCTTCTGACTCTTACGACGGAAATGACTTTGACGATCGCCATCTATACCGAACACCGGAGCACATGGATAATTACGGATTGTTCGGACGCATCGATACCAACCCCACAGCTTCGGGGGACAGTGAGGCCATGCAGGCGACGGAAAAGCGACTGGACGAATTGAGCCAGCGCATGTGCGACATGATGATCCAGTCTAATCCGGATGAGTTTGTCGACCCTCCCCCACAACCAAATGACTCCACCAACCCTGCACAAAATATTGAGGCGCATTTAGCCTATATTGAAAACAGCATGAACTCTCTTGCTTCCCGAAATGCGTACCCGAACATCGTTGGTCCCGGTACTGCACCCGAGGCTGAGGGAGCATGGCGACAACACCTCACAGTGATCAACACGCGGGTCCAGAGCATCGTCGACCGGTTTGGGCTGACTCGATCTCCGACTTTGCCACCTCCTCCTAGCGCAACAGATGGCGAAGGATTAGAGGAGCAACTTGGATATCTTCAAACCGGTATCGACGGCTTGGAAAGCCGTGTTGATGGTCTGATAGAGCAGAAAAGCATCCTGACCACCCAAATCCAGCAGCAGCGTGAACTAAACTCCAAGTCTGATGCCGAACGCGATGCCCACATTGGTGATTTGACCGAGCAGCTAGCTCATATGCGCAGAGACCATGAAGCTTCTCAGCGCGAGGGCAAAGCTGCCCAGGATGAGCTAGCTGTGCTGATGGAGCAGCTCGAGGGAATGCGCAACAACGGCTCTACCCAAGAAGAGGCGAAGGCTGCCCAGGCGCAGGCTGAAGGAGAAGTCGCTCGCTTGCATAGTGTTGTCGACTCTTTGCAAAATGAGGTTGACATCCGTGCGCAAGAGGCCATGGAGGCTCGCGAACGTGCAGACCAATTATCCGCTCAGCTGGAAGCCAGTGCCAAGCAATCCCGCGAGGAAGCAGATGTTCGTGTGCAAGAGGCCGTGGCAGAGGCTGTACAGGAGGCTATCGATCGCCGTGTGCAAGTGGAGAATCAGCTAGCAGCGGCCGAAGTGCAACGTGCAGAGATGGAAGCCCAGCTTGGACAGGCTGAGGAACGTCGTGCTGAGGTCGAATCCCAGATCGCACAGGTTGAACAGCGTCGCATCGAGGTTGAAGATCAATTTGCTGAGGTGGAAGCCCAGATCGCAGAGGTCGAGGGACGTCGTATTGCGACCGAGGAGCGCTGTCATGAGGTCGAATCCCAGATCGCTCAGGTCGAGGAGCGTCGTTTGGAAGCCGAAGAACGTTGTGTTGAAATCGAGGCCCAACTTGCGCAGGTCGAGGAACGGCGTATTGAGGCTGAAAAACGTTGTGTTGAGCTCGAAAGCCTGCTCATGCAGGCGGAAGAGCGTCACGCTGAGGCTAGCCACCAAGCCGCACAGGCTGAACAACAAGCTTTGGCAGAGAAACTTGCTGAGTCCGAAGAGAAGCGAGCCGAGGCCGAAGCACAGCTTGCACAAGTCGAAGAGCTACGTGCCCAGGCGGAGGTAAATGCACAAAATGCGCATAATGAGATGACCAATCTTGAAGGTGAAGTTGTCCGGATCACGACAGAGCTCACGATGGTCAAGGCAGAGCTGGATGGCGCTTATGGTACCAGAGCCCAGCGAGCTGCGGAAGTGGCTCTCAACCCTGAAATTCAAGCAGAGATTGATGCCCTCAATACACGCAATCTTGAGTTGGCGGAGGAGCTCGCTGAATTGCGAGGCAAGCAGGGTGGTGGTGACATTCAGAGACGCGCTGATACCCTCGAGAAGGAGCTTCGGGAGACGCTAGATGATTACGAGGCTATGACTAAGGCCAGCATCGAGTTTGAGAAGGAGCGTGAGCGGTTCGAAAGTGTTGTTGATAGTCTCCGGGATCGGTGTGAGCAGTTGGAGACCCAACTCAGCGAAGAGCGCATCAGCTGGATGAACCTGAGCAGCCCGACAACAATGGGCCGCGATCCTACCATGGAGACAACCTCAACAATGGTACTGAAGAACGAGTTCAAGAAAATGATGCGCGACACTCGAAACGAAAATATGAAAATTTTGAAGGTCCGTTTCTTCCCATTTCTATGGAGTTTGAGCGATACTAACATGAATAATTCAGGCGGAACAAGAGGAGCGGCGTAGGATCGAGGGGCTATTACGAGCCTTAAGAAAGGAACACGCTCAGGTAACGGGCAAACCTCTGCCCAGTCCTGTTGGAACCCCATTATGATGATGATTATATTCTACGTTCTTGGGTTTGGTTCGCATGAAGGATGTACATATAGACTTTCACTTGTATAATATTGCATAAACATTGCGCGGCAAGCGCGACGGCGTTATTACCAACTCCCATTTGATCCTCCCAAGACTTCACCTTCACATATCTTCTCTGTCTAGCCTCGACTATTTCATTCCTTCAGTATGTCGTCAGCTCCGCATAGTCAACGGCCGAGAGATGGTAGTCCACCTTCTCGCGCTTCACCTCCTAGATACTACACCAGACACCCCAACATCCAGCCTGTCCGCGACTCAACCATTCCACCACTCTCACAAAAGAACTCAAACTCCTCCGAGTCCATCTACAGCGATGAAAGATCTATTTTTAATGCCATCAGAGTCTCCACACCCAATGAAGGCCCCTGTCCATACGAAAGTCTCTCCGCCATGGGCTCTTTCATGGAAAGAGGGTTGGGAGCTAATATGGCCATGTTCATTCCACCAGGTTACTCTCAAGATGAACAGTCTTCAACTAAGAATCGACGTCTATCCAAACCACGACCGCGAGTGGACCGAGCAGCGTGGCCGATCCAGCCTCTCTCCGATCAGGGCTATCACACGTCCCAAGTGGGCCCAAGCCCTTTGAACGAAACAAATTATGTACCAGAGTCTCCTGGAAACCAGTACCGCAAAGCCATTTCCCTCGATGCAGTAGACGGTGATGGTCTTGCTAGCCCCCGGAAACATCCTTGTTGGCCTGGATCAAGCATACCGGCAGCTGTGAGACCTGGCCAACCACCATACCCTCCACCGGAAAGATCCCCCACGCCTCCTGGTCTTCCCTCTTTCAACACCCCAGAGGCTGTGTACTGCTCTTCTCAGTTCCTCATCGGACACAATGGACCACGGCTGCCATCCAACCATCCACGCGGAGTACCAGCCCTGGGCCAGCGCTCTACCTCATATGGCGATGCGCTCCGAAGATTCCTGGGCCTGCAACCTCAAGCTGAAAGTGATTCCGCGATATCTGGTGTTGTTGGGATTGGGCGGGCACCAGATGGAACTGCTGTTCAGGGCCGGTTTCCACATCGACAGAGTGGTCACGGCACCAACCTTGCAAGACAAATAGAGGATCACCCATTCCACCAGAACACACTTCCTGTGGCCTCAGCCTCTCACAATGAGCGTGATCTAATCCGAGCTAGAATTGAACCCGAAAGCACCGTGTCCAAAGATCGTGGTCCTGTAAGTCGGCCACGAAAGAAAAGGGTCCGCAACATGCGTTTTGGTATTTTTGGACGAACACTTATTCCAGCCTCTGCCCCTAACCCCGTTCAAATAGCACAGCAAGAGCCTTCTCCTGGCCCAATATCTCCCCTGCAACTACCGCAACCCCGATACAATCTCATTGGAGGGTCGAGCGATCGTCGACCTGAAGACGAAACACCCGGTGCGGAGGCATATACAATCTGGGATGCTATAGCTTGGGTACCTATTCAGCTGTATCTCTGCTGCTGCTGCGTTCGTGGTTCTTGCGTCGATGAGAATGATGATCTTGCCATTGTCAACTCTAGAGACACTTATGCGACGGCGCAAAGTCGCCTTTCAGCTCAGGAGACGAGGGGTGAGAATAGACCTCAGCCTTTCCCATAGGTTCTCGACTTGTATATGCATGCCTTACTTTCGTTTGGCATAGCGAGTCTTCTGCTTGTTCCTGGTTCTACTTCATTGCAATTTTGAAGACATTGTTTTCGTTGTCCTTGGCCTCTGATGCTCTTCAGAGAAGAGTTCCCATTCTTACCTGTGGAACTATTTGCATTTTCTTGCTTTAAGCCTCACATCAGACGTGTTTCATCGGTAGCTAAATGAAAGAAAAAACTGTCACTCGTTTGGATACTATTGACATGAAAAATATTTAATCATCTGAGAATTAATCAATAGGGCTATAAAGTACGAGGAAACCAGTAATGCTCGTGAGAGTCCATGGATATCATCTAGACGCTATGCCATGATGCTAAAATTGGGATAAAAACAACAATACACCAATCAGGGAATTTGCTATACCAATGAAGCCCATGTAAAAAGAAACAACAGTAAAACATGAAGACCAATCTCCAAAGTGAGAGGGCGAGGGTACAAGTTATCCCTCATGACCGAAGGGGAACATAAGAGGGGAAATAGGGAATTAGGTAGAAAAGGTCCGGGGTAACGTATGCGAGGAAAAAAAATTCAAGTCGTCAATGGTGTGTCTGGTGCTCAGCCCGACTCGGCAGGCATAAGCTCCCATGACAGATGCAAATATCAGAGAAACACCAGTAGCTTCATAGGCTCTCGAAGAATGGGGTTGCTTCGATAATCTCTTCATCGTCGTTGGAAAAGTCCCAGCCTACGATTCGTGGGTCAACACTGGCACAAATGATCTTATGAGAATCAAACTGGACTTTGAAAACCCTTGAGGTTGGTGGACTGGGCTGAAGTGGTCGGTGTGGGTGATGGTGATGGTGGTGGTGAGCCATCAATTGTTGTACTGCTTGCGGGTTGGCCTGGGGAGTTTGCGGTTGCAGTGTTGGATTTGCCTGGGCTGGAGGCTGAGGTTGTGGAGCTACACCATTTTGCTGGGCGGGGCCCGTAGTTGTGGTGTTAACAGCAGACGGCGCATCGCTTGGAGTGCCTTCTGAAGAAGATACAACCTGTGTGGGTACAGGAGCAGAAACCTGAACCGGCCCTGGATTTTGAGCAGCTTGTAGTTGTTGAGCCTGCGCCGAGATAGTAGCTCGTGCTGTTGGTGTCAGGGTGGCACGAGCGGCATTGGCCACTGCATCGGCTTGGCGCAACTCGTGCTTTCTGGACCAAGTACCGTCTCGGGTTTTGTGCCAAATAAAGATATGTTCATCATAGGAGCCAGAGACAATACGGCCCCAAGTACTGCCTCCGCCATTTGGAGGAATCTTCGCACCTATGGCAGTTATATCACGAGGATCACGAGATCCCGCAGTATTCGATCTATAACCAGCACGTCGTAGGTCCCTTGGACCCATCTCGACAGGATCACCTTCTTGCTGTGCTTTCCAAAATGCATTTTCAACTTCCAATGCCTCCAGTCTTAGAGCCTCGGTAGCTCCAGGAGGGTCGCCGAAGCCTGCCTGGACGGTGCGAACGAGATTTTCGTGTCCTTTGAGACAGGCGACCTGTGCCCCGGAAGCATAATCGTAGATTCGTACCGTGTTGTCATTACTCCCGCTAATGATCCGTCGACCATCAGACTGAACACAAGCAATCCCTTTCTCGTGTCCCATTAAAGTCTTCAGGCAAGCACCGTTACGGACGTTCCACACTTTGATCATGCGATCCCCTGAGGCTGTGATGATCTCGTCGCCTTGGAGCTGCATGGCATTTACCGCTGCACCGTGCCCTTCGACGATCATGAGAAGTGAGAAAGGCTCCAGTGGCTTTATGCGTCCATTTGCCAAGCTTGCTTCCAAAAGGCTCGGTGCTATTTCGTTAAGGTCAATGATATACGAGGGATAGCTGGCACCACCGCCTTTGCAGATGGTAGGATAATTCTCATCCGTCACGGATAGCTCTCGACGATTCCACACCTTGACTGTTCGATCTTTGGAGCAGGTCACAAGGTATCGACGATCGAATTTGAGGTTCAGTACTGAATCGGCGTGCGCACTGTGGATTTGATGTATCTTTTGACCCGTGGAGAATTTCCATGCAATTACAGAACGGTCACTGCTGCCGGAAATAATGATGTCCTCGTCGGGACTCGGATCGAATTGTAGACATAGCACAGATTTGACATGTCCGATTAATGGACGATGCCATAGTCGCTTGGTCTCCAAATCCCAAACCCGTACGGTCCTGTCCCGACTTCCGCTGACCAGCCATTTCCCCTGGAATTGAATTGCATAAACACATTCTCGATGAGCCTCTTCTGGGTGTAATGGGTGTGGTAGCTGGAAGTTTTTGAATCGACCTTGATGCCAGTTATCTTCAAGCCGTCGGCGTTGCTTGTACAGGTGTACCCAGTTGATCTTAGCAGTGCCGTTCGGGCGCCGAATGAGGATGGATGATTTGAGTGGTGGTTGGAGCATAGAAGGAAGCTGGGGAACAGATGTCGTTTGCATATTGTCTGTTGATAGAGGCGCGCTGCCGTTCGCATCTGCCATATGATGATCTCCTTCGCTGTCAGCTTGGGTATGCAAAGTACAGTTTGCCTGTACTGCACCCGGGTCTGCAGCAGTCCGTGAGCTTAGCCATGATGGCGGTACACGCTTCTTGTGTTTGGGTTCTCCGAGGTCCGATTCTGAGTGTCGTGGGCGTGATTTGCGGATTTGTGGGGAAATTGGCTCAGAGTGTTCTTGCTCAAAATTATAGATCGCGCGCGAATTTGCTCGCCAACCTTCATTGATATACAGCACTCTCCATAAGCCAGAATCGAGGATGCGGTTGCGCCATGAACGAGACGCAAGTGTGAGATTCAATAGGGTGCGAGGTTCGAGATAGGAAAAGATCTGGAATGTCAACTCGGGCGGTAACTTGACGACGGGGTCCATGTGAAGTAGTGGATGCACCCGTTCTACTACCCCGGAAAGCGTAGGTGTCGAGAGCGAGCGAAGCAGGCTGTACGCAAGTTCTGTGGTTGAGAAAGTGTTGCATGAGCGGGCGGAAAAGACAAGGAGGCTGGGAACCGCCATCAAATAGGCACGAGGAAACACTTACCAGCTCTTTCGGACTCACTTTGGGCAAGCACCCATTCTGGAAGCATCATGACATTGTCCGTTGCATGCTCTTTATCCGTCTGACTCCGAGTCTCGTCCGAATAGCCTTCATCTACCTTGAAGGACGGGGAAAGCGATTGTGTAGGGTACCCCGGAAAGGTAGTGGTCTGTAGTTGAACCGTCGGGTGAGTAGGAAGATCTACCACCTGTTCTCCCTCCATGGATGCGATAGAAGTCGGGCGCGTAGACCAGTATGGGTTTCGGGGATGGATTTCGGAGATGTAGAGGCGTCAAGACGAGCGAGTTTTTACCTTGACGATGCAGTCCTCGGACGGGAACTGGTCGCATCAGCTGAAAGGAAACCAAAAATCCTTATCTGGCGCTATGTCTTCAGACTTCACAGAGGGATGATCCCTCTGGCGCAGAGGAGTGGCTGAATGTGAGATGGGCACTGGGGGCCACTCTGCATGTCACGTCACGGCGGTGCGGGATCCACTCCAAGAAACTGATAGATCGGGTGGAGAGGAGTCAACACATCAAATCACAATCATGGATCAGAAACTTGGGCGAACCTCGGATAACAATAAAATGACGGATGAAATGTTGAAGGGAAGAAAGGATCGGTCTAATTCATAAGAATGAGCATCAACAAACAATCATGCTTGTTGGAATGGCTCATTTCCAACATATCACGTGAAGGGCCGAAGTATGCATTTAAAAAATGACAAATATATACCAGTATAATAGTATAATCACACCATATACTGGTATTCATTACAAGTAAGTGTAGGTCGAATTGAAAATTACGCGTTCAATAGCAAAGACATATAGAAAAAGGCTCGAATGACCTTCATTGGTGGCCTGTGGATTCGTGTAACCACAACAACCTGACTTTAAGTACTACTTTTTCTGCTGGGTCTATAGAACACTTTTTGAAGGAATGTTCTAACAAATACTAGTACTAGAGGAGCTACAGTCATGACGATCTAACTCTAGTCCATAGTATAATTTATGGCATGGTTCAATTCATTGATATCGGTATCTTGGCGTTGAAGCGGGAAGACCTTCTTCAATGTTCTTTAAAGATATACATACTGCTAATATTGCTAGTATACCTCCTGTATCTCTTTTAAAAACCTCCCCTTCCCCCCCATCCCCTTGGAACCATAATTCGAGGGCTAAGGATTTCGAACGTGTGTATACTGTACCCAAGTAATAGAGGAGGAAATATATTTTTATTTCGAGGTCACATGACTTCTCTACTTCTCTGTATTGGTAGTAGAATTGATAGATACTATATCATATGCAATATGGAAATGATATAAATTCAATGTTGGGTCTGGTACTTCCAGCTTCTAGTGCCCTGGGTATTTACCGTACAAATCAAAATGGAACATACATACTAGTACATACTTTAATTTTCCTGCTGATCCATCATGAATATTATTATGTAGGCATACTATGTATCCTGGCCACCTTGAAATCACATATGATTCCTTCTTTGATGTGCCCAATAATTTTCAATGATCTTAGCTTACTATGTATAGACTTGAATCTATTGCCAGTCGATTTCTCCACCCAAACTTAGCTCAAATTGAATTATAGATTACATGAGACCATTTTGAAGAGTCCAATGCTTCAGGTTGCTCGTGCCCCTCTCCACATCCCACCGCCCGATGGAACACGCGCTAAACCCGTTCGGGTAACTGAACAGCCCTCTCCTTCCGCTCCCTCTCCTTTCCCTTCTTCCCATTCATCGCTGCCCCTCTATCTTGTGTCTTTTGGCCTCGATTCAGGCATTTAGGGTACTTACTAACCTCATTTCTCGGAAGTTGACTCTTCCCTACCCCCCCCTTCCTGCTTCTACAGTCCCAGTGACCGGCAGTCTTCTCGCCAGGGGGTTTTGAAAATCGCTCGTTATTTCGAACGTCGGCCATCGTCTGCCCGGCTGCAGCGCTTATATTCGATTCAGAAGAACTCCCAGGATCATTCGCGTACCCATAGATTGGGCTAACGCTGACGTTGGAAGGAATCCCGGCTTCCTGTCCTTTTTGGATTTCCGTCACCGCCCCTCGGAGTAAAGTGGCGGCGCGTGAGATTCTCGGTTGATATATATCCTTGTGCTGTCTCAACGGGCTTGCCCCAGACTATATATACATTTCAGCGACAACGCCACTTGTGGTCACACCCCGTGGCACATTCATCAGGTCCCTGAATTCGAACGAACGTTCTACGTACTCTTTGCGCCGTGCGGTGTCCACCTTCCCTTGAACTACCGTCGCGGGCACATTCCATGATCGGCACACCGTATCTGACGCCCGTCGCTCCCTCTCGATTATCGATATACACATCCCCGGTCTGCTGTGCGGATTTTGAACTGAGCCTGGCTGGCCTGACTCATATTCCTGGTCGAGGCACCTGAACATGATCGAAACCGCCGTCATGAGTGGTATTCCGGTCGCCGAGGATAATATCATCAACCGGCGTGGTGGTGAATCAATTTACCAGAGCTGCGTAAATTTGAAAAGGCGGCTCTGGGAAGTGCCGACTTTTGAAACCTATTTGGAGAAGATGGATGAAGAGGATCGCGAGCGTGGAAACACCGACCCCGTGGCTTCACTGTGGAACTTCCTTCGAGACGGCTACCCCCTTCTGACTCTTTACAATGCATCAGCGCCAGAGGAGCCACTGGTTGTCGACCCGGCCAAAGTGCCAGAAGCGAAGCGGCCCAAAGCTGCCACCTTCAAGTTTCTACAGGCATGTCTACAGGAACTGGCATTCCCCCAGCAGGACTGTTTCTTAATCACCGACCTTTACGGCGAGAGCACTACAGGATTTATCAAAGTGATCAAGATGGTCAATCGTGTGGTGGATATCCTTGAAATTCAAGGTCAACTGAAAACTCCCTCCGAAGTAGAGAATGCTCCGACTAGTGTGGGAGAAGCCGTAAAGCTTACCAAGCGGGAGCATATTCTTAAGGAGCTTTTGGAAACCGAGCGTGACTATGTCCACCATTTACAGAACCTTCAGGCGCTCAAGAAGGAATTGGAGGAGACTGGTGCTCTGACAGGTGACGCAAGTCATCAGATATTCTTGAATCTGAACAATCTGCTTGACTTTGCCCAGCGGTTCTTGATTCGGATGGAACAGCACTATGCTCTACCCGAGGAAAGTCAGAACTGGGGTCGTCTATTCTCGTCGCACGAAGATGCTTTCCGACAGTATGAACCGTTCATTGCGAACCAAATGCGCTGCGACGAAGTTTGTATCCAAGAGTGGGATAAAATCAAGAATGCGCCACGTAGTTTGGACCTTCAGCAAATGGTCGCTCAACCTAAAACCTTGAATGGATTCTTTGTCAAACCCTTCCAGCGTTTGACCAGATACCCACTCATGCTATCGGTGAGTTGCGTCTATCATTATGCGGCATCTTGTATTCAACTAACATTGTGTCAATTTCTAGGAGCTTCGCAAACAACTGGAAGACGAGCAGCTTCAGGCTGATATCACAGGTGCCATTGACTCAATTCAGGTCACTCTTGACTCGGCAAACGATGCTATCCACAAGGAACACCTGGTTTCGGCAGTGGTAGATTTGTCCGAGCGGGTTGATGATTGGAAGTCTTTGAAGATGGATTCTTTTGGAGAACTACTTCGTTTCGGTACCTTCGCGGTGGTCAAAGGCGACAGTGGCAAGGACAGCGAGAGAGAGGTGTGTACTCATGAGTATCTTTTGGCAACATGATTCGCTGACACAACTTGGCAGTATCATATTTTCTTGTTCGAGCGAATCCTTCTATGCTGCAAGGACATAAACCCGAACAAGCAGAAGACCAAGCTTATGATGAACAAGGACAAGCCGGCTCTTACAGCTAAAGGAAAAGCTCGTCTCCAACTGAAGGGCCGAATCTACATGGCCAATGTCACTGATATTGTCTGCCTTCAAAAGCCTGGTGAGTTGCATCTGCGGCGCATATGTGGAAGTTTCTAACCTCTGTTCTTAGGCCTTTACCGCATTCAAATCTTTTGGAAGGGTGACCCAGGCGTGGTAGATAACTTCATTATTCGTTACCAAAATGAGAACACCATGCGTAATTGGTACAAGGACATCGACACTCAACGGGCAATTCAATCGGAGCGACGCACCCTGCGAAATACGGGCACCTCTGACAGCGAATTCACCTATTTGGAGGGCATGACAAACATACCGAATCCATACCAAGAGTACGAGGTCGACGATGGAACGAAGGACCCGTCATACTACTCCGAGTTCCCTATGAGTCGCAATGCGTCAAGTACCAGCTTGAGAACTCGGTCTGCCACCGGCGGTAGCACTGGAACGAATGGTCGGCCCCGATATGCAGGCACTGATCCGACGCTCTCGGTCCATACTCAGTTCTCAGGTGCTGGCAACATGTCTCCCACCGATCGGAACATGAGCTCATACTTCTCCCCTGCAGAGACACCATCCACGCGTTCTAGCTCCCAATCGACTGGGTTCTCATTCGGTCGTCAAAATACCAATTCTACCACTGCATCCTCCGTCTGGAACGAAGAAAACCAACGATATACCGCGCCGCCACTGTCCCGGGCAACCTCAAGAGACGGCACCACCCCTACAGGATTCTACCCCCCTCCACAGCCTAATGGGCGTGGCAATCAGCGTCCATCTTTGCCGCCGCTCTCCGGACCGCAAGCGGCTGCCAACGGGGCTGCCCTGCGTATGCGTTCCGCCAGTAGTCCTGATATCCACCACCATAACAATATGCCACCCGAGTCTCGTCGATATATGGGAGCCCACACAATGCAGACTGTTGATAATGTCCCTGTGCCACCGATCCCTGCGCACATGGCCAACATGAAGGCCCCGGTTAACCGAAGCCAAAATAGCTCCCCCACCAACAGCCAACTCCCGATGCGTTCCCAGCCGCATCACGTTCACCCGACACATTTCACTGAGCCAGAGTATAATGAAGCCTACAACTCGGGGCAGGTCTCCGAACAGGCCACATCTCCCTTGAGCCAAGAGCCCGACGGGGATCCATTGGATCCATTCATGCCTACCCAACTGAAGGCCAAGGTCAACTTTGACGACAACTACGTTACGCTAGTGATTGCAACTAATATTCTTTTCCGGTCGTTGACGGACCGTGTGGATGCCAAGCTGGCTCGGTTTACAAATCGATCCATAGGCAATAAAACCGTTCGTCTGCGCTACCGCGATGAAGATGGAGATTTTGTCACCATTGACAGTGATGAGGCTGTTCAGCTCGCCTTTATGGAATGGCGCGAGCAACACCGGGACATGCTAGCGAAGGGGTTGGTTGGTGAGATCCAATTGTACTGTCAAGTGGTTGACTAGATGGCTACACCTTTCATGATACCCGTCTCCTTTGTCCTGTGTAGCGTTTGCTTTCCTCATTTCTCCGGGGACGTCTAAATATGATCGGTCCTCGCCATCGACATTATTGCATCGTCGTGGCGCTTGTTCTACTCTCTCCTCCCCCCCGTCTTTCTTCCCCAACTGGATTGGTTTGGGTCTGTTGAGCAGCCACTACTGGAGAGATTACTACCTCATTTCCGTTCCCCTGTCTTCATTTTCTGTTGAGCGATCCACGTTAGCTGTGGCCACTGAAGGAGGCTGCATAATGATTCTGATCGCGGCATGAACGGTGTTGGAGGCATGCGGTCGACCTGTCTTGTTAGAGATTCCCCCTACTTCCCTATTTTCATGTCCCGTTGACCCCGGATTGTCCGAGGCGGGAGCGCACGAATGATTCTTGATCTACATTGTTTCCCGAATGTCCATGATGAAGTACCTTACATGATGTATGCATACTTGATAAGTTTGGTATCTGTATTTTTGGAGGGGGAGACCTGCATGCAGGCAGGGTATCAGCGTTGGAAATTTACGATTGATATTCTAAGTATAAGGAACTTCAGAATGTTTGTAGTACACCATATCGATCGGCATACAGGTATTTTGGCGTTAATGGTAGGGCTGAGCATAATGTAGTGAGTGACGTTGCGTCCCCGGGGTGGCTGAGTTTGCTCAGTGGATAGTTTGTAAGTTCATGGTAAATCGCGCAAACAACGCTTTCAGGCTGTAAATAGGATTTTGGTGCCTAATATCCAATAGTGCCCCCATTCAGCACGGTTGTGGGAATTTCGGCAATAGTGTCGGTCTCGTCGATCCATAACAACTCATCGGTGTGTACAGTGGGAACTTGGAACTGGGAACCAAAAACAAGCTTCCCCCTCTTTTTGTATTTCTCTTTTTGACAAACTTCCCACCAAATAAAAATTCCGTTTCAAAAGTATTTACTCATCTGATTGGGTAACGTCACATTAGCAGAGACAAAGCCACTAACATACGCCAAGAATGTCCTTCTCCGGCCGCCGTGTTAGCATCCTGCGTCCTTCTGGCGACCGCCGCTCGTCGATTACCAAGGGACTCTCCGATAACGGTAGGGTGTCAATAGTACCATACATATATTTTAACTCCGAAAACTAACGGTCCCCGAATTGGGGTTTCTACTAGAGTTACGGTCCGAGACTCATCGTCAGTTCCGAGATGCCCATGAAGGTCATCGTCCCCACGCCGGTCTCGACGCCTCCCGTGCCTCGACTGGTGTTGTTTGGTGTACAGAGCGTGCTACCGAGCATGGCTACGCAGAGGACCCCTCCAGCTGGGCCAATCTAGGCCAAGGTGCCCCTGAAGCCGACGACGAGATCGAGGGTAGCTTCCCCCGCCCGACGTCGATCCCTATCACCTCCGCCGCTCGAGAATACGGCCCGACCGCCGGTATCAAGCCGTTGCGTGCGGCCGTGGCCCGTCTGTACAATGAGCACTATCGTCAAGGGAAGCCGAGCCAGTACACCTGGGAGAATGTCTGCATTGTGCCCGGTGGTCGTGCGGGGTTGATCCGTATCGCTGCCATTCTGGGTAACTCGTACCTGTCGTTCCCCATTCCCGATTACTCGGCGTACTCGGAGATGTTGAGTCTGTTCAAGAACGTGAGTGCTTAGGGATTTGCGTTAGAGGCCAGGAACGGTGCACCCGCTAACGGTACTCGGCCAATAGATCGCCCCCATCCCCATGCCATTGTCTCAAGACGATCACTATCACATTCACCCCAACAAGATCGCCGAAGAGATTGCCCGTGGCACTTCAGTGATCTTGACCTCGAACCCCCGTAACCCCACAGGTCACTTTGTCGAGGGTAAAGAGCTGGCTGAGATTCAGGATATTTGTCGTGACCGTGCCACCCTCATCCTGGATGAGTTCTACGGTGGCTACAACTACACCACCGACTGCGACGGCTCCACGATTAGTGGTGCCGAGAATGTTGTTGACGTGGACAAGGATGGTTCGTCCTAACCAGTTCGTGACTTCTATAAACCATCCGCTGACCTCATATAGATGTCCTGTTGATCGACGGTCTCACCAAGCGCTTCCGTCTTCCCGGCTGGCGAATTGCCTGGATTGTCGGTCCCAAGGAGTTTGTTACTGCTCTGGGCTCTGCTGGTTCCTACCTGGACGGTGGTGCCAACGCTCCCTTCCAAGAAGCCGCCATCCCTATGCTGGAACCATCCCTCGTCCGCACTGAGATGAAGGCGCTGCAAGCCCACTTCCGTGAGAAGCGTGACTTCGTCATGAAGCGTCTGCACGAGATCGGTTTCCGGATCAAGGACGTGCCGCAGGCCACCTTCTACATCTGGCTCGACCTGATGTCACTCGAACCCCCGCTGCCCAAGGAGGCCAACATCTCCGACGGTCTGAACTTCTTCAATGCCCTTCTGACCGAGAAGGTCATTGTTGTGCCTGGTATCTTCTTCGACTTGAACCCGGCCAAGCGTCGTGATCTGTTCGACAGTCCTTGCCACCACTTTGTGCGTCTGAGCTACGGACCCAAGATGGATGTGCTTGAGAGAGGTCTGGACGGCATCGAGCGTGTGATTAAGCGCGCTCGTGAGCTGGGCCAGCCGAAGTGGGAGGACGAGGTTGCTATTTCTGATGATTAGATAAATCTCGATATATCTCGTGAGAGTTGTACATTGCAAGACCTGGATGCGGTGCTTGCACTGCGCAGGTTTATGATTACATGTTCCCTTTGGATTATGCCCAGCGAAGAATTTGAGCGAAATGTACCTAAGTTACCCAGGTGGATATTTGAGTTGCCTGACCTTTAGATAAACCTTGGAACAGAGTTGAGTCTATCTAACATCCTTAGTACTAGTTCATTTCTGCAACTAGCTCTTCCATCTCAGGATTTCTGACTATGATGATATGGTAAAGGTCACACACTAAAGGCTCAATATCGGATGTCGCTATTTGTTTCCTAAGTTATTATCTCCAGCTGATCCATGTACTCCGTTCAGCCTATCCAATCCAGGACTGAAACAGCTGCCATGGTAATACCAGCGGTAATACCCGTTATAATAACCTTCCCAAAAGGGCAGATACTTTACACGAACAGACCAGTGAGAAGCAGCGGATGATTTGCAACCAAGCACATAACTGGCTAGTCAGCCCACCTCACCAACCAATAGTCATGCGTAAACTCCACAAATTCGTCTAGATTTGCCAAAAGTAGTTTAGATCACTCCGGGGGTCCGCCAAGGAAGTGGGACTAACCAGACTTACCCGCCGAACCAAACCGTGAAATGAAGCCATATTAGGATAATGCCCTTTGAATTCTATGGTTTCGATTCTCGAATTTAACTTCAACAAAACAGACTCTGCTAGCATCCACATTTGCCGACGGGACATGCATGTAACTAACAAGCGACCGGCTAGAGATTCCATCTCGGTGATTTGATTGACCCACTACGGACTCAACAACCAAAGTAGGGTAGGGCTCAACACTTGGGATGTCCAGACTACTGCATGCTACTGTGACTAGTCCACTAGTAGGTCAAGTAACGCCATCAAGTCCAAGCTAGATGTGACGGCATGGTTGATGATGAACATGGATTTTACTATTTCAACCAAAGCATACTCACAACTTCAAGTTTGTGTCCGTGTCCATGTCCGTGTCCATAGTGGGTTGCCATGTGGGATGAGCCGCAAGTTATTCCCCGTCAAACTTCGATCCGATTCAACTTTGCTCTCCCCGGAGTAAATTCGGGATATCTGAGACAACTTTCATGACTGATGGAGAGTTTCAGGGATAATAGTTTGGGTTCGGCCTGAGCCGCGTAGATGTGTTGCAGCCAACTGGAAATGCCGGCTCCAGTTGTCGATCGCTCGTATCCCCCTAAGAGGTGACGGGTTGACCAGATCTGGAAACGATGTGACGCCAGTTTACCAATTTGTTGGTTTGTTTACAAAAATGGAAGGCCCGAGAGGTAACAAGCTTTTGTCTAGGACCCAGTCAGCGGGCCTTTTTGTGGCTGTGTTGCAGTTCCATTTCTCTATTCCAAACATTGGAATAAACCAAGGAACTGGGTTGGACTACCGACTCCGTTGATTGAGATTCCTGGTTCTCGATTGAGTTGGGGTGGGGGGTCAACCTTATCCCCTGTGTACGGTGTACTCCTTTATATCTCGGAAGTCGAAACGATATCCGAAATACAAATACATCCCAGGTACCGGGAACTCACTGGATCCCGAACTAGCGTGACCCGCTCCGGGAACGGTTATTTTGGTATGGTATGGTATTTGATACAAGGGCCCAAGCTCCTTCCAAGCTCACCTTGGGAAGTCGATCATTTGATAGATCATTGTCCATGTTCATTTTTGACTGGTACTCACTTAGCGCCATATGCCTGCATGTTTGTATCATTTTCTAGACAGCCCCTGTCGTGTGACATTTATTTCCTTGAATTCCCACTCATCCTCACTGTTTACGTCCAACGTATACGTCTCCTTTTTCTTTACTGAACGGTATTAGAGTCCACTGCCCCGCAACGCGCCAAAGCGACTAGAGCAGCTCTCGGCGTCTAGACTCCTAACGCCGATGCGACATGGCACGGAAAACGTCGTCATTACTCTCGGCTCTGTGTTTCATCGCACAACATGAGCAGGGGCCACACACTAATCCTTTTTGGGGGGAGAGTCCACCTAAGTCCCCGACAAAGGAGAATAAGTTAACCAACGGATCCCGCAGATCGGATTACCGAGAACTGACCAAGGAATTCAGTGGCTGATATGACATTTTATTTGACGGATCCACATTAAACCATGGCCACGGGCCTAATGAACCACAAACCAGAGATATGGAATCCCCAAAATTAAAGAATAGAAGTAAAAAAAAAAAGTTTGAAAGAAAGAAAGAAACAAAACAAAACAAAGGGAAAGATAGGAAAGCACCGGCGTATCCCGAAAACCCCAATCAAACAAGAAACCCAATACAGTGGTAACCTGCACCTAGAAAAAGGCGTTGCTTAATCATCTAGTTGGACAAAACAGCTGGATCCTGCAACATAATACGCTAGACCTGAAAAGGATATTCGTCTCGCTTGGATCAAATTTGCTGGTCTTGGCTCTTTGGGGCCGGCAACTCAGCCTCGGGTTGACCTCCACACCCACGATCGCCCGAGATCGAGAGTACGAGACGCGATGTTTTACCTGGATTTAGTAGGTTGAGGTGGATCAGTGGACCAGTGAGAGTGCGTATTCTCCCTAAGATCCACATTACACCCGGGATCGCTGGTGCAGAACCATGTGTTTGGGGTTTATATTTCATTTTAAGATGTTACCGTTAAGGTATCTTTACCAGGGGGTTAAGTTTACCCATATCCCCATATCCCACATGGATGGTCATGAAACCGTAGTTTAGACTAGTCTACTAGTTGCGTATGCAGCCTTCTCAACTTGCATGATGAGTCAGGGATCATGCCTTCGCTTTTTGTGCTATCTGCAAGTAAAGTGGACAATCTTTTTCTGGCTTTATTCTTTTCCGTCCCGTCTATGATCTGCGGATCTAGAATGGATGTGATCTTAACCGTTTGGCTAGAATGAAGAGATGGAATGCATTGATTAGATTGGCATAGCCAAGACCAAGGACAATCAATCTTCGCAAGCTATTCCTCATCCAGAAGGAACCTACTAACTTGAACAAACGGAGTACTCCGACTCTAGGTGCCAGTTGATGAGTTGATCTAGGTAGCCGAGCCGATAGCTCGGCATCAAAACCAAGATCTATATCTAACTCTCCGTCAACCCAAAGTTGACCGACACCAACCCCAGAGCTTAGCTCAGGCCTCTCCGGTAAACGCCAATGTGGGGAAGAAAGCACATCCCAACCCCATCTCGTTCAGCCTTAAACGGGGCCGTGGAGTAAAAGTAAAAAAGTAAGTGAACGCGAAATGCAAGGAGCCAAACCCCGTAGTTTCGAGGGGGAAGCCTAACCTAATCCTCTTGTCCCCCTACCCCTACCCCTACCCTCCCCCTCATCCTTCTCCTTCCTAAATCGAATCAAAATGAAATCAGAAAAAGTCTCCGGCCAAGGCGTGCGCAGCACATGCATCCACTTACGTAGTCGTCGGGGGCCAGAGAAACCCAGAGCCGCCACATATACTCCGGGGCCGGGTTATCCGGATTTAAGAGGATCATTTGCACATGCTAACATTACATTACTTTTATGTTCATGTCTCTGGAATACTGATTCCACTTACGGGGTAGTCCACCTTTACCCCCTTCTTTCCCTGGCCCCCGTCAACTCGGCCCCGGATGACTTGTCGGTCCGGCTTGGCTTGGCTTGATCCCTGTTCGAAAGGTGTCATTTTGTGGGTTCTACGTAATCTAAGTATATTAAGTCTGTCTGTACGTAATTAGTGAACTTAGTGGCTGCCGGCATAATCTTACACAAATCATGAATCATATTGCTCGAACTAGGATCTACCAAACCAAAGCCCGTATCTCCTTCCCGTCGCTCTACAAATTCCAAGGTCAACTTGTGCAGTTCATACTTTTCCAGGCTGCGTGTGATCCATCTCTTCAATTGTTTTCGGGGCGGGAAATAAACCTAAATTCGATCCAATAATTTCATCTCTCAAGTATACAGTATGTACACAGAAACGGAAATAATACGCAAATCAGTCCAGATTCAAAATATTGTCATGAACTACCCATGTAGTTAGTTATTTGGAATCAAGTGCTGTAGTTAGTAAGCTGCAACAGCAACCGTAAGCAACTGTAATTCGCAACCGCAACCGTTAAGCAATCCAGACTCTTCCAGACAAGAAAAAAATACTAAGGAGAAAAAGATACGCCACTACGGAGTTCTACCCCAGTTTATTCTCATAATGGCAACGTATACAAATCAGAGAAGCGAAGCGACAGGGCACCAAGGCTCCAAAGTTCAAAAACCGGATTCCGACATCCCCTCCTCGAATCGTTATCCGACAGAGTAAGCGGTGACCGGCCTCGCAGCTCTTGCGGCGTATTCTCCCCAATCGCCGAGTATCTTGCGTAAACCTTGTACATTCTGGCCCCTGTTCAGCTAACTGTTACTTCTTTGCCTCGTTCTTCCACTGCGCTGGGTTGGGGGGTGGGATTCTATTCGCTAGTTTTGTCGCCGCCTGGCTTATACTTTTGTGTGTCTCACACGGCTGTGGGAGGATTGGATGGCTTTTTGATGTTTATTAGTAACGTAATGTATAATTCAAATATTATAGCTTCAAGCTTATGGCTTGGAATCGAGAATTGAGAATTGAGAATCCAGAATCCAGACTCGGCTGAGCGTTGAAAATATGCGTTGAGCACATTGCTTGGCTATCATGATTTGAATTAATAGTATGGTTTACGCTCTGTAGGATGGAAGCAATGTACTGTCGATCTAACAATCCATGCGATGCGTGCAGGTGGCGATCCAGTTCAATGGAGATGATAATTTCTCTAGCTATTCTATCTTATTAATGTTACCATCGAGCCTCTTTCCTTGTTCGTATTCGCTCTTACAATCCTACAGCAACCCTTGCTTGGCGTCCTTGGCTTATGATGCAGAGAATGGCGGATAAAACATAAGGCGGGAAAACGCGGAAAATAATCCAGCACTAGTTGAAAACGGGTACATATACAATCGAACGGCGAAAGCCGCCAGTCATGCACGCCATAAACTACGTAGATCGTGGTCCTATCGCATGCATCTGCTTGCTTTGGACCTTCAAATATTTCTTGATATGACATAAGGTTCAAGAAATAGGCGCTGGAGAGTAGAGCTGGGGAAATTCCAAGGTTACTTTCGGGTGAGCTCCACCTACGTATTTACTTAGCCGGGGAATTGAGTAGTTAGTAATTAATTTAGCAATCATTGTGATGTGGCCAATCAGAGGATCCACTTTTCAAAGTACCTGCAAAGGAAACTGGTTTCCTGGTTTACGGGGAAAGGGACCATCGATGATTCGGCTCCCTTATCGTGGGTTTCGCACTAGTGTCGCGTACGTATTTCCAAAAAGGACTCCAAGAAACTCGCGAGTGTTTTGGAGTCAAGTTCATAGATAAGATTCATCAGATCCCGTAGAAATAACGATATAATAAAAGAGTCTCAAACGAGTAACATATCTCATGCCAGGTATCAAAAATCACCATCGCTGCATTCAAGGAAAAGGGTGAATAAATGAATTTGAAATAGAAAAAAAAACGCCAATCCTCTTCGTTTAAAATGGGAAAGTCGGGAATTAAATAAAGAAGAAAAAAACACATACCAAGAATGATAAACGGGGGAATCCAAACAGAAGCGCCCAAAAAGTAGCCCAAGTAGCCGGGTAAACCAACCCATAGAAAGCCCAAACAAATAACAAGAATACAACACAGGTATGCGAAGTCACCGGGTTCTCGAGGTGAGGGGAATCGGGGGTATAGAAAAGTCGTCACGGACATCAATAGCACAAGGCTCTCGCCAAAGGGAAAAGCGTCACGTTGAGCTTCCTCTTAGCCTACTCCCAGAAAAGCCCAGTCAGTCCCCTCCGGTTGATTCAGAATCCGGGTAGGGGTTTTGTACGGGAAATTTGGATGGTATCCCACCATCATTGGCTGTCCTTCTGGTAGCTGATGCCCCTGGAATGGCGGCTGGTGGTATTCGGGTGGAAGATAGTTCGTTCGCGGGGTGTGGTCATAGCGTTGCGGCATCATTTGAAGATATTGCTGGTGTTGGGGATGTTGCGGGTGCTGTGGATGCGGATGCGGATGTGGGTGTTGTGGTGGCGCTGGTGGAGCATGCGGCATGTTTATTGGGGATGTGACGGGGACGTTCTGCGTGACGATCGGATGCGCACCCTCGTTTACTGGTACCGCGCCCATCTGGACATGAGGTGGCGAGTAGAACTCATGATTTGGCGTCGCCGAATTCGAATAATACGGCTGCTGGGCGAGCATGTACTGGTCGTTAGGATTTGGGATGGAAACCGATACGGGCGGCTGGTGTTGATGATATGAATGCTCCGAGGTCGCATCCTCCGAGGATGGCCGAGTCATGGAGCCTGGGGGGTGAGAGCGGTGTTGGTGTTTTGTGAGTGTGGTTTTGCGACAGAAACTAAACAGGGTGAGTTTGTTGATGGGAAGCGACGGATCCACGGGTCTTACCTCCGTTCGCAAGTCGGTTCCTGGCAGATGTAAGGTCGCTTGCCTGTATGAATTCTTCGGTGCCGAGCTAGACTCGAAGACTATACAACATGTTAACCAAACGGGGGCTCGAGAGCTGAAGCTGGAATCCTTACGTCTGAGAAGGCCTTCTGGCATCCGTCATGATCACAGACATGAGGCTTTTCGCCTGTATGGGTCCGGGAATGCACAGTTAAAGCACTGCGCTGGATGAAGCTTTTATTGCAATCCTTCACTGTGCAATGATATGGCCGTTCATTGGTGTGTATGCGATAATGGCGACAAAGATCGGACTTGCGATTAAAAGACTAGGGCGAATCAGCGGATGATTCGAAGCGACTCGAAAAGTCAAGAGAATACAAAGCGTAAACTTATACAAATCACATACCTTGCCACAATGCTCCCATGAGCAGTTGAAATCGCGCCCACCTGGAGCCATGATGGTCGATCGACTTTCACGGTTGTGGGGGTGGAAGCGGGTCGCCGTGTCAAGGCGACAGTGTATATGATATGGGGGAGGGGAAACGGGGGATCAGAAGGGTTGGAACGTCAGCGCATGCGCGCAAAAAGGGGAATCCGGGATAGTCCTAGTCAAGCAGGATGAATCGAAGCCAGGATGCTTAGGCGAGCCCGGGGGGCATAATAGAGCTTTAATATAAACGCTCAGAATGAGGGGTGGGGCGGGGGGAAAGAGTGGAGGGAAGTGTAATTGGGAAATGGATGATAGGGCGATTAAGGGGGGGGAAAGTAGAAAAAGAGGGGATTAAAGGAAGGGGGACAAGTTCATTTACTATGAACCTTTAACATTTGGGAAAGAGTTCTGGGAAGGGAAATAACGGCGTGGACCGTAAGGTTGATTTATTTATTATTCATTTTTATCTTCTGTAGGTCTAGTTTAGATGGTATTAGTTATGTTCTGATTAAATGCGGGTTTTTATTTTATTTGAATTATTTTTCTTTTTTAATTTCCATTTTTTATTATTTTTATTTGAATTTGGCTGTACAAATGTACATGTACGGTGTACTTTGGTATTCATAAACAATGTATATGTACCCATAACCTATGGTACGACCCTTTTGTTTTTTTGTTTTTTTTTTTCCCTTTTAATGTTTCTCATTCTAATTCTACCTAAAGATTTTGTATAGACTCATCTATGACCGATTCAGGGTCAAGTAACTTTTGAAGCTCCGGAAGCTTTTATAAGGTAACCTCGTTACATCATTACACCGAGCCCCGCCTATCAAGGATTCCATTGTCAAAGGGGGTACCACCTGTCGGAACTGTGTAATATATACTAATTAAGAGGACAAGAGGGGCTAAATATTTTTAGCTGCTATCGTTGATAGGTTCCCTGGCTCTGGCAAAGGTTAGGTTGGCAACCGAACGTTAGTACTTTGAAATTGCGACTGCCCGTAAAGAAAAAAAAAAGTAATTTACCAGTAAAAACCCTACTGTCCCTAAACCCTCAACAAACCCGGTTCCAGGCTTTCAGACCCACAGCTTAGTCGGGTGCGTGGGGATACGAGGTGGAGTAAAAAATACTGGTATTGTAATAACAAGATTAAAGTTGGAATATGAGGATTGATCTGAAACTGCGCCCCCTGATTCGTAATTCTATCAAAGAACAAAGTCATAGGAATTCTATATGTAAGCAGTGAATAATCAAATGGAAGTAGAAATCGTAATGTAATATAAGAAAATGGAGTCAAGAAATATAAATATAAAATTACAATCGTAACCAAACTCCGACATCACATCCCCCATGTTCGAGGTACCCCGGTGAACCAGAATAGGGACAATCTGGTCATTCCCCAGCTTCTCCATCGGTCTAAATTGTTACTAAGACCAAAATTATGTAACAATGCTACATGATCCTGGGTTATGATATCATTGTCTTAGCATCTCGCGATTTTAAAAACCAGCCATTTATCAACCTCGGTGGTAGCGCTTTTGGAATATCATAATAAGACCAGCTTTTCAACCGCGCCCGAGCTTCTCCGTGCTATGACGATCGCAAGGCAGAAATTAAAACCTCGTATAACTACATATACTAACTACTCACTAGCATTAAGATGCGGGGGTCAAAATCCGGGACCACATTCCCCCGTTAATATTCCGTGCCCCGCTAGCAATACAAGAAACGGTCGAGATTCGGGAATATTACAAGATATCGCGTATGGGGGAGATCGTCTCCAGCAAGGGATGATAGACGTGACGCGGCGTCTGGCTGCAGCAACACGGGAAACCTGGTTCGGGGGACCCGTAACCGACCTTCGCTGTCTCGGGAGGAAGTTCTCTCCGAACATGGTCATTATTTAAGGTTGAGGGGAGAAAGGGAGGAATGAAAGATTGGAGTGATTTCCTCTACTTTCCTACATATAACTACTTATGCGTATGCGAATAAAGTCCTCACCGTTATTGACGCGATCATATAGGATGATCTTCACTGGGACTGGTAATCCGGGGCAAAACTGACACAGAACGAACTCTAAAACCCTGGAATGCTTCGATCCAGAAGAAGGGGGAATTTGGCATGTTCCATGAAGAATACCCTTCAGATCAGCCTAGTTTCCGGCACTAGTAGATGAGTGATTTAGTGTCTGATACACTTTCTGGATGCCATGTCACAGAAGAGTCCTTATTCGTGGTAATCAAGTGCTGGTTCCTTCACCGTCTCGACTATTAGTTAGGCCCCATGCTTACGGTTCCTTGTTTGCCAAGGTTATCTATTTTCCTCACACACAGGTCGATCGTTGCGAAATTTCCTTTTTTTCCCTAATCTTTTGATTCCGTAAACCTTCTCAAGTCGGATAGAAATCTTCCTGCATGGAACATTGGTTGATTATCAATCTCTCGACGTCGGTGGCGACTCGGCAAGATGAATGCGGAAAGTCAACATCAAATGTAAATGTTGATGCAGATTTCACAAGATACAAGATCGGCTGGCCTCGGTTGAACACTGATGACACAACATTGAAAATGATGATTGTCGATCGATACTTATTAAAGACGTGATCTGTGATCGTCTTGAGCATATGTACTGTAGCCACAGCAGACGACCTCAGTGGCTTCTACTCATCAACGTGGGGCTCCACTAGGCTGTAAATCTTAAACTAGTGATCTCCTTGATCTCAAAGATTATTAGTCCATGACAAGCGTTAGGCTACCAAGGGGGGCCGAGTGCAAACCCAAAGTCTAGGTGGTGAAGTTCACATTCTCCGTGTCTAAGGAGGGCACCAAAGAGAATGATTGTTCAAGAGATCGGCAAGCGCTGGATCGTTATTGATCGCTCCCGTTTTTTTCTCGTGGGATATCATGTCCGTTATGATCCTGACTAGTTACAGTTAATATCGAGGGCCAATAGTCATCGGCTCTGCCTACATGCATTTCCACTGGCTATCTGCATCTGTAACAAGCATCACGTCTCCCTATCTGTCATTCTGCAAATGTCTCCTCGATAGGAAACAATTGTCCACGTAGTATGAATCTCAGCCATTCACGTAGGTGGAAGATTCTTGACTTCATGTAATCTGTCCACAGGGGCACACGTATACGTACATGCTACATACTGCATGCTGCAAGAGTTATCAGAAAAGCCAGATACATCAAAAAGGAGAAGAAAAAAAACACGCGACAAGTGGGCCCTTTCTTTACCCCTTCCTTTGCGTTTCCATTTTTACTTCTATGTTCGCATGAAATGTATAATTTTTGGTTATTTTTGCTTTTTGCCCAGACATTTGGGCGTTCTATTGGCGTTCACCCTAATCGCGGCCCAGAATTCCGCCAATCATCAGTCCAGCTTCAGTATTCCATTTATCTATACGAGCTGAGGTTTCTTACATCGAGTAATGGATCTGTTTCAAAGACATTTGAACTCTCGATTCTGTCATCCTCGTCATTGTTTACGCCCAGGAACCGGTTCATCTGATCAGCTGTTTCACAGGAGAATTTTATAACTCGTTGTGGAACCGATATCCAGGGCCCAAGATAAGCACCCTGAAAATCGTTCCAGTCCATTAACCAGGTTCGGCTCCTGCGGAAACGATATATTAAGTATCCCAGGGCCATCGCATCGGAAAGTAGAAACAGATTGTGACGAAAGCTGCATGGACTTTGGCATTTCCGTCCTCTTGCCACCCTTCGTGTGTCAAGCTTATCACCCCGCATTTGTAGAATGAAGACAAATGGAACATTGCGATGGGGCAAATGGCGTGGAACTGTACTCTCGGCCCGGGCATGAAGTGGGGATCGAGTTGTTCCATGGCCGTGCACGTATACCCGCAATGCTTAACTTCACTGCCACGTGAAACGGTTACGGTGTCATCGGCCTTTCTCGGATGTATAGAACATGGATAAAGAGAACAGAGGAAAATAGCATTTGAGAGAGAGAAAAGAGTAAGGATAACCATATAATCTCCGAAAACAGTTTAGATTGTAACATCCCTTCCAACCAGTGTCTACGTGATTCTAAGCTCGTATCTAACTAGCCGATCACATTGCACACTGCTCCAAGACTAGTACAAACAGCACCTAGTTCATATTCAGCGTAACTTGCCCACCAATGGGAATCTTTCTCAATCCACTCAGGCGGCTCTTCTGATGACCTCAAAGAGTCGGTCAGGAGCACAGTGTCCCATCAGAAGCGAGCCCTGACTCAGGTGCACCGGCGCTATTTAGCGCGATACGGAAAGTCTCCGAAGAGCTTTTGGTTATGGACAAATCAAGAAGCAAGGATCAAAGGGTTAATCTCGCTTCAAATCCTAATTTATGCGAATTCACGCCATATTCCCATATTTTTCTCGAATCCGAGCAATCAATTCAAGGAAAATTTTCCTATCAGCGAAGGAAAACGCCACTGACGACCCCTAGTGTCCCAAATCTCACCCTCTCGCCAAGAGCGTTTTGCCGCAACAGTCAACAGCTCCGCAATCTCACCGATCATATTTCAAGAAAACCCAAAAAAGCGGGCAAAAGCCTTGTGATCCGCATAAGCCAAGACAAGTACAATCCCGATGTCCATTCTTGATAAGGTAATATTCGGTGGGGACGTCAAGGAAAATGGTTCGGAACTTATTTAACCAGCACGGTCCACATCGCGCCAACAAAAGCTGGGGCCAAGGGGCTTTCAAGTCCCTATCGTAATTTGAATTTGGCACCCATTTGAAAAACAAAAATAAAAGAAGAATCATGGGGTGGCTTGAACTTTGATCCCGTTTGGGGCTGAGACTCGCTTGGCCTCGGAGCTCGGTATTCTCCTTGCGTCCAGAGTCAGTCATCTGATTTCGCATATGATTCCTATAACTGACTAGCGTGAATTATATCCCTACAGTACGGTATATAGTGATATGTAAGCGTTGATGCAGATGAAAAACAACTCGAAATGAGATCACCTTCATGTTGCGGTGACCTTGTCATGGAACATTTCACGCCGTGGCTACCTGCAATGCCGGCTCGGCAGTCGGGTAAGCATGCACGCCTCAGTTTCATGTTCAATGTGGTGGCGGGGAATGGGAGAGATAGTAACGTATCATGACATGTATGTGAGCTTTTCGTACTATTGCTAGACGGGAATTGTCCTGTCTGGGTAGGATATGCGGATGCGAGACGGCGTGGCGCCGTTGTACAAATGAACTGGGGCAGGTTTCTTAGCTCTCAATGTTATTTTCGACTTTATTTTCTTGAAAGTAGTGATACCTTGACTGTTGGGATAGTACTTAACATACAAGCGAAACATCCTGGTCTAATATGTTATTACCAGGTATGATTAGGCCATATTAAGCCATTTCCCGTGCCATTGTGACCTCATCCTGGGCATTATTTGAATTTGGACTGGATCTAGCTTGATTTCGATGCGGAGGACCATTTCCAATGATAGACAGTGGCGTGCATCCTATTGCGTCTTCATTGGGTTTTCTGGAAGACATTCAACCATTACCTAGGTGCGATGATCGAATGCAAAACGGAAAGAAGAACAGAATGGAACATGATCAAAGCCTTCATTTCTGAGCTGTGAAGCTAGATTCTAAACGAAGTAATTAAATGGCCAACCATTTCGACATCTTTATTTCCAAGAAGAACCCGAAATGCATAAAATATCTCCAAAGATCTTACCAACTCGTCAAACCTCGCTCCCGATCAAATCCAGCCCGCAACTGCTGCGCGGGTTTTAACACCTTACCCTGCAAAACAGTATACCGGATGATATTCTCACACTCCTCTGGCTTGACACGAGCCAGCCAAATCCCTTGTGCCGCACCCTCCTGCTCACTTTCAGCCTCCGCGCTATCTGACTTATACCATTCCATGTCTCGGCGCCGATACACAATAACGTTGGCAGAGTACTTGTGTCCACCGACGTGGCTGATGAAATAGATTCCTACACCACCGGGGCGTGTATCGTCCATGTCGCGATACAATCCCAATGGACGCAAGTGCCTCTCGAACTCACGGCGGAGCAGCGGCGCAGATTGACCGCAGCGCGCATCGCGGGTGCGTTGCGAGCAGAGAAGAATGACAGCAGCGTGAGGGCACGGGCGGGAGCGGAGAGGGGTAGTAATAGATGTGTTGGAGGGATGGGGGATGGAGTCGGCTGTTTGCTCATCGGAGCTGCCATTTTGGTCTGCCGGTGCTGAGATGACTCCGCCGAGCGGTGTGGTGGTTGTTGCGGATTTGTTCACGAAGTGCTCGATCAGATCCGGGGCCAGCTGCGGTGTAACATTATCCACAATGGTGAAGCTGGGCAGTATGAGGACGTTGGTGGGCTGTTTTCCTGCTTCGTGCATATGGTATTCGTCTGGAACGGGCATATTGGAGGCCGAAAGCTTGAGGCGCTGTGATTAAACATACGTCAGTACTTTGGCGAGTATATCATTGTGTTCAAATGCGTGCTTACACCATTGCTCGGCTCAACTCCTCCCTTCTCAATTGCTTCCATGACACTGCCTGTTTCGTCGGCAACGTCGCGCACCCAATCCGACTTGCCAGTAGCAACAAGCATGTGCGTGGCCCACCCATTCACTTGGCCGTATAGCTCGTCCTCCATGTCGACATCAAATTTGGCGGGGTACTTGATAGTACATGTTGCGCAATCGTGCAGACAGTCCTCGCCATCAATGGCGGGGTCAGCGTTGGGAAACAGCTTGTCCGATTCCGAGATTGTTCGGAATCCCTCGGTAGCGAGGGCATTGTCGCCGACAGCATCGGTGGTAGCGTCGGTCTTGGAGGAAGCGAGGGAGACATTGGAGGAGTTAAAGAGCGAGGACGTGCCTCGGCGGAAGAGATGCATGTTGGTGAAGTTGTTATACTTCCTCTAGTAAGTTTGAGGCTCTAAGAGTAGGGATTAGGCGATTGATTGGTATCAATCTTTCCTTTCCGGTCTTCTATAAGCGCGAAATCCCAAAATTGAGGTGATCTTATCAATCATTTTGCATTCTTGCCAAGAAGCTCGGAATTATGGCCGACTGACTAAGCCCCCACTGTTGCCGATAGGGTATTTTAGTCCGATCTACAACTAATGTACATTGTCTAATGGGACAAACAAAAGAAAGTTGGAGTTTAAGGTGGGCCCCCATTCCAATTATTCCTGCGGCCAGTATAGGTGATGGTATATGGCAAATTGCCCCGATCCTGTGGCTGTGACAGCCGAATCACACTTCCTCCAGAACTGCCGGATTGTCCGGAGTGCACGCGCCGCAAGGATCGAGTCGACGGAGTGCGGAGTCCCCGCCCTAGATAAGACCCGCTCTCTTGTGACATTCCAGAAAGTGGACTTTGCACTGCTGGCGCAGTATCGTACCCCGATTGGTTCTCCCAGCTCGATGCATTCGATGGCCGGAGGCTGTTACTCCGCATCGATGCAAATGTACCATCAAACCCGTAATGGTCCACTGTATCCGTCTCTCCCTCCTCATCCGATGGCCCGATGATAGACTCGCTATCTGCACGGCGGTAGCTTGCGCTGTCGCGAATGTCTTCCACGGTATGAGGCGCAAGGGATGTCATGCCTCTCAAGATCTCCGCAAACAATTGCATCAGGTTGCGAAACTCGAACTCTTGGAGCTGGTGGGAGGAAAACCGAGCCCGTTCGTAGAGCGCAAGAAAATCAGGGCCAATTCCCGATGGTTCAATAGCCCCTAAGGACGTCAGATGGCGGATGTATTGCCGTAATCCCATGGAAGCTGGTCGCCGTAGCACTTCTACTACACGCATATCTGGTAAAGATTGGGGGCCCAGATCATCGACTGGGCCAAAGTTATCCGGCCCAGCAAAGAAGACGTCGGGGGGCGCCAGTGATACTGCCTTCGCTTCAATCAGGTTGGGCAATTCCTGGATGACTGTTTGGTATGGCAGATCCGGTAGGTCGGGGGAAGCGGGGGACGACCAGCCGGGGTGCTCCACGCGCCCCCACGGCGGCCGTTTAGGGTCAACAAGAAGTCGTTCATAATTCTGAAAGCTGTCCACTTCTCCCGAGATGTCGCGCGGCCGAGCCTGATATGAGATCACTGCGCTCCGAGCAAGTCCCTCTTTCACCATGCGGCGGACGCTCTTGCTCACATCTTCTTTCTCCACGGGTATCCATGCCTTCGGGATACCAGCCAAGGTACTCCTGTTTGTGTAGATTCGAGTCGAGTATATGAGGACAGCGAGAATGAATGTGATGACATAGGCGCCAGTTATGAAAAAAATATCAGTGAGCTGGTTGGTTTCATAGCATTGGTAGATGGCGTCGACCGGTGTGAGGAGAATCAGACCGAAGAGGATAAGGGCGAGAAGGAAGAAAAAGCTAGAGTTTAGAACGCGCTCCAGTTTCGGGGTCATTTTTAGCCGCGCATTTTGTGCGCCGTGCACGACATCGATTGGCAGGATGAGCTTGGTCGTGGCTGGACTGGGTTGAATCGCGTCAAGTTGATTATCTGATCAACTGAGTATCACGTGCGTCGAGGTGTCACAGCGGATAATAGGAAATTGCTTTCTCAGGGGCTTTAGGATATTCAATGCATTTTACGGCGTTCTGGACTGTTAGTCACTTCACCAATAGTTGTCCATATTGTACTCATTCGCGTTGTCGCCGACATTCAATTTTAATCACATGACACTGTTCCTGCCCCGAGTGAAAACGGCCTCGAATCCACCAACTCTATAACCCCTGAGAAACAAAAGAAAAACATGAGTGAAACAGAGGCATTTCACAATCCAGAAGACACATATGTGCTTGTAACAGGCGCAAACAGGTAAAAATGACCCCCAATGGCCCCACCAACACATTACATTCGAACCCCTCCCTCTTAACCAGAAAAAAAGTGACAATCCGCTAACTATGCAATTCTTACTAGTGGCCTCGGGTTCTCGACATGTTGCCGCCTCGCCGATGACTTCCTTAAAACCCGTCCGCCAACTGCATCCCTAAACATCATTTTCACAACCCGTAGCGCCCGCAAAGCGCAAGACACAGCCCGCCGCCTCGAAGCCCACCTCCGCACCACTGCCCCCTTCCCCGAGGATTTCTCGCGCGTGCGCTTTCTTCCCGAGAGCGTCGATCTCGGATCCCTCGTCTCCGTCCGTGCCTGCTCCCGCAGACTCAATTCCACCTTCCCTAAACTCGATGCTATCATCCTGAACGCCGGGGTTGGCGGGTTTTCCGGTATCGACTGGCCCAACGCGATTTGGAAAGTCTGCACCGACCTCTTGCACAGCGTGACATGGCCCGACTACAAGTTGTCACCCGTGGGCGTATTGACTGAGAAACAGACATGCAAGGAACTGGAAGAACCAGCCTTGGGCGCGCTGTTCTGCGCCAATGTCTTTGGGCACTACATGCTTGCGCATAACGTGATGCCCTTGTTGAAGCGAGCAAAGACGCCAGATGGTCCTGGACGTGTGGTTTGGGTGTCTAGTATTGAGGCGACGATAGAGCACTTCGATGTAGGGGATATTCAAGCCTTGCGCTCTGTTACGCCTTATGATTCTTCGAAGGAGCTTACGGATATCTTGGCTTTGACCTCCGATTTACCTGGTACTGCGCCGTGGGCAGTGAAAGGTTTCTTGAGTTCGGATGATTGTGATGATGCAAATGGCGACTCTGTCGTGCCTACCATGCATGTCTCCCACCCTGGTGTCTGCGCTACGGCTATCATCCCGCTTGCCCTGCCTCTTATCTGGGCTATGATGATTGCATTCTGGGGAGCTCGTATGCTCGGATCCCCCTGGCACAATATGTCTACCTACCTCGGCGCTATTTCTCCGGTGTCCCTTGCTCTCTCGTCCAAGACTGAAATTGAAGCTGCCGAGAAGCCGTATCGCCAGGCTGGCGGTGGAAAGCCGAAATGGGGCTCGTCTACCTCGCGGCTCGGAACTGCAAGTGTAGTCTGCACAGAAGTCGAGGGCTGGGGTTATGGCGGAGTTGTTGGTACCCCTGTTGTGGAGGCTGATCGGCAAAGACGTCGAAAACGAAGAGCGACCTATCTTACTGTGGAACAGAAAGAGAATTTCGAGGAGCTTGGGCGACAGTGTTGGAAGCAGATGGAGGAGTTGAGGGTCAAGTGGGATGGGATCCTGGATCAAGCCGAGAAGATGCAGAATGATCGGTGAGCAAGAGTATCTATATTGTAACTTTATTGCCTGTGATGTTTGTCTGCATTGTTTATTTTATCATGCATCTAGTTCCTGGCATTGCCAAGGCTAGCACCTGGACATAATTGTAGTAATATTTAATCTCATGTACCACCAATCTGAAAATACCACTTTCTTGGTTTGATTCCTGGGTCAAGTCGCCCTTCCAATTGACCCTTGAACCAGTTTATGAACCTCGCCTACACCTGGTGAAATAATTGGGAATTGGCTTTCCAAGGAAATATCTGAGCAAATACTCAAGGTACTTCAATGGGTGATAAGCGTTGCACACAGAAATGATCTGAACTCTTTCTAGAGTCTAAAGATCCTACCTGGATTAAATTCTGCATACCGAAATCAAAAGTTACTAATTTGAACCACCTGGCTGTTGACCCTGAGAAATCTGCAAAAGTATACGGTTTAACAAAAGTCGATTGAGTTGCATCTTTTGTAATTCCGCCTCCCAATTATTTACATCAACAACACTCGCCCCACGCCCATGATATCATTAAAACAGATATTGCATGATTTATTTGCCCGCAAAATCCAAATGGCAGAAGCACAAAGAGAGCTGGGGTTGTAATTGAAGGCTTTTAATGCCCACGATCATCACAAAAAGAAAACAGGAGAAGAGACTAAAAAGTGGTAATTGTAGCAAAAGGGGCCGCTGGTCGTGTATTATCCAGCCATCTAGGTTTGGAATACATCGAGTCTCGGGGACGAAGAGTAAAATAGCGCGAGCACATAGCGGGAGGGGCGAAGGCATCATCGCAGGTGACAAGCAAGAAAACTGGATCGAAGGGATCAAGGCAAGAGAAGGGAAGATCACGAAGAAAACGACTCCGGTTCCATGCATCAAGGGGAGGTATCGGGAGGAGAGAAAGGTGAAAAATGACGTGTCGACGTGAGGAGAGATTACATGATAATGGCAGGAACTTAATGAACGTTAGTTTTAGATCTAAAAATTATCGATTGATTAGACTTACCATCAATGTTTTGCTTGATGCTCTTGTGGGGAAGAATGGAGCCACCGTTGACATATACCTCATCGGCAATGCTAACATCGTCTCCCAGAACAGTTACGTTCTCCAGACGAGCCCAACGGCCAACGGAGCTGTTCCAGCCGACAATGGTGGACTTAATCCAGGCGTGGTCCTTGACCTTGCTGTTCTCCATGATAACGCAACGCTGCAGACGGACGCCATCACCAATGACGACGTTCGGTCCAATGACCACGTTGGGTCCGATGCGGCAATTGTTACCAATCTTCGCCGAGGGGTCAACCATGACATTGCCACCGTGGACGTAAGGCTCGGAGGTAGGGACCAGCTTCTTCGGGTCGCGCTTGGTCAGGGAGGACAGGTACAAGCAGGTACCCGTGAGGAAATCCTTTGGCTGACCAACATCCATCCAGAAGCTCTCGAGGTCAAAGGAGTGGAGCAGTCCGTCCTTGACGATGGCAGGGAAAGTCTCTTGCTCGATCGAGGTGGGGCGCAGCTCAATGCGCTTGAGGACGCTGGGGTTCAGAATGTAGATACCAGCGTTGATACGGTTACCGACAAACTCGACAGGCTTCTCAACGAAACGATCAATACGCGACGGGTGGTTGGGCTTGTGAACCACAACACCGTACTTGGATGGCTCATCGACCTTGGTGACAACAATGGTACCTTCGTCGCCGTGCTTCTTGTGGAATTCCGCAAGCTCCCTGAACGGGTAGTCACAGATAACGTCTGAGTTTAGCACGAAGAATGGCGAGTCGTCCTTGCCCAGAATACCCTCCGCCAGCTTGAGCGGGCCAGCCGTGCCCAGCGGTTCGGTCTCGACTGAGAATTCAATGTTGACACCGTACTGCTCTTCGTACTTCTTGAGCGCTGCGACCATAACATCGGGGCGGTAGTTAACAGCCAGGACAATATCGGTGACACCTGCGGCAGCCAAGCTCTCGACCTGGTGCATGATCATAGGCCGGTTACCGAACTCGACCAGCGGCTTCGGGAGGGTGAGGGTCTAGGCGGGAGCATTTCAATTAGCCATCATAAGGTAAAACTCCCACCGATTCTCTACCCGTAAAGCAATGGGTAGAATCAATTGAGAGGTGGGATGATCGGCGGTCACTTACCAAAGGACGCAGACGGGTGCCGAAGCCTCCGACAAGAATGAGAGCTGCGGGATGGTTAGTTACGGGGTGAGGGGTGGTATGGAGGGGTATATCTTACCCTTCATTGTGGGGTAAGTGAATTTAATGCGAAAACACGATTATATCAGAGGGAATGCGGTTGAGATTCAACAGCAATAAGCCAAAGAGGGTTTCAACAAGAAGGGGAGAAGGTCATTATTTAGGGAACACCTGGCCGTTGATGGATTATTTTTATTAGGAGGGAGGGGTGGGGCACGTGAGTGAACTTGATTGGATGACTACACGTTTGCAGTGGGAAAAAGGGGGTGGACCCTCTGTATATCTGTTACCATCTTTGACTTCCAAAAATTTACTTCCAATTCCGGCCTATCTGATTCAGATTTGGTAGGATGACTGGGGGAAACAGCCATTGGATTCAATCTTTTCATCTCCGACATTCCTTGTAACGTCATTTGTTGTGGTGGGAAACTTCATCGTTCGGAGTACTGCCGTACTCCATATTGTCTTTCCGCCCAGGGTGGTACTAGTTACCCTGGCTGGCTCCAGCCCATCGCCGACGCTGAGCGGCGCAGTCAAGGCCTGGCTTTTGACTGGATCGGGGCTTGAAAATAGCTGCCCCGCCAACCTTACCTGGTCAGGCGATGTCGCCCCCTGTGTTCAAAAGTCTCATAGAGCTGGAGATCAGTGGTCGGTTGCGGTCATGAGCCGCGTGGAACGGTCGATCTCCTCATCCGTCACACTACAACCCTCCTTCATCTTGGAATTGCCCCCTTTTCTCTGCATCTTTCTAACCACGTTTATGAGTGATCCGCTGATAGGTCCTCAAATTAAATCCTGATGCATATAATTATTATGGTATCGTTGTATGTGGGTTTGTATGTACTTTCAAGTTCGTTTGAATATTTCCCTAAATGGTACAGTAAAAGAAAATGTGGCCTAGCAAAGAAGCTACTGCGTGTCCGGGGGCAGCCGATGGCCACGTTCTGTCTTTGTTTCGGGCATTCCTGGGCTAATACCGCCTACTCCATCCGTCCCCACAAATCGGAGGATCCATTCCCGTACCCTGCGAACCTTCTGCGGCAGATCGCCCTCGACACTGGCTGGCAGAACCTTGTCAAGCTCACCCGCATTCGTCGATGGTCGGTGCAAAAGGTCAACTTGGGTCATTCCGCCACGAAGACTCTGTCCATAGACCTGGTCCCGGAATGAGCCAAGCCCGACGGTTCGCAGAAGAACAATGTCCTGAGGCCGAAGTGTTCTAAGGACTCTGCCAAGCCCGGTTTCTTCGGCCTTGGCTGTCGTCTGATCTGGTGCTGAAGCTGGAAGCCAAAAGTTGACACCAAACCCGGCCCTTGTCTCATCACCCACCACGAGTTCAATGATATCGAGTTCTTTTTTCCATTGCCGTGTTACCACACGGTGGGGTGGGTGGACTGCAATGACCCCGACCACTAAATTGACTGACATTGTCTGTGGGACAATAGACTGCAGATGTCTCGCCGTGGGGATATCCTTCAAATCCCTTAAAGGACCATTGATTCGAAAGGGCAGTAATTGACATAACTCTTTGTTTGGTGAATCAGCGGCGATGCTGTCCAACTCCTGTGTCAGGTCTTCTTGTAACTCTGATGACGCAGATATCTCTGAGGTTTCATGAATGGCGAATGAGTGATCATAGAACTGAGACAGCCTGGTATCATCCTCATCACTTGATGTGCTGTCAGTATTGATGAGCTGATGAGATATAAGGAAGCTAGGGTCCTTGGGTCCCCAATAGAAGGATTGGTGATCTTCCACAATGTCTGGTGACAGAGGCCGAAGAACCCTCCATTTTATAGAGTCCTGGCCCAGATATGGCTGGTGTTCGGTGCTGGAGGTTTCTGTATCATGGAATGGGGGAACAGGAGCGTCGAAAAGCTCATCATGATCCCAGTCCAAACTGCTAGGTAGCGGGGCGCCCACTAGGAAAATAAATCTGGGGGCCATATTGATCAGGGGAGCTTCGGCCTCCCGTCATTCCTTCCCAGGCTTGAGGCTCAACTTCACTGATGCAGCAGATTCCAGTAATTCCCATGCGTTCTAATTGCTGTTATCCCTGGGAGTTCTCACAGATGCTCTTTCAAGGTTAGAAGAAGAAATTTGGGGGAGCTTTCAGTGGAAATTGGTTTGACCCCTAGGTAACATAACTTTTTTTTCCAGTGTGGTGGGAGTTATAGGGAGTTTCACAATCCGAGTCCGGTCCGGTTCGGACTCCGAACCATGGGATGCGAAGTCGAAGCCTTGGATTATATCATCATTTGGGCAGCGGTGATAATTCAAGATTTTAAATTAGAGGAACATATTTGAAGCTGCAAAATCTCTCTTCGAGACATTCAATAGCATTTCACCTAGGCCAATTGGATCTCATTTTAGTATGTATAACCAAAATTGCTGGCAGTTGAGGCTCATAAATGACAATATTATCATATTATTATGTACCAGAGACCAAAGGATGCACTGTGGAGATTTTTAAAGCAGCCTTGATTCCCCGTGATTATTTCTCGGGTATATTTAAGCCACTGGGTAGTATCAGTTCTTTGTCAAATATGCTATAATCAAAGTTGAGCTGTAAGCCCTGCCATCGAGCGTTCCCCTCTTCAATATGTAGTAGCTACTACCTACAACCTTGGAATGTCAAATTGATTATAAAAATCTAGCCAGCATTTAACCTATGATAGGTAGCCACATTGAGCCGGACCAAAGAATTAAGCATTCAATTCAACCTGTTCTAGCTCAAATGTTCTCACAAAACCAGTGTTATTCGTGCAACTCATTTCCAGTCGGCAGAATATCAATGCTTTACCGGTATTTGCACATTCGAAGTCGGTGTTGCTTATTCATACACACGTGATTATACGGGAAACTTCCCGAGCCCAAGTGGCAACCGACTTTCGCCGCATCTCAGCGGAGTCCAAACCCACGTCACCGTGACCATTAACTTCTATCTATCAACGATGGCAGTTGCTGCTATTAGCCATTGAAGATATTTACCTGGCTACATAACTAAACATTCAAGGAGGACTATCTCTTTCCCTCGCGGCCGAGTGCCGCTTTAAATCGGACAACCATGGCCTTTCAAGTCACTATCCCGCGGCCGGTGAGGACCACTTACTTCTTGCGAATGACTTCATCCAAGGATATTGCTGACCGTCATTGATGCTTGATGTAGAATATCGCGGCTGTGACGACCGACCTTTGGCCATCTATGCATAACGTGCTAGCTGTTCCTTGGAAGCAGGTAGGACGAACTCCGGCAGCCGGCGCCCACGAGACCATTCAAAGAACCCCTTCTCAGGAACAGAGTTTGGTGGTAGGAATTCATCAAAAACGAAGGCTTTTATTTGGTACTAATTCGATCGAGAAGACACATGAACGTCTTTCATTGCCGGAGTTCTTAAACTCCGTGTCCTTGAGCGAACTGAAGACGGACATGATCAATCAGCCCTCCCGGCGCGGATTGCTTCCGCTCTTCAGTGGAGGTATGTGACTATCTTCATCAATTCATTTCTAAATCTGTACTGATAGATGGCCGAATAGGCAATCCCCTCTGGAACTCAACTACCCCGGCCCGTGGTCTTGCTTCCCCCTCAGCTCGATCCTTTTCAACCTTGACACCCTTCCGCCTTCACACCCTTCGCCGGGCTCCTAAGATCAATGGACTTTCTACTCTTCAACAGCAACGATTCTTGTTCGGAGGCTCTTCGCAGACTATCCTCGCCCAGAAGGAGAAAACTGCCAACAACAACCCGAACAGCGCAAACGCCCAGAATGCATTCTACCAGGCCCTCTTACGTGCGAACATGTCGGCGATTGTCGTGGAGCGGTATCGGACTGCTCAATTTGCGAGTAACGCGACAACCGATGCGATATACAACAAGGCACTTGAGCGGGTCAGTGGTGACCCGGCTCTTGCTGGACAGAACCAAAACCTCTCTTCCGAGCAGCTTCAGGCCGTTGGTCAAGCAGTCGCTGCGCGGAGCGGTGGCGGTCAGATCGGCATTGCAAACAGAGGCACCGGTGCTAAGGAAGCCCCTCTCTACGTTGTGGTTGACGAGTCCATGGGCAGCGCAGTGTTTCGCTGGGTCAAGTTTTTCTTGTTCTTCGGATTCTTCACCTATGTCTCTCTGGTCCTGATCACCATCTTGATCGAAACCACCGGTGTATTGAAAAACATCCGGGGCTCGCAGAACAATGAAGCGCAACCTTCGCAGCAGACCGTTCGGTTCAGCGATGTCCATGGTTGTGACGAAGCCAAGGATGAGCTCCAGGAGCTTGTGGAGTTCCTGCTTAATCCTGATCGGTTCTCCTCTCTGGGTGGTAAGCTTCCCAAGGGTGTTCTTCTGGTTGGTCCTCCTGGTACCGGTAAAACTCTGCTCGCCCGTGCGGTAGCTGGTGAAGCTGGTGTCCCGTTCTTCTACATGTCCGGCTCCGAGTTTGACGAGGTCTATGTGGGTGTTGGTGCCAAGCGTGTCCGTGATCTCTTCAACCAAGCCCGTGGTAAATCTCCGGCAATCATCTTCATTGACGAGCTGGACGCGATTGGTGCCAAGAGAAACGAACGCGATGCTGCCTATGTCAAGCAAACCCTGAACCAATTGCTTACCGAACTCGATGGTTTCTCCCAGACAAGTGGTGTTATCATCATCGGTGCTACCAACTACCCTCAGCTGCTGGACAAGGCGCTGACTCGCCCTGGTCGTTTCGACCGCAAGGTGGTGGTTGGTCTGCCCGATGTTCGTGGACGTATGGATATCTTGCGACACCACATGAAGGGCGTTCAGATCAGCACCGATGTCGATACTGCTGTGATTGCCCGTGGTACTCCTGGTTTCTCTGGTGCTGACCTTGAGAACCTGGTCAACCAGGCTGCCATCCATGCCAGCCGTGACCGTAAGACCAAGGTCGGTCCTTTGGACTTTGACTGGGCCAAGGACAAAATCATGATGGGTGCTGAGGCCCGGAGCCGTATCATCCAAGACAAGGACAAGCTTCTCACAGCCTACCACGAGGCTGGTCACGCTCTAGTTGCCTACTTCTCGTCCTCTGCTACCCCGCTCTACAAAATTACGATTGTTCCTCGCGGCATGGCCTTGGGTATCACTCATTTCCTGCCAGAGATGGATACCGTCTCGCGAAATTATACCGAGTATTTGTCTGACATTGCCGTTGCCATGGGTGGTAAGGCTGCTGAAGAGTTGATCTTCGGCGCGGATAACGTTACCAGTGGTATCTCTGCCGTAAGTTTTTATTCACCATTTCACTGCACAAAATTCCCTACGTTTCACTAACGCTTCCTCAGGACATCCAACAAGCAACCGAAACAGCATTTACACTGATTACCCGATTTGGATACTCCAAGAAACTGGGCAATGTTGATCTGTCAACGAACTACGACAGCCTCTCATCCGAGACAAAGCAAGAGATCGAAAGCGAAGTGCGCCGCCTCGTCGAAGAAGCCCGAGCCCGTGCCGAAAAGATCCTCACCGATAAGCGGAAGGAACTCGAATTGCTGACCAGGGCTCTAATCGAGTACGAGACGCTCACCAAGGAAGAAATGGAGAAAGTACTCCGAGGAGAGAAGCTTGATAAGCTGAGTATCATGCCCAGTGCACCAATCAAGCTGCCGGATGCTTTACAGACGGCCAGTCTGAACCCTTCAACTGCGGCCGGTGGTCCTCCCACCGCGACGGAGTGAACGATATGACTTGATTTCATCGATCCCACATCTCCTTGTTCCCCTTGTCTTTCATCATGTATTTCATATTTCATTGTTAAGCTCTATCTTCCCAATCGTGCATTCCCGGAATGTTCGGGCGTTTGTACTGAAAATACCATTTCCTTTACCTCTTCAAACACCCTTCTCTGGCTTTGTCACCTTCAGACAATCTGTATTGGACCGCTTCTGTACTTGTATATAACCTTTCGAACGTCTTATGTCTTTTTGTATCTTCCAATGTCTCAAAACAAATTGCGAAGCGAAACGCAATTTCGAACTGTTGTTTTCTGCACAACTTGAAGCCCACTAGGCTCTAGACCTCGATCGATTCAGTAAAAAGCTAAGCTAAACCAATTCATGATAATGTAGTTGAAAAAGAAATCCCAATGGGCATTGTAGATGCGCCTCGTTCAAATCTTGATTACCTTGGGCTCGGACCGCTATCTCCACATAGACCAAACTCGGACCCCCTGACGTCATATCATTATCAGGAACGTGATTCCCCAACCGTGCCTGGTTCGTCTTGCGTTGTTGACGTTATCATCCACGAAATGGGGAACGAGTGGGTCCAGTGTGTAGATTTATGGGAACCGTATCATTGTGATGTTAGGGTCTTGCTTGGTCTTGGGCTTTCCTTGGATATAGCGGGGTGCCAAGGCATTCAGGTATTGCAGTGTATACTAGTATGTCATCAGGCATCAACCATAACATATCTAATTCTAACCTAATTGGGAGCTGGAGTTGACCAGTGAGATGTTTGGAATTTTTAATTTTTTGTTTTTATATTGGTTTCGGATAATTCCTGGTATATACAAAATCGCAACAGTCGACTCTGATCGACTCGACGCTCAACCGCCAAGGTAAGCAGATAGAAATGGAAGCCAGCTCTGCCCGTAATGTAGCCGGGAAATATGAAGAAAATGCGAACCGGAAAGAAAAAGATAAAAGAAACACAACCATCGTCAAGGTCATGAAGGCGGCATGGCGTGCGGGCACACCTATTAGAACAGGGCTATCTAACTTGAGCAGGAACCTCTAAATTTATAATGGAATGTCCGTATGTATTCCAGTGCGCCCTGGAAAGAGGACGCTCCGGGAATCGGAGGGAGACAAGGGCAGAGGGTTGGTGATAGTGATGGTATTGTGTGGCCGTCTCTCCCTCTTTCTCCCCAGCGTGCATGAATGGGTATAGTGGTGTGCTGCATGACCCCGTATGAAGAGAATATTCCCGGCCGGGTCCCGATGAAAAAAATGAGGCGGACCGACTCGCAGTCAAGCCTCAGAAATGAAAGAATCGTAAAAATGGTGAAGAATGGCAGTTTATTCGTCGTCGTCAGACTCCTCCTTGCCTGCCATCCAGCCTCGGGACATTTCCACGGCCTTGGACCACTGTTTGTACATTTTGGCACTGGCCTTGGGGGTAATTTGGGGTTCGAAGGTGGCGCGGTTGGCGCGGTTCATGTGTTTGAGGTCGGAAAAGTCCTTCCATACATCGATGGCGAAGGCGGCAGCGATGGCTGCACCGAGGGCGGTGGTTTCGTGCATTGCGGGTCGCTCAACAGGGATTTGGATGATATCGGCTTGAGTCTAGGGAAAGAGAAAGTTTAGTATCTGAGATATCTGAAGTATTTCGGGACATGGGAAAGAATTCTTACCTGCATGCAAATGTCGGAATTACTCATACCACCATCCACAGCCAATTCGGTCAGCTTCTTGCCACTGTCCATCTCCATGGCGTCCAGAATGGCCTTTGTTTGGAAGCATGCAGCCTCCATAGTTGCGCGAGCAATGTGTCCTCGCTGTGTGTGGTGTGTGATACCCCCTGTTGACCATCGTTAGTGGAGCCTCAAGTCGTTCGGACTGGAAGCACATACAAATAGTTCCCTTGGCGTCATCAATCCAGTAAGGTGCAAAGAGACCACTGAAGGCAGTGACGAACACGCAACCTCCGCTATCCGGGACGGTTGCAGCAAGATCACTGACCTTGCGAGAGTCGCGGAAGAAGCCCATATTATTCATGAGGAATGACACACCGCTGCCAGCTACCGCGACACTACCTTCCAATGCATAGACAGCCTTGCGATCCCGGCCCAATTGGAAACCGACCGTGCCAAGTAGACCATGTTTCGATATAACGGGCTTTTCGCCCACATTATATAGTAGGAAGCATCCGGTACCGTAGGTATTCTTGGCAGAACCGGGGGTGAAGGCACAATGACCGACCAACGCGGCGGCTTGGTCGCCCAGACAACTGGTGATCGGGACACCTTCGAGAGGACCCTCGCAGATCTCTCCGAAGCCCTCACGGTCGGCCGATGGGAAAATTTCCGGGAGGCGGATCTTCTTGGGATCGATATCGAAAAAGTTCAAAAGCCGATCGTCGTATTGGAGGGTCTCGAGGTTCATGAACATGGTACGCGAAGCATTGGTGACATCAGTGACCAGACGCTTGTTTTGGGGACCTCCGTTAAGGTTGTAGATAAGCCAGCTGTCGACGGTACCGAAGGCAGCACGGCCCTCGTCGTAAGCGGAGCGGACGTCGGGTAGGTTGTCGAGCATCCATCGCAAGGTGACCGATGAGGGGTATGTGGAGAGGGGTAGACCGCAAATGTTCACCAGTTCATCGGCACCGGGCTTCGCCTTGAGCTCTCTGACCAAATTCATGGTGCGGGTATCGGTCCAAGTAATAGCATTGTGCAAGGGCTCGCCGGTCTCCCAGTCCCACACTAGGGCGGTTTCTCGTTGACTGGTGATTCCTACCGCTTCGATATCCGATCTGGAGTGACCCAAGGCAAGGAATGACTTCATTGCCTCTTCGATACAAATAAAAACCGACTCAACCAATTCGTAGGGGTCTTGTTCGTGCCATCTGGAGGGGCAAATACGTTAATGGGGATTTGCCGAGGTGGGGGAAGTCAAGAACACCAAAACCTACCCTGGATGTTCGTGGAGTTGACGGAACTCCGTTTGGTATTTGGCGATGGGAACACCTGTGCAATCAAAGATAATGAAACGGGTGCTGGTGGTACCCTGGTCGATAGTGCCGATAAAACGCTCCTTTAGGTCCTCCCCATGTCGGTCCACCTCTTCATCTTGCAAGAGTGCCCGGTCACCATCATCTGTTTGGTGAGGTCTCACTGGGAGGTCAAAGTCATCATCATGGGCGGGTTCTGAATCACCGTCGATGCTGTCGTTATCGAGATCAAATGGGTTCCGCATCTTGGTATGGGTATTGGGGATATGTGTGGCGGAAAGTATAGAGGAAATGGCAGAAAAAGTGAATGTGGAGGGAGAAACCAAGTTACGCCTAAGAGAATTCTACAGTGGCAATTGTGGACAAGTCGGGGTCAAGTAGGGAAGCTCCTAGTAAAAAGTGGAGCCTTGACGTACGAGGGGGCAAAGAAAAGGGAACTTTTGAATATGAAAAGCGACTGGCAAGTCTTTTTATCCAGGCAAGTGGGACCAGGGAAGGGAGTGGGGGAAAGGAGGGGTGTGGACACTTACTATGCTTCTCCAAATCCGGTTCACGGAGTTTTTTGGGATTTTTTTTTTTTCTTGATCAGAAGACCTCGTCACCTCCCCCACTCTGGGGCTATGTACATTATAGATGTTATAGATGGAGTCATATAGCGGAGTTTTGGATCTATATACTAGACCAAACCCCCCTTATATACTACATATACAGTATAGAAAGAACTTCCTTTCCCTCATCTTTTATCTTTATGGCTTCTATAATTAAGAATTAACATACTCAAGATTGAATCTGAATTTACCCTGATCAATTGAGCCCCGTAGATCGGCCACATGACACTCCATTTTTTTCTTTTTTTCGCTCTGCGGGTTCTAGACCCCCCTTTTTTTTACTATCCACTGCCATAGTTCTTTCCTTGTGGCTTAACAATTTACATGCTGTGCCCCGTTTCCTGGCCCTCCTATTCATGGATTAATGCCGGAAGATTATCATAGATGGGAACACCACATTCCTGGAGAATCCACTAGTCGCAGCCAAGAACAATCAGCCATTCTCCCCTGCCGTACCCCTGGATGAACCGGTGTCCACTTTCTTACTCCAATATCTTTCCCTGTCCTCGATAGGAAGATCACATCAGGTATGGGAAAAGCCAAGACTTCACTTTTACATTCCTTCCATCAGGGCAACCCCAAAACCCTAAAGGAAAAAAACATTTCCCCACCACCAACGGTGATGACGTCTTCAGATCCATGAAAAGAACGGGTTTTAGGGCCCGGGAGAACAGGGTTAGAATTGTCCGATTGTTGGCTGAGATGCCAGCCTATGAGAGCTCGGCAGAACGCGGGGGTACTGTAGAGGGGAAGAACCGAGAAAAAAAAGCGAAACTTTTAGCACTTAAGTTAGTGATCACTATGGAAGAACTAAGGGCATGGCGGACGAGGATCACGCCCGTGTCCTGCCAGGGACGGGGACGTGCACAAGTTAGCAGATCACGCGAGCCACAAAAAATCACTAAATCACTAAATTGATTTTATTTTTGGTCAAGACGATCCTACGGGAATCTGGCGTTCCCGCATCTTTTCTATCGCAACCGGGGTTGTATTCCAGCCACGATGCAGCTCGGCTCGCCATACCTTCCTATTCTTGTGGAGGTCCACCCAACCATGGTTGGATTGACCTTTAAACGCTTGGACGAATTAGTATAGCAATCAAGCCCCTATATATTATGAAGTAATTATAGATATAAACCTGCTAGTTGGTGATATTGATACCTAGTCTAGATATTGTCTTGTGACTTGGGAATGGTTCAATCAATGCATGCCCAGATGTACAATGCGCACGGTACTATCTAAGCAGGGTTGCCAAAGCACTGCAGAATGAAAGATACAAGATGGCCAGATTTGCAGCCTACCTACAGGTACAGATCCGGGCCACCTGCTTTCAGGGAACCTCGGCCTAGCCCAATCATTGAGCCCGGACGCGGCAACCCGGTTTTCTATGTCGCCGAACGGCCCTGATCGCCCTTCCAGCTGACCCTCGGGGCTTAATTCTTGCTTTAATTTTTAAGTCAACCCCTCTATTACTAATGTTGGATTGACTGTGGAATCTTTGGACACTTCCAAATATACCTCTACCTGATTTTACTACTGTTTTATTTATGATAAGAGACTAGGTAAATGGTATAGGAGTTATACTAGAAACATTATATAATTGTTCTAGGCGTGCGAATGGCGCGGCGAGAAGCCTCGACCTAGATAGTACTTAATTCAAATATTCAATAATCACGCCCAGACGCTGATCCCTGGATTCGGTTTAGCCCCACGTGGGTGAACTGTCTGGACTGGAGTCGCTTCGCCGTTCACATGAGCATTTATGCGGCTGCTAGCGCGGGTCTAAGAAATATAATTTCAAGGTTCTCTCCCTTTGATGGATCTTCCTTTTGTGAATTGGGTTCGTTGAAACAAAAGAAATCCGATAAAGCTTTCGGCCCTAGTGCGTTCTGCGTATATTCTACAGGAAATCACGGGGAATGCAAACATCAAGAGTGAAACGCGGGGGGAAGACTACTTCCCCGTTTCCCCCGCTGACAAAACAAAGAAAAGTTACAAGGTGAGTCTGTTGGCTTCCAAAAGTCAACAAATTTACTCCTCCTCCTCGATGGCAGCCTTGCGGCGGGCCTCAGCCTCCTCCTTCTCCTTCTTCTGCAAGAACATCAGGGCGTTGATCTTGTCGGTGATGGTGTGCTCAGAGGTCAGGGTCTCAGCGATCTGCTCACGGCCAATCAGAGTGGCAACAATGCTGGCACCGACGACGAAGGTCAGCACGAAGCGGTACATGCCGTACCAGTGAGGAGCACGGCCGGTGGCAGCGGCACGGGCATCATTGTAGTACAGGAAGGTGAAGGCAAGGAACTGGCTGATCAGAGCGTACTCGAAGGGGAGCAGCAGAGTGGGCCAGGCCACAGCGGGGGCGATGACACCGGCAGCGTAGCGCTTGTAGCCAAACTTGCCGCCGTAGTTAGCCCACTCAAGACCCCAGTGAATGGCACCCAGGAAGGAGAGGATCTAGATGTCGGTGAGTGATTAGCGGGAGCCCGTGTTTTGATAGTATATCGAGCCCGAGACTGAGTCTACTTACAACGGCACCGTAGGCGACCTGGACGGGCTCCAGCATGTGGAGCATCAGCTCAGCGCTCTGGCCGGAGAAAACCAGACCCTCACCATCAACAGCAGCACGGTTGATCTCGGAAGAGAGAGCAACGGTCTGCAGAGAGGTGGCCAGGTAGGGAATCACACCAGCCATACCCAGGTAGAGAGCCTCCTTGGGGACATCAGCCAAGCTGAAGGTGTCCTTGATGACTTTCTACAGATCAAAATGGCCGATTAGTCTCGCTTCCAAAGATATGTATCTATGACGATAGTCAATTGATTGGGACCAAATACGTACAGCCTCGGACTTCATGCCCGCCAACATGTCGATGTCGTCGCCATCCTAAGAAAAAAAAAACAATTAGCCATTGCGTACCCCGCATATCACGTAAAGCCTAATCACTCATCATACCTTAGAGGAGGAGGAGGCGTAGCGGACCAGGGCAGAGGTAACGGGCTTGTGAGCAGCCAGAGCGAAGCTGGGCTTGGTGGTCTGGCGGATGGCGCGGGCGGAGGAGGTCAGCTGAGCCTTGAAGATGTTGTTGCCCAGAGCTGAGCGAGCGACCGAAGCATTGGGGCTCGAGATGGCCCGGAGCGTAGAGCGGGCAGCGACGTTGCGGAAGAGCATGGCGGGGGATATACAGCTTTTCGTGTGCAGTCGGGTTAGCAGTTTGCGCGGGAAGGAAAAGCCTCGGGTAGGGTGACAGCGTCAGGATAACATACCCAATTGGCCTTTAAAGTAGCTGGAGAGGAGAGTGGGGAGTAAAGATGAGGGTTATCACCCGGAGAGGAACTCAAAAGCAAGGTCGGAGAGGCCGTGGATTTCCGGATTGGGAGCAAATAAGAATATCCAGAAATGAAGTGACCGAGTGGTGAGGTGTATTCATCCGGGAGACCATAGGGACCTAAACCGCAGAAGCTAACATCTATGCCTGAGGCAGAGATACAGGAAAACCCGGGGATGCGTGGGGTCATGTGACTTTATATTGTTTATAAATTTATGAGGTCTCCCATGATAGCAATATTAGAAATTAGTAATTACTTCTGTTCACAGTGCATGGTCAAACCTGTGCCCTGTTTAGCCCTTTGCATTATCTTTTATCTAAATACAGCTTCAAATGAGTCACTATAAAGATACTGCTAGACTTGCAAATTTTCTACGCGGGGTTCTCAGAGATGGGGGCCAAGAGCCACACTTGGAGGTCTGATAAAATCCAATTTCACTATCATTGAACTCAATGCATCAAACCAAACAATGGCAGCAATTATCCCATCCGAGATTCTACCTTTTGCCCTTCATCAACACAAAAAACCCAAGACAGTTTCAACCTCCTCCAGGGCTGCCAGGTCGATATGCGAAAACATATCAGTTAACCTATCTATATCTATTACTTATGCACACCGTAGACCTTTTGCTGTACCCGATTTTTCTTAGTCCACTTTTCTTTCACCTTTCCTTACCGTTAAATTCGTTATCTACAAGTTTAGGAGCAATACGGGAGGAGTGAAGGCAGTAGATAGGGTAGGAGACTGCCCATGTGTGGGAGACTGGGTAGGGAAATGAGATGGTAGAGAATATAGGAGTCATAGGCTCTCGTGCGTTTCGCGCGGGAAGCCTCTCTACAGTAAATGGCGTAACCTTGGCTTCCTTGAAAAGGTGCCAAGTGGTTGCAGCACGGGACTGATGTCATTCTGCCTGAGGTAAACATGTGTACTCTCCAGTACAATACAAGAAATATATTACATCCATTTAGATAAGGCAGAATAATAGTCACTTGATAAAGTTCAGATAATTGCTTAAACGTATATAGATAGATACATTAACATATTGATTATGATTTTTATCTTTTCATTATGACATAGATATGATGGTCCAAGTATGGGGGGAACTTGGCAATGGAACAAATTCCTGGGCGGAGAAGCTGCGAATTGTACCGCGTTTTACCAGGCCCTTTCTTACCGTCGCCATTTACATTATTAGAAGACCTGTTGGATCCACGCAATCTGGGCAATTGGCTTGGCTTTGGATACCCAACTCTCCTGATCAGTTGCGATACCGTCGGTCGCTTCTATCTCACCTTACTTATCCCCTCCTTTTCTTCCCCTAACCCATCCCCGCTACCGTGATTACCCTAGCACCCACTCGGAGCTCTGGCTGTTCCACCTCGGTATCGCGTGCTGCCGACTTACCCTTAGATGGCCTGCATCTCATGGGCATCTATGAAGTTGGCTTTTTCTGAGCCGGTGAGAGACGATGTACACCCACATGTTCGCAACCCCGAGAACCAGCACTGACACTGCTTTTTAGATCTAGGTCGACTGTCATTGAACACACGACCCACCTTGTGCCAGCGACCGAGCGGCCATATAGCCCCAACCATACCCGGGCTTGCTTAGCGACCATAACTCGCAACTATGTTGGAGGGTCTGGTTGCCAACTTGCTCAACCGCTTCCTCGGCATCTACGTCAAGAACTTCGATGCGACGCAGCTCAACATTGGAATCTGGTCCGGCGATGTCAAACTACGCAATCTCGAGCTGCGCCGCGAAGCACTCGACCAGCTCCATCTACCTTTGAACGTTGTCGAAGGCCACTTGGGACAACTCACACTATCCATTCCCTGGTCAAATCTTAGGGGCAAACCGGTCAAGGTCGATATCGAAGATGTCTTTCTACTGGCGGCGCCCCAGGAGGATGCGGACTACGATGCGACGGAGGAAGATAAACGGGCGCATACCTTGAAGATGGAACGGATTGAAAGCGCTGAGATTCTCCGCGAGCGTAACGCAGAAGGCATGAGCCAGGAGGAACAGCGCCGAAACCAGAGTTTCACTCAAAGCATGGTAACAGCTGTGGTGGACAACCTGCAAGTCTCGATTAAGAATGTGCACATCCGATACGAAGATTCTATCTCCTCTCCAGGCCATCCGTTCGCCGTAGGATTAACGCTTAAAGAACTCAGTGCCGTGAGCACCGACGCAGACTGGAACCCGACTTTTATCCAATCCACCTCCGATACTACACACAAGCTTGCGGTCCTCGGTGCCCTGTCCGTATACTGGAATACAGATGCGACGCTTCTAGGAACTGGCCGCGGCTCTGATATCGGCGCAGAGGCCCAGGGAATTGACCATGCCGACCTAATGGACAAGATGCGTGACACCATTGACAATGGTGAAGGTAATCAGTTCATGCTTCGACCTGTCAGTGGGCGAGCAGGCCTTGAGATGGACAAATCAGGCAAATATGACCGTCCTGCTATGAAAGCGCGTTTGCTCTTCGACGAACTTGGTTTTGTTTTGGATGATAACCAGTACCGTGATGCCCTGATGTTGGTGGATCTCTTCCATTACTTTATCCGTCACCAGGAACACAAGCGATTCCAGCCTAAATGCTCCGTCAAGGAGGATCCTAAGGCCTGGATGAGGTTCGCTGGACAGGCAGTACTCAGCAAGATCCACGACCGCAATCGACGATGGACCTGGGACTACATCAGGGAGCGCCGAGATGATCGCATTGCATACATCAAGCTCTTCAAGAAAAGAAAGCGGGAAGAAGCATTTTCGCCCGAAGAGACTGCAGAGCTAGATGCTTTGGAAAGGAAACTCAGCTACGAAGATATCAGATTCTGGCGATCACTCGCTCGGAATCAACTGCGCAAGGAGAATGTTGGGGTCAAAAAGCCTGCTCAACATCAGTCATGGGGCGAATGGTTCTGGGGCGCCAAGAAGGAAGAATCAGAAGAACCAGCTATGACCGATGAGCAACGGCAAGAGCTATATAGTGCCATTGACTGGGATGAAAAGAAGGCACTCGCAGAGAGCGTTGACGTACCCCGTGAATGGGTCAAGCTTCAGGTCAATTGGAGCCTGCGAGCCGGTAGCTTTACCCTCAAACAGGATCCTCATGGCGCGGCGAACGAAGTCATGAAGCTAGTGTTCGACAACTTCCGTGCGAAGGCTCTCCAACGCCCTGATTCATATCTTCTGGATCTTGATCTCGGTGGCTTGAAAATGTATGATGGTACCACCCCGGGTACCCTTTACCCCCAAATTGTCAAGGTCAAAGACTCCCTTCCTGAGCCCACAAAAGAACTGCCTAGCTCAGAGGACGATGACCTCGCTTCAGAGGCTAGTGCAGATGATGCTGTGGACGAAGACAGCCTGTTCCATCTGCAACTGGAGAAGAATCCACTAGAAAGCGACGCGGACTCGGCTGTCAAGGTCAAGCTGAAGAGTATTGAAGTCATATACAATCCCAGATTCTTGGTTGAAATTGTTAAATTCTTCCAACCCCCTGAGCGACACATGGAGTCGATTGGTGCACTTTTGGACACTGCGGGAGCGACTGTCGAAGGCTTGCGGCAGCAAACTCGAGCAGGCTTGGAGTTTGCTTTGCAAGAGCATAAGAAGGTTGACGCCCAATTTGATGTGCACGCACCTTTGATTATCGTACCTGAGAGTATCACACAAGAGAGCTCCCTTTGTCTGATTCTTGATGCTGGTCATGCTAGTGTGAACAGTGAGTTGGTTGACAGACAGGCGATGAGAGATCTGCAGTCCAAGCAAAAACGCCAGTACGAAGAGGAAGATTACAAACAGCTAGAGCACTTGCTATATGATCGTTTCCTGATCAAGTTGGACTCTACTCAACTTCTGATTGGTCCTGGAGTGGAAGCAACCAAAGCTCAACTCACTTCTGATGTCGAGTCCAAGAACTTCCATATCATTGATCGGATCAATGTGGATTTCGTTCTGGAAATGTGCATCGTTCCGAAGGTGACGCAACTTACTCGGACACGTATATCAGGAAATCTGCCCGAATTGCATGCGTCCATGTCAGACACCAAATACAAGGGATTGATGAAGTTGATTGACATTGCAATTCCTCAATTTGACAACGGCAAGCCTGATTCTGATCCGGCCGCAGCGAAAGCCATTGAAGAAAAAGCCATTGCAACCAGAGCTCGATCTGCCTCTTTCCAGCCTCCGGCCCTGATAGATCTTCCCGTTGTGGATGATGATGAAGCCGAGTCGGAGAAAGACCACGCGAGGAAAAGCATCGACTCGATAAACAATATCCACCGCCGAGACTTTGAATTTAAATTTAACGTTGGTCGCTTACGTGGATCTCTCTTCCGCTCTGATTCCCAAGACCCCCTGAAGGATCAACTGCTAGTTGAACTGGTCGCCGAGGGCTTTGAGCTCGACTTCTATATGCGCCCTTACGACATGGTCGCTGAGGTCGTTCTTAAGTCTCTGAGCGTGGATGATTACATCGAGGATAACCCACTTCCTGAGTTCAAGAGAATCATATCCTCGAAGGGCTTCAACGCAGATGAAGACAAAGATCTTTTCCATTTGAAAATGGTAAGGGTGAAGCCCGAGTCTCCAGAGTTTGAATCCACTTATGAGGGTGTTGCGATGAATCTCGACATCTCGGTGTCGACCATCAATCTAGTGGTGACAAGGAAGACATTACTCACATTGTTGGATTTCATCCTTCTTACTTTCACAAGCCCACAGCAGCCAGTCGACCAAAATTCTCAAACAGACAATCTGGCCATACATGAGACAGCCGATGTTACTCAAGCGCCCCAGCAAGCTGGCAAGCTTCGCATCAAATCCAATCTCAAGAGTATAGCTCTCATCCTCAACAACGACGGCATTCGATTGGCAACTTTGAGTCTCAACACTGCTGATGTTGGAATATTCCTTGTTGGCTCCTCTATGATTATTCAGTCTCGAATTGGCAGCTTGACTTTGGTTGACGATGTCAACTTGGGTGCATCCGAGGAGTCAGATGTTAGGCGTCTCCTCACAATTGAAGGAGATAATTTCGCCGATTTCAAGTATGAGACATTTGACCCGGAGAGCGAGACTTACCCTGGTTACGACTCGGAGGTCTACTTGCGTTCCGGTTCAATCAAGATCAATTTCCTGGAAGAACCATACCGAAAGATCATCAACTTCCTAGTTAAGTTTGGCAAGATGCAGGCAATTTTCAATGCAGCTCGCCAAGCTGCCGCGAACCAAGCAAATCAGTTACAGGAGAACGCTTCGCGAATGCGGCTTGATATTGTGGTCAAAACTCCCATCTTGGTGTTCCCCAGAGTAATGGCGGATGATAGACCCAGAGATACGGTCACTGCACATCTTGGTGAGATCTATGTCAAGAACGAATTCGTTCCTATGGATGAGGGCAAAGATAGCCCGGCTGTTAATGTGATATCTACTGGTGTGCGCAACATTCGCTTGACCTCCAAGTTCCACTTCGAAGACGGCACCGAAGAAGAGCTTGAGATGATCCAGAAAGTAAACCTTGACTTCAGCATCTGCTATCTGGAGCACCAGGCCAATAACGCACGCCCAGACATGGAGGTCGAAGGTTCTCTGTCTCCTATCAATCTTAGAATTTCCCAGAGTCAGCTCAAGTTTTTGCTGGCTCTTTCAAAATCCATTCCAGGTGCCTTTGCAACGGATTCTGAACAACAAGAGCTTGAAGCTTTGGAATCTCTTCCTTCATCGGTTACCGAGCCCACAACCACATCCAAAGCTGCCCAAGCAGAGGAGCAGAAAGCAGTGGCTGCTGATGATACAACGAGCAAAGAGACATGGGTTCGACTTGATATGATTTTCAAAGTGGATAGTGTTGGGCTGGAGCTTATCCTAGCCAACGACAACCAACCTGCTGGCCTTCTGGAGGACTCAAGCTTATCGAAATTCTCTCTCAACGACACCAGAGTCAAGCTGCGCATGTTGACCGATGGTTCGTTGGAGTCGGAGCTTCTCATCCACTCGTTTTCCATCCGTGATAGCCGTCGACAGGACTCGAACAAGTTCAGAAACATCATGTCCTTGATCAACAATGATGTCCAGCAGCAATTCATGGCCAGCGTGTCTATGTCGCCTGGACCAGATAAGCATCTTATCGCGATGTTGACTATAGACAGTCCACGTATCATGTTTGCTTTGGACTATCTATCTGCTTTGCAGTCATTTAGCAATTCGGCATTTGCTTCTGACAGTCCTGTGGAGGCCATTGAAGAGGAAGGTGACTCACCTGAAGACTCAGAGTTGGGATCTGATGCTGCAACCTCGGATAAGGAATCCACCGGAGTTTCCGCTGAGGAAACTAGCGCTGGATCTACAACTGTTTCGTTCCGTGTCAATTTAGTCGATGCCCAGGTTATCATGGTGGCCAACCCTGCCATCCCTCATTCCGAAGCTATTGTCATCGGGACTAAAGAAGTTCTTATCTCTCGTCAAAACGTATCGACATTGCAAGTTCAAAAGCTCGGCATGTTCTTGTGTCGTATGGACAAATTCGAAACCAGTCGACTGCGGATTCTTGACGATTTCACGGTTGAATTGTCTATTGATAGCCGACCTCAAGACCGTGGATCTCCACTTACTTCCATTGAAGTTCACTGTGAACCTTTGGTTCTCCGTTTGTCTCTCCGTGACATTCTGATGGCAATCCAGATTGTTAATAAAGCGGCTGAGATGCGAGCTCAGAATGCACAGCAGCTCGAGGCGGGTGAGCCAAAGAAGATTACTGATACGAAGAGCACGAGAGCCCGCTCTAGCAGTAAAGTATCTACAACTTTGGCCCACAGGAGCCGTCGACGGGCCAGTCACGGAACTGAGACACTCGACAAGACTGCAGAAATTGAAAGCTCGGCTGTCCTCAAGCGCGAGGAGCTATCAGCCAAAATTGATGGTGTCCGCGTCATCTTAATCGGTGACTTGCATGACTTGCCTTTGCTAGATTGGAGTGTTAAGAAATTCAACGTTGATGTGCGCGACTGGTCGTCTACCCTGAGTGTCGATACGAACTTTGATACCTTCGTCAACGTCTTCAACTTTTCCAAGTCGGCATGGGAGCCGTTGATCGAGCCTTGGCAGCTTGGATTCCACATGGCGAAGGAAACGAACCCAGATGTCTTTTCGATTGACGCTTACTCTCACAAGAACATGGAACTCACGCTGACGTCGGCTACGATTGCACTTGCCTCAAAGTCTTTCCAGTTCCTCTCCACAGACGAAGATGTCCTTTCCAAGCCCAGAGGTGCGGATGCCCCTTACAGAATCCGCAACTATACCGGCTTCGATTTGCATGTGTGGGCCGATGTCAGCTCCGGAGAAGATGGCCCGGCTGCGAAATTGACCGACGGAGAGGAATATCCTTGGCGATTTGAAGAATCCACGGCCATTCGTGAGACTCTTTCACCCGACGGCCAGGGCGGAATCGTTGGCATTAAATTGGAGGGAAGTGGGTTTGACAGCATCAATCGCATTCCCGTTGTGCGAGAAGGAGAGGTTTTGTACAGCCTGAAGCCGAAGCGAGACAATGTTCTCCACCGACTTCTCGTAGAGGTCAAACTCGGCGCTGATAACGTCAAATACATCACTTTCCGTTCGCCTCTCCTCGTGGAGAACAACACTCAAATTCCTGTGGAACTGGGAGTTTTCAGTCCCGACGATGGCCACCTTCTCAAGATCGAGAAGATTTTGCCTGGCGATGCGCGACCAGCACCGGTCGGCTCAGCATATCTTCATCCGATTGTCGTTCGTCCGGACCAGGGCTTTGGCTATGACTGGTCTACCGAACGGCTGTTCTGGAAAGATCTCATCCGCCGCCCGACACGCACCATGCAATGCGTTAGTGAAAATGGAGGCCAAGCACCTCCCTTCTATTTCCAAGTCAATGCAACCTTTGACAGCAAAGATTCGCTTACAAGCTCTTATCCTTACATGAGGATCCGAATTTTCGCACCAGTGGAGATCCAGAACCTGCTGCCTTACGACTTTAAGTACCGCATCTACGATAAGAATACAAAGAAGGACTGGACGAACTTTTTGAGAAAGGGCGGTGTCAGCCCGGTTCATGTGGTGGAGTTATCTCATCTTCTCCTGCTTAGCATTGACCTTGAAGATACGGTTTTCCGACAGAGCGAGTTTGCCATAGTCAACGGAAATTCTCAGGATTATCGCAGAGAGCACAGCCTGTCTTTGAAGGACGAAAATGGTCTTCAATTGAAATTAAAGCTCCATTACTTCAACATCCCCAACAGTGGTGGTGCGTTCAAGGTCTCGGTTTACAGCCCATACCTTCTTTTGAACAAGACTGGTCTTCCTATGGACATTCAAAGCAAAGGCTTCCTCCAATCTGCACGCAATGCTGCCGGTCAAGGTCTCAGAGTTGACCCGAGAGGTGGTGGCCGGGCGCTGCCTTATATGTATTCTTACGGATCCGACGACCAGAAAAACCGATCTATCCTGAAGGTCGGCGAGTCTACGTGGAGCAAGCCGCAGAGTTTCGAGGCTCTTGGCAGCACATTCGAGGTCATTTTCCCTGACCGAGAAGGTAGATCTGAATTCCATTCTGGAGTTTCTGTGATCGAGGGCGAAGGCAAATACAAGATGACCAAGGTGGTTACTATTGCCCCCAGATTCATTCTGAAGAGCAAACTCACTGAAGACATAATGGTGCGTGAACCTGGTTCGTCTAATGTCCTCGAGCTCAAGAGTGGAGAATTGGTTCCACTCCACTTCCTCCGCCAGGTCCAAGAAAAGCAGCTCTGTCTGTGCTTCCCCGGCGTGAACAACCAATGGTCTTCTCCGTTCAACATTGCAGACGTCGGAACCGTTCACGTCAAGTTGGCCAAATCGGCAAATCAGCGCCAGAGTTTGATCAAGGTCGATGTCATCCTCGAAGGGGCAACTATTTTCCTGCACCTTAGCTTCGAGACTCGTAACTGGCCATTCTCGATGCGAAATGAAAGTGACATTGGGTTTATTTTCCACCAGGCTGTAAGTTTGCATACCCAGCCCCATTGTTTCTTGATACTAATGTGGCTTTTAGAACCCGAACGTGGATGATGATGAGGAATACGACTCAAGTGGATGGCGGCCTATCCGCTACCGTCTTCCGCCACGAAGCATCATGCCTTACGCGTGGGATTATCCAGCAACCAAGAACAAATCTCTTGTCTTGTCTTGTCAGGGTAAGGAGCGACATATCAAGCTTGCTGAGATCGGTAACTTGATCCCGATGCGCATCCCGTCATCCAATCCTGGCGAGTACCAGAGAATCGTCGACATCAATATTGTAGCTGATGGACCAACTCAAACTCTTGTCCTTTCGAACTTCAAGCCTTCCAAGAGCATTTACAAACAACAGAAGGGCCAGACCTCGCAGGCCAATATGAGTGCTGGATTTGAAGTAAAGGAGATGAACTCGGACGTGAACTTTAAGGCCCAGCTCCGCCTAGGTGGCATCGGAATTTCTCTCATCAACCAGAACTTGAAGGAACTTCTCTACCTCACCTTCCGTGAGATCGAAGTCAAGTTTCGGGAGTCGGCACTATACCAGACCTTGAACACCACCATCAAGTGGATTCAGATCGATAACCAATTGTATGGTGGAATTTTCCCGATTCTTCTTTACCCCAGTGTGGTCCCTAAAACTGGGAAAGAGATGGAGGCTCATCCGATCTTCCATGCGATGGTGACAAGAGTCAAGGATGACTCTTATGGTGTTCTTTACGTGAAGTATGCCACACTTCTACTACAGCAAATGACACTTGAATTGGATGAGGACTTTGTCTTTGCTATGCTAGACTTTGCCAAGATTCCCGGGGCGTCCTGGACTGAGGAGCAAGAAGGCAAGCTATGTGATGCAGACCTGTTTATACCAGAGCCGCAACAGAATGAAGCAGGCCAGGATGTGTACTTCGAGCTTCTTCATTTGCAACCCATGCAATTGGATATTTCCTTCATGCGGACAGAGCGTGTCAATGCGGAGGATGGCGCCATGCAACCTTCTAACCCTCTGATGTTCATTGTCAACGTTATGACCATGTCAATGGGTAATGTCAATGACGCACCTATCCGGTTGAACGCCTTAATGTTGGAGAATGCCCGTGTCTCTTTTGGAAGACTTGTCAACAATGTCCGCGCACACTACACTCAGGAGTTCGTACGCCAAGTGCATATTATTCTCGGATCTGCCGATTTCCTGGGCAATCCCGTTGGCTTGTTCAATACTGTCAGCTCGGGCGTGGCAGATATCTTCTATGAGCCGTACCAGGGTATGGTCATGACCGAAAATCCCCAAGAACTGGGAGTTGGAATCGCGAAGGGTGCTGCCAGTTTTGTGAAGAAATCAGTTTTCGGTTTCTCAGACAGTATGGCCAAATTCACTGGAAGTTTATCCAAGGGTCTTGCTGCCGCCACCCTCGATAAGGAGTTCCAAGATACGCGCCGTATGGCCAAGTCCCGTAACCGACCAAAGCACGCCCTTTACGGAATCACAGCCGGAGGAAATGCATTTGCGGAAAGTTTGGCTAGTGGAATTGGCGGCCTAGCCCGCCACCCATTGCAAGGTGCCGAGAAGGACGGAGTGGCAGGATTCTTCAAGGGAGTTGGAAAGGGCGTTCTGGGCCTTGCCACCAAACCTGCTATCGGAGTCTTCGATCTTGCTTCCAATCTCGCCGAGGGCGTCCGGAATACCACTACTGTCTTCGACGCCGATGGTCTTGACCGTGTTCGACTCACACGATTCATTGGTACAGACGGCATTGTCCGGCCATACACTCAGCGGGAAGCCCTTGGTCAGTTCTGGCTCAAAACCGCCAGTGACGGCAAATACTTCAACGAGGATTATATCGCACACTTGGAACTTCCTGGCCGAGATATGCTGGTTATGTTGACTTACTCCCGTATTATGCTCGTTCGCACGAAGAAACTCTACACTGAGTGGGACATTCGTCTCACAGACATCCAAACCATCTCAAAGGAGCGGACTGGTATGAGTATCACGCTTAAGGGAGGTGCCAATGGGCCCTTCATCCCTGTTCAGGATGAGAGTTCTCGGAACTGGCTGTACAAGCAAATTGCCATTGGTAAGTCAAAGATTCGTTGAGCCCTCTTCAAGTCTAAGAATGACGCTAACCCAATTTTCCAGCGGTTAACGCCTTCAATGAGAAGTATAATGTCCGAGGATAAACGTCCCTCGTGACCTTTTGTAATGATGGATGAAACATGCACTGCATTTACGGGAGGAACAAAAGTGGCTTCAAAATGCCCTCAAGTGCTGGCTTGCCATTTTTGGTTTCTCTTTTCATTGGAACGATTGATTGATTTTTCCTCGTTTCGGTTTCAAGTACATATTTTTACGCATTCGCTTTCTTTATTTCACTAGTAATAGACTTCATTAAGCACAGCTGATCAAGGGCTTAAAGAGAATTGTAATCCGTAAATCCTTCCTGCAAAACCTGATAACATTCCAAGAATACTCGTGCCTAGCCCTTCGTACAAAAACGACACAGAGTCGTGTACGACGTGGGACGCGCTACCTAGGTGTTAAATCTCATCTACCTTGAAAAGGCGATTTATTCTATTGGAACATGTAAGTGTTACTCTGATAAAGGTCTTAGTTGAGGCCGTCTGTTTGGCTTCTGGTATTAAAGTTGGATTTGGTTTAAGCCGGCCTAATATACAGCAATGTGACATAAATTGAATAGGTCAATCCATAAGAAATATGCGAGTTGAAAGGTCTTGATTGATTAGTATGATGAAAAGTGAAGGAAGGTGTTCTTGATTTAAGTGGGAACAGCTTGGTCTGATCCAATTATTCGGTCAGTGTTCTTGACGGTGTGTAAGAACATTGATGGGAAACAAGGTCGGCCATAGCGAGCTTCGATCGACTACAATAAAGATTAGTGATCATCACCCGCAAGTGCAACTTATAAACATACCTTTTTCCCACCTTCATTCTCTGCAGTCCGGTACCCAAGCCATCGCCTGTACAAGTCCTCTCCCGTATGCGTCGTAAACATGTACGAAAGCCGATACATGATGTGGTCATATAGATGATCCCAGTTCCAAATACTGTCTGGTCCTCCATTCATATTCTCCGGTGGTCCCCGATTATAGATTCTTGCTAGCTCATGTGGCGTCCACTGGCCATCTGCATAGATCGGGTGTGGAACATGCACGGCCTTGAGGCCGTGGAAGAGTGCCCATGACGCGCCTGTCATTTCTGACGCAAGACCCAGGCCACGTGTAGCTTGTGCATGGTGAATCATGTCAAGGAGACGGCGGGAGTACCGGCCCATGGTGATGACTGCTGCTCGGCGGGGCGTCTCGAGGCCATATTTGAAGTTCCATATTTTATCAGGGAAGGTCCATCGTGTGTCTTTTGGGTTGAAGATAGGGAGGAAGGTGATATGATCGGCTTCTTCACCGACGCCCCAGGAGTAGGTGTCATTCAACGGACTCTCCACTGGTGGTTCGGGGCCGAGAGGTCGAATTCCTGTACCGTATATGGGGCCCCAGACTGTGGCTTCCGGCCTAACGGAGAGGCTTGCATCGACCATTTGGGTGAAGTTCTTCCAGGGGCCGTGAGCGCCGGGAGTATAGAAGTAGGCGTTTCTTTCCCATAAGAACTTACGAGGCTGCTGCCTTGCGAATGCAGCCGATTTCTCGAGGAATTGGTAAATATGTCCCGTGTGGCGGCCGTCCATCTCGAGTTGCCAGTAGTACTCAAAGTTGGGGTACAGCTGTGAGAATATCTGCAATGCTTGATGATGCTGTAACTTTGGACTGAGAGAAAATCAGCCGTGGTAAAAGATCAGTTGAACGAAAGAGAGAGAGATATCTTACCTATGCTCATTAATCTTGGGGTACCACGCCTCCAACAACTTATTGTTGAAGAACAAAGCCATATTCCGGAACTCCACTGGGATAGATCTACGCAGATCTTCTATTGTTTTTCGGTCCGAGAATATCGGGAGATCGTCGTCCTTGACATGAACCAATAGAAATACTTCATACTCGCCACCAGAGTGCAAAGAAAGCTCCATGATCAATGCACGAAGGTATTCGCGGTGATTGGTCGTCCAGACCATATTGTCCCATGCTCGGATGAGAACAGCAGACCGAGGTTGATGCCGTTTCGTTCTCGAGGAGTCAGCGATCATCTCCACATCACCGACCTTCTTTGGGGGCTCCCTCAACTCAAAAGAGAGAGGCCGTTGGCTTGTATCGTTCGTCGAGCAATCATGCAAGTACCGATCTGCATTTCTTTTAAAGCAAAGAGTTTGCAGATTGTACCAGTCCAACTCGAACCAATTCACTGGAGGCGGCCTAGAGAAACCGGGAATCTCATCATTATTCTCTTCATCATAGCCATAGGCACCAAAACGAGAGTATCGGTCCGTGCAGACATCTCCGTCCAGATCCATTGCCTCGTGCGAGCCAAAGCTGGATTGCGGAAATTCGGCTTGGTTTCCTTTGTACACCATGATCATATCCTCCAGTCGAGTACGATCAAGGTCACGACCACGCGGCCCCAAGCAAGCTCGGAAGTGGCCATGATGAGTGTTTCGCCACTTCCTGCTGTTGTATGGAGGGTAGGGGTCATAGATCGAGGGGACGGGGTGGGGAGCGTCGGGAAGCAGAGACGCCGAACTAGTTAGAGTCAAAGTTCCACCGAGGTAGAATTGCTCGTTTCTGTAACCATCGTAGATCTGTGTGAGCCATGAGAAGATTCCACTTTGAAGCACAAATCAGAATGTGACGAACCTCAAGTCATGAACGCTGCCCATCTCGTCTACACCTCTCCCTTCTCCATCTGGACTGGTTGGAAGGTATCGATAGCCTCCAGATTCCTTGTATTGGCCTGGTCGAAGAACAGAAGAACTGTTCGAAGAACCAAACCATCGTAAAAGGGATATTTTGGGGCAGGCAGCGAGATGTGAGTAAGTCTCAATAACTGTAACCACCAAGACCAGCCAACCAATCCAATGTACCCACTTCCTCTTTCGTACAAGACGTTGGTTTCGGGTCTTAAATGCAATTGGACCCTGGCTGGGCATCTTCAAGAACGTCGGCCATGATTCTTCACCTAAAGAACGATAAACACGATCATGCAAGGACATTGTCCTGGAGCTGACGGTTTTGATGATGTGATGAAGAAAATTGAGAACATTAGAAAGTAAGTTCCTCAAGGAATGAGAGTGGAAGGTACATTGAATGTTTAAATTAAGGCAGGGACGTGTGTTCAAATTGAACTGTCATATCATCATAATGTATTGCTAACCAACAACTACTCAGGAAGGTCTCACTTTGTGTATGACTGTAATGTTTTACCATGATTTAATATGAATTAGCTGATTCACTGAAGGTTTGTTGTGTCATACAAATTTCTACTGTGAAACATATCACAGTCATCTCGGGGACAAGACGTGGTTTTGGATCAATTAGAAGATCAATACCATATAGTTTACGAAGACTAGACTCAGAATTCAGCGAGTCTATCAATTCTTGCGGCTTTACAAAGTTTGAGTATACCAATACACCAAATGTAACTCTACTAAGTCAGCTATGCACCTGGAAACACAATGATGGCCTTCAAGCAGAACTAAACTTACCTTGAAAACGACCATGAACATTACGTTGAAGAAAACATTTGAAGCATCAATACATATGGCCCCATGTCTACTAGTTACATTTGTCAACCCCAACACTCAAACAATCGAATAGAGTATTGAAGCAACACCGGTCAACATTTTGATGCGGCAAATTCCCAAAAATATAAATCGCCTCTTTAGGATTCGAACCTTCGGCCCCTAAATCCGCTAGTGCTACATGGAGAATGTAAAATAGGAATGAAAAACAGGAGTAATATGTATTTATTTGAAAAGTCGACCCAGATATGCATAACAAACACATCCATGAACTTGTAATTCAAACACGGGCCTTACCTGCGGTATCAACTCGGGGTGGGTTGGCCCACATGAAGATACAGAGTAGCACAGCCCCTTCAACACATCACGGCACTATCAGTGATAGTAACACCTGGATATGATTATGTCTTCATGCTGTGATTACGCAAAGTAGCTCTTCCAAAGAACACCAGATAGATCTTCGAGCTGATCGGCAGTGAAAGCCTACGTAAATGAATTAGCGATCTTTTCAAAAAAAAAAAAATTTAAGAGGGGAGATAAAACTCACCTTGGCATCGATGTGCCAGGTATCTTGTCTAGTCTTCTTAAAATCGCTGATAATTGACTTCACGCTTGAACCCACAACGCCTGGGTCATGGGCAGCACGAATGCTGAGCGTGGTCAGGGCGTCGGGCATCCAGGGGGGGGGCGGACTGTTGTAAGGGAATGCCTGTACAAGGGCACCCAAGCCTAAAACGGCGCCGTGTCGGACAATTACTAGACGATTGTGCTCGGGGGTAGGTGTGCCAGCACCCGATGCTACCACGGATGAGAGTCCAGATCGTAAAGTTTTGGGCTTCTTTGGTAGTGGGTTTTCGGCAAGGACTCTGGTGAATCGCTCCTGGAAGCGGTGGACCATCTTGTCGCGTAGGAACACCGGGGAGCAGCGGATCATACCAGACAAAGTGGCCGACGCACCTACGCGAACCTCGTGCTGGGTGTCCTCAAGCATAGCGGCGATGCACTCAAATAGCATGTCACGATCAGCAGCAGCCAACAGGAAGAGTCGGCGGAAGTAGATGATCTGGATGTTAATCATCACACGCAGACGCTGATGCCATGACGGGGAGGTTTGGCCAATGCGAATAAGAGATTGGATGAACTCAGAACCCTTTTCGGCAGGGTAGGGAATGTTCGGGAGATGACGGAAAACGTGGTATGCAAGAGACTGTAGCTCGGGATCTTCCTTAACGTCCATCATGTGCAAAAGCTGGGCAGTAAACACATCGGGGAAGAAGGGGACCAGTTGGGTACACTCGTGCGATGAGAGAGTGGAGTCCAGCCAAAGAAGCACCGTCTTGCTGCCGGAGGTGTATGAAGAAGGGGTCTGTTGACCAGGTGTTCTGGCCTGCCGCCACTGTTCAATCTGATCGAACACTCCACGAACCATTGTTGAGAATTCGTCAGAAGGAGCATATGGGTAGCTGCCAACGGAGGAAGAGGACTTTTGAGCCTCCAACAGATGTTGGAGGTCGGGGTATGATTCGTGGTATCGGGTGCGATAAATTGTAGCTAGTGTTTGTCCCATGGCCTCTCGCACACCCTTGTAAGGGTGATCTAAATGTGCCAGGAAATTCTCAACAATTGGCTTGTCAAGTTGGAAGTGCCAACCGGCATCAATGATACATTGATGCAGGAGATTGATCTTGGAGCTCTCCTTGAACGCCGCATTAGTGGTCATATCCAAGCGGAAGCTCGCTAACCAATCAACCATAGGCCAGGCTCGGCGGGGATCACGGCATTGGAGAATCATGTGGAGGAATGTAGTCCAATATCCCGAATTTTCAGGAGTGAGACCATCGGTGAAAATCTTTCTCACAATGGGGAAAGCGTACTCCCAAACTAAAGTGCGTCTTTCCACGCTGGTGTCTGTGACAGAACTAATCAAGGCTCCAAGAATCTCCGCAGTAGCGCGGTGCTGGTGCTTATCACTACCGTCCTCAAAAACATCTTGGATCTCCTCTTGAATGTCCTTGAAGGATGCTGCTGTAAGACCGTCTCGGAGCATCAGCTCGAAAGCGTAGAGAAGCATCATGGCAGAAGACATTCGGAACTTGTCGGCAGAAGGGTCTCTGGGCTCCTGTTTCAAGTACATAAAATACTTGGAGAACCAATCACGTGTGAACAGTTTACCCATTTGGGTTCGTACGTTCCACTCAACTTCATCATACTCGATGTCTCGATCCAAGTTGGACTTGTAGGCAGGCATGGTCTTGCCCCAAATAAGCCAACCCGGGAAGTCGTGATCAACATAGTACTCAGCCTCGGGCTTGGCAAAGCTAACCAAATAATCCTTGGTCCAATCCTTTTCATAAGGACGAGTTGCTACTTTGATCTTTGCAGGGAAGCGCTGGTGACCTAGGATGTAGTTCTTGTACTCATGGCTGCAAATGGCGCGAACATCAATCATGGTGAAAAGCGCAATGAGTGCCTGCGAGTACATTCCACGGAGACCTGGGTGATCATCAATAGATCCAAGAGTTACCAGCTCGATCAGATTGCCGCTGGCAATGTAATCGAACCGCAGACCCATGGTGATGACAATAGTTGCCGCACGGCTGGCAATCTTCCAATGGGAGATTCGAGCCAGGTTGACCAATTCTTCTGCTAGCTCAGCTTTCTTCTTCTCGATGGTTGCCCGCTTTTTGTTAATGGAAACCCGCTTTTGCTCGATCTCGGCGGTCACATCTCCACTGGGAGCAATCGCCTCTACAATCTCCTGGTCCAAGATAGCCATGCGCTCCATAGATCGGCCGTAATCCATGATCTGGAACACAGCGCTTGAACAGATCTTTTGGACAGATGGCTTATCAACCGCGCTAGCGTCAAGGAATGTCCGGATTAAAGCCGGTGTATACTTCCAGTTTCGTCCAGCTGTCTTTGCAACGCTACTGAGTAACAGGGAAAACAAGGCTCCCTTGATACGCGCGTGGTCGTTCTCCTTGACACCGGTCTGCAGAGCTTTGAGAAGAGGAGGGATGACCAGGGAGCGTGCCCCCCAGACGGATTTAAGAGCCGACTCGCCAGCATTTTGGGCATTACGGCGCGTCTCGGTGTAGAGAGAAACGCAAGACTCAGCAATGTCGAAAAGAAGAAGTTCATCAAGCTTGGATCGTGATCGGGGGGCGGCGTTGTGTCGCAAACGTTGCAGATGGTAAACGTTGGCTCTGCGCACAAGAAGTGCCCTGGGGTAGTCTTTCCTGATACCACTCATCTTGTAAGGATGAATGTCTGCTGCCAAAAGTCGTGTTACACGGTCAAGTACATGCGCGGATCTCTCAATACCCACGTCGACGAACCAGGAGCGGAAGGCCGAGTAGAGTGCCCCGAAACATGGCACATCGTCTTCTTGCTTGTCACACAGGAATCGGTGTACCAGGTGCAGAACCCAACCAGATCGTTCGCGAATCTCGTGAATTGTATCGTAAAGATCGTCTCCCTCCTGAAGCGGATATCCAGTCGGATATGAGAAACCTTCCTTGACCAATGCCTCATCGGAGCTGTCAAGGAAGGCCTCTTCCTCGCTTGCACCGTTTGCGACCGAGTCATCAACCATTTCGAACTCACTAGAGCTGACAGACGCGCCATTGGAGAACTCCGGTGAGGACTTTGAGGCGGCTTTGGGATCGAATAGTACCGAGATTCCGGAAAGAAGCAGGCGTAAAAGAACAAGGTTACGAGTGACTTCATCAGACCATTCCTTACCACTGCCGTCACGTTTGATGCTAGAGGTCTCGTTTGTGAGGCCGGACAGATGCCGCAGAGCGGTTTCAGCCTGATTCTTAAAAATATCAACAGCGAATTCCAACTCCTCTCGCTTGGGCACATGCCACTGAATGGTAAGTTTGTTCACATCAAGTCTGTAACTCCAGTGCTTAGGCTGGATGCCATCCTCAACATCAGCCGGCTCATACATGCTGTAATCTCGAGTGTAGGTCCCGGTCAGGTTGAGTAAGAGGTGGTGGATGTAATTCGAGATGTGCACGGTCGGGATACCGCGGCACATCTTTTGCATATAGACTGCAATATCGAAAAGCTCTTGCCGATGGGCAAGAACTGCTTCACCGACATGGACCACGCACATACTTAACATACTGACGTTCCAAACCAACCCGCGATCACGAGGAAGAACATCGGTGCCGGTTGTTCTGGTCGAACCAGCCCCGTTCTCCTCAATTTCGGTACGAATCCCCTGAATCAGGACAGGAATAAAACGCTTGAGAGCCTTTTGAGGATTGACCTTGCATAGTGCATTGCAAATGAAGGCCATGGCATCTCGCGCCTGATGAATCACATGATTGGATACGAAATCGACAATCTTTCCCAGTGCGATATCATAATACTCTGGGGATAGAGAGGCGAGGAGAGGCATAAAAGTGGCAGGAAGGGTGTTGACAATATTCTCCTCCGGCGACCCGTTACGCACTCTTGTAACATCTGGGAGATTCTCTAGAAGGGTGAAGACCCGTCCTAGGAATGAAATGGTGAAGTCGCCGAAGCCACACGTCGAAGAGCGAAGAATCATTTCCTCAGTCTGATCGTCTAGCTCAGTGTCATAATTCAACTGCACTTCGGAACCTTCTTCCTCCATTCTCTCCATCTCTCCGGTAATCCATTGCACTGCGAGCATATTGCAATTGACATCTTCTCTCCCCTTCGTCATGTCAACCATCGGAATGTTATAACATGCCGTTTGTATGAAAGAAAGGGCATGCAGTGACTTTTCAAGATCATTAGCATCAACGCCAGGCAAAGCAAGGCCTAGCAGGGTCGTCATGTGGCAGCGATAGCCTTTGGTCCGCGTAATGACGCGAGACAATACTTGCATCGCGCGGAGGGAAGATGTGGTTCGATGAACCTCCACCAGGCCTTGCAAAGATGGGTAAATTCTCTGCAAAGCACCAGGAAGTATGAGGTGTGGCTCCAGGTACGCAAGACCTTGAAGGGTAGAAAGGGAGAAGGTCATGGCAGTGCTACTTTTGGCGTAGATACCCATGAAGATTGCATCCCTCAAACACAGCACAAAGCGACGCTTCAGAGGCTCAGTGAGTCTTCGTTCTGGCGGAATATCCATTTCCCCACTCTGCTCACGATTCCATCGCATCACGAAGAAATCGGTGAGATAGTAAACTAGTTGCGACAGGGTTCTCGTCCAGCTGCCCGAGTTTGAAGGGTGGAAGAATGTCTCAACTGCTTGAATGAGACCCTCAAGCTGGCTAAGAATCGAGTCCTCTGACTCTAGGCACGCAGGTGAAAGAGACAAAACTACCCATCGGGCAATATGGTGAGCGACAGGATGCTTGCGTGTATCGCGATCAAGCATGATACCCAAGCCAGACGAGATATCTACCAGAGCGCTGTACGGCGAAGTAGATTGTCCTACGGGGATCTCCAGTAGTCGCAGAACTGCGGTGAAGATGAGAGCGGATTGTTCCTTTGTGAAGATACCATGCTCTGAGAATGGGATGTGACCGGCTGGAAGCGAATCCCTTGCCAACCGCGAGAGGTAGTCGAGGTATGTCGTGTCGAAGGTCTTTGATCGACCAACAAGAGACCATAGATGAAAATGTGTCGGTAAGTAGTTCTGAGGGATTAGATCGCTGCGTTCAGCTGGAGGGGGTGATGTAGGAAGCATCAGATTGATCAAACCAGCTACCACGAAAGCACCTTCTGAGAAAGAGGTGGTATAATGAGGGAGGAACTCCTCAAGCATCGCTGGCAGCTCGCAAGGGTCGATGAATAGCTGAGCAAATGCGCAAAGCTTGGTCAATGTCTTGATATTGCGCTTAAGGTTGGTCGAGTGAACGAGACCGGACTCGGTGGGGAGGACAAAAGCCTTCAGCTCCTTGTAAAGAGGTCTCCAGTCCAAGACTAGGTCCTTGACTGGTCTCAAATAGTGCTTGCGCCTGTCTCACAATCAGCGTCCATATTATTCTGGTGATCATTAGAGCCCAACTCACTTGGTGAGAAGCATGAACATGCTCGAAAATCGCTCCGCTACATTGGGGTCAATGCCCGGAGCCAAGGCGAGTTCATAATACAGCTTCACAAGACTGATCCTTTCATTCCGGGTCGGATCAAACTTGAGCGATAGCCATCCTCTGAGCTCGCGTGTCCAATGCACAGCTCCGGGGCTGAAGTCCCCAGCCTCCACTGAGATATAAAGATGGCTCAGAATCTCTCGAAAGGCTCGATTGCGCTCTGTCTCATCTTCAAGCTGGTATGGTAGATATGAGAAGTATGGGTAGGTGCGCGGTCGGACGCGAGCTTTTGGCTCGCCTTCGCCATTGACCGCGGCGGGCTCACCACCTGGCGAGGTGGCCCGCGAGATCTCTTGTGCATGGGGGAAATTGTCAGATGTCAGAATCGCCTTGGGGGCTGCGGCGTCCATAATCGCATGTGTGGGAGGAGGTGGTGGGAGGTCACGAGGTGGAGATGGGGCCGGAGGAGTTGGCGTAGACGTCAGAGGCTCTAGATCTGATGCGTCAGCAACGATCACTTTCCACAATCATTCGATTCCAAAAGTGATTATGATCAACTTTGGATCTGATCAGGGAGCTATAAACTACCATAAGAGAGTTTCCTACCAGGAAGTGTGGTAGTGGAGGCCGGCGGATTGCGTTGCACACGGCCGGCTTCGCATGAGGTCCTTGCGGGCAAGAAGGGCGGTTGAAAGATCAGGCCTTCAAGAAGGAAGTATGTCGAATAACCTAAACGAAGTATTCAAGAATGAAGCCCTCCTTTTAGGACTTTTTAGGAATCGTTTCACGATGAAATAGGTGAGAAAGATGATCAGAGGAGATGTTCTCAGAAGGTGGATGACATAATTCCACGTAAAGTCGAGCTTTGGCCCTGCAAGCTTTGAGACCCGCGTGGAAAACTCCCGAAACTAGATCGAAGAGTGGATTAATGAGCAGCACTGGATTATTTGGTACGTTTTACTCACATTTTTTGCCTTGATGGTTTTCGATTTGAAAATTATCTTACAGTGATTTTCAATATAGCAGGGCCGCCAAGCGCGCCTAAATGGCCCAACTCTTTCTTAGGCAGACACTACTTACGCAACCGGAGTACAAACCCGCTCGGGGTGCAAGGTAAAAAAGCGGAGAAATACACACAACCAACCAATGCTTCTATGTAGTTGATTCTAGATTGACAATTATTGACACATGCTGGCTTACGCCGGCGGTAAGAAAGAACCATATAGAACCCCTTGGATCAATGCATAGGCTGCCATGGCTTGTGCGGCAAGCGTTAAAATGCGGTGGTTCTTGCGGGGGTCCTGGAGGCATTCCATACCGATCGATACGAGATACCAATACCATACAGGATACCCAGACGAGATTCGATTGACAATCTGAACGTGATAGCTCGTGAGGGCCATGATCGCCAGTAGGCCCTGGGGCACCGCCAGGCGGAAAAGCATGGAGCCAGGACTAAGCGACGAGGGTGCCTGAGTCCCGGTCTGGGACCGCAAAGTCGAGGGTGCTCGGAGAGCCCACACGGATGATCTACCCAGGATAAATAGGACTGGTGTCGCGAGCAAGAAAAGAGGAATATTGGAGACGGTCCAGTACCGAAGAAACCCAACATTCCTGGAAATGGGTTAGGGACGCGATGAAAATTTAAGTCGGCTGAGCAGCAAGGAAACTACTTACCAATAGTAGCTCTGGACCCAAGTGTAAATACTGGGTAGTGTCCAGCCACACCATTCGCGATTTAGGTCGGTCAAGCAGTAGGTTCGGTAAGCTAGAAGCTGAGGTACAAGCATCCCAAGTGCCACAGTACTACCACCCATTCCAATAATGATAAGCCGACGAATCTTGTGGGCAGACAGACCCTGAGTTAAGCATGCCCATATCAGCAGGAAGGCGTCATACGCAAACAAGAATCCGCTCAGGATGCCGTTACTGCGCACCATCGTGGCGAAGGCAAAAAGCCCTCCTGCAATAAGGACCTGCAGATCTCGCAAGACTGTAAAGCCCTGGCGCTCAGAGATGAGAGATCCAGAGTACAAGTAGAACCCTGAAAAGTTGAGAAACGAAAAAAGCGGTTCTCCATACGGGGCGGAAAGAAAAGCACCCGCGGGGCATATGATATGGAGAGCTGCCGACAAATAACAAATGAGTTTCTGGGTGGCTGTCTGCTGACCGAATATATTGGACGAAAGTTGATAGAGAGCCAGAACAGAAAAATAGTGGGCAATGTGAGATAAAAACACCGCTATCAATGCAATTTGAACGGGACCCCCTACCGCGCCAGATTTGCGAAATACTGTAGATCGTCAGTTACTATTTCTCATAAAAGGTGATGAAGTATACCAGAAATGAAGAAACCAAGTACTCTAGGGTACCCAAAGGCCCATTCTTGCTCAAAGACATAACCTTGTTCCGTGGTATGCAGAAAATAGATCGCGTCCCACCGAGCCAATTTCAATGGCCACGGGAGTGAAGAGGTGAGATCAGCACCCTCATAGGAAATCAAGGTAGTGGAGGTATCATAGCCTGGGCCCGGACAGGCAACAACGACAATAAACAAGAGTGCTTTCCACAGCCAAAATGCGCTCGTTAAGCTCTGGATGGGATTGTCCACCCGGAGCATTGTCGCAGAGGTTCCAGCTGCCATTGCGGTCTAGACAATCTGACACTGTGGCGTAGAGAAGCCCACCAATGCCGCCAGATACCTATTTAGGGTCTTCAGCGGGTCAAGAAAAAATTGCTTTGTGGATCTGATCCGTGACGCAGTCAAGCCGAGGGAAGATGTGGACATAGACGCGGGTGGATAGATTGTGCATAATTTAGTCAGCGGCTTTACATGATCTACAAAAACCGAGCTGAACTCAGGTTCAAATTCTATGGATGAGAATGCGAATGAGAATAGAGAGATTTCAAGTACATCAGCATGACAATTCCTATTGAACTTACACAGAAATCCTACTGTAGCCATTGATGTACCGGAAGATATTCTGAAGTCATCTTATGGTGGCAAATCCAAGTTTGATGACCACCAATACACACCTTTTCTTGGCGTGTTAATCACGCGCCAGTCAGAGTTTGGATCCAATCCACTTCGACCTGGAACGCCACAGCCCTACACAGCTGAATATGAGCTGAGCTTGAAGTTATGCAGATGACGCTAAACACTAGCTGTGTGAGTAGGTCAAGTCTCCTCCTCTAGTAAGCTGCAAATATATCATACATCTCTGCTCTTTCAAACATTGAATGATTGACATGATGAAATGATCATAAAATAAAGTTCTACATTGATGGTGGGGCGTACGGTGCTGGAGTTTGCCCGATTTCCAGCGGACCAAAAAGGGATTGATTCCTCCCGCGTTCCAAAGTCCGATCGTGATGCTCAGCATAATCTCCGCTTCAAAATGTTGTCTTATGTAATGAGCAAATCACAGTACATTACACAAGGACTTGCCACTTTACAGAAGTCATTTCAAATGTAGAATAATACAGTAAACTTAAAACTTGATAGTAACTGAAGAATCTATTTATTTTACTCCGTAATTTGGGTATTACAGTATAGAGTCAACATGCCAAGCTGTTTCAATGTTTGATCCGGACGCCGGATGTCAACGGAAACATATGAGGCCGATGACCGAAACCCACTTTTTGTACAGTATAAGGCTGACCGCCCATAAGCTATATGCAAGTTTTTATGGCTCGTAACTTCTCAAAAAGAAACATTTCCCCTTGTCGCCCCCTTGCTGTTCTTTCTTTACTATTTTTCTTTAGCGCTCATACCTGCCATACGTTAGATCCTTCCCCCCCCCCCCCCCCCCCCCATACATTCCCTCATTTCCCTTGATTTGTTATCTTGGTCCCCATTCGCTTCCAGCCCCAGCGCCTATCCCCACTCGGCTGAGCTCCTAAGTTTTTACCCCCCGCAATTGACGCGTGGACAGCTCTGGATGCGTGTGATTGCCCGGACTTCATATAAACAACCCACTCCCCGGGGGTCTAGTTTTTAGGAGTTTCAATGTGGCTCCGCTAGAGTCCAAGAATGCTGTTAAATCTTGGTCTCACAGCGGATGCTGCAGCTGCTCATACTCCCGATCCTAGCGTCCAGCTAGAAACGCCACCCGCACCATCTTCACCTTCCTACTCCCCTGCCTTCTCCTTGGCTACATTGCCCTTGCCCTTTTTGGGTTCTCTATATAACAGAACCCAGCAGACTGATGGTCCTACCCAACCGGTAGGGTCTATATCTGGCGTGGCCATGAGCCCTATTGCATCCAAGCCCAGTGAGGGAGAGTCGTCAAAGGCCACTTTACCGCCCGTCAACAGACCTCGTATCAGCCGCTCGAATACGAACGCAACACGCAAGCCCACTCGCTCTAAGACCTCCTATCAGCTCGCCCATCCTGCCTCGCATGCTCGCCACAAGCGACTGAAGCTTCGACCGAAGCTTCTGCTTCAGCTGCAACAGGTGTCGCATACACCTCGACCCTTGCCCATCTTGGACATCCTACCCTCGACCTTGTATCTACCACGCTTGGCCCGGAAGTTCCCTACCATGTTCCGTGGCAAGAACGGCCTCGGTCCAAATGACTTGATCATCGTCATGAGTGAACTATACGAGAGCACAGTTGCTAGTATTCCGGAAAGATCGCCAAGCTCGGAGGATGACGACGAAGATAACCGGCAAGTTGTGGCTACTATCTGCCAGATGCTTCAAGACAATGCCCTCCAGAAGGGCAAGGCCGAGATTTGTTTGAATTTTGGACCGATATGGGAGGCTACGCCCCTTCCTAGTGGTTCTTACGAGTTCGTCGCGCACACTGATAGTGGAGTGCAAGTGATGCGCTGGGCATTGCGGGCTGGGAGGAATCGCAGAATGTCTGCACAGCCCAGTTCTGAGCCACGCGAAGATAACAAGCGATTCACATTCAGTGTCATCGACCCGAATACTCGTCGGCACCCTGTCATCGCTTCTATGACGCGCAACCAGTTAGAAGTATTCGATGCATACTCCACCATAACTCGATCCAATACCGGACCCGCAACCCCAAGCTCGGGCATGTCAGTGATCAGTGATATTTCTGATAACGAGGGTTTGGACATGAATCCCGATGCCAAGGTTATAACAGTTGAGGACGGACTTCGTACGTTGATTATCATCACCGGGATCTGGGTCGCTTTCCGTGAGGGTTGGTCGAACAACTTTAATTACGGTGATCCACTTTCATCCCCGATCGGCAAAAACATCGCCTCTCCACCATCCAAGTTCTGCACCCCAACGCAAGTCAAGAGTGCAAACAGCAGTCCCACCCGTGGTAATGGTTTGATGGATCTCACCGAAGTTGCCAATGGCGGCAAGCGCTGCTCCTCCATCTCGAGTATTCACCGTTCCTTATCACCTGTTGATGGTAAATCCTTCGGAAGTTTGTCAAAACGCTCAAATTCAACCGGCGCTGCATTCATGGACCGAGCAAAGCGACGAAGCGCCTCAGCAGCTGGAAACCGTATCAACCGCCATAGTGCGTTTGCAGGCGGCGAAAATGGACGTGAGATTGTTGTGTCTCGACCGCCGTCAATCAGGCTAAATTCGTCTCGACCGCCGTCAATCAGGCTAAATTCAGCTGAGGCTGATCCCTCGCGTGCGGCTCTCGAGAGCAAATCCAACATGGAAACAGCAAAGGAGAATTTCCAACCCGCAAAACCTGGCAAGATGCCATCCTCCTTTCCAGACCGTCACCAGTGGGACGATCTCAAAGAGCTTGAAATTGCTACTCCAGGTGAGGGCAAAGGCAAACGACGACATCGATTCAGTTCTCTTTTCACGATTTTCCACCGAAAGGAAAGGGCTCATTAGCCCTGCCTTTCAGCATATGTATACCCCAGCATCTTATCAGCGACCTGTCTGTATTTCCTACGAGCATCTTTTTGGATTCCATTGCATTTGATATGGGCGTTGCTTATTATCTCTACTTTCCTCCTTTCCCCTTTGGCATCGCGGCCTGTCTGGTACACAGCGTCTGCCTATTCTTCTCTCGCTCAATATTCTCCTCTCTTTCCGACTCATTCGGGGAAAAGCTTTTTCAAAGCAAAGGGGCAACCCATGCGATGTCATTTACACATACAGTCCAATTGCATATGTGACATTGGTATTTTGTACATCGCTACTGTCAACTCTGTAATGGCACGCATGGTCCATGTCATTAGAAATATCCACTTATGTCCTACCCCCATAAAACACATCAGCCACCTAGGCAGACTCTTGAGCTCCGGATTCCAATTCTCTTAGACATCGATCTACCTCAATTGAATCAAACAGAATGGGGACATTGGAACGTAGAAGTGTATGTACCCTCAATGAGTCCGCTTTGGCCGGCACCGCCATTCAATGCGTAGTAGGATTTTGTTACCGGTGGTAGTGGTGTTGGTGGTGTAGGTGGTGTAGTCACCGTGATATACAGCAGCAGGATCGACAGCGAAAGTCGATGCGGCTAGCATGAAAGCCTGAAGAATAGTGTGGGGACGCATGGCAGCAAACAGCCAAGTGTTTATACAGTCGAAGTATATGGATGACCGGGATCAAGTAAAAAATCATGTTTGAGAAAAAAAAGCTTCAGATCCGATCAAGGGAATCAAGACATTTAGCATCTAGGCACTTACTTGTTGTACCATGATTGACTATCGATAGACTTCATAGCTTCATGGCTCCCCATGTAACACATAGAATAGGATCAATTGGCTTTGTTCTTGCTGGAGAAATGAATTCAAGATATTGCGTAACCTGAGTTAAGATAAACCATGCAAGGTCAAGGAGAGTTCATCCCCCATATGGAAAAGAAAACATAAGTATTCCATGCGTTCTTTTCGAGGAAAAGGGAGCCAAAGCACGGATGATCGTCAAAACCGAATATCCTTTTAATATTTCTCTTTCTTTTCGATGTATATTGCTCTTCTAGAAGATGGTTTGGAAGATGTACACTTTCGGTGCATTCGCTTTCGTCACCCCGTGTGAGGACTGAGCGGAGTAATTGTACTGTTTGTGATGATTTCTACGCAGAATTTCTTCCTCCTTAAGAAGCGCGAAAACCACGCATGAATAATCAATGGACAGATGAGATGGGCTGGAAGAGAACAGTTGGTCTCAGTGGCGACTTTAAATTTCAAGATCGGCCCAGCCAATCTACCAATTCAATCGAGGATATCCCTGCTACTGCTTGAGGATAGCCTTTGGCAGATAAGGCTCCTCCAAGTATTTGATCTCCTCGGGAGTCAACTTAACCTGCAGACTATCAACAGCCTCGTCAATACGCTTGATGCTGCTCAGTCCAAGAATAGGCTGTTCACTCGGTTGACTCAGCGACCAAGCGATAGAAATCTGGGCCATGCTCACACCCTTCTTGCCAGCCAGCTCCTCAACGCGATCGACAATCTTCTTATCAGCCTCGCTCTCACGACCACGCACGATGCCCTTCAGAGTAGCATCAGTGTTCTCGCGAACACTTGCAGTCGAGCCCCATGGTCGGGTCAACACACCCCGGGCCATCGGAGACCAGGGAATCAGTGAGACGCCACTGTCCAGACAGTAGGGGATCATCTCGCGCTCTTCTTCACGATCAAGCAGGTTGTGGTAGTTCTGCATCGAGATGAACTTGTGCCAGCCGTTCCGAGCGGCGATATTCTGCAGTGTTTGGAACTCCCATGCAGCCATCTAGTACCGGTTAGACGATCTAGCAGATGATAACCGTGAAATGCACTTACCGAGCTGGCTCCAATATAGCGGACCTTGCCACTCTCAATAACGTCGTTGAGAGCCTTCATAATCTCCTCACGGGGAGTTTCCCGGTCCAGACGGTGAATCTGCAGCACATCGATATAAGTGCCCAGACGCTCGACACTGGCGTCGACAGCGTCAAAGATGTGCTTGCGAGACAGACCGGCACGGTTGACGAAGGCGCCGTCATTGCGAGCGGTGGCGGAGATGGCAGGTTGGGCACCCTCGTCATCAACGCCGAAGAAGCACTTTGTCATGATCACCACGCGGTTGCGGGGGATGTTATACTTCTTCAATGCCTTGCCCACGATCTCCTCAGAGCGACCATGGGAGTAGACGTCGGCCTAATTTACGAAGATCAGAAATGATTCGCCAGTTAGTTCATGGGTCATGTTACTCACCGTATCCCAGGTGTTGATTCCCCGCTTGTATGCGTGCTCGATCAGAGGCAGGGAATCCTCCTCATCCAGAACCCAATCCTGCCATTCAGAGGTTCCAATCCCCATAGTACCAAGAATGATCTTGGACACCTTCAGGCCTGAGTTTCCGAGGCTATAACCCGTAGGTTCTCAGCATATATTTACCATGATGGTTAAATCATCGTGTAACACTAGGCGCGGGGCTCATACCGAACGTATTCCATTTGGGCGGACATATTGAAATAATATCAATGTATTCGAAGATAATTAAGAAAATTGAAATCAATAGAAGAAAGACAATCGACGTTTGCCATGCGGCATTAATAAAAAGTTCGGTGCAGCGGCTTGCACAAATATATGCCGAAATCAACACCGAACATCAAGGTAGCCGACAAGTAACCGATTGGCTTTCATGTTGTCCACCCACTACCATCAATCCGGCCATGAGGTCGGCTGTGAAGACCCCGTATGCATAACACAGTCAAAAGACGATAACCAATTATACATCCCAAAGTAAACCACTTCTTGGTACTCACCTCCGTAGACGTGACCAAAGACATTCGTATCTCACGATTCGTTCTGGTTCTATTAGGCGGTAGGCAGAGCGGTGAATTTGACCCTGCAATCCGGCCTTGATGACTTAATCCAGAAAGCTATCAACATGAAGACCCTCAAATTTGTAACTGGAAATCCCAACAAGGTTATTGAGGTCAATGCGATACTAGGTGGATGGATACCCGTTGAGTCCGTGTCATTGGATCTTCCCGAAATTCAGGGATCATTGGAGGAGATCGCGACCGACAAGTGCCGGCGAGCCGCTGAAATTGTTTAGTCTCCAGGTAGATTTCTTGACCAATTGAGCTAATGTATCGTTAGATAAATGGACCAGTCATAGTGGAAGATTCGGCTTTGGAGTTTCATGCCATGAAAGGACTTCCAGGGCCGTACATGTAGGTAATGCTCAATAATGAGAGGCTCGGAGCAGAATGTTGACTTCGCAAAGTAAATATTTTCTAGAGTCACTAGGAAACGATGGTTTGAATAAACTTCTGTACTCTCATACCGACAAGAGCGCGAACGCTGTTTGCACATTTGCCTTTTCAGCTGGTCCTGAAATGGAACCCTTGGTTTTCCAGGGTAGACTCGAGGTTCGTCAAGATAGAATGAGACAAGTTGCAACCTACTAAATACTGCGCAGGGAAAAATCGTCCCTGCTAGAGGTCCACCTGTCTTTGGTATGTGTCGAGAAGATGATCTTGTAATGGGGAGTTGACAACGCATCCCAGGCTGGGAGCCTATCTTTGAGCACAAAGGGGAAACTCTTGCAGAAATGGCGCATGACAAAAAAGTATGAATCGAGCTTCCACCTGGGCGCTTGAGATATCCTGACTTGTACTGACATAATCTAGAACAAGCTGTCTCATCGATATCAAGCTTTATTCAAATTCCAGGAGTGGCTAGCTCGGGACAACAACCGGTTCTTGATACAATAAGACATACATAGAGATTTGATATAGATCAGAGGGAACGGGCTCCTTTACTCTTTTCGCCACCCCGCACTTTCTTACCTCCAACGGTCCAAGTTCCAAACGTGGGCGACGGGAACAATTTCCATGTTCTGCGAAGATAGTAATATTCCCCGCGTCTACTGCGCCCCACATAGCCAGATATGACACAGATGAGAGGCAAGATTAACCATTCGATGTTTATTCGCATCTCTAGACCATGGATGAATGATGAATATACTGGATTGGGAGTAGTAAGTACCCCATGAGAAACGCGACTTCTCGTCCCTCATTGATGGTCTTGGGGTGATGTACTCCCTGGAACCATTGCAAATGATATTTATACCATCTTCCGTTCAGCTTTCCCGCAATCATTTTGTCAGTTCTATCATTATAGACAATATCCGACTTCTGTCTTTGAATCGGGCACTTGGCTCTGAATCCGTGATCAATCTTTGAATTCTTTTCCTCTCTGGTAACACCCCATCTGCACAATTATACTCCGACAAGATGTTGTCGGTCCTCGCAGTCGCCCCCTACGCGATCGAGCTTCTTGTCTTGGCCTTCATATTTTTCTTTGGCTATCCATATGTGGAATATCTTCGTGACCCTAAGGGTATGTTTAAACGAATGAATCCAACCGAGCGGATCAAACCATTAACGATATTGCAGGACTTCGCAAGTATCCCAACCTCCACCCGTTCTCTGGCTTTTCTGCAATACCTTTCATGATCATGGCGTCTCGAGGATTCAGATCCAAGGAGCTGGCTGAATTGCACAAAAAGCACCCTGTGATTCGAACAGGACCCAACATGCTGTCATACGGAGATGTGCGCGCGATCAAGGACATATACGGCCACAATACCAAGTGCATCAAAGATAGCTCCTACTTGGTTACCTCTGGCTCTCACTTTAATCTAGCTGATGTTGTGGATAAGCCAGACCACGCAAGGAAGCGCAAGGTCCTCTCCTCAGCGTATGCTTTGAAGAATCTAGAGAGCTGGGAATACAAGGTTACCGACAAAGTTCAGAGAATGTTCAAGCACTTTGATGAGGTCTGCACCATGGCTCCCAAAGAAGATGTTGCATCTGGTCGAGTCGCACCGGACCAAAACGAGCTCACTTTGGACTTGCGCGCATGGAACAACTACTTCACCCTTGATGCCATTGCCGACATTGGTCTTTCCGAGAAACTGGGTTTCTTGGACCAAGGCAACGATATGTGTCTTGCAGAGCGAAAGGATGGTTCAACATATACCACAAGTCTGCGCGATGCACTCTACCCAACAGCTCGCAAACAGTCATACATCCTATGGAACTACGACTGGTATCCCGTGCTCAACAAATTGGTCAACGTGATCCCCTATTTCAACGAAATGCAAAAGGCAAGCGATAACTGGGAAAACATCATGTGGCGACGAGGAAATGAGAGACTCCGCCGTTACGAGGCAGGCGAAAAGCTCGACGATTTCTTCCAGGCCCTCATGGAGGATAAGAATGGAAACCCGAACAACCTCGAATGGGGTGAGGTGATTGCTGAATGCAATATCATGATGAATGCTGGCAGCGTGACGACGGCTGTTGCCATTACCAATGTCATGTACCAACTCCTTCGGAATCCCCGAACCCTGGCCAAGCTCCGCGAAGAACTGGACAATGTCCTTGATGGAGATGAATATGTTGCCGACTACGATAAAGTCAAGCACCTTCCATACCTTCGCGCTTGTCTGGATGAGTCTTTGCGGATCTTCCCTCCGACATCTCATGGCCTCCCCCGTGAGACACCTGCTTCAGGAACAAATATTCTTGGAGAGTGGGTTCCCGGTAACACTTCTGTTAGCATGTCTGCTTATGTCGCTCACCGCGATGAGGGTGTTTTCCCCAATTCAGACCAGTATATTCCAGAGCGGTGGCTTGGGGAGGAAGGAAAATCTCTCCAACCCTACTTGATCGCTTTCTCTGCTGGTGCTCGCTCTTGTATTGGTCGCAATATTTCATACTTGGAACAAACAAAAGCGGTTGCATCTATGGTACATCGGTATGAGTTTACTTTGCCCTACCCTGGATGGGAGATGAAGCGGGAAGAGACCATGAACTTGATTTTGAAAGATATGCCTGTGAAGATCTGGCGACGCAATATGGAGAAGGTTGAGTGAGTGGACGCGAATTTGAGGGTTGATCCACTGTCACCTCGATATGATACCTAGATTGACGATATAACTGTTTTTGGCGGCACTAGAGGTTCCCTGATTTTAGCCCGAAGATCATACTGAGAAGAGCTATCCAATTCAAGCCAATATTCAATTTTCTCATTCAGTATTTTCACCAACAACTAGGTATGCAAAGTACTTCATGATATCCCGATTTTAATACCCGATAGATGTAACGCATCCCCAACCAAAGACTCGCCCCGATCGCGAACAACAAAACGGCAAAGGGCTTTACAATGCTTCTCAAGAACTATAGGCTGTAGAGGGACCATCTTCATGCTGGCATACCTGGGTAGTCGCTACTTCTGATAGATCTCGGATTCGTTGGAAACATTCAACCGTATCTCCTTGGATCTTGAGACGCCATGTTTGAACTCCCACAAGAACCGCCGAGCAGATTATCAGGAATTCATTCTACGTGTCGGAGAATTTCTCCACGCAGCAGAATATTCCGGAGAGCAGATTGCCATTCCAAGATTGAGGGCGTCCGGGTGTTTGCATTCAGATGTTACATTAGTCAAAATATCTTTTCAATACCAGACGTGACCTAAGCCTTCCCAAATAGGAAAACCGCCCAGAGCGACAGATCTAATCTGTCTACGATTATCAACCTCGTTGTGATGTTTTGAAGTTCCGATGTGAACGTGCGGCCCCGGTGAACTTGATCGGGGAAGTTACCCCGGACCGCCTCCTCGTCATAGGAAATCCTAACCCAGATTGGTTCCATCGGTGAACATAAGCTTATTCTGCTTATGCCGGCCGGTACCAGAAACCCTGCTTGACTTGTCTCCATGATGGGAATGTTTCCCCGCGAAGTGGGGATCAATTAGACTTTGATCCCCCGCAATCTATTTCCCCCATTGCCTGCCCTTCTTGGAGATACCATCTTGATACGCGGGGTTTATCATATTCCTTGGAGATAAGGATACTTGCGGTCATTTCAAAAAGTACTAATATCTCTTACCCGCTGTCCAGATGTTCCTCTTCTTCGTACCTCATGACCCGACCCCCGAATTACATTCGCCATAATGATTTCTTTTGCAGAGCTCGCACAACTGAACCTCTCACCAGAAATCCTGGCAGAGCTTCAAAAGTACGCAACACCGACCGGTATTGCTGATTATGCTGCCTTGGCCATCATCGTCGGTGTCTCAGCAGGATACCTCTCTCGAGGAATCCTCTGGGACAAGGTTGATCCACATTATCATCTCTATTTCGAGCGTCCACAACTGAAGAATGGCGACCAGACTGGCGCGAGTTTCAAGGAGACCAGAAACATTGCACAGAAGATGGAAGAGACTGGGAAGAACGTTGTCGTTTTCTGGGGATCACAATCCGGTACCGCTGAGGGCTTTGCCAATCGCCTGGCCCGAGAGATTTCCATTCGCTGGGGCCAGGGATGTATGTCGGCAGATCTTTCAGACTATGATCCAGTGACCGTTTCGGAGATTCCGAATACAAAATTGGCCATTTTTATTGTTTCTACTTACGGCGAAGGTGATCCGGCTGACAATACTGCGGAGTTCTGGAGCTGGATTACCAAGGCTAGCGATGTCTCGCTAGCTAATCTTCAATATACTGCCTTTGGTCTGGGCAACACCAACTACAAGTTCTACAACAAAGTTATCGATGTCATTGTGGAAGGTTTGGAGAAGTTTGGTGCCAAAGCCCTGATGCCAGTCGGTAAAGCCAATGATGCCGAAGGTGCCACCGAAGAAGACTTTATGACTTGGAAAGATAGTCTGTTTGCAGTTTTCAAAGACAAACTAGGCTTCAAGGAAGTGGAATCCAAGTATGTTCCAAGCCTGAAGGTCGAGGAGGATGAGTCATTGGAGCCTATCGACCTTCACCACGGAGAACCGAATGATCAGATCGATGCCCCCAAGGGAGCCGCTCAATCGTCACCCGTTCGAAGCTTGAGCATTACCAGCTCTCGAGAGCTATTCACCTCATCCGACCGCAACTGTATCCACATGGACGTGGATCTCAGCAATCAGCCTGAGTTGACGTACAAGACCGGTGACCACCTTGCCATCTGGCCTGCCAACCCAGATTCAGAAGTTGAGCGTCTACTCGACACCCTCGGTATTTCTTCACACCGTGATATCCCAGTCATCATCAGACCCGTCGATCCAGCGACCAAGATTACCCTCCCAACCCCAACCAGCACCATCGCTCTTCTCCGCTACTACCTGGAGATCTGTGCCCCCGTCAACCGAGACAATGTCCGCGATCTCGCCCAGTTCGCACCTACATCCCAAGCAAAGACTTACTTGACCCAGCTAGGCCAGGACAAAGACTACTACGCAGGGATCATCAACCGCACCCACCTCAACCTCGGCCGCCTCTTACAGCTCGCCTGTCCCGACCAACCATGGACGAACATCCCCCTCTCCTACCTGGTCGAGACAATCCCACACATCCGTCCTCGCTACTACTCCATTTCCTCCAGCAGTGTAGTCTCTCCCCGAAAACCCTCTATCACGGCCATCGTATCTACAAACCCCCTCCCAGAGAACCCAACCGAGTTGGTTCACGGCATTACATCAAACTACCTCCTCGCCATCTCCCGAAACGCCCAGTCCCAACCTCACCCGCACGGCCTAACATACCACCTAAATGGACCCAGCAACGCCCTCGAAGGAGGCAAGATATTCGCCCACATCCGCCGAAGCAAGTTCAAACTCCCCATAACAGCGAAAACGCCATTAATAATGGTCGGCGCCGGAACAGGCCTGGCGCCCTTCCGAGCATTCCTTTCCGAGCGGTGCCAGGTACAGAAGATCGGAAAGGAAATCGGACCAATGCTTCTCTTTTTTGGATGTCGGGACCCTGATGAGGATTTTATTTACCGGGACGAACTTGCGGAGATGCAGAGTACTTTAGGGGAGAAATTGAGGGTGGTCACAGCGTTCTCGAGACAGACGCCACGGCGATACGTACAGGATCGGGTTTCTGAGCTTGGGGCAGATGTTGTGCAGTTCATTGATGATGGAGCGAGTTTCTATATTTGTGGCAGGGCTGGGATGGCCCGGGAAGTGGAGAAGGTTGTTGGGGCGAGCATGCAAGAGGCTAAGGGGTGGTCGGGAGATGAGGCTAGTAATTGGAGTAAAGCTGTTAAGAAGAAGAATAAGTGGCAAGAGGACGTTTGGGGGTGAGGGGTTTTTTTTTTCTTGTTTGTTCTTTGTTCCTTTCTTCTTTTCTTCATCTCAGCTTCTTTGTTCACTTTCTGTCTGTCTGTTTGTTTTCTATTTTTTTTTTTTTTTTAGTTTGTATTTTAACTTTTTTCTCCTTTTGTAACGAATTTTGGAAAGCAATTTCAATAGAGTTCAGCCATTGCACGCTACTAGCCGAGATCCCTGATCAATGGAAATAAGCGGGCCAAGCTACCAATACCTGGAAAGGGAAGTGGAAGCGCAAGCTGATCATTGAACCTTGGGTCAAGCGGAATCCACCCGAAGAATCAGTAGCCATGCGGCTGAAAGGCTGAACTTTCGGGGATGTCACGAGGATGTCAGATGTTTATTTGTGTTTGTGTAGATCTTTAAGCTTTTGCCACCCTGTGGTTCGGTAGACGCTATTAGGCGAGCGGCTAAACAAAATAATTACTTTATAAAGTTCGTCTATAATAATCTACCTATATCTTCCACTGTGGACCCGCAGTCGGATAATCCGTATAATGAAAAGCATTGTCCTCAAAGGGCCCATAGAATCGACTTCGGTCGTACGGAGCCAAAGGGAGGCCCTTCTTCAGTCGATCCACCAGGTCAGGGTTACTGATAAAGTAACGGCCGTACAGGAGACCATCATATTTGCCAGATTCCACAACACCCCAGGAATTTTTGTCATCGAATCCTCCAGCAGAGAAGAAAGGCGTGTTCCCGAAGATCTTCCGGAATCGATCAAGGGTGATATCCTTCAGGCCCCAACTCTGAAGAAAATCTTCCTTTTCGCCTTCACTAAAGATTTGTTCATATCGCTGCGAGAGTTCGGTTAGACCGAAAACAAACCTTAAACGGAAAAATAGAAAGGAAATCATACCGGTTCAATAAAGCTAACGTAAGAGAGCTTTGGGTGGCTCCTCTTCAAACCTTCACAAAGATGAGTCCAAGTCTCAACACGCTGCTCCCCACGCGCCTGATTGAACAATCCAAAGGGCGAGAGTCGAATAGCCAAATTCTCCTCTCCAATAGTCTTGGCCAATTCATCCATTAACTCAAAAACAAACAGGCACCGTTTTTCCGGCGATCCACCATACGCGTCTGTGCGCTTGTTGATATTGGAGCTCAGGAATTGCTCGGGAAGATAGCCATTGCCACTGTGGATTTCCACGCCATCAAACCCTATTTCCAAAGCGGTCTTGGCAGCCTCGCAATAATCCTGAATGGTCCGCTTGAGATGCGCGACAGACAGTTCAATAGGCGGGTGGTCCGCGTATCGGACAGGCTCAGTGGAGCCGACAGGGGGGTGGGAGTAGCATTCTGTGGGCGAGTCCCACACCGTAGCCGACGGACACACAGCCGGCGACCCAGTCATCTGGGGAATAGTGGCTCGACCAGCGTGCCAAAGCTGACAATAGATAATGCCCCCCTTTGCATGGACAGCATCAACAACCCGTTTCCAGCCAGCGGCTTGTTCGGAGGTGAAGAGGCCGGGAACACCGGGCATACCATTGCTCTGGATTTGAATGCAGGTTAGATGCAGGGCAAACGAGAAAGGGGGGGCAAAAAACAGAAATTAGGTTTCTTCTGCCGCGTTTCCTTCTGGTTCGATTGGGAACTTTGTTTCAGCTTACCTCTAACGAAGGGGGGATTCCCTCGGTGATCATTAAGCCTCCATTGGTGGCACGCTGGGAATAATACTCGACAACGAGATCTCCAGGAATCCAAACTCGGTTTGGCGCTTCGGGGGTGCTAATAGACTTCTCCGGGACTCCACGGTTACGGGTAAGAGGCGCATGGACGATGCGGTGGCTGAGCGTGATACGGCCATTTGCAATTTGTAAAGGCTGAAATAGGGCAGACTCGAGATAGTGGATAGTCATCGCGGAGATACTGGAGAAACAAAAAAGTACGATTATTTTGAAAAGGAAAAAAGGAAATTAAACTGTGGAAAAAAAAGGTAAACTGGGAGACTAAAAGACTAGAACTACGTTTAGTCTAGTCAGGTTCCTATCGCTTCCCCCCTTTTCCTTTTGTACCTATCAATTCGATTATTGAGTGGTTTTAGAATTTGATTGTAACCCACTTTCTCGTCCCGTGTCTAACAAATAATGACATTTGAACGTGGGAATCATGCTTTAGTATTGGTGTCTGAGCGTGAGATCTCCACCCAACTATTCTACATCCAGAATGAAGTGGATTCTATCTTACCACACGGATTACAAGAATCATCCCCGATTCTGAAAAAATGCACAGTCCACGTAATAGATTCATAGATTCGAGGTCTCGATTTTCCTTGTCAAATGGATCAATAAGTCTGTTCTCCACCGATCCCTCCCGTTAAACCATAGTTGCAGCCACCCGGAATACGCGCTTGAACCATGGTAATACCTCGGAGGTCCGATCTCTGTCACTTTTCCTCCCCACACCCCCCCGTTCATCCCACACCTCAATCCCATTTTGACCCATAAAGTCTCCATTGTTCTTAATGGGCCGATCCCCTGTCTTTTCTCTTTCATGTCTGGATATTTTCCAACATGACGATCGCTAATCCAAAAGATGTTCTCCATACTGTGAACTTCGTCACACAGGTTCTATGTATCCCTATATGTACTGCCTTTGTGGCGTTGCGCTTTTACACCCGATTACGGTTTAAGCAGGGTCTTGGAATCGAAGATGGTACCTTTTAACCCCCCCCCCTTGATTCATCACGGACCTTTGTACTAATTCGGCTTCTTTAGCTGCTTGTACTATCGCTTGGGTACGTTTAATTTACTAGATCAATCACCCAATGGTACTAACCCATCCAAGGCTTTGTTTATGGGATACTGCGGAATCAGTATCGTCGGTAAGCAACCACATACAACCCACCATCCACCACACAACGACCATACTAACTTTTCCAAGTCGGCAAATATGGCGGTGGTTACAACATCGGAGACGTTTCAGATGCCGACCAGATCCAATTCAAAAAGATGTGCTACATCGCCACTATCCTTTATTGCCCAATGGCTCTTTTCACTAAAGTCGCCCTTCTCTCCATCCTGACTCGCATCTTCAAGCCTTACCGCGGTAAGGTGATGTTCATCTACATCTTTCTCGCTTGTCTCTGCACATACTATACCGTCGCCCTGATCGTGAAGATCCGCATGTGCAATCCCATCCCTCGCTACTGGCTCGGAGAAAGTGAGCCTGGATCCTGCCTCGACCAGACGGCTGCCTTGATTGCCGATTCCGTCATCAGTGTCGTCAGTGATATCATCATTCTCGTCCTTCCCCTGCCCCTGACCTGGTCGTTGCAAATGTCGCGGAACCGGAAGCTCCGGGTTATGGGTATTCTGGGTGCGGGTGGTCTCGCCACCGCGTTCAGTTTGTACCGATTGGTCCTGGTGCTGCGGGATGGTAGCTCCGCTAATCAGACTATTTTCTTTGTTGTTGTTATCATGTCGGGGTATGTCTAATTATTCCCATTCTATCGCGGTGTGGGTGCTAACTGGTCACTTTAGTAATGCCGAGGGTGGTATGGGTCTGATCTGCGCTTGTCTTCCCGTTCTCAACGTTCTCATTGCTTTCTACAAGAAGAACTACTCTTCGCAAAAATACTATAACCAGAGCTCCGAGCTCCAGCTCGCCGACCGGAAGTCCGGTAACAATTCCAAGGTCGGGTGGGAGAAGGCGCCTAACTTTGGCGACCAAAGCCATCTCATTTCTTACGCCGGTGGTCCGGAGACGAATGATTCTAGCGTTTTCGACGGAATCAGAAAGACCGTTGCGGTGGAGCAGACTATCGAAAGTGCCAGTGTGGCTGCTGCCAGCGCGGATAGCTCTAGTCGATAGAGCTGGTCACTGGTCGATGACGTTGATGAATGTATTATATAATCCGGTTTACATTAACTGCAGTCTCTTACGGAATAATCTCATAGATTCTCTTTTTCCTTACCACATTACTTTCGTCCTGAATTAATTGATGCTACCTGAAGGGAGGGTTTGAATCGAATAATCCTGAGTGATGCCACAGCCCGTCTAGCCCGGCGTCAAAGCCAGCAGACCATGATGCGTCGATGAACGGCCACTGAAACATGTCGGTTTCGACGTCATGGAGTCCGGCCTGTTCTCGTGACATGAATGTAGCTTCACTCTCCGGGGTCGATGATAAAAGATGGCCATGGGAATGATGCGTGTCGGCATCGCCAGGCTCCGCAGTCATAGACCTAGCCATATGCATCTCGCGTGGTCGGGAGCGAATATCACCATATTCATCCAATCGACCCGCCAGTGCAAACCGTTGGGGACTGTGCAGACCACTTTCAGTATGTGTTTGTGTACTCTTGACTGTTTCATAGAATCGATTTGCTTCTTGGACAGTGCGCCACTGGGAACTAGTTAGAGAGATTTCAAGATTTCAGGATTTCATGATTATCACTTACCCAGCTTCGAGCAACGGGCCACAATCGGCTTAGCCGCTCAAGGTAGATTAGATTCTTGCTCTTTTCCTCTTCTGCTCGCTCAATTCCACCAGGGTATCGCATTGGAGCGATGGTCCCGTACATGTTAATGTGTGCGGCTACAAAGACACTGAATCCTGAGTAGGGGGTCATCACTGGGGCTTCGGATGCTTCTAGAGCTGATAAAACCCCGCTGATGTTCTGCACGGCCGCGAACAACTCTTTGATTGTGCCAGGCTCTTGGTGGTCGTCATCATTCATGTCATGGAAAACGTCGGAATGAGGTTTGAGATTCGATAGGAAGCGATCACGGTGAAGAAACAATATGCTGGTTCAGTTAGTTCAATAACTTTGATGCATGACACAGCTCAGCATACCTCATGAAATATATCAGGTTGATGTAGGCGAAAAGCTCTCCATACCCGAGGGCCACATGAGCCTGCGCGCTAGTCGCGGGATATCGAACAGTCATATCTTGAAGAGACCTCCATTCATCCAACTCGCCCTTGAGTCTTTGCCAAGTCTGGAGAAGAGGCGATGTAGAGTCCTCCGATTCCAAAGATGCCAAGGAGCGACGGTGTTCATTAGCAAACCTCAATATCCGCACGAAGATATCAAATCCGCGCGTTACTATGGTGAGGCCATGCTCGATGGTCAGATTTCTCGCTAGCGAACATTGCCTGTTCATATCAGCAGGCATCAACCTTCTCTCCGGCGTATGGTTGAAATTAAAATCCCGGTCGCTGATAGGAAGCGGGACGGAGATTTGAGAAAATGACAACGCAAAATGTTGTCGTGCACCAGAGCTCAGCTCACAGTCTTGCGCAAAACAACACCAGTAGGTACGAACAAGCTGTTCGTACTGAGTTTGAGACGCATGGAATTCGTGTGGACTATGTTCCATGCTGTCATCGGACATTTTGAGCAGTGATTGAATCATATATGTAGCCATGCCTAGGAGAATCAGTGTGTATTCTATAAATTCCGGTCATCTCCATACATACCGCTATACATCCATGCTTGATAGGGCCGACCAGTCCCCCATTCGTAGAAAGAGATCATCACTAGAGACTGGGCAAGATAAAGGGAAGGAGCCTCCATGACGCGATGAGCGAGATGTTTTCGTGCATAGCCAGCATAGGTCTCTTCATCCGCGAGCCCATCTCCACTCATGAAGCGCACGCACAGAGAGAGCAAGGATGCGACAAAAACCGGATCAATAGACTGGAAGTTGGACGAGACATCAGAGATTAAAGAGGGGTAATGTAGAAAGTTAGTGATGGGAAACTTCTTCCGATAAGTTTCCACGGCGGTGATAACGATCGATGGTGGTAAAGCTGATATGGGGTTCTCGAGGTTCTCTGACACTGTACGCGAAAGGACTGAACGAGGACTTTGCTCAAGGCGTATATCTGGACCCAGTGCAGTGGTTGCTCGTCGCTTCTGTCCTGCTCTAGGTCTGGCACCTCGTTGAGTGCCTGTGCCTGTTTCTTTGCCTGTTGGTTTCAAGGCTCGAGGGTCTGTCAGAACGCAGTCATCACTCTTGTTTCTGTGACAGCGCTGACAAGGAGGGCTGCCCTCGTGAACACACTTGACTTTTGCCCGCCTATGATGGTCAGCAATTGAACTGAACTTCTTTCGTTCAGCTTATCTCACCGACATGCACCACAAGATATCGAAAGCCTCATTTGGGCTTTCAAGGACCAATTAATGGCCCGTCATGTAGAGATCATTAAATGTATCTTTATAAAGGGCAATGCCAAGTTCAGGTGTAGAGGTTGCATTCCAACTGAGTTCAACAGGAGGTGTGTCGGGTGCCAGAAAATCAAGGTGTCATTATTACCATCTTTACCAGCATGATCATGTGATAGGAAACAGATTTAAAGCGATACCCGAATGGTCGAGCGAGTTCAAACATTTGAATTCAGACGTTTCGAAATATTAATTAATTATAATGTTCTATGTGATGCTATTCTAATCAAAGTCTTTGGACGCCGCGGTCCACTGCGCCACCCATGCATTAAACTTATCAACCTGCAACTCATCCGTAGCCCAAGACGTCACCAGGCGGATCATAACCCGCCCATCATCAAGCTGCTCCCAAATATAGAAGCGGAATCTATCCTGCAGCCTTCGAACCAGATTCTGGGGAAGAGTAACAAATACCTGGTTTGTCGCAGTTTCCGCAGCGAGCTCATGTCCCAGATTCTCGAAATTCGCCGAAATCTTCTCGGCCATTGCATTCGCATGTCCAGCCAATGTGAAAAACAAATCATCACGGAACAGCTCCACAAATTGAACACCCATGATACGGCCCTTCGCCAGCAAAGCGCCGTGTTGCTTGAGGTGGAAAACGAAGCCCTCTGCTAGCTCCTTCTTAACGACAATAGCTTCTCCCATTAGGGCACCAGCTTTCGTGCCACCAATCCAGAAAATATCGGAGTAGTCAAAGATATCGCGGAGTGTCATATCGTTCTTTTTCGAGCACAGTGCCGTTCCGATTCGAGCTCCATCCACTAGGAGCAGAAGATTCAATTGCTTGCACAGCGCAGACAAACTGCTCAATTCCCGCTTCGTGTAGATTGTTCCCGTCTCCGAAGCATTAGAGATATAAAGGAGTTTCGGCTTCGCCATATGCGGAAAGAACTGATTTTGCTGAATGGCTTTTTGCAGATTGGTCGTTGTTATCTTGCCATCGACCGGTGGGACAAGAATAAGCTTGTGTCCCGTGGCCTCGATGGCACCGGCTTCTTTGCAGGCGATATGACCCGTTTCAAGAGTAATCACGGCCTCATATGGCCGGAGACAGCTAGCGATTGAGATCAGGTTTGCTGATGTGCCACTAGGCACAAAGAAGATATCGGCCTCATCTTCCGTGCAATTGATTTTCTCGCGAATCAATTGCCTGGCGGAATTGCTGTAGTCGTCGCCACCGTACGAAACTTGTTGGGTGGAATTTGTGCGTAAAAGAGCTTCCAGAATCTGTGGGTGAGCGCCCTCGCTATAATCGTCCATAAGACTGTATGGAGGGCATGCCTCGTCTTGGCAGAGATTGGTTGATGGCATTGTGTCACTCTGCGATGTTCCCAATGTTGAATGGTATTGAAGGAACCTTAAGGGTGATTTTGAACGCCAACAGGAAGAGCACAATTGTTTAAAAATAATTACGCAATCCGTGGATGGCAAATTTGAGTCACGGTGGACTAAATAGAAAGTTCGGGAAAGAAAAGATAATTCGGGAATGATAGCTCGGGAATACTGCTGGTTTATTCCCGAGATCCGCCAGTCGGAAATCCCTTGCGGCGCGGGATTGGTTATTATCGATAACTTGTGGGCCAAAAAGTTGGAGATGCATTCTGATCAAGGTCTGGGTGAGGGGTATAATTGGAGAGGCTCGTGAAACGGGACAATCCCGGGAACCCGAAGTATCCAAAATTATTTTCTCGCTCAATTGGCTCTGGTCACACGGAGCTGAGAATGTGGGGGTGAAATCTAAGCTAGAACTGAGCTCAGAAGGATCTTGAGCTCCCGGAGCTGGGAAATTTACATACGCCGTTGGTAGTCCTGTCATGGCAAAGATCCTGCAAAATTTTCTTGTAGGGGTAATGCAATCAAGCCATATAAATTGACATTATCTGTGGGACTTTTGAATATCAGATAACAAAGAAGAATCGGAATGATAGACAGAAATGTAAAACGCCGGCTATTTACAATTGGCAATATTGCCTACCGGATGAACCGATTATATACAGTTAACTCCAGAAGGCCATGCAGCTAGGAACAAAAGATGGAATTTTCCACAGGGATGTTACTCGGTCATCTCAGGTCTGAGATGCTGCTCCTCTTCGGGTGGACCTTCTTCTAATGGAACGCGGTGGTAAAGCCGGACCCGCCAGCCACGAATAAGTAAATAGCCTGCCATGATGCCAGACATCACTACCAGAAGTAGGATAAGTGCGAAGATACCCCCAATCCTGCGAATTTTCTCATAGGAAATGGAAAGCATTTGTGCTGCCTTTCGGACCTCCGCGTCTGCCGTGTCATCCAGTGACGAATCACGGCTCGGGTCACTCACCTGGTCGGATGCACGACCTTCAGCGGATGTGAACTTGGACGGATCCTGGGGTTTCGGAATCCCGGAGTAGCCTAAGTATCCAGAAGCCTTCCAATCAGGGAACTTGGTTCGGTGCACCTTTGAGGTGCCCATGACGTGGCCATCGTGATGCACAGCTTCGACAGACAACCAATCCATATATCCTTTGGCAATGAACATCGATTCGAAATCGAACTTGGAGACATTGCCGATGAAGACCGGGGCTTCAAATTCGGACGCCTGGGCGTAGAAGTTCCACGAGGCCACATCTGTGGCACCATTCCAACTAACGTGCACAGTGGTGACGAGGTTCGTCTCATCACTGCCAAACACAGAAGCAACAAGGTCTGGAGGAGTAGTCGGGCGGCCAGTGAACTCGAACTTATAGGCGCGGTAGTTCGAAAAGCGCGGCGATGTGAAACTGGCGCTCATCAAAACTTCTCCCTCGGGGGAAAATTCCGAGATGTACCCGCCTTGACTCCAACATACGAACATGTTCTTATTGGGCAATTGCTGAGCATTGCCCCGAAGGCGAGTGAGGTCCTTATCGGGACGATTGTAGCGATTGAGGACGCGAGCGGTCATTGGAGTTGTGCCAGTTTCCAATTCTATGATCAAAGCTGACGAGATTTCTTCCTCGGCAAATTCCTCATCAGAGGCATTGTTTAACAATGATATCACGTGTCGTGTTCCCGATGACTCAATGAATTTGGCGTCGTGTTGTTTAGAAAAGGTGAAATCCTGAACGAAGTCACTGTTTCCCTGTCCTCCCAGGCGCCACATGATGGTCCCAGTCTGACCCGAGATGAGGTAAATGGTGTTCGTGAAGCGCATGGAAACCAGGTAGTCACCATTGTCGTTCTTATCCGCTGCGTTGATGTGCACATAGTCCCAACCGGGGGCCCCTTCCACTTGAGAAGCGGGATGATAATGGACAGTTTCCCATAGTGGAACTTCGGCAAACGAGTTCCAGTGGTAGAGAATATCCGCATTGTTAATATCAAGCTCTGCGAATCCACCATACTCTAACCAGGTCTTTTCCTCGGGGCGACCAAAGGCTTCCAGGGTAATTTCTTCGGACAGATAGACCGTAACCAGCGCGGATTGGCCGTTATCAAGAACATTGAATTCGTGGATGTCGAAGGACCCCAGGTCTTCCCTCAAGGGAAGTTTTCGGTAGACCTGGTAGTTCGGGTCAAGGATCATGCCAAATCCTCGTTCGCTCCCATCGTAACTATATTGCAAGATGAGAGACATATATGTCTCGTTATTCAGGGTAACGGCTTTGAAATCAAAGACGTTGCGGTTGTCAAACATCGGTGCTCCGGTCCAGACGAGGCGCTATTAAAAATTGGGTCAGCGGTCTCGCTCGCGACTTATGGCAAGATGATGGTGTAAGCATACCCCATCCTGGTCGTATATGTGCGGGCCAGTTTGGTATTGTTCGTAGAGGCTGGTGGGTTCGTCGGGCGCGATGTGTAGATAAGGCGAGACAAACCAGTATCCCGGGCTGACACGATCGCGATGCTCGTAGTTTATATCGAATTTGAGAGCCTTGACATCCGGGAGCTAGGAAAGAAAAGAAGATTAGTCCGCGCGACTGCAAGTTGTACCTGACTTGACCTACGGTAACGAAGGACATCATATCATCGTTCGAATGCCAAGCGACGGCATTTTGCGCGAGCAGCAGCAATAAGCCCTGCCAGAACATGGTGATGGTGGAATGAGCGACACGGACAGAGGTCAGAAGTCCATGAAGGGACGCAAAACCAGCGACCAGGGGACGGAAGGGCAGTGCGCAGATCGTCGCAGATCTGTGACGCCTAGTAGCCAGAGGGGCAAGCGAAATTGGCGATTGGGGGTGGACAACGGGACTTCTGGACCCCAAGTGGAGCCAATAGGGGCCGGCAAGTATTTTTCAAGCGCCCGGATGACGCGGACCTGGATTATTCCAATCTCGGTGCATGCTTGCCCCTTGTTTACAAGAAAAGAAGATCGGAGAAATGTTCTATTCAAAGTCTATACATGGGGTTTGTCTGATTGGACTAAATTGACTAGTAGGTTAATTGACTAGGTTCTTATGTACTCCGCAGATGGTGCCATTCCAGGGTCTGGTTGCGCATAAATCAATAGTGAACCACAACACCACACCAGATCTGTCGAAGATACTATATCTAGATATCACATTGAATTGTATCTGGCAACTCGATATCTCAGATATATCTCAGATCAACGATGACATCAAATCTCTTCCATCAGTGGAGACTTCACTGGTTTCCAATAAGCCAGTGGAGAATGCCGAGACAAAGTGGACAAAGCACAGAATTTGGCATTTTACACAAACACGACAAACAGATAAGGGAGTCAGATCACATGATATTGTAGCTTGATCATGTGATACTGTCTCATGTGACTACTAGTCAAGTGACTTTCGAGGTTTCACCCAATTCACATGTCTGAAGCGTCCATCATATTACGTATTTCGATGTGAAGGTTCTTGTGCACCGGATTTTAGCATTCATACCTAGATAGTGTTGGAACTCGCAGCTGGCAGGTTGAGATAATTGAATATCCAAAGTCCCGAGGCCCGGATCAACATTTTTCTCACGTGTAAATTTGATGATCTATAAATCCAACTTGACAGTCGCTTGATATCGTGCAGTTTCGAATGATGCAATGGTATGAATATAAGACGCAAATTGTGCTCAAATTGTGTTGTTGCTTATGAATTCGTCAGGATTCGTCAGAATTCGTTATTGCAACTAAGTGGGGCATAATCCGTCATTCCGTGCAGACTACGGAGTATTGAGACTAGACAGTCTGTTCTCATCCTGATTGCGACATGGATTTGGAAAGCCACCTTCGCTTAGATTACAAGCGAGGCATCTGTACGCGTTCTTTGTCCCGGGTAATTTGAGATTAGATTAATGCTGATCCCGGAGGTTTGTTGCGCAATAATTTTGATCGAAGACCTCATACTTTTTGTATATAAATAATCAGGGGAAGGGCTATTTGCCCTCTGTTTATACGAAATTGAAGCATTGCAAAGATTAAAGTTAACTATGAAAGTTTTGTCCTTGTCCCGAGATGTTTGCAGCGCTGCTGTCATAGCCCTTTTTCTGGCTACAACCAGCGCGGCATACTCGAATCCCCTCGCAACATCAGACCAACGGGACTTGGATGACCTCGCCCTTCAAATCTACCAGAACAACAGCTTTACCGTCCTCAAAGCCGAGGCAAAGGCCGCCTACAAAACAGCCCATGGACTTCCCATCAGCGACGAAGCCTCATCAAGCCTTGACGCCGCAATTGAAGAATTGATATTCAGCGCAATCCAAAAGGCAGTGAACAACGACTCCAACTACCCAAAGGTCTACTGGCTCGACGCCGGTCCACGGGATTGGTTCGATCTGGATGTCGTTGGCGGACGATACTCCTACGACAACCCGGACTGCATCTACCGCACCATTCCCATCGACTACAGCCTCGACTACGTGATCACAGGCTACCGCCACACACCAGCACCAGCGGATACAACGTTTTCACTCATAAGCGACGTTAATTCCCAGAATACTATCGCAAGCATCTCGAACAGTGACTTGATTATCAATGACGATGGATCGTATACTATCACCATCAACAGCTCCACGGCTGGAAACAATACGAACCATATCCAGTCTACTTTGCTTGCAAAACAACTATTTATCCGCAATAACCTAGGAGATTGGCTCACACAAACACCTGACAACATCACCGTGGAGCTGGTCGGCGGTACCTCTAGCACACCAATCACCGATGCAGAGATCCTTTCAACTGCTAAATGGAACTTACAAGAATCGATCATCGACTATGGAGCCGGTTCTCTGGGTATCAAAACCTCGGTGAATGAGGTGAACACGCTATCTTCGCCTAGCCAGTCAAGCACGCTGGGAACGTTGACAAGCCAAGCAAGTTCATTTGGACATTTCTCGCTCGATACCAACGAGACTCTGGTCGCTACCCTAACGCCAGGCGATTCGACTTATTGGGTCTTCCCCGTGACGGACCCGTGGATGATCACCGTCAACCCGGGGAGCAGTCAAGATAGTTTGAATAGTGAGCAGGCGGTCGCGAATTCTAATGGCACTTATACGCTTGTTGTGTCGCGGGAGGATCCGGGTGTTTATAACTGGGTTAATACGACTGGATTGAATGAGGGGACTATAATGGTGCGATGGCAAGGATTGCCGACGTCGGATTCGGACTCCACCTCTGTTGCTATTACTACGCAACTTGTTCAGCTCTCGGACCTCGCTTCTGTTCTTCCTACTGAGACAAAGTATGTGACGTCTGAAGAACGTGCTGATCAGCTTGCTCAGCGTGTTGCTGGGTATGCCCTGCGAACGGTAGTTTAAGGTATATCGATCTCATGTACCAACTATTATCCAGATGCAGGGGCATTTAGGCCATGATCGTTTGGGATGAAGCAGAAAAAAGCAGCTAGGCTATGAATTGGATTTATTTGAAGAGATAGATAATGGGTATCAGGAGCAAAGCTAAATGTAGAAAGTAGGTTTGTGAGCATTGTTTTTCTGCAAAGTCAGCACGATTTGAACATGCTGGAATCCGAGTTTCTCCTGCTTTGACCAAGCAAGGAGACCCGCAGTCTTTAACATATTCTTGATCTGCCGGCCATTCAAGTCGACTTGCGCAAGCTTATCAAGCTGTAGACTAGTGAACTCATCGGTGTTGTCCGTCCTCTCGATGAACTGAGTCCAGATGAGACGGCGGGAGGTGGTATCGAGATCTTGGTAGGCAAGTGCCACGTGGATACGCGACTCGAATGCTGGATCGATGTTCTCAGCTCGGTTGGTAGTCAGGAAGAGGATACCCTGGCAAGGTCAGTGGCTACTCGTATCAATTGGGCCAGGTAAACATACCTCGTAGTACTCCAGCATTCGCAGGAAAATTGACACCAGTTCATTTCTCATCAGATCAGTTGCGGTTCGCGCCTCCATGAACACATCGGCTTCGTCTAGAAGCAAGACAGCGCCCCACTTGGGAATCATTCGCAGGATATCCTTCAGACTTCTCTCCACCTTCTCTGCACTTATACCGAGGTCACCTGCACTCATGGCATAGAGTGGAACCTGCATTACCTCGGCGACACTCTCCGCAGTCAATGTCTTACCCACACCCGGGGGACCACTGAGCTGCATGATGATTCCACGACCTTTGCCCTGGACGATATCATTGAAGTTATCGAGTTGCTTGGACTGGGCTTTCGCAAAAGCCAGAATGAGCTCTTTGAAATCCTCTTGGCCTCTGGGAAGGACCAACGAGTCGAAGGCTTGCGTATTCCACTCAATATCTTTCGAATTATCCAGGTAGAATTGTAACCATTCCTTGTCCTTGATTGAGTACCCGTGAACCATAGGGCTCGCAGTGACCCACTCACTCTCGGTCAATTGTTGCGGGCAGTCAGTTTCTCCATAGACACGAACAGTCTCGGTGGGGTGGAAGACGTTGAAGGCCTCAGTGTCGATGATCACTCGACTGTTGACGTGATACTTCATGATCTCGTCATTGAAGAAGCCATTCGCGACACCTTCGTAGGCTTTGTATTTGTAACCCTTGTGCTCTTCCCAAAGTTTTCCCCGTGCAATTAAAGACTCCCGAATAGAATCCTTATCGGCATGGTATTTCAGCGGAAAGACGGCCAGCGACGTGATAGAGGCAGTGCCAACAAAGGGGAAAATCTTGAAGTCTTCCTCCCGGTATCCGAAGTCCTCGCCGTCGAAATCGACATACTGACCAGTGATGATCCACGCCTTTGTACGGCAGTCGATCGCATCGTCGTGGAATTTGAATGCGCGAGTCCGGCCACCGCTGGTGGCAATGATCTCATTTCCAGGCTCAAAGATCGTCCAGACAAGTGTGTGCGTGATAACACCGTTGCGAATCATGTCCTTCCGGCGTGCAATAACATCGCGGAGTTCTTCTTCGAAAACTTTGTATAGGAGATCAACGTGGGTCTTCGTCATGGGGTCCTGCTCTTCTTCACGAAGTTGGACAAGTTGCTCCCACCGATGCACAAGTGGCTTGAAAGGGGTATGAAACTCCAGTCGCTCGAGCGTGGTAGTGACGCCGGGGTAATTTTCCAGTACTTTGCCGAGGAACTTCTTCAGTGGTTCACTCTGGACAATAACTGAATGGACTGAAAGACTTTTGCGTCCATCATAGCACTTTGCATTTCGAACGATCAATGCGTATTGTGCAGACTCCTCGTCCTCGGCTGGTGCTACAAGGCTCTCTGGGTAGTCCTTGGTCCATGATGTGTTACCGCTCTCATCAGGCTTTGTCTGATAAAGTTTGTGGATGTCACAGATGGAACCATGAGGCTCATATTTCTTCTCTTCTTTTTTCTCATCTTTGGTTTCAGCCTTGTCTTCAATCTTGGGTTCAGTCTTGTCTTCTTGTAGTATATTAGCACACACGCTTCCAATGTCGGTGCCTGATAATTTACCTGGTTTCTTCTCTCCGTTTGTCAAGGTACCATTGGTATCTTTTTTCTCAGATTCCTCGTCTTTGGTTTTCTCACTGGAAGCTTTGTCTGATTTCTGTGCTGTATCTAAGCTGGGCGTTTCTGTTCCGTTGGTTGTAATACCGTTTGTCGCAGTACTATTCTTGGCGGGGGTAGTATATTCGTGTACAGAGGTTCCGTTTGTCTCTTTGACCTTCGTCACATCGTTGGGGATTCTATTACCTCAGTGTTAGTTATCATTGAGTGACAATTCAACCAAACTCACCAGAGTCAACAACTTTTCCATTAGTCTCGGGGGTAACAGTGGTGTCCAGCATCACTGCAACGTCGGTATCATTCGCCATGATTCGAAATCAGACAGAAAGAAAGCGTGAAAAGAAGGAGAAACGGCGAGAAGCGGGGAATTTGGTAAAGAATGAGGGAAAAGTGTAAAGAAAAAGGAGCAGTGAGAGAACGGAAGTGCCGTAATCTAAATATAATAAATCTGCACAGACAACAAGGCAGCCACGTCTGCAATGCTGCCTGTATCACGTAGACTCACTGAGTTGGTGCAAGGCTCTCTATAGGCTTATACAAACTCTTCAGCGGGTCGATCTGCAGCAAACCCCACCCAGCTGTCAGCAGAGCCTCGTGAGTCACAGCGCTCCGCCTCCTCTTGGGATCTTGACCAGTCCATTTTAGGTTCCCGAAAGAGTCAGTTTCCTTGATGAATATACTTTATAATGCCGTGCTGTTGGGCTTATCTAAGTTCTCTAACCCAGTACTACGGGCTATACTGGCTTGGAGCCTCAAGTTTCTCTCACTGATAAACACCGATAAGACGAATGATCATATTAAGTAGAAGAGCACGGTCATTTCCTGTACTCCGTGCTCAAAGGCTGTCGTTCAATCGTCATTTCCAACTGTATAACACCGAAAGTAAAAATTGATCTATATTACTCCCCTCACTGCCACAAATCATGCGCCAAAATCTTCAACTCCTCTCCGTAGATGGTCCAGTAAATGGTTCAATAAATCCTCTAATCACGAACAGCGAAGGCTGTCAATCGGGACTTGATAACCTCCTCGGAGTCCTGGGTGTCCAATTCCCGCAGGACGCCGGAACCGACGTCGTAGATCAATCCGTGGACCTGGAGTCCACGCTCCTGGATCGCGTTCAGGACAACACCCTTCTGCTTAACGATATCCAAACCCTCGCGCACGTTAAGCTCAACGAGCTTGAGCGCCGCCTCCTCTTCCGACAAGCTCTGCAGCAAAGCAAGGTTGCGCTCACGCACCTGACGCAGAGGCAGCAGCCAGGGGTCCAAGATACCAAGCTGCTTGTTACCCATAGCGGCGGCAACGCCACCACAAGCAGTGTGACCGCAGACCACAACGTGGTTGACACGCAGGTGCTGGACAGCGTATTCAATCACTGCGCCCGAGCTCAGGTCGCCGGGGTGCAGGATGTTGGCGATGTTGCGGTGCACGAAGACATCACCGGGCTTCAATCCCAGCAGGGTAGTCTCCGGGCAGCGGGAGTCGGAGCATCCTAGCCACAGGATCTGGGGCTGCTGACCGGTCGCAAGGGTAGGGAAAAGGTCGGGGTGCTCACGAGCAGTCTGGGCGGCCCATTCTTTGTTCTGTCGCAGAGCGGACGAATAGCGATCTGAGCTGGTGTTAGATTGATCGGCAACTGCGATGGCGGTAGAGGGGCTGTGTTTTGCGCAGAAGACAGAAGTGGAGGTCGAGAAACGAGAACGGGATGGAAGGCGCTCAGGCAAACGAGGGATGCGAGAGGGAAGAGAGGGAAGAGATGACAGTGGGGAATTTGATGGCTGGCTTGCTCTGCACCCTGCCTCCACGAAGCGTGCAACTGCGCTAGGTCGCACGGCCAATCGTGCGACGTTCATGACGAACGGTGGGGGGAACAGGAGTTCGGGAAGGAGCCAATGACAAGAGCAAAATATACAGCCTCGACCTTCCAGATTATTCAAAGAGAGACAACACCACTAACCGTCGACTGCAGAAATCGACTGATACGGTGCAGGAAACGACTGGTACGATGCGCCGAGCGTATCCGGTGTACAGCGGGGGAGAGACAAGATGTTGGGGAAGGAAAAAAAAGAATTGGGATGAAGAAAGCCCGCTAAGAAGCTTAAAATTCAACGCTGATCCACGTACCTTCTGCAGACATGATGATATAATTGATGGTTGAGGATTGTAGAGAAATTCAAGGGAAGAATAGAGAAGGAAGTTTTAATAGGTAAATGTAACGTAAGAAAGGGGAAGGGGGGGAAAAGCCTCTCTAGGTGGGCGAACGTGTGGGCGAACCTTCCCGAGGAGAAACGGCGAGATCGGCACAACCGGTGAAGCATGTTCTACGTTGGGGAAACATATGATTTCTAAATACTTAAATGACTCAAATATTTTCATTTCTCATTTCTACAAACTAATCAAGTCAAGTGCGCAAGAAACGCGGCATGGAATTCAGATCGCATATATATAGACAGCTTTTAAGCCGCACCACCACGGCCACCAACACTCAACAAAGTCTTCTTCTGCTCCTCGGTAATACGGGCAAGCGGAAGAGGACGGGCTCCAGCAACAGTCGGAGCAGGAAGGAATCCGGTTTGCACGAGATAAGAAGCGTATAGACCAACTAACTCTTCGGTAACACCGGCACCAGCAGACACATCAACCCCTGACCACGCGGCGTCAGCCTTGAGAGCCGCAGCGGCATTGGTGTCGGATAGCTCGGGAGCCTTAGTGTTGGCAGGAAGGTCTGAAGTGACAAAGTGGTAGAGTGGCATGCTATTCAGAGATTAGCACTTGCTGGTAGAATGAAACGGTATACAAACTTACAGAGCATGTTGAGAGTCCTTGTCGTCGTGCTGACCGTCATTGACGTATTGCTCCAAGGCCAGAGCCCACGGAACGTAGTCAATCTGAGGGACGTTGTAGCCATAGAGTTCGAGAGCGCCAAGGAACTGTGAATGAATGATTAGATGCTTGCTTTTCCTAGAAAGGAGATATCCTTCTTACCTGGTTGAAACGTAGACGGGGGTGACCGGTGACGTGGGCCACACCGATAGGAGTGCGAGGAGGATGGAAGGCAGTGGCAATGACAATGCGAGCCACATGGTCTACCGGAACCATGTTGACAGTGTTGTTGATATTAGGACGAGCAGACAACTGAATGCAACCCTTCATCATGCGAATCAGGAAGTCGTCAGTGTTGGTCGTACCGGTGGTAGAATCACCCAGCACGTATCCAGATCGAATGATCGTTCCCTTCAATCCACGGCGACCAGCCTCGCGGACGAGGTACTCACCGGCCCATTTGCTTTGGCCATAACCAGTGCCGAGACCAACTGCGCTGCCCTCGAGATCATCTTCTTCGCTGACACCATCACCACCGGCCGCAAGGCTACGCTCGGATTCTTGGACGTAGTGATCCTTATCAAGAGCGCTAGTGGAGCTGACAAAGGCAAATTGCTTGGCCTTACCTGTACCACACAGCTTAAGAGCATCAATGGTACCCATCACATTGGCGGGCTTGAGAGTCGCATAGGGGTAGACCCAATGGACAAGAGCACCGTTGTGGATTACAGCATCGACACGGTTGGTGAGGTCATCCCACAATGCCTGCGAGAGACCGAATTGCGGGTTGCCAAGGTCACCACAGATTGCTTGAAGCTTGTTGTCCGTGGCCCATGATTCATCCCAGAAGCCATAAGCAGCGCAAGTGGATCGGAGACGCTCAAGAGCCTGCTCCTCGCTCTTGGCACGGACCAAGGCGACAACCTTGGTAGAGGGAGACTTGCGAGTGAGAAGATCACGGAGAATATGAGCACCCAGGAAGCCAGTGGCTCCGGTAAGGAAGACTGTAGGCTCGCTGTCGAGCATAGGCTCCGTCCGCACGGGGAATTTGTCGGGGAGCTCACTCACCAACTTCCGAGCATCCTTAGAGTATTCATCATCGGGCGCATTGTGAGCTTCCGCGTCACCCTTAGCAGGGTCGTCGCTGGTAGCAAAGGCCTCTCGGTCAAGTAGACGATCAATCTCACCGGCAAAGCCCTTCAAGGTAGGACTACGGAAGATGGCGTTCATGCTAATGTCAATACCACGCCACTTGCGTCGCAGATCGAAGAACATCTGCTGTGCAAGAATACTGTGACCACCAAGATCGAAAAACGAGTCATCTGGGCTAATCATACGGGAGGTCACGTTGGGGATGAGCTTAGCCCAGATCTGGGCAAGGGTTTGCTCAGTCTCGGACAGTGCTTGGATTGCAGACGAGCGCCGGCGAGGGGCGGCAGCACTAAGCTCTGCGGTGTCAGGGAAAGGCAGAGCTGGCTTGTCAATCTTGCCGTTGGGGTTCAGCGGCATACGCTTAAGAGGAATGATAACAGCAGGCACAGCGTAGGTGGGAAGCTTGCTGCGGAGATGGTCGCGAGCATCATCGCGCAGAGGACGGAAGCGTCGGAGCATACCAACCATACCCTCAGCAGAATCATCTTCTTGGATTCCCTTGCTCTCCAGCCACTGAGCCCACTTGCTCATATCAGGAACGAAGTAGCTGACAAGAGTTGGCTCCTCGAATTTGTCACGCCGGACCAGGGTGACATTCTCTCGGACCAGTGGGTGCCGAGACAGGTGAGTATCAATTTCACCCAGCTCGATACGGAATCCACGAATCTTGACTTGGTCATCAGCGCGACCCGAGCACTCGACATCACCAGTAGGAGTGTATCGTCCAAGGTCACCGCTGCGGTATAAGCGATCTCTCGGGCCAACATAAAACTCTCTCCACGGCTCCTTAGATTCCTGTGACTGAGCCTTATCCTTCTCAGTCCAGACCTCAGGCTTCACGAACCAGTTGGTCAAGAACTTCTTGGTGTTCAACTCGGGAGAGCCCAAGTAGCCTTCGGCGAGACCAGCAGCACGCACGTAGATCTCACCAACTTCACCGATAGCGCAGATACGAGTAGGGTCAAAGCGGTTAACAACGAGCATCTGGACGTCCAGCATACCACCTGCAAAACAACGTAAGCATTCGTCAAGGTAAATTTGTGGAAGAGGTTCTTACGGCCAGCTGGAATCACGTCCTTCATAGTGTCAAGGTAACCTTCCTGACTCGAGTAACTGGGAATTTCAAAGTAACTCACAGCACGCTGAGTCTCGGTGGTACCGTACATGTTTGTAATGAAGCAGTTAGGAGCCAGGCCTTGGAGCGAACGGCAGTCACGCTTGATCAAAACATCGCCAACGAAGAAGGCATGGTGAAGAGCAGGGAACTGCGCCGAGGCACCACCGACCAGAATCTGACCCATAGCAGGAGTCAGGTGAGTAACAGTGGCACCGTACTTCTGCATCCACTCGGCAAGCTTCTCGTTCTGGATATCCTCCCTGGCTGGGACCAATAGCTCAGCACCCAAGAACAAGGGTGTGAAGATATCTCTCTGAATGGGGTCGTGCGCAATACCACTCAGCATGGTGAACTTGTCGTTGGGGGTGAGCTTGAAGGTTTCGGACATCCAGGGGAAATAATAGGCAAGAGAGAAATGCCGTCCACGGACACCCTTAGGGCGGCCCTCCGAGCCAGATGTGAAAGACAGGGTCGGGGTCGAATCAGGGCCCACCACAACACCAACATTGCGAGACTTCAGCTCAACCTGGTTTGCGAAGATGTCCTGACCATTGACGGTACCACCAACAAGGGTTCCATCATCCTCAAGGGCAAGGGCAGGCACCTCAGTGCGGAGCTCGAGGTTCTCGGTGATGAAAGAACGGACGATATCCGAAAGCTCACCAGCATCCCGAGAGGCCTTGGCAATGCTGACCAGGGCACGGGGGCGAGCAACATCCAGGTAAATATTTTGACGCTCGGGGGGGTATGCGGGATCGATGACAGAGAATGTGGCACCTGCCTTCAAGACACCCATGACAGCAACAACCAAGTCTACACCGCGGTAGGCATACACCATAACGACTTCACCTCGCTGAATACCAGATTGCACAAGATGATGTCCGAGGATGTTGGAAGCCTCGTTAATCTGTTTATAAGTAAACTCTCTGTGGGGAGAGTTGTTTGACTTGGTTTCCACCACACAGATCTTCTCCGGGTGCTTCTCTGCATTGGCAGAGAAGATATCGTGAATAGCACCACGGAACTTAGACCAGTTGAGATCCTTGGTCGGGTCGGGCAGAAGAGCAAGCTGGTCCTCGGTCATCATGTCTACTCGGCCAATAGCCTCTTCCGGGTTTGCAGCCGCGTTGATAGTAATTTGTGCGAGCTGCTTGAGAATGGTAGCAATGCGCGCACTGGAAAAGAGACGCTGGTTGTAGTAGGCACCAAGCTCAACCTCTGAGCTGCCCGGTGCAACGTTAATTACCAGGTCAGTGCTATCAAAAGTGTTGGCGGGGTATTCCTGAGAGGCGGCTGGGGCATCATAGGCAGCGAATCGGAAAAGGGTAGGGGGTTGTTCGGTCTTAGACTTGTCCTGGATGTAGGACCGAAGGCTACCGAGGGGGACAATATCGGAGGCACCTTCTTGGAAGGCCTTGAGAGCATGATCAGTACGACCGCGGAGGAACGGATACATTAATAAAAAATCTTACCTTGTCCACTTTGGCATACAGCTGAGTAAAGGTCTCCGAGGCGCTAATGGGCACCCGGAGGACAAATGGACGGCCATCGTCACCGACGCTGGTACCCACAGCGATGTCCTCGTCACCTGTCAAACGAGCAACCAGGACCACAAAGGCAGTCAGGAAAACGGTGAAATCTGACGAGGAAGATGCAGAGAGCTTCTTCACAGCCAATTGAGTGTCCTTGGGAAGCTTGACAGACTCAAAGGCCTCAATAGTGCGTTTGCCATCTTGCTTTTGTGTGTCGGGGTAGTCTCTGGTCAATGGTGAGACAGTCAGGTTATTTAAGCGCTGTGACCACCTTTCGAGGCGGTCATGCAACGAAGCCGTTCCCACAGCCATGATTGTAACGATGACAATGCTTCGTACAAGTTGACGGGAAACTCGTAAAAAGCACAATGAGTCAACTATCCCCACGGAGGGGCAACGAAAAGTCCGATTTCGCTATGGTTGACGAGCAATGATTGGCTGGGTTGCTTTCCCCACACAAATTAGATGTCCACCGCCTTTGCCTCGCATGTCATGGTTAACTAGATCATTGATAATACGGAGTACAGGATACAGTGTACAGGACGTGTTCAAATAGAAATCTAATGAATTAGATACTTTTATTTAATGAACTATTACATACCTTATATCTTAGATATCAACTCAAGTAAGAACTACTGTTGTATAGAATATACTCCATGCATGCATATATGAGTAAGCTGGGACCCTTTTATGCCTGAGGCATCAAAATGTGGTCCGTCCAGCCTTGGTCTCGCGTCCTCAGGGGAGATTTGTCCCGACTGACATCATTGAGTCAAGGGCGCGCAATTTTCAGTTTTGTGTGCGAATGAGATTTCAGATCAATGGAATAACCTTGGAGTCTTTCATTCCATTCGATATCATCGCCAACTCTTTGTCAATACTGGACTGAATCGCCGCATCCGGTTCCTCCAGGCGATCCATACCTAAACAGTATCACGGGTGCGGCTTCACGACCCTGGCCCGTGTTGCTCTATTTTTCCTTTGACACCACCTATATACCCAACAGACCTGAGTGAAGGTCTGCTGGTGGATCGGATGTACACAAGATGATTCCACATCGCAGCACAGGTCTTTTGGCCATTATTGTTTTTGTTGCCCTCCTTCTCTTCATCTTCTCATCCTCACCCATCCCCAAAACCGCTGTCGAGGGAGAGGAAGTTTCAGGTCCTGCCAAGTATCTGCCTCAGCCACACCTTCCTTCTCTGAGTGATCTAAAGCTTCCGACGTTCCGAGCCCCTTCACATGAACCGCCGCCGGAAGAAAGAAACAGCACCAGCGGCGAGTCCAAATGGTTTAGCAACTGGGAATGGTTGAACCCCTTCTCCTCCGCCATTACCTTGGACGAAGACCGCTCCGTCCTTCCTCCCCTACACGAGCGTCGCCCAATCTACACATATTATAATCCCAAATATAATCCCAAGAAACACTCCAGCAGCGAGCAGAAGGAGGACCAGAAGGCCGACGCAGAGCTCCTTCTGACCTGGCGTCGAGCTTGGTTCGCGCAGGGATTCAGACCAATCGTCCTGACACCGGGCGATGCGATGAAGAACCCACATTATGAACTGGTGCAGAAACTCTCCATGACACCCGAGTTGGAGAATGAGGTATTCCGTTGGTTGGCATGGGGTCACATGGGATCTGGATTGCTCGCTGATTTCGAGTGCTTTCCAATGGGGCGATATGATGATGATCTACTGAAGGCTCTACGACAAGGCACCGACCCAGAATACTTAGTTCGGTTCGAGAACTTCCAAGGCGGTCTCTTTTCCGCGGAGAAGCATCGCATCGACGAGGCAATTGATGGAGCCGTCAAGAAAATGGATGAGAAGTCCACATCGTTTGGGGAGCTTATCAATCCGGACCTTTTCAAGGTGATGACCCCCAGCAGCCTTGCTTATTACAAGCATGCCACGATCGGCTCCCACTACCCGACATTGCAAGAAAAGATGAGCCACAGCCCGTCCAATGGACGAATGCTTTTGGCACAGCTAGTCAATTCCCATCTTCATAATACCTTCCAGAATTCGTTCCCAGCTGGGTTGGCCGTGCTGAAGCCTTTTCCCCAGCACACAACTGCCCTGGTGGAACCCGCCTTACGACTGGCGAAGGCACTCATTCAGTGCCCAGAATCTCCCGTTCCTGATTCCTGCCCACCCAACCTCCCCGACTGCCGCCCCTGCGGCTCTTCAAAGCAGCCCATGCTCATTAGCCAGCCCTCTACCTACAAGAAAACCAATTTCCTATTCACCATCGGAACTCTTCCTCATCCTTACACCCTTGTCAGCCTGCAGAAAAGTTCCGATGAGGTCACCACGCGCCAAATTCGTCGGGAAACCGAGCGGGATGCGTGGTTAACCGATGTGACCAAGGAAGACCTTGGCCCAGAAATGGGCAGCTCTTGGCGGGGTATGGCGTTCAAGCAGGTTGTGGCTGGCGACCAGGCTATTGCCACGTCACTTTGGATGACCGTCGAGTCTCTGCCTGCCGAAGCTGGTCAAACACTCCCTTCTAAACTCCTGGATGAGTTCGAATGGCAGTTTGGATTCAAGATCCCTCGTGTCGGTACCATCGACCCGAGCACCCCCAGTGACAAAGAAAGCGTGCAGAGCAAGACCCCCAGCCAGGAAGGTGTTGCCAGGGAATATGAGCTCCTCCAGAAGGCTCGGAGCGTTATCAGCAGTGATGAGCCAAATAGTGTGTCTAAAAGGAATGTCGCTGAGGCCTGGAATCTGGCCGATACGGAGGTTTGGCGATTCGTCAAAGCCTACCGGTAAGTCTATATATATATCCAATTCATTATCTACTTTTTTGCTGACTTATACTCTCAGGGCTCGGTCTGTTGTTGAGCGCATCCGCTGGGAAGAAGAGGAGAGAGGATTTGCTGGCTCACGTTAAATTTGTACTTTTTTTTTAATTTTCTTCTCCCATTTTTGATTTTGGTTATATATATACCAAGTGATGTGTGTATTTTTTTTCCTGTGATGTTTTCAGCATTTCCGGCGCCATGGATTTCTATTGGATGTTGAAGGTTACAGGTTACAGCACTTGTGGTTAGTAATGCAACGGGTTCTGATAGGCGTCCGTATCTCGGATTGTGGCGATACCCGTAGTTCCACGGTGGGGGCTCGAGTGGGGTTCCCTATCGAGACGTGCGGGCGAGTTCACTTGCTTGCCCCTCTTCATATGTTCTGACCCTTTCCATCGAGCTTTAGGAAGGTCTTTGCGGCTCCTGAGATATATAGAGACTGAACATGAGCACCTGAAGACAGCCGTGACCTGATTTTATTGTTGTATCCTGTCACTCCTTCACCATTCATCTGTCGCAATGGCGCCCGGTATCTTGAATACGGATCCTGAGGTGGCGGTTGAGAAGGTCACATCGCTAGCTCAGTTGACTGAGGACTGGGATGACACAATCCGCTTCTATCTTAACGGCACCAAGGTTGCTGTCGACACCGTTAACCCGGAAGTGACACTGCTCGAATACTTGAGAGGCATCGGGTTGACGGGAACGAAGCTTGGTTGCGCCGAGGGAGGTTGTGGCGCTTGTACAGTGGTAAGTCTGAATATAAGAATAAGTTTATGAATTGCTTGCTGAGCCCAGTTGCTGCTTTTCAGGTAGTTTCGCATATCAACCCCACCACAAAGAAAATATATCACGCATCTGTCAATGCTTGCATCGCTCCCTTGGTCAGCATCGATGGAAAACACGTCATCACCATCGAAGGAATCGGAAATGTGAATAGCCCCCATGCGGTCCAACAGCGGATCGCCGTTGCAAACGGGAGTCAGTGTGGCTTCTGTACCCCGGGAATTATTATGGTATGTGATTAGTGGCTACCCATACGCCCAAAGTATGTCCTGCTAATAAAGCGAAGAGCCTGTATGCTTTGCTCCGTAACGATCCTGTTCCTGATGAACATGCGGTCGAAGAGGCCTTTGATGGAAACCTTTGTCGCTGTACCGGTTACAGACCCATCCTGGACGCCGCTCAGAGTTTTAACTCCCGCAACAATTGTGGTAAAGCAAGTGCCAACGGAGGCTCGGGCTGCTGCATGGAAAAAGGCGCTGGTGGCTGTTGCAAAGGACTTTCTGCAACAACCGAGGATGAGGAGAGACTGGAGCCCAAATTCCCAGCGCCCGAATTCAAGGCCTATAATCCTGATACAGAGCTGATATTCCCGTCGGCACTGAGGAAACACGAGTACCGACCCCTTGTATATGGCAACAAGAGGAAGAAGTGGTATCGACCCGTGACTGTTGAACAGCTATTGCATATTAAGAGTATTCACCCTGAAGCTAAATTGATTGGAGGAAGCACGGAAACCCAGATCGAGATCAAATTCAAAGCGATGAACTACGCTGCTTCTGTTTATCTGGGCGATATCCCCGAGCTGAAGCAGTTCAAATTCCACGATGAATATCTTGAGATCGGTGCAAATATATCATTGACAGACTTGGAGACCGTCTGTGACGAGGCAGTCAAGCGTTATGGACCCGTTCGAGCCCAGCCCTTCAAGGCGATCAAAAAACAATTACACTATTTTGCTGGACGACAGATTCGAAATGTCGCATCTCCAGCTGGAAATCTGGCCACTGCGTCACCCATTGCAGACTTGAATCCCTGTCTTGTCGCAACAAACACCACTCTGGTTGCCAGATCACTCTCAGAAGAGAAAGAAATTCCTATGACGGAATTCTTCTTGGGATATCGAAAGACAGCTCTACCCCAAGATGCGATTATTTCAAGTCTTCGGATCCCACTTGCTGCAGAGAAAGGCGAATTTTTCCGCGCTTACAAGCAATCGAAGCGCAAGGATGATGACATTGCTATTGTCACATCTGCACAGCGAATTTTATTATCCGAGGCCAACGACGTGATTAGTTGCAACCTTGTGTTCGGTGGCATGGCCCCGTTGACTGTGTCTGCGAAGAATGCAGAGGCTGCTCTAGTTGGCAAGAAATTCACCGATCCTGCAACGCTGGAAGCTGTCATGAGCGCTTTGGAAGTTGATTTCAACCTCCCCTTCGGAGTCCCGGGTGGCATGGCAACCTACCGAAAGTCACTAGCAATGGGCTTCTTTTATCGATTTTACCACGATATCCTGTCCGGCCTTGAAGTAAAGTCTTCTGACCTGGACCCTGATGTGGTTGCTGAGATCGAGAGAGCCATCTCCACTGGGGAGAAGGACCACGAGGCGTCCGTGAAGTACCAGCAAAAGATCCTCGGCAAGGCTACTCCTCATGTCTCGGCACTTAAACAGGCTACTGGCGAGGCACAGTACACCGACGACATTCCCGTGCAGCAAAATGAATTGTTTGGTTGCATGGTACTATCCACCAAGGCCCACGCTAAAATTCTTAGTGTGGACTACGCGGCCGCACTGGACATTCCGGGTGTCGTTGATTATGTCGATCATAGAGACCTGCCTAACCCTGAAGCTAACTGGTGGGGAGCACCTGTTCCGGATGAGCAGTTCTTTGCCGTTGAAGAGGTGCGCACGGCCGGTCAACCTATCGGTGTTATTCTGGCTACCAGTGCTAAGATTGCTGAGGCGGGTATGCGAGCTGTCAAGGTGGAATACGAGGATCTGCCTGTCATTCTTACTATCGAAGAGGCGATCAAGGCGGAATCTTTCTTTGCTCATTACCGTTACATCAAGTGCGGTGATACAGAAGAGGCATTCAAGCAGGCTGATCATGTCTTCGAAGGCGTTTCGCAAATGGGCGGTCAAGAGCACTTTTATCTTGAAACCCAGGCTTGTCTCTGCATTTGGAAGCCAGAGGATGGCGAAATGGAAGTTTGGAGTGGCACTCAGAACCCAACTGAGACGCAGACCTACATTGCTCAAGTCACAGGTGTGGCTGCGAACAAGATTGTCTCTCGCGTAAAGCGCCTTGGAGGTGGCTTTGGTGGTAAAGAAACACGCTCTATCCAGCTAGCTGGGATCTGTGCCACCGCAGCTGCGAAGCTGAAACGACCGGTTCGCTGCATGCTTAATCGTGACGAGGATATCATAACCTCGGGTCAACGCCACCCATTCATGTGCAAATGGAAGGTGGGAGTGACAAAGGAGGGAAAGATCTTGGCCCTTGATGCCGATGTGTATGCCAATGGTGGTCACACGCAGGATCTATCTGGCGCTGTTGTTGAAAGAAGTCTGTCACACATTGACGGTGTGTACAAGATTCCCAACGTGCACGTGCGTGGTCGAATCTGTAAGACAAATACCGTTTCCAACACGGCGTTCCGTGGCTTCGGTGGCCCACAGGGTCTTTTCTTCGCAGAGTGTTATATTTCAGAGATTGCAGATCATCTGAACATCCCTGCAGAGGACCTTCGGGCTCTAAATATGTACCAGCCCGACGAGACCACCCACTTTCACCAACCACTCAAGGACTGGCACGTTCCGTTGATGTATAACCAGGTCCTGGAGGAGAGTAAGTACAACGAGCGACGGAAGGCGGTGACGGAGTACAACAAAGAGCACAAATGGTCCAAACGTGGAATGGCTATCGTACCAACCAAGTTCGGTATCTCCTTCACAGCTCTGTTCCTGAACCAGGCAGGTGCCTTGGTACACATTTACCACGATGGTAGTGTTCTTGTGGCACACGGCGGTGTTGAAATGGGACAAGGCCTTCACACGAAGATGGTCATGATTGCTGCGGAGGCTCTTCAAGTGCCACAAGACAGTGTCTTCATCTCCGAGACGGCTACCAATACTGTTCCCAATACATCTTCGACCGCCGCATCCGCCAGTTCCGATCTCAACGGCTACGCCATTTTCAACGCCTGTGAGCAACTCAACGAGCGACTCAAGCCTTACCGTGAGAAGATGCCCAACGCGACAATGAAAGAACTCGCACACACAGCATACTTTGACCGTGTCAACCTTTCCGCGCAGGGATATTACCGAACTCCCGACATCGGCTACGTGTGGGGTGAGAACTCCGGGCAAATGTTCTTCTACTTCACCCAAGGCGTCACCGCTGCCGAAGTGCAGATTGACACTCTAACTGGTGACTGGACACCTCTCCGCGCTGACATCAAAATGGATGTTGGTCGTACAATCAACCCGTCCATCGACTATGGTCAGATCGAGGGAGCCTATGTCCAGGGCCAGGGCCTTTTCACCACCGAAGAAAGTCTTTGGCACCGCGCCTCAGGACAGATCTTTACGCGTGGACCTGGTAATTACAAGATCCCGGGCTTCCGTGACATTCCCCAAATTTTCAATGTCAGCCTGCTAAAGGACGTGGAATGGGAGAACCTGCGCACGATCCAGCGTTCGCGCGGTATTGGTGAGCCGCCACTTTTCATGGGCAGTGCCGTTTTCTTCGCTATTCGAGATGCCCTGAAGGCAGCTCGGGAACAGTGGGGTGTCAAGGAAGTCTTGAGCTTGCGTAGCCCTGCTACACCCGAGCGCATTCGGATCAGCTGCGCCGATCCCATCATTGAACGAGCCCGGGTTCAACCAAAGGAAGGGGAGCAGAGTTTCTTTGTTGAGATTTGAGATTATCATCTTGGTTACGATTCACAGCATGTACGAATGTACGACAATATCCATACAAACATAAGTTGAGCTAGGTATGCATTTGAATCAATTAAGAATGGACAGATTGTATTCAATGTTTAGAGCTTTCCCGCGGCCAATGCTATTCTTTCCCGTATCGAGTTTTGTCACGACATAAGGATTGGAAGTTGAAAAAAGATATATGACCATTTTATTTAAGCTCAAGATTAACTATCATTAGCCATCTTAAAGACCAATAGAACGATCGGATCTTAGAAAGCCACAAAAGCCTTCTGATGTAAGCTTTCCCGTCGGCAAACCGATTCGCCGGATTCGGACATAGACGATCGCAACTCTCCGCAGCCCAGTAAAAACGGGCAAAAAATATTGAAGGCTCCACATTGTCGGAAGCGCATTCAAAAATTTTCTTGGCTTGAGCTGGGGTAAAGTCGCACTTGGAAATAATCATTCGTCAATGCTGGCATAGCTTCTCTTCAATTGCTGAGATTCGGGTTTCTTATTCTCCCGGAATTCGACCTATAGAGTAACTTCTATATCCGGAGAAGGCCCGAGCTATACGGAAAACCGTCGAACTTCAAGTCTGCCTGTCATGAGTGATGATGAGAATTATGATTTGGAGGGGAAGGGGGTGATTGATGGACCGCTCTCTGGTGATAAGATGGAGAAAACCTTCGACGCGAAAAATGATGTCTTTGGCGATGAGGACAACGCTGAGGTATGAATTTGTCCTATGGTCTTCAATTCTGAGTCATTGTTAATCACACCAAAAGATTAAATACCGGACTATGAAGTGGTGGCATTGCGGTTTTTGTGAGTTCCAATGGCAACATCGCCAACAACATCGCCAAATATTATCATTTTCTAACTCATTTTTGTAGTGATGCTTGCTGAGAATGTCTCTGTTGGTATTCTTTCTCTGCCTTCTGCTGTGGCCACACTTGGAATGGTTCCGTATGTGATTTGACTCACCAGATGTTAATAAAAGCTAATATTCAACAGCGCTGCTATCGTGATTCTCTTCGTGTCTGCTCTGTCTTGGTACACAGGCTATGAAATTGGACAGTTCAAGCTCCGCCACCCTCATATTCACAGTATGGGTGATGCCGGTGAGCTTCTGATGGGCCGCTTTGGCCGCGAATTGCTGGGAATTGGTCAGCTGCTGCTCCTGATCTTCCTTATGGCCAGTAACATTCTCATGTTCAACATTTTGATGAATGTTCTCACCAACCACGGCACTTGCACCTTGGTCTTTGGTGTCGTCGGTCTGGTCATCTGTTTCCTAGGCGCCTTGCCCCGTACTATGGACAAGGTCTACGTGATGTCTGTTATCTGTAAGTTCAGTCTTGTGTGAGGGCGCATTATATCGCTCTATAATCTGATTACGCGAAGAACGCTGAATTAACCTATCGGCAGCATTTTTGAGTGTCTTTGTTGCAACTGTTCTGACCATGATCACCGCCGGCGTTGAGAGCAAGGGTCATATCCCGATCCAGGTCACTACGGATGTTGGGTTCCGCGAGGGTTTCTTGGCTGTGACCAACATTATTTTCGCCTACCGTACGTTGAAACATTGTAACAATTGGGATGAGATAACTAACGTTGAATTTAGTCGCTCACATCGCATACTTTGGTTTCATGTCTGAGACCGAAGACCCTCGAACATTCAACAAGTCTCTTGCTATGCTTCAGATTATCGACACTGTTCTCTACCTAATCAGCGCTCTCATTATCTACCGCTACGTTGGACCTGATGTTGAGTCGCCTGCTATTCTGTCTTTGAGCCCTCTGATGAGCAAGATTGCGTGGGGTCTTGCTATTCCAACCGTGAGTCCAGCTGCCCTAATATTACATATGCATGCTAACAAAGCAAGACCATTCTCTCTGGAGTTGTGTTGGGCCACGTCGCTTGCAAATACATCTACGTGCGCATGTTCCGTGGCTCCGACGAGATGCACAAAAACACATTCCTCTCAATTGGATCCTGGGTCGCTATCTGCCTCGGTGTTTGGGTCATCTCTTGGGTTGTTGCAGAGTCGATTCCTGTGTTCAATGACTTATTGAGTCTTATCGTATGTTTCATGAAATCCCGCCTTTGATAAGAACCACGACTAATGAGAATATTTTACCTTTACAGAGTGCTCTTTTCGGAAGTTGGTTCAGCTGTATGTTTTCAAAGAATCCTCCCCTGCTTCTACCTCAATTGCTAATATGCTAAATAGTCGGTCTTCCTGCTGTTTTCTGGTTCCACATGAACAAGGGCCAATACTTCAAGGACTGGAAGAAGACATGTTTGACCATCATCAATGTTGGTGTCTTTGGCTGTGCTTTGGCTATTGTGAGTTTACTCTTGTGTCCTTGATACGGACGGAAGACTCGTACTAATTGGCCTTTTAGTGCGGATTGGGTCTGTGGGTATCTGGCGTCGCGATTCACAACGATTCTAGCTCCTCGTCTTGGTCTTGCGCTAATGACGTTTGAACGACATAAGATCCCGGCCTACCTATTGTTAATTCGACAGCACGTAAAAAAAAAGTTTGGCATTTTGTTTGGTTTTACGCATAGATGATATATTTTTCTAGCGACGACTGCACTACCACTATGATGACTTATAGGGTCACAAGATAATCAATTAATGTTGATATTCACGAAGAATAAAAATTCTACTGAGTTTGATTGCGATCTGTGGGATCTAAATTTTCGTGTCGAAACATTGAACAATCATAGTACAAAACGATGAAACGACATAACGCTAAGACACAAAACGCCCGTAATGCTTATGGTGAAAGGAAAACAAAGAAATACGCCATGACTAGTATTCTATGATCTTCTTCATCCCTTCACATCATACTCCACATAATTACTCTGCCTCAGACTAGGCTCTGATGTTACTTGTAGAGCTGTCCTTTGTCCGGCAAACCCAAGTTTTTCATCGGGATACGCATGGACATCATGGAATGGATCCTTCGGTACAGCGACAGCCCCTGCCTCATTAGCCTGGTACACCGGAGCTGAAGCTGGAGCAGCACCCCCACTCCCGGAGGTAAGCTTTGGCATGACTGTCAGAGGAATTTCGGTGAAGCCCCGAGAATCTGGTGGCGGCAGGGGATGATTAGGCACAGGGTCAATAGCATGACCACCACCATCACCACGATTACGGTCACGACCCCACCATAGAAACATTGCGCGGAAAATACCCATCAGAACGATCATTACCCAGATGAGGAAGATGGATGCTGCGATGATGGTTTCCTGACGGAGTGCTTCATTCAGCGTCTGAATAACATCGTCAACAACCTCGGTTATCTTGTTGGATGTTTCATCGCCTGCATCAGAGAGGAAACTATCGTCAGCAGTCCCGTTTGTGATACTCGCGTTTGCGCCTTTGGAGAAAACGTCGGTCGGGAATAGCGGGAGATCGAGGTGGGCGTTGTCCGAAACCCAGGTCAGACCCTTTTCGAAACTGGCGATTTTGAGACCGATTAGGCAGTTGAAAACCTCTTCGATTGGGTCTGCGAGAATTGTGTCTCCGAAGGTCTCGTTGAGGACACCGGTCACCTTTTCGACAAAGACATTGAGAGTTGTGTTGACTGCGGTGGTGGTTGTATTCACCCATCCAAGAACGTCCGTGTTGATTTCTTTGTCGAAGTTTGTAATATATCCGTTTGCGCTGTCTGCCCACTCTGTTGATGCGTTTTGTAGGGCTGACACCACCTTTTCGGCATACTCGCCTACTTCGGAACTAAGCGCTGGTACTTCCTTTGAGATTTCGTGGATGATAATCCATTGACATAAGCAGGCCAGCAAGGATGCGATAGCCAGGGCGAGAACAAAGAGTGCTGGCATTGAGGTTGCATATGCAACTGCCCACCGGACAATAATTTGTCGGCGACTATTACTGAATCGACTTGCGGCTTTGATACCAGCGGCAGCAGTGTATGGTCGAGAAACAATGTAGACAATGTCCATGGGATCATGGGCTTCTTTTCGGACGAGTTGTGCCCTCTCCTTCATCTGGCGCCATCTTCTAATTTCTTGGTATGCAGAGGGGACACAGGCCAGGACGGCCGCGACGATGCAAACAATAATGAAGATCTTTCGGGCGGTAATAGCGACATCTGTCACTCCGTCAAAGAAGCTGTTGATTCCATCGTTATCGTTGCAAAACGTCAACGATTTCTTGGCGGGGACTAAAAGGACGGAGCTGTCGAAGCTGTAGCTGCCCAGGGAATTGTTCAGCAGTTTTTTGACATCTTCAAAGGGCGTTTTGATCACAGTCTCAGTGAAGTTCTCTACGGTACTGAAGCTAGGGATCGAGTCATTGAGCTTGCTGATACTCGTATCGACGGATGAAGGAATGGACCAACTGTTCAGCTCGCTGAGAGAACTGTTGAGATTCAAGGTTGGAATAGAAGCACCTAAGTCATTGATCACATCAATCACATCATCAAGAGCGGTTTCAAATGTCTTGACGACACTGGTGATATCCGACTCAGCAGCCTTGATCGTTTTGTTCACACCATCAACAACATCTTCGATCAGCACTGTTGCCGCTTCCACCACACCTTGTACAGCCAGGGTGATCAGACAGAGGTAGGTTTGGTACATCATCTTGAGAACAAAAAGAATCATTTCTTCGGCAGCAGTAAGAACTAGATCTAGCATGGTGTTCAAACCGCTGACTGCATCAGTAACACCAGCGGCAACCAGCTCGTTGACTCCCGTCGCGAGGTAATGCGGCATCGACGCCATAGCACTGCCCATGGATTCGACTGAGGTGCATGCCGAGAGGGCTTCCCGTTTGGCGCTGGCCATGTCGCTTCGTATATTGCCGATCGCGAGAAGGATTCGAACAAGAACAAGCAGAATCAAGATCGTCCAGCGATTGATCCATACTTGGGACAGTCGGGCTCTTAGCCCGAGATATGGTGTGAGACCATCAGGATGAGCTGGGATAATCCGCCCATCTGCCGGATTGTGTGCACCGTACGGTGGAAGCAAAGGAAATATTGATCGAGTCATTGTGGTAGGTGTGTGGTGACTGGACTTGAGGACGATGTGAAAAGATGGGAATCGTGTCGAGAATGTCACAGAGCAGGTCAAGTAGGATCAGGAATAAAGAAAGCTAATAAATAAAGAGATCGAGTGAATAAATAGTATGGATCAATCAGTAAGCATGTTGCGTCGACCAGCGATGAGTGAATGTGGAGAAATATTCAACGAGAACAGCAAAGAAATAAGGAAATGCAAATGTCAGAACATTGGAAATAAAGGCGTATGTAGGACTACATATAGCATATTATGAAGAGCAAGCTAAATAAGATCGATTTCTGGACTGGCGCTAACATGATCTACGCAAGGTCCAGTTCTTACTACAAAGAAGTGACCCATCGGAAGCAGGCAACGACCCTGCTTAACACTTGGAATGACCATTAAGAGTGAGTCATAGACTTTTGAAACAAAGACTGCCACAAATACGGAGACTAACAACGGGTGGTTTGTTTCACCTGCCAACAAAGCGCGTAGATGGCTCCTGTCATTGTAAAACTGGTGGAGATCCAAATATAGCCCAGCGCTTAGCGCCCGCCGCTATCAGCCAATCATCTACTTATAAGGCACTGGGGCTCAAACAAGAGCCATATTCATAGTAGCAATATTCAAAATGTTGTGACTAACATCATATATAGATAGGTAGACGTACAGTGGTCGTTATTTACTAGTACTACTAAGTTGTTCTAGAAATCTAACCATATTAATTATGAGTGATACCTCGAAAATTATCCTTACCTAGGTAACTTGAAATCAGATTTTAATCCCAGCGTATTAATAACATAATGAATGGCTCATTTACATTAAAATAAAATAAAAAATATTTCATGAATAAAATAGTCATAGTAACTTCTAAAGTTTCGAGTTGGAATACTTTATCATAAAGAAAGAGATAGATTATTGTTGGTTGGTCACGTGACATACGTCATTTGATACACATCACGTGTATCGATCTACCCTACTTCTAGCAGAGCCTCATATTAAGAGTCCAATGACTTTTAGCTATACTATGGTACCAAGTAGCTGGAGAAGTGACCATGTGGGTAGCATCTAAGGTGGGCAGTAGCATCTAAGGTAGGCAGTGAGGCTAGAAGACCAGTATATACTTACAACTCTACTTTTTGAGTCTTGATATACAAGACTCGGAGATATAATAATTAATTTCAAATTGATATTACTCAGAGGGTACTTAGTACTCATAATTATACTGGGGCAAAGATAAGGTAATAGGGTAAGCAACTATTAAAGATGTGAAAACTAATTTGAAATTAATAAAGGAGAGTGTTTGAAGTGAAGTGAAGAACTGGCAAAACGCGTTATCTCTTCTAAACGTATCTCCAAACGCGTATTTTTCAAGTGCTGGATGTTCTCCTCCACTGCCTACTACTCCCTCCCATCCCCTTTTTTCGTTTCTTTCGTTTCTTCGTATCTTTCGACATCTCCACATCTCCACATACGAAATACGCCGCGAATGAAATTTGAAGAAACCCAGCAATGAATTTACGCGCACAAGTATGACCGGACCAAGCAGGCAGAGAAGAAAGGCGGCTGCCAAGAAAGCCAAAGCCGCTAAAGCTGCCAAAACCGCTGAGCTGGCTGCAGGTAAGAATCCTTATATGCAAGATTCAACTGGTTATTAATCGCCTTTAGCCGAGCCAGTCGTTAAGGACCAGAGCCTTAGAAGCTGGAAGCGAGAGAGGCAGAAAAAGAATAGAGCCGCAAGAGCTGTAAGAGCCGTGGCGGAGGACGGGGGTATTGCAGGGTCGTCGGCGTATCAAAGCCTGTATGACTTCTCCCAGGAGGGGTCATTCCATACGGCGGTTGATGACCCATGCACTCCTCCGTTCGTTACGCCAGACCCACGCACTCCCGTGAGAGCGTTTTTCCTGGAGACCGAAGAAGGTAAGCAACGATATCCAGAACTTAACTTCACCCACAACACCATTTTCTCCCTCCCTTCACATCAACAGTGCCCGATTTGTTCAGTCCACTCCCACTACTTTAAACACGTTATTCACATGTCTTTTCAAACAGAACAGTTGAGAATGAGTGATTACTTAGTCCCCCCTAAGGATGGTTTCAGCCTTCACGAGATGGGTACGCATACATATCCCGTGCCGTGTTCAAAAGAACAACGGATAGTTTCTAATATTACCGCAGCGGCTCCATCTCCCACCAGGTCATTGCCCGCAATGGAAGTCTCCCTCACCACTCCATTGGCGCATGTCAGGGCAGCCAGCAATCCCGACAACCGATCTGATTCGGCTCAAGTACCCTCTCCCTCCATTCAGCCCGCCGATCTTGAAGACACGTCCAATGTGGACGGTGGGCACCACCGGTCAAACAGTGCTCCGACCACCCGTGACGACGCAGTCTGGCTTCGTCAACAGGTCAAGCGAGGTAAATACAAGGAGCGAGTGAAAGTACGCCAGGAGTCAGAATTTGGACCGGAAAACCCACAGAAACAGGTTCAAGGAAAAAAGCACCCCCAGAAGACGGCTGCGGAACTTAAGAAAATGCACAATGCCCGCCTGGCAACTGAACCCACGCAGACCACTGCCCGAAAAACTTCCCTGTCGACTGTACATGCTGAGGCATCATCACTCGTTGTCGACCACGAATCTTCCACTTCAGTCGGAAGTCCATCGAGTGATGAAAGTACGGGAACGAGCCGAGCTATCTCAACCGATCCGGCATGTTCTCCAGCCCAGCCACCACCAGCTGTTACTATGCCAGCAAACAGACGTCTTACTGTCTTTAACTTTAGGCACCTGAATTTTCATGCGGAGGAATCCGATTCTGAGTCAACAGAACAAGGCTCCGAGGCGAGAATCGCTGCTAGGGTTGGCAGCCTAGCCACGCCCGGCCTTATCACGGAGATACCAGCGGGAGAAACCCCACGGAAAGCTTCAACTTCCTTGAGCCCTTCTCAGACGCCCGACGGTAAAGCAATGGTGGAAACAGCCGGCAGATCGGACGGTACGCCTGTTCCCAGTGGTGCTCAAAAGAAGCACTACCACAAAGCGGCCAAGGAGCCAGCGAAAAACTTCCAAGGCATTTCAGCTGCGAATCCCGTCAAGCTTCCGGGCCGGGCCGCCCAGAAATACCGGCCACACAAGGCGAGAGAAGCTGCTGCGCTTAATGCAGCCCGTCAAGCTTCCTCTGCTGAGGATACTGAAATCCTTTCGATCGAGTGTGCTATGTCAAGCTGCCACAACGAGTGCCGCCTTTGGGATAAGCTAGTTTGTATCTGTCCTTATTGTGGACCTTTGGCGGCAGTCCGATATTGCTCAAAGGAACACCTCCGAGAGGATGTCAAGCTCCACTGGCCCTGGTGCGGGAAGCTGATGGTGGATCGGCCTCTCAAAGTGCATTCCATTCCGGATGATGTTATGGCTGGTCCCCCTGCGATCCCATGCATCGACAATTGGAGCCACCCTGCGCGTCATCGACAGTCTATCTGGTTCAGCACCAGTTTCATAGAAGGTGATTACTTCATCTTCGCGGACCATGAGGATCGATTTGCCACACTCCCGGGGGAGGTCGAGGTGCTCTGCTCGCCACGTGTGTTGCAAGCAATTCGCTGGAACCATCCCGCCGAGAGAGACCAGTTCCGCCGTTGTCTTGCAGTCTGCCTTCTCGCCTCGGTTCAGGTCCAGAGCCTGGTTAACTTTCTCTACAAGATGATTCGCGATTACCTCCGGATTCGGCATCTTTGGACGGGCAATATGGACGAGATTGTCCAAGACCAGCTTTTCCGCGAGACAGGCGTCAAAGTTCTGATTTCTTACAGCCATGCATGCCCCACCGAATGGAATGGTCTCCCTCCGAAGCATTGCCTCGATCGCCAATGCATAGCTGATCGCAAACAGTGGTTGGGTGATTGGGGCTGGGGTCGTGGTTTCGAACGCCTTTGCCAGTTCATGGAGGCCCAGTATTGGATCCTCCGTGCGAATCGAACCACCCACCCTGATTGTCAATCTCTTCAAGGACGAATCTGCGGTGTAGGATACGGAGAATGGGTCCCTCGACAGGACCGGCGATTTTTCCGTCGCGGCGAGGGTTGGGATGGGGAGGGTACCGGCCCCATGGAGATCGAGGGTCCATACTGATCTCCGGGTTCATAAGAATATCGACCCATTCAACGCTGTAATCCTTGTGATGGCTCGTTTCCGTTTCTTGTGGGGGAAGGGGTCCATATCTAGGCTGAGTGCTTTATTGTGTGTGGTCAAGGTGTCTTGTACAGCTCAGATCATGGATGCTCTGCGTTTTCATGCCGATGTCACCATCGGGGTTTCATCAGTGGGAATTGGACTCAAAAACCTTCGTTGACTGCATGTGCCGCTTGCACTCAACGACCCGGGACCTTTCCTATCTGTTCTGTGTGTTTGCGTTTCGATGACATTCTGCCAATGGCACTGTCGGGATCTCATCAGAGAGAATTGGACTGAAAGACCTTTGTTGACTGCATGTGCCGTTTGCACTCAACGACCTAGTCCCTTTCCTATCTGCTTTTTTCTTCGCTTTTTTTCGCTCTGTTCGTTTCGCTGGTGTTTTCTCTTTTCCTCTTTCGTTCCTTTCGTTTCATTTATTGCTGTCCTTCTCGCCTGTTCCTGTTTACAAACAGAGCACGATTGAAGCACTTTCATGTTTCGTTAGTGGAAAAGTTTCCAGCGTTTAGCGTCTGCAGCGTCTTTCTTATCGCGTTGTTTTTTGTTTCCTGTTCTTTCTTTCTTCTCTTTTTTCTTTTCGCTGTTGCTTTTGTTTCCTTGGGACAATCAGTAATTAGATAGATGTAGATTCCTCGTAGGACGTACGATTAAAAAAGCACTCTAGAGTAGATGACGTAGATATTATCTAGGCGAAGCTTGTAGTGCATGATATTAGAGTTAACATTTTAATTCCAGTAGATTCAAGTTCCTACTTATTCATACCCATATACGAGTACATAGTTGTGTAGTAACATGCTCACTGGATATACTTCTTCAGACCACGTAGTCTCTCCTTGGCACTCTCAAGAACATCATCGTTCTTACACACGGCAAATCGGAGATAGTCCTCAGCAATGTGCGTGTTAGCATCAGTATAGAACTCCGTGGGCGGGATCGCAGCAACCCCAACTTCGTGGATCAAGAACCAGCAAAGCTTGAAGTCACGGGGGCGGTTGGCCACATGCGGTGGGAATGGGTAGTCTGCGGGGAGCTTGACAGAGGACATGTTGGCCAAGACGAAGTATCCGCCTTCTGGTTCCGAGTACTAATCACAATATTAGCAAAATATCGTCGGCTAGGAATCGAAGTCCACATACCGGAATGCCCAACTCGTCAAAGATCTCACAGAATCGGTCCATTTTCTGCTTCATCTCATTCCGACTCTCATCCCAAAATCCCACCTTGTCGGCTTCCTCAAAAGCAGCAGCAACTGCTTCCTGGAGAGGAGAGACACTGCTGTAACAAATGCGGGTGTGTGCACCAGCCACATACTTGATCAAATGCTCGGGTCCGATGAGATATCCTACACGCCAACCGGTGGCATAGAAGGCTTTGCCAGCAGAGCCCACGGTTATGGTGCGCTCGTACAGCTCGGGGGAAAGGGTTGCAATTCTGGTGAAGGGGACATAAAAGAGGCGGTCGTAGACCTCGTCGGACAGGATGATCAGGTTGTATTTCACACAGAGGTCACCAATGCGCTGGAGCTCCTCTCGTGAAAACACCTTGCCAACGGGATTGTGACTGATATAATTAGCGATAGACATATATTGCGATATCGAAGTTCTTACGGTGAGTTGAGAACCTGTAGAGATAGTTAGCATTTGCATTTCTCTTGATGCGTTAGGGGGCACTGACAATCATTCTGGTCTTAGAATTGATGGTGTTTTCCAGCTCCTCAAAATCGATAGCCCACTCAGAAGCTGAGGATGTCCTGGTAGCGCCATCCTTGGGAGGGTGGAGCGGAACATAGCGGATAGTACCACCGGGCATCTCGATGTTGCTAATGTACCTGCAGATGGCATTGAGCATGGCGTGCAGCACCCAAGGAGGGGCCAATACTCACTGGTCGAAAAATGGCTCGAAAACAATTACTTCATCACCGGGCTCAATGAATCCCATGAAGGCGCTCAACATTCCTGGTAGAGTGGAGCCCTGTCAGTTGTTGTACTAAGTATTTCTACCATCGTTGAAGCTCACCCTCGTTGGCTCCAGTCGTAATTGCGACCTCGGTTTCTGGGTTCAGGGTTCTGCCGAAGAAAGGCGAATACGCATCCGCAATGGCCTTCTTGAGACGAGGGCGACCCTATGTGCTGTGAGCCTGGATCCTGACCCAATTGTTCGCGTTGACCCATGTACCTTGGTCGGAGAGTATTGATTGCATTCCACCCGGTCGAGAGCTTCCTTTGCAGCATCAATCGCGAACTTCGGAGGGTTGTAGCCACTTCATAGAAATATATTCATTAGTCTCTAACAATTGAGGCGATATAGCGCTCAAAGATCCTGGTACTCACAAAAATCCCTGGCCCATGTTCACGATCGGCTGGACAGGCGATGCAGCGGCTGCTTCATTGACAATAGACCTAAAGATCCGATGTTAAGAGACCCATGCCCAATGCTATCAGCTTCGTGTAATCCATACCAAACATCCTGTCGTTGCCCCGCTACTCTCTTTGCGGGGCGAAAGGGATCGGGCCGCGGAGCTGTTGCCGACATTGTTCGTACGAATCCAGGAAGGCCGGGGTAGATAGTAGGGCGAGACAGTCGAGAGGTAGATCGGGCGAAGATGGAAAGAGAGGCGTGACCAGCAATCATGAGGGGAAGAGGGTGGCTGTCAGTATCAAATAAGTGTGGTACCTGCGGAGTGGGAGTCATCCAGCGCCAATGGCCAATGGCGTGCTTGGGGTTCCCGCCTCGGTGACCTCCCGGAGTATAAGGCTTATCGAAGTTGGTGATACAGCAACAACTACCCCGTATATCCAATCGCTCTATAGGACAAAGCACAATTACAGGAATCGTCCCGACTGGTTTTTGTTTATTTTACAATGTTTACAGGTCGCCGGATTCCTTGAATCACGTCATATAGACCCGTTGCTTACGTGCGTGCTAACCATATGATCGTGATCAAATTCCCAGTTTTGTGGCAGAGAACTGGAAACCCACAGTGAAACAATGTGATACATCGATAGTGTAGGCCAATTGACCTTATCCTACCATAATCATTGGCTGGCATTTTTGACCGCACAAGTGAATCCTGGTCAATCCAGGCATTAAGGCATCACCGGTTCATCCTGATAAGAAGCTTTACATAAGCCTTATCGCGACGCGTCTCCGCATTTAAACAAATGTAAGCTTTCGTGCTCAATCTAGTCATTCGTGGTTGTGGTTGTCAAAGTCAGGAGCCATGGTTTCCTGTCCTATCTGTCAGAAATCTGTCGCTCAGTTGAAGATTAACGATCATCTTGATTCCGGCTGTCAGAGTTTCGTTGAAGAACCGTCTTCGTCCCCAGTCGAGCTATCCGCCTCTCAGAGAGCCGTCCCGAGTATATTCCAACCTTCGTCCGCACGCAAAGCCTCCCAATCCAGTATCCCAAAAGAATCTCCATCTCGCAGTATACCCACTCCACGCCCAAACGGCAAGCGATCGTTCACACAAGACACTCCAACACGAGAGAATGGTGCAAAGGAACCCAATGGAGATCAGGTGGAGCCGCAGGCCAAACGTCCAAAAGTCAATGCTTTCCAAAGAGCAGCTCCGCTTGCAGAACGGATGCGCCCCAAGAAACTTGACGAAGTCTGCGGCCAAGAACTAGTCGGTTCTTCCGGGGTACTCCGTGGGCTTATCGAACAAGACCGGGTCCCGAGCATGATTCTTTGGGGAAGCGCCGGCACAGGCAAGACAACCATTGCGCGAGTGATCGCATCTATGGTCGGCAGTCGATTTGTGGAAATAAACAGTACCAGCAGTGGAGTTGCCGAGTGCAAAAAGATCTTCGCTGAAGCCCGGAGCGAGCTTGGTCTCACGGGCAGAAAGACCATCATTTTCTGCGACGAGATCCATCGATTCTCCAAATCACAACAAGACGTCTTCCTTGGTCCCGTGGAGAGTGGCCAAGTGACTTTGATCGGTGCTACTACCGAAAATCCATCCTTCAAAGTCCAAAATGCCCTGCTCTCCAGATGCAGAACATTTACCTTAGCAAAACTCACCGATGAGGACATCGTCTCTATTCTTCAACGTGCTTTGAGAGTAGAAGGGCCGAACTACAACCCATCGGAGTTGGTTGATGACGAGTTGATTCGATATCTAGCCCGATTCGCGGATGGGGATGCTCGGACCTCGCTCAATCTCCTGGAATTGGCAATGGATCTTTCCAAAAGACCGGGTATCACCACAGATGATCTCAAACAGTCTTTGACCAAAACCTTAGTGTATGATCGTGCCGGTGACCAGCATTATGATACAATCTCTGCTTTTCACAAATCTCTTCGAGGCAGCGATCCAGATGCGGCCCTATACTACCTGGCGCGCATGATCCAGTCCGGTGAAGATCCTCTATACATTGCTCGACGATTGATTGCCGTCGCTTCCGAGGATATTGGCCTAGCAGACAATAGTATGCTCACACTAGCAATCTCCACACACTCTGCTGTAGAGAAAATCGGACTCCCCGAAGCAAGAATCAATTTGGCTCATGCAACTGTCGCCATGGCGTTGTCGAAAAAGAGCACACGGGCATATCGTGGACTGGCCAACGCCTTTGCCGCTTTGGATGAACCTGGCATTGCAGGCCTGCCTATTCCTATTCATCTCAGGAATGCACCGACCAAGTTGATGAAGGAACTAGGGTATGGCAAGGAGTATAAGTATAATCCAAATTATGTGGATGGCAAGGTTGAACAAGACTACCTCCCAGAGGAGATTCTCGGCCGTAAATTTCTGGAGGATTTGGATCTTGGTACACAACGAGATCCAGCTTTGTACAGTACCACGCGCAGGGGCAATTGAGAAAGTTGCAAACGACAACGTATCTGCCTTCAAACCTGGTATCCTATCTGGTATCCTACCTGGTATTCTACCTACTAGGTATGATACACAGCATGCACGCCAAATCTTCCCGGCGTCTAGATTATCAACTCCGCAAAGTCAGTGCAAGTCACCCGTGGATTCTGCACCACCCACTGGATCTAGACTCATGATCAGAGTATTCCAAGTTTTGAACTGACCAATGACATGTTCATACGCGTGACTTGACTTCGCTCAGATTCACGCGATGCCCGAATGGGAAGCGGCTCTGCCCTCACACCTCGTTACATAAGCTTTCGTTCCTGCCTCATATTGAATAAGAGGAAATCAGTCCATCTGTGGCAAAGTCTTCATGCTTCACCTGTCACTCTTTTGGGGCCTCAACTTAAGTTGGTAGCTTGCCCACCTTCACTCTTTCTTTTCCCCTCACCCTCACCTGGGTAGCAGTGTCTACTTTCGTTTATCAAGTATCTCAGTGTGTCAAAGTACCATGGCGCACAGTGGTGGAGCATCCGAGTATGCCCACTCTCCACGCCCGATGTCCCCGGAGTATTATCCGGATTCCAGGATTATCTTCGCGGGCACCATGAATCCTGTACGTTGTTGTCCTCTCAAGACCTCATCACAAACCCCATGCAAGACATATTCTAAATGCACCTGAAGGGGACTTCAGTGGTTGATCTTGGCTGACATGGCTCGTCACAGCCCAGTCCTGGCCCTCTACAAATGTCCCCTCAACTGCCCGCCTTCGATCCAAACGAAACTGTATACAGCTTCACGCCCGGCTGTTTACAAGATGTACCGCAGCCAAATGGCTATGGCCGTTTTCATAGCCTCGATCCCTCAACTCCAGGCAAGCGCCTGGTTGTTCAACCCCAATCTACGTTGCAACCAAATCCTTTGTATGGCAATCAGCACGAAGCTTCCATGAAGACTACATGGACGGCTCCTTTGACTAAGGCTTCGTCAGATAGCTCCGCATCTGTCCATCATCAGTCGCCTCCTTTGCTTGACAGAAGATCTGCATCGCCAACGACGTGTTATGACTTTGTCTTGGAGGATCCAAAAAATCCACACGGTTACCGGGAAAAGAGATTTCGTTCCCGAGTGGAACTAGATCAGCAAAAGGAGGATATTCGACATTTGAAACAATTCGGTGGTGCATGTCTGTCTTGCTATCGAAGCAAAAAGAAATGTGGGCCATCAACTCCTTGTCCGCCCTGCCTTGCAAACAACCGCAAGTGCATTCGCAGAGACCAGACGACCTTCACAGGCAACTCCTCCGATCATATGACGAGCTCCCCGGCGAACCCATATGTGGATGAAGTTCTTGAGATTTTGCAACCCGGCTCGTGGGAACTCATGGGCTCCATTGACGGAACCTACTCTGACGCTGGCTTCAATCGAAGTCCAAGTCGACTGTGACCGACATATAAATACCATGGTCATCATGCCAACGAGGGGTATAAGCACTGGAATCAACCCAACTTCGGGAAGCGGTAGATTAGGCAACTACATCAACACGAAGACCAAATTGTGTTGTCAGAAAGAAGAGGCTACTGATGAAGCCGAAGATGGAAAGCAAGGACTCGGTGGAAAACTTTCGTTGCTTTTGGCTATTATTATTTTTACGCTCAAATAACCACCGGGTGATTAGCTTGTAAAAATTTCTCATGCATATCGAGAAACTCAATGCTGGCGTTCACGTGTCTGTGGTTTGTTTACTGTTTTTGACTGTACTCCGTCCAGTTGCTATAGTTTTCCTTTAGCTTCAGCTTTCGGGTTGCAATTGAATGAAGTAAAATCTCTTCTTACGGCATCAAATTTTCATTTCTCCACGAAAAAGAAGGTGATGATAAGAAGTGGTCTAAAATGAGCCTAATTCCTCTCCACGTTCCACCATTCCGCCCGCGTGCCAGCGCGTCCAAAGATTCCTCTCCACCGCCCAAACACAGCTCCACCCGATCTACCCATCTCCCAACTCGACCAACCCCAACTTATTGCTACATTCCAGGCCTCTCCACATCGAGCCTAAATCACCACCCACCATGGCCTCCGGCCAACCGTTCGCGTCACGCTCGTACGCCGGTGCCAAAATCCCGGACCGCTCTGTCAACGCGAACGCCATGCCCTTCAGCGCCTCATCGTTCTCCCGACACCGCGGCCTAGGCGCCACCGCACCTGCTGATTTTGGAGCTCCCGAGGGCTCCAAACAAAACCAGCAAGCAGCAAATACCCCAGCTGCGCAAAGCCACGGACCCGCACAGGATGCGAACCCGTTAAACCGATTAACAGAGGAGCAGCGTGAAGAGATCAACGAAGCTGTAAGACCACCATCCATTGCACTATATTTCCCCTCTCTCACCTCTACAATGTATCTGCGATTACGCCTCCGGCGAGTACAGGGTGTACAGTAGAGAAATTACAGTTCCAGGCCTACATCCATCTACACGATACAGTCTAACATGTCAATCTCAATATCAAAGTTTACCCTCTTCGACCTCGACCGCGATCGCCACCTCGATTACCATGAACTCCGCGTCGCTTTCCGAGCCTTAGGCTTTACTCTCACAAAACAAGAACTCATTTCCCTCCTCACGACCTACGGTGTTCCGCGTCCACAAGTCCAGCAACAACAAGGTCAGAATAATAATGCTCCGGGGAGTCAGGTTTCCAAGGGTGGGAATCCTCAACACCCTTCCAATCTTCTTATGCCGCTTTCGTCGTTCCAGGCTGTGACTGCGCTGAAGATTTTGGAGCGTGATCCGCGTGATGAGATTCTGCGTGCGTTTGAGCTGTTCGATGAGGGGCAGAAGGGCTTTATTGATTTAGAGGATTTAAGACGTGTTGCAAGGGAGCTTGGGGAGACGGGGCTTGAGGAGGAGGAGCTCAGGGCTATGATCGAAGAGTTCGATCTTGAGGGGGTTGGTGGTGTGACTAGGGAGGCATTTGTGGGGATTTGTTGGCAGTGATATACTGATTGCATGGGTTTCTTTTTGATTGGTGTTGGGTTTGACTTGTTTTTTATTGAATTGAATCAATCGATTGGTTGGCAAGATGGTCCTTTTCTGTGCTGCGATTCTACTAGGTTGGTTTGTATTGATTGAGGTCGATTCTGTCAGTTTCTTGCCTTGCTTTCCAACTCTTCCAATGTAGTATCAATGCTCATGTGTTGTCTCTCTGACTGATTGATTCAGTAATGGATCGGAAACCCACTTGATACTCCAAGATGACATGGTGCTTCAAACATGTTCTGCGTATTACTAAAGACTCTGAGGACCCATTGAAGATTTGAAATAGACTTGACTTAAATGTCTAATGAAGATAAGTTGACATATTCACATGAAACCACATAGGAACTAAAGCCATGCCCAATCGTAAATGAACTCATCAGAAACGCCCAAACCCAGGCCCACCAAAGCAATGCCAATATTCAACCAGATCCCTCCCAAATGCTAAAATCGTAAAACAAAGCCGTTAGACTTGAATGCAATAATGAGCTAATGGCAAGGCAATTATCAACCGTATTGCGTACGTGGTGGAGGAACATTCTGATACGCATTAGGAGCCCACTGATTCGGAGCAGGAGGTCCACGCATTCCAGGTTGAGAACCAGTATATCCTGGAGGAGGGCCGGCGTATCCTGGTGGCGGACCAACGTATCGCGGTGGAGGGTTCTTAGCCATTCGTCGACGGGCGCTAGCTCCACGACACCAGCTGGTGACGCAGTACAGCAGAGCAAGAAGGATCAAGCACCCAACTCCAACGCAGACACCAATGACTATGGGCTTATGTTCGTCTATCCATCCCTTTACGGATGAGCCCTTGCATTGGCCATTGCTGCAGTAGCCACCGGAGTCACATGGTGTGCCGTCGAGATAGTTCTGGTTCATCTCGATGCAAGTTGAGGAGCCGTATTCTGCGGCGATGGATGGGGCACCGCAGACAATCATGCAAGATGGGGCATTGGTGTTTCCGCAAGCCCAGGAGTCGTTGCTGCTGAGCACACTACCGAGTACAGAGCGGCATTGGTAGTCGCGGCTGGTACACTGGCCACTTGCGCAGGCAAGGCCCTGTCCTGAGGAACCGCAGGAGGTTCCATCTTTCTTATATTCGTCGCTTGGACAGGCGCTGGAATTGCCGGTACATGTTTCGGCAATGTCACAGACGCCTGTACTGGCGCGGCAGACGGTGCCTGATGAGGAATATTGACAGCTGGAGCAACAGTTGTCGTTGGAGTCGTCACAGACAGCGCCAGACTTGAACTTGCAGGTTGTCGCATCACAGCAGGCATTGTCACCGCAGGCTTCTGTGCCTCCGCAATCGCACTCTTCGCCTGCCTCGACGATGCCGTTTCCGCATTGGCTGCCGGTGATGGTCACTACGCCGCGGTTATCGGTTAGACAGGTGGACTTGATGCTGTTGCGGCCGATGGCGGAACAGATGTTGCCAATCGTACACTCGGAGAAATTGGTCATGCTTGACGACGCGTAGGGATTCATGATATATTGGGCATTGGCGTTGCACGTTGACGACGTTAGCGGGCAGCACTGGGACGAGTCCTCTAGGCCTTGAGCACATGTGTCAGAGTCGCAGTCGTGAACTGCTCCAAATGTGTGACCACTTTCATGGGAAAAGATTTGCCACGTGCTGCCTGCATTGCCAACCACGACATTGGTTCCAGAGACGGAGCTAGAGCCATCACTGGTCAAGTCGGAGGTGCACAGCTGGCCCATCCAGGAAACACCAACTTCTGAGCCAGTTGCACAGCCCGTCATAAGCGTCCAGTATGCGTTGTCGTCCTGATTATCCGCCCGCCATTTCGAGAACTCGTTCAGTCTCCAGGTGAGATTGCCACTCGCGCAGTCAACATTCCATGGGGTGGCATCGTTATTTGAGGTCGGACACGATTCCTTGTTAATGGTCAGATTGCGCAGACCGATCGACACGTTGAAAGATTCTTCGTAGAGGCTAGAGGCGGTATTCACGATGTTGATAACGTAGTTTTTCGCAGCAACCATGGCAGTAACAGTGGTGTTGTCAGAAAAGTAGTCGGTCATTTTGCAATCCGTAGCGACTCCAATCAGCGCTACTTTCTTCGTCTTCGGACACCCAGATGTATCTCCAATCGTGGATTTCAAGTTGACGCCGCCCGTGTTGCCTGAGATTCCACCGACATCATTCCGCTTACCCAGACCAAACAGCGAATTCAAAGATGTGACCCCCCAGTGGCCATTGTCCTCTCCAGCTCCAAAGGGAAATAAGGAATTAGTCAAGTCGGCATTGTAGTCCAACTTGTCCGCTCCACAGCCAGGCGACGCAGGCAGAGACCGCCTCAGGTCTGGGTGATCTGGCTGCATTCGAATCATATCGGAGTCGCGGTAAACAACCATATAGTCCCGGTCCCGATGTTCGATACTCGCGTCGATTGGCCGTTTTTTGGCAGAGTAGGTCGACTGCAGCTCAATATGGTGTTTGTCGTGTCCGATGCTGAACGCGCCTTCGAACAATGGATCCTCACCATCCCTCAGGACCGTCACTCTGGCCCAGCCTGATGGTGTCCATCGGCCCTTCCCCGAGCCCACTAGTGCGCGACCGCGGAAGACCTTGTGTTCATGTCGTTGGATGGGCTCACCATCCGTCAACGAACCGTCGGTGTTGATATATTGCACGAAAGCATCGTCGGCGAGAATATCGTGGTTTGGCTCTAGCTCTAGCTTTATACGCGTCCCGTCGCGATGTAGTTCGAGGGTTAGGTCGAAGTGTGAAAGGTGGTGTATTTGGTGTGCAGGGGTGCGGATGACCGGGTTATCGATCGGCGTGATCTGGCGGATCGCTTCTGAGGCTTGAGATCTCGCTGGAAGAAGTGTCAGTATAGGAACTCTAGATTTAAGAGAAGGAGAAGTTTACTTACCTGTGACTGGTGAAATTAGGGAGACTGCGCCTAAAAGCGACAGCACAGGAAACCTCATTGTTGATGCAAAACAGAGAAGCAGATTGAGTTTCAGGGTCTCCGGGAAACGCAGGGTCATTAAGGGTCCACCAATCCCCACCCTTCAATCAAACAAGGAGATGTAGTGAAGGAGATAAATGGATTCAAGTGAAGAGAATTTTAATGAATGATGAAAGATGAAAGACCCCAAATTCATTCGACTCAGCCTACTCAGCCTACCGTAGTATTGGCGCCAAGAACGGAATCTTGGCAATCTGAGCGTCTTGTTACATAGAGTACCGAAGAGGTAAAAAGAATATGTTTGCCTGATCAAGAAAATACTACAAGTATCATCAATCTATCTCGTGGTACAGTCTATGTGCTAATTGTGCAAAATGGGGAATCGCTGCTGAACAAATCTCACACTGAATACTGAATCCGTTCTCATCCTCTTCTTCTTCCTTGTCCCATTCAATGCTATCATTATCATCGTCATTGTCATTATCATCTGTCCCCGGTATCTCCGAACCAGGAACAGGGAAAGTGGCAGTGTCAGTGGCGCAAGACATTGTATCCACGGGTACATTCCAATCCCTGAGAACCGTTTCTTGCTGTCGGAACATTTTTTGTATGTCTCGCCCACTACTTTGCTTTTGATCCCCCGCACTCTCCACCAGGTTCGTCACAGCCACATTCATCAAACTCAAGTCCCACCCCGACTTTTCAGGATTCAATTTCCGAAACATGCTCAGAAGACTCTCTTGAACAAGTCGTTCAGCCAGTCCATCGAGGTTCTCATCCAGATTGAAGATAAACGTCGGGAGTGGACATGACCTGGAAATACGATTGGCATTGTATGTTCGCACACCGTCAGTCTCGGGAGCATTGCGAGGCCGAGTAGATAGACGTAAGGTTCGAGGGTGGGCTAGCCACCGTGGGCTTCCTTCGCTGTCCAATAGATCCGTTCTCATGCGTCGGATCAAACTCTTAGTCAGGACTACGAGCTCACGACGCACATTTTCGACAGTATCAAATCGACCACGGCCGTAGGAGTCCTCGATACTGATCTGAGTGGGTAAATCTCGGGCCTCGAGGACTTCACCATTGTCGACACCGTGTAGAATCCCCCACATGCGCATCCCAATTCCTCGGGCGGCACCAGGTCCCCCCAGCGTTTTCTCCAACATGGCAGGACCCATTCCAGGGTATAGACGGACATCTCGGACCGTAATTTCATCCTCGCTCGCGCTCTCTCCTGAGACACGGGCTCTCAGTTTCTGCGCAAGTCGCGATCCGATGCCGGGGATTTTGCGGATCTCATAACTATCCAGGAACTGGGTCACGTTGCTCTCAGTACCTTCTTTAGAGGTTGAGTATGGTGGAAGTAGAGTGGTCTGATTATTAGGTTTGTGGACACTTCCCACTAATTTTGCCAGCAGCTTGGATGTGGACACTCCTCCTGTAGCCGTGAAGCCCTTATCATGTTCCATCCGATCCCTGAGATACTTGAGCAGATGCGATCCGACCGCCAACTTCATTTCTAGTGATGATGTATCACATGTAGAAAAAGAGGTCTTCTCTGTCGCCACAGGAATAGTCAAGCCCGAAACCTTTGTCGCGTCGTAGGCAAACCCAACAGTCGGGTCCTTGGAATCCAGGTGGAAAAATGAAGCAGCCAGATCATTCGGATTCAAAAGGTTGACATTATAGTCAACCATCTCAGTAACATCCAGAGAAAGCTCATCGAACCCCAGCCTCTCCACTCGTCCGCCCCATATGAAGCCGCGAATGAAAAGATAAAGATCCTTGGATGCATCGCGAAACCTGGTCAGGTCTTCGCCTAGAACGATTATCACGTCAGGACACGTTCGCTTCGCGTCTTTGATGAGCTGTAGCTTGCGTAGTCCTCGTCTTCGGGCTTCGTAATTACATGTCACGATAATTTGCTTTTGTTGCACAGCTAAAGGTAAGGACTTCAAGGCTGGTTGTTCCACCTCGAACACTGAAGCGTAAAAGCAGTCATAATCCTGGGTATGTTAGAAATTAGGGGCGGATGAATCAAAATGCATGGGGCTACTCACCAGGTGGAGGATGATTCGACGGTCATTGCGCGTCGGGATTGTAGCCATATCATCTCCATGTGGATGAACTAGGCTTTCTTATCGTTGGGTTGAATCTGAAGATCCATGAAGGTGTAGAATTGCTGGTGAGCTTCTCCGATCGGGTGTGGCTAGTGTGGCAAGTGTGGCTGAGATCTGTCAAGGACATTAACAGACAACATTTTTTATTAGTCTTGAGGTCTTTCTGACTTTCAAATTTGCTTATTACCTACTTTTAAAATACCCGGATAAGTACTGTGACCATAAGAATTTAGTGCTCACTCCTAAGGTTCTCGTCATTAGCCCCCAAGGTCCCTGAGGATCACAAAACCAGATCAGATAGAATTCACTTGACAATCACTTTTATCATGTGGGAAAATCTAGAGGTAAATCTTCCTTGCCTTAATAAAGGGCATTGCACCAAGAAAAGCGCAGTCCAATTGCGAAGAATGTAAGTTGTCTTTATGACCTACAAACAGCTAAACTGATAGTAAGAAAAAGCGCCGACTTCCAAGTACTTCCAATTCTTCTCATTGGCTTTGCAACCTATCAATTAGATCGGACCAATATCTCCAGCGCCTTGACAGGGGGGCTAGCATCCGCCATCTCGGTGGACCAAACCACAATTAATCTAGGCAATCAACTAATGTACATCGGAGTGATTGTACTTGAGATTCCGTCAAATCTCGTCCTACACAAGGCAAGCCATTTAATAACCCGACATTCAAGAACTATAATGATATTAATTACAAGGCAGATTGGTCCCCGTTGGTGGATTGGAGGCCAGATATTTGTATTCGGTGTGATTGCCGCTATGCAAGTCTTCATCCGAAACAGAACCGGCTTCCTTTTGACAAGAGCTATTTTGGGACTTGCAGAGGCAGGGTATATCCCTGGGGCTATGTTTACTTTATCAACATGGTACACGAGAGATGAGATCACCAAGCGCATCGCTATCTTCTTCTTTGGGATGTTTGGTGGAACCGCCATCTCGCCATTGCTAGGAGCGGGATTATTGAGACTGGATGGTAAATGTGGAATTTCAGGATGGCAGTGGATCTTCTTGGGTGAGAATTCTATCCTTGTCAATGAAACTCGGCTGATTTATTTACAGTGGAGGGTATTTGGTCGGTGACTGTCTCTCTACTGCTAATGCTTCTTCTCCCAGATAGAGTTAAGTATGAAAAAGAATTGGTGATTGAAAAACTTGACTCCTCAGAGACTCGAACTATGAATAATACATCTCGAATACCTCTCGAGGTCGTCTGGAGTACTTTGACAAATGTGTACAAATGGCCGCATTTCCTTGCAACAGCCTGTGTTTTCGCTACATGGTGTCCTCTGACAACTTATACGCCCAGCATAATCATGTCTCTAGGCTTTTCACGTCTTCAGGCTAACGCTTTGGCTGCGATTGGATATTTGTCGACTCTACCAGTTGTACTCTTCTTTGCTTGGCTGAGTGACAGAACGAAGAAACGTGGCTTCACAGTCATGATTGCCATATCATGTTATCTGGTCGCACTTGTCGTTCTCCGAGTCGTGCAGCCGCATGTTGACCGATGGAGCAAACTCGGACTTTGGACGGCCGTGAATGGTCTGGCGGTGGGGTATCATCCAGTTCATAATGCATGGATCCAGATGAATAGTCAGAGTCCCGAGGAACGAAGTATCAGGGTGGCGTAAGTTGAACTTCTCAATCACAATTGTGTCAGCTACTAATACGGCCTAGAATGTGTATGTTCTTCTTTGATATTCTCCATGGCTAACATGAATCTAAATTCCATCAGTTGTCATGACGGCCACTAGTGGCCTTATGGCTGGCACACAGATATTTCGCCAAGACGAATCATCCGAACTATATCCAAGGGGCATAATCGTCATGATTGCGCTGGTTCTGACAGGACTCCTATTAACGGCCCTCCAGGAGCTCATATACTTCATCCAGAATCGAAGCATACGAAGGCAATCCAGTTCTGGAAAGCTGAACATACTCTGAGGCCTACAGACATCATTCATTGCATGTGGGCTCAATATTAAATACTTTTGTCTGGCGATGGATCACATCTGTATATCATTGCCTAGAAATAAAGCTAGAATGCACTCCAGGCACTTTAGGTCTCTTTCCACGCGTTCGATAATCATAAGTTTCACCCAAGGGACCGAAAACCAATCTCGCATTCTCTACTGCCCCTCCATCTTGCGCAAGTCTCAATTCTCGTTCTCGGGCTCGTAATCTTTTGTCGTGAGCTCTACCAAACCGCTTTTTCTTGTTTTCTTCGGCGATTTCCTCTCGACTCTTGCCGGTGAGCAACCTTTGTAACCAGTCCATTATGAGATGACCAGGCCGTTTGATCTAGGGATCTGCCAATCCCCACCTTCAGAAGCAGCCGTTAGACTGGTATGGTATGTTGGACAGATGTTCGGGCCCTGTGTCTTGACTCTTGACACAACTCAACATGAGATTTCATTCCATAGTGAGATAGGATTCTTACAGCAGGTAGGAATGAATGTTCAAGGGAGCCGAAGGATTTTCTGAGAATAACTCTGGCAGAGCTCTAATTCATTTATAGATTTTGGAGGGCATACGAGATCCTCGTATTTGCATGGGGAAACGCTTTTGGGACCAAATAGCAAGTCTCCTTCACCAAAGTTCCTCTAGAACACAGCAGTATCCCCAGATCAACTACAACATTATTCTCACTCGCGTTATTCCTAAAGTATATACGCAGCCCGCATCGAAACATCCCTCAGATGACCTCCGCATATTTGCAGCTAAGGACTGATGCGCAGGAGATGCAAATTTACCGGAATGGCTGCTTTTCATCTTACCTGCCAATCGTCCACCAGTCCCCGGTACCAAGCGGCCTATACCATGGTATCCTCTCTGGCTCTCCTTTTGGATTCTCTTCTTCGTGCGCTTGATCCACCTTATACCTTACTGGCTCAGGAATCGGATTTATCCGTCCAGCAAATTATTGAGGGGGCTGACCTGGCATCCCGCGACCGTCCTCTTGGTGCGGCATACGTGCCGTTGTGTCTCTTTATTGCTTTGAGTGCGGTGCGGCGAAAGATCCACAATAGATCATGGGTATTGAGACTCCCTTGACGGGTTATCAATCTGACTTCAAGGCACTGGAATGGCGGAACTGTGCTATATGGCTTAAGAGATTGATAGAAAACCACCGTCTGCATAAAGGACTCCCTGGGGCCGGGTTTGAAGTGGATACTTCCAAGTTGGGAATTTCAGGAGGCTGTGCTATGATGCGATGACCTTGGGACTAGTTAGATGATACTGATGAAAATTTTCAACTTCGAAGCAAACTGACAGTTCAGATATTGAAACAGATATGATATTTTAACAGTCGAATTTAATTATTGATGGACCAAAGGGATGCCCGATAGGCTCAAGTCTGAGTATAAGCTAAAGTACATATCATATCACGTTACGTCAACTATTCTGCAAATAAGATCACAGAGCGAATCTGGCGGCGGCATCGATGATCTCCTCTTGTTCCTTTTGCCACCCGAGTAGTTTCCCAGTACCATAAATATCGTGTGGCACATCTGGAGTCTCTAAATATTCAATGCGATTGCTCGGGATAGCACGCATTCCATCCGTGAACCCTCTGACACTGTCACAGAGTACCTCGGCACCTCCAGCTTGAGCGAAGATAGGCACCGGGGTCGCGAATGGATGGAGCGCTGGAGATAAATACGGGCTGTCTAATCGAACGGTCGCTGGCGGTGCAAATGCCCGTGCACCCCAGGCGGCCATATGTCCATCACAATAGTCGGTCTTCTGATTTCGATGTGTGTGAAAGGCGTGCGAGTCCCCCTCGAAGCTGTATTCGACTGACGGTGAAAATATCATGCATGCTTTAGGTTGTGGCAGCTCATTGAGCTCGGGATCGAGATTGTCGTTGGAAACGAGGTAGCGCAGAAGAGCTACCGCTATTGTTGCGCCAGAAGAGTCACCTGCTACAATTATGCGGGATGGGGAGATTCCCATATCCTTCACGAGGTAGAGATACGCGGTCACCGCGTCTTGCATAGGTCCTGGGTACGGGGTCGGGTTTTTTCCACCTGCAAGACGATATTGTACCCACAGAGACCGCGTTCCGGGGCCTAGTTTGCTGTTGAGCATGTTTGCAGTGTCTGCAGAATCACCCGGTCGTCCATCTAGCCATAGAAAAGAACTCGAGTGAAAAGATAGCACGATCAAACCATGGTCGTCGGGATCGGGTTTCTTTGGCGGAGCATCGGGGTACCAGGTCGCACCTATACTCTCCGGTTTGACAGTCTCACTTGCGAAAGCACGGGGGTATGATTCTCCTGGAGCTGGTTCCATAATAACCCACCGATCACCGAGATCGCCCGCCTCCATGCTGAGAGATTGTGTGAAACCGAGCTCGGCGATGATGCCAAAGGCAACTTTCAACAGTCGCGACCGTACTGCTTGCCGATATGACCATGTTGGACTCTGACGTAATGAGGCCGGAATGTAGTAGATGCTGTAGCAGAAGCCGACAAACGAGACTCGAACGACGGATAGAAGCGCCCAGATGGTAAAGCCCGGTTGTCGGGTGCGCCAGCCGCTGGGGATTGCATCGTCCTCAGCAAATTCTGCCATCACAGCTGAGATTCGGGCGTCACCGAGGAAGAAAAGAAAAGATCGGACCCAAACGTTAAATGACCGAAGATGACCATTTATACATTTGTTGGACCTATGGTATTGATGGAGACGCTAACCCATGTTAGGTAACCACCTCGATGTACGCTATGCCTTATTGGGTAATCACAATCAAGCACAAGCTAAACGTTTTTAGGCAACCATCAGATCTAGAGAAGATACAAGTGTCATCTCCACCAATATTCCAACACTGAATACTCCACCTTCCACTTAATAAGGTTCACCTTATTGCTTAGACTGTGTAAATGACAACAAAACCCACTTTTTTACCCTACATTATACCCGCTTGTATAGTCTACTGATTCTCTCTGCTACACCTAGATTGGTTGTGTAGGGGGTCAAATGAATCATCAAATCTGAGATCGACCATAGGCTTGAAGAATGTTACATATCATTGACTATCTAAGGGCGAGGTGTTTGGCTATGTGTTGACAAATGAACACCCAATGCGAATGCTTGTCAAATCATCGCAAGGTACCACTGGAAGAGAAGAAAATGACAAAAGATTAAAAACCAAAGCCGTCAGCGCAGTAACCACAAACGCCTTGCCGGCCGAAGGTAAAACGGATATAATCGCCAAATATGGTAGGTAAATGCTAGTACAGGTCGTGAATCGTATTCATTAAGTGCGTGGGGAAATATCCAGTGATGCATGCCGAGAATGTCTCATCATGAGACAGGGGTATGTTCCGGGGTGGATCCAGTTTCAATTTCTGAAACAACAGTGGTCCGCGTCGGACCCCTGGGGGTGGTTTCCTGCTCGTTTTCTGACTCCGAATGATGAGGTTCAGTCGGGGTTGAAGGTGAGTTTGCGATGGGGCTGGCGATATCGACATGGATGGATGGAAGGGGACTTAAAACGGATGATAGCTGACGAGGCTCGTCGTCGCGTTCTCGAGTTGGGCTTTCGTATGCGGGCGCATCGCCCCAGTCGAGGTGCTCATATTCAGGTGGGGGGATGTTGAAGGCTCCAAGGTCTCCATCTTCTACTTGGGAGACAGGACGACTGGAGCCGCGTGTTGAGGTTGGACCCAGGATAAGTGGATCGCTATCGGTTCCGCCCGTTTCAGTGGTCGTGATTGATGATGCTAACGACTGGCCGCGGGAGCGCAGGCTGGGAGGCTGGTCCGTCAATGATGGGGACGATGAGTGCCCAGCGGCATTTTCGAGAAGCGGGTGAAGGTCGGATTCATGGGAATCGGCTCGTAGACGGGATCCATCATGGCGAACATGGCCGATTGAAGCGTAGCTCACGCTGGAGATACGTCGTTCTCGCTCACGGGCTTGCTGTTCGGCGATGACGGTGGCTGCATTGAGCGACGTGCTGCTGGTACTTGCTTGGTGACGTTGGTTGGTGCGAGCCCGGGATTCGGCGGCTAATTCTGCGAGACGGACTGAATCGCCGCGAGCTCGTGCTGAGCGTCGCTCGCGACGTCGGGCCTCCCGATCGGCTAGCTCTTGGCGACGTTGGAGACGGATCTGGTACAATGACTCCATGTGCTCCTCCCGTCGAGCCTCTTGCGCTTCTGTTGTCTCGGGGAATTCCACCACCATATCCATACCTTCGCGCTCTCCTTCCCGTCCGATGATTTGCTCGGTCGGCTTGGGACTCGGTGAGTAGGCTGGTAAGGTGATGATGGATCGAATCGACGTCTCGCGCTGCACACCGGCGGTAGTCGTCATTTCTGGATGAGTAGCCCCCGCACCTTGGTATGAGGTGTTCTGCTCTCCATTGGCGGCGTTTTGATTTGGGACCTGGCCATAAGAGGCGCTACCAGGGTGCCATTGTTGCCATTTGCGTTTGAAGTATTTCCCTGGTATATACCTCGGCTCATAGTGTTTTTGACGAAGGTAGCGAGCCAGGAAAAAGCTGAGCGCGCATAGAGCGAGAACGAAAACAACTACAACAAAAACCTGGAATTTCCAGTTCAGTCAGTGGGCAAGCGAGGAAAGCGACCGACATAACGGATGTCGGCGGAAACTTGGCACAAACTTACGATAATGAAGATGCTGTTCTTGTGATCGATCGATCTTTTCTGTGGAATGTACATGATGGGCAACGGGCCCTAAATATCGGAAGACATGAGATTCTCCAGATTTCGTCAGGGGAGAGGAAAAGGATCCAAAAAAGCAGAGGGCTGGGGGAACACAAAGCGACAAGTAATTAATTCTAGGCACAAGTGGGAATACCAACCGATTGTATCCAGTGGCTGTTATTACTATTATTAACCAGGAAGTGACCAGTAAGACAACGATAACTAGTGGAGCCGAGCGTATGGATCCGCCTCAAAGGTCGGTGACGATCTTGTCTGAGGGCTTGCGTGTCAGTCTTGCGCACGTCCCCACAGTCTCACCCCGAGTAAGATCGTGTTTTTTTATCCACTGGAGATCCGTAGTGGAGTTCAAGGGTTTGTTATTCGAGACTTTGTCTTACTCTAGCGGCTCATCATTGGGGATCGTGGGCGCTGCACGAGTGGGCAGTAAGGGTGATCAGCGCCCTTACAGAGAGATTCACCTTATCTCCCACACATCTTTCTGGTTTAATTACACTGACACTAGTTCATTCAAGGCTGGAAAATCTGAATACAGTATGGCTGTGCAAATTCAAATTAATCAGGCCGATCGTTATACGGAGTATTCTGTGGGGCCTGGGCAAGAAAGACAACACTCCAAGGATCATTCCAAATCATTGTCACCTTCGGTAACTCACAGGAATTCTGGGATTCTGGGCCGCAGAGTCCCAAGTGCTTCAAATTGTTAGACAACGTACTACTGAGAAGTACTCGCCTGAATCCCAGATCTATACCAAATACCATTGAGTCGCATTGACGGGATAAGGTGCAGTGAATACCTGACAAATCTCTAGGTAAATTGATTTTTCCCCTGCCTCCCTCTACACCATACAACCGCCCATCTTTCTCAAGAACACCAAAACCTGGAATTTAGCGCAGGGTTCAAACGCACATGGCCATGCTAATATACAGGACGCCATGCAGCCCTTGTTTCCCAAATGCATGGGTTGGCAAATCAAGCAAGATAATCACAGGCCTTTTTATTTTTTTTTTTCCCATAGGTATTGCTCCCAGATCATGTGCTGACTCCATATTAGTTTCAGCTATGGGAGCTCAGTGCTTCCTAGTTGCATCGGTCACTGACTATTATATATCGCTAAGTCCAATAAACAAATCGCGACATAAATATATTACTTTAAGTACCTCATATTGTTTGTGGACGCAGAAAAGTTGAACCACCTGGGTATTTAACCACCTGGGTATTTAACCACCTGGGTATTTGAACCCTCGCAAGTGGACTTGCACGCCTCGAGTTGATTTGCATGTCACCTCGGAGCGCTGCAACCGATATAGAGCGCGAACCTACACAATGAAGCCCATCAGGCTCTCTTGACAGGTGCCTTATATCACTTGTGATCCGACATCTGGATGTTTGAAAGTGATAAGCGTCTAATGTTATTAATGGCGCCTAGGGCCGCTTCCAATACACATTCGGTCATATGGTGACCACAACAACAAGGTGCATGGCACTACCAACGCTTCATCGCTGATTGGGACTGCTGCTGAGAGTATGTAGCTGTGAGCGGCGTGAGCATGACCAAGATTAGGATGCACAAACCGGTAACACTACGCACGGAGACCTGTTCATCAGGATTTGTCAAGAAACCGTGCAAGCTGCCTACAAATGTGGCTTACGATGGTTGCCTTTCAACCAAATCAAGCGTGAAACTACATCCCTTAACAACAGGAAGAACGATACTTACTCGGAGTTTCCCCCAGACCTCTACATACTCTATCTACAGCTTGGCGTGGGAAAAATTGTCTAGAACATCACCAGTGATCATGCAGATGTAGAATAGGCGCAAGTATAATCATAAGCAGCATTCCCATGTTGCATTTGAATATTTAGTCTTGGCAGATAAAGTCGTCATTGCCCCCGAGACTCTCCCATGAAGAAAATCGAGCGAACAAAAGGTTTCATGGAGCCATCAGAGGCCTCCAATGAAAGTCGACACCTTCCAGAATGTTACTCCACCCAGGAACCCCCGCATTATGCATTCTTCAGCCATGATGTCTCCCCGTGGTGAAATACCCACTCAAGATCATCTGCGCGCCTGGAATGATCGCGTGGTGGTGGCGGCGGGCGTCTTTAAAGAGGATTCGCCCGCTGGAAGTCCCGGCGCCTCGTCCCTTCCCAGCAAAGATCGACACATGCACTCCACATGTTAGACCATGACTCGAATCATCCAATAAGCTTTCTGACTTATTGAGTTTACCCCTCCGCGGCATTATTAAAGTGGTTGCAATGGTGCGTCACCCGGTCTTATCAGTCTGCCCTACTAAATCTTATTCCAGGAAACGCTGTTCCCTGTGCCAAGTCGGGAAGGATATATTTATGGGTCCTTCGCGGCATTGACACTTGCTCCTCAACTTTGAGGGATCTGCTGCAGCCCTGTGGGCCTTGTCCTCTCACTGGTTCATCTAAACATTTCAGTGTTTACTTTGACCCGCTCATTCAATTGCTTCGGCCACAACCCCGCACCTATATGCAAAATGTCGACCTTGAATTTCGCCTTGGTCAACAACACTGGCTCTGATACGGTTTATGCCTATATCACTGGATTGGCCATTGACAATAACAATGCCCTTTTCCTCTTGCAGGCCGACGGCCAGACAGCCTATTATCCAACATCGCCATCGTCTACCATCACAGCCTTGGCCCAAAATTGTGCCATTCCACTCGGTGGATCCGGCAATTCGAAGACTGTGACGATTCCGCATTTAGCTGGTGCCCGGCTGTGGTTCTCCCTCAATGCGCAACTCACCTTTTATTTGAATCCTGGTCCGGCACTTGTGGAACCCTCGTCTTCCAATCCATCTGACCCAAATTACAACATTTACTGGGATTTTTGCGAGTTCACCTGGAATAGCGCGGAACTCTTCGTCAACATAAGTATGGTGGACTTCTTCTGTTTACCTATCGCTCTGGCATTGGAGAATACGTCGGGTGTGGTCCAGACTGTCAAGGGCCTGCCATCAGGTGCACTCGACACAATATGCACAGCGCTGAAAACTCAGCATAACTCCGATGGAGCAGGCTGGGACCAACTGATAGTAACCACTGGGGGGGCAAATCTACGGGCCGTCTCACCCAACACCGGTATAACACTGTCAAGCAGCCTATTCAGCACCTATTACGATTCCTATGTGGAACAAGTTTGGTCCAAATACACAAGCGACACTTTGACGGTCGACACTCAGGCTTCTGCAGGTAGTCTTACGGCAACCGTCTCCAACAACACACTGAATTTCTCATCCGACAGCATCTCTTATACTAAGCCTACCTCCGCAGCTATCTTCAGCAACAGTTCCGGTACCTTTGCCGTGTCCGGAAATAGTATTAAGGATGCCATCACTGCCCGGTTGGCTGCTGCGTTTAACAGATCTACTTTGCTGATCGATACAAATCAGCCAGATGGCGAAGTCGTGGCCGATTACTACTCGAATTCTATCACCAATCACTACGCGCGTATCTGTCATCAAACTGCTCTCGATGGCAGGGGTTATGCTTTCCCTTATGATGATGTGGGTCCGTCTGGTGGAGTGGATCAATCAGGGAGTGTGTCTGATGGCAGCCCCAAGCTGTTGACTGTTACTGTTGGTGGTCTTAGCAGCAATTCGACCCAGAAATCTATCAACCATACGGCTACTACCATTCCTTCACAGGTAAACCAGAAACAGAGTGTGTTTGGAGGTCTGAAGAAGCTTGTGCGCAGGCTGTCCTGCAGTAACAGTGACTCTTGATTGAGGTTGACACTTTATCAAATATTCAGCGTGTCAAATAGGCAGAATATGCTCTGTACATGACATTTATCTCTCCAGGACTTTGTCTCGATCTTTTACAGATTGTTCAACTCTCGACTTAGTAAATACGATTCAATATTTATAAATTTTGCAGACGATCTTTGAACTACTGTATTAATGAAGTTCTTGATTATATTAGTTACTGTAATAAAATACCATATCGAGTATATACAAAATAAATCCAAATTAGGCATACAACGAAGCAATGATCACAGTCAGTCTGCACAGTACCCATAGCCAACTTTGTCCAACGTTTACCTCATAAGGCGCCCAAAAGAAGGGAGATAAAATGCATGCAAGAGAATTAGACAGAGACAGCAGCGCTAACATCAGCACCAATGTCCAGCTTAGCAACAAGGCAGCGCAGGATTTGCTGCAGGTCAACCTCAGGAAGAACCTGGAGGCTACCGAGGAGAACCTTAACATCCACTTCAACATTAATCTTTTGCACAAGAGCAACAATAAGGTTGACAAGAGGAAGCTTGTTAAGCTCAACAAGGACATCAGCAGCGACCTCGCGCTTCTGGACGGCAGTTGAAGTAGCCTCAGTGAAGAGTTTGGCGGTAACATCGGAAGGCAGCTCGTTAACAACACAGCTCAGAAGTCCGCTTAGGTCAAGGTCGACATTGGCGAGGGCCTCGATAGCGTTTGGGATCAGCTTGATATCGACGTCGGCGTCGACTTTGATCTTGTCGACGAGGGCAGTTACGACTGTGAGGACGGGGACAGTTGTGATGTCGATGTTTAGGCCAAGAGCAATGTCGAGCTCACGCTGGGCAAGAGTGCGGCTGGGAGTGGCAACGGCGGCACCGGCCATCAAGAGGCCTGCGGAAAGGGTAGAGAAACGCATGTTGGAGAACTATGAGTTGTTAGCTTTGTTCCGTTCAAGATGCACCTGATGAATTGAGCCAATTATAAACTTACTTGAAACTTGATGAAGTTGTGAGAATATGTGTGATGAAAGGCTAGGATTAGAGAGGATCAACGTAGGTTTTATAATAAAGAGCTCTCTCTCAAGGTTCAGTCATCGACGCCAGACCGCGGTGCTTCTAAATAGGCCCCATCTGGATATCCCGGCTGTACCCGGCGGCAGAGCCGACATGCTTCCAGACGCTAGCAAGACTAGCCTGACGGAAAGAAAGGACTAGTGACTACGGCACACGTGTCCAAGGTTTAAAGGACGATAGCCAAAGAAAGCCGAAAATTTGTGGATTAAAATCACTGGCATACTCCTCGTGGCTGGAATTTTCTAGACGCCCAATACCATTTTATGTATCTTGTGGATCACATTGTGGGTTTCAATAGCTTAGCATTAGGGATAAGATAACGCTACAGCTACAGTATGAAACAACGCCACACAAAATACTTAGTGGGGCGTGATAGGTAGAGTTTACGTAGTAATATCGTAACATTTTCTCCACATTCTACGACTCTAGGATGACAAAAGCTCTAATGAAATGATTGAAACAATTAATTCGAGTCATAATAAACAGTATCAAGAGACCTTGGTACGGACTAGACATGACACGAGATAGTACTAGGTGCAGATCATTCTCACCAACGTCCACTACTAGGCCCACTTACCGAGCTAGTAGTAGCCGGGTCATTCCACTTTTTCTTGGCCTAAATAGTGTGCTTAATATTTAATTTCATCCAAATAGAGTAAATCCAAAGTATATTTTCCCCCAACCGACTGGCGTTCAAGTGGCTGCGTAAAAGCAAGTTGATATATGGGCCTTTCAATGGATACTTCGGTGGATACTTCGACGCTCAATGATATCCAGTAGATTTCAATAAGTCTAAGGCTAGAGATGGAAGGATAGACGGAGTTGGGGGAGATCAGCATTGGGGGCTATAGGATCAAATTAGAAGTGAATCTTGGATATCTGTACGGAGTCAATTTCTCATGTGGCTATAATAGCGCGCCACGGGCCTCACATTTATAGACGCCAAAAATATATTCTATTTTCGTGAGCATACGAGAACATCAAAGGAGTCTTCCGCATAGAAACGAAGTGGAGTCATCTATCTACCGGTTGACGGCTTCGGCAATACGTGGAATGCCCACCATTGATCGAATGCTAACATCTGTTTTCTTCAGGTCTTAAGACCATTACGCCACATCCAAGACAACAATTCAGTAACGTTGATATGTTGAACTTGGTAAAATTGTATTCGATGCTTTCCTCAAACACTGAGCTAAGTCTCGTCCTCGGGGTCATTGATCAACTCATACAATCTACCACCTATCCGCTGTGAAAGCACTCGATATGAACCATCCTCCACCACCACCCCCTGATCAAGTACGATGACATGATCTGCTATCTCAATCATTTCCTTGGAATGCGTGATGATGATAACCGTCAGATCCGGACGTACAGATACCAGATGTTGAATAGTTCGACGAACAATTTCTGCCCCGGCTGGATCAAGGCCAGATGTAGCTTCGTCTAAGATAAGGATCTGAGGGTGGCGCAGTAAACCGCGAGCGATGACAATGCGTTGTTTCTGTCCTCCAGAGAGGCCGATACCTCCGTCACCAATCACGGTCCAGTATCCCTTGGGAAGAGATGTGATGAAATCGTCAATGCCAGCTGCTTTTGCTGCAGCGCGGACACTGTCCATTGAGCACATTGGTGATTGAAGTTCGATGCCATAGATTATGTTAGCGTAGATGCTTTCTGGACAGATTGTTGGTTGCTGCGATACAATGGCGATATGAGAACGGAGGGTAGGAACGTGCAATCGTGAGATGTCTTCTCCTCCAAGCGTTATCGTGGGGTCTCCGGTTTGGGATTCTGGAGATTCGTAAAGCGCGACCAGTAGTGAGGCAATGGTTGACTTTCCAGATCCGGATCGACCCACGATGGCTGTACAAGTGTTCTGTGAGATAGTCATCGAAACGTCTTTTAGGACCACTGTGTCTGGCCTTGAGGGGTATCGGAAGTACACATTTCTTAGCCTGATTGGCGTCAAGTTGGAGATGATTAGGGAGCCTCGGTGCTCATGGGATCCGAACTTGGAAAGTTTTGAGAGTTCGAGAAGACGACTGGCTATCTCGCGTGACGTGTTGATTTGGGGAACTTCATGCAATGTCAACAGGGTCAGCTTAAGATGAAAATCTCGACTCACTCCACGATAGAATCTGTGCCGCGTACCCAATACTGAACAACAGTAGAGAGAAGACTTGGACAACATCGTCCACTGCAAATTCAGAAGCGGCGAGGAGTGCTCCGTAATAGAAAATCAGGGCTTGGTTATGTTAGTCAGAAATATAATTCAAATGTGAGTGCTTTCTTACCGCATGCAAACATGACAGTCGATTCCACCATCCCAAATAGCAAGCCAGTGTAAAGAGCACGCTTCAACCCAATCTTCAGACAGCGTGTCACAGCATCAACGTGTTTTTTCTGGAAGTATGTTTCAAGCGTCAACGACCGAACAGTTCGAATCTCCGAAAATGTCTCCGCAAAAATATCTATCGCTACGCTGGTTGCACTACTGCATTTCCTCTCCCACAAGCCATTCGTTCCTTCAAAACCGCGAGTGATGGCGTAAATGAACGGACCACAGGCAAGAGATATCAATGTAAGCTTCCAACACACGATCAAACTCCAGATAACAGCCATGATCATGATCCCAGCTGCCACGATGACAAATCCAGCAAAACGACCTAGAAGATTACGCATGTCTTCTCCATTCTGGTCAAGATAAGACGCAAGTCTGGATGAACCATGTCCTTCCTTTTCGAACCAGACCTTTGGCTGTCCAAGAATGCGTTCGAATGCTTTCCCACGGAGTGAGTCCAGCCATGCCTCAGCGCAGAATTCCAAGGAATAATGCATGAAGAAGGATGATAACCCATCTCCACAGGATACACCCAAAACAGCGAGGGACCATTTCCTGGCTAGGTTCGCGCTCTGGCTACCAGCATAGAAGGTGCTGATTAACTGCGAGAGACAATATGAGAACACCGGCGTTGCACTTGCGTGGGCCAGTGCTGATAGAACTCCCACAAGAAGAATAAGGCGTTGTTTGAAATCCAAGTTCGGAACAATTGTCCCCATAATGTGGGCCAATGAAGGTTGATGATCTTTTTTTTGCTCTGTTGGTTTTGATGCTTTGCGCTTATGGCCGAGCCGTTTTGAAGATTTTGGATTGAGATATTGTATTGGGCTGGGGGAGGCATATTGCAACGAGCTTCCAATTTCTAATTTTAGGCTGTTTATTTCAACCATCTCGATGTCTTTTCCTGCTATCCCATCGTACACAGGCGATAGTGGGGAAGTGAGATCGGGGATTGAATTGTTGAATGGAAGATATGAGGGAGTTCGCTGGTCAGCACTATCACTGCTTCCATCTGAACGAATATTTGCATGGAAAGAGTGTCTTTGGGCTGCCATTCCATAGGTACTTGACCGAAACCCGGGAGGAAGATGATGCTGTGCCCATGATGAGCGCCGCCTGTGAAATGATCTTTTGGGCAGACGAAGGCTGTCAATTGCTGAGAGCGCAGATGAAGTGTGCTTTGCCTTGGTACTTCCTCTCCCTATGCCTCCTTTCTCATGATCAGATCTCATAGCCGAAGGAAAGTATTTCTCACATCCTGCGCGGTTCCCAAGTTCTTGCCTGAAGCCGGAGTGCATGATAGATCCATGCTCCAGGACATAAACTAAATCATCCTCTAGAATTTGCGACATGTCATGAGTGATAATGATAGTTGTCTTCCCTTCGCGCCATTGACGTATTGCCTTCATGACTGCAACACGGTTAGTATGGTCCAAAGCACTAGTTGCTTCATCCATGATCAAGATTGGAGCATCGCGCAACTTGGCTCTAGCAATTGCGACTCTTTGCCTTTGACCACCGCTTAGAAAGCTTCCACCTGAACCAACGGCTGTATCAATCCCTCTGGGTAAGCCTTCGATCATGTTATCCAGCATTGCTAGTTCGATCGAAACCGTGATATCTTTCGCAGAGACTGATTCTGCAGCGGGACGCCCAAATTTGATATTCTGCAAGACGGAATCATTGAATAAAACCGACTTTTGTTCGAGTATACTGACATTTTTTCGAAGCCAGTCAATTTTCAGCGAATTAATTGGGTGCCCATCAATTAGGATTTCTCCTGACGTCGGGGAATAAAATCGCATAATCAACTGACCGAGGGTACTTTTACCTGATCCACTCTTGCCTATCACGAAGGTTGTGTCTCCCGCCGGGAAGAATAATGTTGAAGGGTTCAAAACACATTTGTCTCGCTGGGACGGATAAGAGAATGACACCTATAGACTGAGTCAGATCTCTAGATTGCGGTATGCCATTTTCAAAGTAAGATGCTTACATTGTTAACTTCAATGTCACCATGACAACGACGAGGATAAATCGTGCCCTTGCTTTCACTGTGGAATTCATCTTCCGTGGAAGCACGCATCAGTTTCCTGAGTATTGTGCTTGCTACTTTACCCTTTTCCATCACGATCATCTGCGGAAGAACTTGCTCGATTGACTGAGCAGCAGTTGTGCAGGCCCAGAACGTTGTGATGACATCTCCAGAGGTTAAGGCCCCATCGCGTGCAAGGCTACTACCGTACCAGAACCCCTGAACAAACATCCCGAACATCATCCACCGTATTAGTGCAATCTGCAAAGAGTTCAGTCGCGCTTGTCGGAGATAGTGAATCGCAGACTGCTCAATTTTAGTTGCGAAGTTTTGCCCCTCGAACGCCTGACCATTCAAACATTTAACCGTGTCGATAGATGAAATGGCATTGTTTGCAATTTGAGAGGCGAATGTAAGTTCGTTCTGCTGTGCTGAAATACTCGAGTTCATGCGCGTGGAGAGATAGGCGATCAAAGCAGAGAATATGGGAAACCCAGCGAGAGTGACTAGAGATAGCTTCCACGAGATCACCAAGGCCAGTATCAATGAAGCTACTGATCGACATGCATATTGTAGTAATAGACCAATTGGCTGAGAAGTCGCTAGTTGTAGATCATGGATATAACTGTTGGCCGTTAATGGACTGCTGGCTCATATAACGATACATGGGTTCTCACGCTTGAATGCCCGACAGAAACGCCCCAGATCCTTCTCGTTGCGCCTCGAACCATTCGATATCACGTTTCAGCAACTCGGTGAAAACCTTTCCACGGATGCTTGCAGCTTGAAATTCCCCAAATGCAACAAAGATCATGAAATATGCGCCGTTGAGGAACCAACCAGCAGCTCCGAGCCCTACCATTCCTAGGCAGTTTGCCGCAATTTTGGAGCGCAACGTATCGGCATCCGACTGTCCAGCTCCAAATGATGTAAAGGCATCAAAAACATTTCCTAGCAGGACTGCCAGAATGGGGGTCACACAACCCGCGAACAGAGCGAAAATCGATCCGGTGATTAGAATAGGTAGATGTTTTCGTGATGTGAAACTGGAAAGAGACTTCCAGCTTGTTTGGATATGAAGGCCGACCTTGATATCCTCCGGATTTCCATCCTGATCGTCTTTTGCATAGTTGTGAGGCATTGCTCACTGTAAGCTGGTTAGCAACAGTAGCTAAGTCATCAAGACTTTTGCAGGAAAGAAAAATTGAAGGTTCAGGAAGCAAAAGAAGGAACCAAAGGCGTAGTTTCAATTATATTCGAATTCCATTGTCAAAGAGAACAATACTAAGATGGCATTGGTCGCGCACCGGTACCATGGGAATGAAAGCCGTAGAACAACAAAGAGTTGAATATAAACTTCCTCCGTAGATTTCAAAGATCCAATAATAGTACTCCGTGAACAAATTAAATGTAAGGAATGTCATCTATTTCCGGGTATATCGCCAATATTTACAAAGACTTCTAACACGAAGCCCACTCCAATCCGCTGTCCACATAGTGAATGATTCTAAATATTCGAAATTCACTTATTTTCTGCGGCCATGATTCACTTGACTGGTACTAACAACACATCCAGTGGTATTGTTCCTTTCAATATGGCCAAACCTGCGAAATCATGGTTGTCCCGGTAGGTCGCAAAGGAGCAGGCACATGCCGTCGGTCTAACAGCCCGGATCTGGAGCTGAACTTGACATGGCCAAGTACAGAACAGGAAAAGAGTAGAGTCATCGCGTGAACAAAATCCATGTTAAGCAAACCCTTCCCCGGGTCTCGTTTGTGTGGTATAATGGCAATGCTGTCTAACATGCAAAACATCGATCATGCGCTGTTCTTCTGGGCGCGCTCGTAGATCCAGTCATTGAGGCCAGCGCGGTTACGAGCAATCTCAATGGCGTAGAACTGCATGCGAACGCCGAAAATGGTGGTATCCTGATCATACTCGACATCGGACCGAGTGCGGAAGATTGTGCCGAAGTTGTAGTCATCGATGGTCTTCTCGTACTGCTTCATCCAGTTGCGCCACTTGTCCTTGCCAGCCTTGCTCTTCATCTCATCCTCGTTGATGGGTCCAGCGGGGTCGATTTCTGGGAAGGTCTTGGTGAAGGATTCGAGGATCTCATCGTCCATCTTGGTCAGGCGCAGCTGCGAGCCCTTGACCTTCTCCAAGATGGCCCAGTATGTCATCAAGTGTTCGACGGCTGTTTCGAGGATTAGAATTCAGTTACTGACAAAAAGAAGGAATATAAAACCAGTCTGCGGAAGAGTGGGGGTGGACTGCGATTTTCGACGGACCTTTGACGGCGAATTGCTTCTCCATCTGGTGAATTGGTCAGCGATTGGCTTCTTTAAACCCAGTCGGGCATCCGTGACGTACATCATCCAGGTTCTCAGCCTGCTCGGGATCAAAGGGTTTGGCCATTTTTGCGATATTATCTGAGCAGAATTGCTTCAAGCTGATCGAAATGAAAGGTCTGTGTAATGAAGACAAGGCAAGTGGGGGGCAGGAATGTGAGTCCTTTGCCCCGCGAATAATTTTTCGGTGGGCGGAGAGCGATACTGCCGGGCACATAACGTCATTGCTCCCCGCCATCGAGTCCACAATACAACGTACGATACAGGTAGCTTATTAATGCACAGCATTCTATTTCAGGTTCGATTGTATGGGTATAAAGACCAGTATCAAAATTTACATAGTTTAAGAGTTCAATCAGAAGCGTTTTAGTCACTGTCAGTGTCATCCGACAATTCTTCGAACCTTCCTTCGTGGAAGGCCTGGGTCACAGGATTCTCCACATTGAGAAGGCCATTTGCTTTCGCTCTTTCGAAGAGGACAAATAATCTCTCTGCTTCTCTTTCCTTCTCCTCTCTGGTCATAGGTGGGCCTGAATCCTTGGGTTCCGCAGTCCATCGCTGTCCAGTGATAGGGTTTACGCCGGATTCGGGATCGTTGGGATCATCTGCAAAAGCCTCACTGGCAGTTCGCGGGATCTCCATCCCTCGGGATGCCAAAAATCCTGCTGCAAAGCCATAGCCGATCTTTCGAGTCAGGGTCTCGGCATCCCTGCCCGCAAGAACAAACATAAGTTCAGAAATTGCTGTTTTGAGATTTGAAAATGAGCTTGTCGAGAGCTTCAAGAGACGGGATGCAAGATTATCAGAACGTCCGATGGGTTCGCTGCGATCGGTGTCCTCTGGTAAGAGTAAAGATTGCATTCGCGCGCGTGGTCCATCAGGGGCAAGCTCATACATGGTGATTAGGGTATGCAATAACGGCACAGCTTTCTCGTCAAGTTCCACGGGCCGATATGAAGAGACACCCTGGTCAAGAATTTTAATCAGTTTATCCACGTTGCAGTTCTCATCAAACGTGGGAAAGAGCGGTGTTTTTTCGAAGATCTTGCCCTTCTTTTCCTCCAGGTCAAGTACCGAGAGTGAATTGATGAGCTGGCTGATTAAGCCATCCAATGGCTTTGCCGGAATGTCAATGCGGCTGATTATCTTGAGAAGATAAGGGATAGAAGGTGAGAAGGCGGCTCCGTGCTCATAAAGCTTTGATACGTTGAATATCAGTTTGAGGGTATCAGTAAGAGCCAACTCGTCCATTTGAGATAGTGGCTCTCGTCCGGACTTGGGGAATTGTTTTGCGTGTCGAGCGAGTTGCTATTGCCACAAATCAGTATAGCCCGAGAGTAGAGCTAGCTTGATATCCATACGTAATTGACATTTTCGCCGAGGGAATGATTTTTGATTAAGATGTCAAAATCCATGGTAGTGTTATAAGTTGACAGGAAGAGAATTCGACTGACGACCATTTCATCTTCGGAGTTATCAACCTACCAATTATTAGTGACTTTCAAAGTATGAGAATACCTTTAAATAAGACATACCTTGAGCTTTTCAGCCAGTTTGCCTCCATAACCTGTGTCAACAAAGACCTGACGCATGTTCGCATCGAGGAGTAGAGCATTTGCGACACATCTCAGGGCGGCACGACATACGTCGACTGTCTCCCCCTCCACTCCATATTGTACTAGAATTCTGATACCCTGCACGAGGCATCAGACCATTGACCCATGGATCTCATTCCTCATTCGTTCAGTATATCGTACCTTACTGGAGTATATCGGGCCAGCGTTGACGGGGCTAGTACCAAATTGACGGAGCTGAAGTAGTGTTTGGACCTTGTCTATAGACCGGCGAGTCATTCTTGTGTCAGCATTTCGTGGTGATTCCAAGATATTGGCGGACGAAACTCACGCGACGATGTCAACTGCTTCTCCTGTAAGTCCTTCTCGAGCGAGTCTAGTAACCGGGTCACCTCCTGTAGCTTAGCTATACAGGAATTGTCAATCACTTTCTATCAAGAAGACGGCCATCTGGCTTGGCGTTAGGTAAGGTAGGCTGCATACCTGCACCTTGCAGCTGGGGAAAAGCCATTGGTCCCACTGGGCCGAAGGATTGAGACGGTCGCGCGGGAATAGAATTGGGTTTGCAGTCCTGAAATTGGCAACAAAAGGGCTCAGGTAATTGATAGATGGAACTAAAGTAGGGAAAAAGAAGAATCTGTCCCAGAAAACGAAGGGAAGACAAGGTGATCAAGCTCGGGGTGAAGGCGGATATCGTGAAGGTGCGGCAGAACCCCACTTTATTTGCGCCCCTGTAGGAACGGGCAAGTTCAGTATAGCAGCAAAAGGCAATTTATGACCTCTAGAAAATCTGCAGAAACGAATTATGATCCATGTATAAGGCTAAACTACTCCATGATTCTGCATATGTTTCCAATTAGTCAGAGTGACTTCATTTAATTTAATACCTACAACTGGGCTACCGAACTCGTGAAAAGGTAAAGCCCATTTACATACCCAGCCAGGTACTTATTTTTGGTTAATTACCTATGTATCGAAAATGTTTAGACAGAATCAGCTGAGGAGAGAGTGACTTATAGGTTACTTCTCTAATATCGAAACGAAGGCAGTCTGAGATAGAACAGAGGCGCGTCTTCCTTGGATGCCTGAGGCGGGAAAATCGCGCGGGCACTTTACGCGATCCCGCGACTCACAAGGCGCGTTCGACCAGTTTTCGTCTTGGCCTGTACCCGCAATCCTTCAATCGCATGGGAAGGATCAATCCCCAACTTGAACCATTCTAACTTCCACGAGCAATGGTCCTTGTTTCTTTTGCTCTATTTTTTTCTCTTTTCCTCCCTTCTTGAACAATGGTGGAGATGCTTGGCCCTCTTCCTGCTCGCCCACCCACACCTCCAAGGCCTGGTTCACGCATTGATCAGGACGAAAACGACACCCCAGCGCAGAATATCACAGAAACACCGCAAGCCACCAATTCCTCCAGGCCTCCCCCGTCTAGCCGCGCCTCCAAACGAGTGACCTGGTCACCATGGCTCCATACCTCGATTGACCACACGCCAGGTCCATTGAACAAACTCGGATCTAAGGATAGCCCGTTCAACAACAAGGACTCGAAATCTAGAGATAGTCCATTCAAGTCTATTCTAAAAGAATCTAATTCGCCAATTCCCGTATGGTCGCCTAAATTTGATCCGTTCACCTCGGATTCTCTTGTCATGCTCCTCGAATCCGTCATCCAGCAACTGGCTGGAGAGTCCATCACCTCCCGGCTTGATGCATACATACAGTTTTTCAACGCACTCCGGGCATACGATTCTTTACCGGCGGCGAAGGACATTGCGGAGAAGCTGAGCCTGATCACCCAATTTATACAACGTGACGTGAGCCGCGATTTTGTCAACGGTACACCGGTGGATACAAATCTTGCCAACCAGGCTCTGAAGCTGTCCGCTGCCTTCGTATGGCACTCAGGTGTATCGCCTTTGTTGCCAGAAGAGTTCAAAGTTTTCCTGGTGGAGCACTCCACCACTTGCCTGCAAGACGCTAAGGCACCCAAGTCTGTTTTGACACACTACATGTCCATTCTTTCGGCCCAGAATTTCGGCACTCGAGTCATGACAAGCACCCGTGTCACGCGTTTACTTATAGCATTGGAAGATATCACCAACCGTGTCAATGGTAAAGCAATCGCTCTGCATCGTTTGTCCATTTATCAGCGTCTTCTCGTCCAGTCTAAATCAACATTTCTCTCTCACTCTTCACTGTGGGTAGAGCATTTGGTCTATGGCCTTCTCAATCATATGAAAGATAATAGATCAAAAGCGATAGCCCTTGGCTTCCAGATAGCTTTGGCAGCCGGCCCAAATCACACACTTTCCAAGAATCTTCGAGACCTTTTTGATCGACCTTTGGAAAAAGATGGAAAGATCGTGAACGAAATCCGTGAAAGGTTGTCTCGGATGATGGCCAATCCGGAGACCGGGGTTCATGTTCCACAGATCTGGAGCATTGTTGTTCTACTTATGAGGAGCAAGGGCTCGGGTTTAGAGCAGTGGGAGCACTTCAAGGAATGGGTTCTTGTTCTTCAAAAGTGCTTCAATTGCAGTGATCCTTCTATCAAGAACCAGGCCATCTCAAGTTGGAATCGTTTTGTCTTTGCTGTCAACCCGACCGAAAAAACCAGCCTCAACTTGATCAAGATGCTTGGCAAACCAATTCTCTCACAATTCGAACGGAGAAAGTCCGATAAAGCAGGACCAGCTCCTACTCAATTTGCCCTGAGTAGCTACTACAACTTGCTTTATTATGCATTCCGCCCCTCTCCTCCTCACACCCACCTCGATCTCATTTGGGAAGAATATATCGCCGTTCCCTCTGCATCAATATTCTCATCAGTCCCCATTATGAGTGACAGTGAAGCACGTGTGCTAGCTGCCCTACTATGGAGCCCACAGCCCAAAATTTGGACAGAAGGTCGCATCAACGACACACGTAGGATCGAAGCCGAAGAACTTCCCTCGATTGATCCAAGATGGGTCCGTTCAAGAGTCTCATCAATCTTGAAGGTATTCGAGTCTCTGCTCAAATCATCAGTTTGGAATGACAACCAGCTTGAGAATTCGAACATTGCTCGAGCTTGGACCAATCTTGCTAGTGCATTATCTTTGGCATCCAGCAAGGAAATAAGCCCTTCCACGGAGTCCATGCAAGCTGTCGCTAGTGTTCTTGGACTGTTAAGCCGCCTCTGTAATGGTGGCCCTGCTTCATTGAACGCCTCCGGAGCTGGAGAGGTGGATATCTTCTTCGAACGGTTCCGATTCTTGTCCACGACAATGATTTCTTCCCTTGGAAGCATCCCATTTACGGAAAGACTTCTACTGAAAACTTCGGACGGAATGTTCCAAACTTCCAGCACTCCGACCCATCGCCAATCGACTTCTGGGACAAATCTCAACAGTCCCATCCTGCATCTTCTCCGAACAATCAGCACTAACTCGGTATCAGCAACGCCAACTTTGGCTTATGTCCGCCTGGTTGAAGGAATGATCCAGGCTTCGTGCATAGGAAGAATATCTCGTGGATCTCGCCTCGAGCTCCTACAGCAATGCGCCGATTTGAGCATTGCAGAATGTACCTATGTTTCGCACCCTTCCCCATTATATGAGGCGGTTTGGAAGGCCAGTGCCCGAGCCGCTGCCGATGCCTTGCAGTCGTTCCCGGTGGAATCTGCCCGAGAACGTGATGGCTCTGTTTCCCGCGATTATGATAATGTCACCAAAATACTTTCTTCGGGACTAAGACTACACAATGTGAACCAAGAATGGTCAAATCTGCTCGGGTCGTTCATGCGAGTAGCGAGAACAGAGAAAGGAGATCAAGGGCTTCCTGATCTCATCATTGAACCTCTGGCTGGATGTCTCATGAATCTTTCGGTTCATGACACCTATCTGCCTTCGGCATCACTTCTGAGCCAGTCGTTGTCGGTACCTTTCCTACAAGGTAACGACGTAGGAAGTGAACACGCTGTCTCTAAGCAGCCCAGTCCCCCGCCATTCCCCCACAAACTCGCAGAATCAATCTCAAGAACATTGAACCTGGCGTATGATGGCTTTAGTGTGTCAGAATCACAAGGCCTCGCCGGCTTTATCGAGTCATTGACCTCATTCCTGGGCTCTGGGGTCCCTCAATTTCGCTCGCAGCTTCTTCAAACCTTGCAACCTTCGTTGAAGGCTTGGGTTCAGGATGGTGATTTCAAATTTGATTTCCAACACGGCGTGGATAGCCGAATCTTAACTGCGGTAAATATCCCTTGACAAGGACAATGGTAGAACTCAACCTAACTAGTCTACAGTGCCGAGCTCTCACATTCGCTGTTCTCAACGTCGTGCAGATATGTGTTCGCGATGATTTATCTTCGCTTCAACTGTTCGACTTAGTCATTTGCGCGGGCTTAGAGTCTCCGCATCCGTCAAGGGCGAAGAAATTTGTCGATTTCTGGTATTCGACGGGTTCAAAAGCAGACCAGGTTTCTTCCAGAACTTCCATCGGGGAATCTCTTGCAAAGGCCTTGGACAATCTCAAAGCAGCAGCGCAATCCAAAAGAAGTGACAAGGTAATCATAAAACCACCCCTGTTGGTATTGTCACATGCACTAAATATGAATTCTCAGAATAATCGTCTCCCATCTTCAGCTTCGTGCATGTCAACATCTGCACAGCATAACCCTCGGGCGTATCTCTCTGCTAATTCATCACCAGTGATTGGATCAGCGGAGCAATCACTGGAGATCTCAGACCTAACAGAGCCACGGCTGCCCGCTAATTCTCGGCCCGAGCTTAATGAAGATACCACCATGCTGCCTTATCCGGGAAATCGAAGGGATGTCTTCCGAATGATTGACTCCATTCGATCCTCATCTCCTGCGAATACTTCTGGCGGTCTGGGTTTTGATACGCCAGTTCATTTGCGTAGACAAGGCTCGCGATCTGCTTTCGGAACTCCATTGACTCCAACGCTCGTCCCAGCAGAGAACGAAGATGGCTTTATTGGGTCATCTCCTACTCCTGCGACTCGGGATCAAACCCCTGCGTTACACCACGATGCACCAATTCTGAGAGCGCAAGATATTGTGATGGCTGATGCATCTGATGTTCCCTCATCCCCACCATCGATTATTTCGCGAAGTCCAAGTCCCAACAAACGGTCTCGGACTGCGAGAAACTTACGACGAAAATCGTTGAAGCGATTGAATAAAGCGCAGCGTGCGGCTGCAGAACAAAGCGCAGCCAGCAGCCCTGCTGTTTCTATCATGGAAAATACTGAAGATCTACCTAAGGCCGATGTACTTGAGAAACCTAGAGAAAACACTTCGGTCTCTCAGGATGAAAGACCGCCAAGCCGCCGGACTCGTTTAGCCTTGAGTCAGAGCACCGAAAACGACCAGAACTCGGCGTCAGCCCCTACATTTGGCACACCTACTAAACAAATCGAGGTATCATCTGCTCATAACTCCAACTTAAAGTCAGCAAGCCGAAACAAAGCCAGAAAGGCCATGTCTAAGAAGACAGAGAGCGAAGACAGGCAACAAGATCAATCTGCGGACCAGCCAAATGATCTACCCATTCTGACAATCAATGACTTCGTTGATTCGGGCGATGATTTGGATGTTCAAATTGCCTCTCAGCTGTCACAGGACTTAGGATTGGCCGTGGATCAATGTAGTCAGCGTGAAGAACAATCTGCCGATGTGACGGGATCTGCTCCGCCACAAAGCTCTAAGAAGAGGAAGCGTAGTGAGGACAGTGGTCCTCCGGTGACCTCAACTGAAAGACGTCGTTCAACCAGACGATCCACTGCCAAGGAAGCGGTTCCCACCGCCCTAGCCGATCCCGATGCTACCCAGTCTCAGGAGATTGAAATTGCTGAGGCCTCTCAAGCTTCTGCCCCAGCTAAGCCATCTGTACCCACACCACGTCGATCGACTCGCAGCTCTCAACACAAAGATGAAGCTGTCGAAGAAGAACAACTTTCCCCTACTGTGATTTTTGAGACTTCACAAGAACAGGCGGAGGATCTAGAAATTTCTCAGCCCCCGCCGAAGCGGACTCGCAAATCTGCCCGCGTTGAGGACCAGTCAATCAACGGTGTAGGGACTCCAATTCGGTCTCAGTCCTCGCGCAATACCCGGTCTGGCAGAACACGCTCATCCCAAAAACAAAACCAAAAAGAACCACCGATTGAAACGACGCGGCCAGAAAAATCATCAGCTCAGGTTGAAGCTTTTCCCGATATTAATACCACTCCGCAGAACCCCGTCAAACCCAACGTTCCGCCTGTTTCCGACGAGGAAGCGATCGCTTCCCAAGCAACAGTAGCCAGTCCACTCTCAGTATCTGTCTTGATCGACAATGATAGTCACATGAATGTGGATACAATAGTGTCCACTGAACAGGTAGCGGATACGGCCATGGCAGACATCCAAACAGAACCCATTCCCACGCCAAGATCCAACCCGAGCGAGTCAGGAATCACCAATTCGCTCAAGAAAATTTTGGACGATATGAAACAGGCCAACCTGAGCCTGGACGCTCTCCGCGAGGTTGACAACCTCCTTTTCAACATCCGTGTCGAGGCGCATGACGCATCACGGCGACACAATCATACCGCATAGCGACGGCGTTTTGAGTAAAATATTTTCTGTTGGATTTTGCAACTTACATAACCTCCCTTGTCCTTATTCCCCACGTGCATATTAAATGTCGTCAAGCCAATGGCGACCTTTGCATAAACGATCGAGCCATTTTTCTTTCGAATGAACTGTTGGAACTCGGCCTGTTTGGCCGTGATGTATGTCATTATGTTTATTCTTCCTTTGCCTGGGAGGCTTGGACTATTTGTTCTATAAGCGGTTTGAGAACTAAATGCATGATTGTTTGTCTTTTCAATCTTTCCTTTGCTTATATGAAATGCAATGAAATATCGTAAGAAGGTCATATCTATCTAAGGTATTCTCGAAGGCCCTTTTAGCGCGTGAAACTTAGTTTATATAGGTACTGTATACGAATATCTTCGCGCCTCTTTCTCTGCTCGATTTAATCTTCCTCCTTGGCGCTAATTTCGCAGTTGTCGTAAGACAATGGAAGATCGGTCAAGGGAGAGAGCCGACTAATGTCTACTCTCCGCGCAGCGCTTTATTGAAATCGAAATGTTTGGTTTTTTGTCCTTTGGCAAGTACTTAGGATCCCAAAAGTGCCATTCCATATGGGTCTACCTGAACTATAATTAAGATTCCTGTCGAGCTCTACAACCCAGTACTGGGCCTCTCGGGCTCCCAACTTGGTCTACAAAACATTAGTAATGCCCAAACCATGGATATATTGATTTGCTGACTGGGCAATTTTACGGTCTGAAGTCTGCACAGGTGAAGTCTGAAATATCCATTGCCATACTCCGTGATGTATATTCTGCTCTGGTGCGTGTAGCTACTTAATAATTATGGTGTAAACTTAGGATTACTAACGGCGGGCTCTGCAGTGGAGCCGGTTACAGGGTGAGATGTACTTGACAGAGAAAAACAGAGAAATAGAAATAGATCCGGCAACGTGGTTTGTCAGAATGTACTTCAGAGATGTAGATCAATAAACGTCAAATAGCTAAGAACAAAAGGCCAACTGGTTCAAATGTTGACTTGTTTGACCTGGACAGATGTAAACAATGATAAAGTGGGGCTGAGATCCGATTCCCCGCCATGATCTCAGCACAGCTTCCCTCCTGTCATCCTGGATAATCCATCATCACAATGGTCCGCCCTAACAAACCATCTGCCATCGGGCTGGGTACTACTCTGCCCCAATCAACTGTCTCTATCAATGACAACGTTGTCGAGGCAAGCTTGCCTTCCGGGGAATCCGTCGCAATCCACCTGTATGGCGCCACGGTCACCTCTTGGAAGGCACACGGCCAGGAACAGCTGTTCCTGAGCGAGAAGGCTCACCTGGATGGCTCCAAACCGATCCGTGGTGGCATTCCGCTTGTATTCCCGGTAAGTCAATTCATCCCAAGCTTCCTCCCTCGAGAACCTGAAGCTAATCGTGGTCCCTCCTATCTATAGGTCTTTGGCCCTCCCCCACAAAACCACCCCACCTCCACACTGCCTCAGCATGGATTCGCTCGTAACTCGAACTGGGAGTATTTGGGCAAGTCTGCCGAATCGGCCGATAGCATAGGAGAGCAGGCCGTGAAGCTGGACTTTGGTCTGTCGCACTCCATGTTGAGCGAGGAGTTCCGCAAGGCTTGGCCGTATGGATTTGGGCTTGTCTACAGTGTCACGTTGACCAAGACTTCGCTACAGACTCAGCTGCAGGTTCGCAATGAGGGTACCCAGAACTTCCAGTTCCAGGTTCTGATGCACACATACCTGAAGATTGCGGTATGTATCTCTGTCGTTGGCCATGACCATTCCCTCCTTCGGACATTTTTAACTCACTGAAATACATAGGATATCTCTGCGATCCGCGTTAAGAACCTAGAGTCCAAGACTTACGTTGACAAGACCCGCAACGCGACCTCCCACACCGAAACCTCCCCGGCCCTGGCCATCACCGGAGAAACCGACCGTGTCTACCAGGATCTCGACCCCTCTGTCCCAATCATCGTCTCGACCGACGACCAGCCTCTATTCTCTATTACGCGCGAGGCTTTGGCGGACGTTGTGGTATGGAACCCATGGACTGAGAAGGCCAAGGGCATGGCGGACTTCGGCCCGGATGAGGCCTACATGAACATGATTTGTGTGGAGGCTGGCTCTGTTTCTGGTTGGCAGACTCTCGAGGTGGGCGACTCATGGGAGGGTGGTCAGACTATCAAGTCTCGGATTTGAAGGCCGACATACTCTCTTTTGATGTTTTGCTCTGTTTGACGCGCGATGTTTCATGACTTAAAGACACTTTCATTAGCTGAGATTGGCTCAAAATGATAGATTTTAACGTTTATATTTTGACATGTTTGACATTTTTGACCAACAATCCTACGCTAAAAGGCAACATTTATTAGCGCAATGAAGCGACATGATTCTATTGAAGTTTGGCCTGCAGCAAAGATGATTCATCAGGTCCGCATGCAACTGCAGCAAATCAGATGTTGTGCAGCCAAACGAGAATGCTGGGGAGGAGGTGCCTCTATACAGGGATGAAGCAGTCACATTATGAAAAACTCACATAAACACCCGAAAACCTTGGAGTGGGATCCGACACTGAAGTGGTCGTAACTGCCGATGAGGTATTAAAACCCCCGGTTATGTTCTAGTGCATAGATCTCCTGATCGACACCGGATTTGACGCTAAAATCCGTGGCTTTGCGGTGGCACCAATCCCCCTTGCATGAAGATAAGTCGAAAACCGAATTCACATTCTTGGAAAACAATAAACCCCCGAGATCTGATTCGCAGTCCCAGCGCAAAGCCAATTTCAATCTACAGACTTTAGTGTTAAGGCCTGAGCAAAAAGCCTATTGCCAATAGCCACAGATTAGCTCCAAACGGGTCAAGGATCCAGCGTACCTCGAGAGGCCCGATCAGCTTATTCTCTCTTAGTATTATCCAAATCGCGTAATACACGTGGAAACCATATGGATGCTCCCTCGCATGAAGCATTCCTGGGGTTGCACTATGTCCAGAAGATGCGTCAACTCGCCCGAGCGCATTGTCTCCTGGTTGATCTTTCGCTTTTCTACTTTTGTCATTTCTACCCCTGCATGTTGCGCATTTTCGTCCCTTTGTCGTCTCATGCGTCTGTCATAATCCTCTTTTGAAGGACATCATGGCCGTGAGAGAGTCGGAAAAGTACCAGGATGGTGTGACTCCGCTGAAGACAAAGGGCGAGATTGATATCGTGCGCCTGGAAGCTGCTTTGGGGCATAAACAGGAGCTTAAGCGCAATTTTGGGCTTTGGAGCTTGACCAGCCTAGGAATTGTGATCGCAAAGTATGCCAACTTCTTTTCTATGTTTGATTATAAGGAAACGAAAACTGACTATTTTTTTCAGCTCATGGGCTTCAACCGGTGGAACGATTGTGGCCGCTTTGAAAAATGGAGGTCCGATGGCTGTCATCTATGGTCTCATTCTCGTCAGCATCTTCTATACCGCTATCTCCGCATCGCTCGCTGAATTGGCTTCGTCGATGCCGTCGGCTGGTGGCGTTTACTATTGGTCTTCGGTGCTGAGCCGGAATCGTGGTCGCGGTGCGGGATTCTTCACTGGCTATCTCAATGCTTGTGCGTGGCTGCTGTCTGCCTCATCGATGAGTTCAATGTTGGGGAATGAGGCAGTAGCAATGTATCTGCTTAAGCATACTGATATGACCTGGAACTCCTGGCAGGTGTTTATTGTGTTCCAGGTTGTCAATTGGACCTGCTGTGCTATTGTCTGTTTGGGGAATCGGTTTATCCCATTGATTAATCGGGTTGCCCTGATCCTGTCCATGTGTGGATTGTTAGTGACAGTTATCGTGTTGGTGGCGATGCCGAAGACATATTCAAGCAACTCGCAGGTCTGGGTTGAATATCACAATGAGACGGGCGGCTGGTCAGATGGCGTGTGCTTTATGACGGGGTTACTGAACGCAGCATTTGCAGTCGGAACACCAGATTGTATCAGTCATCTCTCTGAAGAAGGTATGAAGACCAACCCACAAACATCTTGACGGCTCGAAACAAAGCTAACACTCTCAGTCCCCAAGCCCGAGTCCAGAGTCCCCCAAGGAATCATGCTCCAAATGCTAACTGCATTTACAACGTCATTCGTTTACTTAATCGCTCTTTTCTATTCAATTCAAGACCTCGACGCCGTATACACCAGCAGCATCGGCTTCTTTCCAACAGCTGAGATCTATCGACAAGCAACAGGATCAAATGCCGGCGCTATCGGTCTCATCGCCGTCCTTTTCCTAGCAACATTTCCGACACTGATTGGTACATTCGTTACAGGTGGCCGCATGTGGTGGAGTCTCGCACGCGACAACGCAACACCCTTCGCCAGCTACTTTGCCCAAGTCCACCCGACCCTCAACTGCCCTGTCCGCGCAACAATAGCAATGAGTGCTCTTGTGACGTGCCTAGGCTGCATATACGTCGGAAGCACAACTGCCTTCCAGGCACTTATATCCTCGTTCATCGTGCTGAGCTCACTATCTTATCTCGGTGCCATTCTGCCGCACGTCCTATCTGGACGGAGAAATATGGTTCCTGGGCCCTTTTATATGGGTCAGAAGCTCGGGATGGCGGTCAATATCACTGCGCTGCTTTATATAATGGTCACAGTTGTGTTCTTCTGTTTCCCACTGGTGTTGCCTGCTACAGTGAAGAACATGAATTATACCAGCGTTATCATTTTGGGTTTGATGGCTTTGACGGTGTTGTGGTGGGTACTCAGGGCCAGACGCGAATACCAGGGACCACAGTATAGCTTTGAGGCTGCAGAGAGACTGAGCGCTTTCCAAAGTGGTAAAGAAGGGCGACGGTCATTTATTGATGTGGCCAGTCAGGCTCCTGCGCCTCGAATTGATCAACATCCTGCTTTCAGGAGATAAGCAAAGCGGGGGAGACATCTGAACTTTTTCATGTAATGCTTGTACGACTTTTGCGGTGCTCTACCCTTCCTTCCTTTCTACTTTCCTTTCTTTCTGATTTACCTTCCCTTCATGTAGTATGATCCATTCCCTTGACATTTCTTTTGTAATGAGGCAGCTTTTTCAAATATTTTACATAATAGCCAGACAAATATTATTTCCGGTTTATATTGGACAATCTACATCAAGCTCAGAACGACTGTGTCGATGATTAGCGGCCTCGAAGGCCAAAACAACCTTTGTCAAACTTATAGTTATTTCAGTATCCATGCCATGGCGTTTGTTATGAAGTTATGAAATAATGAATAGAAAAAGAAATCACGGCGGCGTGGCCGGTTGTGCGTGCATGTGAGGAATGTGAGTTAGGGCTCTGACAAGATCTACTTCTTATCTCGGCGTAATTCGCCCATGAGGTCCCACCTTTTTCCCTGGTTGCTATGCCGGCAAGACTAATAAACTGCTATGCAGATTTAGGTTTTTCCATGCGCGTCTCTTATTAGACCTTCAAATGTTTGCGCCTGCAATAGGTCAGTCTCTGGCCCTCTAATGCAGAGCCAAGCCACTTACGACGATCAAGTCCACAGCGAGTGATAACCTCTCGCCAAGAGTCCATTCCTCTTCTCGCCCAGTCATTGGGAACTCTATAAAAGTCTTCAGTTACCCATTTTCAGCTATTAGAATTAGAAAGACCCACGAAGCCCGCCTATCAAACATATCCGTATGGAAGACCTCCATAGATACCCAACCAGTATACCCTATATCAAAAATGGCCTTGGCCACCTCAACAGCAGGTAATATACCCCCAAGCTTCTCCTCGCAAGGAAAGATGCGACAATTCCTCGACTGAGTCATTAAAGGGGGTTGATTTAAGTCCTTCACCACATACCCTCTCTGCTCTGGATCGGCAACAGTCGCATCACTCAGCTGCAGATAAGTAATTGTGCTTGGATCAATAATCCGCTTCAACTCATCCAAACTCTTCCGAAGTCTCTCATAGCCATCCTTCCGAACAGGCGAAGCCGCATTAAACGGGTCCCCGGCCTCTTTCGACGCAATATGGAATGTATCGAGACAATGTCCCACATTGGGAAGGTTGACTATGTTAATCACCTCCTGGATATGCTGCCAGGTATTCTTATGAATACCCCATGAAGGAGCTTCATACCCAACCCGCAGATTGTATTTTTGGGCAAGGAGACCAAGTTTTCTCATATTGGTAGCTATCACGGCTGGGTCTGAGGTGATTCTGGATTCCTCAATAGGATAGAGTGCTGAGCAGATCTGATAATGTCAGCTTGAGTACTGGCGATCAATGATGAGATGGAGGTTGCTTACCTGGAAGATTGGAATATGCATGATTTGGCATAGTTGGCACCACAACTCAGCTTCTTTCAGTCGTGCATCTACCTCCTGTGCATTTTTTAGGCCATCGTAGTCCCGGAATGGATTCAGTGCAATGAGTCTGAGTGAGAGAGAAGTTGCCTTGGCATAAACATCCGAGGCAGCGGCGCGTAGCTTTTCGTTACGGGTTGTTATCGAGGTGAATGTAGCAGCGTGTGCTTCGAGACATTCAAAGGCAACCTCTACACCGTCGAATCCGTGGGATTTGGCGGCCTCTAGTTTCCGGTGAATTTTGTGGCCGGCAGCGGACTTGCCCAAGGAGTTGGTGGCTATTGCGACTTTGATTGTAGACATTTTGAGAATGGCAAATTTCAAATACCTATTCAATTGCTCAAAGGTTTGATTCTGTCGTGAAATAGCTAAGTGAATGATGAATGCTTAGAGTCCATGATTTTCTGGGGTAAGTACCGGCGTGCAAATTAAGAGGCCGGGCGGGGTTGCCACCCTAGAAGTGTATAGCCGAGGGAGCAACTAAATCTTGGGAATCTGCATCAGAATACCTGGGGTTAAATCTTGGAAAGAAAGAGGAAGATATACCGGGGGCATAGAGGCCCCACATGTGCAGGTCTGAATGACTACACTTTGCATCAGCTGAGGTTTCAATTGATATTGACCTCTTCGAGGTGATCCTGTGCTTTTGTATATTGCAAAATTTTGAAGATTATCTTACTGTGAGAAGGAAGCACTCGAGGACACAAACTCGAAAAGATTATTTATTTTGGAACTAATTTCTGTAGTTTATCGTAACTAAAGCAATATATGTATTGCAAGCCCAGTGAATGAGATGAATCAACCTCCGTTTGATGACCATTGACGGTTGAAACCAAGCGTTCTCTACCAAATTAAAGGTTGCTTTTCCTGACTTCTCCTCGGAGAACTCGGTTAACAAATTCCGGATCTTCACGAAGTGGTCGTCCAAGTCCGATCATATCAATGTCACCTCCCTCGACGGCTTCAGACATCCGATGGCTGTCCCTCCAGCCACCTGTCGTTCCAATAGCAGCACGAGACTATTTCTTAGTAAGCCTTTGTTGACCACGCAAGCGATAGCGGGACTTACCAAGACTTTCTTCATTTCCTGCGCCCACTCAATGAAGTAGCTGTGATAGTCAGCGACCAATAGCCCCAAGTGAAATTTTCACAGTAATTCATACCTTCCTCTCTCCTTCTGTGAGGGTCTCTCTGCCAGCTCTTTCATGATGTTTCCTCTCCATGCAGGGGAGGCGTAGGTTCCACCTGAAATATCAAAGAAATCCACTCCAGCATCCTCAAGCCATTTAATAACGACACACTGTTCGGCGAAGCTAGTTCCCCCCTCGATGACTGAGAAGGTTAGTGGATAACTATAAAAATGGAAGGGAATCGGGTCATACAGTCATGGCAGTTGAGCTTAGCGGCGATGACGAATTCGTTCAGTGGAAGTTTGGCCTTGATTGCATTGACGGTCTCGAGGATGAACCGGGCGCGGTTTTCCAGACTTCCACCATACTTCATTGGGAAATTGATATTTAGGACAGTTTTTAAAATTCCAAAGGAACTTATCTTACCTCATCAGTTCGCTTGTTGATCAAGGGTGATAGGAATTGCTGCATGATATATCCGTGACTCGCGTGTAGCTGTAGCGATCAGTCTCATTCACAAATACATGATGTAGTCAGCGTGAGTAACCAGGACTTACAATAATACCATCGGCGCCAGCCTTGAACAGTACTTCCGCGGCCCAAACGTACCGATCTTGCAAATCCTTGATCTCGGATCTAGTCAACGGCGAGGGCTTACCATATGTCTTGTTCAGGCAAGGCTCCAGCTGCTCAGAAGACGAAGACTTCGGGTTCGCATTCAGGAATTCCGGCACTTGACGACCGGGAAACTGCAGCTGGGGAAGAAAGATCGCGCCTCGGGACTTCGCGGCCTGGCAAGCAGGACGAAAGGCCTCGACTGGATCCCAGGGGTTGTTGATGTCGAGTACTGCGTTGTTGTAGTTTTCCAAGTTGTCACGATGGATGGGGATATTGCCAGTGCAGATCAAACCAGCGCCGCCATCGGCGATTTCTAACTTGGTCAGTTGCTTATATTATCAACTCGCTGTGAATCGGCGGTACCTTGGTAGAGGTCTGCGTAACGTGGGAGGGGCTTTCCACAGTTTTCAACGTTGTCCTCGTCGTATGTCGAGGCATATTCACTGAGGGGAGTACGGTATAGACGATTTTTGATAACCTTGCCCGAGAGCTTGAGGGTGATAGGCTTGTTGTAGAGAAGTGTCAGTATGGGTTCAACCATAGGAGGGTGGCGAAAAGTGCGTACCTGTGCCAATGGACCGGTGTGAGCCATGTTGTAGATTTCACGGAACCGTGTTGCGTTGGAAGGTAGGTGTGATTAGTATTCAGATAGTCCAAAGTTTCAAATGCCACTGTAGTGAAGAAGCTATATAAGACATCATGATAGAAATGAGGTCTTTGTCCGTCACATTAATTTGGGCTCCGGTTTGCGGGGGTGGAGAGTGTGGGGGCGAATTTTGTCATCGGGATATTAACGTCGGCTGACGGATGAAATCCGCATCAATCCATGGAATACCGTAATGAGATGATCATACTATTATTTGAATTTATCTCTTATGTTAGTGGGAACCAATTGCATCATGCGTGCAAAGTCCTGTGCTCAAAACCTGGGAATATCGTCTTGGTTTCCTTTGCCTATACACATATTCGAAATGGTCGCGTTATCTGATGTTCATTACACAGTGCGGTTTCGAAAAAAGACCTTGTCATGTTCTATTCCATTTTGAAACTATAGCTTGACGTTACTATTTGGCATGGCAATAGCTGCGATAGCCTCTTCCACCCCCTTTTCGTTCGACTCCTTTTCCAACCACAAGTCTTGCTGAGCAACACATACTCGCACAAGTACTTCTGTACCTCGAATAACACTCCATCCAGCATCTCTTGCCGTACACAAAAGTCGAGTCTCCGTTGATGGCATATAGCACATATCCACCAGCAATCCCTCCTTGGACTTCTCAAGAATACATTCGCATATTTGCCAACAAAGAACCTCTCCCGGCTCCGAAGGCGGATAGTCAGGAATTGTACCAATTATCAAAGATGGAGAAAGTAGCTCGTGCGCAGTATCCAAATCCGGAATATATCGGACCTTGATACCTGGCATTGTTGTCGAGAAAAACTTGACAATGTCATCAACTTCCGATTTCATTCGATTCGCAACGTAGATCTCAGAGGGTGAGAACCATTTCCCCAGTGCGTAAATGGCACTCCGTGCTGCACCTCCTCCTCCAATCACCATAGCCGGCTTTCCCTTTGTCGTAGAAACGGCGTGAGGATCACGTTGAAGAATGGCTTCGCGGATTCCAACACAATCAGTGTTTGTACCGATCCATCGTCGTTTTCCGGTAGAGTCAAGACGAACAAAGGCTGTATTCACGGCTCCGATTCCTCGCGCTTCTGCAGTCAAACTGTCCAAAAGGGGTCCAAACGCAACCTTGTTGGGCATGGTGATAGACGCGCCCACACATGTGGGATCGGCAAGTTTTGCGAGAAACTCGGTTTTGTCCGTTGTTTGTGCCAGATGATACGCCCATGATGCATTCATGGATCGAAAAAGAATTCCATGGAGAAGAGGAGAAAGGGAACGAGAAATGTTCCCGCCAAATAAGAACGTGTTGGATGGCTTCGAGAGCGACGAAGAGGTCAGAGGTGACCTGCCATACTCGTAGGAGTTTTGTAGGATATCCATTTTTCTGCCGCGTAACATTCCGAGAGTTAATTACATCTGAGGGGGGGTAGTGGCTTAAAATTGAAAAGCCAAGATTTGAGCCTGTTGGCGCCGGCCTTTATTTTAAACGCCGGTTGATTACATCCTCGTATTGTGGTCGATATCGGTGGCGATACGTCAATAGTCCACATTTTGAAGTATAGTCTGGTTCTAGCCCACGATGAGTCTTCGACCAGGAAAAGTCACTTTGAGTGGGTAGCTCGAAGATAGAAATCTTGATAGGGTGAATAAAAATGTTCAAGTTGATATGGCAAAATGTTGACATGTGCTTATGTTGAGATATGGCGACCTTCCGTCAGATTGACTATCTTAGCCGCAACCTCCATGATGTACCTAGATCTCGACTGTGAAAATCATTGCATATAAGAAAAGAACAGAAATGAAAAAACTCGCAAGCCAACAAAAGTGAAATATGTCTGTGTCACCTGACCCTGATCATGGACCGCAGGAGGTATTTGTTTGAGGCGATAATTCCTTGTCGCTTTGGCCCTCAAGATTACTTATCGCTGCCTACTTCCACATTTCTTTCAGCCACATTATTCCTACCTCCAAATATTAACCCAGAAATCTTCTACGCCGTCGTTGCTCAATCAGAGCGACGTACTTTTCAGCAACCAGTACGGATACTAAGTAGCCAGTACCTGTTGGTGCCCACAACGTCCGATGTTCCAAAAACAACCCCGCAGTCCATCGATTGCGCCAACTTGGCCAAGCACAAGGACGCTTTCAAAATACCTCGTCACAGGACTGGCATTCATTCTCATTTACTACCTTTGGCCTTCCAGCGTACCATACGAAATGCATCGACCGACATTATCGAACCCATCAATAGGCATTTCTCTCACGGCTTCATATGGGTATGGTGCTACCCATCTTAGTGGAGATGAAATCACGCTCACAAAAATACCACAGGACAATATCTCTTCGTCACTCAGATGGTTCATTCGAGGACCTTGGTCGCGTCGAAGGTGACTCTAGCTATATTGAAATGGTAAGGCGACTCTCGTTAGGTGCTTCACGCCATCCTAGGTACATTTTCCAAAGCGACCTCTTTTCTAAAATACAACAGCTAACATATTAACCCAAATAGTCCCCCCTACTCTTCAATGGAAGATATGTGGGACGACATACTCCGGCACGCGTGGCGATCTTTCCGCAAGAGGATAGGTCTTGCAGCATCTTCAGACGTCAAAATCATGAGCGAGCTAGTCAAGAAGCTCCTTTCTTCAAGCGATTCTGCCACCCTTCCATACGTCGTAATAAGCTACCCAGGAATTTCGGCACTTTACAAAGAAGATATCAACGACATGGCGGAGTACCTAGATCTTCCAAAGCTCACAGGCCTTTACGGATTTCATCCCTGGGAAGCTCACGCTGCTTATGCGGGACACGGGCTAGGATTATGTGAGCACTTCGAGAATAAGAATCGATGCAAGGATGAGGGAAAGCAGCTACCGGAACACGAAACACTCCTGGTTGAATATACTGATCAAGCCATCCTACTGCATACATTACCTTTACAGACAGCAGTGAATGTGGACTTTGGGGACGCTGACCCTCATGCAATAGCTTCATTTCAATTGGGTGCCAATTCGCGGGTTGATAACCATGCGTCGCGTGTCGCAAACTTCGTTCATCAGTTCTTAAGTCCTTGGTACGGAAGTCTAGTCTTTCCTGAAGAGGTCTTGATTATCATGACGGGAACTAGGGATGAGGCTATAGACGAGGCTATTCGAGAGGAGGTGGGAAGATTAGTACCAAAGACTCAAATACTTACATCCACGTCTGAGTTTATTGCATCTAGGGGATCTGCAGAACTTTCCTGGAGAGTGGCTGTTATGGAATTATCTTAAGCTGTTTTGAAGATTTGGGGTAGATGTGTTCTTCAGGAATACAACAGAAAGAGAGAGGGAGATATACTAGCGATATAAGCGTTTCTGTATTACTATCTTCGAGAGGGGCTGCAACAGGTGATATTTTTCTATATCCACCGGCACCAGTAGATTTGCATACTTGTCGAATTTCGGGACAAACATAAAGTTGTGAAGCCGGATGGTACACTTTGGCATTACGATAGAGAGCATGCAAAGCAGCTTGTAAAGGAAGTTGGATGAAATTTTCCCATCCTCCTTGAAGAGTTGGCCTCTTCTGACAATTCTATCTTAGCAATGGTAGAGCATCTGGTCGAAGTCTGCAGGGGCGAGGTCGGAGGCAAGATCCTCCGGGGGGATGGGTTGAATACAGTGAGAGTCTGTGAGGTAGCGATTAAGGTTTTGAAGGCCGGAGATGGATTCCGATTCACGTGTGAACGCTGTAATATTCTGACATACGAGGTGAAAATCTCAAATTTACGTTTATTCCAAGGCTTTCTGTGTTGAATTCGTATATTAATTGGGAATGGTCCTCTATCGACTTGTAATGTGATCCAAACGATAGGACTAGTTAGGAGGCCTCGACTTTAAATAAGTATCCGAGCTTGGCACGGTACCCAGATTAGATCCCCGGTCTCGAATCGTACCAATCAGAATACAAATATTTTTACTTTAGCATCTGAATTTCAGTCAAGGCGGGTACGGAATCTTGAATTGAACGAGCAGAACCTAATCCCCCACATTCCTGGGGCAGTTGAAACCCTAACTTCATCCCATACAGATAAAAGGTGGGTGATCCCTTCACGACTCCCCATATCTCAATTGTCACTCACATTACAACAAACTAACATTGAAGTCATTCGTCATGTTTGAAGAATTGATTCAAGGCAAGACCCTGCGTCGAATTTCTCGATTCAGTTGCTCTGTGGTAAGTCCACTGGTATGATGAGTAGGTAATGCATAAGTTACTTACGAATAAACAGGGCTTCATGATTGAGGGATACCAAGCCGGTGTCCTTGGGGGAGTACAATCAACAGCTCCATTTCTTAATGCTATCGGGGTATTTACTACAACATTGTGTTGAATTTTTGTTCTGTTGTACTATGCTGATATGGTTACAGAATCCGACAGGAACCGAAACGATTCCAATGATTGCATCTTCCTATACTCTGGCAGCTGCATTTATGGCATGTGTGGTTATGTTTGTCGGAATGCCTCTTGGTCGACGAAATTGCATCATCATTGGAAATGTTTTCATTACAATTGGGGGTGCCATTCAGGCTGCATCATTCTCTGTCCCACAAATCATCGTGGCGAGGGTACTTTCTGTGAGTCGAAGTTTCGAGACAAGAAAGCTGAATACTAACCAAATGTTAGGGATTTGGCATTGCAGTAAGAACATTCCACCGAATAATCTGCCAGATTTATTGTGCCTAACAACAGGATAGTTTATCACGTGCAATGTTCCTATGTATATGGTAGGTGTCAACGAGTGACCACTTTGAAGTGAGACTAATAAGCAAAACAGTCGGAAATGAGCATTGATGCTCGTGGACGTGGTCCAGAAGTGGCTATCAACTGTTCATCCCTGGTTTTTGGAGTCGCCTTCTCCTACTGGGTGACATTTGGCTTCACAAGAATGTCAAATCAAGTTTCCTGGGTGCGTTTCTATAATCTAGTTCCTCACATCTTGCTCATACAATCCAGAGAATCCCAGTCGCCATTCAAAGCATTCTCGCCATTCTATCAGGTATTACCATGATATTTCTACCCGACACACCACGATGGTACTATGCTCGAGACCGAATTGACGAAGGCGATCAAACACTCGCTCGTATTTATGGCGTCCATCGCACCGGTATGAACAATAGCAACGATTTTGAAGAGATCCGAGTCATCAAAGCAAGCATCATGGAAAACTTCGAAGTGGAAGAAGAACCACGCAACCGCCTGACACTCCTGAGTTTGATCTGGGACAACACACCCCTTCGTGTGGGCCGACGGGTGCGAATCTCGTTCATCATTCTCGCTATCCAGCAATCAATGGGGATCAATATCTTGATCTACTACATGACACAAATCTTTGAAGAAGTCGGATTAACAAACTTCATGGCATCCTTGCTAGCAGCAATTGGATTGACGATTCAATGGTTCGGTTCCATATTTTGTGTGATGACGATTGAACGATTTGGTCGCCGTCAAATCATGTTGATTTCGTCCGCCATAGAGACGTCCTGTATGCTGATATTTGTCGTCCTCAACTTGATCAAAAACAAGACGATAGCAACGCAATGGACTGCTGTGGCTATCATGTTTCCCTATCTGTTTGTGTACGGCTGGGGCTGGGTGGGATGTCCATGGTTGTATGGGCCGGAGGTATTATCTGCCTCTTAATCGATACTCGATCATTACTGACTTTGATTTGACAGATTGCGCCGCTTCGGTACCGCCACATTGGATCCGCAGCTGGTATCCTCGGGGTGTTTGTCTTTACATTCCTGACTGTTTTTGCGGGGGGGATTGGACTTGAAACTGTTGGGGCGAGGATTTGGATTTGGCCTCTCGTCTTCAATGTCGTGGCATTTCTATTCGTCTACTTCATGTGTCCAGACGTGAGTACGACCCATCCTCATCTTGAGGTCAAGACTGACTTTCATATAGCCTACAAATAAAACACTTGAAGAGGTAGACGCCCTCTTTGCTAAGGATGAAGCGGTTCTAGATCGCCTAAATCATGGAAACCACCCCGAAGATGAAAAGCCTGGCATGCAGCAAGTCGAGAACGCAGCCTAGCCAGTTATGATAAAACCTTTAATATCCTTTCATTAAATATGGCCGGACGCTCAGATTGAACACATATGCTTCGCCTTGTTGGATGTGAAGTAATAAGTCTCCGATATTAAGCTTATTGATAATGTTTCTCCGGATGCCGCGTCAAACCCAATTTTACTTAACCCGTAGATCCTTGTGACAGGGGATTATCTGACAAAGCTATTTTGTTTCCCTAGAATCACCTTGCAGATAGATAAGAATCCAATCAAACACCACAACTTATCTTTTGCGCATCCACTGTGGAATTTGACCTGTCATCATGCTATCATCATTAGGCATCCATATCCCCAGGAGTATTGTACTAGAGAAATGAAAGTTCAATGAGCCAGAGCCTTTTTGTTATATTATGCAACCATCTAAGGGTGCCTCCCATATTTTATTGTCGCATCAGGCAGTGAGACTTCCATGCTTGGTAACAAGGAGTTCAAATGAGGGATTTGAAGGCAAAGTCTGCGAACCGACCTCGGGAAGCTGATCATCCAAGACTGATCTGCATTCCATTGCGAACTGCCAAAGATCTGGTTCGATACGCCCCCCTTGCGTGATCAGCATTTCTCCTTGCTTGTCACCCTATCCCTATCACCAGCCATGACATATTGCAGCCCGAGATGCATGACGCTGCAGCTCTGTCCTCGGCTGGCGCTGTGCCAAATATCAGATGCACTTGAGCTTAATATCGCTCACCAACTGCAGCGGTGTTCCGTACCACATCCGCTCGCGCAGTGCCTCTCGCATATCTGGTCGAAGAACCTTGGAACTGATCATTCTTTTCTAAATACTCTTGAAAGTGATCTCAAACTTCTAGCTACCTGCAAAATTTGAGTCTATTCGCAAATGGCAGACTGAGCCTTTCGTCACCGAGGTCTTGAGGTGCCTTTTCAAGGAGCGACTCTCGCTCCCTCCCAAAGATGGGGAACATATCACCCACTCCACATCAGCTTTATGTTGAGGCTGTCGTATTCTGGAGTATAGGCATTGTCATATATGGGGGGAGAATGTATGTCTTATAACGAGCCGCGATGGGAGGAGCTATACTAATCGAGCCCAGGATTTCGCGGACCATTGCAAATGGATCAATCAAGCGATTATTCTGTACGAACAAAAGATCATGGGAGCATAGAGGTAGATACTAACGAAAAATTGCTATATAGGGGATGATTATGTCATGACAGCAACATTTGTGAGTACTGATCGCAGAAGGATTTTCGGCTTGGAGAGAATCGCCGAACTGACTGACTGGTCATCAACTTATAGATGATATACACCACTCTGCTGGTCTTGATTCAAATATCTTCGCGCTATGCAACCAACCTAATGGACCCGAAAGATTATGATAAAGTATTGTCAGACCCACAGGAAGTCCGTGATCGAATCTACGGGAGCAAGATTGTCATCGGGGTGGAGCAGTGCATGCTTTTCTCAACATGGGGAGTCAAGACATGCATGTTGATCTTCTACTGGCGGCTTACTCAAAGTCTGCGTTCTAATCTTTACATCAAGATCCTGTCAATCTATGTAGCTCTGGGCTTCGTGGTTATCATGGTCTGCTACTATGCTGTCTACTGTCGGCCTTTCTCCCAGTATTGGGCCATGCCAGTACAGAACATGCAATGCGCCACTTATCAACATTACTCGATTACTCAGGCTGTATTCAACATTTCCTCGGATGCAGTGATGCTCGTCATCCCGATTCCCCTTCTTATCCGAGCCCAACTCAAGAAACACCGCAAAGTTCTCCTCCTCGGCGTGATGAGCCTAGGCCTGTTTACTATCATTGCCGCCATTCTCAACAAATACTTCAACTTCGCATCCCCTCTTACCACGACCTATCAAATCTGGTATATTCGTGAAGCTAGCACCGCTATCTACGTCGCAAACCTCATGTGCTGGTGGCCGTTACTGAGAAAGCTCTTCGGTCTGACGGCATTCTCCTACAACAGCAACCGAGGCCAGAGAGGACAAGCCCCCATAAACCAGAGCAAGAATAGTAGCGACTACTCGCAGTCTGCCTGCCGTTCTTCTTTCACCCTTCCCCGAGCCCTGAACTTCATTCGTCCAGCTTTCAAGAAACCAGACATGAGCGATCAAACTCCACGACAGGTTGACACGCATCGATCCAGCCAGGAGGCCATTGCCCACACATCTGACGATTTCATGGAAGGTTTGCATCGAGTGGAAGCCCACCCACTGGAACAGTGGAATAATAATGATAATTATTTTGAGGATCTGGAGGACCCGAGTCCGACAAGCCCCGAGTCAATGACCATATATGAAAGCGCGTGGTCCAAGCTGTCAAAGAAAAGCAAAAGGACCAGAGCCAATTGATGATTCGTGCACTGTGAACTTTTAGATCAACTTTTATCACTTCTGGTTGTCTATTTGGCCCGTTTATTCCCGTATGCCCAGAGGCGTACGGCCCTGTAGCCATTTTAAAATGCCTCTGGGGTACAAAAATCTATGCAAGTGCCTGAATTTGAACCCGAGATTCAGACTGAACTCACAAATGGGAAGTCTGCGTGCTAACCGCTACGCTAAACAAGCGTTTGTTTGTCTCCACTTTTATGTGATATAAGTAGACCCTGTTGTTAACCCCGTTTAGGATGACAAACCACAGATCAAAGTGGAGATAATCCACATCAACTAGTTCAATCTTCAAACTTCAGATATTTTTTCTTCTCCAGGCATCCCTCATTTTAATTTCTCTGTCGGTTAAAAGTTCAACTCTACATGAGTTTCCAGGCTGCAAAAGTCCAAAATATGGTGCAAATACGGTGCATGGAACCCTGAGGGATGGGTTTGGCATCCCACGGTTAAGTCGGCATTATATCCGACTTCGGGGAAATATGTCCGAGTACGCAATTTTCGTTTTCTTTTCATTTTAACCCCACGTCTTAACCAGACATATTTGACATATAAAGCTTATTATTCCGGGGGATACCATCTTGAAGGTCCCTGTATGATCTACAAACTCCCCGTTTTAGCCCGTTACACCAGCTCGCGTGCCTCCCCTCCCCCAGGTCTTGGCTGATGGGGCATCCTCCACCCGAGCCCACGGGCCAATCCGACCCCGACCATGCAGACGTCATTGAACTCCCAACAGCAGATATACTTAGCGATAGCGATAGCAATTCCGATGACGAGACGACGGCTCTGAACAATGAAAATAGTATTCGACGCCTTCCACCCCCGATCCACACAGAACATCGTCGCTTTCCGTCTATCGATGAAAGCAACGCAGACCATGTCACCCTCCCTGAGCCAGAGCAGGAGATAGCGGAAGAAAAACCGGTGACATGGAGCTCGCTGCCAAAGAAAGGCCAACTGGCTATCTTGACTATGGCACGGCTTTCTGAGCCGCTCACTCAGACCTCGTTGCAGGCATACATGTTCTACCAGCTCAAGTCGTTTGATCCATCGTTACCAGACTCGACCATCTCAGCGCAGGCTGGTATGCTACAAGGTAGCTTCACCGCTGCTCAGTTCCTTACTGCGGTTTGGTGGGGTCGGCTGGCCGATGCAGAGTGGATGGGCCGTAAGAAAGTTCTCTTGATCGGTCTGTTTGGTACTTGTATCTCGGCGCTTGGATTCGGCTTTTCCAGGACATTTACCACTGCGATAATATTCCGTACACTGGGTGGTATGCTGAACAGCAACCAGGGCGTTATGCGCACGATGATCTCTGAGATTATCGCCGAGAAAAAGTATGTTTACTACCTGTATCTGATGATGTCCACGCTAATATGCCGATCAGGTACCAATCACGGGCGTTTCTCCTTCTCCCCATGTGCTTCAATATTGGGGTTATCATAGGCCCCGTATTAGGAGGAACATTGGCAGACCCTGTCAAGAGTCTGCCTTGGCTCTTTGGTCCTGGATCTTTGTTCGGGGGTGAGAACGGCGTATGGTGGATGAAGCACTGGCCTTATGCACTGCCTAATCTACTGAGTGCTTGTTTCATATTCATGTCCTCCCTTGCGATTTTCTTTGGTTTGGATGAGGTATGTGATTTACCAAGCATTCTATGTGGCACCTGCTAATAAAGAATAGTCCCATGAAATCACACGTCACCGCAAAGACTGGGGCCGCGTACTTGGAAAGAGAATAGTCCGCGCGTTCACTCGGCGCCCCTTACACTACAGCCCGCTTACCCGCTCCGGGCACGATGCTACCATGTATATGGATGAAAACAGGGAGATGTCAGCGCCATCAAGTCCAGTCCGTACCCGCAACCCGCGACTGCCGGCTCCGCGCAAACGGGCAGGGTTCCGGCAAATCTTCTCTCGCAATGTCCTCCTCACTCTCCTGACTCATTTCCTACTCGCATTCCATACAAGTGCATTCAACTCCATGACATTTGTGTTCCTGCCTACTCCCCGTGCCCCGGAGGACTCCCGAACGGGCTTCTTTCACTTCAGTGGAGGACTAGGTCTGCCATCTGCCCGGGTGGGTCTCGCCACCGCAATCATCGGCTTCATCGGTCTTCCCTTACAGATATTCCTATATCCTCGCATTCAAGGAAAACTGGGAACACTCACATCGTTCCGTGCCTTCCTTCCCCTCTCTCCCTTGGCTTATTTATTGATGCCTTTCCTTGTTATTCTTCCTCGCGTCCCCTACATTGTCTGGCCATCTTTTACTTTTGTGGTGTCTTTACAAGTCATTTCTCGCACGTTCGTGTTACCCGCTGCGATCATTCTTGTCAACAATTGCGTGACCGACTCCACTGTTCTGGGGACAGTACATGGTGTCGCGCAAAGTATCTCCAGTGCCGCTCGTACCTTGGGCCCGCTCTTTGGTGGATGGGGTCTTGGCCTGGGACTTATGCACAACATGGTTGGAGCTGTTTGGTGGGCTTTGGCTGTGGAGGCTTTGATTGGATATATGGTGCTATGGACCATATATGAAGGCAAGGGAATTGAACGGCCCAAGCCTCCAGTGGACGAGGCAGAGGAAGAGGAGCGATGATTTTATCCTGGACAAATTAAGAAAAGCTATTGCCATACTCTTCATGTTTACATTTTGATCTCTTGCCGGGCTCAATTTCCTAAGTTGGACATGTGATATTTGACGATACAAATGAGATAGCTGGTCTTCTCAACTACCCATATTAAAACCACTCGAATGCTTGACAAAGCAGCACCTTACACTCACAGCCATTCTTATTTACTCCAAGTCGTTTCTCTGTGTATTTGAAATTGAGCTATGCCATTTGAAAGCCCTCCATCGCAGGATTTATAATCCTTGAATTCATTTCAAATCATCAACTAATCATTTATTCATATATCATTAGCTTAAGACAGTAAGCAATGCAGATTCCATCCTGTTGTTCCCCATTTAAACAACATTCATCCGGGTTCCTAAAACGAGGGTGCAAGAAAAGCTCTCAAGGCAAGTGTAACATCCCCATCACTAGCTCTTAGCAGATCTGTTGCCTTATTTTTTGACAGTTCCAACTGATTGACCTATCAAAAGAAACTTATTAGTCCCGCCTACACAAATACCAATGTCCGTCCGTACACATACCAGAAACGTGACATCCGCCGCCGAGATCTTGACCACCTTCTTCTTCACTTCCACTCCATTATTCAGGGCCGTGCCCGGATGCTTTTCTCCCGCTCCGTGTCCTGAAGCGATCTCAAGTCGACTCATAGCCCTACCTAGAGCTTCTTGGTCCGCACTGGATGGACCCCTTGTGGGGCTTGCTGTGGCGCCGATTTCATTGGAGTGGAGGGAGGAGAGAGCGGCGGCTGCGCTGCGGTCATCGGCGTTGGCTGGATGTGAGTTATCCAGACCTTCGTGATCTGCACTTGCAGATGGAATAGGGTCGGACATCGTAGATGATTGTGGAGCTACCGTGAGCTTGAAGTGCAATGTTGTGGTAGACAAAGCTCACTGATAAGAGACGATAACGAATGACATAATTTGTTGCCTTTTTAATCAGGTATCAACTTGACTCACCGAGCATCCGAGAATAAGCGCTTTTGTTGAAAACTTTAGGTATTTGTGGTCGCATTTTCTTTTCTTTGTTGCTTTTCAGTTGTTGATATCTTGAATCTTCTCTCTAAACTAATTGGTCTGAGCGCTATCCGATACTTCTTGACATTGCTGCTTGCTTGGCTTATTGACCCTGTCCCACCCTGTTTAAGTGGGGTTATCGGCCACACCGGCATTATGGCGGATTGGAACCCCAGCTGTACGTGACTAATCTTGATGGGTGTATTGTGCGTCAAATTGAGGTTGTTTGCTGATCAATTCCAGCTTGGACTACTAAGCCCATCAAGCAAGATGTGGTGTATGAAGATATAAAGGGCGTCAAGGACGCGCTTGAGAAATTGCAGAAGTTACCACCGCTAGTTACCACGCAGGAGGTGTGCAGATGTCCGAATTCATTTATCAACAATTTGAATGCTAACAAAGATCAAGATCAATAATCTCAAGACTAGCTTGAAAAATGTCGCTTTGGGAAAAGCATTTGTCTTGCAGGGAGGTATGTTTCCAACCCTTCCAGGCTATGTGCATATCTAATCGAAGTATGCAGGCGACTGTGCGGAGCTGTTTGACTACTGCAACCAGGAAATGATCGAAGCTAAAGTCAAGCTGCTGTTACAAATGAGTTTGGTCCTTATCTGGGGTATTGACGACTCTGCGAAAACCCTCTCCAGCAAGATTCTAATATTGGCACAGGAGCAAACAAACCCGTCATTCGTATTGCTCGAATTGCTGGCCAATTTGCTAAGTTCGTCATCTACATCACCATTGTTTATTAAAACTAAAAACTCATCATTCTTAGGCCACGCTCAAGCCCTACAGAAATGGTCAATGGAGTGGAGATGCCCTCCTTTCGGGGTGACAATATCAATGGCTTCGATGCAAATGTCGCGTCCCGACAACCCGACCCATCTCGATTGGTCTCCGCATACTTCCACTCTGCTGCAACACTTAACTACCTACGCGCCTCTCTCTCGTCAGGCCTAGCAGACCTGCACTCCCCATTGGACTGGGGTCTCGGTCACGTCATCACCCCCTCTATAAAAGAGCAATACAGCAAGACTGTGAGCGCCGTCAAGGATGCACTTAGATTCATGCGTACAGTCGGCATCGACAAAGACCGTGGCGTCGAGACAGCAGACATTTTCACCAGCCACGAAGGTCTATCTCTAGAATACGAGCAGACACTCACAAGACTCCTCCGCAACCCCACTGACCGAAAACACACCGGCACAACCACCCACCAGCCAACTTCTAACTTCTACGCAACCTCTGCCCATTTCTTGTGGATAGGTGACCGAACCCGCCAGCTGGACGGAGCTCATGTGGAATTCTTCCGCGGAATCGCCAATCCTATTGGCATCAAGATCGGGCCCAGCATGGCAGCAGACGACCTAGTCCAGCTCCTGGACGTCGTGAACCCAACTCGGGAAATCGGGAAGGTCACCCTGATCTCGCGGTATGGTGCGGATAAGATTTCCAAGTTCCTACCTGGTCATATTGCTGCTGTGCAGGCTTCGGGCCATGTACCCGTCTGGCAATGTGATCCCATGCATGGGAATACGCAGAGCACGCCGTCAGGTGTCAAGACTAGACATTTTACTGACATTCTAGCGGAGCTACGGCAGGCCTTGGAGATTCATCGTGCGTCTGGGTCATTCCTTGGTGGTATGCATCTTGAATTAACTGGAGAGGCTGTTACGGAGTGTGTTGGTGGTGCGGCTGGGTTGACGGAGGATGGGCTAAGTGAGCGATACACCACGTTTTGCGATCCGCGTTTGAATGAGAAGCAGGCTCTTGAGCTCGCCTTCCTTGTCGCAGGCTTCTATCGGGAGGAGGAAGAAGATTAAAAAGTTCATTGTAGTGCACGACCTGGGTCAGCAGGTATCTCGGGTCTGTGAAAATGCCATTTTGGATTCTTCACTATTTGCTTATGAAGACTCGAAGTCACTTGCCAAGTCTCTCCCTCATAACTCCCCTAATACCTCCGAGCCTTATTCTCTTTACAAGGACTCTAAGCTCTTTTCTGTGTTACACACTAATAATCATGTATCTCTTTATTAAGACCAAGGCAAAACCAAGCAGATAATAGAACACTGATATCACGTACTTGAAAAACTAATCCCAAGTAGGAAGTAGGGTGTACAAGAGAGATTTAGAGTGAACAAAATAGCAATTCCTCAAGCCTAGTACACCAATTTCATTATCGCAATCAACCAAGAGATGAAAAGAAAACGCCCGTCAAGAAATGCCCCATATGTACAGTGGAGACAAAATGTATTTACAATGTTCGTGAAAAATATCATCGTGCAAGCGGGCTTGCAACAGCAGGTTTGTGGAAAAGACTCTTGCGCCGCGCCGCCTCCATACGAGCGCGTTGCTGACGTCTAGCATCCTGGTCGTCTTCTTCTTCGAAACTCAGTGCCGGCTTGCTCTCTGGGAACAAGCCACGGCCACTCTGCTTTGGTGGACACGATTGCTGGACCAGTTTGGTGCGGTTGGAGAGGAAGTATGGGGTGGCTGGAGACATGCCAATGGCATCCAGGTTGGAGAAGTTGTAGCCCGGTGTTTGTGGGACGTGGGAGCGGTAAGACTGTTGAGTGGGCGTAGATGGTTCAACGACGGGAGTTGGGGGTGTTATCTTGCGGAAGCCTTCGATGGCACCACGGTCGGCACCGCAGCGACGTCCGCTAGCAGAGGGTGTTGAAGGCTCGGCGACTCGAACAAGCGTGCCGTTGACGTTGCTCAACGCACGGGGCTCCATGCTCTTGCGACGTTTAGCACCACCTCGGGGGATAATGGACCGGTCGATGGCGTAGGGGGTCTCGTCGACCCATTTGCCTTCTCGCTCGCAGCTAGAAAGGTTTAGTAAATGAAAATGCACAGCTCGGACAGCAACTTACTCAAGAACCCAACCAACGCCCACGCACTTCACCAGGCCGGCGGCTTGCTTGACCTTCTCCAAAGTTCGAAGACCACCATCCTTATAGACCACATGAGTGATGCCAACCTTGGCCACCGAGTGGCTGGGGTCTACTCCATCAACAGGGGACATGCTAGTCCTGGGGTTCCAAGACCACGACTTAAAGCAACGGGCACCCATCTGTTGCAAAAGCTCAATGAAGATACCAGAGGCATCTTCACCTTCAGTAGTATGAACATCGACGTACACCACTGCGCCACGAAGGGCTTGCTTTTTGGGGCTTGCTTTCCGACGAGGAGTCTGGCCGGGACTGCTCACGACGGAAGGACTTCTTGGCGGAGCCATAGATGAAACTCTTGCGCTAGATCGCCGAGCTTCGCTGCAACGACGTTTCGGACTGGGGCTTCGGGGGACCTGGATCTCCTTTCTAGGGGAAAGGTCGGGGGCGCTGTTTTTGCGAGGGGGGAAGATGGAGTTTCGAATCCGTGACGAGGATCGGGAGGGGGATGTGTTAGAGAGTGAAAGACCGCGCTTGCGAGGAATTTTCAAAGGAGAAGCCTCTCCCTCTCCTTTCAAAGGCACCTTAGACACCGTGTGGAAGGTGCGAAGGTGCTCGGGAACCGCTTTCATCGGGGTGGCTGGCAGGAGGGAAGGGGCTGGCAGATTTTCTTTGTCCTCTTCCGAAAAGTTTTGTTTGTGATCATCAATTGACTTATTGGGCAGGCTCTCACGAGGGCGAAGATGCTCAGGGATGATGGGCTCAAGGTCTTCGAAAATATCACTTCTACTGGGTGAATTAATCATTTCATCGTCTTCCTGAGCGGAAGAAGACTTTTCAGGCGAGTGAGGTCCAGATGTCAAGAAACTATCTTCGTTATAGTCTCGTAGAGGCAGCTCCGAGAAAAGACGCGGCGTAGTTGCAAGAGAGCGACGCGAGAGATCAGGGTATGGAATATCGCCTTCGTCCGGAATGTGGGGCTGGGCAGATCGTTCCAACGGGCCAACAAGAGAAAACACACCTCGGCGACGTGGACGTGCTGGTCTCTCCTGGGATGGAGTATTGGTTTCCCAGCGGCCGAGCTTGCTTGCTAGTGGCGTGAAGCCCAGGTTAACGTTGAAGCCAGATCGTCGCCTTCGAACACTCGGCGAACCAGAGAAGCTCAGTGGAGCGGGAGTAGGAATTTCCGATTGGGTTGTTTCCATGGGGCTGTTCACTATATCCATACGCTCATGGGTGTTGTTGATCTCGAAAAATGGGGTGCGAGAAGTGGCACTTTCCAGCAGAGACAAAGGAGTAGCCTGGCGTGCTGGAGTCGATGCCCGCGGAGTAGCCGATCCCATCCTGGAAAGTGGGCTTTCTTCGCGGTTCCTCATTTCGTACGGTGATTGAGGTGGGGGGACTGCAAGAGTCGCTTCAGATGGTATAGCAGTGGGCTCATCATCAACTACTTCATCCTCTTCGCTTTCAGCTTCTTGTTCCTCATATGTGCTGTGTACAACGCTGCCAGATTCTTCAACATCGTTTTCTTCATAATCATCTTCAATGCTCTCAACTTCGTAGTTTCGAACGGGTGTCGGGGATTCAGGCTGTTGGAGGGCAGAGTCCTGGAAGATAGCCAAATCAAGTGGTGACTCCGAGGAGTTACCACGAACCGAATACTCAACTTCATTTGCAGGTGAAGGAGCTAGCTCAAGGATGGGTTCAAAAGATTGTTCCACAAAATCGTCTGCCAATTCATCGTCCCCGTCGCTCTCGTCCTCATGGACCGAGTCGATATCAGAATAGGCATTAGGCTCAGTGATATCCTCTGTGGGAAGATTCCTAAAGGACTCCTGCAGGTCTTCCATGGTGTTGAAGCATATGGTTCCGAAGTCATCTGGCTCGCGACGAATTTCCTCCTGCAGCTCTTCGATCTTCTCGTCAATATCCACCTCCTCCGCGTCACTTATCACAGACTCGACATCCTCAGCTTCTTCTACTTGTGGTTCAGGTATTTTCTCGGTATCAAGAACTTGTTGAGGTGAGGGAGACTGCGTTGGAGTTCTGCTTGAAGATTGCAACTCAATGCCAAAGATATCACGAGCAACCTCCTCCACCATCTCAAGATCCTCGTCTACAACCGGCTCTTCTTCTTCTTGGTAGGAAGACAGGCGCTTGTTGGTTGAGCTAAAGAGAGGCGCTCTGACGGTGCTATCGCCAGATGGTGTGGTCGACTCGTTCACGGAGGATTCAGCAGAGAAAATAGAGCCTTTGAAAGGGGAGGGAATTCTTTTAGCAGGGCTTTGGATGAAAGAGGAGCGAGCAGGAAACGACGGAGTCGTGGTCTTGCTTGGCAATTGGGAAAAAGAGGCACCCAAATGAGCCTTTCGTGGGGACATCCTCAGAGGGGAGGGTGGTCTGTGAGAGAGATCAAAGGCTGGCGCAGTGTCTGATACATCACGGAAGAGGCCCTTTCGTGCGGACATCTTCAGAGGTGAGGATGCGCCATGGGATAGGTCAAAAGTAGGGGCAGTGTCCGAATCATCACGGAACAGAGAACCGCGGTTCGGTGTGTTTCTGAATGAGAATCGGAATGGTGACGACTGCTCTGGTCGTCGAGCAGGGCTGGACATGAAAACTGAATCGCTGAATTCCATAGCCTTTCCAGGCGGAAGCGCCAGGTGGTCATTGTCTGTGACGGTGTGTTGACTGCGGTTGGGAGTGAAGTTGATTTTTCGGACTGGTGAGCTTAAACCAGTTGTTGATGATCCGTGTTTTGGTGTAGGGAGCTTTGGTTCACCATTCTCGTCGATGAGACTTGAAGCTTTCTTAGGGGTGAAATTGATTTTGCGCACAGGGGAGCTCAGGTTGGCGGGTTCCGATGCATGCTTGACAGGGGAATGAATGATCAGCTTGACGGGACTCTTGATATTGTCCTTGACTGCGCTCAATTCATCCTCTTCGCCATCAGAGCTGGCATAAGCCGAAAGCGACTTGGCCACCTGTTTATCCTTCTTAGGTGACAGCGGTTTTGTGGCATTCTTCTTGGCTGCAGGCTTGCGCCCACGGCCAGTTGCTATGGCTTTGCGCATCGGTGTAGCTCTCAGACCAGCCTTGCCCGCAGCCCCCTTTGCAGAAGCCTTCTTGCGTCCTACGGGCGCTGCTGGCTCTTCGACATCCTCCTCAGAATCCGATACATCTTCAAAAGTGACGGTCTTCTTCTTTGCAGGGCCACGCAGTAGGTTGGAACGCATGGTTGTTGAATTGGTCGCAATGAGAATGTTCTTGGTGCCTGTGTCCTCAACGGACGCCTGAGCCTCGGCCACTGCTCGGGTCGTCTTACGCGTCGTTGTAGTGGCCTTGGTTGTGGCCGCCTTTGGTCGGCCCCGCGGCTTGGGAGCGCTCTCAACCTTGGCGGGGGGATCTACCTGGGTTTTCTTCGGTCTTCCAACGCGTTTCTTCGGCTCGACATTGCTTGTCGCTTGGGCATGAGGTTGTTCGGAAGCAGCCGGTGTCACGTTCCTTCCTCTGGATGCAGCAGTGGCTCCAGTCGCAGAGCGTGCAGGTCTACCTTGCGGGCGAGCGACCTGCGCTGGCTCCTTCATCATCATTCCTAGCTCATCATCTGTGTCGTCCGAGTCATATTGCGGCGCGGTCGCTTTGACGGGGGCTCGTTTCCTGACTTCTGCAGTTTTTGCTTTGGCCGTTTTGTTCAATGTCGTTCGAGGCGCTGCCCGAGCTCCCCGTTTGGCGGGGGACGGTGGGAGAACGGCCGCGCGTGCCATTTTGGCGATGTTATTCTTTCGAAATTCGTGTCGCGCGTCAAGGCTGTCTATGGTCGGTTAATGTTGTCGGTACCAACCTGCGCGCATGGCGGGTTCTGTCTCAAGTAGTCACGGGTGGCGGGTAAAGTGCGGAATGCATTAAGCTGCAATGCAAAATATACGGTGGAGCGTGTTTGGTTGAAGCTTGGTGAACTCGCGTGGTTTCCATGGTAACGGGTCACCTGATGATCGACAACAAGGGATCAATAACTATATTCTGCAATAAACAACCCTTCAATGTTGACATTGGGAGTCTATAATCAATAATTGAATACATTCAAATATTGAGAGTGCATGTTAAGCTATCTACATATGAACTGGCTTTCTCCTTCTCGTTTGTTTTTACAAGTATCTAATCTAAAAGGGATTCGTGTCAATATTGAACCCAGCGCTGGTCTCCTTGACCTGGCTATATATGTTTCCGAACACACGCCCGTGTACTACCACGACATCCAAATGCACAGGTGGATGTTTTCAAGAATTTTTGGAAGTCTCAAGGATCCTTTTGACAGGAATGTCTATTCCAGGGCAACTCAGACAGCATAGATAAGAATAGGATGGAACAAAAAAAACCCAACAGATGATCACATTTCAAGATCAGTTGCAGATGAGATTTGGGAGGCCTCAAGATTCAGGGAAGATCACTGCCGTCACCCGTAGACTATAAATACTCCGAAAGGTAGTGATAGAGCGATAACAGGTACCTACCTAATTAGGTAGCAGCTGGTGCCACCCAGTAAGCACTGTAACACTAGAGGATGACCCGCATAGATAAGCGGGAAAGAAGGGTATTCTCAACATTATCGAGGGTGTAACATCGGGAGTCCCCCTTATCAGTTCTGACCGTTTAGCGCTTACTGGCCACTTCAAATGATACCAACATTTGAATGTACATACAACCTGACCATCAAATATCAGAATATGACTTGTATACGGCTTTGTCAATGTCCAATGTTACATCAGGTTTCACCCTCAATTGAATGGTTAATCAACTCCCCCGGTTTCACCCCCGCACTTCTAAGCCATGTGAGTGCGCACGACCCCACTCGCACCATGAAGTTACATCCCTGAAACGCCCATCTACCACCAGTCCATCTGAGATGGAGCTTCCCATGTGCCGAGTGGAGAACGGCCCCAGGGCTTTCCACTTGGAATAAATCAGGCGACCAATGATCGCCAATTAGCATTTGGGCTGAGCTTACGGCTTATCAGCTACTCTTGCCGGACCGTAAGATTAGCCTTTCCGTCGGTCAATTTACACATTCTGATTGGCTAAAGTATTGATGCTGGTTCACCAGGTCCAGGATCTGGTAAAGTTCTAGTTCTTTAAAGCTCCTTTCCCCCCCCCGCTTTCTTTTTCCTTTTTCTCACTTGAGAAGTTGTGAGGCTAGCACTATGACTACGGAAAATAAATCTATTGGCGTTGAAGCCATGGCTGATGAGCATGATCATGATCAAAGTACTGTCGCCGAGGTCCCGGATCTGCCTCAGGGGTGGATGTACAGACATCGACGGATATTTGGTCTCAATATCCCGTGGTATGCATCGCCAAGAGTTCAGTTGGTAATGGTCGCATTCGTGTGTTTTATGTGCCCGGGTATGTTTAATGCGCTCGGTGGAATGGGTGGTGGTGGAAAGACAGATGCGACTTTGGCGGATAACATGGTGAGTCGCGTGATCATAACCTCAAGCTACTACTGACTAGTCACTAATGGAATTAGAACACCGCTCTTTATAGTACCTTTGCAGTCTTCGGTATCTTTGGTGGCACATTCATCAACAGGCTCGGAGTTAAATGGACCCTCGCATTTGGAGGTACCGGATACTGCCTCTACGCAATTAGTCTGCTAGTCTCCCTCTACCACAATGTGGAGGGATTCAACATTTTCGCCGGTGCCTGGCTCGGTATCTGTGCTGGTCTTCTCTGGACCGCACAGGGAACCATCATGATTTCCTACCCAACGGAGGAAAAAAAGGGAACATACTTCGCCTGGTTCTGGGGCATCTTCAACATGGGCGCCGTGATTGGTAGCTTGGTAGGCGAACCCATATCTTCAGTATGATTGTTTCTAATCTAAGCTATTGGTAGATCCCCCTCGGCCAAAATATGAACGTCAAAACAAACTCCACCGTGTCCCCAGGAACCTACATCGGCTTCATTGTCCTCATGTTTATCGGCGCTCTCCTAGCCCTCTGCCTCTGTAACGCAAACGACATCGTCCGCCCAGACGGCACCCGCGTCATTCTGATGAAGAACCCAAGCTGGCAATCCGAGCTAATCGGACTCTGGGAAACCCTTCGCTTCGAGCCCTTCGTCATCCTCTTATTCCCCATGTTCTTCTCCTCCAATTGGTTCTACGTCTACCAACAGAACGGCATGAACAGCGCACATTTCGATACGCGCACAAAGGCACTGAACAATCTCCTCTACTACCTTGCTCAAATCATCGCTGCCGCTATTTGGGGTGTGCTCCTCGATAGCCAGCGTGTGAAGCGGTCGCTTCGCGCAAAGCTAACTTGGGCGGTGCTTTTCGTGTTGACCATGGTGATCTGGGGTGGTGGGTATGCCTATGAGAAGACCTATACCAGAGAGTCTGTGAATACGAAGCTGAACCCCGACTTTACACCAACGGATTGGACGACGCACGGATATGTCGGTCCCATGTTCTTGTATATCTTTTACGGGTTTTATGATGCAGCTTGGCAGGCCAGTCTCTACTGGTAAGTACTAGCATATCACAGTGTATTCTATGAATTACGACTAATATAATGACAGGCTCATGGGTGCGCTTTCGAACTCTGGTCGCCGTTCGGCGAACTATGTTGGATTCTACAAGGGCATTCAGTCCGTCGGCGCTGCGGTCGTTAACAATCTCGATTCGCGCAAGCTTTCCTACAAGAAGGAATTCATCAGTAACTGGGTCCTTCTCTCTGCGTCGCTCGTTGTCGCTGCTCCTGTTATCTTCTTGAAGATTCGGGATCATGTTGATGTGGAGGAGGACCTCGCTGGTACTGACGAGACTCTTGCGGATGTTTTGCCCGCGGATCATCCCGAAAAAGTCGGGGCTTGATTTTAATCATTTTTAGATAATTTGGCATTGGACACGAAGTGATGAATGATAAATGTATGGATATAGGAGGCTCTGGGTAATAAGGTTGTGGTTTGATGTCTGATTGGTATCTGCAGTATAGAAGAGCTACGGGTTATACATTATGAATTCACTTATTTTGGATAAATGAGGTATACTTTCAAGTTAAAGGATACTTAAGTACTCGTCACTGGCATGAAAAAATCTTTTGAAATTTGTTTATGGGTATATGTCACTGCACAGAGCCTGGCACCTCACTCGAGGCACCTAGGCCTCACAGATTATGGTTCAAATATTCGTACATCGAAAACCCGTAATTCATGGCGCGAATTCGCAAGATCCACATGATAAAAATGGAAGCAATAGAAAAATGGTGATTTAAAGTTAAAGCTTCAAGTCCAACTACACCATGGTGAAGAGGGCCGCCACACTGGCCGCGACAACAGTTGAAAGCACGGTAGGCATAAACATGCCAGCGTCCGAAGATGACAGAAGATCCACCGGCTCGAATGTGTTAGGAGTGGTGGAATTGGTGGTTCCGTTCCAGCAGTAGTCGGTGAAGCACTGGGTACAGATCTCAGGGAGATCGGTGTTTGTGCGCTCGAAAGAGCGGCTCAGGATAGCACAGCCAACACAGGCAGTGAAGTTACCGTCAAGGGTACCGTTGCCCATGGTGACAACCTCGTAACCGTTGGTAATGATGTTGTCACGCTGCCAATCCTCGTAAGTCATCTGGTAGGTAGAGGTGTTGGACTGAGAGCTGTAAGGGGTGTTGGCGAGGTAGACAACGATAGGGGCTGGGCCGGTGATGTTGGAGCTGTTGCAGCCGAAGAAAGTAGGGCGGGTGTTCAGGCCCAGGTTGATAAAGGTGTTCTGGTCGGGAATGGCGGGGAAAGCGGTGCCGTTGCCGATTCCTGAGACGTTCAGGCTGCGCTCGTAGGTGGCCACGAGGGAGGTTCCGTTGGGCCAGTAGTAGTCTGTGTCAGCGGAGGAGTCAATAGCGAAAATGACGTCGACAGCGCGAGCAGGCTGGATGAGCGGGTGCAGAGGAATGTTTTGTCCATCCTCACCACCGTCGGTAATGTCCAGTGCATCTCCCAAGGCCAGGGAGTCGTCGTTCCATCCGTAGAATGGGTTGGGCTCGTACGAAGCGATATCGTCGTCTGAGCTGTCAAACTTGGCGAAAAGGTCCTTCAAGATGTCCTCTGCCCACTCGGTGATCTTTGATGAGTTACTACCCAGCTCGGTGATGGCCTCATTGAAGAGGGTGGAGGAAGTTCCAATAATGAAGCCCGCGTTGTCGTATCCACGGACACAGGTCTCGTTGCTGGAGATAGAACCATTCTCAAACCGAGAACCGATGTACTCAAGAGGTGCGAATGCATAAAGGGTTGGGTCGAAAGTACCAAATTCCCAAGGGTTGAATTCGAACACAGTCGAGTAGGAAGAAGCAATAATTTCGCCAGGGGTACGGCTGTCGGCAACAACCAGTGGCATTGGGTAGTCACCATCGATGAACGCTTGGGTCTTCGCAATAGACGACCAAGTGTAGTCTAAACCTCCGTTACTGGCATTGAACATCTGGAAAGCCAGAGCACGGCCCCTGCGATAAAAATCAGCATTGTTCCGACAATTATCTTCATCTGGAAATGAGATACATACCAAACATCGGTAAGAGAGGTATCGTAACCTGCATTCTTCTTGTCCTCAACAGCCTCCGCCAAATCCTTGAAGTAATCCGCCGTATCTAAAATCTGAAGACCACCAGTATCCGGGCCCTCGAAAATATTATTTCCGAGCTGCCATACCTCACCACTGGAGTAAGTCTGCAAGTCCGCAATGGACGTGAAGTTGTTGATATAGATCGAACCAACCAACCAACTACCACCACTCAGACCAGCAACATAAGTAGCTGCCTGCAGCAAACCACCTAGGTGACCCGAGGCAGTGGAGTTAGTCACACGGCTATCAAACGCCTTGATACCACCAGCACCGTTCAACATAGCACGGTAACCACCACCAGAAGCCGCGATAGCGATATTGGGAAGGTTCGACACATTCGAGGAGTGCTTGTCAATGTATGCGCCGACATCGTAGTCACCAACAGAGACGTGGTCGAAAAAGTTCTTCATAGGGGTAATAGTCTTGTTGCGACGGACCTCGAGCCAAGAGGTCTCATTGGTAGAAAGCTTCGCGGCACTGCGAACAGTCGGCCGACTGGCCGGGCAGCTCACATTGGTCGGAGTATATCCATTAGGAGCATTGGGGAGAGCGCGACGAATAAGATCAGCTACGACAGCGGCACTTTCTTGTTCGAAGTCTGTGCTTGGTGCAGCATTGACGGCTAAGATCGCGTTTGGTTAGCAATTGCTGGGTATGACGTGTGGAATTTTTGTAGCTGATATGCTACCGCGGGAAGGTGGAAAGGCGGAAAGGTGGATTGGATATACGTACCAGGCAGAGCACCCAGCGCCAAAGAGCTGATTAATGTAGACACTTTCATGGTGAATCGTTGACAACCTCAAAAGTTGCAATGATCTAGGGGGTAAAGCCAGGGGCTTGAATTTATTTATGCTCCGGGGAAGCCGGAAGGCCAACCAAGCGGAGCCCCCAATATTTGGGAGCTATTGCGGTATGTCCATTGCAGTAGTGCCTTGTTAAGCGAATCATGAAATGGGGCATCTGAGCATAGTGGAGAACTGGTGGAACTAGTGATGTCAATCCCGGTCGGAATCGAACTCTGCATTTCCCTCTCGATTTACGGCCCCCGAGAATCTACCGAGAATAGACATTTTTGGTTCAATTCCATTTTAGGCCGACAAGGCTGAAGTGGAAAGTTGCAAGAGAAGTCCGTGGGATTTGTGGGTTCCACAGGCTGTAGAGGCTTCAAAGGGCCAATTGGCTCCAACATCATTGAATGAAGTCAACACTAGCAAAATGTGTCCAAGCCACGATGTGGCATAAGCTGTGCAAATCCAGAGAGAACAAACCCAAATAATTCATTAAATTGTGGCGCAGGTTTATACAAACTAGTTTATCTCTCGTAGTTCTATCTCTGATTCGTCCAGGGAGAACGGATAGGTCGATCCACCAGAGACCCTAGCAAAATGAACCGAAGGATTTAGTGGATAAAGTGGGGGTAAAAGAAATGAGCCACACCGAACTATCCGAGAAAATTCTATATCTTTATCCGTAACCGAGTACGGAGTACGGAGTACATCATCCAGGCAACTACATTAAAGTGCATTCGGGGCGATGCACTAGGGCCTGATCGGGTATACGTTTCGATTGTTTAGGCATCCAGCTGCTTATACTCCGTACAGGGATCCACGGTGTAGTCCCACTGAATTCACATTGTAGGCGCCTTACATCTCAGGCATCAATAATACAATTGTTGTCATCCCGATTCAGACTAGCCTGGTATGACCATAGCCTCTTGTCACCCCGTGATCTGTTTTGCTCCTCTGCTACATATTGCGTAGGTTCTCTTCTGAGTGTTCCATAGTGTGACCTCAACAGGGATGCGTGGTCTTTTCACCTACTACTTTAGCTTCAGCTTCCACTCAGATTCAGCATTGTACAGCCTTGAGACAAAGCACGTGCAGAGATGGAGTCTTTTGTGTATATAGAGATGAGGCGGCTGAAGGCATACAAAGAGAAATGCTCTATTCGTTTTTGTTTGAAGAAATAACAGATATGTAATAGTAGATATCATCTGTGTCCGTTGATATTGGTTTTCTTTCCTCAGTCATCAAGAAGTACGTAAGGACAGTTGTAGTGCTCTAACTCTCAATGTGGAAACCAGGTAGATAGAATAGGAAATATCACAAATGATACGACGATCAATTCGATACCAAATCAGGAGTTATAAGGATCGTCGTGATTGGGACCCATTGGGACCCCACGGCGCTCTTGAACGGCCCGAAAGATCGACATCGTCGTGGGGCTACAGGATCTCTGTCAACATTCCCTCAAGACGTGGCGGGCGAGGCAATCACCTAATTTGGATATTACTTTTATTGAAATTACGTGTCAGAGACCATCAATCAATTAAGTAGTGATAAAATGAAAGCATACAGTCATGCCACATCTACAGTAATATCAAAAGAAAAAGGAACAAACTTAGTACTAGATCCTGTTCAGCTATCAGCCCTTCACGGGACCAATTTCTGCGGCCTCCAGAGTACCAATGGCAGCCTTCTCGTCGGCAATAACACGACCCTCGGGTAAGTTGTTGAGCTCGTCTTCCTCCTTGTCCAGGCTCCAGAACGACCACATGAGTCCCACACCACCAAAGGCGGCCAACACGGCGAAGATACCGTAGTTCCAGATAAGGAGCGGATCGGCAGAGAGTGGGTTCAGTGCCTCGGCGATAGCAGCGGAGATGGCATTGGTGAAGAGCGAAATAGCCTGAATTAGGGAACGCATGCCACGAGGAGCTTTTGAGTAAGCGTACTCGAGGGAGGTAATTGAGGCAAAGATCTCGGAGAAGGCAATGAGAACATAAGCGCCCGTTTGAATCCACACATTCAGAGGAGCAGGGCGAACAGTGCCATCATCTGTGTAGCAGTTGTTGGCTTGGTAGCCACAAGGCGAGGTCTTGTAGATGTAGTACTGGACGACTGCGGACCAGACCATGGCTAGCGCAGCGAGCATGAAACCGACGAAAATTTTCTTGATGGCTGTGAATCTGAAGCCCATCTTCCGGAGACCGGGATAGATGAAGGCATCACAGATGGGGATGAAGATGATCAAGGCGAAGGGATCCAGATTGTTGACCACGTCGTTGGGCACGCCGTGTAGGGTCATGGTGCTGGCCTGCGCAGTCAGGTTGTTGGTCAGCTGGCCATATGCCAGCCAGTACAGTGGGTACCAGCAGAAGACGGCACAGGCGGCGAAACCACGGCGCACCTCGTCGACCCAGGCATCGTCGAAGGTCATCCACTTAGGGCGCAGGTGTGGTGGGATGTTGGATGGCTTGGCGCATTCCCAGAGGGTGCCGTCGTGGGTGCGTTTCCAGAACTTCACGGGGTTCCAGTGCCAGCGGTCCTTGAGAGCGAACAGGAGAGTCTGCACTGCTTTGGAGGTGACTGAGCCCTGGGGAGGAGACTGGCGGTAACGCTTGCGTCCCCACCACATCACGAAAGGAGTAGTCAGGAACATGAGGGTGGGAAGCAAGAATGCCAACCAGAAACCAACGTATTTCTCTGCGTACGCCATTCCAATTTGACCGATCAAAGCACCAATGTTGATGAACAGATAGAAGTAGTGGTAGATTCGGCTCTGAGTGATTGTGGGGTCGACAATGACACGCTCGCCTGATGGCAGAACACGCACTTTGAGGTTCACCACAGGGATCTGTTCGACAACAAGTGCCGAGATATTGGGCTTAAAACCACCAGTACCCAGACCCATAATGATGACACCCAGCATGAAGACAGCGAAGCAGGCCGTTGTGTCTGTGATTACCGTTGGAACGGCAGAAACGACCAGAATGATGTGGCCAATGATGGCAATACCGATAGACCAGCAGATGGTCTTGTATCGGCCCCAGTACTCATCGGCGATGTAAGCACTAAGCAGTGGAACACAGTAGCACCAGAAAGTATTAAAGGTGTTGACACCGTTGGCAGTCTGGACACCCTTTCCCAAAGCTCCAGAAACACCTTGAGAAGTTCCACCACCTGCGCCAGTCCAATGGTTTGAGCCGGCAGGGCCGTTGATCTGGGGAAGTGCGTGGTTCACGAAGTTTGAGTCTGTCATCTTGTTAGAATCAGAGTTATATTGGATGATTGATCTTCACATACACAAAATTTGAGTTCCATAGTAGGAGAATCGCTCGCACAACTCGACAAAGGCGACCGTATAGACAGCCCAAGGAATCGGGGCTGAGATACGTCGTAGAGCATCTGGGCCATCCAGTTCTTCCGAGGTTGGGTCTTCATCGCCAATTTGCAGGTTGTATGCCGCTGAGACGAGGCTCTTCTCAGGCTTGTGGGGGTCGATGGCCTCAGTTTTTGCGACGGCCTTTTCCTGACTACCCTCGTGGATCTCCATGGAGCCAGATGAACGGGATACCTCTAAATCCGCCATGATGCAGGACGAACGAAGATGCTAGCACCCAGGACAGAGGAAACAGTGAGGGGAATATGTTAAAAGATCAACAGTTGAGGGGCAAACGGAACACAAACAGGGGGGTGATCGTCCTTATACATGTACTTACTGCCTCGGACCAGACCGAATGAGAATACAAGGACAAATATCCATTACTATTGGCTTCCGCATGCCAAGATGTTTAATTTTCCTATCTGTTGACACCATGAGGTGCTAGTTTTTTAGTGGCACGAATCCACGCTATACTGGCTTATTATTGGAGACATTCCGCCACCAAGAAGTAAACACTAATCATATTTGGACTAGTTCATGTAACCCGAGCCACGTTAGTGTGACTTCAACATGCAATTCCTTGTGAGTGGTCGCGATAAAAGCTCAAAGATATCGAATGCCAAGACAGCCCCCGCAAGAGAAGCTTAGCCTAGACCTGGGGTCCTGCTGTCGTGGGACCATCTAATACATTCAATGCCGAAAGCTTCCTACTCTAGTTCAAATTTCTACGAAATAACCTCTAGGAAAGTCGAGGCCGAGTACGAGAAAGACAAAATCCTTGGCTACAAGTGAGGACTTGGGTCAGGACATGGAACTCCGACGGAGAGAGAAAACCCACGGACAGCCCGCGTCTTGGTCTTGGTCTTGGCACTTCTTATCAGAAATGAAAATCTTGGCATCTTGTGATCACTGATTGGTTCATTAGTTCGTCTTGGCATCGCCTATCGGGGGGGGATTCTGGAATTTCAATCGAAAGGTCGGTGTTGCCGAAACAGGGATTTCTGTTTCAAATCCTGACGGAGGCCAAAGCCAACAGATTTATCATTTATATCATCCAATCAAGATTGCTCTTTATTGCAGTTCATCTTTGTTAGTGGCGCCCATACATAGCTACTACCCCTGTTAAACCAAAAGTTTGCCTTGTGGCAAATCCTTATCTGTGCCTCAAGACTGGTCATGCTACTTGACTGGTGCAAAATCCCACTCCCTTGCTAGTACCACCTGCGCTTGATGTATTTTGGCATCCTCGGCGTCATCAAAGTGCTTGTGAGCTGACAACTGCCCGGTCTTGTCGGGCCGCTGGAAGTAGGGTGAGTCCACCTCGCATTGCGTGTATTCCTCGGGTAATTTGCCCTCGTATAAGAAAGCTCTCACGTGTTTCGCAATGCACACAGACGGTACTGCAACAGAGCAATGTCCGTATGCCTTGAGCTCGACAATCTGCGAGCCCTCAAATGCCTCGTTCGCTGACCGCGCGGATACACGTGGGCACACGGGGTCATAAGTCGTTGAGAGAATCAGTAGTGGGTGCGCCGTTTTAACACCTTTGCGCGGCACATAAGAATGTGTCTTAGGTACAGCCCAGTGCTGCCGAGCGTGGTAACCTTTGATCTGCGAACCGCCGAACATGCTTAGGTTGAACAAGGGCACGATCTCATCCAGGAACGCCTGTCTGTCCCTAGGCCAGTGGTCTGGGCCACTCAGACCGTCGTTGAGGGTAATAAAATCATTTCCTTCATGATGCGTTGCCCGAGTTTCTTCAATCCCATATGCTAAAAATGCAGCTGTAGCATTTCCTTGGATGAGTTTGTATATATTATCTGCGAGGGTCGTCCAAGTCGGAGGTTTGTATAGGGCTTCGAAAAACCCATTATACCAGACCTTCCCATAGTCAAGCAAGCCATAAAGGGAGTTGTCAATGTACACACTGACAGGCTGCTTTTTAAGCGCATCTAGGTATGAGAGCACCGTATCACGTAATTTATCCTTGGATGTAGCCAACGAGGCCAGGGGACAATTTCCTGCTCCCGCCTTGATACACTCATCAAAGAAGCCATCGAGCACTTTGTCCGTATCAACCAACGACTCTGCTTCAAAAAGATCTTCGTACCATTCAAATTGATTCGCAATCCCATCAATGATAACACGCTTCGATCGCTCGGGAAACAACGTTGCATATGTCTGACCCAGTAGACTGCCATAACTGAATCCCCAGTAGATCATGTCCTTCTGACCCAGAGCATCAAGAATGCTGTTCATGTCGGCAGCTGTCTGAGGGGTATTGAGATATTTGGCATATTCGCCCATCGTCTCAGGACATGCCTTGGCAAAGTTCTGCGCCCACGCATAGACCTCAGGGCTATCACCCTGTAAATCCAGAGATCGAACGCGGGACAATTCCTGCCGGGTCTTCTCGTCGGGGTAGCAAGAGGCGGTTGGCGTGGAGCTGTTAATCCCGCGAGGATCAAACGAGAGCAGGTGGAAACCTTCGCCGATAATGGCCTTTAGTTGCTCGCCTCTGCGGTAGAGGAATTCAAAGCCGCTGCCCCCGGGACCACCAGGGTTCAGAAGGAGGTTTTGGGTCGCGTTGCTGCCTCGCATGCGAATGAGAGGGATGGTAAAGCTCTTTGTTCCGGAATTCTCCGGATTGAATTGGTCCATGGGGACATCAACAGTACTGCATTCTAGGGAACTGCCCTCAAAATCCCCGCAGGACTCCCAGCTGATATTCTCCCCATTGTATCTGAAGGCCCTTGGTTTATGAGTCGGTGATAAACTGCTCAACAAGCGATCGGAAACAATGTAGAAGCACAATATGATGGACGCAATGATGACGCAGGATTTGAAACGTGAATCTCTTTTTCGATGATTTCGGGTCCAATCTCCAAGTAAATGCTTCTCATCCATGATGAAGCTGCTGTTGGGGTGTATAATAGAGAGCCTTTAAGGAGATCAATTGGTGCAAGTGTTAAATTGTAGAAGAGTCCTTATCATAGTCAAAATCACATGATAGCCAAAAGTACTTCCCCGCATTAGGCAGAAGTATCACACCAGTTTGAACTTGATAAGACCTCATCAAGCCGAGAAAGAATCAATTAGATTTCTTGCCTCTCCTACTCGATTTTTGTAAAGTAAAGGGTGATTTTATAAGCACTTGAGCCGACATCCAAAGTGATGCGTATGCCCTAATGCTATATAAGCAAAGACATCTTATAATCATGCAACTTAACACGGTCACCATTAGATTCAGAAATATCAGGATCGCAGAAGCTCAATACGCCCACCTCCATACTCACTGCACAGACCGCAAGGAACGCCGCAAAGGCCATTTGTACATGTACAGCCAGCAGTACCACTACAACCACCGCAAGCAGGAGGACATGGTCCACCGTTTCCACAACCACAATCGATAATGCATCCACCAAAACCAGTACAACCTTCAACGCATCCATTTTCACATTTAGGTATCCCCTGACATATTCCAAAAGTGCAAGTTGTCCCTGGCGAGCACACATTCCCACAGGCTCCGCAGTTTTCGAAATCAAATGCCGTCTCGGTGCACTTTCCATTGCATAGCTTTTTACTTGGAGAGCTCCTAAATGGGCCACAGGTATAACATGGGCCTTTTTCTTCTAGAGCTGGAAGTACACAGGTGAGCTCTGGGCTTGGGTAATTTTGCTCACACCATGTATTGCACTCTTCCAGCTTGTTCACGCTGCTTTGTGACCGAACAAGGGAGACTAGACATTAGATCGTATCAGATCCCATCTGATAGGCTACTTTGATAATGGCCTTACCCAGTGAAAACACGATGACCGTGATTCCGCGCATTTTGTTCAATGTATGGAAGTAAACTCGAAAAGGTTTGATTTATTTAAAATTAGCATTAGGACCTGTATAAATGTTTCAAGTGACCTGACAGGAGTGGCTCGGTCTGTCAGGGCCAATAACTGATCTAGTCAGTACTCATGACGTAAAATATGGAGATTAAATTCTCCTTCCAATATACTTATTGTCGTATCCGTAATAATTGCTCTTTAGACGAGAATAGATTTTCAAAACCATTGCCATCTCAATATATGGAGATTTTGCCCCCCTGGTGGCGACAACCTCGTATGGTCGGCTCGAACCATCCTCTGACGACAACTTCAAAACTGGATCCAACGCAACTCCAAATCAGGATCATAGTGAGATAAACTGAATCAGTCGTTTACCCGATGCCTCATGGAAGACATATTTAGAACTATGTGACTGGAAATAACTCTACATGTGTCCTGTATACCATTGGGTAAGCATTAAATATAAAATTTGTGGGTCTTTTGGTTTTCCAATATTAGATTCTTTGCATCATTCTATGTTGAAATCTTGTAACGACCTGCCCATGTGACATCGTGACATCGTGAGCAGTCTTGGTTTTCCAGCGCACCACGTATATTAGACGAGAGTACCGGGCGCAGGTCAATGACTTCACCACAGTAGCAGCGCAATTCCTGCCATTGGCCGCCTTTCTTAACCAGCACTGGAGCGATGTAGAGCCTTTTTTTGGCCAGGTCTGGTGATTCAAATACATCGTGAACAAAATAAATTTCACCCCTTGCATGGCGACACACCTAGCCCCAATAGCCTTGCCAAGACTGGTAGCAATCGCTAAACAGTATAAACGATTGGCCATCCAACACTGTCTCGCAAACCTACAGTGACGCCAGATCCGGTCGCTTACTTAGGGGCCCGAGCGATGGATCTCACTGATTGGATGAGCTCTCCGCATCTTCCCCATACTGTTCGCGCGCCAGGCTCATGGGTCGTCCCAGATAATTGCTCTGGGAAGGATCCCTGGTGCCGGAATTATGTGGTGTCGTGGCAGACATCATGGACTTGGGAGCCCGAGAGAGTACTTGGTCGGCGTGGAATGCGTCAGGTTTAGATGCAAAATTGTGTACGTAGGGATATGCTGTAGAGATCCTACTGAAACCGGAAGGCAAAGTTGTTGAACTCACGATGATGCGAACACGTTGTCTGTGAATCGAAACAGGAAATGATCACTGCTGATGCCGGCAAATGACCTGTGGAGCCCGATCTACAGTACCATGTAAAGTAAGTGGAGAGAGTGGGTCAAATCATAAGTATTGGAAGTTGCATATTAACTCGAGCGATCGATTAGTCTAATGAACATCATTTTGAAAGGATTTCAATAAAACACAAGGAAAAATTCGCTGATCATCAGGACAAGCATGCGACAAATCAAAGTCCAAAATTAACGCTCTGCTGATCCGAGACATGATAATGAAATATTAGAGGCCAGTTTATAACGCCATGCAATGGAAGACCTATACAAGGTTCACGCGTAGGAGATTCCCTTAGGAATCCAAATTACCACGCGGCATGGCCACCGTCCATGCGCAGGTCGCTGCCAGTCATGAAGGTGCTAGCGTCGCTAAGCAGGAAAACAGCAGCACCACGGTACTCCTCAGGACGAGACAGACGACCGAGCATATTCTCTTTTGGCCACTGATCGCGGCGCTCAGGGAAATCAATGAACAACTTCTCCACCATCGCAGTGACTATGTAGCCCGGAGAGATTGTGTTAACACGAATGTTGTACGGGCCCCACTCGGCAGCCAAGTTCCGGCCAAGCTGAATAACAGCAGCCTTGCTGGCGTTGTAGGCGGGACAAATAAGACCCTGTGTCATGTCAGCCAAAGCAATAATCAAAGCGGGGGCGAAATTAAATATAGAGACAGGGAGATGGGCCATTGGGCTGTCAAGTGGGGGGTGGGAATGACATGGAGGGGCGGGAACGTACCCGATTGGCAATGGTACCACTCATAGAGGCGATCATGGCAATGCTACCGCCGTTACCAAAGCGAATCATCTGCTTGGCAACAGCCTGGGCAGTCATGAATACACCAGTCACGTTGACTTCGAACATGGTGTTGCTGTCCTTGGCAGAGTACTCCAGAGCGGGAGTCTCTTGCTGGATACCGGCGGCGGCGACCAGGCCATCCATGCGGCCTTCTGTGTTGGCAATGGCCTCGATGACGCTGTTCAACAGTTCTGTGTCACGCACATCGATACGGCGGTAGTGCAACTCGGTTCCGAGCTCCTTGGCACGCTGCTGGATCACTAAGAATTCCGGGGCCTGTATCTGTGGTTAGGGTGAATGTTCTGAACAAAATGTAGATGGCTTGACACATACCGGCTCGTCCAAACGGTCAAGAGCGTAGACTTTGGCTCCAGCCTCCAGCAAAGCCTCTGACTGGGTCAGACCCAGGCCACGGCCGGCGCCGGAGACCAGCACAACCTTGCCAGCCAGGCTGAACTCTGGCATCCGGGCCTGTTGGCCCAGAATAACAGGTTGAGAAGTCATAGGGGCAGTAGGAATTTGAGTGGTTTCAATGGAGACCGACATTGTGTATGTTTGTGAGAGGTATAATAAAAACGGTATGTAGGTAGGAGGTATGATAAAGGTATGTAGATGTACAATCAAAAGACAAATGGGCAGAGATGATTTAGATATAAAAGATCAAATACAGATGTGTGAAGAGAAAGTCAACCATGGGTTGGAGCTCCCTTTTAAATTGTTTGGGAACGGGAGATATCAAGCCAAAAGCAAGCCCATCGGCAGCCCATCCCGGACGAAGGTCTCGTGAACATGAAGAGACTGGCGAAGAATCCCAAACAGGAAATCCTGGGCCAAGCTACGCTCGGTCCAGGTCGGCCCTTTCCCCGGGGAATGAAGAAAGGGCATTGGCGGCATCTCTAACGATCGTGGCGAGAAAAACAACTTGATCTGTACGGAGCAACATGATACTGTTTCACTCTTTACATCACTTTTCCCCTATTGACCATTTTTCAGTCTATTTTAGTCTTTATCTTCTTTTCAATCAAGTTAGAAATTTGAAAAGTACATCATAGTGACAATAAGGAGTGAAAAAAGTACCCATATTTCGCATCCAAATCGGTTGAAGATCTTGATCATAATTACGAGGTTCAAGTTAAAATGTAGATCGGATGCCTAGATTGGGTAAGCCGATCCGGGGACCCACGCCACTGGGACCTTAGGACTTCAGGTGACCTACAAATCCCCCAAAGCTAGATCAGTACTCTATTACGCTTATAGTATCCATCATGTGCTCGCTCTCGCTGCCCTGGTACCTGTTCCTGAATACCGGGGAAACTCAATGGCCCGTATAGCTGGAAAATCTTTTATTTCTTTTATTGGCACATTCCTACACTTCAGTGGGATTCTAGACTTGACTTTGATCTATATGGAGTGCACATGTGAAGTGTAAATATATACATGACTGCGAGATAATAGAAATTAAACATTGAACCAAGACCTGCGGATAAGATTTCCTATTGCAGCCCCAACTCAAATCAAAATCAATTAATAACAGACCAGTCCGTCGCACTAGCATAGACGCCGTGCCTCGCAGAGCACCGTTGCTATCTACAAGTCCGTGTGACCAGCAGGATTTTGTCTAGCAAAAGTGACTTACTCCTTCGGGTGATTCCGAGCTACCCCCTGCCTATTCCACCAATACAATCCCTACCGGCTTAATTATTGCCACGCTAGCTCATTCCATTGTTCCCGTGAGCAGCACCTAAATAGCAATAAACATTGAACAGATCTTCTAGAATTTGGTCGCTCAATCCCCGACTCGCATGTCCGCACATGTACGAACGGTTCCGGTTCTAGGCCCAACTAGATCCAGATCCAGATCTGGGTCTGTGCTTTTTTTGTCAAATTCTTGGGCCAATGTTCTTGTCTTGTTTCCCTTCGTTATCTAAAGATAGACATCCGGATAGATAATAAGAAATCTATAACCCGGTACACATATGGGTCTTTCCATTCGCAGAGCTTAAGCTATGGCCAGTGTGTTCGTCTCTATGGAGTGTGCCGTGCGGCCCGGTTTCCTATTCACTAGTACGCGGGTTGCTTGATCCGCTTTCCCCGGATATGTCGGTGAAGATGACTCAAAATCAGTCTCTATGCACCAATCCCCGTGATCAATAGATCTCGGAATTTACCCAGTATCCGGGTTAGTGTGTCTGGGGAATTGACTTTCAGTGTTTTTCCTTTTCTTTTTCCAGCATTTCCCTTGAAAAGTTATCCGGAGCAAATTGAAATCTTCTTACTCTGAATTTGTGGAACTTTGAAGATACGTAAGTCGTACTCGATAACTTGTGGAACAAAGAGCTAGTCATGTGGTGCGGTGGTCATTTACGTGCCATTCTAAGACGTCTACACCAACATCGGATCTAGCCTTCCAAGTTTGGACCCCACAGTCTTGATAGATGCAAACATTGGAAAAGCTTTGAGATTTTTCTTGGACACTGTCAGTATCTTAAATTGACTAAGAACATGCCCCGTAAAGTCCAGCGCCGACAAGTCCCGCCGAGGACTTGAATATGTACAATAGCATGTCGGGAGTAGGAGTAAGAACGTAACCCAGCATGTAGCCAATGAACACCCCCGATCGTCAGGATAACGTGATAAACCAGATCTCGAAAGATCAAACAAAATGAAAGGTTCGGGAAATGTGCAATGCAAAGCTGAAACAAGAAAAGGATAACATATGTATAGTCGAAAATTAGACCTAGACCGGAAACAGTCTAAGCTTCTCTGTACCCCCAAACCCGTCTTTGTTCATTCGTCCACCATTTCCCTACTTTCTCGGCTTCTTCAAGCCACTCCACTGCGTCTTCGTGGTAACCCGAACGAACCTCGTTGACAAGCTGGGATAATGTCCACGCTTTGATGGGTCGCAGCTCTCCCGGATCTTTGTCTAGGTGTGTGAAGACATACTCGAAGCCTTCGCGGAGTGGGAGAATGAGTCGGTACGGCATACCAGCGGCCGTGACGGCGATCATGGAGCCACCGGCGTTGATGAGGCCGAAGTTCCAGACGTGCCGGGTACGGGGACGGTTCTTGTGCGGGGCACGTTCTTCGAGTTCGTCGGGGTTTTTAATCTGGGCGTTGTCGGGAGATTCGGATTCGTCTTTGATGAATGGAATGAAGGGGCGGATGAGTGATTGACCTTGATATTCAGGGAGGAGAGCGGACGCAATTTCGGAGTCGGTTTTGTCGAGAGAGTTTGACTGGACGAGCATGTCTAGGATGGTGGGGATGATTGTGAGAGCGGTTGCGTTGGCTGTGATGTCTATGCGAGGCATATGGGGGTGTCGGAAGACGAGAGGGACGCGGAAATTGCTGATATGGCCATTTTCGTAGGTGCCTGTCATATCTTTGTTGTCTTCGCCGAAGGCTTGGCCGTGGTCACCTACTATGACGACTAGGGTGGAGTTGGCGATGCCGGTTTCATCGAGTAGGTTTAGGACATCGCCGAGCCAATTGTCGACAAAGCGAGCGGCGTTCAGGTAGTTGTTCATTAGGTCGTGGTTCGCGGTGCCTTCAGAGCCCATGTATCTTTCCTTCTCGAAATTCTTGGGGGTTCCCCAGGGGTGATGTGTTGTGCTGGTGACATGTGAGAGGAAGACGCGGGTCTTGTTGTTTGCTGCCTCATAGAACAGATCGCGCACATATGGTTGTAGTTCTGTCTCGGCGTATCCAAAGTAATTGATCTCTTCTCCCTTGGGTTTGTACTTGGACTTGAAAGCATTCATGGTCTGCTTCACAACCTTGTGTTTGAAGCCCATGTTTTTGTCCAGGATGTCTTGACGGTCATAGTCGTCGGTGATGGATTGCATAAAGACGGACTTCCACTGGTGTTGTAAGGCCTCGGAAGTAGACCCATTAGTCCGCGCTTCAATGGTCTTTGGCAGCTTTTTCTGGTTAAACAATTCCAAAAGCTGCGGCAAGCAGGGCTGGTAAATTTCCAGCATGGATTCCTCCAAGAGATCAACCGGCAAAGGATGGACACCACAATGACTACCCAGGATACTCTTGAAGGTTAATGAGCTGCCTGTGAGTGCTCCCCGAACGTTGAGTCCACCCATACCCTCCTCCGCGGGATCCTGCCAATTCGCCTCACTGAGATCCACCTTTTCGCCCTTGCTGTCCTGGACATACTCACCGGTCAGCATCTGCGCAATCGGGGTCATCTTGACAAGACGGTCAATCGCCTGGTTTCTTTTCTTCTCCTTGTGGGAGGCGATGAGTGAATCAAACATGGGTGTGCCCTGCTGCATGGGGAACATTTCCTTTCGCCCACTCTCAAGGGTCAACAGAACGATGTTATTAATTTCCACCGAATGCTCCTCGAAGGCCTTCTGTAACGGTTCATAAATGTCACCTCCCAGGTTTGAAATCTTAAGGGGATCCGCTGTTGGATTGAAGAAGGCATTTTCATCACCACTGCAAAGATAATAAGAAGGGTTATCCTTCTCCGCACGCTGCACAGGACTCATATCCCAGCGGCTAAACCCTGGTGGTGGATCTTGAGGCAGCCATGAGGCTCGAGACCAATCCGGAGAGCTCTTTTCAACAGGCCAAAGAGGGAATGGCTTGGAAGGATTACGGCAGCCTTCCACTGTACTTGTCTTCTTGGTGAATGCATCGAGCAGAGTCAAAGGCAATGCGCCAGAGAGATGGTCGTAAGGTATGGAAGGTCGTGAGAGCTCCAAAAATAAGAGCGAGGTTACAGCGGAAACGACAATAGCGGCACGTCGAGCAGATCGAAGCTCGACGGAGGCAATCCAAGATTTATTGGGAATTGAAAACACATTGCGTCGCGCTCTGAAAGCCCCCACCATCAACTCTCGCATGCCTTGTAACGCCAACCCGGTCACATTGTAAAGATGGGCATGGATCAACCATGCCACCAGGCCCAAAACGGTAGCTGCGGCGGAGACGGTTGAGATGCCACTCAACAAGATCTTCATGGCGGCGGGATCGCTAAGAAAACTGTTGCTAGCAGCCCAGGCGACCTCCGCGCCGGTCTGCATGAAGAAGCCGAATTGGACAGAGGAAGCCCCCCAGGTGATTAAGCTAGGACCGGTTAGCTTTGCAATTGCGGGTCTATATAAACTGGCAGGTCCCGATGGGAACATACGAAAGGAATCCACCCAGACATGTCGGTATCCATTGGCGCCACGATTCGGGAGCGGGAAATTGTAATAGTGTTCGCACAAAAGCAATGATGAACAGTTCTGGTAAAATGAGTGTCGGTGAATATAGGACGAGGTAGAGGAAGGGTAACGAATGAAAATGAAGGCCGATGTGTAAGGCCTTGGAGGCGAGGCTGCCTACAACCAGAGCCGAGAAAAGGAATGGTGGGACCGGTGGAAGAAAGGCAAGGATAGCCATGTTAGCTCATGGTTTGTGGAGGTTGAGCGCGTAAAGAAGTAGGAAGGGATGAAGTTGGATAGAAGAAAAAAAAAAGTAAAATGATCGGAATGGGGGCACAAACACCCCGGAATGTCGACAAAAAGAAGGAAGAGGTAGAAAAGCACGAAAGTTAATGTTGAGTAAATAATGAAGTAAAAACAGGAACTCGAATTCACCAATCAGTGGATCCCGTTTCCAATTGTACAAAACGAGGGAAAAAAAGAAGGAAAAAAGTGGAGGCTGGAACAAGTATTGAAGCACGCGACCGGATGAATCTTTCAAACACTCGAACATTAATCATTTCCTCATCATATTTTCATCAAGTGGAGGTCTGAACGGATACAAGCGGGAAAGGAGTCATGTCCAAAAAAAGACTGGTCCCACGTTCCACATGAACCTTGGATAACTTTCCTTGTTGCCTGAAGCTTTACTCAAATCAATCTTATAGCTGAGACATTTTCCATCCATGTCTCCACCAAGGCGCTCCTATATATGGACTAGCATCGCTACACAACCTGAAAAGGGGCAGAGAAAAATCTGCGCCTCGCATAAACAAAGTCTGGGGAAAGACATAGCCAAGACGCCATCGCCCCAAATCACCAATCCCACCCCATCGGACTTTCTTTTGCATCCGCGCCTCACACCAGTGGGGTCGATGGAGTCCAGCTGAGACCCTGAATATGTCTTGGCCGGACTACTCCGTAACTACGATCTATCTCAAAAGTGGATGTTCTGACGTGATCTTCCTTCAGTGATCTACTGGATGCCGGGACCCGATTCATCTCCCAGAAATACGAATGAATAATAACAAAATAACCATGTAAACCAGGTGGTACGCTCTTAGATTAATACTACCCAACCCTTGGTTCTTTGCACAAGCCCCCATGCCAAGAGGACCCTGAATCTTGACCCAGATTTCAGGGATCGGAAAGTTCAGCCTTGTCGACCGAGGTAAGGATGATCTGCAGTATTTCACAGTTTCACCTGACCCGTGTAAATACGGATCATGCAAGGGAAATTCGACAGGTCGGGCTTATTTAAGGTTGCCTCGGGATTTAGGCAACAAGCTCTGATGATTAATCCTTTGGATATAAGGAAGTGCATGTGTACAAACTTGAACATTTAAACATTAAACTGATCTACATCACGTCGTTTACCTAAATTACATTGCCAAGAAGATATTCCTGTCTATACTAGGTATACCCTATCGATCAATATGTATTTCGATTCTAACATCCCTGAAAGCTTGGAACATTGAATAGAATCAATGTTGATCTATAAATTACCGTCGATCCTTAATCTCCCCTCGCTCCTTAACCATCCTAGCCATCCCATCCCCAATATCCGTCCCTAACTCCCCGAACCCCTTAACAACCCCCTCTCTATCCCCTCTCCCCATCTCTTGACTCATCTTGAACTTCCCCTGCAACCGCTCAATCCGAATCTCAATCCCAATAATATTCTTCTTCAACAACTCCACATACGACAGAGGCGCTTCATCAACACTCCACGCTGTCGGCTTCTCTCCACCCGTATACCCCATCTGAGAAGTTTCCGCATGCTGCGATAGATCCTCTATTTGCCTTTGCAGGAAATTTCCCGTCTCCTCTGATTTGGAGTTACAGTATATGCGGATCTTGCCGTAGGCTTGTGCGGCGGCGTAGTTCCATGTTGGGACGACCTTGCCTGAGACGGGTTTGGTTTCTGTGTAGAATTTCGGCGTGACGTAGTGGTGGTGTGGGACGTTGAACAGGACTAAGACTTCATCAGGAAGTTCGAGAGTTTCTGAATCCTGTGATTGGGATTGCTGGGCGAGAGCTTCCATTAGGGCTTTGGCTTGGGGATTCTGTTTTGCCATGTGCCCGCGGAGGACGCCTAGTGGGGTTTCGGAGTCGTCATCGTTGCTTGAGGGGACGTCGAGAACGAATGGGATGTGGCTGGATTGGATGAATGCCTGCTCTGATTTGATGGCTGTTGTGAGAATGCCGAGGGGGTTGTCGTGGATGAGTTGTTGGAGGGTCGGGATGTTCGTTTCCGCGTGGTCGGCGCGGAGATGCATGGTGGTGGAAGTACTCTGGTTGAGACTCTTTGAAATGCTTTGTATGGCTTCTGATGCTTTTGTTTTCTTGACTCACGTCAAATTTATAGATTTCTTATCGTCTCCCTTTATCATCACGAATCTGGGGTTTGTGATTGGTAGTCGGTGCCGAATTTCCTTAACTTGGCATACTAGAATGAGTCAATTGGCTGTTGCACTGTATCCTCGGAACGGTTCCGAGCGACTCTCAGGCGCTGTGTTGCATGTCACTGGGGACGAGCCTGGGTTTTTCCAATGCTACTGGGAAGGAATGAGTGTACTACAACCATATCTAGTAGAGCACATTTATTTTGCTGTGGCTTGATACACTTTACCTTCTAAGTGTGGATTAGTGTAGATTAGTGCAAGAACGGCGCCATGGAAATAGTACATTATAGAGCACTGTACTCCGTACATCGGCAGCAGATACCACAAAAGTAGAAAGGAGTATTGTTAGAATACAGATATTATACAACTTATCAAATAATATGCAAGAGTCGAGGCGCCCAACGCCATCCACCTCACAAACACCAACGTCACCAGAGAGTAGCGCGAAAGTTGATTAAGAAGCCCGGGACACAATCCCACTTCTCCCAAGCTTCTCAATAGTCCCACTCTTCAACCTCAATGTCCTCTCAATATCCCTACTTGACAACCCCTGCTGATCGCGCATCGCCAGCGCCTGGCTAATAGTAAACGAATCCAGGAATTGTCGACCCGTGAAATCCCCATTTCCAACAGCAATGCTCTCCTCTTGCGCGGCCTTTGTGATGCGCTGGCGCGCTGTGATCACTAGCAAAGCTGGATTGGAGGCTGTAGGGAAGACGGTTTGGGCGGTGCCGCGGTTATAAGGGTTGGGATGTGAGAAGTTGCCGGATGGGTCGACGGGGCCAATGGTGCGGAGGGAGGCGGCGAAGTCGGGGTCACGGCCGTCGAGGTCGATTGCTGTACATTTTAAAGATTAGCTTTGGGAGAGTTGGAGTAAAGTGGTTTTGGTGCTTTCTCTCTTTTTTTGGTTGCTGGGTGAGGTTCGCGGGCTTGTTCACGACATACCGTTGTTTTTTGTGCTGGAGGGTTGTTCTTTTGAGTGATATTTTGGTCCCTGTGCTGAAGCTGGGGCTGGAGCTGGAGCTCGAGCTTGTGGTTTAAAGGCTGGCCCAGATGTAGATTTTGGTTCTTGGGTTTTCTTTGGCGCTGCTGCGGGTGTCCTTGGCGGAGGAGCAGACTTTTTAGGATATTGGCGAGTGGCTGCTCCAGCAGCTGACCGGGCAGGCTTTGAAGCGGCGGAACCCATTGGAGACTGTGTTCTGATTCCGTGGGTTAAGATGGTTGTGAGCTTTTTCCGGCGGGAGATCGGAGAAGAACGCGGAGTTGACTTGGCGCTTGGACGGGATAGAGCCACTCAAGTGACGTCAAAATATAATCAATTAGTTACCATCGCCTCATAAAGTAATCGTGTTAAGAAGAGCGATTGTACCAAGTTCATAGAATTATGAACCGGATAAATGTAAATTGAGGATTTTGGTGGCGCGCAAACGATCGCTGAACCTTAAAAAGTCATATAATTGACGATAGCTTAGGTATAAACTTTACCTATGAATTCCAATTACTTATAATCTCATTTAATATCTACTGAAGATGAGTTCATTTAAGAATTCTGTTTCGTCGGAAAAAGGTGGATATCATCACAGCTAAGATACAGTGCCACCCGAGCTCGCGACAATCGAAAGAGCCCGGCGAGTGAAACCTGTGTTTTTGAAAGCATTCTAGAGGCTCAGCGTAGGCCTGCAAGGCGACGGCCTTGAACCTCGCCCAATGCGCGGCTACCGCTAACGAACGCGACCGCACCAATGGCCGCGGCCACAGGCAGGATTTGGAACAGGTTCCAGGAGGTATAGTACAGGAAGAAGAGACCCTCGAAAGCAACCAAAGATCCGACGAAGGCGGCGTGCGGGAGGGGGGCAGATTTGAAGGCAGTTGACAGGTGGTTGACGTTGGCGCCGAGGAGGAGCCACTAGGTCTGAGTTAGCAACATTCAGTAACAAGACAGCCTTGACTCTTACCAGACCGGCCAGAACCGGAAGAGCAGCACCTACTAGTGCTACAAAGGCCAGGGTGATGACGATAGGTGGGCTGGTGGCGGCATCCTTGAAGACGTGGTGGATCTCGGGCAGCTTGCCGTATCTTACGACATCAGCGGTTGGGACGGGAACATCGGGGTTGCGCTCGATCGACAGAGCGAAGACAGAGGAATCGTAAGCTTCAGAGCTTCCAGAAGAACCAATAACCACACGAGCGTCAACAGGGGAGGGAAGAGAGAGGAATTGGATCGGGAGGTCCTTTTGGGTCTAGAGCGAGTACATTAGCTTAATCTAACCACGGAGCTTCAGATCACATACCAATTCCACTCGTGACTTGCCATTCTCCTTGACCGTGAAGGGGTAGGAGATATCCAATCCAGTTTGGGAATCCTTCAACAGAAGGAAAGCTTGCTGTGGACGCTTTGCGGAGCTTCCTTCCTGCGTAGTCAAGGTGACGCGCAATGTATCAGCGCCGGCGAGCGCAACAGGTTTCGAGAGCGGTTTGGAGACGGATAGCCTATCGAGAATTATCTGTTAGTTCCCAATAACACTGCAAGCACCACTTGAGTTTCATTGATCTCACGATTCTTTGAATCCACCGTTAATGCCGGCACCCTTAGGTTGGACTGCCACGGTGGCATCAGTAAAGCCCCATGCTGACGCAGCAGCTAGAGGTAAAGCGGCAGATGCCAACAGACAGAATGGAACAGTGGCCTGCCACAGATGCATAGTGAGAACAATTCAAACAACAAGAAACAATAATTGGGAGGGGAGTTCGGAGGAGCAAGGAGGAGAAGCTGGTGGTTGACAGATTGCAGAATAAAGGCGGAGGCCGATAAGCGCCGATCGACTTTAGCCCTAATTTCTTTTCTGCTGGGACTTCACCTCTCTCTCCCCCATAAATCGCCCTCGTTGCCCCAGGTCTCCCCGCAAACCTACAAGCTCGACCAAGAAATCTCAAGAAACCTGTGCATTATCGTTTACTGGATGGAGTCACCCCTGAACCAACCGTAAGTCCTGCTAAACCTGGATCTTTTTGAGGTCTCCTTCCCCCGGGCCCTAAACCCCGACTTCAGCCCTGGCGACACTTCGGGCTTCCAACGTCGACTCCCTTGCACCTGGGGCTTATTTCCCCACAGCCTATATTCTCCCATAAATCAAACCAAGTTAATGACTCATTGTTAATTTCTCATTCACTTTGTTTGCTTCCTTGATTTCCGGTTGCCACATGACATTTCTTTCGACTTTATTCACTGACTTCCAGATTGGGAACTCTAGACTTCATTCACTATGCCTCCCAAAAAAGCACAGCGGAAATCAATGCCTGCGCGCATTGACGCTACATTCACGCCATCTCGACGTTCACCGCGAGTTCCCACTCCTTCAAAGGCTATAAATGAGAGTGATTACCCGGCCAAAGCTATTGATTTTTCTACCGACCCCTCCTCAGAGAATCTTGTCACATTTCGATACTATCGTCCCAAAACACCTACTGCAGACCCTCCCTCAAAGAACGTGTCTCCTGAAGTACCCACAACTGGCCGCCGCAATTTCCAAGCTCGCCCGTCTCGACTGTCCAATGTGTACACCCCGGTGGTAGATACTCCGACCTCTTCCAGTCAAGGTAGCCGAAGGACTCGGCGTACGGCTGCTCTCGAAACTCCACAAAACCAATTGTCCGATCCCGAAGATCCTGAAAGTATTGGCTCCACTGGTTGGACATACGATCAATACATGGGTGGACAAGACGAAACAATGGATCCTTCCTCTCCCAGTGCTGCCTCTTCCAAGGGAACTCGAGCTTCTGCTCGTTTTCGCAAGCCAACCTCTCGGGCGATCGAAGCCCTGGCATTGAAGAAGAAACCCCGCAAGAAGGCCACCCCCACATCCGCCAAGAATGAGACCAATGGGTCTGCCAAAGGTCCCAAGACCACTGTCAAATCTGGCAAGGGCAAGAGCAAGAAGCACTCGCAGGAAAATAAAGCCCCTCTTTGTCGTATTGACATCGACACGGAAACCGCAGGACGGAAACTGTATGAGATCACTTTGGTGGCATTGGGTGCCGACTTTAAGCTTCCGTCCGATCCTGAGTGGGAACTGACCAACGCACGCTTTTGTTATTTCCAGGCCAAAGAGGGCTTGCAGCGCACTCGTGAGACCTCAGCGGGAGACGAGAACCAACCCAATCTGTACGACAGCGAGACTGATAGTGGAAGTATTCGTCAGTACAAGATTCAGGCGAAACCGCAGATTGACGAGACTGGTTGGGCACGAGTCGGCCGCGTGAATGATCATGGTGAAGAGATTATATTTCCTCCCGCTGGCCACAACCCATATTGGCCGCCTCACACATACAACGATGAAACGCTGCCTTATCCGCCTGTTCGCTCTCGGTCCGAAAAGGAGACTCAGAACGATGTCTCCTTCGGCTTCCCGCCCTTGATGGGCGATCGCAACATTCCTTTCGATGCCCATTCTAATTTCGAGCCAGAGGACGTCTCTGAAGAGATGGTTCGGGCCCAGGCACGCGGTGAAGCGCGTCAGAAAGCGCTCCCTGCTCCGAGCGAACCCAGGAAACCTCGAGCCGCCAAGCAGCGTCAGGCTCAACCATCCACAGTTGACGGTTCCGCTTCCCCCGCAGAACCCGAAGAGCCCAAGCCAAAGCGACGCGCCGCACGCGCTTCATTGCCAGCACCCACCACTCGCAAAGCCGTGGTGACCAAGAAACCCCTTGCCCGATCCGCCAAAGCAGCTTCCAAAACGATTCCCCCTCTCACCCCAGCCAAGACCGAAAATGGCAAGGATGAATCCGATCCTCCTTTCAGACCCATTCGTCTCGTTCTTACTGCTCCTCGTCCTGAAGGAAAGACAAACGGCACGAATGAGGATACCGAAGATGCGCCAAAGGTCAAGAAGCAGGTAGTATCTCCCACTTCTGGGAAGGGAAAGAAACGCGCTGCCGATTCCATGGACGGCGGGGAAGAGACTGCTGCTGGTAAGCGCGCTCGCCTCGTCGGTGCTGACGCGGAATCTGGTATCAAAGGACGAAAGCGCGCGGCAACCACGACGACACCGAAGTCGGCGCCTGTCTCCAAGGCCAAGGACCAAATCGAGGAGTCGCCGCGCCGAAAGGAAACCCCCTCTCGAGGTCGCACCCGAGGCCGCGGTGGTCGTGGACGAGGCCGTGGCTGAGGTTGGAATATGGGTGAATATCAGATCGTGGACCAAGTCAGTGGAATTGGGGAAGAGCGGATGCTGCGTGTGAGGAGATTGGAGAGTTTTTGTTTTTCGGTCAAGTATCATGATTGAATTTGTTTATTTTTTTTTTACTCGCAACTATCAAAAGCGGTTCTTTTGAGCATTGTTCAGCGTTGATTGTCTGCATTCCAAAAACACATGATAGGATGTTTTGCATAGCGTGGTGTTTACTTTCGTTATCCTTCCATGTCACCCTCTAATTACTATCAGCTCACTCTCGGTTCTGATGAGAAGCGATCTTTATTTTGGTTATATCTTGCTTCACGATTAAAAATGACAAATATTGCTTAAAGTAAAACATCAATCCATCTCCGAGCTTTCGACAACCACTACAACACTAGTCTCCAAGATCTAAACACTCATTTAATATTCAAAACACGCATCTATAATTGTCCAGCCTCTTTCGTTAACGTGCACCTCGTTCATCGGTAAATATATATCTGCCTGAGGCATCAATATTCCCGATTTCCTCATCCAATTTCCTGCATGTGTCTTTTCCCCAGAATATCACTGACCATCAACTCCCATCCATCTAAGAATTTCCCATTCCAAAATGCCCATATACCCATCCGAACAATTTCGTCCGGGTCAACCGACCCCTGCTCCTCGCCCACAGCGCCCGGCTCCGTCTCTTAAGGGACACCCGGATATCCGATCGACAAAGGAGTATAAGCTTGCTGCACGGCGGTATGTATCTTACCCTATCTAACCTTTCCTTTACTGCTCTATTCAATATGCAAAGTTTTAGGTGTCATGGTTGTAGTCCTACTTGCGTTCTTGTTCCTGTTCTCGTTCTCATTTGATATCGTTTTGATCTGCTTTGCACAAAGACAAGTTCTAAGAACTTTGAGATTTTATCATTTGCTGGAACAATTCACTGATCTTATGAATAGGTGGACATCGACTATTGTCGCTTTGCCGTTTCTTATGTATACATCTTATATTCTCTATGAGCGGAGTAAGTTCTTCTACTCCCTTCCTGGGAAATTCGACAACTGTTGGCCGGCTACGTTCTTGAATGCTGATCTTTGTTTCTAGCCTACGGCGAGAAAAGCCAGAAACACTTTCCTGCTCCAAAACGACAGGATGAAGAGTCTTCTTCTGCATCTTCCTAGAGGAGAGACGGAAAAGGGGACTCACGGGGTTGGTTGTTCGAGTCTCGTTGTACATTAAGCGTTCATGTTCAATTTTCAAGATCATAATCTCATTCTATTCATCGGGTGTTCTCAAGAGTCGCAAATCTCCCCTCTAGATGTTTGCATATCACGTGCCTTTATTTGGACCTTATTTAGAATTGCCACTATAGACCGCCGCTTTATCAGTATCATGTGATCAATCTAAGCTACGTAATCCAATAGACCCACCATGTGTTCAAAGTCATGTGACAAGCTCCCTGGAGGTCTGTTTCATTACCCAAGGGTCCCCTGATGTAGAAGTCTCCAAACTACCTAACATTCATGATAATGATAACAAAAGATCAAAAGATACACGGCTTTAGACTTAAAGACCAACACAGCGATGCAAGAGCCAATACTACTCCGTTTAAGCAACTCATGGCACTAAGCCCCATTTGATAACCAGATCGGTCAAAGCCGTCTCACCCCACACCCCTGTGCGAACTGTTATCCTTTTTTGGCATGCTCTTCAAAGCAATCAAGGTTTTCGATTCGACCCATGGTTACTTGGATCTTTAGCACAGGGCTGGCTTGGGGGTTTTAACAATGATCAGACAGGGAGAAAAAAATGATTGCCCAAACGAAAATATGTACAGTACAGTGCTATATATTTTTGTCCCTCCACTTGGGTCAGTTCAATAGACAGTGCATGTGGAAAGTAGACCTTGACTAATTCGACGTCTAAAAAGGAATGGCTTTCCAATATTACTAAAATTCTCACTTAAATTAGCATCGTCATACCGGGCTGAGGCTACAGGCACCATATTACCTTTTATGGTTCACTGGCCTTAATTGATGAAGCTTTTCCGAACATGGCGAGTGGTTCGAGGCCCAAACTCTAAAACTCACGACAAACGTTACCCATAGAGTAATCCGATAATCTCAGATCTAATGTTTCATAGGAGCGCATCAGATTGCTCAGCCTCCGGCGGGTCCTGGAACAATAGAATTGACGTAGTGTACAGGAATGGACCCCAACCAAGCAATGTAGTGTAAAGGTTCATCTGCACTGCCTAGGCTGCAGAGCCAGGCTTATACGTACCATACATTTGAAGCTCCCAAGATTTCTCGAGGTTTATAAATACCTGTCAAATCTTCAATTTTGACTTCATTCTCAACAATATTCAATCTTCATTGAAAAATAAACAATGATTTTTCACATTGTCTTTTCAGGTGAGCCTGAAGTACTCGCCATATATGCTAAATGCTAATTAGTGTCAGTCTTTCTTGCTACTGTCACAGCGACAGCTAGTAATAGATCATTTAACGGCAGCAACAATACACCAAGCTATGCACCATACTACGTTGACTGCCCCACAGACATACAGCTTGTTCGCCAGCCTCCCCAAATCTCCCAAGCCGAGTCCGAATGGGTTCACGGCCGTAAAGCAATCGTTGCCCATTCTCTCAGTACCTATCTATCTCGGTTGAATCTCACAGGTTTTGACCTGGCAGAATATGTGGAAAGAATCCAGCGAGATCCGGACTACAACGTGCCAGTGATTGCATGGGCCACCAGTGGTGGTGGCTGGCGCTCAGCATACACCGGCATTGGTGGCCTTCAAGCCATCGATGAGCGAACTCCAGGCTCCAAAGAAGCCAGGGTTGGCGGTCTATTTCAAAGCTTGACTTATATGGCCGGGCTTTCTGGTGGGTCTTGGCCTACTGCCTCTACGGCATTCAGTGATTATGCCCCAATCCACGAACATGTTAAGGAGTGGCATGTAGATGTCAATCGGTTTGATGCGTCCAACTTCACGGACTATGCTGCTCCCGTCACTGCATATCTTGATACGATAGCCGAAAAAGCGGAGGCTGGGTTCAATGTGTCTACTGCCGATTTTCTCGGTCGCGGGTTTGCTTATCAATTTGTCCCCGGGGTCAATCGGACATGGTCGTCTATTTCTGAACAAGAGGGGTTTAAGAATTTCTCTGGACCGATGCCAATGCTCATATGCAGCAGCATTAACAAGAGCTCAGAGGTCCTAGATGGCCTTTATGCTCCTTCGCAATCTTCCCCATGGGTAAGTGATGTCAGGATATTTGGCATTCCCTTCCATCTGGTTGACTTGAAACAGTTTGAATGGAATCCTTTCGAATTTGGCTCATGGGACTTTGGTTTTGTGCCCACAGAGTACATTGGCACGATTCCCAATGAGAATAACACCGCTGAGAAATGCGTGAAGAACCTCGACCAAGCTAGGTTTGTGACATCAATGGCTAGATATCTACTAAATGCTAATGTTCCAAGTTTCGTGATGGGCTCTGCAGCGAGTGCATGGAACTGGTGGTGGTTAGGAGCCATTTCGAACGGGACCCTCGGGCAGTTTTCAAAACGTCATGACCTTGAAAAGCGAGGTTCAGATAGCTTTTTTACCGGGATCTCAACGCTATCCTCTCTGAACAAGTATTTCAAGGAAGCTTTCGGTTACACGCTAGCACAGATTAGCAATCCCTCAATCCCTAATCCTTTCAACAGCAAGGAGAACATCACTTTTGCCGACGGCTCCGAAGCAGGGCAGTCAGTGCCATTCTGGCCTCTTATTCAACCCGAGCGAAAGGTCGACTTCATGTAAGCCGTCACAACCCCTTTAGGTTTTTTTCTTACTAACGCTAACCAAGTATGGCTTGGGACGACGACGTTGACTCTGCTCCATACAACTGGAACAATGGCACCAATATCTGGAACACTTACAATCGTGCCCGGGAAAATGGTCTTCCATTCCCAGAAGTCCCGCCGGTATCAGAGCTGTTGGCACGCAACTACACGTTGAAACCCATTTTATTCGGCTGCGACACAAACCTAACAACAACTCGCGATGCTACATCTCCTATTGTCGCTTATTTTGCTAACTCACCCTACAGCTGGTACAGTAACTACTCCTGGGAAACTGGGAATATGTCATACACAGAGTTTGACGGCATCCTGGAGAATAGCTTCAACCTGCTTACTCGGGGAAATGGAACTCTCAGCGACTCTTGGGCAGATTGCCTCGGGTGTGCGGCCATCGATCGGAGCCTACAACGAATGGATGTTAAGAGACCTGCAGTTTGTGAGGAATGCTTTCAGGAGCACTGCTGGGATGGTAGCATCACTGAAGATACCTCGGACGACTTTGTGCTGGACCCTACTCTGGCTTTGGATCCGAGTCTTAGGTATGGCGAGTGGCGTGAGATGCATCCTGGACTTTAAGGTGATCATGCCGTTTATGTTATCTTATTCTTTATGTGGACAGGCGATGCATCTTGATTGGGGGAGTACAGGGCGGTCGTCATGTCAAACGTGCTGGAACACTCGTTGGACTAAGTGTGCCACGTGTGATAAATACGGCACTGATTGGAATTAGATGAGCCACAGTTAGTATCAGTATCTGAATGGTCCAAACTCATGATTCGTTGTACTACGGTGGACCAAACCAAAATCAGAAATGAATCAGTGCTCACAGTAAAACAGTCCAAATTGTAACATAGTAAAGTTCCGTTTATTATGTATCCTAGAATCCTCGGAAGAACTAGAATTTATGTAGATAATTCTCTCCACCTCGTCAGCCTGCTGGGGTGAAAAGTAAAGAACATATGTAAATAAATGGAGAAGTATGTGGTTGTGTGTATGTGTTTGGTGTTATTCACCAGCTATCCAAGTATAACACGAAACGAAGAAGAGAAACCAGGGATTTTCCTAACTGGCCACGCCTTGCATGGGGAACTGGTGTTCTCCCGAGCCAGCAGACGGAGGTACAGAAGTTGAGCCACTGCTCACGCTGGGGGGCTTCACACTTCGCTCACGCATACGACGACCCTCCATTAGACCACGCAGTCCTCGCTTCTGTAGACCGATGACACTTGACAGATCGCCGGTCCAGATCTCACGGGATGGACGGCTTGCATCCGTGCCACGGCGCTGATGAGCGCGGGACTGCGAGCGACTTTCCGTATCGCTGACAAATTCCGAGTCAGAGTGGCTGAAGCTAGCACTAGAGGCTGAGGTGGCAGTGCTTGCAGTACTGATTGATTCTTCGCGTTCGCGGTCGTGGTGAGCGTTACGGTGCTGTCGACCACGTAGATTGGTGTTGATGCGGAGGGATGGAATGCCCCGTGTGTGGCTTGTGAGATCCCCCGTGCTGCTGGCGGCGGAGGGAGGCATAGCGCCATGCTCTGTATCGGACGAATCAGAGGTCATTAAAGCACTGCTATGGGAATTTGCGCTCTCGGAAATATCGTGCATGGAGCCGTTGCCAATTTGCGAGCCATTAAGGGCTTCCAATGTGCCGCCTAGCCCACCGGTGAAGCCGGTACCTCGGCCACCTCCTGCTGCCATGGCTGCTGCGTTGAAGACTGCCGCCGCGTTGCGACCATCGAGGACCTGATGCAGTCGCTCGACAGTGGCTTCCAGGAGACCATCTACCTGGTAAGGTCGCGCGAATTGGAGGAGGGAACAGAGGATCTGTGGTGTGCACAGGGAAGAGCCGGGAGGTGGAAGAGCGGATGTATATAGATACTGAACGAAAACTTCAAGTGTAAGAATGGTATGAGGAAGATAGAGTACGCGCGGTCTGGCGGTCGGGGCGAGGCCATGGGCAGAGGGTGCTTCCAGATTTTCAAGAAGAGCCTTAGAGGGAGCAGAGGGATTGACTAGGGTCGTTGCATTGGAGCAAAGGCTATTGTGGCCAATAGACGGGGTGATGGTGATGCTGGAATTCCGACTTGGGTGAATCTGGGCAGGGCGAAGAGTACCGCCGTCCGCAATTCCACCTTCCGACGATTCTCGCAGAAGCTGGATGAAAAAGGGTCCCCAGCGTCGAGCCAGAAGACGAGAGTTCACAGGGATGCGCTCTCCGCCAACAGCCTGAAGCTCCATGTCGGAGAACTCGTGCATAGAAAGCGCCAGCTTTCCCAGTTCATTGGAGGCGTTTGACAGCGGTCGTCCACCGGTCGTCAATTGGGCCAATTTTTGCTGAAGAGAGACTGGAACCGAAGGTGAGCTGTATGACTTATATCCTGATGTTGACGATGTACGAGAGGGGTTGTTGTAAAGACCAAAGGCCTCAAGCTCAACCAAACAGATATGTGAAAAGTTGATCCGACGGTGGTTGTAATCATCAACCAGGCTACGCTTGCGATGTCCAAGGATCACAAATGAGCTGCGGCGTGGCCAAAGAATACCACGATTCCAGCTGCCATGTCCAAACACGGACCCGCCAGCGTCGATACGTCCCCATGTCAGGGTCTTCAAATCAAGAGCCCAAAGAGCGTATTCTTGTTTCGAAGAAGTCAAGTAAGTACCACTGACGACGAAATGGCCATTTATAATGCCACCATTGGGAAATCGCAGCCCAGGGGGGGATGCTTGGCTTTGCATCGGTCGCTCAACAAGGCGCCCGTCCGGCAAGCGCACCTGCAGCTCCAGCTTGACATCGAGGAAATTGTAATTGGAATAGATCAGCATGGGGCAACCCGGCGACTCCGACTCCTCAATCGGCTCATGGGTATCTCGGTCAGGGGCAGCAGACCCAATCTCGGAGACGTCCATACCCACCAGGGGCGCGACGACACTACGGTAAGCACCACAGCTGCGACCGAGAGGACTAGTGTTGGTCCACTTGAGACTTCGAAGATTGAAAACGCTAGTTTGTTCAATGTAATGGTTGGAGCTGTCTTGGCCACCAACGACCACCATTTCAGCCCCACCGAAGCCATCAATGTCCACCCCTATTGAGCCTTGGTGGGGGTTGGAGGATTCAGGGTTATGATGGATAGCCGACAACGGTGCACGGGCAGAAGTGAAATGAGCACTTGATGGGATGATCGTGGCACAATGAGCGTATCGTCCTTGCGGTGACTCATGTGACGCAACTCGAGTCCACGTCCGCGATGGGACATCGAAAATGTGGATATCCGACATGACGACAACCTCCGACTGGGTGTCCGAGCCAGACGCAGGGTTTGGCTCCTTGGGGGCAGGAGCAGGTGACATGCCACCATATGCAACCAGCTTGTTATCTCCGAGAGCACATACACTGTGGAAGTAGCGTGGTGGAGGAATGTCTCCTGTCGCTTCAATCTTACTCCAGTGTCGCCGGATCAGATCCAATTCGTATAGGTCAGCTGTCAACTTGGGGCGACTTCGTGAGAGGATCCGGCCTCCAAAAACATATAATTTGTCTCCCAGAATGGTTGTGGTAGCCCCGACCAGGGGGTGAGGCTCCTTGCCGGTGGTTCGACGCACATTGCACACCAACCCGGACAAGTTGATTGGTCCGGACGAGGGTTGTTGGTTGAACGAAGGCGAAACACCGCCTGTTGCGGCAGGTTCTTGGCCTGCATCTAGGAAGCCCAAACTCGACTGGCTCCTGGACATCATTGTGGGCGAAATGACTGGTACAAATCCAGACACGACGAAGTCCAAATATGAACGGTGTGGAAAATATGCCCCCCTTTATTTCCCGCGCGATTTCGTCACTGTCAGACGGTATACATAAGACGAAGAGCGGCTCGATTTGAGGTGTGTAACGATCGGAATGTCTTGCTAGGCGCTGATCGCAGGTACCGTTGCGGCTCGAAATGTGGCCCTGTGGGGGATGGATTAGGACCAGGGGGTGGGTTTGCCCCGCGTTGAGATAGGCCGGATTTTAGGCACGAAGGAGGCCAGGATTCGAACCAGTGATTATTCTTGCCGTGCCAGTCGACCAAAAACGAGTGGAGATAGATAAAAGTGTCAGACTGTGGACGTTGGATCGGCACAAAAAAGGCGGTCTCAACACTTGCCCGGCGGTCCTATCCGCCCTATACAGTTTAGGCAAAAGGTCCGATCGAGTGAAAGGATAACCACATTCTAGTTAAATCCAATCGTATTTCTACAACACTTCTTGAGGTGGATATATTACTGTTGTATTTGGAAGCTTAGAAGATTCGGTGTGTCGTACATAATTGAATATCTGATCGGAAACTCTGTTATGGTCCAGTCATGTTGACGTAATTCACAAGCCTAGTGACTAAGACATCTACAAGTCACACAACATCGGAGTATTTACGGGTAAAGAAAGGTTGACGATTGGCGGAATAAGTCATTTTATATTGGTATCAAGGGTTATACCGGCCAAATCTCAAATATTTTGTTTCGCGTTACATCGTAAAGCCCACCATCTAGTTGGAGGGGTCCTTGGTGAAGCGGAGGTAACTGTCATATAGGTTAGGAACAAAGTACTCTTTAAGTATCACAGCATCTGCTGAATCACTTACGGCTTGACCTCACGGATCTCACCAAACTTGGTCTTGGCGTCGGCAGTGGAGACGGGGGGAGGAATGACAACGTCGTCACCGGGCAGCCAGTTGATGGGGCAGGTAACACCGTGCTTCTCGGTGGTTTGGAGAGCGTCAATGACACGGAGGACCTCGGCAGTGTTGCGACCGGTGGAGGCGGGGTAGGTCATGATCAGACGGATCTTCTTGGCGGGGTCGATGATGAACACGGAACGAATGGTCAGAGCCATACCCTTGGAGTCGACGTTGGTGGTGTCTTGGTAGTCGACCATGTCGTAGAGGTAGGCGACCTTGCGCTCGGGGTCGGAGATGATGGGGAACTTGAGCTTGGAGCCGGAGATCTCGTCGATGTCGGCGATCCAGCGGTGGTGGGACTCAACACCGTTGGCACTCAGACCGATGAGCTTAACACCACGCTGGGTGAACTCGGGCTCGAGCTTGGCGAAGGCACCGAGCTCGGTGGTGCAGATGGGGGTGAAGTCATCGGGGTGGGAGAAGAGGATAGTCCACTTGTCACCGATGAACTCGTGGAAGTTGATGGGACCGGTGGAGGTCTCGGCGTCGAAGTTAGGGGCGGTAGAGCCCAGACGGAGGCTGATAAGAGGTCAGTCCTTCGATCATCATTTGTATCTCTAATATCTGTAGAGGTTATACATACGGAGCACGCTGTTCAGCCATTGTAGAGGATTGGTGATATATTTTCAAGAAAGGAATATGAAAGGAAGTTGAGGTTTGGGGGGGAAATAGAAGGTTCAAATACGGGAGCTGCCCCTCATGCTTGCTATGGACCACCTGTTTGTCGCAGTGATCGACTTACCTCATCCGGCTGTTGTCTATCACGCAATTATTGACCGCCCGTGGCACAATGAACATCATTGGTGGAATGCACATGGTGGGCTGTTTAGTTCCTGATGCCATTCATGGGTCATTTATGCTCAAGTTCAGATGCGTATGTGATGTGAACTACCCCAAGGTTCATCTTCTCGGTTACAGCTTGACCCCTCCATGGTTACTATCAACATCCCCTTCCCAGCTTTTGCCTGTTGATATTTCTCTGAAAATATTATTGAAACCCGCCTCCAAACAGCAGTTGAATCACTCTTCCAAATGTTGTCGGCCGAGCTGCATTATTGTCGAGTCGGCCGATAATTACCCCGCCATGGAGCCAATGGAGGGTCGACGGGATGGCGCAATTCCATATTCCCTTTGTCAATATTGATAATCTCAAAGCCACCGCAGTCGATCCAATTACACATGCAGAGAACTGTTTACATTGATTAGACCATATGCATACAGCACATCCAGTACTGAGTACGGAGTGCTCCGTAGTCAAGCTACTAGGTGGGGCTGACCTTCAACAGCTCGCTTCCAACACTTGAGCTCAATCTGAACGACCCTGCAGGCGTTCATGTAACTGCTAGGTAGATTAGGGTATTTTATACTCACGAAAATTTAGTGCGACATGAGTACCAATAATTAAGTGTGGACATATAATCAAAGCGGGGTAATAAAACTTCCCTAGATCAATCCGTGGACGCGCTGAGTGTGGACGCGCTGAGTAAGGTACTTGCCAGTCAGTGTACATGAAAGTAAATAAACGTGTATGGGTTAATAGCAACGGAAGATTCTGTTTTTGAACTGATCTACAAGCCGCATTGGTTCAGGCACGAGCCTGCTATTGGCTCATTAAATGCTAAGTTCTTCCAAGGTAGATCTGCTTTACTCAATTTCTAAATTCTGTTCAATTTTTGGCAATAATTTCTCACACTGTATACAAGCTAGCGATAAGTTCATTATGGTATTCTTTTAGGAAGACAAATGACATAAGTGAGCACCTAGACGTTTGAGACTTGAGTGAGTCTGGGAAATTCTAGCTTCATTAGTAAAATATCAACTTTTTGCGTGGTCGCATAAATTTCGATACGTCATTTTGCTCTCAGTGTGCATATACATACTTCCCACAGATTTGTAGAGTTCAACCCAAACAACTTGAGAGGTCATTCATGATTGTTTCTCACTTTGACAATTTCAATTCTCTCACCTCGCAAAAACTCAAAAATACTTTTGACTTGCTCATTCCCGCCCACATCTTCCCCCGGAACTGCGTGAAGATCTGTCGATCACGTGTCGCGTGGATCATCCGTTTGGACCCACCGTCGCGTCGAGCTTGAAACAGACAGAAGCTTCATTCTACAGTATTTTATCCAATTTTCTGTCTGCAGAAATTCGTTGTGTTGGCTTTAAAGCCGATCGCAATTGATTAATCTTGGAAAGCTGGCTTTTCACAGAGACGCCCATTTAACCTTTTGCTTTACCCCTTAACTACTACGGTGAAGGGCGTTTAACCCCCGAACCCCAAGATTACATGCCGTTTAAACGGAAGTCGACTGCAACAACAATGACTGATACTGTCGAAACATCCCCAAAGCGGGCGCGTGACTCTGGCTCCGATGCTGAAGGCGAAGTTGTTGATGAGGTAAGTTACAATGTTACATGAAGCTGATTGCCAGCACTCGACAAATATTCATCTTTGGGTCCGCAATGCTAATGCATTGATCATGCAGGTCACCCTTCAGACCGGTGATAAGAGGAAGCGCGGCCGCCCGCGCAAGTATCCCGTGGGCACTTCCCCCAAGCCCAGTGCAGATGGTCCCAAGCGTGGCCGTGGACGTCCTCGCAAGAATCCCGCCGAAGAAAATACAGCCACCGCCACTAAGAAGGATGCGCTAGCTTCTGAACCCCCCAAGAGAGGGCGCGGACGTCCTCCTAAGGATGGTTTGTTTCTATTGAGACTGTTGACTGGAAACGGAGAGCTAATTACTTGACCCTGCAGGCCAGACTCCGAAATCAGTGAAGGCAAAGCCAACCCCAACCACAACCCCAACCACAACCCCGAACAAAATTGAGCGTCGAGGAAGGCCCCGCAAGAGTCTGCCTGCCAATGGTGCGGGTACCACTACTGAACCTACATCGAAGCTCGAAGCTTCCGCGTCAACTGTGCCTGAGGAGGATGGTGTTCGTTCTTACTGGTTGATGAAGGCTGAGCCTGAATCACGACTTGAAAAGGGTGTAGATGTCAAATTCTCCATTGATGACCTGGCTGCTGCGGATAGCCCAGAGCCATGGGACGGTAAGACATTCCCAGCCATTATCGATGAATACTTCTAATTATTGAATAGGAGTTCGCAACGCTGTTGGTAAGACTCCAGTGGGCCAACATAAGTAATCTGAATGACCGAACTTACAAATAAACAGCCAGGAATCTTATGCGTGAAATGAAGAAAGGAGACTATGCTTTCTTCTATCACTCCAACTGCAAAACCCCGGGCATCGTGGGAGTTATGGAAATCGTGCAGGAGCACTCACCCGATGGTTCGATCTTTCCCAATCGACTCAATTTGGTTATGCACCTTACTGATAATTTCGCAGAATCCGCCTTTAACCCCAAGCACCCCTACTACGACCCCAAGGCCAGTCGCGACATCCCAAAGTGGGTCGTCGTGCACGTTGAATTTCGCTGCAAGCTGAAGAAACAGGTCACCCTCCAGGATCTGAAGACCCACGCACAGTCTGGAAAGCCCCTGGAGAACCTGCAGACCATCAAACAATCACGTCTCAGCGTTTCCTCGGTGACCCCGGCACAATGGCGATACATCCTGGAGCTGGCGGGCGAGGATCCAGACCAGCTTCTGAAGACAGAATTCGTCGATGATCAAAGTGAATAAGCCATCTAACTTCACGCAATAGCAAAATATGGCTTTTGTTATTTATCGGAAATATCTTACCTGGGCGTTGCGGCTGGACATTAGGTATCTTGAGGATGTAAGGCATTTCTTTCCCGTGATTTTTCATCATTACGCGCAGCACAAACGAATACCATTACCGTTATCCCATTAAGTTCAGTAACAGGATATACTTAGATTTCGTCCCCAAAAACCGACCCCTCAAGTCGGCTGTGAAGCCACTGGAAGTTTCTGACTGATATAGTGGTAGCGGGGTGCAACACTGATCCTATTTTAGAGGGGTGCAGAAAACCCCAAATCCAATGATTGATAATCTACTTCGGGCCCCTCATACCTTGCGGCGAGCCCAGCCAACCAGCACCAATAGCGACGCCAACGGACTTGGAGCTCCAGCGGTTGCCCGTGAAGAGAAGGTGCACCCGACCCGGTGGATCCCAGCTTATCGTTATCGGAGCGGGGACGCGACCTGCTGTTCAAGTCCCTTTAAGGTCTTACACATTTCCCCCTCCAATGCTTAACTTTACTCTCCGGCCTTTGCGGTATCTCTCTGTTCCAGTTCATTCGAGTACTCGTCGCTACTATACCGCAATGTCTGACCTCTCCGTGCAATTGACGGCCCCGAACGGGCGCACTTACGCCCAGCCGATTGGCCTCTTCATTAACAATGAATTTGTTCCATCCAAGTCTGGCGAGAAGATCACTTCTATCAACCCTTCGTATGTTATTACGTGGATTTTGCCTTTAGTCAAAATACCAGATTACTGACCTTGTCGCAGAAACGAGGCGGAGATCGTTTCCGTGTACGCCGCTGGCGAGGAGGATGTTGATATCGCTGTCAAGGCCGCACGCAAGGCTCTGAAGGACCCATCCTGGAAGGGACTTTCCGCTACCGACCGTGGTGTTTTGATGCTTAAGTTCGCCGACTTGATTGAGCAGCACAAGGAAACCCTCGCTACTATTGAGACCTGGGATAATGGTTAGTACCTCCAGCATACCCGGGTGACGGGCGATGTAGCTGACGGACCGATTACAGGCAAACCTTACTCTGTTTCTCTGAATGATGACCTCGGTGAGGTCCTCTCTTCCCTCCGTTACTATGCCGGCTGGGCCGACAAGGTGACTGGCCAGACCATTGGCACCACCCCTCAAAAGTTCGCCTACACTCTGCGCCAGCCGATTGGCGTGGTTGGCCAGATCATTCCCTGGAATTTCCCTCTCGCTATGGCCGCATGGAAGCTGGGCCCCGCCCTTGCATGTGGTAACACTATTGTCATGAAGGCTGCCGAGCAGACTCCTCTTAGCATTCTTTACCTCGCTGGCCTGATCAAGGAGGCTGGTTTCCCTCCTGGTGTCATTAACATTCTCAACGGACACGGTCGTGTGGCCGGTGCTGCGCTGGTGCAGCACACCGACGTTGACAAGGTTGCCTTCACCGGCTCAACCGTCACCGGTCGTGAGATCATGAAGATGGCTGCCGGTACTCTCAAGAATATCACTCTCGAGACCGGCGGCAAGTCCCCATTGGTAGTGTTCCAGGATGCCGACCTCGAGCAGGCGGCCAAGTGGGCCCACATCGGTATCATGTATAACCAAGGCCAGGTTTGCACATCCACCTCGCGTATCTTGGTCCACGACTCCGTGTACGACAAGTTCGTCTCCCTCTTCAAGGAGGTCGTCGCCACCACCAGCAAGGTCGGTGACCCCTTCGCCGACGACACTTTCCAGGGTCCCCAGGTCACAAAGGCACAGTACGATCGTGTGCTGTCATACATTGAGGCTGGAAAGTCCGAGGGCGCTACCCTCGTCGCTGGCGGCGAGCCTTACAAGAACGTTGGTGACGGCCGTGGTTTCTTTATCGCCCCGACTATCTTCACCAACGTCAAGGACAACATGCGCATCTACCGCGAGGAGGTGTTCGGTCCCTTCGTCGTTATCTCCAGCTTCGTCACCGAAGAGGAGGCCATCACCCGCGCCAATGACACCACCTACGGTCTCGGCGCTGCCCTGTTCACCAGGGACATTGAGCGCGCCCACCGTGCCGCCTCCGAGATCGAGGCCGGTATGGTCTGGATCAACAGCAGCAATGACAGTGACTTCCGTGTACCATTCGGTGGAGTCAAGCAGAGTGGTATTGGTCGTGAACTTGGTGAGGCTGGTCTCGAGGCTTACTCGCAGGTCAAGGCTGTTCATGTGAACATGGGTTGCCGGCTGTAAGCTATGAGCTGTAAGAGATAGATGAGTATTATATCATTGGGCTCCATTCTATTGTAACTAAATGTCAAATTTATGCTTGATGACCAGTCAATTCCTGTATGTATCTTGTTGAAATATAATTTCCTGATTCATGGGTAGTCCACGGGACACTGAAAACAACAACCCCTGTAAGAAGTTTGAAACCAACATCATGCTGATAAACATTTTGGGATTAGCTTTCTTGGTACATATTTCACATTGTGGCGTCTCCATTCATAGTAGGGCGGCTGGCCTAATGGCAAGGCGCTTGATTTCGGTTCAAGAGATTGCAGGTTCGATCCCTGCGTCGCTCGCTATAATTTTTTCTTTTTCTCTTTTTGTTCCGCACCCACTGACAAAGAACATCTACATGTTAACTATTGTGTGGTATTTTCAAGTTAATACTTTTGTAACTGATAACTTACTTTGACTACCCCGTCTTCAATAGTCTCTCTCTATTTTTCAAAGTGAACTGGAATATTAGATAAACATACACTTGCATTCACTTCTTGTCTCTTGAAAACTCCCTGTCTTCAATTACCTGGAACTCTTTCAGACAGACGACCCAATTGACTATATAATTTAAGACAGTCTGAGATGGCCGCGAAATAGTTTTAGTAGAACTTTGGAAGGCAAAAAGAGCTGGTGATGAGAGTCATGGTGTAACAAGACTAAGATCGTAGGCGAGATGGAGGAGAATATGTTTGTCCAGACAGATCACTTGATCTGCCTTGGAACTCATAATCGCGTCGACGTCTCGTCTACTTCCTAGTGATACCTCAAGTTCCGGACACGCTCATCAGTCGCCATGACTGATGGAGAACCCCAGTAGAAAGGGGCAAGAAGGCCATGCCAAACGAGGATTGCACGAAGGCGTATCTGCACAAATAGTGGTCCGGTAGTTGTAGGCTCGGTAGTTTGTTTTCCCTGGTATTGGCGAAGCTGGTGACTGGGAGGATTTCGAAGGTGTTTCTGTGAGCTGTTCGATCAAACGATTCGAAGCGAGGTCGGAGTCGAGGTCTGGGGCCCTGTGAATTGGATCAATTAATTTCTGACGTGCTATGATCTCAAACTTGGGAAGGGGGATCCGTTTCGATCAAACTGCTACCACGCAAATCTGCCAATCCATCGCCCGTGACACTGATCGGGTAAGGGAGGCATCACATAAAATGACAATGTTAAAGGTCTCGACAAGCATCAAAGGAATATGACTTCAAGTGTTGATAGTCTGTTTCCTTAGGATATCTTGCCATCAAAAGGGCTTAAATCATAGAAGAGTGTGACTCGTTGTCGATGGTATCAGACAGTCTGATAAAGGGGCAGATATCACCTGCGTGGTCTTATCATACATAGCGCTTGTAGATCCTGTCTTACATTTAAATCAAGATAGATACAGAAACATTTCCCTTAGTCCATAAGATTTGCAGAGATATCCGTCTCTTCCAAATACGCACCGATCTCCAGCAAGTTAAAGATACTCTCCAAGCTAAACCTATTACCCCCGACCTTTGGACCGGAAAGAATAAAAGCGTCCCCTTTACTCGCTGATCCAAATATGGCCCGTCAAGTGGCTTTGTGCAGGAGCAAACGCAGCGTTGTAAAGATCTCTGACACCCGCCTAAGCAAGAAACCATTGCAGACGTATAGTATAGCCTTGTGACAACCTTGGAAGACTTCGGAAGTCGGCTCATAAGATCACTTGACCCAAAACTGAAAGGTCAGGGATGCCCTGCTTGTTCCAACAACTTCCGATATCATAACCCCAAGTACCGACAGACAAAGCATGGCTGTACACATCCAGTACAGGTGCCAGGTCATCCAGGAACTGCACATGTGCCTGCAAACCTTACCTACTGCCCATCATGATTTCACCTGCTGCACAATTAAAAATTCAAGATCAGGCTCAATGACAAATACCCAGAGAGCCACGATGTCGAATCGATTGATGCCCAATTCCTGCCATCACGTTGTGTTCCCCACATCCTGATGCAGGATCATCCCGGAAGCGTTCGTGCCATACCCAGGCAGGTATATAGATGCCGTCTCTTTAACAGGCAGGCAGTGCGTGGTGCGCGGTGCGCAGTACGTAGTACGCATGGTATGCTGGCCACCACATGTGCCCGTACAGTGCCGAAGGATCTGAATCCACCTGCATGCAAGCATTAGTTGGCAAAAGCCCCGACGGGGCAAGTGCTGACCAGTGATGAGGTGCATTGGATTGTTTTACATTGAGCCGAGTTGGTTTGGATCTGGGTTTTGATTGGACGATGTGAGAGCAAGATTTCGGAGGCGACGTATGTGTGTCTGTGGGTTTATGCGTGTGCCATTATACTCGGTAGAAGCCTTGTTTTTAATTTATGGGTCTCTTTTTCTATTCGATGATTTGATGGTTGTTTCTTGGTTCCTGGTTTTGTGCGACTGTGATAGACTGTGGATCAGGCCATATTTGAATGAGAAAAGACCAACGTGTTGGCAGATTTCATTTCACTTTTTCTGTATTTGTTTCAAGGACAATTAAGGTTTCTATCGTTTCTTCTTCCTCGGTCTTTTTATGCCCAATTTGCTGTTCAGGCAGGAAGACAGGAAAATTGGGTTGGGGCGTAAAGGCTTTAGCGCCATACCAGCACACACTTACATCAATCTCTTGCAGATGCATGCAGAGTTGGTCATGTGAAGCTACCTAGACTGATTTGGGATGTATAAGTCAGGGGTGATATTATTCGTGAGATCATCTCGACAGATACAATGACTGGATAAAAGATAACAGTATACCCTCTTCCCGCTAAATGTGGAGACCTGGGGAGCAAATACTCTTGTCCAGTCATGTGTAAGTAACCTTCCCTTGCAGGAATGTGCAGGGAAGCGGGAATTGACACCAATAAGTTTAGTATGTCACAAGTCCTGCAACGTGGTCCACAACCTTAGACCTCAGACCTTAGACTCCAACACGGCAAATCTTCTTTAGAAGGTCCGGGATCCACTTGTCCACTTTTGTCCACTTTTCCTGTTCTCAACCGATTGTGGGGGGAGGGCTTGGCACTGTTCCCTTTCTCTGTCACTCTTCTTTACCCCATTCACGCTCATCGGACAGTTCCCGCGATCAGCGCTGCCAGCAAGTTTTTGACTTTATGAGGTTCGCTTCATGAACAGGGGTTCTCTTAGAGCTATTTTCTTTTCGTCCCTGTGTGACTAGACTAAAGACGCCTCCACACCTCTACTCAAGCCGAAGTAGCGGTGTCTACCTTTCCGGTCCTTTCCCTTCTCTATTTCCCCATTCTATTTTATTGTATTTTCTATTTTCTTCAAGCCGAACATGTTGGGAATTCAGAAATGGACAGTCAATGAGGTCAGATCTTTTATTTCCCCTGCAATTTCCATTTGGCCCTTGGATTTTTCTTATTGGCCCTTTCGTTCCTTTTCTTTCGGTCAAGACATGAAGTGTCGGGCCCGAGAGGGGAAAAAAAAAGAAAAAAAAAAAAGAAAAACTACACCAATCACAAATTTACAAACATCCTGCTGATTCCCCCCTTTAGCCTTATATCGACATAGCGGGAACATTACTCGAGGGCCCCTACCACGATGTAGCTAACAACGAGTTTCGCTTTGTGGATATCTGGGACCATAAACTTTACCGTCTCGATCTGGACAAGGGGCCAGAATCTCTCAAGACAATCGATACAGCCGCGGCTATCGGGTAGGTGGCTTTTTCGTTCAGCGTTCAGCGTTCACTGTTTCCCGATCAAAACTATCACAAAAACGGTACGCCAAAGGAAGACTAATGGAGTTTTAGTGTCACCGCCAATATTGCTAATGCGGAGGCCGATCAACTGATAGTCGGTGCCAAGCTTGGATTTGCCCGCCTGAACCGCACCACCGGGGAACTGTCCTACATCCGCGAAGCTTGGGGCGAAGATGATGGACCGGCGAAAGCAGAAATGTAAGTGGCAAATCCTTAATCGCACGGGAAAAAAGAGAGAAGAGAAGAGAGGGAAGGGGCGAACCCCCCCCTCCCCCAAAAATGAGTACAGAATTACAAGTCACAAGTCCACACCGACTTACTTGAACCCCACAATCTAGTATGCGCTTCAACGATGGCGCTGTCGATAGTCACGGCCGTTTCTGGGCGGGGGCCATGAACGATCCTAAGATCAAATCCCCCGGCCCCGAGGGAATCCTATTCAGATTGGACCCAGACCTGAGCCTGCACCGCATGCTCGCCCCAGTGACGATCCCCAATGGAATTGGCTGGAACGACGCCGATGATACAATGTACCTAACAGACTCCCCGACAGGCAAGATCTTCGCCTTTGATTTCAACGCCGCAACAGGCGCCATCAGTAACCAGCGCGTGCACTATGATCTCGGCGAGCCGCTCGAGCCGGATGGGTTCGCCATTGACGTCGAGGGATGTATCTGGTCCGCAATCTATGGCGGCGGGAAGGTGATCCGGATCTCACCGACCGGTCAGCTTATCGGGCAGATCGACCTGCCTACGCGGAATCCGACGTGTCCCGCTTTTGTGGGCACAGAGCTGTTCATCACTTCTGCCAAGGATACGTATGATGATGAGCGACTACCGCAATCTGTGCGGTATGGGGGCCGACTTTTCCGAGTTGATGTTGGGGTCCGGGGGAAGGCCAAGAATGAATTCCGGTTCGAGTAAACGGACTGGAAGAGGACTCCGTGTCTCTAGGTTTACCGTATAAGTCTAAACTCCACTTGTGGATAGAACTATCATATTTCTTTCCGAGTATGTACGGTCGATCATGAAAAGTGACTCCTCGACCAGCGGTGACGTTTTCACGGTGCTGTACGGAGTACAAGGAAATTGTATACTTCACATGTAGCTAAAACAATCGACCATGCAGCAGGAGCTAATCCGTTTTTCATTTTCCATTTCTGATTTTTCCTTTTCTTTCTCTCCTCGCATTAAATTACATTTTCCCTCAACTAAATCATGTTAGGTGCATTAGCACCGGAGGCTGTGCTAATCCATATGCTTCCGAGGATTGTCTCCTGCACGCTCGGGCGCTGTCTGTTTTCGATGCATCCTGAATCCTGAACACGAGCTTCCTTGATTTAGTTTTTTTTTACCTCTAGCCCCTGGCTAACTCAAAAGAATAGGTTTCCAGTACTGAAGTGGATACGTCGATCACCAAACGGGCGAAATGACGGACCGGCTCGCTGTCATTCCCATGGATTCAGTCTGCAAGCAAGGGGAAAAAGCCAGCCTAAAACAAGGCTGGAAAGAAAGTTACACGTCGAATAAATCTTCATTTGGCCCACCCGCTGATCACAGATTCATGTACGGACATGGAGTATGTAGACCATAACCCTAGTCAATTTTAAAATCCGCCCGATCTAGAATGATGTTTTCATCCTTAAGACGCACAGTACTTCTGTATCCTGCACTATGTTTCCCTGCTATGTAACCCACCAGGATTGCCGCTTAGACGGGGCCGGCCCTGCAGGATGAAATGCAGGCACCGGCTTTGGTTGGCCCTATGTCTTTTGGTGGGCACCATGGTGCAGGTTGTAGGGAAGTACGAAGTACGAAGTACAGTGAAAAAAGCTACTTGACTGACCTTACATTCGAAAAAAATGATACGTTAAGCGGAGAATCCTCAGGCTAGTTCTAGGCCGCGGAGATCCATTATACGGTGGCTTATCTTGGGAGAATTTTTCTTTTTTGCTTTTTGCCTTGTCGGTCGCGGTTACAGCGGACATGAGATAATGCAGTTTAGACAATTCCAGATGTTAGCCCATGTAGACCTAAGTGGCGAGACCAATAGCTAATAAATTCTGCCCGAGTCAAACGTGTGTGGTTGTGTTACTCAGTTCGATTTAGCATCCCATGGTCCCGCGTACCAGATACCTGGGACAACCTAGCTACCAACAACTCTTGTTTTGCCCCTCGACCCGCATCATTTCACATGGCCATGACACGCATCAATGGAAAACCGAGGACTAGGACTCGGACTCTTTGGTTACGTGCAATGACCCGCACTAGGAACGAGTGTTTGAAAGCAAGCCACCTTCATTACAGAAATTAATTTTCTATCCCGCCCCCTGTCTCGCCCCAACGACAGGAAAATGCAACATCGGACCAGTCAGGATCGTCGGATCTATCAGACCGCAAATACCGCCTCGGCAAATGTGGTGACTCGCTGCCTTCCATAATGGCGGCTAACGATGCACGCCTTGCTTAGAAAAAGTTATACAACTGTGACAGCTAGAGATATGCAGAACGATCTATCTCTTTCGAAGATTATCCCCGTTATCCCCATCCCTAGACGAATATGTACCGCGTGCTGGCCCCTACTACCCGATCAGGACTATCTCTGCCTATGCGACGCGCTAATCATTGTAGGCTAGATCGGATTTATCGCCTATCGATGATCGTGGGTTTGTCCTTTCCTAATGAAGGCATGACAGAAAAAATATACAATTGACTAGGCAAAAAGCTTTTCAGCTCAGCCCACATCGTGATCACTTGGAAAGATTGTTAACTCCACTTTGTTCGCGCTAGTTTGGATCTTCACTTTGACCTTTGTCACGCGGAAGCCTTCGCGCTAACTGGGATCTTGAGCTTTACCCACCCAGTTACCCACTTCTGCAAGCTCCCCAGGGGAGAGCTTTCGGCTTTGTCTTCCGGTTGATAGATCGAATGAGGTGGATTTGGGGATTTGTTTGGTTCTTTTGTCTGATTCTGTATCAACATTGATTGGAGTTCGAAATTTCCTGCCAAGTGGGATCATGCAATTGCAGATCATGGTGACACGAGTTGATGTCAGAGTTGGGCTGGGGATTTCTGCTAGCTATTTTCGGGTGACGTATGAGCTAAAGGACGTTCATCACAGATGGAGAGATTCGTCCGAATGGGTCTGTGGTTTCTCGAATCATTCTACTCCGTATGTCCTTGCCCCATCCCCTTTTTTTTTTTTTTTTTTTTTTTTCCCTTAACGCTCTCCCGCAAAGGAAAAAAAAAACCAAAACAAATGCCACTATAACAGAAAAAGGTATAGCCCATTTTCTAACTTTTCCATTCTCTTCTACGGAGTACGGGAGCATTGACTAATAATTAAATAGCTACCCACTACCTGCCTCATGTTCAACCAAAGTGGGTCTTCAATAATCAGACAGTGGAGGCATCATTCACCAACGGCGGACCCTTTTGGAATTGAGTGATGATGCACAACATCTTTGTTAAACTTTCCTTCCGGAGTCAGGGCAAGGGGACGTGTTACCACGGAATGGAGAATCATACAATTCCCTTTGATTCAGACTAACCCAAAAAATACAGGAAAATGACCAACACCAACGACAACTATCATAGCCCCAGACTAAACCCGAGGCAGTATAGATTCCCCCATGTGTTCTGCGTCATGGATCGAAGGAGGTAGAGGATCCACTTCCCCTTATCACTTCACACATGGCACAAACCTTCGGATCCGTGCCGTTTATACCAAAGTACGGATCCTGTCTGTACACAAGGGGGGAATTCATCCGTGTCTCCCACCTAGGATGAAAAGTAAAGAAAAGTAAAAAAAAGAAAAAAAAAGGAAAAAGGGTAAACTAGAAAAGCCACCAAGTCGTCATCTCGTTCGACCATAGATCCACTTCAACCCTTGACCAAGACCATGGTGACGGCCTCGCACTTGCAGCTCCCCATGATTTGTTCGGCGATCGTTAGTTTGGTTCCCCGTGTATACTATACTAGGATACCGAAATTACCATTACCAGTGGAGAACCGAATCAACTTCAGGCAGCTGTTTCTCCATGATTTATACCCAATCCCCTGCTTCATTTTTTCCCTCTCTCTCCACTTAGCACGAGATGGATGACTGCTATCGTTAGTTACTCCACTTCTGGTTCTTTTCTTTTCTTTTTTCTTAATTTATCATTTCATTTTTTACCCAAAAAAAAACCTCCGTTGTTAGTGGTCCCCGGGTACCCTAAATCTCCTAATTAAATCAGGATAAAAATGAATCAGGATATATACCAATTAAGAAAACTAGAAAAATCAGAAAAAGCAGAAAATAAACCCAAAAGGAAAAAAAGACAGGGCGATCCTGCCCAACACCCGATGTTCTGGGTCGGACAACAACTTTACTTGTCTATCCCAGACCCGAAAAAAAAGTTGATGGATCAATGGGTCTTCTCCTTCACCGCTGCATTTCTAACGGTCTGGAGATCTTTAATTGAAGACATTTTCACCTTTCTCTACTCCTTTCAACATAGTACAACCTTAGTTGACACATTACACCACCCAAGGGCCTCGGATCTTCGTCGGTACATGCATAGGCCCTAATCACTGGACCTGTACACTTTTTACCCGGGAACTGACCCCAGTGGCTCACGGGAAATTCCTCTGATCTTAATCAACTTGATCTCAATTGGAATTAGTGCGGTAGTTCTTATCGCTCGAACTCATTCTTAAGCCTCCAGCCCTTTAACTTCCTTCATCGTGGCTACTCTTGGGCTCAGCGTGTTGACCGCGCCTTACCCGAGGCTGCTACATACCCCAAACCTGTCGCAATATCCAGCAGATTCACAGTACCGGGCTCCCTCCTCTCATTCCACTCGTGAGCCCCCCGCTGACTCTGAGAGAGGGGGGTATCGGCCATGCCCTAATCCTCATTCCAGAGAGCCGTCCATGCCGGAGCCTCTACGTGCTGCTCCATTGTCAGACGATGCGACCCAAGGTCGCAGCGGAATTGACAATGAGCTTGGTCCGGCCACTCGCCATTCATCTCGTCGCCCACCGCTTCGGGCTCGACCACAGTCCTGGCATCCATATGGGCCGGTAGAACCACCGCTGGACGCTTCGTCACGGCCCAATGGGGTACATGCTATTTTGAATCCGGCGCAGACAATGGAAAGCAGTCGGGATCTGCGTTTGTCTGGAACAGCCTCCCGACCGCGGAAGGGTTCCTCGCCCGCTCCTCGTTCCATGCATTTGCAGCAGCCGCTCTCCCCCAAGTCTATGCGGCCAGTGATGAACCCTGGTTCGCCATCAGCGCGATTTGTGGGGGGTGGGAGGAGTGGTCATTCGAGTGTTTCTCACTCGCCGCTGGTGCCTCATGAACCTCTGATGGGTCTGCGACAGACTCCAGTTAGCTCTCCCCTGCCGCTGGATTCGGCACTACGACCTATTACTTCATTACCGGGCACTCAAACTCCCGTGACTGCGCCCTTACACTCTACGCCTGGCCTCCATTCGCGACGAACGAGTGCAGGGCCTGGACTAAACCATAAATCTCAGGAGACGAGCCCAACCAAATCTCATACAATCTACAGTCAATATGGACGTGCGTCTCCGGCCGTTTCAATGGCATCCATCCCCCCAAATGCTCCCTACGCAGCGGCTCCCTACATGACAATGGAACCCATGACTCGAGGAGTTCCCGCAACAGCCGGACCACGTCTAGAGGAGACCGGGGCGAGAGCAAGTCCGGTACCAGGTACGCCAGGCAGCACAACCTCTTTAGGCGGCCTAATACCATGCGTCATGGACCTAAAATCCGGATCCAGCAGCCAAGCCGAAAAGCGCAAAGCAAACAGCGACGCCTCTCGTCGTTTTCGCAATCGTAAGCGCAATGAGGTCCAACTCGAACAGCGGCTCACAGCCCAGCAAGACGAGATCCGTCGCCAGAGTGAGGAGATCCGAGCCCTCGCCCTACAGCGAGATCACTATAGATCTGAGCGCGATTTCTTCCGTGAATACCTCGGCCGCTCAACCTCCCTAAGCACCTTACCACCGAGACCACCTTCACCACGTCCGGCACCATCTGCTTCACTTCTACCCACTCCGACTGAAACAGCCCCAAGGCCGCAAGGAAGCTGGCCAGGCACCTCGGTAGCACCTTACGCACCTGTGCCCCATGGATCTGCACCTATAGGAAGAGATGTGGCGCCTTCAGGACCGGTTGCTGGAGGGCCTTTGCCGCCATTCCAGGGCTCATGGCCTCGACCATAATCTGCCCAAGCATTGCATTGGGCAGCAATGGGGATTTATTCAAATCCCATTTTTTTAATTTTTTCTTCTCTCCTATGTTTTCATATGTCATATCTCTTACCCATGTCAGGTCTGGAGCACGCAGTCACTGGTTTGGCTGCAGGTGGTGAACATTGTCATTCTTGATGATTTCAGCGGGTGCCATCATTTTATAAAATCGCCTTCACCTTCACCTTCAATGTTTGGTTAGGTGTATTAGTATCTGCATTTGTGATTTTCTTTCCTTTTGTTCTGCACCATACCCCCCGTCTCCTTATGCACCTCATTCCAAGGGTTCCGAAGATCAAGATCGAGAATGTCCTACAAGAAGAAAAGTGGTTACGCCCCTCTACTCTCTATACATTAATCGGTTATTTGTTGATGGAGTGGACCCTGGTGTCTGGTTTCCATAGTGCCTGGTACTTCTGGTGAAATGCCAGAAAGATTTATATTTCTGTTTATTTCAAAAGTTCCTTCCAGATGTCCTCTTTGTTCTTGACCTATCTCTCACAGGCGCAATGTGACATGGAGTTGACCATAGAGCTGATCCTAATCAATATGTCCAATTTACCTCAAGCTTCCCCTCGCATTCCCGACCCGTGACATCGTTGATCTGTCGATCTGTAAGCTTCTCGCCCGAATCCCCTCTAAAGCGACATGGATTAGCCGCGTCTCACAGAAATATTGCATGGTCTAAATTAATCTATTCGATCTACCTCTAGCTCTCCACATCCATGCAGCCAAGTCGATACATAGCCGCAGGATCACCAATTAAGGAAATACAAGAAAGTCGGTATATATCACTACTGATCCCTGTGGCGTGGTTCGGATGTTCGGTCTGCACTCGCCGTGCAGTAGCTAAGTCTTGGTCACCATTACAGGTCCACTCGGCTAATCCCGCGACTGATCCACAGTTACAGATGGGTTGGATGTGAGCTACCAGCTGTCGGTTTCTGGGACCCCCCTTGCTTTTCATTGGGATCTAACGGTTCAAATGATCGACTTTTGACAGCTTCGATCTATCCAAAATGGATTTGATCAAGGTGTGGAGATTCAGATCCGATCGGACTGGCGGTGTGGGGAGTTTTGTGTGTCCTACAATAAAGGCTGACTTGCAGATGATTGAAGGATTGAGTGGATGTGATTAGCTTGTTACAGAAAAGCAAGAATGTCAGGTGCAAGGTGTGGATTTGTGTACTTTGAAGGTACGAGAAATCACGGGTTAAACTCTATGTTAAGTGAAGTAACCGACGAGTACCGTTTTGGTAACTCCCCACGTGCTGATCACGGGATGACCAATCAGAGTGATGGATGGGCTCACGAGCTTGCATGTCTGCCCTGGACCAAATGCAAAGCACACGATGTTCTTCTGGGCCTTGTATTCTCGGTGAATTTTGTTGCGGTTTTTTATTTACTTAATACCTCTCTTTCCCTTTCATAATGCTCCTTGAATTAAGATCAAGTGAGCACGGACTCTATCCATTTCAAGGACTTGACATCATATCAAACAAGGGTGAGACTTGACATGGCGGGGCACAAGAACCAATACGTTTCCCCGGAGGAGGAAAGCCTGCTAGGTGACAGGTCCGAGCCGATACCTCACAAGTCTTCCTCTCCTACGTGGAGAAGGCTACGCATCATCGGCCTTGTCGCAGCTCCTCTTAGCGTACTGGCCCTGGCACTGTTTTATCTGACGAACGGGTACGAACCCTCATCTAAGAATGTGGTACACAAAAACCCTGACCAGCCTTTGGTTGTGTCGTACAGGTCCAGAAAGGAAGCCGTGCACCCTCGCCACGCCTGCAACAGCGTAGATGACGGATACGAGTGTTTCTCCGACCTCTCCCATCGCTGGGGCCAATACTCGCCCTACTTCTCCCTCGCAGCGGAAGGTATCTCCGGTGACGTTCCACAGCAATGCGATGTCACCTTCGTGCAGGTGCTTTCTCGCCACGGTGCTCGGTACCCAACCGCATCTATGAGCAAAAGTTATGCAGCGCTTATAGAAGCCATCCAGGCCAACGCCACCGCATACAAGGATAACACCGCATTCCTTAGTTCGTACAACTACACTCTGGGAAGCGATGACCTCACCACCTTCGGTCAGTCCGAGATGACAAACTCGGGCATCAAATTCTACGAGCGTTACGAAGCTCTCGCGCGCGACAACATCCCCTTCATGCGCTCCTCGGGCTCCTCACGCGTGATAGAATCCGGCGAATATTTCATCAAAGGATTCCAGCAAACAAAGCTACAAGACAAAAAAGCTCTGCAATCACAATCCTCGCCAACCATCAACGTTGTCATCTCCGAGGACACAGGCTCCAACAATACCCTCAACCACAATACCTGTCCAGCCTTTGAAGCCAGCACAATCGGTGACGATGCCACAAACAATTACACCGCGATCTTCGCCCCGTCCATCCGAGCACGCCTCCAATCCCACCTCCCAGGCGTGTCTCTCACCCTCGACCAAGTAACCGACCTAATGGACATGTGCTCCTACGACACCCTCTCCAACACAGACGACGGAAGCACAGTCTCCCCCTTCTGCGCCCTCTTCACAGACTCCGAATGGACTGAATACAACTACCTCCAATCCCTCTCAAAATACTACGGCTACGGCGCCGGAAATCCCCTCGGCCCAACTCAAGGCGTAGGCTTCGTCAACGAGCTCATCGCCCGCATAACCCGCACCCCGGTACAGGACCACACTTCTACAAACCACACACTGGACAACGGATCGAACGCCGCCACTACTTTCCCCCTGAACCGTACCCTGTATGCGGACTTCACGCACGATAATGGAATGATTCCCATTTTCTTTGCGCTGGGCTTGTATAATGCTACGGCGCCATTACCAACTACTCATGTGCAGTCTGATAGTGCGGCGGATGGGTTCTCTGCTGCGTGGACTGTGCCGTTTGCGGCGCGGGCATATGTCGAGGTTATGGAGTGCGGTACGGAGAAAGAGGAGTTTGTACGGGTTTTGGTTAATGATCGGGTTGTTCCGTTGCAGGGGTGTGGAGTTGACAAGTTGGGGCGTTGCAAGAAGGAGGAGTTTATTGATGCGTTGAGTTTTGCGAAGGAGGGTGGTGATTGGGCGAGCTGTTATTAGACATTTCCATAGTCTTTTGAATTTGTCGGAGAATATGCATCTTGTACATGCAAGCTTTGAGCTTCTTGTTGTATGATAGTTAAGAGAATGTTATCGATCACTTTGTTAAGTGGAATTCACATCATTTCCAGTCACCAACCGGTGTCTTAGGTTGCCACATCAGTTGTGTATTCGATCTCAGGGGTTGTATTTGAGTTTATTCAAATTAAATTCAAGTTAAAGATTCATTTCTTCAGGCCATGCAATTATAATCAATTAACATCAACATTCAACATCAACACTACTTGGGAACGTGTGTTTTTTTCGTAGCATCTGATTGGTCAGTTTGTAAATTAGTGGATCTTCTCTCCACGATACTTCTCGTCAAGCTTCGATGACCTTTCTGTCAAATAATGGTATGGAAAGCACAGCTTAACAGAGACAGTCCCTATCAGTCAGCCAGCTGTTAGCACCTAATTTACTGGCGGAAGCCGTTTAGGAGCTTTGGCTAGGGAAACACCCGAAGGATGTCACGTTATCCGACACACTTGATTCTAAGTGACTTGAGCAAGGCAATTTTGCCCTCGAAAAGCAAATTAGGTCAGCAGTGCTGCACGCCGTTTGCATTGTGAGCCTCAAAAGCCACATTTGAACCGCAGTCTGTGCTCTCATATCCTTCAGATATCTGGAGCTTGACCACGGCCATTTGAGACATCGTCGGAATGCAATCCGTTTTCAGTACCAATTGCTGGGAAGAAGAGGATGTATTATCTCGGTATATCGATATACTAGGGCCAATGCCTTCGGACCGGTGGCAGCACTGGGAGGAAAAACCGGAAGTTTGACAAGTCTGAGCATTCAACGGAGTTCCATACCAAGCTTTCAAACTGAGCAAAATCACGCGTGAAAAGGCAGCCGTTTCTGGCCTCAAAAGTGCTCGGGTCATTTTAAACGTCAATCCAACAGGTCCTCATATTCTAGATGTAAAATAATTCAAACAGCCTCCAACTCCGGTAAAAACACGATACCTCCCTCCGATAGCAGAGTACTTCTCTCGTCTTAGAGCAAGATCCCACCAGGTATAACTTAACTCGATTTAAATATGATAGGCATTCCAATGATTTCCATGTCTATTGCTGTGAATTCGTTGTTGCGCAGACAGAACCCAAGTCGCCCAGAGCTGTAATTGCTCTTGTTGAACACTATATCCATTGTCTTGGAGATCATCTGTTGAAAGATGGCGTAATTTTTCCAACGAAGTGCGTCGGATGGGTAGTCGCCTCCCATGTAATGGCGAGAAGACAGAAGCACTAGGTACAGACCCCGAGACCCAAGATTGCTCTGGAAATGACGTAGCAGCCTCAACTGAAAGGGACGACGGTGGTGCGAGGTCTGTATCAAAGACTTCGATGCCGCTAGTCATGGATAATGCGTCAAAATGATCTGCATAGTCTATATCGTAGAGCTCCACTCGATCTAGACGTTCCATTTCTTCGCGGAGAACCCTGAGTACGTCTTTCCAACGCCCCATAGGGCGAAGGTAGACGGCGCATAAGCGAAAATCGCGAAGTTGGCGGCGATGTCGGCGGGCCAAGGAGATGATCTCGTCGGCGCTCAGACGCCATCCCTGCAAACTGAGCGAGCGAAGTGTTTTCCAACGAATATCATGGAAAATAGCATCGAGATCTAAATCAAGTGGGGTTTTAGGAGGAAAGCCGATATGTATAGCGACAAGGTTCTTGGCCTCGATGAAGAAGCGGTGAAATACGCTAGATAGGTCCGACATGGTGGCGGTAATGTCCGTATTGGAATGAAAATTGACATCCAGGCTGGTCAGACGGCTTCCCATTGCGGCTAGAGTGGAGGAAGGCGCTTGCAGGAGTTTGAGAGTAGCTTCGGGGCTGATTTGGGGACCGATAAATCTGATGGCGGTACATTGAGAGCCTAAAAGGGCGATCCCAAGATTTGTAACTGCGCGCGAACATGCCGATTCCCACTCGAACCGAGCAATGCTTGTATTGGTGCGCTCAAAATTGCGGATGGAACGATCGCGAATAAAATCGATCAAGTGTTCGTCGGCTTCGTCTTGCAAACGCAGCAGTTTGATCTCCTGGAGTTCTGAAAATGCAGCAATCCCCGAGCGAAGCTGGATGAGATCTTGGTTGTTTTGGATAAGATTTATTTGTTCGTCCAATCGTTGTCGGTGAACTTGTGCGATGGATGGGTTCTCGGTGCCGAGTTGCTCAAAGATTGATGTCCACCCTGTGATCTTGTCGTCAGCCGATCTGTCCCATATAGGCTTGTGAATCGAAGGAGTGGGTACCGCCGCCTTGGTAGAAGGGTCGCACGAGATATGTCACCGATTTAACGTAGCAGGCTCGCTGCATTTCCAGTAGCTCCCCAAGTCGCCGGAACCCATCATTCGAAAACCGCAAGTTGAAGCGCGCGAACTTTCGAGGTGTGCCGATCCGCATGAACCGTTTACAGACTAGGCGAAATCGATCCAGATCGGAAGTCTCTCCGTATCTAACAAATTTGAGTTGACCTTCCCCATTGCTATGATTCCCGTTGGTATACAATTTTCCGTTTAGGGCTCGCGTAGGTTCCAATAAGATTGCCAGAATTTCACTCAACAGCTCATCGGCGAGGTCCTGAATACAAAGTGACTGGTCCATGATCGGCGCTTCGCAGCCGAGATCCGGCTGCCTGTACAAGATATAGCGACATGGAAAAAGGGGAAAAAGAGAGAAGAGATAAAGGAAACTCCTACACCAAGTCTTACAGACCGGCAGAAGGGGAAGATCAGTTGGGGATGCACGATTGAGGGGGCACCAGTCCCACTATAAACCCGGGAAAAAGAGAGAAATGAAAAAAAAAAAAGAAAATAGAAAAAATAGGAAAAAGATGAGGAGTACAAGTATCGAATGGAATTGGACTCGTCGGACCCCCATAGTCCTGTCTCACCATAGACGCATGGCGACAGTTCTCACCCTAACAATTCGACGCGACCGGGATGATCATCAAGACCCTGGTTTAGCGCGCTTGGATGCTGACGGGCCTTCGCATCACGTTGGTTTCATTGGTGAGGCTTTCTCACGGCAATCACATGATTGATCGAGCCTGCGGCCAGCCAGAGCGAAACAGCGCGAACCTGCAGAGACTTTTAGGCATCGGAGAGCGAGTAGTTTGAGAGGGGAAGATTGTTGGTGGTTGTAAAGTATATGCAGGCCCCGCTCCAGTTGTCACATCTCTGCAGAGTGACGGACTCGCGTGTGGTGGAGAAGCCACCAACACGATTTGGGGGAAATTGGCCGAAATTCGAATGTATTAGAATCTACAGGTCTCCATTGTTTCCCCTAGTTTTATCCCCCGGCCCCCCTGATTTGTAATTCCAAATTCCCCTAGATTCCAGATCTTCATACCTTGGCCCGATTCATACGTCGTCGGCGGATGTCAGTACTGCTGATTTTGTCTTCGAACCCGTTGGCGCTCGCCCTGGCCTCTCCAGACACCAGAACATCCACTTCGAAAATAGACAATCTTGTCCAGCCTTTTTTGGACCGCTCCTCATTGACGAATACCCCTCCAGCTGACGTCTCCTTCGATACCACCAACGCACTGATGTTCTCATCGGTAACGGTTGGGCCGCAGACATCGAAGAACTCCACGAACTTATAGATCAGGTTGGGTTGAAATTGCATGACCACCACTTGTCCCTTGCCATCTAAGGTCCTGCTGCGTTCCACTCGGGGAGATCCGTTCGAAAAATCCATAATGCCGGCTAAAAAGGCTGCAGTGCACTGGAACCGCTCTTCCCAGCTTTCTAGGTATTCGGCAAACTTTTTGTTCACTAACAACGCATCACCAGTCACACCGATCGTCAAAATCCTCTTTCGATCCTGGCTAGTGTCATCAAGCGGCTCCAGTGCTAGTGCCAGTGCTGTGAGCAGTCGTTTGTGACCGAGGTGAAGATGATCGAACGTTCCTCCAACCGCAATCGAGTAGTGGGGCTGAAGGGACGGCTGGTCCTCAGGAACCAGAGGAGACTGCGGGGCTGACCACTCTTCGCTGGAGACCGTCTGCAGGATCGATGCGGTGTGATCCTTGGAGGCACCGGTCAAACTACTAAGGAAGGAGTCGGCCAAATCCCGGCCGACTTGGTTGCCTGGAAAAAATACATGGTCCCACTGTCGACCCGAGGTTGCCAGGGACTGAATGTCAAGAATTGGCCCAATCTTTGAGCTAGTAGTGACTTGTGAGGCTGCAGCGTCTGATGACGGAAAATCAACAAAAACTAGGCGAGCATCTATACCACCGGGTGAGTCAAGTTCGATATCTCGAGCAGTCCCCACGGCCCCAATCAAAGTATAAATGCTGCCGACATAATGTTCCACCTCGGTAAAGATCTTTGTACGCGGCCTGTTGGATGGTGAAAGCAAGCCTGGGACTGCTAAAGCAATATCGAGGGTTGCAATCCGATCAGAGCCTTTCAGCGACTTAGACAGCTGCACGAACACATCCGATATCGAGGCCTCGAATGCTTCCTTGACCCCGCCAAACGAGAATGACGGAGGCGAGGGCAGTAACAAAAGCGCCGAAGGGGATTTGATGTGGGATGACATGAGTGCAACTACGTACAATTGTAACAAAGCCAGAATATCGACAAAGAGATCGTAGAAAAGCAAAAGCGAAAGCAAAAGAAACCATTTGTATTCCAAATAAAGAAAGCGGGAGTGTCACCCGGGGTTGGCTGACTCAGCGCGGGCACCCCCAGCTTCAATGAAACTCTCAAGCTGCGACATCCACAGTCGCTCCTCCTTCTACGCCTCATCGTGCCTCGGGAGCTTCTTGTGAAGCTTGTGCAGCTTACTGCCATCCTCGGGCCCCTCCCTCCCACCAGTCTCCATTATCCCAGGGAGTGGAGCTACGCCCCATCCAATACCGCCCCTAACGACCCAGTCCCTCCGCACCATGTCGAATCCCTCCTTCGACTCCCCCCGACGATCCGCTGCGTTCGCTCGCCAGCCGGAGGAACTTCATATTCCATCCACGGGCCTGATAAATCAGAATTTGTCCCGTCAGCCTCCCTCCCATGACTTTCCCACGAACCCAGATACAGGTGCAGGCGCGGCCCAGGTCCCCTCGATCAATGTCCAACCATCGCAATCTTTGCAGTATGGAAGCGGTAGTGGAAACAGCAATAACACTCTACCAGGCGCCTTGACCCCGGGAGGTCAGAACCGTCCTCCAGCTGTCTCGGCCAATACAGCCCCGTCGACCATCCCCACCTTGCCGTCATCACAGCAGTCCAGCCACCGATCGAGCATGATTAACTCTCATGGACACTCACGATCGAGCCCGGCTGGATTCGACCAGCCCATGTACAAGCAGCACGGTGCACCTGAGGACAACAAGTATCCTACATCCCCCGGGCCTGGATACCCACCTCAGACCCCGCAAGGCTCCAAGTATTCGCCGCTCGGCCTGGCCGACGTTCGTCTTCCTGGTGACCATTACCTAGGGGGCTCGCTTATGAGCCCAGGTGCAGCTCCGTACAACAGCGATAATCAGGTGCCCACCAATAGCAACTACATCGCACCGTGGCCTATATACGCGGTTGATTGGTGCAAATGGCCAATCTCAGGGAGCTCGAGTTCATTTGGAGGCAAATTGGCCCTGGGAAGTCATCTCGAAGACAACCACAACTATGTGCGAAATCCCTTTCGGTGACAAGGAGTGTTCTGCTGACAATTGTTTCTGTAGATTCAAATTGTTGATACGCACTGGGCCCAGCCCGACCCTGATACCCCAGATGCGGCAGCAGGGGAGATCAAGTTAGAATATGTCAAAACAGCCGAAGCGACACATTCATATCCCGTCACACGTATTTTATGGGAGCCGCCATCGTCTCAAAAACAATCCACTGATTTGCTCGCTACCTCGGGTGATCACCTTCGTCTGTGGTCACTTCCCAATTCCCAACCGCTACCGAGCTCAAACAGTATAACGCGGTCTTCAAGTCAACGGGAGGCTCCTTGTGCTAAGCTGTCCCCGTTGGCGCTGCTCTCCAATTCCAAATCCCCCGAGCACACTGCCCCGATAACCTCATTGGACTGGAACACGATCTCACCCAGCTTGATAATTACATCCAGTATTGATACAACCTGCACAATTTGGGATATCCCTACCTTGACAGCCAAAACACAGCTTATTGCTCACGATAAGGAAGTCTTTGATGTTCGGTTCTGTGCCAACAGTGTTGATGTTTTCGTCAGCTGTGGTGCAGATGGTAGTGTCCGCATGTTTGATCTGCGGAGCCTGGAGCACAGCACTATCATTTACGAGCCATCTGAAAAGACAGACATTAAGCGTATGTAGCCCTATATTGGCCTCTTTGCGGAAAATCCGGATAACTAACACATCCTAGCGGTGATGAGCCCTGGCAACACCAGTCCACCTGGATCACAGGCAGGAGCTTGGCCGCCACCATTATTGAGAATTGCCGGTAGGTCATCTTTACTTCGTATTAGCCATGGCATGACCTCACATTATTCTATAGCATCACCACATGACGCCCATCTCCTAGCTACCTTTTCCCAGGATTCCAGCGTTGTCCGCGTTCTCGATGTGCGGCAACCAGGACAAGCCTTGCTTGAGCTAAAGGGACATTCCGCTGCGCTTAATTGTGTTGAGTGGTCCCCCAGTCGACGTGGTCATCTTGCTTCCGGTGGAGATGATAGTCTCGTTCTCCTCTGGGATCTTATTAACCAGCACAATGCCGTGCCGCTGTCACCTCCTGTCAACAACCCTGGTTCCCAATCCACCACCACTGAACGCGGCCCTACCGCTGCCTGGCAATGCGACTATGAAATCTCCAATATCAGCTGGTCTCCGCAGGGCGGATCCAACCCCTCAGGCCAACCCCGGGAATGGCTCGGTGTCTGTGGCGGACGTGGGTTTTGGGGCGTTGCACTATGAAACGAAATCGAAACGCCATAAGTATGAACACAAAGAAAAGACTTTCAGCTTCGGAAGGCTGTTCGGTTGTAATCACTGGGCTGTCATCTTTTGCCTAATCATTTCGCGCTCTCTGGGATTTGTTTTGTTTTTAGCATATCCGACTGCATTAGATGGTTCCTTTCCTTGATCTCCATCAATCTTGTCTTGGCGGCTGCATTTCCGCTGTTTCCCATCCTGCATCCTTTGCTATCCTGCTAGCCGCCTACTGCCGTTGCCTGATCATCACGCCTAGCACCATCAGCCGGAAAAAACTAGATCCACACTGAGTGATACTGGATGGATGAGATCATCGAAATTTATCTTGATTTTGGCACGAGTGAATGAATGAATGAATGATACATTGGAATTTTGGCTGTGGAGCGCCTTGTCCATTTCATGTGCTCATCTTGATGTCTTGACCTCAGGTTATGAATTATCCCTTTCTAGACTGGAGTGGCACGAGAGTAGAGCAAACAAACCATTATGACTCTTCACCATTAAGCTGTAAGCTATACATCGGAAGGTGAGCTGAGAGCTGACCTCGGGAGTATTTATTATTTCTAGCGGTTCTACGAACATATCTCAAGCTATGGAGCCGTGAAAAAAACATCGCTGCTGTCTGGAAAAATATGGTATTTCATACTTACTCGACCAGCGAGCAGACTGATGGAAACGGACTTCAAAAAATATTTACCTAAAAGTCATTGCCTCCGTGGGGTTTGCGCCCTCGGGGTCAATAGACTCGGGGTTGTAGTTGCAGAAGCACCCTTGGCTATAAGTTGGTCCTCAAGCCAACGCGCAAACTTAACACTAGGAATATCAATAGCACGCCAGAAAACATCGCCCGCCCAAATAGAGATAGGTAGACAAATCAGCCAACCAATCAAGAAACCGAAACAATACTGGATATTCGTTTCTTTGCCCGTGATTTCCCAGATGTTAGGCATAATGGAGTATCCTAACGAGTGGAGAATAGGTCCATGGACAATATAGAAAGCGTAGGATATCTTGCCCAAATACTGGGATAAGGGATTGGTGAAGAGTTTCTGGATATCGGGGGAGTGATTGATGCTGAAAACGATCAGGGCTGCACCGATTGTTTGCGCGAAACGGTGAGGTTCCCCGTAGGTATGGGGTGTGATATGCCAGATCCATCTGTAGCCTGGCGTCCACTTGAAGCCGAGATTAGGACACGAGCCGATGTAAAGGCCGACCACGAAGACTCCGATCCACAGACGCCGACGAGAGACACTGAAGATCACTTTACCGCCCGGTTGGAAACGGATGTGAAGGTTGTCATCTGCTCTTGCTGAAGCTGGCCGCTCCCAGGTTCCGTTGATTTGATCGATTTCGGCCATCTGCATACCCACCAAGAACAAGACAACGTCCCATCTGCCGTAACGCATACAGAACCAAGTCAGGATAGCGATGAGAGCCATGCGCACGGAAGAAACCAAACGCGAGGTCGCCAGGGTTGCAAGGAAGAGCACGAGTGAGCAGCGGAACTCGACAGGGATGGTCCATAGATGGGGGTTATAGTTATTGTAGTAGAGAGACCAATCAAATGGATTCATCAAACGCGCCACCGTGTAATACCAGTCCCAAGACTGTTTGTAGAGGGATTTGTAGACTGGCGGATGCTGCTCATTCGTGCCGACAATGGTGTGGCCTTCCTTGATGACACCCCAAGAATAATTGTAGACACCAAGCCGCACACCGATAAAAACACACGCAAGACCAATGATAGATGGGATGTAAAGGCGCAATGCCCGTCTAAAAGTCGACGACGCTAACACAGTAAAGGTCTGATCAAAAGATCGAGACCGAATAGTCTTTAAAGGCTTGTAAGAAAGAACATAGCCCGAGATGACAAAGAAGATGGCCACCATGATATGGCCAGAAATCAAAAGATGAACAAAGGGTAATTGGTGAATTCCCCAATTTTCGCCCGCAAATCCCCATCCGATCGCAACTTTCCATGTATACGCGAAAAGAAAGTGGAAGTTGAACACAAGCAGACAGGCCCAGCCTCGGAGCCCATCGAGTGCAGCGATCGCATGTAGTTTCGCCGGTTGATCCGGCACAACGCCGACATATTTCTGTAGAAAGCTAGGCGTGAGGGCGATCATTAATCTGAGCAAAGTTTCCTCCGCACTGGCCAGCCAGTCCTCTTGCGACGTTGAACCATTTGGGTTGGCTAGTATATTTGACGGGTGAAACTGGGAAAATCCGTTCCAGCGGGAGGATTGATAGGTGCTATTAGGTCTGGAGGCGGCCTCGAGATCTTCTAGGGGAATTGAGGTTGTTGAGGTGCGGTGTTCGCGGTTTTCGAGGTGGGATGCCATGGTGGTACGGAGTATGGAATTCGCTATGCCTCGGGAGGAATGGTTGGTGCCGCGTGGAGCGCGACAGGGGGGGGTATTATGTCGAAATAATCATCGAATGGGTATGCGCGACTGCGGTGGACTGCAAATGGAGAGAAGAGGAGAGGAGAGAAAAGGATGAGCCCGTTCCGGGGAGAGGGTCAGGGTCGTGGAGAAGCTAACGTTGCCGTGTCCACATTGGCGTTCTGAGCCGTAATACGTCAGCGGGTAGTGTAACTGTATCTTCTCCACTTGGCAACCTAATAGACAAACAGGAATAGATATAAATTCGACAAAAAAAATAAGAAGTAGAGTTAAGACATAGAAGAAATTTGGGAGCGAAAGTGTCAAGAACATACATAGCGATCACCTTCCTTTTACAGTTTACATTCCCGTGTTCGGCTTTGCTACTTACGCAGCTCCATCTATACCAAGAATACGCTATAGTGGAACGCATAAACTTCACTTTTCGGGACACTTTATGTTACTTGGGTATAAATACGTTGGAATCCTGTAGCTTCGACTTGTTTTTCCCTTTTCTTTCTGGTACTGTTTTATTTATTGAGCTATTGAGCTAGAAAGCTTGTTATAGAGACGAGTATCTAAATTATAGGGTGAGAGATAAGGTAGGATACTGGGTAGGAGGCAGGGTAGGATAGGCAAATAATATAGAGTACCTAGTGCTAGTACTATAGTTAACTAGTTATCATTTGCTTAGTAATTGGTATGCTTCATTTGTGCCTTAGTGCCTGACAGATCCGGAAATGATTACTCAGCATCTATACATCACATGATCTAGATGATTTGTGAAATTGTGGCCTTTTGCTCTTGTGTCTGAACTGTTGAATATAGTACTTCTCATGTTGATGTTAATTGGATGAGTTATTGATATAAGTAAATTACTGTATGTTTGAAATCCACATATTACCAGGTAGCACCTGGAAATTCAAACTTAAAGGTTGTTACTGTTATATTGATTATCATCTCATACTAGATTGAGCTCTATACTAGCTATACTAGCTCAGCTTCCTGTCGTCTGAGAGCTCCAACCCGAAGAAAACAACTGATCAAGATCCTCCAAACTATGCATGGCAATGAAATCAATCTATAGCCTAGAATCTATATTCTATTATACAAAATTTCTGTAATTTCTTTGCCAGTGGACTTCCCCGAAGCGGCGATGATCCTCCCAAGCTCCTAATTCGCGCGATTCGGGGCGAGAACTTCTCTCCCTTCCTCTTTGTCTTTTCGTTGAGCCATCCCACCCTCCACTTTCGCGACTCCTTTTGTCCTCGTCTGGATGTCGCGATCGCTTGCGCACGATATTCGATAGCTCTTGGGTGGTCGTGGTCGCAATCCCCGAATACCATCGTCATGGATTTGCGCACCATCATGAATACCGACGCTGGCGGCGCATCCAAAGCCAACGCACCACCGTCCAACCAGTCGTCAAGTCCTGCCTCCGATCCATCCAGTAAACAGCGCGCTCAATCGGCCTATTCTGATTATCCACCACGTCCTCCACAGCCTCCATTGCAACATCCATCCCATGCCTCACCCGAACGATCCTCGCCCTATGGGCCTACCCAATCGCCATATCAGCAGTTCAACACGGGACCTCATCCGATCAATACAGCAGTACAATCTCAAAGAAGTCAAAGCCCTACGCACGTCTCCACTCCCTATAGCTCCGGGGCGCGTGACCCATATGGTGCATCGGCATACCATCCACATCCTCAACACCCCGCGGGCCCCTTGGCCTCACCATATACACCGCAACCTATGAGCGCAGGGGTCCAACACTCTGAGCCGGCATCATATTTTGCTCAACAACGCTCCCATTCTCTTCACAGTGTTATGACCAACCCGCGTCCGATCACCCGAGACAGTCCGCCTTCCGTCCCCCAGCCTCACCCATCGCATCAATTCTCTCCCTCCGCCCACCAGTCGGTCCCGGGTACACATTTAGGCCCTCCACCTGCCTTCATCTCGCGTCAATCTCCTTCCTCTACCCGTCCTCAATCCTCTGGTCACGATTCTTCCCGAAACCCTCTATCCAGTCCCCAAACTATTCAAGACGTCCAATCACGAAATAATACACAATTGGCATCACCATCAAGACAACGTCAATTCTCTTCCCAGTCACGCCCGATTGATCCTCCACCTCCTCTCTCTTCCACAGGAGTGAAGCAAGAGCAAACAGAGATTGCAAGTCCTGAATTTTCTCGACAAAACAGCACCGCGGCAAACTCTGATTCGGCCGGGCCTGGTCCGCTTCGCTCGTCTGAGGACAAGTGGAACGAGAGTCCCACAGCACTATTTCATTCTGGACCGGGGTCAGATTCACGCGCCTCACCTGTTGCAACAGCCCACACGCAGATAAACAGCTCGCCATCCGCCTCACGCAGCGGTTCCCAATTCAAGATGGAGATTGACCACGAGCCAAGTCAGCATATGACGAGCCAGCCACCCAAACCGAAAAGAAGGCGATACAACGAGCCTCCTATTTATGCCCAGCGAAGCGCGCGCACGAAAGGCAGATGCCCGGTCATCCCAAACCCTTTACCCCCTATTCCGAAACATGCCAGGCAATCATACGAAGCGCAACAACTGAGTCGTCGGACTTCCTCTGCAACCGGACCTGTAGCCGCAGCCGTCACTCCTACCTCTGTTCGAACACCAGCTGCAGCACCACCAAGCAACAACGGTCCTCCCACACCAGCTGCGCCTCCAGCCCCAACTGCAGCTGCGGTAACTGCGCCGAGCACCAACAACACCAGCAACAAGCCGGTTGGAATTTTGGGACCGTGGGAGCCATCCATCACTGGATTTATTCCTCACGAAGAAATTACGAAGCTCCTCTGCGATTTTCTGTTTCAACATGTGGTGATGAGGAACGACGTGGCAGCTGGGCCAGCGGGCTCTGCGGCCGCTGGGCAAGGTGCGATCATCGAGATTGAAGGGAAATTGGGACATGTCATGGACATGGATAGAGGAGAGAGGTTGAATTTGCCGATTCTTACTGAAACCGTCGTCAACCGAGACATTCCACGATTCCGAACATCTTTCGAAAGCAGCATGACCGTTGTAAGTCTACTTTGACATGAACAAAGCCGAGAGAGTATACTGACCGTGACTTCTCTACAGGAACAACATCGTGCCATGAATAACTTCCTAAATAACGCCGTCAAAGCATCCATGCCCGGTCCCAATTCCACTCGTGTCCCGATTTCCTACGCACACAAAAAGGAGCGTGATACCTTTTACGAGGTGTCACCCGCCGATCTGCCTCCCGTCATTCGTCAGAACCTGAACCCTCGTCACAAACCAAAAGTTCGGGTGACAACCGATCAACGGACTGGCGAAGTGCTTGCAAAGATCGTGAAATGCCGTGTCGCGGATATTGACGTGTGTAGCCCACGCACCACAGTCGACTGGCGCGTGAGTGTGAACCTAGAAATGGAGTACGAAGGCGATCATCGCAACTTGCCCTTGGTGGACACATCCAAAGGAGGTCGTGGCGAGCGAAACAAGGACCGCATGAGCTACCGACACTTGGCTTACCAGGTGGATTTGACGCAGGTAGCCAAAGCTGAGGTGAGTTCCACTACTACCCATCCCCATCCCTGTGTTACCATACAGTCTTCTGACCTTTCCAATAGCCTTCGACGAAAAACGAGTTCGAACACGAGCTCGAAATCGAAGTATCCGCTGCTGAAATTCGCCGACAAGGTCAACTCGCGATGAGCGGGGATCCCACGAATCAATATGAGGAATTGATTAAGGGTTTTGTGGATAATATTCGCGTGCTAGCTCGGGCGGTGCCACCTTGATGAACTGATTTATATCCTGTAACATCTATTTTAGACTGATCCGGGGTTACTCGATCTGTTCTTTTTATCCTTTTATCTGTGCCGATCTGGTTTATTTGCATTCCCGGGGGCTACGGTGGGCCATACGTATCATGCGGACAGATCAGCTAAAATCATTTATACAAATGGCAGAAATCAAAAATACCAAAATTCCAGCAACAGTAATCTACAAACTTACAAATTGAGATAGAACTGGAAGTCCTATTCTAGATAGCAAACCAGATATCTTCCCATGTACATTGTACCAATCTGGCAACATGCAGTATACTATGTCCATTAATCGAAAAATCAAGGCTTAAAATCAAAAAAGAGTTACTACTCTAAACCAAGTACCTGCGAGCTAGGTACTAACGTATTTCACTAGCGAACCGATCACACAGGCGAGCCGATCACCCCAAACACCATAGTAAATGCCTTATTTACAACTCAAATATCTCAACAACTACTAAAAAAAAGGCCAAAAAACTGCTGATAGATATTGATCAGGACTTTCAGTAACATATATCAGTTTCAAATAAACCGAACTCTCATATCATCACGATACTAGAAATTACAAGACTGAACTAACAACATACATATATCTCAGTCATTGATTCAGAAAATCTTTAAAATTGCATAAATGGACTAGATATTATATGGAAACAACTGAGCTTCAAGTAAAAGCCCCTACAAACTAATATAGTTGAGATAATGAGTTGTAATTTATCATATTTACTATGGTGTTTGGGGTGATCGGCTCGCCTGTGTGATCGGTTCGCTAGTGAAATACGTTAGGTTCTCCCTTTTACCTAATAAGACTATCAGCTAGTTTACGAAGCTTTGGGGTAGACTCGGGTGGGTTTTATGGATGATTCAATTGTGAATATCCAAGTACAATACAAAACAGAATTAGAGAGTATGATATAGCCCATCTGTCCGCATGATACTTATGGCCCACCGTATGGGGGCAATAGAGAAAACATGTTTCAGACGGCTTATTCGACAAGAACTATGTCAATCCCTCAACCTACTAGTAGACATCTTGGATTCCACAGTTATCAGCAGATTGTAGATATCATTTTGATATCCAAGCGCTACCGAATAGCTTCAACCTATGATTGACCAGTGCATCCACCCCAGCCAGCCACCTTTTCCAACATTCCCCTTCGTCCAGCTGCAGGATCCAAGTTATACGCTTGTAATCACGAACTTCTTGATCTTCCACCTCATCTTTCAACTCTACTTTACTGGCCGGTCCCCAAACCATCCATTTGCGCTCCCCAGTCTCCACATCCCACGGTGCCAATCCATTTGCGAATCGAATCCAAGCTGAGGAAAATTCACGAGCCATCCGCTTCTCCTCCTCATTAAACTCATCTTCCAAGTTCATAAAAAGATAAAGCAGCTCATGAGCGTGATAAGCCGTGCCTTGAAAAGCATTTTGAATACGTGACCGCTGATCAAAGTGATAGAAAAACGATGACTGTTTCGCTGTCCGAGAAAGCAGGTAGTTCGGGATCTTGAAAATCGCGTCACCACACATATGCTCCACGCGAGCCAAAAATTCATCCTGTGGAGAATCAATGGTGATCCCATACGCCTCTAAGATTTGGGCCGTACGAGCTTCATCGTTGATATGATCTGCAAGAACCCGGCGGACAGATTGGTAGTCATCTTCCAGCAGGTTCAAATGGAAGATAACACCCTCATGATAGGTATCGCCAAACATATAACTTTTCAGCCAAGCTGGCGGGCTGTTGACATCTCTGGGATTGAGTTCAGAACGATAGAACCATCCGTCTAGACACGGATTCCCCGTGCCTGAGGGAACACCCTGAATAGCTGGGGTTGCATTTGCAAGTTCTTGCTGTGGAATAGAACGAAGCTGATCCAAAGCTTCGGGCGTCGAAAGATCAATCTCGAAATGACGGCAAACAGCTTCGAAGAAGCGATCATGTTGTTCTATCGTCCATGCTGGAATAGCTGCAGATAGACCGGACATGCATACCGCTCGATGGAATACTGACGGATTCGCTGCGAGCAACTGATTGCTGATCGAGATACCGCCAGCAGACTCACCCACCGCAGTGACATTATGAGGATCACCTCCAAAGAATTGGACGTATCGCTGGACCCATTCCAAAGCGACTTGTTGGTCTGTGAAGCCGAAGTTTCCACTGCCGGCATGTCCGTCTTCTCTGAGCTCATCGGCGATAATCTTCCCGGCGAGAAAACCGCCGATACCGACTCGGTAATTGAAGTTTATGCAGACAATTGGCAGGTCGATTGAGATGCTATGGGAAACCAGGTTCACTGCGTCGAAGATTGGCAGATTTGCGCCCCCGTACAGCAGAGAGCCGCCGTGGACGTAGACAAAGACGGGATAGCTTTTGTCAGGATTCCAGGAATGAGGAATTACAATGTTCATAACGAGTGCGGACTTTTCGTCTACGACTCGTGAGTCGGAGAAGTGTGCTGGTGGAGGAACAGGGACCAAGTCATCGGCATCATCTCCTTCGACAATTGGACTTGGACAATCGTTGCTATTCAAATGTGAATATAATATCTCAATTCGCTCGACCAATGATTACATTACCCCAATTTTGTTCCATCATGATGACCTCCTTCCCAGCTCATTCTTAATGTGGACCGGGTCCAGCGCTTGGAGAGATGCGCATAAGGAATACCACAGAACTGCTGGACGCCGTTGGCATACTCCAACCCGTCCACCGTCCCCAGTCCAGGGATGGTAGCTTTACAAAATTCAACAGGTTCTTGAAAAGACATCTTCACATTCGAATGTTGACTCTACTCACATCACTGATGATATATAGTCTCGGCTTCTCGTTATCGCCCAACTAGGAATGTCGACCCGTTATCAGCGACTCCACTATTGACTTTCCCCGCATTTGCTGTACGTACATAATGCAGGGCGCTTGCTTATTGACACTTGCTTCCGTGATACAGATTCGGAATGTTGACCCGCTCGTCTACAGGATGCTGGACATGCAAGCGTCGTCGCAGGGGCTGCGATAAGACCCGCCCGGTATGTCAGAATTGTGCGCAGCGTGGGCTTGAATGTGAAGGGTATGAGGTACGATTACGCTGGGGTAGTGGAATTGCCTCCCGTGGTCACTTCACCGGTGCGGATAAGCCACTGAAGGAGAGTGTTCCTTCTAGGCCTAAGGGTCGCCAAAGAGATCTCAACAGGGAAAGAAAGAGACTAGAAGCACTGTCTAGTGATTCTAGCCCATTCACCAGCCCCGTGAGATCAGGCTCGAGTTATCATGATGAATCTCCGAATAATGATCACGGCATGATTTCTGACGGGGAATCTATACCGTTTCGGCTACAGAGGTCTAAACAGGACGAGACCTTGTTCAGTGAATGTGAGTTTTTGATGAATAGTAGAATTCCGTGACTAACGATCAAAGTCATGAATGGGGGTATCAACGTTCTTCATGCTACCACTACTCGAGATTCTATGCTGCACCCTCGATTACCTCAATTATGTCAAGAATCCAGCGCCTTATATACAATATGTTTGGCTTTTCAAATCTCCCTGTCATCCGCCCATTCCCCTCGTTTCATGGAATACTTTGACGCAGCACTAAGGGAATTCCGATCCGAACTGACCCGAAGCACCATCCTGTCGGATGGGACATTAACAGCTGGGCTACTATTGTGTACCATTGGCGTGCGTCATCCCAAAATCTTGTTTCAGCTCCACAACACGCTCTAACCCTTTGTCTCAAACAGCTGATGCACGGTCTACCCTGGACCGTCCATCTAGAAGGCATGCATAATATCCTCCAAAGCCACGGTCTCACTGATAGTCATTGCACAGCCACACGGACTCCATTCCGCACCCACCTAGTTGAGGTGATGGGGATAATGGACCTGCCATTCTTCTCAGTTGGCCGCCAGACCCCCTGTATCGGAATCTGGCGCTGCTACTGCCAGCCCGCTACACCCAGGGAAGGAGTCGAGCCAGTGAGTGGCTTACCACGGACCCTCATTGACCTATTTGCCGGGATCTGTATCGATACGACAGAACAGAGTTTCTGGGACTGGCCAGGCGAAGCGGGAAGCTTTCTACAGTGCTATTTGTGGGAAGCGTATCGCCTAGCAGGGATACTGACTCTCCGTCGCCATGCACGAGCGGAAGAGCGCCAGTCGCGAGATATACGCAGCTTCTTGGCGTGGCGCCAGCCGGTTGCGTGTCCGGCTGATGCAACTATGCTTGTAACTCGGATCCTGGCGAATCTTGATGCGCTTCGCCTTGCATGTTTGGAACGTCCGACTGAGGATGCCTTTATTAAGAATGCAGTGTTGTTCCCTATTGTTGTTGCTGGGTTGGAGGTTCCGCTCCTATGTGAGAACCCGCAGTGGCAGTTGAATATTCAGAAATGCATGATTGGGTGCCGGCAAGATGAGATTTTGTTGGATATACTGAAGGAAATGTGGCAGAAGAGGGATCCAACTCTAAGTGTTGATGATTTGGCCAGGGCCAGGGGTTTGGAAATGGGATTAATATGAGTTATGGTTTGTGCTGAATAGCATGATCACCTATAGATCTTTTCCTGGTGATATTTTCTCCGAACGAACCATGGTCCAATACTTCAGACTCTGTTCCTTGTCCATGAGTTCGACCACCTCAACAACCTTGAACCCAAAGCTCTCATAGAAATCGATATTTTCTCGACACGTACACTCCAGATAGATTGGCTGGTCTCCAACATGTCTCAAAATCCATTTCATCACACCTCTTCCAATCCCACGCGACTGCAAGGACGGATGCACAGCTATGACCTCGAGATACCATATCTTCTGTTTTGAGAACAGGGCCTGTACACTCCGCAACCCATTTTTGTTCGCCGCAAGTAGCTGATCGACTCGCTGGCACGAAATTGGAATTAGCAAAAAGCTGCGCAAAAAATAAATCGACCTTGATTACCAATTCATTAGACCCTGTATCATGCACCGGCTTCAAAATATTGAGCAAACACAACTTCCACACAAGCCAGAGTCTTGATATAGACCAGCATAGTTGCTCCTTGGGCGGAAATAGAAAGACGACCGCGCCTGCATTTTCAGCGCCTGAAACCCCCGTAATTGAAGATTGTGGCTCCTTTGTCAGCGACGTTTCAACTGACTCGGTAGAAGCATTTTGCTTCTGCGGGAACTTTAGCGCCATGTCGTGAACACTGGCCGAGTGAAGCACCTTGCCGTATGCCATCACTGTCTGGATTCGTCGATACTGCCATTCCCATACTGAATCGTCTGGTTGGGCCCAAGACGCTGCATTTGGGCGCAACCATTGAATCAGCGGATCGGATGAGAATGCAGCATTTATAGTTCGGATTACGGCTGGAATTGCTGTAGCTAAAAGACATGTTAGTTCAGGTTCTTGAGACTGTTTGAGGATTGAAGCAGCTTAGACCATGGTGAAGTTGACGTAAGTCGACTGTGATCGACTTGGACATGGTATCTTTTAGCTCGAGCTTTGGTGCCCGAATTTTGCCAGCAATGCGAAATCAGGATAGCTTTCGAGGTGGCTGTTATGAATTTGATAAGACGTTAAAGTACGAATAATTTTGTATTTGGAAGCTGGAACTTTACGCGAGAACAAGATAGATTTGATAAGAAGCAATATACACTCGTATCGTGTCTACCTGCCATTCCCAGCTAGCATGCCATGAAGGTCCGTGTATGAAGCTAACAACTAATTTAAACTTATCTTTTCTTGGCGTATAATCACCAGTCTAGGCCAATTGAGGAAGGCCGACGCCTTATTGCCCCAGATCAAAGCGTTGCACAATTGGCGAATTACAATTTGTCTGATTTCCCGAGGTCCACCTTCCCCTAGTTAACGTGCAGTTAATCTTATCGTGGAACTCAGGCGTAGAATAGGTATTCATCATGTGCATAGTATCATCGATAGTTGGTACAAAGATGGCTTAAATCTCCTCACATTCCTCTGGAACATTTGATCTTCAATTACAACATGGCCAATACTACTGAAGTTACTTCCGTGGAGGGAAACAGTCCCCCAGGGACATTCTTGTTAATTCGAGGTACGTCGGCTAGAATTGTCACATAGAATTCCAATTGACTTGCTCCATAGAAGATGATTACGATCTTCACAGCCGTGTCGTGATGCTCGATCCTATTCCTACCAGTGATCCAAATGAGCCATTGGTATGTTCCTACTTGAGATCAACGAGTTCTTGAAGCTAAATACCTCCGAAGAACTGGAGCACCGCTCGCAAAACCGTCAACTTTACCATCGTCCTCGGTATGACTGTCGTAATTTTTGCAGCGTAAGACAACCTCATGTCCAAGTATCATCCCAGCTAAAATCCTCGATTAGCCTCTCTGTGCAAACCATTTTCTGGCAGGAAATGGTCGTTGATCTCCACACCACCTACGCAGACCTCAACAAAGCAATGTCTGTGAATTTTGTCGGCTTAGCCTCGGGATGTTTCCTATTCATTCCATTTGCGAAGAAATATGGCCGTCGCCCTATATACATTATATCAACAATTCTCATGGTCGCTACCTCTTTCTGGTCGGCTAGCTTGCACGGCTTGACTGGGCTTTACATCGCCAATTTACTGCAAGGTTTGGCTGGTGCAACCAACGAAGCTATCGTTGAGATCACGGTGCGTCGGACTTTTGACTATTTCGATTAGATGCCTAACCTTGCACAGATTGCGGATCTCTTCTTCGTGCACCATCGAGGCCGTATGAATGGTCTTTACATGACCATGGTGATGATTGGTGTATGCCATCCAATTAGACCTGTACGGAAATTCTACTAATATAAGTCTTAGTCTTTCTTAGCCCCAATGGCAGCAGGAGCACAGGCAACCAACCAAGGTTGGCGCTGGTCCTATATAACCATGGGCATATTCAACGCTATTTTCCTAATTCTTTTCATTTTCGTGTATGAAGAGACTAAATACGTCCCTCTCATCATGGGTCAGTCGCAACATGAGCCAGACACGCACATTGATATCCAATTCGAGGATCAGGATCAAAAGAATTCACGCCAACTAGAGTCTAAGCCTACACAGCCCATCGAGCCCAGCACATTGCTTCACGAATTAGACCCCAGCATCCCAATGAATACATGGCGCAAGCGTCTAGCACTGGCTACACCAACCCCAGAAACCATCTGGCCCTACTACTACAGACCCTTCTACGTATTACTAACCTTCCCGGCCGTCATGTACACAGCTCTACAGTACGCCTCCGGCGTTGTACTTCTAACCATAATGTCCAGTGTTTTATCACTCACATTCCCACTTCCACCATACTCATTTAACTCCGAGCAAATCGGCTTTATGAGCGTGGGCCCCTTCATCGGGAATCTTATCGGCTCCATATACGGTGGTTTTTTGGGTGACTGGTCCATTCTGTATTTCTCGCGTCGGAATAAGGGCTTCTTTGAGCCTGAGATGCGGCTGTATATCCTTCCTATACCTGCAGTTTTTATGTCCGGGGGTTTGATCATGTTTGGCACTTCTATTGCTAGGGTAAGTTCTCTCACATACCTGAGCATACTTCTCACTTTTCTTTCGAGTATTTATCTGGTTGATTATCTGAGCTCTTTGATTGATTTCTCCCATTTAGGGAATGCATTGGATATATCCGAGTATTGCCGGAGTTTTCTTCGGCTTCGGACTCGGCAGTATTAGTGATGCTGCCTTGACGTTAGTCATTGATAGTTACCGTGAGGTATGTTTCTCAAGATTTCCTGCCCTATATAGAGTTGTCGATCTAATCGAATTTTCTAGATCACTGGTGATGCGTTTACTGGAATTGCCTTTATGCGCAATGCCGTAAGTATTGGCATTCCATTTGCTATTACCCCTTGGATAGAGCGGAATGGAACCCAAAACATGTTTATTGCTTGTGGATTTATCAGTCTTGGGATTACTTCTTTAATGATTCCGATGATAATTTGGGGCAAAGATGCTCGGCGGGCATCGGCAGCACGCTATTATCGATTGGTGCAGAATCAGGGGAGTGCTAGGCATTGAAAGATCTTCGGATATCGTATCATGGCTTTTGTATAGCTGAAGATGTGTCATAGTATAGAACATCGAAGGTTATAGGACCAACTGAAATGTAGCATTGAAGTTTTTCATGATCACATATATGTACCTCCAGAATCAAACCACGAAACTCATCTTTCAAATACGGTCAGAGATGGCCTGCACGCAAAGGACGACATTATCCCCAACAGTCCCTTCCGTGACAACTCGACTTGGGGAGACGATTCACACTTGATTGATGATGGTTCCAGCATCGGTTCTAGACATCGAGTACTCGACAATTGGGCATCAATCGTGCGTATTCAATTGTTTCTCTAATGTTTTCAAAATGGTTTATGTGGCTTCTTCTGTTTTTTTTTTTACTTGTTCTATTATAATTCCCCCGGTCAAAAACTCTCTAACATTTGAAACTCACAAGCAATAACTATATTACCAAAATTTAAAGAATCCAAGCACCCACTCCACATACTCCCACCGCCTCTTTGCCGCATCACGAGCTTCAAGGTAATATTAGCAAATATCCATATAGAAACCTCAGAATACCTAGGTACGGATTACTCACTTACCATCCAAGTCGTCAGCAGCCTGCTTCATGATCCGATAGGCCTCCTGGTAAAAACCACACTCAAATAATTCCTTAAAGCCGTGATTTGGGAAAGTGGCCAATTGCTTTGCATGGTATAATGGAGATCCTAGTCCACAGTAGACGGGTTTGGCCTTTGGGCCAGGTAGTCGGGGATCAGCGCCATATTCGAGTAGTAGCTCAATGGCCGGGATGTTGTCTTCCAGGAAATTCGATGGACCATTACTATGGACAACACAATGGAGTGGGCGGCCGTAGCTGCGACGAGTGTCTGGTTCGTGGTCCATTTAATTTGGGTCGGCACCGGCAAGAAGTGCCGCCCTCATATTTGCAAGTTTGATCTCAAGTGGATGACCGGATAGAGGTTCCCAGAAGAGGGGTGGCTGTTTGGTGCCAACCCAGTTCGCATCTGGGTGATGTGGTATCTGGTGGCCTCGAGGCCTTTTTACCGTAGGAGAACCCGGGATAAAATCGTAATTGAATGGTTTGAGTGGAGATCTATTCATGATGTAAGGGTGTGCGGGTAGATAAGGTGGTGTGGTGTGCACAAGTGGAAAGGGTAGATAGATTGGGTTGGGTCTTGGGTCCTGCCGAAGCCTACGGATTACCATACCATTATAGGTCATATTCCGTCCCGTAATCACGATCGTATTAGTACGAGCCTAGCACTAGTTATAGAATAAACACTCCTTCACCTCTCTTATTTTCAACCTAATGGGGTGCATCTCCGAAGGAAACATTTGGTCGTAATGGGTTTTCGCCTAGTATAGCCGATTCGTATATCACTAGAGCGTATTACTATCAAGTATTCCCCTCTTTATATAGTGACCGATATACAACAGTTCTTTGGCTGCTTCTTTCGTGTGCTTATCCGCAAGCTCGTTGCCTAGTATGATTCACTGGTATACAAGGATAGGATCCTGCGAGTTTCTGGAGAAGTCGGATGACTGTCGAGACAAAGAGACGAAATTTCCACGCAAATGGCAAAATTGGAATTCAATTACCCCTCAAAGTCTCGTCTTCGTCTATCCTGGATTCCCCATTTTAAGTGCCGACAATCACCATACTCCGGAGACCTTTTGAGGCGTTTTCAGGTCAAACAGACTTGAATTTGAGATTACCTTTACACCTGATCACCGCTGTAGGCAGTTTCGCGAAACTAGGAGCAGTTCCATGCCACCTCAGCTGGGACTGATTGAAGCGAGAGGTGGTTAGAACTGTCACCAGTGATCTACACTCCCATGTTGTCAAAGTGGCTTTGTATCGTATCTTGGTTGCTTGACTTGAAATCAGTGAGCTCGTCTGTGCTTCACGGTGGATGGCGGTCTAGCGCCTGTATTTCAGACCGCGAACTCGTCAGGTCAAGCAATCAGACGTCCCTCTGATTGGCACCCGCTCTCTTCGTTTACAACCCCAGGCAGAATCCCCTCAGCCAAAACATTTGCCTGCCGTTTCCGTGGTCATCTCAAACAGTCGAAATGCTGAATCAGTAGCAAGTACCAAGACGAGTCCTCCAACTGAAGCACGATACCACAGCCATTTGGGCGGCATTGACAGCAGCAATATCAGCGATAGTCGATCAACACGGCCGTGAGCCCCCTCCACTCTGTCCCTTCGTTTCAGGGTATCTATCCATCTATTTATCTGTATATGCTGCATACAGTACTCTCCAGTCTTGCTGCAGAAGGAAGGTCTTGCTAACTTTGTTTAGGCTTGGTACATAGCATTCGGTTTCTTTCTCTTTATCTTCCAGGCTGCCGTTCCTGTTTTTGCTGCTGCTGTCGCCGTCGTAATATCACTGCTCCCGGCTTCGGCGGGAATGTTGCATGGCGATCCAGGCTCGGCCGATGTCTTGCTATAAAGTCGATCGTTTACTCTCAGAGAGGCTGTGCTTGCGCTCGGGCATGCTTGCCCCTCGGGACAGACGACGATTATACTCCGGGAGTAACGCATCAACCATTTCCGACATATCCAAGGAGGCTCAAGACGAGCAGCGCTGCGAGTGAACAGTTTGTATCGTCTGACCATTTTCTGACTCGGATTCTGGGGCTAAATCTGCGGGGCCGCCTTACGTTTTGGAGCTGGCGGTGGAGGAGGAGGTGGCATGCAGTAGTAGTCCTTATCTTGGACTTGACTGGGCTTGAAACGGTAGTGAATAGCTGGACGGAGAAAACTATCACGAGGCCCTCGCTCCAGGGGCTCTTCTTCCCACTGCCAAACCTCTTCTTCCCACTGCCAATCCGGAACCGAGGAGGTTGGTTTCTTGAGAAATGTCTCGATACCTGGCTTATCAGCAGCGTAAACCTGTGCGCTTTTGCGTACAGCATCTTTTTGTACGGAGTCCTGATACCAGCGGAATGGGTAAGCTTTCTTGGTAGTCTTTGATAAATTCGATGTCACCACATCGTGCGGCAACCTGCAGCCTATCGGCACCGGGAGTCATGCTCGCTCGTAAATACGGGTGTACTTGTATGTCTGACATAATTTCTCTGATGCTCTCGGCCAACCTCTGTTCCTCTGAAAGTCGAGGGTTGAGCAGATCATGGACACGACAAAGGTTCAAAACTATTTTCATTTCGGTTGCCCGTGCCTGCGTGGATATTGAAGGATGCAATGGTGAAATTTTCTTCAACATCAACCGCACGATTGGTAGGGCGTCAGTGCGGAGGGCGATTTCGAGAAATGACATGGAAAATGGGCCATAAAATTGCTGCTCAACTTCGTAGACCAAATTTTCACTAAGGAGCAAGGTGACTAGATCATAATCTCCAGTCTTCAGAGCTTTTCTGACTGGGGTCCCGAGCTGGTAAAGCGGTGTTTCGCCGTCCTCAACACAATTGTTGTCCTTACATCGGTCTTCATACGTTTCCAAATTCACAGTATCTCCAGTAGATTCCGACGCCGCTTCATCATACAGAAGCAGGAAAACGTCTTCATCTAAATCAAGTCGATCAGATGCTGAAACTTAATTTGTAGTACCATTTCTCCCCTCTTCGATGTTCATCAGAGAGTGTGCGACCCGATAGACGTCGATCGTGAGCCTTGAATCTTGAGAGATGAATTGGAATAGAAACTCTTTGACCGAAAAATGGGCGAACCCGACAATTTTGAGCTTTCTCTGAAGACTATATCTCGTAGTCAAATCTTCAACATATTCCTCTCTCACAGTCAATAAACCAGGACAGAGAACTTCGAGGTCTGCTGTGTTAGGAAACCGAAAGTCAACGTGAAATCGCGGAGAACCTTCTGTATTAGTTGCAAAGACATCATTAAGCTCTGCAAGGGAGACCGGATGCTGAGTGAACGAGATCCAGCGGAGTGCCTTTTCTGCATATCCGCGATATGCGTGGTGGATGTTCTCGAGCATTCGAACATATGTAGCGTCGAGGTCCACCGGCAGTGATCTTAGACACTGCACAATCATTTGAGCACTGAGGCATCTTCGAAGTTCGTTGAGTTGGCAGTCAACCCAGCAAAACATCCCACTTGCTTTCCGGGAAAGGTAAATGGCTACAGCTTGCTGTATATCTGGGCTCCACTGTTGCCACCACGAATCGACACTCAGCTCCCGTTTAACATGAATCTCAATATCACTGTCTACTGCACCGGTTTGAATCTGCACTACCGTGGGGGATAGCTGCGTCAAGCCATCCTTCAGAACCTTTTCAGGTCTGCTAGTTGCAATTGTGTGGAGCTTGTCGATACCCCAATCCTGGAACTTCTTTAGAGTCTGAAGAAGAAGTGGTATATCTGGACACTCATCCAACGCATCAAGTATTATGTAGACATGCTGGAGGCATGTATTCGTAATCATTTGTCTAAGGCATTCCAGCAACTCCTCGACTGAGGCAGCCCTTTTGCCATTCAGACATGCATAGAACAAACTTTCCAACTCAGTTCTTACTTGTTCGTTTTGTGCACAGAGTTGAGATATCAAAGACCTCACCATTGCCTCGGCAGAGCACTCCTTGGCATACTGGAAGTCGAAATACCAGATGAGGACCGGGAGGCTTTTGTTGGCTCAAGTAAGAGATACTGTGGCCGTTGTGATGGTAGATGACAACACAGTTTTACCGCAGCCAGGTAATCCGGCGAGCCAATAAATGGGCCCTGCGGCTGAATACCAGTTTCTGAAAAAATTCTCGGTGAACCACCTCCCGGTGCCTGGTGCACGTTTTCGAGCTGCCGCATGGTAACTCGGATAGGGATCCGAGGCATTGAGCCAGTCTTGAAGATCACGACTAAGACTCTCCTTCGCTACAGACACCTGAAGAGCCACCAAATCTGTTGTAATGCCGTCGATCTTGGTTGTTATATCAACGGTGGACTGAAAGTTCATTGCACTCAGCGCTAGATGCAGGTTTTGTCGCGCGTCATGCACAATTTCCTGAAGCTTTTTCAGAGTGCTGACTCGAAAAGGATAAAGAGCTTTTCGAACGGTTCTTTCGAGTTTCCCAAGGTTGCCTGCAGGTGCGCTGGTTTTGACCTTTTGAAGCTTCTTCTCAAGCCCTTGAAGCGCCACTTGACAAGAGTGTAGACAAAATTTGACTCTTTCGATAGCATGCGCTTGGATGGTGGTGTTGTTGAACTGGCGTTCTAGATAACTCAGCGTGTCTGTTAGACAAGTGATTGCACAGATGAATGCTGAGATGTCGGCGTCTTGGTCCTTCCATGCCGAATAGTAATGGACAAAATCTTGGGTAACCTGGATCCCAAGCGAGATCAATCCGGCGATGCTTGCGGCTAGCCCAATCTCCGCCATAATTGCTATACTGCTGATGAATTTAGAGCGGCGGGGCTCACAGCGGACCATCTAGCATATATTCTGGATGCAAGACATGGTCAAGCTGGGGAGCTTCTCAGGGAGGCCTTGAAGCCATTGGAAAGACACATGATTTTCTCAATTGGACAAAAGTGGCGGAACCACGAAATTACTGAGCATCTCCAACAGTATGTGAAAGACTGGAATGATAGGCTCAATCAAGCGGCGGACCCTCCAGGCAAGATTACTTATAGCCAACGCTATGGCTCTAGCCGCATGCCTCCAGCTACATCACGGAACATCGACTTTCAGGCTGGGGAGTTACCCTCGTCACTGGTGGGCAAATCTTATATCCCGGATCATCATGAGCATCAATCCCGCCTTTTGGATACCTCGTCTTCCTCATCAGATAATCAGGATGTGCGCCAGAACCTTCCAGCCATAATGAAAAAATCTCATCAATGATCCTGGTACCGCTAACTAGCCTGAATTGGGTAAATGTGAGTTTCCGATGAAGAATTTCGCATCAGCAGGCATCTCTGATAATACCTGATAGCATGCCTTACGCGACTGCCACACTGACCCTCTCAGCTGGTCTCTGGTTTAACGTGGTCGGACCTCGCCAAATCACAGATAACAACCGGTTTATGGCATCTGCACATGGCTATCCGCTGGAGACCGGCACACTCAAAGAGGGTATTCCTTGCAGCCTTACCAATCATCAAGTCGTGGTCTGATATAGAGCTGTAGTTGGATAAAGGCCCTCTTCTATCTATCCCTCCTAGGCTAGACCTTAGGACGTGATTCAACTTGGTATAATTAAATAATGTATTGAGTCTTGGTTTCTTCCTCGCACGGAAAAGGTCGCCCTGTTCCAGAAGCACAAAAAAGAACACCATGGACTGTTATTCCATTACGAGTCTGCGTGAAATAAAGCTACACGCTGATTCCTTGGCAGTAGGGCCCGAGAGAAGAAAAGAGGTCATCAGTGTAGAAGCAGTTTTCATTATCGACTGTATCAGTAAGACCATCACACCGTGCGCAAGTTAAGTATGCCCCCTACTCAGATCAGCCATATAGTCACCTGGATTGTTTACATTCTTCTTCACGATTGTCCATTGTCATCTAGATGGGCCTTGACTCCGCTAATTACACTGCTCACACCGTCCCTAGTCCAATGCTGTGACTTCCAAAGCTCCTGAAATATACCCATTTTAGAATTCAAAAGTTGGTCAGGCACTCCTACTCCACAATTTTACCTTGGTCCATCACCAATATCAGATCCAAGTTGCGAATCGTGCGTAACCTATGTGCCACCGCCACCACCGTACATTCTTGGTCCTGGATTAGTTCCATCAACTTAGTCTCTCTTAACTGGTCAACATTGGAGGTTGCTTCATCTAGAATCAAAATGGTTGACTGATGGAGCAAGCCACGGGCTAGACAGATTAGCTGTTGCTGCCCACTGGAAATCGTGCTGGAATCTAGATTCGAGCTCAGACCTCCTCGTGAGAGAACCAGATCCAGCATTCCAACTTTGTCCAAGAGTGACACAATCTCGTCATCGGTGTGATTGCTCCTCGGGTCAATATTGAGCCGCACAGAGCCAGTGAGCAACAAAGGATCTTGTGGGAGGACGGTCAACTTTTGTCGGATGCTTTCACGTGGAGTAGTTCGCAGGTCCACCCCGTCAATTGTAATAGTACCGTGTTGAAAATCAGTCATCCTTAGGATGCTCAATACTAGCGAGCTCTTCCCGCTATATAGAAACTTAGGAAAAGTGAGTAACCTTCTTGGAAGTTTGAACATACCTTCCAGATCTCCCGCATATACCGACCTTTGACCCAGGAGTGATGCCTAGTGTTATATCCTGGAGAATAGGATTGGATCCCAACCTGCCATATCAATTAGCAGATTTTCTCACATGGGGAATAAGAACCAATCCTACCCATAGCTGGCAGTCAGACCGTTGAATTTTATCTCTCCCTGGGACGGCCATTGCGTACCCGGATCAATGACCTCATCCCCAAGATTTTCCGGGTACGTCTCCAGCGTAAAGCCCTTCAGTCTTGATATCGAACCCAATGATGTTTCCATCTGAGAAAGAACCCGACTGAAGCTGACGATGTTGGAAAGGGCCACCCCGAGGGCGCCGCCAGAACTGTGCACTTGAGTGGCAAGAGCAACTATGGTCACAGCCAAGGCAGTCACTATTAAATTCAAAATGAGATTGAGCCAGCGCTGTATTGCAAGCATCAAGTAATAGGGTTTCAGGGATTCGTTTAGCAGGACGTCGTACTTTCTTTAGAAGTCTGCCTACCATGCAAATGCTCTGATGGTGACCAGTCCGCTGAAAGTCTCAACAAAGTGAGAGTATAATGGTGACTTGGCTTCTAGATCAAGGAACCTCATTTGTCGCGATGTGGATAAGTAGAAGCTCTGGAGAAAATAGAGAATTACCAGCAGAAGTGGAAAAGAAACAGCAGTCCAGTGAGATGACAAGGCGGTCAGAAGAGCCGCTGCAATGCACTCAAGTAATCCATCAACGGCCTGTAGGAAGGCAAAAGGAAGCTGCATGTCAATCAAGGACATATCCTGACTAAATCGATTCAGGGTGACACCAACATCCGTGGAGACAAAGAAAGAATAGGGAGCGGACATGACCGTATCTAGAAAAATCTTATGCAACTTGATCGATGACTTAGGCACTGACTGGACAATCAACAGCTATACTGAAGTAAACATCAAAAATATTGCAAGGACACCGAGTATTGCATATACTCCCAAATACATGTTCTGGTGCCTGCCAGGGTGGATACTTTCAGAGTCAGACCACTATTGCAACCAAATGGTGGGGAAATTGTAGCAAAATGTGAAAAAAGCTATGGTGACCAGTATGAAGAGAATTGTGGGATTCCACTCCATCGCCGCAAAATAATAGGCGTACAGCTTCCAATCTCCGACTTTGCGGGATAGGTCGACCAATTTGTTGTTCGGTGCTTTACTTGATATAGGCTCGCTGGGTGTCTGACGCTCATGATCGTATGAAAACACATTTGTCGTCAAAATCTCATCACTAGGGTAGACTGTCGATGGAGAGCCATGATGGATCAACTATCTGTCAGAACCAAGAGTAAGGATGTAGTCCGCATTATGCATGAGGTGTGCTTTATTACAACCTTACAGTTAGCACAAAAGGTTTGTATTGGTCTAAAGACATACCATCGTGACCAGTGAGCAAGACAGATATCCCGTGTCTACGGCAGACACCATCAAGCCCAAAAACGTTATGGGTAATTTGCTGTGCGGTAACGGCATCCAAACCACTCGTTATATCATCCAAAATGAGCAATTTCTTTTTCGCATACAAAGCCCTTGCCAACGCGAGTCTTTGCTTCTGGCCTCCGCTGAGAGCAGTCCCTCCACTACTGATAATTGTTTGGTCCCCTTCGGGCAATGTTGCCAGATCAGGACCGAGAATACAGGCCTTCAAAATCGCACTGTACCACTCATCCTCGAACAGCGACGATCCTTGAATTGCTTGGCGGATAGAAAGATTGGGAAGCCAAGGTATTTGACTGCAACATCCGATCCCTAAAAAAGGGGATACCCGAATTGTTCCGTCGACCTTGAAGATTTCGCCTAGAATGGCAAGTAGTAGGCTACTTTTGCCGCATCCTACAGGGCCTGTAACCATCACGAAACATCCTGTATTGAAAAAGTCATATCCCTCAGGATTGGAGGGCCCTGGGGCTTGAACGCAAAACTAGCATTCTCTAGCGTCACCAGATCATCTTCAGTGGCTGATGTGCGGGTTTTTTGGTCAATTCAATGACTTCACATCCCATCCTCGTGCCATGATTCAAGGGTTTGGAATTCAAAGACTTCTCAACCAATGGTGCGTCAACCTTGTCAAACGATGAAAGGTATTTTTGGATACGACCGTAACAGCCAATTGATCCTATAAAAGGTGGAAAGGCAAACATGAAAAGAAATATCGGAAAACTTAACAGGCTGATCAGTGACAAAGATGTGAAGGCTGTTGCTGGATCTAATGATGAGCCGGATTTTCTTGAGACGAGAACGTATATTAGGAATGCAGTCACCGGGCCCATCACCCGGGGAAGTGTTCCAATAGTATTTTTGGCCACATTTAAACGACGATATTGTTTTGACGTGGCTAACTCATGCACTCGAAGGTGGTGAATATTAGCAGCCATCGCGGTAGAAAGACCTGACATCCGGACTCCTCTGATGTTCTGAAGCATTGAATAAGTTGCGGTGATTCGCTTTTGTACCGCGTCAACCCACTGTCTTTGGGCCTTTTTCGACATTTTCCCAAATATGAAAGCAGCCATTGTGCAACCTAGAGCGATGCCCACTGGAGAGAAGCATGCAAAGCCAATCTCCCTCCATATAATATATATCGCGAGTCCGACCTCAATCGGCGCGGCCCATAGCACGTCGAAATTCATCATCCCTTGCGCGATTTGGTCAATGTCGGTGCTCATATGAGTCACAGAGGCAGCATCGGTGAACCGAGAACTTTCGAGCTGTAAAGTAACATCGTAAACTAAGCTAGTGAGGCCCCGTCGAATAATAACAATGCAGCGATAGATTTGGTGCTTATATAGAGCCGTACTGAGTGCGATGCCCAGATATATTAACGCGGTCGCTCCGATCAACGCCCTCCCGGTATCTTTTTTGGCTTGACCATCTGCTTCCGATAGTAAGGAAATGGTGCGATTGATAAGAAGCGGCTGCGCAGTGGTGAAACCGATGAGACAAATGCGCGGGATTAGAATCAGTAAAAGTGGTTTGCGGAAGGTTTGAAAGGTGGCTTGGATCAGGGCATAATCCCGATTTTTGTCACAGGAAGACCAAGTCTCCCGGAATTTATCCAAGAAGAAATTTGTGTTCAGTTCGGGGTCAAGTGGAAATAAGTCTTCCTGGCGAAGTATTTTTGACGACCCGCTGAGGAGAAGTGAGTTCAGCCACCAGAAAACACTCCGATTAATGATACCACCTAGGGTTTTCTGGGGAAAAAAGTCGGTATGGGTCTTGTAAAAGCGCTTTCTTTTCTACAGTCTCCAGCCCGAGGGCCATCACCTTCATCGCCACACCTGCCGTAATAGTACTGGAAAGAGATCCGTGGCCATTCCGTAACCACAATGTCCGCGCTTGGCAAATATCAAACAGAGTCGTCAAGAGCAGGTAAATGGCGAGGACGAGCGAGGGCCGCTCGGACCGATGATGGTCAAGGTAGGAGATAAGCGCTATGACTAGAGCACCACAAAGGGAAATGCAAGATGCCGCTATGGACAGACGCGTGGGGTCAGCCATCGGCGAACTGTGCAGAACGAGTGCAATCTGCGTTGCAGCATAGCATCCGATGACAGCCTATTTGATATTAAGTTTTCACGGCAGATCACCTTCGGCCCGTGACATACTAGCTTTCCACAAATAAGCCATTCAATACCCCTGCTTTGGGTTTTTTTATCTTTCTTCAACAGATAGAAAATCTGAGGGGTTGCGACAATAAGCAGGAGGAGGGATGGCAATAGCGACAAAATAGCCTGTTCGAAGAGAAGTGTGAAGTCGAAAGTTCCTAGACAAAGAATTTGGGGGCCAAACGTATTGTCTGCTATAGTGCAGGTGGGTGTGGAATCCTTCATCATGCATGCGGGGTTGTGTTGAGTGAATGAGAAGGGGAAGAGACCGGTCAAGGTCAGGAGGGGAATAGGAATAGAATCACCACTTTTATTCGCGGGATTTCGTTATCTTCAACCCCTGTCAGGCTGTCCGCCACCGGCTTCGTTGTCACAATACAATGCGTGATTACTAACTAATCAGTTTCGCTGATGAAACGCCTTATCTACTTATGCCTCTGTTGTCTTCTCTCTTTCCTTTTCCTTTCTTCAACACTCACTACCATACTCTATACAGGCTACTTTACCCGTTTCATCACCAGCATGAGCGGCGTCGCAGAGACACGGCCTTTATTATCCTCAGAGGACTCAAACATTTCAGACCCCCCTGATGTGGAACTACTGATCGGCCAGGATTCATGTCCTAAAAGCCACGCAACGCGCGTGATCGTTATAATTGCAATATGTACTATTATTGCCGACCTAGCTGGATATGGATCGATCGCGCCACAATTACAAATATTTGAACAGACCATCTGCAGAGAGTATTATGCATCCATTGGCGTCTCAATAAATACCCTAGACCAGGATCAGTGCAAAATTGAGCCAGTTCAAAGCGAACTGGCTTTGATCAACGGCTGGTTCGACACCTTCCAGACTGTTCCCGGTAAAATTGCCCTAAAACTAGATATTTTGACTCATAGGGAGCTAATAACTGCTCCGCAGGCCTTTTTTTAGCTGTGCCGTTTGGCGCTGTAGCGGATCGGATTGGCCGGAAACCCGTTATGCTTGCGGGAATGGCTGGCTGTCTACTAGGAGAGGGTTGGATTCGAGTTGTTGGTAAGTCTCTTCCCATTTGGCATAGTAAATAGACTTTAACCTGAAAATTGGACATTAGCCTGGTTTGCACCACGTATTCCACTGAGAGCAGTATGGTTTGCAGCCTTTTCGCAACTCATGGGGGGTGGAGCGCAGACGGCGGCATTGATAATGTGGGTGATGGTTGCAGATACATGCTCCAAGGAGAGAAGAACTCTAGCTTTCTCACAGTTAGCTGGCGCTGTTTTGATATCGGAGATTGTCGCCACTCCTGCAAGTGCTGCACTGATCCCTATAAGCCCATGGCTACCCTATCTTATGAGCTATGGCTTGTATATTATCGGCTTTTTGTTCGCAAGCTGTGTTCCGGAAACACTCGGAAATGTAAAGATAGCGTCACCTTCACAAGATGGAAATGAAGTGCGCGGGAAACACATGTTCTCTACCATTCGAAAGGAATTTCGCACTGTCCAGAAGTCACTGACCTTGATTCGAGAGAATATAAACGTTACGCTGATACTGATCTGCTTCTTCACTTCATCTCTCGGCAAGCAAGCCATTCCACTCATATTGCAATACGGGCCAAAGAAGTTCCACTGGACGATTGCTCATGTAAGTCGATATCCCTATCTTGAGAAAGCATTCGCTTACGTTACGTCACAGACTTCATATTTCCTATCACTGCGCGGGGCAGTCAATTTCATTCTTCTTCTTATCATCCTTCCGGCAATATCAGAGTTCCTTCAATCAAAGCGGTATTACCCAGCACTTAGGGATAAGCGACTGACTCAGGTCAGTACCGCGCTTCATATAGCAGGCTCGATTATCATATTCTTCGCCGCGTCATCTGTCACCTTTGTGGTCGGACTAATGATTTTCGCTCTTGGGGGATCTTCCCATATCACCGCAAGAAGTTTGGTTACCTCATTGGTAGACCCCAATCTTTTGGGCACGGCTTACGCCTGTATCGCAACTGTGACGTCTGCTGGAATGATTTTTGCCGGGCCCTTGCTAGCTTATACCTTCAAATGGGGGATGATCTTGGGGGGCAATTGGATCGGAATGCCTTTTCTCACTGCCACGGGACTTTACGTACTTGGACTACTCGCAGTCACTATGACGAGGATTACGAATTCTAGCGACTAGCCTTCACTCACAATAAAGCTCATTTGATTTTGATACAACTAATTCAAGTGGAATTCACCCTATAGATGCGCTTGGCGGGTACTATTCACATACCTCGGCAGCTCGGCAGCAGCAACACGCTTCTCAGAAACGAGCATTTGCTCTGGAACCCAAGAAAGATCCGCATTAGAAGCAGGGTCTAGTGTCCCATCCTGCAAGAGCAGCATAGTAGCCAAAGCCTTGCCGCACAACCAACACTGGACCATCCCATCCCCACCAAATGCAGCACAAACCCACTCAGCTCCAACTCCCTCACCTGAAGATGACCGATTTGTCACCGAGGTTGGCAATTGTCCCACCCACGGGAAACTGTCTGTACTGAATGCCATATTGCCCGTCCACATCGCCTGCACCGGGTCACCTTGCACACGGCCCCAGGAGTCTCGGCCAAAGACTGCACTCAAAGCCCCAGAAAGATGAATATCATTGTACATGCATAGCTCGTCGTCTCTGGCTATGCCCAAATCTGCGAGTCCACCGAGCTGGCCTTGAGCGAATCCTCCTCCCAACATCATCTGCCCTCCCGGGAGTTGAGTTAGATAGTCGAAACCGCGATGGTAGCTGAAGAGCCAGGAGTGTTTGTATGCTTGGAAGGGGAACTTGTCGCCTGGCGTTTGGGCGGACATTTGGCCTCGCACGGGAAATATCCTGCCTCGTAGACCGGGCACTAGGTGGCTGACGTGAGAATTTGTGCAATGAATTACGTGTCGAGCGGAAATAATTCCACGACTTGTATAAACTTTGTATTTGAAAGTTGAAGTGGAGTTGGTTCCAATGGATGTAACCGCTGTGTGGTCATTGACTTGGAATTCATCTGGATAGTCTGCGAGCAGTCTGGCCAGAATACCCGTGACGAACTTGTAGGGCCACAGGGCACCAGCGGGACCTGCGATTATCCCTGTTGCGTTTGAGAGCTTGAATTCCTGGCATTCACATATTAGTGGGCGAGCTTGAAGGCGAATTCTGGTCGAGGAAACTGACATCTGGCATTGAAGCTCGGTCATAGGTTGTCCAGTCTGCCGATTCCTCGGGCATGCCCTCCTTGAAACGTCGAAGCCTCTCTAAGGCATCCTTCCACGGCTGATCGCCGAAGAAGGCACTCAGAAACTGTACTTGTCGTGCCTGAGTCTCCTCCGTGAGACCAAGTTCCTCTGCCACGCCCAGCATCTCCCGCAAATGTGCTAACCGGAAGCGAATGGTCTTGCGCGCCGTTTCATCCCCATAGACATCGGCCAACTCAGCATATCCATCCGCAGTCTCCATAATATGGCCACCATTCCGACCAGTGGCACCACTGCAGATGCCCCGGGCTTCAAGAATGACGACAGCCGGATGTGCCTGATTTGAAGACGCAGGTTTGGCACGGCTTTTGAGAAGCGTGCGTGCAATAGACGCACCTGTTATCCCTGAGCCGATGATAACGACATCAGCACTAGATGACAGAGGCTGACCAGAACTCTGCGCAAACTGCGGGTGTGGAGTTTGCGTCCAAAAGGACGAGGTTGTGGTATCACGGGGGATACCTGGATCCGCATAGATGCGGTTGACGGCCTGTTGTCGGTCTTCAACCGGAATTGAAAGATCATTGAGCAGGAACTGAGCAAAGGGCATTATGACTGAAGTCCAGGTGCTGTAATGTGGTGAAGATGGCAAAGATAGAGTGATATGAAGTTACACAAGTGCGTAGAAGAAAGACTTTGAAATAGTAATACCATCGCGAATCACATATAGTCTCTTGGACTTCCCTGTTTGAGCGCGTCTAACCACACTTGCAATCTGCCTTTCTTCGTTTTGGCGCATCGCCTGATCTATTGATAAGGTGCGTCGACCTACCCAATCCGACCCATGCGGGTTCCTTCCCCCGCTCCGATATCTTGATACAGATGAAAGAAAAAGCTCCAACTATAAAAGCAGAGATTAGATGGAGGAAATGATGGGCAGATCAACATCCAGATTGCCATCATGTCTTCGTCTCTGTCTCCTGGAAACGACCTCTTCATTGGAGGTCCGCAAATGCGCCAACCATCCCTCTCGTTTTTATATCGATTGGAATGCGACATCGCCAAAGAGGAAATCGATATTGGCGCGCCACATGATACAGGCGTGATTCGAAGTATTGCCAATATTGTGCGAGGCAGCATGAAAGGACCTGGAATTGAGGGCTCTGTTCTACCTCTGGGAGGAGCCGACTGGGCAACTGTGGTGAAAGGGACCCACGTAAGTCCAGCAAATATTGTCAATGATTGAAATTTTTCTGATCAAAAGGCAGTCCATGACTCTCGATGCTCGGTACACTGTTCGAACTACCGATTGCCACTACCTCTACATTCGCGCTCATGGTCTATATCGTCCCGGGCCGGGCACAAACTATGCAAAACAAGTCGAAAGCAATCCGACGATGATTCCACCATCGATCGTATCGCAAAACGATGTGGAGTTCTTTTCTCATCTCAGGGTTGAAGCTGGACCTGGCCCATACAACTGGTTGAACGGGCTGGTTTGTCTTGGCGTTATGGTTTGCGAAGGAGAGAAGATTTGGATAGATGCGTACCACCTGACCAACTTCCCGGGTATCAAGCCGGAAAGTGTAATGGTAAAAGCATAGACTAGCGGCAGATAGATACTTCGTTGGTTGCCGAATATATGATTCTAAATGAAACTCCTAGCCGAGCTAAGATACTTACCCTGATTAGGCACGTGGACGCACCGTCGCATTAATCTATGCGAAGTGGGCCTCGGGTCATGGAGAGCCGTTATCAATGATATTATCGAGTATATAAACATATTCCTGTCCAAGTGTTGTAGTCCATGAACCGCAATCCCAATGGCGCACGAAATACTCCAAATCCCCGACTGGCAGGAGCTAGTCGCGCGCAAGCGCAACGAATGCCAGGAGAAAATCCCGCGCGAGTGGATTTTGAGTGATGATCTTTTGAAGGCACCCCCGCATCTGATAGAATATGATATTCCCCGTCGAAGTGGCATGCTCTCGGAGCTGGAATTGGATCTCACGGATAATTATACAGCATCCCAATTGCTGGCCAAGCTTGCGTCAGGCCACGTCAGCTCCTTAGCTCTTACGATTGCATTGTGTAAACGCGCTGCAATTGCGCAGCAGCTGGTTAGTTGTGAGTCTATGGTCATCAGGAAAACGAGTTCTAATTATGGCTTAGACATCATGCCTCACCGAGACGTGCTTTCCACAGGCACTGGACCGAGCTCGGTTTTTAGACGAATATCTCGCACGAGAGGGAAGGCCGATCGGTCCACTTCATGGCTTGCCTATTAGTATGAAGGATAGTTTCTGTATCGAAGGGCTTCAATCAACCGTGGGGTATGTCGAGTTTCTGAAGAACACCCCGGCGATGCAGAATTCCGCCTTGGTCGCAATTCTGTTGGAGCTAGGAGCGGTTCTGTACGTCAAGACCAACATACCGCAGACAATGATGGTAAGTGGCTCTGAGTTCGCTTTGTCAATGCCCAGGCTAACGGCTTGCAGACAGCGGACTCTGAGAATAATATCTTTGGGCGCACTCTCAACCCTCACAACACATCTCTGACAGCCGGTGGATCCAGTGGCGGCGAAGGTGCTCTCGTGGCATACCGTGGATCAATTCTAGGCGTTGGCACCGACATTGCAGGATCTATTCGTATCCCAGCCCTGTGCTGCGGTGTATATGGATTCAAACCGACGGCCAACCGTATTCCATTCGGGGGACAGGTATCCGGTGCGATGGAAGGCCTACCGGGTCTGATACCCGCTGCCGGTCCATTGGGTCACAGTATTGCCGATTTGCAAATGTTCATGAAGACCGTTCTTAGTGATGGTAAACTCATGGAGTATGACTCTGCTGCATTTGCTGTACCATGGCTTACCAGCCCGCGGGCAATCACTGAGCATAACGGAAGCCTCTCCATTGGAGTACTTGCTGAGGATAAACACTTTCCGCTTCATCCTCCTATCAAGCGAGCGTTGAACCAAGCTATTGAGAAGCTGACTCGTGCTGGTCATCGCATCTTTCACCTCGAAAATCATAGCGAAGAGCTTTCTGTCGCATATGCTTCCCGCCTTGCGTTCGAATATTTCATTTATGGCCCTTCGGAGGACCATATCAAATCCAGTGGGGAGCCGCTGGTCAAATCGGTGGCCAGATTCGATTCCCCCATGTTCACTGGTCCGTTCCCGGTTGACATGGAGTTGGGCACTTTCGAGAAGATCCATAAGCTGCATGAAGCTCGTCAGCGAGTTAATGATGCTTGGCGCGATGTTTGGGTCAATCAGAAGCTGGATGTTGTATTAGCTCCAGGATCACAGAACACTGCAGTAGCGCATGATACCTATGGCTGGCCACCATACACGGTGATGTGGAATCTGTTGGATGTAAGTTGAATTTTGGGACTTCCGAGCTTGGGTAACTAACACGTACTCAGTATCCAGCTTGTGTCATTCCATTTGGCAAAGCTTCCAAAAAGTTGGATTCGGAGACAATGGAAACGAATGATCAAGTCCAGCCAAACTGTAGGTAAATCCAGTCTGCTGATTATTCATGGCTAACGAGATACAGATAACCCGGATGAGGTTGATGGTGCGCCGTGTGCCATTCAAATCATTGCGCCACGCTTCCAGGATGAGAAGTGTCTGTGGGCTGCAGAGATTGTTGACCAAGTCATTCGAAATAACTAGCCGGTAAAGAAATATATGATATTACGGTTTGAACATGTTCCCTCCAATGTTTTTTGCTTGCCACGCCATAGGATTGTCAGGAGGTGTTTCCAGAGGATTAAAATCCGCATGGGGATAAACAGCCAAACGGGAAAAATCAAAAAGAGACAGAGGTTTATCAAAAGGGGAATTCGGCGCCATCGCGGTCGTCAGTCTTGTATCTGGAATGTAATTGAATGGGGTCGAGGGTGGTGAATGTGTTGGATGAGGCAAAAGTTTCGAAAAGGGAATGGGAGGTAATTGAATAGGATATACTTCAATGGGGGGTCCAGAGGGCTGTGAGGGTGGGGATGAAATAATATTAAAGGCACGATTAGACTAAGGAACAGAAGTGAATAAGAACAAGTGAATGAAGGGTATCTTCCATATCTTTATCTCATCCATCTCTTTCCTCTTGTCCTTTTCCTCCTATTTTTCACTACTTCTAACCACATCTATCAGAATCAACTGATGTTATCTTGATTCACTCCGATACGTCACGCATCCTTTCATTCGAGATGCACAACATGAGTGTTTCCGTTGCGGAAATGAAACAACTTCTGATGAGTTCACGAAGAAGTGAGTCTACCACCACAAATCAAAGTCTTGACTAACATGTCAGTACTCTCCCACTGTACGATAGTCCATGAGTCAAGATCCAGCTCCAGCCTGCCGGACGAAAATGCAATGTCACAAAAGATCTGATTTGCAAGAAATCCCATACATCGAGCGCATGTTCGAGGGGTCATTCAGCGAAGGAGAACCCCAAACCGCAACAATCCAAGAGATGGAAGGCATCGTTCAGTTCAAAGCTTTGAAATTCTTTTGCAATGGCTCGACCAGGGAAAATTCGTTGTCCTCGCCCTCACGTCAGTGGAAGAGTTGATACAGACACTTGTTGAATTTGTGAGTCTTGCAAACATGTGTCATGTAATGGGAATGGAGTCGGGAGTTGCTCAAAAGATCAAGGATATCTATGTGATCAAAGCAAAGAGCTACTTCACTTCCTCATTCGTTGAATCTGCAAGCCACCATCCAGCTGGACACGTAGTTCGTATCATGATAGCGAAGATGATGGCTCGAGGAATTGTGGCCTCAAAGACGGAACTCAACTTTCTGAAGGACGCCATATACTTTGGCTCGTTAGCAAATGATATTCTTCGGAAGGTACATCTAATTGCGCTTGAGATGCCTCTATACGGAACAGTCACAATTTTGTCGACCCATGGAGTGAAATGGTTTCTAAGCTTGGGAAAAAGGGCCCTTGAATACCTTGTGATTTTTGCCTGTGATACCACTTCACACATTATAGCCCCAGCATGTATCGCCTTTACTGCATGTGACCAATACTTTTCAGCTTGGCTATGGCCCACCGAAACCCATCTTTCACCATACACTAAGAATTGATTACCTCCATGTGCTCAATAAATTACATTTATGCCCTCTGTAGGTTCAAGACATAGTACTGTAGCTGGGCAGATACTACGGGTTTCAAGTACACATAAAATGCGAAATTTCTTCTTCCTCAATGTGTGTATGTAATGCAATTCAATGTTGCTCGGGCATAGCGGCGGATTCTGATCCTTGGAAATACCACTAACCTTGACACCCAGTCTTTCACGTGTTCAATATCGTGGTAGAAGATCAATTTCAAACTTTCAAAGTCATTTCTTTTCACCAATTCTGTAGACCATCACGTTTGACCCGTCGACAGGATCATCAAAACACAAGGAGTTCCTTTGGAAACGACAAGCTCTCAATATGCATTGAACTTCCTGCAGAAGATCTGCTGCAAAGTTGGGCACTCTCGAGATATCGTTGGTAAATTTGAAATGCTTAACATTATCTGCTGTTAGAAAGGACCGCACTGAAGCGCGGGCGATTGCACGACGGACGGCATGCCCCGTAGGCAACATATTGACTGATTCAATATGCTCAACCAGAATACTATCGAAATAGATACCAGGCGAGGTCTTTTCAGGTAAGGCGCGGAGGGTGTTGGTGATAAGATCTGCCATTTCGGCATCTACCCCGGTCATATGGCACATATCAGCGAATCTGACAAATTCGAGAATCTCGGAGATCTTTTCTGAGGTTTCCTTTGAGGTGGGTATGGCTTTTTCAACGTAAAGCCATTGTAGAAGGGCGTTGAAGCTTCTCTCTGAGATGACTCCTTTGATCTTCTCAATGACTATCGCGTCGCTTTTGGCTTTTTGAACTGCCATTTGAACATGCTTTCAAAACATTCCGACTTTTGGCATAGAAGGTCCAGGGAAACTTCATGCTCAGGACCGGATTGGAAAATCCGGATCTTGACTCCGAGGTCCGTGGTAGAGCGGGAGAACACTGAACTGATATTAGAATTCAGTGGCGACTTCGAAAAGACTAGGCAGCTTACTTCGTTATGAATTCTTGGGGGGCATCGACGGGCTCATTCATGGCAGCGACTTTTCTCTTAAAGGTTGTCATTGTTTGCGCTTGCGTAATCTGAACAGGAAATGATCTCGTGAGCAGTTGTTGAAGTAAAGTGATTCGAAGTCAAGAAGAATATAAAGAAGAAGAATATGTCGAAGGCAAGTTAAAGACAAGAGGCCAAGAGAAGTCAAGACAAGTCAAGAAGAGCTGTAATAGACAAGTTAAAGAAGGGAAGACAAAGCGGTGGAAATATGCGAGGGCAACCTTCTTGATACCTCACCGAGGGAGTTATTGGACATTACATCTGTATTGCTGCAATCAAATGGATTGCCGTTTGCTGCAACAGCAAACGGGAGACTTTATACCGTCACTCCCCTAAAGAATTAGTAAATGACTTTCACTTTTTCAATACGTCAAACCCACACCACCTTCGCAATCGCCTTTCAACTTTAGATTTTCAATCTACCATCGCAGATTTTCGAATCCTCACACATAATATATCAGTCTTCAAGATATCTTCACACGCGCTAATAAAGAGGAAAAAGTGCCTTTTATAGATAGATCTTGACCGGGAAAGTGACCTTGAAATCTCTAAAGAGACTACTCTAGACCCTGAATTCGATGTACCAGATCCCGAAGCTAGTGTGGGAGATAATAATACTATGGTCATAGTCAAGTAGTTATGGGCGGCAATAAGAGTGACATGAAAATATCTGTACAATGACCGATTAGAACTTTTGACATTTCCTCATTTGGAAAAAAGGGGAGTGACGGTATAAAGTCTCTTGCTGTTCTGAAGAATTACATTCGGTTCAAAGTAAAATACATAGGCGAAGCTAACCCAGTCCCATCCGATATCTGGAGACCATGCTGAACTGACACGCATTTTGGAGTATCGGTAGGTATAGAGTGAAAACAAGCATGTTAAGGAGTAAGGTTTACGGACTGGGGGTACCATCATCATAACGTGGTCCGGCATCGTCATCGCCGTAGCCTGCACCAGGCGTAGCGGCGGCGCCTCCCATGGCCGGGGTTGGAGCATCGTATGCAGCAGGAGTGGGGGCTTCGTAGCCACGCTTGGGTATGTCGCCTGGAGTAGGGGCGCTGAAAGCCCCACCAGGTGTGGGAGCATTGTCGGCCCAAGCGCCCGGAGTTGGTGCAGATGCACCAGGTGTAGGAGCGGCATAGGCACCAGGAGTTGGTGCAGAGTAACCACCGGGTGTAGGGGCATCATCATAGTCACGTTGGTCACGGCTGTTGGACAAGCCACCCCAAGCTGGAGTACGGTTGCCGGTGCCGGCACCGGCGCTGGCTCCTGCGGTTCCCCAGGCTGGGGTACGAGATCCAGAAGCAAAGGCATCATAACTGGAGCCGGAACCGGAACCGGCGCCACCGTAAGGGGTGCGGGATCCAGAATTCCATGCTGGAGTTCTGTTACCCATACCACCGTAGGCAGTACGGTTTCCATCACCATAAGCGGTGCGACTTCCGTCTCCGTAGGCAGTCTGATTCCCGTCGTTCTTCCAGGCAGGCGTACGAGAACCACCCATACCACCTCCTCCCCAGGCCGGAGTGCGTGCGGATGTTGCACCTCCCCAAGCCGGTGTCCTGGAAGAATCGGCAGCCATGGGAGTACGACCACCTTGCCATCCAGGGGCACCTCCCTGTGGGACACGCGATCCTCCTCTTCCACGACCCACGTCTAATGGCTGTTTGGAAATTGGACTAGAAACTGTTAGCAAATATGCCGTAGAGATAATAATAGCAGTAGCAACTCACTCCTTCGGGGTCAGAATATCTCTCGGAATAAGAACAGGCTTGTTTGATGTGTAAAGCTCAACTTGGGCAGTGGCATCATCGGAGTCGCGAACAATACCGACTAGACCCTTGTAGCGGCCCTTACGGATTGTCACAGTCTTACCGATTAATCTGTCGCGGCCACGTTGGGGAGGCGGCATCGCACCGCCACGGCCGGCGCCGGGCCCTTGCATTTGCATCGCCATGGCAGGGTTCATCTTGGTCAGATCCGGTCCGGTAGGGCGGCCACCCCGGGCAGAAACAGTGACAACGTTTGTTGTCCGCACCACAGAGATGCCTGCATTCTCAGCTTGAGCCTTGTTGTGCAGGAAAAGATACGAGCGGTGGATGTGGCGAATAGCACCAGTTCTCTGTTCGCCATAAACTTCACGAACGGTATCACCGTGTCGAATTTCGGCGCCATTGCGGTCTGTCGCGACAGCATCACGACGAGGGGTGATCTTATTGGCGATCTGGGTAGGAAGCACATTGCGAACAGAGCCGTTCTGATCCACAACACGAAGGGATTCGCGGTCAACCTTGATAACACAAGCCACGGTGGCAGCACTATAACAATGTCAGTAATCTCAACGAAAAATCTTGGCATTAAACATACTCAAGCTGCACAAGGTCATGAACATCATAAATGCCAAGTTGACCATCAGCAGCCATCTCAGCAGAGAGACGAAGATCTTTGCTAAAAACGGTAATCTCTTGCATGCTCATATCGCTGAGCAGGGTGACAGTGTCGTCCTTGACTTGGACCACCATACCCAGTTCATTCTGGTAACGACTGCCTCCAATCACCTTGACGTGATCTCCTTCTCTGAAACGCTTGCGAAGAGTTCGGACGGGAGCATCGATCGTTTGACCAGCTAGATCTCCCTCAGTGACTTGTAATGAAACAATTTCGCCCCGAGTTGAGACCGTGCGACCAATCAGGCCTTGCTGTTCACCACGGTACACTTCCACAGGGTCACCGGGCTGGTATGCCTCTTCAGCAGTCGAGTTCTTCAATGTTTCAGCCAATGACGCCAGATCCAGGTTCGCAGTGCCATCCTCTCCTCCACGGGCAAACATGGTCACCTCCTCCAGTCGCGGGTTCACATTCTTAGCGACCAAATGCTGGACTCGCATGTCCTTGACGAGGAACCCATCAATGTAGTTGTCATTAAGGTAATTCCACGACTTACCACCCAAGCCTGAGGTAGACGAGAGGTATTTTGCGTGCTTCTTCTTGGCCTCAGACTCGCTGAACAAGCGTTGTGGGGGGCGGACGGCACTCGCACCACCACGCTTGCGCTTGGGGTCAACAATCGCAGCAGCATCTTCATTCATACCGTAATCCAGTCGAGGCACAAGTCGGACGGTCACGTTGAGGCCATTGGTCTCGACCTCCTCAATTTGGGCTAGATCACCTTGGTACTTGCCACGCTTGATACGGACCCATCCACCAGGGTTAAGGTCCTCTGACTTTTGGACTCTCAGAAGATCAGGCATCTCCTTGACGGGAACCAAGGTCAATTTCTGGGATGGATAGTAGAAGTTGATAGCTTCCAGGCCCTCGGTAACATCGGCTTGTCGGCGTGCCTCACAGTAGAACCAACCTTGCATGATGTTTCCTCGCTCGAAGGCCGAAATGATGCGAATCGGGTTGCGGGAGCCTGGGGGGCGCTCTTCAATCCGTTTTTGAATAGAGTAGACTACCTCGCGTTCCTTGCCGGGCTTGCACCGACCTCCCCAAATGCTGGGGTCCTCAACGCTGGGAAGAAGCAGTCGCTTGGGGACCACAAGGGTATCCGTTGCAGCGGCGCGGTTCCGGCCATAACGTTCCTTCAGCATCTGCGCCTGCTTCTCTGCATCCATTGTCGCATCGAGCTCACGTTGCCGATCGAGTTGTCTGTGGCGGCGGTCGTCTGTCTCAGCGCCGGCGGGCAATGCGTCGAGGTCGTCGGGATGCATTTCTGTGCCGAACTCAGCGAGTTCATCCTCATCCTCCTCTGCTTCCTCCTCATCTGCATCGACACCAGCCTCTTCATCGAAGAAATGATTAAGACCGCCTCTTCTGCGCTTGTGCGGACGAGCCTAAAAAGAATCAATGTTTAGGAAAGCTCGTTGTATTTGCAATGGAGCACCAACCACTGCCTCTTCTTCCTCTTCTTCTTCCTCTTCCTCTTCCTCGTCATCATCGTCATCTTCGCTATTTTGAGCTTCGTCCTCATCTTCCTCATTCACAGCATTCCCGCTAGGCCGATCGGCTTTTACTACTGGCTGTTCATTGTAATTTCTATCAGTATCGCGATCAAATTCACATTTCGTGGGATACCACTAACCTTGGAATCGTCATCGGAATCGTCCGCAGCAAGGGGATTGAAATCATCCTCCTCCTCATCGGAGCCGAAATCATGATTCAAAAGGTTCGACATTGTGTATGGTAGGTATCGGGATCAAAGGAGTGGGATTCGGAGGCAAAGACACGACAGTAGTCAGCTGACTGACTGGGCTGCAGCAATCGGAAAGTTGAATGCGGGTCAATTGAGTAAGAAAGGACTCGGAAGGATCAAAGTCGAAACCACCACTAGGTGCGCAAGGAGAATGGTCCTGCGGGCTTTGCGGGCACCGAGCGACGGGACTTAAAAGGAAAACGGCCAGAATCCGGGTTGCATCAAATGCGAAATGAAGTTGGACAAAATTGAGAAACGACGATCTGGGGGGGATCAGAGCTTTTATACCCAGAAACGCAGGTTGTGTCAGGTGAGAGATTGGGTTGGCAAGCTAATCTTGAAGTGAAGTAAGTCGCGCCGAAAGTCAAAGGTCAGAAGCTGCACAGTTGGTCTCTTTGTCTACCCGGATACTGTTTACCATCAACTGATTTCCTAGACTTGAAAATAGTCATTTATCTTTTTGATGCTATTAGTTTGGCATTATCTCTTGGGTTTAATATTGTTTTCGGAAGTCAGTATATGTACCTGAAAGTCTGACAAGCATAATGCATAAGTTTCAAATCTCGATCCTTCTATTTTTACTTGCTGCTCCGGTTTGAGGCTGATATTGGTTTTCTATGAAATAGCAAAATTTCCAACATGGTTATTTGATCAAGATCTTCTCAATCAAGTTACTTTGAAGAGACTGCATGAATAAGTTGGGGAGGTCCCCGAGCACGATGTATTCTATTGGTGTAAACCCAAAGAAAGCAATATGCACTGTCAATGTTATATCCTACAAGACAAGATCGTAAGGAAATGCGTCACACCGGACGGGATATCTAGCCGAAAAGAGAAGAAAATCAACGAAAATAAAGCCTGCAAAAGTAAGACCAGGCACGGCCATGGCAGCCAAGAGAGAACGAATCAAATCTAGCCTTTAGAGCTTCATACCGAACATCTCGTGCACACGCAGGCTCTGGCGGACACTCAGATCGAGCATGATCTCCTCACTTCCACCAGGGATAGCATAGGCACGAACGTCACGGTACAGTCTCTCAATCTTGCCACCCTGGCCACCACGGCTGTAACTCAGACCACCAAAAATTTGACTGGCCTCGCGGGCACAGAACTCAAAGGTCTGGGTGGACTGCGCCTTCAGGCCGGCAATCGCACCGCCCAACTTTAGCATCGCCTCAGTCTCTTCCATGCACTGGCACTGGAAGATAATATTCTCCAACCAGTTGTATGTGGCCTCGATTTGGCGAGCCATATGGGCGAGCTTCATACGGATGACCGGGTGATCGACCAGACGTTTTCCGAAGGTCTTGCGCTTGTGGGCGTACTTCATGGACTCTTCGTAACAGACTCGGGCGAAGCGGACACACTGGATGACAATACCAATGCGCTCGTGGTTGAAGTTGGTCATGATGACCTTGAAGCCTTGGTTCTCCTTACCAATCAGGTTCTCCACGGGCACCTTGACGTCCTCGAAGGTAACGTAGGTGGTACCACTGCTAAGGACGCCCTGGCAGTCCATGCGGCGGGTGCTGACCCCACCAGCCTCGCGCTCAATAAGCAGAACGCTAAGACCGTTCATGCCGGGCTTGCCGGTTCGCACGGCGGTGGTAAAGTAGTCGGACCAAATGCCGTTGGTAATCCACTTCTTCTCGCCGTTGACAATGTAGTGCTTGCCATCCTCGCTGAGCTTGGCCTCACAGCCAAGGTTTGCAACATCACTGCCGGCATCTGGCTCGGTAATAGCCAAGCAAATACGCTTGTCACCAGCCAAGATGCCGGGAAGGATACGGTCTACCAGCTCCTTCTTTCCAAATTTCACAAGAGGGGGGCAACCAATACCGTAACCACCGACCAGGTTCCATACCAGACCACCGCTGCCAGCGCGCGAGAGCTCATCAGTCAGCAGCATCTCATGGAATAGATCCCAGCGGTCCGGTGACACAGACTTCACCCGGTAAGGAGTGTGCTTCTCAGGGTACTCAACACCCAACAGACCGGCCAAGTATCCCCGCTCGCCCATCTGCTTGTAGATATGGGCGGGGACTTCCTTACCCTCATCCCACTCAGTAACATAGGGCTCGATTTCTGTGTCGACCCATTCGCGAATCTCCTCGCGGAGAGCAGCGTGGGTCTCGTTAAAGTAGGGGGAGGAGTACTGCGATCACATAGCGAACATGTTAAAATCTACCCACGCCAATTGTTGATGTTTCTCGGAACGACTTACACCTTGGTACCATGAAGGATCGGCAAAAGGAATCAAGTCGCCAAAAGGATCTTGCGGCTCAGCAGTTGCACGGGGCTTCACATCGCCCGAAGCAGGTTCCGGCGTTGGCTCGGCCTTGGGGGCTGGAGCTGGAGCTGGGGCCGGGGGAGCCGGTGCGGCTTTGGTATCCAGCGAACCAATTTGCAGTTGGCCCTTGTACTTCTTCAAGATTCCCTCATTGTGGTACTTCCAGAATTGTTTCGAGGCATCCTTTCCGGCAACTCGTTGGAGAACTGTGTTAATGTTACTATTGAACCTCTCGGACATCGGGCCGGAAACCATGACGTACTTTTCTTCCCACCTGTTCGCATATATCTCGTTAGCACATGCTTTTCTCACTACTTATACTCCACGAATGATGGCCGATAATTGGCTCGGATAAAGATGGATAACATACCAGGATGCTCATCTTGGAACTTAGAGATATCGTAGACATCCTCATCGATTATAATATACAGGCTGTTGCCTTTGCCATGGGACGCCACGTCGTCCTTAGTGAAGGTTTTTGACATGGTGGGCGAGGGTTAAAGAGAAAGAGAGTGATAGGATTGGCGATGAACGGAATTCAAGAGAGGTATAATCAGGAAGACGATCAGATGAAGAAAATTTTTCCTGAGGTCAAAAATAAAAACAAGGTCAAGTCCGGGGTAGATGGAGCCTTCGCGCTATATAGGTATGGGGCCGCTGGATCTAGGAAACCCCGTGTTCACGATTTCCCTAAGGTTTCCTGTTTGGGGGCCTCGGAGTAATAGCTATAGCTTGTGCTTGACGGTATGAATTTGGTCTTCAGGTGGTCCTCGGCCGATGATCAAATCGGTCATCGCCGTAAGCCCGCCGCATGATTGGTTAAATGTGCGTCATCGCAAACAAAAATGCCGAGGCGATTGGCTTATCTAATCGGTCGCGCATGTGAAGACCTGAACTGAGTAAATCGGCCCCGATGATCACGGAAGTATGTACATTCGATGGAGCTATGTATATCATGATCACTTTGAAGTTGCCCAGATTTCCATAGATAAGTCTTTCCAAGTAGGTACCGGAATAGGCACTGGAACTTGTATGGAAGGTACATTGGACCAACCTCAAGACTACAAGGTTGACTGGCTTCATCTAAACCTTAATCTCTTCAGTCTTTACAACTTTCCAATGTAGCAAAAATGAAAGGTTCACTTCATATGACAAGCGGCAGAAGCCGCACTACTATATCAGGAACCGAAAAATCCTGACAGCTCTAGTAATACATCCAACGTCAAAAGGGCTTATATTGCAGAACCCTTCTACTCATCTCCCCCATCTGACTCGTATGTGAAATCATTTGGAAGAGGCGCATCCTCCGCACCCTCTTCATCCTCATCAATAGCGGTCAGGACACCTGCGGCCGCCGCAGCGCCAGCAGCATTATCCGACATGCCAGCCCGTTGAGGGGTCTGCAGAGAAGCATTGTCCATGGCGACCTGAAGGCGATCCTGTAGAGTCTCGGCAGGGGGGGCTGGTTGCCTTTGCTCCTTGCTGGCCTTCAGCTCAATAATATCGCGGGGCTCTTCTGGCTGCTTGTCGAGGACAACAACAACACCACCGGTAGGCTGTAGAACAAAGTTAGCTTGGGCACTATTGATATCAGGCGTGACACGACATACCCGCTTGACTGGCTCATACCGCGGGTCGGGGAAAGTAAGGTATTTAAGCTGTGCAGGCAATGCCCTTGACATATTGTCTAACTCGTATCCAACCTTCTCCCGCTCCGCCTTCTTCTTCTGGCCCTCTCCAGTGGTCTTCTCTCCGTCTTTACCCTCTTCTCCCTCCTTGGGGACACTCTCATCAGTATCCATCTTCTCAGGCAGCTGGTCTGATACCTTAGGTGTGGTGGGTGTCTGATCGATGTCCATGCTCTCACGGCGGGCTTCTTTCTCCCGACGCTGGGCACGGCGCTTGGCGTGGGCAGTTGTGGAAAGAACGGCTGTCTTGACCATCTTCGGAGCCTCTTCATGCTTCACCTGCTGCTCTGGGGGGTAGTCGAACAGGCTGGGGCGAGTATTGCTGTGGAACTTGAAGTTTGGTACTTCCAGCTTTTGGTCGACACCGATCACAGAGGTTGGGGTGAAACTGAGGGACAGGAAGTGAGTAAGAGGGAACCAGTACCAGTACTGAACAAAAACAGCAGCACCGACGATACCAGGCATGTTCAAATTGCCGGTCTGAGTCTGCAGGCTGATAGTGCAGTTGCGACCACCGGCATCAATGATGCCGAGGGCCACCGCACATCCAAACTTAGCCATCGCATCCTCATGACGGTCACCCAACATCTTCATCATGGACTTCCGCAGGCTGGTAACGCGAGGGTTCATCGCCTCGTTCTGCTGGACAAGAACCATGGCAAGGGAGATCAAAGCACCCTGGCGGACAAAGTCTGTTGAGTCTTTGAGCATAGGCTCCAGAAGATCAATAGCCTCATCCAATCCAGTTCCCGCACAAGAGATACCAAGAGCCATGGCGGCACCGTAACGGACGTGAGGGTTGTAAGATTCGGAGAGCAGCTCAACCATACGGGGAACACTCTGGTGCTTGCGGAACAAAATGAAACCCAAGCTCATAACTGCCACTCGGCGAACATCATCGTTGACATCGCTGACGGCAACGTGGAGCAGCTTGCGGACAGCCTTGTTGCTGCCGCTGCCACAGTAGGCCAGAGCGATGGTCATGATACCACCGTAGCGGAGAGTTGGGTCAGGATCCCCAAGAAGACCGTTGATCAGCTCATCAGCACCTTCCTGGCGACCGTACATGATCAAAGCCATACCCATAGCCAGGCCGCGAACAATCTTCTCGTGCTGAGTGTCGTGGGCGTATTGAATCATATCCTCCAACGCCTTCATGTTGCCAGTGCCCAGCATGACGAGACCCATGGCAAGACCAACTGCCTCACCGTTAAGAGCAGAATCAGTGTAGAGAACATTTCGGAGGTCTTCGTAGATACCCTCGTCACCAGTAGCCATACCTGCCACACCCAAACCAAGGGCACCGCCATGCTGAACAACCTCCTCGGTAGCCTTCTTGAAGTGGTCACGGATGAGATCCACAGCCATACCACCGTGATTGGCGTAGATTAGGCCAAAAGCGTAAAGAGAACCACCCTGGCTGTATACGGAGCCCGATCCACCGACGCCAGCAATATGCTCGCGGGGCAGGTAAGGCTGCAAAAGCTTTTGACCCTGACTCAAGTTGCCACGGTGGATAACACCTAGAGCAGCAGTGGCGGTGAACTTGGACCAGTTAACAGCCTTGCCCAGCCAATCCAGGTTATCACGGAAGAACTTGTCGTGAGTAGTTCCGGCGTGCATGAAAGCATTTGAGAGTGTAACGGCAGTGTGGAAGATAGAATTCCGAGCCTCAAGGCTATCGCGGACCTTATTCAAAATAGCGATATCTGCTTTGTTGTTCCGGTAGAGGAATTCCAAGTTCAACTGAATGGTCTTGATACCATCCAGAATGGCAAGGATGTTTTTAAATGCAGTGCGTTGCTCATCATCTTCGCCCGATTGCCGGGAGATGGAGATAGACTGGTTCTCGAGCAGCGGGTCCGACTCGTTAGCCTCTGCATGTGTGTTCTCCTTGTCGGCCTCGTTTTCTGGTACAAGCTCGGCGATCTCTTGGCGAACTTTCTGGAGGAACTCCTGGGTACTGTTGTCATAAAGGTCAAAAGAAATCTGGTAGGCGACAGCCAAAGACCGTGGGTCGCCCTTCTCGACGAGTTGGCGAAGAATAACGGATGCCATCGAGTGTTCATTAAGGTAAACAACACATTTCGCGATGGAGAAATAATCAGGTGCAGGGATCTCGTTCAGAAGCTCGAGAATAAGTTTCAGAATCTAAATGGTGAACTAGTTAGCACTGCTCGCCGTGTCAAGGAAATGACTGAACAAACCTCGCTTCGGAACGCCCGCTCTTGGACAATTCCCATGCAAATATCCAGCACGTATTCCATGAGCTCCTCACTCTGACGAGATTCACCCTGCTGCTTCTTCTCATCTTCGCTAGCACGGATGATAGCCATACGGAGAACATCCAAGCTCTTGGCCTCGATGGCGACTCCAATGACCTGGCGGTAGCGCTTCTGGCGGAAGCACTCTTCGAACAATCGCTCAATAATAGCCTGTAGTTGACCCTGAACACCACGCTTCAAAATAAGTGGGCTGTCCTCGTGTTGAATGCTGATGTCATCGCCTCCAGGGTGAGCGGCGTCGATGCCAGGGACCTCTTGGCGTGATAGCAAGGACTTCGAAGGCAAAGCAGACTTGGAGAATGGTGTGATCGGAGAGGTCAGGCTTGCTGATGTGCTTGTGGCACCTTCGCCAGATGCAGGGAAGGACTGGTTCAGGTGGGCGGAGTGATCACCGGAGGTCGGGTTCTGGGCGGCAGATAAAGAGATGAAGGTATCGACGCATTTTGCTAAGCGACGAATTGATTTGTTAGATTGGCATACAGATACAATCGCCGATGGTTTGGCTTACCGATGATTGTCTCCTCATATTCGCCACCATTGTCAAGCTTGAACAGCTTGCCTGCACCCAGAGCAAGAACCATACTCTCATTATATTCCTGGAGATGGTAGTACACCTTCGAGGCAACCAGAGCGGCCAGTTCGCGTTCTGGGAATGATTCATCTTCGTATAGGGCCTCACTGGAGAGATGTCGTCAGCACAAGTAAAATGAGGATCCCGGACAAGATCGCATCGAACGCGATCAAGGTCAGAATTTCGTCTACGCTAGCAACTTACATCTCAGGAACTGCGTTCACAACCTCGGTCCAAAGCAGGTCGATCTGTGAATCTAATGACTTCAAGGCATACACCTTGAGCTCGTGGTCTGGCTCGGAGAGGAAGCCAACCAGACCGGCGGCCGAGATAACTCCGACCATCTTGATTGTGTGAGACGGCGGGCGCCTAGATGTGTTAGATGAAGCTCAGGCTTCAATAATGATGTTGTTGTCGATGTGACGAAGCAATGTCACCCGAGAGGGAGCTTTGGGGGCAGACAGCGAGCAAGCCCCAGGGCACAGACAAAGTCGAAAAGTTATGATATTTGAACCCCGAGCAATACGATGGCAGGAGGCACAAAAATGAAGATAAGGGAAAAGACACGATGAAATGACGTGGAGGTACAAATGGAAGCTGGAAGCAGACAGCGGAAGCTTTGCAGGCGCGAGACCCGACAACGTCAACGGAGCTGACTGTACGGTCACGTGATATGTACATCAGCTGGCCGCGAACGAAGGGAGGTCTGGTGCTTCTTCTATTAAGTAGATCATGACCATGGCTGACGTTTAAATCCCTCTTCCTCCCCTGAGAAATTTGCAGGACAAAGGTTTCTTTGGGAAATATCTGCGGCTTCTGGTCTTTCTGTTCATCATGTCCATTCTACTCCCGTTTCGAGATGAACGGCTGCCCCCGGTACCTGCAGCAGCTTCCACATACCATCACGACCCCTTGCTCTATATTGAACGACAGTCAAAGCACATCCAACGTTCCCTCCAGACTCTAATTGACGCACAAAGTGAGGGATTACTTTCTGGACTTTCTCAGTCCCAACCAGACGATACCTCTGAGGCAAGCTTCACACCAACCTCCTCCAAAACTGGTCGGTCGCGGTCCCCCTCTACAACTCCCGCAAGACAGCCCCGACCCAAGAAGATTGGACTAAGAGCTGCACGAGAAGGCATCTTCCAGTCGATCTATGATCTACTGAAGCTACGCGAAGAAGAGCGAGAAATCCTCTTGTCCCAATTAGATGAGAGAGAAAATGCCCTTCACAAGATCCAAGGTTTTACATCGAGGCGAAACGGTCTGGAAGAAGCTATATCTATGATACACAATGACCGACGGAGTCAGCGCGTTAAGCAGCTTCAAGAGGAGGCTACGGGCCTCGAGACTGACATACATGAACTGGAGACCAAGCTGTTAGAAATGAAGGCCACGCACAGGCATCTCGTCTGCGAAATCGCGGAAATCGAGAACTCGGTTGACGCTAAATTATCCTCCTACACTGAATCCTTGTCCCTCGTGCAGTCAGACATCCGAAATTACCTCCGTGATCCCCAGGTTCAGCCCCTCTCGCGACAATCTAGCGAATCCACATTATACTCATTGAATCCCAAACGCCGGACGCTTGAGATGGCCCAAGAGCTTTGGAAACAAGAACAGGAGGTTTTGCATACGAGACAACAAGAGGTAGATGCCGAGATCTTGGCGCTGGAAGAAGGAGGTGGAGTATGGAAGCAAGCCATGGCGGACGTGTCTGGCTTTGAGAAACGACTAAGAGGATATATGCGCCGTTATATGCAGTTGGATATGCAGGCAACAAACGGTGCACAAATTGGGGATAGCAAGGACGAAGTGGCAGCCAGCGTCTCGGCTGATCTGGAGCAAACCACACAGCGGCTGGAGTCCCACTTAGAACATGCTGAAGAGAAGGATTGGAGACTTCTTGTCTGTTGCATTGCAGCAGAGCTGGAAGCTCTTCGAGAAGCAAAGACCATGCTACTTCCCGCCTTTGGCTTGCCTGCGCCCGAGGCTGAGGCGCCGGTCGCCTCTGCCTCGTCTTCTCAACAAGCTCACGCCGATGAAGCCCCGAGCGAGCATGCAGAGGCTCATGTGGATCTGTTAGATAACGACGATGCTGATCCACCAGCTGATTTATTAAAGGATGGGGATGAACAGCATACAGACACAGCATCCAGGTCAGAAGATGACGAGCCCGATCCAGCATGGCTCCTTGAATCATGAAGTCATGACATATATTTATACACCTAGTTATCAATTTAATAAACATTCATATTTCCTTTTCAAACAAAGTTTACTTTCGAATACAGGTACAAGTTTTGAATACCTAAGTGGAGGGAATTAGTAACTCGGGCGGAAGCTGGAACGTCCAACTCAACGTTTGGAACTGAACCACCTTTGAACTTTCAAGCTTCGTCACGCACTCTGCCTAGGTGCTCGCATTTGAAGTTCAGAGAGACGTAAGGGGAGTCCTATCAATCCTTGATGCATCTATCCCGACCTACTTTTTCCTTTCTTATTCCTTCGGTCCATGATGGGCGTCAGCTCGAATGTCGTGTTTATCTTCCCCGGCACTATGAAAATATAGAGTCAACGACCCCCAGGCACATCCAGGGAGCAATCTTCGCCCATCCCTATGCAACACTGGGTGGCAGCTACAATGATCCCGTGGTCAGTTTTATCGGTGGCGAGCTTTTGAATGCAGGCTTTATCGTGGGAACGTTCAACTTCCGGTAACACGCTATTTTACATTTCTCTGGTTGGAGGGTCGATGGGCTAATACAATTCAGGGGAGCTGGAGGGTCCGAGGGACAGACTAGCTGGACCGCCAAACCCGAACTGGGCGATTATACTTCATTTTATGGATTCATGCTATACTACCTGCATGCTTTGAAACCTATCCAGACAGAGATTAACCGGGGCCGAGATATCGATCTCATACTCGGTGGATACTCCTACGGATCCATGATCGCCTCGAATGCCCCAACGCTTGATGTCATGATTGACCTATTTCAACTTGGCACTGGAACCGGTAGTATATCTCCAGGTACTCCCATTGATCAGATTTGCAGAGAGGCAAGGAAGATCGCTGCAGCGACAATACCAGATTCTGTAACAAGGCTAGAGGACGATGACGGGTTGCGCGCGTCAACCTCGATCTCTTATCTTCTTGTGTCACCCCTACTGCCTCCAGTAAGTTCTTTCCTGACGGCATTTACCACGCTCTCAGTACAAGTGGGGGGAAGATCAGCTCAGGCGAGTCAAGCCCGACCCGCTCGTCCAGCCGACCAGCTGAGTGTGCACCGGACACTGGCTTTGTTCGGGGATGATGACACATTCACTTCTGTAGGTAAACTGCGGCGGTGGTCAGCCGAGTTGGGCCGCATGCCGCATAGTCAGTTCAGGGGGTGTGAGATTGAAGGCGCGGGGCATTTTTGGCGAGAAGATGGAGTGGAGCATGAGGCGAGGGAGATACTGCGGGACTGGCTCCGTGGATATACAATGTAAATTTGGCATGATTTGATTTGATTTGATTCAAATCATTTGATAAATAAATTCATTTCCTTGTATAATAAGGTAACTGAACTCTATATGGCTTTGAATCCTGGTAAGAGCCTAACCAAGATCTACGGAATGATGCCCTGCATTTCCATAATCGTGGCGTAAAAAAGTGTCCCGCTCTCACATGCAATGCATGTGAACATCTTTCGTGAATGAGATCATAGCAACTTATAAGGTCATTTGAACACATGCATTATCTATCACAGAAAAATCAGTTCCACATTCCCCGTAATGTAAATTGCAACCTAAAATTGTAAGCGTGGGGAACCCACATTGGGGCAAGACCGGGGTAAGTTGGGGTCATCGGGTGGATTACAGTTGGTCCCCGTGACGTTCTTCAGACCGCCCTTGGTCTTCATCTCTTCTTTTTTGCTTTTCGCTTTTCACCTTTATATGTCTGGTATCTATTTAATATCTATACTGGTCTTTAAGCATCTCAGATCCCGGATGGCGCGATCCCGATGCACAAACCTTCGATGTCGGTATTGGGTGACTCCGCAATAGTCTCAAAATGCTATTCCAATCGTGACTCGGATCGCATTCCTTCGCCACCTCGTCGATCCCTGCACAAAGCCATCTCTATCCCCGCGGTCTCTTCAATTGTCAAGGACTCGTGGAACTGGGCCGGCGATACCCTTGGTGCCTATCGCGGTGGACCTTCGGCTGAGGAGCGGAAGCAACTGGCGGACATTGAAGATCGGAAACAGGTGCTTTATTTGAAAATAAAACATGTCAGTCATTTTTCATCCCAAGCGTGGCAGCCCGTAGCATTTGGACTGGTACCTGGACGGGCGGTCGCATCTGTTGCGTCACCGTGCTAATCGTGATTTCGGCTGCAGGCAGTGTCGTACGAGGAATGGTGTAGCTGCGCCAATGAGCTCGACGTGCTAGAAGACAACAACGCCTGGAAACAGGCTTTTGAATGCCCTGACTACCATCCTCAGTTGGTGCAGGAACGGCTGCGGGAGCTGGAGGAGGCGCGCATCAGCTGTGATGTGAGCCGGATGCTTTTCCTAGTCCGGACCGCGCTCAGTCGGGACCTGGGGAAGATGAGCAACGCGTCTCTCTATCGCCACTCGCATATCGGGACTAAGGATTTGATCGATCGATATATCACCACAGCGCTAGATACAATCACGAACTTGGTAGATTTGTCGGTACATAATCGCTGTGATGGGCTGGAGTTGAAGTATATCCTGGATCAGCTGCTGGCAGCCCGGCAAGCATTTGGTCGCAGCGCGCTGCTCTTCTCCGGAGGTGCTACCTTTGGTATGAATCATATCGGTGTGCTCAAGGCGTTATACGAGGCCAACCTCATTCCTCGCATTATATCCGGCGCGTCAGCGGGCAGTATTGTGTGTGCTGTATTTTGCACCCGCAAAGATGATGAACTGCCAGGGCTTCTTGACACCTACGCGCACGGTAAATTTGACGTTTTCAACGAAGCAGGACGTGAAGAGAACATTTTTCAAAAGGTCGCGCGATTTTTGAAGTTTGGCTCTTTTCTCGACATCTCCCATCTGGCAAATACCATGCGAGCTTGGCTGGGAGACATCACCTTCCAAGAGGCATACAATCGAACGCGGAGAATTTTGAACATCTGCGTATCAAGTGCTGGCATGTATGAGCTCCCGCGACTGCTAAATTACATTTCTGCCCCGAATGTCATGATCTGGTCTGCAGTGTAAGTCTCGAACCCCTTCGATTTGGCGCGAATGATTCACCTGACACAATTACAGAGCTGTGTCCTGCTCTGTACCATTAGTCTTTAGGCCATACACCCTGATGGCCAAGGATCCCATGACGGGATTACCAGTTCCATGGAATGATCTACACAGGGAATATATCGATGGCTCGGTTGATGGAGATCTTCCGATGACACGATTATCCGAGATGTTCAATGTGAACCATTTTATTGTGTCACAGGTTAATCCCCATGTCGTACCGTTTTTACCCAAGGAAGATGGCCCGATCAAGGACCTCCAGGGGTCATCGTTCCTGCCTCGGTGGGTAAACACAATGACGCACCTGGCGAAGGACGAGGTGTTGCACCGAATGAACGTCTTGCTAGAGCTCGGTATCTTCCCAACATCCATGACCAAAATTGCGTCGATTGTGAATCAGAAGTACAGTGGCGATATTAATATCTACCCTGAATTGATTTCCTCCAACTTCCCACGGATCTTGGAGAATCCGACCACGGAGTTCATGCTCGAGGCTTGTCTGAGTGGTGAACGAGCAACATGGCCCCGGCTAAGCCGTCTTCGAAACCACTGTGCAATTGAACTTGCCCTTGATCAAGCCATTCAGCAGATGCGGGCCCGTGTGGCTTTCAGCCCGGGTCAAGTAGACTTGCGTATACAAGGCTCCCTTCAACACCCACCCGACCCAGTAGACAGCAGTGCTAACCGGGGACGTCTGCATCATCGCAGGAGGAGCTCTCACAGCCACGAGTTAGAGAGAAGACGGTCAAGAGGTGCATCGCGAAGTCAACCAGGGCGAAGACTTCGAAAGGCACGGAGCACTGTGTCACTTGAAAACCCACAAAATTTTTTTTCCAATAATTTAATCTCCGCGCCGCCTCCCCCAAAGGCCCACAACCGACGATCTTCAATATCATTTGGCGGCGGGATATTTGCAATTGGTTCTGGTAGCGATGGAGAGGAGGAGCCTGAGTTTTTCTTCCCTGGTCGCCCTCGGCAACCTCAGGCCAGAGATTCCTGGGATGCACCGTCCCACGAAGGAACGCACTCTCCTGCCCGATCCCGGCGATCATCTTTCTCTGGCAGGTCACAACGGTCCGTCTCCGTCCGACAGGGTTCTCCCAAGCAGGTATTGGGACCGTCGGCTCGAGATATCTCCATGGCCTTGTCACCTTCATCCCGTCACCTACTTAGCATGACGCCGACGGTTCATCCGAGCTCTCCTGATTCTATTGTGCGTAAACCGCACCACTAGTTTCCTTTACACCCAACCAACCGTGATTTGAGAAACAATCAGGCTGCCAGTAGATCTTGGCGGACTTTTCCCCGAGCAACTTCCCTCGGTGGTTACGTACGCCAAACAAATCCAATATCTCCCTTAACCTCAAGCCCCCCGGACGGCCACAATCCACTGCATATCACTTTACTTGCTAAGTGACTGCTACGACTTGCTGCTTCATGACCCCGTGAATGTCAAATCTCGGGACACCATCTTCTTGATATTAGACGTCTCGCAAAGCCCCCACAAATATTTAAGGCATGACAGATATGAGCCTTGACCATGTACATAATAAGGTTTCTAGATTATTAACTTTAGTCAAAGAATAATCTCATTGAGTCTAGATCGGCATGACAATTCAAGTCATCTGTACGAGCTTTTCCGCCCTTGGCGCCTTTTCCATGGAGAGGCTAAGCTCTTTTTGATCAAGGGACCGAGCTTCAGGGGGAGAACATGGCCTACAGTACATTCATTCAAAGGTGTGCATCGACAGAAAAACTTGGCGACCCTGCGCCCGGGCAGTGGCCAAAGAAAGGTCGTGAGTGGAGTTCGGCAATCCAGGAAGGGGAAGCATCGACATTGTACTCCGTAGTTGGTGAAAAATTATCTGATACAAGCCATGCAGGAAGCCGCGGTTACTATTACTCATATCCTACCTCAAGGCGGCTGGCACGCCACGTGTGTTTCTCCTTTTCTTCTTATTCGATAGATTCTTCTTATTTTCACCGTAACCGCCTGCAGAATGGGTTGGATCAACCTCTGGGCCCCCAGACGATCCCTGAAGTCATGGACCCACAAATGGAGCTAAAAAATACCTTGAAAGGTTTAGACTGCAAGGACCCACTCACGCTATTCCCGAAGAAATGAAGGCTGACGACGACGATTCAGGGAAAAGTCGAAATACTGGACCACGTCCTCGAGCCAGTCTTGTCAGATCGCAATGAAACAGGGTCTGTTCCGCGAGTGTTTCTAAACTCCTCATCTCAAAGGAGCGAATCACACGGAGGATCATATTCCAGACCCCCCACCATCATTTGAAGCTCTCAGACTCTATCTTGATGTGTTGTTTACGTGCTATTTGGAAGAAATTACCATGAGCCTTGGAAGGGAACTGGTTTCCAGTCCCTTTCAGAATACCAAACAGTCAACTTGCTGCCGAGCAGGTTCCACAAAGTGTTGATCTTCTCGTACCAGCGATACTCATGGGCGGGCTCTTTATCAATCAGTGGAAACGTCGATCATTTTCCTACCAAGGTCTCAATATCTGTCCACTTTTCCCGTGGCAGAACCCAAAACATTGAGCACTGTTCCCCTGTTACATTCCCTGTATCAGAAAAGAGTGTGGCAAAGCTGAATGACCTCATGGAATTTAAAATGAGATCAGACTCACAAGCCATGAACTTATGTGGCTGGGCAACGTCTCAATTATGAAATCACCGGTGGACCTTACCTGGCGCAATTTTAGACTTGCAGAAGATTTTCACTCCAATGAGATTCTGATCTTCCTGCACATGTAAAGAAACAAACTTGAAATCCAAAAACAGGGTGTGTTCCTCGGAAATAATAAGTTCTTCGGCCCTAACAACTTCGTTCGAATGGGCCCATGGATGCTTGTTGAGCGTGTCCATCCCAATTCGGTAGGCGGCCCTGATGATCTTCGATGGAGAAACATGATCCCTCAGCCCACTCGGCATCACTAATATACACGGAACATGATCGTCACCTTATCGCTGTACCAGGGAGCCCATTGGAGCATTCCAAGCGTAGCGACGATACGATTGCCTCCTTCCGTTCAAGGATGAATCCACTTTTTCTGTATTCTCTTTACCTGGAACAGGTAACCAGCCGGTGTCTGGTTGTCTGGCCAGCAGCTATCACGCCATACGTCGTCGAGGAAAATACCCGTGACCCTAATCAAATGCGCCGATTTTTATACTTTCTGGCTATCGTCTCGTCCCTGACCCACCAACCCTTCAGGCTCCAGAGATCGACACCCGCCTCCTGATGGAGCGGCCAGCCACGACAAAAGGCCAATTTTAAGATCATTGCCCGATCTCGGAGTTCCCATTAGCCATGAGGAGTCTTGGACCCAGCAACCTAAGGCTCTAGTCTATATACCCATGCTTTTATAAAGAAGCATCCGTCCGCCGTTTCTGCTGTTCCCCATTCACTATACATCTGATCAAGGTTGTGTTTCTTGGTCCAATTCCGTCCTCTCTTTCTCGAAAATCATTTCCAATCTTTTCATAATGAAGTACGGTTTCGCTATTATGGGCTTGATGGGCTGTGCCCTCGCTCTCCCCGCTCACCAGGGTCCTCCTCCTTCCGGTCCTCCTCCCTCAAGCACTCCTAGCAGCTTCCCTGGCCCTGTGCCTACCGGCGACTTCGAGAAGCGTCAGTTCGGCGGTCTCCCTCCCGCTGGTACTCCTCCCTCTGGCACGCCCAGCAGCTTCCCCGGTCCTATGCCTACCGGTGAATTCGAGAAGCGCCAGTTCGGTGGCTTCCCTTCCTCTTTCAGCCTTCCTTTCCCCGAGCCCACTCCTGGCCTCGGTGGCTTTGAGAAGCGTCAATTCGGTGCTCCCCCTCCTCCTCCTTCTGGCTCTGCGGGACCTACTCCCACCGGCCCCGTCCCCACTCCCTTCTAAATAAATTTCCCGCGCTACTACCAGCGTATGCCAGAGCCGACACAACCTGCAGCTGTTGAGTCTAACTGGTAGAAATGTCAAAACATGACGCTTTGTACAGATATTCACGTCTTGAGTTATAAATTGGATCAGATCAGGATTATGGATGCGATATACTTTGGATGGACTGATACTTATAGATGGGTTTGAAACTTTCAATGTTATTCTGTGATCACCAATGCAGTAGTTCGTTATGGTTATGTAAACACAATACATTCCTGTGCCTACATATATGTAGGCAATATATTTGTTTTCTCTCCAAGGCTATCAGACTCGGATCTTTATCTTCCACACCGAAAATTCCAAAGTGTACCCAGTACTACCTCCCTTTCATATTAGATGTACAGTATACCGTATCGGTGAGGGTAGTTAAAAAACACATGATCAAGTCGAGTACTTGCCCCGAAGCCATATGTTCCTAATCGGCTTAACCAGTGTATACATGAGATCCAGATGTACTTTAACAAATCTTAGGATTTGATGCTTAAAACAGAAGTAAACAATGCAGTAGATTACTCAAGATCATAACTGCATGTCAATGAATGTGCTTACTACTTTCTAAAAATAAAACTAATTTGCCTGCATTAATGTGTTACATCCGAATTCAGTTTGCCAATGCAGGCTAATTAGCAGCTATTTTAAGTATGCTAATTAAGGAAAAACTTCACTGCCAAGCACATAGTGTCTCCACCATGTTGCATCACCGTTCAGCGGCAATGCATAATACCCATTGGCTCTCGTTGAGTCCAGCTGCCCTCGAAGCCGGGCAGCTTCCCGGCGCCTCAAATTATGCACGCCGGGAGGTCTAAAAAGCATCAGCCAAGTCTCTCACCCAAGCTTTATATCCGAACGCCTCCCGCTGCTCATTGCTTTGATATTATCTGAAGTTATAGTGGCCTACCTCCACTTTCAATTAGCAAGGGATGCTAATTGAAGTTTTGTTTTTTGCCTTTTTTTGTTTCTGTTTGCCTTGATCCTGACTCCAGCTGACCAGTTGCAGCGAGTCAAGTGGCCAGTGACCCCTCTAACCCTTGTCCTGACCGTGTCCAATCTGAGATCATCCCCACTATTTGTGTTTGTTACCCTGCAGGCATTCAAGCCTAGACTATCAGGCTTGAGGGACACGGAATCATCCGCCAAGACCCTCTCAGCAGGGTTTATTGATCCCTTGTCGTCAGCCCCGGCCGTGGCGCTCTGTATTTGAACAAGCCGCGTTGCACAATATCGATTACCCCTCCTTCAAGAGATTCCTACTTTTTTATTAATTTATATTTCCGCTCGAATGTACCTTGCTGCTCTCCCACCGGAGAGTAGTCTTATATACTTCTAAGCTCGTGGAGCCCTCGGCCATTCCCCCAACAACCATGGCCGGCATCGTCAACAAACCTCTGGGCCTGTTTCGTAGGCCCGAATCCCCCAGACCTCTTCACACTAGATGGGGAGACGTGGGAATCTCAGTCCCCACAGAGGGATCATGGAACCAATACGACAACCCTTATCGACCAGCACAAGAAGAGAGACAGACGACCTACGGTCCCGGATTCGTCCCCCACTGCCACCCATCCGACAAGTCTGGCCCCCCCTCAAATGAAATCGATGAAGACCACAAGATCGCATCATCCCGCTCATCGACCTCTCGCCGCAACTCTCTTTCTCTGGGAGCCTTGCGTCCGGGTCGTCTCTCCGTGCGCCTTGCATCACGCCCTAAACACCTTCGGGGAGAAGCACAGCAAGAACGAGACACTCACCAAGAGCGGACTGATTTCGCTTACAAACCCATCCGTCAAGACTATCCTCTCGAGTCGACTGAGAAATCAAAGCCGGTGAAAGAAAAACAAAACGTCGCCACGCCTCCGTTCAAGTATATCCCCACGAATGGAAGATACCTTGAAGAAATCCCCGCAGCGCCTCCGCGCAGCCAGTCTGCTATGTCCCATCGCAGTTCTCTCAGTAGACGAGACTCGTTTACGGAGTCGCTGGAAGAACGGCTTGGTCGACGGGGTTCGCATCAGGAAGATGACTGTTTTAGTCTTCGCTCCAGTGTGGGTGATAGCTCGGATAGTTCGAGTTCGAGGCGCAATTTTGAAATGATGCCGAGGCGACGTACTTCGCCTTTTGTTCCGGCTGATCGGAGGAGGGCTTCTTTACTGAAGCCTATGACTCTGGCTATGGTTCCTGACCCGGAAGATCTTTTTGATTGATGAATTGAGGTTTCTTGTCTACGTTTTACGTTTAATGGGTTTTACGGTTTATGGGCTACGGATATTTTGGTTGCCATTGCGCGGCGTTGGGAATTTGGCATATTCAGGCGTTCAAATGTTTAGAATGGCGGCGTCCGCCATGATTTTTTCTACATAATTGAGAATGGGAATTTGCATCTAATCCTCGGTCGGGTTACACAAGTATTGGCATTAGGCGTCGCCTTCCTACAATTAGTTAGATCCTTTGCCGGTGGCCAGTGTTCGAGCCGAATTACCCAAGGCATATCCGACAGATCTGGTCTAGCCATATTTTTACTCATTTATTATTCTTTTATTGGTACATATGTAAAGCGTTGCGCTGAACCTTCTGCACGGAGCAGGACGTGGCATTTTCCCGCGCGTATGCATAAATTCAAAACGCCCGAGAGCCTGGACCTTCAGGGTCTTGAGGATGCGAGACCGTTACTGATTCATTTGGAACAGTATAACCATGTGCTAGTCTTTCAGCCCAGCAAAATTGTCATTCGGATCATCACATCTCAGCTCCCCGGATAAGAAGCCACGCCGATCACAAAGTGATCATCGATCGTATCGTGTTGGTTCGTACGGGGGTTTTGATTGGCTACATGGACGAAGCGCTTAGAATGGACCAGTCAGAAGAGTTTCGGAGTGTTGGTTTTTCGCCGCATGGATGTGATTTGTGGATATGCACGAGGGGTCTACTGCATGAACTTTGGCGTTTTGACTAAAGATGAATTAAGTAACTGTTGGCTTGGCACGATGCGTTGGTCACTGAAATGGGGTAAATTGTGGACTAATTATGGGACTTAATATGCTATTTTGGTTTACCTTCGAGTCTCAAAATAGTTCAAATGTTCAGTTGTTATGAAACAGAGTTTAATGTGAGGGTCAAGCTTTTCATATATATCAGAGATCTTCCATTGATGTTATTGAAATGATTATGCGTTCCTGCTTAATTTTGGGATTAGATTCATTTCCTCCCCCTGGAGCTACTGGTGACTCTGCACTGTGATCACTAGCTCCTCAGGACAAGGGTAGTTCTCTTTCCAACGTGATTGTCATTGGCGTGGGTCACTGCAGGCGTTGAATTTGACTGCAAGTATGTTAAAGAGCAAATGTGATAATGCAACGCTAACAAGATATCCCCTTTAGTGACTGGTGGTTTCCTGCATCTTTTCTCCCGAAAGGAGAGAGCAAAGAGGAAAGCACAAAGCCAAGGCCAACCCCAGCTCCAACCCCAGGTCCAAGTACCACACAGAGCCAATCTTTATGGAGCAACAACCGGCCCCCGCTCCGCTCATCCTCGTCCATTATCATCTTTTGCTCCGGACTTACACCGGTCTGCCTATCCGCGATCCTCTTGCGACCAGCCCCCACTACCCACTTATGACCCATCCAAGTATCAACCCATTCGACACAATTCAATTCCATCGGACCTGCTTGCTTATCCATCGGGATATGGCCAATCTTCTCACTTAAGCGCCACCCATTATCACCAGAGAAACTCCATGTACCAACCTGGACCGGACATGTACTTTGCACCGAGAATGCCTGATTCGGTGGCGTCTGCAAGAGGACAATCTGCTATGCCTAATTCATCTCGACCAGCCGCGGGTGAACGAGTTCGATCAGAGCGCGAAAGAAGTCGGTCTGAACCTATGCCGCCTATGCCGGGTCAAAAGAACCGGAAGCCTGTACTTTCGCGGCTGATTACCAATTTCGGTTAAAAGTGTACCTCGAGATATTGACGACCATTATGATGGAAAGGCGTTAAAGGAGTGGTTTATCTTGCCAGAATCAGGATTTAGCTATTTCATTTAATTTCATTTAATTTAATCGATTTTTCTTGATTTTATATACATTATTTATGGGACGAATGACATTGTGATTCATATGTTCGTACGTACTCCGAACTGTAACTAGTTTGCTTCTCCACTTGATGACTTTGGGAGATCGAAACCGTGTATGTGCCACTTTCCAGTCTTTCTGCCCCATAACTTGGGAATAATTATTCTTCCAGCCTTTAGCTTGCGTAAGCTGAACGGGTCGATCAACCGATCAACCTTGTTTCTCCGAACCAATATTTCGTCCACACTTCTGCACTCTTCTTTTGCTTTGAGTCTTGAGTGACTGCGCACATCCCCACTTTGCGGGATCGGGAAAACCCCACTCTGGCAGCAGTGGCAGGGGTATACGCCATGGTGAAACATCATGCATTTTGTCAACTTCAAGAGGGGTCCACCCCCTCTTCTAATCCCTGCTGGTTCGAAATGGCTCTCATCCTACCACCCTTCCTTTGGCGTGACCCATCATCCGAAGTGATGGTCAGGCGGGATGTACCTTCCCTAGCGCTCATCGGCTCGCTTTGTTCCAAGAACCCTAGACAGTCGGTAGAGGATTGATGGCCAATCTGCGATCAGATGCATCCAGTAGGCTGATTTGCCTGACCACTTCTGGATGGCCGGGCATATTGCGCAGGCGCAGATCCCAGAACAAGCGCCATGCCAAGAAGACGGCGGACGACGCGCATCCATACTATATGCAACCCATGTCTTGACTCGCCATGCTCTCTGTCCACAAGCCTGCGCCGGAAAGCAAGCTATCAGACGAACCGGGGTGATGAAATTTGGGGGCGGGCACATGCACTCGCTCTACCCCTCTTGGGCCAAGCCTATATGCACCCGTACTGCAGCTGTTGAAGCATTTTCCACTTTACTACAGCCCTCGTTGGCCTCTCTCATCCACTCATTTCTCGCGATCGTGGTTAGCTCATTGCTACCTGAGCCGCTTCTGTGCTGCTAGATTCCGCATCTTCGTCGTCCCAAGTGGCGCCCAGGGAGCCACCGCCAGAGGGGTTGACCCGTTGTGCCGGGCTCCAATCCTGATTTCCTCAACGCTGGCTGGATGGATTTGTGCCCTCCAGCACCAACAGTTAGTTATCTGGAAGATCTTCTCTCTTCCGGGATAAGCCAACAAAACATGCTGGACTTTGTCAGTCTTTCATCGGAGACTCTTGTTCGCGATATAAAATCAACCTATGCGAGCGCATCGTCTGCCCGGCGATTTTCTATTCTCTGTCCTTTGTGACGGTTTCGAGTCTGTTGTTCTTTGAGCCTCGGTTCAACGGTCCCTGTGGGAGGAATCTGATCAACCCTGAAATGAGCATCGCTTTGGGGAGTGATCTGTCCTCCCACTAAAGAGAAAAGTCGTATCTTTTTTCTTCTGCAAGCAGCAGTGCTACTCTTGGAGCTCCTTTGATGGGTAAGCTGTCCCAAGTCATGGCGGGCTTCATGAAGAAGTTCAAAAAGAAGCGCAGGCTGTCAACGGAGCTACATGACCGCTGGGGTGATCCTGCGATCAGTTACCCCAACGAGGGGTCCTGGAACCAGTGGAATCAAGCGTCAGGATTTGTGGCCAATGCTTCCATAGAGACCCCTCATCACCTCAAGCCCGATGATTCAAGACGCTATGGTTCCCCCTCCGTTCCACCACAAAACGGATGGAACGATTTCCATCCCCATCTCCAAAACATCCCACCAGAGCCGATCCACGATCGCACGAACTTTCCCAGAGGATACTTCGATGCAACGATCCGGCGCCGCCCTGAGAAAATACAGAGGCCCCCAGTCCAGGGTCTGGGGATAGGCGATAGGCGACACGAATTACGAGATGAGCCCCAGGGCAGAGACAGCATGGATGATCTAGTCCAGGAATCCTGCGACGAAGAAGACGAAGAAGACGAAGAACGCGACACCTTGGGTGACCCTCGTGGGTTGAATTATCGTGGCTTCCCAACCGGAGACATACCCATCTCACGAAATGTGAGCCGCGAGGATTGCGGCTCTTATGATGTTGCCGCGAAATCTCCGGCGCTGTCAATTACATCTCGTATGCGTCGGACCAGTATCCAAAGTGCAACGACGCAAGCTTCGTCTGTTGCTGGTAGTTCCAGACGTACAAGCTATACTGCAACATCTTCTGTCTCTGCTCCTTCTCTACCACCTGATACTCCTCGAATTCCGTCGCACGTTATGCATTTACATGAAAAGCGACCGGTGACTCGTCCAAAGACTCGGGAACCCGAGCCAACTCCAAAGCCAACTCAACATGAGATGGTACCTTCGTATGATGAGCTCTATGGTTGATCTGATGGACTCTTTATTATTTTCTTCTATTTAGAATCGGGTTTTTACTTGGGCGGCGATTTTGATTCTTCTACCTCACTGGATGCACAAACTAGTGAATTAAATTTCTTTTCTCGGGCAGTCAATCTGCTTGTCCAAGAGTTCCACTTGATTGAATATCTGTAAGCGAGAATTGCGTTATTTCACTAGATATTCGGCATAAATTAGCATAACTCCAGTGCAACTCTTTAAATTGTATACCGTACTCTACTCTTGGCGTTTAGCATTTCTCAAATTCTCAAATTCTTGTTTTAGGGATAAATCATTGAACAAGTCCAGATTTCCCTAAGATGAGGGGTTGAAGTCCGTGCATTATGCAGGATGCAGCTCCGTGTCACAGTCACAGTCACAACCGCCCGTTCGCCAATCACTCATCGAACTTCATCACACTCATCACGCCCCAAAGTGATCCACTCAAGTCAGGCTAACTGGTCGATCCCGCTCCAGCAGCCAACCGATGGTCTGCAACCAATCTCATAAGTGGTCCTGTCCAGCCTCTCTGCGATGAGCTCTAAGCGCCGAGTTGTCGTCCTGCGAGGGATGTGCTTGATTCGACAGGCACTAAGTCAATTCACACTGCATAAGGAATCACTCTCTTGCCAGCCTTGAGACTGGAGAACTGTTACTCCACTCAATCGTTCCACCCCGACTCCGAGAGCTCTCGGACACTGAAAAAAGAAGGTTTTCCTCCCGAATACCATCTTCTGTGCTTTCTCTGTCAGCTTTTCCATGAAACCGTGATCGCCACCCTTGGGCGCTTGTTCTCATTCTTTTGGCGGAGGAACAAGCTCTACGGCTTTGTTGTTTCTTATCCACGGACGACCATGCTTGGACTCTGGCAGTCCAGGATGTCGGCGTTGGCCTTTGCGGTCTCGCTGAGTTGTCTCATTCCCGCTGTTCTGGGCTTGAGAGTCACATCTGGCTCCTCATGTACGGACAGCTGTAATAAATGGGGGTCGGCGACAAACACGACCGTGGACGAGATCTCGTGCGTGGACGCTGCGTACAACAGCACAGCGAAGGGCAAGGACTTCAAAGAATGCATTTCCTGCGAATTAGAAAGTACCTTTGAGGATGATACGACCGGAGAAACTGATGTGAACTGGGGTCTTTGTATGTTTCTCCATGGACTGGGTATAGCAGCGCTAACGGGGAACAGACAACTTGCGGTTTGCAGTCTCGACCTGTGTTTTCGGATACCCCGAGAGTATCTCCAATGTCTCTTCCCCATGTCCAGTAGCATGCGGGACTGTCCAAGATGCCGTGGAGTTTGAGATTAACGACCCAACTGTCGATAACTTGGGTGCATGGTGTGATACAGCGTCCTTCGCAGACAATGTGATCAACACGTGCGAGTTCTGCTACAATCTCACAACCAACCAACTCTACCTGGCAAACTGTATGTTTTCCCTGTCAGCGATGAATGATACCCGTACTAACCGATGCAGTCCTCGAATCCATCCGATACAACTGCCACTTCCCAACAACCAGCGGCGATGAATTCGACATCTCCCCAACGAGAATCTTTGTAGAATCTCTCCTCCCTTCAAGCCTATCCCTCACAACTCCCGGCTCGAGCTCCTCTCACGTAAACCTGGGCCTGGTGATCGCGCTCCCCGTACTAGCCTTCATCATCATCTGTCTCGGTATCGGAACATGCTGCTACTTCTACATCCGTTACCGTAGAAAGCGCACCCGCCAGAGCAGGTACCAGGATCACCTATATGCTCGCTGGAACGATACCACCATCACCACACCCAAGCAGGGAGAGTGGCACCAGCAGCAAGCGTATTCTGACTACCAGTTGTTTGCTCAGACACACGCTGCCGGGTACGGACAACATAATGGCTTCAATGAGCAGTATGGCCAGGCTCATGAGATGTATGGTATTCATACCAACAAGCAGGATATTCAGCAGCAGGCCACTGAGATAACTCCTGCTCAGGGTGATCAGGCTCCTCATGCTTTTGGCACGGACCAGAAGCATGCTCTGTGAGTCTGATGTAGCACGATGTTGAAGAGAGGACGTAAGACAGCAAAAGAGGCCTGAGAGATCCTAGGCGAACCACGGTATATAATGATCGGCTTCTTGGGTTACCTTAACCCTTCATTCATGGCGTTTGGTTTGTGTTTCTGATCTGATTTTCGCAATGAATATATCCCCTGTATCTTGGATGATAGCTGGCCCGAAGACATTCCTTGAACCTTGCACCTGAAGTAGCGAAGTGAGAAGTTAAAGAAATGGAAAGAGTCATGAGAATACAACAGAAGTGGAAGCCGAAGTGAACATAATCTTGGCTGGAACAAGCCCAATGTATAGAGGAACGAACATGAAAATCCGAATTTTGACGAATAAAAGCAGGTACAAAGGGGAAAAGAGCAAGGAGCAAAGAGCAGAGCGAAAGAGCAATGTATTTATATCATTTCCTCCAGGGCGCCCCCAGGTAAATATGGTCATTCTTAAAATAAACACAAAACCTTCTTACCACCGATCAGCCCTCGTATCTGCGCACCTTAGCCTGCCGTCCCGCCACAAACTCTCTAGGATTGGTTGGCCGATGCGTTTCAGCACGCACCGCCAAGAGGTCGAAGGGCTCAGGGTCCAATGGGGGTAATTTGAGGCTATTTTTGGGATCTGTTCATCCTTTGGGCTGCTTAGCGAAATAAGTATAGAATTTTGGGTGAAGCAATTCCTCGCGATGGGATCTATAAATAGGGTGACCTGAGAGGTAAGGTGGGGGAGTACGGAATATAAGAGACGTGGTAGATTCAATTCTCTTTAACATTAATTGTTGATTCCATTAGGTTGTTCTTCGTAATACATCAAAGAATAGATGTAGGTAGTAAATATTGTAAATGTTGTATAGAGATGGTTATATGCCATTCATAGTTCCTAGACCCACCAAAAGCTTCCTTAAACCTCTCCGAACTCCAATACCTAAACTTCCACAACCTCCCCCTCCTTAACCATGTCGACCCTCAACCAAGAGCAAATAAAAGTCCTTGAACAATCCCGTCAACGACTAGTCCAATTAACCCGCTCCCTGGGTTCCCTAATCGCAAGCCTAAACCAAAGCGACCCTCTCCCGCAATGGTACGCAGGCCAGAACCAGCCACAAAAAACCACCACTAACAGACTCACCTCCCAGGTCCTCCCTCCAATCTCAAGCAAGCATCATCTCCAATAACCTCATCAGCGTCTCAGAGCACCTCTCCGACCACCGCGACCTCCTCTCAACCCTAGTAGCCTACCCAGGCCCAGAATACCCCGGCCGCACGCAATCAAACACCCTCGAACAACTCCTCCGAACAAAACTCGACCCCCGCGTCGAAGACTGGGTCGCGCGCGGCCGGGTCGCCGGTACAGATCCCGCAGCTCCTGGATTCTCAGAGGGAAAGCCACTTACCGAGAAGGAACTTGGTGAGCTCTGGGAATGGGCGCCGTTTGAGGCGAATCAGGAAGCGCGGCGGAGGAACTGGGGAGGAAATTTCACGCTCGAGGAGCGAGATGCCCCTGGGGGTGTTCAGGCTGTTGTTACGGGGTTGAAGAGGACTTTGGAGGATGATGAGGGGGATTCAGAAGAGGAGGATGAGGATGAGAGTGAGGGGGAAGATGAGATTGTTGGGGTTCATCGGAAGTCTGGGGGTGGGCCGGGGTTAGAGTTTGATATTGCGGTTCATCATGCGCATGCTGCTGTGCCTGTTGTTCCTTTGGGGGATATCTTGAGGTATATGACTACTGGGCGGATGCCGTAGATCGCTACGGGAATGCGTACAGTATCTAGGATGGAAGATTGAAGAATATTGGTTCTAGGATTTGAGTTTATGACTTCATGAATCCGAAATTGTATAATTAAACGAGTTACAACGAATTTAGCCAATTGACGCGCAGCATACGATTATGCAAGACCTAGCCTCGTCGTCGGGTTGTGGGTGACTTCGAGTTCGGCTTGGGCACTGCGGTGCTGTGGCCTGAGATGGGCTTCTCTGCGGACTTGCGTGATGCCTTTTGCTTGGGCGCTGGGCTGTCCCAGTAGTAGACCATCTGGGCAGCGAGGATCACGTTGAGAGCGAAGCCCGAGATGAATCCGTAGAGAATCAACTTGTCGTCGACTTCTTGAAGAGTGGTGAAGATGCGGGATAGGGAACCGACGAGATAATTGAAGATCTTAAAAGAAATAAAAGTCAGTCTTGAACGAAAAAAAGATATACTTAGGGTGACATACCGCGAACGCGCTCAGCTGTCCAGTTCCACCCTCACGCCAGATAGTATAAATCTGAGGCGCCTTACTGGCGACACTTAAAGCACCCGCACCAGCCTGCAGGTACGACATAGTCTGCGCATCAACAATAGTCTGATCGAAAAGCAGCGCGTAAACACTAGCCGCGACAACAGCGACAAAGGCAGCGGCAGCGGCCGATCGGCCGGCGAAAGTCAGGACCAGGACACCAACAGCGACATCCTGAATGGCGATGAGAGCCGACTCGCCGTATGTGGTGAAGGGGAACTGGTTACGCACACCGTAGGAGAGGGTGATGAGTAGACTGGCGGTTTCTAGGGCGTACGAGACAAAGGAGACACCGGCGGAGGAGCGCGAGTTAATAAGCTTCAGGATCTGGGGAAGCTTGACCACAGCGCTGGCACCGACGATTGCCAGACCGAGTGCCTTGGAAATGGCGAGGGATGTGCAGGCCGGGTTGTTGAAGAGATCGAGATCGAGGAGAAGTGTGCGGTGGCACTCTGCGCCGATCAGCGAGATGATAGCATCGTGGATGGGTTCAGGGACCAGTGCGATAATCGGGCGGAGGTGTTCCAGGAGAGGTTCCAATTTGGTCTGGAGGCTAGAGGCATCCATGATGTGGAATTTTGGAAGCTAGAGGATAAGTGTAAAAGGTTGAAAGTCTTTCATTCAATGTTGACATTCTACGGATACAAAATGACATAATCAAAGTACAAAAGCCGTCAACAAAGGACTTATGCACAACGCATGTATATGAGGAATAGATCACAAGTCAAAATAATTGAATTCAATATTTGCACATAATAGTAGATCCTCATGACGAACCTTGGAATCTCTCATTCAAGAGTTATACATGAAACTTGAGATTTCAGCTGCGGGGACACCCTGGTCTTATATGTAGGGTCTGTGACCTTGAAAGATCATAACATTCTAGAGATCATCGTGTAGACTGTATATGACATTTTCAAACCACAGTAACCCGCATATGTTGATTGAACTTGAAACGGAAAAGTATTCCGTACGATCTATTGAAGACGAACAACTCAAATTGCGGGTTTGGTCCGTGCCGCCGCCGGGGAAAGTTCACATCGTTCCACTTTTCGCTCCTTCGTCTCTCAAGGATCCCAGACGCGCCATGATCCTATTACGGTCCGCCCTGAGGCCCGGGCCGCCTCAAGAGGCGCTATATTCGCGATGTTTGGTTCAATCGCGACCCTGTGCCCCTTCAACAGTTCGATTCCTATCGTCCTCACGGCGAACCGGCATCATAGCGAACCAATCCTCCTCGCCCCTCCACAAGACCTACTTCTCCCCTAATCGACTTTATGACAGCTCGAATACCACAAGCGGTCTCCTTTCGTCATTGGCTTCCTCCAATGCTAATTCCCAGTCCAATTCCTCCAACTCGCAGCCTCCGAATGCTCCGGCAACTCCGAATAGCTCGTCCGAGACAACCTCCGACTCAATTGCGCCCGAATCTGCTCCAAGTGAACTACCACATCGACGGAGGAAAAGATTGAAGGAGGAGTCGAATAATGAGCAACCGGAGCAGGCCATTCCACTTGATGCATCAACACAACTGTCGAACTTCTCATCCGCTCTCCCCACCACCTCCATTCGCCGCAAATTGGCTGCATACCTTGCTCTGACGAAACCTCGACTCTCCTTCCTGATCCTTCTTACCACTACATCTGCATACGGAATGTACCCCATCTCGTCGCTCCTTACCCTCGACCCGGCCATGACCCCACTCCCGACTCTCTCCACCTCAACCTTGACCTTCATTTACTTGACCGCGGGTACATTCCTCTCATGCTGCAGTGCCAACACACTCAACATGATGTTTGAACCAAAGTATGATGCATTGATGTCGCGGACACGGAATCGCCCTCTCGTCCGCGGGCTGGTCTCGCCCCGTGGTGCTCTTCTATTTGCTATCGGAACTGCGGTCACCGGCCTGGGGCTCTTGTACATTGGAACCAACCCCACAACAACAGCCTTGTCCGCAGCAAATATCGCCTTGTATGCCTTCGTTTACACGCCGTTGAAACGAATCCATGTGATCAACACCTGGGTCGGCGCCGTGGTCGGTGGTATCCCGCCTCTAATGGGCTGGATTGCGGCGGCAGGTCAGACAGCTACCACGGGCCATGACACCTGGCGCGACATGCTGTTTAGCGAAAACAGCATCGGTGGTTGGTTGCTCGGTGGTACCCTATTTGCCTGGCAGTTCCCTCACTTCAATGCCCTTTCGCATTTGATTCGGGACGAATACAAGGGTGCTGGATACAGAATGCTTGCTTGGGTGAACCCGGCCATGAATACCCGTGTTGCATTGCGGTATTCTGTGCTAATGTTCCCAATCTCCATTGGTCTCTGGTATATCGGTGTTGTTGGCCATGGCTTCCTAGTTGGAAGCACCGTTGCCAATGGCTGGCTGGTTCACAAAGCCTATTACTTCTGGAAATACCAAGGTGCCCAGGGCACCGCTCGGGGTCTCTTCTGGGCTAGTATCTGGCAGTTGCCCATTCTACTCGTTGGTGGACTAGTCACCAAGAAGGGCCTGTGGGATGGTGTCTGGCGCAATATCTTCGGCGAGCCCGAGGAGGAGGATGAGGAATATCTGTATTATGAAGATGACGACGAAGCTCTCGAAACTGACTCTCAGTCACGAGCCTCCGTTTCAACGGCAAAACAGGCCAGCGTTTTGTCTACTGTATAAGACTTCACCAGTGTTGGGGTATACATTGCTGGGAAAGAGGTATAGACATACCTTCCACGGGCCCTTTTTGTTTTTCTGGATTGTCTGATTCAACTTTATACAGCGGTTGGGAGTGGCGTTCTCTGTTTCCATTTTCCATTTCCATTTTCTTGTATAACATGTCCATATGGAGCAATCAAATTATCTCCTCAATCTATCAAGATTTCAAACTCAAATCTAGACACTGCCGTGTCAAATAGTAGTTGTTTTAAAAGCTTAGGAAAACATCGAATGATCAGCAATAATGAAAGCGAAAAGACGCTTCCAATTGGCAGAGAAACTGCTCCAAAGTTCTAACTATGGTAGAAACGATAATTGAAGAGGATTAAGCGTACATATTCTACCTGGGTATTTTTGATTTCCACAAATGTGTTGATAAGAGAGTGACCGGGTATCTAGATATATGGTACACGTATAGTACAAAGCTGCCAGCATACGACAAATGCAACCAAATGCACACAATAATACATAATATCAACAGCAACTACTTCCGTAACTGCAAGTGATATGTCTCCAACGCCTGAGCCGTCATAGGACTAGGCGCACGAACCATAGCATCATCACCACCCTTACCCGTCTTCGGGAACGCAATAACATCCCGCACAGACTCCTTACCCAGCATGACAGCGACAAGGCGATCGAATCCCAGCGCCAGACCCGCATGGGGTGGACAGCCCGCACGAAGAGCATCAAGGAGATGCGAGAAGTCTCCGAGTCGCTCAGCGGGCATCTGCAGGATATCACGGAAGATGAATTCCTGCACGGCGGCGTCGTGGATACGGCGACTGCCACCGCCTAGCTCGACGCCGTTGACGACAAGATCGTAGTGGTCTGCGATCGCCTTTGCTGGGTCTGTTAGGAGGAGATCGACGTCGGCGGCGGTCTTGGGTGCGGTGAAGGGATGGTGTGTGGCTGACAGGCCGGATGCGCCACCTTGGCCGGGCTCGGTGTCGGAAGAGGGCGAGAAGAGGGGGAAGTCGACTACCCACATGAAGTCAAAGCCGGTGGGAGCGGGCTTGAAGCCTGTTGAGACGGCGGAGGCATGTATGGCGCGGCGGAGGTCACCGATTGGTGTGGAGCCACCGGAGAAGGGGGCGCGAGGACGGGCTTGGAGGATGATTAGGTCGCCGTGATCGGGATCTAGCAGTTCTTCGACTAGCTCGGCGGCTTGGAAGCCGAACGGTTGTAAGCCGCAGAGTGGCTGTTTGCCGTTGTAGACGAAGACACCTGGGCCACCGTCTGGGTTGTTGTTGAATGGAGCACCAGCTGGGGAATCGAGGAACTGGCTGATGAAGCGATGTGTTTCGGCGGGATCGTTTTCGTTGCCCTCAAGCTTGAAGGCCTCGACGATGGGATCATTCAAGTCTGAGATCTTGCCAACTAGGTCGACGGGTAGTAGATGGTCCAGCTTAATGATTTCCATGCCATATCTGGTGTCAGGCTTATCAGATCCATAGCGAGCCATGGCTTCTTGGTATGGAACCCTGCGGAAAGGACCCTTTGGGGCAGGGTCTTTCATCAGAGTGGACCAGAGGCGACGGATAACACCTTCAACTGTGCGCATAACATCCTCGCCCTTGGCGAAAGACATCTCAAGATCAAGCTATACAAAGTCAGTAGTTTCTAGTAATGGTTGATTGTCAACATACCTGCGTGAATTCAGGCTGACGATCTGCCCGAAGATCCTCATCCCGGAAACAACGCGCAAACTGGAAGTATCGTGGCAACCCACTAGCCATCAGAATCTGTTTATACTGCTGGGGACTTTGCGGCAAGGCATAGGCCAGTCCGGGTCGGCGCGTGGGCACCAAGAACTCACGCGCTCCCTCCGGCGTCGACTTAAACAACAATGGAGTCTCAATCTCCGTAAAGGGCGGTTGACAGCTCTCCTCCAGCTCCTGCTTACAGATATTGTGCACCTGAGCCCGGAATCTCAACGCCTCACGTAGCTTCGCATCCGAACGGAGCTGTAGATACCGGTGCTCGGGCGAGAACACTGTCTCCGGCGTCATGATAATCTCCTTGGGGAAATCATTGAGAAGATGAATCTCTTCCAGTGCAAGCTCCCATGTATCCTCAGCAGGTTTATCTCCTTCGGTGGGCTTTGCCTTCTTCTTCTGCACAGTTCCGCGCACTGCGACGGGGCTGTGGGCATTGAGCGATTTAAGCTGCTCAAAGGCCTCGTTCTTGGCAAATGCAACAATCTGCAAGCTGTGTTTCATCGTTGGGTCCGTCAAACGGACGAACGAGAGCTTCTTCGAGAGATCTGCTCTATGGCCTAGGTATCCATGCAGGACGACTTCGGTGTTGGGCTCGGCCTGCGAGAGGAAGGACTCGAAGTCATGGGTGGCTGGGGGGAAATCCACTACAAAACAGAACAGTATATAAGCAATTGATATTCATCAAATGGAAATATGAATCTATAACCAACCCGCTTTCTTATAAGCCTCCAGGAAGCTAGGCAGCTCTCGGAATTGCTCTCGGAGACAAGCCGGGCGATGGAACCGCCGCGAGGCAACAGATGGCACCCATGACTTTGAGGAGACACGAAGCAAAGGGGAAATATATAAGCTTGAGCGAAGCTGCATTGACAGCTGGACAACCCTCATGATGTATGGAACAAACAAGTAAAACGATTTGTCTGATGATTGGAAACGGCAGAAAAAGAACGTGGATGCCGCCCGCCCAAAATAGCCTAGCGTGGGTGAATATAACTGCGGGTCCAACATCGCACTTTTTTTTCTTCTTTCTTCATCCTTCCAAGTTTAATACTCGTGAGTCTACCTGCTTTTCCGTTTGGATTGAATTTTTGAAACTGACTTCATTTCAAGAATGATGAAAGCCTAGTGTGTTCTATATGATATATCTCAACTCCCTGAGGCTTGTGGCTCTCCCTCTTTTGAGGGCTTAAGGGCTGCAAGACTCGGGAGAAGGGAGTTTGAAATCTGCGTTCGGCACACCACCTTGTTAAAACAACGGACGCGATGAAGGCATCTCTGATCCTTTTCAACTTGAAGGTGTTTATCTACTGGCAAGATGCCGTAGATCGGATATAATGCAGTGCATGGAAGAGAGATTGGGTCATGGAAAGGTTGTTTCTAGTGTTGAAGGTTCCTCTTGCTTTGCAGGTCGGGAACTGAACATCCGTGGACTCCTTTATGACAATTTACTCGGTCTCTGGACTTCTGGCACATGCGACCAAATAGATAATAATAATAACATAATATATTCACATCTCAAATCCATTCTAGCCATAATATGTTTAACCTTTGTATCAAAACTCCACAGAAAGCTTTTGCCTTAACCGAAAATCATCTTCTCCAACACATCTTTCTCGCCGCTGTTCTCCACGAGACTCTTGAACACTCCGTTCTCAATGTCCATCAGATCTCGAGGCGAAGCAAACTCAACTGCTTTACCCGCATCCAGTACGAGAATACGATCAAAGTCTGCAATTGTGCTTAGACGATGCGCAATGACGAGCAGAGTAGTCGCATTACGGCCAAACTCAGCTCGAATAGATTGCTGGATCTGTGCGTCCGTCTCCATGTCCACAGCCGAGGTTGCCTCGTCCAGAACCATGATCTTAGGACGGGCCACAATGGCACGGGCAAGACAAAGGAGCTGTCGCTGACCCTGTGAGAGGTTGAGACCGCCCTCCGAGATAGTCGCTGATAACGACGAGAAGATGTTCGAATTGCTTGCTTGGACCGTGGCGGTATCGGGTGTAGTTGCCCCAGTGCTGCCTGACTGATGCGGTGCAGTTCGGGAGGTGAGAGTAGCTTCGTCGTCGGATGAGGAGACGAGATGCACGCGAGCCAAGGCGTCGTTCAGTTCGGTATCGCTATACTCGTCGAATGGGTCCAAGTTGCTTCGCACGGTGCCTGAGAAAAGGACCGGGTCTTGAGGAATGATAGCAAGCCGACTGCGGAGATCGTGAAGCTTGATCTTCGCCACGTCCAGACCATCGATGAAAATATTACCCTGGCGCGCTTCGAGGAAGCGGAAGAGTGCCAATGTGAGAGATGATTTACCGGCACCTGTACGGCCAACCACACCTACTCGCTGGTTTTTCTCGACAGTGAAACTGAGCCCGTTGAGTACAGGTGGGAGATCTGGAGCATATCCCACAACCAGGTCATTGACCTCCAAGCGACCCTCAGTAGGCCAAGCAGCAGGTGCATCCACACCACCTTGGTTCTCAAGCTCGATGTTGGAATATTCAATGACTCGCTCGGTAGCGTTCATGTTAAGTTCGATGTTAGAGTATTGTCGTAGCGCAAGTGTGATTGCTTGGTTACATTGCAAGGCAAAACTCAACGCAAATCCTGCCATCGATGCCGAAATGCCAGGAAGAGAGATAACCAGTGCTGCAGTGAGGGTCGAGAAGATTGCACCAACAATATTCATGCGAATTCCCAGCCAGCGATTGAACAGCCATACCGCCCACCAGGACTGAGCATGGGCATTGATCTTGCCGTACATGATATCGATAAAAGCACCAGCCTTGCTGAATGCTCGAATGGTCACTAATCCAGCCAAGCTAGATCCAAACTGCTCCAAGACAGGACTCTTAGCTGTACTTTCCAGACGCTTGGCTTCACGGGCGCCGGCAAGGTAAGTCATAGACAGCTTCAGGGAAATGATAAGAAGAGCAGACGCAAGTACAAGTACAAGCGGGGAGACAAGGATGCCAGCAACCATGATTCCACAAACATCTAATGTCTCACCCAGCAAGAAGCCCATCTCGTACCCCAACCGTGAGTCAATCACGTGGAAATCTCCCGTAAACCGGTTGAGAATTCGACCCAATGGGACGGTATCTAGCCAGCGGAGCGGAGCACGTAAGACGGCGAATAACAGGGAATCGAAAAGGTTTCTTGACGCGCGGATGCTTGCAGACAGAATGCAATAAAATCGAATAGTTCCGATGATGCATGTCACAACGGAGATTCCGATGTATACTCCGAGGTACATGGTGAGATGGTTATCATCCTGAGTCGCAGTAACCATATTCGTTTGCATCATAGAGTATTGTAGCAATGCTTGAGTCGATTCGGGATTGACGTGTGCGTGCGCGTTGGAGGATCTGGTGGTCCAAACACTGATCCACCAAGACTAGTATGTGTTAGCCAAAGGAACGGCACTGGAGATATTTGAATTTAACTTACCCGTCCGACCGTCAGAATGGCATAGGAAAGGTAAACTGAGATTATAACAGCCCAGGTGAAAGCACGACCACCCATCCCAAAGTAAGTCTTATAAATAGTGAGTCGAACGGATCCTTTTTCTTTTCCCTCTTCTTCAACAAACTTCTTTGGAGTATCCTTGGCCGGTGCAGCAGTATCCCCATTAGCGGCATTGCTTTGGCGTCTCCGCGAAGTGCTCGAAATAACTTTCTGAAGCGTTCCTCCGTCCACATCATTGGCGTCCTTTTGATCATCGACAGGCTTCTGATCCGATTCCTCTGCGGCCTGCTCTTCACGAAGAATGTCCTCTAGGAGATTAGATTCTCGGAGATCATCAATCGTGCCCGCGTACTTCACACGGCCATTTTCCAAGAGCACAGAGTAATCTGTCAGAGGCAAACAAAGAGCGACATGGTGGGTGACCAGAACACGGGTGCGCCCTTGACCAAGCTCACCCGTAAGAGCGTGTTCGTAAACATGACGTCCAGTGTGTGCATCCAAGGCACTGAAGATATCGTCCATGATAAGAATTCCTGCTCGGGAATACAATGCACGAGCAAATGACACACGCCAGCGTTGACCACCGCTCAGATTGACGCCATTCGCACCAATGTCTGTCAGTTCGCCATCGGGGAGCATTTCCAAGTCCTTTTCCAGCGCACACGCAAAGAGGACTTTCTGGTAGCGGGATTCATTGTATGGCAATCCAAAGAGGATATTCGCTTTGATGGTTGCATTCTCAATCCATGGGATCTGAGCAACGTATGCAATTGCGTCGTCGATATTCCAGTTCGCAGTTGTGGCCAGGTGATCGAACCGAGTCTCGAGTGTAGGTGGAACAGGTATTTTCACAGTACCTCCCAGGACGTCACATTCACCGAGGATAGAAGCAAGAAGGAGACTCTTTCCAGATCCAGTTCGACCGGAAATCACACTCAAACCCTTCTTCGGCAGGTTGAAGTTCAGATCGCGCAGAAGGAAGCGCTCTTCCTCATCTTCTTCCTCTCCGGGGTGGTGTTCTGCAGGCCATGCTACTGAAGCATTTTCAAAGGAGATGCTCTCACCAGGGACAGTATTGACGACCTTCTCCGAGGCAGCCATGTACTCGTCAATCCGGTCAGCACTGACCACGGCTTCCAGCAGGTTGGTAATGATTTCGGGTAGAATGGCGAGTGCCATCTCCAGAGAACCGAAGACTGCCATGGCTGTGAAAGCAACCGAGGCGGATAGCCCGCCATTGATAATGGCATAAACCGTCAAGGATACTGACGAAAAAGCGATAGGGCCCAGAATCCAAATAGCCATGAGGAAAACATCATAGAAGAAGGAAGTCCAGAGTGCCCCTAGCTCGTTCTCTCGAACCAATGCGATCTTCTTCTGCCACTGACCCTCTAGAGCGGAGAATTTCACCTGACGAATTCCCTGAAGAACTTCCGTCACAATGGCCATTTTCTGATCCCGGTGTTTCATCAGTTTGTCTTGCGCACTGGTGTATCGCTTGGTCACGCCAATATTCATCGGCGCAATCAAGATGCAAACTGAGAGACCAGCTAACGCACTTTGCCATCCTAGGACCTTGACTAGGAAGCTGCACCCGATGATAATCTTCAAGATAGCACTTGGAATCAGGTAGAGGAATGAGGTCACGTCGGAAATGCGACGAGCATCCACAGCGGCAAGATTGACGATGCTTTGGCGACTCTTCTTCATGCCCTCTTCATCATCATCGTCTTCCTCTTTCTGCTCTTCGGCAGGTAAGGCTTTAGAAGGTTGAGAGTCGTCCTTTTCCGCAGACTTTTTTGTGTGTTTGGCATCCTTTCGACGCATCGATTTCGCGAACACAAGAGCTGTAAGTTCTGCGTAGATAGGAATCGCAAGCTTAGACCAAACACACCAGAAGAGCCATGCCTCAAGGAAGGAAGATACGAGCATGAAGCCTCCCAATGCCAGAACCCATATCCATGATCGTTCAGGGGTCCAACCCACACTCCCCCGACCCTCAAGGGAGCCGAGAACATTGTACAATGCGATTTGGGGGCCAAATGCCAAGAACGCCAACATCACTGTCAAGCAAAGCTGGAGGAGGAGAGTGGGCCAGTGCGTCAAGAGCAGCCCCTTCCAAAGCTTTCCATTTCCTTTGGCTCGTTCAAATTTGCCGCGAAGACGATCTGCACGCTTGTCGGCTCGGAGCTTCGGGAGGTCGGTCAAATTCAGATTCTTATTGTTGACTGTGAAGCTTAGCAGGTCACTAGCCCACACGAAGGTATAGCGACCCAAAGTTGAAACAGTCAGCTCTTTATCCACGACTTGACCCTCGAAATAGATATTGGGGCGTCGTGGTAGAAGGATACAAAATAGTGCGCGAAGGAGAGCGCTGCCGATGTTGGCACCGACCAGGGCGACCCAAGTTCGATTTTGGAGAAGGCCATCTTGAGAAATGTATGCCTGTCTGAGTTCAAAGCCTGCTGCTGCGATAGATATGAGACTTCCCGCAAAGGCGTATTGACCCAGTCGGAATCGAGCGGTTGGGCGCGGCTCAGTGAAGAAAGCAATTCCTTGTAGTGAAAGCAAGACCTGTGGAGACAGCGTGTTAATTTAGGAGGTTCGTTCTCATTCGAATGTTTTGCTCAAGCGCGGGTATTAAGTTTGATTGGTCCATGTTTGTACGTACCCAGATTGCGAATTGTAGCCAGTTCACCAGCGGCTCATTCAGATTGCTGTTTGTAGTTGAGAGAATCGACAGAGCCAGAGAAACCGACAATCCACTGATTGAGAATGATGCGATTGCTGCACGTTGCCATTTATCTGAAAAGGCTCGGAGGGATTCCTCGGTAGCCTCACCGTCCTCGTCGCGATAAGCGGTGATTGCTAGACTGGCTTCATCATATTGGGGTCGAAGAATGCGATCGGCGATACTCTTGATGAATTTGATACTATCAAGACCGACTAATCCCAGGGCGACGGAGCCCGTCACAATGGAGGTGTTAAGGGACATGCCTCATTACCGTTGAGCAAAGTAGAAGGAAAGAAGGAAACGAATCAAAAATCCCATGGGGATGCTGTGCTTATCTTAACTACCAAATAGTCATAGCGTATTCGCCATTCGCTGCTAAGGTCGCATCCACGCAATCGAGCGGGGATTAGCCGATGCTTATGCTCTTAATGAGCAATGGTGAGTCAATCACCATGTTTGGTCCCGGCACGGATCCCTCGTGCTTGATCGGTTTCTTATTCAATTTCAAAGTCTACCAATCATGTCGATGGTCAAGCCATGGGTCCGAGGGAGGTTTGGTACATTAAAAAACGGTGTAGGGAGTAAGCAGAAGTATCATTGGTTGATCCAATGACTCATGGGTCTGGCTTGCATGCATGATCGGAACTCCGTAGGAGCGGGACCAGGCTAAAGCGGGCTCCAGTTCAGGCTAAGCCGAGGGGGTGGGGGATCCACTTCTGGTATGGTCTGGACTGGAGATAGATAACACCCGGAAATTACACTCGCTTTCAGCTCTACTTGATTTTACTAGATGTCCCATGGACATAAAGGCCTTCGTGATCATCTAACCCACTAATTCAGGGACATATCACGCTGTAGACTAGAAAGCCTCGATCTGGACATGATCGGTAAACGTCATTCGAGATCTCCATTTCTCTTATATTGCAATTTCTCGTTATTCAGTTATCAGTTATCTATTTGCAGATCTCCCTGACTCGGGCCGCTGACTCGGGGTTGACCTAGGCTGTCAGGATGAGTCTACTGGGGTGGGGCCCGGGTATCACAGAATTTATGCAAGCATACACGTAGCTTGAAACATGGGTTTCTATTTATGAATGTACTAAATGCAGAAATTTCAATGGATGGGATTGTTTTTATTATTACAATGTCTTGGACGTGATATGCTACGCATACACGAAAGAAGGCAAAAAGGTCAGAATGCAGTGGTGTCAAGAGTAGAGAAAGGGTCTAACACAGTGGAATGGGATATGCGTGTGTCAGCATTAGAAAAGCTCATCTGACCGCGGAGCAAATACTCCAACACAAAATTAAATGCAGAAAATTGGCCCTTTGGATGTCTATGGAAGGCGGTTGCCCCAGAGTTAAACTGAGTCTTCAAATGGAAGTTGTTCAAAAATCTTGAAACTTTAGCAATCAAGAGTAATCACAGCGAATGAAACTTCCCATAGCACTCCATTCCTATACAATTGATTTGGAAAGCTGTGATTTTAGCTGCGTTGGCGGACGACTGTTCCCCATTGCTTATTGTACCTGATAGACACACACACGCGTTATTTTCGGTCCGTAGTGAAAGGACGCTAGTCTATGAGGCTTAAGTGAAAATACTAGCCGCCTATAAAAGATCATGTAACGCTAGTGAGTTATTGTAATTACTGTATTATACTATAGTTGGGTTTTGTTTCATCTCTACTTCCGAAAATTCTCAAAGTCCCCTATACGACATGCGTCCCACATCACATAGCCAGCTTTCCGTTCATCGGTGAAGTTATTGCTCATAACAAAATCCGAGCCCCACTGGGCATGATCATCGGATAAATGCGCCTGATTCCATATTTCTGCTGGGCCGGACTTGCCTGAATCTGGTAGGAAGAGGTCAAAAGTCGAAAGATCAGGGTCCTGCGTCAAGAGCTGTAGCTGTTCCATATAGGCTGCCCCAAATTGGGGGTTTCGAGAAGAATACCGTTCGTGTATATAGGAGTCGATTAGATTCCCAATAGCGACATTGAGCAAGAAGGTCCTTCCCGGGTTCGTCTCGGCCACTAGTAGTCAGGATCGGGCTTCGCGTGTCGGTGCTCTAGCAATCTTGTAAATGGATTTATACCGCGAGAGACCTGCAAAGTTTTAAATTTCAGTAGCTGTCTACATACCCATTTGGGGGATTGACCACTGACCAAAAACCTTTTTACTGAATTTTCATAGTCTGGCACTTCTGAACATGATATCTCCCAGGTACCCAATTCGATGCAATTTTGGTCATCAAAAGCTTTGGTTGAAGTGATCAATCAGCTCCATCCCTCTGTCTGTCAATTGGTAGTAGAAATGGACATGATTACCGTTAGATACTTGTCTCAATAAATACTCATACACCAAGGCGAGCTGCTCGTTGGACCAAGGGTCAAATCCAATATATAACGGCCTTGACCATTGACATGGCCAATTCACATTATACGAACCGTCGTCCAGAGGCAACAGAAAAATTCGAAGAAATAGAATGCACGTTGCACACGGTATACCTCAGTAGGTGACGGTGCGGGTGGAGAGTGATCTAGCACTCCTCTCACAGTCAGGAATTCAAGGGCTGTAGATATGAAATTGGTTGTAAACTTGTCAATAGCGCGATGTAGCTGGTGGAAGTATTCACGATCAACAGTGATCAGAAATTCCCATGCCTGTTTGGGAGCGGTTCTTTGACATTCATCAAGGACTGACCACGAGTCGTCTTCGTCATAAACCTTACTATCTTTTCTGAGGGTCCGCATTTTCCATATAGTCACTGCGACCGGCCAAAGTCGAGGATCAATCTCATTTCCCAGGACATGGCCAACAATGCTAGGGGATTCACGCAGTGCCTCGGCTAGCAGACGGTGACTAGACACTGCCGCGAAAATGTCCTCGATATCAGATAATTCTTGCAAAATGAAAATGCGCAACTCAATAGGGAGAGCAAGTATTCTGGCCATGACTGCCGAGAGTGTCGGAGCCGAGCCTCTGATTGTTGCGGATGTCTCTGAGCGATCACGATACTTAATGATCAGATGCGCTCAAGGTGTTACTGGATGTATTTAGACATAAAGGTGGGTCGTGTACAAGATCCTGTAATACTCGGTACTGCACGTAACGCTGTCGTTCTGAAAAGAAAATCCGGATTGCAGCTTATCCAGATAAGGATCGATACGGCAGATGTGGACAGAGAACAATCCGTGTTTTTATACCTAATACTAAATATAGGAAGGAATCTGTTTTCGAGTTCAACTATACCATTTACCTGCTAGTCTCCGAGTCCTGACTACATACCCAGTCTCCTACTATATCTCTCACTATATCTGCTACCATATCCCCTTCATTCATTCTGACTTACCATTTATCATAGATAGGAAAAAAGACAGAATAACAGAAAGACCCAGCAGGCTAAATTTGGGAAGGATGCAGAGGGAGAAGCCGACCCGGTGGTTTTTGGGATTTTCGTAGTTGCCATATTGAATGTAATCTTGAACTCAATTTTTATACTTGTTTCTGTTTGAATTCTTTCCTAGTTTAAAACAGGTCTCCATCCTCGCCTGGGCACAAATCCTTCCACTTTCTCGTCATCAAGTACATCTTTTGCCAAACGACCCGTCACGACACTTCGCTCAACATCTGGACCTCGCACACAAAATGAGTCAAACCCGCGTACGCTATCGTGGCTGACTATTGGAGTCCAAAGTCTTTTCTTTGATGTCGGTGCCCCAGTCTCGTTGAATGGACGTGGTTCGAACCCAGAGTTTTGTCGGTCCAGGCTGAGATACCAGCGACGCTGATGAATCGAGCCGATTGTATTTGTGGACCCGGGATAGGCATTGTTTATTCGAATTTGGAATTCGACTTCATTATTATTCGTTGCTGCATTTGCATTTGCATTTGCATTTTCGGGTTGTTTCGAAGTTGGTTCATGTGCTCGAATAGATGGATATTCGATATCCGAATCTGATGTAGATGGTGCCCTTGGTGTGGTCCGTATATAATTGACAGGCCTTCTGCGACGTTTGGGACCATTCCGGATTGGTCTTGCATAATCTGTGCTTTTATCCATACGCAGTATGACAGTGTAGTCCTGTGGCAAACGTGTCCCGTGAAGTCGAAGCCGTATTTTGCGCTGATTCTCTAGTTAGCGATTTTACCACATGAAAAGACTTCAAACATACATTTCGAAATGCCTCTTGAAGTTTGACACTATCAGAAACCAAGTCTCTTGGTGACTTTGCATCATCGGAATCTTCCAAAGCCGAATCATCAGTTTGCGGCAGAGACGCATCTGCATCATACGGCAAGACTTCATATTCTCCCGTATCCCAAATAATCATACTACCCGTCTTTGCTGACGCGGTCTCGATGAGATGGTTCTGATGTGGACATTAGTCAAATAAAAAGAATATCTAAAGTGGATAACGCACCCATAAACAATGGATTCGAGTCTCCGTTGCATTCCGGTTTATTCGCTGACTATTAGGGTCACCTGGTAACCCATACATGATTGACCAGCTCACAGAGCTTGTTTTCGAAAACTGTAGGCGCAGGTCATAGTGAGGACCAGCAACGGGGTGGTCATGCTGGTGAATCACGAAGTGACGTCCTTCGGGATGATCATTGCGTTGGTATAAATCGACCCATTTCTTGATCGGAAGACGGGGTATCGATCGAGATACCGAGACCGGGCGAGTATGTTGACGCAGTTTCGTAGAGAATATTTCTAGATGGTCTGTAACCTTGACTTCACCTGCCTCTATGGCGGCAAGGCTGTGTTCATTGTTGGATGGAGCTGAAGACTTATGAGGAGGTTCAACGATATCTGAGGGTGGTATTTTCCGCTTCCTTTGTGGAGGAGAGACTGGAGCTTTGAGACTGGATAGGAGATTTGCTGATTGTGCATTTTGAGGCTGCGCTGGCATATCAATGTTCACGTCTACTCCGGGGACGTCGGAACTAGCCACGCGTTTCATATTCAAGACCTGCAAGCGAGTCTAACGAACTTCAGCCCGGCATGGAGTTGTACATACGTGCTTCAACCCGTTTAATCAAAGAACACCAGATTAAGGAAAAAAAACAGCCATCATGCATGTAGAAGAAAGTGATCGTCGACTGTTATTTGTCCCGACTCCCGAGAGTTGATTGCATAGATTAGTCATCGAAAGCTTGACACGACTTTCTTCATGGAAATCTACAAATTTTGGATTTAGAGCGCCGTTTAAATTTCATCTGGCTTCATGGCTCTATTTTATTAACTCCTGCTGCATGACTGGAGCCCTGAATAGACGCAAGCTCGGAAGAAAAACGGCTACTAGGTCGCAACCCACTCAACTACTGTAGCAGTTGGGGTTTGATACATTGGTTGAATACGGATTTTCTGGTGTCGAAACAAATAAAACAACCTTGCTCACAAGCTAACGATAATGGGTATTAATAAAAATAAAATTTCGCGGACGGCAGCCATCCGCCTTGTTCATCTTTCATGCCTCCTCCGGCTCCTAAAAAATGTCGAGGCTCTCCTGCACACTTTGAGGATTGTGGAATACGTCATCCGGATCGACCTTGGCCTTGATGCTCTGAAGTTTTTCGAGGTTGGGCCCCCAGTAAGCCTTTTGTGGATCTTTCATGTAAGGGTCGACATATCCAGGGTATGCCCCGTATGCTCCAGCCCCAGGACGAGAAGAAGTGATAACGTCATTCAGACCATCGAGGAATTTTCTGGTAGTGGAACTGACAGGACCGATAAGGCTGACTGCATAAGATTGCATCCACATGAATGCTTCTCGGTGGGCATATGCAGTGGCATTGACAGCGTGGTCATTCACGGCACCACCCTCCAGGTCAAAGATGACAAACCAGGCGACAGTGTCCTTTTTTGCGGTGGCAATATATTTGAACATCATATCGACCCCTTCGTCGGTGATGCTATGTTCCGGCATGAAGGGCATCGATTTGGCATAGAACGGGGCCGGGATGCCTCCCATGGCCGTCAGTATGAGGTCCTCAGCCTTGCTAGTAAGCATGCCAAGCCAGTCCGTCAAGTGCACGGTGGTGCCATGATCCTTGATTGGAAAATGGTGCTCCAATCCAAATGCGTTGAACTCCTCCTTGGACCCGAAGAATGTTCCAGACAGCAAGACGCCGCCTTCGAAAATGACAAGCTCGCTAGAGAATTTCCGAGAGAGGTTCTTGGTTGCAATTAGAGACTGCCAGTCTTTAAAAATCTGTGCCTTGTCAGCAATGTTGCCGACATTAACCTCGTAAGTATACTGAATGGCCTCCGAGGGTGCTTCATGGGTATGAAGCTTGAATTCCGTGACGATTCCGAAGCTGGCTGCCGCGCCTTTGATGGCAAAGAAAATATCCTGGTACTGGGTCTTGGATGCTCTCACGACGCTGGAATTTGCGAGAACCACCTCAGCCTCTTCGATATGGTCAAGAGCCATGCCCCATTCGCGAGACATCAAACCCAAGCCACCGATCGTGAAATGCCCACCCATGCCGACCTGAGGGCAGCTCCCATGAGCAACAGCTCTTCTACCTGCATGGTAAAGACGCGAGTGAAGATCACCCAAAAGTGTGCCGGAGCCGACAGTCGCAATTTGAGTTTCCTCGTCAACTGAGAAATGCTGGATGTTTTTCAGATGAACAACCACAGCGCCATCGTTTCCTCCCAGCCCTGCGACGTTCTATCATTACTTTTTCGTTCATTCCCACAATGCTTGCCAAGACATACCATAGTTCGCATAGCTATGACCTCCACTGCGAGCTTGAACCTTGAGGTCGTGATGTGCTGCACATTTGACGATCGCTGCGACTTGCTCCGTGGTCTCTGGATAAGTGATGGCAGTAGGGACCACAGGAAATTCCAAATTGTACAAAGGAATTTCCGAGTTAAACCGAAAGTCGCCTTGAAAGGCGAGAAGGTTGGAATTGTTCCCAACGGCGGAGAGCAAACAGTCATGAACGACAGAGCTATGGGCAGCACCCATACTGCAGAGAGATGCAGCAAGCTGTGGATGAGACGAATGGCCAGGTATACCGTCTCGGTTGGGGATGTGAGGAATGTATCCCAGAAAGGGATGAACAATTAGTATGGTACGGAAGTCGAGGAGGAAAGCATGAATTTAAAGATTTGGAGGAAAGAGTGAACTGTATATGTCCGATCCAAATCGGGCCACGCGCTTTTCTACATTTCAAAATGTTGTGCTTCACACCCCTAATGCTTCCAAGGTTTTGACCAATGTACATTTATTTCGCGCAAGTCGGCCAAGCAGACGACGCAACCACACTGAGCAGAGGGTGTCAATGTCAAGATACGCTGCAGGCTTTTCTAACGTCCTGGGAGGCCATCATCTATCTACCCATCAGCGACTAATGCGTCGTCTACGATCAACTTGTAGAACTACGGTACAGGAACGACTTCAAAGGAATATGAATCTTACAAAAGAGACCTCCCCCCGCTCAGCCCTCATAATATCCCCTGAAAATTAATTGTAGAATTAATACTTCAATATGAGGGTTCCCCATCTCCTTTTCGACGCGACCCTGCGTTCGTACGCCCCCGAGCGGCGAGATTGTTACCGTCGTGCCATATTTTTACCCGGATGCCCTCTTCTATCTCATCACCAACTCATGTTTCAACCCGAGCATAATTTTGCTATATTTCGCGATCAAGCCAGCACTACTGCGATGCGATGCGATGCCCAATTTTTAGGGTGGTCATGACTCATGACTCATGATGGCGCTACCTGGCGCTGGATCTTGAGAGCAAGCCACAATTCCCTCCAAGTGGAATTCAAGGCCGGCGATCTGAGCGAGACCTAGGGAAAATCACCTACAAATTGTCCGGATCATTTTTTCCTCATCAATTCCGACCTCGGGATGGCACTGCGGCCGTGAACCTCAATCTCTTTCAGTGAACAGTCCAATTTAAATAAGAAAATTGCTCCTTGCTCCAATGCGGTCACTCAGGTGATGGCAGCATAATGAAAACACCGACAGGTGAAATTCTCTCGAATCACCGAATCGCATAGTCAAGTGATTGAATTCGGTGTTTTCGTGTGAAGGTTTGCAGAAATCCACTTTCCTTGAAGATCTTGCCCATTCCGAAGACCTCAATGCTCATCGCATCCACTTCTTTCCCGTCTCCATAAGCAGTGGCGGAGAGAACTGGAGCGCTGACTCTCCGACTTTAGACCGGTAGCTACAGCATACAGACAAATTGATTTCTGGGGCATGTCGGACTTGGCTGAACACGTCAAATGCAACAAAACAAGCTAGCAACAATGGGGTTTACACCTGATTATTCACAATTTATCTGAGCCGTATTTTTGGCCCCGCTTACCTTACGGGGCCAGGCACTCTACGATACCTTTGGCCTCTCTTTTGTTTCTAAACCCTTCAAATTTCTCGGTGTTCCACTTCCATCTACCCCTCTCTCTAAGCAAGATAGCAAAATTGCGGCAATAATTGTGGCTTCTCACCCACTTGACTCATTCTCCTTCTTCCCACAGCTACCATGGGAATTGCGAGACGCAATCTGGCGCTTGTGTCTCCCGGGCCCTAAGATCGTCGAGATCGATCGTCCGGTCTGTGGTAGCCCCTTCGGTGTATACTGTGGGGACTGGACCCATCGTGCAGGTCATTTCCGACTCCCAGTGCTCCCAGCCGTCTGTCACGAGTCACGAGTCACGTAAGGTGACCCTTCAGGAATACTATGACCCAGAGGAAGACGTTGAGATCCCGCGCCCGTTCTATCTTCCATTTCATGAGCATGTCCGCTTCCGGCTAGGGGTTGATATTCTCCACTTTAATTGGGACGTCGGGGATTTAGGTAAGTGCGGAGCATTAGCTTCAGCTTCACAGACAACGCCCACGCGCTGCAGTCCGGTTTATTTGGGAAGCTGGAGCTGGATCCTGTGCGCTATGTTGACCCCTGGGACTCGGAAACCCTCCGCCGATACCATCAGCTTTGGCAGGCGCAGAACCATATCTTGCCTAGGCCATGGACCCGGCAGATTGCGGCGAGCGCAGAGTTCTTCGCGCTACTGGACTGTGATAAACAGCCCCTCCATGACCGAGTTACTCGGTGGAAGGAATATATTGACCGCTGCTGGGCCTGGAATGAATACTGGAAAGCTAAGGATGCTGAGCCTGAGTCTGTTCCACATTTGGATATGCTATTCTTACCACCATACCCTAGCTATGACTGGGAGGAAGACGATGAGACCTACTACTACTACTTCAAATCGAAATATACGCTCAATCGGGCGCATCCGTGGATTCAGGCAGTCTTGAAGAAAATGCCCTTTTTCCAGCCGATGATTCTCTTTCGTCATCGGACGGGGGTTGGTTGCCTCCAAAACGATTACTAGAAGCTGCTATTTTGATAGAGTTGGCAATCATAAAATGAAACATTATGGGCCGGTCGTACAGCAATATCACGCATGTGTCTCAGTTAGACTTGAATCATCACGTCAGAACATTATGGCTGGAGCCCGAAACTGAGCTGAGCCCTTATGACAGGCCTCACTACTTTTTTGTTGGGGCGTCGACCCGGGTGGATTTTCTCATTGGAGTCAAAGCAAGATCGATAGTTTGCAGATCGGCATTGATAGAGTGGATCTTTCAAAAAGCCCTGCTTGGCGTGACTTCAGCTGAGCTGATCGTGGAGCACAAGCAATCAAGATCCGGGCTGGTAAAAATGTGATTTATTTAAATCCCCGAGCAGACCCTTCTGGCTCTTGTTGTTCCCTTTATCTACACCTTCACTCTACATGCTACCATAATGAAGTTTTCAACCGCCATTGTGGTGCTCAGCACTCTGACCGCGCCGATTACTGCGCTACCACAGGCGAAAAGAGCACTGGCTGATGTGTGATTCTCTCTCCCAGGCATTTTTATTTCCATTTGACGAGAATCTAACAGTATTCGTACCAAACAGTATGGAATCCCTCAGCACTGCTACCCAGACCCTTGCGCTGGCATCGTCTCCACAAATGAAACCTACGTCTGTGGGGACTACCGCCTCGGGCCGGTGAAAACACCGAAGAAATTCCCTCTCCATAACGAGCTCAGGACCTACGAAAGATTCGGCACCCTATGCCCGGTGGACTTCCTGAAGAAATGGGCCGGATCTACCAACGCAACAGCTTCATATGAATATCCACCCCAGAATGGCTACGTTACCAACACTGCCGGTCGTGCGATCCTAGGCAACGCCACACTTGTTGTTGGACAAAAGCTCGACCGCTTTGGCTCGGAGTATGGCTCATTCCTGGCTCCTCTGGGCGCGCCATACATTGAGCGCTCACTTCCCCCTAGCAACCTGAACACATTTGATGGTGATTATCCTTACAATTACCATGTGTACCAGGTGACTAAGAGTTTTGTGGTTGGACTGGGACCTATCGCATCCTGGTTTGAGCAGCCTGGAATGGGGACACAGTTTTTATCGTATAAGAGTGTGAAAGAGTTGCTGGCGGGTGGATACCTGCGCAGATTGACGCCTGAGGAATATGACGACAAGTCCGAGTACTCTGATAATTATACTCGTGGACCTTCGGCGTCGACTTAGGTGTTGGCTATACCAAGGCCTTTTTAATGTACCTTTAAAAGGCCACTGACGACGTTCATTCGTGTCCCTTGAGCTGGAGAGATACCTTGCAATGCAGATGTAGGAGTTTGTTCTATTTAGAGTGTTGTGTCTGGTTCCAGAATTGAGCAACGTCATTTTACATATGAGAAATAAGCAGTTCAAAAATGTGTCACAGGTCATGAAGTCCAGAGAAAAGCTGATTCGTACCGCATTACTCAGTTCGAAATAACGGAAGGATAGATCTCTAGTAGTTACGCAGCCAAGCAGGTTTGGGAGGAAGAAATGCCAGGTGCACATTGATGAAAATACTAAGATGAGGATATGCCTCACAGTTCCCGAGTTGTAACCAACACGAAGATGCCCAAGTGAAAAAACCGTGGAGGCCGAACCCTAATCCAAAGACAATTTACCGTGGCGCGCGGCATGTTCAACAAATCTGTCGTATACTTCTCCCCTGAGCGGCCAGATAATTCAGTATGCTGCATGGTAAAAGTGTGCTCTATCATGCAAGGTACTTAGTACATGGTCGCTTCGTCCAGAAAATGTACTAGTAGACAAGAGATACATTTGAGCATCTCATGCAGCACAATACAACTCTCTGCGAATTAGGGCTTGATGTCGGGGAATACTACAGGCCTTGGTTGGCTCAATTTGTTCTTTTGTTGTATGGAAAAGAATCCATCTAATTGGCTGGGTAGGTTTGAGGGTTAAAGGTCATTTACCCTTGTTGATTGATAGATTGTTTGTTTGTGTTCATGACGGCGTTGAGTTAGTGAGAAATACTAGCCTGAATTAGACTTTCGCGGTGTCAAAATATCACGTGTTGATATTCTGCCATTCCCGTTCTGCCACCGCTTTCGGGTGTGTGCTTCGCTACAAGCAGTTAGGCTCACTACTAGTGTAAGTCCTCGATTTCTACTCAGTTAGTTGGTACCTTGAGCTTGTTATTTAAAGTGAATCATCACGTATATGTAAATGCTGACCTAGCATAACCGCATTCCCCAATGGCTTGATTGCCTTGCTAAAGTAACACTTCAACCTTGCAAATCGTGACCTAAAACGGTAGTAAAACCCCGTATATCCGAGCAAGCTGCAGCGCTACAGATCAGATCGGTCCCCTCGAATTTAGACTGAAACCTATGCCATGGTTTCAAGTCTGAAGCATAAAGTTTTGGCAGACAAATCCCGGATGCCAATGGATTATAGTTCGGGGAATTAAAGTAATGTACAATTGAATTACCCCTGTTTCCCACGCGCTTCTGTGTAACCAAGGGATCAAACAAGCCTCAGACCCTCAAATCGGTCATTTTAATTCGGTCCAGATATACCCGATGACCTCAACTTCAACCCAATTTCCAAGCTTCCAATCTCTTTTCCAGATCCACATCGGGGATGCGGGCTCTGCTCGGAGCACTCGGGGACCACAGTATGGTCCCCGGATCGGGCAATTCCCTTCGATATCGCCAAAATCGTCAGGCAAACAAGTCTGTCATTCTTTTACTCTCAATAATTAGCAAACAATACACTCTTTGTGGACTCTTCAATTGATCATTCTTCATTATCGACTTCTTTGTCATATTGACGGGATCCGTCATTCATGACATCAATCACTCAATTTCCCGACAAAGTCTATTTCCTGTCTTCGATTCTCCTCCAAAACACATCATGTTCACGCCCATTCACACTACGCTAGGGGCCCTGTTGCTCTACCAGGCTTCGTCAGGCCTGCTCTTCCACAATGGTGCCGTCCTTGGTATCTCGTCGCTTCTATCGGGCTCTATACTTCATCCGAGTAGGGACAATGTGCCTATCGTTGCGGGTTTGGTGTCTAGTGTGATCCCAGTGTGGCTTCTGGCTCCCTCTCTCCTCCCTAGTAACCCTGCTGCACCCAGTTCCTTGGCATCGGTAGCCTCCACATTCGCTGTGGGCGTTCTAATGGGTTGGGGCACGAAGGTAAGGTCATTTTCTTTGACGAGTTGATAATCACAAACGCTGACGGATGTGTTTTCCTGCTTGCAGAATGGTCGGGGATGCACTTCAGGACATATGCTCTGTGGGCTTTCTCGCCTTTCTCCTCGTTCATTGATTGCGACGGCGTTGTTCTTCACCTCAGCTCTGATCACGGCCAGCTTCGATGGAGGATCTAGTATCCCGCGGTGTGAAATGGGCCCTTGCTATTCTCCTATTTATCCATCGGTAGCAGATATGGTGTTCATGTCTGGTGCTGTAGTTTTATCAGGCATCACAAATTTCTTTGTTGTGCCGAAGATCCTTGCACGGTCCGAGGAATCACGAACGTTGTTTTCCTATCTCGCCGGGCTCGAATTTGGTCTCGGACTGTTTATTTCAGGGATGGCTGATTCAGCCAAGGTTCTGGGGTTCTTCAGCTTTCTGACGGATCTTTCTCGCTTTGATCCTTCTTTAGCATTGATCATTGTGTTTGGCATTGGTCCGTCGTTGGTGACCTACTTGTCTAACAGACCCGAACAGATATGCGACAAGGAAAAACCAGAGATGAAGCCCACACTTGCTGAAAAATGGAGACTTCCCACAGCCACAGTGGCTGATATTGACTGGCGGTTTGTCGCAGGTTCTGTGGCATTTGGGGTCGCCTGGGGTCTAAATGGAGTTTGTCCTGGGCCGGCCATTTTGCGCGCTGTTATCCAGCCCACTTGGGGACTGATCACAATGAGCGGGTACATCACTGGAAACATGTTCTAGTGACCTTTGGAGGGAAGGTATGAATGATGATGTTGTAAAGTAATTGTTCCAAGCCTAGGGTGTATATAATAATAATGATAACATGCGTAATGCCGAAATAAAAATAATAATTCGCTTTAATCATGAGCTGTACACAGAGAATCAGCGTGATTCATGCAAGGCGAGAAATGACCTAGAACTTGGTGTATCGGGGTATCATGCGCGAAGAAAAAATTGGAGCCCAAAAGCAGTAAGGGGAGGAGAAGGCTTACAGCTCAGTCTTTTTGTTTAGACGAATAGCTTCCTCTTCAAGGTCCTCGTCCCTGCGTGCTTTCACGGTTTCTGATTGAACAAGAAAACCTTCTAATTCCATCCACTCTGCAGTAAAAGCGGTGATAAGCACGGTCCAGTCTTCAACCGTGTCCATATCCAGATGCTCTCCATCATCATCATTGGTGTGCCAGACGGAAGAAAATCCCTTAAAAGGTGCAAAATCGATAACATGCAGGATATCCACGCCTCGTGCTAGGAAAGGAATATGGTCATCCTGAATACCACCCTGAGAAACGACCTGATGGGAATCCTTGGACGTATCAACGAACCACGGATCGGTTGATGACGACTTAAATTGACCCAATTTCCTTAGACGCTGTTCCAGGTTACCCATATTCTGGTAAGCCCAGTGCGTAGTCTGGTAGAAGGACATAATATTAGGGCTCTTGGAGCCAAGCAAATCCAAAAGAACGAAGAGCGAGATAGACGATAATTTTGTCTTGAATGTAGACATGGCCGGGTTCATATGTTGATCCCATGTCTCTGCCAAAGAGCGTGCACCGTATAACGAGTCTGTGCTAGTCCAGTGCTCGAAAGCTTCTTCGCCGTCAAGGAAAAGAACCTGAATCCCGCGCTCTTCCTCGAATGTAGGGTCCATCCCTTTCTCCCGCATGGCAGCCCATTTCTTTTCCAGCGCGGCATCAATAGTGCGCATTGCATGCATAATCATTGCACATGGCGCAGCACTATCAATCGCTCCGATGAAGCCCTCCGGTGTCAACTTGCTGTCATAGTGTGCGACCAATGTAAGTCGTTCTATGTCTCCGACGGGCGCGCCTGGGGGATCACGGTATGCGATAACATTGACAAATGGCACCTCTTTGCCCTTCGAAACCGGCGTTTTCGACGTGGAATTCTGAAGCTCGAGCTCCCATTTAGGTACGGCTGTTCGAATGTAGTTGACTAGGTGATCGAGAACCGCATCGTGTCCGGGGGTGCCAGGAACACGGGTCTGGAGGATCGGAGATAAAATAGCACCATTGTGAATATCAAACTCTTGACTCGGTCGTGGCAATGCCTTCAAGGTCTCATCAGATATTTCCTCGTATGCTTGTCCGGGTCGTAGAAGGAGTAGTAGGTTTAAGCATAGGAGTATGAAACGGCCACATAGGCTAGAGGAAGTCAAAGACATGACGACGACCGAATTGCTATGATCTCATGGCTTGGAGGATAATTTTGGCGCCCAGCTAGAGACAAATCGCTCAGCGCTTCAGGGAATGGGAAGCAATGGGGGTTGAGTTTCAAGGAGCAGCCTTGCCGTTCCAAACAGAAGGAATGCCAAGGCGGTCACAATCGTAGTGTTATCGCCGAACCACCACTTTCCACACGAGGAACAACCAAACCTTCTCCAACACCATGCGACACATACCCTACCCCCAATTGCGAACGGCCTTTCCTAGGTCAGTTCAACGGGACTTGCGTATTCAAATATGGGCTCGTTTCAAGTCCCAGGTTCCCCTGCCATCCAGGCGCCATGAACCCAAAGAACTCAACCCAACATCGGCACGCGCACTAGCTCCCGGTGCTTCCAAAACAAATATTCGTAGAGGTATTATCCCTCGTCACTGACTGATAACTAAGCTGATTGAGGGTTCCTAGGGCCACCGGAACGTATCCTAGTTTACTACGGCGGAACTGGCCGAGCGATATTCCTAGGCATGTTACGGGTATCTACCATTCTTTTGTTTGGCGCAGCATGTTTAGTTGTGGCACCATCTTGCTACACAGATGACAATGAATGGTATATTACACCGCTGGGTATGTGATATCTACTAATTCCTGGCCAATACGGCCAAATCTCTTAATGAGCCGGATATTCACTGACTTGTATAAAGTGATTGCTGGCGGAGCAATGCCTATGCTGTTTGTTGCATATACATCAGCACCTTATGTCAACTTTGTTCATCTGGCATTACCTGCTTTCGCACGGAGGTCACGTGAGGCAGCCGTTCATTATGCTAAGGATTTACCGCCAACCGCAATGCTCTATCTGAACACCATGCGGTTCAATACCATCCCAAGAACAATTCCTGTGCGCGTCGGTGATCTCATAGCAGATAAGCATCTACTTCGTCCTGTTGCCTTCCGCAATACAAAGCCGATTGAGCGACCCTGGTGGATGGGGAAACATCCAACCCAGTTCTATACTGGTGATCACAGCCAAGCGGGACGCCAGTCTTCAGCATTCTATCCTGAAGTTTGGCCCAGTATATTCCAGCGTATTCAGAACAGAACGCCAGGACCGGGGATGCGCTAAGTGATGATCTACAGCTCTATGATACTACTGGCAGCTGAAGTTAATACTTATGTACACTAGGAGTGGAATCTACATAGTCGGCAATGCCACTGCATTAACCACTCACTTTCAAAGAAACAACCCAATGGGTTCATAATGATCTACATTTCTTTGCCAAAAGATTCATGGCTAAAGAATCAACTTCTGCTTCCAATAGGACTGTCTTTGGGGAGAAAGCTTCATTGTGAACGGCTTTATCACCGCATAATTCGAGTCGTTTTCGAGTCGATTTCATACTTCGTTCATGCTCAATACCACCAGTCAAAGTCCATAGTTTACTAAATACGATTTATGCAATGTCCCTCGTCTGACACGTCCTCCCCCGTACTGATCTCCCGCTCAATCTCTTCATCCTGCTTGGTTTGTCTACTGATTATGTCTCTCTTTCATCTCCCACCCCCTTCGACTCGAACTTATCTACACTTGACACTTCCGCAGAGTCAGACGCAGATTCCGCTAGTCCATCTTCCATTCATCTCCGGTTGAACCGGTGGAGATTCCGATTATCATCTTTCTTTCTCTTCGAATCTCAGTTTCGAATCCAAAATTTCTTTCACTCCTATCATTTCTCTTCTTTCCCGCTATCAAAAATCATGATGGCCGACTCTTCCAAGAACACCCTGGTGAAGAAAGTGAAGAAAGCATCCGCAGCCCACCCTGAGCTTCTGGGACTGTCGACAACTGAGGCCCGGCTTCTTTTGCTGTCCTCGGTCCGCACCGACGAAGATGGCAAGGTACGTAACACTTGATTCAGGAATCCATCCCCGACCACCCTTGACTTGAGATTTTCTTATACAACCATCTTATATTCAATATCCTAACTCCCTCGTTACCAGCCTGATATGGAGAAGGTTACTGAATTCAGCAACTGTATTTGTGGTGGCATCAGCGTCGCTAGTGCCAGGACTATGGCCAACCGTGGCCGCAAAAAGTTGCTTCAGAGAATCGAAGATGCTGCCTTCGGTAACGCTCCCGACGAAGAGGAAGCTGAGCCCGTCGAGGCCAAGGCTCCCGCCAAGTCCAAGTTCCCCAAGGCTAAGACTACGGTCAAGGTCAAGCTCCACGCCCCGGCCAAGGCTCCTGCTAAGGCCAAGGTCCCGGCCAAGTCCAAGGTCCCCACCCCAGCCAAGCGCGGTCGCAAGCGCAAGGCCTCGCGGTCTCCGAGCCCCGAGCCTGAAAGTGACGATGGGAAGTCCTCATTCGTGGCCATGGTCCTTGAGGATGGCCCCGTTGAGCATCAGCCCATGGGCGAGGAGGAGGAGGAGGAAGAGGAGGAGGAGGAAGAGGAGGAGGAGGAAGAGGAGGAGGAGGAAGAGGAGAAGGAGGAAGCGGAGGAGGAGGAGGAGAAGAAGGGGGGTGACATCCAGGTAGAGGTCTAGTCACCTCGTGGATGGGTGGTTCGAATCAGCATGTCTATGGGTGCTCGGCTTTCAATTTTCCTATTTCATAGCATGATTTCAGTTGAGTGAAAGTCTTTCCGGCATGCCTCCGGTGCCCAACTTTCTCCATTGCAAGGCTCAATTGATATTTCGTTCCCTCGCCTGTGCTCAGTTTTGTCTTTCTCGCATGCCTTCGGTGCTCAGCTTTTTCTCTTGCGAGGCTTATTTTATCTCGTTTCCTCGCCTGCACTTCAGTTTCTTTGCCTGCAGCATATGTTGATTCTTTTCGAGTCTCAGTGATTATCACATTTTGTGTACACAGCTACCTGGAGACTTGGACATTCGCGATGACCGGGAAATAAAAAAAAATTCAATTCGTTGACTAACAATTCGTCAACTAATATTTTGTTCTATCTGGCTTGCATCCGCAGTGAGAAGGCTGGGCGTAAGTGTTCTATGACCGAATAACTCCTAATGTAGTGCACGTAGCACCTAACGCTTCTGATTATGTCAGGATTGCATCTGCTGGTGCATATTTGGTGCTTGGAGATCCGCGCCATGAGCTCATTGTATACTTTGGCAAGACGTCTGGATCATCTTTCTAATTTATCTGGAGGGTGAATTGGATGGCTGATGGTATAAATTGGGAGAGATTATGTGTAGAGCACAGTATTTGAATAAGTACTAAATGATCAGGCGAATCAATTATATTCAATTGTGCCCAGGTGTTCTCAATCAGGGTTTGCCAACCTTCCAAGGCTGGAATGGTGATCGAGACACTTGAGGCGTCGTCCCCACGATTCATCAAAGCCTTATGATTCATCAAAATCCCCACAATTCATTGACGTTCCCACCATCGCGGAGAAGACGTGGATAAATACTGTTTACACAAGATATCACACCACTCCAACCCACCAATTGACTTGAGGAAACATCTAGCCTATGATCCAGGATCTGAACAATCAAGCCCCTTGAAGACTGCCGCATGTCAGAACATATATGGCAATTCTGAAGAAACCCAAATTGTTCCGCCTGCTGGAAAGCGAGCTTTAAAACCTTTGGCTAACGCATAGCCGGCGAACCAGTCACTGATCTTCTCTAGCTGCTGGTGCTAGTGAAGCTGTTTCAGGATTATGTGTCAACTACTAGTACTATGTATTTTTTTGGGTTATTTGCCTGTAGGGATATATTCTTCAAGGACTAGATACTTCTATGATGGCACTGTAAATTTCAAATGACATTTTTCGAATGATCGTACATTAAAAGGTATTTGAATAAATTCCATACACGCCTGAACCCGAGATATCAGAACAAAAGAGACGATGACAGAAATGGTCGAATGGTTGAAATGGGGAAAAAAAAGACAGATCCGACATGTGCGCATCAAGATAATCATCATGATGTCTTTAGAGGGCTTCAATGGCTTTGCGTAGAACCTCGAGGCCAAGGTCAGTAACTTCATCCGCACCCTCAGTGCTAGAAGTTGACTCCCGCAACGCCCAGGCAACATCACTCCACCAGCCGAGACCAACATAGCCACCACCCTTGCGGCGATCCAGGCTTTCTTTCAGACGACTGGTATGCTCCCATTGCTTGGCGGCCTCTTCGGCGCGCTCGATGACCTTGTTTGAGATACCACACATGGCAGCACAGTGCATACCGAAGCTGCCTTCCGCAACACCACTTTCAAGTTTGTAGAGGAATGTGACGCGGCGTTCGGTATCATCGACATGGATAGCCATGCGCTTCGGCGCGATTTCGGGGTGACCCTCAAACTCTGCCGCCAGGGAATGGTAGTGTGTAGCGAAGAAGCCCATTGCACCGATATGTGTGGCAATGTGGTGGAGCACGGCCTGTGCGACGGCAACACCGTCGTACGAACTGGTTCCACGACCCAGCTCGTCGAGAATCACCAGGGACCTGAGTGTGGCTTCGGAGAGAATCTTCTTGGTTTCGGAGAGCTCAACGAAGAAGGTGGACTGGGCGGCGAAGATGTTGTCATTGGCACCGAGACGTGACATGATGCGGTCGACTGGAGTGAGTCGTGCGGATTGGCAGGGTAGGTAGCATCCGATCTGTGCCATGATGACGGCAACACATGTCTATGATTATTAGTGAATAGTGCGGGGAAGGAGGGAGGTGAAATGGTAACATACCATGCGGAGGAGGGTAGACTTTCCGGCAGCGTTGGCACCAGTAAGCAGGTCGATGTTGGGTTTGTTTCCACCGAGCCGGACATCGTTGGGAATGAAGTCTTCGACAGACGAAAGAAGGCAAGGGTGCCGGAGCTCCTCGAATTCCAGAACACTCCGTTCATCCTCCACGAAGGTAGGTCGGCAGCTAGGTTGACCGAGCGAGGAAGAAGCCTTGGCCAAACTGATCAAGCAATCCAGCTGGGAGATAATTCGGACAGCTGCGAGCCATGTGCCATAGTGCTCATCAAATCGGGCATGGAACCGGCCGGCGACCTCCTTGACAATCTGGCCGTGGGTTTCCTGGGCTTCCTGGAGTTTACGGATCAGGCTTCGGAGCTCGGGGAAGTAATATCGCTTGACCTGTTTGGTGGCAGACATCTGATCCCAGTCCTTTGGAATGTTTTTGACCTTGACAGGCACTTCAAGCTGATAAATCTCCTTGCCATTGTCGCGATAGCAGATAGCACTAGATCCCAGATCCCGGCGGGCCTTCTTAAGAATATTGTCAAGATCCTTGTGGAGCGTTTCGATGTGCCCTTGCGAGTTATCGAAATCTTCTTCAACACCAGGTTCCGGAACGAGGATACCATTATCCTTAGCCTTTGACCGATCAAAGGCCGTTTTCCAGTAGCCTAGAAGGCCAGTCAAATCGGGCATGCCAGAAATCAACTGTCCAATGATGCCCTCGCCGGCACCGGACTCCTTAAGAAGACCGATGGTGTAGTCAATCTGCTCGAAGCCTTCAAGAACGCGCACGAAATCCTGAGCCTTGCACTGTCCTGCGTGGACTCGAGAGATCAAGCGTTCCAAGTCAGGCATCTTGGTCAACTGCGAGGAGAATTGGTCGCGAATGCTCGGGTCGGCGTTCAAGGCATCGACGGCATCGAGACGGGCATTTATTCTCTTTGCATCCATCAATGGATGACAGACCCATTGTTTGAATGTTCGTTTGCCGAAAGGTGTGATGCAGCAGTTGAGAAGTTGGAACAGAGTACCCTCGATGCCTCCATCGAAGGAGTTGGCGAAGATTTCCATATTGATCAATGTCTGACCGTCCAGCACCAGGCTAGAAGCCTTCTTGATAGGATCATACCATGTGAAGTTGCCAATAGTAATCAGATCCTTATCAATTTTCAGAACACGTAAGTACTGAACCAAGGCACCGAAAGCCGACATGGCCAGCTCTTTCTCCCGAGCTTCGCGAAGTGTCTCAGGCCAAGCCGTGACGTTTTCATCATCTTGAGATACAAAGTACTCCGCCGCCTCCAGTTCTTTCAGGGTGATATCAGCGTCCCAGAACTCCTTGCCCGGCTTCAAGTGATTCCATAGAGTAGTGGGCCCAGTATTGTTTTTCAAGATCCGCATTGTCTTCTGCGAAACACAAGACTTTTCGAGCAACAATTCCTGGGGGCGGGTTTGCGCAACAAAGGTCTCAAACTTGGTCAAATCTATATCATCCACGAATTCAGACATGGAAAATTGACCTGTTGCTGTATCAACAAAAACAATGCCGAATGCAGGAAGGTCGTCCACAATGGCCTCTTTGATAGCGACACAGTATGTAGACATATCGTCCTGAAGCATCGAACCTTCGACAAGAGTACCGGTTGTGAGGACGCACGCGAGCTCTCTCTTGATAATCTTGTCCTCCTTGCCACCTTTTTTGCCGTCCCTCTCGCGCATTTCCTTGCCGAGGGCAGATTCAGACTGGTCAACGCGAGCAATCTTGAATCCCTTGGCCACGAATTGATTTGCCCAGTGCGACAAACTCATCTCGGGAACACCTACCATACGCATGTTGACTCGATCAGTGAGTTTCAAATCGAACAGCTGGTGGCCAATCGTGGCATCGTTTTCGTAGAGCTCGTAAAACTTTCCCTTCTTGAAGAACACCACGGTATCCCAAAACTTCTGCTTGATTTCCCAGTACTGCTTCTCAAATGGCGAGAATTTGGACCAGGCCAAGGGGGGGATGTAAATGGTTCGTGGATCATATTCGGGGTGGCCCGGGGGGTTACCGTCAATGTCTTTGATATTCGCAAGCCAAGGGTATCGATCTTCGGGTTCCTTGACGTGGGCCTTCTCTTTTCTGGCCGGTGTCTTCGATTTCGATTTCTCTTGTACGACACGCTCCTTTCGAGGTTCGTTGTTCTCGGGGTCAAATGTCCATTTTTTAGCTGTACCAGCTGATCCTTCAGGAATGTCGATATCGATCTCATCGTCCGCTGGGGGAGGCGGGATCGATGGTGACTGATTCGAAGTCTTGCGTGACGACTGGGCGACTGGTCTCTTGCGCTTCGGTGCGGGTGCGGCGTCTTCATCTGAATCATCGGCAACAACGAAGTCATCCATTTCTGTTTTAGTCAGTTACAGCACGGGGGACGAACGGTTCAAGGCAGAGCGTACCATCATCTGAGTATCCAATATCGCCACCCTCGAACTCTTCATCATCGCTCTCCACAACGGTCTTCTGTCTTTTGGTAGAGCGACCATTTTGCCGGCTTGGACGGAAAATGACCTCGTCGTCTTCTTCGCCCTCCGAATCAGACTCCTTGTAGCTGACCTGCATCTTCTTGGCCTGGGTTGATAGTGAGTATGGGGTCGTCATAGATATGTTTGATGATTGTTCACATACGCGACGAGAAGGAGACATTGTGGTGTCCTGCACCGGGGCGGCTTTGGTCTAACAGCAGTTGTTAACGTTAGGATCGTTAGGTAAATCAGCCGAAACGAACCTTTACAGCGGCATCCTCTTCCTCTTCATCCGGAACAGGCAGATCACTACTTGGGACAGGACTTAAGTCTGCCGCGAAACTCGAGAAGCTTCTTTTCTGGGCTCCAGGTGTCTGTTTGCTCGCACTGGCACCACGTTTCTCGGAGGCTCGTTGGGCGGGCGACGATGCCGGTTCGCGGGGTTTAGCGGAAGAAGGAGTGGCGGGAGATGACTTTTGGAAGAATCCCAAGATGGATTTTTGGCTTTTCATGTTTTGGGTACTCGATGTCGTTCGCTTCAGTGCAGTAGAGGGCGGCGTCGCGGTGGGCGATGAGGCCGATGCCTTGGCCATTTTTGGCAGTTCGCTTATACAGGTTGAATCGGGTCAATTTGGGGTCACAAAATGCATATATAATGGCCGTCTTGAAACATGGATGAACTGAAACTGTCCAGATTTCTTGAGGAGAAATGATAGATAAGCACGCGGATCGCGGATCGCGGATCGCGTCGACGCGTAGAGTGGCGTTCCGTCTTGGCGCCCCGTATTACAACCCCCTTACAATATCACGTCCACCCACGATGCAGAACAATTGAGTACAAGACAGCAATACGGTGTATTTATACTTGTATAATATGATACATAGGAAAGATATGATAGAATATACAGATGCTATACGCTACACATAGAATGACTAAAATTACAAAGTGGAGATTGTTATCCCAAGGGCTCCGAAGTCCAGAGTCCAGACTTATTGCACGGGATCTGGCGATGGTTGCCATCCAGGCGCAGTCAGTCCCCTTTTAAGGAACTCCTCGTCACTAACAATCTCAACCATCTTGAATTTCCACTTGCCCATCTTGAGCATGAGAAGTTTCTCATCCATAATGAACTCCTCGGTCTTCTCTGCAGCCCAGGGCCGGATAGGAGTGAATGCGAGATCATCCGACATGGTGCCGCTATCCCCAGGACGGCTGCCCACGGCAGCACCATTGTTGAGGATCACTCGGTGGCCCTCACCCTTGGACGAAACAAGGCCAGCCGACCAAAGGACCTTGTTGAACGGCTGGTTGTAGACTAGGGACTTTGGAAGGATGACTCTGGAGCTGGGCATGTTGGCAAAGTTGGTCTGGGGAGCATAGGGGTTGCCGGATTGCGGGGTGGTGTACCCGGCCATGGGTGATTGAGCATGGCCAGGCGGAAGGCTGGAGCTGCGAGGCATAGGCGAAGGTTCGCCCTTTGAGGACCTTGAGCGGAATAGCTGGCGGTGTTGGAGGGACACGGCATCCGCTTCTTGTTTGCCGTGGACCAACTCCACAAACTCGTAGGCTAGACGATGCTGAGCAACTCGCTTGGAAGGGTCGGCATTTTGTTCCTCCATGATGGTGGTGATCTCAGGCAGGGGAATGAAGGTGAATAGCTTCAAATAGCGCTCCACTGTGTCGTCAGGGGTGCGAACGAAGAACTAGATCGAAAGTCAGATACGGCACGAATTCAAAGTGAGCAAGAAAAACGGGCTTACCTGATACAGCTCGAAGGTCGAGGTCATGTCCTTGTCAAGCCAAATCGCATTGCCAGCGGATTTTCCAAATTTCTCGCCCGATGCCGTGGTTAACAACGGTGTCGTGAAACCGATGGGCCGGTCCAACTCCGATTCCAGAGGGTTTCGAGCTTGTTCAAGGGCAGTGTTGCGACTGATGGATTTCACCGCTTCCATTCCAAATAGAATGTTTCCATATTGGTCAGAACCTCCCACCTGCACTTGGGTTCCTGTTTGGAATAGGTGCCACCAATCCCAGCCCTGCAGGAGCGGGTAAGAGAACTCAGCAAATGACATTCCATCGCCTTGGTTCAATCGGTTCTTGACACTGGAAACATCGTCAGAAAGATGAATCAGAGCAATCGCAATAAAAGAAGACTTACGTATCCCGGCCAAGCATGGGGCCAAGTCTCATAAACGCCCCAAGGTCGCGCAAGACCTCAACAAACGGCGTGGAGTTCCACCAAGTGTTGTTGTTCACCAAAGCCCGTTTCCAAATCATTTTCCGCTCATAGCCATGCCTCCTACCATACTGCTCGATGCTTGTACCCAACTTCTTCAATTGCATATGCATGCTCGCCATGTTCGCCTTTCGTACTGAGGTGTGAACCTGCTCTCGTCCCTTCAATCGGCCAGTAGGGTCGCCGATTCGAGATGTAGCACCGCCCAACTGTATTTCGTTATTCATAGATCCAATACAACCCTTATACTCTGAATGCAAGACTTACCAAGAATGTAACTGGAAGACCCCAGACATATCCCCAGGCCAAAACCATAAACGGCAACATGTGGCCGACATGCATCGAGGGTGCTGTAGGGTCAATTCCGACGTAAATTCCGGCCCTCTTCTCCGTGAACACCTTGTGTAGCAATTCGCGCTCCCTAAGACCCGAAGAAGTAAGCCAAAGATCTTTTCGGTTTTATACAGCTTCATAGAAAACAGTTCGAGGCAGAGATGTGTGATACATACCCGACAACATCATGCAACAGTCCTCGCTCCTCCAAATGGGCAGCGAAGTTCTTCCTCTTGCCCGCCTTGATCTCCTCGGCATACTTCGCCCATTCCTTCTTCCCGTCCTCCATGCGCTTGAGGTAGCCTTGTGAGATGCATCGTTGTTGTTGCTGATTTAGACGCTCAGGATGCTGGGATAACGACACCGGGCGACGGAGCTCCCGGCGGAGTAGATTTGTTTGCGATGCTTGAGAAAAGGCGCGCGCTCCGTGGGGTGTCGGTTGGAGAGCACGGTGGTTAAGCAATTGTGCTCGAAGGAGCAGAACCGACCGGGACCTCATTGAGCCGATCTTTGACGGGCTAACCGCAACGGAGCTTGCAATTCAAATTGGTGAGCGGATGAAATTGTTCGCGACCTCCGATAATCACATCGATAAGAAAGTCCGGAATATTGTTGATGCGGCGCATCCCTAACTATGGGGAACAAACCTCAACGAATCATTTGCAAGACCAGTTCTTGTGAAAGCAAAAGTATGAGTCTATTCGTGTGCAACTATCAACTGACAAAAATCTGTACAAAGGCCTCGTTGCTCCATCCGCTGTCCAGTTTCATGGTCTTCCAAGCCGCGAGAACGTCAATGGCCAGCACTCGACTATCTTCTCCACCTTCTTTCCAGACGGTCTTTTTGGGCACTGGCTGTCCCAGAATCATGACCATGAAGTTTTGGCCAATATTCCTGTCCTTTAGATCAGATAAGTAAATGCCGAGGGTGCCAAGCGCCTTCAGATGAACATCAATCCGAAGACGACCATTCTCAACGATGAAAATATCCGAATTGATCACCGCAGCCGCACCAGTCATTTTCCCAAGCAGACCGAGGACGGCGACATTAGTCGGGCTCTCAGCGGACCTATTGCTCCCTTTGATTGTGAATGATTGGGTCGGGTATGCTGTCAGAATCTCCCATGCCCTTTCTTGCAAAACGACGGACACAGTAGAGTCCTGCGCCAGTGGCTGCATTCGCTGTGTGACCTTGCCACTCGTGTGCGCGCGGACTATGTACTGGCCGTTCGAGTCCTCGTGGATTCCGGGGAAATCCAACAGGGAGATCATGCACGATGCCTCCCTAGGGTGGATGTTGAATAAACCCAGGACTCCACTGCCAGTCTTAGCCCATCCAGTGTAGCTTCCAACACGTAAAACATGTCCCTCATTGTAGTCATGGTATATATCGATTGTGCGACCAATGATACTGGGCCGGAGAATCACAGTGCCTCCTTGGACTGTCGGCGCCGTCATTTGATTCAGCAGTTCTAGGTCATGTTTACCCGGCTCGTCCGTTATATACACTGGTCCTCCTGAGACGCAGCGGGCAGCAGCATGAAAAGAAGCGTAAGGGTGGCTGGTTTGGAACATATCCCAGTCAGGTAGTGCATTGAGGTACCGAGTGAAAAGCGCATTGTGTGCGTTGCAGAACACATGCCATGGGTGCGAAGTGGGGATTTCGGGGAAGAAATCATCTGAATTCCGCAGTGCAATTGTTGGCTTATTGTTCGGGAGCTGCGAATGGAATATCATCTGCGGAATCAATGACATGCATGAAATCGCACGCGTGCTGAAGTGCTTCAGTGAAGCGACGGACCACGCATCTTGGTAAGATGTCATGAAACTTTTTCGATCTGCTGGATCATCGAGGAGGTCGAGAAAGAACTGGGCGTCAGTCTTTACAGAATCCACACCAACAGAGGTAAGGTAGCTATAGAAATCGTCGTAGAAGCGCTGTATCTCCTCGGGATCGATGGCGAGAATCTTGCCGTCGGCGATATCATGTGCAATCGGACCTCCAGCGGCAGGGTCTTTGACTTTGACTTCTTTGGTCTTATATTTCTTCGCAAGATCACCATTGGGGCAAATTCCTCCCCAGTAACCCAGCAAAGCGTGCCAGACAGCGACATGTTGAATGTTAGAGTGAGTTCGGCGAATTGTCTCAACAGTCTGTTTCAAGCCTCGAGGGAAGGCTTTTCGATTTGCTTCAAAATGCTTCCAACGGCGTTTAAATTGAGACTCGCCCTCATTGTCAAGACTTTGCCAGTTATCATCGATAATCAGATTGACGATATGGATTCCATGGGCTTTCAAGGCATCTAAAGCACCCAGTATCTTCTCTTCGGTCAGATTCTGACCAAGACCATTCCACGTACAATATGTCAAGCCATCAAACCACTCTGTGAGCCACTGAATCTTCGCATCCTTCTCAACAATCACTGTATCATCCCCCGGGGGGAGAGTGGCGGCTGATCATCTGAAGCGCCATTGTCAGAGTGAGAAAATGGTTTGACCACTTTTCTTGCTTCGTAAACTAATGCAGACATAGCAACCTCAAAGTCCTCCGCCACCGCAGCGAGAACGTGAAATTTAGACAGAACTATATTGTCACTCCTAGCGTTGACCACTACTTCACCGTCCTTGCCAGACTGAAACACAGTCAGGACATCGTTGATTCCTGAGAGGGCAAGGAGAAGGAGATTCGTTCCATCTTTCCGCAGAAAGGAGCACAAGATCGCATCCTCTGTCAGTTGAAATTTGTCCTTCCCATGCCGAGGACCCAGCCACGGGCTCCATATGCGCACCAGTGAGAAGTACTTGATCGTAGACGAAGGTGTCCCGAGAGCAAGATGCTTCAAACCAGAAATGCCTTGTTGAGCAGCGCCGACGTCTCCAGACACCGCCCATAGTAAAGATCCTGGACAGTCACTGCGACAAGATTCAACTTGCACGTCGGGCGAGAGGTCATCGATATACTTCGCGAGTTCCTCTTTCGCATTCAGGGAAGATATATCACCAGAAGATATTCTTTCAAGCTCTGAGTTTCGGGCGCCGAATACCAGCTCGCCATTATTCACTGGATGCTGCTGGTTGGCCCATTGCCATTCTGTGTCGGAGTTGGTTCGGAAGCGTATGGTGAATTGGGCATGACCACCAGCCGCAGGGAGTGAAATCTCCTCCGAAAATACATAGCGATAGAAATTATAGTCAGCCTCATTGCCTGTCAACAATGGTGCATGTGAGGAGTCTATTTTGCGTAATGGAAGAGCTTCCCATTCGGAATTGGTGATGTTGTGCCAGATCTGTGCTTCCCATGATTGTTGTGGGAGTGAAGTGCTAGACTCAATAACGACAGTAAAGCGTACCTGGTAGAAGAGTCAGCATGATACCGAAAATACATGTACTCTGCACATGTGTTATATGGGCATTTCAAATATTTGGCACGAGACATTGGTTTAATATATTCTTTCCCAGGCTCACTCACTGCATCATCTTCCTCTGACCGCAACGCTTTTTGAACTCGTTGCAGACTGGTCACCTGCCCCAGAGGTGGGTAAGATGTTACTCGAGCAAAGAGACTCATTTGGGCTGGTCGGATGAAAGTTGTCTGAGATGGTTCAAGGCGACCGACAGGACCAGCAATGGGGAGAGTAGAGGTACTATCTCTATTGACATGCATTGGGGATAATGAGGGGTAAGCAGATGCATATATACGTCAACGGGACTTCGATAGATATGGGGCTGTGTTGGCTGCAGCGTTAAGGGGCTGATTGGAAACAATAATTAGAACCTTGAGTCAATCTTCGGATCCAAGTAGTCGAATTCGGAATGTTGGTCTCCAGTAGAAGTTTCAAGCTCTGTAGAGTGTGTTGATGATGAAATGGCGGGGAAGCTGAGAAGCTCCCTCGAAACTGTATTTCCACGACTTTCAACGTCGCCTCGTACCCGCACTACGGTCTTATCATCCCACCTTTCTCGTACAACATGAATATTCTGGATTCTTAGACATTTTGATTTATCCGTTCAATTTGATTATTTCGATCAATCCAAAAACTAAATTCAAAGAGAAAACGACTTTTGATCCGGCTAGTCTCCGTGTCCAAAAGGGAACTTGGCATTTTAGTGGATCTTGATGGTCAGCTTTCCAAAGTGATTCTGGCCCCACTATGCATTCTGTCAGTATCTAGATTCTTGCAGGGGTCTCAAACTAAACGAACTGCTTACCATGTGTTCATATGCCTCGCGAGTCTGATCAAAGTTAAACACCTTCTCATCCACAACTGGATGGATATCGTTGGCCTCGATGGCACGAATCATATCCTTCATCAAGGCCTTGCTACCAACATACACTCCACGAACAGTGCAAATATGGCCCAGCGTGTCAATAACACTGGGCTGGGTCTTCGGATCGACCCCGCCGAGGAATCCAATCACGCTGATCACACCCTCATACTTGATAGCTTTGAAACTCTGCTTGAGCGTTCCCGATCCGCCAACCTCAATAATATGATCCACGCCAGCACCATCTGGTGTCAACTTCTTAGCGGTCTCACCCCAGTTAGCATCCTCCCTGTAGTTGATGATATGGTCTGCACCCAGAGTCTTCAACTTCTCGGCCTTTGATGCGGAGGACGTGGTCGCAATCACGACCGCACCAGCGGCTTTGGCGAACTATTTACGCAAGAAAATACGTGATCAGATATCAAGATCACATATGGACATTATTTTCAGAGTCTCACCTGTAGAGCAAACATGCTAACACCGCCTGTGCCTTGTACGAGGACATATTGACCAGGCTTCAGAGGCTTTAGGCCGTACAAGGCATTCCAACTCGTCAACGCTGCGCAGGTAAGTGTACTGTTTTCGATTGCGGAGAGGTTCTTTGCTGCCTTGACGAGGCCCTTTTCGGCGAATACACCGTATTTACGGAGCACACCGTCAATCACACCTCCCAGTCCAGTCTGTGTAGCTGGAATATCAATCGGACCATACTGGTGGCCCTGGTTGAAGACCGTCGCTACTTGATCACCTTTCTTGAACTCGGTCACCTTGGCCCCGACCACAACGACCTCACCGGCACCGTCGGATCCAGCGACAACAGGGAACTTAGTTGGGAACGGGTACAGGCCCTGCCAACAAAACAATAGGTTTATTTCACTCCACTATGCTTGGTAATCAGTTTTAGCGAACTTACCTTTGGAATGATCAAGTCGCGATAATTCAGCGACGCTGCGTTAAGCTTCACCAGCACCTCAAACTCCCCGACTGGCGGGATTGGGACCTCCTTGCAGACTAGGCCGTCGAAGTCATTGTCCTTGTTCTCAATCACCCATTGCTTGGTTGTTCCAGCCATTTTGATTTTGGAAGTTTGAATGTGAAAATTATTTCCAGTCAAAGGATATGAAATGTGAAAATTATTTCCTTTCAAAGGATATATAGTCGCTAAATACGACCTACTTACATGTTTCTGACGTCACGAGCACTTGTGCTCGTTCCACACCTCCCTTGAAGGCTTTGGTCAATTAGTAAAAGAGGCACAAAAAGTCTCCGTGCTACATGGATCTCGGACAGATTCAACCCGCTATCTAGCCGATCGGTGACTTCAGTCCTCGCGATTATATATCTTATGTAAGTCTGCCCATACCGCTTTGTCATGAAAAGAGAAGGAACAGAAGAGAGAAGATGGTGTGAGAATATCAAAACAGCATTGTTGCCCGAATATTCAAATGTATCAATCATAAAAACGTAACTATTTCACCACCGAGCGGGCCAGACCACCGAACGGGCCACCCCAAAACACCATACCATAGTGAATGCGACATTTACTACTGAACAACCATATTATTACTCTATTCTATTACTTACCGATAGATATTGATAAGGATTATTAGAAGCATATATCAATTTTGAATAAATTGAACTCTTATTTAAGTGACAGGTCAAAAGTGTTAACTCTTTATTTGATTATGAAATATTCTGCCAGTCAAAAAAACTTTTTGAAACCAGGCGAGTTGGTATACACCACTGCAAAGTAAGGCTTATGCAAATCATTATACCGGATCATTGCTTGCATTTGGGGCTCTCAGATACTAGTATTTGAAATACATTAGCAGAAATTTAACACGCGATTTGGATAAGCGCAGTAGGCGGTGGGAAAGGCGGGTCTTTAGGCGGGTGTTAGCACTCCTGTCCTACCGTCAAATCGGTAGTCACCAATTCATACAAATCCCCGAATACTGCCTAAAGGGACTAGACATATCATATAAAAACAACTAAACTTCAAGGAAAAGCTTCTACAGACCACCATTGTTGAGACAATGAGTAGTAATTTATCACATTTACTATGGTGTTTTGGGGTGGCCCGCTGGTGAACTGCGTTATGAACCTGCAGATAACCTTGAATGGACTTCATTTCAATGCCATTTTCTTTTCATCGTCACAGGGGTCTTTATTGTCAAAGGTCATGTGTCTATTCTCAGACATGCAACTTTAATAGGCTGGGCCAACCATGGGGGCAGCTAACTGCCGGGGGGCTTACGGAGTTTATAGTTCGGTATCCACTGAGGGGCCTCACAATTGTGCAATCCGAAGCTAAGATTACTCAATTGATTTCGATATCCACTTAATCAATGGCACACGAGTATTACTCGGGGGTTTCAAAAGCACGAAATCAACAGACCGCGTGTCTGCATAGCCCCTCGTGCTCTGCCATTGGCGTGGAGGAGGAGGAGGGGTAAAGTAAGAGGGGCAGAGGGGAAGATAAATAGATCGCGATTCCTTTGGCTTTTAGCTTCTCATTGAATACTCTGAAACTTTACAGCTTCCATTCTTAATACCTCATATCCATTACCTATTGCAATGTCTCTTGGACGCACCTACAAGCTAAACTCGGGCTACGAGATCCCCGCCGTCGGGCTCGGTACTTGGGTACGTACTGTTTTGGCTCGTTTATATACAGCTCGGAAACTGATATATTTATGCGCGATAGCTTTCTAAGCCCGATGAGGTTGAGAACGCAGTCGAACACGCCTTGCGAAGCGGTTACCGCCACATTGATGCTGCAGCATGCTACCAAAATGAAAATGAGGTCGGAAATGGCTGGAAGAAGTCGGGTGTGCCGCGTGAAGAGATCTTCGTAAGTTGACCAACATCTACGAATATATTCGGGGCTTTAATGAAGACTAATTTATCATATTTCAATATTTAGATCACTAGCAAGCTGTGGAACACTCACCACCACCCCGACCACGTTGAGGAGGGCCTCAACAAGACCCTAAAGGATCTCCAAACTGACTACGTGGACTTGTACCTGGTACGCTACCCCCGTTCCAATGGAACAATTAAATGAATTCCACTAATTTAACTTTCAAAGATGCACTGGCCTGTCGCCTTCGAGCACACAAACGAAACTATCACGCCGATCGATCCGGTCACGAAGCGATTCCGTTTAGCCGATGTTCCGGTCGCCGATACCTGGGCCGCTCTAGAGAAGCTTGTCGCTACAGGCAAGATCCGCAGTCTTGGAATTAGCAACTTCACCATTGATGCTACCAAGAAACTGCTCGAAACTGCAAAGATTGTTCCCGCTACGAACCAGATCGAGGCGCACCCTTACCTCCAGCAGCCGGAACTGACTAAGTTTTTGAAGGAAAAAGTAAGCATTGTTCTCATTCAATTCGTGAGACATGTAAAGGTGCTAATTTGACTTAATAGAACATTCTTATCACAGCATACAGCCCTCTTGGAAACAACACCTTTGGCCTGGCACGGTAAGACTTCATCCTGTGACGTTGCTCGGATTACACTGTACTAATACTTGCCCCGCAGTGTTGTCGACGACCCGGCTGTTGCAGAAATCGCCAAGAAGCTTAACAAAGACCCCGCTCAGTTGCTGATCTCGTGGGCTATCCAGCGGGGCACTGCGGTTTTGCCCAAGAGTGTTACGCCCTCGCGCATTGAGAGCAATTTCCAAGGTAGGATGACGGGGTCAAGGACTGCTTTGATAATAGGCTAATATTTGTGTAGACTTTGTTATTCCCGACGCAGAGTTTGAGGCTCTTAACAAGTTGGACCGCAACGCACGATACAACTACCCCTTCCGCTGGGGAGTGGACGTCTTTGGAGAGCTGGGAGCTGAAGAGGCTGAGCGTCGGGCTGAGGAGCATGCAGCTAGCCAGCGGTAAGTTCTCAAATACCCTGGCTTGGATAATTAATAGAAATTGTAAATAAGGTACTCCAAATTGAGAAGTATATTTACACAAGAGTACCGTACAATTTAAATGTATGCTCGCTGAAGTTAAGGAGATAGCGTAGAATGAATACTGTAGTCCCTTATCGCCACTCTATGTAGAAAATATTCCACAAAAAAACCTCATAACAGGAACAGAGGTGGTCAACTGCCCTGGTGGTTATGGTCGATAACGCCCTCTAAGCGCCCAGTTCAGATTGGATCAATCCCGACGCTTGTTATCCGACCCACTCAAACTTCGTTTGCTTTGATGCATATCAAGCCAGACCTATTTTTTTACACCAGACGCATACCATGTACAACAATCCCAATTAAGCTACTCGATCCGCAATGCCAGTTCAAGAGAGCAGGGTCACCAAATCCAAAGCACGGCGATCTCAAACGCCCGCACGACGCGTCTCCGCCATCCAGAAAAGTATGTACATCTACCAGCAACCGTCAATCTAACTCTGCCTTCTTAATCTCCATTCTCAATATTGAATTCTCATGCTAAACTTCCTAGATCTCCCATTAGTCGAGCGCACAAACGCCCTAAGTATCGAAGAATTCATCTCTTCTTACGTGTCTCCACATAAGGATGCATCACCCACCAAAAACCCACCGGCCAGCAAAGAGACAGTCCCGGAACTACAGCCCCTGCAGAACTATGCATCCCAAAGTACGTCGCTGGCCGTATACTCCGCGGCAACTATCTCCACTGCAGACCTAGACGCCTGTCTGGATCTCATCGAGCTCACTTCTAGCGAAGCTTACGCTGCCTCCGGCGTAGGCTGGTCCCGACCTAAAAAGCGGAAGGAAATGAAGCTGCCGGATATGAAGTATTTGATTTTGCGCGACTGTTTCGCGTCTTCGGCTGAGATGCAGCAACCTGGTGCCTGTGCCGATAAAGCCGACGAGCCGAAGACTACGGGAAGCGCGAATGCGATGGGTAGCCCCGATGGAAGTGGAAATGAATGGGTTGATGATAATAATAATGTTCTTGGATTCTTGTCGTTCATGATTACTTATGAAGATGGGAAAGAAGTGGTTTACTGTTACGAAATCCATTTGTCGGCTGCTGCCCGGGGGCGCGGGCTTGGGGGTTTTTTGATGAGTCGGATGGAGGAAATCGGTCGATCAATTGGAGTAGAGAAGGCTATGCTTACGGTTTTTAAGTCTAATGTGGCTGCGTGCAGGTTCTATGAGAAGGTTGGGTATGTCGTTGATGAATATTCCCCCCAGCCGCGGAGGTTGCGGAATGGGACGATCAAGGAGTTTGATTATTTAATTTTATCGAAGTCGTTGAAGTGAAGATTGAGGTTTTGATTTTTGATTTTTGATTGTTTTTGTTGACCTTTCCAGCATGAATGAACCCATGATGCGATAGAAATGCAAGCATTTCATTATATTATATTTGTTTCACTTCCTGGCCTTGCAATTCAGGGTTGGCTTGCTCCCATTCGTCTCTGAGGGCCGCAAAGATGCTATCAGCCAGCAGGATAGAAAGGCCTAGACTCCAGACGAGAGTGATCGCATAGAAGAAGTTGGCGTTGCCGGACCCAGCGTAGATCCACAAGTGGTAGAATGCGGGGCCCAGAAGACTGGAGTAGAGAAGTGCGGAGACTGCGAAGAATGTGTACCGCATCACTGTTCATGATTAGTCTGCTGTTGGAAGTTGGACGAAAGCCGAGACAGAACTCACAAGGAAAGAGGTGCCGGTACAAAGGTAGCAGCGCGAAGTAGAGGGATGCGTCAGAAATACTAGGATAAGGCTTGAAAATTGCAAAGACGCCCAAGAGCGAAGTAATGATAAACAAGGGTTGTCGTCGCAGGCGGGCAGTAAAGCCTCCCACATAACTGGCTAGATGAAGCCAGAAGACGCCCACGAAGAACTCCCGGAAGGAGTCGAACATCTCGATGAAGAAATACCACCAAAGACCCACATTAGGAGTCAAGTCGGGGACCAGCAGATGAAAGCCATACGTGGCGGACATGAATTCCCAGAAGTTCCCCGTGACAATACATGACAATCCTAGTAAACCGGCGACGCTAGACAGTAGCATCGCACCATGTCGCACAAAGAACACCACAGTGTTGGGTGCCTTGGAGGATTGCGCTTGTTGGTCATAGCAAAGCAGCACCAGCGGGATAAACAGCAATGCTGGATAAAGAGACAAATATGATGCGAGACCTAGTGCCAACACTGCGTTGATACTATTTCCATCCACAGCATTCGAGACGGCGTAAAGGATTCCGGTGGTGGTGAAGACGCTCGTTGATCGGGCCAAGCAGGTTGCAATTGTAAAGGGGTTGAACAAGAACCTATTGTTAAATTAAAAGACTGCGTGGCTTCAAGGGGTCCATGGGTTCCTACCAAGCTGCAATAGACACTCCGTCCCACCGGATATGCTTTCGCATAGCAGAGTGTAGTCGGGTCTGAACAGATTGGCCTGATTCCGAAATGTTGATCAATGCATGCGCATTTATTAAATCGACGAGGAAGTAGAATATGGCGGTAGGGAATGGATTGCTCTTCACATCTGGGAGCAAAGTGAATAATGGGAGGAGGAGCGGTGCCTAAGTACCGTGGGTGTTAATTCCGAGTCTTAAGGAAGTGTTGTGACCGGCGTACCTGATGGAAAACACCTCCATCGTAGGGTGACACATTTCGGGTGTAAAGGAAGAGACCCTCTTGCACTGTGATTCACAATTAGTACCGATTTTTTAGGTTGTGACTGAAGCCATTGGGTTCAACATACATCGCTTGAAGCTATTGACCGGGGTCGAGACCTCCACTCGGCCTGTGAGCAAGTCGGGCAACGAGGGAAAAAGAAAGACCAGAAGTAGCCGTAATACAAAGGCACCACCAAATACAGCAGCCTTGCGTCGGTCCAATGCCATGACGACTTGGAGTTCAAGAGAGGTGGACAACTCAAGATCCCAGCTGTCCGCTTGTCCCTTTACTCCCCCGTTGCCTTGGAACCACGGACGCCCGCACCCGCACGGGCCAACTGACCGCCTCCGACAGAAAAAAAAGTTATTCGATAAATTTTTCCTCTTCTTATCAGCAGAAAACTGTTTAGATTCTTCAACTTCAGAACTCTAACAGAATTCAACATGGCTAAGATTAAGAAGAAGGGTATGTTGATCAGCCTCAGTTTCCTTCATTGTCACTAACAATTATTTTCTCAGGAACCTCTGGCGCGGCCAAAAACTATATCACCCGTACCCAGGCCGTGCGCAAACTTCAGATTTCTTTGCCTGATTTCCGTCGACTTTGCATCTTCAAGGGTAAGTTGGATCCTCAATGATAGATACGGTGAATGCGATGCTGATTGATGTTTGAATTAAAGGAATCTACCCCCGTGAGCCTCGCAGCAAGAAGAAGGCCTCCAAGACCTCCACCCCCAACACTACTTTCTACTACACAAAGGATATCCAGTACCTTCTGCACGAGCCGCTCCTGAACAAGTTCCGTGACCAGAAGTCTGTTGCCAAGAAGATCGCTCGCTCCCTGGGTCGTGGTGAAGTCAGCGACGCCGCGCGCCTGGAGAAGAACCACACCCCCAAGCTCACTCTCGACCATGTCATCAAGGAGCGCTACCCGACCTTCATCGACGCTCTTAGAGACCTTGACGATGCTCTGTCTCTGCTCTTCCTCTTTGCCACTCTTCCTTCCACCACCCATGTTCCTCACAAGACCATTGCTCTGTGCCAGCGCGTCTGCCACGAGTTCCAGCACTACCTGATTACCACCAACTCGCTGCGCAAATCCTTCCTGTCTATCAAGGGTATCTACTACCAGGCCACTATCCAGGGTCAGGACATCATGTGGCTGGTCCCCTACCGATTCGTTCAGCGTGTCAATGGCGATGTCGACTACCGTATCATGGCCACCTTTGTCGACTTTTACACCACCTTGCTTGGTTTCGTCAACTTCCGTCTGTACTCTTCGATTGGCTTGAGATACCCTCCCAAGTTCGACACCCGAAGTGATGAGAATGGCGCCGAGCTGGCTGCTTTCACTCTGGAGGGCCGGAATGAGGCCCCCAAGGCGCTGGAGGCCAAGCCCCAGAAGACCGGTAACTCGAACAAGGAGGTTTCCAAGGCTACCCAGGCCAAGGTAGACAAGGTCATCAAGGCTGCCGGTTTGGACCAGGCCGAGGACGAGCAGATGGTGGACACAGCCGAAGAGGATACCGATGCGATCGACCGATTCGAGCCCGCTGCCCCCGAGGCTGACACCCTTCCCCAGCCCGACCAGAGCGGCAACGAGGGTGCTCTCTTCGCTCCCTTCGTGTTTTATATCTCCCGTGAGGCCCCCAAGGCTCCTATCGAGTTCATCCTGCGTGCCTTTGGCTGCAAGCGTATTGGTTGGGATGCCGTGATGGGCGATGGTGCTTTCACCCACGATGAGACCGACCCCCGTATTACCCACCAGATTGTCGACCGTCCTCCTCTCCCGGAGTCTTCTCTCCCCGCCATTCCTGCTGCTGATAGCACAAACCAGAAGGTCAAGCCCGGCACTCGCATTCCTGGCCGGACTTACGTCCAGCCTCAGTGGGTCTGGGATTGCATCAACGATGGCAAGCTCTGCCGTCCTGATCTTTACGGCCCTGGTGCCACTCTTCCTCCCCACTTGAGCCCATGGGTTAAGCCCAACCGTGGTGGTTACGACCCCAAGGCTACTCTGGCCGAGCAGGAAGAGGAGGGCGAGGCTGAAATTGCCGAGGATGCTGAAGACAGCGACGAGGAGATGGAGGATGAGACCCCCCCAGAGGTCGTCCCCGCTGCCCAGGAGTCCGAGGACGAGTCTGTCGATGGTGGTATGGATGTTGCTGGCACCGACGATGACGAAAGTGACAGCGAGGAGGAGGAAGAGTCGGACCTTGAGGAATTCGAGGATAACGCGGCTGCCTCTGAGTCAGAGGACGACGATGACGAGGCCGCTCGCAACCAGCACCAGCGCGAGCTCGAGGCCGAGGCTGCTGGTCTGCCCTTCACATCCAACGGAGCCACCGATGAGGCATCCAAGAAGAAAAACTCCCAGACTAAGAAGTTGGCTGCCAAGAAGCGCAAGGAGGAAGAGGAACTCGAGAGACAGAAGATGATGATGAGCCGCAAGAAGCGCAAGCTGTTGGAGAAGATGCTGCACTCGAACAAGAAGACATCCGATGAGGCTGCCAAGCTCCGCTCGAAGCGGCGCAAGCTTGAGAAGGAGAAGGCTCAAAAATAGAGTCGAGCGATTAGTCAAACTATCTAGAGTGCTTATTTGTTGGCGTTTGCGGCTGGGAAAGTCCCCTGTATATGCATGTCCTAAAAAATTTATGTCCATCGAATTTAATGGTTTTTTTGCACAAAAGTCACTACAGAACATATGTATTCCAATTGCCCTAGTTCAAATTAACTGTTATGTTGGCATATGTGATGGAACTTTGTTCCTGACCCAAGTCGTTGGAACAAATTATGCTGCATATTTAGTGTCATGTGACATGTATCCACTTTTGAATTTTTGAAGATCTCGAATCTTCAACGAACTTGCATCAATAGCAAATGTTCAAATCTTTTGAATTACTTCCAAGGTTTTATTTTTCAAGAGTTTACGTGATGCTTGATCCCCCATCGCGGTCCAAACTGCGTTCTTCAAATCCAACATCTGTATATGCCTAGTATCAGCCTCTTCAAAGTGCCTACAATTCAACCACAGGGCTGAGGGATGTCCTCATTTCCAGAAGACCCGCCGTCATCATCACAGTTCCTACCACCGCAGTCGGCCCAAGCACGTGGTTCGTTATTTGGCGGACCCAGCAGTGATGCCGATCCGCCGTCTTCAAGGACGCTCCGGCCCAGAAGATCCATCTTCGGCGGCTTTAGCTCCCAAGATGTTGCATCGGAGCCAGAACATCAGCCTGAGCCTATGGACGAAAGCATTCCCGATCATGAAGAAAACGATCTTGATCTAATCCTCCGTGAAAGGCCCCTGGATGCTTATTATGGCTCTGAAGGGGAAAGCTCTTATGCAGAAAGCAGTGACGATGAAGCCAAAAAGTCAAACAAAAAACCCACCTCTGCCAAGGCTCCCCGGGCCAGCAAAAAAAAGCTATCTGAAGAATACGTGCAGGAACCTGAAAAGGTAGCGCAAAAGCCAACCTATGTTCTCGATCGTGGGCTTGACTTGCCGCCGGGGCAGAAGCGCCCAAATCGGTGGACAGGGTTGCAAATCAACTATCAGAGAGCTATTGCGGAGGAGAGTGCGGTATACAATTCCATAATTGATAGTCGTGCGGAAGACCTCGCTGCTCATCTTTACAATGCCTACGTGGTTCGCCGACAACCCAAGCAGCAGGACGGCTCTGGTGATCCCCAAGACTCAGAGGATGATGAGAAATCTTTTCGCAAACGATGGGTAGCGTGGCCTATGCCCGCTTCTCTGGTTCCTCGTGCAGGCGAATCTATTCGCCGCAAACTAGACGGCCCCGACACATTTCGAATGCCACCTGATGTTCGCCCTAGTGGAGAGCTGGAAGAGTGTATCATCGCAACGATGATGAAGACCGCTAAGGAACGGTTTATGGCTAGGCAGTGGGAGGACACGGAAGACCGAAATTCTCCAGAGAAAAAGACTCCGGATCCCGATGCGATGGTGGATGATGATGAAACAAATGATAATGACGAGAAATATGGGCAAAAGCTTGGTCAGCGCATAGGGCAAAAACCAACCATTCAGCTCGACGACGACATCTCTCGCCAGCAATTACGCCCTCTCTCTCGCACCGCCATTTCACAATTAGATCAGCTATTAGTAGGACTTCATCGTTCCCTAAGACATCGAGCCAAAGATGTTTATGACAGCGATGACTCCGCCACCGATACAGATGATGATGGATCACGGTCCCGACATAAAGGTGGGAAACAGAGCCATTCGCGGGGTCGCAAACGGGCTCGTGGGCATTATCAATCTGGACAATCGTCGCGCGACGCATCGAATTTACGGTCATTTCCGCAACCTGACAATGAGCCGGATCGTTCAAGGCAACGCAAAAAAGAATTGCTACGCAGATTTCCCTTGCGAGACTGGGGCGAGGTCATGGGTCTTGCCTCAATGACAGGCCTGCCAGCAAACGCAGTCAAACGAGCCGCGACAAGATGCGCAGATCTATTCGAACAGGATATGACATTTCGAACATTCCACGAAGGTCACATAGAGAAAGTGGCTCGTCTCCCGAACGGTATGTGGGATTATGACTATGTCGAGAGCGACTCCGAAACAGAATCTGGCCGGGGTCCCAAACGGAGAGCCCAGAGTAGGAATACTTCCAGGGGTCTTACACGATCTCCATCACCACAATTTCATCATCCTATTCCCGCGCCCCCGACCGCACCTCCCCCAGTTTCAGTCTCAATCGCCCCTTCGAACCAAAGAGTGGCACCTAAAACCACCCACGCCAGACAGCCTGGCTTTGAGAAAAGAACAGCCTCGACGAGTTCTCGGCCGAGAGACATTTTTTGTCCTGTTCCTTCCTGTAATCGCAGTTCCAAGGGCTTTTCGCGGACATGGAATCTCAACCAACACATTAAGATCAAGCATCCGACATTAGCAGCATCCAGAGCGTTGAAAGCGTTGGGAGTTTCTGAGTCACCTGCGCGATCCCAGAGTCAACCCCCGACGTAGTCGAAAGAGACTAGGACGTGTGTGCAATGCGTTTTTGCGTTTAATGATATCAATATAGCTAGACCTATGTATTTTATAGTTTGATTTTAGTTGCCGGGATACCCTCATGAACTTGCTATCTATTTCCTCGATGTGATTATCCACGAGTCATACATGGCCCACGATGGTCAAAACTCGTATTCCCATAACAGTGTATTGGTATTGAGTGACATTGACAGTGGGTATAGAGTCACATGATATGTAAAATACTGAAATACGAATACACGCAATCTCGACCGCCTCAATCGGTTCGATATCCGAACCAGCATGACCGCGACAAACTTGGGCGGAAACAACGCTCGAATCAAATCATACCTTCTTATCACAAGACATGATTTGATTCTATCCCCATGCGGTCCTCACTTAATCTATTTGCTGCCGTTGCCCGGAGCCAGCCCTCAAAGCTGAAAAAGCCAGCGATCAGTCTAGACCATGTAGGTAGAGGTACCAGATGCATCCATGAGGCAAGGCATGGCAAAGTCCGGGAATCCACTAATAAGTTTAATAGTTTATCCAAAGACAACGCGTCCTGGCATTATGGCGCGAAATTGTCCGAGCTTTGAATAGTACGCGTCTGGCCTCGAGCTCCCTGAAGGCTATCCATGGCACTGGCTTACACGAGGATCTAGAAATTCCCCCTTCATCAACACGGGATGAGCTGCATTCGTATGCTCGCCAGGAATTCGAGCGGCATCGAGGTGTGACGGATGTGGTAGGCTGCCCAGGTGCTTTTCTCATATACTGGATTGAACGCTAACATGGTTCCTAGCCACATATAAGATATTTACTTTCGGTACGATCAACTTTGAATTCTTTGCAATGCTGTACAACCATGCTGACTTTCATAAGACTGGAAAAGCGGAGTTTGACACCATGAGGAGGTATATTGATGAGCAGGTTGCTGGTTGACGCTGCTAGCATTATTTTAAAAAGTCAACCTTGTACCAAGAATAATTGACCATATATCACATTCCTTTAGACATGTTCAGCCAATGGAAATGCATACCGGCAAGCCACTTTTAGAAATTTCATCATAGACCAGGAGTCGGTTATAATCCCTACTAATATGTGCCCTTGCTAGCCAATCAATTACGGGGTGTCGTAAATCCCTAGAGTGGAAGGGCCGGCCCAACCAACAAGCCGCTTGTCAGATGATTTGTAAGTGACACATGAAAACAAGGTGGTTCAAGTTTTTCATTGGTGGGTGTTACCATGGCGATCCTATCAGTGGTAGATGTTTCCTCTATAAACTTTTCCAAGGTTGATTGACATCATAGAATCTTGGTTCCAAGTTGACAGCATAAACATAATTCAAACTTGGCGGCTGATGACAAACAAGAATATTTGAACTCCGACTTGCTCACCCTTTAAACGTCGATATTTCCTTCAAATCAACCTTGCTCACTTTTTTCGATACCAAGACCTTGGGTTATACGCATTCTCCAATCCACGCTTCGCCTCTAGGGATCCCCGGAGCTTACCAGCTTCCCAGCATGATGGCTTCCTCGCTGCCCCCAATCCAGCTCCCTTATATCGACCCCATACTACAATCAGAGCTATTTCCAATGACTCAACCCATGCCAAAGGAACAACCGCCATTATATGAGCTTAACCAATTCGCACCCCAACCTCTCAACCCCTCACCTGCTCCTTCGGGACGCCGACCCACACATGACAATCTCAGTCCCCAGCGAGCCCGACATCTCGAGCGTAACCGAATCGCCGCAAATAAATGTCGACAAAAGAAAAAAGCACAACACCAAGAAATCGAGAAAGTACTAAGTAATGAGACCGCGAAACATGAACACCTTCTGTCCGTGGTGCATAGTCTCCGAGACGAGGTCTGGCGATTGAAAAATACAATATTCGACCACGCAAGATGCGACGACCCCAAAATCAACCTCCAGCTTGCTATAATCACCGAACAAGCCGCTCAAAATAATCTCGCTCCCTTCCAATGCCCATCACCTACATTCTCTGTTAGTACGTTCTCCGAAAATTCGAGTGAGAGGGAACCCAGCGCGCATGAAGCTATTCCGGCTACCATGGCAGCAAAAACGAGTTATGACGAATACCCCGACACGATTTTCGAGACCTTTATTGAGGTGGACTAGGACTAGCTCTAGGCTTTGATGTTCTCGTTTTGATGTTTAAAGTCTGACGTTAATAAAGTAATTGTGGGCGGTTATCGAGCTTCTAGCTACTGTCGTGACGTCATTGACGGGAGACAAAATACAAATACTCCTGGCTATGCCAGGCTACCATCTACGTGTACCTCGTATGTACGACATACTCCTTTGCGTATACACTTATTTCAAACCTTCGATTTTAATTACAATATGGTAGGGTTGCACGGATCATGCAGGGACCCCTGGGTCCCGCTATGAATAACTGTGATCAGATCAGGCCCTGCCGAGGTTTAACACTCCATTGATCCGCATATAGCAGCTGATGTGTAATGGGCATAAATCGCCACCGCTGTATTTCAGGATGGTTCTCGATCCTCTATGTGGGATGGCAGAGCTATTCATTCTCTAGTTTGGGCAACATGTGGTGTATAGGACCCACCCACCTTCATTAGCGGGCGAAAGTCCCAACCAATCGCATTACATTTCGTTGCGGGTTGTGTGGAGATAATAAAGTACAATCTATTTCTACTTGTGGCTGAGGATTCCAGAAAGTCTCTGACCTCAGATTATATAAGTTTCTGCCACCTTTCTGTTGAGTATAAGGCAGTTGAGTTTAAGTGAGTTTAACTGGTGGGTCTAAATGTTGAGTTGAACTGGTCTGAGGAATGCACCAATCATCATGAGCTCTACGGGGACTTTCTCCGACTTTTTCTGGACCCTCGCGTTCGTTTACGTATGGATAAAGGCGGTCTGGTGGTTGTTGGAGACTTTTGGTGCCACAAATACTTGTGAAAGCCACTTACATCAAGGCATGCTACCGCCACCCGAACGTGATCGGAGTAGCTTGTGGATCATGAGGACCTTTAATAAAAACAGCTTGTTTTCTCCGTAATTTTTTTTTCTACAAACTACAAACTACACATTCTCACAAACCACTCACCTCAAACAAAGTCTCCGAACTTTGATAATTGTGTTTCAGTATCATATATCAATAATGTCGCCCTGTGTGGCTGAAGATCCTATCGGCCAGGACATGGCCCGGTTCACCACCAAAACCGTTCTAGGCTCGAAGTTCGAAACAACCGAGAGGTTTGTTTTTCTCTACACAAATGTATTGAACGTATAGTAATGAATCTTGTATAGGTATAAAAATTTGGAGCCCATTGGAATGGGTGTTTCGGGACTGGTCTGGTATGATACCCAGTGTTTTACTCACTGTTATAGAAGCTGACCACATTGCCCCTTTGTTTAGCTCCGCCAGAGACCAGATTTCTAGGCGAACCATTGCTGTTAAGAAACTTGCACAACCTTTCAAATCTCAGAATATTGCAAAACACATGTACCGGGAGGTCAGGTTGTTGAAAACACTAAAACATGAAAACGTTCGTCTCCAGAGTCGTCTCCGAAATGCTCAAACTAACTCTTCTTATCAATAGATTATTCATTTGAGTGATATATTCATCTCACCCTCTGAAGATATGTATGATTTCCACATCCTGCTCATATACCACCAAAAAAGCATTGAAGGCTAACTCAATTCAGATATCTCGTGACAGATCTCATGGCAACCGATCTACACACTCTTTTGAAATCCAAGAAAGTCGATAATCAATTCTCACAATATTTTATGTACCAAATAATGGTAACGAAATCTCTCATCATCAATCATGAACTGCTACTAATCCATCACAGCGCGGTCTCAAATACGTCCACTCAGCCGGTGTCGTCCATCGAGACCTGAAGCCAAGTAACATCCTCATCAACGAAAACTGCGACCTTAAAATATGCGACTTTGGTCTAGCCCGTGTCCAAGAGGCACAAATGACCGGCTATGTATCCACTAGATACTACCGAGCGCCAGAGATAATGCTCACCTGGAAGCGATACAACGAAAAAGTCGACATCTGGAGCGCGGCTTGTATCTTTGCTGAGATGTTACTCGGAGAACCTCTATTTCTGGGCAAGAATCATATTGATCAATTCTGTGTGATCACCAGACTACTCGGCTCTCCACCCGATCATGTTGTTAATCATATTACTAGTCCGAATGTGAGTGCCTGAGCCAGATTTCGGTTTCCAACCTTGTTTTGGAATGCTAATCCTTTCTGCAGACTATGAGTTTCGTCCGTTCTTTACCACAGCACTCTCGGAAACCATGGACAACCCTTATTCCCGGAGTTAATTCGAAAGGTAAGCAGCATGTTCAATCTGACATTCATTTTCACAATATTGACTGTAGCAGCAACGATGCTTTTGGATAAGATGCTCCAATATGATCCAGACTTGAGAATCACTGCCGCTGAGGCTCTTGCTTCCCCGTACCTGGCTCCTTATCATGATCCCAATGACGAGCCGGTGGCGGCAGAGGCTATCGATTGGTCTTTCCTCGATGCTGACTTACCAGCTGATATTTGGAAAACTATTATGTATGTTTCACGGGCCTCATCTTGCTGGAATAGAGCTAACTCGGAGAATAGGTACGCTGAGGTTTTGGGGTATCACCAGGATGGTACATCGCCACCGCCTGCACAAGATTATGAAGGAATGGAAATGGCACAAGGTATTCAATGTTGATGAGATGAGAACGTTTCTTGACTTCTTTCTTTTTGATACCTAGTTTGTCTTTCATTGCCTATTTAGATTGTTAAAGCGTTGATACCAGAGCTTCTAGTAGAGTCAATTTCTTCACGTTGTTATTCAAATGCACTTTGAAATTCAATATTAAGCCATGGAATTCTGCGTGAAGTAATCATTAAAAATATCACCTTGGTAACATGACATGCTATAATAATGCACATGCCATTCCAAATACGTTCTATGAGCTCCACTCGTATGTCTGTAGAGTTTTATATGCCAAGTAATACTGGTATAATAATAGAGTCAAGATATTGTATGGTTGTTGACGTATGGCGATATAATTTATCGCACCTAACATGGTTTTTCCGGACTTCGCAGCTTGCCTACCGATTCCGTTATATGAAATTACTTAGCGTCGCTGATTCGGAAGGTTTCACTACAAACAGGGTTTAGTGCTGAAAGCACGGATAGTTAACCAGCAGTACTGTAGGACTAGTGGGGAAATCATGTGATTTTGGCCATAATAATCGAGTGATAAGAATGTGATAAAAATGATGGTAGGTGCAATCCGAAATAGGCTTAGCTCCCTATTCCCATACAGCTGCTAGCTTCTTATCCACCTGAGAAGAACCATACTCCAAACTCTGCTTCTGTTTTACGAATCTCCGGAAGCACGCTAGTTGAAAACAGGTCTATTCAACCTGCTTAGCAGTCTCTTCAGCCTCGTCATCAGCCTTGTCATCAGAGGTCCTATCAATCGTGTGTTACTTTACGATACCACGTCTCTTTATATTACCTAGACACTGATTTGACATAGGATCCACATACCGACACCATGCGCAGAACACTCCCACCCCCATCTCCCATGATGCGCAAGTTCCTGAACCACAGCGCCTCAGGACACGACTCGACTCAAAGCATATCAACACCTCCTACTTCTTCCTTTGAAAGAGAATACTGTTTTCTCTACGGGACTTTGATGGATCCAGAAACACTCTCTCAAGTCTTAAGAACGCCAGACTCCCTTCCTGTCTTGAGCCGTGCTAGAGTGATAGGCTATGATACTAAGCTCTGGGGCCCCTATCCTGCCCTTATTGATGGCGAGCCACTCCAACCGGTCGATGGTATGGTATTCGAAATCTTGTCAAAAACACAACTTGATCGACTTGAATCCTATGAGACGGACAATTATCAGCTCCAGCCTTGCCTAATCGACATTCTCAATCATGATAATAGTGTTCTAAGTACTGTCGATGGAGTCACATTCATGTGGAATGGCGAAGAAGACAAACTTCAGGAAGGAAAATTTGACTTGAAGCAGTGGAAAAAAGAAACAAGACTTCGAGATCTGGATTAACTATCGAAATAATGCGGAGAAAAGGGTTTTTATTATGTCCAGACTCTTATGGAGAGTTTAATGCAATAGCTGGAATTTTGCTAAGATATGATCTAAATCATGTGCTTTGTAGCTTCTTCATGATTAAGTTTTTAGCCTTTGCTTCTCGCTCCTTTGCCATGAAATTCTGTCTTTCCTCTGTGGTGAGTGTTTTTGTAGGGGCGGGATCAATCAAGCCAGTTTTTCCTCGGAATAAATTGTGAAGAACTGCGTGATCAGAGTCAGGCATATCAAACTCCCTGAGGAAACCTAGTAGACCACGAACATCCTGAGAAAATCGAGATAGCTGTTGGGGATTTGAAATCCCCTGTGAAGAATTGATGAACAACACCACAAATTCTATCCATGGCAGACTTGCTGATTCATCAGACACTCCTGGTGCTTGGCGAAATTCAACGGTATACTTTCCACCACAGTAAAGGTTCGTGAAATTCCAAGCAAAGTATCTCTTTCCATTGTCATTCATCAAATCTGCGAAATCAACGTTGTTTTGACAGTCATCGATGGTTTTTAGGCAATTCCTAAGATCCTTCCCTCGCAGGCGTGAGTTCTCGCGGAGATTGCTGGCAGCATACTCATTGTTTCGTCTATTAGCCGGCAGGATAGTGTTGATGGCGCCCTCAAAATAGAATATGGCACGGCAGATTGACTTAAGGCTGTCAAGATCCCAGGATGTGCCTTCTGGAGGTGAGATGTGCACGTGAAAACCACATGAGGCATTGCTTTCAATTCGACAAATCTTTCTCACAGATCTCAATAGTTCTCGGACATGTTCTCGCCAATCACCTTGCTTATTGTAGGAGAGAATTGGAGAAACAAGTTCCAGCGGCCCTAGTTATGTTAGCTAGCTCAGTAAAGCACGGGTAAGTATTGAACATACATTGATTGCTGTTATCTGGCTTGATTGTTATATCATCCGTGAGAGACCACTCAATCTCTTCCTCCCCTTCGTAAACACCGTCAACATCATTGTGGACTCGAGGCCGAGGACGACGGCTTGCGCGAGAATGGACCGTTTCCAAATCAACAATTAGAGCATTCGCGAAAGCTTCAAGATCTTCGAACTGATCCCTGGTCTTTTTACGGTGGCTGAGTAAAACCTCTAGTTCAATACCGATTCGAAAACCAGTCTGCATTTTGCCCGAGAGTTGAATATGGCGCTTTAGAAACCTTCAGGATTGGGAGCTGCCGCGAAAGGAAAACGGAAAAGACTCAGTCATGCTGGCTGTGGAATTTCGAAATGGATAGTTTGATACGGTAATGGGAAGTTGGTAAAGAGAAATGGAATGACAGGATAAGAGAAGGGGGCGAGAAGAGGGACAAGAGAGATAAGTTAGCAGACACTCGCAACTACCATCACCCTTATTGGGACCATATGGCAGAACGCAGAACCGAGCGTATAGTCATCGATAACCAACGCTCCTTCCGCGACCGATTTAGACAGCCATAATCGGAATGCTCCAAATGACCAAAAGACTTCTTACCTACCGGAAAAGGTTGATCCCGAAAAACCGGACCTGGAAGATAAAGCATAATATCCTTATAGTCTCAAGGTACTTATTATATCCTGGCTCCAAATTCCATGGCACTGATTATCGGTCGCGCAATTACTGGAATCGGTGCAGCTGGTATTATGAGTAGAGTCTTCATTATCATCACTTTCATTGCCAGTCCTAAAAGGTGGCCACTCTTCACTGGTATTATCATGAACGACTTCAGGAAAGATCAATTAGTCTATTATGTATCCCATGAAAACCATCGAATCATACATTCATGTTCAAACTACACTAATATAATTCATATAGAGAATAACACCCCTTTCAAACAGCTTCAGCGGCATCTGCCTGAGAGACCTCAGGCTGCTCCTGCTCACGAGCCTTGTGGTTCTTTCTCGAGTTCGTAATATCCATAATAGCAAAGACATTAGTGAACAAGAAAAGCGCCCTTAGAAATGTCAGAAATGTCCATAGAATCAGAATTCATCTTTCAAGGCCGTACTCACCATTCAACAGCCCCAACAACAATCTGCGCCTGAAGCGCATAACAGCTCGAGTAGGTACACGCGCTCGGGCCAGGAATCAACGCAGCCATGGCAATCCATCCACTCAGCCAAAGGCCCATTGTAACGAGTTCGACAGCGGGGATAACGAACTCGTGTGAGAGGCGCGGAACCCAAAGCGGTGCAAGGCCTAAGTAGGGAACGGCGACAACAGCTGTCCAGCAGCCGTTGAAGAGCATGAAATAGATCACACTTGAGAAGGACCACTCGTCATATAGAGTTCCGATGACTGGCTTGTTAGTATGGTTCATTGCTAGCGGATTTTGAGCGACGAACTATATGCAGTCAGACCAATGGTCGCCAGGGCAAAGACAGCCTGGACGATTCTGACGGGGTAGACCCAGGACAACATATTGGATGGTGTGTATAAGAGGCTGGTGGAATGCGGGTTGGCTCAATGCTCAGGTGTTTTAATATTTCGCTTGGGTGGTTTCCAATGTTTTTATTGTAGAGTCGAGTCGAGGGTTTTCACGTGCTAGATAATCATGTGAAAGAGAAAAAGTAAGGTCCACAGGGGAGATTCCAAGTTTATATACAGCATGTTCTAGGGTTTACATTAGAGATTTGTTAGGCCGAGGCCGTTGGCTAGGGCGAAATTTGGTGTGACTCCTCACGGGAGACCCTGCATCTCAGCGAACCCGAGAGTGGAGCTCGGAAGATCAATAGCTTTCACGGGTGGGTTCCGGGATGAGGGTCCGCCTCAGCATGCACTTGCTCTTATTTCTATGTTTGATCTCCAACATGCAAACATCAATGGATTGAAATAATTGATTTCGTTAAGAAACATGCAAACATTCAATTCCAGCTGGATTGCTAAACAAGCATAGTCAAAAGTATGTTGGTTGAGTATGACGCCAAACTGTCGATCTCACATGCGCACGTGAATCCGAGGTCGAATCGCCGAATGAATTACTAGAGACGGGTCGATCAGCCTTCAATTAGGCCGACTATAAGATGCTACATAGCTCCAGCCCGTGATTTCACGGTAGATCATCCCACGTATGAGAGAGGTGGAAGACACCCATGCCAGGAACCAAAAGCTTGATTAACTTGGGACCTTGAAGTAGAAATGCCCAGTACCTTTTCTTATAGATTGTGACTCGCTTACAGTAAACACCTCAACGAAGATTGGAGAGTAGCTATATACAAAAATAATACAGATCAACTACAAGTATTTTACACGTGCAAGGATTAGACTAGTTCCTCTTCGCCAGCAAAACCTTCACAGCATCTAGAACTCCAACCTTCTTCTCATCCGCCGGCTCAATCGACGCGCGAGCAGCATCAGGCTCCTGAGGCCTCTGTCCAGCCTCCTTCGCTGCCTGCTCAATGGCAGCATGACGCTCACGCCACTCGCGATCCTCCTTATCACGGATCTCGAGCTCCCGCAACCAAGCATCGCGCTTCTCCTGTGATTTCCGCTCTTCCACCGCCTTTTCAAACTCACGGCGCTGCTGACGCTCTGTCTTAAAGTACATACCGCCTGCCACTAGGGCGACGAGTGTGAATGCCTGGGCGAAGATACGGGCGCGGAACATGCGGTTCATTTCGGCTGAGTCGCCGGCTTTCATGGATCGGTAGGCGCGGTAGAGCGCGTAGCATGTGGCGGCGCATCCTGTAGGGGTTAGATGGGGTTGGAGGTAGGTCTGTGGTGGTTTGTAGATGTACCTAGCGGGACCAATGGCTCTTCTTTGAGGCGTCGGGTGAATTTCTGGGCGCCGCTTTCCTCCTCGAAGTGGCTGGGGATTGGATGTTAGTGGTCTCATCTCTGCGTTCGCTCATTCCAACTGCATCATCGGGCAAGATCTGATATGGCATGTCACATACAGGCTACCCTGGGTGGAGTCCATGGAGGACGGAAGGGGTTCGCGACTCATGGCGGATGCTCCGAGGTTGGGATCGTAGCTCGGATATGGCGGTTGGCAAGGATTTTGAGTGCGCAATGGATTGTCGGAGTAGTCGGATAGCTTCCAACCTGGTTAGAACTTGATTGATGCTAGGTGATGGTGGTTATATGGAACATACGAGAGGTGTTCAGCACAGCATGACGTCGACGAGGTTTTGCCAAGGAGTTTTTTTTTCCCGCATAATGCATTGTATGAGCTTATCAGGCAATTTCTAGAACGAGTGGCAACTGGACACAGATTTGATTACATTGAAGATTGAAGATCTAATTTCCTTTCCAGATCAAATTATGAAGTGTAATGTAAATATAACAATATCATTGAAATTTGAATCAAAGCATATCCTTATCTCAAATGTCGCCATTCATTGTATCGCTGACCGCCACCTGCATCTTTATCCTTTATCGGAGTACTTGACATGGATGGGTTCCCTACATCCAAAATACCCCACCATGCTTAGCGGAAATTACTTTAAATGAATGGAAAATCTTCAAATATCCCCAATCAAAGAAACTTGACACCAATTAGTTCCTTTAATCATCATTAGAGGCTTGGGGCTGTGGACCAGGGTTGATGACATAAGGACCGATCCCGGATCCCCGCCAAAAAAAGAGTCAGAGATCAAAGAATTTCTCTGTACAACCAATTCCTCCCCTGAGTCATTGTCCGTTATTTCGAGTATCCTCGGATAGGTCAATTTGTCTTAGGATCACCATGCCCAACGACCTCACCACCAATGGCATCAGGCCCATCACTCCCAAAATGAATGGTTTTGCTTTGACCGAATACACCGCCGCTCCGACGCCTCCCTCAGAGCGCAACCCCCATTTTCCTGGAGTGCCCCCAGATTGGGGAATTCCCGAATCCTGCCTACTTCCCAACGGCTATCCTGATGTGAGTATCACTGCAATCATCCGCTGTTTCCTCCAATTTTGACTTACGGTGACTAGTATCTTCGCCTGATCTTGACATCTCGCGTTTACGATGTTATCGAAGAAACTCCTCTCCACCATGCCATCAACTTGAGTAACCGACTGGAGAGCCGTGTTCTCCTTAAGCGTGAGGATCTGTTGCCAGTCTTCAGTTTCAAACTCCGTGGTGCTTATAACAAAATGGCTCATTTGAACGCCGAACAGCGGTGGAAGGGTGTGGTTGCGTGCTCAGCGGGAAACCACGCGCAGGGTGTCGCTTACTCTGCCCGGAAGCTTAAAATTCCCGCGACCATTGTGATGCCCTCTGGAACCCCGGCTATCAAGCACCGTAACGTTGCTCGTCTTGGTGGGAGCGTGGTTCTTCACGGAAATGATTTCGATGCGGCCAAGGACGAGGCCCACCGGTTGGAGAAAGCGCACGGTCTGACCAATATCCCGCCATTCGATGATCCATACGTTATTGCTGGTCAGGGTACCATTGGAATGGAGCTGCTGCGCCAGGCGAACTTGGACAAACTGGAGGCTGTCTTCTGTGGCGTTGGTGGCGGTGGCTTGATTGCTGGTATTGGTGTCTACTTGAAGCGCATTGCACCACATGTCAAGGTCATTGGCGTTGAGGCGTATGATGCCAATGCCATGGCTCAGTCATTGGATGATGGCACTCGTGTTTTCCTGAAGGAGGTTGGCCTTTTCGCTGACGGTGCCGCGGTGAAGTCCGTTGGCGAGGAAACATTCCGTGTTAGCCGTGATGTGATTGACGAGATTGTCCAGGTCTCCACCGATGAGATCTGTGCTGCCATTAAGGATGCGTTCGAGGACACTCGATCCGTCGTCGAGCCTGCCGGTGCCCTTTCCCTTGCTGGTCTAAAGAAATATGTTGCCAACAACCCGAGCCCCGACGCCAACCGTGAACTGATCGCTATTACCTCTGGTGCCAACATGGACTTTGATCGTCTCCGCTTTGTGGCTGAGCGGGCTGCCCTTGGCGAGAAGAAGGAAGCTCTGCTGAGTGTCAAGATCCCCGAGACACCCGGTGCTTTTGCCAAGCTCATCGAGATTATCCTGCCCCATGCCGTGACCGCCTTCAGTTACCGGTATGCGCAGGAGAATGTTGCTGATGTTCTTATGGGTATTTCGCTATCTGCTATTACTGGGCAGGATGACCTGGCGAAGATTATGGAGGAGTTGGAGAAAACAGGAATGTCGGTTCAGGACCTCAGTGATGATGAGCTTGTGAAACGCCACGTTCGCTTCCTTGTCGGAGGCCGCTCCAACGTGGCGGACGAGCGTCTCTTTATGTTCGAGTTCCCCGAGCGACCGGGTGCACTGGCCAAGTTTCTGACCACTCTCCGCCCCAACCAGAACATCTCCCTCTTCCATTACCGCAACTACGGCGGTGACGTTGGCAAGGTTCTGTGTGGTATTCAGTGCCCTCCTACCGAAAAGGATGAGCTCGAGTCGTTCCTTCGAGACCTGGGCTATCCTTTCAGCGAGCACACCGATTCCCCTACCTACCAGACCTTCCTTCGCTCATAAAGGATTCATATGATTATATGATGCTTTGGTATATATGTGATCGAGACATACCGGAATTTGATGAACAGTGTTTATTTCGGTCTTTTTTTTTTTTCAGCGGCTTAAAAGTGCAACCCCGTCTGTCTTTAGTTTGGCGTCTGGTTTCGAGCATATAGACTATGGCACTGTGATTTATATTATGTGATAGCTATTTCGATATCAATTCATACTCATTAATTCTTTCAAGTGTGTTGATCTAAAAGTTGATATTGTCGCGATAACAGAGTAATTGTTCCAGATCCACCAATCAACATGGGAGCGGGATCGGCTCGGCAAAACACAACCTCCGGCAACAATCTTTCCAGTATCAAGATCGAGACCTCCGGGAGCAGCAAGCGACATCGACCTGCATTGACTTGTCTATTTCTCAGTGCGAGACAACGAGGCCCTGCACCTCACCTTAGTGTCTTCCGAGAAACAATTCCAATCGCCACCATGTTCTCCCTCCGAACCGTCTTCCGCGCCCCCGGTGCTCTCGGCCAGCTTATCCCCTCTGTCTCCCGCCGGTCATTCTCCGGAATTGCCTCGACCCGTCCTATTTCGCACATGATTCAGAGTGGCCTCACGAGGTTGCGCGCTCAATCACAGACATCCAATGCTGTCTCTGCCGCCGTTGGCACCTCCCGGCAGATTGGGCAGGTTCGGGGAATGAAGACTCGGTCTTCGGTGAAGCGCCTGTGTGATGGTTGCAAGGTACGATTGAATAACATATTCAGTTCTGCTGGAATATGTTAGGGATTCCTAAGTGGTGGACACGAGATACTGACTTCAATTGTTCAGCCCGTGCGTCGAAAGAACCGTGTCTTCATCATCTGGTACGATTTATACATTCCCAACTCATATGCTCCGTCGTTTCACCTACTGACGCATTACTTCTAGCTCGAAAAACGCCAAGCACAAGCAGCGACAAGGCAAATAGAGTGAATGGGTGACTTTCCACTTCGGTCTTTCTCCGGCATGCACGACTTTGATACCTTCGATTTCCGCCTCTGCCTATAACTTTGCATATGTGTTAGTCCAGATGTATTTTGGGACATTATTGCGGCGCTTGGGGTCTTTTCTTGTACAATAGTCTCGGGACCAGAGTATGGTCTCTATACTGAATCAATCCAACTCAATTGATCTCTACGTGCTTTATGTATATTGAAGTTGAACCTTCAGTATCCCCTATATTCGGTAGCATATGCAGCATGTCAGTCGCAAATATAATTATCATTACATGCACTAGTCATCAAAATACTGGGGCATGTAATTCGCGGTTCCTGACAGGTCGAGGGTCACGTGTCGCGCGTTCCTGGCTTCCCCGAACTTTTTTTCCGAAAAAACAAGTGCAAATCAATCTGTCTTGATTCGATCAATTCTAGTGTGAATTGATTGTCGCCATGAGGTCTCCTTCCCTTGCACGGTTACAATACCGTGCGGTGTCTGGCCTGGCCAGATCATCCCGTTTCCAGTCTCAGGGCCTTCTGTACTCGCGATGCGCCTCCACGGCCGCTTTGCGGTCTTCCGCCGTCGCTCCGGCTTATCAGTCGGTTTTGAAGACATGGGAACAACGACGTAATGCCTCTGCTTCTGCGTCCGCTGTGTACGTATGAATATTCTCCCTGGCTTGACTGTGTTCTGATCTTTATTCGATAGCCTTGAGGCCGCCGCCGCCAGCCCGGAGACCCTGTCGCAAGCCGCCATTATCGACAACCTCGATCCTGTGGAGGCTGCTCGTTTGGATAAAGTTCGCAACATCGGTATTGCGGTATATACTATCTGATAACATGAAAGACGCTGGACCATCTCTAATGATCTTTCTACGATAGGCCCATATCGACAGTGGTAAGACCACTTGTACCGAGCGTGTCCTTTTCTACACCGGCCGAATCAAGGCTATTCACGAGGTCCGTGGACGTGACAGTGTCGGTGCGAAGATGGACTCCATGGATTTGGAGCGTGAGAAGGGTATCACCATTCAGTCTGCTGCCACCTTCTGTGACTGGGTCAAGAAGGACAAGCAGGGACAGGATCAAAAGTACCACATCAACTTGATTGACACCCCCGGTCACATTGATTTCACCATTGAAGTCGAGAGAGCGCTGCGCGTTCTGGACGGAGCTGTCATGATCCTGTGTGCCGTGTCTGGTGTTCAGTCTCAGACCATCACTGTCGACCGTCAGATGCGCCGTTACAACGTTCCTCGCATTTCTTTCGTCAACAAGATGGACCGTATGGGTGCCAACCCCTTCAAGGCGATTGACCAGATTAACACTAAGCTCAAGATTCCCGCGGCTGCCGTCCAGGTGCCCATTGGTGCGGAGGATCAGTTTGAGGGTGTTGTGGATCTGATCCGCATGAAGGCCATCTACAACGTTGGTGAGAGTGGCGAGACTCTCAAGGAGACCGATGAGATCCCTGACAAGGTCAAGGATATCGCTGTTGAGCGCAGAGCCAAGCTCATTGAGACACTTGCTGATGTCGATGACGAGATGGCCGAGCTCTTCCTCGACGAGATCGAGCCCACTGAGGACCAGATCCGCGGTGCTATCCGCCGGGCTACGATTGGTCTTAAGTTCACCCCTGTTTTCATGGGTTCTGCTTTGGCTAACAAGTCCGTCCAGCCTATGCTGGATGGTGTTATTGACTTCCTTCCCAACCCCTCCGAAGTGGAGAACCTTGCACTTGACAAGAAGCGCGACGAGGCCTCCGTCAAGCTTGTTCCCTACAACTCCCTTCCTTTCGTTGGTCTGGCCTTCAAGCTGGAAGAGAGCAACTTCGGTCAATTGACCTATATCCGCGTGTACCAGGGTACTCTCCGCAAGGGCGCCAACGTGTTCAATGCCCGCAACGACAAGAAGGTCAAGGTGCCCCGTATTGTGCGTATGCACTCCAACGAGATGGAGGAAGTTAACGAGATTGGCGCTGGTGAGATCTGTGCCGTGTTCGGTGTCGACTGTGCCTCCGGTGATACCTTCACCGACGGACAGCTCGGCTACAGCATGACATCCATGTTCGTCCCAGAGCCTGTCATTTCGCTTTCCATCAAGCCCAAGCAGAGCAAGGATGCTGCCAACTTCTCCAAGGCCATGGCCCGTTTCCAGCGAGAGGATCCTACTTTCCGTGTGACCTACGACAACGAGAGCGAGCAGACCATCATCTCCGGCATGGGTGAGCTTCACTTGGACATTTACGTTGAGCGTATGCGTCGTGAGTACCGCGTTGACTGCGAGACCGGTCAGCCGCAGGTCGCCTACCGTGAGACCATTGGTCACCGTGTTGAGTTCGACCACCTGCTCAAGAAGCAGACTGGTGGTGCTGGTGATTACGCCCGTGTCATGGGATGGATGGAGCCCACTGGTGCTCTGGAGGAGAACAAGTTCGAGCAGCAGATTGTCGGTGGTAGCATTTCCGAGAAGTTCCTGTACGCTTGTGAGAAGGGTTTCAACCTCTCTTGCGAGAAGGGTCCTCTCGTTGGCCACAAGATTCTTGGTACCCGCATGGTCATTAACGATGGTGCTACTCACATGACTGATTCCTCTGAAATGGCTTTCAAGAACGCCACCCAGCAGGCTTTCCGCAAGGCTTTCATCGAGAGTCAGCCCGCTGTTCTGGAGCCCTTGATGAAGACTGTGGTGACCGCTCCGTCCGAGTTCCAGGGTGACGTTATCGCCCTCCTGAACAAGCGTGGTGCCACCATCAACGACACCGAGACTGGTGTCGATGAGTTCACTATCTACGCCGACTGCAGTCTGAACGGCATGTTCGGCTTCAGCTCCAACCTCCGCGCCGCCACCCAGGGTAAGGGTGAATACACCATGGAGTTCAGCCACTACGAGAAGGCTCCTCCTCAGGTGCAGTACGTTGACCCCCTCCCTTATTAATCTCTTTGTACTAATCAATCTTTGCGGTACAGAAAGGAACTTATCGCCAAGTACGTCAAGGCCCAGGCCGACAGAAACAAGAAATAAGCCCATCACCAGATTCATCGTCCGGTCTGATCTCCACCCGCCTTCTCCCGACATGTAAAATTTATTCCCCATCACTCTCACCTGGCCCGGCGGGGCCAATTCCACTCTACAATGGAGATCAGGTACAGCATAGACTGTTGTTTTTCTATAGATCGGGCTTTTGTTCATTGTTCGCGGTGTTGCGTGGACTCAAAATCACTCATGTACTTTCTGCGTCATGGCACTATATCATCTCGCGCGGCTTTTTGGGATATGTACTTTAAATTATTAGATATTACTTTCTACTCTCCTGTCTGAACAATCCAATGTCTTCCACGTTGAATATCAATCAAGATTCCACATCCACATGTAGGTTGAAAGATAGATAGACTAATCATCATTGCTTGCATTCCAGAACACCGAACATATACAGCCCCTACCACACTAAATACACTTCCATCAGATAGAACTAAGACGAGTGCCACGAGATGGTGGCCGAATCATGCCAACAATGCGGCACCGGAGCCGTCAGCCACCGTGGCGTCACCTCCTCGTCCACCAAATTGACCACAGGCTTAAGTAAATCAAACGTACCCCACTCTCCCTCAAGCGTTACAGTGAAGGGGGAATCACGGGAGTAAATATCCGGGAATACCCTCTTCCAACCCCTCATCGCCACATCTAGAAGCTCAAACACAAACAACGATGCATCCATCGACTCCCATTTAAACTTTTCATCAACTCTCTTCACCACGTCAGGGCTATACAGACCAATCTCAGGATTCAAAGGGTATGCCGCTGCTGCAAGAAGAGAAGCAAAGACATGATATGAGCCCCCGTTCCGCGCACGGTCTCGAATAGACATCAACGCACCCAGCGCTCCTATAAGTCCCGTCATCATATCTGGAATGGGCAATGAAGGGAGAATTCCTCTTCCATCTGTATGGCCTATTGCTCGTGCTGTCACGTATGATGCACCTGAGGCTGCATCTCCCACTTGCTGCCACCCTGGTCGAGCGCTGAAGGAGCCATCTGGTCCGTAGCAGTTCTCTTCGACATAGACGATTCCCTTTCCTCTCTTTCCTGCCATTTCGAGGAGGTCTGGAAGACTGAGTCCATTCTTGGCGATGACCCCGGGACGGTAACCCTGGATGAAAATATCGGCTTTTTGAACGAGGCTCATTAATCTTTCGACGTCTTGATCTTTTTTCAGGTCGATGTCGATTGTTCGAACTCCCGCGTTGAGGGTTAGTTGAAGTGACTGGAGTTGAATTGTTAGCTGGCTAGCCGCTCTTAGCAATAGAGAGGATACTGACATTGATGTCAGGAAGCCTGCTGCAGTTGACACGGATGACATCCGCTCCAAGTGCTGCGAGGGTAGTCCCAATGACGGGTCCGGCGATGATCCGCACTAATTCAACAACTTTGATCCCCGCCAATGGACGCTTGTCAGAGGCTAGATGCGGCATGGGTACAGGAGGAGTTGATATAGCGTGTGACTGGAGCTTGTAGTTGACCAGCGGATGCCGAGATAGCTGCTTGCTCATCTCGGTCTCCCGCCATCCCTGTGGAGTGTAGACGATATTCCCACAAAGGCCCAGCTTGACCATTTTCATTTCCAATTCATCAGCGCCGAATTGCTGCACACACTTGCTGATGATATCATAAGCCTCTTGGGGTGTGCTGCAGGGCATTTCAGGATCCAATCCGATTGCCTTGAGAACCGGGATAGCATTCAGAGATCCATGAAGCTGGTACCAGACTCCAGGTGTTTTAGTAGGGTAGTTCGCAGTAGTACGAACTCGAAGAGGAGCTGCAAATGCTCCTTTCTCAAAGTCAGTCTTGTAGACAGCGCTGAGTTTACCGGCTTTCGTCATCTCGGGTATATCCATTCCATTCAACTTGACGAAACCAACAGTTCCAAGCCAAAGTGCAGCATGGTCTGTGTTGATTACCATGCGTTGGTGAGAACTTTCCTTCTCAGCCTCCCGGTCGTTGATTATTTCGTTTGCAACGATTCCACACATGGCGTGCAGTGCAGCTGCAATCTGGGGAGCTTTTATGGGCCCAGGAATTATTGGCTCTGCACTCCCTTCAAAGCTCACAGTTTCCCACTTTGCAAAATCCTGAGTAAAGCCTGGGGTGGCTTTGGCCAACAACTTGAAGATGCGACTGGCATCATCGGGTACTGGGAGGGGATTTGTGTCGATGAAAGAACCGGAACCATAGATTTCGGGGCTTGGAATGATATGAGCCATAGTGAGGTTGTATTAACAGAAGACTAGAAGAGAAAGGATGCAGTCAGGACTTCTACTACTCAAGATAGGGGTATTTATAGCAGATTTGAAAAGACCTAGTCATTTCATTTTCTTCTTTCTCATGCTACTCTTCATTGTCTACCCAACCGGATTCTTCAAGATTGCGGGGTAAGGTATGAATGTTTCTTGGAAGCAGTATATCATGTTGATCCAAATTTTACGCTGTTTTACCGTTTGAAGTCATTTTTCAGTTGTGGTCATTCCTTGCTACAATTCCACCACCAGCATTACAATGAGGAATTTACCCTTTACGGATATTTCTTTTTACGGATATTACTACAAACAGTTTAGCTGCCTTGGATTTGATTGGCCGTTATAGTCTCCGCTTGTCTACATGTATGAAGTGGACCTTATCAACATGAGTTTCATATTCATTCGAAGTGGAGTAAGAATGGAGAGGTGATAGAGGAAGAAGCCTGATGTCAATCTCTCATCCATGGAGCTTGTATCACATGGAGGAACGATATTCAGCGACTCTCAATGCTAGGTTAAATCAACGAATCCGGGATTCAAAATCAATTGAACATTTTAGCTATGTTGTCTACCCCTCTACTACTTGGGTACACTGCAGACTTTTTGGACATACATTCGAAACCTCGACCAGATTTTTGGTTCTTTCCCCCTTCTCCTTCCACTTCATTTTTCTTCTCTTCTCCTTTTTTCTCTTTATCTTCTATTCCGCTATGAATGAGTTTGGAGAGCCCTTTGGCCCTTTGATTAATACGGTACGAAAGAAGGTCGAATACTGGATAGGATACCGAGTAGAAGACTAAGTAGGAGACTGAGTAGTAGATATATTAGGAGGTGAGGTCTAAAACTGGAAAGCCTCTAGTTCACCGTTACTGCAGGACACTATACCGCCCGTAAGTACTCCACCCAGCACCCCGCATCCATCTTTCGGTTATATCTCCTTAATGAACGGGGCCAGCAATGCCCGTGCCCCCCAGTAAATGCAAGCGATGCCAAGAAAAGCAAATCAAGGTATAACTCATCCGGAATTGTTGAAAGTCATCTGATTAGTCATTAGTGTGATGAAGCCCGGCCAAAATGTCACCGATGCACCAGTGCGGGGATTGAGTGTCCTGGCTACGCGCAGCACAGATTTGTGGATGAAAATTCAAGATTGAGACGGCGTTACGGCAAGGGAAACCGAGCTCGCAATGAGAAAAATACGTCGTCCTATCACAAGAATGGCTTTTTGTCTTGGCGAGTTGGAATGCAATATCGAAGAAGCACTAGATCCGTGAACCCCAGCCGGGATATCACAAAAGCACGAGACCGCTCTTTTGTGCACTCCGAAGATTCGGCATTACAGACGGCAGAGCATGCGACTGCCTTTGAAGATGGAAATGATGAGACAATATTGGAAAGCGACCAGCCATTTGTTTACCAAACTGATCAAGGGCAGAGTGGGACAAGACTGAACCACCTACAAATCTCTACCTTTCCATCGATTTTGGAAAATTCTGAAAGTTTTGGCGATGGGCAGCCCACGGAGCGCTATCTGCCACACCCCGGAGATCTCTCTCAACAAAATGTAAAGACCAGGCCCGATGAGACTTGCTCAGACTTTATCGGGAATGAATTTGAGGTTCAATACCTTCTTCGACATTATTCTAATGTGATAGGTCCTTGGTAAGGATTAAAAACACCTCCCTATAACGATTTATTGACCGGAACAGGCTGGATTTGTCAAACTCGGATCAATTCTTCACGGTCCATGTGCCGATTCGAGCGAATGACAACTTGAGCCTCAAATATACAGTAGCCGCTTTTGCAGCAAAGCACTTGGGAAGAGTCAAAAGTAGTCGATCTTCTTCGAGATTCGATACCTCGACAGGACTTGCAAATATGAACATACAAGAAAATGGTGTACAGATCGATTGGTCCCTACGAGCTGAACATTATCACAAAATGGCAACTGCCGAGTTGAGCCATATCACATTAAATTCTTCCCTCTCCGGTTCCAGCATGGCAACTTCTGTCCGTAAGTGGATGACATCGGATCATGGTTATCATAGCTTGGATTTGATTGAAATCCCACGTGATGTTTCCAAATTGCGAACAACAGAGGAGCTACTTGTATCACTTGTGCTTCTGACGCTGTACAAGTTGATAGATGAAAATGCAGAAAACTGGCCGCAGTAAGTTTCCCATTCTTTTTGAATCGTCCCATTCCCTCATTCTTATCTTCAGGCATTTGTCTGAAATTGGGCCACTATTTGAAACTATCCAAAACTTGCACACCGACCCAAGTCCGATCTTCTCCCTTGGAATCCAAGCGGCTTTCTGGACCTTTGTTCGACTAGATCTCTTCAGCTCCTACTTTAACCGATGTACATCCTATCTCGATCCAGAAAATCTGACACTATGGCGGGCCGCGGGAATAAAAATCGACGACGGAGGAGGATTCCAACTCCCACTACGAGAGGGAGGCTTGATCCAAGAGTATCAGGCTGCCAATGTGGGATTATGGCTGGTCTTTAAGATAGTCAACTTTCTCGCGAAGCAAAAACAAGCACAAATGGCCCGATGGGTTGGATCACCACCTATAAGCCTGGACGGCCGAAGCGTTCAATCTCCCAACCAGCACCCATTTCCCGACCCAGCAGTCTGGCTACGTCTCTGTTTTGAGCTCCAGGCATGGTTCGATTCACTCCCAGAGACATTTCGTCCGTTTCTACGCACCGAAGAGCCAAAGGATCCTTCTACAATTGAAAGAAAGCCCATACCTGAAATATTCTACGGCCGCTCAGCCTGTGCTGCGGCAATACAGCACTACCACTTTGGACGGATAGCGCTTCTTCTGAACCAGCCTATGGATCCGATCAATAGTCTGAGTACCTCTTTTGATCGACTGCGCGGGTAACGAGAGGTCTCTAGAGAGGTTGAGTTTCATACTCGCGAGATTTGCGGCATCGCGTTAGGCCGTCCACCGGATACTGTGCGGATATTCATGATACCAATCTTGTTTGCTGTTGGGCAATGTTTAGAGAATCCAGATGAACATTTATTCGTCGTGAATCTTTTGAGATCTGTGGAGACGGATCTTGGAGGGGCCACTGATTACACCATTCAGAGGCTGCAGGCATTTTGGAGCAGTTGGCACCGCAAATGACCACTCGATCCAACTTTTTCCGAACTTATTCATTGTACTCAATGGAATTTGAATGCGTGTTGTGTGTAATGAGGAGCTTTCAATAGAAACCAAACCATCCAAGTTCCATAATGAAATATCGGCACATAAAGCATAGATAATTTCTGATTTTGTTACTTGTATAGCTACAAGGGCCTAGTTCGTAACTAATAGTAGTCTAGATATCTTCCCATCTTCAAAATAGTTGATATATTTTGATTGTTTTCTATTTCAATTTGAGCTCTCTTTCTTTCATGCTGATGCTCAAAGCCAGCTATCCCTGATATCTTGCGCGGTAAATTCCATTTCCATGTTCTCAATCTAAGATGAATAAGTCAGTTTCAATCACAACATCGATGAAAGGGAAAGAACAAGAAGCAAGCCTCCATAATCCGAAGACGAATAAGATACCGTACTATCGATACGCTGTATCATCGGCTGTCCCTGTATCTGTATCATTTCCTGTTTCTGCAAACGATTAGTCCCTGAAAAAGAAACCGAATTCATAAGCGAAGCAGGATCAATAATCTCCGCTGCAAATGACGGAGGCAGAGCCCCCGTATTCGCCATTAACGCTCTCCTCTCCGCGTTGGTAAGCATTGTAAGATCCTCACTGATATTAAATGACCAGCAGACCGTCCTACTAGACACATCGTTCGCACTCTCGATTCTACGGCTCGGCTCGTCATACAGGAAGTAGGGCTTTTTGAAGGAGCGAAGAGGTTTAGGGGCGGGGACTTGGTACCAGGAGTTTCGCTTCGGTGTTGGCGTCTGAGGTGGTTCGCACTTCGTGGCCGAAGTCCGAGAGGGAGTACGGAAGATGGAGGGAACTGTGATCCTGGGACGTTTGGGTCGAGCTTTCTTGCTAGATGAGCTTGGCTCGCTTGGCTCGCTGGATTCGGGTCGGTGTTTTCCGGAGCAGGAAGTTTTGTCGCCGAGCTGGGAGGCTCTAATCTCCCATAGTGGTTTATTTTCTTCGTCGCGGATTTGGTAGTGCTTCAGTAGAACCAGGGCAATATTGATGTGGGGTTCTTGGTTGTTGGTCATCTGGGTTAAGCGGCCGTCTAGATGCTCGTCTCGGTTGTACAGTACGCTTTCGAGGAATTCTCCGATGTTGCTTGCTGTGACACCCATAATGACCCACATTGTGAGTATCTCGCGAAGATTGCGTACGTCGTCGAGGTCCCAGACTACAACATCTGTCCAATATCGGTCACGCTTCGGTGTCTGTGTCTGAGTTGGTAAGTTGTATATCAGCGGAAATCCAAAAACTAAGAGACTTGTTATCAGTACTTACGCTGATAGGTTCACAGATCACCCAGTTTCGATCCTGGATAGGGCTGGGCGAGGGAGTGGTGTCTGTTGCTTTTTGTTTTCCTTTGCCTGAACTGGGTGTGCAGTTGGCGGGGGATTTCTTCTTCCCCATAACGTGTCTTTGATCGGATGCTGGGGTTGGAGTAACCAATTCAGATGCTGCACACCTAGTGAGAGGGTTAGTTGATCTGCGGATGGCACCGGTTCTGGTTGGAAACGAGCGAAGTTGAGCTGAGTGGGTGGTGAGCTGAGGATCGTTCATCAGGAAGACGTACCCAGTCTAAGACTAGATAGAGAGGCATCAGATTGAAATTCAGATTGATTCAGTGTTTGCTAGTCTAGATCTAGTGGGGGAAATAGAGCTGTAACATGGACACCTTGTTTCGTGGGAACACTGGAGACTATATATGCGGGTATACCACCATTTTTTAATGTTTCTATTTTCGGTTGCATACAAATCCCAAAGGACAAAGCCAGCCCGAGGAGCGTATTTCATTCTTTCATCTGTAGATTGAATATAATTGTAATGATGAAAGAATGACCTTGGAATAGCACAAAAGAATGTTGCCTCGCATATCAATAAGCAGTCATTAATGCAACATCTTTGTTGACTTTGAGCCATTTATTTGATATAGATGTTTGGTTAGAGCTGAAAGGTGCCAGAGGGCAGTGTATGATGAATATCTAATTAATCATTGCAAGAAAGCATAGAAAGACATTATGTACAATAGCGGATACGTCAAAAGCTTCATTAAGACAGATATGGTCGTTCGTGAGAAGTGAAGTAGAGGCCAGCAGCATCAGGCCGTAGGGTATAAGTAAGCACGCTATGCAGGAGACCCGGAATGGAGGCACCTGTAGACGAAGACATGGAACATGGAATGAAATATGGCACCATACGAGTGTCTCATAAGCTGAAAAGGAATCAGAGCCAAAGGATCCACCGTGCACCAGAAATGGCTCCTCGAAACACACCGCGCACTAATTTGAAGCCCATAACGATTAGCCAGACCCACCACAGCATGCCAACAAGAGCCCATTCGAGTGCAACGAAACCGGCACGTCGCACCCAGCGCAATCGGCGGCGACGCTTTCGAAGACCTCGATCAAGCGCATCGCTGAGTGATTTCACGGCCAGCGTGCTGGTTGTATTGAGTTGAACACACAAGTTCTCGGCTTCATCAGCCGTGGCTCGAACACGAGGCGTCAGGTTTTGGCCGATGAGAATTTCCAAGTCTTTCAACTGGGAGTGGAGAGGTGAGGAGGTAGTGGTTGTGAAGTGATGCATGGATTGCTGGAATGAGTATTGAGTCATTTCAAACCGGCGCAGGAAATTCTGAGCGGCAAGGTCAACTTCACCAATCCTGGTTACTCGGGGGATAGATGCAGTGGAACCCATGGAGCTTTGAAGCCAATGGGGAGGTGGGTCGCGCACACTGTGCGCTCGCCGGATGATCTCCCGGGCTTTAATGCCGGACGATAGGAGAAGGGTTCGGGTTCTTTCAACTTCCGCCCTCCCAGGAATGCCGGAGTCGTTCAAGGATTGCAAACTGCGGCCTGAAATACTCCAGGCACGGGTAGAACTTGAAAGAGGTAGCCTTTTCTTTGTCGGAGATCCAGGGGAAACCTGAGCAAGGCCAGTGACAGGGGGGCGAGTGAGGCTGAAAGGGACCGAGCGATCCTTGATTTCGTGCGGCTTACGACCACGGCTTGCACTCAACGCAGGGCCGAAATCAAGGGTTTTGCTTCGGGATAAACCTGTTCTCTTGGATGCAGTGCCACGCTCCTGAGGACTGTCAAAGTCCACTGCTTCACTCTGTCCGCTTCTTTCATCTTGTCGCAACGGGGATGTGAAACTTGGTAACGTCGGTATGAAGCTTCTAGACGGAGTTCCCTTCTCCGACTCCCGACGAATAAGGCGCCCAGGCTCATCTGCAAGATGGCGCCGCAGAAGACCCTTCCGCTTATCCAATCTTTTTTCTTCTTCGTCGGAATCGCTAGAGTCAGATGCAAGCGTGTCCGCAGACGAAGATTTGCGGGAGTCAGGGGGTAAATCCTTCTTCAAAATAAGATCTCCAACCTTGGAAACTTCATTCCCAACAATCTCTGCTATCCGACCAGGGCCCTTGAGAATCCCACGCAGCTTAGACTCGCCGGAATACTGACCCTTGCGTCCTCTGTAAGAGTCCACACGGTGACTTTCATTCATACCGTCATCATTATAAACGGAAGACACAATATCGGGAAGAGGGCTTGGCTCAAGCCCCGAGGCAATTTCGGCTTGCTCAGATGGAGGCGACAAGGGATTAGACGTCACACTGTCCAGCTGCGAGTCCTCGGCTCCGTTCTCTCCAATATCTCGGTCTCCTTGCTTGCTCTTGCTTCGTTCATGGCGCGCGACAATCTTGTGGCGGAGACCTTTCTTGGCAGGCGAGGGAGACCGACTCGAAGGCGGGGACAAATTGACAGCGATGCTGGGAAAGTAACTAGCTTGAGCAGGAGAATTGGGAACTGAGCTGTCCATTCCCTCTAAGGAAATTCTTGTGTTCAATCGATCCTCAATGCTTCCAGCCGAAGACAACGAAGCTTTTCTGGCAGCATAGTTCCCTTTCATAGCTTTGGATGTGTGTGCTCCAGTTGCGGTGGATCTTTTGCGGGATATCCGAGATTCGGATGAGTCTGCCAAACTACCGTGAAGCAACTTTTCAAGGTCCTTGCGCGAATGCTCCAACGTCGAATTTTTTCGATCCACCGACTCGCGACGCTCTCGACTGGAATCACTGGAAACGCTACCTGAGCGCATTTTCATCTTATCCCACCGTGAGCGCTTCCGCGAACTAGAAGCACTACGGCTTCGCAAGCCTTGGGCATGGGTTTGAAATCTGTGTCTTTGACGGCCCTGATTCAAGCTCTTGAACTCAGCCGTGCGAGCAGGATGAGAACTCGACATGGATGTATGCCTAGAGGAGTGTCCATCGTCTGCAAAGTGTTCCTGATTGACCGCCAAGTGCTCTTTCTGCGCAGCGGCGAGCTCGGCCTCGGGATCCAACAATGCGAGCTCCGCGGGGTCTGGGTAGATCTTGTTACCATCCTTGTCGACGATCTTGGCTTTGTTAGATAAATCCTCAACCCAAGCAACATCTGCGATTAGCTCTGCCGGTGATATCTTCCAGTCAAGTCGCAATCGAGGCGCTTTCACGCTATTTGTACGGCTCACGCGTCGCAAACTCGATGGTGGCGACGTGGCGAGGATTTCCATGTCCTCAGGATCTCCCTGGGACGTTTGCCAGTGGCTTTGCTTGAAAGAAGGAAGCTTGATAGATTGTGTTTCATCGTAGGTCTGGTGATTGTACTGTTCTTCGATGGTGCTTATCCAATCATGTACCTTCCCAGTATCATGCCAACCTTCTGCCTCTGCATTAATAGGACACTTTTCCCGATATCTGATTCTTCTGTTTCGGATAATTTGCAAGGGATTGTAGCCCCGATGAGCTGCCGACCTCTGACCCGAATTTGACAAAGAATCTACATCGTCAGTAGCCGGACCGTTCCGAAGAGGGGGGAGCAAAGGAAGCAGTCGTAGGTATTCATGAAATAGGTCGAAATGGCGGCGAGCCTTCTCCGCACGAGCAAGGGTGCTATCAGAGAACTCGTAGGCCCGGGTATCATTCACTACAGCAGCTGGTAGGAACTCTACCACTGGAGACTGGCCACCTGACTGTGGCGCACGAGACAACTCGTTTGGAAACTGGGTATAATTGCGATGTGACAAGTCGTACGAAGCACGATTTCCGATTGAAGATGGACCCTGTAGGTCCACAGGTCCCGTGATAGGCTGAGAGACAGATAATGGCCTGCGTCCATTAGATCCCACAGGCATTCCAGAAATATTCCTCCTTCGAGATTCATTCAAATTGAGTGCCAAATTTACAATCTGCAAGGAGTCCCTATCAAGCCCCCTTGTATTCTGTTGCGTATCATGCACTGGTGGCTCGGCTGTTGAAGAGCTTTGAGATCGTTGATCATCAGGGGGCGGTGTCGAAGTCTGTAGGGTCACTGTCGGTGTTGTTGTTGCAGCAGCAGCTGACTCGGAGGCGGAGTTCTTGTGACGATTCCATCGAAACCGAGATCGCTTCTTGGGTACGACGATACCAGGATCGGGGGTATTTCGTCTCTCTGGAGGCAGAACCGATGGACGCGGGTGCTGCGAACTAATCCTGGTGCTATTGGATCGAGGCAAGGAATCCAGCAAGAAGCCACCCGAGCTTTGTGTTCTGCGTGGGTTCAGGGTTCTTCGATCCCCATCGCGGGAACTGCTGCCTAGTGTAGTCCCTTCGAGCTCTCCACTTGTTCGGCCATCACTTGGTGGTATAGCTCGTCGTCCGAATGAGCCATAGGATCGTTGATATGGCGATCGTCTGTCTTCGGACATGCCATACTGTTGGTCATTCGCCGGGGACCCTGAATCCCGCTCGGGAGGGTGATCTGCTCGCGACGACATCAAAGCCAGGGGGAAGGGCGAGAGGTGTAGATTGCCACGCCCTTTGGGGAGGCAAAAGGCATGACTTGTTAGCAAATATGAATCATGGATACGAGAAAGAAAAGGTCAAGTTCAGAGCCAAGAAATGTGACACTGGCGGGACCTAATGCTAGGGTCTGCAGGACGTAATGATCTACATCGTTGCGCGTCGAGCTTATCTAAGCACTTTATACTTCGGTCGCCACTCAAGTGCTGGTTTGGGGAAAATTGGGGAACATGCATGTGGGTGATTATTGACCTTATTCCGGGGGTATTTAATACGAAGCTCTATGTTCTCTATATATTCTCTATATTTTACTGTTGAGGCTGCTGAACAAGGAACACTCGAGTAAAGAAACCGACAGCTAGTTCTCCGCTAAAGAGTAAAAAATATTAGGGCAGATGTGACCTGATGATTACTGGCACATAGGAAAACCTCTAGTATTTGGGTCTAACGCAAAAGTACAAGTAGACGTACAGTTCCTGTGGACAAGACGGAGATGTACAGGATAAATTGAAATCAGGATCGCTCAGAAAATGCGCTTACTCAACCCGCAAGCACTGGAGACGGGCCTCGGTCTCGATCACCTATAAAGAAAAATATGTTAGATCATGATTGTGTTAGGGAAAACGGTATAACTCACCTCGAGAGCCTGCTTGACTTCAAGTACCCGGCGAACATCAGCCAACCAATCCTTGCTCAGAATCTTAGCCCAGCCCTGAAGGGCATTCATCTCACGGGCCGCGGCATCGACCTGTCCCTCTTCCAACAAGCTCTCGGTACGGACCAGGATGCTCTCCACATCGTCACCGTCGGCAAGGGCATCCTTCTTGAACATGACCTTGCTCAAAACCATGCTAGCAGCGTGGCTGGCGATACCAGCGTCCTCGGGCAACAAGCTGGCCTTGCGGACCTCGCTGGCAACCCTGCGGAAGCGCTCGATAATCATGGCAGTCGAGGGAATGCCACGCTGATAGGCAGTGGGGTTGATGGAGGCAATGGCAGCATCGACAACTGGATCGTCAGCAGCCAGCTCCTTGACGGCAACCAGCTCACGGACGAAGGGGCGGGGAGTCTCGGTGCGCTCAACAACAGAGCGAACGGCATCCACAGCAACCTGAAGCTGCTGAGTCTTCAGGTTGGTATCGATGACATTGCTCCAGCCGGTAGTCAGCTTCTCAAGCTCACTGATGTTGGCAGTAAGCTCATTCAGCTTGCTCAGACGGCCCTCGCGCTCGCGCTCAACCAAATCCTGGACATCGTGGACGTATTTGCGGTTCAGCTCAATGGCCTGCTCCACAAGTTCGTTCTGTAGGCGCTGCTCAGCAAGCTCCTGGGCGCGCTGAAGCTCCACATTGATCTTGTTCTGGTAGGCCAGAGCGAGCTTCTCGCGCTCGGACTCAAACTCCTCGCGGAACTGAGCAATATCAGAGGCACGCATCTCCTCGAATTGACGGATCAGCTCCTTGGCAGACTCGTCAAAGGTGGAGTGAGCCTTGTTGAGCTCCTCTTGAGCGGCAGTGCGAGCCTCGGTGCGGATCGCGGAGATCTTCTCACCGATTTTTTGCAGCTCCTCTTTAGCCTTGGCGACCGGCCCGGAGTACTTGCCAGCATTCTCATCAGCGCTGATCACTGTAACAATGTCGTTGAAGGTCTTGACCAGCTCCTGAACCACGGCCTCGTCGCCGTCCTGAGTCTTCAAGAACTCAATGGTGTTCACAGGAGCAACAGCGGGCTGCCGGGGCTCATCGAGAGAGACGGCCTTCTTCTCCTCCTTCTTTTCTTCCTTGGGCGCAGACTTTGAGGCTTTGTCCGCCTTGGCTTTGACAATAGTCGCGTTGCCATCCTCGGACTTAGCCGCCTCGGGCTTGGAGCTCATGTGTGGACCGCTCTTGGAAACGTCACTACCAGAGTCCTCGCTTGCGACCTTCCACGACAGGCCGCTGTTGCTAGGGATTGTGACGGGCTTGTCTTCCGCCCGGGGAGCAGCAACGATGTGTCTGGAGGCATTGGGGAAGCGGCGGGAGAAGTCACGCTCCTCAAAATAGAGAACACATTCCTCGCCGTATGGAACGTACTCGGTGAAGAAATCGTGGAAGTTGTCGGACTTCAAAGCGAGGAAGACGCCGCCGCCGTAGGTGAAACCGGAGGTCAAAATCAGGTATAGCAGGAACCGACGGAAGCGACCGGTCTTGCGAACAGGTGCTGGTGACTCAGGAATCTTGGATCCTAAACAAGCCTGTATTAGTGCATGGAATATATGTGGTGGACTAAGCAAAGAGGCCGGTGGTACCTTGTTCTGTGGGTTTCGGGATGCTCCCGTGGGGGATAGTCGAGTCAGAGGGTGTAGCAGGTGTAGGGGCAGTAGGGGCAGTAGGGGGCTTGGAGTCGGCAAAGAATCGCTACAGAAGAACCAATTGTTAGCAAAGCAGTGCCGGTATGTATGTGCAAGGTGTTGCCGTACCTGACCCGAGAGACGGCTGCTCGCACCAGCTTTAGACAGCCATTGCGACGGGATGCGTTGGCGAACAGGAGACGACAGCAACTGCCGACTTGGTGCAAATGAAGAGCGCAGCATGACGAGCCGCACAATCGCCAATAGCGGGGAAGTATTGGAGGAAAGGTAGATGAATAGGAAAACGGGAAGTCGATGTTCGCTCGCGATCCGCCCCGATGATCCTGCGGGCGGTCAGTCCGGTTTCCTCATCCATCGCGCGCATCTTGGAGCTTTTGCTCTATATGTGATGATGGAGTTTCCAGTAAAAGAGCAACTAGAGTTAGAAATATTAAACACTATGTATTTCTCTCTAGCAGTTCGATGTATATCATCACCGTTCGGCAAATTTGTGCCTGTTGTCTCAAACTCCGAGTGATCCATCAATGTGTATACTGTACAGTGCAACATTCCTTACAGGTACGCGATCATGTTTGCGTGAGCAGGTTGATATCATAGAAGCCGAATAATTTGATACGGGAAAGACAGTCATCAACCCCAACTGGATTCTTAGGTACAATATAAGGGAAATGTATTATCTGGGCATAGCATACTAGTGAAGAGGCTCTGGTAAAGAGACGAACAAGACGTGGGTGAAAGAGCACATGCAGACGCCGGGTAAAAAGGGACAAGAAATACAGGAAAAAAGCAGGCGGGTCCTGCCACAGCATGTCTAAAGCCAAGTTCCAGATGCGTCTGTCAATAAAGTTGAAATTCCCAGGTCGGAGGACCTGAAGAACTATCAGGAGAGGGAAAAGAGAAGTAGGCGAGCGAAAGATCGAAGAGTCATAACGAACCGAGACGACTAGGTGGACGACGAACCGAGTGTCATCTTCTTGAGTGAAGATAAGAGTGGGAGAAGAGGGCACAGTTACGGATAAGTGCCTACAAGGTCAAAACCGTATAGTAGTCGAACCTTCGAAGGGCACACCCACTTGGCACGAGACGGTTGGGAGGGAATTCGAAAGCGCAGTTATTGTAGAGGATTAGAGGATGCATCGGGAATCTAGCAGTTGCATGCACCTGCGCCTTGGGTACCAGGGGCTTCAGGCCGCAGGTCGACTCCAGGTCGTGGGGCTGCCCGCAGGTTCCGGGGGCCGGCTTGGTCGAGAGGAAGCTTCTTCGCAATTGCTGTGAATAATTCTTTCACATTTGTCGAGGACTTGGCGGAGGTTTCGAAGAAAAGAAGACCCGCCTCGCGGGCATATGCCTCAGCATCGGCCGTGGGAATTGCCCGCTTATCGGGGCTCTCGGTAACCAGATCAAGCTTGTTGCCTGCCAGAGCAATCACGATATTCTCATTCGCTTGACGTTGAAGTTCCTTAACCCAGGACTTGGCCTTGTCAAGAGACGCCTGTCGTCACATAAATCGATTTGGTTAGTGGGGGGCCGATCACAAAGAGCGCAAAGGAGTCGGGCATACCGCTTGGGTGATGTCATAAACTACAACAGCACAGTTGGCGTTCCGATAGTACATAGGAGCCAATGACTTGTATCTCTCCTGGCCAGCAGTATCCCAAATTTCGAACTTGACTGTGGTACTCTCGTCGAGGGAGATCGTTTGAGTCAAGAAGGCAGCACCGATTGTCGACTCCCGGTAATCATCGAATTGATCCTGGACAAACCCGTCAGTATCTCTATCATTTGGTTCGATTAAGCCAGGTATCTGTGAGCTCAAGGGCACGCTTATCGCCTCACGTACCTTGACAAATCTCAACACCAGCGAACTCTAAAAGATGAAGACCATGTTAGCGCCCGATATCTCTAACATCGTAAGGCTGAAGTCGAACCTTTCCCACAGCGGACTCTCCTAAGAATTTCCAAAGCACGGTCAGAAATAAATCCCATAAAAATCATACAAGAACAATATCGGGGAACGTACCGAGTAAGACGAGCTTGAACTGAGCGAACTTAGCCCCGGGGCGGGCGCCTGCTTGAGGTCGAGAAGCCATGACAACTGTTCAGGGGAGGAAAACGGGCTGATCGGATGAAGTTGAAAAGCAAATCAGATTGAGGTAAAAAGAAAGGTACGTCGTCACCTAAGGCCGGATAAGGTATTTCACTATCGAAAGGAAGATCAGAAGTTAGAAGTTGAGGCAGATTGAAGTGGATGACGGAAGTTGGTCCAGCCACAATGAACAGCGGGGCGGTGTGGCGGGTACTGTAACCATGACTGGTGCATTTTCCAACTGTCGTTACTGCCCATACTGAAGTCCGCGCCTGCCGTGTATTGACTGCGCCGCGGGTCATTCATGTGTTCCTGAATTGCGATAACATACTCCTACTCCCACCTTCCTTTCCCCTTTTAGATTGATTCCACCCCCCACAACCGAATTCTACTTTAAATCAATCTCGAGGCTGCTCGCTATGGCGCCTCCAATCCTTCCTTTCAGGGATGTCAATTTACATGCATCCCCTTCCCACTATGCCTTTACTTCGCCCTCGTCGCCCCAGGCACCAACCCTTGTGGTAGACAGGCCAACTGGGGATCTCCGTCTCAATGACGGACCGCTCGCTGGTGCGAAGCGTATCTCTAGCATTGCTGGAATCCTTGGTATTCTCAAGTTGAAGCTAGGTAATTTGCGACCGAGGATATGAGATTTAAGTGATGGCGCTGACCACAGGTAGACAAATACCTCATTGTCATCACCAAAGCGCAACCCATGGGACGACTCCGTGGCCACATGGTGTACAAAGTTGCTGCAACTGAATTCCTGCCGATGCGTGATCGCCCACTCCATGATACCGACGAAGATACCTACCTTGCGCTGGTCAAGAACCTGCTCCGCACCGGCCCCATGTACTTCTCCTACTCCCTTGATCTCACAAACAGCTTCCAGCGCCAGTCGCAGAGCCCCGCCGATCTTCCAATGTGGAAATGCGCTGATGATCGTTTTTTCTGGAACCGCTTCATCCAGTCCGATTTGATCGACTTCAGCCTAGGGGAAAGTGACACTGGCGGCATCCGGTATGGCCCACAACCTGGTGTTGATCCCTATATCCTTCCTGTCATGTTCGGCATGCTTCGCATCACCCCTGCTCGAGTTAAGTCTACGTCCTTCACATTCGCACTCATTACCCGTCGATCCAGACACCGTGCGGGAACACGATACTTCTCTCGGGGAATTGATGAGGAAGGTCATGTGGCGAACTATAATGAAACAGAGCAAATTGCGATTCTCAACGATGCAACTGGTGGAATGTCAGGCTTCGCTGGGGGGCAGTCCATGTCCAGTGGCAAGAAGGGCCAGGATCTCCAGGTGTACTCCTTCGTACAGACTCGTGGTAGTGTCCCCGTGTTCTGGGCTGAGGTCAACAACCTCAAGTACACACCAAAATTGCAAGTTCGGGGAGTAGATACCGCTGTTGAAGCTGCACGCAAGCACTTTGCGGAGCAGATTCATCTTTACGGAGATAATTATCTTGTCAACCTTGTCAACCAGAAAGGCCGCGAGGAGCAAGTTAAGAATGCATATGAGCAAATGGTTCGCACTCTGATCTCATCAGCTCAAGAAAGCACCGTGGCTGATGAGAAGACGCCCGAAAAGATTCACACTTTAGAACCGGGCCTGAAGCGCAAAGATATGGATCGGCTACACTACGTGTATTTTGATTTCCACAACGAGACTAAGGGTCTTAAATGGCACCGCGCTGAACTCCTCATGGGCCGCCTGCAAGAGGGCTTGGCGCAAGGCGGTTACTTCCGTGGCGTGGAAGCTCCCGGTGCTTCAGGTGGACAGCTGGATATTCGGTCAACACAAGGAAGCGTTGTACGCACCAATTGTATGGATTGTCTTGACCGAACCAATGTTGTACAGAGTATGCTCGGACGCTGGGCTCTCAACCGACAATTGACGGATGCTGGCATCCTTCGCACTGGGGAGAATGCCAACGATGACGAAGAATTCGCGGACTTGTTCCGGAATATCTGGGCCGATAATGCTGATGTTGTTTCCAAGTCCTACTCGGGCACTGGTGCTTTGAAGACCGATTTCACTCGCACAGGCAAGCGTACCAAAGCTGGCGCAGTCCAAGATCTAAGAAACTCAATCACACGATATGTGCGCAACAACTTCATGGATGGTCCCCGCCAGGATGGATTCGATGTTTTCTTGGGAACCTATCTCCCGTCGGACTCAATGGCAGTGAACATCCAGCTGTTCTTTGACCGACGGCCGCTTGTGATCCAAGCTATACCCTACGTATTCGCGGCAAGTCTGTTCATGGTCCTGGTCGCAACCTTTACACGTCGGTTGCCGGATGCTGCAGTATGGCCACTTCGCCTTTTCACGATTTTCTGGCTGATTATCGGCGCCTATTCCTTCTACTTCATACATGGACATGGCATGCTTTACGTGAGTTGATTCTTCTAACCCTAACTTTCGTGTTCGCTGGATGACTAATTGCCTCTTAGGTCAACTGGCCGAAGCTCAACACACCCATTGCCGGCGCTGAAGGATATCAGGATGCTATGATCAAAGCCCGATCTGACCCGATCATTGGCCAGTGGCTTCCTTCAAGACGACACCAACGTGGCGTCAGCAATGCTCGCCTTGTCTTCCTCGAGGAAGGAAAGACTCGCATTGAATAATCGTGAAAACCTACCGTTGGCTCCCCTGTCTACCTGCCTCTTTTGCCTTCACATGTACACTTCATGGCTGTATGTTTTAACTATTTGCTTTCTCTAGCTCCGCTACCAGCCTTTTTTCCTTTCTCATATCTTCTTTCCCGGTGGCATTCTCACACCCTTTTCCTTTTCTGTTCTCTCGCTTCTGCTTTCCCCCGATACATTTGTATTTTTTATTTGTTTCTGCATGGCTCCAAGTTTGAGCTTGTTACCACCTTTATCTATGATAGGGCATTTATGTTCTTTGCTTCTTAGCAGCTCAAGAGGTATACGTTATATGGGGTAGAAATAATAGCCCACAATATGAATACAGACTTTGATGAAGAAAGAATTCTGTAGCTTTTTGGCAAAGATGATGCTGTTACACCCGAGCATGTCCGTGGATGCACCACATAAGCAATGTTAGGTAATCTTGGTCACGCCTTATCTCTCGGATAAGATAACGTCACGTGAGATTCCCGATGGCGGGTCCATCCAACGCTTTCCCGAGGGGAGCTTGGGGACGCTGGACCAGATAATTGTCGAGCTACCGGGGGTTTTTTTTGTTGCGAACACCCCATCTGCTCTCTGGAAATTTGCAGACACGGGCCTCACTTGTCCATGAGAGGGATCTGGAGATCCTTTCGTTGGTCCTTTCCACAGCGGGGAGTCTCGACTCATTCGCCCGCGATGACTCGCACATATGAGGTAAGACCCGCCAATTGCTCCCTGTCAGCAAGCATGCACTCTTGAAAGCAACGAAGCTTTCTTTTTTCAAGTCCAGATACTAATCATGTGCTTGAATTCTAGGATGCCATTGTGGCCCTCAACTCTTTGCAGACGAACTATGCGATTGTAGAGGCCCTCCGGGCATCTGTTTCCAGGAAGGAAATGAACGAGCGCTCCATTCCAGAGACGGTTGAATGGCTTCAGCGTATTGGATACAAGGTAAGTGGAAGTCAATTAATTGAAAGTGGGAGACTTGGGCGGTTTTTGTTTTGCGATTGCTGGGCTGACTTTATAACTTTTCTCTAGCCCTCCGACCTTGATCGGTTGAACCCAATTCATGTCGCGGGAACTAAAGGCAAGGGATCGACCTCGGCTTTTATTTCCACCATTCTCTCTCAATATGTCCAGCCCCAGGATACCCTGTCGACACCGCGCTTGCAGAAGGTCGGACTATACACCTCCCCGCATCTTCGGTTCGCACGAGAGCGCATTCAGATCGACAATACGCCGCTATCGGAGCCCCAATTCGCAAAGTATTTCTTCGAAGTATGGGATCGTCTTGAGGAGGCCGCCAAGCTGGCTGGCCAGGACCCGACCGCGCCAGGAACGAAACCTCAATATTTCCGTTACCTGACATTAATGGCGTTCCATACCTACCTGAGCGAAGGTGTAGATGCAGCAGTCATTGAGTGCGGCATTGGTGGGGAGTATGACTGTACCAATGTGGTTGAGAAACCGAAGGCGACAGCGATCACCAGTCTTGGCATTGATCACACGGCAATGCTGGGTACAACAATTGAGGAAATCGCATGGCACAAGGGCGGCATCATCAAATCTGGGGTTCGGGCCTTTACTGCACCCCAGGCTCCCAGTGCAGAGAAGGTGCTAGCTGAGCGTGCTGCGGCGAAGAATACATCACTGGATGTGGTGTCCGTCCACCCCGACCTTCGAGTGGATAGCACCAATGTGAAGCTTGGACTTGCAGGTGATTTCCAATACACAAACGCATCTCTGGCCACTGCAGTTGCGGCTGAGTACCTGAGAAAGACCGGTGTGGCAGACATTCCGGAAGATATCATGACCCAGCCACTCCCTGCCAAATTCAAGGCGGGTCTAGAGAAGACACGACTTGGTGGACGCTGCGAGACTCGATTTGAGAAGAATGTGTCATGGTATATCGATGGAGGGCACACACTTGAGAGTATCCGGCTGGCCGGTTCATGGTTTGCCAATCGAATCCAGGAAGACTCGTCCTCCAGTGATGTGGCCTCGAAGAAGCCCCGAATCTTGATCTTCAACCAACAGACTCGGGACAGCACTGCTCTGGCCCGTGCCCTTCATGAGACTCTTGCCTCAGCTCTTGGCTCCACGATTCCATTTACTCATGCTTTGTTTTGTACAAATGTCACTTACAAACAAGCGGGATACCGACCTGACTTGGTCAGTATGAACACGAATTCCGATGATGTCGACCATCTCCGGGTGCAAAAGTCACTTGCCGAGGCCTGGACTGCTATTGATCCTCATGCCCAAACACAAGTGTTCGGTACAATTGAAGAGGCTGTGGACTTTGCCCGGGATTTAGCCGCGCAAGAACGCAAGGTCCTGCAGAAAGATGAGGCACCAGTAATGACCTTTGTCACTGGTAGTTTACACTTGGTTGGTGGGTTTCTTGATGTGATCGAAACCAAGCCGTTCTCCGAGGAGGCTTAGTTGCTTCCAAGGTGAATATGATTCTTGTATCAACACTTGAGATTTCCTATGATATATGGGGTGGCTATAGAGGTGTTTTGTGTTTAGTTTTTGGTCGATTTCAACAATTCGAGATTCCCCAAGTCATTTTACCAATCAAAACGGAATATAGCATTCTTGTACTATCCCCATGCTCTGTTTTGCTGCAGAATCGACCCTTGGGCTTTGAAATATTACTCTGCCACGTAATTTCTCTGGCAGTAAAAGAATTAATCATAATCAAGCTCCCAAAATAATAACAATATAGATTATCTACAAAAATGGGGCAAACTTGGAAACGCGTCCAAATTCACCTACCCCACCGATCCACATGTTACGGTTAAAACGTGGGGCCAAAACGAAATCCTCCTTCCAACCTCACCCAAACACCACTCAACATCCCCAATCACCGGTCATGCCAGACTCCAAGGACAAGGGCAAGGGCAAAGCTCCCCAGCGCCCAGAAGAGGGCGAGGAGGCCGAGGCCTCGAATAAGAGTAAGCAGCACCAACAGCACCCCTCTCAACAACAGCTAACACGAATGGGAAACCAGGCAGCTCCAACACCAAGAAGATCTCCCCGAAAATGATCGAATCGCTCATGAACATGAACCCTGCGCTGAAGAACGAACTTGCCAGCATGGATCAGGACAAGGCTACACAGTTGCTCGCCAACATGGACATGTCTCAGCTGCTGACGGGACTCTCGCTCGACGGCAAGAACAAGAAAGACATGGCCTCATACAAATTCTGGCAGACGCAGCCTGTACCTCGATTCGAAGACCAGGCGAACCAGAAGGCCATCACTCAGGGCCCGATTAAGATCATCAACCCGGACGAGGTCTCGAGAACCCCCGATGCGCTTGTTGAGGGCTTTGAGTGGTGCACTCTGGACTTGACCGACCCCGAGGAACTGAAGGAACTGTATGAGTTGCTGAACAATCACTACGTAGAGGATGACAATGCGATGTTCCGGTTCAGCTACTCTCAATCATTCCTGCACTGGTGCGATAACCCCGCTTTGTTCTTGTTATTTAGGTCCCGTCAAACGTTACTGACCAATGGACATCATTCTGTATCTATAGGGCTTTGATGTCTCCAGGCTGGAAGAAGGAATGGCACGTTGGTGTGCGCGCTACCAAGTCGCGCAAGCTGGTCGCCTCCATCTGCGGTGTTCCTACCGAAATCCGGGTCCGCAATCAGAAGATCAAGGTGACGGAGATCAACTTCCTCTGCATTCACAAGAAGCTGCGCTCAAAGCGCCTGACTCCCGTCCTTATCAAGGAAATTACCCGCCGCTGCTACATCAATGGTATCTTCCAGGCCATCTACACTGGTGGTGTTGTTCTGCCTACACCCGTCAGCTCGTGCCGGTACTACCACCGCCCGCTGGACTGGCTGAAGCTGTACGAAGTTGGTTTCTCATTCCTCCCGCACGGATCTACCAAGGCCCGCCAGATTACCAAGAACCAACTCCCCGAAGCCACCGCGCTACCTGGTTTGCGCCCAATGGAAGTCAAGGATATCGACGCCGTCTATGACCTTCTAGAGCGATATATGCAGCGCTTCCAGCTCAACCAGGCTTTTACCCGCGAGGAAATTGAGCACTGGTTCGTGTACAAGAAAACCGAAGGCAAGGATCAAGTTGTTTGGACATACGTTGTGGAAGATCCGCAGACCCACAAGATCACGGACTTTGTCTCCTTCTATAACCTCGAGTCTACTGTCATCAATAACCCGAAACACGATACTGTACGCGCCGCTTACCTTTACTACTACGCGACCGAGACGGCCTTTACCGGCGATGAAAAAGCCCTGAAGAAGCGATTGCTAGTGTTGATCAATGATGGTCTGATTTGCGCCAAGAATGTAAGACTGACATTGTTCTCCTCATTGTTTTGTGTCTTGTTATTAACTATATATCTAGGCCAAGTTCGATGTTTTCAACGCTCTCACTTTGCATGATAATCCTCTATTCCTTGAGCAGTTGAAGTTCGGTGCCGGTGATGGCCAGCTCCACTTCTATCTGTACAACTACCGCGCGGCACCTGTCCCCGGTGGTATCAACGACAAGAACCAGCTTGATGAGAAGAAGATGGGAGGTGTTGGAATTGTCATGCTGTAAATTGGCAGGAGTTTGGCTGGATAGTGGATTTGAATCCTGGATACCCAGAAACGAATTTCCTTATGCTGCTATGAAGAAAGAATGAAACCAAATAAATGGAAATATTCATGTGCAGAGGTCATCAGTATATACTGTTATCGCAAGCTTGAAACTAGCAATGCGCTCTAAAGTGTGAGTCTAATGATAGTTGGTGATTGACACCTCAGGCACCCATATCTGACGTCGTCATGTGAAACGTCGCGCTTTCTCCACCTTCATATTGTCGCCTTGAAGTCCCTCTGACCGTAGTTTAGCTTTTAAGCATTTAAAAAAGTTTAATCTGTCAATTACTACTCTCCTCACTACCTGAGAACTACAGACACCAAAGTGAATCAGAAGGGAAGGCCCCGCATTTTGCACAATGGGTGCCGGTCAATCCGCCGAATATAGTGGAGCAACTCCAGGTCAGTACGACAGATATCCCAGATCCTTGAAAGTAGACATACTACTTTGAAGCTCCAAAGGAAGAAGACCAAACCGAGACATGCATACCCGTGTCTTCTTCGTGTACACATTACCGGACCCGTAGCTGACAATAAACAGAGGAGCTGAGCTACATTCTTGCGGAACGTTTCGCAACAAAGTGTTTCACACCCTTGGAGCTCACGCATTTCAAAGATAATTTCTTCTCCCGCGCTGCTGAGCAGGGTGGCCTCAAGTACTGGAATGAAAAGATCTTGTCTGATTTCCTAGGGATTCCCGATGGAAGTTTCGCTGATACCCATGAGAACCCCGTTGATGCGGGACCGGTTCTGTTCCGCATGGTTTCGTATCTTGGTGCTTTTCCGTTCCAGAATACCATGGCGCCGAGCGTTTTGACCTTTGACGCGATGGTGAAAGTCGTTGTGCTTTTGACGGAGCGCTATGGGAAAGCGTTGCGGCGGGGACGCAAGGACCGAGTGAAGTTGTTGTTTGGGAGTCTTGCTGATGTTGGGAAGAAGGAGGTAGGGCGTGATAATCAGAACATGGAAGAGGATAACATGGAAGGAAAGGCTTTTCCTGATGTCCAGACTCATACGCCTGGTTTCTTGATTGATGAGCCGGCGAACGACGATTATGATGAAGATGAAGACGACGATCTTGCGCTTGCCGCGCTGGAGTCGCTTGATGCGATTGAAGTGTTCAAGCATGATCACCGAGTTGATCACACTGTTTACGAAACCAGGATTTCGATCGATACGTTTCGTCGGCTGCTGATACTGCTGCTTGTCATTGCGCCTTTGAAACCATTGGAGTCTGTGAAGACTTACACGTCTGACTTTGGCCCTGAGCGGGTCGATGCGATTCAAAAAGAGGCTGATAGTATCATTGCGGCATTTTCCCCGGAGGATATCGATGGGGGAATCTCATATCGGGCGTTTGCTAGAACGGTCTCGTCGTCACTGCCGTACCTCTTCGATCCCTTGACGGCGTTGTTCGAACATCTTCTGTTCAGCAAGAATCTAAATCTTTCTCAGAGGCGACAGAGGGGAGCAACTGTAGAAGAAGAACCGCCTGAGAAGCATGAGGAAATACCTCCTCCAGCACCGATAATGCTCCCTGGCAGCTTTGAGTCGGCCATTCTGGATCCGACCCTCATGTCCCACTTGTCATTCTTCTTGCCCTCCGTTGCAGCGCCTTTGAATCTCTTCCGCAGTGGTGTTCGTCTCCATCCAGTCTTCTCAACTGCCACACACGGTTCCTCGCTCACCTCGTTCTCCCATCACGTCTTGACCTGGCAAGCGGCTTCCCTTCTCATTCTTCAAGGAGCATTGGAAGGCTCATCTGAGGAACTTGTCACAATAGGCGCATATCTTCCGCAATCCTGGAAGTCATCGTCAGCCAGCAGCACCTCAAACAACTCCTCTACCCCCCTACCATACCTCTTCCAACTATCGCCAATACACCAAGTCCTGCAAGGCAATTCATCCCCCTCCATCGCCCAGAAATCCAATTTGCCTGCTGCTTGGTTCTCCACGCATTCCGGAATCGCAATTGGATGCCAAATTCCCCCAGCCTCCCGGACTCACCAAGCCCACCCAACTCCCCATGGCGCAGGCAGCCTGCTCATCGACGTCAACCTCGAATCCGCCGAGCTGCACATCGAACCAGTTGGTTCCGACGGTATGTTTCTACCTCCGGCCACATTATCTGTCAATGATAAGCCGATAAAGACCCGACTAGACTTGTACAGTCTCGAAATCTGGGGCGTTGTCCCGGACCCTGAAGTGGCGTCCTCTTCCGATCCGAGCACGAATGCTGTTGAGGCGCAACGTGCGAAGTGGGCGTTTGAAGCTCGTGAAGCGGAGAGAAGGCGTAATATCAATCTGAAGGGCGGGGCAGGTGATTCGGCTAAGGAGAGTGCTCGGTGGCTTTTGGAGACAGCGGGCATTATTGGGGATGAAGGACAACGATATGGGAATCTGAGTTAATTGGATCTTTTAAATTACCAAAGAATTCGTTTTAATTCATTTAGCTCTTCTATTACATTTGAACATAATTTAGTCCTACACCAACATCAACAAGAACAACAAAGTCAATACATACAGACACTAAATAGTACTCTGAGAGAAACATGATTGGACCAGGCAACTGACTTGAAGTAAAGTTACAAAATTGGGAAGGAAGAAGGAAGGAAGCAAAGGGAATGAGAAACTCGTCACCATCCTGTTCTCAAAAAGGAGCAAGACTCGGAGATCTCGGATGGAAGGTGCAATTGTTGTTTTCAGTCAGACCGCGCGCGCTGTAAACAGCAAACGAAACGCAGGTATCATCATATCCTGTCACAACAAAGGACGCATAGCCACGAAGGACCGAAGAGAAAAGAGAAGAAAAACAGAATCCACCCCGAAGGAATTTCAAAGGAATTTCTCACAAGGAGATGAACTCAACAAGCAAGTATTTCACAGGGAAAGAGCCCAAGCCCCAAGCCAAAAACCAAATACTAAATCCCAAAACCCAAGACCCACATGGAGAGAAGAAAGGAAAAGGACGAAAAGGAGGAAAAGATCACGGTATCTATAGACCAGGGAAGGAGGTGAATCACGCCTGGGATAAGCGAGACAAACGCGTGGTGAGCCTGAGGCAAGATATGGAATAATGGCCTTGAGGACGTGATTCAAGTCGATTTGGGGCGCTGCAGCGAATTTCTTTTGCTTCTGACCTTCAAGCTTCCTTCACCTCCCTCTGCTGCCAGGGCTTAGTTTATCTTTTTGTGGTTTCTGTAGAGAGCCTCAAGGTGAGTACTTCGGTATGATCAGCATGCGTATTACGATACCACTACAATATAATAGATGTTCAACCCAAGCACTGTATCAATCTGTGTGTGACTCTGGACGTCCATCTTAGGAGCGGATAAATGCTCCAAATGTTGACCAGGTCAGGCATGCGGCAGTTGGACAGAGAACGTAAGCCCCATTCTGTATTATAATATTCGATTATATATAGACTCAAGAAGTCTATAGTATTTATCAGGATCCCAACCGTTGCAAGGCCCATTGCTATGTTCTGACAATTACGGGACTCGATGATAGTGGAAGAACTTTATACTCTGTATTCTCCCGGCATAAGTGGCAGTGAAAATTCTGTCCAGCAGGTGTTCGTTTTAATTACTTCAATGCAACATAATCTCATCCTTATATACCGTCGGTAGCTACCAAGCACAAGCATGACACCGCAAAATGCAAAACAAACCCAGCCCGAAAGACCAAATATGTCAATCCCAGCAAGAGACTCCAGCACTCAAAGAATCAGCTAATTCGTTGGCAATGATGACACGGTGCTCTTATGTTTTTCTCGTAAAAAATCACAAAGTCGCTCCGTGTCCATCTTATCGATTTGTTCCGAATGTCTCTCCAGGTCCAAATCTAAGTGAATCCAAAGATTAGCAAGACAGCTCAAGCGAAAGCATTGCATTAGAGCCTTTACCCTCTTCAATAGTTTCTTCAGCTTTACCCGCGAGCTTCCGAACCTGGCTTCCCAGATTTTGCAAGGCTTCTCCAGCAGCAGGGACTGCGCTATCAATGATAGTTTCCTTGACAGCGGCGACCTTTTCTCCTGCCACAGCCGTAGCTTTCCCCGGGATTTCAGAGATCGAGCTGCTTCCCGTCATTGAATTAAGCTGGTCGGTCACACCCCCAAGAATTCCCGAGGATTCCGATTCGCCCGTCTGGTTGGTCTGTTGTGTGTCATTGGGGACGGAGTCGCCGTTCCGGCTCGAGCTCATTGTGCGAGATTCGTAGCGTGGGAGGTTCCGGGATCAATAAGTGGGAATGAGTTTGACAAATGAAACTTCCAGGGCAGGGCCGTAGGGCTGAATTTGACGTAGGGCTGAGGGGAAACTGTGCAGCGACTGGGCGGCTCTAGCGTCAAAGTATGACATCGATAGCGTGGATGGAAGGTTGGCTTGACCCTTGGCATCAATCGTTGGTCGGTAAACCGGGTAACAGGATCTCGGCTGAGATCATGGCGCGTGGATTGTCCAGAAAGGTGGAGTGATGTCTATACAGGGCCGCTGATCGTGCCTGAAATGACGTCGTCGGACCCACTGATATGGACGGTTACAGCATTCGAAGGATCTGGAACACCAAGGGGACACATATCACTTTAATATCGCTGGATTGAAATCCACGACTTCAATTTGACGGATCTGGCGATCGGAGCTATACATGAAATGCATCCAGATGTCCATGGATGGTTCGAATTGTCATGTCAAACCAGCATTTTGCGGTACTGTCATGTGACCCAATGTGTGTATATAAAACTCAATTCAAGCAATCAAATACTTTCCTTGTCACACTTCATGCTTCCGACTTGGAGTCTATTATTGATATACACGATGGCATCTACTGTCCAATTACTATACAGCTTCATTTGGCACTGACTTGGGTGAACTTTGACGAAAAAATTCGATGAAAGTTAAAGCGGCACACTTCATGCTATTGTTTGTATAGGTGCCATGGGCTTTTAGAGCCCTTTTTAGATGAAGAGACATGCCAAATAATGGCTCCAGTACCTTCTAAGATTCCGCCTGTCCAAAATGCAAAGGATACCGCTGTGGCCGCTGCCTCTTGCTGCCTTATATATACCTCAAATATTGAGGGGCCTGATCGTTGTTTCTACTTTCGAATACCATTGGGCATGTGCGACTTGATGATGGTTTGTGAAGTCTGCTGATTATTGCTATTCGTACCAAGACTCCCGCTTCTTACTCCGGGTACTCACCAGAAAAGCAATTTCTCTCGCCACGCGCTGTCCATCGATCCTGCTAACTCTTCTATTTGAAGAAGCAAATTCATTTGACCGCCCAAATACAACGCATGGTTTTAGGTACCCTTCAAAATCACCCACTTGCTAGCACAATGAATCAGAAATTTGTGCGCACCCAGCCTGCAAAAAGACTCCGTCTGCTCTACCGAACACCCCACGCCTCTCAGTTGCTCAGCCGCAAACCCTAAACCACTCAGCTGCTCGTTCGCAAACCCCTGAGCCAGACGCAGTTGACGTTGCTATGATGATCGATACACCCAGTCGTTCGCAGAGGTCAAGCGGACGATCTTCGGGCCATAAGCGGCAGAGACAGACAGGTATGGTTATCTGTCTATTTGGTTTGGCTAGGCTAACCTTTCCTAGATGATGAGCCAGGACCTATCAGTGAGGGCCCCCCAATTCAATTCAGAGTACACGTGGTCAAGCACCGATGACCCCCGAGAGGCTCAATGTCCAATTTCGCCGATGGGAAACGAAGTTTGGGGACACACTGACTGGGTTTGATTGGGTGTGTGTCACATGTCATACTCGGGCAAAGACCATCATTTACAGAGGAGTATGAAAATGGACCCTTGAACGTCCAAAGAAGTCCTTTGAAAGCGCCGAGGAGCTCAGATGGCGGACATCAGCAACATTGGCTCAGAGTTTGTGACCTTTAGTACCGGGGTAGGATAACAGGATGTACCAACTCTCTTTCCAGCGCTTTGAAGAGGAAAGACTTCGTTGGCTGGCGATCGTGTTTCACTTTGACAACGTAGTTTTGCCTGGTTTCTCGGAGGATTGGCTATGGCCACTGACACGGGGAATATCGATTGAGAGTGAACAACTGGCGATAAAAGTAGCGGAATATCAATTCCCGGTGATTCTGCGCTACATACCATGCCTCCACTACTACGGATGACGCCAGTCGTTTTTCATGGGTATTTCTTCTTCAATCAAAGGGCGAACAATTCATTCTATGTGAATCATGGCAACCATCTGGGTGTTGTTTAAGTGCTGATAAATGTGCATACATGTATACTGTCCTTCTGGCTATCATCTTCTCAAGACATACATACACAAAGCAGTCAAGGAGATACAAAAAAGTCAAGACGGTCAAGTGACTTCACTCGACGCTGATAAGCTATTCTCCTCTCAGGCTTTTGCATATCCTAAGCAGCCCGAAGATATCTATCCTAAGAATATGCCATTGACTCACACTATCACAATAGGCTGTCTCTAGTCTATAGCTGGCAGATATTACTATAGGCTACCCGCCGCATGTTTCGCGCGGCGCTTAGAGTTCCTAATGTACCTCCAATACCATTTACCTAGCCAGTTCTCTACCAGTCCCTACCTAGCATTCTCTGATATCTCCTACCTTCTCTCTTACCGTATGAATTAAATAGTCCAATGAGTCTGTAAAATCATTAGTTCTGTGGATTAATTACCAGGAGAGAAAGAAATGCAACCTACGTTTGTGTCTCGTTCTGAGGCATGATGTTGTCAGTTGATCTGACTATAGAGGTAACATACTGAAGACTCAAGCGAGGCTTCTGTGACTTTTCGATCTCAAATTCAACGTTTGAGGTTGAATGTGGCTCAGACCAGACGTGAAGAGGGGTAGCCGAGTTGCTCAAGTTGGAGGAATTTGGCTGCGCTGTCATTCTGAGGGTGAAGGAAAAGAAGACTTTTATAATTCTGCGATTTTTAACTTACACACGAACCGCATGATCGAGTGGTAGTCCTCTTGTCATAATTCCAGAATAACTGGCAAGGATATATGTTGAAATGGACAGAATTCAAAAGTATGGATCTTAATATTACTGCGCGTATCCATAGCGGTGACGCTCATGCATAAATGAGGGAATATCCGGCAGATAGTGGACAAACATAGAATCTGCTACAAAAGAGCTCTGAAACCAGAGTCTCGACTGCGATCCAAGCCCAAGAAGTCAGCAACTTGTCCAAGATGATCCACGCCCCAGAATCCCTCCGTGTTGCCATTTGTGTCAGTGCACTCAAACCATGGGAGACCAAAAGCCCCAACCCTGAAAGCGTGATCTGTATTTGCATTTAAAAGAGCTTTGGTATCTGGTTGCCTCATCTGGTGGAACCTGGTTAATTTTGAAAGCAACAGAGGAAAGACTAGAAAGAGACTCACAGCCGATAGAATTTCTTGCGTAGCCTGATTTCCAAGGACGCTTTCTAATACCGGGACAAGGCCCTCAATTTCTCCGATTTCCGAATTCCGGTCGATCCAGAGAGAGCGGTACAAAGCCTCGATTGCTGAGGGTAATTTTGAAGGGGCTTTCTGCTCAATGACGCAAAGAGCGCGTTGCACTCCCAGTGTTTTGATTGGGAACCCATCTGGCATCTTCTCAGCGATCGGAACGTTGAAATACTGGGCCCATAGTAGTCGCTCTCTATTGATCCATTGGTCCTTGTCTGTGGAAATGAAATCAATATGCGTGCTGCTCGATGTAGATGGGAAGTTTGCCTGGCAGGGACTTACTCTTGATGTTGATTGGTGCTATATTGCTACAAGCATGCATCAAGCCACCCAGAAAAATTGGTACATATGTAACGTTGCATTTTGCGAAGGTAGGTGAGTTCTGATCTTGTGTCAGAGCTGTTCTCAACTGAATGTTGTACGGACGTACCTTCAGAATGTGGAAAGCGATATATGCGAATGGACTAACAACATCCACGTAAAGTGTGATTTTTGGAACCGCCATTATTAGATCAGGGAAGTTTACAGACCGGATCACAAAATATATTCTGTAGAGACCAAAGGGTTCTGTTCGGTTTAAGTTGCAGCTTTCCCCGCAAGGACTGATGACTAAGCGATGCTGCCGAGGCTCAGATGTTTATAGAGGAAGTATTTCAACTTGAATGACTCTCTCTACAAGTTGGAATTTTAATATGTAGTGTGCATCTGTGTTACCTCCTGGGCCAGTAGAAAATCCAAGTACATAGAAACTCACAAATTGCTCGACTTGATCTTCAAAGTTCCAAAGGTTTGCATGTGAAGATCCGAAGTATAAGTATATCAGATCTGCTTCCGGAGTATGAGAAGCCATCAACTGGTGGTCTAGAGCCCACTCCTTAGACTCAGAGGCTTTTACAAAGCGTCTACTTGCCTGAGTCCGTATTCGCTGAGTGAAACTTGTTGTTGATTCAACTCAAGTGCGTCAACGAGCGGTCAAGGTGGCTCAGCTCAAGATGTGCAATATTCGCCCTACACCCTACCACCAGAATACAGTCAAATAGCGCTGAAGGATACCTATAGTGAGTTCTTGTCGCATACGTATGCCCACCCATCATTCTAATTTTGTTCTACTCACTTCTCTTGTGCTGTCTGGTTTGGCATTGCTTCTAAGCTTCACAGTCCGAGAGATTCGCCTTTAAATTTCTGGCGATGAAAAAGCTAATATTGGAGCACATTCAGCCTGTGAAGGCTGCTGACCAGACAACATACCAGCAGTTTCTGCGCAAAAATATGTCTATTGAGAGCACATGAGGCTTTGGCTAAGCAATGCTGTTGTGTATTACATGTAGAGATATTACATCAATGAGATACAGCATGTCCTTCTAATTATATACTTCGACGTATTCAATATCTATTGCTCTATCTCTACAATTATTGTGTAGTGATTCATTAAAGAATCAGAGAGAATTCGTTCAATTTTCGAAGGCTCGTAGAACCGCAAGACCAGCAACAGAAGATGAAGCAACGCGGTTGTGGCCTAATTTCCATGTGGTTAGTATTTATGACTTCAAACAAATTTCGGAGCCATTAGACATACCTCCATATCGTATACGCTCCCATCGGACTTGCTTCACAATTTCCGCCCCATCTGGGCCGACGAATCTGTTCTCCCAGACCTGAATCTGATGAGAGCTCCCGGAATCAGTCTTCTCGAAAATTAGAGCTCCAGGAGCACCCTCAATATTTTCACCAGTGGCGGCCACCCAAACTCGACGGCCTTCATACCAGGGAATATCCGCATCATTCAATGCATGCACAATTGTCAGGTCCAGACCCTTCTGTGAGTATCTCAAACCAGACGCATCTGGTTCCGCTGTTTCGATGCCTGCCAGGCGAGCGACTCTTCCGGCCGTGTCCCAATGATCCGCAATGTGGCTGAGCACCCACTTTTGAAAGCGAGGATAGCCAATCAACGGCGAGAGCATTGGGGGCGTAAAGCCCTTTATACTATACGACTCGATGACATTGGTGAGGCTGCTGAAGGATGCAAGTAGGATAACTCCCGCAAAAGGTTCGGCATTTTTGATGATTGGTTGGATCGCCTTTGGGTCAGGCGAGCCACATGCAAAACGCTCGGCGACTGCTGCTGTGACTGCCGTGCCTAGACTCTGGCCCACGATGGCAATTCGTGATGTGGGAACTTTTAGTGGACCTGCCGTAAGAAAATTGAGCAGGGAGACACCATCCGTTACCAGACCTTCCTCGGAAGGGCTGCCAGTCGATACACCAAATCCGCGGTAGTCAATTGCAAAGACATGAATGGGGTTTTCTGGAGTTGATAAGCCTAGTAACGTTCTATATCCATTTGGTCGATTGGCGGATCCCAGATGAGCTGCATTTCCATGGACTTTGGAATCATAAAGTTAGACATTGATGATTAGTTAGTACTCAAGGGTGGCAGAACTTACAGCTTACCACAACTCTGGCATTGGGGTTGTTATTCAAAGCCTTGAAAGCAATGGTTTGGGTGTAGTCTTCCGCTGGACCAGAGGGCGTATTTTCCATCAGCTCCTTCTCATGTTCATGCACAAGGTGCAAAGGCATAAGATGCCAGCCGTAAAGTGTTTCATTGTCAGGCGTCACCAAGTTGAAAGGCTGAACCTGGGCCTCTGAGGACAAGTCAACATTTGAATGGAGCCAGATTGCCTGGGAGCCTTACGTAGAAATCCAAATTGCTCAACCTTATTTAGATCTTCCCAATAACTTGGATTGAATTTGTGTGCGTAAAGAACACTGTACCGACATCAGTCATGTTGTGATAGACATTCAATCAAGACTTACAAGCGCTGAGCTTCTGGGAAAGTAAGAGCGCAGATAAAAAGGACATAGAGCAATCCACCAGCTGCGAGTGCCCAATAAGTCTTTTTGAAAATAGGTTGTAACTCGACCATGATGCAGGACCCAGGTGTGGTGGAGATAAGGATGTTTATCGAGACCCACCACTAGTATGCAGGAAAGTCATGTGACCCGGACTAAAGTACAACTATGATCCGTTTCCTGGTAAAATGGCTTCTCGCATTGAATACTGCCCAGTCTCATTACACATTTCTCTTCAATATGGATATCTGAAGAAGGAAGGTCTTCCTGCTTCAAAAACAAGACGTCAAAATCAAGAAATTAAGCAATGCCTTGAATTATTCGAACTACAGTCAGAGTGTTACAATATTACGGTTTTGCATACTCAGGCTGTGAGTTAAATTCAATCCTACCGGCCAAATCCAAATGTAATTTAAGGCCACTATTTACCGGCGCACTTGGTCCACTAGACGTATTATTGAATTGGATTTTGCCATAACTATTGATTCTGAAATAAGCTGATATAAGCTTCAAAAATTAAGATAAGAATGAAATATTACTAGTAATCAACGAGAGCGGTGATAAGGGCGGTCTAAAAAATCCAATTCAATTAATGCACCTAGTGGACCAGGACGTGATTTGTTGGAATCGCGTCACGCTTTTCCCCCCTTCTACCTCCCGCTGTCCATATCAACCACCATCCAACAGACGATGACGATATATTAAGCTGAACCTCTTTGTGGTTGAAGTGCATTCATCATGGCTGAAAAGCGCAAGCTACCCGCTCGCGCCGGACGCGAGCCTGCCAACAAAAAGCGTGTCTCCGAAGCGGCCGCAGCCCAGTCTCATAAGAAGAAAGCCGCAACACCTCGAGCTCCATCTCTGCCTGTTGAGCCTGTCGAGCCACCCCTACCGTCAAAGATCAAAGAGGGCGAGCCCCTACCGATACGGCGCGTACGACAACTAACGAACTTGTCGGACAAAGAGTACCAGTCAATCGCGGAAAGGTTTGCTTTTTGATGTCTGCATTTGAAGGAAGAATATTGATGAAACTTGTGATTATAGCGCAGTACTCCTTATAGCGCTTGAACGATCCAAGAAGAAATGGCTCAGCGATGGCATTTTGGTCCGCTACTACACGAAGCCGAAGAAGACCAAACGCGAACAAATTGAGAAACTCAACCCCCCGAAAGAGACCATGTCGAAGGTCGGACTGTGTGATGTGACAATTGGCCCACATCTCTTCGACGCAATGATATACACAGTTAAGGATCCAGCGGCACCGCAACCGATTCAGTACACCCCTCCGCAAGGACAAGGACGCATGGTCCACTATGGCCCCCCCGGCAACTTCCAACAGTATCAACCACATCCCTCCAACCAACAGCGAAGGCCTTATCCTCCTGGCCCCCCCGGTCGGCCACAGGGAAATTACTCACCTGCGCCACGCGGGCCACATCAGCCAGGCCATGCCCCATCCCCGCAGGCTGGACAGCGTCCACCGGCACAAAATCAACCAGGGCAGCCTGCTAAGCCTAGCCCTGACCCTGTGATCCAGATGCTTGCCACCCGAGCTGCTGCCGATCCCGAACTCAAAGCGCTCATGCGAGTTGTTGCGTCTAGCCAGGCATCCCAAGAGCAGTTACGTGCCTTCCAGGCCCATATCGACGAACTGAACGCAATAATCAAAGCAAGAGAGCCGCAGGAAAAGCGCCAGAACGGTTCAGCTGGATCAACGCCACAACCGGCAACTCCAGCACCCCAAAATAAAGCGGGCTCGCCAAATGTTTCTCAGCCCACACCAGATCTGGGCGCAAAGATCTCCCCAGAACAAAGCTCCAAGACACAGTCAGCGGCTCCAGCCCAAACCCCTTCGAAGGACACTTTGCAAAAAGCACCAACAGCAGCGCCGACCAAGTCTCAAGCGGATGGAACATTACAATCTGCAAGTCAACCTCCGACCTCCGACCCAGCTATCAAGCAAGAGCCAGCTGGGAAGGGATCTACTCAACTTCAGTCTACGCCACAGTCAGCGATTACTCCGGCCGCAGTACCTGGCCCGTCCACTCCAGCTCCCATGGGGCCCCAGCAGAATCCTGCAGTCCGCCCCGCACCTCCGACTACTGCTCAGACTACACCTCGTCCAGGCCCAACCTATCCTCCTTATCAACAGCCGGCTTACGGTTCTCAATTGCCACTGCAGTCACGTCCACCGCAATACGGCTCACCAGTGCCCTATTACCGCCCACCTGGACCCCCGGCGACTCCCGTGCGTCCATCATACAAAGCTGTCGTTTTTGAATTCACTTCCCCTTTGACTCCTTATGGAAGCAGTGCTTCTGGCCATGCTGGATCTGGTGATCGTTATCTGTTCCCAGAGTATTCGATTCTAGAATGGCTTCCCAGTGAAGATACCATCCTCGCATCGTTTCTAATCACTCGAATGGTGGATCCCAACACCCCTTTCCCCATTGAGCCTGCCCCAGATCCTACTACCAGTCGTGCGAAAGGCAAAGGAACATCAAAATCCAAGAAGGGAGACAAGAAGGGCAAGGCCGACAAAGGAAAGGAAGGCCCTGAAACACCGGTCCCTAACCAAGCCGGTCCTTCTGCGGATGGTGTGCCAAAGATTGAGCCTTCTGAAACTCCCGAGACTCCCGCTGCGCCGAGTGAACCTATCAAAGAAGTGAAACTTAAGGAGTACTGGCAACCGGTCACCTTCCGCATCCATGCCACCGACAACCGGATCCTTGACCCTTTGACTCGCGTCGTCAAGCCGGCAGATGAAGTACGCAAGTACATGAACGAAGTTATGGATCGGGCCGAGCGTGCTCCGGACGGACACCTGGCTTTTCGCCTCCCGTACGAGGATGCGCGTGAGGCTTTTGAAGTAGAGAGCACACCAGCCTCGATCAATGCTGCCTCGACTGCACGCAGTCGCCCATCTCGAGGTAGTACTGTCAAGGTGGAGGAGGAATCAGAGATTGATAACGACTATGACTTGGAGGAAGAGGAAGAGGAACTCCTAGCCTTTTACGGTGCACCGCTTGGTCTGCCACCATTACGAGCTTGAGTAGAAGATAATACCAATGTATACTATTAGCGTATGATACCTCTCAATCGATATTTCCATGTTTATTTCATCCTAACGTTTAGATCACCACTATGTACATTTGGCATTGCAATCCCCTTGATATTTTGCGATGACAATGTCCCCTCTTATACTTACTCCAACCAGCCCCACCCTGCCCCGCCGCATTCCCAATCCCAGACCGGACCCGATCCAACTTTCCAACGTACCACTACCAATTCTTCGCACTCTCTACACCGAAAAAGAACACAAGAAAAACACACAAGATGGCCCCAATTCCCATAACAATCGTGACCGGCTTCCTAGGCTCAGGAAAAACCACCCTCCTCCTAAACCTCCTCCCCCAACTCCCCGCAACCTACAAACTCGCCCTCCTCAAGAACGAATTCGGCGACGTGGCAGTAGACTCCCAACTCGCCTCAACAAAATCCATCTCCGGCGTCCGCGAACTCCTCAACGGCTGCATCTGCTGCAATCTAGTCGGTCAACTCAGCGATGCTCTCGTCCAACTCCAAACCGAAGTCCGTCCCGACAGAATCGTCATCGAGACCTCTGGAAGCGCATTCCCCGCTACACTCGCAATGGAGGTCAACCGGCTCGCGAGGGAGGAGGGGGGCAATTTCGTGTTGGATGGAGTGATCAGTGTAATCGATGTGGAGAATTGGGAAGGGTATGAGGATACGAGTTACACGGCGCGGATCCAGGCGAAGTATACGGATTTGATCGTTTTCAATAAGTGGGAGGGGTGTGATGCGATGAGGTTTGATGTTTGTTTGGATCGGGTGGGGGATTTGGGGGTTGAGACGCCTTGGGTTAAGTCTGAGAAGGGGAGGGTTGATAAGGAGGTTTTGTTGGGGATTGATGGGGCTTTGTTTGCTAAGGAAGGGGGTGAGATTGATGGACATGGACATGGGCATGATGATGGGCATAAGCATGATCATCAGTCTGAGGTGGAGGTTTTGTCTGCTGTTTTGAAGGGCGAGGGGAAGAACGTGGATGTGCAGGCGTTGGAGAATTTACTTTCGTCTGCGCAGAGGGAGGAGATTTATCGCATCAAGGGCATTGTTAGGTGCTCTTCGACGGCACCGTTGGGGGAGACTTCGGATGATCTTGAGGGATCGAGGCAGAAGAGTGATGACTCGGGGAGTCGATACTACATTCTTAACTGGGCGTTTGGCCGGTGGACTTGTACACCGTCGACTGTGGTGGCTGAGTCTGCGGATGAGAGTGTCATTGTTCGCATGACATTCATTCTCGCTCGCTATGAGTCTGCCAAGTGGAAGAAGAAGCTAGAGGCGGGTGGTTTGGTACAAGCCGACGGTGCGGAGTTGACTGTGGAGCGACTGGTTTAAATGAGAGTGTAGCGAAGCTGGCTTCGTTATACATCTTTGTATTGTAAATGCCATGAGCTAGATGATTGATGATACCTTTAGAATAGAATATCCAGAGCAAGAGAGGCCATGGAATAAGAAATGTCTAGACAAAGAGCGCAACCGAGAAGCAGACTTGATTAAAACCGAAAAATCCCACGTCAAATCTCTAAAAGTCTAACTAGCTCTATGAAACACGAATGCAAAAAGCTATCAAGTAGACTTCCCAAGGCATGACAGACTAGGATATTTCAGCCTTGGAAACAGCTGGCCGGGAAGGGACAGTGGGAAGACATGCAAGCGAATGAAGCAAAATCGGAAAGAAGATCAAACAGATAAAACAAAAAGAAAGAAAAGATAGGCAAAAAATTAGTAGTTGAGCAGGGCAGAAGCACCAGCCTCGCTCGAGATGTAGATCACCTCGTGGTTGTCGGAGAAACCATTGAAACGAGTGGCGCTGCACTTGGTATAAGCACCCATCTCCTCGAAATAGAGCCAGTCACCAGTATTGATAAGACCAGGCAGATCAATCCGCTCACTGATGACATCAATACCATCGCAGGTGGGGCCCCAGATCGAGTACGAGATGTTGTCCGAAGTCGCAGAATTCGGAGTGCCCTGCTCAGAGTTGGCCGCAGACGTAAGGATCTGGGCAACGGGGTGCTGGTGGTCGAAAATGATATTCGAAAAGTTGCCATAGACACCGTCGTTGAGGTAGATCATGTACGCATCGCGAGAGGGATCCAGCGGATCCGGAACGTCACGTCGTGCAATGACGTTGGCTGCCAGGGTGAAGGCGTTTGCGACGTAGTACCGGCCAGGTTCGGCGATGATGCGGACGCTGGGCGGGAAGTAGGTTTCCAAAGCGTTGCCCAGGATTGCGGAGAATTTCTCAAAGGTATCCTGGCAGAAGCCACCGCCAACGTCGAGGGTGTGTAGCTCGTGTCCAATCTCCGCGGCTTGGTCGAAGACCAGGCGGGCATCCTGGACCGCCTTCAGGAAAGCGCGGGGGTCCTCGGCGCCCGAGCCGACGTGGAAGCTCACACCGACAACCTTCAGCTCAAGCTGGTAAGCAAGCTGGAGCAGCTGGTTGGCCACATCGAGAGAGGCGCCGAACTTCATGCTCAGTCGACACAGGCTGGTTGAGTCGTCGGTCAGGATGCGCAGGTAGAGCTCCGCATCGGGGAAATGGGCTTTGATCTTGTATAGTTCGTCGGCATTGTCGAATGTCATCTGTTTGACTCCCACCTCCCGGGCGTAGCGGAGGTAGGACTTGGTCTTGCACGGCTGGGCGTAAATGATTCGGCTTGGATCGATGCCCGTCTGGAGGGCGAGATCGATCTCGGACTTGGAAGCGCAGTCGAATCCATTGCCAAGCTGGGCCATGAGACGAAGGACCTCGGGGTCCGGGTTACACTTGACGGCTGTAAGAACCAAGTTAGTTCAAATCCGAGGGAATCTGATCGGAGTTGAAACGTACCGTAAAAGGGCTTCACACGGCCCAGATTCATCTTCCACTGCATATGCTGGCGGTACACCTCGCCCATATCAGCGACATAAAAGGCATCCTCCTCTCCCGCCCCACAACGGTCCACATCCACTTCGGCGGCACGCTTCTTCAGAATATCCAGGACCAGGTCCTTGGCAGCCAACCGAGATTGCAAAATTTCCTCCCCATGATTGCTGATCACACCAAGATCACGACCAATGTCGTTCTTCAAGATGCATGCCTCAGCAGGCACAACACACGCAGTCGGTGCCATATCCGTACAGCTGCGACTCAGCACGGAAACGGATTCAAAGATTGTATTTAAAAAAGAAAGTGATAAAAGTGTTACGCGACTGCGCGTTAGGGAGGGCGAAAAGTTTCGCAACCGTAGTTGACTGGACCAAGCCTCCTAGACCCTTCCCCCTCAAGAGGAAGAACCTTCAGAGAAGTCCTATGCGGCAGCTCAAAGATTGAGGGAATATTCTGGGGCGTCAAAGGGACGAAAAAAGGCGCACCCGACGGAAGCTCAGCGAGAAGCAGGAGGTGGAATGTTGTTAAGAGTGTCGCGGAGACGTCTAGTGGAGACAATTTGACCGAGAAGCACAAATGAGGCAAGAGCCGTAATGCAGGTGGTGCCTTAGCTGGTCCCTAAGGCAGGGAAAAAAGACTCAAATGGACACAATCTGTGACGCTATCACTCAGTCAAAATGAGAACAAAAAACAAGTATGAGAGAAAAATAGAACGGGGTGAGGTATTTGAAGGATTGGAGGGGGGGATAGTCAGATTTTTTTAACTTCCTCGGGGGCGGGTGTTTAGGGCATAATGAAACAGGGTATAGGGTACATGTGTATTGGTAATAAAATACCATGCATGGGTTACACCGCAGGAACCGAGATCAAGCAAGGAATTGAACCAATAGAAGGTACCAAGCACTTACCTATAGATGATGATCCCAAGAAACACAGAAGAAAGAGAAGCAAGTTGAAGTTCATCTGGAGAAAAAAGTATCCGCTTACGGCATCCAGGCCCCAAAGGGTTCCACACAAGGGAAAACGACTTCCCTGTCCCCTTCCAGACCCATAAATCCCCTACGAATCCACTATGAGCGATTTCTACACGATGTAATACTCCGTACTTACAAGTCGTCTGCATGTATAGGTCTAATGTGCATGTACTCTTGTGCCTGCGTACTGCATATGTACCGCATACAGTAATTCTCGGGATTCCTCACTCTTGTTCTAAAAAAAAAATTGTAAAAATTAAAAAGAAAAAGAAAAAAAAAAATTTGCGGTGTGATGAGTACTAATCCCTGTCAGGTTCATTCTTACTGGACAATACACCATGTCAATTACTGCTTGCCTTTCAACAACCCATGAAATTCAATTCCTTGATTCAAGGAAAACCCTAACAAGTGACGAGATTCAGTTAATTAGGGCATTCAGATTGAAAGCTCACGGCCCCACGCTAACGCTAATGAGGTCGAGAACCTCGGATATGACGCACCGGTGGGTTTGTGCACGGACCACGCGAACACCTGTTAGCTCCCGGTCAGGGGAATTATGACACGTCGTCCTGTTCACGACGGTAGCAGTACAATTCAATTGTATCGTTCTGGTCATGCTGCGAGGGGAGGGGCACGGTAGTCTGCTGAGCAATAAATGCCGCAGATTTCATCAAATCGAAGAACACGGCTTCGCTCTCATGCCGTCGCTTCAGAGCCACTAGAACCAGTGCGTCCGGGGAAGTCCGGACTAATCGGTCTAGAACCGATACTAAGGTAGGCAAACTGTCGGCATTATAGGTACAGTCTGAAACAAGGATCAAGTCGATGGGTTGGCCGCAGAGATCTGATGGTGGCTCATCCCAGTCAAGGTTTTGATAGCGCACTGAGGAGAATGGTTGGAGCCGAGCTTCATCCATATTGCGGGTTACAATCTTCTCGACCTCGGGGAGGTCTGTGAGGAGTACATTGCAGTGGTCGAGCATTGTTGCTAGTGCAATGCCAACGATACCACATCCAGCGCCCAATTCTACTGCCTGAAGGGCTGAGCTGCGTGGCTTGACCTTGAGCAGCTGACTGAGGATGGGGATGGCAGTGGCAGTGCCGTTGATTGATTGATCGAGGAAAATAATTGACGCAAGCGCCGCATCCCTAAGTACTTGATTAAAAAACGATACGGAGTAGATATACCCGACTTGGAATATGCAAGTAAACAACGCCACTCACCAGATGTGTCGCGCAATGCTATTTCCTGTCTCCTCCCATATTCTCAAGGATGGAATGGATTGGCCAGCTGCAATGCTGAATTCTCGCTGGATCAATTTCTCGGCTGGTTCGGACTGCCATTTAAAAGGGGCACTACACCCTGATATCACCAATGGGGTAGTATCAATGCCGAGTATATCTTGCATAGTCTGGGCCCGGATCTGGAACACTGCTTCGTGTTGGGAGACATGGTCGATTGAATACGGTCCCATGGAGATTGAAAGTTGTCGCGCACCAGCCTGCCATTTTAAAGAACTTTGATCAATGGTTTCACGTGGTGAACGCTGGGCCCATGTTGCCACTAGATCCACATCTTCTGCAAGGAAATCATCTCCGAGATCAGTGGTAATGCAGATGAGAGCAGTAATAAACACGGGTTTCTTCTGCTGTGGCCGAGACTGCTTGGCATTTTTCTTTTCTTGGTGGAACTTTGGAGGCTTCAAAAAGCGAATGTAATAAACCATGGTTCAGAGCAATGTCCGAGTCTTCAATTGTTCATCTTTATCTTCATCTTCATCTTCAATTTTCTTCTCTTTTTACCCCAGATGGTATCACGTGTTTGCTGACTAACCAGATAAACCAGATGACATCGTTCGCATACCCCAACAATTGGGCGGCCCTGGGCGATATTCCTTTCACCCCCTTGCGATGAATTGACTTCCGCCCTTTCCGGTCTCTCTTGCTTATCCTGACCGTGTCGCAAGATGATGCGATCGCGCGATCCGCGCATCCGGCAGCGGATCAATCAGATTTCTCATAACATCGAGTCCGCCAACGAGACCGCTCAGGAAGGACTATATGCTTTTTCACAAAACTACATCTCCCCTTGTTTGAGCTCTATTTCGAACTGCATTAATGTGTGCACCGCCCCATGTTTTCCGAGCCCCGAGGATCAGCTACGGCGCCGGCGCCGGGGTCAGGCCGAGGCTAACTTCGACTTCTACGATGACTGGGATAATGCCGAAGAAGAGGACGGCTTGCTAGGGTGGGGTACAGGGGAACTGGACCGTCTTCTGGCGGGCAGTGGTTTGGGCCGAAGTACGGAGCAACCACGCCAGCCGCGAAGGATGAGTTACGGTACACGTCACACAAGGCGGAGTACAGTACTCACAAATGACCGTACCGATCCGACGGTCATTCCTAGCTCCTCTTTCTTAGGATTTCTGGAACGCTTTCCCTGGAGATTTGGTGCGAAGGGAGTCAAATACCATCCCTCCGCAGCGGACTTGCAAGAACATCCGGGTAGCTCTCGACGCTATGCGCACGAGGATGAGCCACTGATGGAGGCGACCGATGATATTGAAGGGCGAATATCCTACAATGATAATGGAAGAAATCGAAGTGGAACCGGTTCGTCTCGCGATACTTCTAACTCCCTCAGCTCTCGTGGGGATCTCCTGCCGAGTGACGAAGAAGAAGACGCCGTTCCGCTAGACGATGAATTTGCACTTGTTTTCGCACGTCGTGGGACTGGCTTGGAATCAGATGATCAGGGCTCAAAATCAGAAATGGTGAGATCCGCTTCTGGCACATCCAGTTTAGGGGATGCATCATCCAAGAAGTCAAATCGCAAAAAAAAGAAGCGTTCATCCACAAAATCACAAATGAGCACAGACCAAGAGATCGTCCATGATTTCGATAATCCTTCAATCGCGGATTCGCAAGTCGAGAAGGATCAAGCTAGACATGAAGAATTAATGATCAAAAAGAACCGAGTTGCTGCACAACAATTGGCTGCCAAACGAGGTCTTCCTCTCGACAATAACGACATGGTACATGACACTCCGGACTTCATCTGTTTAGGTGCTAACTCTGTTCACAGGCAACATCACCATCACCAAGGGAACAAATTTCCAGGCTACCCTCCCACCGAAGGTTCTTGCTGTCGGGCGAACAGCACCTTGATAATACCGATCAAAGGTCCGTTGGGTCGTCAATCCGACGATTTTCAGGCGACCAAACCGAACCATTCCCGCCATTCTCGTTACCGGAATCTCCTGTCACCTCATCCAAACCTAACTCCATTAATAACCCCGGTGACGAGGTAGATCTGGCTGGTGATACCGGTCGTCCTGGTACTGACATTCAATGAAGCTCTTTAGCTTTTGCTGAATCCGATGACATGTGATGTGTCGAGTGACTCTACCATTTTCATGCACGATATGACGAACCTTGTTTTGATTGTACTTATACCCAATTGATGCCGATGCAATATATTTGATTGCTTGCAAATCTTCCTGGAAAAGCAATGTACCTGTTACGTAGCGCGACAGAAACGAGAATCTTGAAAATATTTCTCCCTAGTAAAGTTCAATTTGGTTTCATTTCATCCACCACTGAAATAAAAGTAAATACTGCCACAGTGATCTCTCCAATTGGGCGTACTCCTCAATGCTATCAATTCTATGGATCTATGCATCATAGGAAAGATATTACCCCACCGCTGAAACATCTGGATGTATTAGTCATGCCTGTCACACTAAAGCCGGTTCCGCAATGATCCGCCCGGCCTCCATACCAAGTAACACTAAACTGAAAAACCGCTGGTTCGTAAAAGTTTTCTATTTCTGGCACACAGAAGCAGACAATCAATTCACTAGGAGCTGCTTAACAGCATTACTCTGTCACATCCACAATGGCCGAAGCCAAGATTCAGCCGGATTCCGAGCTGCGGGCTAATATGACCAAGGGTACAGCCCCGCGCGAGCTACCCTGGTATAAAACAGATTTCGAGCAGGTGCCTGAGCCTTCCAAGACAATTTTGGAGAAGTATAGTAAGATTTCACCGGATCAGGTTCTACAGCATGTGAAAGACGTCGTTAGTGATGTACCCTTTCTTGCCTACCATTGAGTCTTGACACGAGCTAATATGTCTTTTCGTACATTCATGTTAGAGAGAACGCGCTTTTGAAGTCGTAAGTAAATATTTCCAGAGTTTATTTCTTGGAGAATACTATCAATTGGCCAATGCTAACTGCCTCAGTTTCCCTACCCTTGCATTGGTGAATTCCGATTTCTGGATATGAGTATATCCAATTCACGAGTCTACCCCGAAGTTTTGGAGCGATTGAAATCAGGCCAGAAATTGCTTGATGTAGGATGTGCTGTTGGTCAGGAATTGCGGAACATGGTATGTGCTAGCATAATATGTATATGCAAATACATACCATGGCGGTTCCAACTCCCATGATCTAATATTTTCCAGGTGTACAATGGTATCCCATCAGAAAATCTCTACGCCTCTGACCTCCACCAAAGCTTCTTTGACATAGGCTATGACCTTTTCCAAGATCGGGAAACTCTCAAATCCACATTCATTGCGTCGGACATCTTTGATGATGACTCTGCTCTCGTGAAAGACCTTTGTGGTAAAATGGATATCGTCAATGCGTCCTCGTTCTTCCACCTGTTCTCCTGGGACCAGCAGGTTGTCATTGCCAAGCGTATTATTAGCCTTCTTCATGCACAGCCTGGTTCTCTTATTATTGGGCGTCAAACTGGATGTCTTGATCCTATTTCGCCGCTTGCTAAGGAAAATTTGCCGAAACCTTATCGGCATAATGTGGAGACGTGGAAGATGCTTTGGGAGCAGGTGCAGGCGGAAACAGAGACGCAGTGGGAGGTTGGTGGGTGGTTAGAGGAATGGGGTGGGGCTAGTAGTTGGATGAAGGATTACCATGGAGATAAGGGGACTTGTAGGATTTGGTTTGTTGTGAGGAGGGTCTAGATGCGAGTTTCGTTTTGTTAAATTGGGCAGATTGTAGATCAATTGCGCTTATTCCGTATATGTGTGGCTTATTCGATTGAATTTAATGACTTGCATCTCGGTATGAATTTCATGTCTACTCGGCAACACTCCAAGTGCTTGCTTCAAAGGTTTGGTTACCACTTTCTAATAAACCCGAGTCATAGGGGACAGAGAGCCCGACGGGTACCTGACTTAGAGACTTCTGGGCCTGTGAGAACGCAGCAGAGTCCTGGTATAGCCATGGCGGGTTTGCTAGTGACATGATTTCATGATCGAAGATCGTCCATGAATCATCGGCACTAGGGCCCGGGAATGCCAATGCAGAGCTTGTATCCGGCGGGGTATGCATGGCCTGCATACTGAATTCTAGGCGCTGTGATAGAACGGTGTGTATGCTGACCGTAGATTGAGAACTTCGTTCAAGACTTTGAAGGTGTGATTGAATGAGGTGTAGGTCTAAAAGTGGTAAGAATGGAAATTTCATCAGGAGCATAGAGATGTATGTACCGTCTTGGTGTGTCATGCCATCCTCCACCCCACGAAGAAGCAAAATCGCAGCCCATGTAATCATCTTGGTTTTATTATCAGTAAGATTCAGAGGAGACGTTTGAGAAATAGGCTCACTATCAGATCCCAGTTGGACCAAATGCTGGCGTCGTCTTGACGTAGTCTTAATACTGCCCTAGCGGACACAAGTAGCTCATGTCTCTCGACGGGAGTGATGTTTGCTGAGCTGATATCAAATCCCCGGGCAGGGTGGTAGATGGACAACACATAAAGTTTGTGTAAGTGATATTGTAACAAGATCAAAATACCCTGTCGATCTGACGGAGATGGTTCTATCGTGCGAAGTTGTCAGCAAAAGATGAAAGTTAACGCATTGAGATCAGATACTTACGAGACGCGCCATTGTACCGAACAAGCCAGTCATCGAGCTTTCGAGCCCAGAGTCGAATGACTTCAGAATCCTGCTCTGTAAACGGACTTTGAACGGCTGTAATACAGTCAGAGACATCTGCATTTATTGCACACCATATTGTCGGTAAGCCTCTTCCGACAAAGTGGCTTAGACCATAGTGCATCATTTCGGCCAGGCCTTGAAATGCGTTTCCTTGGTAGCTGTCTAGACGCTGGATGCCAGGTATTGGTGGCTGGCGAGGAATGAGAGGGTAGGACATGTGGATTGACGCATGTTCGATATCTATGACCTGGGACTATCAGCATAGTCAAATGACATGATAGAGGCATCCTACTTGGAGACCAGAAAATAATCCACGCCAGTCTAGCGTTGAATCGTCCAGATCAGAGGGACAGTGGTCCAACCAGAGTCGGTAGCCCATTGCGATCCATAAGCCGGTCGTGTCAACATAAGCCTCGGAGCTTAGACTTGCCATGATCAAACCAAGGATATTGCAAAATGCTCTCCGTGTCTTGGTATCTAGTGATTCTTGTTTGTTCCTGGGAGTAAGACCTGGATTCAAGCCCGATGATGCCAGCTCAGCTATTGCACAGCAAGTCGCCATAAAGTAGCCCGATTCAAGGGATCCCATCTCGGAAGATGGGTGATTGAGAGCGGCAATGTAAAGAACAGAAGCGAGTAACAATGGTGTTGGGGAACTGAAAGCATCTCGGTCTTTCAAAAAATGAAGTAGTGGTAGATTATTGAGAAATCTGCACAACGATAAGTTCGTCAAATGCGGCCATTGAACCACAAAAATCGACTTACGAAGTCCAAAGACACTTAATGTTCGGTCGAGACCAGATGGCCTCATTCTGTGCTGGTCGAGTAATACATCTTAGATGAGCAATGGCTTCCATAGCCTTTTGTACGGGTATAGACTGGTCTTTTTTTTCTGGGGAGACTGAAGAAATAACACAGTCCTCTAGAACGTCTCGATCAATTCCCAAGGCAGCTTCAATTCGATCCAGTCGATCCAGAATAGATTGCTGGTCACTCATTGAGGGACGGATCTGCTCTTGGTCAAATATATCATGGAATGCAGAGGCCTCAACAGAAAGTAAGTACAAATATTGACTGGTAGCTTGGAACATACATTGGCCCTAGGCTTGAATATACAAGCCGTTTTAGTATGTCGGCATCGACGACAAGGTGGAGCTCCGGTGACTTCGCATTTCATCTAAACTGATTGGCACTTGGTCATAGAGATATAAACCCGCATGGGATATACCTTTAGTCGCCGACAATGAACTGGCTGCATCGTTAATTTTGTATCTCATAGCTATGTCTGTCATGACTTACCACAAGCCTTTGTCGGCTTCGGACCTCGGATCATGTTGATCGGTTTGTTCATGGGGTTTGCGTCACCTTTGGAGAAGGATGAATGATTGAAGTCCGTGCTACTTCTTATCTGCGGGGGCTAAGCGGACCCGCTTATGTATTAGCCGCGGTTGGCTTATAACTTGACCCTACTCCATATCAGACTCTCAATGAAAGACTTGGGAAATCGATACTGATGTTTGATGTGCTACTTGCAAGTGGTCAGTATGTTACATGATGTTACAGAAATGTAGGATTCAATATAGAGTTGGCTTTACCTATGAATGGAGGAAACAATCTTGCAAATACCTGTAACTGTAGTAGTTTGGTATTTGACATTCTCAAATCCTTCCAAGATTGCCATCATATGTGACTACTTGAAGTCTTCATGCTGTTTTGCTAATCTTGAAATTGCAAGCACACATCATCGTTCTTAAAAGCGCACGTAAGGCTAATAGCAGAATCGTCAATTACCAGCGGCAAAGGTTTTTTAAATGACTGGACTCAGTGTATTCTTACGGTTCAGCTTGGTCGAAAGCCATACATAACTATAAGATCCCACTCTTGGTAAGCATTTTGATATACATGCTTGAGTCATGAGCATAAATATTGAATTGTGATGAAACGGAGACGTTAGTCAAATTTGTATTAGAAAGGGCGCATGTTTATTCCTCCAGAAATCAAGATTTGAAGATATTAACCTAAGCCACTACAGCGAAAATAATGTATCAGGTAGGCTAGGGTTGGTGAGTCAGGATGGCTTGAGAGCACATGTGCATGACCTCACCGGAGTATATTGGACATCGCTCAGCTGGAACAGCAGCTCATTCTCATCACTACGGAGTATAAATGAGGAACTTGGGGGGAAACCCTGGAAATTGAGCTCATCGTTATTGGTATGGATATCATCAATAGTATGTGATAGGTAAACCATAGTGTGGCTGGTCGTGCGGCTGGGTCGATGACTAAGGCTTCCCCCTCGTCGAGTTCTCTGCCGAAGGAGCCATTGACCTCCGCTTAAACAAGAAAGCACGGCGAATCACGACTCACTTGCCCCAGAGGTGCTGCTCTTGACTGGGCCCGCTTTGCCTCTGGGTTTTCTCCACGACTCACCATCATCTCCCCCGATTGAACCCGCACCTCCCCCTCCGAGTGTATCCACCCCGAAACCTGCACAATTTTTCGGCTTCATACCGGCCACGCGACCACTACGGACTCGTATCGAGCCCTCGTCGAATCCGCAAGTCTCCGTCGATACCGCGCATAATGTCGTCCACCACCATGGCGAAGAAAAACAAGGGGAAGAAAACCGCCGATCCTAGTGAGACTTCGAAACTACTGGCCGCCAAGATCTCGCAGTTGGAACAGGATGCTGTTGGTGAGAAGGAACAGGAAGCAGAGATTGGTGCGTGATACCAGAGTGCTCGCGGGAGTCTCGCGGCCTCCAACTTGAGAATTCGAGACCCGTCACTCGCATGCTGTTTCGTCTGGAGGCCGGACTTGGTCACTGACTTGGGATACATAGAGCGCGAAGTTAAGAAGGCGACCCGGGATCTGAACCAACTACTGAACACCATGGAATCGCCAATGACTCGCCTGGAAGCCGTTTCCAAGAAGTATACAGAGCTGCTAGCGGACATGAAAAAGTTGGACCGGGACTATGCTAAGAGCAAGAAACGCTCCGACCAACTACAGAAGGACCAAGAGAAAAGCAAATCCGAGTTTAGCAAGACTATCACCATGAAGGACAAGCTAGAGAAGCTCTGCCGAGAGTTGACCAAGGAAAACAAGAAAGTCAAGGTAGGAAAGACCTCTTAAGGCCGGTTTATTGCATGCACTAAACGGTTGCAGGACGAGAACAAGAAGCTCGACGATACAGAAAAGAAGGCCCGCTTGATTGTCAATGAACGACTGGACTCTTTGCTCTACGACATTCAAGATGTCATGGCTGCCAAGGGGAATCCTCGGAATGAGAAAGTGGATGTGGACTTGGATGATGCGTACGCCTGCCCCCACCCAGGCACCCAGGTGCAGTGTCTGTAGTTGAAGCTTTGCTAATGTGCGAAATTTAGCCTCCGTGTAAAGCTCAAGACCATTAGTGAGCAATTCGATACGCGCGAACTTCATTACAAGGGTCTTCTCCGCAGCAAGGACTCAGAGATCCAGAGCCTGACCGCCAAGTTCGAGGAGCAGCGCCGATCTGCCGACAACGAGTCTGTCCGTGGTCGAGCTCTGAGTGCCCAAGTCTCTACCTTCTCCCATACAGAAGCAGAACTTCGCAGTCAGCTGAACATCTACGTGGAGAAGTTCAAGCAGGTACGGGAGCCCTCGTTGTCCTTTCTGCTTTTCATTTAATTAACAGCGAACAGGTCGAGGATACTTTGAACAACAGCAATGAGCTTTTCCTGACTTTCCGGAAGGAAATGGAAGAGATGTCGAAAAAGACCAAGCGTTTGGAAAAGGAGAACCACACCCTCAACCGGAAGCACGAACAGACCAACCGCAACATTCTTGAAATGGCCGAAGAGCGTACCCGGAATCAGGAGGAACTCGAGCGATGGCGACGCAAGTGTCAGCATCTTGAGGCTCTGTGCCGTCGTATGCAGGCCCAAGGTCGCGGCGAAGGCATAGCCGAAGGCGATGATCACTTGGAAAATGATGACGAAGGCACAGAGAGCGAGTATGATGATGATTACGAAGATGATGAAGACTTGAGCGATGAAGGAGAGGCTGAGCAAGATCATACTGTTTCGCATCCCGCCGAACGGCCTGTCTTTGGTCCACCTCCGCCTCCCAGTCTTCTCGAGGCCCGAGCTTCTAAGAATGCCGTTGTGAACGGTTGCCATTGATTGAACTGTTGCTTTGTTTCCTTTCAAGACGTTCATGTTACCGATGTCTTTGATTTTGTCATATTAAATCAGTCAAAGAATATCCACTTGTACAACCACACAAATTTGATCCATCTATAGCTTACTAGACTGTCCGCCAGTGATATACGAATTGCCCGTCTTAAGAACATCCACGGCCTGCTGAACCATTTCCTTCACAATCACACCAGCCGGTTTGATCTCTTTAACGCCTGCTGAGACATCTCCCATCAAGAAAGGCATATCGACGTCCTTCTCATTTTCCAAATCATGCATCATGGGCACAATACCCTTGGCAGTCAACTCCGCAATATCAGCAGGCCGACTCTCCCACTCCTTAACATAGTCATTTGGCAACATACGTAACGGCCGCCCGGAAACAACCAGCGTCCGTTTCGTCTCTCCATACTGAGCCCCAACAACAGCCTCCTTATGCAACCGACTGGCACCACTCTCCTCCGACGCCACAAAGCGAGTCCCAACCCACACCCCCGACGCACCAAGCATCAACGACGCCGCAAGACTGCGCCCATCATTAACACCACCCGCCGCAACAACCTGCGCCGGCAACCCTGTCAAAGGACTCTTATACCTCTTCGCAACATCCACAACAGCAGGAATCAGCACTGAGAACGGAATGTCCCCGGTATGCCCACCCCCCTCACCACCTTGCGCACAGACAATATCAACTCCACGCTGGAGCGCCTTCTCCGCATGCTTCGGCGCCCCGACCATATTCATAATAAGTATCCCAGCCTCATGGAGCCGCTTAATAGTCCTCTCGGGAGGTACGCCCACAGCCGAGACGAAGAGTTTCGCACCGTGCGAGATCGCCACTTCGATCAGTTCGTCCAGTTTACCGTGCGTGTAGTCATGATTTGTCGCGCGCGCGCCTCCGCCTACCTGTGGTAGGGCGAGATCTACACCGAATGGGAGTGATGGGTCGCGGAGTAGCGATTTGAGCTCCGTTAGCATCTCCGATAGTTGCTCTGGGGTGTAGCCTAGTCCGCCTACTGTGCCGAGACCTCCTGCGTTTGAGACTGCGGCGGCAAGGGGAGCGCCTGAGGCGCGGGCCATACCAGCTAGGAGAACTGGGTGTTGGATTTTGAGAAGGGAGCAAAGGGGCGTGTGGAGAGACATCTTGGCGATGTTGCAGTAGACACGATAAGGAGTAGATAGGTGAGATTTGGCAAGCCCGTGGATGTTTCAATGGTAATGAATTAATTGAGATTGATATCACTGTATCTTGTCGATGCTTCCAATATTGTATAGTACGGGTGTTCGGGGTATCTATACCTTTGATGTTCGATGTAGAATGCGGGGAAGCTGTGCCTGGACGGACCGAGGTATTTTGGTAAGCTTATGAATGTAACACTTTATACAAGTATTAGCCACATGATTTGTTGATCATCGATTTAAACTTGCATATTATTCCAAGATCAATGTCTGTCCTATGCCGATACCATACAGCCGACTCGACTTCTCCTGATCGAGGTGTTGAGTAGGTACACATACCAAATAGGTACCTGTGAATTACAACCGCTAGTTCTCTTTTCTGATTGCCTCTACTTCCTTTTTTCCCCTCTGTAAAAGTCTACAAAGAAAATCTCAATGGATTACAGTCTCACATCTGAGGCCAACCATATTTTGATACATGTCTCAGGTACATCAGTCAACGGCTTGGAATACCGTCCAGGGCTCCCTGGAAAGATAGTGATAATGGGGCGTACACTACTGTCGGAAAGATAGGTAAATAATATGATCGAGTTCTAGAGGAGTTGAAGAGGATTTAGGAAGACTAAAGCTGATGATGCGGCAATCTGGTGAGTCGTGACAAGCTCCAAAGGCACTCTGCCACCCTCTACTCCGTACTCTATGTTCATGAGATGAACACAGTCAGGTTTCAAATATTTGAGTACATCTGAATTCAATACATGGTAATAATTTAATAAATATATCGATTTCCACCGAACTAAGGTAAAGGCGCGATGCCCAAAGCGGCAATGTAATTGGACGCGCTAGATCGCGTGGGGTTCGCGTCAGTGTTTCCGCACTTTAACTCTTCCACTTCGCATCAAGGTCAAGAGATCTTGGATCCCCAAAATGACTCCGGGTGACGATTTTGGCTTTTTACGACCTCCTGGGTATGGATATAATACTCTGCTTAATTCTATTAAAGGAATTTCACCACCAAATTGAGCCTGGCTGACTGTGTTCTGTTTGGCTAGCAATGAGGAATACGAAGAGACCTACCGCACCCCGTCAAACTACAAACCCCTCGACACATTCAAGCTCCCATCCGGACCTTCTCGACACTATAAGCAGCAGTATGGCGACATGTACTTTTTGCGTCTCGCTGGGCTGAAGCCTGCGGTGGAGAAAATTGCGACGGAGGCATGGGAGGGCATCAGTGTATGGCTATCCCTCGATCGGATCGTGTGCATATGTCACTGCAAGGATTGGCTGACAATTGATTTTCGCATACAATTAGATTGCAGGAGAGCGCGCACGACGCGTCGATCGAGTACTTGATGTTCGGCAGGGTGAGCTGTGCTGGGTGGCCGGCACAGTGTACATGGACATGCCATTGAAGCCCAATATTCTGGAAGACCTTACCAAACAGGTATGCTTGGATTACTTGAATCCTGTAGATTTATCTGACCGGCGTCTAGAACTTTACCTCCGCACCACCTCCACGCCCTACTTATGTCGATCCAACCAACCCAGCACTGACGCAGACTACGCTAGAGGATGCATCAGGCCGTGTTCGTTTGGCTGGTGACTTTCTTTCATCCGTCCACCTTACTACCGGTACTGTCATTGCGGCATTAGGGACAGAAAACGTTGACGGAGATTTCGAGGTCATCGACATCAAAGTCCCAGAGTTGCCTCCACAGCCACCGAGATGGGGAAATGACGAATCAAAACATACTGGCAAAGAAGCAGCTGCGAAGGAGTCTGGCAAGATTGCATTTGTCAGTGGGCTAGGGATCACAGGGACTTCGAGTGATTCTCTTGCATTGGAGTTGCTCACAGAGTATCTTCTTGGCTACACAGGGTTCTCTGGAAATGGGGACAATAGCCCTTCATCGGGTGCTGCAAAGATCACACGACTCATCATCGCGGGTAATTCCCTCGGAGCTAGCGTGATAACTGATACATCGGCTGGTAAACCTGTGCCAAAAAAATACGGTTATGATGCTTCAGCATATAATGCTGCACCCATCACACAGCTGGACAACTTCTTGTCAGAACTTCTGCCAAGTATCCCTGTCACCCTGATGCCGGGTGAGGCAGATCCGGCAAACTTTTCCCTTCCTCAACAAGGCATTCATCGCACCATGTTCCCAAAGTCCAGAGTTTACGCTGCTCCTCCACCATCTGGTGAGGAGAAGCCAGAAGCTGGTTGGTTTGACAGTGTCACCAATCCATGGGAGGGCGAAGTGGAAGGCTGGCGTCTGTGGGGAAGCAGCGGCCAGAATGTTGATGATGTTCTGCGATATCTCGACTTTTCTGGTGAAGATGGAGACACAGACAAAGACTCGGACGACTCAGGGGCTCGCATGCAGGTTATGGAAGCAATGCTCCGGTGGAGGATTGGTGTTCCCACAGCTCCTGACACACTCTGTACGTTAATGCCTCTCCACTTACAGGATACCACATGCTAACAACGTTCCAGGGTCTTATCCTTTCCAAGAATCCGATCCGTTTATTATCGAATCCTGTCCGCATATCTTTTTCACCGGCAATCAACCACGTTTCAAGACCGCCGTTATTGACGGCGACATTCCCCTCCGCTTGGACGGAGGTGATACCGAAATGACAGACTCTGCTGGCGAGACACCTGTACCTCGAGTACGACTTCTATCTCTTCCACGGTTCAAGGAGACTGGGGAGCTCATTCTGGTTGATTCCGAGACTCTGGAGGTCGAAGTAATTCGGTTTGGTGTTTTTTCAGGACAGGAAGAAAAAAAATGAATCTATATCTATCCATAGCATACTAGAAATAGGCTAATGACATGAGACTACATTCTAATCTATCATGCATTGTTATCCACCATTCCATTGAAGTTGAAAGATGGTTTATTCTATACTATGGGCAGTCGAAGCCATCTAGCAGGTTGATCATGAACGAGGTGTATCCGTCACTTGAGATCTGAAGGTTTGTGGTCATACTTTAGGCTATGAGTATCTACTGGGATAGTTATGATGGGCTGAGAGGTGATGCTGTAGCTTATTATAACATATCTTCGCATTGATATAGATCACGTGACTGCGATGCCCTGGAAGGTCTGAACCATGAGGCAATCTGATATCAAAGACCATACCCAAATCGTTTCTCTAATAGCAAACACGTACTATCAAACGGTCCAAACGAGGGAAAAAGACATGTCTGCACACTTTTACTGAGATTGGATGTTACAAGTTGCCAAGCCCCACTCGACCAAAATCATATTGCGGAACCGCAACTTTCCAAAATTTCGTGCTTGACAACCAGACAAACATAGACTAATAGAACATTCCTCAAGTCCTTCACCAAATTTTTTTAATTGTCAGTGTACGGTTCTCCCAACCCAAAGACATCCGTATCGTCCCGATGTTGCTCAATGCCGAAACTGGTGCGTACTCAAGCCCCTCATCCAGAGACTTCCCCATCTTCCCAACCCGAAGACAGAAACATATATCCGTATCCCTGTCATTATATACACTACATACTGACAACATAAAATAGCCATCTCGACCTCTAAGGTCCTACTCGTCCCATACTCAACATGGCACGTACCCCGCTACCACGAATGGATGCAAGACGAGGTAAGATATCATCCAAAGTCCAGACCACACCCGAGACCAGATTACTAATACATACTAGGAAATCCAAGAAGCAACCGCCTCAGAACCATTAACTCTAGAAGAAGAATACTCCATGCAGCGCAGTTGGCGCCAAGATGCAGACAAGTTGACATTTATCACCTGTCGGCCAGTAACTCGTTTCCCCAATGAGAACAGCTCACAAATGAAGCTTTGTTCCGATGATGAGGCTCCAGGAAATATGATCGGAGATATAAACCTCTTCCTCCGCATTGAAGACGGTGAAGATGGAGACGCGCCTCCGCAGGTTGTTGGCGAGATTGAGCTGATGGTTGCCGAGAAAGCGAATCAGCGGAAAGGATTCGGGAAGGCTTCGCTGTTGGTATTCTTGCGGTATGTAGCGGAGAAACAGGCGGCTATTCTAGAGGAGTTTGTGAAGAGTGTTGAGGAGGGGGAGAGGGAGAAATTGGTGCAGGCTGCGGGTGGGGAGGCGTTGAGATTGCAGTGGCTGAGCGTTAAGATTGGACAGGAGAATTTGAGGAGTTTGGCATTGTTTGAGAGCTTGGGGTTTGTGAAGGTTTCTTCTGAGCCGAGTTTCTTTGGGGAGTTCGAATTGAGAAGGCTGGACTTGGGAGTTCAAGGGTTTGTGGAAGCGCTGGACGGTGCTGGGGTTGAGGGATATACCGAGTTAGACTATGAGAGGAAAGAATAAATGGAGAGGATATAGTTGGGAATATCCTATTTTTCATGGAATATATACAGAAAAACTGTCTACAAAATGGCACAGTAGCTTTCGAAAACAGCTTTACCTCTACACTCTTCCTTCTTGATTCTCATTCATACTTTCCAGTTGCATTATTGTTTTCCGTCATGTTCCTAGTATCTAAAGCAGTATAGTATCTGATTACATCCATTGCTAGGCATGTGATTCAAAATGCAATGCTCTCATCTGAGTCATAGGTATCGGCATTCATCTCTTTTCCAAGCTGCTCGAGGGCATATCTGTAGCCCTTGATCTTCTTTTTCAGATCAATTATGTTAAGCTCGTACCTCGTTTTCGTCTCACGAAGCGCAAAGAATCTAGAATTCTTCTTTTCGACGATTTGGTGAAGAAAAGTCGCGGAAAATCTCCCAAGCTTCATGCCCTTATCGATGAATGGCAGCCAGTCGTCCTGAAGCATTCGATCAATGTCTTCCGCTATTTGCTTCTCGATAATTGAATGGAGATCAGAGAATTCGTTGCCTTTCCAAGCCTCCTCCACAACATGCCCCCAGGATTCAGTGCCCTGCGAGCTCCAAGCCCAGGCTTTGAATTCTTCTTTCGCGTGCTCTTCGAGGGAGAGGATGTTATATTTATCGGCAGATGCATACACATGCAGGTTCAATAGGGCCCGACTCTCCTCATAGTCTTCCAAATCTGGTCTCGTGTCTTTATACCTCTGCCCATACAGATGCTGGACCATCATGTTTATCGCCTCGGGGTCGTCATCGGGTAGATTGATCTTTCCAGTCTTACCTTCCTGATATTAATTAGTTATCTTGGATAGGAAAATATCTCGCTATTCTCACAAGGAAGTTTGCGTTACACATAGCGGCCAGAACTTTAGACTGGGCACTTATGATCGCTCGATGAACTCGATGATGGTAGGCTCCACAAGTAATGGTAATATCCGAATGTTCATTGGAGGTCATTATTCGCTTCAATAGCGAGCGTAGATCGTCAGTATCGGACATTCCTACTGAGCTCGGAATACTAGGGGAATGAGTAAGATCGTGAGTGATGATGGTTGGGTTTCCTGCCATCCAGATGTGGGGCAAAGTAAGGTGTATAACGGCCGGTTTAAATATGTTCCGTCATTAACACCAAGAGTTTGTCGGTATAGGCCAATAGCTGATTTCGAAAACTACAGTACTGAATTCACCGAATAATTTGCACGATTCATTCTGATGGTGAAGATGTCCAAGGTGAACCACCATGTTTCGTCAGCCAGGCTATAGAGTCAACTCGTCTAGCTCGCATTGCAAAATGAAGAGGAGATTCACCGTTAGCATCCAAGGCAAATTTGGAAACATTCGAATTCCTCTCCAGAGAATTCAAAAAGATAGGCCCGTTAAACACAGCCGCATGCCACGACGTCGCAGATCTGGTAAGAGAGACAAGGGGTCGATCTAGATCGGGAAGAACAGTATTATGGATAGGCAATCCAACCCGAGCAAGTTGAACAGCTACATCTTTAGTAGCGAATGTGCAAAAATAATACTTATCCACCGAAGACAGACCATTCAGGGTCTTGCTCTCCAACCTGCCACTCTCATGAGGCCTCCAAAAATCAAGTAAGAATTCCAAGAACCACACATCTCCTCTCCACGCCGCAAAAGACAAAGGCGTCGGAGTAGCACTCATCTGAAACGCATTTGCCCGGATACACATCATCCTTTCCATCGATCCAACAGGCTCATTCCACGCAAATAGATACTCGAGTATGTCAACCGAACGAGCATAAACAGCAATGGCAACATAGCTCCACCCAAACAGATTGCATCCATAGCAGTCCATAGTCGGAAGTCGTCTGCAAATCCATTCGAAGCATTCAGGACAATTGTCCAGGATTGCGCCGGTAATCACATCTGGTTCATCACCCGGCCATCCGTGGATTGGAACAAGCATGTTTAACGGGGCTGTTCGTCCGCGCTGGGCATCGCGGTAAGGGCCTAGGAAGGCAGCCTCTAGTTCGTGTTGGAAGCATTTGTTGCTGTATAGGAACTTTCCTACCAGTGCTGCTGCTTTTTCTGTTGATCGAGCGATTTGGCGGACGCGACAGAGGTTGAGGTGTGTTAGGTACTCGGATTCTGTGAGAAGGGTATTCAGCAGTGTGGTCAGCTTATGGGAGGATGGTGAAGGTGACCCTTCAGTGTGTGAGGTGCTTGAGGTGGATGAGGGCTTTGGTGGAGAACTCGATGAAGGGGATGATAGATTTGTATTGTCGACAAGGCCGATTGGGTGCATCGCAATGGTGTCAGCTGGAGCAATTTGTTCTTGGTATGGAGCTTTCTCATTTTGAAGACCGATTTGGGTCTCATTGAGGTTCAACTCATTGAAACTGAGGATGATTTGGTCCATAGTGAGACTAGACTTGTCAGTGAATATCTATCTGCTCCAGAGATAGAAAGGAAGAGATGAGAAGGCCATCATGGGGTTATGTAAATGGTTCGATTGTTTGTTGGAAGTAATCTGCCAAACAATGAGCTTTATTGAACAGATCACTCAACGTAATTACTGTGACAATGAATGAAAGGCATGAGACAGCTGCACATAATACAGGGCCTCACATCAAATCAGACAAAGTCCTACAGATCCAATCTACTGTCATGGAACAGAAAGAAAGGGCGCATCAAGTTGAGGAATGCTTAGTATTCGGTGCCATAAAGATGAACAACGGGAGTTCTCGCAGAAAGCGCGCAAGAAACCCAGTAAAGATGTTTCAACTGTTTTTTTCATTGGTTTGTAGGGACTGAAGCTCCGACAAAAGCGATCCACGAGTGCGTCCGGAAAATGCGAGTTCGTTTGACCGGTGGATTATCACAGCGGTGTACAAACGCAAGGATGACGTCTTTTTCATTTCCACCACCCCCGTGCCGGCTCGCAGAGAGATTCAAGGCCATGCCATTCGTCCCTCCAACAGTTGGTCTTGCATGCATCGACAACCAATCGCGCCGCACTCCATGCCTCCTTTTATTCCATTGTCACTGGATTTACAGGGACTTCTTCTTGTCGCCGTTGGAGACGTCGACAACCTTGAGGGCTGTTGAGAAAGAACTTGTTAGTAGAGGTTCGATGTCGAATGTAGTCTGTGTTTCCATGTTTTGGTGCCTCCTTCAATTCCAGTAGATTTCCAACAGGCTGCCAAATAAAGTCACGGGTAGGGACGATCGGAAAATGTGGGGTTCGACGCACCAGGGGGCAGGCTCTGCTTGAGCTTGTCGGCCTTGTCGGAGTCCTTCAGGACAAGGGTGTACAGGAAGCGCTCGCAGCGGACCTTGAACTTGATCTGCTGGGACACACGGTTGCGCTTGATCCGGGCGGCTGTAGAAGGAATTCACGTTAGTCTTGGGTTTCCGGATTCTGGTCCTGGCTCCTCCCCGAGCGCGAAGGGCGAAACATACAGGAAGCGTCCTTGCGGCGGCAGATCTCAATGAACTGCTTGATATCGGAGACTTCGCGAGGCATGGTGACGGTTGATGCGGATTGGAGTTGCGTGGTGAGGAATCGCTGTCAAGATCGAGTTGTGTGGATCGGATTAGGGTTTTTGCTCCGTAAAGCCCTGGTACTCACGTGACTCCGTGGCGGGTGCTTGCATGTGGCTAATGGTTGTTGGCGACGGACAATGTTCCGATATCCCTTCGAGTAGCGCTCCTCCGTTAAATGGAGCAAATGGATTGGATAGATTCTGTCGGCCACCTGGAGGATTCCAACGAGGATTGGTCTGATCGTAATATCCCGGCCACCGTCGAAGATTGCTACTCTCGTGTCGCGAATGTCGCAAGGGCGTCGGGGTGGAAAAGGGGATTTAGACTCAGACCTTGGCTTTTCAAGTCATTGATATTGATAGACAGCCTTTTTTTGGTGACGTGAAAGCGGATTCGATATCTTTTCCAAAAATTATGCTGGTGGCTGTGTCAGTGCTGCAGATGAACAGGCAAATAATGTCCTCACCCTTGAATGACCGCACTTCCCATAGCAATGACGAAGGTAACGGCAGTAAAAGAAAACGACAGCTTCCATGCCGAAGCAGGGCTCACAGCAGCCAGGAAATGTACAAGAGAATCGGTGTCGACCGGTGGGGGACGGTATTAGATAGGAGATGTGAAGCTGTGCAACCGGACTAGGATTTGTGTTGAGGTTTTTGCCATTGGCCTACGATTATAGATACCATTGCAGCTTTCTTGGGGATCTGGCGATACCTGGAAGGCAGGTACCCTTACATACTAGTAATTGGTTGTAACGTAGATGGGAAGGCAGGAGCCGCATCGAGTCCACGGGTGGCGTTGAGTGGCGGTGCATCAAGTGGTCTACTTGTCCGAACTCTCTCCAGGCTACAACACATCCCCCTTTCACATTTTGATTTATGCCAGAGTATCTATTTCTTATCATTTCTAGACTTAATACTTGACAACTTCTCAGCCCTTTACCCATCGAGCAGGCCAAGATGCCTACTCCACTGGATCGCGCCATGAACTCCAAGGTACGGAGTACGCCACCCGAGCTACAGCCACATGAATTATAGCTAACAGAAGATCTCTAGAACTTATTTCTGGGTGAGCAAAGAAGAAGATTTTGCGGTCCAGCAAAATATCCTAACTTTCTATCGTGATCTAGGGTTTGCAGGCATGGTGACCGCCGTTGCAGCATACTCCATCTGGGGCACTGATGTTTTCCCAAGTGAAGCTGACCCAAAAGGAAGTAAGCAAAACACAAGCAAGAGAAACATTAAAATACATGCTGACGGAAAAGACCCTGAGGACTGGACTGCTGACGAAATGAGGAGGTGGCTTCGCGTTGTATGTTCAGATCCCCAGAACCCTCGATCATCACTAACTATCGCAGCGGGGGCTTTTGCCGGCCAATGAAGCGACTCGTGAGGAACTGTTGGAGCGAGTCAAAGCCAATCTGCGGATACCGCGTAGCTCCAAAGCACCGGTATCCCAGTCATAAGGGCAGAGTGGTGCTTCGGGCTTCGTCGTTTTCAATCCTTCAAATGTGTCCTCTCATGTGATTCCCCAATTGTTTCCAAATTGCATATGTTATCAACTCATTTCAACACAAGAATTCTTGTAAAGATTCTTTCCAAAGTGAATGCTCATGTAGATGGCGTAGTTGGTATGAGCTCACAGCTATCGCGATCCTAAGATGGGACCAAATCCGGGATAATTGCCCATAACCATGACTTTTTATAAAATGTTCGACACGTATCAGACTACGAGGCGGAAGTTTTGGCTCTGGACCAACCAGTCTCGCCGGCGCTTGCCCCGCTCGGTGGACAGATTGGGCACGAGGACAAAGGTCTCGCTGAAGCCACGCTGTGGCTGGTCACGGTTCTCTCCATACCGTACATGTCCGCTCACAATCACCAAGATGGACATGTCCTTGGTCGTCATTTGAGCGGCTGGCTTGACACCAGTGGGGGTAACAGTGGGATAAGCGCGGTTGATGATTTGGCAGTCGTATGATTGAGCTTCGTAGTGCGCGTGTGGCATTTGGTTGACGAAGATGTCCTGGACTGCAGCGCCGTCTGCCACAGTGTTGCCGTTGAAGAGGATTTTTGAGGGTACTGGCGCGTAGAATGAGGCGATGGATTCGCGGTTTGAGGAGAGGGCTTGGTAGAAGGTTTGGACGAGCTCGGTGGCAGCTAGTTGATATTGTCAATACAAGCAACATTGGTAGGGGTTGAGAGGCCTGAAATACCTTCAGTAGACACTTTCACCAGCTGGTCCTCGCTTGCTGAAGTCATTGCGGCGGGTCGGAAAGGTTTGGATGAGAGATGTTCAGAAATGGCAGATATATTTGATATAGCAAAGGCACCAGGTATTCTGTATGTAAAGATAAAGACGTGGAACCAAGTATGTTCCTCACGGCTCGTATATCGGAGGTTGAATGGTGTGGAAGATAAATGGTGAATCAAAGAAAAATGACGGGCGGAGCTTGGACCACCTCCGGATCGTGATGCGGAATAACATGCATGCAATGCGACACTTATTTTCTCCTCTGCAATGCTTGCCCCAATGGCTTCCACAAGAGCACCATTCCGTGCTCTTTCCAGGGCAAATATTCTCCTGAATTCCAGACGGTCCTGGACTTGCTCTGCTTGCAAATATGGAAGTCCTAGGACTTTTCGTGGATTGGCGACAACTCCAACTCCGACTCCAACTCCGGGGAACTTCAAGAAGCCATACTATGTGACCACACCCATTTTCTACGTTAATGCTGGTGAGTATATTGTATTACTGTTAAATATTCTATGTTGACCATTTTCTCTCCAATAGCACCCCATGTCGGCCATTTCTACACCATGGTCATCGGCGATATCTTGAAACGATGGCAGGTCCTACTAGGAAACACCGATGCTCAGTTCTTGACCGGAACCGATGAGCATGGAATGAAGGTACTTGGGATATATACAAGTGGATAAATTATTGACTGACAATCGTGTCAGATCCAGCAAGCTGCCCTTGAAGCGGGGATGGACACCCAGGCATTTTGTGACATGAACTGCCGAACCTTTGAGGTATCTACTTGATAACCTTATCCTTTCTGGATAGATGTCTAACTGCATTTGACAGGCTCTGGCTAAGGCCGCTAACCTTGATAACGACCATTTCATCCGAACGACTGACCCGGCGCATCGCGATGCTGTACAATATTTCTGGGTAGGCAGGTTCGCTCACAGACAAAGATGCAACTAACCCAATCTAGGAAATGCTTCAACACCGAGGCTATATCTACACTTCCAAGCACGAGGGATGGTACTCTGTCAGCGATGAGACTTTTTACCCGCAGACACAGGTACAAAACTCCCTGGATCCAGCAACGGGAAGAAAGAGAATGGTAAGTTGGCCGCCCGCCCAAACCACTTATGCCTGCTCACATTTACTAGGTTTCAATTGAGACAGGTAAGGAAGTAGAATGGTCCTCAGAAACCAACTACCATTTCCGCCTCTCCGCATTCCAGGATCGCCTACTTGAGCTTTACAAGAGACCAGACTCCTTCATCACGCCATCAAAGTATGCAACGGCCATCATTCAGTCGGTTGAGTCTGGCCTGCAAGACCTCTCAATTTCACGACCAGCAGAGCGACTCACCTGGGGAATTCCGGTTCCCGGTGACAAGTCGCAAACAATCTATGTCTGGCTGGATGCGCTTGTCAACTACCTCACCAGGGCAGGATACCCTTTCCCTCCTGGGCAAGAAAATACGTCAATATGGCCAGCTAATGTTCACGTTGTCGGAAAGGATATTGTTCGGTAAGTACAGGGCAGTGGTATGCGACCCTTATTCATTACTGATATTTCATAGTTTCCATTGCGTCTACTGGCCCGCCTTCCTCATGGCATTGGATCTCCCTGTACCCCGGAACGTTCTTGTACATGGACATTGGACAATGAACCGCGAAAAGATGTCAAAATCCACGGGCAATGTGGTGAATCCATTCTTCGCCATCGAACGGTTTGGGGTGGATAGCATGCGGTTTTTCCTGGCCTACCAAGGCGGTCTTGCCGACGATGCCGATTATGATAATTCCTACATTATCCGTGATTATAAGAAACTCCTTCAAGGAGGTATTGGCAACCTGGCATCGCGCACTATTGGGTGCGCCAAAGGAAAACTGCACTCCTACATCCAGGACGCCACCTCTAATAAACTTCCGACTCCAACTGCAGCAGATGTGGAACACCAGACCATGTTGGTCTCGACACCACCCAAGGTTGCAGAGCATATGAAGGGTCTTAACCCGCGCGCCGCCCTGCAGGAAATCATGAGCATCATTGAGAAGGTATGAACAAGTACTGATACCCCCGTCGGACGATAACTAACATGATTTCTATCAGACCAATAAGTATTTCCATGCGACAGAACCGTGGAAGAACCCCAATCCCCAATGGGCTCTTTATAATGTAGCAGAATCGCTTCGCATCTCTGGCATCTTGCTACAGCCGTTCATGCCTGCCAAATCATTGGAACTTCTGGAACTCCTCCGGGTCGATACATCCAATCCTGCCAAAATGGGCTTCTCGGCCGCGGTCTATGGATCAGATTCTGAATACGGCGAGGGTGCCAAGAAGGGTCACCTTTTCCCTCCCCTCCTCACCGAGGAATAATCCTGGTGCATGTTTCATCCCTCGATGAATGGGCCAGAGCTGTGGGCGCGACACCCCATCATGTACGACTATGTATAGCATTCAAATACTACATGTAATGATATTCCTTTCATACTAGAAGACCCTATTATCTGGCTACATGATACTAGAAAAGAGCGATCAATAGGTACTTGACTCGAAGCCATATGTCAAATAGGAGTTATCAAAATGATCTTGAAAATTAGGATAGGCACCGTGTTATACAATAGCATTACAATGCAGACTACTCCAAATTACCACCTAGCCCTCCTCTCTCGCTCATACTCACTCTCGTTGTACTCATCCCATTCATCCTGCATACTGTCCACAGAGCGACGAGCAGCTGTGTCTTGGCTATCGACACGCTTACCATAAAACTGGACATAACCATGACAATTGATCAACCCTCGGATCCTACCGTCACCCAGGAACTGTATCCAGCCTTGGTTTTGAGATCCAAAACTCATTTCCCCTTCACCATGCTCGCGGCCCCGCCATCCAAAAGGAATCTGCTCGTAAGATGACTTCTTAGGCCGGGATGTGAGCGTGCACAGAATGCCCGAAAACATGCCGAAGTCGTACGCGCCCCAAATCGATCCACTGCCCAGTGCTAGTAGTAGTGATAATTGATCTTGTGAAACTCCGTCCCACTGATCGAGGTCGCTGGATCGGATTCTGTATTCTCCGTTGATTATACCCAGGGGTCGAAGGGTCGGTTTATCTACCTCGGAATCGAAATTCGAATCATATTCAGAGTTCAGAGAGTCATGGGAATAGCTGCTGTCCTCTCGATTGGTTGTTTCGTCAAGTGCCATCATCTCGTCGTGTTGGGGGCTGTTTCTTTCGTCCTAAATGTTTCCTCAGCGTATGAGCTTGCGGTAATAGCATGAGTAGTGTTTACCCGTCCGTAGATGGAATCGTAAGGTGGAGGTTCTTGAGGGAGTAAGGGACGGGCGGTACCGGCATATGGATAGAATGCTCTTGATCTAAGCGCCGTTTGTTTCGTCCGCGGTGGCCGTGTAGGTTCTGGTTCGGGTACGGTAGGCTGTGATCTACCTGTAGCGCTTGAGCCCCCTCGTGAACCCCCTTGTCCTCGTGTAGCGGATTGTTTCCGCGCAGGAGGTTTGGTGGCCGCTGCCACTTCCTCTTCATAGGATCTAGCTTTGGCAGTAGAGCCGCCTCGTTTAGCGGTTTGTTTGGTAGCTTGCTTCTTGGCTGGCGTTTTGGAAGCAGCACCAGTGGCATCCTCCTCTCTCTTCCTCTTTGCGGCGGCGCTCGTTGAAGTAGTTGTGGGGGTCGTTGTCGCTGATGCAATTTTTGCAGGAGCAGCCTTCGTGTTAGCCTTTGCAGAAGCTTTTGGGGCGGTCTTTGGGGCAGCCTTGGGTGCGGATTTGGGCTTCTCAGCTGTGGCCGGCTTCTGTGTCGCAAGTGCCGCTGATCGTGACTGCTTATCTTTTTTCTTCCAATCCGTCTTTAAGTCCGTTTCAACCTTGAGGATTTCTTTCGGCACAGCAAGAGAGTCGCCTCGCAAAGCATTTAGAAGTCTGTTCTTTGCAACAGCCTTATTCTTTGATGGGGCAAGTCCATAGTGAAGAAGCTGTGCTTCATACCAGTGGCCCACATGGTCAGTTTTATTTGTTTTCGCAGATGTATCAAAAACAGCCTTGAGCTCAGCAGTTGTTGCCCGCCGATGGAGATGATGACCAGATGATTCAACGTCAAAGCTATCTACATTGAATGAAAATTGGCCGTTAGTGGTGGGCGCAGTGGGCGCCATCCTTGCGATCTTTGGGTGGAAGATTGATATGGATAAGCTGAGATTGAAGACTCAGGAGTCAGTGGTGCCCCGCGTAAATGTGATGGATCACAATTGAGCTTGGTATCACCAAGTCCCACCGAATTGCGTCACTGTCGTGTCGTTCAACTGAATACCATCAATTCACAAGAAAAATTGCGCCAAAAGCCAAAAGCTTGGTTTCATTGTCAGGTAGGATGACTTGGTGCCTTAAACCGTCTACATGGCAAGCTTGTGTCCAGCAGATACGACTTTATATTAACCGCGACAAAAGAGCTTTCTTATCTGTATACATCACATTCTATGGTCAAGGCCTGTTTGTCAGTATGAGTAGACAAAGACTATGTCTTTATGCAGTTGACCAAGGACAAATCATAATTAGCATGTTCATAGCAACAATCATTTTTGCATCTGAAATCAAACAGTAACATCTAACATCTTAACCCTATAGTCCCAATAATTCTTCCGAATAGGATCATACTTCATCAACAAATCCAACATCTCAACAGCCCCTCCCTTTCTCTCCCCATCAGCAGCATAAACATCCGCCAACCACTCCAAAGCATGAGAACTCTTGACAACATCCCCAACAATAAATTTCTTAGCAAAATCTTCCCACTCCTCCAGCTTCCTCCCCGACGCAAACAAAACACCCCTAGCATACCACCACGGACTCCGATTCTCCGGCGCTCGCACAATAGCCTGCTGCGCATACAACAACTCCCCATCAACCATATCCTCATCAACAACAGCCAAAACGCCCTTCTGAGCCGGCGTAATCGACATAACACCCGCATTCGCCATCCCGGCGTCATGCTCGTCATCGCTACGAGGTCCAAATCGTAATGTGTACCGGTGGTTCCAAGCAGAGTTGTTGCGCACATCGGCTTTGAGAAGGACATTGATGTCTTCAATTTCGCGTGGGTGGTCCCATAGCTTGAAGTGGCGGACGAGCCAGTGGCGGTAAGTCCATACGTGATAGTTTTTACTGTCTTGGGCGAGCATTTCCATTAGGAAGTCTAGTTCCTTTGGCGGGAGAGTGGGGAAATGTTGGCGGGAAGACATGAGTACTTGGCGATGGTGCCTGATGATGTCAATTTCTGGCTCTTCTTTGAAGGAGTTGAGGCAATTTACCAGATTTGATAGTTTTTCAAGTACTTCAGAGCTACTAGGTTCAGCCATGCAACTTCTTCTTCGATGCTCTTATCCAGCGCGAAGATAATTTTGCAGCGGTAGAGCCTGGATGTGTTGGCATTCGTTGCATTACATAGAACACAAAGAAAAGAAAGGGTTGGATATTCATGCTCTTACCAAACAGTGTAATGCGCGGGATTCATCGAAATAACATCCTTAGTCAATTCCAATGCCCGATCGGACATCTCGTTCGCGGCCATCACGGCCCGCAGGTAAGATGTTGCCTCGAGGTACTCGGTAGGGTAGGCAATGGATGCCAAGGGCATGGCATCGACGTCTTCACCCTCATTCAGAGGGATTGGTGTCACAGAGGCCCATACTGGGTCATTGGCGTATTTACCGTTCATTTTGAGAGATGGGGTTGGCTATCAAATCTGATGCGGGGGAATTCAAGATGAATGATTGCGCTTGGCGCTGGGTTCTCACAAAGCCGGGACAAAATGGAGTCAGACGAAATGATTCTCCCTGGATATTCTGCTTGGTGTTTGTATTGGAGGAATCAGGCCTTTTATGCGATGTTGTGGTCATTCATTGCGAGTTGAGGTGCTCCTGGTGGGGCAGTCGATTCTCTGGTTTGATTGGTTGCCTGAGGCTTGAACAAAGAGAACAATATTAAGATGTTTCTATTGTTCTCTCTGAATTGCATACATGAGACTAATTCAATTCATACTAAGAGTTCCATCACATCCATGGTCACCTGATATGACCTTCGTACCTCCAGGCCTATTACCCTTCAAATGTTGGATCAATGAGGGACTTGGGTCAATATAATCTAATCCATGTACATTGATCTCTTACCCAAAAGTCTCCCCACCATTCTCCAAATATTCAACCTCATCCTCCGTAGATACCCTCCCAAGCGCCTCATTCCGATGCGGATATCTCCCAAACCGCTCAACTATAACCAAATGCCTCTTCTCATAATCCAAAGTATTCGCCAACCACGCCCTCAAAGAATCCTTGTTCTGAACCAATACATCAAAACAATCCCTCTCATCCTCCCCTAAAGCCCTACTATCCATCTCCAGAAACTCCTCCACATCCCTAGCCGTCTCCTCATGCACCTTCACCGCCCGGTGGTGTACATTCACATCCTCAGAGTGCATAAGCGGCAAATGGAACCAGAACCGGTAAGAAAGTCTATACCGCACGGGACTCCGAGTAGGGATCCCAAGCTCAATGGCTTTCAAGGCAATTTCCGAAGCAAGGGGATCAAAGCGCGTGAATACTTGCTTAGACTCCCGGCCTCGGTAGCAGTTTCTTGGGACTTGGTCTAGAAGAATTAAGAGGCTGAGCCAGGTTAGTGGGTTGGTTGTGTCTACTGCTGAGAGGATCTCTTTGGCCGTGGCGTTGGATGTGAGAATTGTTTCGAGGGCTGGTTGGAATTGGGCGCTTGGTTTCGTGGTTTAGTGGTGTTGTATATCATATATGTGGGGTGTAAGATGGCTTACATGCAGGCCTTGTCGAAATCGGAGTCGGTTGTGAACCAGCGTTTCATTTCGCTTTGGCCTGGGAGGATTAGGGAGTTTTTGTCGCTGAGGTGGTCGAACCAGAATGTTCGGATGTCCTCGAGGAGAGCTGAGGTGAGTGTTTCTTTGAGCTCTGTTGGGGTGGTCGCTAGTTTGGGTTGCGTTGTGTAAAGTTTTCTTGGTAGATGTATATCTGCTGGTATTTTTGATCTGCTAATTGCAGGTCTTTGGCTAAATTTGGAAGCCACATGCAGTAGTCTAGTCTTCGGCAGCAAGGCAGGTCTCAGGGTTTCCCGGGTCAACAGACTTAGTCTGGAGGCACCGAACTACGTGAGGCTTAGTTCTGTGGTAAAGTACTTTTGATAAAGGATACATACCTTGCGTGCGAGCGCCATAGAGGACATGATATTATAGGTATTGTCTGATCTAGTCGTGGTGCATTTACGATAAAAGGTCTGCTTTAGTCAGCTTTGGGATCCACTTGCAGATGTCTGATTATGGCCACGGAGGGAAACAAGGGATTGCATTAACTTTTCTACTTGGGCATCAATACTGTCATAAGTGAAATTGATTCGAGGATTGCTAGTGGATATCTCAAGCTGCCCATAATTAACCAGCAGACCCAATGCGCCAACAACATGCTCATGCGAAGACAAGGGGATTGCGAGTCTTGCCTCTAATAACTCGAGATTCAATAAAAACATAGATCAAATAGAATACCCTAGATAGCGTGGACTTCTGGAAATATTATTCCAAATAGCCTTGAAGTCATGCTATATCTCAGGCTCAAGGTAAAGATTGGGTGTAAATGGATATCGGGAAACAATGTGTACAGAGAATGGGACAAGAACGGGACAAGAATGGAACAAGAATGAGAAATCGTATCGGGACTGGTAAGCGAGGGGGCGGGGAAGGAAATAAGAGGTTATTAGACGCCCATAGTGTGGAGATGTGATCGAAGTCAGAGATTAGGGAAGTGGGTGGAGGTCAATCAAACAGCTCGTTTCCAGAATTTCCAGCCTTCGCGCTTTTCATGGAATCCAACACCCACGAGTCGCTCAATTCCGACGTGGCCTTCAGCCTCTTCGAACTTCTGCTGGTCGATCTCTTCACCGCCCTCTTCGTCGGTGCCATTGCGCAGGACCGCTGGATAGAGGACACCCACGCCGTCGCCGCCCAGAGTTGTCTCGTATTTGTTAAAATTTTCCATGGCAAGCTTCTTCACAAGCTCTTGGACAGCTTCGGGATCTGCGTCGGGACGGATAAGGGTCATAGTGCAACCACCGCCACCGGCACCAGTCAACTTGGTCCAGCCAATGTTGGCAGATTCAACTAGTTCACAAACCCGCTCTAGACGAGGGTGAGAGACGCCCAGAGAAACAAGCAGGCCATGGTTAATGCGAATCAGAGTTCCAAAGTGAGCCATGGTGTCAGCGGAGTCGGCCTCGAACTCGGGGCGCTCAATCAATTCGCGCGCAGAACATGTCACTTGATCAATAGCGTTGAGAATAGATTCGGACACGACAGGGTGGGCTTTTCTCAGGGCAGCGACCTTTGCCACCTCGGTGACAGTGGAGCGGGTCTGTTGTGTATCGACTATGAGGAGTGGTAATTCAGGGAAGGTGGGAAGTGAAATGACCTCGGGAGGCTTCTCGTAATCGGTGCGCTTGAAGTAAACAGCCTTGCCGCCTGCGGAGACTGTGTTGTCCACTCCACTGGGATTTCCATGGTGGCACAGTTCACCCACAAACGCCCAGCGATTAATTCGTTCAATTTGTGTCTCAGCCTCGTCCGGAGGCTGATCGGGGTGGGGGCCGGAAAGGGTTCGAATCTGGAGCAAGAGGGCCGAACTCAAACAGACGCATACACTGGCACTGCTGCCCAGCCCGGCGCCGGTGGGGATGGTGGAGCGGAGGGTGTAGATGGCGCCTGGGCTTTGAGGGGAACCGAGGGAGAGAAAGAGGTAGAGGAATGCGGTGGCGGAGCGAACGTGGATCTTACGCTGCTCCTCGGGGAGACCTTCAGAGACATCCTCGAGATGGGGATCGAGCGATTGTACGAGTTCGTCGTCGAGGGAGGTGACTAAGCTGTAATAGAACTTCTTCTTATCGGCGCGGTGGAAAACATCCCAGGGAAGGGAATCAATATCCCAGGTGTGTTTTAATCCCAAGTCCCGGAAGTTCAAAGTAATTGTTCGCTGTGATTTGGAGAGTGTGGTGACGAGGAGGTAGGATCGGAGGGAAATGGCCGCAGCTAGAGCGGCCTTGCCGTGAACGACAGCATGTTCGCCGTACATAATGACTTTTCCAGGCGCTGAGACCATAAAGGTCGGCGCCATCGGGGATGAAGCCTTGCGAGACATGCCTGGGCGTCGCGTTTTGGTTTTGTTTCCGTTTGCTTGAGGGGATTCGGTAGAGGAACCGCTGTCGGAGAGGTCTGAGTCGAGATTGCCGTTGCCGTTACCGTTCACGGGAGGGTAGAGTAGTCCGTTCTGTATGTCATCGGGCAGGAAATGGGCAACTGGGCGACGTGGGGTATTTGAAGCCCTGATGCTGCCATTCAATTGCGCCTGGCTGATTGTTGACATGGCCAGGATTGAAATTGAAATTCAGGGGGTGTTTATATAATTGCGGTGGAGGGTCGAGGAGCAAGGGGGAGGGGAAAGAGTTGAAAGTATACAGACAATCGATTAGGAAATCCTTGGCATGAATTCTGGAACTTGGGGATAAATGGAGCCTAAACAATGGCAAAAGAAAGGGTCAGAAAGGCATGATTCAACCTACAGAGTATACTAGGGCACGAGGATCGCCTTTCATTTATTTTTAATTATTTCAACCAATCATATACATTTGGTTTCTGATTGGTCATTGACCCCAACTTTTATTATGTTCAGCTGCAGATGATGTGGGTCCACGGCATTTCGCTTCTTTCCATGTCGGCTAAAATTACCCTCATGTGTCCACTGATAGGTACTTCAGCTTAGTTGACATTCCAATTCTATGTCTCCGTAGAGTTCAGTCAGGCCCGCCGATCTCCGGGTGGCGGCTCTGACATGCAGCTATGCAGAACTAGTACGGATTAGTTCAGGATGTCCGATCATTGAACAAGTTCGTGATACAAGTGTGTTGGTATTTCTTAGTATATATTTGAATGCCGAAATAGTGCAGTCTATGCATGTTCATCACGCTAGTTAGACAAAATATAGACAACGTCATTGACTCATAGATTCATCGTCACAGTCATACTGTTGCTGTGAACCAGCAGACATGGCGGTAGACCTTGCCACAATACCTCCAAGTCACTCAAGTACGTGGCACTATCCTGTTCGCGGAGACATGTCCCCTCCACCGGCGTCGGTAGTGTTGTAAAAATCACAGCCGTCTCACTGCTTTGCTGGATCATCAGCTCGTTCAGAATAAGATGCTGTGCCCGGCTAGGAAGATCATTGAATGAGAGCGGAATCGACGCTGAAGCTGGAAATCCGGATGCGGTTTGACCGCTGTGTGCGCTGGGGGAGGTAGGCGAGACGGCAGATGAGCGCCGTGCGTAGATGGATTCGAGTTTCTGCGCGAAGCGAGGAGGTGATGCGTTTTGTGCGAACATAATTGACGGGCCAGCCTCTTCTGATCCTGTGTTAACCTTGGCCTCAGGGATTGGGGAGGAGCTGAAACGGTAGCTGGATCCGGAGCGACTGATACCCGGGCGATTGGAACGGATAGATCCAGGGGCCGGTGATTTGCTTGTCGGCGATGCGTTGTCTTCCATGATTATTGTGGGTATGATCTGGGCAGATGCCGAGTTCTGTCCCATGGGACGTGTAGATGGACTCACACCGGGACTCTGCTCATCATTGGAAATGAGCAGTTGTGAGTCCTTCCGACTGCTAACGCCGTTTACCGGGACCTCGTCATCGATCTCCGGATCACTAACGTATGGTTCCTGATCACTGTCATCGCAGCTCTCGCTGCTCGAGCTCCCCCCATCGTAGTCAACAAAGGCATCCAGTAGACGGTGGGTTTGCATGCCCAGGCTGACACCGCCCATTGTTCTAAAGCTAGACACAGACCGTCTGCGTCCATTGGACTGGATCAGTTTCCTAAGTCCGGTTGCTCGCTGGTATGGTCGATTTCCGCTCTCGATGCTTGAAGGTACTTGCCATGTACTCGCCCTTTCGAGCCGCATTTCATCACCAGGCGTACCAACTACCTGTGTCTGGGACTGGCTACGAAATCGCAAGACTCCTTGCCACCATTCCTCATCCTGGAGAACAGAATCAACCTGACTTTGACCATCTGCCACCTCCGGAGAGGTATCCCCATTGACTATGATGCGGTACGCCTTTAAGTCTCCACACGCAAGCCAGAAGACAAGGACTTCAGCTTCTATTCGTAGTTTGTCGAGGAGAGCTTCAACCCGGGCTCTTTCGTCCTCCACATCCGTGTCATACTCGACAAACACAGCCACCCGCAGTTTATATGTCTTCTTCCACGAGGGCACGGTGTTGAGAATGCAGCCCAATTGCAAAATCAGCGTGTAGGTATCGAAATTGGTGGTCAACACATTCTGCTTGCTCTCTGTGTCAGCTCCTAGCTCCGCTGACATCTGAATAGGCCAGAGATCGATAAATTTCTTTGTGTGGCGGCCATGGGGGTCCGGCAGCTCCAGGTCCTCGAATCCTTTGGCCACGGCAACATTGATACGTAGCTTAAACAAAAGGTCTTCGAGGACTGTCACATAACTTTGGTTGGTCATAGGATTGACCGGAATCTGATCTTGCCTTGAACCGAATGCTGATGAGCGACGTCTCGCCTTGGAGTTACTGCTCAGAGATATTGTTTCCACTAGGGACTGGTCCTCCCGAAATTGATCAATGACGACGATGTTGGGTCGCATGCCCCCCAGTCCGGAGTTGAGAACAATATTTCGCATACCCCATTCTGCGGCAGGGGCAATAGCAATATTGACAAATGCTTTGATCTTGGAGTATTCAACAAACTTAGTCCATGCAGTCTGCTGTCGACGGGCCTCTGGAACAGCCGATGAAAAGTCTTCAGTGACTATAACATGGCCTAGAACGAACAATGCACCTTTCTTCAGCGAGTTGCAAAAGGAGACCATTTTGTACTGTCGATCGAGATCGCTCACAAATAGAAGAATTTGTGGTCGCCAAAATTTGACATGCTCTTGACGTAGGCGCAGCAGATACTTCCGCACCTGATGATAGATCAAACTCTGGCTGACATCTCCCCATGGTTTGGGTGGGGATGTATAATGGATCAGCAGGAATAAAATGAAAAGAATGCTGACGCAACCGCTGGCGTAGAGACCATCCACAAAGAACATGCTGATGCCGCTCACCAGGGTTCCCGCAGCTGCCGTCTGCCAATTGAAGTAATGGAAAGATGGTCGAAAATTGGGTGCAGACCCAATTTTTAGCAGGAAACAGGCCAAATTAGTGACTAGAAAAGTCATCAAGTATACCATGGTCACAAAAGAGGCGATGCGATTGATGTCAAACAACATTGTAACCTGGGCGAAGATAAAGGTTACGATGATTGCATAAATGGGCTCGTCATTCTTCTTTGTACCTTGACCAAAGATCTTGATACCGGGGATCAAGCTATCTCGAGCAATCGCCTGGAGAAGCTTGGCGGATCCGGTAACTCCCATTAATGCAGAGAAGAAACTCGTCGCAAACTCTCCTAGCAGAATGATATAATCGGAGTAGTTAACCTGTGTTGAGGTGAGACGTGATTCAAACCTTCCAGGACAGGTGACAACATACGATCTGAATTACGTTCACGTTGTTATAGAAGGATTGCCTTGTGATGGAGGCCGCCATGGCAAGAATCACCAGCGTGTATGTGACAAAAGTAAGGCCCAAACCAGCCAAGGTTCCCTTTGGAATTGCTTTGCTTGGGTGCTTGAGATCACCCGACATGCTCGCACCGCTAGTAGATAATCAGTGATATGCAACTCCTCCCCGATGGTACAACTTACGCAAAGATACCCGATGTGGCAGGAAACAGGATGCCAAAAAGATCCTGGAAATTTTCCCGTCCTTTGAACTGACTTCCTGCAGCACCTTTAGTCAGATGTGGTTTGAGGTTCCCCGCAAGGGTTTTCAAGCTCAATCCAGTAAACTCCACGCCTTCTCGGGTGAATGGCTGCATGAATATTGCCGATATCGGGATGCTGAAAGTTGCCACCAGAAGGATAATCAAGAGGCCGTTGCTTGCTCGCGCAAAGAGGGAGCTACCAGCAAAGCAGATGGTGGTACAGAAAACCAAAATTATCGTTCCCCACAAATACGACCACCAAAACCCTTCTTCGAGGAATTTTGCCATGCTACCAGATACAGTACCGAAGTTTTGATAGAAACAGTCTACCAAGCCTACCGCATTCATACCGGTGTTGAAGACGAGGCCCATGTAGAATACAATCCCAATGGACCCACCAAATTCGGGACCGAGGGATCGAGAGATCAAGTAGTATGCACCTCCTCCTCGGACCGTACCATTTGTTGCAATTGCAGATAGCGACATGGTTGTCACCAGATTTATCGTGTACGATATAACCAAGAGTCCTTCTTTATATTAGCTAAGTTTTCAATATCACGACTGGGGAGAGTTTACCCAGTATTCCCAGCAATCCTGCTTGGCCCAAGACAAATCCAAAGCGCAGGAACATCAAAATACTTAGTACATTCAGTGTCACAGGAACAAATACACCGGAGAATGTGCCCAGCTTCTTTGACTCCTCCGTTGACCGAGGCCGATGTCCATTCCTATCTTTCCTGTCTGCACTTGTATCGCGAACGGGGCCTGGAGAGGCAGGCAGATTTGCAGTTGCCGCTTCTCCGCCAATCTGTTGTTCATGTTCATCGTCTGCCTTTCCAGTCCACCACCTGCCCATGCCATGAAACGGGTTTGCGGACCATGACTGGCGGTGAGGTCCCGAGGAGTTCAATTCCTCGTGAGGGGGCGAGATGACAGGTGCCAGGGATAATAACCCAGCACTTCCAGATGGGTCCGACTCGTTTGGGTCAAGTCGTGAGACATCTTCCTCGGGGGTCCGAGTTGAAAAGTTCGGGCGTCGGCGAGACATTGCGGGTGTGATTCGTCCGCCAGATTCTCCTGTCAAACGCAACAATGCAACTGCTCTATAAGCATGAGGGACGAAAACAAAGAACACACCTGAACCCCTCAATAATGAATCAAAAGCAAAAGAAAAAAGCGGGAAAAGAAGTAAGGAGTTCCTCTATACAGAGAAAGATAACCACCTGCGTCACTACTGTCCAATAGAGATGACGTGAAAGGGGACAAACAGTGCAAAGCTCGGCACCCGCACTTGGAGACGATCGACCTTCGCCTCTACTAGCCACGATACTCAAAACACTCCAACGCTTAATTTCAACTTCCCAACTTCTCCTGATGCAAGGTGGATTACGTGATACTTAGCAGGTCCAATTTCCTCATGCTAATCTCCCTCTCCACATCTGTCCCCAGATCCTGAGGAGGAACCAACAATCAACATGACAGATAACGGCGAGAGCTCCTCACTGAACCCATCGCGGTCAGTGCCAATTTCAGCGTCGTCGTTTCGATCATCGTCCCCTGCACCAGATGGAAGCATTCGACAAGCCTCGATGGCTCGGTTGGCTTCGCCCGTTCCCTCTCCATCTCTAGGAACGTCGTTGTCGTCTCGACAAGGTGTCCCCACTGGCCGACCAATCACCACAAACTCGAATTTCACCTCCGAACATGATTTCCGGGCTGTCAACGACCTTTCCTCGCTGCCAGGGCCAGGTCATTCGATGCTTGCGTCCCAACTGCAGGGAAGTCTTGGTCGCTCGCCCCCGAAGTTCGGAACCCCCTCTCGAGTAGCCGGATCGCCCGTGGTACAATCGGCCCTCGAAGCCCGCCCCGCACTTTCGCAATATGGATCTTTTGACACGAAGAATGGCGCCGACTCTCCAGCTCCCAACGAGGATCCAGAGGTGGTGAAAAGGCATCTTGTTATGCCGCCACATGTCTCTGATCACCGCGAAGCGGGGTCTGAGCTTGGAACTAGTATTGGCGAGGACCAATTCTCGAGTCTGCAGCTGCAGGGAGGCGATATGACTCGTGAGGTCTACCGATGGGCCGAAGATGCCGAGTCCGATAACCGATTCGCGCGCAGCAAGAGTTTCAGTGTCAGCCGGCCAGCTCCATCAGCAGAGACCGAGGACATTCACACGATTCTTGTGCCAGGAGGGTTCCGACGAGACTATTTGCGCAGAGCGGCAGGAAGCCCGCACCGTGGAAGCGTACAAGGCTCTAGTTCAGGGGCACCACCTCAACATCAGCTCCCCACCTCCAACTTTTTAGAATTCCTGACATTGTATGGTCACTTCGCTGGAGAAGAGCTGGAGGAGGATGATGAGGTTTTGGGCCCAGATGAGTACTTCTCTTCTGATACTTGGGATGACACGGAAGGCAGAGAGTCTGGAGAAGATGCGGCCCTCCTTCAGGGCGATCATGTAGGCCGCAAGAAGCGGAAGCACAAGGCGCGCGCACCTGCCGGTACCACAACTGTTACTGGCGCCGTCATGCTGTTACTTAAATCGTTTGTGGGTACAGGAATTCTTTTCTTGCCTCGTGCGTTCCTAAATGGAGGCTTGCTATTCAGCAGTATGGTGCTGCTCGGAGTCTCTCTGCTCAGCTACTATGCCTTTATCCTGCTGGTCAATACTCGCATGAAGATTGATGGGTCTTTTGGTGACATCGGAGGCGTTCTGTACGGAAAGCACATGAGACGCATTATTCTTGGGTCAATTGTTCTCAGTCAGCTGGGATTCGTGTCGGCATACATTGTATTTGTGTCGCAAAACTTGCAGGCGTTTATCGAGGCCGTGAGTAACTGCACGTCCTTTGTTGATCTCAAGTACTTGGTGCTTTTGCAATTGGTTATTTTCTTGCCCCTCTCCCTTATTCGCGACATCAGCAAGCTTGGGTTCACTGCGCTCATTGCAGATGCGTTCATTCTGCTAGGCTTGCTGTATATTTACTACTATGATGCCAGCACTCTTATCAGCAACGGTGGTATTGCAGACGTTGTCTCGTTCAACCCCGCAACCTGGTCCATGTTTATTGGAACTGCCATCTTCACCTACGAAGGCATTGGTCTCATTATTCCCATCCAGGAGTCCATGAGAGAGCCCCGCCGATTCCCAGGAGTTCTGGCTGGTGTCATGGTCTTTATCACTCTGATCTTCCTTTCTGCTGGAGCTTTGAGCTATGCAGCCTACGGGTCGTCAACCAAGACTGTCATCCTGCTCAACCTGCCTCAGGATGACAAGTTTGTCAATGTTGTCCAGCTGCTTTACTCTCTTGCCATCTTGTTGAGCACCCCACTTCAGCTCTTCCCTGCCATTCGTATCATGGAGAATGAACTCTTCACCCGCAGTGGCAAGTATAACCCATATATCAAGTGGAAGAAGAATGCTTTCCGTTTCTTCTTGGTGATCCTATGTGCCGTTGTGGGCTGGCTTGGAGCAGACGATCTGGACAAGTTCGTTTCGCTGGTCGGAAGCTTTGCTTGTGTTCCCTTGATCTACGTCTACCCGGTAAATTCTTACCCTTCCCAATATTGGACTGTCCAGACTAACCCTTTTCCTCCAATATAGCCTCTTCTTCACCTGCGTGCCTGCGCCAACACTCGGCGCCAGGTAGTTGCTGATGTTGGTCTCGCCGTACTAGGTGTCATTGGGTGTATCTACACAACGTCACTAACCGTCCAAAACTGGATTGGTGGCAGTGTTGCTCCAAGCCCGGGCTACTGTGATTCTAAGTAATTGTTCCTTGCTGTTGGCATGTTCAATAATTTATTCTGGCTGTTTCAACACTAGATGGCATAGCATGGTATGTTTTCTTCTCGCATGAGCCGCGAGCAGATGTGATATGAATCTTGGTGTTTGGTTATTTTCGACGAATTGCCGATTTATTTGGCGGGCTTTATGCGTTGCATTGTAGGCTCTTGTACACATATTTTGTCTTCCAAATGCATGAAAGCAAATTTCTCTGGCTTTATGCCAATAAAGGACTGTAGCTCCTATCTTGTATGTTTAACGCAAAACTCTTGATGAAATTTCAGTAGTCTACGTACAGTGACCGACAAGCAACAGTCCCTTACCCGAGATCATCTTATTGCCAGCCAAAAGGAACCCCGATCAGATCTCTTGTCCATATCCTGCCTTCAACAAACGCACTAGATATCTCTTATGCTCCTCTTCCAATGTTCATTCGATTCCGTGACTCGGAAAGAAGAATCAGGGATATACAGGTAAATAAATAGAGGTACAATGCAGTAAACCAAGGTAAAGACAATCGAGCCAAATGACATTAGAAACACGACCGAGGACAATGCTTTTACGCGTGACCACCCTCAGCAACAGCCTTGCCCTGCTTAGCCTGCTCGGCGAGCTTAGCTTCTCGGCCTCCCCAGCTAAACAATTATGTTAGTATGGTATCAAAGAGGAATGCAAGGAATCAACATGGATATTCATGTCGATATCGGGTATGGATTGGGGTAACGCACTTCCAGTAAGCCAGGTACCGGTATCCCTGGGTAGTCTGAGCGCCAAAGTTGGTCAAGTGACAGGCGAAGAGAAGGTAGTTCTTGGGGGTGATAGCGAGGGAGTAGCGCATGAAAGTAGCAGCGTAGACGAGTAAAGCGCCAGTCATGGTACCGGAGATACTGCGCAGCGGGATAGTTGTCAGTCACGGTTCTCTGTCATCCATGATAAGGAAAGGAAACCAGCTTCGGGTCTGAATGAAACTAGTCTGGGCGCATGGAATCGAGCAGGAATTGAGTCGGAGGTGTCAGACGTACATCTCAGGGTCTTTCTGAGTATCCATCACAGCGGCGAAAGGAATACCGAAGTTGGAGACGGGGCCCCAGAAGTCTGCGGTAAAGTATCGTCATTAGCAACCTTTCTAGGAACGTAACTGTCGCTCATATGTCTCCGGGTTGTGCTTGTGTCTGGGCTTTCATTCGACTGTTTCCAATTCACTTAGAACTGGCCAATTTCTTGTCTTCCGACTTCCAAGATGCAGTATCATAGCTAGCCGATCTCGGTCCCGGGAGCACAGCGGGAAACTCGGAGGCAGGAAGTAACGTACGGGTGGAGCAGACATAGTCCGCAACCTTGTTGGAGCGGATCTTGGCATTGATTGCCTTGATAGCAGCGGCCATGACGACGGATGCTAGTAACAATCGAGGGTGAGGGCGCGGCGAGTTGAGAGTGAAGGTCTTCGGACGTGGAATTGACTTGGCTTGACCGGGGTCGGCCGTTGGTCACGTGCATCGGATATCACGGCTTATTTCCGTCAATGTTGATCAATTGATGGCTGTAGAGACTGTATTGAAGGTATGTGTGAGTATTTAAAAGCAGTTAAGTCATAGTAGTCTCAAGTCAATTCCATTCGTGGTTGTTTTAGAATTTCAATGGTTTCCCAATGTGTAGCTGAACTTTGATTCTTCCCACAGGTGCTGTACTACGGTAGTTCATCCAAAATATATGCACTATACATAGTCTTCGAAATTCAGATGCCACAACTACTATATTTGTACTGGATAGTAAGTACCAATCAACAGTCATGACTGTACATGCATTCACGAAGGTTAGAATGCTTCAAACATTTAAAACATGAAAACAAATATGTATTGCATTTTTGCGACGAGGTCAAAGGAGCTAGCTAGCATTATTGGGTACTGAATGCAAATCTCAAAAGGATTTTTTTGGTTCCAATCCTTGACGACCTCCATTCCGCATGCGCCGCAACGCCTTGCCCGGTAGATTGTGGGTTGCTCTAGCCTGTATGGTGATTTTTCTCCTGGATACAAGAGCCTCAACTCACTCTTAGCCCTGAGCCATCCCTATACCTTTCCAGGTGAAAACAAACCGCCAATTTGAAGCTTGGAATCTTATTCCGATGTACACTTAAATCATCTGCCGCCAAATCCTGGCGGGGGGTATCCTCGTCCCTGACCAGGAGGCTGGAAGCCAGGAGGAGGTTGGAAAGCGCCCGCTAAGATGATACGTTAGCTGGAGGGATAGGAAACTCGAAAGGAACAAAACTTACGAGGAGCACCGGGAGGAACGAAACCAGGAGGAGGAGCAAAGCCAGCTGGAAGGGTAAATATGTCAGTCTCCACAACCGTGGTTAGGGTGTCATTTTAGGAACTTACGAGGTCCACCTGGGGGTCCTCCACGACCAGCGAATCCCGGAGGTGGCGCACCGGGGAAGCCTCCCTGAGGGAAACCACCGAAGCCACCGGGGGGAGGAGGGCCACCGACACCAGCAGCAGGACCACCGAGTCCAATGGGCAGGCCACGACCAGCGGGCTTGCTGACACCAGGGCCGGCAGCGAGAGTGGCAGCACCAACACCGGGACCAGCGTTACCGAGACGGGCAGAGGGATCGGCAGGAGGGGGGCCGTCGACAGAGCAAGAAACGACCTGGGCGCCGCGCACGATGGTCAGACCGAGGGTTCGCTTCTCCTCCGCTTCCACTTGCGGGGTGGCAGTAGAGCCGGCGGTGGGCTTCGATTTGCGCTTGATGCGACGGAATTCTTCTGTGTCGGCGAGAACAAGGTTCATGTGCTGCAGAGAAACGCGAGCTGTCAGTTACCAGTGAAAGGAGGCACTGATGGGAAAAAGACGGACCTTATCGAAGGCCAGCATCTGACCGGTCATCTGGCGACCATCGTTGAGGGTAACTCTCATACGGTAGTTGATCTGGGAAACATGTTAAATGGGCCAATTGAAACAGGATCGTCTCTTTTCAGTCGGACTTACGAGGTTGGCCTGGACAAAAGAAGTTAGCGACAGCCATTCGGTGCACTGAGGAATCGGAGACTTACCATCTTGCCCTTGTTGTTGGCGGCCATGATTGGCTAGAACGCTCACGAATGAGACTTGGAAGGCTCAAAAAATTTGAAGAGAAACAACTGAAGTTCTCTTGACGGATAGATCAAGCGTGGCGCGGGATCCAGTGAGAAGCTTAGCTCTTGATACTGCGCGGGTCACTGGACTCAGTTTCTGGATAGTAGATGACTCAGCAACACTAGCACTGCGTGGGTTTCTAGCGGCCAACCCAACTGGTCTCTTCTTCCATCAGTCAAGTGCCAAGTCAACATCTACCCATTTTTTCGTTTTTCTATTTCTTTTCACTGTCCTAATGTCCTCCGGTAAAATTGATGACTTTTATTCGGTTTCTGCGCCACCATCATACAATACAGTCCAGGAATCCAACGAAGCAATGACCGAAAGCCCGATAGATACAAACATCGCAAAACAAGCCCAAGCCACTTCAATACGGAGACATTTACACCTGATACTCCTGCCGATGAATTCGTCTTTCGCTGCACACTTTTCCACCTATGGATACGTCTGATATGCGTTTATAGTCTACTGTAGCTAAGCGGGTAGGTATGGAAGTAGATACACTTGAGGCTACAAAGTACTTTCAAAGGGTTGGTATACTGGAGCCCTGGATGCTGTCTGGGTAGGCTATAGAAAACATGTACATATGTTCCTGATCAGGTCAGGGTGTACGAGAGTAATTTAGGGAGTATGTAAAGCAATCACCGTTAATGATCTCCAAGACGAATTCGGTTCATTTCAGCTGGTACCTTTAAAAAACTTCAATGCCTCCTTGATACATTAGATATAGATACTAGTATCCACTAATGGCTGTTTCAGTCAAAAAAAAAGAAGTCAACAACTCAATTCAAAATCGAAGTTGATATATCCGGGTCAATTTTAGTGACCGTCTTCTTTACCGCCCATACATTATACTAAACCTGGGCACACACCGCCCGACAGAAAGGTGATTAGGTCATCATTTGACACAAGAGTCATGTGATGGCTAAATTTAAGATTTTCATCACATGACTTGAGGGCTCGCTTCCGACTCCCGTGACTTAGATCCCGTGATTACGGAGCCCACACAAACCGCTTTTGTGCTTTTCGCAAGTTCTCTATCTCGTCGTCAACCACCCTCACGCCCAACCACACACCAGTCGCCATGGTATGTTAGCACCACAACCACCATTCTACATCGCAACACACATATTCTAACAGAAATGCAGTCGGACGGAAAGGACAAGAGCGCGAACCCCATGCGCGAGCTGCGCATCCAGAAGCTCGTGCTGAACATCTCTGTCGGCGAGTCTGGTGACAGACTTACCCGTGCCGCCAAGGTGCTGGAGCAGCTGAGTGGTCAGACCCCTGTCTACTCCAAGGCCCGTTACACCGTCCGTACCTTCGGTATCCGTCGTAACGAGAAGATCTCCGTCCACGTCACCGTCCGTGGCCCCAAGGCCGAGGAGATTCTCGAGCGTGGCCTCAAGGTCAAGGAGTACGAGCTCCGCAAGCGCAACTTCTCCGAGACCGGTAACTTCGGTTTCGGTATCTCCGAGCACATCGATCTTGGTATCAAGTACGACCCCGGTATTGGTATCTACGGCATGGACTTCTACTGCTGCATGTGAGTGACACCTAGAACGACAAGACCAGAGGAGACAAGGAACCCAATTGACAATGATTCTTCCTTTAGGACCCGCCCCGGTGAGCGTGTTGCCAAGCGTCGCCGCTGCAAGTCCTCCATCGGTGTCAGCCACAAGATCAACAGCACCGAGACCATGAAGTGGTTCAAGAACCGCTTCGACGGTATCATCCGGTAAACGCCTCATGGAAAATTGGGGTGAATGAAATCTTGTGATTTACGATTCTTCGGCCCGAAAAGAAAACAAAAAACTCGGTCCAGGATGAGAATCAACTGGGCCGGGCTCCTGATCTCTGCGTCGGATATGGTGTTCTGAACCCTTTATCTTTTTATCTACCACGGCAACCAGGATAGGCGTGTTAGAGACATGAATTCACTACACATTTGCACAAAGCGCATTCCTTTTCACAATGAAGGCAACACGAAAGGTGTTGATCTCCGCATAACCATTGTCGAAAAGACTAGGTGACACTGGACTCCAGTGTCACCATGACTCGCTTGACTTGGGTTCGCCCTGTTAAAGAGTCGGTCTCTATCTTCGGGTTTGTCCTGGGATATGAGTACCATCTGGCCTCTCCTGTCCGTTACTGTCTACACCTGGTGTGCTTTTTTGCGTAGCCGTAGACCACGTAGTGTGTAGTCGTACTACCGTTGAGATGCCCCTCTCTAGATCAGCCCACCAGCCAGCCCCACTCGAAAAAGCCCATGGCGTATGTCCAGATCAGACTACCAAATCGGACTGTACTTAATCCCGACAACCCCGCGCTTAGCGAAGACCCTTTATATCCAACCCTATTCCTACATGACTCTAGGATCATCGGTTCTACCCCAGACTTCCTCCCGGAGCCGCAATGCAGTGAGCGATCAGGATTATGGAGACAGGATATTTGAGTTTGAATTCTGGTGTGGTTCAACAGATAAGTCACTTGAACATATCCCCACGGCAATAGCTGTTGAACATCTACTACCTAGGTACTAGGTAACCAACAACCTTGAATGACACCATGATCGCCAAATATATATAGTACATAGGGTGCCAACCTATGTACGTACTTTGTAGGTTCCTACGTATATATGATCTCGAGAGTCCCAGCCATCAATAATATATGTGGGGAAAACAAAGTATACACCGAACATGACTGTTGTCTTTGTACAATCTTTATGTATGTACTGAGCTGGAGGAAAGTTAGCACTCAGGGATTTTCTTTCCAATGTATTAATTGGTTGGTTTTACGATAATTCAAGAAATTAAAAGCATACTTCACTTCATTTATATTTCAGAGGCCGAACTTTGTCTCAATTTTTCGAGTGAAAGCAATCATCGATCTATTCCTGATGATAAATTCCATAGAATCGCCATCGAACTATACAGGCATAGAGGAAGATATTTTGGGTTATGAGAGGTCATCCGAGTATTCGATTGATGACTGGACCAAAGGAAGCCTTACTGTTAAAATATCTGAGTCAGATTAACTAGTCATATGAAAACCAATGTTGAAATATGAATCTTTCCTGACTAAAAATAACACCAACCAAATAGATTTCCATGTCCATATCCATACCCTCCACCAAATCCTAATCCCAATCCAACCCTCAATACCCGAATGAACCAAAACCAAATCCAACCCCAACACTACTTCTTAGTATACCCATCCCAAAGCTTCGAAAAGAATCCCCCCTGAGCCTGCTGCTCATTCCAACTCGCCCGACGCCCCGCCATAGCAGGATCCTGAGACTCCCGCTTCTGAGAACGAAGATTCTCAAAGAGGCCCGCCCCACTCCCAGACGACGCACTGGAGCGTCGACGCTCATTAACAGTCTGCAAAGGTGGAGAACCAGAGCCAGACCCAGTAGGGCTCGTAGCCGAGTTCGAGGAAGTAGAGGCGTCAGAGCCCTAAGATCGATCAGTCAGATTAGATGAAGTACATATAGAGGTGTGGAACGTACCTTTCGGGCATTAAGATTGGCCACCATCTCCGGTGTCAGAGCCCATGCTGCACGGTGGGCTGGGGCCTTTGCACCACCTGCTGTCCAGGCATTGAGGTGCTCGTGGCGATTGCCTGGGTCGCCGTGCCAGTGGCGACGCTCGTCGGACAATTTGTCAGTCATGTTGGAGTATTCGTAGAGAGCGAGGTCCGTTTTTGAGGTTGTTCCTTGTTTATGGGAACTGGGTTATCTTAAAAGAGGTTTATATCAGTAGTGGATTTGAGACAAATGTGAGATGTGGAATGTGGGATGATTTCAGAGGTATTTCAGTGGGAGTCAAAGACGTCATGGGGGGAAGGTTTAATGTTTGGTATTTCTGAGTTTAATCCACGGATGGGGTTGGTGAGAGATCGAGATTGATCTGGAAGATAGTACTTACAAGTTGTTTTTACTTTTAACCGAGAGATGTAGGAAAGAGTTAATGGCGGGGAAATAGAAGTCTTATATAGGGAACAGGATGAACAGGGATCTAGTCAATACGCTTTATGTCTGTAACTAATAGACTTTGATGATTGGTGATGGAGTAAGCCGGATAAGTCTGGATCACCTCAAAGACCAGTGATATCCGAATGAGAATCATTCCACATGTAGCGGACTACTTGTAGCTTGATGTAACGAAGAATGCGGGGAAAGCTTTAGCGATCAGCAGATTAGCGGTACTTACAAGCCTTGGTGGTTCTGCATATCGGGAGGAAGTACCGGATACCCCGCAGTTTCGATGTAGATAATAAACTTGGTCCAAGGTTTTTCTCGATCTCGATCGCGATTGAGTTGTGTTTGAACTGATTTTGTAGTTAGCAGTGAGCGTGTCGACGTCACTAGAGATCGGTAGGTGTAGCTGAACAACGAGGTAGTTGTACCTACTTCCATTCAGGGAGGAAAAAGCGAGAAGTTTAGAACTACGATGCCAAGTGTTACTGTGGAATGAGTGAAAAAAAGATATCCATTCGTCACGGACGATGCTGAGAAATAACCATAACCATAACCATGAGCCAGCAAATAACAACCAAGATCCCGCAGGAAAAAATTAACAAAACGCTGGAAGCTAACATTCACATCTTTGCGCATCAGTTGAGCACATCTTATACACAACTTTTAGAAATCTAAGCCTTGCCGATCTTGCAGATCAGGTCCTGACCGTCGACGGAGTCACCTTCCTTGACCTGAAGGTTTGCGACCTTTCCACTGTGAGGGGCGGAGATGACCATTTCCTAAGAATTGTTAGTAAAGCGTTCGTATAATCGAGATAAAAGGAATCACATACCATCTTCATGGCGCTCAGCACCGCAATGGGGTCACCCTTCTTGACCTCGTGGCCGTCGTGGACACGGATTTCAACCACAACACCGCTCATGGGCGCACCGACCTGGCTACTGTCCGCAGCGTCGGCCTTGGGGCGGGCAATGTTATCGACGGAGGCCTTGTGGTCATCAACGCTAACCTGGCGGACCTCGCCGTTGACCTCGTAGAAGACCTCACGCTGACCGGTCTGCTCGGAGAGCGGACCGATAGCCAGCAACTTCAGGATCAGAACCTTACCCTGCTCCAGCTCGACGTGGAACTCCTCGCCAATCTCGGGGCGGGCAAGGAAGAAGCGGGTCGGCAGGACGGAAAGATCTCCGTACTTGGACACGAACTTGCGGTAGTCCTCATACACCTTGGGGTACATGGCGTACGAGGCAACGTCACACTCGGTGGCGGAGCCGAACTTCTCGCGAATGTCCTTCTTGATCTGGACCAGATCCAGAGGCTCAAGGTACAGACCGGGGCGCTTGTCCAGCTTGCGACGGTCACGCAAGGCTCGGGAGCGGAGGGGCTCGGGGAATCCACCGAAGGGCTGGCCCATAAGTCCCTCGAGGAACTCAAGGACGGAGCCGGGGAAGTCCAGCTCGCCAGCGCGGGCGACAACATCCTCGGAGGTCAGTTTGTTGGAGACCATGAACTGGGCCAAATCACCAACCACCTTGGAAGTCGGGGTGACCTTGACAATGTCGCCGAGCAGGTCGTTGGCGGCCTCGTAAGCCTTCTTGGTCTCAGCCCACTGCTGACCGAGACCCAGCTGGCTGGCCTGGAAGATCAGGTTGGTCAACTGACCACCAGGGATCTCGTGCTCGTAGACCTCTGGGTCGGGGCCGGTCAGACCAGCCTCGAAGGGAGAGTAGAGCAGACGGAGCTGAGCCCAGTAGGTGTCAAGGGCACGGACGTGGCTCAGGTCAAGCTGGGGGTCCTGCTCAGTGCCCTGGAGCGAAGCCAGAATGGCACCGATGCTGGGCTGAGAGGTCATACCCGACAGACTGTCAGTGGCGGCATCAACAGCGTCAGCGCCAGCCTGGGCACAGGCAATCATCGAGGCAACACCAGTACCAGCAGAGTCGTGGGTGTGAACGTGGATGGGGAGATCGGGGTAGCGTTCACGAATGGCACCAACAAGGAGACGGGCAGCCTGGGGCTTCAGGACACCAGCCATATCCTTGATACCAAGACTGTGAGTGCCCATCTTGACAATGCGCTCAACCAGAGCCAAGTAGTACTCCAGGTTGTACTTCTTGCTGGGGTTCAGCATGTCACCGCTGTAGCAGATAGTAGCCTCAACCACACCGCCAGCCTGCTGGACAGCCTTGATACCAACCTCGAGCTGGTCAACGTCGTTGAGAGCGTCGAAGACACGGAAGATATCAACACCGTACTTCTTGGCCTGCAAACAGAAGTGGTAGATGGCGTTATCGGGAAGGGAAGAGTAAGCAACACCGTTGGCACCGCGCAGCAACATCTGGAAGGGAATGTTGGGAACGGCCTTGCGGAGCTTGCGCAGACGGTCCCAGGGGTCCTCGTAAAGGAAACGCATGGCGACATCGAAGGTGGCACCACCCCAGCACTCGATAGAGTAGGCGTTCTGGAGAGCGTAGCTGGTCTCGTGAGCGATGTTGAGCATATCAATGGTACGTACACGGGTAGCCAGGAGCGACTGGTGGGCATCACGCCAGGTGGTGTCCATAATCAAACAGCCCTTGTTGGCACGCACAGCCTTGGCCCAAGCAGCGGGACCCTGGCTGTCGAGAATCTGCTTCCATCCCTTGGTGCAGGGCTGGGAGACGTCGATAGGGGCACCAGCGGCATCCCGGAGGATGGGCTTGATGACGTCGACCTTGAGCTTGGGCTCACCAATCTGGCCCTTGATGCTGCTGCCGTTGACAGCGACGTCACCCAGGTAAGCCAGAAGCTTCTGGGCACGGTTCTGGGAGCTAACCAGGGCAAACAGCTCAGGGGTATCATCAATGAAGGTGGTCCAGCAGGTACCATCAATGAAAGTAGGGTGGCTCAGCAAAGAGGCAAGGAAGGGAATATTGGTCTTGACACCACGAATACGGAACTCGACCAAAGCACGCAGGACCTTGCGACGAGCAATCTCGTAGGTGGAACCACGGCAGGTACACTTGACCAGCATGGAGTCGTAGTGAGGAGTGATGATAGCACCGGCGAAACCGTTACCACCATCCAGACGCACACCGTTACCACCAGCAGAGCGGTAAACCTCAATCTTACCGGTATCAGGCGAGAAGCCCTTGGCGGGGTCCTCGGTAGTGATACGGCACTGAATGGCAAAGCCACGGGTGGAGATGCGGTCCTGAGTCAGACCAAGCTGCTCAAGGGTAGCACCAGCAGCAATCTGAATCTGGGCAGCGACGAGATCGATACCAGTAATCTCCTCGGTGATAGTGTGCTCAACCTGAATGCGAGGGTTGATCTCAATGAAGTAGTGGCGGTTCATCTGGTCCACCAGGAACTCAGCAGTACCGGCGTTGCGGTACTTGACGGACTTGGCCAGCCTCACGGCGTCTCCCAGGATCTTGTCCCGCACATCGACGGGCAGATCCTTGGCCGGAGCAATCTCAACGACCTTCTGGTGACGACGCTGGACAGAGCAGTCACGCTCAAACAGGTGGACGACATTGCCCTGGTTGTCACCCAGCAGCTGGACCTCAATGTGCTTGGGCTTGTCGAGGAAACGCTCAACAAAGACGGTGCCGTTGCCAAAGGCCGACTTCGCCTCGGAGGTAGCACGCTCAAAGGCGTCGCGGAGCTCGCCCTGGTCGCGGACGACACGCATACCGCGGCCACCGCCACCGAAGGCGGCCTTAATAATAATGGGGAAGCCATACTCATCAGTGAAGGCCTTGACCTCCTCGTAGCGCTCAACGGGACCCTCCGTACCGGGAACAACCGGGACTCCGCTTTTGATCGCCAGCCGGCGAGCGGAAACCTTGTCACCAAGGGCATCAATGGTCTCCGGGGACGGACCCACGAAAACAATGCCCGCCTTTTCGACATTTCGGGCAAATTCGGCGTTCTCCGAAAGGAAACCGTAACCAGGGTGGATCAGGTGCACGCCGTGCTCCTTAGCAATCTTAATGATCTCATCACCAGCAAGGTAGGCACCAACGGGGGTATATTGGCCCCGTGTGCCGATCATGTAAGCCTCATCGGCCTTCTGACGATGCATGGACAGACGGTCCTCGTGTGAGAAGACGGCGACTGTCTGCAGGGACAGCTCATGGGCTGTACGGAAAATACGAATAGGAATTTCACCACGGTTGGCCACAAGGATCTTCTGGAAGTGCATAATAGTGGAGTTCGCCCGCAGACGGCGGTGAACGGAGTCATGGTGATGCTCGTGGTGATCCTCGATGAACTCAGAATCATCGACTGCGTCCTCGGGTTGGCGGTGCGGGGCAGACATTGTGACGTAGGGAAGGGGAAGGAGGTAGAGATAGGGAGATAGATATTAAAGATAGGACTGAATGGTTGGACAGGTTAATTAATTGCCCCCAGAAAAGTCAATCGCAGTGACAGGGACAAGGGAAGGAAAAGTGATGTTTAGCGCGGGGGGAAGTGACTCACGGGGACTTTCTGAAGCTCTGGATAGTTCACTCCAGGCCGGTTTCGGCAGAAAAGTGTAATTGTTTACACAACAGAATTAAAAGAGACAAGAGACTCTCTAGATATGGAAGGAATTGGGAAGATCTGAAGTCTGAAGGGGGAAATATAGAAAGAAGCAAGGGAGAAAGGTGGGATAGATAAAGGGGGGGGGGGGAAAGTTATATGTTGGTCTGTGGTCTGGTGCTGTGGTCCGTGGATCTGCAATAGTCTTAGTTACTTTCCGGGGCGAAAGACTTGACATGACATGCAAAATGAGGTAACTTTCTACTCTACCGCCACTCACCGGTACACCGAACTCTCCTAAGGAATTTGATAGCCAAGAATCTTGGTCAATTATTTGATATGATACATGTAATTTGCTAATTTATTCCTTGACTTCAATATACAGAGAACATTTCAGTGGCCTCTATTCCCAGGCGAGGTCGGCGACGAGATCTCCCGATGATCTCATACTTTCTTCTATTAAGATCGGGTGGATTAGGCAAAAAATCCCATGGGGAAGAAGACACAACCTCGGGTCCTCGGACCGCCCCAGAGCTTTCATGATCACGCAAAATGAAAGTGGATAGAAGAGTCCAGACGGTTATCGACGGTCCGATAATTCTATAATCTCCGATTATCAGGAATTCAATTCACTTCGCCTCGGGAAAATACATTCCGAAGAGAATTTATCCAGTAATTTTAACTTACTCGCCTGACCGAATGGGTTTGCTCAGGTCATGTGTACAATCCTCTAGGAAAAGATCTCCCATGCTCCCAGGTGCCCCCGGTGTCCTCATCTGACACCGCGACCATTGACCCTTACCGAGCATGTCTCTTCTCCCCTTGGCATCACGGTGATCTCCCGTCCATGTATGGCAGGATAATTTCTAAAACAGCCAAGCGACCCTGAGCCAGAGCCAAGAATCGCGGCATGAGGGGAGGAGTTCATGATCATCCCATTTTAACTATAGTCAATAACCGGAGATGCGATAGGCTTCCCCGCCCCACGTTCAGGTTCCAAATGCCGCAAACTCACAGCAAGAAATTGTACACTCCATACTCCGTAGACTATAATCAATTGATATTCCATACCCCCACTAACCTCCAAAAATGTGACCACATTACAGCGCCAGCCAAGTCCTGCACCTGCACCTGGAGAATCGTTCTGATAAGCAATTGAAAACCCCGTCCATTAGTCCGCAAATCAGATCCACCACCCAGATCACACTCACACCTTATCAACCTAAAGTTCAAACCCACGTCATCCAGCTATTTCCAGAATAGATCAATTGGTCCAGATCTTCATAGTCTCGCTTCAAACGGAAAAATTCACAGCCACAATTCTGTTCGCGTTGGACAGCTCGAACTATTCACTCCACATTCTCCACAGGGTAAGAATTTCCCCGGGACATGCTTAGATCATTGCTGCGGTTCACGGGTTCTATCCCGCCGACCCTCGGCCCGCCGGGTTGATATCGGTCTGACGGAGGAAAATTAAAAATAAAAATAACCTTACTGTAGATGACTATGCAGAACTGTTTACGAAACGAAGTTGGTACGCCAAGAGCTTACAGAGTACTTGAATCGCTAGTTGTTCAATATTCTGCCCACCTGGACGATCGGGTCTGGGCAGGTAAGGTAGTGTGACAAAGTCGGATGGAATCTGGCCAGCTCTCACCTGGGCATTCTCTTGGTGCTACTAGGGCTGGACACTCGCACATCTGGGCAGGGATCTATTGACTACTATTTGTATGGGGCTAATAGTGAACAATGCGGTACCTTGGCGATCTTGGCGGGGCTACTTGAAGTCATCTTCAATAGTCAGGTGATAATTGACTACATTGTATTGCTTGGCACAATCCCCTTATGCAACATTTAAATGCGTCTACTGAAACCAATATTGAAGGCCGATGAAGGCCTAGACCAGAAGCATGAAGAACGCAGAAGATTATCAAAATACATAGGATAATAAAATGGAATAACGCAAAACAACTTAACGACTTGGCAACCTTTCCCCCGGACTCATGTCTTTTGCTTCGCACCAAACAAGTCATCACGTCGCTTTATGGTACACATGAAAGAAAAATAAAAAGAGGGGGAACGAAATCGAGGGAATCATTGTATCAGTCTAAAACGCGCGGTAACCTGTGACCTGGGGGTTGAGCCCGTTCGCCTGCCCATATGGCATGGGGTTGGCGGATGGGCTTGGGCCCTGGGTCAGCATGAGTCGAGAACCGCCGAGGATGGGTGTGTTGTCCTCTTCGGTCTTGTGTGTCTTCTCCCGAGACTTGCGCTCCTCGTTGTCCTTCTTGAGCATATCGATGGCGCGGGTCTGCTCGCAGAGGAAGTTAATCATGTAGGGCATGGTAAAGTCGTGCAGACCCTTGCGCCATGAGATCTCCATGATAACGTCGGGGCGGATGAGGTCGTAGCAGGCATACAGCATACCCACGTAGCACTCACGGCTGCCAATGTCCACAAACTAGGGAAGGATTAGTATCGTAATTCTGATGGGACAGGTGTAAAACTTACGTAGCGAAGCAATTCCTCAACAACCTCCGACTTGGCAGAGATGGCAGCAGTCTCGATGGCATCCTTGTAGAGCTTGTCCTGCTTGGACAGGGCAATTGACTTCTCCCAGCGCTTGTTATTGCGGTAGATATTGGCGGCAATCTGGCGGAAGAAGATCAGGTCGTGCTTCTCCAGACGCTGGGCGAGGTCCACGGCATCGAAGTTGTCGTTGTTATCCACCGAGTCGCGAAGAGTCTTGTAGTCCTCCTCCTCGATCAGAAGCTCGTTAATGGCGTCGTTCACAGCCCGCTTGTTCTGGCTCTGAACGTTCAAGAGGAAGGGTTTGATGAGGGGAATGTTATCTGAGCTCTGGAAGATGCGTACAACACGGTTCACATCAATACGAGGGGTAAGAACCTGGAGCAGGTCGGTGATGAGAAGAGGCTGCTCTTGCAGGTAGAAGTTCAGGGCACGGTAGTAGATTTCCAAGTTGGCAACCTTAACGACGATGTCCTTGAAAGAGTGGTGCTCCCAGGCATCGGCAGCACGCTCCATCATAGCCAGAGCGGCGTTGTCCCACTCATCGTAGTGGCAGTAGAGGAAGACAAGCTCGGGCCACAAGTTGGCCTCCTCGCAGGCACGAATCATCTTGGGGATGTTGATACGAGACCAGAAGAGCTTCAGGTGCTCCATCACACGATCCGGGTGGTACTTGGACAGAGCGATGCCCAATTCGGTGAACATACCCATGTGGGCACGCTCCAAGCCGAGACCGGCCTCCAGGACGGAGATCAGCTCATCAAAGTAACCGTTACGCTCGTACTGGCGGACGAGGGCCTGCAGCTCCTCAGCGTGGACGATGAGGTTAAGACCACAGATCTGGGCAAGGCGGAACTCCTTCTTGTCAACGCAAGCCTCGTTGACCTGCTTCCAGACCTTGACATTGTTGGCCTTGCGAGCGCACTCGACAGCGGCCTGGTACTCTCCAAGGTGAACCAAGGTGGTTGCAAGCTTGGCCCAGTTGGAAATGCTGGTGAAGAAAATTTTGGCGGCCTGGTGGTAGCCCTCCTCGTAAGCCTTGTCACCGGAGGTCTCGATATCAGCAACGTTGGTGGATCGGAGGAAGTCCTCAAGCTCTGCAAGCTGATCGAGGCGGGCGAAACAGAAAGCAAGAGCGGTGTCGATGGCTGGCTCGCGAAGAGTCTTGCGAGCCATGCGGAGGAACTTGACAAGGTCCTCATCTTTACCAGCGTGGGTGGCAGTCTCAATGACTTCACTGTAGTTGGAGGGGTCATTGGCATGGATGTACGACTCAATCGAGTCCGAGACACGCAGACCGTCGAGTTGAGCCTTGGCAACCTTGCTCCACACGTCGGGGAGCTCGATGCGCTCTGCGAATTCCTGAGCCCGGTCAATGCTGACAATGTTCTCAACGAGCACGTTGACCGCAGCGAGGTAGTTGTTGACCTTCTTGTAGATCTCAAAGGCCTCTTCATACAGACCAACGCCGATGCACATCTCCGCAATTTCATCAGCAGAGAACTCGTTCAGCTGGTGGATGTAGTCCATCAAACGGCCCTTGTCAGCCTTGGCGGCAGTCAGCATCAACAGGTTCTGCAAGCTGGTGTTGTCATTGAATGGTGAGGGCTCCAGGATAATCTTCTCGAGCAGCTCAATGAGCTCGCCAGGCAAATCAGCCTCGAGGAAGCACTTGACAGCCACAGAAACCTTGTCGGGCTCAGTGGACTCGGGTACGGCAGTAGCAACAACCTGGTCGATAAGCGAGCGACGGTGGATGTTGTTCTCGCTGAGGACAAAGGTCCAGATCTCGGGGTCTGCACGCTCAACGAGGTAGCGGGCTTGGGCACGGTACATGGAGTTCTCATTGGTGATGCTGATAAGCTCCAAGTCATTCTGGCCCTTGCGGTAGGCAGTGTATGCGAGGTTGGGGTCCCGCTTCTCACAGTACTTTCCGACAATTAAGGTGTCGTAGAGGTCGTTCTCCTGGAGGAATTTCTCGGGGTTGTTGTTGCTATCGATGTAGATCTTGGCAAGGGCGTTGTAAACGGCCTGCTGCTGGCTGCCAGTGGCAAGGGTGGCCTCGAGGAAAGGCAGAAGCAGCTTGAGACGGTTGCGGCTCTCAACCTCAGAAACGAGCTCATCGATAGGGATGACAGAGGGGTCCACGGTAGAGAGAAGGTTTTTGATAATGCTTTCATCGCAATCGACATCCAGCAGACCACCAACCACAGCAGGGGCGCGGGATGGGTTGACGCGCTGCACGTACACCTCGATGGACTTGAACTGCTGGTTTTGGTAGAGGTAAAGGACCAAGTCGTGGATGAAGTTGAAACGGTCGCAGACGATAATGAGCGGAAGCTGCTCAGTCAAGTGGGCCTCCTTCAGGAAGTTCTTCACCTTCTCCGGGTTGTAGTAGTTGCTCTCGCGACAAATACGCTCGACCTCGGTGAGCTGGTTCATAGCAGTGGCGGCCTCGATGTACTTGAAGTGCACGTCGGCGTCCTCGCTGAGGTTGACAATGCTTCCGAGGTAGTAGTAGAGACCCTCAGCAGTGCGGTACTTCTCCAAGAGATCGATAAGGCGGTTAGCACCGAGGAGGTCAGAGAACTTGGTGGCGATTTGAACCACAGCCTGCAGGTTCTGGCGAATGTTCGACTCGAGCATGGTGTCCAAGCAGTCGAGGGTCTGCTCAACAGACAAACGACCGAAGTAGTTCATCAACCACTCAGGGCTCAGCTTGTCAGTGCGGACAATGTTCCGCTTGATAACCGAAGGGTCGTCAGAGTTCTCGAGGGCGCGCTGAATAAGACCCGCATTCTCGCAAAGCTGGGCAACACGGGCGTGATCATAGTGGGTGAAAATCTCGTTACCAAGAATGGCGTCCGCGACTTGAGGAGCGTTGACGAGGTTCATCTCCAGGAGTCGGGTCTGCAGGTTACCCTGCTCAGGCTTGTTGTCCTTCAGGGCATCGAGGAGGAAAGAGGTCGCCTGTTGGATCATGTTCTGAGAGAGGAAGACATCCACAACACGGTCGAGGTCCACAAGAGCACCAGACTCCTCACTGGCAAGCTGAGTAGCGAACTCGGCACCCTTGTCAGGGTTGACCCGCACGATGTGCTGGAGGAGCTGGGTGTAGTCTGGCTGGTAGCCCACTTGCTTGGAGTAAGTGAGGATCTTATCAAATTGACCGGTCTCGGCGAAGCCAGCAACAACCTTATTAGGAATGTTGGCCTGGAGATACACATTCAAGGCCAGAGCCATGTCATACGGCCGAATAATGTCTCCGAGTTCTTCTGAAGACTCCAGCTTGTTCTCGCGCATCCACTTCTCCAGTAAGTGCTTCCGGTTCTGCTGCAGTACGGGCCGAACAAGCTCCACACTCTCGTAACGGTTCAGAGCACCCTTATCAAGCAGCATACCGAAGTATTGGAGAATTACCGACATTTGACCAGTCTGGGGTGCGTTCTTGAAGCGTGTAATGGTCTCGGGTGTACGGAGGAATCCACGAGGGGAGTTGGCAGCAACCTTGGCAGCCTCAGCGTAGTCACCCGCAGCAATAAAGTTATCGAACTGTGTCTGGAAAAGGTGGTCCACGCCAGGAAGGCCAGCCCGGGAAGCAAGCTTCACAGCAAGGCCGGCCATTGCCGGGTTACTAGTCAGATAGTTGATGATAGTGCTCTCATCAACGCTAACAGACAGAACTTGACCCTTGCGGTTGACTCCGACAATACCAGCGCCCTCTGAGTCGGGAGCAGTTGTGAAGATGGTTTCGCTCGAGATACGGTTCATGAAGATACATGTACCACTCTCGAGATCATACAGGTGGATGAAGCCATACTTCGTCACTAAGTATACGATATCGTATTTTGTGGACACCTGCATCGCAACCGGGAAGTCATTGACGGCCTCCTGGGGGAAGTAAACTTCCACAGCCTTCTTCTGGAATCGCGGGTTGGGCTCTTGGTGGTCGATCTCGGCGATCTGCAGCTTTGCGCCGGTCTGGGTCCGAACGGCGAATGAAAAGAGGTGGTGGGGTAGGGGAGAGCCCTCGACATTAATGGAGGCGAAAGCAGCGGCGTGACCTTCAATGAATTGCGAAATGCCCCGCTCCTTCGAATAGAGCTGCATGGAACCCACAACGCGGCCCTGTTGCTGACTGATACCAACAACGACCATCCACTTCTCCTCGGAGTTGACGCGGTAGTTGATAATTTGACAACCCTAAAAACCCAACTGATCAGCATGACTTTGGACACGGATCTAGCACAAAGGGGACATACCGCCAGGTTAGGGAGTCGGTCGAACACCTTCACGGGGTTCTGCTGGGTGGCATCGTAGACATCCCAGTGGTACACGGCAGTATCGGTAACCAGACCAAGGGACTTCTCGCTAAACCACTTCCAGTACACAATATCTTCATTCATCACCGCAGACTTGAGTTTCGACTTTGCACCGAGGTCGAAGATCTGGATTGTGCGGCCTTGGGCCTTGAGAGCGATAATGTTCTTGTTCCAGTGCATGATCGCGCTGTCGGCGTTAATCGGCCGGCGCATGACCTCATTGTTGTTCTTCAAGTCAACGATGATCACTTGAGGCTTCTCGTCCTCGTCGAGCTTTTGGCGAACACAGATGTAGTGATCGGATTCTAAGGTCTGTGATGCGGTCATTGCCAGATTAGCCGCGTCTCCACCGGGCTTGTTTTGAGGGACATGTGGCACTTACGCATGAAGTGAAGCCAATTGATGCCGGCTAGAAGCACAAAGTATGTTAGTTAAGTGTATCAGTGAGCCAGAGATCACTGCTGTCCGCGGCCGGTGTATCCGGATATCCAAGATGGGGGGCTCGTCGCAAGCCACCTTCCGGGGGAAGCGTAGGTAAACCGGGGAACGTACCGCAATGCCGACATTGGTCAACTATTTTGCCATTGTGGTCAGTGAATGAACAAGAGAAATCGCAGAATCTTCCAAGGGAATGGCATCAACTCACATTGACCACTTCTGTGAATTTGATGGGGAGCGCCATATTTACTTGGGCCGCAGTACGACCTGATCCACCGAACTGAACGCCCCAGCAAAACGATGAAGCAGAATGAAAGGAGAGTAAGGAGTAAAGGGTGAAGCTGAAAGGAAGATGACGAAAGAAAGTAAGAAAGGTGGAAAGAGGAGAGGGGTATGGGGGAATGAATCTAAAGAAACGGAAGTGACCTCAGGAGGTCCGCTGTTGTCGTTGCTGAGGTGTCGCTTACTCGGCGGGTCACATGACACAGGGGTTGTCCATCACGCGTCATTGGCTTGAGTCCCGCTTTCTTGATTGGCACGTTCTTCATCTGCATTCTTCGTCAGGAGTAGTCCATAGTGAATTACCATCAACTTCAAGTCACTGAATGTCTGTGACTGGTTATTTTTCAATAGTTATTTATTGAATTTAATCATATCCATAATCAATCAATATTCATGTTTAAGGGTATTTCTTTTCCTCAACGGCAGCCACCAGCGACTTCCTTTCCTCATCTCTCTGTCACTAACCTGAAGGTAAGCTATTGAGTCATTCATTTGATCAGTTGGTACTTTATTTATAAAATATACTATCAAAAATATAGGACTTCGTTAATTTTAACACAGAAGCAAAGCCCCTGGCCGAGCTTATGAGGCAGCAAAGATGATTGAATAGCCTGCAAGACCCGCGCAGGAAACCGTTATGCGGACATTGATCTGGGATCTGGAGGACCTATTCCGAGATTTTCTTAATCCTCAATTGAAGAAAGGGGCTAGATCTAGTCTATTGCTGAGAGCTGAGTACATATAGGAAGATAGAAGAAGCTACTTCCTGATAATAAAATCAAAAATAAATGCATCTTTCAAATAGTTACTGCACATGTACGTACAATCTAGTGCACATGTGAGATATATACATTATAGCTCTGCGTATATAATTTGACAGATGTACATACAAATTTAGTCTGTTTTACCCATAATTTACCTTTGAGAAGATCGAAAAGCTAAAGACTGAACTTTCTAACCTTTGATAATGATTATTTCCTGAGTATGGCCGATTCCATACAGTAAATTGGGTAGACAGCGAGTACCAAAAGCCGTAGTTTCTCAATTAATTTAGGACTGGGAATGATCAGGGGACAAGGCCCTTGGCGAAGAGGCTGATACGGTGTGTGGTTGGCAGTCGTGCCAACATGGTATGCAAGTGATGCACTGGATAGATTGATCATAAAATTAGTATCAAGCCAAGTCCGCAGTGGAATCTAGACTCTGGACATCGCTTACCCAAGAATTTGTCACCACCTTTGGCTTGCCTCAGTGTTCGAGACGGATTTATTAGGACTCCGTGCAAAGGACAATGGCCACGGAGTCAATATCCGTTAGCTCGCAAGCCTGGGCCGATGGGGGTGCATGGTGAAGCTCACAACAGAGCAGGGTTGGAGGACTTCTCAACCGGGTCAGCCCGTAGAGGTTTATCTGGGCTCCGTCCTCACCGTGTATCGAAAACCTGCACTATTCATACCCAAATTTTCAAACTGACTGAAAGTTAAGGTGATGACCCACTTGAAAGATAAGATCCCATTTGGTTACTCACGTATTTCACAAGCGAGTGGGCCACCTCCGGACACCATAGTAAATGCGATATTTCATACTCAAATATCCCAACAACCACGTTCTTCCTCTATCCCATTACTTGCCGATAGATTTTGATAAGCATTATTAGAAGCTAATATCAATTTCGAATATATTCGACTCTTCTAGTATCACGGTATTGAAAATTACATCTCAAATTAATAAATAAAATATATATTTCCAAGTCACCAAGCTATGAAAATTCACAAAACTCTTCAGAGAGACTAAACATCATATAGAAAGAACTAAACTTCAAGGAGAAGTCCCTACAGACCTTTAATGTTGAGTTAATGAGTTGTCATTTATCGCATTTACTATGGTGTTTGGAGGTGGCCCACTCGCTTGTGTGGCCCATTCGCATGTGAAGTACGTTAGTTACTTATATTTAGTTAAGCCCCACGCCGATGACAAATGACGCCCTAACGTGTTCCACATACGAGTGGCGCACACAAGCGAGTGGCGCACCCTCAAGCGCTAGCGGGGTTTAACATCTCCAACTTTCCAGCAACAACCTGTCGAGCTATACTTTTTCCACTAAAATAGATTGTGAATAACAAAATGTCTCTCCAAAAACAACCAATCATCTCCTCCAATGCACCCGCACCCCCACCATTCCTGTCGCAGGCCATTTTAATGGGCGACTTCGTTTTCTGTTCTGGCCAAGTCGGCTGTCACCCCGAAACCGGTGTGCTTCTGACAGGCTCGATCGGAGACCGAACTGTAAGCTTGCGCCTTGAAGTCTGTTCTTAACTATTCCATGCACTAATAACATGTGTTCCAGAAACAAATTCTATCTAATCTCCAGGCGGTTTTGGAAGCGGCTGGAACTACTTTGGATAATGTTGTCAAATGTAACATTTACCTTACCAGTATGAGCGATTACGCTGCTGTCAATGAAGTTTATGCGGCTACGTTCACGAAGCCCGCGCCGGTGAGTCTATACGCTTTTTTAATAAACTTATCAGTTGTATGACTAACAATGTTCAACAGGCTCGGACTTGTGTTTGTGTGAAGGAGTTACCATTGGGAACTGATGTTGAGATTGAATGTATCGCGGGTGTAAAGAACACCAATAAATCTCAGCTCTGAACAGGTCAAGTCAACTTGTCAGCAATTTCTTGAAGTGCACTTAATCCAACGCCATGCGATTCTGTCTATAGAATTGAACTAAGAACGCTATGCCAAAAAAAACCATAAAACCACCATGCAGCTAGCTATTGAGCCTGCTGTGCAAATTTACTATTTGCCCGAATCCAAGCACCATATTTAATGAAAACAAATGGAACCACGGCGATTGCTATGGAAAAGAATCCGAGCAGCGAGTTCGCCCAGTCGATCCCCAGCTTCGTATACATGGGGGTAGCAGCCATAGGAAGGAAGATGGCAAAAGAGGATCGCAATGTACTTGCTGCTGCAGAAGCTGACGCCGAGAATTGCTTGTACGCGTCCGTGAGGTAATTGAGCAGTGCGATGAAGATCAGCAGATAGCCGAATCCGAAGAATATTCCTGACATCATGGGCATGACGGGGCTGATGGAGAGTTTTGCAGACCATCCAAGCCAGAACAGGGCGATTGGGATACCTGGAGCTCCAACACAGGCCAAGGGGAGGCGGCGGTATTCTTCCAATTTTGCCCAGCTGTGGCCGGCAGCCAGGGCCTTACTGTGGTATCCGCTGTATAGGAAAAAAACGACAAATGCGAGGATTGAACCGGGAAGGACTGTGTATGGTTAGCGACTGAAGGGAAGTAGAGAATCAGGGATGCTCACTTGGAAGAAAAGCTAGTCCGCCTATGCCTGCTGACAGACCATACAAATCTGGGAGGGTCAGCTGTGAGCGTTGATGAGAATGGAGGGCGGTATACCTTGGAAAATAATGGGGTATGCCTGAAAGTAAAGGTATAAAATCGAATAGATGAGGGCAAGGTAAAGTGAACAGCAGAAGACGATCGGCTCTCGTGTGAACATGAGGAAAGGACGACCGAGAATGATGAACAGCTCGTTGGAGAGAGATTGTGCAGGTTTCTGTACATATCCCTCTTTCTCGTCGAGCCTTTCGCTCCTCTGGCGCAAGACCGGCACATACGTCTCAGGCATCGTAACCAGAAGAGGAAACCCAGGGGCGGCAATGATGAGACCAGCCCAAAAGCTCCACCTCCATGAGATGGTGGAAATGAAACCGGAGATAATGGGACCTAAAAGTGGCGGGAAAGTGGTTGCAAACATGAACCATGACATGGCCAATCCGCGGTGATGGGGATTTCCGTAAATGTCGGAGAAAAGACCACCAAGCACAGCATTAGGTGCTGATCCTCCCAATCCGCAGAAGAATCGAAAGACAAGAAGGGCTGGAAAGTTCGGCGCCAATGCGCATGCCATCATGAAAATGAGATAGATAGAGAAAGTTGTTACGAGAACGGGTTTTCGACCAAAGTGTTCACTCAAGGGACCGAAAATCACAGGACCTGGAAACAATTTAGAACTAAAAACATTTCTCATATCAGGATACATACCAATGGCAAAACCAGCCATGTAAAGGGAGGTTGGAAGCACAATTTTAATACCATCGTTAGGGATATTGAAATAATCGGCAAGCTCATCGCTGGCTCCAGATGCAATTGAAGATCCAAGAGAGCTATTAAACACAAAATATACACCGGCAACTACAATGTGAAGCTTGCGCAGCTGTTCCAAGCCATATTAGCAGCGTTGACTTTCTGGGAGAGTTTGGTACTGACCAAGGCAAAGTCAAAAGGATGCTGGAAACCAATTGGCGAACCAGCTTCCTGAGCACTGCATCGTGTATCTGGCTTGGAAATTATCGACATTCTCGATATTCCATTCCTTGCTCAGATTGAATGAATGTTGAGTCAATCATAGAGCAGGGTCCTCTTGAATATTGTTGTGGATCGGCTTTCAACCCGACCATTGTGGATACTTGAATGAAAAAATTTCCTGATGGATTGAATGGTTGTATATCATTGGTAGTTATTTCCTTGTTATAATGTGGAGTTTTACAGTGCCTAACATTGTGGGTTAATAGTATGGGTCCAGCTACGTAAAATGAACCCGAAGAGTTTTCGGCAGCCCGATCGGTTAAAGGCGGGTTCTTCAATTCGCAAAGAACTCCGTCTCCACCGGATCCATAGGTCACTGAGTCAGTCATACTGCAGGTTAAAAACTCATACACCATGGGAAGAGACACCATCTACATTCTTGGACTGGGGAGTATCGGGTCGTTTATTGCACAATCCCTTCGGTCGCTTGCCGACCCACCACTCGTGACACTTCTCGTTCACAGAGAAACCCTGTTCCAGGAACTTTCTGCAAATGACTGGAAACTTGGTCTCCGAGTTGGAGAGGATGGAGAATTGAAGCAAAGCTCGGGATTCGATGCGGAGCTGCTGGGAAAGACAATTTCAACAAGCCCAATACGTCACCTGATTGTCGCTGTCAAAGCATCAGCGACGGTGAGCGCTCTTGAGCCACTGAAAGATCGAATCGGACGTGATACTACTATCTGTCTTTTTCAAAATGGCCTTGGTCAAATTGATGATCTAAATCAACAGCTTTTCCCAGATCCCTCCATACGCCCCACATATATGTGTGGCATAATCCGGCATGGCGTGTACCTGAAATCAGCAAGCGAAGCGATATTATCGGGTCCGAATGGTTGCGTTGATGTCGGCTTTGTAGAAGAGGAGAATGAGCGTCACCATCGGTTCCTCGTCGACACTCTTGTTCAATCGCCAATGCTTCGCTGTGCTGAATTGAAACAGGCTGATCTTCTAAGAGTTCAATTGTTCAAATTAGCAACGAACTGTGTGCTCAACCCATTAACAGCGCTCTTGGACATCCGAAACGGCGAGCTTTTGACAAACCCTGCGCTCTGGCCATTGCAGCGTCAAATTTTGGAGGAGATTTCGCAGGTTTTTATGAAACTCCCAGAAATAAAAAGCCTTGTTCATGATCGTTCACTGTTTTCAGTCACGTCGTTGGAGACTATACTTCGCGACACTGTGGAGAAGACGGCGCGAAATTCGAGCAGTATGCGCGAGGATGTTAAGAAAGGTAGAAGTACAGAAATTGATAACATAAATGGATGGATTATCAAGCGGGGCAAGGGATTAGGGATTGATTGTCCAGTCAATACTTGTTTGACTCAACTTATACTGGCAAAGACCTAATAAAACGGGAATTAAATAGCTCCAGATTTCTGTCCTATGATAGGCACTCAAAGCCGGAATGCATTCAATTAGGGTGTACACATTTCTTCAAATTAAAATTTTATATCGTATGCCTGCAGCAAATTCCAAGTCCCGAGGTCATGCGCCCTCCGGCCGGGTAAGATCATAAATGGCAACCTTGAAAGTGGGCTACGGCAGGCCTTGATGAGACTCTAAATCGATTTTCAAGAAGTGCGATAATATCCCCATCAACATGTTTATACATATACAATATTGTTGCTGCATGGATGTAGCTTGCATACAGTGATAATCGAAATCGGCATTCCATGTCCTTACAGAAAATTTATTTCAAAACGGCGGATGGTGGCTATTTCATTCCATTAAATTTCCCACAAAGCTCTACTCCGCCTTTCGCTGGCTCTTCTCGTCTCTTGTCTGTTACATGTATAAAGAAGCTTGATTGCCTAGCCCCAAAAACCTTTCGCGCCTGGCCTTCAATGTTCGTCAATCCCACCAAATTTTTGGCTATTAAATTTGACACCTGTAAGCTTTTCTTCTTCTTCCTCTTCTTTCTGTTTCTTTCTCTTGTTCCTCTCCTCAGGCTTCTTCTTCTGCTAATCCCAATCCGCTCTTCTTCTTTAAACTCTAATTCTAATCCCAATCTTGCTCTCATTCTTCTTTCTCTTCTTTTCATTCTTTCTATTATTCTGTGTCTTGCACTTTCTTTTTCTTCTTTTTCTTCTTCGTCTTTTTCTTTTTCTTCTTTTTCTTCTTTTTCTTCTTTTTCTTCTTTTTCTTCTTTTTCTTCTTTTTCTTCTTTTTCTTCTTTTTCTTCTTTTTCTTCTTTTTCTTCTTTTTCTTCTTTTTCTTCTTTTTCTTGCTGCATTTCTCGTTAGTTCTATTGTGTCGCTTGTACTCATTGGATAGTCTTTGACGTTGGTCGGGGAATGATGCTCTGGTTCAATCACGATGTTGGACTTCAGAACTGGCGTGGTTTCGTCCGAGAGCCTGTCCAGCTCCAAAAATAGTCGCATTTGTTGAGTGTCATCGATATCACTATCATTTTGGCAAAGGATGACCAACCTTTCGCGAATATCCTGGCATCTGAGGATGAGGTCGGCAAGATTAAAGAAATTTTGTTCTTCTTTCTTTACGTTGGTGGCTAGGAAGCGAGCATAAGCAGTGGTGATTGATAAATCTGCCAGCAGCTCCTCCTCGCCTGGGTCAATGGTTTCCCGTCGCTTAGATACCCAGTGACTGGAAAGACTGGCAACGGCCTCAGGAGTGAGTACTGTGATCAGCGGTTGAAAGAGACCTCGAGCGTCCCAGGTAGTGGCAGGATTGTCACTCGTTTCGCAAAACAGGTCGCAGAATCCAGACCAATGGTCCCCGATCTGTTTCCCATACCAGGGTGGTTGCGTGTCCTCATAGCTGAGGTTGTTTAAAGTTGAATATGCCCTTGTAATGCAGAGATACACTCGGAGTGAAAGAGACTAAATCGTCAGTATGCGGCTCGCGAGGAGAACTAGGCTGCTTATTATTTGGAAACTCACATCCACAACAGAGAGCTCTCCCGATTCCATATGAGCTATAGATTCTTGACGCCATGATTCGGCTAGATCCACGGCCTTATTGATATCTCCATTATCGTAAAGGTCAGCGAGACTTTTTAGAAGAGCTAGATAGGAAGTTTCAAGTTGTTCGAATCCGAATTCTTCTGCCTTGTCAAGCTTTATCTGAAGAAAATTTGACAGATCGCTGTAGTGACCTTGTTCGAGGAGCGAGTCGGCACGTTCTGCAGTCACTGGGAATCGTGCCTCTTCATCGATAAGGATCCACTCATAGACCTCTTCAGCTTTCTCAAAAAGTCCCAGTCGACAGTATCGAACGAAGCCGTCGAGCTCATCCTGGAGGCTAGTGGTCACTTCCATCGTACATGTACTGATACCCAACCATGCCAGTCAAAAATCCTCCTTTTCATCAACTGTAGCTCTTTAATTGCACATATAAGGTGATCACTGCCTTCAACACATATATTCAAACTACATTGAGGCTATGTTCCATAGGAAAGCAAGATCCAGGTTCCCAATACAAAATGGAGACAGGATAATGTCTAAAAAATTACAATTCAGCTTCACCCACCGCCTTCCTACATCTACCTCCGAGCCGCGAACAGCTTGGGGCCGAATGGGCAACGACCGAGTATGCCTCCTATACTTCGACTTCGATTTGGATGAAAAGAGCATCAAACCCGTGGCCGACGGGGCAACGGCTGAACTCAAGTTCTCGCAGGATGTTGTCACGAGGTTTGAGCTCACAGACGTGGCACCGGCGGACGAGATCAAGCATACATCAGAGCAACAATATACTCAGCACTTCGATATCAATCCCAGTATAGATGCTGGGGTAGGTGGTGGTAGCCTTGGGAGCTATGGGGAAGAGCGCGTGTTTGATGGTTTGCCTAATTGGCGGTTTAAAGGCTCTCTATGTGTGCCTCGCCCAACTCAAGCAGTCTCATGGACATGGACGCGTGGTGGTCACTACAAATATTCACGCGGTGTGCCGATCATCAAGATCGGAGTTATTGGGAAAGACCCCCCAGACCACAATTTCATCGGTGCTGTGACGATGACACTCCAACCCCGCTACTCTTGGAGAAGAACAGAAAAGCACGAATTTCATATCGATTTTGCCCCACCCAATCCTCCAAGAAGTGAAGACTTATCCGCGAGGGTGGATGAATTTCAGAGATCTGTTGGAATAAAAGATACTGTTCAAGCTCAAAGTGGTTCGAAACCAGGGTTGGATATGGACAGTTCTTCCCCACCCAACCCTCTAGGAAGCGAAGACCTGTCCCCCAGGATGGAAGAATGCCAGACTCCTGATAAAAGAAAGGATACCGATCAAGCTCAAGGTGATTTGCAAGCAGGGTTGAACATGGTCAGTTCTATGGACATTTGGGTTGAGCCTGACCATGGAGAAACTGTCTGTCCATATCCGATGCCCGTGAGAAACATTGGTGCCTGATTATGGCCTGAATTATTCCTGGTTTCTGCCTGGACTCTATCTGGTATGCATAAAATACTCTTGTTTACAACTACACACGATCTCGTTCGAGCACATACACTTCTAACACATTTCATCTTTGACTTGCATTAATATGAAATGCACTTGCTCTCCTGGTTCCTCTCTCCAGGCTCTGACAACTGTAAAAAGCGGAATAAAAATGGATATTGGGTTGGTACGTGATGAATTTTAGACTTTCAAAGGGGGTGCGTATAGTAAGATTCTGGTATATATTGGATACTTGAATGGCGCCAAGTCTGGCCATTTTCACGGCTAATTTATCGTCACGTATAGTTGAGAGAGATGTACCGGTGTGATTATTGTCATTCTGGTTTCTCATCGATTCCGATGGTACTGCCGCGTTCACAGAAATAACCGACGTCATGACTTACTATCGCCTTGACATTATTAGCAACATAAGACAATTTATTCACAGACTCAAGATATTAGAGAGTCGTAAAACAATCTTTTTTTAAATGAGCCTTCGGCTCGAAATTTGATGGTGGTTGGCAAAATCCACGATTTGTAAGTTTTAACTCCATGATGCCATGATTCACTGTAGAGTTCCATTGAGTGCTTACCCTATGAATCTATTTCCAAGACCTACTTAAAAAAATTTTCATGCAGATCTTGATTGACTTCACCTTTTCTGACTTCAACTACTGAACTCTCCCAACATGAGGTTGGGATTGAAACGTGTGCCCTTGGGCTTGACCATAGTCACCACATTATGTATCACCAAGGCAGTCGGTTCGGTTGAATTATCAGTTTCCCGAGAAGGTGGAAATAAATCAAGTTCATTACTCTACGGAATCATGTTTGAGGTCAAACCACTTAACTCGCTCTGATTACTGTTGCTGACTCTATTTAGGAAATGGATCATTCAGGTAAGCCACCTTCGTGCATACCACATTATCACTAACAAATTTGTACAGGTGATGGTGGAATCCATGGACAGCTACTTCAAAACAATGGATTCCAAGGGAGCAGTCTTGGAATGACAGCATACGCACCTGTAGGGACGGTGGAAATATTTCAGGACACAGATCATCCTGTGAGCGATGCCATCACGTCTTCACTGGGTGTTTCAGTTCCAGAAAATGCAACTGAATATGTTGGTTTCGCAAATACCGGTTATAGTGGAATCCCGACTGTGAATGCTACATACAACAGTTCATTTTGGATGATGGGGAACTACTCCGGGACCATCAATCTCCAGCTTGTTGGATCACACAGTGGTATTGTTTATGCCGACCATAACATAACTGTTGACAGTACAGACGCAAATTTCACCCAAATCAAGACAACATTCAACTCCAGTATGTCGCCTGATGGAGAAAATGAGTGGCACTTGACATTTGATGGCTCAAAAGTTGCCGGAAGCTCATTGAATTTTGGATACATTCAACTGTTTCCACCCACATACAATGACAGGGAGAATGGATTACGCGAGGATCTGGCAACAGTACTAGAGAAAGTGAAATTCAATTTCCTTAGATTCCCGGGCGGAAACAACATCGAGGGCCTGCAGATTGATACTCGTTGGAAATGGAACACGACAATTGGACCTTTGGTTGACCGACCCGGAAGAGATAGCGATTGGTTCTATCCCAATACCGATGCCCTGGGTCTCGATGAATATCTATGGTGGTGTGAAGACATGAAAATGACGCCATTACTGGCGGTCTGGTCCGGCAAGTCCTACGGAGGAATAGTATCTGGATCCGACCTCCATCCATTCGTCGAGGATATCATGAACGAGCTAGAATATCTGTTTGGCAACACATCCACCAAATTCGGAAAAATGCGCGCCCAGAACGGTCGCACCGAGCCGTGGAAGATTGAGTATATTGAAATCGGGAACGAAGATGATCTCACTGGCGGGTGTGATACCTACCCCGATCGCTTCAACCAAATTTACACGGCCATCCATGACCAATATCCTAACATCACGCTTGTTGCCTCGAATGGCGACTATTCCTGTCTACCAGCACCGTTACCTGAAGGTGTTATTATCGATCTGCACTTGTATCGGTCTCCGAATGATTTCGTGGCGTTGTTCGATCAATTTGATAACCAGCCTCGAAGTCAACCGGTCATGGTTGGCGAATACGGATGTCGGAATACCTCGGATGCGGAGGGGACATATTGGTCGTTTATGCAAGGCAGCTGCAGTGAGGCGGTTTACATGATTGGCATGGAGCGCAATAGTGATATCGTCAAGATGGCAGCGTATGCGCCTATGTTGGAGCATTTTGGGCTTATAGCGTGGTCGGTAAGTTTGTCTGATTGAATATTGGTCCATCTCAAGACTAAACTCACAAACCCAGCCAACTCTTTATGGATTCAATTCAACTCCTGGATCGATGACGCTGTCGACATCTTATTTTGTTCAGAAGATGTTTGCTTCGAACAAAGGAGATATGGTGCTTCCGGTTAATTCATCCGCGGATTTTGGACCTCTCTATTGGGTGGCTACGAAGACGGACTCACAATATTATGTGAAGCTGGCGAATTATGGCCCGATGGACCAAGATATTACCATCAGCATTCTTGACACTAGTTCAGGGAGTCTGGAAATGCTCGCCGGGGCACAGTCTCAAGGCAACAAGCCTTATCAACTTGAAGTTGAGCCGGTAACCACAAAGGTTCACAGTGAGAACGGGACATACTCGGTCAAAATGGACCCCTGGGCAGTTGCTGTCTTGGCCGTTACATAATGAAAGTATGCACGTTCACGTCTCATCAAAGCGTTGACGCGACTAGCCATTATGGTTTTGCCAATTTCATACGGCATTTCTCGCATGGACAGCTCATCGCCAGTGAATGAGCTGATTTTTTCTTTCACAGCAACAATGTATAGTATTCAGACAATTCTACTAGACTTTAATTGAGTGCCACAGAAAGTTTTGCGGTAAACTGTCTTGAAATCCACTCCATCGCATGCATTATGGCGTGATGAAATGTCTATGAACTATGGAGATAGGCAATGATGCAGAAAACAGTTGCCAGCTCTAGAGTCTAGAGTCTAGAATCATTCAAGAACAGTCAGATGAGTAAATTAAGCTTCACAGAACAATCAAAGATGGTACCCAACATCTATGATCCAGCATTTCAGACTTCAGACATGTCCAACGCGAAGCAGGGGAATCTAGACTTCAATGCATGTAATGACCGTTTCATGGTACACGACATCCCCAATCTAAAGATATGACTATTCAGATCGTAAATCCTCCTGCAGCGAGCTCTAAATGAGTCTAATATCCCTCGGAACTACCCTAAAGTTGAAGTGTGGCACAGGCTTTGCCAGTAATAATATCCGGTCGAACCACAGCTTGCTCCCCTAGCTTAATCCACCGTAACATCCATATCGGCCGAGGGTATTACCAGAGTCATGTATCAAAGTCATAAGGTCACAGTTTCTTCAGTGGAATGTAACAGTATAACACAAACGGGACCCATCAATCCTCCCGAGACATATGCGATGCAGACAATTGGAGAGACAAACGGAGACTGTTTTGGATGATACTGGTTATGATTATTGCAGCGCCACTTGATTATATTCATGAAGCATCTGAGGTATGTGGACATGGTTGCATGAATAGTCGCTGCAACCTTGTCTTGACAGAGATTTTATTAGCTCTACCCATGAGCTATTTTTTCACAAGACAAGTCCTGCGATGGTGGTACAGTGCGCGCAGTTGAATTTTAGCTATCGGATTCTTGCAGGGACCGAGGGTTGGAGGTTGGTCGGGATGGTCGACAACGTTGGAATGTCTGAAGTATTGAAGCATTTACACACTATGTAGAAGAGGTCGTTATTAAATGGTTCAAGAACATTCCAAGGTTTTCATTATTCAGTCGCTATCTGAAATCTCTTAGCAACACTCTTTCTATTTTCAAGCTCCTCTCCTCTAGTTGAGCAAACCAAGCCATGGTTAACTCATCCACCAAAGCTATCATTTGGCTGGGCCTCACATCCCTAGCCCTGTCTGTCCCTGTAGACTCGAATTTGATCAAGATCGATAGTTCCCCGGAGAGCTATACGCCTCGTTGTTAGTTAATCCAAACAGCACTTTCTCAACTCGAATACTTACATTTTCAATCCAGGCAACCAGTTTTATAAAGTGCACGTGGGAGATACGTGTTGGGACATTATCTCGCAAAACGAAAACACCTTCACCATAGACCAGCTCCTGTGTTGGAATCCAGATATCAATCCCTGGTGCTCTAATCTGATTCCGGGTCGCAATGTTTGTGTCGGGGTGATCAATCCCGGTAAACTTTGTTAAGTTGGGTTCAATTTCGTGGTGACTTTCGTGAATAAACGCATGTTCATCTACCGAGCTCCTGGATATGTCGTGTTTAAATGTGAAGCAGTTCAAATTGATTGTAGATTGATGTATCTTGAAGTAAAAGCGAAATTGAATTGTCTTTACCTGCCTGTCCAGCATTTCTCCAATAATTCTCTCATGGTAATAGGTCGCACATCTGGGAACTGGGCATTCAGCCTGTTCTCTTTGGGCAATTGAAAAACACCATAGACAGTAAGCCGGCTGACTAGCGCTGTAACCTCTTTCAGCTCATCGATTGAATCCTCTTCTCCATCATCGAGACTCGGCGGTACGGTAACATCCCCTGCGTTGATCATATCGACACTATCGTACGTGACTTTGAATTTGGATCCTTTGTAGAGTCAGTGAGCATTCCAGAACTTGATAATAGAAGAATAATTACCAGTAATATCTTCTGCCATGCTCAAAATCTGGTTATAGGTGACTTTGTCTCCCACGATCACGCTAAACTCGGGCCACTCATCGAGATCCAGTGCTTTGATCACATAATTCGCCATATCATGTGTGTAGGTCATACATATCGAATCGTTTCCATCGCCAGGAATAGCAGCTTCACGCTTGGAGATGTTGATTCCGAAAGTGTAGGGGTGCAGGTTGGTTTGAATATGCGGCATGCCCCAGTAGTCCATGAAAAAACCTGGGATGACACGGGTGTACTTGAGCGAGCTATTTTCCAGACGGCTGGCTGCATCGAGCCAGTACTTAATACTAGGATCTATCTGGAGAAGACTGTTGTAGAAAAAAATTAGCGGATTGGACACGGGAGTGATTATTTTCGGCTCACTCTGCTGTTTGAATGAACGAGAATTCACTCGGAATGAACCGCTTGGTTGTGGCTGATAACTCCGCTGCATCAATCAAATTTAATTGGGATTGACTGGTCTCATCGGACACAAGGCCAATGGCAGATATGATGGTGTGGACGTTATGAGTATCGAGTGTCTTTGCCAAGGACCCAACATCGTCGTAGTTGATTTGCACAATCAGGGCTCCCGGCAAAGATGATTGCTGAGCGGACTTTTATTCAATGAGCAATTGTCTTGATCAAGAGTAAAAATAAGTCTTACTTGGCGAGATAGCACAATGACTTTGAATTTAGATTCTTGAAGCAACCTCTCGACCAAGGTCTTCCCCACCCCTCCCGATCCTCCGGCAACAGCGATGACAGTCATTTTGATCTTTGCTAGGCTCTTCGGACTTTTTGTTCATACAGGCATAGGATCTGCGTCTGTACTGCGATGATCCTGGCTGTCTCTGTATGGCGCCCAATTGTTGTCTGCGTTGTGAAGATCGGAATCCAAGGCTCGGGTTTCACCTCCGATCTGCCCCACCAATTACCAATCTGCTTGAGGATCTTTCAACAATTTCAAGACCACAACTAAGTTAGAATTAGGCATTATCCAGGGGCAATTAAACGATCAACACACCAAAAAAGCATATATTTCAATTAAGTCTAGTTTCGCATAAGGGAACACCGATACGAGATCGGGGTCCAGCCTCGGGCTTCATCATCGGCGTTCATGACTAAGACACCGAAGCGATATAAAAGAAGATCCCGCTCTCCGCGTCTTCGATCAGTTCACTCAAGTTTGACATTCTTTACCTCTCACATCCATCTTTCAAACACAAAACAACTTTCAATATGTGCATGAAGGCTCAGTGCTCCACCTGCAGTAAGTTTGTTGATGAAAATTACTTAGATGCTATGGCTAATCGGTTCCTAGACAAGGTGTCCTGGTGGGGCTGTGGCGCCCACATTCCGTCCGTCATGGACTCTGTGCCTGAGAGCAAGTGGTGTTCGTGTGCTCCTCAGGTCGAGAGGGAGGGAAAGAAGTACCCTCCCAAGGCTGCTAGATCTTGACTAGATGGCTGTGTGATTTTCTAGGTCAATGGGTTGTTTAGCGAGGCGATTTCGGGTACAGATGTGATTTGGTTATTCCATGGGGATGCAGAGTCTCAACTCTTTTGGTGACTCTGCCATGAGGATATTTCGGGTGGAATTGACATCATATGTGAAGAAATAGATCTCCCTTAAGATAATTCTATAAGATAATCCACTTCTTACGTCCCCTATATCATCTATTCACGTACATGACCTGCTGGCAACCTTAATCCCGCCACTACTTCAGCCTACAGATAATTAGTTATCACATGTAGATAGAAGTAGGACGCATATGCAAAGAACTAATACCACTTAAGGGGGACGAAGAAACGCAAAGCGAAGATCAATTGTGTAACTCTATCTATGAAATCTATGATAAATCCGTGATGAAATCCCAACTTCAAAATCCAAACATGAAGCCCCTGGATCAGAGGCTACCGCAAGATTCCAAGCCTCTGGGACCGTGATTGAAATCCCTCATTTCACGTAGTACCTACCATCAGGTTCGCGTCCATCGCCCCAATCTGTTCTGGCTATACCAATATTCTGTCTCTTGCTGTGGTTCCACTTCTCTTGCCTCTGAAGCAAGAGAGATTGGAGATTGCTCTCCGGTAGCGTCATCAGTCTCAGAATCCTCATACACTGCAGCTGCAGTAAGGAAGCTGTGAAGTTGATGTTCTGCGGAAATATTCAGGTCAGAATCGCCGCGTTCTGCAGCAGCAGCAAGTGAGCTTTGAAGCTGCTCTTCTGCAGCCTCATCGATTTCGGAATCACCATGGTCTTCTGTAGTAGCAAGCGAGCTGTGAAGCTGCTCCTCGGCAGCGGCGTCTATATTACAATCTTCGTCCTTGTCCTCGCCCTTCTCCTCGCTCTCATGCATACCAGCGGTAGCAGGCTCTTCGAATGCCCTCTCCTGGTTGACCTTGTGAGTGCGTCTGCGGACCTTCTGGAGCATAACCTGAACCCGCTCTGCGAGCAAATTGGCAGGTCCGAGCATGGCCTCCTCGGCCTCATCTTGGAACTCCAGGGGAAGCTACAAGTTGATTAGCTTGACATATTCTAGTCAACAGTCCGTGCAGTTGCAGTGCACTTACCGGGTGGCAGCGGTGGCGAACATTTCTGCAATGCTGGCATGCCCTATAGTCCTCGTTCCACATACAAAAGTGGTCAGGGAACCTAGCCAGTCGGAGAAAGCATCTCTGGCAGGTCTCCCCAAGGGATCTGGCACCACGGTTTCTCTTGGGGGGCATAGTGGAAATTGTTTAATTTCTTGATATTTGGCCTAGTATTAGCCATATTTACTTCGGCCTTTGTTCTGGATGTCTGTTTGATGCAGATGCTGTCTGAGACTTACATTAGTAGACTGAGATGTAGCCTTGGAGGTTGGTCGTTATTGGTATTTGTGAAGGTGCACGTGGGAGTCTTGTCTGGATTGAGTATTAATCAGAAAAAGGTTATATACATTTCATATATGCTGCAGTAGAAACGAGGTCTAAAGTTTTGGAATGCTCTGTGGAGCTTTCCAACAAAGGCTCCGGGGTTGAGACATCGTCCAACCTTGAAACACTTTGAATGTCAATATTTTATTGCTAGATATGGCAGGGACTTTTTGTTAGATGCAAACTACACTGTGTTAGTTGAAACAATGCTGCAATATGTTCTAGTTCAATACGTGTTTATTTTTAGGTTTCAACCTAGGTAAGCAGAAATGGTACTACTTAGTTTGATATACTCTTTGTCTTCGCTCGTGTCTTACGGCAATAGTCCTTGACTCGGTCCGAGACCAAATCATGGTTGTTTAAAGAAATATGAGGTGTTTTGAGATATCCACTAATAGGCTCAATATATCATTATCCTAGAAAAAAGCATTGCCCGGGCTTTGAATCGTTTACATCAAGTGATATTTTAGCATCGAACTAAGACACTGAAATTGATGCTTTCTATATTGAACAATAGAGATTTAATTTCTAGATTATCAATCACACTGTACTTATTCCATTTCTACTCCTAGATTGTCTAATCTTGAAACAGAAGATTTAGAGCAATGTTGAACTTCTCAGCCTTTAGTTCCAAATTTGGACTAGCGCAAGGTGGGCCATTAACTTGGCAATTCCAACATTACCGCTTTGGCTATTCTGCCAGAGATCAATCACTAGCCACAGAGGCTGACGAGATAATGTCTGTGGCAGTGCTTAGTCTCCCGCTTCTCCCTCACATTCACAAAGTGAATTACGACAACAACCAATTAAGACCAGGGTTCTGAGGCTCCATTACATTCTTTTGTATACATCTTGGAATTTTGCAAACACATACAATAATCCCGCCTAACAAATACGGTCCTCCTTCAGGCACCCCAAAAACCCTAAACGCTTCATTTGGCTGGGCGCATTGCCATTAATCCCCAGCCCAGTCTAAATACCCGCTTTGAGGGGTTCTGCAAGTTAAAACTGTGTTTGAAAATCTGGGTGGTGGTATTAGGACGTTTTCACGATCAACTGGACTGCCCGTTGGCCCGAAGGAACTTCTTTTCACTTTCTTATATCATGTCTACCGCACCAACATCAGCCCAGGCAGGCAATTCAACGGCTACTTTCGGACCCACAAATATGGAGAATCAAGCCGTTGACGCACAAGGTGCTACTCAGACAAACAAAGATGATCCCAAACCTGTCAACTGGGAGTCTGAAATCCAACTAGTGTCGTCACTGGCAAAGCTGCAAGAGCTCGAACGCAAGGTGAGTGTTACGTACCTTGCGCATCTTTTCGTCTGTGAACATCTCCTTGTCAAGCAAACATCATTTCTCCGAAGATCAAGACCCTAGTTTAACATCTCTAGATCCACGAACTTCGTCCGTTCGTCCCAGCCGGAGTCTTAGAGCCCCTTGGCCCTATATCAAGTCCAAACGGACCCTCAACCAACAACCCAGTGGCTGAGTCACCAGCGGCTCTACGAAATGATCTTCAAAATGTAATCCGCTCTCGAATTTCCGATATCGAGCAATTCCAGTCCATGTGGCGCGGTCCGGAGATGAGACCTGTTTGGACGCATGTTGAGGCGCGCCTGAGAGAGGCTAATGGCCAGATTCTCCAACCTACGGGCATGTGGGAGAAAGACTACGATGTTCTCCTTGCAGAGCTGTCCAAGGCTGAGAAGGCAAAGGAAGACGAGCGGTTACGAGAAGAGGAAGACACCGCGCGCACGAAGGCGTTATCATCAGAAGGAGAATGGACTTCTGTCATTGAAAGATTTGTCGAACGGGCCATCCCCGGTGTCCGTGTAATCAAGGGACAGAATCAGACTTCCCTGGCTATCGCCCTTGCAAGGGCTGGAATGGTCTTCCTGGTCGCAGGTGTGCGGGACTACAATTCATCTACTGTGTCTGGTTGGCAGGTATCCAGCAGAGTGGCACCAGGTCGATCCACGACCAAACTTGAGCAGGCAGTTCTCGAATGCTTAAACTCGCGGCCACGCAAATGGGATCTCGCTTTCTTATTGGTACGTGCCTGTACTCGATTAATAAAAAAAAGACTTTCATTGGTTCTCACACGCTTTTAGGACATGATCGCATCATATGCAGATATCAAACAAACACCTTGTGCCAAATGTACCCAGCTCACCAATAACGCCGCACAACTCCCAACAATCCGCCGAGCGCAATCCACCCAACCCTCAACAGGTAATCAATCTCATCTCTTCGTCTTTAACGCCTTTCACCCAAGCTGCGCTTGAAAAGCGCACTCTGTTCCCAAAAAGCACACAACTTAGAATGCAAACCATGCTTCTGCTCTCCAATTCCAATCAATTCCAGTTCCGAGTGTCCTGGTCCCAGCTGGCATGACGACGATCATTCCCATGACTCCTAGTAGCACACTCATCGTCCCGATTCCAATTATACCGATTCTGAGCAGCAAGACTATTGGTTCGACAATCGTCATCATCATCATGCTTCCCATGAACAATATCATGCCAGTAATTCGCGGGGTATTCAACTCCATTCACATCCCGATAACGCCTCGGCACATGATGCTTCTCCCCCTTAGAATGCGACCCCTTCCCCCAGAAGAACAATACTCTACTGCACTCCACGTCCCCATGTCTGGAACCTTGTACATCCGCTGGCGATAATCGTAGCGCTCTTCATCTTCTCGACGAGCCCAGGGTAATTGGGCCTTTGGCTTTGATTTGGAAGAAGTCGAAGTAGATCTAGAATTGGCAGCTCGAGAGGAATCCGAGGAGCCATCCCATACTGTGTCGTCGGAGTTCGGGGAGTTGGATGGTGTAGGCTCCTTCCAGCGATCCCAGTTCGTGCTTTTGATAGGCTTGTTGCTTTGATTGGATGTTGTCAGTCGCTCTGGGGACGTGGACTTGGAATTGGATCTCGATGATGAAAACCTGGGTTTTTTGTTGATCACACCAACATAAACGTCGGGTCCCTTGTTCGTCATGACATCCAGGAAACGCCAGTGACGTGGCCAGCTGCTTGAGTTTCCTGGGCGAGGGTCTTTAGGCCAGATCCAGCCTATATTTTTCTTCTCTTTCGGTGACATCGTTCCTCTTGTTGTCTTTCTGTGGCGGTGGTGGTGGGTGGCTTCGGCGATAAAGAATACAGTGTGAAGGAATCAGAGATGAGGAAAGTTCTTGGTCAGGGTTGATTGTTTGGGGAATTCGAAACTTAATACAGGAAAGAAGAAGAGAAGTTCTCAAATATGAAAGATTCATAGTCCTGAGTGTTCGATGCAGGTACAGCATCATGCTTGGTTTTGTATAGACTAGTTCTCAATCCAATTGACGTGATACAGACAGGATCTTGTTCCCTTCGTTCTTTGTTTCTTTCTCATGCAAAGAATTCATACGCTTGTTTCCATCTTCTTACAAACAGTTTGAGAGTTAATATTACCAAAAATGACTATAGTTTTTGATGCATGGAACAACATGAGGCTCTTTTCCGGAACTATGTGGTTTCAGGTCTTGATAATGCCATCTTTCAAAAACTTACCCGGGACAAAGAATTGTTATATTGCTTGCAGCTAGAGTCTTGCAAGTACTCCAGTGTCTTACCAAAGTTCTAAGAGGGATTACATGTACAATAAACAAGGAGTTTGATGATCCCAAACCGGTTTTTGAAGGTTCCGTCATGCTGGGGAGTTCAGGGTTCTCACTCCAGGGCCTATGAAGGAAAATTACAGAGGGGCATAAAAGTTGGGGTCTCATGATCTAGATTGATACCTTGAGTGGCATGTAGTGAAGAAAATACATTGACTAAAAATAAATATCAGTGGGAACTATTGAGTATGAACCTGATGCCAATTTTTTACTAAGAAAAAGAAATAAACCAGAAAAAGAAGCAAGAATGCATCCCAACCAAAAATCCACAAACGCCGTTTTCTTGCTATTAGTCGTAATGTGTCGCTTTCAAGAAATGGATAGCGCCTTAAATGTCAAAGAAATATATCCATAAGAAGGTCATGTAGCTCTATCCTCTCTTCAGATAAATTTAAAGGGAGAATAGGCCGAAGCTGCCCGCAAACCATGTGAAGGAAAAGACGGTGAGCAGGGCCATACCGACGACGAACTTCAGACCCTGGCGATGAGTATCCGATAAGGCACCATTGCAAGTGACACAGAAGAATCCTAATAAGCTGTCAGTCGAGTTTCTTAATGAAAAGAGCGAGGGGAAGTGTGCACTTACCGCTCAGTGGTGTGGAAGACTGAGTAAAGTACATGCCGAAAGCATATCCAGAATCTGAGCCGAGATATCCCGCGCTGGCAGTGTCGCTGAGAGACTTGTCCGAGTCATAGACGTAGAGCGTGTAGCTCGCTGTCAGCAAAGGGATAGTGGCGGTCTTCTCATAGTCGCCCGTATCCCAGATCGCGGTACCAGTTGCTTCCATGCTCATGTTCTTAGTCACGGTGTAGGTGACACTGTTCAAGCTGCAGGATGCCACCACGTCCACGGCAGTAGGCGAGACGGTGACAGAAGTGTAGTTCCACACGAAGGTGATGTTCTGTCCGATCTTGTAGTAGGTAGTTGTTGTTGAGTCCGGTGTGAGCATGGAGATACCACCCTCGCCAGCAGCCGGGTTAATCGAGACACTGGAGGTAGTGGTCGATGATTTGGTCTTGGTGTTTTTGGATGTGCCTGTGGTGGTGCCTGTGCCTGTGGTGGTGTCTGTGTTGGTGCCTGTGGTTGTGGAGCCACTAGCCGTCTCATCACTGGCGGTCTTGGTGTTGCTGGAGGTGCCGGTCTCGCTGGAGGACTTGGTAGAGGTCTGGGAAGCGACTGTGGTGGTTTGTTCGGACGTGGATGCGGATGTCGTTTCGTCTAGACAACAAAGTCAGCGGTTTTTTAGGAGATGCGAACAGACCATCCGTACCTGCACGCCTGTCTAGCATGTCACGTCCAAAGATATTTCCATAATTGGACCAGGGCCAAGCCGAGGCGATCGTCCCCAGTAGCAGAAAGGTGTAGATAATGCTCAAAATAGGCCGCATAATGACAGTTGTCGTGAATAATACCAGGCAATTGAAAGAAGTAGACTAGAGAGCAGATAGGAGACTGAAGGTTCCCCTGATCCGAAAAGAGCCTTAATCAACAACCCCTTGCACCGATTGGCAGAGTGGAGTTCTGTCGTGGTTGAAATATCACAATCCGCGTCTAAGAAAAGGCTTGCAACCCTTCTTTGGCTTAACCAGGATACCCAGGAAGCTGCTTTCTGAAGAGTCGAACGACGAAGACGATGTGGAGGGCGATGAAAATATCACGTCGGACGATCCGGTGGACCCTGGATTCTGTCGATCACGGAGGAATGTGTAAAATTTGTGGATTTGGTGGGGGGAAAGGGGGGAGGAAGGAAGAGCAACGCCCTAGATCTAAGCAAAACAAGTGAAAGATTGCAGTCAAACGAGCGACATGAGCAAGTGAAAGCAGAGTTTGTGAGGCCGAAGGAAGTGGTGTTTGAAATGTGTTGCGGGGCTAGACCCAAACTGGCCATTGTGGCTGTCAAGGCATGTGAGACATCAAGGCCTATTTATAACTTCATCCACATTATTTGATCAGCTTGACTTTTTCATATCACGATGTCGCAGTTGAAATGTGTTTCCAAATCTTTTCAAAGCTTTGTTCGGAGACTCAATTCTCCTTAAAGTATTTACATTCTTGACTCGTTGAACCCTGAAACTACGAACATCCCCTTATCAGCTGACCCACCTTCGGCAAAAATAGTACACAAATAAACCAAACTATTGGAATACCCGATAACTCACCCAATTCGCTATCGACTTGTACTGGTGGGATGTCCAGATCACCAGAGCAGCATTCCCTGGAGTGTATGAGGTGAGATTTAGTTTAGAGTTTGATTATACAGTTTCTGAGTAAACAAAATCATAATCAAAGCTTCATCGCAATAAAATTCAAGAAAAGCAAGATTTAAGAACACAAAGATATGAAGCTGCGGTCATACAATTCTTCTTCTGCTATTTATTTTTTGCTTCAAAAAATTTTATAGACTAAAGAAGGCTCGAATAAGATCAAGCTTCCGCAGGGAAGATCCATCCCGGATGGTTCTGATTCATGTGTACGTATCGTGAATGCTAGCGATGTCTCTTTCGAAAAATGCATTGATAAAGGAGGTTTAAAGAAGAAACTTATTCTTTGGCCAAAAAATTGTCATAAATAGTCTTCTTGAAGCTCCTGGTATCTTTTTTCTTTTCTTCTCTTCTTCTCTTCTTCTGTTTTGCTGAAGTCCTAGTCCGATTGAGTCTTGGTGAAATTTTCATCGGCTGTAAACACATGGCTTAAATCAAGTGGTGTCGATTAACATAATATGAAGGAGGCAGTTGCATTGTATGCTGATTTTATATTAGGCGTTACGATCGATAGGTAGTCCTATGGCAAATTAATTATCGATATGCAACCCTATTGGGTTCCCCTGTTAAGTGAGTGCCAATCAAATTTTGACTAGAGAATTTAGAGTGCATATAATTAGAGGCGAGGATCTAATTCGCATTACCGCAGGGTGACTACAAGCGGTTACTCAAGGCACTTGAGAAGTTACTGTGGCACGGCAAGCAGATGATCAGCCACCCGTAAACTTTAACCTCTAGCGATCTTCAATGCAATTACACGCAGATCTTATTATGTATTTCGTGTAGACATCAAGCTAATGAGCAAACAAAGTGGAAAGTCAATATATTATCATTAAACGCCAGTCTATCCAATGTTTGACCAGGATCCCAGTGAATGTACAGTCGTGAAAATAACCTCTTCATCATCATAACCAATGATTGAAAACCCAAAACCCAAAACGCCCCTGATTCTAAGATTCTAGGATTCTAAGAGGATGCCTGGAGTTCGACAGTGTCGCAACCAGTGTAGCTGCCAGTCTGGGCAAGGTTGACATAGTACAGGGCACTGTCAGTGCAAGCTAGAAAGAAACCAAGTCAGCCTTGCATCCAAAAAGAAATCCAATAAACATAAACTTACCAAGCCAGCCACCCCAGTTCTTGTTCGATGTCTCCAGGTCGCCATCGCTGGCAAAGCCGAAGCCAGTGCTACCGGTCGTGGGACTCACGCTCACCTCAACAGGAGACTTGCGATCTGGGATCGGTTAGAATACGGAGACAAATGTGACGGATGTTCCAAACTCCAAGCTAACTTACCATCCTCGGAAACGAGAGCAATGGCCCACGGCGCGCCGTTCTCCGCCTGGTACCGCACCGTACCGTTCTTCAGGTAGAATGTCGCTGCGTCCTCGGCGCCACCAGTAAACACCGCCAAGCTGTTTAGCGGGCCGGTAGACCTGGTGGTAAGATACAGGCCGTTCAAGCTGCTGTTAGAAGCGCCCGTGGTCTGTAAGGTGAATGTCTTTATCGCGGGGCTAGCGGTGGCGGTGGCGGCGAGGAGGGCCAGAGTAGCAAGGAAGTTCATTTTGGCTGGTTTGATACAAGCTGACTCAATGAAAAAAAAAGTGTAAACTGGAATGATAATAATTGCAGACGAAGAGTAGGAGGATGGGGGGAGTGAGGTATTTAAGGCTGAAAGGTTCTCCGTACTGGGGGTTGGAAAAAGCTGGGAAATTGTGTGGAGAAACCCGCCACAAGTGGGTGAAATTATGAGGATCCGCGATCGTGGGTTCCTTGGGCTGGGTTTAAGTGTAAAGCGGGCAGTGCTGTGGTTGGTACTAGAATAATTGTCGAGTTATGAGGTCTACATCCCCTGCTGTCATTATGCTGCAATAAATTGAGTGATTTTGGAAGCTGCAGTTGAAGGTCCACAAGGTCAAGTCAAGGGGATCAGCCACATCCTTTGTCGTTCGTGTCGTTAGTGTTTTGCAGATAGCTGATCTGTTCGAATTGTTTCGTTCAAATGAGTAGCCTTCTCCAGTCAGTGGGGTAGGGATTATTTGCCCCAGTCACTAGCTTCTACTTGTCATCCAATCATGGTGAAACAGTTTGGTAGATCATCTCCACTTCAGGGTAAAGAAAAAAGAGCCCGAAACAGATTTCATTGAGAAGCTTGAAGAGTCGAGGGGCAATTGACATCAGATTGCCTAAAATAGCAAAGAAAGAATCTTTTCCAAAACCGAAAAAAAAATCTGCAAGATTATTTATTAGGGATGAAATGCAGAAGTTGGTCGAAACTACAGTAACCATGGACTTCACCCACAGCAGCGAAGACCCCTGAACTCTTGGCCTTGGCCGTGATGTGATTGACCCACAGAATTTCCAAGTTACCCTTGGAATTACCGACAGTGTTTCTGAAACGAGCCGTCATTTCGATATTGTCTACAGAATATTCCATGGGCGAATTCAATCACTTCCGAGGGAACCCAACGTGTACCGGAACCATGAGCATGCTTGGGTAGCCGATGCCTTCCGAACATTATGTAGTCGGAAAAGAAGCACTGCAAGCTGAAGCTCAAGGGGCTCTGGGTGCAAGGGATTGTCTCACAAGTGAAAGCGTGCGTACATGCAGAAATTCTGTAGCATTGGAACTGGCGTGAGACCCAAAATTTAATCGTTTTACCCATCCCAGAATGTTCAAGAGCTTGAGTGTTGGATCAAGACTAAGTATATGCAAAATAATGTATGGAGATTCTGGAGTCGGACTGTTTACTCTGGAATTTCAAAAAAGGCGGAGAACCGATTATGGATATTAGACAGGCAGAATTACACCGCCTATCACTTATGAGTCATCCGATGAGATGAGCGTTTTAAGTCAAGTTTATCTAACCAGTCAACTATGTCTGTGTCATCCTATGCACATTCCTCAACCCTCAGGGCTTCTAGGTTTGACATCTTCAAAGTGTTGCCTTGAAATCCTGCAAGGCTACAGCTTCTCTAGCTTCTAGCCCAAACCTCTCAAGGGGTTCCCTTACCAATATACAATGGACAATGGGCAATGAAGAGTAGACATGGATAGGTTTCTGGTAGTATAACCTTGGGATGGGAAACAAATCTGATTATTTTAGGCATTCAGGCCGCGATGCTTTCGCCTACGCTTTGGCTACACTTTGGCGGTTGGGTATGCAATGACGCGACGATCTTGAGAGACACGTCGCCGAGGAGACTACAATCCTCGAGTCGTGAGATCACCAAACCCAGTTGATTCATCTTACTCAACCTGGCCATGTTGTACAGAATATTTAATAGTGTAGAATCACCTGAACACCATCTATAATCAATGCTTCATGACGGTCGGTGTACTGGTCAAATTGTCAAAAAGTTAGATGAGGTTTCGAAGTTTAAGACCTTAAACCTCCACTCCCCAGCTTTCTTTCCCTACTGTCTTCTCCTTGAATGCTCTGTGCTCTTCTATGTTTGGAGTTTGGATTCTAGTCCTTTGACCAGTCTCCTTCTCCTTTCTGATTGCCGATCATTTTGGGGTTTCCCATCTTTAGCTCCCTCTTTGACCCCCCAAATCCACCGTGCCTACGTCGGTGGCAGACCCGCCCCCTCCAATTTACTATTCCTTCTCACTCGGAGAGTTCTTGGGACTTTGGAAATGAGGCGCTGGTCAATTTAACCTATATCAATCCAATCGCTAGTATCGCAGGGACCTACGGTCACTTTGCTTAGCGATCGCGCTTCTCGCGTGTGTCTGATTTCCCCCCTCCCGCACTCCCCACGCAATCCCTCCGATCGCATTGTGGCTGCCACACGCTACACGACGCCCAATTCTTCCACTCCATTCCCCCCATCTCCCTAAAATCCCCGAACGTCCGCACTTCGTGACTGCTCGTTCAACATGGATCCTGGATGGCAACCCTATCAGGATCCCCTGATGGGTCGTCCCGCACAGTTCAATACCGGATTGGCTGCCCATCCACAGCAAGCCTCGAAGTACGGTCAGCCACCACAGTCACAGCCCCCCGTCGGCTTCACCTACGAAACATTTCAAACTCCTGGCACCACCTCCAAGGCTCCATCCACTGGTCCAAACTCCAAACCGGTGTCTATGGCGTCGTCTCCTTCCGCCACGCCACGTAGTCGGGATTATGTCACCGATGCCGACACCACCATGGAGGACGCAGACCCCTACAACCGCGCCAAGTACCCATCCAGACCGAACCATCATAGTCGCGCCTCTTCCCAATTCTTGACCCAGACCGAAGAGTCCTCGGCCGCCCGCAGGTATTCGCCGATGAACGCTCTGTCGCCGCCGATGTCATACCCAACCAGCCCCGGAAAGCAGGGCTCCTACTTCTCGCCCTCAGGCCAGTCGCGACGGTCGCCAGGCCGAACTGGAGACTACTCCTCTCCGCCGCAAGGATACCAGTCGCCGCCTTGTGAGTGATCGGTCTCTCCAGATGCGGGATTATGTGGGCTAACCTTTCACCTTTAACCAGCAAACCGCGCCCCTCGACTTCCTCCCCTCCAGGCGTCCGATCTCAGCCCCGATCAGTACTATCCATCCTCTGCGGGATCTCACCTCGGCAGTGCCTTTGCGCCTGAAAGTCGATCTCCACGATCTGGCTCCATACCATCTCAAGTCCCGGGCCGAGGTCCGGTCCCCAAGTTCCAGAAGATCAAGTCGGTGCAAGATCTCCAACCCCGGATTCATGCCCAGCCGGCATATCGGCGGGCAAACCCAGAGGGTGGTTTCATCAGTGTTTGTGGCCTGCCATTTCGCAGTTGCGGCTATCAGCTTACATTTCATAGCCACTTCATGCCTTGACTAGTCACCTTCCTGCGACCTATCGCATTTGCAATCCGAACTTCAATTACGAGTCATCTAGGAACCCGCGACGAGTTTTGACCAAGCCTAGCAAGGGTACCAAGAACGATGGATATGACAACGAGGACAGTGACTATATTCTCTATGTTAACGATATTCTTGGCAGTGAGGAGGCCGGCCACAAGTAAGCTTTCTTGGTTCTTCCCCAAATTTCCAAATTTAATCATATCCTCGCAGGAATCGCTACTTGATCCTCGATGTATTGGGTCAGGGTACATTCGGACAGGTAGTGAAATGTCAGAATCTGAAAACCCAAGAGGTCGTGGCAGTCAAGGTTATCAAAAACAAGACCGCATACTTCAACCAAAGCATGATGGAAGTTTCCGTCTTGGATCTGGTACGCTCTTTTACCAGCAGCTGACTGTGATATTTCTGGTTTACTGACCCTTCTGTCCACAGCTAAATAGCAAATACGACAAGAACGACGACCATCATCTCCTTCGTTTGAAGGACACCTTCATCCACCGCCAGCATCTTTGTCTTGCATTTGAATTACTCAGCGTTAATCTTTACGAGCTCATCAAGCAGAACCAGTTCCGAGGATTGAGCACAACCCTTGTTCGTGTCTTTGCTCAGCAGTTGTTAAATGCCCTCAGTCTCTTGAACAAAGCTCATTTGATCCACTGCGATCTCAAACCAGAGAATATTCTCTTGAAGAAGTCAGTTCAAAGTACCCCCTATGAGTTCCAACCTGTTACTGATGCCGATATAACCGCTAGTCTCGAAAGTCCAATCATCAAGGTCATTGATTTCGGCTCTGCGTGCGATGAGCGCCAGACTGTCTACACATACATTCAATCCCGGTTTTACCGTTCGCCGGAAGTTTTGCTCGGCCTGCCGTATGTCACTTGAACTGCCAATTTTCGCTCTTTGAGCGCCTCAACTGACTAGACTAGGTATTCATCTGCAATCGACATGTGGTCTTTAGGATGCATTGTTGTTGAGCTGTTCTTGGGATTGCCTCTGTTCCCTGGATCTTCCGAATATAACCAAGTTTGCCGGATTGTCGAGATGATGGGTTTGCCTCCTACATGGATGTTGGAGATGGGTAAACAATCGGGCGAATTCTTCGAGAAAACACAAGATGAATTTGGGCGAAAAACCTACCGTCTCAAGAGTCTAGAGCAGTACTCGCGAGAGCACAATACCAAGGAACAACCCAGCAAGAAGTACTTCTCTGCGTCGACGTTGGAAGAGATCATTCGAAGCTACCCCATGCCGCGGAAGAACATGAAGCAGAATGAGGTTGAGCGAGGTGAGTCTCCAAAATGGCGGCCCTAAAATGTCCGTTGGCTAATCATCGTGCCACAGAGTTGAACAATCGCGTTGCCTTCATTGACTTCGTGCGCGGTCTTCTGTCAATCAATCCTCTTGAGCGATGGTCACCCCAGCAGGCCAAGCTGCACCCTTTCATCACCCAGCAGAAGTTTACCGGTCCATTTGTGCCGCCAATGAACTTGAAGTACTCAACTATTAACAAGACTGTTGCTCCTGGCGTTCAGCAGCAGCAACAAGCAGAAGCCACGAGCAAACAGAGAGCCGCTCAAGTAGCGCAGGCACAGTCTGTGCAAGCACAACCTGCGTACCCGATGCAAATGAACCCATACCAGCCGCATACCCCGACCCATGCCCAGCCTCCCCCGCCTCCCCCTATGTACAACGGAATGTATCAGCAGCAGGCCGCAGCGGCGCCACCGCCTTACCCCACACAGCCTCCAGGGTATACTAATCATCAGATGGGTATGATGCCAGTTCCAGCTCCGGGCCAAGTTCCACAGCCTCAGTATGGCTCAGGACAGAGTCTGTACGCTCAAGCGACGACAAGAGCTGGTCGCCAACGTGCATCAACTATGGACCCACAAGGGGGAGGTATTCCTCCGACGATTCAGCGTGTTGCAAGCCACCTGGATCCAAATGCTCCGATCCGCTTGCAACCTAGCCCTGCCTACTATCCTCCTCCCCCTGATGGGTACGTGGACGCCAATGCCCAAAGACGCCGCGGTAGCCGAACCGGAGGCAGCAGCAATGGCAATAGCAGCAGTAATGGAAATCAACGAAACCGAGACTTCATTCGCACCCTTGAGGACGGGGTTTTGGGTGAAGGGTATATGGGCCAAAACCAGTGGCACTAAAATAGCCTGAGAAGGCACCTAGAACATTGTTCACAACGAATAAGTGTTTTCGCATGGTGTTGAATCTGGTTTCTTGGTTGCAATCTTTTTTCTACAACAGTCAAGCATCCACACACCTGGTGCGTACGCCCTTGCAGCGCTGTTCCAATGCCTTGTCGTGTCTTGTGGAACTTTCGCTTGACTCATAAACCCCTCTCGTCTCACGACGCGCCCAGTTATGGGCTCCAGCCTGGCAGAGTATTCCTTCTCGGCATGAGTCATTGGTTGGCAGTCACTTCGGGTTGGTCCATGTGGTCATGAGTCACAAGTGACATGGATCTAAAAATGGACATTGGCGCTGAGAGGGTGTGACCGAACCAATGCTTTTTCTATTTATTTTATCGATGTAGCGTTGTGTCGAATCTCTTGGTTACTTGCACTAGGATGCAGTGACCGATCGAAAGTGGTTACGATTCTGTATTTACCTTCTGGCCCATGAACAAGTCACGTCGCCACTTTTGTTTTACTGCTATTTTGTCTTGCAAATTATTTGCTGCCGTCGCTCGGGTCTGCTTTCTCGCAGCTGTTGCAATCTTTCTCTTTGTTCTTCTATGTTGCGCCTTTGACTTTTTTTTTCTCTTCTTTCGGCATAGCCTGGAGTATGAAAGAACGACTTCACATACCCCACTTCCCCCTATTCGCTTATTTCAGTAAGCTTTTACTTTTCATGACTCATTTAGGCAAGGTGGTTCATTTCCTTATGTTTCTTTGGCTATATTTAACTTGAGATACACACTACGTTTTTATGGTGGTTCAAGGGTTCTGTGTCAATTATGTCAGCTTGGGGTGAGCCCTTGATACGGTACTTGCATAAGAGGTTTTGGGAGAGGTAGATAGAGTGTTATAATATTCTCTCTAGAAAGAGTACTAACACACTCAGAAATACGATTTCGATCTAGTATACTCTGTACTCCGTAGAAGTGAAGTTCTATATTGTAGAGGACAATGAATGATATGCGCTAGTCCCAATCGGGTATAGTCAACCCCTCGCTTAAATTTCGTGTGTGGCTCTCACCCGGACAATCAACTCCAAGTTTTAAAGGATCTGCCTTTACGCCTTCGTGTACCCGGATTACCCCGTTTTAAATCCGCAACGATGTCACGATTCTTCAACCGCGGCGGTAGCGACAGCGAGTCCAGCTCGGACGAGGAGGAGGATGTTTACGACCACTCCGAGGAGGAGGACAGCGACGCCGAGTCCGGCAGTGATTCCAGTTCCGACTCTGGTAGCGATTCCGACGACAAGGAGAGCACCGGCGGTGATGGCTTTGACTTCTTGAAGAGTGATGATGAGAGCGATGAGAGCGAGGATGAGGAGAAAGTTACGATCGTCAAGAGTGCCAAGGACAAGCGTCTGGAAGGTCTTGAGAACAGCATCCGCCTGATTGAGAACGCTCAGAAGATCAACGACTGGGCTGTCATTTCCACTGGTGAGTCCACTCCACACGACTTTAGAGGCTTTGCAGTTTGAAGGCCTCGCCCGCGGGGCTAGGCCGGGGGAGGGTCCAAGCCTATGGATTGAATGCTAATATAGGGTCTCTATAGAGTTCGACAGCCTGAACCGCCAGATCGTCAAGGTCAACCAGTCTGGCCCGACCCCCCGTCTGTATGTCAAGTTCGTCGCCGACCTCGAGGACTTCGTCAACGAGGCCGTCGCCAAGCAAAAGTCCTCCAACAAGAAGATGAACGCTAGCAACCAAAAGGGATTCAACGCCGTTAAGCAGCGTATCAAGAAGAACAACAAGGACTACGCCGATCAGATCGAGAAGTACCGTGCCGCCAAGGATACCTACATGGACGCCGAGGAGGAGGAGAAGGAGAAGCCCGCACCCGTACCCGTTCAAAAGTTCACTCGCCAGGAGAAGATCCAGAACTTGATCACACCTCCTGCTGGTGGTGATGATGATGGATTCGAGACCGTTGGTCGTGGTGGCAAGACCCTGCAGTTCACCCCCGAGAGCATTCTCAAGAACCTGCGTACCATTGTCGAGTCTCGCGGAAAGAAGAACACTGACCGCACTGAGCAAATCCGCACAATGGAGAAGCTCCTCGAGGTTGCCACTACCCCTTACCAGCGCATCCGTATCTACCTGACCCTCATCTCCACCCGCTTCGACCTTTCCACCACTTCTTCCGCCACCTACATGAGCGCCGAGCAATGGAAGAGCGCCGATCAAGAATTCGGCGTCCTTCTGTCCGTTCTGGAGCAGAACCGCAACTTCGTTGTCAGCGATGGTGCCGATGAGTGGGAGGATGATGAGAAGCAACCCCAGGTTGCTGCGGGAGAGATTTTCTACATTCCCGGCAGCATCACTTCATACATTGAGCGTCTGGATGACGAGCTCACCCGCTCGCTTCAGCAGATCGACCCCCACACTGCTGAGTACATTGAGCGTCTAAGCGATGAGCAGCAGCTGTACAACAACATTGTGCGGACCCAGATGTACGCAGAGAGCCTTAACGCTAGCGAGAAGAGCGAATCCCGCCAGGATGCTGTCAACCGAGTGGTCATCCGTCGCTTGGAGCACATCTACTTCAAGCCCTCCCAGGTGGTGTCCATCCTTGAGGAAGGCACATGGAAGGCTTTGCCTGAGAACCTGGACTCTGCCATCACCTCCCGCGCCCAGGCTGGTGATGTCTCCGTCCTCATCCAGACCGTCTGCAACTACCTGTTCCAGAACAGCGACGGTATCATCCGTGCCCGGTCCATGCTGTGCCAGATCTACTTCCTCGCTCTGCACGACCAGTACTACCGCTCTCGTGATCTGATGCTCATGTCTCACCTGACTGAGAACATCGCCAACTTCGATGTCAGCACCCAGATCCTCTTCAACCGCACTCTTGTTCAGATCGGTCTGTGTGCCTTCCGTGCTGGTCTCATCTACGAGGCTCAGAACACCCTCGGTGACATCTGCGGCAGCGGCCGCCAAAAGGAGTTGCTTGCCCAGGGTATCATCCTCCAGCGCTACTCTACCGTCACCCCCGAGCAGGAGCGTCTGGAGCGCCAGCGCCAGCTGCCCTTCCACATGCACATCAACTTGGAGCTTCTTGAGTGCATTTACCTGACCTCCAGCATGTTCCTCGAGGTTCCCCTCATGGCCCAGACCTCTTCCGCCCCCGAGATTCGCCGCCGCATGATCTCCAAGACCTTCCGCCGTATGCTCGACTACAACGAGCGCCAGGTGTTCACCGGTCCCCCTGAGAACACCCGCGACGGTGTCATTATGAGCGCCAAGTTCCTTGCCGCCGGCGAGTGGAAGAAGGCCGCCTCTATGCTGTCCTCCATTAAGATCTGGGACCTGATGCCGCAGCCCGAGAAGATCAAGGAGATGCTGTCCCAGCAGACTCAAGAAGAGGGTTTGCGCACCTACCTCTTCACCTACGCTCCCTTCTACGACAGCCTGTCCATCTCCTCCCTGGTCGACATGTTCGAGCTTTCCACTAAGAAGATCACCGCCATCATCAGCCGCATGATTTCCCACGAGGAACTCGGTGCCGCCCTCGACCAGGTCAACGATGTCATCGTCTTCCGCAAGGGCGTCGAGCTCTCCCGTCTCCAATCCCAGATCGTCACCCTGGCCGAAAAGTCCATGGGTCTACTCGAGTCGAACGAGAAGACCCTCGAGCAGCGCACCCAGGGCATGGCCAACGCTTTCCAGCGCGAGTCAGGCCCCGGTGCCCGTGGCCGTGGTCCCCGTGGTCCCAACCAGGCCCGCGGTGGTCCGCGACTGCCGAACAACCAGCAGGGCCGGAGACCTGGTGGTCAGCAGTTCGGTGGTGGTGCATTGGGTGGTGCAATCAAGGCTTGAATAAGGGTTATCTGATGTAATGGCATGCCTATTCTTCTCTTTTTTATTTTCCTGTTCCCTCATCTTCCTTTTTCTTGTCATGGTTCCTCTTGCTCTTTCTTATGCCGTTTCCGAACGCGAAGGAAATCCCTCGTGTCAGTTCGATGACTCAAAATGAATGAATATAAATGGTTAGAAAGCAGTTTTTGGATTCTTACATGTAAGCTCTTCGAGACATCTGGAGTGATGAACTCTGTAAAACAGTGCAGGTACCGCACATACTGCCTTGTAGTGACTTTCAGATTATGTACATGTGATCAACAGGCATCACATACGTCGGTCTATGTCCCATAACCCAGTGGAAGAACATCTAGGAATCCGTTAAGCACAAATTGAAACTATATCCTAGCAGCATAGTCTTGCATGTTACTGTACCCAGCACGGAGACATCCCATTCTATGTTTACCAGAATTGTTGAAATTGCGCAGAAGACAGAACACAACTTCCAAGGTCTGAAGTCCTTTTGACTGAGCAACACCATGGAACTTTCAGACCATAAAACCTTCCGGATGGTTCCGGAATAGAACGTGGACACCTCATATCTCCATCTGTCTCGACAAGTCTGGCCCTTGGTTGGAGACGTAAATGATATTGTAGGTTAAAACATTCCTGGGCCCATTTCAGTGTTCTACCTGAACTCCAGGGCTTGATTTAAAACAATTTTCTAGGTTTTATTTTAGAAAATATTGAGGTTGAAGATATATCTCTGTTGACATCTAGGATACTTATCCTTCGAAATGTTCCAAATTTTGATTGTGTAAACCATCTCGGCCACAAACATTGTTTCAGGCATTGAATATCTGAAATAGGCACAACTCAATGTTCTTTTCATGAATTTAACATACTGCTAGTACATACATTGCGGGTAATACTTTTCTGTGTGCGTAAGGTTACTCAACTGCACATGCTAAAGATTGTACAAGTCATACATCCATACCGGTGATATATCTTACTACCTATTTACCTACCTCCCTACGGTTCTTTATTGAATAAGGAGGAACATAAATTCTTTGATGACTGCGAACTCGAGTCAGGTGAGGACTGGGACCTCGGGAGAATACGCTATGCCGTACGGATTATTCTAGTAGACTTTTGATCGAAAAATAGGTATGAAGAGGCTAGTAAATCCTGCCAACCGTGATGAGGGGGTGCCTTTCGCTGATTCTATTCTACTATTACTCGACTAAGATTTTGTTTTCCAGTCACCAAATACTTATACGGACTATCCATTTAGACATCAAATACTGTCCTACCACCATGATATTTTCATTTATCCTTTTACCTATCCTAGCTGGATTAGGGATGGCGGGCGTCAGGTGTGAGAGTGAACGTGCTCGTCCACTGTGCTGTAACAAAACTCCATGTCATATTGGATGTGACGTGCCAAGTGTCGTGGAGGCTTCGAGTATGCATTTGCCATGGGGCCTTCACGTATGCATTTCTTATCCAATTGACAGAATAACTTAGTGTGCAACGTGCTAACACTGGTGGTAATTAGCATTGTTGCTATGATACTGGTTCTTGAGGCGGCCAGGAGGAAAGTTCAATGTATTTTTGCTTATTGTATGGATCTCGGTTTTCAAGTTCAAGCTTGGTCTGCCATATCGTGTTCTCATCTTGACTCTTTAGTGTACTTACGCCCACTAAATTTGGAGCAGCCAGTCACCTAGTAGATTGGTCTGTGATGGTGAGTTTTGGAATTTTTCATATTTATTAAGATTTCAATACTGGGATTCCTTGTCATTTGCAGATTTGAAGGTTGAATGTAGTAGATGCTGAGTAGCAGAGCCATTGATTTAGTATCACCGATTAATTGAGCTAAAATCTATACGTGGGCTCATGGGGCTTTGTGGTGGGTAAAATCGAAATTTTCAAAGTGGATCCACCAGTCTTCGGATGGGCACTTGGGGGAAACTCCCACTTTTTTCCCTAATGCGCAGATAGCGGACCACATACCTCACGAGCATGAGGCCGGTGAAGGAATATACAGATCTACAAGACATGGATAGGCAATTGCGGGTTGACTGAAGCATTGAATTACCGGAAACCTAGACCGTATCGCTAATTGACTAAAGAAAACACAGCCCGTGTGCTAACAAACAACCCGTGACAATAACGTCGTTAAAATTTTTTGATGGAGCGAACTCCGAACCACCCGGCTACCGAGAGGAACTAATCTAGTTCATCTGGCGGATGAGGGCGTTGATGTTCTCCTCACGGTTACCGGTGTCACCACCCTGGATGTAGTGCTTGAACTTGCGGGTGCGGAAACCACCGTTGGGGTTGGACAGCTTGAAGGGCCACAGGAAGTTGTTGGCCTGCTTGAAGTTGGGGCCAACGGTGTAGATCTCGTGGATGAGATCCTCCATGCAGACAATGCCGTACTTGCCGAGGTTCTCCTCGATGATCTGGTTGTCGGTAAGAGCAGTGCGCATCTTGTTGACCTTTCCGTAACCGCGCTTGTACATAAGCTCGCGGACGGACTTCAGGTTGGGGTAACCGTAGGCAATGTAGGGGTTGACGATGGTCAGCATCTCCTGGGTAGCCTTGGTCAGGCGGATGAAGGTACCGCTGTTGATCTGGAGCAGACGGAGCAGCTGGAGGATCTTGCGGGGCTTGGGGGCAATCTTGTTGATACTGAAGAGAAGAGAAGAGTCAGTCAAGTGTTTCTTATAAAGGAAATCTTTGCGGTAATCAACTTACCCCTTGATACGGACAACGAAGACCAGCTTGGGCTCATCGTCAACGTAGAAGTTACCCTCCTGGCGGGCAGCGCGGGCCAGGCGGATCTTCTCACGCTCAGCGGCGCGGTACTCCTGGACGTAGGACTCGGCGCGCTTGAAGATGACGCCACGCTTCTCCTTGTTGGCCTAGATGAATCTGAGTCAGTACAAGATTGCATCATGTGTTTGTGATAATAAGTGTGGTATATCAAATGTATCAGACCCGAAAGATGGTTAACAGGCGACAACATCGACCTATTGGTCTAGTCGCGTGGTTGGTGTTGTCATCATAATGATGGAAAGGGGGAATATGGAGTTTGGGAATTAGGGAACCGACCTTCTTCTTCTCCTCGGCCTCAGCACGGCGCTCAGCGCGGGCAGCCTCCTGGGACTTGCGCTTCTTGAGGAGGGTCTCGGGGACGAGGACCTGGTCCTGGGTGGGAACGGAGCTGTTCAGGGTGTAAGTATAGTCCATGTGAATCATGAAACAATCCGCCGAGTGTAAGAACTGCAGCATATAGCGCATTCTCGACTTAAGGCAAAAAAATAATTTTTCAAATATTTTCGTAAAAAAAAAAACTCGACAGAATGTCTTTAGTCAGTGAAGGCCATGACATAGTGGGGTTAGATCCATCATTTGGTACTATGCGTGCATGTTCCAGCACACTTTTCGCAAATAGAAAAATTTCTTCTTCATGTTTGGACACCCACAACAATATCATTTTCGCCCTCATCCGACAACACCCCGGACAATTGTCCAGGAAATATTTGTTGACGCTCTTCGATCCACGTATGATGACTGTTATTTCAAACATCAACTACACTGGAGAAACGATAGCTGCTCAACAATGGTTTTGGAGGTGAAGGCATCAAAAGCTTTCAACCTCAAGACTCCAGTCGCCCTCCGCTGTATGCTTCACTGGATAGCAGTACGCATATCCAATGGTCGATCGAGCAGGAGAGCATAGGAAAGATCGAGCTGGTGCGCAGCGGCCATCGAAAATTCGACGGTCCTGACATTGCCAGCGAGAGGGACTATACCAGCATTCTCACAATCACGAAGGATTGTATTAAGAGAAGGAATCAAGGGCAATCATACGTGATAGGAGCGGCCATTGCGAAGGTCGAGTTGTCGAGAGTGGTCGGGGAAAGTTCAACGTTGGAAGGAAAGTTGAAGGAGAAAAGTAAATTCGCTTGTGTGGGAGCGGGTACGCACTAACCAGATACAGAGTAGCCTGCAGTGATTTCCACGCTATACCATATATGGACATAGTACCCTTATCACCTCGTGACTAGGGTTATCCTTATCATCACCTAGGCTTATCAATGTCTCCACTGATAGTCTCCTATCTAGGCCCATCAACCCCTCAACTTACTACATCATTAGACTCTAAACAGTGACCATGTCGCGCCGTGGTGTTGGCCTCGGGGCCTTTGCAAATCGAAATCAAGCCACTCAGTCATATGCCACTCATGGTGCCAACCTTCGTTCTACGCATCTCGCCTCTCTTCAGACCCAGCTCTCCGTCTTCCAGTCGTTGTTACACACCTTTGCCCTGGAACACAGTTCTACAATCAAGTCCAATCCTACATTCCGTGCTGAGTTTGCGCGCATGTGTAATACCATTGGGGTTGATCCGCTAGCTGCGAGTAACATCAAAGGCAAGAATGGACGCCGTGGACTAGGTGAAGGAGGCAGCTTCTGGACCCAGATCCTGGGCGGGGATATGAATGACTTCTACTTTGAGGTTGCGGTCCGGGTTGTGGAACTGTGCCGAGACACAAGAAGTGAGAACGGAGGATTGATTGGCGTGGAAGAATGTCGGAAGCGCGTCGGCAAGGGCAAGGCAATTGGTAGTGGACTGGAGGTTTCGGCGTATGATTAACCTAGGCTGCCTAATAATCAGGAGAAGAAAGTGACTAATTGACCGGAAAAATTTATAGTGATGATATCCTCCGCGCAGTTCGATCTCTGGAACCTCTTGGATCTGGTTTCTCCATCGTCCATGTTGGGTCCAAACAGTACATCCGATCCATTCCAAAGGAGCTCAATACAGACCAAGCCACTGTGCTCGAAGTGATCCAGGTTTTGGGATTTGTCAGTGTCTCGATGTTACGGCTGAATCTCAATTGGGAAAAGGCTCGAGCGCAGACAGTGATCGACGACCTGGTCGCGGATGGACTTGTTTGGTTGGATGCCCAGGGCCATGAGAAAGAATACTGGTCGCCTCAGAATCTACTTGATGACAGTGGATGATTGATACATAGTATCCTTATGGATGAACTTGTCAACACCAACCTGAGCTAAACCTCAAAGCCATCCAAATGCTTGAGCTTCTGCCCTAAACCCGCACTTCGGACGATCAATAAACACGAACGCTATCCTTAATACGACATCAAGCACAGGTGATGCGTTCCAAATCCCACCAAGTCAATGGTAGGTTTTAGAGATAGAAGTCCTTGTGATTGCCGCCTTCCACCATTACGTGAACCATCTATATATGCAAAAGTGAGATTTTGAGCCTGTACAGGTTAGACCAGGTTTCTCCGGCCTTGATTTGCTCTATGGTTCTAAATCAGCTTGTTCATGTATACACAAGACCCCAGCTAACCAGATAAATATAATCCAAACCAGATCAGATCTGTATCACTTCCTGTACTCTTCTGTTTCGATCCACCACAAGACGGAGTTGACGACCCTGCCAGTCAGATGACGAAGTCGTAGATGAGTGGTTCGCAGGCTTGAAGACACCCTCGCGAAGAGTCTCCGTGAAAAGTTCGTATGAGGGATAATCTGGAAGTCAATAATTAGCGACAGTCCTTGCGATTGAGTTATGAATACGAACAGCCGTCCACAAAATGATTGACCTGATCCTCGGTCATGCCAGTGCCCTTAGATGCGCGCAAAGAGCGCTCTTGCTCTTGTCGCCATTCATAGACAAAACGCGAATTCTCGGCGTCTCTGAACGGAGTTAGTAAATCTCTTTGTATGAACGAACGCGACAATGGCAAAACATACATGTGGATCAGGGCATCGAGTTTACTGCATCTCATGTCAGCTAAATCTCCAGTCTTCCTTAGCGACAGGGTCACTCACTCAGTCAAAGCATCGTATTGTCTCAATGCATCATTGACAGCTTGAACATCCTCCAACTTAACATGACCTAGTCGACCTTGATAATTGCCGGTCTCCTTTTGCCGCACAGCAGCCTCCCACTTGGCGCGCAAAGATTCGTTATCCCAAGGACGGAATCCGACACACCAGCCTTCGAAAATAACGACCTTAACCTTTTCCTGGCCGTCTTTATTCACAACTTCCCATTGCGACTCAGGTACGCGATCACCCTGCCCGGAAAATGCAGACTTGTCATATTGCGGAATGGCAGTGGGCTGCTCCGCAGCGAGCGAGGCGAATACCTTCTCACCCAGAATTAAATCATGAGTTGAAGGCTGACCACGGTGTTGAAGAAGCGGGTTATTGGGGTGCGCCTCGGCCAGCGCAACCTGGTCAGCATGCGTAAGGTAGAGGTCGTCAAGCGATAAAGTCACGACGGAAAGCGAATACGGCTCTGAACGGAGGGTCTGCTGTAAAGTAGACACCTATGGCAGTGGGAACATCATAGCTGTTAGTGATGGAACTCCGACGGATGAGGGTTTGGTCCGATATCCGTTTGTCCCGAGGTCTGGGGAGCTCACCAGGACCGTTTTGCCGGCCCCCTGCACGCCATTGAGACCCAAGAAAAATGGCGGGGCATTACCGTCGCGATACCGGGCCGTGTGGGTGCGGAGACGCTCTAATAGGAAAGGGATGCAGTGCTGCGACTTGTCGTCTACTATCGCCATTTTAAACTGAATTGGATTGTTCTAGTTCCTAACTTGGGGAACTTGACCATTTATCGGCTACGGCATGCGGCAAGTTGTCCGATCGGCGGGAATCCGGGGTTTTACTCCTGCGGGGAAATATGTTTAGACGGAGAATTGGGCTGATTTCTCGGGCAACAGAGGATAGTCTAATTATAAGAACTACCGTAGATAACAGGAAATAATTCCACTCATATCAAATGTTTAAATTAAGATCATTATTACTTTAGTATTGTACTCCTTACAGTTTATAATCCCAGCTATGACGTTGTTGGTCACATGCCTAACTCAGCATTGTATTCGGTACTTGTGAATGTATCGACAAATCGTTGATAGCACGGGGTAAATGGTACCATTATTTGCTTTTAGACATATGTCAGACCATTAAATTACACTAAGATATGTAGAAAACCCTTTGATTACGTCTAGGTTGATCGTCGGCATGTGAAGTGACCTCAATCTGCCCGTGTTGAAATGTATTGATTTGTAACATTACACAACGTGCGAACTTGTCAACGTGCCGAGGTCCCCCCCCAGCTGTACCGAGCTCGAGGCTATTCTTTAAACCTCCCCCCCCTCCGCATTTTCTTCTTTCCCCAACTTCTAGTTCTCCCCATAGATTTGAACTCGGAAGTCATTATTCACACATCTTCCGTTATGTCTTCAGAGTTGCGTTTTGATAACCAGACCGTCGTCGTCACCGGCGCTGGCGGTGGTTTGGGAAAAGCATATGCTCTCTTCTTTGCCTCAAGGGGTGCGAATGTCGTGGTGAACGATCTCGGTGGCTCTCACAAAGGTGAGGGCAAGTCATCAAAGGTATGGAGAATTATAGAAAGATAGACAGGGCATCAACTGACATCACCCAGGCCGCAGACGTTGTCGTTGAGCAGATCCGTGCCGCGGGCGGAAAGGCGGTCGCCAACTACGACAGTGTTGAGAACGGCGCAGCCATTATTGATACTGCTATTAAGAACTTTGGTCGTGTCGATGTGCTCATTAACAACGCCGGTATCCTGCGGGATGTCAGCTTCAAGAACATGAAGGACCAAGATTGGGATCTCATCTACCGTGTGCACACCTACGGTGCCTACAAGGTACGAATCTTGATTGACTATGAGATCTGGAAAGAAGAATACTAATGAGTCTTGCTTTTTTAATAGTGCGCACAAGCTGCTTGGCCTCACTTCCGCAAACAAAAGTACGGCCGTATCATTAACACCGCCTCCGCCGCCGGCCTCTTCGGTAACTTTGGCCAAGCCAACTACTCCGCCGCAAAGCTGGGTCAGGTCGGTTTCACCGAGACACTGGCCAAGGAGGGTGCCAAATACAATATCATTGCCAACGTCATTGCTCCTATCGCTGCGAGCCGTATGACTGAGACTATTATGCCTCCGGATGTTCTGGAGAACCTTAAGCCTGATTGGGTTGTCCCCGTTGTCGCTCGTCTCGTTCACTCATCCAACACTACCGAGACTGGTGGTATCTACGAGCTCGGTGGTGGTGCCGTTGCCAAGCTGCGCTGGCAGCGCGCCAAGGGTGCTCTTCTGAAGACCGATGCCTCCTTGACCCCCGGTGCCATCGCTCGCAAGTGGGCCGATGTTAACGACTTCTCCAAGTCCGAATACCCTACTGGTCCTGCTGACTTCATGGGTCTGTTGGAGGAGGGTCTGAAGCTGCCTAGTGCCCCGAAGGGCGAGGAGCCCGATTTCAAGGGCCGCGTGGCCCTGGTCACCGGTGGAGGTGCTGGTCTTGGCCGTGCTTACTGCTTGCTGTTTGCCAAGTACGGTGCTAAGGTTGTTGTTAACGACCTGGTGGACCCCGAACCCGTTGTCCAGGAGATTAAGAAGGCCGGCGGTGAAGCCGTTGGCAACAAGGCCAACTGCGAGGATGGTGACGCTGTTATCAAGTCCGCCATTGATGCCTTCGGACGTATTGACCTTCTGGTTAACAATGCCGGTATCCTGCGTGACAAAGCTTTCACTAACATGGACGACAACCTTTGGAACTCTGTTCTTAACGTCCACTTGCGTGGAACTTACAAGGTGACCAAGGCTGCCTGGCCCTACTTCCTTAAGCAGAAGTACGGCCGTGTTGTCAACACCGCTAGCACTAGCGGTATCTACGGTAACTTCGGCCAGGCCAACTACGCCGCAGCCAAGTTGGGAATTCTTGGTCTCTCCCGCGCTCTCGCTGTCGAGGGTGCCAAGTACAACATCAAGGTCAACACCATTGCTCCCAATGCTGGTACTGCTATGACCCGCACTATCATGCCCGAGGAGATGGTTCAGGCCTTTAAGCCCGATTACGTCGCTCCTCTTGTTGCTCTGCTCTGCTCTGATGCCGCTCCCGAGCCCTCTACCAAGGGTTTGTACGAGTGCGGTAGCGGTTGGTTCACCCGTACCCGCTGGGAGCGATCTGGCGGCCACGGATTCCCCGTGGATGTCAAGCTGACTCCGGAGGAGGTTCTCAACAAGTGGGAGAAGATCGTTAACTTCAATGATGGTCGTGCTGACCACCCCGAGGATGCCGCGGATGGCTCCGCCCGGGCGATGGCCAACATGGAAAACCGTTCAGGCGCCAGCGAGTCCAAGAACAAGATCCTCCAAAACATCGAGACGGCCAAGACCGCTACTACCGAGGGTACCTCCTATGACTACGTGGAGCGGGATGTCATCCTCTACAACCTCAGCCTGGGTGCCAAGCGCACTGACCTGCCTCTGGTTTACGAGAATCACGATCACTTCCAGGCCCTTCCCTCCTTTGGCGTTGTCCCTTGGTTCAACACCGCTCTCCCCTGGAACATGGATGACATCGTGAAGAATTTCTCCCCCATGATGCTCCTGCACGGTGAGCAGTACATGGAGGTCCGCAAGTACCCCATCCCCACCAATGTCAAGACCTTGACCTACCCTAAGCTCATCGATGTTGTTGACAAGGGTAACGCTGCCCTGGTCGTGTCTGGCTTCACCACCAAGGATGCCAGCACTGGTGAGGACCTGTTCTACAATGAGTCTACTGTCTTCATCCGCGGTAGCGGTGGCTTCGGCGGCTCTCCCAAGCCCACTGCTGTTCGCCCCAAGGCGGCCACCGCTGCCTACAAGCCTCCCCAGCGCCAGGCTGATGCCGTGGTTGAGGAGAAGACCTCCGAGGACCAGGCTGCGTTGTACCGCCTGAACGGTGACTACAACCCACTTCACATCGACCCCGAGTTCAGCAAGGTGGGTGGCTTCAAGACCCCTATCCTCCACGGTCTGTGCTCGCTGGGTGTGGCTGCCAAGTCGGTCTTTGCCAAGTACGGCGCCTACAAGAACCTCAAGGTTCGCTTCGCCGGTGTCGTCCTGCCTGGCCAGACTCTCCGCACTGAGATGTGGAAGGAGGGCAACACCGTCCTCTTCCAGGCTACCGTTGTCGAAACTGGCAAGCCCGCCATCACCGGTGCTGGTGCCGAGCTCCTTGAGGGCGCCAAGGCCAAGCTGTAAAATAAAGGAACTTGCGCTTGAAACGATATCCCTAGGTACCGAGCGATTTGGAATACCTCCGTGACTTGTTTGTATGTACATAAATATTTTTTCCGTTATGTGTTAATGCATGAAATCTTTCTTATAATTTGCACGGTGTATTCAACTACTAGAGGCTTTCCGGGCGGCGCCTAGAACAACAAGGTTTCCACTATACCTTCTATACCATTCACAAATCCTGTCTCATCGCATGTCTCCTACCATCTCTTCGACCGTATTCTTTCAACAGGCAAAGGCCTCCTCGTGTAGCTCGCTGGAAGGAACCAAAATAAAAGAGACGTGGAAGAATAGGTTTTCTAATGTGTGTCCAAAAAGTCTGCGATGTACTCTAGTAATAGAGGGTTGAAAAGGCCTAGACTGGCCTAGGCAAATACTGCGTGGAGCATGCGCAAGGGATGGAAATAGACCGGAGTAGAACAAAAGTAATAGATATACTCATAGTCTCGTCACACAGAGTAGGATCAATATCATTGATTCATACTCGGTCTTTGTTTTAAATTGCTTTATACGGATTCAAGCCGGAGGGAATATTGACCAATCCCATATTGGGCTCAGGCAACCATCAAACCGACCCCAAATCTCATATCTACCGCCCTCACTCATTCCTCTCACTCTCCATTCCAATCAACCGCCACAAACATCGCTCAGTCCCTCAAAGTAAGCGATCTCCTCCTTGGAAGGACCGAAATGTAGCAGTGTTCTCACCATTCCAAAAATGGTGCTCTCGCTGCCGGTCCCCAGCTTCTCTAGATCCTCCGCTTCCCCCCCACGCCCCGCCGACAGCAGCGTGCCCGCATCACAATCCCGCCGTCACCGCGAGTCAGCGTCCGGTTCCTCAGCGAATTCCTCCTCCAGTCGAAACTCCTGGAAACCAGCTGTTCTGAGTGGCAGCCCCTCGGGTCCGAATAGCCACTCCATCACCCTGAGTGAGGCTTTGCGGAATAATCCGTTCGGTAGCCCTTCGCGATCGTCCCGGTCTATCCAAACATCTACAAGTGAAATACAGGAACAAAAGCAGGAACAGGAAGAGTTAAACGCGGCCCTTGAAGCGCTTGCCCGAATTTTTCCGGATGTGAAAATCGAAGTGTTCCGGGAGCTACTTGTTCGTTTCGATGGAGACAGCAGGCTACATGTTTGCGTTGAGCAGTTGCTCAGACATAAAAAGGACTGGGTTTCTGGTAGATGGAATATATCAGAGGGCAGTGGAAGCTCAGAAGATGAGGGGCCGGATGAACGAGCTGGCTGTGTTCATGGTGCCCTCACGGAAGGAGGTCTCGTGCCAATCGAAGAGCGGTTCCGGTCCGACGAATATAAGGCCGCAGGACGAGTGGCGCTCGCAAAGGAGTTTAGTAGTTTGAGCAAGAGCACGCTTGAGGGTGTTCTGGCTGAAGTGAATTTCAGCTACTTGCGAGCACGACCGATACTGCGCGACCTTTCACGGCGTACGTGGAGGGCTACATTCAACAGCATTTTGCCGTCATTTCGCCGAAAGAAAGACCGGGAAGAACATCCGCTTGTCATGTGGCAACGTCGCGCAGATGGAGTGCTCACTCCGAGGCTGAAAGAAACGGGATGTGCCGAGTTAGACGGGGAGTTATACGCATTGCTTGTGGATCCTGTGCTGCAGCAAAGGCGCGAGGAACAAGAAGCTGGCGATTTCAATTTTGCCTCGGAGCTCAATGAGAAAGAGGCTAGAGCAGCTGACGCCTTATATGAGTGCGAGTGCTGCTTTGCTGACGTGACTTTCGAGCAAATTGCGACCTGCTCGGCGAATGTCCATATCATATGCTATACTTGCATCCAGCGGACTACTCACGAGGCCCTTTTTGGCCAGGGGTGGGGTAAATCTGTGGACCTAGAGCATTCAACACTGAAGTGCCTTGCTCCGTTGTCTGTTGGCGCCTGCGAGGGCTGTCTTCATCCACAAATCGTGCGCCAGGCAATTACACTGGAGATAGCTGGAGCCGAGACGTACCGCAAATTTGAAGACCGATTAGCTTCTGAAACTTTGCTGAAATCGCAGCTCAAGCTCATCCGGTGCCCATTCTGTTCCTATGCTGAAGCCGATCCCGTCTATCACCCTTCATCTCGGGGCATAGGCTGGCGAGTCCGTCGTGATGGAGGGATCATTCCTACTATCTTGATGACCTTCTTCCTACTTGATCTTGTCCCGTTACTTGTGATACCTCTCTTGATTCTTCTCCTATTCAATCCCTCCTCTGTAGCGGTCATCTTGAACAACTCAATCCGCAACCTTTGTCTCAAGATCCGACAGAAGAAATTCAAATGCTCCAACCCTACCTGTGAACGGGTCAGCTGTCTGACGTGTCAAAAGCCATGGCGAGACCCCCATGTGTGCCACGAGCCACTGCTGCTCGACCTCCGCGCAACTGTCGAGGCCGCCCGCACATCCGCCGTGAAACGAACCTGTCCCCGCTGCAGCCTCTCCTTTGTTAAATCCTCAGGCTGCAACAAGCTTACCTGTGTGTGCGGGTACTCCATGTGCTACCTCTGTCGCAAAGCCCTTGGCACTCCCGTCCGGCCATCCCAAGGAAACCGCGACGGCAGACGACGTCAAATTGATATAGATCGAAACGATCTTCCCGCCGGGGGCTTTGACGGTGCATTAGATGATGAAGCCTTCGACGACGAGGAGTTCGAAGAACCAGAAGGCTACAAACACTTTTGCGAACATTTCCGTATCAATCCGGGCTCTCGTTGCACTGAATGCACGAAATGTGACCTCTACCAGGCCGAGGATGAAGAGACTGTCGCTCGCCGCGCTGGAGAGAAAGCTGAGCGCGAATGGATCATCCGCCAGGGACATGATGCTAACTCTACTGGCTCTGTGGCTGCCCTTGGTCTTCGAAATGTTAACCAAGACCTTTCTGCGGGAACAGAAGGAAGTTCTGCTGCTCGTAATCATAATACTTCCCTTTGGGATCTGCAGCTGAGTGCCGGAAAACCATGGGGCTACTGGTTCAGTGATGTTTGGTTGGATGGCGGGTGGAAGTTGGAGGGACAGGCTCTGATAGACTGGATCGTGGAGCGAGTTGTGGTGATCGAGAACCTGTGATCTTGTTCACCTGATAACAAGGTATCCTTGTAGTTTTCTTCTTTTTCTTCTCCTTCTCAAACTGAATCTGGTCACAATTTCGGTGGCTTTCGCATTGCTCCGCGATTCTTCATTGCTAAAATTTGTTTTTGCTTTTGCTTTGGGATGGCGTCTAATGAGCTTCTTTCGAAGTTGGCTTGGCATGATATGATGACTGATATGACACGCATGGCTTTTCTTTTTTGCTGATGGGAAAATATTTCTCCTTTAATACATTGATTTCCAGACAAAGCTGATACCTTAGCCTATCCAGTCTGTGGTATGATAGTCTACCCCTCTATTACTTGGGTACACTCGGACTTTTTGGACACATGTTAGAGACCTTCACCTCTTTTTCTTTCTCCTTCCGCTTCACTTTTCTTTCCTCAGTTTTCTCTATTTTTCTTTTCTCTATCTTTTCTTTATATTCAGCTACATATGAATCTGAAGTGCCTGTTGACTATTTAATTATTCGGTAGTAAAGCAGGTAGAATACCGGGTACAATACGAGTAGAAGACTGAGAAGGAGATAGGAGATATGGTATGACACCTAGGTAGGCGCCGCGCGAAAAGCGCGGTGGAAAGCCTCTAGTACAATATCACTCTATCATGCACGCTTCACTCATGCAGGGAAACCGACAACGAAACCACAAGGCAACTTTTATTTATATTTCACAACTTTAATGCACATGCTATTCAGCTTTCTCAGTCTGCACAGGCTCTTTTTCTGGATCAGATCCATTTTGAGCTCTTTTCCTTCCTTCCTCCTTCAAGGCATCATCATCGGCCCTGCCCAGTTCAGTCTGGGGTATGAGCCAAAAAGCGAGCAGACACGCCAATGCTGAAAGCGCTGCTCCGATAAGAAAAATAATTCGGAATCCTTTGCGGTATGCAGGAATCAAGACACTACGAATATGTGCTTCATCGCCTGCGGATTGAGTTGATAGAAAGGTTGCGGGACTTCCAAGAATAGACTGCGAGTCGGATGCGGAGAGATTGAGGCTCGATATTGAGGAGGAGATGATATTGTTACTGATTACGTATTGTCAGGAAACCACGAGGCAGACAGAAGGGCTGAGTTCTTACAGGATTGTTCCGCTGACCACGATGCCAAGTGTACCGCCGAGACTCCGAATGAAACTTGAAGATTGTTAGAGGGCATACGCAGATTACAAGAGAAAGCTTACCTCCTGAAGGAAGTGACGACAGCCATGTCTCGACGCTCCACACCAGCTTGCATTGCGATCAGAGTTCTGTGGGCTATGTTAGCGAAGAATAGCATTATAGCAAGCAGATATGCAGAACTTACGGTTGCAAGGTAGTTCCGACACCCGATCCTGTCAAAATAGCATACCCGATTTGCTTCCCAACTCCCGATGATTCATCGAGTGTCGAGTAAAGACCGAGGGAAACTGCCCAGACTGCGTACCCGAGAAGAATACATTCTCTGTACCGACCAATCCAGTGAACGATAAGACCGGAAATGGTGCTACCAAAGGCTGCGAGGGAATCAGCAAATGACTTTGTCCTAGAGGTAGGGAACTGCGACATACTTTGCACTAATATGATTGGGACCAACATAGCCGCCGCTTTCACAGTGCTGTAATCATACACCAGTTGATAAAACGTCGGAATGTAATAGAGTTGGACCATATTGTTCCACCCTTGGATCAACATGGTAGCAGTACATCCATTGATAATCCTGGCGCGGAAGATATGGAGCGGAATCAAGGGCACAGCAGCACCTTTCCACTGCCACAACACAAACGCAACGGAAACAGCGAAACCAATCACCAAAGTTGCGACAACATGGGGAGAATTCCACGCATAATCATTACCACCCCAGTTCAAACCCAAGAAGAAGACCGCAGTTCCTCCAAGAGCAAGGACTACACCAACAAAGTCGATGGCCTTTACCTTGAGTTTCCAGTCCCCCTCCACCTCTCGCAGTGGCATGAAGAAATACACACACGCTGATGTGATCGCAGTCAAGGGTAGATTCAATCGAAAAATCCATCGCCACGAATCATGCGATATGGATGCTAACGCTCCGCCTATAAGTGGTCCGATACCATTGGCAATGGCTACCACTGCACCCATGATACCTTGATATTTGCCACGCTCACGGAGAGGTACAACATCGCTCACGATCATCTGAGCGAGGCTGATCAGACCTCCGCCTCCGATACCCGTGAATGCGCGAAAGATGATCAGCTGCGTGACTGTCTGCGCCAGTGATGCTGCCAATGACCCGATGAAGAAAATCGCGAGACCGACGAACAAGACAATTTTTCGAGACCAGATGTCAGAAAGCTTTCCATAAAGAAGTTGGAAGCTTGTTGATGTTCTACAAAATCAGCTCAATTCCACTAGTCCCTGCGAAGGAACTTTTTTACTCACACGAAATAGGAGCCAGAGATCCAAGATGCCTGGTTTGTGGCACCTAATGAATTGGCAATGATATACAAACATGATGCCAACGTCGTCTGGTCCATTAACGACACGAAATCGACGCTCGAACATGCTAGGAAGATCTGATAAGGGTTTCAATTAGCAAGGTTCCATGCTCACCAATTGCATTTGAACAATTCCTGTTGGAAGACAAGAAAAAAACTCACTGTGATAATCGTCCTTCTGGGCACATAATTAGTTTGTTCGTTAAAAAGCACCTTGGCTTTCGGTGCATCATTGACCTCCGCATCGCTATGAGCGGACTGGCTTGATCCATCAAGAACTCCAGTCATTATGTGGACGGGTTTTCCAGCAATGCAAAAGCTAGAATCACCAATTCGAAGTCCATGAATTATATTAATATTTCTTTTACCCTCAAGTGCTCTCAGACCTGGAAATATTACTGCATGAGCACATTTCTTGCATTGTCCGGGCGGAGTTATACCAAATTCGTCAATGATCGACAGAACGGAATAAGCCTTGACAGTCGATCAGTGGATTGACCAAACTTGCTCAAACACTCTCAAGGTAATTATTTGCTCAATTTATAATTCAGTGACGATATATGTCGGTATAGGATGAGAGAGTCGATTTGAGTTTGTTTGCGGAGAATTGATGTGGCTTTGACCCTTGTACCCTTGGCGTTCATGTCGGACCTTGATGATCTATCGATGAATGTACTAATAGATTAGCTGACTTGACGGGCCATACCCGTGGACGAGGCTTGCGAATCTTCGAATTCCTCAGAAAAGTTTCTAGAACATGGAGAATTCAGATGAACCAGGGCATAAAGCCACCCGAATGGAGAGGAGACCCCCTTCATGGTGCTATCTGGGTTGTCGATCATGCCGTTTTCATCATTTCGATCCCAAGTCCGAGACAATTCATATTACGGACCGGTCGAGGGTACAACTGACTATCATAATATTAGATGCGAGATATTAGTCAATCGCTCCGGTTGCCTTCCTGTTTCATCCCGTGGTCTCGGCCGTAGCTCGTGGATTTTTGGCGCTTGCAGATGTCCACGTAGGTAGATCAGAAGGGTTGCCCCTCTTTAAACCCTGGATAGGTGGCATGTACAACTATCAAGGTGGGACCATGGGAAATACAGCTCTTTTTCTCTCTGCAATTTTTAGCCTTGCCTTTTTTGGGTAAGAAGCAGCCATCTGAGCGAGGTGTGAGAGGGGCTCATGCATACTACTACTGAAGTATATATGTCTAAACTCCCAAAGATGATTTCTTGATTTTTACTTGTCTCTAAAACTTATAAAGAAGTCAATTGCCCATAGATTGGAGGCGATAATTTGAAGAAATGGCATCACATACAATGTCCCAATCAAATGAGTGCAATGTATACTTCGGTGCGGACTCGCTGAAGAAGTATTTCAATCCTGATTGTCAGCCTCCGTTGCCTCTGGTTGAGTTGCCGGAACATCTGAACCCATACTATCATGATGGAGTTCGGATATACGCCAAAATGATGACCATGCACCCGGCAAACAATGTCAAGGCTATGCCAGGTAAGACAAGTCTAGACTACAGACAAGGAGAAAGCTGACTTTCATAGCGTTGAACATGCTGGAGACAAATGTGGTTCCGAACAAGACCAATACCATCATTGAATACAGCTCAGGATCGACCGTGATTTCCATGTCCATGATTGCCCGAGTCATGCACGGCGTCAACGACACACGAGCTTTCCTGAGCAACAAGACCAGCGACGCCAAGCTGAAACTGATGCAGTTTTTCGGTCTGGACATTACCCTTTTCGGCGGACCATCACAGCCAGAACCCACCGATGAGCGTGGTGGCATCCAAAGTGCCCGCAGACAAGCCAAAGAGTCCGAAGCAATCGTCAATCCCAACCAATATGAAAACGACGCCAACTGGCAGTCACACATCCGATGGACCGGACCACAAATCTTCAAGCAACTACCCGAGATCAATGTCCTTTGTGCAGGCATGGGTACTTCGGGAACCCTCACCGGACTGGGCACATACTTCAAAAGCGTGAAGCCGTCCGTGACGCGGATCGGGGTCTGCACAGCACCCGGTGACCGCGTACCTGGCCCAAGGTCCTATGCACTTTTACGCCCAGTCGAGTTCCCATGGAAAGATGCAGTGGATACAATCGAAGAAGTCGGGTCTGCAGACTCGTACACCAATTCTCTGAGACTATGTCGAGAGGGACTGGTGTGTGGCCCATCATCCGGATTCAACCTACAAGGCCTATTCCAGATGCTGGAGAAGCGCAAAGCGGCCGGTACACTCACTGATCTAGCCGGTCCAGACGGAGTGACGCACTGCGTATTTTTGTGCTGTGACTTGCCATACCAGTACATTGAGGAATATTTCCAAAAACTAGGCTCGGAACAATTCCCTCCCATCCGCAATGAGGTAAGTAAGCCAACAAAGCGCCCTGTGACGTTTCGGTTCCTTGCCCCGCAACCACGCCGCTAATGCAAGTGTAGCAATTGACCAAAGTCGATCTCCACCGCTATGACGAAGCCTGGGAGCGAGATGCCCTGGATATCCTTCCACAGGTATACGGAGCTCCTCGGTCCCTCGCAGAAAGCCAAATGAGCGAGATCACGCTCAGGCCGCAGCACCGGGTGCTGGATCTCCGAAACCCAGCCGATTTCCGAGCTTGGCATCTTCCTGAGTCGATCAACCTGCCACTGACCAGCCTCGGGCCACATACGGCGTCACCGTTTTCGGATCCGGCTGTATTAGAGGCGCAATGGAGGGAGCTGGAGAAGCTTTTCCAGGATGGCCTCGTCTCGCATCTTGGTTCGCATCACGTTCTGGTGGTATGTTACGATGGAGACACGGCACGTGTGGCCACTAGCGTTCTTCGGGCGAGAGGCCTTGAAGCAGATAGTGTGCGCGGTGGCTTCCGTGCGTTGAAGATGTATGGGATCGGGAGTGAGGGTCCCACTATGTCCACAAAGGCCCCTGGACCTATTGCGGCGACTATTTCTGTTTCTGCTGTACCCCTTGATTAGATTGGGATTTCTTTCTAGGGATTTGTATAGGGTAGTTGGAATGTAGGGTTGGATCTGCCATGTGAGACGCTAGGCCGGATACGGAATGAGTCCCCTGTGGTTTTTTGTATGTATTTTTTGTATCTTTTGCTTTGTGATTCGTTGAACATCGTTTCCCCTGCTTTCTTTGGTTAACACAATGTTGCAAATTTTGAACCAAGATGTGTTCCAGGTTTAGACTTGAAAAGAAAAGGAATAAGAGTATAAACTACGTCATGGCTGTCACCTGAGATCTCAGCCACATACAATTAGTACTTGAGAATAGCTACAATGTGCCTGGTTGATCTCTGTACCTGGAATATTAAATTATACTTTATCATTCATTACACGTTTATATTATAACCGTGGTAGAAGACCGCAATCATATTGCGCGCAAATCTGCTCAAACCATAACCACAGCTAGCAGTTATAGAATACATATGGAGTAAATTAGGTGAGGAAAAATCCGAATAATTTCGAACGGATCGTAGATCTTCTAGGAATGCGTACTAGAATACCGAAAACACACCATCCGGCATCGTGTATTTGCCGTCATCAATCCTTAGTCCCGTTTTCAGTGCACTGTTCTTCACCATGAAGCCGACTTTCAATCAATTTGGTACTCCAATTTAAGCCATTATCATCCAAGGTTCTCTCACCTTCCATTCAATTTAACCACAACAATCACGGGAAGTGCACGTAGGCACATCTTCCAACGTCCAGCAGCAAAAATCTTATGCAACCACCATAGCAATGATGGACATGAAAATGAACCGGGGAATCCCCTGGTTGGATCAACCGGTCCTACTTCACTCATCTCGTGTAGACAAGTGTAAGCTGTCGCCTGCCCAGTGTGCTCATCGCAGTGGGCACTGGCGCTACTGGTGTGTTTTATTTTGTGCCCTATTCCGAATTGCTCCTCTTTCTGTATATATGCTGATATAATATTTTCCACAGGTACCAAGCTGACCATGTTTACGCTCTTGCTACGGTCTACTTGTGTTGTGCTGTGATCGGTGTATTCGCTATCTCCAACTTCCTTGTTAGATATTCTCCGAAATGGGTCAAAAGAACCCGAGTATGGCGTGCGACTACTTCGATATCTCGGTACCTGGCTTATCGTGGATATCAATGCCCGATGATGCGATACTGGTCTCCATCTTTAGGCGTTGTGTTGCTGGGTGTTGCGGGGGCGGCTTTCTTCCTCGGTGAGAAATTAATGGATTTGATGAACGAAGGAGAAGACTGACTGGGCTGGGCAGGAATGACACTCGGTCCGCAACCTTATTATTGGCCGACAGATGCAAGCTATGGAAGCAGTCCTCCGATCGCTACACGGGCAGGGTGGATGGCTCTTGCATTGCTCCCATTTGTGCTGTGAGTACTGTTAATTTGATGTGAGGTAGATACGTCAGCTAACACTCGAAATAGTGCTTTGAGTGTCAAAGCCAATATGATCTCTGCACTTACCGGTATTCCCCATGAGAAGTTACAAGTCTTCCACCACTGGACTAGCTACGCTATGTTTGCCCTAGCGCTTGTTCACACATTCCCCTTCATCATTTACAATCAGCGGAAGGGTGACATGGTGAAGCAATGGAAAACAAGTGTGGCATACTGGACCGGAGTTGTTGCTCTTCTTGCGCAGACTTATCTGACGCTTATGTCCCTGCCATCTATCCGGTAAGAGTTCGTTCGATTATGCCTCAAGAACTTCGACTAACTGCTATAGTAATCGGTTTTACGAATTCTTCAAAGCCACACACATCGTCGCGGCTGTTGTTTTCGTCGTTTTCTTCTTTCTTCACTGTGATTTCCGTCTATCCTCATGGTATGTACTGCATGCGATCATGTCGATAACTCCCGCTCACAAGTACCAGGGATTACTTCATCGCCTCGGGAGCGATCTACCTTGTATCTTTGGTCACCTCTCAAGTCCGCACCTACTTGTTCAACGGTCTCCACACTGCGACTCTCGAAGTTCTCCCAAGTGGTCTTATTCGCGTTGCAGTCCCGACATTTATGAAGTGGACACCAGGTCAACATGTCTTTGTGCGATTCTTGACATCCGACCTGCACCTGTTGACCGCTCATCCGTTTACCATCTCATCTGTCTGCCGAGACCCCGACGAAACCGGCAAAGCCTCTGAGATTATATTCTACATCAAACCATGCCGCGGTGTAACTGGCCGCCTAGCAGCCATGGCTACCAAGAATCCCGGCTGCTCAAAGAAGATCCTAATTGAAGGGCCTTATGGAGGCGTCAGCGCACAGCACATGGCACGTTTCGACACCATTCTTGTAATCGCCGGCGGTTCTGGAGGTGGGTTTTCTCTTGCAATGGTTGACGAAGCACTCCGTCTATCCGCACTGGAGTCCAAGGAAGAAGATTCGGAGCACGAAACTCGCCGTAACCTCCAGGTCGTTTTCTCGACTCGGGAAACCGCCATTGCAGACTGGTACGCTGCAGAAATCGAATCCCGACTCTCTCATTCTACATCCCCTTTTTTCGGACCCCGACAACGGATTTGAAACTGCCGTCTCCGTGCATATAACATCTCGCGTTAGCTCGGCTTCGTCTTCGCCTTCCATCGGCTTTGAAAAGAACACAGGCAAGCTGCCCACAACGGAGATCACGGCCAGCGGGGCCTTTAGTCTCAATGTCCACCGCAATGCCCGTCCCGATATCCCTGGTCTTGTTGCACGCACCGTGGCTGTGGGACACGCCCAGGGACAGCACGCAGGCAAGAAAAAGCGAATCGGAGTTCTCGTTTGTGGACCTGCTTCTATGCTCCACGATACCCGCAATGCGGCGGCTCTGGCTCAGACTCGAGCTCTAGGAGGGGAGGTTGAGGAGTTGTACCTACACTCGGAGCCTTTTGCGTGAGTTCTTCTCTTTATGCTCTTGCTGGAACCCTTTTACTGATAATTTCTAGGTGGTAACTTGCCTTTTTTTTGAGTACTTTATCCGCTGGTCCGATATTGCTCCTTTGTTTCCAAACTAAATAATTTGTTGCCCATGTACATTATTATGGTAATCTTATCCCGATTCCACGTCAGTTAGACCGAGAGGATCACTGAATTCGCTAATCATCTTGACGATATTTCAATCTATCATCTAAGCTTGGGGTTAATCTTCTAGAACATGATCGGGTGTATGACTCATTTTACGTAAGAACTTCAAGCAGCATGCGGCATATCTCAATGCCGATACCTATTCAGAAGGAAGTCGAGGTTGATGAGACCTTAAGGATCCCTTGAATTGACTTGTTCCAAATGTTCCAGATGAAGATTCTTCAACAGGTCCTTGAAAACCCCGAGTATTCCCACTGACTTGCGGGAATATGCCCAGGATTATTTTTTTGAAGAGGATGTTCAAATCGCGACAGATGAGCAATTCAGTCCCAATAGATGTAACAGTCATTCAAGCCACGTGCAAATCTCTGGTCCTAACTTTTCAACCACATTGATGGTATCTGTGGTTAAATTCTAGCTGATGGTCACTACCCTTTGTAACTTTCGATCACAAAGGAATTTAGACCAGTGCATCGTCACCTGCTCACGCACATGTATTTAACAAGCAAGTATTAGCGACGATCTGAGCCAAGCAGCTATTCCAATAAAAATCAAAGAGGGGGAAACAAGGTACGTAACTGTAAACACAAACTATGTAATCATGCAGATCAACTTCCCCGCAAAGTCGGGGTAAGATCCACCCATGACCTCAACCTTCATTCCAATTTCCCCCTTACCATCTTACCATCTCAACAATATTTCAATCATGACCAGAGGATTTGCGACCATCACGCCTGAATGCGAGGTAATCTTTGACGCAGTCAAGGAGACCGACAAACTAAACTACGTCATCTACGAGGCCTCCGCACACGACAAGAAGATCTCCGTCGCAGAGTCTGGCAAATATGAGGACTACGCGGACTTTCTCTCTCACTTCAAGGATGACACTCCTCGCTATGCAGTCGTCGAGCTTCAGTATGACTTTCCCGGCGGTGATAAGCCACGACACAAGCTAGCATTCATCACATGGTACGTAGCATGTTTACATTGTATGTCTCTGCTACTTGGGAAGACACTGATCCAATTCCAAATATAGGGTCCCAGAGGGAACGGGCATCCATGATCGATCCTACTACACCACAAACAAAGATCATCTTTTCCGGGCACTTTCGGATATCAGCCTCCATGTCCAGGCAGCTACGCAGGAGGATCTAGCCCATGCGAAAAGTACGTTTTAAATGAGCTATCTTGAATTACGAAATTTGTAGTTGAAACTGACTCTTTGGTTTCTCTTTAGTTCTGAGTCAGTTCAAGGCGCTTTAGATGGTATCTTATTTTGATTTGAGGATCTTGGCATCGGAGGATATCAGGACTTTAGGCACCCAGCAACAATACGTGGCATTTACAATGAGACCGAGCCTTCTTTCTTGGGTTGAACTATTACCTAGTAGTCAACAACTTAGGTAGAATGAATGAACGAATTACATATTTTTTAAGACCCAAGCGTGTGCTGCTAGAGCATCCTTCACTCCACATCTGCTCTGCTGAAAAATGATTGTCAAGTGATCTGACCACCTGAGAGTAACTATAAATAATTTTTCTCGCTTTTCAACTTCTTCTCTTTCACAATCTTTGGCTCTCACCCCAATCCACTCTTTTTATCTTTCTACTCACCTCCACCTAAAGGCGATCAGTGAAACAAACCAGCTGAGAAATGCTTTCTCACTACCAACAAATCACTGGTCGTCGAGGTCTGACTTCAAGCGACTAAATAGCTCGCTTAAGATTTCGACCTTTCAGAGCTACATACCACTGCGACCAGTTCGGTTTCTCAGCTACCACCGGAATCTCGTATGTCCGAGTCGATGACTATTCATTTCTGAGTCCAGGTCTGTTTATGTTGGAGTCCAGGTCTGGTGGGACCCAGAAATAATTCAGCATTCTCGAATGTCGGCAAGACTCCGGATCTTGAGCCTCAGCTAGTATGACTGCCAACCAGAGGGAATGAGCCAGCTTGTCAGGAAGCGAGATAATTCTCGTCATGCATTGTAACCGACATCAAACATATCGGCATCTGGGATCAACGATTTACACCAAGCTAAGGAGCTGTGCTTGTTATTTCAAGATCGGGAATTTCATGATACGAAATCTTCGATGCAATGATCAGGTTGGAGCGGTAACGCATCTGCAGATACTGTGGCCGTTGTCCAGACCCTTTCCCTTTTAAAGTGATTATCTCTTTCAGTACCCTTGACTGAACCATTTGGCGAGATCCCGCTATGCCCAATTCCAGCACCTCCAGTCTATGACCTGCGATACCAATTAACCCAACATTCATGGCCAAGTGAAGACCTGATGACCCAAATCACCGATTCTGTACCCAGGCGTTAGCGAGCCTATTTATATTTGCCCTTATTGAGAAATCTGTGATCCTGGACGAGAACCCTGGTCTGGTCTGACCAGAGAAATGGCCACCAGTCTTCTGTGACTTTGAAATCAACAACCTGCTCAGAAATCATTATAATGTAGACTAGTGGTGTACGGGGGCGAGTAGCAGCCATGAGAACAAAACCTTTTAGCGTAGCGCCTAGTACTTAGGTATTATACCATACCTCCTACTCCATCTCCTATTCAGTCTCCCACTCAGTCTTCTACTTAGTCTCCCATTTAGTCTCCTACTTAGTATCCTATCCAGTATTCTTCCTTCCTTCTTACTAGATTGGTCAAATGATAAAAGAGCTCTCCAGGTTCATATATAGCGGAATAGAAAAGACAAAGAAAAGGTTAAAGAGAAAAAAGTGAAGTGGAGGTGGAAGGAGAAGCACCATATTGGTAGAAAGATAGTATTGTTGGAATTGAATCATATTAACAACCAGATGCACCATCCAGACGCTAGTAAATATACCAAATCACATAATGCACAATCCAGTCGAACAAAACAGCCTATATAAGCCGAACCCGAGAGCGTAACGTAAAATTACAGTCAGAATCAGAAGGTCTACTTAGTAGATTCTATTCAACGCCATGGCCAATAAAATATTGGATGCACGAGTCCGTCCCAAGCACAGACGGACGAAAGAAGAGAAAGAGAAAACTGAAATGCAGGAACAGGAGCAGAAGCTTCAGACTCCAGTCCATATCCGCAAAGAATCGAATCACATCGAATCTAATCAAAGAAGAAACCCGGATATCTCTAGAGTGGAGAGGCGATGATCATAACCGCAGAACAAGACTGGCTTCAGATCGAAAATGAGAAACAAAAGTCGTAGAGGGTCATAAGGTTTACTTCCTCTCAAGTCCCGCCATCAGCGCAGCTCGCATGCGCACATTCACCACACCACCAACACCGTAAGCAGGAACGATCTTGCCCATGCGCGCAAACGAACTGGAGATATAATCTCTGCGAATACGCGCTGCGCGCTCCGTCCACGGCATCCCACCTGGTGGTTGACGGTTATACAGATCCAACCCGAGGAGATGCATGGGTGTACTGGCGAACTGCATAAGCGCGGGACAGGAGAATTGAGCGATAGTGGATTTCATGCGCGCGGTCTCGGCCATCCAGTCTGGTATTGAGGGGGCGATTAGGGCGGGAACGTTGAAGGAAGCGAAGATTGTGATGCTGTCGCGGAGACAGAAGAGGCCGTAGGAGATTTTGGGGATTTTAGGAGCCGATGCTGTCATTGGAGGGTGGCAGCTGTATTTGGATGCGTTTGTGTTTGGTGATGCTTCTGGGGTTGCGGTTTGGCCGGGTGTGGCTGGGGTGGTGGGAGGAGGGTTGGCGCCGAAGATTTTAGCAAAGCGCGCGTCCTTGTATACGCAGATGGCCATGTTTACGACGGTTGTAGAGATGAATTTGGCGGGACCGGCTGTTACGGTGGAAAACGATTGATCGCGGAGGGTGGAGGAGACGGTATCGATGACATTTGCGGTTAGGTATGTCGATGTGTATAGGGTGTAGATGAGAATGAATGGTGTTGTGAGGAAGAATCCACTCGGTTTTGAGATCATGGACCGGAGGCAACTTGTGATAGTGTCGCGGATGGGGAATCCTTTCGAGGCTTTCTCGATGATCGCGCTAAACTGGTGTAAGCTTAAGTCCGATTCTGATTCTGAATAGAAAAGTATCAAGACTTTCAAGAATTCAAGACTTACCGATCAATAATGGTGATCAGTGGACATGTTAACGCGCCGGCAGATGCTGCACTGGCAACGTCGACACCTAGTCGAAGTCCGAGATTCCTTGTATTCCATGCTGACGCAGGTTTTTGCATATGTTCGGAGACCGCCGTCATGTTGATAGGATGCGCAATAGCATCGCGAGTCATACTCATACAGAAGGAACCCGGGGTAAGATCACCGGTGCATTGAAAGGAAAAGACCAAACCAAATGAAGGAAAAGCAATTACTCAGATGCAACTAAAATCGGAGTCAATACAACTCGGACGAGAATGGACCGGGGGCGATCCGGTGCCGGGTCTCCGATGCCGGATTATACTATCTGCCGGATAAACGATAACCGCATCTACACAGCCATCTATATAGCATCTACAGGAGTACTTTCGTACAACTTAATAGTTCATAACCGTGATATATTTTCCCAAAACGCCATGTACATCAGAATAACATAACTACACTGGACTAAACTGCAACTCTGGCAGAGATTCCATCCAATGTCACATTCATAGCACCGGCTTGGACGAGCTGTGGCAAATTTGTTAGAAGGTTTTATCTTTAGCCATTCAGGAAGGACATCACATACCGCTCGTCGAAGATCATCAATAAGATCATCAACATCTTCAATACCCACACACAGTCGAATAAGATCCTCAGGCATGGCGCGTTCCGCCCGCGTCTTCGCGTCAATACTAGCATGGCTCATCCGGCATGGCATACTGATAAGAGAGTTGACACATCCAAAGCTAACGCTGATAGCCCAGATCTTCGCACTCTCAACAATACGCTCGCTAACGTCCACATTACCGGTCTCGAAAGAGAGCACGGCGCCTGCACCGCGCGCCATGGAGTTGTGCAACTCGTACTGCGGGTGCGAGCGCAGACCGGGGTAGCGCACCTTGAAGCCGCTTTCCTCGAGGAATTCGGCGATACGCTGTGTGTTGCTCTGCTGCTGGTCCATGCGGACCTTGAGGGTCTTGATACCGCGCATCAGAAGCCATGAGTCGAAAGGCGAGAGTCCACAACCTGAGGCGTTGATTGGGAAGTACAGACGCTCGCCAAGGGTCAGGTCGTTGACGGCAATGACACCGGCCATCAGGTCGTGGTGGCCGGAGAGGTATTTGGTACCGCTCTCGTAGACAATATCGGCGCCCAGATCGAGTGGGTTCAGTAGCAAGGGAGACATCATGGTGTTGTCTACGGAAACCAGACAGTTGGGGTTGGCCTCGTGGGCAGCGGCGGCAATCTTGGCAATGTCGACAATCTTGATCAGGGGGTTGGTAGGGGTCTCGAGGAGAACCATGGTAGTCTTCTCATTCAGAACTTCCTGCACCTTCTCCAAACAGGTGGTGTCGACGTGGTGCACGGTGATACCACCGTTGGTCGAGAGGTACTTCAACAGGCGGTGTGACCCACCATACAGATCGTCACCGGTAACGACAACGTCGCCAGGACGCAAAAGTCGAGTGATCACATCTAGGGCAGCCATTCCAGAGGAAACGACAAGAGCCCGCTGGGCCGACATGATCTTGGCGAGGTGTCGCTCGAGGTGGGTGCGAGTTGGGTTTCCGGACCGAGTGTAATCATACTCACCACCGCCGCCTCCGGATGTTTGCTTGAAGGTAGCACTCTGCAAATATGGTTATCAGATTGAATTACAGGATTAATTGGCCGTTTATCTGCCCGTCAAATCCATACCTGATAAATTGGCACACTGCTCGCGTTGTACTGATCACTGCCCTCGGTGTAGACCAACTCGGTGGCAATGTTGTACCGGCGACTTCCGTGCGGGCTGGACGGAGCTGGTGAAGGGGGGAGGTCATTGCCCTGGAGATCAACTTGAGGGAATGCCTTCTTCACGGAGCTCGACACCCCCGAGTCATTGTTCTGGGCTCCGGATCCTGATGCCGACATCGCTTTGCTGCAGGGCGGGGTAGAGATTGTGGGTGGGTAGAATCTGGTAGGAAGATGCGGAATGAGGTGTACTGTAATCCCAATTATATGAAAAGATTCAATGCTATAGGGTAGATATGTAAAGAAGTGAAAGATTGAAAACAAAAATGTCGATAGGTACTTCTCCCACTTTCTCTGTCCCCCGGACTGACTATGACTCCGCTCTCGGGGACCTCTGATTGGTTCATGAATGGGGACTGCGATTTCGTCATTCACTAGTCCCAATTAGGTTAAGCTAACCAAGTTTTTACTTTTAAGTAGAACAAGAACTGGCTTAGTTCTATACAGTAAAGAGCTAGATTTTTTTTTAACTGATATTTATCTTAGTTGGAGAATCATATTGATAGAATATAAAAGAAGACCTGATAGTATAAATCCCACCTTCCTCCTGAATCAATCCAAAACAGTCACGCCAACGCCAGGCATTCCACCCCAACATTCCATTTTGAGCAGCCAGCATGATTGGACGACGAAATCAAGTCAACTGTACATTATAATAAGTGTCACACAGACAGGCAAAGGGCTAACTCGGGAAAAGGCCTATGCAGCCAGATTGCCGAATCCGCCATTGATACCGAAGAATTGAAACCTAGCAGAGTTAATACCAGAACAATAGGTAATCATGAAGAGGGACATACCAGTCTTCCACATTCAAGGTCGTCGGCGCAGTCGGTCCACTGCGGGAACTGTTGCTCCAGTTGTCATTATCCTGGCTACCAGCGTCCAGCGCGGCACCACTCATCGTCCCATCCATGCCTTGCATCGGCCATGTCTGCCCTTCCATTCCGAACATCTGCTGCTGGCCCGGCATTCCCATACCTCCAGGAACACCCGACATCATCTGAGGGCTGCCCTGGGAGGCGGACATGCTGCGTCCATGGACCGGCTGCTGCGGATTACCCATGGGACGCTGGCCCATATTCTGGGGCATTGAAGGAATCTGCATATGTGGATCCATGGGCGGAGGCGGGGAGGCCAGCTCGGGGAAGATTGCAGTGCCGTCGGGGAAGAGTTGGTCAGGTTGAAAGTTCTCCCACAGTGATGGGGACAGGTTGGGCGAAGCACGGGTTACAAGGAAGAAGTCGGGAGGAGTGGCGGGGAGAGAGAACTGAGCGTTGAACGGGGTTGTTGGCCGTGTATTGCTCCTTGAGTTGGCGGCTCCAGAGATGGGGTCTGCAGGACCACGGTGCATGTTAGGTGAAGTCTGGCCCGGTTGGGGCTGATTCAATTCCCGAGACGGGGTCACGGCCGGGGTCTGTGGACGTGAGCGTTCATACGACACAGGGGGCGTCGGTCCACCATTTGGCAAGCCCAGATCCATATCGTCAAATTTCCGCTTCGGCGGGTCTGGTCTTCTATTTTGAGCGGCGGTGTTCGCATTTTCATGTGGTCGCCGCTGGTGCCTTTTACCTGCCGCTTTTTGAAGTCGCTCCTCCAGAAGCTTGTTTCCCAGAATAGATTCAAATAGGGTGTTGACCATCTTCGCGACCAACCACACTTTGGAGACGTCCTTGAGCGCCGCCATGCACACATTGATACGTTCTTGACATGTCGCCACGATTGAGGGAACCGACGAACGCATTTGGTATACGTGCATGATCAAGGCGGAGAATAAACTGTAGACAATAAAGGCTGGAGTATATCGTAGCTCTCCATGGGTGTGTAGGTTCTCGATGATCGAAGTCATCATTCCTGCAGCCTGGAAAGCAATGGTGCGCGAAGGGTACGCCATTTCTTCGACTCTGTAGCTGTTGGGTGCAGAGGAAGCAGGGGGCATATGAGCTCTATGCAAGAGGCAAAGTGTAGTATAATAATTCGAATGAAGAAGTGCGGCCCAGAAGTGGTGATTAGATCGTTGCCAACAAACCTCCTTAGGGCAGTTCTGCAGCCAATCGGCCAAAGCCATATCGGAGTGTGTGAGGTCCATAGCATTCATGCGCCGTGATTTTGATGCCACGGAGTATTGTTGTGAAAGAACCAGGCCCATAATCTCACACAACTTGACGTATTGCAGGAAGAACTGGACATGCACCGGATCTGGTGGATACTCGGCTGCAACATCGAGTTCGTCCTCGATGAAGTCTTCCTCGGTCACCATTCCAACATCCGAATCATCTGTGTTGATCCCTATGGGTCGACCCAAAGCCACGGCCACCGAGCGATCCCGAGTGAAAAGCGTCCACCAAATCCTCTTCCAGAGTCTCTTATCGGGTTTACTGAGCTGTGAGGTTTCCACACTGCGGTGCATTCCTGAACCTTGAGCGACCACCATCGCGACTCGGGTCCAGTAGAACACGTTCTTGGTCACATCTAGAACTGTTAGAGCAAAAACAAAGCAAAAAAAGCGGGTTCAATTCACCTTCTGGTCCTTCCCAATACCAGCCTAAAAGTACCAAAGCCTGCACAATAGTGACCCGGTCGTCCTCATAATTAGCATCATACAGCGCCTTCGCCCGCTTATAAAAGGTCATGGCAGCCGGGGTGGTCGAGCCATTCGCATCCATTAGCTGAGGGTTCGTGCAAACCCTCGAACCCGCTAGCAATATGGCCTGCAGCAACAGTAACGAAGGCGGGTTCTTCGGGTCCCGGTAATGACGCATAAAACGACTCTTGTTGATAATCGGGACGACTGGCGCCACCCATTTGAAGTACGCATCGACCAACTCATCACACAGCGGCTTTGGCGGCAACAAGAAGGCACCTCGTTGGTGCAGGATTTCAATTTCCAAGTTGTCCAAGTCTGTCAAGCGAGCGCGCGATCCTCTGATATTTGGTGGCAGCGGGTAATGCACAACATCTGTAGTGCCGTGGCGATCTTGAACCAGTAGTGACAAATTGGATGATTCCCCGAGGTATGCCACGCGTCCGGCTTCCTTGATGGGTGCCCGCGCAAACTTGGGCTTCATGAATTGGGCATAAGCGTTGTTGGCCGAAGCTTCCTGGGCTGCCTCCGCCTCCGAGAGATCGGTTATGGGCATGCCATCGGAGGCCATGCGATTCTTGCGGTATCCGAATGTATCATCCTTTTGATCCGAATCTGGGGATTGTCCATGATGGTCATTTGGTGCGTTGTCGGTCGAATCCTCAGTACTGGAGGGCCGAAAGTGAGCGACCGCCGCGTCGACTAGCGAGGAGGCTGTGTGGGGTGGGCTGTCATACCGAACGTCGTCTTTGGTTTTGGAGGAGTTCTTCTTTCGTTTGGGGGAGGGAATCTTGCATTCGATGGAAAAGGCGACACAGTTTGTGCAGGGCACACCTAGACTGGCGGCATCGCAACGGACCTGGTTGCAAGAAACATTTAGTTAAGGCCGACCGGGAGGAATAATGTCGAAGATGAAAATTAATCCAAGGACATTTCAGAACTCATCTCAGAACTCACTTTTCTAGCATGGCATGTCTGCTCCGATTCATTGTTAGTTTGGTGGTCTGGAGATACTCATTCGTCGATAAGGAGGGACCGAGGCACACAACAGCCTCGGCTCTCCTCTCCCGATCGCGTCGCAAGAAAGAATCAAAAACGTACCTCACACGCGCGTGATGCACGTTGCCTAGAGATTAGATAAAACGAATTAGCATCTAGAATCCTTGTTCCATTTATTATCCTTCTTTTACCCCCCAGGAGACTTGAGGGGAATAGTGAAAATCCTGTGCGAAACTCTCCTGTCGCGCCCACATGGGCCCCCGCGATACAACGGTGTCCTCCATTTCACATCCACCACACAATCCATCGAGATTCGTTGTTTCGATGATTGACTAGGAGAAGGCGCTCACCTTCTAAAGCTGAGCGCTTGGCCCGCAGGGCCATTGCGCACATTGATGCCGGAGGTTCCTGTCGAGCCCGTGGCACTGGGGGCCGGACTGCCCGCGGGGTCTGTTAGGGATTCGATCGTGGTGTTCATAGCCGCGCAGTCTCCATGCAGTGAGCTGTCGGGCGCACGATGGAAACGGTAGGGGGAGGGGTGGGTGGAAGGGGTTGGCAAATGATATAAGAGTTAAAAGGTCCCACGTCAAAGGAATCAGGAAGGGGGGGGTCTGGTCTCACGCATAAACCTGCGCCACGCGATCAGGTTCAAAGGTCGAGAGAAAACGGACCGGAGAAGAATATCAAGAAGCCGTTAAAGAGAGAAAGTCAGGGTAGTGGCAATAACTGAGGTCACTTGTGGAGATCTCCCCCAATTAATCTCCATTTAACTGGTTCCCGGTACAACATTGGATTATTAGGATAGTATTTTATACACTTGAATAGTACATATATTTCACAGTCCATATCCATGGATGTAATCATATTTACTGGAAAAACCCACACTCCCTAGGCTAAATACCGTAGATCCTGGCAGGACTACCATTTGCAAAATTGCGCCATCCACTAAATTTCCGGAAACCTGGAGAGAAACCAGTCTACTCCTATTCTTCCATGGATATATCCCGAAACATTGGAACCGGCCACGGGTATCCGATCCGAAATGATCGACGGAGGGGAACTGGAAAGGGGGACTTAATATTGCAGAAGTGTTAAAATCCGAAGAAAGGCTGGCAACCTTGAAGAGGTCAGACATCCATCCCATGGATGAGTCCAGGCACGCTAGGCCAAGATACCCTATTTAGAGATCCACCCGATGCCGTGGAAGTAACTGGAAATTAGGCCCTCACGTGGAGCCTCCAGTCTTGCGGGGGAGTGGACTAGCCACATTATAGAAGTTACAGTGGCTTTTCATGGCACCAAAGCCAAACATGTGTGATGATCCGAGCCCCCCGATCTTCCCGGCTTGACGCACTTCTGGGCAACGCTTGCTGCCACGGGGACGGGGAAATAAGGAGTCACGGATCTACGGATTATATTGAATGCACCCAAAACCTGGAGTAGGTCTGGAGGAAGAATGTCAGGCAGTCTAAATAAAAGATGCCCATGAGTGTTATAGTTCTGTACCTACATTTAGTTCTACATATGCAGGATGTGTACATACTGGTTGACATATATGTCCGCAACATTTGAAGGGTATGCATCTGATTCATGTTTGCATGCTGTGTCACGTCGCCTGAAGGTAATGCTGTCCTCCAGGGCTGTGGTCAGCAGCTTCAATCGATTGGTAGATCAATCGGAATCAACCGTGAGTACTTATCTGCAGCTTGCATCTTGTCAAGGTGCCTCGTGCACATACGTAGACTTGCAGGAGCTAATTTTGAATGTTTACGTAGATCATTGCCAACGGAGATGATTTATTGTGACCACACACCGTTATGTGTAATACCTGCACTATATTCATATTTCTAGGTACCATCGCCATCTTCAGTATTCCATCTAGCTCCGCCAGAACCGTACCTAACTTTTGAACGCCCCAAACCCGTTCAGTTGCGGGGTAACTTCCAAACCCGGGGAGACGGATACTGTGGGGATAAAACCCGAATTCCTTCACGAAAACCAGACGAACGAGAAGAACTCCTTGCAGAGGTCACGGTGTGTTATTACCGCATCTGTCCTGCTATCTTGTGATGCCTCGGCATCTTTAAAAACTGGGGCACCTTTGACCAATCACAGTGCGTATATCTCCACATTAGTCAGATTGAGGCGTGAAGGACTCAAGACACGCGGGGCTTGGCTGTCAGGCACCACTTTTGAATTCGGTGCCGTCTTGGTCCGTTCGCTCAGAATAGATCGACCATCTGTCATCGCGCCCTGGCGGGATGGGCTCTAGCTTGGGCGCTTTAGCCTTTTTGGGAGGGTGAGATTGATAGGGTCATATTATAGAGTTGCAAGATTCCTCACCGCCCAAACAAGGCCGTAAGATCAGTGAGAAGGCCAAAATGTATTAGAATTGGATTCTTGGCTGGCAAGTCAGATTGATGCGTGCGTGTAACGGAAGATGCTATAGCTAGATGGGTTGGGCATTTAAGTTTTTGGATCGACCGACCAGGACGGTGAAGACCATCTTCAAACTCGCGCGACCTGGCCGGCAGACACAGCGCACTTTTACAGCGGCATTCGCCGCAGGTGGACTTCGCTTGGTCGCATTTGCGCTTCAATCAGAAGCAGCGGGTGCATGCAAAATCTCGTGGCTTGAAAGGATGCCACATGAGGATGTTTGAGGCGAAGGGGAAGAGCGGAGTGTGGGGGAAAGCGGAGACTACCAGTCGGGCTTTTGATACGGACTATGGTTACCGTTGATAAGAATGAGCAATGAAGTAGTCAACCATGATGCCAAAATTTCGAGAGATGGTCAGATCTGTACGAAGGGTTTTGAACTTAAGAGAACCTCAACGAAGTGCAAGAAAGGCCTATAGGTCGAATCATGTTAGAGGATTAACTCGAGGACCTTCTATCGGGTGATATCAAACCAAACAGGCCTTTGTTCGGCTGAACGAGAATTGACTGAAACTCAACGTTATCAGGCCCCAATCTGACAGTGACGAATTTCTTCCGCTTCTACTTTGGATCTTTGGAGGTGGATGGCAACAAAGTTCTATTGCAGACCCGAGGTAAGGTTATTCTACATAAATAGCAGTGTACTATTTTTGACTAACTTTGGCTAGATACAATATGAGCTATATAATCCAACAGAGTGCAGATTATGGCAAGCCTGTGCTTGGTGTCTCGATCAACTACCGACTCGCTGCTTTTGGCTTCCTAGACTCGAAGGAAGTGCGGGTGAGTTAATGCGTATATCTAGTGGGTCAAATGCTAAATTATGTTTCTTTGCTGCACACTTACGGGCGTACTACGACCTCGTAGGCCCCCGGGTCAAGTCATCCTTGATGATTTGACCAAAAGAAGCTACCGGTAGTCCTGACTTTACTCACTTTGAAAGTTTTACATGTTTCCTGCCTTGTTGCCTAAATCATTTCATTCACTACTCGTTTACCTATTCTTCCATCTGCTTCAATCTCTTTCTTCTTTCTTCACCCTCTCCTTCCTTCACCATTTCCTTCTCTACCCATATCCTTCTCCTGTTTCCCCTTTTATCATCCTCGCCTTCATCCCCTCTCTTTCTACTTTCTTTACCCTCTCCTTCCTTCACCATTTCCTTCTCCTGTTTCTTCTACTATTTCTCCCTCCCTCCTTTCCACCATTCTTTTCTGTCTTTCTTCTTCCCCCTGTCTCTTTCTTTCTCCTGTCTCTTTCTTTCTCCTGTCTCACCTTCTTGTATCTCACCTTCTCACTTTTCATCTCACGTCTTCTTTTCACCGCTCATTTCCGTCTTCCACCGGCCTGTGCAATATTCAGTTTCAAGAGTTTTTTTCATTTGGTGAGTCAAGTGCCTTATTATCCATACCTTGGTATCCGCTCTAACCTCGCGGCCGAAGTCATCATGGAGGCCCATGATGAGGACTTTGCGGGTTTTCTGCAGACATGAAAGAAGACAATATGCAGAAGAATCCATGGCTTCAGCCTCTGAGATCCAGGAAGCTGATAGACAGCCTCGTCGGCCAGGCTCGTCTTGTTGGTCTGGATGATGAGCTAATCGGTACTTTCCGCATCGACAAGAAGGATCCGGGAATCACATGGAACCTTTCATTTTTCCACGATTACGAGTACCCGTTCATCGAACTTGAAGCCCAAATTCGAAATGCTAAAGAAGATGGTCAATTCAACAGTCATTGGCCGTCTCAAGAAGCATCTTTCAAAATCTACCGTGATAACATCAAAGGCTTCGAGGCTAAGAAAGTAATTATGGACAACAGCAGTGACAAGGTATAGTCAGAGGCATTTTTTCTTTTTATTATTAAAACCAATCCTTATATCATAGGTTCCTGGTCTTCTCCATGAACTTGCCAGAAGTGAACGTCTACGATTCGATCACTCCTGAGAACTTGGTCCAGTACGAAAATCGGGTCAAAAAGGATGGATCCATGAACAAAGCAGAGTTTTCGGTCTTCCAGAAGTTCCAGAGGCTCCGGGGTCCGATTGGGTGTGTTCAAAGGTCACCTGGAACAGGCAAGACGTACACACTGGAGAGACGTGTGTTGCCTTCCCTTCTCTATTCCAAGAAGGATGTGGACCCAGATGAAATTCCCGAGGAGCCTGATCGCACTAAGATCCCCGTTGCAAAGCGCACTCACCCTGCCCGGCATCTAGTTCTTCTGATTGCTCCGACGAACCCCGCCGCCGACCATCTTGCCTAGTCACTGAATGATATCATCGAGAGCCACTCAGATGAGTTTAGCAGTGGGAAGCCTAAAGTCGTCCGGGTTTATCTTATTCATGCAGAAAAGGATTCATACTGCAAACCTGATGCAGATCTCCATTCCGTCGATGAAGCGATGGTGACCAATGCAGATGTCGAGCAAGCTGTGAAGACTGAGATGGTCTACAAGTTGTTCATGGATTACTACACCGAGAACAAGCCTAGTCGTCAAGGAACTAGAAGCTCAGATTCGCGCGTCACATTGTACGAGTTGAGTCTTGGCCGTCAGATCATTGAGTTCGCTAAGAATGACGCGCGGTGGCGCCCATGGCTCATGCAGCGCGATCAATTGGCGAAGGGAGACCTCGATAGTCAGCAGAAGCCAGACTATGTAGCGTATGGAAAAAACATACTACAACAAGTGCTTGCGGACGCAGACATCGTTGTCTGTACGTTGTTCTCGGCAGGTCAGAACATTATCCGCGAAGTGATCAGGCCTGACGCTATTTTCGTTGACGAAGCCGCTATGACGAAGGAAACCGACTTTTGGCCATTGTACACGTACTACACATCTGTTCCACTGTTGCTCTTCGGTGATCATCATCAACTGCAGTCGATGATCAGGAGTAAACCGGAAGAAAATCAGTTCTACAGGAAAATGCGACTGTCGCCGTTCGCACGCTTCGTATATGCCGGCTTACTCGTGGAGGTTCTTCTTGAACAGCACCGCATGGCGCCTGACATCTCTGCTATCGTGAATCGAATCTTCTAGGATAATGAACTGCGTGATGCAACTAAAGTGACTCTGGAGCACAATGAATTGGCTCAAAAATGCTTGAGTGGAACCAAACTGACCGCATCTCCTGTAACTCGAATGCCGTTTTTGTGGATGTTCGCAATGCGATTCCCGGGAAGACTGGGTACTCTATCTTCGACAGCTTGTTTGCCGAACAGGGGATGTCCCTCTGCCGAGCATTGCTTCGAAAACCCTTGACCCGAAGGACATCACAATCTTGACTCCCTATGAAGCTCAGTACCGCCTATATCAGCGGTTGTTGGTCCAGGCTCATGTGCAATCTCCACAGCTTGGATTTAATCACGTCGATGTGCGCAAAGTCAATTCGTTCCAGGGCCAGGAAAGCTCAGTAGTGATCTTTGATGTAGCGTTCACAGATAAGCTCGGTTTCATGTCCATTCCGAACAGATGGAATGTGGCGCTCAGCCGAGCTCGGAACGCATTGTACGTCCTCTGTGACCGTTCAGGCATCGGCAAAAAGGGCAAACGTGTGTATTGCATCGCCGAGCTAATCAGAATCGTCGATAAAAAGAAGCTGTGGGTCAAATCGCAGCAGGAGCTAATCATCAAGGGGAAGCGCGGTGCTCAACTTGCAAAGGAACAAGAGGAATGGAAAAAAATTGCCGAAGCCGATGCAATGGTATCCGCCTTTAAAGCGACGACAACAAGCGCCTTGGAGAAATTCCTGTTCGGTTCATCCAGGAATGATCTTCATTAGGGCGAGGTCTCTGAGTTTGTGACCTGACGGGAGGATGTGGAGGAAGAGGAGGTTGAAATTAAAAAAAAAAAAAGTAAAGATTAACCAATACAAAAGCAAAAAAAAAAAAAAAAAAAAAAAACCACACAACGTCCAAAGTCACTGCTAGCCAAAATAGAGAGCCGTGCACAACTGCCTGTCAGCGTTTCTGTTACAACTCCGAAAATCTCCTTAGTCATAAGCTCAAAAGTTCTCAATCAGATTGGATCTGATCAGATAACGGGAACGGCTTTCCCCCGGGGGAAATTATTCCCCTCCAGCTTGGGCGCTTTAGCCTTCTTGGGAGGGTGAGATTGATGGTGGGATGTTTCCGGTCTAAGCCGATGGAGGAGTGGATTATTCTGGTTCTGCTGATACCTGTTGCGACCTGGAGGGAGCCATTGCGGACGAGTATTAGAAGGGTGACTTATTAGTCATTAGGAGGATAAGAGGTGGGTCGATCTTCAATGCATGATCTATATTAACAAGTTGGCCTCGCGAAAAATGAGGAGAGTAAAGTACATAAGGTCCATATTAGGAGCATTTATTGAGCCTTCCGGTTTTTCTTGCCCTTGGCTTTGGGCTTTGCTGATTGCACTGACTGTGCTAGCTGCACCTTGGGTTCATGGCCACAGTCGGCAGTCTCGCTGACAACCTGCGTCACGGCTGCGACAGTAGACCCAAAGTCCACGCCGCTGACAAACTGTTCGCTCAGGAATTCAAGTCCTGCAACGAAGATGCACAGAACACTGGCAATACAGTAATGGCTGATGGTCATGCCAATATCCAGCCAGGAACCCTCGTCACGCACCAGGTAGAAGAAGTTCAGCGTCATCACGTCGGAAATGGACATAACCACCATGAACAAGGCACTTGGCCCGACTTCCAGTCGGCGGTTAAGAATGCCAAGATTGGCGCTGATAATGGCAAAGGGGATCAGGATTTGGAAGAGGAGGAGCGCGCCTTGGCTGAAAGGCGCGAAGACTGGGATGAGTCGGCGAACACTCTCTAGAGTGAATGTAGAGAGGGAGGCCACATTTCCCGTACTGAAGAACGCTGACTGCAGTAGGAAAAAGAAAAACAATGCCACACGGGCATCGGAGACGGTTAGGGCGCGGTAGTGGTATGTCCGGCCGTCGACTGTGGTTGTGGCGGTAGAGCCGGATTTCGATGTAGCCACTGATCCATTAGCTGCTTTCAATCCGGTGTGAACATAGATGGCATGCTCAAGGCGAACCCAGGTAAGCAGAGTCATGCAGAAAACGAAGTAGAACAAGCCCTCCCATGAAATAGTGAGAATGATAAAGGCGGGTGAGAAAGTCAAAAAGATGACTACAAGGCGGTGCAAATAGTGGCTATTAGGGTAGAGCCGGTGGATGAATGGTAGTGCAACAGAAGAAGCTATATGCTGATTAGTCCCGTCTATGACCATCGAATGGACCCAAGTGCTGGACTTACCTAGCACACCCCATCCAACGACTTGATTACCAAGAGGCAGACCTTGGCGAGCCTGGAGAAAAGAGACACTTGATCGAGTGACAAGCAATGCGAGGAGAACCAAGCCAACCTGAAAGCCCAAGATGATTCGCGAGCCAAGGGTACTAATTGCTGCGTGGCCTTGATGAACAGCGCTGCTTTTTCCAAGGATAGAATCCTCGAACATCAAGTATAAAACGCCAGTAAAGAACATCAGAAGACCGCCATAGGTGCTAGAATAAACATTAGCAATGGATGAAGTACTCGATCTGCGAACATGCTCACATAGTATCGATATCTTCCATTTTACTGACGGGCAGGATAGGAAAAATGCTCATCATAGAGCAGCCGAGGACCCATGCCGCAGTCAAAACGACATGGTTGCGAATGAATCCGAACCCGTACGCCAAAGGCCAAAGGGCACCCAAGACAAAGCAGATTGTTAATATTTCCCGGTAGAAATAGGCTTGGACCTGTATATGTGTCAGCGTATGGCCATTGCTAGAGCAGGAATCATCAAGGTCGACATACGAGTGCCTCCAAAACACCAAGGAATGCTAGGAATTGCAATCCAAAGCTTACGTAGCCACTGAATGAGCGGACATGGCCAAGAACAATTTCACGACCGGCAATGAGAGCTTTCCTGCGAGCAAAGACTTCTTCCCAGAAGTATACAGGGAAAAATCCATAAAAGTGATAGCGCCATGACGAGCCCTGGTACAAGAACACAGAGAACAAGGCGACTAGAATGGACGAGAAGAACGAGATACTAGCCGTCGTCCGGTGGGAGTCCGATGTTCCATGCAGTACATGCAAGTCAATCACGGTGGTCAGAGAATAGGCAATCCAACCCAGATATCCGAGAGTGACAATGTTGCGCAGAAACAGCCAGTCATAGGTCTGTAGATAGCGTAGACCTTCAAGACCGAGAACCAGCAGTTCAGAAGATAGAACAATCGAATCCTCATAGTCACCCTTAGCGATAAGCGCCTCCATGTTTGCGAAACGGCCTTCAATTGAAGTTTCACCGTCTCCTGAAAGAGGTTGGAAGGGCACATAGCGGAGCAAGGCTTCTCTCTTTTGCTGCTCCTTGACCTGATACATCTCTAGCACTCCCCGTGTGTTCGCAAGAGCGGCTAATGCCTTCTCTTCGGGGCTTCCATCGATATAGTTCAATGGCAGCTGACCCACAGAGTTGACTGGATAGTCAACTCCCACGAGGTAAGCCATGAGAGCGGCAACGTCGGCCTGTGCTACATCATGACGTCGAACTTGGTCAAATCCCCAATCCGATGAGAACCCGTCCTCGTGTCCGGTCAATTCCCCCGGGGTAATAGCTAGCGGCTTCGCGACACCAGAGCCCCACGCAACAAGAGGGGTGCGCGTATTATCCGGGTGACCATCACCGTGGCTGCCCAAGTCGCTCATGCCATGGTCCGCGGTGAAGATGAACGCAGTTTTGTCATCCGCATAGAACTCTTCCACCAGTTTTGTCACTGCTTGCACACCGCGATCGACAAGCTTGATGTTGCTCAGGTATTCCTTAGAGTACGGTCGGAATGCGTGACCAGTGGTATCCAATCCCAGCAAGTGGAGGAAGAAAACTACCTTGTCCTCACGCAGCTTCCGGTCCAGCTCTAGGTCGCTCTTAGCAGACTCAAAGAGCGCATGCACTTTGTCAAATACCCAGGTATCCAAGTGTGATGCATCCACACTGAAGTCCTCCTCCTCTTCGCCGTAGGTATCCGCATAGACTCGACCTGGTTCCGCACCCTCCTTGAACATTGGCAGGATATCAGGGCTGCCCCAGCTCCATGTGTGCCGACTCCGATTAAACACGCTGTCGAAGTTGACTGGGTTCATCTTCCAGCCTGTTGTGACTGCCGAGACATCCTCATACAGACCTGCAATTAGCGCAACATGTCCCGGTCGAGACTCGGTAGGGACGCGGGTGTGGGAGACGCCAAAGGTTCCATGCGAAAGGACCTTGGACCGAATGAATGGAGATAACCGGATCAATTCATCGGTTGGTTCGGCGTCGTTCTCGGGGGAGGGGTCGGGGAAGGCCTGGAAGGCCTTGTCGGCACGCAAGCCATCGGCGACAAAGAGGACCAATCGTTGAGCTGGAGCACTGGCGCCGTTGGATCGGTCGACACCATATGATCGCATACCACTCACAATAGGGCTGACGAAGTAGATATCGAAAATCGAATATGTATAGATCAGGTGGAAGACCACCGCTAGGGCGAGGAACCCAACGCGGCCTAGACGCGCCATGATCTATCGATCCTCACCTCTCACAGGAGGTGACCTGACTTGATAGATGAAAGAGTGAAATTAAGCCCCTGATTAGAAAGAAAGAAAACAAAAAAGAAAAAAAAAGGAATAAGGCAATTATAAAAAGGAGGTCATCACGGACATGGAGCAATTAACCACATATCGGATTGGCGGGTAACTTGCGGGACGGGCGGTGAAGCACCAATCACGAGTCTCTAATTGTGCACGGCTGTGTTTACTCTAACTCCTTGCTACTGTTGTACATTGGTTTATGGATTGTTTCCTTGTTTATATCAGTTCAAATGCATGAATCGCTCACAGACTCCAGTCCTTAACTCCAACGAATTCAGGTTTATATGCTTTCCAGGGTTACATACGTGATGCCGTACTGGACCGGCGCTTGGTGAGGGCATCTATCACCCGAGTATAGAACTTCGGCGCCTGTTCCCGCTCGAACGTAATATGATCGATCAGAAAGTCGGGAAGAATATCAACAAGCTCTCGATCACGACTGGCATCCAATAGAGGCAGGTATTCAAACACTGCCTTTTCATACTCCGCACTAGGCACTTTAGGAATGGCCAACTTGAAATGCAGCGCTGAGAAATAATTAGCACGAAGTATATCTGCATTGAAAGAGTTAGGGATGACTCACTTCCGTTGACTCCTGTCTGAATACAATCGTACAAATGATCAGCTTCACGATCCTTCACACCTCGAACGATCAAGCCAGTCAAGTCGCTATATAGATCTTCCTTTAGCTGTGCGATCTGTGCCGCCTGCGCTGCCTCGGCGTTGGCAGCTGCTACTGCACGATTCGCAGGACCACCCTTGATGGCACTGCCAGGAACCTTGACAGTATTTTCCAAGCTTGCGGCCGTATTGCGAGCGGCAGCGAGCTTAGTTTGCAAAGCTTTGATCTCAGTTTGGCTAGCAGCGAGTTGAGCACGAGACTCTTCCGCCTGGGACTGAAGTCGGGAAATTTCGTTGTCGCGTTCCTTGACTTGCTTTTGGAGTGCACGACTCTGTTGCCCAAGAGCTCGCTGTGCTTCCAGTTCGAGTTTGAGAGAAGCGACGAGCTCATTTGAAGCTACAATGCATTAGTTCAAAGACTAGCATTTGAATATTCTTGGGTAGAGAACATACCCGTTGTGATAGTGTCACACTGTTTGCGCAGCTTCTCCATGTTCGTGCTGGCCTCTACGACCCCAATCTCGCGTAGATTGCGATACTTGGATTCCAGGGCATCATGCTTCTTGGTGAGATCACCAATTCTACGTCTCAACTCCGGATCTCCACCTTGCTCGGCATCGCCTGACTTGCGTTTACGAGGAGACGTTTCTAGTATGTTCCGTACTGAGGAGAGCCGAGACCGTATGTTCTTCACAGCGGGAAAAGGCGCATGCAAAGGGGGTGCTTCTTCATGGAGTATAGACTCATCTATAACCTCTGGAGCCGGTTCGTCGTTCTGAACTGGATCGGCCGCTTGCGCTTCTTTCTGTCGCCGTTGAACTGCGCGAGGACGGGGGCTGGGTTCGGGTTCATCCTTGGATTCCTGAGCAGTAGTCTGCTTGGAACCAGACGGTGTATACTCGAATCCGCCATCCGTGATAACTTGCTTTGCCGCGCTAGTCGTACGCGCTGTTCGACGAGTCGGCGCAGGCTTAGCGGCCCTTTTCGAACGGGTTGTTTTAGTCTCCCTTGACACCATGGGGTCCTCATTTTCTTGTTCATAATTGTGTTCATCGACTGTGTTGTGCGTAACCTCTTCCAATTGTGTCTCTGGGGCTTCAGAGGTGCGACTGCTGCCGCGTGGTCGTCCTCGGCGACTGGTTTTCTTAGTCTCGAGAGCCTCCTCTTGTGTAGCTGTAGCAGAATTTCTCTTCTTAGCTTGGGCTGTTGGCTTAGACTCGGTCTCAATATCGTTCGATGTACGCGGTCGGCCTCGTCGTTTCTTGGCAGGAGGTTCATCGCGCAATTGCTGCGCAGGGGCGCTCTCACTTTCTGTCACCTGCATCAGATCCTCATCGTCTGATCCGGTAAGTCCAGAAAGTTTCGTCGGAGCCTTTCTTTTCGGCATGGTGCGTAATTATAGGGCTTTTGGCGGTGTAAATCACTATGGAAGTGTTACGCGCAGCGCGATTATCAACAACTTCTCCGCCTTGGACATGTGACATTCCGAGCCACAGATCGTCCGCGCCACAACCCGATTCATCTTGGTCATCTTGGGGAAGTTCTGTCCCCCCGTACTCAGTCTAATCCATTTTCGTTGTCGCATTCTTGATACCCGCATATTTGCAAGTGTTTCGCCATGTCTCCGCAAGGCGACCGAGGCGGTATCCCTTGGGTACGGTTCGTCCAAGAACTGGGGATGATGCTAGTTACGGTGAGTACCTGATGTCGAAGCCCGGGGGTTAAGGGTCCATAAATACCCGCCATCTGCAAGACCGCAAATTTCTAACAATATGTCCAGGGCATGGTCGCATACGGTGGCGTCAAATTAGTTTTGAATCATCTTACACCTCCGGACCCAGAGAATCAGAAGAAGGAGGAACAACGGCAGAAGTCAGCGGCCATTTTGCGCAAATTATACGGAGACGATGAATCAAAGGGTGGTGTCCGAAAAAGCGAGCTCGTTCTCAACCAATATGAACAAGCGATTGCCGCGGAACTTGTCGACCCGAAAGATATTCCTGTTCGGTGGGATGACATTGCGGGCCTCGATGATATTATCAAGGACCTCAAACAGTCCGTGATTTGGCCATTGATGTACCCGAAATTGTTCGCCGCCAACCCAGCAACTCTCCGAAGCGCACCGTCTGGTGTTATCCTTGAGGGACCACCTGGCTGCGGAAAGACCATGATCGCTAAGGCGCTGGCGGCCGAAAGCGGGGCTTCTTTTATCAATTTGAATATCTCTACATTGACGGACAAGTGGTACGGAGAATCCAATAGGCTCGTTCGCGCAGTCTTTACCCTCGCGCGCAAGGTCCAGCCTTGCATTATCTTTATTGATGAAATCGACGCGCTTCTTGCGAAACGGTCCGAACGCGATCACGAAGCAAGTGGAATGGTGAAGGCGGAGTTTATGACACACTGGGATGGTCTCCAATCAGAGAGTTCGACTGAAGGACGCCAACGAATTGTTGTCTTCGGAGCCACCAACCGCAGCGACGCTATCGACAAGGCCTTTATTAGACGTCTGGGTGGTAAGCCCATCGAGGTGAGACCTCCAGATGCAAGGGGCCGTGCCATCCTTTTCAAAAAGCTTCTCAAGAACGATTTCGTGGATTGGGAGGACCTGGACCTTAAAGAGGAGAAGGAAGATTTGATTAAGATGGATATCAGCGAGTTATTACAGAAGCCGTTGATCCGCAGAACAGAAGGCTGGACCGGCAGCGATATCAAGGATGCATGTGTCAGAGCGGTTAATACCACCACACCTTACGAGACCATCGAGGCTATGCTGTCGACCGGCAAAGATTTGAACCAAATCGCCACAGAAGAGGTGCTGGAGCCCGTCCGCTTAAGCAATTTCTTCAAAGATGTGGAGTTCAAGTCTATCCCGGTGAAATTACCAGTTGCACCAGTCAAGACAGTCGAGGAGAAGGAGGATTGGTATACTGAATCTGAAACCGCCTCGACTGGAAACCACTCTATCCGACCAGAGTCTCCTGAGTGATGATATGTTCGATGTTCATCTAGACCCATATGGCTTTAATTTTCTGCTATCAACCCCGAGACGCAGCGCGAAGGATGGGGTGTTATTTCATGGGATTTTCTTAGAATTTTTTACTTACTGGTCCAGTGGATTGCAATTTCTATGGCAGGGCCGGTTTGTTCATAGAATTACTCCGATCTATTCTCTATACTAATTGGATCTGGGTTGCATGATAAAATACTAAAATAATCGTCTTATGACTATCGGGTATCGGATACGCACGGTGTGGTGAGAAGAGACAAGCAACGTCATGTTCTCTGTACTTCTGTGAGCGGCTAAGTCACCTGCCGATCATCTAACAGGATCTCCTGAAACTCACCCGAGCTTTTACGCTGTATTTTCTTTTCTTGTTCCTATGTCATTTTCCCTAAGCAAATGAATTCCAAACCAACTTGATTGTCATTGTTGCTTTTAGGTTGTGTCTGCTTCAAAGTCGGGGTTGTCCGTTGTGGGTCGTTATCGTCACGACAGCCACGCCTCAGTCTACCTCCTATCGCATCATTGAGCCACCACTCCTCACTCCACCACCCCCGCCTCCCTCACATTAGACAGCAAATCCTTAATATAAAAACCTTGGGCTATTGTGAGACGAATACCCTTTATCTGGTCGACTTGCCTCATTCTTGAGGCCACGAATGCGACACGGCGGGTGGATGACGAATGGGTCTCTCCTAGGAGACTACTGATGGCAATCACTGCCTTGGCAGCACCCACACCTTCAAAGGGAGCCTCTGACTCGCATCCTTGGAATCAGACCTACTCAGAACTCAATGACAGGAATGAGTTCCCAAAATAGCCTTGCCAATGGTTCCATTAGCTCCAATACCGTCGGCGCAAGCTCCACCTCTACCTCCGCGGTTCGATCGCGCCCTCGCCGCCTGGTCTCCTTCATGGACGATGAAGACGACACGTCCAGTTCAAACGGCAACTATGCCTACAATGAAGCTCCGACATTCACTTCGGGGTCGTCAACTACTTTTCTAACAGATGGAAACACTCGTTCTCGCGGCGCTACCCCCTCGCCGCTCTCATCCCGCGGAGCATCGCCCTTGCCCATGAGACATCCCTCCCGAGTCACCGAGTCAGTGTATCGCAGTCGCAATGAGCCTATATCGCTAGGCTGGAATGGATCGTCCAAGCCAGCAAGAGGAGGTACAGACTTCCTAGACTCCCCGTGGTCTTCTCTACAAAACCTGGCATCATCGGTTCTAGGGAGCAGCACTGGACGGAACACAGATAATTCGGCAAAGACACATACCCGCAGGAAACCGTCGCGATCGGACATATATACCAAGAGCATTCCCAGAACAACCCCCTCAGCATGGGGGCCATCCGCGCCCGCTACCCCGGATTTTGGAAGTGGGACCAAGGAGGAGCGACAGGCGCTAGTGCAGGCAAAGAAACGGGAAGCATTGCTGCTTGCAGACTCCGATTTAATATCAGGCCGCAATTTCCGGCATAAAAAACGCGACTCGGGTGATTATTCTGATCAGGTAATCGACCCAGATCACGACGAGGACGCGCTGGCGTATATCCATCATGTACAGGCATCGGATAGTATCACAGGCGTGACGATCAAATATGGTTGCCAAGCGGCTGTTTTTCGGAAAGCGAATGGTTTCTGGCCCAACGACAACATCCAGAGCAGGAAGACGGTTCTATTGCCGGTTGATGCGTGCACCGTGAAGGGCCGGCCCATTCGACAGGAGCATGTGGATCTTCTTGGTCCTGATTCTGAAGATGGAACCGGCAGCTGCATTGCGCCCGCCGCTGATTCGTCTGCAGTTGATTCTACCACTCCAGCAACAGAACGAAAGACTACCGGCCACTCAGAATCGGAAGTCAATAAGATCTGGAAACACGAGTCTTGGGTGAAAATAGAGGGATTTCCAGACGCCATCGAAATCGGACGTGTTCCACGAAGAGCACTAGGATTCTTCCCACGAACGCGTCGGAAATCTGTGTCTTACACTGATGCCGAGCCTCTATCTGTGATCTCGTCACAAGACCCAACCCGGTCTTCTTCCCCGTCTGGATCGTCCCAAGTTGATTCCTCCCAAGCCACACTTCCACGCGCCCGCCCGCGTGGTGGGGACCCGGCAAAACCCAGTGGCTCGCACCCAGTTCGCCCTAAGCATCGTCGTCAACGCAGCAGTCTTCATCTTTCTGGTACCGGCGTCGGTACTCTGGATCGCACATCAACTGCGCCCGGACCGGCTCTGGATGGACTTAGCAAATTCTTCTCACAACACATGCCCCAGTTAGCACCGCCCCCGGCACTCTCGGACCTACGAACACCTTCTTTTGGCTCCGAGTCCGTCACTTCTAACGCTTCAATGGGTCTAGAGAATCTAGGCGGGGCGCTGGAAGGATGGGTTCGCAAGGTGGCGACACGAGCTAAGGTCGGCTTCAATGACATGCAAGGTTCCCCGACCCTGTCAGCATCCGGCCGGGGTCGAAGTCCGGGGCTGTGGGGCATGAACGATTTAATTGAATTGGATGATGCTTCAGAGGATCGAAGGTCTCCCAGCGCCATTGGGATTTCAAGAAGAGCAGAACAAGACACATCCTCGTCTTCTTCTTCTTTCCGTCCCACAGCCTCTGCCTCCGCAACGAGCAGGCCTCGTGCGACTGGTTCGGGCTTCACTGCGTATGGCGAGAGAGCCAAGGATGACTGAGTTGTTTGGTTGAGGCTGCAAGCGTACATAATAGAAGCTCTTGTGTATGTGAACTGGTTGGATAGTTCGCAAATTTTGCATGTTCTCTTTTCCTTTCTACTCCAAATCTGTTGATTCATCATGAGCGGCTTGGTGTTTTCTTTTTTTCTACCCTTCGCATTCCTATCACCCCATCTCGATTGAGTTGCTTTGTAGCCTTGGTTGTTATATCAGGGAATTGTTAAATATACCGCGGTCTTTGGCTAACTTATTCCAAAGTCGTAATATTAAGATATGTACTCTACTGTGGTTAAAAATATGATGCTAGAGCCTCAGTTGCATTTAGTTCGTATACTTCCAATGTTGATTAATTGCTAAGGGGCTTCACTATTTGCATTCATTCATCAGTGTTTCTTTCCAACTTCACTTAATGTCAAGAAGACCACCTGGTTCTCTCCAGATGTCTCTAAAATCCACAAGCCACATGATTATAATCTCCAAGAATGTGTATTGTATTGCTCAAATCAATCATCACCTAACTACCGTGCAATGTTGTTTATATAATCAATTCCCGCTACACGATAATCATCTGCTTCAACATAGCTCTCGTCCCGCGGAAGTCGAAAGACGAAGTTGCTGGCTTCGGATGAAAAACGAGGCCAGGTTGGAATGTTCGGAACTAGAAAAACTCAGCCAAGTGACTCTAGAAACGATGTAATTTTTCAGCAATCGGAAGTGCTTAATCTGGAACTTACTTCCATGGCCATTGGGTGTCAAATCTGCTGCAAAAGATGTCCACATCCGTGCGGCCATCTGTCCAAGTGCTAATCGACCAGGTAAATCTGCTCCCAAGGAGGTGATATTCTGGACTGGGTTGGCAAAGACGAAAGGAATCTGCATAGAAAAGTAAGCCAGTGAGTCTTTCTGTATACAAAGGGTCTAAGATGGTAAATCTGTACCTCGGCGAAATGCTGCACTCCAATTGTTGAGCTAGTGTTTACGGCAGCTACATCCCACCGATATGAGAAGACATTCTTCTCAAAACCGGACATGGTATGTGCCAGCATTCGACGTGGTGCTACCATGCACAGATCTCCAGCGATGGACTCATAGCGCTTATACTCATAACCGAGAGATGGCCAGGTAACATTCCCCCAGCCGTAGGGGCAGCCGATAGCAGATATGTTAGGGTAAAGGCTCAAAAGTTCAGTGGCTTCCGTGCTGGAAAGAACCCATCGTTTGGATGCTAGGAAATTTCGTTAGTTCTTGATAGTTCTGAGAGCATGTTGCATGTCAAGTACCATACTTACAGATAAGTTGTTTAATGGCTTCCTCATCTGTATTCACACCCGTGGTCCCGAAGCTTGTCCCTTCATCCGTGTTTGTACCTAGAAGAATAGGAACTTGGGTAATTTTGCCCTCGCGATAGCTTATTTGTGGATATTGTGTGATGAAGATACCATCGATAGTGGCAAACCACTCCAAACCAGCGTAGGCAATGCTGTAGAAAGTCTCATATGGGAGATCACGGAGACATTGGAGGGTATTAGTTTCATTCGAACATCCTGCTCGCTCGACAATGCCGTTGTACATCGGTTGGTGCCATTCGGTTCCGTTGTATGGGGGTCCAACCGCATTTCCAGAATCCATTATGGCTAGATAATGTGAGCTCAATGCCGGATCAGATAAAGAATTGGCTCCTACCAGCTCTGAAAAGCCCCTCGTTATCCCCGCCGTTGGTGACTAGATGATCTCCGACACTGTAAGCGCCTCTGTTGAACAGGTCAGTAGCCAAATTTTGAAATGTTCCTGGTATACTGACGCAGACTCGCCCCAGATAGTGATCTTGTCGGGATCACCGCCAAAGGCTTTGATATTATTTTTGACCCAGTGCATGGCAACACGCTGATCTCGAAGTGCAAGGTTGGTGTTTCCTTCAGCCTGAATCAATGAGGTCAATATGAACGTCCGGATTTCCAAAAAGAGTCGATCAACTCACCCGAACTTCCTCAGAGTCTAGGAAGCCAAAAGCAGCGAGTCGATAGTTGATCGACACACCAAGCACAGGCTTGCCATTCTCTGCACTCTGTTGGATTATGTAGCTCATATTGTATCTAGCCACAGTTAGTCACAAATAATCCACTGCTATTTATGTAAAATCACCTCACCTCGGGTCTGCAGTAGAACCTTGTTGCCATCCACCTCCAAAGATCCAAAGCAGAACCGGCAGTAATTCGTCACTATCAGATTGGGGCCTGATAACGTTGAGGTTTAGACAATTCTCATTCAGCCGAACAAAGCCCTGTTTGATTAAATTTGTGGTATCCGACCCATATCCTGGACATTCATACCCATACTCAGTCGCGTTGTAGTATATTTCACCGGCCCGAGGCTTAATTCCGGCTGCAGAGAGATCAAATGCACCAGAGTCACTGTCTTTGGACGTGTATTCGGTCTTCAGTTCCGCAGGAGTAAAACGGACTGGCTCGTTGGAGAATTTGAGACCCAGGAACACAATCTGGTTAAACTCAGAGATGGTGCGACCAACAAATATCGTTTTATTGTGTGCATTGCCGGAAGTAAGTGTAGCCGTTGGTGGTTTGTTGGAATGTGTCTTCGTAGAAAACGGGTTGCAACACACCAACGAAGCGAGGAATAGCCATACAGCCAAGGGAAGCATGTTGGTGGACTTCATACCACTTGAATAATTACTTCTTTGGCATGAGTATTTCGCGACGAAAGGGGGGATTGTTAACAAACTTACCTTAGCGGCCCACCATGGCCTATCAACCCCCAATTGGACTCGATCGGAAGACCATCGTATGCAAGCCAGTGATATTCTCCGAAGAAACTGCGTTCAAAAATTGCCTCTTGAATATTGAATTATTCAATTCAAGGTTGGTGGGCAGAATAATCCGTCTTGAAAATATAAAAGCGCTCATAGGTGGGAAAATTGTGGGGAATCCGGGGTAAATAGAGCGGGGATGAGAGTTCTTGAAAGAAGAATTGTACTATTGAAAGACCCTGAGAGCCGAAATAGTTTGGAAAGGTCAAACATTTGTGGATAGGTAAAAGTAAAGATGGAGGACGCGATCTATAAAACACCTGTGGCTGGGGCCGATGTCTGGCCTGATAAATTAGGATTTAAGGCATAGTCCAGCCAACCTGCTTTTCAGGCAATAAAGGAAAAATCAGGCACCATGTGGACTCTGGAGTTATAGATTGACTACCCAAGGAGATCGACTCTGTTGCCAATTGACCTCTTCGCGGGTGCTTTTTTCAATTTGCAAACCGTCAACGTCGGAGCACCGAGGATACAGAGTTGCTGGAAGGAACTCTGTTACCATTTTAGGATTGGTGGAATCTCTGTCTTCATCATGTTCCTGACTAGCCTTTTTAGCCTTTGCCTTTGTACCAGGGAATGTTTGATTGCTCATTTTCGCAATAGTCTCTGCAAGTGATTTCCGCAGACTGGGTTCAGTGAAAGCTTCCATGTCCATGGCAATTGCCGGGCCGGGAAAGGTGCGTTTAAGACGACCTAAGGTCGTTATCACTTCCTTGTTGCGGGGAGACAGTTCGAATGACTTTATATGTATCGTATCGTCCTGTCGACTGAAGAGAATTCCTGCGTTCTGCTGGCGGACGTACAAAGGAAGAAAGCCACCTAAAGATGTGAGATACCATATAACCTAGCATTTACAAGATATGCTTACCTGCATCACACAAGGTTTCAAATGCTTCGAAAACGCGACTCTTGGTCACCTTGCCATAGAGCCCGAAGGTACAGTTCGTGTACAGAATCATGGTCATCGGATTGAGGTAATTTTGGGGGAAGAAATACATGATGGAACAGGAAAAGTAATGTCTCTGGGGATAGGCGGCTCGGTGAACCTGCAGAATCTGAAGAAACTGGAGAATCTGGCATCGTGATCGTGGTTGAAGAAGAATTTGATGAGAAGCTTGGGCTCTGGGATCTGGATCGTTTGAGAACGAAATTTAAAAAAGATTGGAAGGGTAGGAAAGTTGAAGTGTTGGAAGAAGAAAAGAAATTCTTTTGTTGATGTTTGTGCTTGCCACAGGCGACCCAGTTCAAAAACTGCCACCACCGCGTGTATTCAGTTGCCCAACATACTCAGACCCCCCTACTGGTATCCTTATTGAGTCCAAGAAGAAATCAGCCAACTTGCATGCTGCGCATCAGTTTATTTTCTTGGTTTGCTATAGAGGATCAATATTCTTCCTACATACTCGGATTTCCTATACCACTTCAATCCAGAATTTTGAGCGAACGGCTACGCGTCTTAGGAACTACTATGAACAAGATAATAAAGATTTTAACAGTATGAATCTAAATTGGATTAATTATCGGTGGGCTGATCAAAAATCTACACCAGAATTCATGCTATGCCAGAGTTGGGGGCTATTTCTGATCTAGATTAGATTCCTCTGATAGTTGAAGAAACCAACTTGCTATCGGCGATGATAGAAAAATACGAATGCCAATATGCACATCACATTAAGGTAAGCGTGGTTGAAGAGATTGCTTATGAGATGAGAGAGCACGGCCCGCTTCCAGGTGCTATCTATATCTGAGATCTGACTGCCTTCTGAACACTTCGACCATCACAGAGGCTCTTTCCCACCACCTCCCCTACCAGCATGCAACTCGCCATCGTATTTGCCGCCGGCACAGTCGGTAGCACACTCGCATCTGCCACCCTCAGCCCTTTCACGCCATACACCCGCCCGCTCTGATCCACAACGCCGCCTTTCTCGCGATCAGCCATTCGGCACGAACCGCAGAAATGGTAAGTCGTCGAATATTGAGCTTGTATATAACCATCCAACATCACGTCGTCGGCTACAACTTGCGAAGTGATGCCCAACGGAGCTGTGAGTACGGTTTGCATGGCGGGCGACGTGAGCACGGCGTATGCAGTGCGCACAACTTCTCGCGCCAGAGCTCGATCGCGCGGGGTACTCAGGTAATTAGGACGTACTAGCGGCATCTGGTTCGAGTCTTTGGAGCGGATCTCCACCGTGCCGAGTGAAGTGGGCTTATTGATGTTACATCCTATTCCCACAACATGACCTGTCTCTGTGCCCCCCAAGCTCCTGTGTGGCTGGCCTCCTCGTGGTGTGGACGGGTCCGTCGACTGGGTGAAGAGATACGAGAAACAAACCATCTGCAAGTCAACCGCACCGGGATTCAGCGACGACGACCATCGCGCTTGCATCTGCAAGGAATAATCCGTGTCCGTGTAAGCACCAGGTCGTGGCCGCGCGACCAGTGGGATACATGGATGGTCGCTAAGATTAAATCCCACTGGCAGCTCGACCAAAGGCGCAATTCCATGTCGTCGAAGTAGCTCCGTTGGACCGACACCCGAGCGTTGCAAGATAGCTGGCGAAAATACTGCGCCCGCACAAAGGATGATTTCGTGGGTTGCGCGTATCTTGCGGCCGTCAGCAAGCACAACTGTCTCGGCCTTGCAGTCCTGGTCCTGGAAGAGCACTCGATCCACTAGCGAATCGGTCAAGATAGTAAGATTGGGGAAGCTTCGGGCCGGGCCGATGAAAGTGTCCGCTGCACTGACCCGGGTGGAGCCGCGACGACAGACGGGTGCGGGACCGACACCCTCCGCTCCCGTTACCTTCAGATCCGGGGTAAATTGGAAACCGCGAGATGCAGCGCCGTCGACGAAGGCAGCCTGAATCTTGCCTGCTTCGTCCATACTCGCTCGGGCAATGGGATGCGGTCCGCCTGTGCCTCGAAGAGGGTCGCCTTCGAGTCTTTCGTATACAGAGACTGAACTCTCGAAATCCCAGCCATCATTTCCTAACGCAACCCATTCCCTTGCATCGGCTTCTGTATGTCGCAAAAAAGTGCCTCCATTGATACTGCTCCCTCCGCCCATAACCTTTGCCTGCGGGACAATCATCCGCCCTCCGCCAGGCACGTCGACTTCAAGATTCCAGTCGATCTTGGGGTCAAAAATCGCGGATTGACCCACCATAGGGACCCGGCGGGCATCATGTACACCATAAGGTATGGAGGAAACATTGGCGGGAGACGTATCAATGTCAGGCCCGGCTTCGATCAGCAGGACGTTAAAGGCCCGGCTCTCGGCCACCCGACGGGCCACAACGCAGCCCGCCGAACCGGCGCCAACGATAATGTGGGTAAACTGGTCGGCCTGCATGGAACTACCGCCATCAATGATGGTTGGTTTTCTTTTCGTCGGTTCCCTGGGGTCTATGGGGTCTATGGGGTCTTTAGGGCTATACTTCTGGGGTACAGAGAGCGCTTATACCATGACCAACTCCTGATTGGCGGCCCCCGGAATCCGACTCCAAGGGGCAAGGCTAAATGCGTAAATGGCTAAACGGTTCGGATCGGCGAAGCCAAGGGAACAATGTCGGGGAAAAGGGAGGCTAAATGGCTGAAAGGCTTTGGACCTGCGGCTCGGGCAGGTTTACGGCAGTATCTTGTCAGCTTTCCCCGTGAATGATTGTATCCGGGGTCTGGGGTCCGGGGTCTGGAGTCTGGAGTCTGGAGCCGATTGGGTGGCGTGTGCTCCGAGGCGTCAGAATGTCCATACATATAAACAACCACCAATCCTCCTGCGATGTGATTTCACCTGAGTACTCTATCGTCCCTCGTCTATCTTCGCTTCCTTCAACCTCATTCTATTCCACAGATCGAAGTGGCAACCCGACGTGCGTGCCCTCACCATGGCCGTCCAACTGTGGAAACATTTGCCCGGAAAGGCACTCATGTTTCTCCTCAACCTCTTCACCGCTATTGCCCTCATCTTCGAGGGCTACAACCAGGGAGTTCTGGGTACCGTCAGTACGACGTCAGGCTTCATAGACATGGCCGGCATCGGGTCCAATGGTGTCGTGACCAACAGCACCAAACAGGGTGGTCTGCTGGCAGCGTACTATTTCGGTGCCATGTGGGCATGTTTCGCTGGAGGTACGAACAAATCACTTCAACATCCCTTTTTTGTTAGTTGTGCATTTCTAGATACTGATGAATGGGAACAGGGTGGGTGGGCGACAAGCTCGGCCGAAAAAAGGGCGTCTGGATCGGCTCACTCTTCTGCATGCTCGGCGCGGCGCTCATGTCCGCCAGTGAAAATAGTAACATGTTTATCTGCGCGCGGGTCATCGCAGGGATCGGCATCGGGTTCATCAACGCTATCGTTCCGCCGTGGGTGAGCGAGCTCTCTCAAGCACACGACCGCGGCTCCAACTTCTCGCTCGTCTTCGTCGCGAACTATGCTGGCATTGCGATTGCGTACTGGCTCAACTTCGGTATCAGGTCGTCCGAAGTGGAATTCCAATGGCGTTTCCCCCTGGCGTTTATGACGGTTCCCGTCTTGATTGTTATTCTTACTGTCTTCTTCCTGCCCGAGTCGCCGAGATGGCTGATGGCCAATAATCGCCGCGAGGAAGCGATCGCTATCCTGCGCAAGATCCGTGGTGACTTGGATCCCCGAGACCCTAAGCTTCTTACCGAAGTTGAGCAGCTCGAAGCAGTTGTCGAAGCATCGCACCACAAACGAAACAACTTTTTCAGTCTCGTCCTCGGCGGGCGCTACTCGGGAAAACTGCATCTTGGTCGACGCGTTGTCATGGGTCTGGCACTCCAGCAGATCCAGCAATGGACAGGTATCCTTGCCATTGCCACCTGGGCTGGTACACTGTTCAAGCTTGCCGGGTTCGATGCCTATAAGTCAGCCTGGCTGGCCGGTCTGGTCAACACCTTTGGTATCCTGGGAACCGCCTCTGCATCACTGGTGATCGACCGCATGGGCCGGATTAAATCCCTCATGATGTCTTTCGTCGCGCAGGGTATCGCCTTATTTCTTGTCGCCGCGCTTATCAAGGAGAGTGAGAATCACCAAGCCACCGATCCGGCCATGGCATCCAGCTTAGGTACCGCCGCAGCCGCGTTCGTCTTCATCTATCTCTGGTTCTTTACCATGTTTAACATCGTTCCATGCTGGATATATGGCACGGAAATTTGGCCGCAGGAAGTGCGCGCAAAAGGTTACTCGTTCACTATTCTGGGCTGGGCGATCGGGTGCGGAATGAACACTTTCGTGATCCCCATCATGCTAGACCACTTGGGATGGGCCACCTTCATCTTCTTTGGCTGTATGAACGTCCTCGCCATGCCACTCGTCTGGTTCTTCTATCCCGAGGTCGCCGGTAGATCACTCGAAGAGATCAACCTGCTGTTCACGAGCGAGAGTCTGCTTGTGTCCAAGAACATGGCAGAGTATCACCGGCGCATCAATGAGGCCGGTGGTAACATTGCCGTAGCTGCGCGAAGGCTTTTGGACGAGGTTGATGGCACTACGGATCTCGATCCAAGAAGGATTCTTGCGGCAAAGGGCGCGGAGGGCGAGAAGAACGAATTCGATCATGTAGAAGAGTCGCCAAGCAAAGTATAATGAAGATCTGCCTGACTGGGATCAATCGTCCGAAATGAGCATAATGCTGTTTGTTGGGCATTCAAGAAGTGGTTCGTTTGAAGTCGTGCTTGTATACCTTATGTTATATATGAGAATGATATTTGCTTTTGACATTTTCGTACTTTTATAGTACGTATTTGAGAGTTGTGAATAATTACGTTTCCGATTTGCCGTTTAGAGGCAAATTCTAACTGGTAGCGGGCCTGATTCTCGCTGAGAAGGGGATAACAGAGACCCAATGTATTGCCCGAGCCCCAGTGTATGTGTGTGTGTGAGAGAGAGAGAGAAATGCATTATACTCGAATATCAGCCACCGTGGGGGGCTCTTCCCGAGTCGACAACGGCCGTAACGGTCTGTCCTAGGCTACTTTCTTGTTATACATGCCCGAATGATCCCTCCAGTTGGTTTCCTGGCCTCGAGGTCCTGCATCCCACAGTCGAATCCCACAGTCGAATCCCACAGTCAAATGTCACAAATAGTCAAAAAAGTCAAATCCATCATAGTCATAGTCAAATCCAGCGCCCGTCGTAGCCCACAAGCTCACTGCGGACCCTTCGGCCAGCCAGCTTTTGCCCCTTTTCCATTTCCCACCCCCGAGCCCCAGTGTCTCTCTCTTTGCGATCCATAGAATCATCGTATTATGTAATGGTCAAAACCAGTGCATTTTTTTGTTCTATACTAACATAGTTTTGTAGAATATGTTTTCTTCTACTCTTCTCAGTTTGATGCTAAAACAGCTGGATGCTTCCAAGTACTCGCCCCACCATCAACCAACAAATCCTGCCCTGTATACCACCCACTTGCGCCATCACAGCACAAGTACAAGATAGCACCCTTCAATTCGTCCGGCATCCCAATCCGCCCAAACAAAGTTTCCTTCTCAAACTGGTCCACCAGCTGAGGTTGCTGCTCTTGCAATCCTCGCATCATATCCGTCATCATATACCCTGGACTCAGGGAATTGACTCGAATGCCATACGGCGCAAGTTCCATGGCCATGGGTTTCACAAGTCCCTTCACAGCCGCTTTGGATGCTGTATAGCAACTGATCTGCTGGGCGCTGGAGGCAATGTGCGTCGCGATACTGGCGACAAAGATGATTGTGCCAGTAGTAGGCTGCGTTGCTGGCTCGTCGCCGTGGATGGATTTGTACCGAGCGACCATGCTGTTTGCACAAGCCTGAGCCACGAGGAAGGAACCGGTAAAGTTGACGGCGAATGTGCGCTCGATATTCTTATCGGTCGTCTTGAGGAAGGGCTCATCCGTGACCACGCCCGCGGCATTGACATTGATATCAATTCGTCCAAACTGCGCTTCGATCTTCTCAATTGCGGCAGTGATCTCGGAACGTGAGGTGATTTCCGCGCGGTAATACTCCAATTTGATGTTGTGGTGGTCTCGCAAAGCGAGAAGATCGGGGGAAGGCTCTTGGAGGATGTCTAGCACGGCGAGATTACAGTTTGCGCTCGCCAGTGCAGTGGCAAATGTGAGACCTAAGCCGCGTGCTGCGCCGGTGATGACGGCGGTCTTGCCTTTGAGCGTGAACTGTAGATTATTAGCAAAAGCTAGGTATACAGTACATTGCGTTGACAGTTACTCACTAAGTTGGTTGCCATGGTGAAGAATTGGTGTGTATAAAAGTGCTGGTGAGTGAACAGCAGAATTACCTGAACTGAGTCTGGAGAAGAGGCTTAAGTATTGTAACGACGACCTTTGCTCATATAAGAAAAAGCCAGGCGGCTTGAGGGATATCAGGGCCGGCCCCAACATCCCCGCATTGCCGGTATCGCTATCCATAAAGATGATCCAATTTACATTGTAATAGGCCATTACCTGCTCTAAACGGGCATTCTTTGGTGGCTTAGACAATCTTCCAGCTTGTACGACGGTTAAACGCTTGAGCGGACGGCTAAATGGTCGAAAATTCGGCTAAATGGTTGGCGGAAGTTGCCCGGCGCTTAGTGTCTGGGGAAGAGTATAGAACAAGATGTGGGGTAATATTGGGGTAACCTCAAGTTCTTCCCTATTTAGGACGATTCTTGACCTCTGATAGCCTCTCTGAATACGCACGTCTTCGGAGGCAGCTATAAGTTGAATCATCTGGAGGGACGACCAATCAATCCCAGACTTCAGCTACTGTCCGAAAGACTTCCAGCACGGCAATACGATATACACGTAGCCCACAATGGCGCAGAGCCAATTCACCTGCCGCTGGGCTGCACTCTCCCTGTCTAATATCGCCTCCGTCTTCCTACCAGACCTGCTCCTCCCCCGGGAATCTTCTGCGTCCATCAAACATGAGCTCGTCTCAGTCAGTACGACCGGCGGCGCCTCTCGTGCAGCCGACTGGATGAAACAGAACAAAATCCCCAATGCCGAGTCCGTCACCGTCTACCACTCTTGGGAAGAAATGCTGGAAAAAGGAGACTTTGACGTCGTTTACATCTCCACGCCACACCCCTTGCACTACGCCCACGTAACAAAGGCCCTACAGTGCAAACGCAATGTGCTCGTCGAGAAACCAGCAACGATGAATCGCGCACAGTTCACTCAACTGTGCAAGCTAGCAAAAGAGGGAGACGTCGTGCTCATGGAAGCGATGTGGACGCGCTATCTCCCTGCTACGCTCTACTTCCAGAATGAGCTACTTCCGCGCATTGGCGATGTGAAACGCGTGTACGCTGAGTTCAGCTTTCCCATTGTGTCACCAGATTTGAGTCATGAAAGCCGGTTCCTCGATAAGGCGGCTGGAGCGGGAAGTTTGTTGGATCAGGGCGTATATGCATTGACGTGGGCTGATCTCGCGCTCAATGGCCTTGTATCCAGTCAAGATAAGACGCAGACTGAAGTTGTGCATGCGCATTCCATGCCGGTTTCGGGTGTATCTGGGGATGTGGACGATATCAACACCGTCATACTCAACAAATTTAAGACCAATGAGAGCGGCAGCAAGCAACAGGAGGCGGTCGCTATTGTCACGACGAGCATGACTCTTCCTGGCTCCAGCAAACCAGCTTTCTACCAACGGCTACAGGCCACGAAAGCAGCACCAACTGTACGTATCGAAGCCACCAAGGCCTCGGTTTCTATTCCATTCCCTCCTATCAGACCTCAGGAACTACATATTCAGTGGTATGACGAGGAGCATCTGGATGAAAATGGTATTGAGACGGAAGAGGTGGTCAAAAAGCCTGTGGAGAATGGTTGGGGCATCTGGTATCAGGCTGATGTTATCGCGGAAAGAGTGGCGAGAAGAAAGGAGGGCTCTCAGGGCATGGGCGAGGTTATTGGCGAGGAGGAGAGTGGAAGGGTGATTGGGTGGATGGACCGTGCTAGGGAGATGGCCGGCATTGTGTATGATGCGGCGCTTGAAGAGGTCTGAAATGGAGCTGTGTCAGGCTCAAACCTCAACTGTCGCGTCGACTACAATCATCTTATCTGTTAAGATTATTTTTCATATAGAGCTAGAGTTTTCTCAAATTATTCACATCCTTACTCAGAACTCTCAGTTTGCCATAATAATGCACAGTATTTCCCTCCTGCAATATGAGTTTCAGATAGGCTCGCACTTTTCACGTCGCGTAACCTCAAGCTGGATCTTAATTTGAAGACTCAAATTACTGAGCTGGCGCATTATGCCGAGTCCCATACACTAAAACAGAAAAGTAAAGCTAAGAATTGCCAGACATTATCCGGTACATATGCGAAGCACAATGACAGGCAAATAGCGAGAAGAGTGCAGCAGCCTGACAGCACTATGTCGAGGAGGCAGCATCGGCATAGGCGGATTGTTGCAATAGCGGATAAGGGGAACACGGCACAAAATACAAAGAAGCGTGCCAAGCAGGTGGTAGAGCAGAAGAGCATTGTAGCGTCTAGAGTACGATGGTGGCGTGTATTTGGAAGTTCAAACCCCTGCAACTTCTCAATAACTGGTGGCTTTTGTGAGTCAGTACCAGAATGGAATGGATTGTTTTTGGTCTATTTTTCGGTTTTTTTGATGACCTAAATGACTTCCAAACACTGAGATGGTTTCATTCTTGCAATACCTGGTGCAAAGCATCGAAAATCTAATCTAGCAACTCTCAGAAGCACTACACATAATATCACATTTAGATACACGTGTTTATTTTCAGTGAAACATGCATGTAAGCCACTATTTATATGATCACAAGCTATCCATCTTGGATCTGATTTCCGGTGCAGAGGTGCCTGATGGAGCGCGGGGTACAATCCCACTCGAGAGCCAGACACCTCAGACTGACAATTTCCAAGATTCATCCAATCCTCTCTCAGCACCGCACTCAGAGCTGATCATTACCCAGCTGCAAGAGCGGCATGCATTTCGCTCTACAAAATCTTTGTTGAGGATCAATAAATTCTACTTCGCGCAAGATACCAGCTAAATCTGACAAGAAGCCCAAGTATGCGGGTCACGCCAGATGAGGTGAGATAGTCCTCTAAATGCAGTCCCGCCAAGATTTCAATGTAGTACTAGCGGTATCTGCGGCCAGATCTGGACAGGCACTGGGTATACACATTGGGCTGGAAGCATGCCAATCACGTACTTTCGTAGGTGAACATACAAAAGGGATTGCCGGGTTCAGCCTGTCAAGATGCTCGTGCTGGTTCATGATTAATAGTCTACAACTTAAAACATTTCAAAATGATTGTTGACTTTGATCTCAGATCGGACTACGTTCAAATTATTAATGGCAAGAGTTCGCCTACATCGGCCACTCGGCATGGCTTGAACCCAGCTACCTTGGAGGAACTTCCAGAAGTACCGGTTGCAACACCAGAAGATCTGGACCGTGCCACTGATGCCGCGAAAGCTGCTTTCAAGATCTGGTCTACTACACCATATGAGGACCGAAAGAAGGCCGTGTTGGCTTACGCCGATGCTATTGAGCAATACAGCGATCAGTTCCGAGATCTCTTGATCACCGAACAAGGCAAGCCGGTGGGTCATCACCGTCCGATACTGCGTATGCTCCGTCCCTCTGATACTTCTTTGAACAGATTTTCCAGGCGACCATTGAGACCGAGAGCGCCATCAATTGGATTAGAGGAATGGCAAGCCTCCCACTGCTCGAAGACGTTATTGAAGATGATGAATCGAAGACCGTGATAACAAGATATGTTCCTATCGGCGTCGTCGGTGCTATCGTCCCTTGGAACTTTCCCCTGTTGCTTGCAACTGGAAAAATAGCGCCCGCTCTATTGACTGGCAACGTCATTATTGTGAAGCCTTCGTGAGTCCTTTTTGGTACAGCTATTCTAGTGATCTTATTTAATAAATTAAGCGCAGGCCATTTACTCCATACGGCGGTTTGAAGCTTGTCGAGTTGGCCCAGAAATTCTTTCCTCCGGGTGTTGTGCAGTCTTTGAGTGGTGATGATCACCTGGGACCCTGGATCACAAGCCACCCTGATATAGATAAGATCAGCTTCACTGGCTCAACCGCCACTGGAAAGAAAGTACTGCAGAGTGCTAGCCGCACGCTGAAGCGTGTGACTCTTGAGCTGTGTGTTAGACCCAGGCTTTATGCAAGATACCTTGACTGATAGATTATTAGCGGCGGTAATGATCCTGCCATTGTGTTCCCCGACGTCGATATAGAAAAGGTGGCCGAGAAGGTGAGGATACTCAAATGGCTGACATGGAGCGAAATTGGTATACGAAACTAATTTTGCAGGTCGCATTCTTTGCATTCTTGAACTCAGGGCAAATCTGCCTCAATTTGAAGCGTATTTATGTGCATAGCTCCATCTTCGAACAGTTTAAGGACGCCTTGGTCCGCCAGGTCAAGTCATACACTCTCGGCGATGGTTCCAAAGATGGAATCAGCCACGGGCCTCTTCAAAATAGCATGCAATACGCGCGTGTAAAGACATTTTTCGATGAAATCGAAAAGCAAGCCTGGAAGGTTGCCGTAGGGGGTCAGATTGAGCCCTCGACTGGATACATGGTCACTCCCACAATTATCGACCGACCGCCTGATAACTCCAGCATCGTAGTTGAAGAGCCATTTGGTGAGTTGGAGCTTTTATCGGTTTATATGCTCGCCTTTTCTAACCTCTTGCAGGCCCGATTGTGCCTCTTATGTCATGGGACGATGAGGCTGAAGTTATCGAACGTGCTAATAACTCTGATATGGGACTTGGCGCATCCATCTGGACTGCTGATCTGGACCGCGCAGCGCGAGTTGCACGTCAAATTCAAGCTGGTACAGTTTGGACTAATGATCACTTTAATCTCAGTCCCACCATTCCTTTTGGCGGTCATAAAGAGAGTGGCGTTGGTGTAGAGTGGGGTCTCAATGGGCTGAAAGGTTTTTGCAATGTGCAGACCCTTTTCTTGAAGAAGAGCGTCTGAGTTTAAACTCAGCGATAATCTTGGATGAACGAGGCAGTCTTAAGATATTTTCGATTATTTTGAACGCATCCCCAGTGCCTTTCCAAAATTGAAGATCATGCTTTGATTCTGAGTGAGCAGATATTTGATTGTGCTGCAAATCTGCCAATAGAACTTCTGATCTGAAGTGTTAGCGCTGTATGTACACAATCTGTCCCAGAATGGTATAGTGTTGATATTCATGCATAGACAGCGCATCGCCGGCGCTAAATCGTTCCCACCAACCCCTCGTTTTAAATAGTTGTATCTAATATAAGCCTTTTATTATGTCTTACAGAATATTGCTTGGGACTTCTAGTATCTCTCCCTATATTTTTCCCATTAAAAGATGGAAAAATTCAAAAAATGGCGAAAACAACGGAAACCGATCACGTGTGTGCCTGAGGCCACAAATTCAACCAACAACGCGCCCCCTCCGGTCTACAAGACAGACCCCCCTTTGGTATCCCCTCGTTCGGCGGCGTTGAAATTCGGGTTGAAGCTTCTCTACGATTGTCCCAATGCAATCGTTGATATTTGTTTTGTTCATGGGTTGACTGGCGACCGTGACAAGACCTGGACCGCGGTAGGCCAGACAACACCATGGCCCAAGATACTACTTCCCCCGAAACTCAACGCTCGTATCCTGATGTATGGCTATGATGCCCATGTTGCACGAAAATCAGTCGTTTCGTCAAACCGGCTCATAAATCATGCTCAGAACCTTTTGGGGGACTTAACGGCCGATCGAAGCTGTTGCAATGCCTCCTCTCGTCCCTTGATTTTTGTCGCCCATAGCCTTGGTGGTTTAGTGTGTAAAAAGGCCATTCTTCTCTCGCAAAATGCCGCTGAGCCTCAATTGCGGGCTCTCTTTGATTGCCTTGAAGGAATCGCATTTATGGGAACTCCACACAAGGGAGCGTGGATGGCAGATTGGGCCAAGATTCCGGCTTCCGTATTTGGTCTTGTGAAATCGACGAATGTGACCTTACTCGATATATTGCAACGAGATAATCAGCTTTTGGATTCCATACAAGTCGACTTCGTGACAATGATTCGAAGACTGCGAGAGAGTGGTAGGGCCGTTGGGGTCGTGTGTTTCTTTGAAGAATTGCCATTCCCTGTCGTGGGTAAGATTGTTACGGAAGAATCGGCGACACTGGACGGTTATGATGTTTATAGCATTTATGCCAACCATCGGGACATGGTTCGGTTTGAGTCGGAAGAGGACCCTGGGTTCAAGAGGCTGCTGTGGAAGCTTCTTACGTGGACTTCGCAAGTCGGTAAAATACTTCCTCTCTACACTTAGATCATGGTCAAATTCCAGCTGACGCAGTTTCAGATGACCAAACAGCAGAACACTATACGTTTAACGCCGAGGATCGAGCCTGTCTGAGGGATTTGCAGACGACTAATCCTCGCGATGATAAGTCCCGCATCGAAGCCACTAAGGGTGGTCTCTTGAGAAATTCATACAACTGGGCTCTTGAAGATGAGGGGTTCTTGGAGTGGCACCACAGGGAAAGAGACGGTGGGGTTCTCTGGGTCCGAGGTGATCCGGGCAAAGGCAAAACCATGCTTTTATGCGGAATCATTGATGAACTCTCGGATGTGGACCAAGGACACATTTCATTCTTCTTCTGTCAAGCCACTGATACACGCCTAAACTGTGCGACGGCTGTGTTGCGTGGCTTGATTTACATGTTCATTGATCAGGAACCCGCTCTCATTTCTCATGTTCGGCAGAGATATGATGAGTCTGGGAAACAACTCTTCGAGAATCCGAACGCATGGCATGCACTGTCGAAAATTCTCGTTACCATGTTGGACCATATAAATGACCCCTGCTTGGTCATTGACGCGCTGGACGAATGCTCCACGGGTCTTTCTTCACTATTGGAACTCATAGTTCAAGTTTCAACCACCCATCCCAATGTCAAATGGATTGTCTCAAGTCGAAACTGGCCAGAAATCAAAGAGCATATGAGCATGATATCTGAGAAGAGAAGGATAACACTGGAGATGAATGAAAGTTCCGTGTCCGAGGCAGTTAAAATTTTCATTTACCATAGAGTTAAGCAATTGGCCAAGCTCAAGAGATACACTCAGCAGATCTTTGATGCTGTTTATTCTCATTTGCTATCGAACGCACAAGGGACCTTCCTATGGGTTGCGTTAGTCTGCGAAAGGCTCGCTGGCATACCCCGCTTGAGGACAATTGAGAAGCTCCATGCTTTTCCATCCGGACTTGATGCACTGTATCAACGAATGATTCAGCAAGTCTGTGAGCACGATGAGGCTCCTCTTTGCAAGAACATACTCGGCCTAGTCTCCACTACATACAGGCCTATCACAGTTGATGAGCTAACAGCTTTCATTGATGTGCCTGAATACGTCTTGGAAGATGACTATGAATCGTTGGAGGAAATTATAGGATATTGTGGGTCTTTCCTGACCATATCCAAAAACACGATAACTTTTGTTCACAACTCTGCAAAGGAGTTTTTACTTGAAAAGGCCAAACACGAGATCTTGCCCTCTGGCATAGCAAGGAAGAATGTTTTCATCCTTGAGCAATCTCTTATATTTATGAATAAAATACTTCGACGGGATATTCTCTCCCTGGGGGAGTCAGATGACCCTACTGGCCAAGCATATGACGAAAGTCTTTCTCTGGGTCCCCTTGCAAAAGTTCAGTATTCATGTGTCTATTGGATTGACCATTTACGAGCCTGTGACCAAGAGACGGCTATTCGTGATTATCTCCAGGAAGGGGGCTTGGTGGACCACTTTCTCTCGAAGAGGTTTCTCTTCTGGTTGGAAGCCTTGAGCCTCTTAAAGAGCGTTTCAAGGGGGCTTAGAGAGATGTTACAACTTGAGGCTTTGACTAAGGCAAGTCAATCACTAGCTTCATTTGAAGGAACATGGTTGGGCTAACTGGTACCCTAATCAAGGAAACGCCAATTTTGAGCCAAGTTCAAGATGCGTCTCGGTTTTTCCGTTACCACAGCTCCATATTGGAGAGTAGTCCTTTGGAAGTATACAAATCTGTTCTTCTTTTCACTCCCAAGTCTAGCCGAATCAGAAGTTGTTTTCAAGAAGAGGTCCCAGACTGGGTGGAGATGAAACCAGCCATTGAAGATTGGACTTCGTGTGTTCAAACACTCGAGGCGCATGAGATTGCCGGTTTCCAGCATTTGGAATGGGCACCCGATGGAACACGACTCACGTCATTTTCGAGAGATGGCGCTATCAAGATTTGGGACCTGGCCGGCAATCGCTGCGTATCGTCCTTTCAGACGCATGGACTAGTTGGCACATCTGCGACCTGGTCCTCTGATGGAGCATATATTGCTTCAGCCTCATCGGACCTCAAGATTAAGATCTGGGACCCAGAGACAGGGCAATGTCTATCGACTCTACTGGGACATGAGTTTCCTATCAATGCTGTGTTTTGGTCGGAAGATGCAGCACGACTTGTCTCATTATCTTGGTCTCAGAAGCAGGAGAACCCTTCACCTTTTACCATTAAAGTTTGGGATCGAATGACTAGTCAATGCGTCCTGACAATTAACGGGGATAACAACCCAATTAGCTCTGCTTTCCCGTCATACGATAGGAAACGTATCGTATCTGTCGCACACGATGGCATCATCAAAACTTGGGAAATATTCACTCACCAGAGGATGTCATCTCGAAAGGTCTATCCTCAACCCCAACATCTCAGCTTTTGGTCCCATGATGGAATGAGCTTCATTCATTCAGATTGGCTATCAAATACGATCAATATCATAGACACGTCCACTTGGAAGCCCATTAAAATTCTCAAAAGTGACGATGACTATCAGATTATGTCTTTTGCTCTTCCGCATGACGGCAAACAGCTTGCCTTGGGGTCGGCTGATGGCATTGTCGAAATTTGGGATCTGACCACGGGAAAACGCGTTTCAACGCTCCATAATCATCTCAAGAATACTGCTCGTATTGCCTGGCTCAGGGATGGAAGACTCGTGTCTGGCTCATATGATGCAATCATAAAGATATGGGATCCATCTACGAGCCAATGCCTCTCAACCTTTCACGGACAAAGAGGTGATATTCGTTCTCTCCTCTTGTCACCTGACGAGACTCGACTTATATCCACCGCTGCATTTGATTCGACCATTAAGGTATGGGACTTGAGTTCGTCAAAGGCTATTGAAGGGCATAGCCAGGAAGTGACATGTATAGTTTGGTCTTACGATGGATCGTGCTTTGCTTCATATTCCAACAAAGAAGCAAAAGTTTGGGATCCACTTAGAGGAGAGTGTCTCTCGACTCTTACAAATCCCAAGGGCGACATTTTGAAAATATGCTGGTCATCTGGTGGAGAAATGGCATTGCTTTCCTCGGTCGGGACTGTCTTTATTTTTAATACTTCGACTGGCCAGGTTTCTTGGACTATAGAGTCCATTGAACCCAGCGCTGCTTTAGCCTGGTCATCGGATGGTTCACAGCTTATGCTGGCTTCATACGACAACTTGATCAACACGTGGGACACAAAAGCCCGTAAGCACTTGTCGACGGTCAAAGCAGACAACATTGGAATTTCGGTGACATGGTCTCGTGATGCAACAAGGTTTGCCTCCGTGGCAGAGAACTGGAGCATCATGATCCAAAATCCATATACTGGCAAATGCATCTCACAGCTAGAAGGATATCATTGCTCAGAATTCGACCAAATCCCTGTATTCTTAAGAAGGCCAGTTTTCATGTCCTGGTCATACGATGGAACGCGCCTTGCCTCTGCAATGGGTCCGACTGTCAAGATCTGGGATCTTACAATCAGCCAATGTACCTTGGTACTCGAACTAGATGAAGTTCCCGACCAGTTTCAGTTTAACTTCCCTCGTGGGCCTTCATTTGGTGAAACAGATCCTAGATATCTTCATACTAGCATTGGCTCCATTGACATTGCGCCGCATGCAGACCCGACAACGGACATCTCAGCACGCCTCATTTGTTCGCCACGGCCGAAAGGATTTGGCGTCAGTCAATGCGGTTCCTGGATTACTCATAATGGGGTTAAGCTTCTGGCATTACCATCTGACTACGGCCCAAGGGTACCCGAAGCTTTCGCGATATTATCGAGCACTGTGGTGTTCGGCTCTGTGACGGGGCGAGTCTTGATATTGAAATTCTCGAAACAAATGTTTGATGGACGGTAACAGAATTTACAGTGGGACGAAAATGTTTATAATTTACAACATTTGCAAGTACCTTGGGATCAAGAGAGCTTTCGATTGCCCCCATCTGTTTGCTCCAGCGCTTGCATGTCTTAGCTAGATCTCTCTCTCTCCCCCATTCCTCTCAGAATACAGATCGTGTCCCTTTCGTCTGTTTCCACGCTATCATTTAGCCCTTTCTTGCCCTGGCCGACAGAAAAACTGACGACAGAAGCCATGAAACTTAACGTTCAATTTCAACGCTGGCTTCTAATCCACCAAAAAGTTTTCACCCGTTGTATGAATAGAAATCATCTAGTTCATATTGGCTTAAAATCCTATGTCCAAGTTCAAACAAGGAAGAAGGACTGAATTAAGATAACTTATGAAGCTTGAAAGTCCGCGGGTGAGGAACTGAGGTAATCGATAACTGGTATCAATTGAATGACTAGCTAAACAGATAAAGTTTGATCCAATACATATATGTACTATATGCACATGTGGATGATCAAGCCTCGGTATCTGACAAGCTATCTAAGCACGCTTTCCGTTGATGCTGACGAGCTCAACCTTGCTATAATAAATTGTTAGTTTCGTCATTCCAATTCAAATATGAAGCTTCTTTTAGCTTTGGGAATAGGGATGGATCAAAACTTACAAGATGAGGTCGGCCTTGGGGGGAATGACGGGAGGGTAGCCACTAGAACGAATCAGTATCATACAGAGCAATTATTGAGTGTTCACTGTGGGCATTGAGCTTTTCAAGGAAAGACATCGAGGTACTTGTGGACTTCAATGTAGTAGCAGGGATTTAAACGTACCCGTCACCGTAGCCCATGGCGCTATAAAAAGCCAGAAATCAGTTCTCTTGTTCAAGGAAGATAATACTGAGAATAACAAAAACTTACTAAGGAATCTGCAGGTAAGCAGTCTCGCCCAGGCTCATCTGGGGAACACCAACGTCCCAACCTATGCGAGAGCATTGTTAGCAAGCTCTGCGTTCTGCATTTGAACACGATTTCGATTCGAAGGCTTGAATCAATTGTATCGAGATATTTGATACGAAGATTTCGGTCCAGGGTTGAAGGAGATAGCGAACCTTGAATGAGACGGCCGACGCCGATCTTGCTAGCAAGGGGAGAACCGCGGTCGTACGAGCTGTCGAACCTGTGATGAAAAGCTGTATTAGCAAGGAGGAAATACAGATAATTGAAATCAAAAACATGTGAAAGACCGGCGCTCACTTCTTGCCCATGCCGTCAGGAGCGTCCTTGTCATAGAGACGGCCGTCGTAGTGCATCTCGACCATGGATCCAATGGCAGGGTAGTCAACCTTGTTGCCAGGGGAGATGAGAATCTTAGCGAATTCCTTGAGAACACCAGACATTTTGAGAGATTGTGATGATAGAACAATTGGGTTGAATTGAAGAAGATGATGCAGGAGAAAATCGAGGGGCCGAGAGCTTTATCCGCTTTTTCCCCGAGTGGGGTCTTTTGCCCTCCAACGTAATGACGGGAACCACTCACAGTCAAAAACCACAATTCCCTTGTTCTTACCTCAATCTTCATCGGTCCAGAAGTTCATTGAGTTCGAATCTTGGATCTTATGACGTATGAGGATCATATCTACTCTGCATGTTCTACAAAATACAGAATTATAGAGAGGCTGGGTAGTAGTAAAGCTACAAGCCGAAAGCTTTCTCGCAAACACTTATGTCCCTGGTGTGAAGAACATCTTGCAGGGGAACGATTAAGGCCATGGTACTCAATACCGGGTACAATGCTAGCTGAATGGACCAGGATAGATAGTCCGGTTTGCTGTACAGTAAGCGTGGCGCTACGCAGGGATCTTATTGGGACAATCACAACTTTGGAATATCCGTGTGTTCTCAGTCTTGAAAAGAATAAATCTCCAGCTCACCGCATAGGTCCTTCCCCGAAATTCAATTACAGTATGGGAATAGGGCTTGCATGCTCATTCGTTGTTGCGTCGACCTTAGTCTTATCGCCATGTACCCCTCCTTGGGAAGTGGCGGATGCTATTTTGGGCGATATGAGGTCGATCTTACTGTATATGCTTAGCGGTGATTACTATTAAGTTCCAAGCCCGTAATAAATGCAGAGCAGCCCGGTTTTATTTCGTACAGGCGGGATAAATGTACAGTGCTATGGTAATAATAATTACTGATTCGTAGAACCATATCTTGCCCTGCATGCAATGAACATCTATGCATTTCCCCAGAATTCCATCTTTTTCAGTTCCTCCAGGGAGATCGAGGCAATCAGAGTGCGCGGAAAACGCGCATCGGGCGCAGTGAACTGGACTGATCCATCCGCCATCTGCAGGTAGTGCAGCTGCGAGATGCCCGTGCGATCCAGGAATTCCAGCACCTTGTGGAAGTTCAAACTGACCTGATCAACGCCATGGCTGTCATCCGAAAGACAGAAGCGACCTCCCCGAACCAAAAATTCCTTGCAAATCTCGGCCTTGGGATATGGCTCCGTCATACCCTTCCTCAACGCAGCTCCATTAAGCTCCAACATACCCCCGTAGGAGGCAATAAAGTCCAGGTTTCTCAGAATCCGGCTCCAAACACCAGGCCATGTGGTAAAGCTGCGCTCCATATCATCACTCTTCAGACGAATAAGATCGAAGTGCCCCACAACTAGAGGCTTCAGGTCCTTTAGCATATCCAGCTGAGCGTCGAAATAGTCCTCGAATAAGCGCTCATCTGTGCCACCTGCAAGTTCCCGCGCACGCTCGTACATCGGCCGATCAAAGTCGATCGGGACGGTGTGCATGTGGTGGACGGAGCCAATGAAGAACTCAAATGGGAAGCGAGACAGTGAGCGATCGATGAGCTCTTTGGATTCAGGTCGAATCCAGTCGCATTCGAAGCCGATGATAATTTTGATTTGGGAGGCGTATTTTTCGCGGAGTCTTTGGGCTTCTTCCCAGTAGGCAGCTTCGTTAACCACTTGCCAGGCCTCTGTTTGGCCAGCTTCGATCTCTTCAGGGTAGAAGTCTTCTTTGTGGCGGGGCATATGCTCTGTCAGGCAAAAGACTTGCATTTTCTTGCTGATTGCTGTTTGGATGACTTCCTCTAGAGAGTCTTTTGCGTGGCCAGGGCAGAACTGGCCTGAGTGGCTGTGATGCGAGAATGGCATGGCTGCTGTGGTGGTTGAGTCAGTGGAATGCGGATAGGGAGACCATATTGGGCGTGTCTATATATGACTTTGGAAGAATAGTACGATACCGGTGAGTCTTCGAAGGTCTTTTCTAGCTTGGGATATGCCTGTGTTTCTAGAGCAGTGGTTTGTGAGAGTCATATATGGCCGGGGCAGTCGCGGCGCACAGTTGATATCGGACCGATAAGGATTTCCGTACCTCCACTATCGCGACAGCGAACTTCCAAGGTTATGTCAGACTTGAAGTATGTTATGACTAGACCATTTACAGGTACTCGAGAATGAATTGATAGAATTAATATGACATTGTCACTTTAGTCTGCCCTTTTCTATGGTATTCCAACGTAACAAGGCCATAATGTCCTCAGTACTTTGCGAGGCAAGGCCGATGTCCACCAAGCAAACAACATTGCAAGTTGGGGTTAATCGAGCCATAATATGCACAGGAAACTACTGTTTGACATATCATGAGCTCATCGCATCTCGACACAGTAGTCTATGCGAGCTTCTGTCGCGCGCGGTGGATTATACCCGCGTCGCAATAGACCGGGACCCCCGACGAGATGCGTTCATGCGCAATGAAGATCAATCAGATCACTCAAAGATCCAATAATTCCCTTCACCCTTCAACCCGCCGCCAAAACCGTTGCAACAACGTAGTCCCCATCATGAGAAATAGAAAGTCGTCCAACCCGACTATCACTCCCATCAACCGCAGTCCCCAAATACACAATCTCCGGCCTACGACTAAGCCCATTAACCTGATGAGACTGTGCCACACCCATATTAACATCCATATCCGAATCCGAACTCTCCTGCACCCGAACCATTACATCCTTCCACCCAATCGAAGCCGCTCCATCCGGGGCAGCTTTGCGCGCGGCTTCCTTCGCTGCGAATCGGCCGGCGAGCCAGCGCGTCATGTCGGCTGTGATGAATGAGGGCCGCGCGGGGATGGAGGTGCTTTGGGATTGGGGTTGTGATTGGAGGGTGAGGGACTCTTTGAAGCGGTGGTGGAAGTCTTTTTGTTCTTGCTCGCAGAGGATGCGGCGGGTGAAGCGTGTTAAATAGTTGCCTCGGCGCGTGAGGAGGGCAGTCATTCGGGGGAGGTGGACGATGTCTGTGCCTATATTTAGGGCATATGGGAATGGTATTGGTTTCATTGTCATATGCTCTGAGCGCGGGGTGGTATTGGGGAGGTGGTTGGAGGAGAGTTGGAGGTAAGGTGGAAAGATTCGGGATGCCCGCCAGCGGGATGGCTGAATTAGATGGGACTTCACATCTGTGGGGTATATTATCCATTGGACGGCAAGGACTGTCACCAAGCCGGCTCTACGGAGTGTTCCTATCGGGAGTAAATTCTCCGAGTCTTTTACAACGCTACAGGTGTAATTCAGTGCGACACTGACTCTGCTGCGACGGAGCCCTAGCAGGGTGGGATGCTCTACAGTCCTGTTTTCAAGTCACGTCTTTCCAATGACCATTCAGAAAGAGCAGCTTGTCTGTCGAGCACGGGTGGCACTGCCTGTCTCAGGCTAAGGACGCGAGCTTCAGCTTCTGTGTGGAAGCCAGCTATTCCGTCAGAGGCAGTAATACCAGATCAAATGATTAGAAGGAATAATTCTTCTATGCAGCATACACGCCTCATATGTACAGATCCATGAAAATCCATCCATCGACTTCGACTTCCAGGATCGGCCCGTCCGGGTTTCGCAGAACATCTCCAAGATCGATACGTCTCGATGCAATGGTGCAGGAAAACGACGAGTGGGATGGGGCGACTCGACTCATGTATCACGCGTTTTCATATCGTGCCGATCCAAAACTAACATCCGTGTAAAGGTAACGAAATTTAGTGTCCAGAAGCGGGCTTCTTGTCGCCTCCGTCAACCTCCTTCAGGAAGTTCCTATAAGAAGCTGTCAGTAACAAGGTTCTAGCTTCAATTGCGCATAAAACCAGCTATTGGTAGCTTTCCAGTCGATCCATTGCTCAATTGAGTTGTTGGGAAGCTGAGTTCACATACTGGATGAAGTCACCCTCTTCCTTGGAGGAAGCGTTGATGGGGGGTCCAGCGGCGGTCTTGGGCTTGGAGCCACCGGAGGTGGCAGCGTAGGAACCAGCGAAGATCGCGCCGAGGGTGGCCATGGCGAGCTGTTATCATCACAAGGATTTCCGGTTAGCTTGCTGAGGTTTCCATCTGTAGCCGCGAACTGGACTGAAAAAGGGATAGGCAGGTGCCCGCGCCAGCGGTGGGGGGAGGGGAGAAGTCGGTCACTTACGACGTGGGAGCCGACCTTCTTGCCGGCGATCTGGTAGTAGACGACCATCTTGAGTGACTGTGTGGGAGAGATGAAGATCAAATGCAGCGATGTGGAAGCGGAATCCTCAGGCTTGACAGAGACGAAGTTAGGTCCGAGACCGCCTTCCCTGATCCGGTTAGCGTAGTGTAATGACTCAGCATGTTGATATCATGTGATCTCCCGAAATGGTCCAGTAAGCCATAACATGAACTTGATACATGTACTTGTCACTATTTGTGATCTCATAAATCTTTGGAAGTGCCTGCCAGTCAGTTTTTTCTTAGTATTCCACTACCAACTATGAAGCAATATAGTCTTGCTACACACAGAAAATAGCCATAGCTCTCTCAATTCATATAGTAGCACTCTAGCTCTGTGATCTATTTAATACGTATCCCATATCTTCACAGACTTGAGACAATTTTATCCTCATCTTCGATCGATCCCATGCCTTGAATTTCTTCGCGACATGAACATTATCAATGTATTATTCATTGGCCAGCTGCAGAGATTCCAGGTCTCGGAAATTTGAGGAAAGATGAACATTCTCGACACTTGGTAGCTCGGTCCATGCCAGGGCAATCTTAGTGTCGATTGTTTGCCATTTTCTCGTTTTCACCCGAATCAACCTACCTACCCAGTCTTAGACAGATTTCCTACTACATCTTAAGATTTCAATGCCGCCTTTCTTCATACAGGAGTGACAGCTCTGGGCCATACTATGATTGGTCAATATGCATGACTCAGCAACTTGGATATCCGAAATGGCCCGGCATGTGGAAATCCATCGGCTAAAGCACGAGGCCAGTTTCCCGATAGAAACGAGAATTGTTGTTGAACAAATTTTCTCAAAATTGGCAAACATCATGAAGATAGAATAAGCTTCATACTCAACAAGGTTAAAGCAAATATAGTTTTGGAATTCGGCCATGAGACATTCACCCGCGGAACCTGGTCGGGAAGTAAACTATTCCACGGTCAACACTCTATACTCCGTACCCCGGCAATGGTGGTTTCGGAAGCTACCAACGGTTAACATCGATATTCTTATAAGATTGGACCCGCCGTAGCCTCAACTGACGTAGAAATTCCCCAAATTCTGCACTTGTCTGATTTTCCTCCTTTGGCGTTGCCCAGCATTGAAACCTGAAACCTGCAACCTGCGGCCCATGCACACATTCTTTACTCTACCGTGCTTTTAATCCTTCTTCTCTCATTGATAATCATTCTTTGATCTCATTCTTTTCACTTTCTGCATTCTCCGCGTGAAATATCAAGATGACAACGAGTGCTAGTGGCAGCCAGCAGGATGCGTCCGTTTCGCCGCCTACCAACAAGTCTGCAGCGGGAAAGCTCTCCCCGCGTCTACAAGAGCTACTGGATCGCTATGATTACTATGACGACCACTACTCTTCATAGTAAGTACAGATTGATATTAACCGCCTCCAACCTTCCCCCGAAATCCTCGATTTTGCCTTTTAATCGCATCTCCTTTCCATTTCGGAATTGCCGAGTGATCTCCTGCCTAGAAGCGGAGGAGGGGCTTAGCCCGCACCAACAACGACTCCACTTCCCGGCTTATTGCTGCTATGTCATAACATACTCCACCAGCATCAAGCTACAACCACAAGCCTCACGCGCTCAGCTCAGCTCAGCTCAGTCCAGCTATACAAATAACTAATAATGAACTCTTCATCCAGCTCCGTCGACTCAACCGACACCAACTACCGCTACGCAGCCTACGGAAGCCGCATTCGTACAATCCTCCTCTCCGCCCACCGCTACGTCGCCTACACCTCAGACATAGGCGAATCCTTCCGCCCAGTCGCACACCCATGGCTCATCCGCTCCGCCTACGGTATCTCCTGGGCCTATCTGATCGGCGACGTAAGCCATGAAGGCTACAAAGCTTACACGCGCAACCGGCTCGCTCTCGTCCCACCAGGCGAAGCATACAAGGATGCCAGCGAGGTTCCGCAGAAGCATATCATCCGTGGCATGGCGACAGGCAACCTCTCTCGTCCGTTGAGTGGGTCCGACGCGTTGGAACCCTGGCCTACGACTGAGATCTCGCTTGCGGAGGATTATCGTATGGTTATGGCGAAGCGCGCGGTTTTCCAGAGTATTGCGAGTATGGGGTTGCCGGCGCTTACTATCCATAGCGTGGTCAAGTACTCCGGGCGGATGTTGAAGGGTTCTAAGGTCACGTTTTTGAGGACGTGGGCGCCTATTGGGGTATGTTTGTCCTGGTTCTTGTTATGGGTGCTTTTGCTAATTTTTCGTAGCTTGGTTTGGTTGTTGTTCCGTTTCTTCCTTATATATTCGATCATCCTGTTGAGGAGGCTGTTGATTGGGCTTTTGGCACCGCGCTCCGTATTTATGGAGGTGAGGATGCTGTGCGTCCGCTGCCCGCGCATGCTCGTGAAGAGCATGCTGATGGCGCGGCGGATAATGGCGCCGTGACAACGGCCGCGTCGAAGCTTTCTTGGGAGGAATATAAGGCGGAGAGGGAGAGTCTGCGCGAGATGCGTCGTGAGCAGAACGCCGGGAAGTGGTGGTCCGTGCTTGGAGGTTGGTCGAAGGGTGATGAGAAGAGCAAGAAAGAGTAATCTGCTGATTTTGGGCGGAGTATCTCTTTTTCCTTCCTTTTCAAGTCCCCTGTTGCATTTTGCATCTTTATATGGGTACATCTCCCCTTTTTATTTGTACATCATGTACCCTCCTCTCTTAGCGTTTACTTAATATCCTCATCTTCTCTGTATAAAGTTCATAATATGCCCAGTCCGTGGCCACTGGATTATAAATCAAATTTTGGAGACGTCCGATTCCGAACTCGCCTTCAATATCTGCATGTTATAGGCTTTGTGACAAGAAACAAGATCTCTGGACGCAGCCAGGTTTCTATCTGAAACTCCCGTCCTGCTAGTCGTCAAGTAAGTCCAAGTGTTGGATACGTCACATGCAGGTAGAGACGCAGGGACGAAACTACCTCAAACGGGGATGCAAGGGCTGCGGCTACTGCCTCAGCAACGGAGATCCCTAGCACAACTCATGATACACTACAAGAACAGGAAATATTGAAGTAGGAAGTCTACACCTCTGATTCTCGGCTTCCAATCTACCCGAAGCCCAGCAAAACACAACACAACACACACATCTGTACAAACAAAGAGCATTCAAAAACAAGGATTCAATCCAGCGCGGAGGAGAGATATATAGAGAGAGGTAAGGAAAAGAGAAAAAGTAGCGTCGGCTCATCAAGAATTGGCCACCCAGACCATTAGGGATGTGCAAGAGTCCAAACATAGTATGACCAGTAAAGAAGTAAGATTTTTTTTCCAACACACAAGAACAGGAAGTAAAACAATCGTCTCATTCGGTGGTCGTAGTGCGGAAAAATGAAAGAAGGGAAAAATGGTATGGGAGAACAGAAGGGGGAATAGCTCAAAATGAATAATGAAAATGAAATGATACAAAGCGCCGGCAGGGTATGACGTCGCTCAGAGTATCAGAAGAATGATAAAAAAGAGATAAATGTTGGCCAATGAAAGATTTCACAATGGGGAGATACGTGATATATGACATAGTGTATCCTTGAAGGGGATGATGGACAATGAAATGAAGTTTTGTGCAAGCTCTCGTCCTTATCAACCACGGCCTTGGAGAGGGGAGATGAAGTCCATTGACGTGCAGAGGGACTAGCGATGTCGTCAAGTGGTTGGGACTCTTCGGCCGAAGGGTGGGGAGGAGTAGAGACAAGAAGGACCTGGTCTATCCATGTTGGTATCAAATTTTTTTGCTGTTTTCCTTTATAGGGGACCGTCTAGTTCCAGCCAAGAGAGTTTTCCGCCATAACAGGGGCACTGATCATCTGGGAGCGTTGGCTGCCAGACACACGGTTACCAGCACCGAGGGCAGAGGAACCCAGACTTCTCTGATCGACATTTGAAGGAGAGCGCTGGTGCAGCTGCTTCTTCTTGCGGTAGCGGCGAGCGACCCAGAACATAGCGGCACCGTAGGCGGCTGCACCAGCCACAGCACCAACGGCAATACCGGCGGAGCTGGCGCTACCCGTGCTGCTGCTAGAGGTACCATCAGAGGAGTCGTCACCACCATCGCTGTTGTTACCGCTGCCGCTGCTGCCACTGCCGCTGTCACTGCCGTCAGAGCCGGAAGAAGAGTCATTCTCATCAGTGGGCCAATTGCCTGTGAACTCCAGAGGAATTGTCGAGTCGATCATGCTCATGAGGGCCTTGGTAGTTGCGCTCTGCTCCTCGGTGTAAAGAAGGGAGTTCGGGTTGTTCTTCTGGGCCAATAACTTCGAGTAACCTTCACGGGGGAAGTAAAAGATAGCCAAAGTAGCGTTGTAGCCGGTCTTCTGCCAGTTGTAGTAAGGCTCGAGGGCAAACATCTCAGCCTTGGCACCCCAGTAGGGCAGAGCATGCTTCAGAGCCTGAGGAATGTACTCGAAGATCTGGGACGAAGACAGAGGAGTGGTAGCAACGAACGACCAGGGCAGGCTGCCATCGAAACCAAGTTGGAGCAAGATAGAGTCCGCAGGAGCCTGGCTAACGCTGCTCGAGGGGGTAATCGAATCAGGCAGGGAGACAGCCGCAGTTTGAGTGGCAGTGCTAGTAGGGATGGCTGTTTCAGTGGTGGACTGCTGGACCAGAATGCTAGAGGGCATCCAGTCGCTGGTGTCACTGGAGGTAGCCACCGGTGCCTCAGTAGAAGTAGCGCTGGTGGTTGGTTCAACGTAAGAAGAAGTCGTGGTCTCAGGCTCCCGGGTAGACGTGGAGGAAGCAGTGGAAGTAGGGGTGACCTTGACGGTCTGGCTTCCGGTAGGAGTGGGGATAGCGCCAGAGCCGGCGGGCTTGCCAGAGGCAGTTCCAGATCCAGCACTAGGAGAGTGAGGAACAGGAATGATGCCAATGGATCCGGTGGAAGTTCCAGTGGAAGTTCCAGTGGTGCTACTGCTGCTGGCACTGCCGCTACCACTACCACTACCAGGAGTGACAGTTGGGCTTCCCGACTTGTGGGAGTTGAGACTGGCCTGCGGAGTGGGGATTGCACCAATGCCAGTGGTGGTACCAGCGGTGGTGTCAGTGGTGGTGTCAGTGCCATTGAGAGCAGCCGAAATGCTGTTTACGAGACTCGTGAGCGCATCGCCGGTTGCTGTGGGGCTGGAGGTCAAAGGAACGCTAACAGAGATGGTCGCTAGGCTAGTAGTGTTGCTGCTGGTGGGCGTTGCAGTAGCGGTGGTCGAGTCGGTTCCAAGTAACCAACCAAGGATGTCGTCGGTTGAGGAAGCAGAGGCGGAAGCAGTAGTGGAAGCAGAAGCAGAGGCCGAAACAGTACTGGAAGCGGAGGTAGAAGCGGAAGTCGTCTTGGCCACGGGAGAGGTAGCAGATGCAGTTGTTCCATTGGATGCGGCGGTGGTGGTGCCGCCGCTCAAGAGGTCCGAAATGCCATCCACAGCTTCACTCAAAAGGTTAGTCGAAGAGGTGGTTGTCGCTGCGGCCGAGGTAGTGGCTGCGGTGGAGCTCTGCGAGGTAGTGGCCGCAGTGGTAGCGGCAGCTGTCGAGTCACTAGATGTGGTCGCGTCGGCAGTTGTAGAGTCACTGGATGTGGTCGCGCTGGAGTCGTCCACAGCGGTGGTTGTAGTCGCCTTGGTAGTCGAGGCCGCGTGCGAACGGGTCTCAGTGGTAATGGTGTGGCGGTGCCCTTCTGCGTCAATGGAAATCACTACAACAACTTCCTTCCCGGTGGAGGCAGCGGCCGCGGAAGATGTCGTCGGGGTCACTCCGGTGATGTCGTCAACCAGCGAGGCTAGGGAATCGGTGTTGGAGGTGCCGTTCTTGACGGTACGCTTGATATTCTGAGGGAAGTAGTAGCGCGGTCGTTCCACGTGATTCACATCATCTTGAATAGCTCGCTGCGCAGCCACCAGCTGGAAGCCCCCCAGGGACAAGGCGGCGAAAACGGACAGAGCGTCGATACGCATGTTGATGGCGGTTTAGCGCGCTCGGGAGTCCGATAATTGAGGGTACAGCACGAGCAATTCGAACTCGTCTGTCAACGCCTCAGGGAAGAAATGGCCGAGACCTGGGTAAGTGTAATTCGAATCGGCTGGAGTGTTTGTTGGTATCCACGAGGGTCGTTGGGACACAGTCGCAACGATAGCCTGTAATTATAGACAAAGAAACCGTCACGATGGGCAACGGAAACTAAGTGAGACCGATTGAACGGGATGATCGATTTGAAAAAATGAATGGAAGGGGTCGTAAAATCTGAAACGACCGGAAAAGCAGCAAAAGCGAATGTGGGCTGGGTAGCAGTAAGGAGCGAGCGACAGTCTACAGAGGTAGATGAAGAATAAAGAAGCAAGCGGCGACCGTGGGAATATGCAAGGAGAGCAAGATTGGCTGGACCCAGGTTAAAAGTGCCGTCGTCGAAGACGAAAGATGAACTGAAAGGAGTGAATAGAGGTGAATTAAAGAATCTTGAATTAGGGGGGGGCGGATGAGATGAAGGGAAATGGGGGGCGGAACGTGGGTAGTCAACAACACTGTAACTTACATACCAATCTTACCGTAAATTAACAAATTAGCACTATCCACTTTGGTATCTACACGCACTACACTAATGATTTGGATGGATTCAATTATGGATACACGATGGAGTACAGAGTACGCTGGTTCCTGTTTGTTCCTGGTTGTTCCTGGTTTTATAAAATAACTACTCCGTACTCACTGACTCTTACCTTCAAGTTCTTGTCCATACAATCTGCATACTTCCCCATACTCATGCAGGAAACTGGAATGATTATGTGCATCTCGCGAGCTATGAGGCAACCTTGCCCCCCTTTCACTACTCTATATTCGGTCGAGATCGCCGGGTACACTCGGAGCATTTGAGCTGCACGGTTCCTAACCTTTTGTGCCGTTTTGTAGAACCTAGCTCAGTCCAGCTGATATGATCAGGATGAGCATCTCAGGGGAAGAGATGGATCAAATCGAGATAAACCCTTTTAATTAGCAAGGTGGAGCAGGCAGGGGCAAGCCCAAGTAAGAGAAGTAAAAAGAAAAAGCCAAGTGCACGGATACATCAGGCTAAGGTGAAATTGGATCAAAAAGCATATAACACCAGGTCAGGGTCTTAGGGGTGATTCGTGCTCAAAACTCAACCCTGAGAGTGCGCATCCTAATTAAACCATCTCACATCCAACCTACTTCGGGAGAAGCTACCAAGGATAGTTGCTATACAAGGTTCAGTCCGGAGCATGGCCCAGTGGAGTCTTAAAGACCACTTGTGTGTTCCTGGACGTGGATTAAGATATGAAATGCGTGGTATTAGATTGAAAGCGGGACCATGGTCCTTCCCGCGTAGACATGATACATGGAGATTTCAAGCAGGTACCGACCCACTTTACCTAATTAGGAACTAGTGGATTTTAATTCTGGACGCCAGTCTCGCTTTTGCCGCTCGTTCGGGTAATCGATCAACAAGAAGATCGAATACCCTCCGCAGACGCTTCTCTTCACCGAGCAAGTTTACAAGTACTTGGCTACTTGGCCCAGCTTCGAAACTAAACCCCTATTGCCCTACGGATATTGTACCCTCGAACTACTGGATTGAACTAGTAGATGGTAAAAAACCGCCCCAATCTCATGACGTAGATCTGCATCGGGCGGTTTTTTTTTGGTTTACTTCCTGTTCGGGCCTTTCAATGCCTCCAAATTTGTGAAGTCTCCAAAAATAGGGCATATCTAGCTACGCAGGATGCAATTATCTCTGTCAAGTATGTATGAGCATGGCTGGATATCACAGACCAACCAACGTCGATCACCCGGGTGGACACACCTCAGCGATCGACGATCACGAGGAGAAAGCAACGAAAAAGAGAAAGAACACCCCATGTCCACGTGTCCGAGGGGCCATGAACAGATCGGAATGAAGGGGTGAACCTTTCTCGCGAAAGCGCGTCACTCGACATTCTCAGAGTATGCTGGGGACTATTTGACCCTTCACGTGGTAGGAAATACGCGTGAGTTGAACGGTGATCAATTCCTTCCTGCATTTTCCACGTAGAACCGCGGTATTATTCACCCTTGGCTACTCCGTATAGTCTTTGCTAAAGAAAATAGATTCCTGAACCAAACCATACTAGTGAAACTAACTCCCGTTAACAAAGAAACCAAAACTACTAAACTCGGACTTTTGCCCAAAACAACATAGTGGCCGTAGCCGGTGTTAATTATAGACGGAAAAGGTATAAGCCACCACTAGCAATCTTTTGACCCCCAAACCTCCCGTCATTGTAGTCGTGCAGTCATATAACAAAACCTAAATCTACACATGAACATTAACACTCAGCCTCCCGGAAAGCCAAGCGCATTTGAACCCCCTTTAAATTCCAATCAAATCAAAAAATACAGCAAACCCACGATCATCAACTGTACCACGGACCGAAACAGACGCTAGTCCTGTTCCTGAGGGACGGAAAGCTGGCGGCCCCACCCTCCACACACGTATTTTAGTGGCGTCTCGTCTATTACCTAATCACACAGACTGATCACGTGACTCGTCATGTTCTAGAATCTAGACAATTGAAGAGTGGAGCATGGCGTCGTGGTCTGGACTTGGGCTTGCGTAGAACAAAGATTTCCTGCAGCATTGTGGATGCTTTGCCCTACCGGTACGTGGAGACCGTTAGGCCCAGCCATCTCAGGGCACGTCATGCTGCCAGGCCCGGACGTTGAGGTCTAGAACGGTGGTTTGTGTGGTTAGGGCTGCACATGTGGCGAATGGGTCGGAGGATAATGGTCAGCAATGTAAAGTTTGTGTGGGTTTCCAGGTCAGCTCAAGCTGCTCGGTGCTAGCGATGCGTAGTGCTTTCCACATGTGCGTTTCAGCGGTAGACACGATGCAACCTGTTCCGTGGATATATATCGTGCGTGTTGGGCAGGATTCATCGTTTGAATGTTGAAAATTTAAGAACGTTCAACGTTCTAACGAAAACATCTGGACATATATATATACGCACTGAATCAGATAGCACCCGTATCTACAGATATATTCCACATTGTTCCAGATCGAGTCCTCGTATGTAGATATTTCAGGTGGTCTGTGTATTCTCCACTCGTTGACGCATGTGCACCCGAAAATGACAGCCGGAGCACCAGGGCATAGGGCTGAGAAAAATACGTACGTCAGCTTCTTCTAGTAAATGTGAAGAGCGCATTGGCTAGCCAAGTACATGGCCCAACTGGAGGACTTGAGCTGCCAGGTAAGCCAACCAGCAGGGAAAATTCTAGATGCTTTCTAAAAACTTTTTTCCAAGATTGCTCCAAATATCGCCTTGAGAAATACGAAACGAAGACCTTTTTATAACGCCTGCTTCACTCAAATGTTGCGTGACAGGATGGTGGATTATGGACAAGGCGTCTATAGATCATCTCTAGTTAAATAAACACAATGTTTACTTTCATATTATCATCTTCGATGAAATGACCGTTGTATTATAATCAACAGCTTTTAAGCACTACTCATCACGGAGTATTCAATTATGTGCACAATTATTGATGGAGGGAGCATCACAGATCCGTGAATAAGTTGCAAGAAAAGTAAACATTGAATGATTTTGCGATACCAAATTTTTCTTAGCACAACATCCAAACATCTTCTTCATTTCTTCCACCCTCTCACTTCTACCCTCCTATCTGAATTTTCATTTCAGACCTGTTCCTCATATTCGTTCTCAAAGATGCAGCATCTTGGCGAGTCTAGTACAATGCGTCAACACAACAGCAATGCCAGATCAACCCAGCCTGGCCCCCATATGTGTCGAGTGCACAATCTGGAAGCAAAGTTCTTCTTGAATCGCCCAGTGGAGGATCTGATTCCTGCCAAGTACATGAGACGAGCAGAAAATAACTGTAAGTCGGGCTTTTGGATCATGACTTCGGTTCCTGATCTGGATCATCTCAATACAGTCACTTGGGGAAAGCACTGCTGATCTAGTGGGCCTTGAATTATCTATTACGTACTTACTCTTCTCTTGAATAGCGACTGTGCAACGCAAGCCATGGATATTTCGTGGTGCTGTCGATGATGCCCGAGATGTGGACCAGAGCGACTGGTCTGAAGTCGATATCCGATACCGAGGAGTCTTCAAGACACTACTCAAAGTCCCTCCTTTTAGCAAAGGACTTTGGGAGGGCGGGTCTGAAGAGCATATGCCCCAAGATGGTACCAGAAATATGCGAACCCAGGCACAGGTCATGTACGCACTGGTGAGTGAGGTTGGCGAGATGCTTGATCTGCAGCGACCTACTCGAGAGGGTGACGCCGTCTTTTTCTTGAAGTGAGTTGCGGAAATTTTTCTATAAGCTTGATTATTCATGAAACCCATACTGATCACTTCTTTTTACTCCCAGACCCAGGTTGGTCTCCACAACCCTCGAATACTGGACTGGATATCGCGAGAAACACAGAGATGGTCCCCACACATCCGGCTTCGTTTCTCTAGAATTCGGGCCCGATAGTGGTCAATGCTTGCGAATACTCCCTGTGTCGGCAGTAAGTTTCACTCTAGCGTCTTCAGATGACCCCTCTAACCAACACTTCCAGACAACCAAAGACGAGCACCTTATCTCAGCCCTAAACGCCAAGTTCAAACTGATGCTAGGCCAACTCCTTCTGCATGTTCGTCCCCTCCACATCCCCGGCGACAAACTGCCCGACCAAGAGATCTTCCTGCTGGGTCTACACGGCTCAAAGCTTCACCTCTTGCGAGCCTACTTTCCCGGCCAGAAAATCTCCAGCCTTTGGTGTCGCCGCGAAGTTCCAGGTCCAGTGACCCACACCTTTCAACCCAACCATCGTCGCCGAGCACACTCAACACCTTTGACAGCGCATGCATCCCACATTGAAAACTACGACGCTGATACGGAATATGACTCTTTCGACGAGGATATACTTCTCGGTACATTTCCAGCCACCTCCACAGCTGCAGGCGTAAGCGTAAACGCGGACATGGCTACACCCCCCCGTCCACCTACTCGCCGAGGCCGAAGTGGTTCCCTCCGCGGTCCCCGCTTCTACGGAGAAGAGAACCTCGAGCGAATGCGTCGTCAGTTCGAAGCTACCCGTCTGCGCATGCTAGACGGGGAGCCAAAGCTGCGCACATTCCGGGTCCTCGGAACACAGGAGTACGATCTATGGGCGAAGCAGGATTTCGCAGCCGCAGTGAAGTTACTCGCTGCGCTGCAGATGTATCTACTGAGTGGGGAAGCAAAATGCGGAGCTATGCAGGATGTGTTTGAGAAGCACCCCATCAATGGAGCGGATGAGGGAGATGATGCTGTGGACTCGGACTCGTCTTCAGATTATATGTTTCCTGGACCTATTTCTCAGCAGGATAGGACGGCGTTGTTGAAGGAGCATTTTGAAATTGAGGAGAAGAGACTTGCTACGATGGAGGAGGAGTTGAAGGAAGCTGAGATTGCGAAGTGGGCGGAGGAGGATAGGGCTGCTCGGGTCTCGGAGGCGATGGAGGTTGGGGGTGGTAATCGGATTTCGAGTTTTCGGGAGGCGAGGAAGCCTTGGTGGGAGTTTGTTTGGGATGACCAGGAGGGTTTTGTGACAAATCACACGGATGATGAGGGTGAGATGGTCGTGGGTAATTTGATGTAGAGCTCTACAGCTCAGGGGAAAGAGATATCTACGAGGCGCCATTGTTATTTTACCAGCCTTAGAATACATCATGATTTGGACAATGTCTCATTCCAAATCTTGTGGACTTCTTATATGGCACCAGACGTAAGTGAAATGTTAGATATCTGGCAAGAATGAAAGGCAGCGGGTATATTGAAGTGCAAAAAGACAAAGAACCCATTAAATGAGGTTTGTAGTAGACCAGGTGACCAGGGTAGGTAAGATTGAACCTGATCTGGTCAACTGGTCTACTACCCGCTTCATCAGAAGTTCTCTTCAGATAACGAGAAGAATTCCTCTTCAAAACATGGAACTTCACCCATCAAACCAGCAAGAACTATAGAAAGCTCTTTACTGCAGTGCTTGCACCTAGTGGCGCCACTTTCACCTGGGGACCGTTCCTCCGTACATCGTTTCTTGAAGACAATAATATTACCACCACCAGTGACAATATCGTAGCCATCGCAAACCATAGATTCGAAGTATGGAGCAAATTGAGCCGGGTTCTCAAGACGAGACAGAACCTTATCCAACCGACTGCATTCATCCATACCGAAGAACGAGTTGGACTCGAACGGGGTGACTTGTGAGATGGAAGAGTCATAAGTTAGGAAACGGTATATAGCGCCAGACCAAGGAGAGGTCTGGGGATCAGGAACAGAGCTGTCCTTAGCTTATTGACCGACCCTACCGCCGGCCTCAATCGACGACAATTCAACGTCTTTGGGCTGATGCGACCGGGTACTCGTGTTTGTCGTCGAAGAAGATCGATGTCGGATATCGTTGGCATCTGGACAGCTTGGCTCATCAGTCAAGTCAATGATGATTCTCGTGGTTTCATGCTCCTTTTTCAAGAGCAGTCCGTTTAGGCTGTGGCTCGAGCTACTGGAGTCTTTCTTAATCCGGCTCTCCAGGTCATCCCCATCGCTATCATGGCTGTCACTACCATGGCTGACATGACTAATATCGCTGCCATCAGCACCGTCATTGCCTCCCGAGTTAGGCCTACCAGCAGACTTTTGGGGAATGTAAAGGGGCTGCTTAGGCTCTGCAGCAGCAACGGTCCCGGCGTTGTTTTTCCCGGTCGGATTACGTTGGGTTGTCGGACGAGGCTTCGCATACCGCAATACGTTCACGGATGGATGGATTGGAAAGTAATCTTCATCACCCTCATCATCTTCATCATCGTCCCCGTTATCATAATTGTCGTCCCAACAACCGTGTCGTTCACAAGGAGACAATGGAGGAAAGTAACGGAGCCGTTTAGGCTCCGCAGCAGCGATGGTCCCGAGGTTTATTTGTCAGGTCAGCTTAGATTGAGCCTCTATTTGAGACTGCGCATACTGCTGCTTCAGTACTCTTTGAATGTACGTGTCCCTGGGGTGGAGGATCGCCACATTGGCAAAGTGATCTGCTCGAGAATCGATCTAGAGGAACAAGTTACACTCGGATGCGGATGCTGAGCGATGCCAGAAACTCAGGCCACTTACCAAAACACATGGTCTACCCGTCTCAAGACAGTGAGCGCAACTATTTCTTGTTGCAGAAATTGGTTTACACAGATGCATACCAGTCGGATCACGTGAAAGGAAATGCATGCACGCTCGACACCATCTTGCGGCAGGGTTGTCGGGTGCTGCTGGCGATCTTGTGCAGTGGTTGGCCTTATACTTGATCTTATTTGCACGTGGGATAGGATTGGGTAAAGGAGCATCTACGTTGATGCCAGTGATAGGCCATATGGTGTGAGAAGAGGTAACACCTATAAGCATGGTGGAAGTGGGTGAAGGAGGTGTAACTAAAAGACCATGGCTTTATACTCAGCTGAAACTACGGAGTACGGAGTAGATATAGGGAATAACCCACTCATCTCCAGTTCTTACCGCTAAAACCCATCTATCACATCTGGACGTCCATGCGTTCTTTCAGATCCCTGATGTGGCGTTCAGGTTACCAGGGTGTCAGTATCTTTACCGAAGTGTTGAGATCTTTGGCTTTGTTCCCAAAAATGAGGAAGTTAGGTGGCGCACGCGGCCACCCGATCCTGGTCATCTTCCGGCAAGCTAGCGAGCCGCTGCCCTTTAGATCACCTATAATAGCGGCTAGCTGTTGATAGTTCAGGACGCCACGACAGGGATCAGAAAGGAACCTGACACGTTTCTTTTCAGCACGATAACACGTGCAGCTCATGCGTGCATGCGGGATGAGAGGCACATGTTAGCACACGCGAGAACAGCCCCGAGGCTGTGTATTAAAGCAAAAAAAAAGGCGGTGATAGCATACAGCTTAAGAGCGCATCCAACTCATATCCGGAGGAAATTCAACCCGCATTGGCTGACCTGGGAAGTTGTGCATCATGTCTGATGGATAACTTTGATCCGTATGGGGTGGAGGCAGGAGGGTCGTGGCCTCTACCTAGCTACCTGGGAAACATTCGCCAACTCAAGTCAACCTCGACAGATAGCCTCTCCATGTCTCTTGAGGCCTCGGAAGTATCAGACTTCCATCATGGGGCTCGATGGTGCAAACGAATTCACAGACGAACAGATTTTCAGATTTACAGACAAGTGTTTTCACAGACAAACGAATCCCCTAGTAGCTGATTTCAAAATGCCGATCGTGAGCAAATAAATCCCCAATTTTTAAGATCAAATACCATGAATACTGCTTATATTTGGAGTGTCTATCATAAATTGAGAGGCTACGAGATGAGCCTTATACTATGGGACAATAGCGGAGGTGGATTTTGAGAGTCGGCTTGAGTATAGCAGGACGAACAAAGCTAGAGGAGAAATGCGCAGTTTAATTTAAAGGAGCTGGAATTGGTAGGTGGAGAAGAGCTTGCATCTATTTGACAAATGCATCTTTTTCTCTCCATCGCCACACTGGTATTTAAATCTCAGCATGCCCGTAGTTCCTTGGGGAACTGGGGAGTCGTAGTGCTGTGCTCTCCCATTCACCAAGAGAAGATATTGACGAAATACTGATCGGGTGTTCAGGGCCTAGTACTCGAATGCTAAGTTGGACACATTCTGTCACCAGTTGCAAAGCAGCTTCAATTCGATCCAATGATCTTAAGGTATAAGCAAGATTATGCATGCAAATCAGAGTGTCGGGGTGCTCTGGCCCAAGCACCTGCTTACAGATCTCCAGCACTTGGACTTGAAGATCTTCAGCCTCCTTCCATCGTCCCTGATGTCGATAGATTGATGCTAGATTACTCATGCTGGTCAGAGTGTCGGGATGCTCTGGCCCAAGCACCTGCTTACAGATCTCCAGCACTTGGACTTGAAGATCTTCAGCCTCCTTCCATCGTCCCTGATGTAGATAGGTCGATGCTAGATTATTCATGCTGGTCAGAGTGTTGGGATGCTCTGGCCCAAGCACCTGCTTACGGATCTCCAGCACTTGGACTTGAAGATCTTCAGCCTCCTTCCATCGTCCCTGATGTAGATAGGTCGATGCTAGATTATTCATGCTGATCAGAGTGTCAGGATGCTCTGGTCCAAATAATCTCTGTCTTGTTTTCAAAGCTAGGACTCCCATATTCTCACCCATGTGAAAATCACCCTTCTTGGTTGTAAACCCCGCTGATCTATGGAGCACGCTGGCCCATTTTGACAATGCGTCATCCTCATCTGGTCGTTGCGTGATAGCAGATTGGACATGTGCGAAAAGCGCTTGGCATTTAGGCCAGTTCTCAAAGTGCCCACTCATTGGAAACTCACGAAAAAGTATTTCGATAAATTCCCGCTTCCAATGTTCAAGTTGCCTATGGGCCTCAAGCCACTTGCGCATAGCAAGTGGCACTAGCCGATGCATTCCGAATGTGCCTCCATCCACATCAGTGGAAATCATCGAGTAATTTCTCAAGGTCACGATACTGTCTTCAAACTCATCGTCATATAGATTCATCTCGTCATCAGAGGTCACATAGGTATCATCACTTTTTTCCGCTGGCTGATGTTGGAGTAGAGTTCCGGGAATGCCTTGGCGGTCAAAGAAACACATAAGCGACAAAAGGTCAGCTGCTGCTGGCCGAGTATGCTGTATATGTTCGAAGGATATTTGCCACGTTATAAGGATGGAGTTCTTCGCTTCCCTATCCCGACGTAGCTTTCCACCCTCATACTCTAGGAGGCTTGTTTTATTGTGATCGCTCTTCTCAAATTCTTTGAGATACTGTTTTACCGAAAACCGTGGCTTTCGTTGCCTGATATACGATGCCGCTTGTACGATTGCAAGCGGCATATAATCAAGTGCAGTAACGAGCTCAAGGGCGATATCTTCCGCTCGAACCCCTAGCTTCTTTTCGAAGAGCATGCTTGCGTGTGATGGATCCATAGGCTCTATCATAATAATATCATCGTCTTCCACTATGTTCGAGACAGCATCTCTGCTCCGGGATGTGATGATGATCGACCCATTGTGGCTGATCGGAAGGAATGTCAAAAGTGGTTGACCTGATGCTGCACCACCGTGATCACTTTGGCGACATTGGCTACTCTGTTGCCCGCTCTGGCGAGCTGGAGGAGCTTCATTGAGGAAGCGACTGTCATCAACATTATCAAGAATCAGAACCCATTTCCCATGTCTCTCATCAATAAGCCAGTCATGAATGAGTTTGAATATATTGGTGGAATCCCTCCGACCGGGGATTCTGACTCTTTCGGCGATATCCAAGCAACTTTGCTCAAAACGAGCAGCATTGCCCGCGTGGATCCAGAAAACCCACGTTTCGGGTGAGCGTTCCCGGATTTGGTAACAGCATTCAATTGCAAGTTGAGATTTTCTGTCGATGTATATGTTAGTAGCGATCAATACGCCGAGCACTGGCCATCCATCTCTACTTACCCAACACCACCAAGTCCAACAAGAGCTATCCGAGCCTCCGGTGTGGTCCCTCTTTCGTGTATTTGATCTAGCAGCGCTCCACGATCAACAAAGTTTGGGTCGCGACGGAACGGCACGTTCGATAGCGGGGGAGGCGGGGTTTCGGGTCGCTCTCGTTCTGGACCACGGAATGATGATTAGCTGAGTTTGGTATTGGCCTGGTGAAACCTACTTTGGGAGAGATGGATCGATCCGTAATTGATTCCCACCTGGGTACCCGAGTTTGTGTCTCCACGGCCAAACGATATAGACGCCATTTCAATACGTGATATACTGTAATGTTTGAGTAGATCAAATGCCACGTCCCATCTCACAGAGATGGGGGACTACCCTCAGCCTCAATATCATGTGACCATTGGGCGCGTAAAATGTTGAGCTGCTATCTTTAGAGAAAGGCCCGGGCATCATCTCTATTCAACCCCCCGTGCAACCAAGTGGTGAAAACACATTAAATCGTCTTAAATAGGCAGAGAAATATGATATTGGAGAGGATTATAATACTAACAAGGTGGGTATAACGAGGTCGCCCCGAGTTCTATAGGCCAGTCTGTTTCATCCGTCATCGATGTGACTTGCGTGTATGTAATTTGAGTCGATTTATACAACCAAGACTTGAAATCAATTGGGGGTATGAATGAGACCATTGCTCCAGAACCGGAGTCCTTCAACCCCTTCTTCCCGGCACAGAGCCCCACGATCTTCTGCCATCTCAAGTTCTTCGGCGGCCACGCCGACACTCCACCTGAAACGTTGAGCCGTTTCTTGAGCAGTAACGGCCCGACCAAATACCGCCCAGTCCCATGGAACTGATTCTTCTGGTGGGACTTGTCGTAGCTCTTCCATCCAGTCTTGTAATTGACGCACTGTCTTTTCGTCACTCCAATCATATTGTTGAACCACCAAGAGCCCGCTCTTGAACCGTCGTAGCCGAACCGGTAATCTGAGCTTCTCCCAAAGCTCCGCCGCACGTTGGAAATCTGAAGGGCTGATGAGTTCAACTCCATTCCGTGACCGGTTGAAGACCGCCCATAGATCGATAAGACTCATGATGCCACCTTCTCGTTGTAAAATCCCTTTGCGATCGTCGGTAAGATATTCAGCCAAATTACGTGCTAGTTCAGATAGATAAAGATTCTCTGATCCAGAACTCAGCATGTCCTTAGTAGTGACCATTCCTAAAGCAGCTGCAGATTCAGACAAGACCGCGTGGGTCTCGGCGGAGCCCTCGCTTGTGGACATGCCAGACTCCCGCGCCAGAGTTTCAGCCAGTGCAACAATCTGCTTAGCCGAGGCCATCAAGGCTTCTAGGTCCTCGAACGCGTTACCGATGACTAGTTGATTGTTCATTCGCGCTTCCAGTCCTCTTTGCTCCAGGCCAGCAATTCCTACAGCAGTTACCCGTGGAGCTGCTGGCTGAGGACTCTCCACCATGTGAGAGGAAGCAGTAGTCGTGGGCCCACTTGGTGTACTCTGTGACGGGGGAGGCACTGGAGGTGCATTCTGAAGCAGCCACTTTCGCTGGACTAGAGCATTTTTCAGCCTTTCGTGAAAAGTTTTCTCACCACCCCCACGGAAGGACAGCTTGATGCTCTCGTTCACTTCAGTATTAGGAATTCGCGATTGCTCGAAAAATGGGGCCGGAGAATCTGCGCGACGATCACGGTCCGAAATTAAAGAAACCGTAGCCGCTAAAGGTGCTCCGCACATTTCACATTCTATAAGATATGGATGATTGACAAAGGTGCACCGAGAACATGATACGGAATCTGATGCAACAGGCACGGATTGATGATCAGTGCCTTGGCTTTTAGTCACTCCAACAGGGACCGAGCTTGACCGGGGAATAGGAGGCTCTCGATTTGCCGCAGCGGTGATCGCTGCCTTGAGAACAGTTGTAAAAGGTGGCTTGATGCCACATGCCAGGCACGGTGGCAAATTGGTCGTCTCGTTCGCTGTCGTGTGATCGAAATTCGAAGGTACAGGGTTTGAGAAAGAGCATATAGGACATATCCACGTTGAATTCACAGGAGTTGAAGGCGATTTGTGTGGGGCGATAGAAGGCGGAAGGCCAGAAAGCGGCTTGCCCGAGCCTGGATAGAGGGCCGATGGTGGGGGCACAGCAGGACTAGAAGTTGCACTGCGTGACTTATCTGTCTTGCTCTTCTGAGGTTTTGGATATATTGTGATCTTTGCAGATGATGTCAAAAAGCCTGCCTTTGCACATTTCCCCATATTAGTAACGCGATCGCTTATCATGGGGTGGAGGGGTATCTCGAACCTGATATTCAGCACGGTCAATTTCCTTGAGATCAATCGCCACCGAGTATTTTCGAGGATCTTTGGTAGCTACATAGCATACTCGGTGAGATGTCAAGTAGGCATGGCCGTCTTGATAATCGGGGATTTTGTATTTCCTGGTCGGGGGTATATCAGTATACAGATCCATAGTATGAAAACAATGAACGATGGCAGTGTCCACAACCTACCCCTCATAAAGCCCCACCGCATCCTGGACAAAGAGAAGTGTCTCGTCAGGTAACAGCAAGGGTCTAAGTGCGGTAGTTAGGTCTAAAGACTTGAAAAACATCTAGCAGGTTCACATGGAGTGACAGCTCTGGGCTTGGCTTTTGCGATAACAGATAAAGCACGGGACCACCGGAGCGCGGCGAAAATGATGATCCGGCCAAGCGAAGGTCAGATCAGATCGTTCCTTCGATTCTTGTGTGTTTCACCTCCACAAGGTTCCAAAGTCTTAAGATCCTCAACCTCTCGAATCATCCAAATCTCAATACACTATTCGTCGAATACGTCGTGGCGTAGGAGCTTTTACTTTCCTGTCTCCATTTTCCGACCACTCCCAGTTCCCCCCTTCGTAGCCGTTTTTTTCTTCTCTCGTCTTACCTTTCGATTTGCCGTCTTTTCCATCTCTTTTCTTTTCTTCTGCGTCATCACAACCTTTTTATTAGAAGTCAGGATGAGCTCCATCCCACCTCCGTGGCGTACCGCCTCGGCTCCTACCGGAGCTTTTCCAACTGGTAAGTGGGAGAGGAGAAACCTTCTACCCCAGCCCTGGCACAGAGCTAACCTCCATACAGCGACACCTGCCTATACCACAGTACCAGCCCGTCGTAGCCTGCGCACTCACAACCCCAACCCCTCGGTCTCAAACGAAGCACACCAATCTGCTATGTCAACAACCGATTCATCCCCTCCACCCACGCAGTTCTCCCCCGCTATTCGCGCCTACGTGCAACGGTGTTTTGCTCCCGAGAACCAAATCCCTGGTATTACTCTCGCGCAAATGCAGGAGAGGCTGCGCGAACTCATCACCGATGCGGCTAAAAAGAATTTACTCAACGCCATCAAGTGGGAGACACGGCGAACTCCTCAGGAGGAGATCCTCGCAGAACAGGCCAACTCCGGCGTCTCGAGCCGACCTTCGTCCACTCAGCCCGCATCTATCGGAGATGCTTCGCGCAAGCGCAAGCCAACAGATTCCCACCAACTATCTGATATCAACTCGCCACCGTGGAGAAATACTAACAATACTAGCTTTGAAGGCCGAGTCACTTACCCACCAAAACAGAAGAAAACCTGCATAGCATCGGACGCGTCCAGTAAGTCCAAAGCTAATTTGGAGATGAGGAAGAAGCGGTTCGAGGGAGCCGGCGCCACCAACGGGAAATCGGCCACCTCCTCTCCCCAGCCCGAGGTGGACCAAGGACCCGTGGTAGGACGATGCGAGACATTGGAGAAGAACTACTTCCGTTTGACCTCTGCACCCAACCCGGATACCGTTCGTCCCTTGCCAGTTCTGAGAATGACCTTGGACCTCCTGAAGAAGAAATGGAGGAAGGAGGGCAACTACGGCTACATCTGTGACCAGTTCAAGTCCCTTCGCCAGGACTTGACTGTCCAGCACATCCGGAATGAGTTTACCGTGAGCGTTTACGAGATTCATGCGCGCATCGCCCTGGAGAAAGGGGATCTTGGTGAGTACAACCAGTGCCAAACCCAACTGCGGGTTCTCTACTCGCAGCAACTGGGCGGCAATCCGACGGAATTTAAGGCCTATCGTATTCTCTATTTCATTTACACCCGGAACTGGACCGCTATGAACGATGTGCTAGCCGATGTGACTGCTGAAGACAAGAAAGACCCCGCTGTCAAGCACGCTCTCAATGTTCGATCTGCTCTTGCGCTCGGAAACTATCATCGCTTCTTCCTGCTCTACCTGGACACCCCAAACATGGGCGCGTACCTGATGGATATGTTTGTGGAGCGTGAGCGTTTGAGTGCTCTCGCCGCCATATGTAGAGCGTAAGTTGATCCATATTGCCCTCTGTTATCTATGGTTATTGACTGCAGGAATAGTTACAAGCCCGATGTGAAAATTCGATTCATTACCGAGGAACTGGGCTTTGAGTCCGACGAGCAGACTGCGCGTTTCGTCATTGACCACTCTTCCGCGGAGTTACTCCAGGAGAAAGACGGGGAAGTGAAGCTGCTGGCTGGCAAGGCGGGTAGTCTGTTCGAACAAGCCAAAGCGGACGCTTACCGCGTCGTCGATATCAAAGGCCAAATCTAAAGCCGGTTCTGATCGTGGATCTCCCGTCCTGGGGTTTCAAGTTAATCACATCTAGGCTGGTCACACATGTCTCTCATATTGCGGCCGCCGTGGTTTCCTTTGGTCTTTTCATTTTGGTTCTTGTTTTTCAGAGCGACAGGCGTTTTTTGGACCCTCAAAACCCTCGACTTTCCGAGTCATGGCATCTGTTTTTCGATTCCCCCTTTCCGGCTTTCCAGCATCCCCAAGATTTTACGTCTGGTGCGCAGCCATGACTTCCACCATGACGACCATACTAATACCCGGCATCTTTTCTTTCAGTAGATGAAAGGGTTGTCGATGGAGCGCACATGTGCATGTGAATTTTGGCTGGCATCTCGAGTAGATATCCTTTCACCACATTTACAGCAGAGTAAATTTGATCTTAAAATTCACGCATATTTTCATATCCATGATTCTGTACTTGATTGAGCCTTGGAAGCGGTTTGCAACGGGATGTCCGAGTAATACCTGATTTTCCACGTATCGACATCAGACCGGCATGTACTAGGCTGGATCGTACTCCGTAAGGAAGAAACCGGCGGTTTGCCCCCAGATTTGGCAACCTGGCAAAGTTCTGCTTTCGCTAGTCTCCGCGCCATTCTGGTCGCAGGCTTCAACCCAAGGCTAATTACCTCGGGCCACGTGGGTCCCACGTCTGTGGCAACCATGGGTGGGCAGAGGGGCTCTTTGCAGTGGCGCGTACCGTTTATCTTTAGTGTCATGGGGACAACACTTACCGAGGCCGATTAGCGGGGAGATAGATTAATTAACTAATTAACCCAATATTTTACCTTGGTAAAGCTCATTCAAGACATTTATCGTATTTACCATTTACCCCATCCGATGGTGAAGCGGGAGGGTGCTGAAATTACCGATCCAGGTAATTAGATCAATCAGGAAATTTTGACATCATTTCCCACATGATCGGCGCTGTCTTGACCAACTGCGCATTCTCCACCCTTAACAAGTAACGCAATCTTAGCTTTCCAACATGGCCCCCATGAGCTTCCCCATGAACGCCTCGAAACCCTGTACATAAGCAACCCTATCTTGAAGGTTATATCGTATGTCGTATCTCGTACCTGGAAGACCAAGAGAATTGGTATCCGGCCCACTGGAAACGCTCCGTTAGGTGTAGTTCGTCGGGCTTGTGCAGAAGCCGCGCATGCGAGTCTCAATTTTAATTTATTTGGATCTGAACCCGCAATTTTAATTATTTTAATTGTCATGTCATGTCTTTGGGTCTATCACGTTCTAGATGGTCCCTGGAAAGGATGTCTCAATGACAGTGGCCTTCTTTGTGTCTTTGGCCCTTTGACGTATTCTGTGATCTCCTGGATCATGGTCAAAGAACACGACGATCCCAGCGTACTTTGGGTTGGAAGACCGTCGGATCCACGGTCTTTGTGTATCTCGGACCCATGGATCTCTGAGTGGTGGGGGCCCTGAGAATCGGACACATTTCAATTTTTGGCGCCGGGCTACAGCGTGAACTGGGTTTATTAAAAAATAGACCACTTAAATATCACAGAGGAGTATCTAAGAAGGCAGGGTGTGATCATTAGCCGCTGATGGCTTCTGCCCGACGGGTATTGTAATTGAATTACGGTAATTTAAGTGGACACTTGCAACGATTAAGGATCATCGGTTCAGCTGGGGAATGATCTGTCGGATTCATGCTTTTCCTTCTTTCCTGCGGTCCTGCTTTTTGTTGATTTCTTGATCCCTTTTTTGAGGAAGTCTGATCAAAGAATGCGTAGAAGTTAAAAAATACGTTGACTGGATGAGTTCCTGTGGCTCATCTTTGCCACAGCTAGGAACCCGGTCCGGGTTCCCTGGTTGACGTAGGCTTCTGGAAGGTTTGGGAGGATCCATAAAGAATTTACTATAATAGAATTTGCCTTAAAAAAGAAAAGAAAGAGATGGAAAAAAGCGGGACTTCACAATCTCCAAAACCCCAATCTAGCCCGTTTACCTGTGGTTGGAACCGCAATACGCAGATTACCTCTGCTCGCGCTTCGCTCAAAAAAGTAGAACTTCCTTTCTCATCACATTCTTCCTCTGTAACTTATCTTCTAACTTGATATCTGCCGAGGCTTCGTTCGCAATGAAGGTGAGTTCCCTCTTGCCACTGAAATCTTACCATGGCGTGTGTCATTTAATTAACCCGCAATCCACCATAGGCTATCAGGCGGTCCTTGAAAGGGGAGAAAGATCCCAAACATCACCATATTTCTATCACCCCTAAGTCCGCCCTTGCCATTCTACCTCCTAAGAAGGTGAGTTTTTCTCGTTCCCTTCCGGCTTACCCATGAGCAACCGCGTCCTTTCCACACCCCACCCCAGCCACCAAAGGAGAAGAGGGGGCAAAAAGAGTTCCACAATTCCAATATTCCAGAGGAAAAAAAACCGACACGCCCCTCTCTCCCTTGGTGTGTTTCTCCGACGCTTGGCATCGTGGCTGACCGCGTGTGCGCGCGCAGGTAATCAAAGCACTCTACGACTATAAACCGGAGCCCGGAACTTCTCAGGAATTGTCTTTCAGCAAGGGAGACTTCTTTCACGTTATCAGCAGGGAGGACGACGAAGACTGGTACGAGGCTTGTAATCCACTCATCCCTAGTGCTCGGGGGCTCGTGCCCGTGTCCTTCTTCGAAGTTATCGGTAAAAACGAAAGGGATAGTGGGGGTTCGGTCGATCTGCATAAAAAGGAACACCACGACTCTGGTTTCGCCGACCGCAGTCCCGCTTCCGACTCATCACCCATCAACACTAGCCAACCAATTTTCAGAATGTCTGCCATCGCCAAGGGCCAGGGGGCTATGGTTTATGGCATTGTCCAATACGACTTTCAGGCGGAACGTCCCGATGAATTAGACGCTCGCGCCGGCGAGGCCATCATTGTTATTGCCCAGTCCAACCCGGAATGGTTTGTCGCGAAACCCATCGGCCGTCTGGGGGGTCCTGGTCTGATTCCCGTCTCCTATATTGAACTGCGCGATATGCAGTCTGGTCAGGCGGTGACAGATCCCCTCGATGCAGTGCGACGCGCTGGAGTCCCCAAGGTGGAGGAATGGAAGAAGATGACTGCCGAATATAAGAACAGCAGCATCACCCTGGGGAAAATCGACTCTTCTCCCACAAACAATGGCATGGGACAAGTTACTGCCTCAATGGACCAAATGTCGATGAGCTCTGGAAACTCTGGCCACATGAGTCAGAACGGCAATGCCTATGTGAGTTTTGACAGGATTTACTTCATGATACCCTTGCTGATTGATTCGCTCGATTCAGGGATATCACCAGCGCAATGCTAGCAAAGGCACTCTGGCTTCGCAGGCTCAACCGTCGCAGGCCCCGCACAACTACCCCCTCCTTGCCCCTGTCGCCGCTTCGATTCCCCGCTACTGCTTCGACAACGACAAATACTGGTATATTATTGAGGCCAAGATGGAAGATGGTCGATGCTGGGAATTGTCGCGTTACTACCACGACTTCTACGACTTCCAGATTGCGCTTTTGACCCAGTTTGAGGACGAGGCTGGTAACCGAGGACGGCAACGAACCCTGCCATTCATGCCGGGTCCTGTTACCCATGTGACCGATGCCATTTCCAACGGCCGCCGACAGAACTTGGACGAATATATCAAGAAGCTCCTGGCAATGCCGCCACACATCTCTCGATGCACACTGGTCCGTCAGTTGCTTGCGCCTCGGCCAGGAGACTTTGAAATTGACCCGAACGCATTTGGTGAGGAGGCACGGTACTCCGACAACTCCCATCACTCATCTGCGGAGCCTAGTCAAAGTGTATCGCGCCAGTCCTCACAACTACCGATGAATGGATCGCAAGATCGTATTTCGCAACAGCAACAAGGCCTCGGTGCACCAGGCTTGGCAACTTACGGGAACGGCGGTCCACCACCAATGAACCGACAGGCAAGCTCCCTGACCCAATCCTCTACTTCAAACACCGCGATGAAGGTCAAAGTCTTCTTCCAGGATGATCTTATCGCTATTCGCATCCCCTCCGGCGTCAGCATGCAGCATCTCAAGGACAAGCTTTCAGATCGCCTGAAGATCCAGGACGATATTATCGTGCAGTACAAGGACGAGGCTTCTGGTACCTATGTCGACCTCCACTCTGACTCAGATTTGGAGAATGCTATGCAACGGAATACAAAGCTCACTCTGTTTGTCAGCATCGCCTAAGCACGAAACAGTTATGTTTTGCTGTGGAGACCTGCCCTACTATCTGTTGACATTTTCCTGTTATGTTTTACATTTTTTTACATTTTTTTTGATCTGTTATGCAACGAGTATGGCGTATCGGAGTTCGGGCATCCCATTTTCGACATTCTTCGTGCTCCATCAGCCCTTTCAGCGATTTGCACTTGATTTTTTCCGAAGAGGATGGTGTTACGATTATGATGCGTGATGTATGGTATGGGCTTTCATTTTTCCCTCACCCTTCTTTTCCTGCAAATGTTTGCGTGATACTGTTCGAGGCATTGTTTTGTTTTTGTCGTTTTACGGCTACCATTTTCCTTTCTTATTTGCGATATCTCTACGCGGGTGATATACCCCGGTCTGTGTACTTCGGTGACCTGTACATATGCTTATTTTCTTTTCGTGCATATCCAGGAAAAGATTCCTGCTTTACTTGTGACCAAGTGATCGAATATAATAGCCTAAATTGTATTATTTATGTTCAACACATCGGTGTCCAGTTCTAATGCCGACAACAGCCGATCTATTCCCGAGTCACGTGACTCGGTTCATCGGCCCGTTCTTTTCTCGCAGCCATTAGAGCGATTCCGATTAGTACATTCTTTCCACATTGTAAATACTGCGGAGGTTGTGCGCTCATTGGAACGTTGAACATAGCGTACAAGCATACTGCTGAACACTCATTTTTTCAGTCGCGCCCATTCGCCACCGCGTCAACTCACCTGTACGCCGCTTCCCCGGAAAAAAACAATTCCTGCGCCTCGGCTACAGCCTCACCGCAGCAACCCGACAATTCACGCGCCACGACCAGCATTTTCTTAAAACGTATATACGCATAGCATCAGAATCACAAATGAGTCGGCCGTCTGCCAAGCTTTGCGCCGAGTGTTTCCCGGGCACCCTGCGGTCGTCCCGGGCACTGCGGGGCGTTGGTGCTCCCCGTGAGAGGTCCTACATCGCTCCGCGGAGCGGATTCTCTACTGCTATAACTCGGGATCGGACGTCACCATGCAATCTATCTGTGGGCAGGTTCGCGAGGGAGCAGCTCCCATTGCGTTCACGGGGCCTGGCTACTACTAGCGATGCGACGGCAAAGGATGCAACGACGAAGGATGTGGGTGCGGAGAAGGTGTCTGGACCCCCGCAGGACGGGCCGATGAAAGAGTATGATGATCGGGTGCAGGCGGGTCGATTGAGGGATGACCCTTATCAAAGAGGTAGGTCAAGCTTGCGGAGTTGAATAAAAGAAGCGTGGCGCATAAAGGACTTTGACTGACTTGGATCTCTTCCGTAGCAATTATTCAGAATCTGCAGAACCTATTCGAGGCTCTGAAAGATTACTCTCCGCCCAAAGTCGTTCATCCAACCGTCGAGTCCTTGGACCCTCAACCTAAACAGTCTTTCTTTAGCTCGTTGTTCAACCGTGGTGGCAAGGAAGTAGAGAAGTCGGCGATACCCGAGACCCTTCCTAAGGGTCTGTACATGTTTGGCGATGTTGGATGTGGAAAGACCATGCTTATGGATCTGTTCTTCGATACGCTCCCGCCCAATATTACGTCCAAGACCCGCATTCATTTCCACAACTTCATGCAGGATGTACATAAGCGTATGCATGTCGTGAAGATGAAGTATGGTAACGACTTTGATGCCCTGCCTATGGTTGCTGCGGATATTGCCGAGACCGCTAGCGTGCTCTGCTTCGACGAGTTCCAGTGCACTGACGTTGCTGATGCGATGATCTTGCGGAGGTAAGATATTCTCTAGTCATTTGATGTCTTGTTTACTAATTATCATCAGACTCCTGGAAATTCTCATGTCCCACGGTGTCGCCGTCATCACCACCTCCAATCGCCACCCCGACGACCTATACAAGAACGGCATTCAGCGCCAATCGTTCATCCCCTGCATCAACCTCCTCAAAAGCCAACTGAATGTGATCAACCTTAACTCCCCAACAGACTACCGTAAAATCCCTCGCCCCCCAGCCGCAGTCTACCACCACCCCCTCGGCTCAGACGCCGAAGCCCACGCCCAAAAATGGTTCGACTACCTTGGCGACCCAATCAACGACCCGCCCCACGCAGAAACCCAAGAGGTCTGGGGCCGCACAATCCAAGTCCCTCTCGCAAGTGGCAAAGCGGCCAAATTCACCTTCAACCAGCTTATCGGCACAGCCACCGGCGCAGCAGACTACCTCGAGCTCGTCCGCCACTACGACGGCTTCATCATTACCGACGTACCGGGCATGAACCTGAACCAGCGCGACCTAGCCCGCCGATTTATCACCTTCATCGATGCGGTATACGAAAGTCGCGCGAAGCTAGTCCTTACCACCGAAGTCCCACTTACGAATCTCTTTCTCTCTGCGTCTGATGTTAAGGATTCCCTAAAGGGCGGCGATCACTCTGATCTTTCAGATGCGATGCGCAACCTCATGGATGATTTGGGTATGTCGGTGCAGGCACTGAAGAATACATCTATTTTCAGTGGTGACGAGGAGCGATTTGCATTTGCACGTGCGCTTTCGAGACTTGCTGAAATGGGAAGTAAGGAGTGGGTTGAGCGAGGTATGGGGGTTGGGATGGATGAGAAGGGGGGTAAGGAGGATCGTGAAGCTTGGTTGAAGACTAGGAGTCATTGGAGTGAGGATAACATGTAAATAGATCGTCGGTTCGCGTTGCATTTGTTTTTGCTCTTATTATTCTTTGCATTGATGATATCTGATGCCGAGTCTTTGTTATAGATACTGTGCTGATAGTCATTAGAACAGAACATTGAAGTTGTACATATTCATGGATCCAAACTGCCGCTAATTATCATTTCCAGCACTTAATTGTTTTTCTCCTGCAATTGAAGGTTCTTTGAGATAGACATACCTCACTGATAGTCCTCCAGTAAATGCCAGCCTGTAAGCTAAGTGATTGGGAATAAAGACACCAGCAATTATGTCCGATTTTTAAGGCCTGGTGTGAGTGCGATTTAACAAACAGACGCATGATGGAATCCCAGACTTCATCGTGTAAATGACTAGAACAGCCTTAGCAGAAACGCTGCAACTGCAAGGAAAATATCGACTTTTGAGCACTGACTTGCTTCTTTATAATCTAGCTGCCACCAATCAAATCTCACTGAAAATGGAGTCCAATAAAGTTATCTGATCAGATCGTCGGCCTGAGTAGGTAGAACTGCTCTCAAATACAACCTAGCCTTGCTAATCCTGCACATCAGGGAAAAGAAAACAGACTTTGGTAGCTCGCCTAGTATTCTAAGGGTCGTCGACCTATCACTCTATTGTTCTCATTGAAAAGAACACCACTATTGGGCGGTACGGACCCAAACTCTAGCACAAAACTACTTCACACCATCCATTTTCCCATCTGAGATTCCATCATCTCTATGTCCAACGAGCTTACAGCTCAGTGTTCCCTACGAGCCATCGATTGACTTCTTTCCTATTCCTCGATTACGGAACAATCTCATTCTGCTAGGCAATAGCCTATTCACAATGAGTAGTTTCTGTCGAGATATGCTGGGAACCTTATTTCAGAATTATGCTATTGATAATTGTGACCGCAAGGGCTTGATAGTATGGGGCGATCCGTGGGAGGTCAACTCTTGGGAATGTACCCCGGGGTTCTTAAAAGAATGGGGCTGGTTGTTGGATGGTTGTGATGAGTCAATATACTCGACTAATCGATGGAGAGCTTCCCATGGAGAAGAGCCGATTCTCTGTGATATGATAGGCATAGACGGTAAATTAATTCAGTGCTGAAGCTTGTCACAGAGCGATTTGATACTGTGTAAAAACACATACATAAACATGTGCAGCTTACTGGGAGCCAGTGTTGAGATCTAGTCCGTCATTCGTAAATAAAAAGGAGACATTTATCTACATGAAATGCTAGGCAGTCATCCCGCTAACTACATAGCACTACCTCTCACTTCATCCTGAACTTCTATCCACTTTTCTCCAAATTCTCTGCTTTCCGCTTTCTTCATCGTCCTCGGGCATCCAAAACCCCGACTAGCTTACCGTGCTCGTACCTTCATAATAATATCTTCCTTGATCATACGTGTGTTGCAAAATGTTTGCTTCCGACGCACCTCGTGAGTCCGGGATTACCTGCGCATCAGAGCGTTCCCCACTCCCGAGATGTTCTTACGCTAACCATGGGCAGAGCCTTCTCTCAGCCCTGCGGAGCAGGCAATTGTCAAGTCTTATGGCGGTTGGATCCAGTTCCTGCGTTGTTTCGGGCTCAAGCCATGGGATCAGGAGGATGCAGAGGAGGCAAAACGTATCCTGGAGGCCTTTGCTGAGGATGACGATGACGAGTGAATGACTTCTTGCCGGTTGCAACGGAACCTTTTGAGGGAAGATGCAATTATTATGATATCACGGTATTGATGATGGGCTTCAGTTGCAAAACTTGGCTAAGGACTGGAATCAGTGAGCAGTGCTCCAGGTTGCAAATGTATTGCGATCCCCTCCAACCTTGAAAGCATGGCTGAATCAAGAAATTCTATGAACCATACAGATCTCAAGATACGTAGCTAGTCTTCTACTCATGCATACGATGACTCCCAATGAATCGTTATCTATGCCACGGGCATTAGATGCAGGCCAAGACCCCTCCCACCCACTACACAAAGTTATCATATAAGTGGAGCATGGCGTGCTACTAAACCTCATCATTCATAGGGCAGACCCCCACGTATGGCTTGAATTTTATGAGCTAGATATACGCCATGGCGCACAGATATTCATTCTTTGTGGTATTGCGCATTTAGGTTCCTGCCAAGGACACACATTATATTCCTCTCGAGTTTTACTTAGGATCTAATCTGCATTGGACCCTTCCAGGTAGGTGCGGAAGGTACACCGCGATATCGCGATCACTATGGGTCCTGGCGTGCTAATTTGTCTCAAGGTATGAAAATAGAATTGTTGAGCATAAGAATGCGACCCCTGGGCTTGTCGCAATAGTTTATTGTCTCTTTGACAAATTGAGCTTTACCTTTCACGTACATCATGGCTCTCGATCGTTTGATCGAATTCTACCGATCATGTCTTTTCCAGATCATTATCGTAGGATTGGTCGCTTTTTGCGAGCCCGGCATCTGGACTGCCCTCAACAACCTTGGAGCAGGTGGTAACGCCAGTGTGAGTGAGCTCAATTTTTCTAAGAATGTCCCGCTAATATTTCCGTAGCCTCAACTCAACAACGCTGCCAATGCCTTGACATATGGACTCATGTCGGTAGGATGTTTTCTTGCTGGCGGTGTCACCAACAAAATCACTGCGAAATGGACCTTGTTCATCGGAGCTGCATTCTATACTCCCTATGCAGCTGGTTTATACTGCAATAATCGCTATGGAAATGAATGGTTTTTATTGCTTGGAGCCGCTCTTTGTGGAATTGGAGCCTCTCTTCTATGGGCCAGTGAGGCTGCCATCGCGGTTGGATATCCAGAGGAGGAGAAGCGAGGACGGTAGGTCAAGAGTCCTGGTGAATATTTACTTTTATGTGACTGACCATTTCCAGATACGTTGGAATCTGGATGGGTATCCGACAAATGGGACCGCTAGTTGGCGGCGCGATATCCCTCGCTCTTAATATCAATACCGCACATGTCGGCAAGGTCACCTACACAACATACTTGGGCCTCGTTGCCAGTTCATCCCTTGGAGCACCTTTCGCATTGTTGCTATCGCAGCCACAAAAGGTGATCAGAAAAAATGGCACCAGTATTCCTTACATGAAAGACACGAGCTTTGCAATTGAGGCGCGAGCTATCTGGAAGCAACTCAGGAATAAATACATGTTGCTACTTATTCCGGTCTTCCTTGCAGGACAATTTGGTACAACTTACCAAGGAAATTATCTGACAAGTATGGCCTCCATCCCGTGACGATGAATCATGTAATTGACAAAAGCTAGCATATTTCACTGTCCGCTCCCGAGCCCTTGCATCTTTCCTAACGGCTGTTGTTGGCGCCATAGCCAACGTGGTGACAGGCATACTTCTGGATCTCAAGTATTTCTCCCGACGCACGAGATCCAAAGCCGTGTATATATTCGTCCTCGTATTCGTTACTGCAGCTTGGATATGGAACGCTGTCACACAGACGAAGCTCTCCCGTATGGCTGATCCACCCGCCTTCGATATGGGTGATGGTCCCTTTTTCAATTCGTCCTTTGCCGTCTACATGTTCTTCAAATTCTTCTACGAGGTGCTACAAACATACATCTATTGGTTAATGGCTGAGATCAAAGGAGCCCAGCGAGACGGTGATATTGCAAGGACGACGGGAATTCTCAGATCGTGGGAGTCTATTGGCAGCACTATTGCTTACGCGGTCGGCGCAACTTCCTGGTCCAACTTGAACCAGATGATACTAGGATTCTCACTGTGGGGGTTCACAATCCCTTTCACTATGCTCGCTGTGTTTGGCAATTGGAATCAGGATACGCCTGAGATGGAGCAACTTGAAGAGGATAGCAGTAGCCTCGAGGCACAGCGGGTGGTCATCAATTCCGACGGGAAGGATTGAGGCATTGCGCTGTGACAAATGAGTCATTGCCCAGTAAAAACAGGGTATTTAGAGTATAAATATATGCTCCACTGACTAGCCGCTGTCCTATTTTTATGATTAACTTTTAGACAGAGACCCACGAAGAAAAAACCTCGACACCGGGGCAATCAGTATATCAATGACTGATAATATTTCCAATAAATCCGATAAATCCGAACTTAGACCCATCCACCAGTAAGCTCCATCACCAATGATCGTCATGTTCGAATTGGGTAATCAACTACCTAAATATGACGTCAATAGAAAAGCGGGTCAACATTCCCCCCCGGAAATCAGGACAAATGATGCCAAAGGTTTTCACCTTCAAATCAAGTATTCTTTTCCTTTCCCCGGGGAGATGTTGCTTATTAATGATTACTCAGAGTGCCGGGTCCAGATGCGAGCGTCATTGGTCCTGCAATTGGAAACCAAGGAGAATTATCCTAGTCAATTTGATATCAAGTAAAATACATCATAGTAAAGTTATGGAACACTGTAGATCAGTGTTCGCTGAATAAATATTAAGCTTTACGTGGAAGTGGACCCACCAATTAGTATCTTAGTATTCGCAAGATTTCTTGCTAAGTGGTGGTCAGTAGCGGCATCACAGTCCGGTATTGCTTGGCAATGACTGGGAGTCTGGATCAATTGACATTACCATGAACCGATCTAGACTATTCAGGACAAATATGTCCGGTGGAACAACTTGATTTCATTTCCTGGTGATGTGATTGGTGGTATGCTCTATCCTGGTTTTGCAAACTGTGGAGTTACATCATTGACGTAGGACCTGCGCATATCCTGTCTAGAGGTCTGATGATCCGTATATATTACAGGACTTCCCAGGATATTTTCGTTCACATTGAATTGTATCGATTGAGTTTTAATCACTTGCGATATTGACGGTTATCGAATATGGCAGCCAAGACAAACTCGGCCGAAAACGGCAAATTTGTCGATATGGAGAAGGATACGGTCGATGTGCATGCAAAGCAGCATATGACAACCGACTATGGCATCAAAATCTCAGACCCGGATCATTCGTTGCGAGTGGTCAGTGACTCGACCACGGGTCCATCGCTATTGGAGGACCAGATCGCCCGTGAGAAGGTATGAGGTCGATGCCTCCTAACCAGCTTCATAACTAACGATAACTGTTGTAGATTATGCGATTTGACCATGAGCGCATCCCTGAGCGAGTCGTACATGCCCGTGGTACAGGTGCATTCGGTCATTTCAAATTGTTTGAGAGTGCTGAGGATGTCACAACAGCCGGTGTGTTGACCGACACCAGCCGCACCACTCCTCTCTTCTTGCGCTTCTCTACTGTGCAGGGTAGCAAAGGCAGCGCAGACACTGTCAGAGATGTACGCGGATTTGCTGTCAAAATGTACACAGAAGAGGGAAACTGGGATATTGTCGGAAACAACATCCCTGTCTTCTTTATTCAGGATTCGATCAAGTTCCCTGACTTCGTGCACTCGGTGAAGCCCGAGCCACATAACGAGGTGCCACAAGGCCAGAGCGCGCATAATAACTTCTGGGATTTCGTTTATTTACATTCGGAGTCGACACACATGAACTATTGGGTAGGTTTTCTTCTCATCATTGGGTGATGGTTATGTGCTAACTTATTACAGCAAATGTCCGATCGGGCTATTCCTCGCTCATACCGGATGATGCAGGGCTTCGGTGTGAATACCTATTCTCTCGTCAACAAAGATGGCAAGCGTCATTTTGTCAAGTTCCACTTCACTCCTGAGCTTGGAGTTCATTCGCTTGTCTGGGATGAAGCTTTGAAAATCTGTGGTCAAGACCCAGACTTCCACCGCAAGGACCTCATCTCCGCCATCGAGGCCGGTCAATTCCCCAAGTGGAAGTTTGGCCTACAGCTTATCCCCGAAGAGAAGCTAGATGACTTCGAGTTCGATCCCCTTGACGCCACCAAGGTTTGGCCGGAAGAGCTGGTTCCCATTCGGTACATCGGCGAGCTGGAGCTGAACCGTAACGTCGACGAGTTCTTCCCACAGACCGAGCAAGCTGCTTTCTGTACCAGCCACATCGTACCTGGTATCGACTTCTCCAATGACCCTCTCCTCCAGGGCCGGAACTTCTCGTACTTTGATACACAAATCTCTCGTCTCGGCGCGAACTGGGAGGAACTCCCCGTGAACAGACCCGTTTGCCCGTACATGAGTCTCGTCAACCGTGATGGCGCTGCACGCCATCGCATCACCAAGGGAACAGTTAACTACTGGCCTAACCGCTTCGACGCAAACCCCCCGGCTACAGCCGCTCAGGGCGGCTTCACAAGCTACCCCGAGAAGCAAAACGGCATCAAGGCACGCGCCTTGTCAGAGAAGTTCAAGGAGCACTACAACCAAGCTCAGACATTCTACAACTCCCTCTCGGAAATCGAGAAGATGCATCTCGCAAAGGCCTTCTCCTTCGAGCTGGACCACTGTGACGACCCAATCGTCTACAAGCGCATGACCGAGCGCGTCGCAGCTGTCAGCCTCGAACTCGCCGAACAAATCGCCAAGAACGTCGGCGGAGATACCCCGAAGAGCTCAAAGCCCAACAAGGGCCAGAAGGCGAAAGGTCTCAGTCAGTTGGAGTACATGCCTAAAGACCCCGTCATCGCTACTCGTCGAATCGCAATCCTGATTGCCGACGGATTCGACTACTCATCCTATATCACCATGAAAGAGGCCTTGGAAGCGCGCAATGCATTCGTCTTTACCATCGGCGCTCAGCGACAAGGCGTTGTCGCCGAATCGGGAGAAAAGGTCATCCCAGATCACTTTTTCAACGGCATGCGCTCCACTCTCTTCGACGCGACTTTCGTACCGGGCGGCAAACACGTTACCGCGTTGGCAAAGAACGGTGTTGCCAAGTTCTGGATCACAGAGTCTTTTGCTCACCTTAAGGCCATTGCTGGTGTGAATGAAGCTGTTGCTTTCATCGCGAGACAAATCGAATTGGATGAGGTGCAGATTGCCAAGCCCGGTACCTCTCTTGCCGAATCCTATGGTGTTGTGACCGGCCATGGCGATGCAGCTACGACGCTTAACGTTGGACAAGTCGGTCCTGATTCAAAGACTCTTGCGGAGCAGTTTATTTGGCACGTCTCGCGCCACCGGAACTGGCAGCGTGAGTTGGATGGATTGGCTGATCAAATTGCCGCATAGGAATAGCTTCTCCTGTGTGGAAACGTGTGTTATGGTAGCTAGGGCGTTTTGTGGTTTGTTTTTGAGCTTCTAGGTGTTGAGCGATCCATTAAAATTTCATAAATTGAATTTACTCAAAATGTTTATCTGGTTTACATATCTGTCATGGAATCTTGCATTCATGTGCCGTTCAACGCGGAGTAGGTACCTTGGTGCCTGAGTATGAGCCTGCATTCTTCACGGGTCAATCTTGGACCTCACCGGCAATTGCTGGGACCCAATTCAGTAAATGTGGAGGGCTAGGGCTGAAGTTTTGTGACTGATCTTTATCAATGAAAAACTTCCCCTGGGTCATTTAATCATTAAAGCTCCAAGCACCTCGGCTTTTCGTGTCATAGACTAGAAGGGAGGTCAAGTCCACTCCATAAAACTCGAACCTATGCCCTAAGATCATACACAATCAATTTCTTTAGAACTCGCCAATAATATATTCTAATTACCACCTGAACAAACCAGCCAGAAATGTTCTGGAGGGAGTACCCAGGTAGAAAAGGGCTCCCACATAGCATACCGCATGCTCATTACATACTTCCCTGCGGTCGGGGCCTGAACCACTCCACAGTTACACGATGAGCGTTGTATGCCCCAGCCATTGATTTCTTGACCAGCATGAGACAGAAGTATTCAAAGTTTGGGACAAAAGGTTCAATTCCCCATATGTCTGGCAAATTTTCCCATTTGTTGTCTTCTCCCAGACCCAAAGGATTTGAAGTACCCTTCTTTGTACCTATATCTTGTGTGATTTAGGCTCATTTTTGATAAGCTTGTTCAATTGCACGATTTAAGACCGTCTTCCATCTTGGGAAAGAGGTGGTCTTGCTGGCTTTGTCTCACATCGACCCAGATCATGCCATTCCGAGTTTCGCGCTCGACGCGATTATCTGTTGTTATTGCTATATCGACTTGTTTTTTTGTGGGAGAGATTTCAGGTGAGTTCTGGCTCTTTTGATTCATCTTGGTTCTAATCTTGATTAGTGGGATTCTATACACATTCACTCGCGCTTATTGCAGATGCCTTTCACTATGTACGTTTTCCACGGATGTTTTTCAGGATAAGTTGCTAACATTCTCCAGTTGAATGATTTAGTGGGATTTGTCATTGCTTTAGTGGCTTTGAAGGTATGTGAATAATACCGGCATGTCTGATGTGATGCTCATATCTCTAGGTCTCAGAAAGTGGTGACTCGCCTAGAGGCTTCTCCTTTGGATGGCAGCGGGCGCAATTGCTCGGTGCATTTTTCAATGGCGTTCTTTTGTTTGGGCTTGGAATCAGTATTTTCTTGCAGTCTATTGAGCGATTTATTGCTCTCCGACGTGAGTACATGCCCAAGTCGTATGCCCTGATCGATAGCTGACCCGATCAGGGATTGAGGACCCTAAACTAGTCTTGATTGTTGGATGCATCGGCTTAGGCCTTAACATCATAAGCGTGCTTTTCCTTCATGGTTAGTATGGAGACTACTATACAGAGCATCAAGCTGACCAAGTCTAGAACATGGACATGACCATGGCCATGGCCATGATCATAGTCTACCCAAAATCGAAGGAGGACTATCACCTATTAGTGACGATGATCAAGACTCCATCTCCAAGGTACTTGAGAATTTCTTGTCATAAAATTGCCACTGACACGCCTAGCATCATGAACACAAGCATATGTGCGACGAAAAATCCAACGATCCAATCTCCCATTGCAGCGACCACGGTCATGGGAGTGGGAACGGGCATGATCATAGCCATGACCACGGCGATCTCGGTATGATGGGAGTCCTTATCCACGTCCTATGCGATGCAGCCAACAACCTCGGTGTTATCGCCGCGGCTTTGGTCATTTGGCTTGCAAAATACGACGGTCGGTACTATGCCGATCCCGGGGTAAGCATGGGAATAGCTTTGATGATCATTCTGTCATCGATCCCCCTTGGTAAGGCCAGGAATTCCCAAGCACAGAACCCTGCATAGGTAGCATTAAGCTCATTTTTTGGCAGTACGAAGGGCCGGAATGATCCTCCTGGAGAGCGCCCCAGCTGGGCTCGATCTGAGTGATGTGCAACACGATCTTGAGAAGGTACAACCTAGCCCGGCCATAAGAACCTTATTTGCAGCTGTCATGAGACTGATCCAACCATTTCAGGTCCCCGGCGTGCACTCTGTTCACGAGCTGCATATCTGGCGTTTGAACCAACAGAAGACCCTCGCCTCCGTGCATGTTGTTGTCTCTGATCCTTCCGTCAGTGCCTTTCTTAAGACGGCGAAGACGATTAACGAATGCTTCCACGCTTATGGTATTCATTCTGCGACATTGCAGCCAGAGGCGATGGAATTCGAAACAGCTACCATGTACCCGCACGGGGAGAAATCGCCGCGGTGTCAAGTGGTGTGTGGGACATTGTGTGAGGGAATGACCTGTTGTGGGTAAAAGTTGGACCCAAAAAGCTTTTTGATCTTAAGATGTAAAAAGAAGAATCTTACATCAACCAGTACCAAGTGGTCGAGCGGAAACTCGACTATCTTATCTTCCTTGGTCTAGGGGTCATGATTTCCGCTTGTCATTAACACTGATACGCGCGGGAGACCGGGGTTCGATTCCCCGAGGGAGAGATTTCTTTTTTGCTTTTGAACATTCTTTTATACCACTTCTCTGGAATATATTCAAATGTTTTTTTCCCCTTTGGTTTCCTGAGAAACACGCTGCATGTTATCTAGCATTTCAGTATTTTTGATTCAAGTTAACCCATTAGTTATGATGTGTTTGAACAAGTCTACGCGTCCTATTATACATGTACGGTATATTCTATGGATGCATGATATTTCCAGGCATAAAGCAGGCTGCAAATCAAAGCTATGAGTCTGTCAAATCGGCACTGAGTAAGCCCAAAGTGGTTGGAATGAGGGGTTCAATGATTAACGTTGAATGTAGATAAACACGGAATATCTCCGCTGCGGAGTCTCTTTCCTAACATCTTACAGGGTCCCCTCCAACGGCTCCTCAATGCATAGATAAGCGACGCGACAGTCTCCGATTTACTCCACCTTTATCTAGGGTGCGGGGGTGAGTCCGCCTCGGTACAACCTAGAGGATTCCGATTCCGAGATGCACAGGTCAGACTAAAAAGGCTGGACAGTCGGCGGTATACAAATTCTCCTCTCGTCACCTATGATCTTACGTGAACCATAAAACCATAGTATATACCCGGTAAACATCTCACGGGACCTGACAAACATTAACCCGACATGTCTCTTCAACAATGGGAGCGTCAAGCCCAACGGGGCAGAGATATCCTCAACAACTCCATTCCCAAACAATGGCTTGCATCAGTTGAAAGTCTCCCTCCAGCTTCACAGAAAAATGTGATTGATTTCCCAAAGAAAAGCGGACTACTGAGCGAGCGTGAGCTCTCAATCACGGATCTCTCCGCTACACAACTTGTCACAAAGATGGGGATAGGGGAACTAAAGGCCGAGGAGGTAGTGGTGGCATTTTTGAAGAGGGCGGTTCTTGGACACCAGCTGGTAAGAATCATCTGTACTCTGCTGATTAGGACAGAATACTGATAAAAATACAGCTGAATTTTGCAACGGAATTCTTGGCAGATGAAGCAATCGCCAGAGCCAAGGAGCTGGATGCACACTTTCAACGAACTGGAAAGCTTGTCGGCCCTTTGGTAGGTAGCCACATCCTTGAGATATCCAAAACCGCATATTGATATTCTGATGACCAGCACGGTGTTCCTATTAGTGTTAAAGAGCATGTTGGTATGAAGAACAAGACATGTAACACCGGCTATGTGGCATGGTATGTGAAGCATGCCTCTGGTGGCAGCTTGATACTAATTTGGAATAACAGGGTTGACGAAGTCGCCACCGAAGATGCCCATTTGCTTCAATTATTATCAAATGCCGGTGCAGTGTTCCACGTCCGAACAAACCAGCCACAGGCCCTCATGGTGGGTTATTCTCGAATCGCTCTCCACACAGCTACTAATAGTATCTAGCATCTTTGCTGTGAGAACAATATCACAGGAGCGACGTTGAACCCTTACAATCGCACCTTGACCCCAGGAGGATCATCGGGTGGTGAAGGTGCTTCCACGGGCTTCAAATGCGCACCACTTGGTATCGGCACAGATATTGGTGGATCAATTCGTTGTCCAGCTGCGTTTTGTGGCTCCTATGGATTCCGGCCTACAGCAATGCGTAATCCACTAGCTGGGGCCAAAGTCGCGGCAATTGGACAGGAGACAATCCACGGTGTTATTGGGCCTTTGGCCAGCAGTTCATTAGAGGATATTGAACTATTTCAAAAGGCAGTACTGGATCAAGAGCCTTGGGATGTCGAAACATCTTTGGTACCGGTTCCATGGAAGACTGTGACTCCTACTAGGAGTATGACTGTGGGTATTATGTGGGATGATGGGTATGACTTGATACAACTCCCAATTGAGAAACCTACTAACCGAACACCAGTATTGTTCGCCCTCATCCACCAGTAACCAGAGCACTCAAACTTGCAAAAGAAAAGCTCGTCGCTGCTGGAATCAACGTTGTTGACTGGGAGCCATACAAGCATGATCACGGATGGAAGATTATTGTAAGTTCCATCGCACCTAAGATGACAACAAAGAAGACTTATATCCAAACAGTCTAGCCTTTACTACCCCGAAAGCGCCGCCTTGCAGCGCAAAGTCATTCGTGAATCAGGCGAGCCAATACTCCCACTGACCGACTGGGTCTTCAACTACTCCCGACCAGACCCACTTACTCACCCCGAAGCATGGGAACTGCAATACCAACGCGATGTCTACCGCGACGAGTATAACGCCGTGCTGAAAAGCCGAGGCGTCGACTTTATCATATCACCCGCGTATCCCGGTGTTGCGGCGGTATATGGCGAATCGCATTACTGGAATTACACCGCGATCTGGAATGTGCTGGATCTTCCGTCGGTGGTGTTTCCATCGGGCATTGCGGTTGATTCGAAGTTGGATGCTTTGACGGAGCAGGATAAGAAATATAAACCGCGTAGTGAGGCTGAGGAAAGGGAGTGGGGAAAGTATGAGGGTCCCGAGCGATATGAAGGTGCACCTGTGGCTTTGCAGGTTGCAGGGAAGCATTTCAAGGATGAAGAGACTTTGGCAGCTGCCAAGTTGATTGAGGAAATTATCAAAGATGGGAAGAAAGTTTCTAAACTTTGATACTTATTGTTCGGATGGTACTTGGTTTATAATGATATGTCTATTCAATGTTTTTGCCAGCCCATCAATATAAGATGAAGTCCCAATCGGGCATACTGTAATATCTCCTCCAATACCTGGCTCAAGAAAGCCTACGTTATTCATATGCTCTTATCAACCTGCTCTGTTGGTGGTGAGACGAGTCTTTATTCGGCTTGGCCAGAGAGCTAAAGAATATACCAGATCTTGCAGTCTTAAAATCAAATCATTGTAACATTGGAGTAATTTCAAAGCGCATAAATACATTTATCAATAAGCATAGACACATAAAAAGATCCAAGCGCAATATCATGTCAACTATTTTCATAACAAACCAAGGGAAAAAAGTAAACTCCGGAAGTGGTGGGAATCATTAATCGGCTCCAGAGATCATAAAAAGGATGAAATATCACAAGTCAAACGACGAAAGCAAGAATCTACTTGCGCCAGAACATCGCTTTACCAGCTGCCCGACCAGCGGCCCATCTAGCTTCATTCAAACGATCCTTGAAGCTTGGTTTGCCACTATAGTTAACAGGCTTCTGGGAACTGCGCTCTGAGCTGACGTTACTACCACCGAAAACGCTCGGAGCGAAGTTTGTGAGGTTTCCAGCGTCGAATTTGGTTTTTGTTTCGACTATCTTGTGGATGAGATGCAGCAGGGCGTAGGTAGTTGAGCCGACAACACGGATCAAGGCGAGACCGGCGACGGACCATAGAATGATCGAGAGGTAGATGTTTGTGCCGCCAGCGTCGACACCGTAGACTTCTGAGACAACCATGGTGAGGACCAGGTTCGCTACCATCCAAACTGATACCATGTAGGTACGTACGGCACGGTAGTAATCCTCTTGCATTTGGGCTTCGCTCAGTGGGGGCTCAGGAACCTCGAGACGATCACGGAGGTTGCGGAGCGCAGCATCATAGCCACTGTCAATATCCAGTTGCTCAGATGGCATGTCCAGTAAGACGGTCTTGCCGTCGATGGTCTTTGCAGCACCGAGATCGGTGTTCATGACGTTGTCACCCTTTGTACCCCATGTCACATCGTGAGTGTTGCAAAAGGCATAGACCTGCAGTGTGCAGATGTAACTTGGCATCAACAGGAAGTATTGAAGTGAAGAGGTGATCATGTGCCACGGGTCAAGGTAGAGGATGGAGATGTAGAAGTACAGACCAACGGTCGACAACATGGAGATGACGATTTCCATCAGCAGGGTACTGCTAACTGTGAGATCGGAATTTCCATCTCCTGCCCGCGCCATCAACTCCAGGACCAAGAGGTACAGCGTGCAGAAAATAGTGTAGGCCATGATGATAGCGTAAACGATAATACTACTCAGATAGAGGTTCTTGGCACCTTGAGGACGATTGCCCAGAGAAATGATGAACTGCAGACACATGACCAAGACGCAAGCATATTTAAGTACATAGAAAATGTACTTGCCCATGTTATGGCCAAAGGGATCGAGCTTCTCGTCAGTCAAAGAGCCAGCAATGAAGTAGAAAGCCAGATAGAAATTTGCCTGTCATAGAGTTAGTTGGGCGCATAATGAAAATGATTAAGGAAACTTACCAAACCAAAGTAGGTGAAAAGAAGGTTAAAGAATTGGTACACAAACTCAATGTGAAGCAAGATCTTGCGACCAATACTGTGATCGGTCTTCCAGATCTGCTTGGCATTAAAGTTGGAGTACACAGCCGCGAAGAAAGCACCGTTCAGCCAACGACGACGTTGAGAGATGAACTCGGGAATTGAATCCGGGACATCAGTCTCACCAACAGCACTCTTGACGAACTTCAAGACCCACTTCTCTTCACGTTTCGCCACTAACTCCCAGCAGAGAATACGATCCTCGGCAAGGTACATGTTGGCAGTGAAGACGTCAGCATCTTGACCGTGGAGAGTTTCACCCTTGAAGTACTGGTTCAGAGGACCGTTGCCGTCGGCATCGTTCTGCAAAGCGAAGAATCGGTAGGCACTGAGTGCACCAGGCAGCACAGTAATGTAACCAAAGACAGACTCCAGAGGCTTATCCAAAATGTTGGACATCTTGTACTCAAAGTTCTGACTGGCCACAAGGGGGTTAAGCAAGCCACGCATGCCTTTACCCTTACCAGCCTTGATCTCTCCCGCAGCACCCGCGACGTTGGAGTCCTGGTCAAAGGCCTTCCACAAGTGGTAACAAGCGGTGGGATCTGGCTTGGTTCCAACATCAAGAAGAACACAAATGTTTGGCTGGAGGGCCCGACCAAAAGCGTTGAAGAACCAACGGTGAGAGTTCAGCTTCTTCTGATTGTGCTCCTTCAGACAGAAAATGACCTGGCAGGGAACGATGCCCTTCTCAGCTCCCTTGAACTTCAAGTCAGAGTCCAGGGATACCTGAGTGGTGTACTCGTAGACATGGGCCTGGACCTCCTTCTGGTTCACAATGTTCTTTGCAATGCCCTCTTGATAAACACCGAGGGCAGCCAGAGCATTGAGAGTGCGAGGGTGGACCTTCTTCCGACCGTCAGAAATAATGCAGACAACAATCTTCTTCCACCCGTCTTTACCCCAGGTGCGAGACTTGGTACGTGAGCACAAGTGGCTGATGTTGCGCATGACACCGTGCATGGTTCGAGTGAAGCCGATCTCGTCCTCGTTGTACATGGTAATACAAATGAACAGCTCAGTTTCACGCGCAGTGGTACCAATCTGCTGTCGGAGCTTGTAACCGCGGCTCGTAAAGTCATCGGGGTCGGAGGTAACGGCCGTGTATCGCATATGAGTAAACTCGCGTTCATCGCGGCGAGGCAAGAAACTATGCAGAATAGTGGGGATCTTGCATTCCAAAATAAGTTCACCGTTGATCAACTGAACTTCTTTCTTGGCCATCTGAGCATCGCGGACACCTCGACGGGCCTGCTTCTCGGGCGCGGGACCATAGTGCATATTCGGATCAATTTCCCCATCATCATATTCATCAAGATCCACCTTGGACATCGCATCCTTTTCGTCGCCCATAACAGTCGATTCACTCAGGAAAGATCGTACACTGCCGCGCGAATTGTGGTTGATAGTCTGACCACGGGCGCCGAAAGGATCGTCAAAGGGATCCTCACCCATGCTGTCACCAATATCGATGCTCGTGTCTCCACCCATCGACGCGCTAGGCCCAGAGAATAATGGAGCTGGAGGCAGTGGTCGTCGGGGGCTACCTCCATAGCGTGAGCTCGGAGTACCGGGTCGAGGGCTACCGTTGATATCGACACGTTCATATCCGGCACTTGATACAGAAGGAGGTCGAACGTGGCCAGGACTCCAAGGCCGGATGGGAGATCCTGTGCGTGGGGGAATTGATGGGTAGACTGAAGGGTCGGCTAGACTGGCAGTGGGTGCGGGGATATTGGGGATACCAGACAAGCTTGATGCTGGACGCGAAGGCGAGCTTGCGCTTGGAACTTGGTAGAATCGACCATCGTTGTAGTCTTGTGTGTGTCCGGTTCTATTCCGTGATCGAACGTTAGTTCTGGTTCGTGGTCTCGACGGGCGATCCATTGTATGTGGATTTGATGGCATATTGTCCACAGTTGGGAAATAGGACAACGCGTTAGGCAAGTGCAATGTATACACTGTTTGACACCCGCTGATCTTGACCAAGCTTTCAGGATGGGGGGTTCTCAGTCGCAAAAGCGGCCATTCCTGAGCAATCCCATGGAAGAAGTCACAGTTTCATTGGTCTTCGCGTTCTGGAATGTCGTAGGGGTAACGACTGGAATGTGGGGTGGGAAAGAAAATTTGTATTTGGGAAAGTCGAACACACTTACGGAGTTGTGTCATACTCTTGATCATAGACTTGGCTGTAACCTTGTTGATATTGGAACTGTGAGGTGGCCCTTGGACTTTCGCTCAAGTCACCGTATTCCTCACCACTTGTAGGCAGCAGGCGCATTGTTGGGCCATTCTGGCGCGATGGGGATTCGACCTCGGATAAGAACGAAGCTGTCTCCTGGTCATACGACGGGGGCTCATCCCCGAAGCTGGATGGCGGGTGACGATTCATGACTGGAATTTGTCTCTTTCTGTCGTATCTCAAGTACTCATATTATCGTGTGTGGGGGTATCAATTGAAAAGTTGCACAATAAAAGAACAGCCAAGCAGTTTCCTCAGCTACCAGCACTGAGACAGCGGATGCGGTAGTTTTGACAGGTTGACACTCGCGTTATGGGTTGACGAGGAATGTGGAATACAAAGAATGCACATAAATCCAGAAGATGGAACCAAGGAATGATATGTGATGGTAAAGTCTGGCCCGGTTCCTCCGTGCTCGATCAACAAAGTGGAGGTGGATCCTGTTGCCATGACAACGTATTTACAAGGGAGTTTTCTGCACGGGGGAAATCGATGGATTTCACACTCAAACTCGACATTGACCTATTCAATAAATCAGATAATTGTCAGACATGCTTAAAGTTTCCTCATTATCTGCATCAACACTTGCTTCGTTCAATGTTTGTGTTGATTTATATCAACTTCCTACTAGATTTGGTCTCCACCATGTGGGTCCGAGGCGCGGAAGCTGCGCAATCTCATGTTGAAGGTGCATTAGATTCAGAAACATAAGCCCACCAAAGGCGAGAAGCTAACCTAACCCAGACTGTATTACGACTGCAAGTAAGAGGGAATTAAAGGGTTGTAGGAATTGAAAAATCAGACCACCCGAGCTCATCCAATCAACATCCGACTAGCTTCATTTTCCCGTCCAGCTCCACAACCAATGACCTCAATCCTCGTACAAGTACCGTCACAACAACCATCGAATTCGTGAGGGTTTAGATATCATCATTGAGCAATGGTTGTCTTTCCCGATCGGTGCTCTCGGGGTGCACGACACGACGGAAGAGCGAGTCGCGTCCGGTATACTTGGTAGTCGAGATATATAATGACACCACCAAGAAGACGCCGAAGATAACAAAGGCAAAAATCCATTGCAAGGCAATGATCTTGATAGAAAATTGCTGGACCGCCAGCGCTGTCATACCGATTAGCATTTTCTGATAGAACCTCGAAACCCATGCCTTGACTTACACAAGCTGAGGAAGCTGAGGCAGTAGCCCAGAATATGATCCTGACGCAGCAAAATACTGAACAAACCCACGAACAGGATCACCCAGATAAAGATATTGGCCACAATACGGCCAGGCAGGTTATGGCTGTGAACGGCGACAGCTCCATTCCAGAACAATGCGAACAATGTCCATGCATACGGACCTGCGACAGCGGGGAGGTGCACAAAATCAGGAAGATTCCGGTGACGCCAGTACGCGGTACTCTGGTTGATGAAGTGGGCCATCAAGATAATCTCGGCGCCCCAGAAGTGGTTCCGAGTCCAGAGCAGGATCCATGCCAGGGTGAACAAGTTGTTCAGGATGAAGTGGGTGGCTACATTAGCGGCAGCTGCTACCAGGGCAGCGTCCTTGTGGAAGAGGTGCCACACATAGCTTAGCTGTGAGAGCAGCAGGAGTACCCTAGGAAGGCGAAACGTGTTAGAAATAATCATGTCAAGTCAAGTAAGTGACACCATATATATCTATAGCTATAGACACTCACCAATAGATCTCAGTCACAGTCTTGTTCTGTGTAAAAGGCGTAGCATGTCTCTTGACCTGCTTCCAGATCTTCTTACTGCCCTTCGTATCATCCGGCGAGTGGATGGAGTAGTAAATTCCAACTATGACGACCAGCGCCCACGTAACAGGTACAAAGACTCGATAGACATTCAACGCGTGAGCATTATGAGTCTCACGGCGTGCGAAAGGATTGTAGTTTGCCATGATAGATTTTGTCGATGACAAGGAAGAAAGAGGTGTATTCAAAAGAGGTGGGGATGGCGTTATATACAGGCAGCTACATCCCCGCAATATGGTCTGATGACCGATTTCCCACCAGTAAAAGTGCAGCGAGGAGTTACAGTGGCGCTAAATTCGGGTACATCATAGAAAGCATGATGATGTCAAAATTGCTCTCTATCTTATCCGGTATCCGCACGAACCAACATTAAGTTGGCACCTTGAGACCCACCACTGGAACCAAGTTTTGTTCCGTTCTCTGGTTTAAGGTCTAGGAAAATGAGCCCCTGGAGTCTAATGGTTTTTGTTTCAGATTTGGAAGGAGTAAGGATTCGTACCGAAAAGAGATGCGATGGCGCAACTTTGCCGTGGTGTTGATCGGCGTGCACGGTCCTGCGGCTTGGAAGATCAACCTGGGGTTGGGGGAAGTAGTATGGATGAGCTGCAAGCTGAATTGTGCTCTTTTACCTGAAGAAAACTGGGTAGAAAAAGATGAGAGCCAAATAAACATTGAACATTCTCATTTAAATAATTTAGTGGTCCTCCTCTCGCCATGCATGGATAACTACGTGCTGTCACTCTACACATAGCTACAACTTCAACGAGGACCTGGAACGCGGGGCAAGGGGCCAAAGCTACCAAATTGAAATCACTTTTTTCAATTTGATGACTGACTTAACCTGAACTGTAAATGGGAGATCTGACCAAACGGGGTATCAATGCCTTGCGGACTGGCTGACCGCTAAAATAAAAAATAAAACTCGGTGCCTACAACGCTTGGCGTTTCGCATTTCTCGCAAGGTTGATCTGTATGGTGTTGTAAAGGCACCGAGGTAGTTCCTTAGACTTGTATTAAGATTCAATGATTGGCTGCCCGTACGACCCGAACAGCCTCCATGACATGGCCATGAATGGAAGCAGGCGCCACAACCAAGCCGTGACAATCGGCCAAGGTTCGTCCCAGACCACAGTCGACTGGTCGACCATCCAGATCCGTTACCACACAGCCAAGCTCCTGTACAAGTAACATCCCGCCAGAGTGATCCCAGATCTTAGATCGGTACGACTCTTTCAGAGGAACCTTGAGGAAGGAGTTACACCCGCCACGCACGGCGATGGCAATATACCTCATCTGAGCGGACCACAGATCAACCGTGTTCGGCCACGGGCACTTCAAGTGCGCTGCGATTTTCTCATGCAGATCCAGTCGTTGGGAAGTCGACTCCTGTGTATCGACGAACTGCACTTCGCTGCTCTCTGTAATCTGTGGTACCCGCTCAAGCTGCTCTCCTGGTAGAAGAGCACCGGTACCCATAGGCTGAATGAATGCTCCCTGTCCTGCGATCGCAGTTAAAAGCTGCCCGTGCCCGTCGCGGTCCACGAGATCCTCCGCCACGCGCCCAGAACTGAGATCCATATTCGGGCAGCCGATGATGCCGAGCTTTTGCTGACCGTCCTCAACAAGTGATAGGCACACAGCGTACTGTTGTCCCCGAATGAAGGTTGCAGTACCATCTACCGGGTCAAGTGTCCATGCTCGCGTACCGCGCCTGCACTGCCCGCGAGCGCCGAGATCGATGAGGTCAAGCAGCTCCTCCCGGGATTGTGGGGTATATAGAAGTGCCTCACTGGCTTCATCGTCAAGGTGGGCGGACGTGGCAAGCTCCCATGTGCGTTCGAGGAGGACAGGGTCTTCGCGCAGGGCTGTGGCATCTTCCTCACCGACAATGTCGTCATCTGGGAAGGTGTGGTGAATCGCGGCAATAATGGAGGCTTGGGCGGCGAAGTCGGCGATCGTCACGGGTGAGTCATCGCTTTTGCTCAAGGAGCCTTTGTCGACTGCGGAGAGTAATTGTTTTGTAAGGAGTGCGGCTCGCTGGACGGCGAGGCTGGCCAGGTGGAGCTCTTGGGTGTAGGCGTGAGAGCTCATGTCTGCAATGTTACAAAGTCAATTCCAAAATTGCGTATATGAGGTAATTTTGGACGGGATAGATGTCACAATTTACCTGTGCAGTTGGGCCGACCAAAATATAATTGTGTTGTGGGAAGCTCCTGCATGCGTCGAAACATGTTCGGTCAATCCCGTCGCATAAACGTCACGTGTGGAGGGACCTGAGTTACGTCATTGTCTTGAGTTGAACACTCTTATTTCTTCATCTTCAACAACATTGGAACAATGAGATGAATAAAAAGAACCTGATTGATAGGAGAAGTATGATAAAACTATTCCAGACATGTGATCGAGAGGTAAATAATGATATTGTTTGGAAGACCGAAATCCAGACATGAATCGGAAGCCAAACCAGCGACGAATCTACGCTCGCCTTCTACAAATAAACGGAAGCCCATAGGTATATCCCAAAACGCCATTGCAAGGAAATAAAATCAAGACAAGGTCCCTATCGAGCTAAACTCAGAAAGGGGCAAATGCCAACTCGTATGCAAAGGCCAAGCTCATCTTGGCATGCTGCAACATGTGATCAAAGCTCAGATACTTGATCAAGTCATCGGTGGAGTGGATTTTTTTGTCTGAGTTCTCGAACTGAGACTCAATCACAAAAGCCGAGGGGTAGCCGAATCGGCTGGCCGAAGCATGGTCGGAGCAGGCATAACCGCACTTGGTCTCGACGTAAGGGATATCACAGTACTATTGAAGCGGGGGTCAGAAAAGTAGATCCTTGCATGTTCTTTGATAATAGGTCACTTACAGTGGTGATGACTTCCTTGATAAATGCGGTGAGACCTGGGTCGACATAGTCGACAATGACACCCACTGACTCTGGCTGGCCGGCATCCAGCGTACCCTGAACATAGCCAGTCATGTCTTGCTGAAGCATAGCCTTAATTTCACGGTGGTCTTTCTTGTACTTGGAGAAGATGGCCTGGGAACCTAACAGACCTCCCTCTTCCGCCGAGTACCAGTGGAATTCGATGGTGTTGTTTGCCTGACCCTGAACAATCGCCTCCGACCGCAGCAGGGCTCGGAGTGACTCGAGGATCGTGACAGTTCCACTACCATCGTCATCTGCACCTGGCGCAGCCAGGATCGAGGGGAGAAACAGATTGATGCTGTCCTGGTGGGCCCCCAGCACAACAGTGTTTTTGGTTTGACCCGGGATGCGGGCGATAATGCTAAACTGGCCCCACTGGTGATCGAATCGCTCTACAGTTGCGCCGTACTTGGTGGCACCTGAATCATGCACCACGGTGGTGACTTGATCCAGCAGCCATTCAGCAGACTGGATACCCGTCTGCGACTTGTAGTAGCGGGTGTGGAAGGAGGTGAAGTGCTCCAGGTTCTTCTTCATATTGCTCTTAGAAAGCTCTCCAGCGAGAGGCACCACGGCTTCGGTGTAGTTCATCTGGCCCGGGTACCGGACGACGCGCTGCGTGTGAAGAGTACCGTAAGATCCGGACTGGAACTCATCGGTAACATCAATGAAATTGACTCCATCCTGTGAGAAAATAACCAATTAGTGGGGGGTGAGATAGATGTTTGAGATGATTGACTTACCAATTTCAACGCCCACTTCTCTTCCTCGGTCACCCAGCGGGTGGTGTATGGGGCCAACTCAATCAACCACTTGGGCTGTTGGGTGTTTTGGACGATTGACGGACCTAATGGCTCCTGGGGGATCACCGCAGCCAGGGCGGTCGAGACCGTTGCGCTCAACGCAAGTGGTAGAAACTTCATGATGAGGCTGTAAGGTACAAAAAATAATGATAAAATAACGAATGGGAAATGAGGAGCCGGGCGGCAGTGATTATAAAGAGGTCAGGAATCGGTGGGTTGTGGGGGCCGACTCTCATGTGCCTAGCGCCAAGTTTCTTGCCTATTTCGACTCGGCGTTAAACAGGGTTATTAATAGCGAGTAACAGCCTTGCGCGAGAGATAACAATATTTATCCCTTGATTGTGAATTTATGATGATATGAAATATCTACTTCTATTCCTTGAAAGCCCCCCCTTTCATGAATATTCCTGTCCCCACTCACTGTCATACCAAGTCACGTCCCAATCTCACCCGGAATGATTTTCGTGCGGGGGAGGAGTACCCGATTAGTCAACTTATCGCATGAGTCACGCGGACTCCGAGGATTCCACTGTTTCTGTCCCACTATTTAATGGGTCCAGATCGTGTCTGAAGATAAATGGATTTCACGTGACTTACTACTCTTTCCTAACTTGGAAAGCGCCAATCATATTCAGGTTGGGGCAAGAGAAGATAATGCTCGAGGCCATTTTCGGCACATAGGCCTAGTTCTTGACGATTGAGATGTTTGATACTGTAAAATACACTCCATTTTTGATGGTAGACTAATATTCGAAATTGAGTTCCATGTTTTGCACAGCGTTCATTCCAACAATGATGGGCTAGGACATCAATAAACCGAGGCATTTCTCATAAATCATGAATCGATACTGAGCTCATTTTCCCATTCCAGGAGTGTGTTGTAATTGAACACAGCGTCAGGATGAGCAGGGCCTAGTATTAGCTTCTGCTTAGCTACACAGATCCTCAACGAATCAATTGCATCGGCTTTCCGACCTGCAGAGTTCCAGGTGAAGGCAAGGTTGGCCATACTCGTCAGTGTGTCGGGATGGTTCTCACCGAGCTTGGTCTTGCGAGTGTCCATCACCTGCACCTCGAGCTGCTCGGCCTTCTCCAACCAACCCTGTTCCCTATACGTCGACGCAAGATTGGCTGTACTAGATAGTGTATCGGGTTGGTTCTCGCCGAACTTGGTCTTACGAGCCTCCATCACCTGCAATTGGAGCTGTTCGGCCTCTTCCCACCGGCCCTGTTTCGTATACGTCGACGCAAGGTTGGCTATGCTCGATAATGTGTCGGGATGGTCCTCACCAAGCTTAGCTTGGCGAGTATCCATCACTTGCATCTCGAGCTGCTCGGCGTCCTCTAACCGGCCCTACTTCCTATACGTTGATGCAAGGTTGGCCATACCCGTCAGCGTAAAGGGATGGTCCTCGCCGAGCTTACACTTGCTCGTCTCCATCACATGCATATCGACTGTTCAGCCTCCTCCCACCGGCCCTATTTCCAATATGTTGACGCAAGATTGGCCATACTCGATAGAGTATCGGGATGGTTCTCACCGAGCTTAGTCTTACGACTCTCGATCACCTGTACTTCAAGCTGCTCGGCCTCCTCCCCATCGACCCTACTCCCTATATGTCGACGCAAGGTTGGCTATACTCGATAGAGTATCGGGATGATTCTCACCGAGCTTAGTCTTGCGAGTTTCCATCACCTGTACTTGAAGCTGCTCGGCCTCTTCCCACCGGCCTTGGTTCCAATATGTGGACGCAAGGTTGGCTATACTCGATAGTGTGTCGGGATGGTCCTCACCGAGCTTGGTTTTGCGGGTTCTTATTACCTGCACTTGAAGCTGCTCGGCCTCTTCCCACCGGCCTTGGCTCCAATACGTTGACGCGAGATTGGCTATACTCGATAGTGTGTCGGGATGGTCCTCACCGAGCTTGGTTTTGCGGGTTCTTATTACCTGCACTTGAAGCTGCTCGGCCTCTTCCCACCGGCCTTGGCTCCAATACGTTGACGCGAGATTGGCTATACTCGATAGTGTGTCGGGATGGTTCTCACCGAGTTTGGCCTTGCGATACTCTATGACCTGCACAAATAGCTGCTCAGCCTCCTGCCACCGTCCCTCGTCCCGGTATACCGCCGCTAAAATTGAAGTAGTCTCGAGGGTTTTTGGATTATCTGCGCCAAAGATTTCCAATCTCTGTTTTCTCGACTTCAGTGCCATTTCTTTCGCGTCCTCAATATTCCCACTTTCCCATGCGTACCAAGCACCCCGATAAAGGAGCGTTGCCCATTGTTCTAGAGACTTCGAGTCGTTTGATTCGGGACGGTTAAAAAGAGCCGATCGAATATGTAGGAAAAGCGATCGGCACCTTTCCCAGTTGTTGTGTTGCCCTGTTGGAAACATGTAATAAAGATTGCTGATAAATATCTTTTTCCACTGCTCAAGCTGCCTATGACTTTTCAACCATGTGCACACAGTTATTTGCACTAGTCGATGCATTATGAATACTGAGCTCTGCTCGCCGATTGATATCAATGAATAATCGGCAAGTGTGCTGACATCGTCTTCGAAAGACTGATCAGTATCAGAGTCAGACAAACTGCCTCCATCCTCTTCATTAGAGCTTTCGTCATTTCTCCCAGGACATATATTTTGATGTGTTTCCTGCCTTTGTCGAACTCGGAGTATGCTCTCAGGAATTCATTGACGATCAAAAAAGCTCATAAGAGAAAGAAGGCCTATCGCAGACGGTCGTACGTCATGAATATGGTCAAATGAGATTTGCCACGTGAGCAGAATAGAATTCTTGGCTTCCCAGTCTCGGTGAAGAAGGCCAGCCTCATATTTAAGCAGCCGTACTGCTTCACTATCACTTTGGATTTTCTCAAGGTATTGAGAAGCTGAACATCGAGGTGAACGGTGAGTGATATAAGCGGCAGCCTGTACAATTGCGAGTGGCACAAACTCAAGCGCCTCTACCAGTCGCACTATGTCTTCACTGTCTGCAGGTATGTCTGCTTTTTTCTGCAGCAAATCCAGCGCTTCGGCCTTTTCCATTAGTTGCACTGCAATGAGATTCTTAGGACCAGTGATGTTTAACGCTACCCCTCTACTCCGACTTGTGATAATCACAGAGACATTTGAGCTTTCGAGAAGGTACCTCAGCGGTGGCTGCGTCGATGTATTTACCGGCCCACTTGCTTCTCCGCAAAACCGGGAACGAAAGGTTTGCGAAGGAGGCTGTCATCATCGACATTGTCTAGTACGAGAATCCATTTTCCATTCCTCTTATCTTGTAGCCAGTTCCCGACGAGCTGGAATATATTCGCGTTACGATCCCCTAGCCCGGGAAGCCTGATTCGATCGGCAAGGACTCGGAGACTTTGCTCGCAGCGGGCCGCGTTACTCGCATGGATCCAGAAAGTCCACGTCTCGGGAGATCTTTGTCGTACCCAGTGGCAGTATTCGATGGCAAGCTGTGTTTTCCTACTGCATTGTCAGCATAGGGTAGGTATCCTTTTAAGAACGTATTATCCGAACCCAACGCCACCCAGACCGACGAGTACTATTCTGGACCCCTGGATCGAGGATTTTTGGTGAATCTGGTTGAGGAGTGCATCGCGTCGAACAAAGTCTGGGTCGCGCAGGAATGGGACGGTTGATAGGGGCTCGAGGCGGGGTTCCGATCGCTCTGGCCGATCGCTCTGGGAAGGGGGAAGCCGTTGTTCGTCAACTTTGAGATACGCCTGAACCCGTGTTGCAGGCCCTTGGAAACTTACCTTGTGAAACGTATATCGACCCTTGGTTAATCCACACTTGGATTCCCGAATTGTTTCCGAAAGATACAGAGGTCATAATTACCCTGTCGTGCACAGTGTTAGGTTCTTGGTCAAAATAGTGCTGAACTTTCCCCACCAAATGATTTGAGTACCACCATCGGGTGACTTCTAATGCGCTAAGCACTCACTTCTAAATATCATTTGTTAAAGTTCCTCCATGCTTTGGCGGTCCGCAGTCTCCTCTCTTCTCCGCAGATGTGCCACGTATTACGATATCCGAACGCCAATCTGAATGCCAAAAAATAGCGAACACTTAAATTATCTTAGGAGCACATCTACAAGGACCAAAACCCAAAATTCTTCGTTGGCGAGGGGATCAAAGCCGAAATTGCCCGAAATTTCGTAGAAAACATCCATGACTGGGTGGAGAACGTCAAGTAGGCCGTACCCGTTCTTGGAGTGGTGTAGAAAATGTGTTGGCGTTGTTTTGGTTTGACTTCGATGCATCTGTTAAGAAAAAAGAAAAGAGCAGGACTCAAGATCGAAGCCGTCTGACAGCGTTACGTCGGACGCTAGTCAGAATGCAGCTTTGAAGACTTCATCAGAAACATTTGATGCAAGTCACTTAACGTATTCTATGACAGCAACATTTCTAAACCCGGCAAACTTCAAGGAGCTCGTAGTCATTCTTCCACTGTGCTAAGTTAACAGTCGGTTTTGGAGTCGTTATGTCAACCCTAGCAGGGTGGGACAGGAGAACATTGTTTTTGATAGTTGGATACGGCGTTCTATGCCCAGCAATATTACACCCTTTGCGCTTCTCTTTCTCCAGATTCTGCTACTCCTCCATGTATAGCTCTTCATGGATTTCATCAGAAACGTCTTTGTGCGTCTCTAGGACACCACTAATCTCGCCCTAGGTAACCAAACTTCTGAGGGTTTGAGTGCGAAGTTGATAATGCTTTCAACTGGGTCAAGCCAGTAAGTGGCATGCAGTTGCAACACATTTTATCATGTCATAAACGCGTCGCCAAATTACTTGCCGGCTGTATGGATTTTTCCAGCATCTAGCTGGGCATCTCGATTATCAAGCATCCTCATTGCGAGAGAGAATACATCTCTCTTCTCCCCGTTTCGGTTAGCGGATGGAGGATTGTCATCCTCTACGTAGTTGAAAGAGATCCTCAGTGTGAGTCTCTCGACACGACAGAAGATTCAGTTTCGAACTGGCCGAAACTGAATCACAAATTGGAAGACGTCATGTGAGGAGTCTGAAGATGAATGCATTATAAGCATATCCACTTTGTGTATGCGGCTCTAGAATGAGCTTGTGTGAACTGGGTGATGATGCAACGATATGGGGAGACTCAGTAGGAGAATAAGTCAGAAATCAAACAGGATAATGGGCTAGTAGAGGGTGAGCAGCAAAAGTCTAAGACATTTGAAAAATTTCATTATACGTATAATTTGGAACTCAATTGTGGTAACCTTGGAAAGAGGGTAGTCGGCGTTTATGGTAAAAGAGGTTGGTCTTTTGGGGATGCAAATATGTCAACTGGTATCTCCATCTTTTCATTATGTTTCTTCTTCCTTTGTATTTCTTCCCACCAATCTTCTCCTTCGTTATTCCTCTTCGCACCCCTGAAGTGAACCACAAACAAGTTCTAGAAAGGTTCCTCCTTTACAGTTCCTCGCATTTCTATACTATTCAACTAACCTTTACTTGGTATTAGTTTGAATAGTGGTCACTCAAGACCCTTGTGCGCTCATCATGGAGGATGAAATCGAACAAATCCCGCCCAATAGCGGCGACAACCCCACAACAATCGAATACAGCGCTGAATTGGGCAACGAGCACTCGTTGGGTCCCATAACCCAAAGCCGAAACTCAGGTGACGCGGCAAGCCCTTTGATTGATGAAAGGTTTATGCGTTGGATTATGGACCAAAACCAATCAAACCAGCAACGATCTCTGTCCCCTCTTGCCGATGACACCCCCTCCTCCATTCAGAAGTCTACCGAGTTAGAAAACAAGCACTTTGCAAACATACACAAGCCGGTAGATATTCAGTTTCAGGAATCGAGCCCCGATTCGGTCCAGCCTCGCCGTCGCCGGCGTCATTTCAAGAAGGCTTGTGAGTTAAAGTACGAGTTACAACGGTTGACCCTTGAGGAGAGGGCAGCTGCTATTCTCAAAGAGGAGGATATTAGGATGCTCCTGGAATTCTGTCCAGCAGTGCGCAAGCATTTCTCAGGATATTTCCGGAAGGACGGTCGGCTTCGTTCGAAGCAATGTCACAAAATGTTGTGGAGATATTGCAGCAATGCGGCTCAGGATCCCCCCGAGACACTCCCCGGGGATCTGAACGCAGATACTGGAATCCGTGTCAAGCGCTCTGCATCCTCTGGTGATGACAATCAGGGACCCTCACAACGCGTCAAGAACCGCACAAGCAACGAGCTAGATTGTTCGAGCGAAGAGAAAATTCTCCAGTACGATGAGAGAACCCACTACACGAACATGCCAAAGATTCAGATGACAAAAACCCAGGACCCACAGAGCACTCCATCTGATGACGGCACTGTAGATGATCTCCCAAGTCGTCAGCTCCATGCCGAGCTTCAAAGGTCCTGCGATGCGATCGACCTGCCTGAGGATCCTCGCCGTGGTGAATCAAATATTGAGAATGGCCAAACAACCGCTAAAGGAAAGCAACTTGTACAAGTGATAACGAGGGGCTAGATGTCTTTAAAGTTGCGGACAATGCTTGTATGTCTATCCAGGACCACTCTCAGGGCATCGCTAATGTCGAGGGCTCCCTCAACACTCTTGTACAGAGAGACACCATTATCGAAGGTTCCTCCATCGCTCATATCCGAGTCCAAATTTACCGACGATCATTCCCAGGGACCAATACGGTTTGGTTCACTCCTGAAGAATTAATGACGCACACCAAGGAACTGTCAGTCCCTTCAGCAACGAGACTAGGACCACTCAGCTCACCAAAGGAATTCCAATGTGTTCCTCCAGACACAGTTATTATTCAGTACAAAATTGAAATCACGATACAGCAATATGGTACATTCGATGTTGAAACCACTCGTTAACCTTAAAACTCTCAGGTCGAATCAAAGTAAGACTGTCGATGTATTATTTGATTTGAAAGGTGGGGATGTAGGCGTACACCGGCGTGGAGGGAGCTGAACACTGAGCCTCGAATATTAGAGCAATTGGACATTGATATTTGTGGCGTATAGCGAAACTTGTCACGATTGGATGGAAGCTGACCCGCTTTCGAAAAACGTGATCTGCCCCGATCTAGCGATGACTCACCAAGGTCACATGACTATAAGGTTTATCAGTGACCCCCGCCAATCAACGCGTTATCTGGGATCTCGTGCAGGCGTTTCTCTTATCTCGCGCTGTGGCCATTACTCTTTGTTCCTTCCATCTATATCCCTTATTGCTACCCACCTTTATTCCTAACATACAGTATGGCTATTCACCCGAGATTACGACCCCAGGCCTCGCAGGGAAGCCTATCGCCCCAGCAAACTATGGCTATCTCCGCGTGGACCGAACAGGCCACCGCGTCGCTCCAAGATCTGTCCCTCTCCGAGTCTCGCCCCTCCGGATCGGCGGCAACGACACCGAAAAGCTCAATCCTGCGGGGAACAACCGTATCCCTTTCGATTCCCCTCGACGACGAGCCTCCAGCCTCCCCTTCCCCGCAAGCCAAGGTGGCCAACCCCGAAATTCACTCGACCCCGACGGTCAGCTTCCGGCGTCGAGAGCCGCTGCGGAAGGATGGCATGAAGCGGCGCGAGGCCATGCTGAAGGGTAAAGATGGTAGCCGTCGACGACAGCGCTGGGAGAATGGTGGGTGTCTCGGTCCCTGGTCCCCATGAGGATCAAGATCCGTGGAGGACCGAGGAAGCTGACTATATTCAAGACCGTTTGCTGCACAACCCGTGGGCAGAGCCCCCTTCTCCAAAGGATTGGGTCATTGGGCCTACCTGTACACGTCACGATCCGATGCCATACTATCTGGCTCCGCTTTGGGAGGTCCACTATGCCAGAGTGGCGGACCACCATTCAGCCCGTAAGCATGCGGCAAAGACTGCTAATATGAAGCATCGTGTTCCGAAGGAACTTCGGGATAAATTGAAGCATGCACGTGCTGCTCGTGGTATGCTTCAAGATCTGGAGGATGACATTCGGCTCTTTATCCGCAAGTGGAACGAGAAGCAGGAGTACCTCCAGAACGAGGGTTTCCAGGATATACCCGATGATGACTCAGAGGATGAGATCGTGTTTGTTGGCCGCAATGGGCAGATGCATGACGCACCGGAGCGAAAACAGAAACTGGAGCAGATGCGCCAGGAGCTAAGCTTGCACCACGAACGCGATGGCGAGAAGATGGTGTTTGAGAGTTTGGTGGATGACCGCGGGGCAGCGTTTGGGTGAGTCTGCCTTCCAAGGTTTCGGCGATTTTCATGTCGATCGGAGCACTGACCTTATCTTCGTAGGCGCTGGCTCGTGCACTCCATCGCCTCTTACTATGGACTGCATACCTGGTCCGTGACTGTCGGTTCCCCTGCTCGTCGGGAAGCCTATGTAGGTGTCCGTCCACCAGGCCCCGGTAGCCGGGCTGGACTCATCACTCATCCTGCCTGTCAGTCACAGTTGATTCAACCTGGAGAGGAGCTTCCCCAGCCCCTCTATGCGCAGGTTTAGATTTATTCGGCGTCAAGATTGCGTAGACTTTTGTCAAGCTTCATTGAGTATAATTTTCGGTTCATTTCAATAACACCATGTTGGCAGGGCCCGACGTTGGCTTGAGTGATTTGAATGTTTGGATATAAAGTTTTATGGATATACTTTTACTTCCATCCTCCGAGGCGTAGAAAGCCAAGGCCTGGAGCGACGGCGTCGTGCCTAGACAATGGATAAGACTAGCGGTCAGAACCTTGGATGCTACAGGCTTGGTCTGCCGTTGAAGTGCATATGAGACGAGTGCCAGCTGTTGTCATAGACTCATTCCCAAGCCGTTGGGTTGAAATTCCCCGCAAACCTTCTATCGTCCGTGCGTCTCGATCGCACCGTATGTCGTCACCTTGGATCATCATGAATGCTGTGAAGTGACTCCATTTATCTGATCCACGATGGGTAGAATGAGGGGAGACCATCCCGGTTCTCCCCTAGATCATGTCGAGCTCCGTCATCGCCCCGAGCAGTTTCAATATCCCGGTACCGGCGAACATGACAGGATCCCGAGCCCAAGGAACCAGTACACAGCTTCCCCCCTGTATATACATATGCACAATATTGATCCTTCCACCAGATGGGAAATAGGGCGTTCGACGACAGTAGCGTTACTATAATTCATCGTTCAACAACCCAAGATCGGTTCCGGATCGGACCGCGAAGCCCCCCACTGTACAAGTATCCGCCATGACGTCTCAGGGATTCTATACGAGACCAATTCATGCAACCTCAAATGGAAGGAAAGGAATCCCGAACAGGTTCAAAGTCATTGATGATCAGACCCTGGATCCATTTCGTCCGACGGAGAACCAAGCCCCATTTTCCAGAATGCCGCCTGCGCCCGTACCGCGTGTCCAGACCTAGTCGATGCGCTGATCGGTCACTGACTGGTGGAGGATGGTGGGGAAAGGCACCCTACACATGATACCTGAAGATGGAGGAGGGGGTTTGGCAACGAATAAAGACCCGCCACACCAGAAACACTGAGCTTTTTGCTTCCAGACTAATAACCTAACCCGCCTTGATCGGGAGACGCATCACACAACTGCTCGTTTTGGGCAATATCCGGGAAGACCTGGTTTATCATAGGTAGTTGCTTTTCCGATGGTGAGGCGAATGGCTTGTGCTTGTGGTTCCCATATTGGCCCCTTGTCTTTGCTTGATTCGTCGCTCATAGGGTTCATGCGTTGCAGCTTGCCGATGTTGCCTGTACAACGTGAGATTTTTCCTTTTCTTTTTTCTTTGTCTAGTTTTCTCTCTCTTTCTTGGTTTTTAATAGGTTAGAAAGACGAGGTGACCCTGCTTTTATTGAAAATGTTTCTGAATGGAAATTGACTAACAGTCAGCCCCGATCGTACAAACAACAAACATTGGGTAAAATCAAATGACGGAGACATTCCTTCATTCTTATCCTTATACAACATTATGAGTAGTAAATACCTCTGAGCATTCTAGTGGTTTGGGGATATAGAATTGCCCCTCTTTAAACCCACTTTTTTTCCTCCCTCTTTATCCCGTTGGGCTTATGATCTTACTACCTGATCATTCCCTACTTCTTCGGACCAAAACACTTTTAATCCCTGCAATCTTGCAAAAGTCATATGATTTTGGGCCAGGCTTATTCTCTCCGATATACCCCTGATCCTTTCTCGCGTGGAATCTCCCGAATTCTCTCCCTTTTCATGCCAACCCTCTAAAGTGGCTCCAGTGCGTCATGGGAATCTGACCCCACTGTCATATTTATCTTATCGGAAGATCGACCTGGTATCCTAGTGTTTCAAGTTTCTTCGAACCGTTCTCTTGGTCCAAGTGATCCCAGCTTCTCAACAACTATCACCAAGCTATTTTTACAAGGTTGTGCAACAGCGCTACCGTCATGGGCTCCTATAAATCATGCCAAGATCGGAAAGGGAGTGGAGGAAGCAGTTCTAGTTCGACAAACACAGATGGCTCGATCCAAACAAAATGTACAACGCCCACCCTGCTCAGCGCTCACATAGTCTCTGCAAAACAGCCTCACTGGGAAGAGTTGGAAGATGGGCCTCGCGATTCAGTTTCAACTTATGCATCCACCACCCGATCCACCGCAGACATACCCTCAGAAGAGCCCATGTATGAAGTCGATGACCGCCAAGAGAGTTTCTTCCCAACTGATGCGCTATCCTCAACGCCCTCCTCATTTGCGACATTGTTTCCCTCGACACGAAGACTGCTCATTCGCCATGACGATGCGACAATTGACGGAAACATGAACTTACGTGTAGACACTGTCGTCCCCCGCCGTGGTGGATACCAACAAGACGTAATTCTATTCCACCTCCGCATGTACGATCTCTTCTCCCGAAAGTTCTCCTTCCGCCGCTACTGCCGCGACTCCGGCCGGGAAGTATGTCACTCAACACGTAAAGAAACAACCTCCGTCCTCACCAACGGCTCAGGACAACGACGCCGCTCACTCAGTAGCGTCCTAGCCAGCTTTCGGCCGGGATCGAGTGGAAATCCAGCACCGTGCCCAGGCGATCTCAAGCGCCAGGATTCAGGATTCAAAAAAGAACATCAGCGCGCCACAAGTGACGAAGCAGGTTCAATCAGCGAGAAAGAACCAGCGCTAGGAGATACCATCTTGATGGAATTCTCCAACTACGCACATGTGGAACTTCGACGACGCGGTCCTGGCACGGCGAAACGGTACGAATATGAATACTGGTCCACGAAGTACCAGTGGCGCCGTGAATTCCGAAAAGAGGGCGATCTGCGCGAAGTGTCGTACTACCTCGTCGACACGCGCACATCCAGGACAATCGCCCACATGGTCCCGGAGATCCTCACTCCCCTGGAAGCGGTCGAAGAGGAAAGTAAGGGTGGCTGGGTCCCACCGTGTTCGATGTGGATCAGCGACACATCCGTTTATGAAAAGATGCCTGACATTGCCGAGTACGTGATCCCCTCTTCTGCTGCGTCTGCTCCTGTTCTTGTTCCTGCTCCCTATCATATCTTCTCTCTAATTCTAGTCCCACTTTCGATTTCCACCCAACAACACACCCTATACCCCTGTCTTTACCTTACCCCTCCCACCATTTGCAGATTGCACCTGCATTGCAGATAGGCTGACGAACCGATTCCCCTAGTGTGATTGTTGCAACAGGGTTAGTGGCCCTGGTGGATGATTGCATTCGTCGTCGCTGGCATCACGAGCGCCGCGTTCCATGGATCCTCCCCGCACGTTCCTCGCTCACCAAAAGTCTGGAACGCATGGTTCCACGTCGACTGATCGGCGAGGTACTCCAGCGAAGAGGATCAGCCTAATTCCAGAGCGGGGGTGAATTATTTCGACAAGAACAGGTACACATGAATCATGGAATGCAGCTATGAGCTGGCTGATAGTACTTTTTACACTTTTTTCTTTTTTCTTTTTGTTGATTTTCTACTGGATCTGCATTTGGATGCGTTTACGATGTTGATGACATGGACATGATTTGGGATATTACTGCATTTGCCATTCCCCTCTTTGAAGTTGCGGGTCTTTTTTTTTTCTTTTTTTGGTTCTTCTTGGTATCGGGCGAACGTGCATCAGAGATTCATCCGACCCGATCCGATTTATCGATTGGATAACATGTACGGAGGCTCGGAAGGCGTTGGGCGGTTCATCTCGAATTTGAAACGAAACAATGGACTATACGAATTTATCACCATTACGCATTAACATCTAGGAACATGATTATGAAGATTATTGTTATCATCTCTATAGTTGTTTTTGCTGCTCAATCCCATTTTCACGACTTGCATCTGGATGACCTCGTCCTGCCTTGCTCCGCTGGCGATGCATATAGTACAAGAGTCAGACCACTTCTCGACAGATGAATTGAAAATCAATTCCATTTGATTTAATTTTGATTTTATTTTATTTTATCTTTTCTTTTCCTCGACTGTTGGACCGAACACTCTATGAGGCGTAATCTACATAATCGCCGGATGGAGGAGGAGAATCCCCCGCTAGCGCGAACATGAACCATGGAACCAGCTTAGAGGGCCTCCACCCATTCTCCAGTCAAAACAAATTAAAACAAATTAAATCCTATTTATATTTTAGCCCGAAGAATCGATTGGCTCTGGATGAATCTTTTCAGCGCCCATATAAGAGGGGCCTTACCTGAGTTGATTTGATTAAGCTTGTGCGGGGCCCAGCGCTTATTGAGAATCTCTCGTACAACGGCCCAGAACGGTTTCGGATTTCTATTGTTCACTAGTTCCCGTTATAGCCGCATAATGAACCATGGAACCGACCAAGATATGGAACCATGGATCACGCACGGCCACGACTTGACAGTTCAATGTATGAGTGCCCAACATTCTGTTGTTCAAATGCAAAGGCGAGATCCCGGTTCTTCCGACTGGAATGTAGGAATTTATGATCTTACTATATTCTATATTCATGTATGTGTATGTTTTCATGTTAGAGTTCCTTCTGTCAACTGGTCATGACTTCTTTGAACTTCGCCCCACTCCTATGGTTGGGCGGTTGCGATGCAGGGCCAGCGGTTAGAATGGATGACCAGAAGCTTGGACTTCTTATGACCTACATGCGACAGACATTGGTACCGATGTCCTAGCTTTTTAGATACAGGAGTGGAGATGGATGTGGATGCGAGTGTGGATGTGGATGTGACGAACATGTATGTGGTAGCGAACTGGCGTTCCCTTGGGCCCCTCCAGATGGCTTTGATTTGTTGTTCATGTTATTTTTGGGATGATTCAGATACTTTCGTTTCCATGGTTGATCCTGGTCACTACTAGTATCTGCAAAGCGGCCCGGTGGTTGACGGTCCTAGCTAACTCCACCTTTCATTTCATGCCTCGGAAAGGAGTAAGAATGTGAAAAACCTCCTGGTCAGAACAAGGGTTTTTAAGATGAGCTGGCAATGCCTAGGTCGAAGGATTGAGTTGGTTTTTGGTTTATTTCATTTCTCAAGACCCAATCAATCTATATTCATTTTCAAGGCGTGAAGTTGGTATAGGTTCGAGTTTCTCTTTTTAAATTAAATTTCATCGGTACTTTTGGGCATCAGCAATTCGTCATAAGCTGGACAAAGCCCTGCTCCGGCTCCGCTTGGGCAGAGATCACCCACAGACATATCTTCCGCCACCATGCAATTCATACACAGGGTTTTTGTTCCAGAAACTAAACTATTCCCACCAATTTGGTACCACGTCCATGCACCATCTCGCCCTAACCTCACTTTGGCTTTTAATGCCTGGACGATGAGGCAGTGATGGGGCACAATTAATCAACGTGGGGTTCTCTGAGTTGTTCATCTTCTTCATCCAATCCTATGCCTCCCCGTCATTTTTACTTGATTTTTCCCCCTCCATTCTGCCCCTGTCCCCTTCATGTTTATGGTGTGTATTTTTTGCATATGGGTCTACCGTAGGTCTGGATTTAAATCTTTTTGATTTTTCGGTGTTCTTCCCCGAGACTAGCCAAGTTTTTTTTTTTTTTCTTTTTTGTTCTATTATTTTCTTTCTTCACAATCTTTGAAGGTTCTTTTGCTTCTCTCTCTCTAGCTCTCTCACGCTCTCTCTGTCCCTTGCCTAAGCTTGAAAGTAAATCAATTAAGTCTATCACATGAACTAGATTTATAGATCGTAATAATCATTCCCTTACCCTTACGGCATCCTAGAGTTTCTTCAAGGGTTGGTCTGGTCGTGCGCCGGCCCGTTCCAGCTTGCAGCCTCAAAATGATCCGCATGTCCCGCACCAGTGAAGAAAGGAGGGGGGTTACTTAGGCTGACGCTGTACTATGTACCTATGCATAAGCTCGTTTGGTTAGGTTCTCTCGTTAGGCTCCATGTTTGTCAAAAATGGAGGGGGTGAATTGACGTCCCAATGGGGATTTTTTTTCCAGAATTTTTTAGAATTTTTTTTTAATTTGAATTTATGTTGATGATAATGGCCCACTGTCTATATGACTCCCCGCATGTCCATCGAGGGGCATTTAAAAAGGTCAGATATTCTTGACTTCATTAGTGCACTTCAACTACACCTCAATTGAACCTATTCCCTCCCCAATCAACTTGAACTTGGATCTCGATAGCTTTGATTACAACATGTCTCTACCAGCCAGTCCACCAGCCAATGCTCCAACACCATGGCAGAGCCAGCTCTCCGGTATTACCTCAAGTCTAGTGGTTGGATGGGTTTTCTAGCCATTGAAACTGACCTAAGATGAAGAACACTGCAGACGCACTAAGCTAGCACCCCCCGTCTTCAACATTGTCTCCGATCGGCGAGGTACTTACCCCCGTTTTCATCTCCCCCTCCGTCTTTTCTTTCGAGACTCCCCTATTCCCCTACACATCCCTGGTTGTTTCTGATCTATCCGTTTGCTCCTGATCTTGATCCTGGTTCATACCCTATACCTTGGATGGTATTGCAAGAGTGGAGCTGCAGAAGAGATCCATTACACCGACTTTTAGTTCCGAGAGGTTGACAGCGGATGCTAATCGCCCTTGCGTCGGAACTGCAGGAGGTCGAACTGCCTGGTCTAGTACCGTCACCGTTCAAGGCAGGAATGTCGCCGCTCGCTACTGGTACGATGGCCAATACATCAACAATGCCAAAGAGGATGCCGCCGAAGTCGCCCTGAAGCAGCTTCTGAACCAACCTCGTGCTCCTGCAGCCACCGTTTACCCGGGCCAAGTCTACCCCCAGGGCTATGGCGGTAATGGTGGGCTCTGATCTTCTTTGTCAATGAATTGACTATTTTCTTTTGTCCGGGTGGCATTCTGTTTATCTTTTTCTTCAAATGTGTGCTGATGTGTGTGTGTTGGCCTGCGGAGATTTCCTTGTTCTCCAGACTATTGATCCTCGGATTTTTGACTTTTCTTTCTTTTTCCTTTCTTTTTGTTTTTTTTCTCGTGTCCATGCTGGCTGTGCACTTTGCCAGCTCACAGCAACACACAGATCCTTGCTGTTGCTCTCATTTGTTCGTTGTTTATGCGCAATGCAGGTCGAAAAAAAAAACCACCACTCACCACACCTCTCCTCCCCCCTTCTGCATCGAACGCCCTTTTTTTCCCTCCCCGAATCCCGGATATGCGCGCTCCACTCCCCGGTGAAGGGTTGACCGTTGGCTTGCTGCGAAGAGACTCGCAGGGAAGTTTTTCTTCGCCGTTCGGATACCGCGGCTTGGAGTGACGTGGACTCGGGCGCAAGAGCAGGGAAAACGAGGAAAGAGGGCGAACCGATACATTCTGGTATTTCCATGGGGGCTCCATTGATCGAATTTCTCGAAACTTACGTCCTTTCTACCTTGCACTGGGCTTGGTCTTGTGCGACTTCCCGCTGCGTTGTGATACCCAACTCAATCCCAACGCCCCAGGAACGGTGTCTTCTGTCATTTCCCCGGCTTGTGGTGAGGTGGATTTTGAAGATTCTTATGATTGATACCGGCATCGCTCAATACGAATATCCGGATCAATGCAGATTTCGACCAGATCCCATGACTCCATGGAATGCCGAGACGCATTGGATTGGATTAAATTGGGCTAGACTAGGCTGTCACAGCCAGGGACATCCTTCCTGTCTGCAGTCTGTGCGTGCCGTGATCGTCGCCTGGAAATGGAATCGGTGAAGATGTCCTCGACTGTGGGGCTCTCCCGCTAGCCACCCGTGACCACTTCCCAGAAGACACATTGTGTCGCTGCACCCGTACTGGCCGTGTATCTTCAATCCCGGGCCTGCAAATACTTGCGGGGATTTCGTGGTACCTGTCTTCGGTGCACCTTATACCAGGTCCCATGACACCACAGCGGGATCAGGATGATCTTGGAAACCCATATACGTCTGTTACCTGAAACGGGAAGCTGTCCTGATTTCAACCAGGCACGTCTATCGGCGGTGTATGTATGAGTTCCAGGAACAGCCTTGGAAATGAAGGGCTTGATTTTTCATTCTTCAAGCACAAAAGCATCTTCGCTTGCTTGTTTGATATGTTTTACTCGGTACCCATTGTACGTCAGTTTGATGCGGGAGTTTGCATTGGAATACTGTACGACTGCAAATTTGGGACTGGGATCTGGATTTCATCGTTTACACTGCTTTCCTTTGTCTCTTCTCTTCAAGTTCTTTTCTTGATGTTGGTACCAGATATCGGTATCATGGATTTCATCAAATTGGCTGACAACACTTCGGCTATATCAATATCGACAGGACTTTTTCAATCCAGATTAAATTTTCTTTGTTTACTCGATTCCACAGTCTATTCTTGAACATTTTACGATCATTTTCACCGACATCAATAGGACTGGAACTAAATTAAAGCTTTGCGTGTGTCACACCTTACGCATGGCAAACAGTAAATTCTTCGATGTCGTGCTATTGTGAGAAGAGGTGATTTAGATCAACCAAGCATGAAACTGAAAAGGAAACTCAAGGTTTTAAGGCTGCAACTAGTGATAACACCTTTAAAATTTACGAACAAGCTTGTAAGCAATCCTGCAACTCATAAGAAATGACTCAAGCCCGAGCATCTGGAGGCCAAGAGCGGTCGAGGTCTTTGACTTCGGAAGCAGAACAACAAGGCTTTCTCAATGCTTTGATAAATATCCACACAACATCGAAACTATGACAACTTCAATCAAATCCTCGGTAAATAACTTTTGAAGCAACAGTATACTGCCTTTTATATGCCCTAAATTATTATGTATGACCTGATCAGCTGATGTTTCGTTCCGGGGCGCGCTGCGGCTGCCTAGCAAGATCAAAGCCACCCAAGGCGCCCGATACAGCCTTGCCCGGGGCTGTGTCATCCCACAGAACCATTATAAAAAGAACATTTCAATGTCACGAATTTTAAATCCATCCATTTTTACCTCAATACGATCAGTGTGAAGATCCCAAGCTCTACGTCTTGAACTCAACCATTTAAATCACAATCAAAATTTCAAACAGAAACTCATTCAATATTGAAAATGTGTTTATCATTTTCACCGCTAAAACCACAACCTCCCCGTCGGGAGACATATGGCAATGATTACGACAAATATCTTCGCGATCAGGAAAGGTATCAGAGGAAACTTGAGGAGTATAAAAAAGAGAAAAAGAAGCGTCGAGCCAGACAATATGGAAGTAGTGCTGCTTTTGCGGGTATGACAGCTGGTGCAGCTGCCGGTGCAGCTAGCGGCGGTGGCGGTGGTGGCTGTTAGAGAGAGGAGATCCGGAGTGTGTCCTCGGAAAACTACTTGGGCAGATTTCTTCATTTATCGAGTCCCCGTATGTTTGTAGCACGGGCTGTGATCTACAGGTCTATTGGAGGACTTGCATCAATGTTTCCATCGGGAATTGCCGCGGGGTCTCAAAGCTATTCTACGAGTACCCCCGAAGCCTTGCGTCACAACCTCATCCAACAGTGGAATCAAATCTTAATGTACACCCGAGATCAACATCTATCAATTTTCTCAGCAAGTCTAATTGATCTATTGAAAACCCCATAAGCAGATAACTCGTCACAAATCCCCTACCTCAAGTCCATTTGTCATATGCCAGACCCACCCAGATGAGCTATCTAATATGCAAATTCCTTCCCGCTTCCATCGTCATTGCCCCGTTTATTTCTCCACCCGTAATATAGTCGCAATAGGATACATCCGGCCGCCACAAAGAGAAGTAATGCAGCATTGGTCCAGTGGCCCGTGGGGTATCCCTTGTTTTTCTCGTCGGACTTATAGATCCACACCCCAACAATTTGACCCGGTGCGCCGAATGAAACGTTGAGCGCGATGGCTAGGCCGGCTCCGGACGTGGACCGGAGATTTGATGATAGCCATCCGAGGAGTGGGGGGATGCAAGCGAAAGCTCCGGCAGCTGCGACGATAAGGCAGCCGTAGCGATGCTAGATGGATGAGTGTTAACATTGAATTGCTTGGATCTTACATTGACGTGGATAACTTACTAGATATGCTTCTGCTGGAAGGACGGCTGAGGCTAGGAAGCCCATTGCGCCAATGAAAGCGAAAATGGCGGAGTGGACGCCGCGGCTGGAATTGTTCTGTTAGCTACCGCTGTTTCAGTTTGGTAGATAACACATACCAATTGAAATAATCTGCAGACCATGCAACCGCTACAGTTACGACATATGCTACTGCATATGGCGGCACGGTCATGAGCTGTGCTCGAAGATTAGAATATCCCAGCCCGGCAGTGATAGCGGGAGTAAAAAGCGAGAGGCTTGAGAAGGGCGTAGAAATTCCAAAGTAGACCTAATAGAAAGGTTAGTGAGTCCCATAATCTTTCCTACCAAGTAACATACCGCATAGTGAGCATATAGCCTCCAATCTACAAGCACAGCCTTCGCATCCGCCCAAGACATAGCACTTGCGGAACCATGAGATCCCTCAGTCCTTAAGCGATACGCTGCGAGTTCCTTCTCCTCTGCGGAAAGCCAATGCGCAGTTTCAGGATAATCTGGTAAAAAGAACCAAACCAAAACAGACGACGCACAAGAAGGCGCTCCTTCAATGATGAATAGCCATCGCCAAGCAGAGAGTCCCTGTGCTCCGTTCATATGACCTACACCATATGCGATCGCGCCGCCAAAAGCACCTGCCAGTGTTGCAGAGGCTAGAATCAAGGCTACCCGCATGGATCTTTCTGAGTTCCGATACCAGAATGTTAGATAGTAGACAAATCCTGGAAAAAGTCCTGCTTCCACAACACCCAATAGGAAGCGGATCCCGGTCACTTGGGCATACGTGTGAGCACCGCCGAGACCCATTGTGATTGCGCCCCATGATAGCATAAGGAAGGCGATCCATCGCTGGGAAGTTTAGTCTGATATCTTCGTGGTTCAGAAATTGATGGCTAGAACGTACACTGGGTTTGAGCTTTTTCAAAAAATAGTTTGATGGTACCTCGAATAGCGCATATGCAATGAGGAAGACCATCAGTGCAATTCTGATTAAGTTAGTTCGCCTCTCACTCGAGAATCATTGGAGTAACTCACGTATATTGGTACGAAGTCATACCCGTTTCCGAAAGGAGATCATTATTCGTATCTTCGTTCAGAATTTTGGCATTCCCTGCTATGAATCAGTTTCCCTCTTACTTCTTTCACAATCCCAAACACACCAATATTCGACCGATCCAAATAACATAACAGGTAGATCGCCGCACATAATGGAACAATCCTTAAATCTTGTTTCCAGATCAAAGCCTTCTCGCGTGCGTCGAGGAGCGGATCGACGGAATCGAGCTCAGAGGTCTGGGCCAAGTCAGCCACGAAAGCCCTACCCAAACCTTGGATTAACCGAAGCTTATTATAGTACTCACTGTTGCAGAGTGCTCAACATCTTGTGTATATTTTTCGTTCATGGTGTACAGGGTAAGTTGTCTATCAGACTGCACAAAAGTCTTGGGGGCGTTTGGGGAAGTTGTCAAAACCCCCTGTGCTCTCGGCATTTAGTCCCTGAACCCCGGACAATGTTCCCCCCGCATTTCTCCCGCATTGATCGGCGATTGTCCGAACCTCTACACCGACTTCCATGAATCACTCAGGGAAAGCTAGAAGACTAGTGATATATTAGGACTTTCTCAATTATAGTCCCAAGATAAATGCTTACCATATACCATGCAACTGGGGATTAAAGAAAACCAGGGGGTCGAATTGTATGGTAAAGGGAAAAGAAAATCCTGGATTCATTAAAAGAAACATTTATCTATTGAAGTTGAATTTATTCAGTACATATGCAGGAATCAATATATTCAATGGCAGTTGAAACCATGGAAGTATAAACAAAATCTCAGGAACACAAATGCAAACAGAGCAAACACCTTATCGCGATACCGTCCCTGATCGCATCGCAAACACTGCCAGTCACTTCTCCCCATGCAAGGCCAATCGCTCGCCAGATCACTCTTTAAGAATAACCGCTTGGCAATTCGAGTCCAAATCGCGAAAATGACAACTACTGCCGGGCCTAACGGGCAGTCCAAGCCCTCCGCATTGACATTTGAGCGGCACGCAAAGTGCTCGGTACGATTTCTGCCCCTCCAAGCCTCAGACTTTCGCTAAGTTTCTATGTCATTCAAATAGACCACAAAAGCTCGCGCAAGCACACTTCACCTCCCCCATGGCTCTGTCCCTCTACCGATCTTCATGCCTGTCGCCACACAGGCATCTCTCAAAGGCCTGACATACGACCAGCTACGAGATACGGGATGCATGCTTTGTCTGAATAATACATACCATCTTGGATTAAAGCCAGGACAAGAAGTTTTGGACTCGGTTGGCGGGGCGCACAAGCTGCAGGGATGGGATCGCAATCTTTTGACCGATAGTGGAGGGTGAGCAGTTCTATACGGAGAAATCATTGCTGTCGCTAACTGGGATATTGTGATGAAGTTTCCAGATGGTGTCTCTGCTTAAATTGGCTACCGTGACTGAAGAAGGCGTACGGTTTCTCAGCCCACATGACGGAAAGCCTATGTATGGTGCCTCGTCTCCATTGCGCGCTTGATGCCAGGCAGATAACTAACTACTACTAGGCTTCTTACTCCTGAACACTCTATTGGTCTTCAGAATTCTATTGGCTCAGATATCATTATGCAATTAGACGATGTGATTGCTACTACGTCTCCGGACCATGCCCGCATTAAAGAGGCCATGGACCGCTCCGTACGGTGGTTGGATCGGTGCATCGCTGCGCACAAATACCCCGAAAGGCAAAACCTCTTTTGTATTATTCAGGGAGGGCTAGATCTGGAGCTGAGAAAGCAGTGTTGTGAGGAAATGGTGGCTCGAGATACTCCAGGAATTGCCATTGGTGGTTTATCAGGAGGTGAGGATAAGTCAGAGTTTTGCAAAGTGTAAGTGCTTCCTGATAAAACTTGTGACTTGTACTGACTTTTCTAGTGTGGACACATGCACTGGACTTCTTCCCGAACACAAGCCTAGATACGTAATGGGAGTGGTATGTTTTCTCGAATCATTCCTGTCCTTGTTCCAAACTCACAAGTTTAGGGATACCCCGAAGATATTGTTGTAGCAGTCGCTCTTGGAGCGGATATGTTCGATTGTGTGTGGCCTACACGAACTGCGGTATGTCTGATGAACGTCTTGTTTCATTCCTCATGCTAATAAATGCCAGCGCTTCGGCCAAGCAATTGTCTCATCTGGCACAATGAACCTTCGCAATAAGATCTTTGCGTCCGACTTTTCTCCGATCGAAGAGGGTTGCACATGCACGTGCTGTCTGCCTACTGAAAAAGGAGGACTCGGACTTACCAAGGCCTATATGCACCATGTGACGGCGAAAGAGACCGTCGGTGCCCATCTGTAAGATCCGAACATGACGAACATAGTGGTACTTTGCTAACACATTCAGTCTTACTATCCATAATGTGCATTATATGTTGACTTTGATGGGGAGATTGCGACAAGCTATCATCGAAGACCGATACCCAGCTTTCATTCGCGAGTTCTTCTCCAAGATCTACCAGGGTGACAAGTCAAAGTACCCCGAGTGGGCCGTTGGTGCACTGAAGGGCGTCGGATTGGACCTGTTGGCGGATTAGATTTTATTGCGACAACGATTGATTGAGTATTTCTTCAGGATTCAGTGGGAAAGCGGGGCATGTGCATATAAGCATTTTGATCAAACATAGCATCAATTGTTCAATTCAGAATACAGCATCATACACAAATTAACCAGAAAGCACGATGCTCATTGCTCATATTCCTCCTGCCCTCGTTCAATTTGCAGTGACCATGTCTAGTAAGTCAGACACCAGATTACGAGTAGAGGTGCATTAGCAATCAATCGTCAATAGGATGGAGCATGGAATAGGAATGACCTCGGGAAAAAACACCGTAACGAATTATGATACATGGAATCCAATGTTTTGAACAATATGCCGCAAGCTTGATATCCCAAATGATGAGGCTGCGGAAATCGTGCATTGTGGACACGACTCAACATTTTCACGATTCTAATTTCTAAAAGTGCATGAGACAGCTGATTTTTAGATAAAATTGGAAATTTTTTCCAATCCCATCAGTAGGTCAGCCTATAACCCTTGTGGCGTTTTAATGAACTTGTTGAGCTTGCCAAGGCGTTTTTTCATGGCTCGGAGATTTGTACTCTTTCGTCTGAATCCCAAACATAAGACAATTGGAGAAACTTAGTATAGGTTAACTTTACTCTCTAGGCATGTTCCATTATAATAAGGTGTTATCATTTTTGGACCATTCTGAAACATTCCATGTTTGCCAGGACTGGACCCTTGAAATCTCAATTTTGGTCTTCGGCGGACATCCCGCAACATGCCATGGCCACAACCTTATCACCGTCCAAGGATGTGCCGAGAAATATATAAATGTCTTGGATGTGCTGGAGATTGAGAAGAGCAAAGCAGCAATCTTCTTGGTCTTTCTCTCGCTATTATGTTCTTCCAGACTTTCCTTCCATTGATCCTTGCCCCCTTGGTTGTGGCGATACCGACGGGCCTTGACCGTCGTCAGTATATTTCTGCCAATGACTTGACGGATGGAAACTGCAAGGATACGATGTTCATCTTTGCTCGAGGATCCACTGAATCTGGCAATATGGTAAATATATTGTATATATATCTCTTTTTTTGAGATGATCGTACTGACTATTCAGGGCACCGTCGTTGGTCCGGAAGTCTGCGATGACCTTAGCGTCCAGCTGGGAGGCGCAGTGGGCTGCCAAGGTATTGGAGGTGCCTATACGGCTGGTCTGTCAGAGAACTTTCTCCCCAAAAATACTTCACCAGCCGCTATCCAAGCTGCAGTGGATGTGTTTAACGAATGCAACACCAAATGCCCCGATGCAAAGATTGTCGCAGGTGGCTACAGGTATGCTATCCATAATGTCTCAATTAGCTCATATCTAACTATTGTCTAGTCAGGGATCCGCTGTTATTGATAACGCGATCCAGCAGCTATCCTCTGAAGTGGTCGCTAAGGTCAAGGGTGTGGTTTTGTTTGGATTCACACGTAACTTGCAGGATGGGGGCAGGATTCCTGGATACCCGGAGGATCAGACGAAGGTATACTGTGCTCTTGGTGACGAGGTCTGTGATGGGACTCTTATCATCACTGCGGCCCACTTGACATATGGTGACGATGCTAGCTCTGCCGCAACCTTCCTTGCCTCGAAGGTGAAGTGATTGAGGCAAATTGGTTGGCATGACTCTATGCACCTTTAATGTTGGTAATGCTTTGACGGGATGTTTGAATTTGAGCCCGGAGACCGTGTGGCTGCCTTCACTGATTCACACTTTATTGTCACTTATGATAGAACTTATGAGTAGATCTATTTCAATTTCGAACTTGCTGCCTATGCCCTCGTGGTTTTTCTTCTTCAGCCCCAGAATCTCACATGTGCAAGAATAATCTTAGAGCACAGGAAAACATAAAAACGGCTTTAATCTAATGAGCAAGCATTCAGGCTGCTATAGTTGGGTTTCCGGGACTAGCATTTCAGAGAGTTCATTACAAGGCACCATTCAGGGGTTGAGATATGCTAGAAACAATCTTGATTTCCATCTTTTTATTAGTAAAATATCATTTCTCATAATCTTCCTTTGAAGCAGCTTATCGTATTGAATGGAATTACAACCATTTCGCAGTTTGTGCCTGAATTTTCAGGGTTTACAGCCGGGGGGAATGGGTAACACGACAATCTCCAGAATCCAGAATTATCTATTGATTTTACTCACGATCAGAAATTAGAGATTTACATTTACTTCGCTAGCCCGGAATATCTTCGGCACAGAAATAATCAATTGACTGCACATACTCCGTGGTAAAACGGTGATGCCTATCTTGGTCTTGAATTTGTGGCGCTGACTCAAAACTTAGATTGGACCCTGGCCCACAAGCCACTGACTGAAGGATACCGAAACAACCCCTGAATCTTTCTCAGCTATAAAGTTTATTCATGTGGAGACCGTCATTTTCTCTAGGCTCTCTTGCCTGGACTCAAAGTTTGTGTTTACGCGATCAGACCGAAGGCGTGATGATCCTGAGTCATGCTATATACATGATAAGGCACAAGTGAAACAAAAAGCAAAAGAAATTCAACCGTAGCTGGAGTGGATCCGACGTCAACATTGTGATCGATCAAAGACTTCAAGGGTCATTTATGAATTACAGCCATCTCGTCTTATCGCCCGCGGAGGTACTACCAACTGCCCAGGTGGACTACCGTCGTCTTCAATAGATATTTATTCAGAAGTGCTATACTAGTAATGAACTAGATATTTTGATACCACCTTCTCCCCTCCCTTCCCTGTCCTCTCGTCATATCTCTTATCTCATCTTCGACCGTCTCGTCTCAAGTCACCTCTTTCAGGGTGTTTCCTTTGATTTCATCGCCTTTTGGTAAATAGTATAATTGAAGACATTCCATTTCTTTTGCCCAGCCAACTTCTACATACGATATAGTCCATCTGTGGTCATTCTATTGATATCAAATTACTGACTTGAATCTCCATTTATCCGATAAGATAGCGATAAAAGATAAACGTGCACGTGACAGCGTGTCGCGTCCGACGCGCAAAGATCCCCAACCTTAGATTGGCTCCTGGTAATTTTCCCCATTTATCAGTCAACAATTCTGACGACCACAAAAGCACCACGGGCCATACCATTACACAATAGAGGGAACAAACTCTCAAACATCACCAACAATGACCCAAGAACAAGTCGCTACGGCCCCTGCGGCCACACCGCAGCCACAGCATGACCCCTCCCACGAGGAGCACCAATACCTCAACTTGATCCGCGATATTCTAGCCCAAGGCGAGTTCCGCCCCGACAGAACAGGCACAGGCACCAAGAGCATTTTTGCCCCTCCAGCACTCCGATTTTCTCTCTCAAAACCCAACCCAGAAGGCGGCGCCCCGATCCCCGTGCTGCCACTCCTCACCACAAAGCGCGTCTTCATGCGCGCCGTTCTTGCCGAGCTCCTCTGGTTTATCGCGGGTACCACCTCCTCATTACCCCTCTCTGAAGCCGGCATCAAGATCTGGGATGGTAATGGAAGCCGCGAGTACCTCGATAAGGTTGGTCTCGGACATCGCGAAGAAGGCGATCTCGGCCCCGTGTATGGATTTCAGTGGCGACACTTTGGCGCCGAGTACGTCGATGCCAAGACGGATTACACAGGCCAGGGAGTGGACCAGCTCAAGGATATTGTGGACAAGATTATGAATTCACCTTTTGATCGCCGGATCATCATGAGTGCTTGGAACCCTGCGGATTTGAAGAAGATGGCTCTTCCGCCATGTCATATGTTTGCGCAGTTTTACGTCTCTTTCCCGCCGGGTATGAAGCTTGATGAGAATGGTCGCCCTGATGCGAAGGGAACCCTTTCTTGTCTTCTTTACCAGCGCTCTTGTGATATGGGGTTGGGCGTTCCGTTCAACATCGCTTCTTATGCTCTTCTCACTCACATTCTTGCTCATGCTGCGGACTTGAACCCGGGCACTCTGGTTCACACTATGGGTGATGCTCATATCTACTTGGATCACATCGATGCGCTAAACGAGCAGTTGACTCGTGAGCCTGTTGAGTTCCCTGAGTTGCGTATCAAGCGTAATGACCGTGGCAGTGCTGTTATTGACGGCTGGAAGGAGGATGAATTTGAGGTGATTGGCTACAAGCCTCACAAGACCATCAAGATGAAAATGAGTGTTTAGATGGATCTCTTGGTTCAACGGGTCTCGAGTCATGTTATATATTTAGACGATACCAGTGGAAGTTTATATGTGCGATATGTTACCAAAATTTTAAATTATATGCTATCATCCATGGATGCTCTGTGTACAAATTCAACGCCATGTAGATCGTATGATCAAAATCCGACAAATAACCCGATGTATCCATAGATCAGGTGTAAATGCGCCAAGCAAAACAGATTAAAGCTGATGCATCATGACTTCTCCAAAATCGCCCCAGCACCTCGCAACAACACCACCGTATCCCCCTGATTCACCTTCAGACCAATGGAATCCGAAAAGTCCAAGAACTCCCCAGTCTCCACATGAAACAGGCGCAATCGCGCCTCCTCCCCTCCAACCCGATTATTCAAGTTCTCAACCCGCAACCTCTTCGCCACATCATCAAGCACCCTCCCAACCTTCCACCGCGAATCAAAATAGAAATCCCCAGACGGCGGCTCCGCAGCCTGCGTATCCGCCGTCCCAACAGTATGCAAATACAACCTCTTATCAACAGGCACATTCGCCTCGCCTTTCGCAGACCTCTTCATCGTATTCACAGTCACCGCCCTCGCCGCGGGACTGTTAGCTTTCGGCTTCGGTTTCGGAATCAGATTCGCTCCTGCAGCCTGTGTATCCTTGCCCCAGGTACGCACGCGCGCAAACATAGACTTAATCGTTTCATTCGCCGTAGCCCCGTTCCCCTGCCGCGCACCCAGCGGGGTAAGCTTGGCGCAATCGTGCTCCTCCCGAAGGCGGTGTTTAAGACAGTACTGGTAGTTACAGTTCGGGCAGCGGACGGCTGGATCTTTAAGTGTGTTGATTAGGGTTTTGCAGGAAACGTGGTAGCACTGGGTGGAATTGTGGATGTTGGGTTTCACTGGTGCGGTGCGGTTCTCTTGGTTGGTTGTGCCGTTTCGGCGACGGGCCCATTCGCCTGCGCGGGGACATTTGTGGGCTGTTTCGGAACGGTGGTCGAGGCAGTATGTGCTTTTGCAGGATTCGCAGCGGAAGGGGAGGAAGTCGAGTTGGCCGCAGTATTCGAATTGGCAGTGGCGGCCGATTGACTCTAGGTCTTCGTTGGCCATTTGAGTGAATGTTTCGTCGGAGGGGGTTGTCCCTCTGGATATTGTTATTGGAGGCATGTTTAAATGAGTGTATGGAAATGAATGCGATGTAAAGTGCAAACTGATGTATTATATGAGAGTGTCTAGTAGTGAGTAGAAGATGCTGGCTCGATTTGACTAATGCGGAGGCTTATCTAAGCGCGGAGATCCGGTTGAGGCGCCGAACCAGATTATTCCATGTTGATTTGCCACTGCATAAGTACTGCAGTACATACTTGGTTATAGCTTTAAATGCCACTACGTGGCTCAAATGCTGTGTGACCGATGTTCAAGCACTAAACTTCGTAACCAAATACAAAGTTCCTTGTAGCTAATACTGCATATTAATCAATAGATTACTGATAAACTGATATAAATTACTTAAGATCAGATAAACTCATAATTGAACCATCAACGTCAAGGAGAGAAAATGGATGCAGCAAAGAACGATTAAACAAACGGGGTATCTGACGCATAATAAAAAACCGAACCAAAAAGCCATACGTGTATGACAGCCCATCCAGAACGCCAGAATTATCCACAGAGAAAGACGAGATCAAAATAGTCGGAGGTTGGACATTAAATTGGCGAAAAGTTGGATTCAGGGTGACTTTAAGATGGATAAGAAGATGACGGTTAAGTCTGCGAGTGTCCATCCCCGTGCTTCTCCGGTGCGGCAAAAGGAATGGCACTGCTGGATGTAAACACAGGAAGACCAGTTTTCGTTTGACCTTCGGAAGTAGGAGGCGAGAACACATTGGCCTGACGGGGAGACATATCCATATGCATATGGCTGCCGGGTGTGTGAGGTGGGGAGTTACTGGTGGTAAACAGAGCTGGCTGCTGGCTAATAGAGGGGGACATTGACCGGGAAACCGTTTCAGAAGGAGCTGACGCAGGGAACATTATGCCCATGCCACTGGGTCCGCTTGAGTTAGCACTCATGGGCAAAGTGGAGGCAAGGGTCTCAGACGAGAAATCGATAGGGAAGGATGATTGATTCTCTTTTTTCACTGCTGCATCACTTGCAGAAACCCCGATAGGGGGCGTCGGGAGATCTGGCGGGGAGTTGGTAGGTAGGATCTCAGGACGAATGCCGGTCTTGGTATTAATAGCGCCAGGAGCAGGCTTCCTGGACGTGGGAGATTTCGGAGTCCTGCCTCCTCTCGCACTCCGCCGACGCTCTTCATTGGCCCTTTTCTCGCGGGCAGCCTGTTCCTCGGGTGATGGCATAACCAGTTTGATCCTCTGGAGCCCAGCCGATAGGTTTTCCACATCATCCTTAGGTAGTGTCACTTGATCGGAAAGCTTTGAAGGTAAGAATGTGGTGGGAACTTTGGGGACTGGGGGAGCCTTTCTCGGGCTAGCAGTTCGTTTCGGAGTGCCCGAACGCGAGCCGCTGGTTTTCCGTGCGCCGCTAGTAGATGTAGGTCTAGAACTTGTCTCAGACGGGCCATCACCTGCAGAAACTCTTTGATGGTCTGAAGCCCTCGTGCCCGAACTGCTCGCAACCGGGGCTACTGCGGTAACACTCTTTCGCCGACTGGCATCCACAGAAGGGGATGATTCACGGGATGCATCGGGCAAGTCATTGCCATCAGCAGTCTTTCTTCGGCTCTTGCTTCGCATAGCCTGTTGTCGAGGGGTAGCAGGCCGAGGAGAATGAACTGTCGGAGACTTTGTCCTTCTCACACGAAGCTGTCTTCTGTCGTCAACTGGGGTTGGAGGTGGTAGAGGAACAATGGCAGGGTTCGTGGCACCGCCATCGAGTGCAATCTGCCGCTCATACCGTTGGCGGGAAGCAGCAGCATTGAGATCCTCGGGCTTGTAACTCCCGGTTTGCCGATGCTCGGGAATAAGAGTCTTGAACAGTTCATGAGCAGCCGTTGCCCAGCCAACTTCTGGAAGAGAAGGAAGAGAAGGATCGAGGCCAGGCAAGGACCCGAAGGTTCTCCTTTCGCGTGCGGGGTTAACTACCTTGGCTGAGAATGAACGAGTGGGGTTGAGGAACGTCGGTGTCGATTTTTCGTGACTCTTATCTGGTGGATACGCAAGTGCCTCCAGTTCCTCCAGATGGTAGGGTGACCACCACCCAACGTCATACTCATTGGGGATGGGAGTAGAGCTGGGTAGAGGTGGAGCATTTTCAGGAGTGCTGCCTAGACCGCTTAGGTGGCTGAGCACACCACTAGCCAAAGCTCGGTCACTGTAGCCACCTTCGAGTACACTGATCACACGTCCATCTACACCGAGGCCCTCCTCTTGGGACATCCACACTACATCTGCAGTGAACTTGGCGTAGAAATCGGTTGGCACATTGACCCTATGACGCTGCATACCCTGGCCTTCCCATTCGCTTGCATCAAATCCAGCGGAAATGAAGATAGCTGCCTTGGGACGCGGACCATTGGGGATCTCGGCGAGCTTTTCGGTATGTCTGCGAAGGAACGTACGTGCTTTTTCGATAAGGGTCATGTATTTCCTGTGGTACAAGTCCCAGAAGTCGGGTTCTGTTGCCCAAGTGTCCATGTGAACGTTCCAGACAGACTGGCCATGCGCACCATCAATTTGAATACTTGCATTACCAACTTTTTCGGGGATACCATCTTCGCACGGGTAAGAGTTGATGTCATGAAGGCTGTAGTAACCGATTGGGGTTTTCTCATAAGCGGAAGACTTGCGAGAGGCTTCCAAAACCTTGCGGTTATGATTCCACGTAATATCCTGAGAGCCGTCGCCATGGTGCAGATCAAAGTCAATGATAGCAGCATGGGTCAAGCCATGCTGAGTAGCTGCATGTGAGATTCCAACATGAACATTGTTGATCCAGCAGAATCCAGACGGAAAGTCAGCAGAGCAATGGTGACCAGGCGGCCGAATGCAGACAAAGGCGCGAGTGGTAGGGCCCGGGCCAAGCACAAGATCAACGCCATCACAGACGGCACCCAAGGCGCCCTGGAAGGCATTTTGCGACTCGGCGCATAGGTAAAGATCACCCGTGTGAAGTTCCGGTCCACTGGAGGCTAGACCGTCGTTATCTTGGATGCGACTTCGGACCAATTCTTTACCAGTTAAAGCGAGACGCGACTCTGCAAGGTCACACATGCCCTTGAGTTCCGTCATCCACGGGGCCCCATGGACACTGGTGACGGCGTCGTCGATCAGGGGTAACGAGCGCGACGACTTGATGATTTGGAATGGCGGGGGTAGATCAGGAATATTAAGATTAGGACGAGGGGCAAACTTTTCTCCTGAATATCGACGACCAAGGCGGACATAAGCAGCAGCCACCCCCAACATACAGGCACGAATGCGCTCTGGGCGCTCGACGATAGAGCCGAGCTCCAGTCTAGTCGGGCGTGGGCGCGAGAAGCGGTGGCCGTAACAAGCATCATGAACCACGACAATTGTTTTGGACCCCAGAGTACCTTCTTGGTGCAGGTCAACCTCTTTCTGGAAGTGTTCGGCCGCTATCGAAGCTGCCGTGGGGACTTCGGGCTCTGGAGCGCCAAACGTGAGCCGCGGCAACATTGCGGGCAGCGCGGCGGAGGTTGGGGACCCCGCGTTATTTGCAGATGAGCGACGCGAGGAATCTGTAAGCGGGGAGACAGGTCCGTTATGACCCGAAGATGATCTGAGAGACGCAGTCGATTGGCGCTTTTGAAGGACAGGGATCGATTTGCGACGTTCTTCGCGCAACGAGCTGGAGCTGGGAGTGCGTCGCGGCGTGGGCTGGCTGACAGGGGTGGGATGCGACGAGGCACCGGGAGATAAGAGGGAGGGGGAAGTGGGTAATGGAGTGACCGTCGCATTTGCAAGAGACATGCGATTCAAAGAATCGGCGATGTCATAGGGCGACTCATTCATCGCGTTGTTTTGGGAGTTCTCAATGGACAGAGGTGGATCATAGGGTGGCGCTTTGGGGGGCGCTTTGGAGGGCGCTTTGGAGGGGTCCATAATATGAGTCAATCACGAATGAGCATTAGAGATAAGGGACAATCTTGAAATCGATGATATCGATAAAAGAAGTACGTAGTAACTGAGGGGTTAGAAGGTGCAAGTAGTGAGGATAGAAAGGAGGGCGGGATGTGTTTGGATTATTAGATACTATTTCCAGTATGGGGCAAGGGGTCAGTCGATCCCATCCCTACTACATTCTTCTATATAAACTGTTTGTATGAAATGAACACTTTTGCTGTTTCACTAGAATATGTCTGGCAATCACATTCTTTCTATTTGGATGATATGAAGTATCTAAATGAGACTTTCCCTGCCTTCAAACACCAGTATATCCCTTTTTCAATGTGATTTGCCCATGAAATAACCAAACATGAATCAACCCCAACACCAAAGCTCGGAAAAATCAACAAGTATGAAGCAGATGGAAGACAAAAATGGACAAATGAAAATCAAAAAGAAACCAAAAAAGAGCGAAACATGATCTAACGTGACCACAATCCCCGCCATTGATACCATTGGTACCAGCGTCGACCCAAAGAGGACTTCTCATCCAAAGATTCTTGGGATCGGCGGCGCATCTTTTCTTCTTCCTTGCGAGTTTTCTTCTCAGTCTTAAACCCCTTGGCAGCGTGTGCATTGCAAAAACAATGCATGTGGACGGTCTCAATACTGATCCCTGTGCAGCTGTTGCGGCGCTGACCAGTGCAGACACTGTTTCCAGCTGCCTCTTCGCAGTGACACCACTCATAAAGCGTGAAGTACTGACGACACATGGTGAAAAGCTTCAATTGGTTGATTTGATTTGATATATCTTGGTAGATGGAACCCTGGAGAGTGGAGCGTGTGATTGAAGTAGATCCGACCCAATCCGGACGATGTTGCGATGCTCTTCTCGAATCTCTCTGGTGGGCTGCAGAGAGATGAGTTTGGGAGATTCTTTTGAAGATCGGCGACTTGCAGTCAATGCAAGGTCAGGATTGGTTTGAATAATGGTTCTTTGTCGAAAGATAGAGTTGCGGAAGAGCCGGATAAAAATTGTCCAACCAGGGACAGATCAAAGAGAGTTGTTATGAATGTAGTTTCAGACCAGCTGATGGAGGAGGCAAAAATGGTAAAAAGAGAGAAATAGAAGTTAAGTGCCGATCAGCAGTCTTTATGTTCTAGATGTAGAAGTGAATGAGGGGCCCTATGGTAAAAATGAGTGAATAGCAGCAGTCTTTGGGAACCATGGATCTCTCTAAAATCTGACGTCAAGGAAGACAACCATCTCTTCGGGATGCTGCGGCCCATAATTATCTGAGTGAATTGCCCTGTCCGGCGCTTCAGGTTACATCTTCATCGATTCAGGTGGTATTGGAGGGGGACCTGAGCAGACTACAGCTTATCATTGGGTGGAACAATTCGCACTTAACAAAAAGCGCTGGTTTTAGCGATTCTGCTGTAATAAAATGGTACAAGTGAGGTAATAGAAACTAATAATTGGTCTTGGCTGAAGCTATTGAAAGGAAACCCGCCTAACTATGCAAGTACAGTACGAAGTACAAAGGATCATGCAGGCGGCTCTGTATTTAAAAATAGATTCCTCACAAGTTGTACAAAGAAAAATGGATCTGGTTTGAAACTCAATAGCAAATCTTATCGAAGATCAACCTTGTCAGACCTGAAGGATCTTCAGTGACCCGGTCGATCTTCTTGATTGGGCCTGACTAGCCGCCAGGGCTGCATTAGGGGGGTTAGCGGGGCTGAAGGGATCCCCTTGGTATCATTTGGCGCCCAGGTCACGTTGCACGACTCCGCATTCCTAATGCCGCATGGGAATATTGATTCAAGATTAAGATCAAGATTAGAAGCAGGAGTAGGAGCAGGATCTTTTATCAATCGGATGCAAACGGTAAAGCCATGAAGCCAAATGATACTCAGCTTGGCAATAACAGAAAGCAGCAGGCGGTGGGTTTCAAGTTCCTCGGCTCATGTCATGTGATCTGTCACTTTTCCCGCGGAGGAGCCTCAGGCCGCGATCAAGAGTTATATCACCAAGTTTACGCCCTTTCCCTCGATTGGTCCTCAAAAGGTTAGTTGGAGTACATCACCAACATCCACTGCAATTATCACGTCTGTGCAAAATAAATCACAGTAATCACATCGTCATCTTCCAAAAACCACCAACAACTGCAATGACCACTCCATCCGAATCAACCACCAATCAACCACTCAATATGGCCGCCACCCCCGCGCGAGCTTCAGCTCTTCTTGCCAATCTGAACGCTGTCTCTGCGCGCATCACAGCTGCAGCAACTCATTCTCCAACCCCGTCTAAGCCCGTCCGCCTAGTAGCAGTCTCCAAGTTGAAGCCCGCCTCAGATGTGCTTGCCCTGCACCAACCCCCAGCCTCACAGCTGCATTTCGGCGAGAACTACATCCAAGAACTCCTTGAGAAGTCGCGACTACTTCCACCCAGTATCAAATGGCACTTCATTGGCGGACTGCAGTCTAACAAATGTGTCACGCTAGCCCGTGACGTGCGCGGGCTATGGGCTGTCGAGAGCGTTGATACAGAGAAGAAAGCCGGACTCCTGAATAAAGGATGGGGCGAGAGGAAGCCTGAGGACATCAATGCGGATGCAGTAGCTGCTGGTGACGACAGACTCCGTATTTATGTGCAGATCAATACCTCCGGCGAAGAGAACAAGGCCGGTGTCGAACCGACTGCTGCGCCTGCCCTGGCTCGTTTTATTAAAGAAAAGTGTCCTCGTCTGAAGCTGCACGGTGTGATGACTATTGGAGCTATTGCGCGGTCGAAGGCTACCACTCCGGAAAATGAGAATGAGGACTTTGTGTGTTTGCGGGAGACAAGGGATCGAATTGTTGCGGATCTGGGATTGACCGGGTCTGATGCGGAATTGGAGCTTAGTATGGGAATGAGCTCGGATTTCGAGGGTGCTATTGCCCTAGGATCGGACCAGGTTCGTGTTGGAACGACCATTTTTGGGGATCGGCCGCCCAAGTCGGAGGCGAGAGTTATTTAGGAAGTCATTGAGGTTTTCACGAGTTATGAATTCCTGCATATTCAGCGTGGTGCCAATGGGTTAGACAATCCAATGTTTCCTGACAAAACCAAAAGATAATGAAGAAGCAGAAATATAGATTACAATCTTGGGAAATGGAGGAGACACAAGGTGTCAAAATTGTCCGTGAGATCGAAAATAATCAACATTTCATCCTTGATTGAATACATCGTGATAATCTCGTAGGTCTGCAAAATTTGAACAAAATACACCCAACACCTCGCCTTAAACACCAGAACAGGTACTGCATGGTGGTCCTGCAACATATTGAAACGCGTGCTCATTAATTAGCAGCCATGCCCAGGTGTATGCGGGTCGAGGAAGAGATCTAGGAAGATGTATTCCCAAGGTCGCTAGTAGTTAGGCATGAAAGTAGAGAATTCCGCGACGACTTCAACTTTTTCTAAGCAACTATTGATTTCAAATAGGGTGCAGGTGCAAATAGATGTGTGTGGAGGAACTGCTATATCATATCAATATTATTGCAGGCAAAGATTATACAAGAAAACGAGTCCAATCATAAAGGAACGCTCGCTGATGTTTGGCTCGAAAGCTGGAGATATACATGAATGTTCCTCGCCCTCCAATGCGTTATTCACTCGTCGTAGGACCCAGATCCAGAATCTTTAAACCCCTGGCCGAGCTTCTGCTCCATCTGCTTCACCAGTGCCTGTGGAACGCCTTCTTGTGTGGCACGAATTGTGGCTCGGTACATCTGCATCAAGGATTAGTTTTATACTAGGAATATGGGAAATTGGGAAACACAAGAGAGTTGGTCACTTACCGATTTCTCGTAGTTGGGCTCCAGACGCAGTAGACAGCCGATCTTGCCTCCTTCAAACTGGTACACTGCGCAGCCGACAATATTTTTGCTGTTCGGGTCCACGCCGTCCAGGATCTTCCATGCAAATCCTTCTACAGTTCGTCGGGTGTAAGCCTCGTTAATTATCTTGTGCTTTCCGCTCAGACCAAAGGTCTTCTGAGCCTCTAGGGGCCCATCACCGATCTGTCTCCAGCGCTGGAAGAAGTCTTCCGCGGATAGAGATGATGGTTCCATGTACCGATGCATCAGAACGGGCAGTTGGAGAGTGTAGGCCTGGAGGGCACCGGCCAGGTAGGAGATACGGATGGTCGGGGCATCCGAGAAGGGACCGTGTGACACGCAGAAGATTGTCTGCTGGGTTTGCCCAGATGCCGCAACGCTAGACTCAGGCAGGTTTTTGCTATCAATTTTGAGGTTTGGAGAGGCGGGATTGTCAATAGTAGTAGTCAACGACCCAATGGGGTAAGAGGATTTGTTGGAGATGTAGAGCTTAACCACTCCCATATGGCCACGATATTCTGACCGTAGGCCAACCTGGATCTGGGCGTCCTGGAAGAGAACACCCTCGTGCGAGAAGTAAAGCTTGTTGTAGCCAATGTCCCACTCTGGTGTCAGGTGAGCTGCGCTGGCAAGGTTTGGAGCAGGTGCCACTGGGCCATTGTTGAAGTCCAATCCTGCCAGGTCGCCAGACGCACTTTTTGCACTGGTGGGAGTGCTACCGTTAGATCCAGTCTTGTGACCGTGAACAATTGTGGTGAATGAACGCTTGAGACCAGTAGTTTGCGCCATGAGAACTTCTTGCTTGTCTGCGTTCGCGGCTTTACCACCAACCACCCATGTCTTTCTCTCGCTAGTGCCAGCTGTCTTCTGATGTAGCCGTGACAAAAGAATGGAGGTACGCTCTGAGAAAGGTGGCATTTCATCGCAGACAGTTCGCAGCAAGTCGTCGGTCGGAAGTGTTGCCAATGATAGGTACTCAAACGCTCGCTGTTGCAATTCTGAATCAGGAGAATGGCTGTACAGGCGGAAAATCTGAAGGAGCTGTGGCTTAATCTCGGGGAAAAGATTGACAAACTTGACAAACGACGAGAGGATCATGGCTCTTGCGTTGTCGGATCCCGTGAACATCTTCGCCTGCAATGCCAAGAATTGCTCGATAGGACTGGATCCGGGATTCTCGGCGATTAGGTGGCCAAATTCGCCGAGGACGTAGCAGCCAATCTTTACCAAACTCTCGTGGCAGTCGGTTTTCATATATCCGAAGAGCGTGTGGGCCGCATATGCCTGCAATTCTTCGTTATTGGTCACGATTTGAATGACTCGCTGCCACACTTCGTCGTTGACGTGATCACCCGCAAGAGATAGAAGCTTCAAAGTCATATCAATATACCATTGAGCATCCGTTGCATATTTCTCGGTGAGAATAGCAACCTTCAAGACCATTTCCTCACGAATGGCATAATCAGCAGTCTGAAGGTAACGGAGAAGCTCATTTACAATGGGACCGGCGTTGGTGGTATCGCACATGCTGTACAACAGATCCAGTCCCTTGCGACGAACACTGATATCTCGGTCTCGAAGAGAGCCCAGGATAATGTTCTGGTGCTTCTTGATTGGATCCAGGGTTTCTGCCCGCGCAGCAAAGTGGGTTAACGCATCCAAGCCAAGATATCGGACGTTGGTTTCACGGGATTGAATGTATTTGCCCAGACGAGAAGAAATTTGCATCATCAAAGTGTGTTCAGAGTCGAGGTGGATGAGGAGGTTGATGGCTTCGAATAGGATTGCGTTTTGGGCATTGTTTTGCTGGACGTTCTTGGGGGTTTCCATCGCAGCCTGCATGATCTGCCGAAGGGACTCCCGGATAATTTCACGCACGTGGCTATCCTCTGCAGAAATGATAAGCATGTGAACAAAGAATATAAGAGAAGTTAGGAATACCTGATGGAGGATAGTATTGCATCAGACGCAGGAACTTGACTTGGATCCACGGACATGGGACACGGTAGTAGAGGTAGTCCGGTGCGATATCGTTGTCAACCACGATCCGCTTCAACCGCTGCGCAGCTTTCACATAACTTCCTTTGTATTCTTCTGGCATATCTTGGGCCAGCGCCATGACCAGCGAGGTGACAGACAAGGTGACACCCATATCCGGGTCATCCATAATCGAAATAATTCTTTCGGCCCATTCGTTCCGAACGATACCGGGATATTTGCGGTACAGCCGAAGTAGCGTTAGCGCGGCCTTCTTCTTGACAAAAGCTTTCGAAGTACTAAGAATGTCAGCATTGTAACCGTCAATGTAAGCAGGAACACTCACGGGGAAATCAAGAGACGGTGGACTTCATTGCCCAAAGCCTCTCCCAGCTCCCGGCCACCAACATTGGCCACTGCATGCAACGCCAAACAGATGTTCAGCTCACTATTATCCATCAAGTCTTTCCGAATACTATTGACAACCAGGTGGAGTAGTTCGTGCTCTTCATGCAGGAACAGGGTGACGGCGAGATACCCGATCTGCTTCTCGGAGTATTTATTCGAAGAAATGAGGTTGACGGCTTCGAGGTGACCAAAGTCGACATCGTAACCCTGGATGTAGACGTAGAGGAGCTTGCACACGTATTTCTTCTTCTGATATCCGTTAAGGTTGCCAGACTTGAACTTCTGTCGAATGTTGGCCAGCTCTTTGTTCACGCGCTTCTCCTCCAGTTCTCGCGCCCGCGCATTGCGCAAGTCCGCGATGAACTGCACCAGTCCTTTCATTGACGACATGGTTTAGGTATTTTGTTTTGATATTTCTTGCCGGTCTTCGTAGGCACAGGCTTAGAACGCCCCCTTGGATGTCGTAGACACTAAACGTCGGGGAATGGGGAGTGGGGTGGAGTCGGTATATACGGCTCGCATGCCACGCGCGGATATGACCTCAGGGGTTTGCGATCGAACAGACAACGTCACACAACCATGTCCTGTTGTATTGTCGCGGTGGTGGCGCATTGGCCGAAGTCAAGTCGATGTGGATTTATGGATAGGAGCTTGGACTGCGAGGAAACAGGGGGTTGCCCGGTCGTAGTGGATCCCTAGAGTTAGCGGTGGAAAGGTTAGGACAGAATAACAAGGCAATAATAGAGATTATGGATTGTGCGTATTGACTAACCAAGCGTCAAGAAGAATGGGGAGAAAAAGGAGCCAGTCGATGTGAGATCCTCATCACACACCTCCGTCCCTTGGGCCACTTTCCGCCGTCGATCACTTCTTCCGCTGTGGCGTAGGAACAACGTTGATGCGACTGTGGCGGTGCGATTCAGGGACCAACTAACTACTGCAGCCTGCAAGTCGATCTTAATCTATTTCGGTTTGGTCCGATCTTAAGAAAGATTTACACTAGTTTTAACTTGAACGTCGCGCAGATATTTGAATTTTCTTCATTATTCATAACTATGGAAAAAAAAGGTCCACAACCCAAGTGGATCTGACTAATGAATTAAGGAACCCGAGTATACTTCATCTGAAGCTCTGAACGCCAGCCTGCCTACTCCCGAAACCCATAGCAATGCAATTCATGCTGATGATTGAAAAACAATAACAGGCCATTAGAGACCCAAAAACAGTTTCATCTGTTTAAGCGCGGGTGGTGAAGTCGACCTCCAAAGCGGAGTCAACGCCCTCGGCCTTCTCGCAGGTGCAAGAAGCTATAAAGTCATGTTAGACCGGTTCATTGAGTGATTGTGAATGCTTGAATTGGTAAACTTACTAGAGGGACGGCTGCCACAGGCACAGGTCTCGCCAGAGACGGCCTTGTTCTCGGTCACGGAGCGCTCACAGGTGCACTGACCAACGGGGCGGGCGCCTAAAAGGGTTAGTCATTTGATACTCCACATTCTACTTTGAAGGCAAACATACGGCATGAGCAGCGAGGTCCAGAGATGGCGTTCTCAGTGGAAGCCTTGTTGCAAGAGCAGTGGAGGGCGCTCTCCTTTCCACAGGAGCACTTGGCCTGGGCAGCGCAGACACACTCTCCGGCGCCGGAGGTCTTGCAGCAGGTGACAGTGGGGTGGACCATTTTGAATGTATTGGTAATTATCTCGAAGAGATGAATTGAATTGAAATTGTAGAGTTGTTGAAGGAAGTTGATTGAGGATTAAAGCAGAGTCAGGATGAATGAAGAAAGAAACAATTGCAAGTGCGACCATGAATATTTATACTTGATTCCATGCGTCACAGTCCAAGAGTCAATCTGACCTTGATTATCATTGCCTTCTCTCTTATTGGTCAATATGTATGGTCACGTGACATGTTGACCAGCTGATAGGCGATCGCTGATTGGCTCAACCTCAAGATGCTGCAAATCGACGCCTCTTGAATGGTCAGATTGGTCACGGTCATACTTGGATGACTTTTACAAGACTTTTGATTTGACCATTTTAGTGGGTTCAACTGTATCTTGATCGCCCTGGCATGACATGGTCTGGTATGAAGAATTTGGAAGGTTCAGGAACGACCTGGGCTAGGGCTTTGAAGACTTGGACCCCTCTTTTGAATGTGCGATATCTCAAGCTAGTTCTTTGAGGTCTAGGTATATGATATGTGTGAAATACAATTGAACCTGAAATATTTCACCTATTTAGGTATGGATGTACTCCATGCCAGATTAGACTATTTGCAGTGGGTCCGGGGTACCTAAAAATATACGTTTTTGTTCATGCCTTCCGAGGTTCACCAGTTAAATATTACTGGTTCCATGATTCTAGGTCTACCAACGTTTAAATGACTACAATGTACATGGTTGGAATTGAGGTTGTCGGTACTGTAGTTGTTGGCCACCTAAATTGAGTTCTTGGAATACATATATATAAGGCTTTCACATGGTTTGTCTCCAGTTTATATCAATCCTCTAGTCTATTAAGTATTTAGGTATACCGCTAGCATTTCATTCTTTCTTTCAATTCGCTACTTATCATTTTGGAGAGCCCTTTTATATAACCCAGCTATCTAATTGATACAGTAGGAAAGAAGGTAAAATACTGAGTGGGATAGTCGAGACAGGGTAGGAGACTAGTAGGTAGTAGGTATAATAGTTGGAACCTTGACACATTGATTCAAATGTTGACTGAGTATATTTCATGTCTATTTTACCGGTGCCATGTGAATAGATTTTGAACATTTTGATTCTTCAACACCGGATTGACGTGATCAATATATGCGTGTGCATGTATGAGGTGTCCAGAAATTACTTTCTCAAGGTTGAGTGCCCCTTCTGTTGACCGTTTCAATAACCCTTGAAAAAATCGAAAGCTTAGAATCCATGCACATGTGGATCAACTCAGGTGCTTTCAAGGATGGAAAAAGAATGATAAATGCTCTGCTATACAGGTGGGAATAGTGGATAGAGACCGAGTCCAAGATCGGAAAATTCAATCAAAAGAGATTTGAAATGGATTTATTTTAACTTCCACTCCTCCCAGATCTAATCAGCGCTTGTGCAACAGAAAAGCTATGGACAAGGGTACCGTGATGGAACCTCAGAAAACGTTCTCCAAATAAAGAAGTCCACCCCCAAAACAAATTTAGGCTCGAAAATGGTAGCATGTACAGGTGAATATGGAAAAAAGGGCGAAGGCAGAAAGATGAAACGAAACCAAATGCCCGACAATGAAAAGATGGAAAGATGAAGAGTGAATAAAAGAAAAGGTAAGAAAATTGGAAAAGGAAAAGGCTATACAAGGATTAAGATTAAAACACGCTGATAAGGTCAAATGCTCGAGGCTCCAAAGAGGCCCCAAAAGGGAAAGGGGGTACCAGCCCAAAGTCTGGCGTCAAGCGCCCAGTAGGAAAGAAACTCATTTTTAGTGGTCCTGCCTCTCGTATGACTTTATTGCTGGATATAATTTGCGTAATTGAAGGAGGGATTTCCGAATTTGCTTCGCAGGGATTCGAGGGTTTGTGGGCTCTGTTGCATCGAATCTTGGGCAGAGACGCCCTGATTTGACGGGGCATATGTTGTTGGAAGGCTTAGAGTTGAGTTGTTGGCCTGTGTATAAGGAATGGCTCCCGCAGAGGGATTGGCATATGGATAAGATCGGTATTCTTGAGCGCCGGAGACGGGGAGGGATTGGAGATTTGCCATGGGTCTACCGTGTGTTGATATTTGTGAACCCATTCCAATTCCGCTGTAGTCTTTTGGTGTGGACATTTCTAACTGAGATTGGTAGTTTTGTGGCTGAGTGCCTGTTTTGGGACATGCGAGTTAGGGCTTGGTCTTGAGAGGTTTTTCTCCATCTAAGTTCTTAGTTGGGGGTGAACCAACCTAGATTTCCCATGTCGTATGGCAGTTGTGCTCCTTGGGAGTCTGTTGGGGAGACTGATCCTTCGAAGGGCTGGTGCTGATCGTAGGCTGTCACCATACCAGTCGAACGGGGGATGTAGTCCATTGTTTGCCTTCCATAGGGCATATTTGGTGGATTTGAAGGAGCTCCGAATCGATTCTGGAGAGGGTAGCCTGCGTGGAAAGTAGATTGCTGAGAGGAGGCATCTGACAAACTATTAGATCTGGTGATAGAATAGTCGCTGCGAATCGTCCTGTGCAGATCATGCATGGATGCCGAAGCGGCAGGTCGACTGAACATCATATTGGATTGTGACAGGCCGTCATTTCGTCCCTGTCCAGCAGAAGACATGTAAGTCCCGGAGGTCGACGCGGAACTAAGGGGTGAGACGAGGTAGTCCTCCTCGTGACGCGGAAAGCAGTCGGTTCGCAGCGCTCTCAAAGATGCAAAGTCTGGATTGGGGGCCCCATAGTCATGAGGGGATGCAATGGGAGTTGGTCCGGTCGATTTACTTTCAAAGGGTGTCCGAAGAACTTTGGTGGTGTCGAAGTCATCCGGAAGGGCTCTTGACTTGAGCACTCGCTCACGATCATTTGTTGTGAGACGCTTGAGCTTTGCTCTCCTACAGGGTGCGTTGTTGTTAGATCCAAGAACGGGGTTGAAAAGAGGAGTCATTATGTACCTGTTTTGAAACCACACTTGAACCTGTCGGGGCGTCAAGCCAGGGATCTCCCTGGACAAACGCTCCCGGTGAGCAGCATCTGGATGGGCTTGACGAGTAAACTCGCTCATCAAGAAGCGAGTCTGATTGTGAGTCAACCTGCAGTCTGTTAGCACTTGTCTTCGTTTCGGTCCTTCATTGAGCCCTACCGGAATCGCTTCATCTTCTTCTTCTCCAACGCAGATACCTTGCCATCATCGTCGCTTCCCACTGCATCGCCTCTCTCATCGGAGGGACTGATGGTGGACTCTCTGTCAGGATCTTCCTTGTCAAAGTCCATCTGCTCGTTCATCGCATCCCCATGTGGATCAGACATCTGCTGCGACATTGAAAGGGCTGCTCGGTCACCCGGGATCTCTAGCTTGACCCGAGACAATAAAGTCTCTCTGCTCGCTCCAGACCGAAGGGCTTCCGTACCGTGCGATAGGATTTCTCCCTCAAGATACGGTGCCGATCCAGCTGAACCTCCAGGCACAGAGGTCGTCAAGGCATTTCCAGCCTTCAGAACAGGTTGCATGGTAGTAGCAGATAGTCCGCCCGAGGCACGCTGGTCTCGATCCTTTTGCAGGGTTCGCAACGGCGAGACAGCCCGTGGAGAAGAAAAACGGTCTCCGTGAAAAGATGGAAAATGAGAACTGACTGCAGATAGAGAGGGGACTGGCGAGGATAAAGAAGGCACCCAGAGACAAGGGCCGCCGATTGACATGGTAAGAGACTGTGACTTGGGGCTCTTTCTTCCGACTAGAGTAGTCTCACGTCGTCAAGTTCACGATCCACGAAATCGAGTCAAGTCAGCCTCAGAAGCGCCGAACTAACACCCACAACGGCGAAACAAGAAGGAAGGGTGAAAAGGGCAAACCGGGACGAAAGTAGCAGGGTGTCCTGCCCCGAGATGAGACGAAGGTGGGTCTTTGATCGAAGTACCGGGGCGCTTGCCAATAAGGTCAGGGTCCCTTTAATTTGGATCTCAAACGGAGTAAAGGGTGAAGCCAAATCAAAGTGTTATATCCAGTGGAGAAGAAGAAATCAAGAAGGGAGGTAGATCCCTGGGCGCTTGCTGTGGATTGACGGGTACCCAAGCGTTTCTTCTTTAGATCTCGGATCAGTTGAAGTTGATGATCTTAACGGCTTTGAACCCAAATAAGGACCACAAATATTCTGGTACCTGAACAAAAGCCGAGGGATTATATGGCTATTTGACCAAGGATCAAGCGGAGATCTAAACAATGACGAAGCAGGGGAAAAGGGAAAACCAGAAAAGAAAAAATACAAAGACGAAAAGGTCTGTAATGGTACGAAGCGGGAAAGGCAGTGGAAATATCTCCAAAGATATTAAAATATATGCAAATGTACTGGGGTCCACCAAGAAAGATCCTGTACGGAGAGTACTTGGTGACACAGAATACCTATCAGACCAGAATCCACTCGACTATACAAGGAAATGATAGACGTTAGAATTGATGATCTTGACAACGGTCCAACGGCCAATAGAGAAAGTCAAAAGCAAGGAAGGAGAGTCTTCTCAAGTCCAAATGATCTAAACTTTGTTCCAGACTTAAAAGAAATAAGTGGGCCGGCAAAGAGGGGTGTAGAAGGCGAATTTAAGTAATTAAAAACGACAAAAAACGGAACTACTTGTAAACTAGACAGTATACACATCTATTAATATTAAATGATCAGCACAGAGGCAAACAGTTGGTGGGATTAGTGGATAAGAAATAGAAATTTTACCAGATCTTCAAGATCTTTTGCTGCCCACATCTGGTATATGGTGCAACGCCAGTCCCCCAGGTTGAAACGCACGGAACTGATACAAATCTGGCCCAGTGAAAAAGTACGGGGTAACAGAACAAAATGTGAATAATAAAAAAAAACAAAATAAATACTTCAATAGTATTTAAGTGCCGTGGCTAGAGCACAGGGCTCTCACAGTCCCGAGTAATATCCACGGCCAGGTCTACCATAAGTGTGGCGAATAGCGGTTCAACCCGAGCTGAGAAAAAAAGAAAAAAGAAAGAAAAAAGGGAAGAATTGGCATGCGGGAACAGAGACTAACGGAGTAGAGTCTCCTCCCAAAGAAAAGTCAAAGACCCAGACAAGCTCCTAGTTAGATAACCCAAGGAAACGGTCCAACTCACTAAGTGGGACATTCAAAGTCCCGCCTCGTGGCTACCCGCCACATTTTACTCAGAACACGGTTATGATATATGATATCTGAATGAGATGAGATGAGATGAGATGCTGACTTTCTCCCGTGCCGATTGCCTACACATCCACATCCACTCACCCGCGGCGTTCACAGCCTTGGCCGAGATGACCATTAGAATAAATTTCCGAAGATCTAGTGGGCGATCCCATTTGTGGCAAGGGCGAAAAGTAGTCTTAGCCCCTCCAATATCGATTTGCTGCATGGACCATCGGCCAACCGGTACCAGACCCTGGTCTCACCGGTACGTACAGTATTGAGGCTGGTCACCATGTGGGCATCCTGCCGGGTTGGCTGGCGCGCTGGCTCCATAGGTCGGTCTAACGCCCACGCGGACCCACGGGGATATCGATCAAGGAAAAGCTGTCAGCCACTCAGCAGGCTGCCCGCCACAGTCCACTCCCAATGGGTGTGATGGGAGAAGGTGCATGGGTGGCTGACCCAGTGGAGATGGGTATGTGGTCTGAGGGAGGAAAAATACCTAATTAGTACGATTAATTTATTATGGATTATTCCAAGGAAAGGATCTGGAAAATGTGACAGCTATTTGTTACTGCCTGGAGCCCCACGATCCATGGTCAATAGTTGTCTCGACCATATAAAAACACTGAACCCTGAAACCCGTCGACGGAGTTGTCGGCTAATCCGGATCACCTAACCGCGTATGTACGAAGTATTACGTTAGAGCCTCCCGTACTCCGTAGGCATCAAAGAACTGTTCAACCCCTGAATTTAGTAAATGTTGATACGAAATAGAAATAAATGTAAACGGACAAATACTAGCCGAATTCCGACGCTACGGAGTCCGGGCTCAACCCACTATTAGGGTTTCCTGTGGCTCAGTAGCTGTCGCAAGGTGCAACCCCACCTAGGGAAAGCTCCTTGAAATCTCCACATCCAGACCATGAAACAATTCCAGTCACAGTTGGGAAATGAAGTACTCCTTCATGTGACGAGTCAGAAGTGGACCTAAACTGAAGATACAATTCAATGTTCCAAGGTTTTGAATGAATTCACTGTCAAGCATTGTGAGTACGTACTCTGAATCTAACCGCCTATCGCTTCCGGACCGGGAATCCCAAATGAGGTCATCCCATGCGGGTGTGGCACTGAAGAAGAAGCATGACCGATAAAAAGAGCAAAATAGAATTTTCCTTTTCTTTCTGGACGTTGGACTAGTACTAGTTACATCTACAGTGCATACCCGGGATCAATAGTGAGTGGGGACCCGAATTGGCCCCATTCGTGTACAATCCGAATCGAAGCGGAGACATGGGGACTTACTCGACTTTGGTTTCGGAGGAGAAATCTCGGGCCCGTTTACTACTGATCCCGAATCACAGTGCGTAGCGAGCATTTCCTACGGCCGAAACCTCTTGCCGATCACTGCCCTCGAGGCGACTTCCTCCTTATGACGCGGTTGACCCGATTCAGTGTGGGGGACAGTTCTAGAATTATTGTCTTCTGCCAATATCCGTATTCGTACATGGGTCAAGTGTATGGTGGGGTGACCCTGAGAAAGGTAATATTTAAGCGATGTATAGGAGGCTTTTTTAGTATCTGGACCAGATATCGCGTATACAGTCTCTACGGAAACGGTGCGGGGATCCGATCGTTCTGATCGCGTGGGAAATAAATGTGTATGACAACTTTAATCTCGCAAGGAGGACGCCAAGACTTTCAGTTTCGTTTAGCGCCTGTAGATGCACGTCGTCATGGAGGGTCGAGGGTGACGCAAGCCGACCGCTTACGCCCCTGATATACATGTTCGCGGAAGAATCGGGTACAAGAGAGTAGGAACGTCCGAAAGACCATGATTTTTCAAGCAATTACTCCAATGGAAAGGAGATCATTCTATGTCTGGGTCAATCCGATAACGAAGTCTGGTTGACGGATGCTTTTTCCAACGGATGAAACTTCTGAACTGGGAAGATATCGCGAGGTCGATAAAACAATAAAAAACATAAAGAAGCCATATCTACTCCGAACTTAAACGGCTTAGGATCCATTTGGATCGGGCTTAGTTCCAAGACATTACCTTTCCAGATCGGAGATAAAAGAGAAGAAAAAAACCGATGTCTCTTTGCACTTGTCTCGAAGCTCCACTTGTGGAGCTTGCAACAGTCCGACTCAAGGTGGGCCAACACAGTTCTTAGACTCACGGATGTTGTTACGATCAGTGCGTCTTCGAGAATAATCTGTTCATGCGAACTCAAGGGCGAAGCCCAATCCACTATGGAGAACTTCGAGACCTCCTTAACGGAAACCCCGAGAATTGCCTCGTCGAGTACTCCGTACTCCGGACACAGCCAAAATTTTTGTTTCCACTTTTCTATTTGCCGCTAATCATGTAAAGGCGTAAAGGCGTAAGGGCCGAAAGGCCGATGTCTCTAAGTACGAGAACTTCGTACTTTAGTTCAATTGTCCGGTGTAAGGTGAAACATGGCTGCAACGGGTCGGCGCCCTAGTCTTCCCACTCCAATTAGATCAGGGGTAAATCTCAACTACTGCATGTGAATGTGTAGGATACATGGTCAAAAGGAGGAAAAAAGGTACAGGAATTATATAATGATACGTGTTATGGTTCTAAATCCATGCAGGAACCTGGACCTCAATAGAGTTGCCGATCAACTAGAAAACTCTTGAACCCCACGGTAGCTTGTATACCTCCCCCTCAACCGTTTCTGGTGAATGGACGCACTCCTTTTTATTTTTAATTTTCTTTATTTTTTTTATTATTTTTTTCATTAAATGTCTTGGGGATTTAATTGTTATGGGTCGCGTTAAAGGCCGGTCTCCCTAGACATCATCCATGCTACTGTAAAGGTAGGTAACATGATGCTTGTGATCGACATCGCTTTTTCTTAGCTTTTCTGCAGCGGGCCTCGCACTTCCCCGACAGGTGAGAGTGGATAACGAAGCAGCCCACTGCGTCTCAAAGGATGGCTATTGGACGATCGAGAAGCCACTAGTAGCCGAAGGAAAAGGTCATGGGACACAGTCAAGCGGCAAGTGAAGCGGACGGCGTGTTATCGGCATGGAAGGCACATGGAATGTGTCGCGATTTCAACTCGGAGACTGATATTGTTCTGCTGCAATGATGCAGCAGATCCCGCAAGCGACCAGAACCATGGGATGTGGCTAACCCAAGAGGCCATGGCTGCCAAGCCATACCTATTGCGGGCAATGCTCCGCAGAAACGAAGAAAGGGGCCAAAGCCATAGTTAAAGATCCTGCCAACACTTTCATGTGGGAAACTCGCCACGATATCAGGTAGTCGATTCTTCCATGGGCTTGTCACCGGAGGCCGCGCTAGAGGCGTCGGGGCCTTCGATGGCTGCATTATCTTTACTAGTGGCATTCGATTCTTGCTGGTCGTCGGTGGTGCTCATGGTCTCAACAGGGGGCTGCGCCTGCGCGCCCTCTTTGATATCCTCGTCCTTGATTTCTTCATGGCCATCACCTTCGGCTCCTTCCGCCGCCTGGGGAGTGTCTGCTGGTGCGGCGGGGGTCTCAAACAGAGCGTTGAGGTTGTTACCATCGTCGATTTTGTCAAATGCAGACAGTTTCGTCTTTGCTGCCAGTCGGAGAATGCGCCAGGTCTTGCTGGCCTTGGCTTGGATAGCAGCATTCTTGTCGTCTTGGTTTTGAGCCATGTCAATGTCCATCTCATCATCCATGATAGCCATCATGAACGAATCGGGAGCGGGGACGGTAAACCGATCCGATTCCTTGAGGCGTTCAATGTTGGCCAATGCCTCGGTATCCGAGAGGAACTTGAAATCTAGAGATCCCATGGGTGATGGACGGAGGCGCTTGTTGAAATATGTCTTTCGGGCCTCATCTCGCGCCTTCATGTAGTCAGGCACTGAGATGGCTGGTCGCTCAATAGGCGGACAGCCTTCGGCCTTCCATCGCACCCAGTTCTTGTCCCTAGATAAAACGGTGTCTACCATACGGTAGTAGAACTTTCCACCCGAGCCTTGTTGCAAGTAACCTTCAATGCTCTTTCGCATATTGGCCACCCATTTTGTGTCTTCTTCGTTCAACACGAATCCATATAGCACTGATTTGTTTGTCGTGTCTGCCAAGCGTCCTTTCGACGTGGAAGTGAGTGATAACATGAAGTCAAGGAGAATGAGAGCTTGAACAAGAACGTGTCTGCGGAAGGCGGTGTCACCAACTTCGAGATCAAACAGATCTCGACTAGTCAGGTATTTGGGATTGAAGCTGGTGCCGACCTCGGCCTCATCGCCACGTTTTCGCTTGTGGGATTTTGAGGCCTCTTCTGAAGATCGTGCGGGGCCTTGATTTTCAAGGTCGGTGTTGATGTTCTGGAATGCATGCAGAGTAGCTTCAAGGCCAGTCTTGAAAGATGCAAAACGCTCCGCATCAAACATCTTGCTCGGAGCCGAGAAATAGGACTGTAGACTCCAGAAAATTGGATAGAGAGTATCGAGATCCACTTTTTCCTTTGCCTTCTCCTTTCGACCCTTAGAGACAACGACCTTGGGCACCCGATCTGTGTCCGGTGTGACTCCACCATCCTTGTTGCCTTGATCCGGCTGTCCCTCAGTTGTCACAGAGCCATCGTTCCCTTCAGTCATGGTGGTATCTTCTTCGTCATTCTCAGCAGTCGATTTTGTAATCTCGTCAAAGGTGGTGACATTCTCTGTATGGAATTCGCCGCGAAGGTTGACCGAACTTTTATCCCCGAGTGGGAAACTTTGGAAAAGGAAGATGAACACCCGTCCACAGAAGACTGTGTCTTCTGCTCGGGACAGTCGACGAAGAAGTTCATTGCATGATCGGAGAATAATTAAGCTCTTCTGCTTGAAGTGTTTCTTTGGTAGGTGTTAGCATGTGTACCTTGAGAAAGTAGCCATTGGAAGTCTCCGTACCTTGATATTTCGCTCGCGACGCGACTCTAGATAATCAAATACTTTGCGACAACCATCAATCGTTTGACTATCCAGAAGTTCCTCGATGAGCCAGAAAATTAGGCCGGGTTCGCACTGTTCTAGTGGGTGTCAGCTAAGACCTCCAGGTTCAGGTATTGCGTCAGGTGACTGACCGTTGTCGGAGAAAATAGACACAAGGTCAAGAAGATTCCAAATATGGATGAAAGAGGGGTCATTGATAGAGGTTGAAGCCTAAGTAGAAACCACGGAGTCATTAGTAACTTCAATGTTAAGCTTATGGGGAAGAAAACGGATATGCGCCGTACCAGGATGTGATAGAACTTCTCGCGAAAAGCAATCTCCACCGCAGCATACTGAGTCTGTTGATTCAATAGCTTGACACCATTATGCTCAGAGGAAATTTGCCAGATAGGTTCGCCTAGAAGCGCCTCGGTCAACGGGGGTTCGATCTGTTTGTCAGTCTTGATTTGCGCCGCGCGGTCCAAAAGACCATCCACCAGCTCTCTGTAAACCTGCACCGCTTCAACTTCCATCGAGGCCATCTTTTACCAAGACAGAGAGAAAAGGGAGGTGAGAGGATTGTAGTGAGTGTGGTGAGAGTAAAAGAAACAGGGCCAGTGACGGAAGTGAAGGGGGTTGTGGTTGCGGCTCGGCGGAGAGAAAAGCCAAGACTTTGCGAAAAAGCTCCCCCAGCTTCAAGTTGATGTTCCCGACGTCTGCTGCTCCACCTCACGTCCTCGATCAACCCCAGTCTAGCAACAGGGACAATCGAGTGCTGCGATGGCGCAGAGTCTCGAATCCAGACCGACAGTGGTGGACTTTCGCGAGGATAGCCCGTGGGTGAAACTAGCCAAGGCTCACTGGTTAGATGTGAAGGTCCGCAAGGCCAAACCCGACGTGATCAAACAGCAATTGTGGGATCCACTGGAGGCAGATGGCTTCAACAGTCGCTCTCTTCTGATATTGGAGAATCTGAATATCCTAGAGCAGTAGGTTGCTCGCAACGATTCTTGTTGTGCCCGCAGTGCTAACTGATTTACTCCAGGTTCCTTTGGCCCACCTACAGTGAAGATGCTTCCAATCACCATGTTCTCCTGATCGCGCTTCTTGTTAGCGTCAAATATCGGGAACATGTGCCCATCTGGGGTGAGTAAATACGATAAATGGCGAGTAATCAACGTGTGACGCGTGCTGACTGTGATGCAGACATTTTCTCCGACCGCGGCGATGATTTCTCAAGCCTCTTCCATCGGATCCTGTCCATGAGCATCGACCCATCCCTGCCGACCCATTCGCGCATGTCGATTATCTCATTCATTATCGCTGCCTTCCAGTCGCTCGAGAACGTCCTGATCCGAAAAGAATGCGCCCCGCTTGTTTCTATCTCTATCTGGCACAACTTGGCCAGCGAAGATGCCAGAGATCGCGTGATTGCGAAATCTCTCGCTTTGAAAAAGGCATGGAGGGCTGCAGGGAAGCGATATGATGCAGGTGACGAGGCTAGCCAGGCCAAGAGTCGGTTCGAACGGTCTTGGCTGTATACTATGCTGCTCGACTTCCTGCATAAATTGAACGGCCCAGAGAAGCAACAGACCGAGAATTTGCTGTACTGTGAGCGTTTTCTAGAGCTCCTTGTCGACCTTTTGAGCCAGCTTCCAACCCGGCGCTACACCAATACACTTCTCAAAGACCTTAATCTTCTACCCGTCATTCGCATGTCGCAATTGTACCGCGTCCCAGAGAATGCTCTTTTCCGCGACTTTTACAATCTTCTCAAGCACTTCATCAATTTCGCCATCGATGATTCCTCGGGTGATGCTTTGTCCCCCCAGGAGGTCTATGATTTGCACTGCAAGGAGCTGGCGCATTTACAGAGAACCGCTATGAAGTTCTTCAAGGAAAAACTCATGATACTCGCCCTTTCGAACTTGGGATCAATTGATAAGCGGGTTGAGCTTGAAGGGCAACTGTCCTCTTTGGATGAGCCAGAGCTCCAGAGCCTGTGCTCTCATTTGGGATTCCGGACAAACTACCCCAAATTATCCAACGTAACTCCAGATCGGCAGCTTTACTTGGAGATTCTACTCTCTGCATATGAGCGCAAACTGCCCTTCCAAGAAGTTGCAGCTCAGTTGAGCGTAATTCCCACCGAAGAGAGCCTCTATGACCCAGCATTGTTGAGGAACGAAACTTATGATGGATCCAGACCGCTGGCGATTCCCAAGCTGAACCTTCAATATCTGAGTACTGGAGACTTCCTTTGGCGGTCTTTCCTCCTGTATAGGTCGGAGGCTTTCTTCCAGATCCGCAAAGACATGGAAGCTGTTGTCAAGCGCATGCAACCTCGAGCAAACCGTAACGGAAGCTTGGATTTTGAGGGATTTTCCCGAATGGCAATCCCTATCTCCAAGCCTGCTATCATCGAAGTGGCACCCGCAAAGGTGGGCTCAAAAAATCCGGCGTTTGTTCGCGCGGAGATTGCAATTGAAGTGGGAAGGTTGGCCGATAACATCCGGAAGGAATGGGAATCCCTCCGCCCGGATGACGTTGTCTATCTGTTGGCTGTTCAGTCCCCAGCACCCACGCAATTAGGAATCCGAGACGAGAATGCCACGGAAGGACCACGCATGACTCACCTCCGCACAGCGGAGATTGTGCAAGTTCTTGATGAACAAGGCCGTCAGCTGCGACAGCCGGTTGGTGGTCAAGCCAATGGACATCAATCTCGCCCGCGGGTGCGCAGGCTTCTCGTTAACTTGGACGCGGCTTCATTTAAGACTGACAAGGACCTCCATTCCCAAGGAAAGCCGGATATCTATTCTTTGATCAATGTGGTTGCGCGACGAAAGGGCCGAGAGAACAACTTCAAGTCTATCTTGGAGACAATGCAAAAGCTGATCGTGTCGGATATGACACTCCCTCCGTGGCTTCAAGACATTTTCCTCGGATATGGTGATCCTGCAGGTGCCCAGTACACCCGGATGCCTAACCGTCTCAAATCTGTTGACTTCCGTGATACATTCTTGGACTGGTCCCATCTGGTAGAGAGCCACCCCGGTAAGATTATTGAACCATCTGGATCCGAGTCAGCTAGTTTCGGTCCTCCTTATGTTCTCGAGCCCGTCGAGAGCGAGCCGGTGGAAGCCTCTGCCCCCCTGAAGAAACGCCGGCGTGACCCTGCCGGACAGGTGGAGCAGGGACCTACTACCATGCGTGTTTCGACATATAAGTTGCCAAACCCTGGACCATACCCTATCGATGCGCCTAAACACAATACCGTCAGGTTCACACCCACTCAAGTGGAAGCGATTGCCTCCGGTACGCAGCCGGGCCTTACTGTCATCGTGGGACCTCCTGGTACCGGTAAGACCGATGTTGCGACCCAAATTATCAATAATCTCTATCATAATTTCCCCACCGAGCGAACACTCCTGGTTGCACACAGCAATCAAGCACTTAACCAGCTTTTCCAGAAGATCATTGCTCTAGACATTGACGAGCGTCATCTCTTGCGACTGGGTCACGGTGAAGAAGAATTAGATACCGATTCGAACTACAGCAAACACGGCAGAGTCGAATCTTTCCTTGACAACCGCACAAATTATCTGTCAGAGGTCATGCGGCTGGCGGCATCGATTAATGCGGAGGGCGCACACGGGAACTCTTGCGAGACCGCTGGCTACTTCAACATGGTCTATATTCAACCAGCATGGGCCAAGTTCTGGGATCGGGTCAACTCGGAAGAAATTTCTACAGAGGATGTTGTCGCCTCATTCCCATTCCACGTGTACTTCTCGAATGCACCTCAACCTTTGTTCGAAGCAGATGCTTCGAAAGAGACAATACTAGATGTTGCCTCGGGCTGCCAACGACACATTGAGCGGATTTTCACTGAGCTCGAAGATATTCGACCCTTTGAGATCTTGCGGCATCCTCGAGACAAAGCCAATTATCTTTTATTGAAAGAGGCTCGTGTGGTTGCAATGACATCTACACACGCAGCAATGCGCCGACAGGAGATTGCGGACTTGGGCTTCCACTATGACAATGTCGTTATGGAAGAAGCAGCACAGATTACCGAAGTGGAGAGCTTCATTCCTGCCGCTCTTCAAAACATGAAGAACGGGGAGCTGCCTTTGAAACGTGTTGTTCTCTGTGGAGACCACTTCCAGAATTCCCCAATCATTCAGAATATGGCTTTCCGTCAGTACGCGCACTTTGAGCAGAGTCTTTTCCTCCGCCTGGCCCGCCTAGGTGTTCCCGTTATTACCTTGGACAAGCAAGGTAGATGCCGACCGAGTATTGCCGAACTCTTCCGTTGGCGCTACCAGAAGCTGGGAGATCTCCCATCCGTCGAAACTCTGCAGGAGTACAAGCAGGCAAATGCTGGCTTCCAGTTCGATTATCAGTTCATCAATGTTCCTGACTACCAGGGCAATGGGGAACGCGAACCGACTCCCTACTTTATTCAGAATCTTGGCGAGGCGGAGTACGCGGTGGCTTTGTATCAGTACATGCGACTGCTAGGATACCCGGCCGCGAAGATCTCGATTTTGGCTACGTATGCTGGACAGACGGCTTTGATCCGTGATGTATTGAACCACCGTTGTGGTAAGAACCCGATGTTTGGTCTCCCCAAGATCGTGACAACCGTGGATCGGTACCAAGGAGAACAGAATGATTGTGAGTAGAATTTCCCAGGCATGGCTTATCTCATTATGTGTATATGTGCTAACCATTGTCTTCCAGACGTTATCCTATCCCTGACTCGTACCCGCACCGTCGGATACCTGCGTGATGTTCGTCGTCTGACCGTGGCCCTGTCACGTGCTCGCTTGGGTCTTTACATCCTTGGTCGCCGAGAGGTCTTCGAATCCTGCTACGAGCTCAAGCCTGCATTTGATCGTCTCTTGCAACGCCCGGACAAACTGATGCTTGCGCCGGGTGAGATGTTCCCAACAACTCGAGCGCTGGACGCTGACGTCGCGGGCACCCCTATGGAAGGAGTCGAGCATCTTGGCCAGTACGTGTTTGAGATGACACAGGCCAAGGTGAAAGCAATGGGTGATGGAGATCTGGTACTTGATGATGCCGCCCCTGATGGTGAGGATGGTCTTCTAGATGAAGATGAGGACATGATGGGTGTCGATGAAGACGAGTATGAAGATATTGTATGAACAGGTTACACAGCACTTGTGCTTGATAAAGAAGCGGATTGAGCCAGATACCGCGTAAATGATATTCGATCTTGATGCCTTATTCTATGTACTGCATTCCCATGACCATAGACTCGCAAGATAAACTGTAGAAGACAATATTCTGTACACCTTAAACGTTCTGGCAGATGGGCACGGAGTCTTAAGATTATTTGATCTTGTTGATCTCCTCCACAATGTTCTGGGGGTCCCTCCAGGCAAGAGTAACATATCTAAACTCATTAGCATGTAATCCAATCAGTCAGGCATTCAAATGAACTCACTTGGTGTGGCTGCCTCGGGCAACAACGACACCCTCTGGGTTAGTGAACTTGATATTGGTGAAGGCAAGAGTTTTTCCAACTATACACTGTTAGTTGGGGCCTTTGGTTTGTCAACAATTTATACATGCACTTGTCACAGGTAACCTCCTATAACCACGTCAGCATGGGTCATTCTAATTTCAAGGTAGTAGATTAACACTTACTGCCAGAATCTTGTCGCCGACTTTGCCACCGGAGTTCAAGTATGTGACTATTTTCCAATAGGTATTAGCGAGACGTACATCTAGGCCCATTCTAGCCGCTCGTGGTTAATGAACCTACCATTAAGGTCGGTTGACACGCCAGTTGCGAATAAACCACGAGATGCTACAGCCAAGGATCCACCAAGATCAACTAGAAAATTTCAGTAATTGGTTGCGGTTCCAGATGGATTTGGCAAGAGAGGCTTACCCATGCTTGCAATAGTACCTCCATGAAGGATGTTCAAGCGGTTCTGTTAAATTGTTTAGTAAAGGAGTATGAAACAGCCAGTGGATAGAATCGAGGTATATGAAAGCCCTCAATTCAGTATGGGATGTCCGAACTCGACCCATCTACGGTTCCCGTGCACTTACGGTATGTTGCTTTTGGACCTCAAGCTCGAAGTTGACAGTTCCAGGACGAGCGGCTGTAACACGAAGCTAGATATGGAAATGAGCTTTCATTCCACCGAATTGGGAGGCTAATTATGAATTTACATACACCATCCAAAAGGCTTCAAGCAGTATAACACAGCTTATCAGTGACTGATGTTTTGAAGTAGGCGGCTTCACTTACCGAGGCTCTAGACCCGAAGAAGCCCGAAAGGACTCCCAAACCTGAATGTATTAGAAAGGGGTTTAATGATATAACTCAGATGTTTTATATGACTCACCGAGCGCACAAATCTAAGAGTTGTCATGGTAATTGAAATTGATTTCAGGTGAGAAGTGAAGCAAAGACGCAGTTCGGCAGTTGTCGCGTTCATCTCGGGAACTGCACAAAGTGGCCGCTACGCCCGCCGAACTTTTGTCATGACTTCACCGCGCCTTTGATACAAATCGCTCTTGGTACAGAGGCGCCGGGTCTTTTAGGTCATCAACATGGCTGCACCTACGTCTCGACCTCTAGAGTACCTAGAAGGTCTGCCTGGTGCGACATTCCTCCAATTATACAAGCAACCATCTACTGCACTCGCTATTTTCCGGCGCATGTTGCCTGATCTGGGTATCTGGAGCTCTCTGCGTTTCGATACCGACCAAACTAACTGTGAAGATAGCAAAATGTTTTGTGATGGCCCTGCTATATCTGAAGGACCCGCTTCCTTCCGCTGATCTGGAGATCTGGGTCAAGACAGAAAGCAAGAAGTGAGCGCGCAACCCTTGAGGATTCCTGAGAACGGCGAGCTGACCATTGATTCTTACTGGACAAAGACAGCGAGATAACGCATTATCGATCTTGGGCCGGCTTCATATTTTGGCTAACGCTCGTACCGACGACAATACTCGGGCGTACATGGTCACCAACCCGTTCGCGTCATCGCTGCGCCAAGCTCTCACAGGCTCCGAGGACACACAGTCCTTTGGTGTCTTTTCCCAAATACCCGAACAAAGTAAAGTCTCAATTCATGATCTGGACGAATACGGTCGACGACAATGGGAAGGTGTCTTGGGTTACATGGTTGGAACAAGTGCTCTCACTGGAAACCGTGATACCGTGAACTTGAGCAAGGGTGTGAAAACATTGCTACAAGCAGGCAATCTCGTCGAAATCAGGGGCGGACGCGTGGATATCACGAAGGATGGCTTTGGTTTTGTGCTACAAGATGTCAACACGCAGGTCTGGCACATCATGATCCTCTATGTTGAGAGTGCTGAATCGCTCGGCATGGATCGAGTGGAGGTTCTCTCATTCCTATTCCTACTCAGCAGTCTGGAGCTGGGTCAATCTTACGAGAAGACGGGAATGACATCGACCCAACTTCGCACTTTGGCTGACCTGTCAGACTTCGGTATCGTCTACCAAGAAAGTCCTGAGGCGCCGCGGTTCTATCCCACACGACTTGCCACAACCTTGACTTCTGATTCGAGTGCACTGGGAACTGCAGGCAGTGGTTCACTGACTGGACCTGGCGACCAGCCAGGCGGCTCAGGATCGGGATTCATCATCATCGAAACCAACTATCGCCTCTACGCATACACGTCATCTCCCCTCCAGATCTCTCTTATCTCTCTCTTTACCAATTTGAAATACCGCTTCCCCAATTTGGTGACAGGCAAGATCAACCGCCAATCGGTGCGCCGGGCCATTGAGACAGGTATTACAGCCGAGCAGATTATCTCTTATCTGCATTCGCATGCCCATCCTCAGCTGCGTAAACATAATGCTGGCAATCCCACATCGAACTCGTCATTACAGGCCCCAGTGCTTCCCCCTACAGTGACCGATCAGATTCGTCTGTGGCAGCTTGAGCGTGATCGTCTCAGAGCCACAGCAGGCTTCCTGTTTAAGGACTTTACCAGCTTGGCTGAATATGAAGCTCCCTGCAATTATGCCGCAGAGATTGGTGTTTTGGTCTGGAAGTCTGACAAAAAGCGCATGTTTTTCGTATCACGGCACGAACAGGTAGCTGCCTTCCTCAGGCAACGGAGATAGGCGCCAAGGGATGGGGGGGTGAGGGGGGGAGATCGGATGGCAATGGTTTACGGTATCAAAAAGCATTCATCTTGCGGATAGCAGGCGTTGCAAATGTTGGGTCTGGAATGAGCATTTAACGAAATAACGATTGACTGGAACTTCATATCAAATGGTTCATTAGATCTGTACAATAGAAATTTAATAAAAGTTCCAAAGCTAGTCTTTGTAACCACCCTCCTTACTCAAAACAGATACGAATCCGGAAAAAGAGCCTTGACTTTTCGTCCAGCCAGGCTTTACTCTCTGCTTATATGTCGCCCACTGGCCACCCCCAAGCTGCTTTTTATAACTTATAAACGTGTCCCCCTTGACCATCTCCGGCAGAATCACCGCCAAGTCAGATATGCGCATCGATGCCTCAATTCCCGGTGGAGGAAAGTCCTTCACTGAGGGCACAGCCACGTACATAGGCTCATCCACACTGGCATCTCCAGCATAAGCCCCTCCTTCCTCGAGCTGCACCACCTCGTCCAAGATATGAGCTAGGAGAGGTCCATTCCACACACCCTCTCGATGCGGAGCAGCGCGCAAAATCCGAATAGCCTGGCGTCGGATCCGAGGAATGCGACATTTCAGCGCGGTATAATAAACGGGAGGGATGAACCCAGACTCGACAGTGAATCCGTGGCAGCCAACCTCTGATTCCGGAAGGCTGAATATATGCTTGAGTTCTTTGATCTCGATACTAGTGGTTGCCCAGTGATTCCATAGATCGACGAACCCTTGTAGGAGAGCGAGGAATCTTGGCGTGTGGGAGTCGAATATCATCTCGTCATTGGATAGACAGACTGAGGCCATTATAGTTGTCATTTCGTGGTATACACGTAGAAGGATCGTTCCGAACTTGGATTTGTGAGTTGCTTCTTCTTCGAGACGGATGAGTGAGGAGTTATATGCTTTGCACCAGAGAGATAGGTCGGTGATGATCTTTTGCTGTGTCTCAGCCAGCTCTGCATTGGGGGTTTCAGATTGCAATAGTGATAGTCGGATGTTATAGTAATGTCTTTTGAGGCAATGAACCCTGTTTAGGAGGTCATCGAGCGTCTGTCGCGCATCAAAGAGAGAAGGAAATGTGTATGGGATGGCATGAACTTGTGGATCTCGAGATACGACACACATATGGGAGGGAACATGGCCAAACATGGCAGCTTGGATAGCTAGACGCGAGTATGCATCGATCAGGGCATTATGAGCAAAGTCTTCTGCCGGATTTAGGACATCCGGTGACATAGAAGACCGAGGCTGTGGGGCTGAAATATTCGCAAGAAGCTGGATCCCGTAGCGTAAGTGTGCACTGCCCATCTGGTATTGTCCACGTAGGTACTCCAGAGTAACAAAGATCATGCATGTGATCAGGGCAACGCGCACTGCGTGTTTCTGAGTACCCCCAGTCGCGGAGCGTAAGTAGTGAATGGCTTTATTGTATTGCTGCAAGGTAAACCGCTCCGTATCAAAGCCATAGGTTGAAGGAATGGACCACGGCTCATTACTGTAATCGAATCTATGCGCTGCTGACAAGGCGACGACGGCATGACGCACGGCGGGTTCCTGTGCGCTGGCCTGTAAGACGAGGGTCTCCCAGAAGTCAGAGGCGAATAGACCGGCAAACTTCCTGTTGGTTTGCCCCACGAACCAGTCAAAATATGACTGCTCTTCACTGGTCATGCTGCCGGCTGGAACCGGCGTGCAGTATGTTGACAGGGCTCGGTTACTCTGTGGCTGGCCATACGGAGTCCCGCCCCCTCCCCAGATACCATAGCCATCACAGACTCGGCCAGTAGAGACACAGCGTCGACATGCCGGTCGACTTTCGTCACATTTCACGCGACGGGTCCTGTGGAATCATGTTAGGACCATATCTTGTCAAGTCTATGAATTTGTACGTACTTGCATGTTTTGCAGCCAGTTTTAACCTTCTTTCTATTTTGAACCTGTCGGGACTGATTACTTGGCTCCTGCATAACTCAATTCTTTTCAATGCATATAATGCATTCATGGAGGGGTACAAAGTCTTTGCAGCTGAAGGATAGAAAAGAAGTGGAGAAGGGAGTGATTGGACGACTCGCAAACTTTGATCTGTGATTGGTTAGAACCCTAATAAATGGGGCTACATGGATCTGCGAATCTCTTATTGGTTGGAATTCTTTTAAAGCCGATTGATTAAGTCCGAATATCATGAACAATACGCAATTGTCGATGTTATGATTGAGTATTATTCTTTCTGTCGGTTTCTACGGTCGATCATTCTATCCGAGAAGACATATTTAAAGGATGAATACCTCCCAGATGATTTTCAGCTCGCACTCTCTCAAGTTCATTTGATTCCTTCCATTCGATTCTTACTCCTACTTCAAAATGTCCATCCCATTTCGCACCATTGGCAAAGATGGCCCTCAAGTTCCTGCTGTAGGACTTGGTCTCATGAGTATAGGTGGTATTTACGGGTCAGCTGGTACTCTTGAAGACAAGTTTGCTCTCCTGGATCATGCGTATGCCACCGGTCAGTTGTTCTGGGACACTGCCGATATCTACGCCGACAGTGAGGATATTGTGGGGGAATGGTTTCAGCGCTCCGGGAAGCGCAACGACATCTTCCTTGCCTCGAAGTTTGGTCTAATTATGGATCCCGTCACCCGCAGGGCGACAATTCGATCCGACCCCGAATACGCGAAGACTGCATGTGACAAGAGTCTTCAGCGTCTGAAGGTCGATGTCATTGACTTGTACTACTGTCACCGAGTTGATGAAAGGACTCCCATCGAGAAGACTGTGCAAGCTATGGTCGAATTGAAAAAGTACTTCAACTGCCCCCATTCATCTGGATTCTGTCGCATTTGCTGACCTGAAGTCTGTTCATAGTGAGGGAAAGATCCGTAATATCGGCCTTTCAGAGGTTTCGGCTGCCAGTCTGCGCCGTGCATATGCAGTCCACCCCATCGCCGCTCTGCAGATGGAATACAGCCCATTTGCACTAGATATTGAGAAGAACGAGCTGCTGCAAACTTGCCGTGAACTCGGTGTCACAGTGGTCGCGTACAGTCCTATCGGTCGCGGTCTCCTTACTGGCCAGATCCAGCGCTATGAAGACTTTGATGAAAACGACTGGCGACGTTACCTGCCCAAGTATGCACCGGATCATTTCCCCAAGATCCTGGAGTTGGTTGATGGGCTGAAGAAGGTTGCCCAAGCCCATGGAAGTACACCGTCGCAAATTTCAATTGCCTGGCTGTTGGCTCAAGGATCCGACATCATCCCAATCCCTGGCACTCGGTCATCTGACCGAATGGAGGAGAACACCAAGTCTGCCCTGATTCAGCTGACTGATGAAGAAGTGAAGCACATTCGCAGCCTTGTTGAGCGGACTGAGGTCCAAGGCGATCGTTATCTTGCGGCGTAAGTTTCCTCGGATTGCATTGAAAACCCCCTTACTAATTTGAAATATAGAATGGGTGTCAATGTTGTCGCCGATACACCGCCGCTTTGATACAAACATGTCCAGCACTTGAGGGTATATGAATATACTTTGATAGTCTTCACTCCAATCAATATTTCAAATTAATTAAAAACATGTACAGTTTCATTTACTATAGAATTTATTCCAAGGTTCTTCTGTTCCTCCAGAGCATATGATTCAAGGTCAGTCTCAAGTGCTGGATAAGTGAATATCTCCAGGTTTGGGCAGTATACTTCCATTCAAGCTCACATGCAGGGTTAAAGGCGCATCTGATAGCCGCATGGGTTGATACATGCCGAAATTGAGTATATGTGCGTAATTCTTCCCGGAGCTATAAAAACAACAGCGGTATATTTTGTTTTAACACATGGATGCGCCCTGTAGGTAGCGTTAAAACATATCAAGCACCTGAGCTCAACATTCGCATGTGCATTGATTTCTACATTTTGTCGAGGGCAAATTTAGGACGATCGGATGGACCATGAATTAGAACGCGTTTACTCCGACCCTGAGTCTGGCTGGGCCAGTGCCAGTGGTCCAGCTACACTTCCTGTGCCTCGAGAGTGGAGAAGACCCATGAGTACCATTGCAGGTATTTCATATGAGATTGAAGTCTTTTCCCCTCTACCCAAAGAGCGTATCGTCCGGCAAATGGACCTTTTTATGGTTCCTAAGGAGCAAATGTACTTGCGCGCCAGTGAGGGGAAGATAACCCACACGAATTATTATTCCTTCGATAAAATCTTCGTTTGACCCTACAGGAATCCATCTGATACCGCCAAATCAAGCCTGACTTGTTACGATAATGAAACGAATTGAAAAGCCGCTACACTAAGGTTTCATGAATTCTATTTCGTCCAGGTCTCATTTCCTATATTCTAGCGCAGGGTTGTTCGCGTGAACAATGACATCAGTGGCCGTGCACATTCCATTCTCGAGTCGATCTGAAATGTTTCAAATGTTGAGAAATCGATCGATCTGATCCTAAAATTAAAAATAAAAATAAGCTTATCTCACGGCCGTTTTTCCGAACCTTGGAACCGGTGTGGCTGAATCTTGGAAAGGGGCAGGGGAAGGGTCAGTGGGGGGCCCAAAGGGATCAGCAATTCTTTGACCCCACGAAAACTTACCAAACTTCTTCTTCCCCTGGTCCCGGGTCTTTTCTCTTTGCACCCTTAGAACCGACATCGATGTGATGTCCTCATTCAGTGAAGCCAGCCCTGGCAACTGGATCATCGGTAGCTATACCGGCGACAGTATTGGGGTTCGCATCACGCTGGCTACCTTTGTGGGCGTCGCGTGGTACAATGTGATTGAGTTGATCGTACTCATCTTCCTCACATTTAAACGCTATCAAGGCCCTTACTTTTGGAGTATGCTGATTTCATCCTTTGGTATTTTACCTTACTCGATCGGTTATCTGATGAAGTTCTTCGCTTTGACCTCCGCCACCTGGCTGCCCGTCACTTTGCTCACAGTGGGTTGGTGGACCATGGTGACCGGCCAATCATTCGTCTTGTACTCCCGCCTGCATTTGGTCCTCGAAAACCTGCGCCTCCTGCGCCTGGTCAAGGGCATGATTATTATGAATATTTTCTTACTTCATATCCCGACCACCGTGCTCACCTTTGCCGCCAACTTCTCCAATTCCCAAGCATCGATCGCAGGGTACGACATAATGGAGAAAATCCAACTGACTGGGTTCTGCGTCCAGGAGGTCATCATTTCCAGCTTGTACATGTGGGAGACCAATCGCATGTTGAAAATGAATCCTGATCGCGGTAGTCGTAGGACCATCCTGCAGCTGCTCGCCGTCAACGTCTCCTGTGTACTAATGGATATTGCGTTGATGGCCATCGAATTCATGAACTTTTATATCTACCAAACTACTCTCAAGGCGACCCTTTACAGCATCAAGCTGAAGCTGGAAATCGCCGTTCTTGGCAAATTGGTCAATATTGCCCATCAGCATCTTTGGCAATCACCTGGCCTGGAGCGTGGCCGCTATCCTTCATTTGTCGACCCTTCCCAGATTCCCGATTTCAACTACAATGACTACAATAACCCTGAATCATTGCCAACGAGCCAGGGAACGAGCCAGGGCGGGTTTAAGGGGCGTTCGACTGGGCTTGAGGCAATCGACTACGATGAATCATGAATTTTACTTCCCTTTCGTGGATCAAATTGGCTGCTGTGTACCAAACACACCAGGCTGGTGACTTGATGTGATATCCTTGTCTCGCAACCCCTGCGCAAATAATGTGACCGTCCACCAGGACAACGGCCTTTGTCTCCCACCGCACACTGGTGACAATCGAACTACCATCTTCCCGCATCAGATGCACGGAGCAACAGCATTTCTCGATTCTCCTACCAAATTTGCGTCGTCAAGGCCTCAAAATTGACAAACCTGTGCGCAAACTCTTGTTTGGCTGATGCCGATACCATATGTATATATCACGAAATTATGACCAAAATACTGCATCTGCATAATACCCAATCTTTCGCATCTCTTTCAAGTCCCGTCAATCTGTGAGACTTGTTTCCAGTTAATCCAATATGCCTTTTATTGTGAGCAGAGTCGTCTAACACAACTAAACCCTCTCATCTTTGATCGATCACAGTGTTGACTCAATTTAAGGCTGATATCTATATAAATTTGTCTCGCTTTATATTTTATATATCTCTTCCCTCGGCCGAGTATGAATAATATGATTTATTAGCTCCACATGTCCTATGAATGTCCTAAAAATAGTAATCGGATTAAGAATCCACCGCTACCACGTGACTATATGCTCGATGACATCAGTCACTTCATCCCACCTTTCCTAATTAATCAAGACAACATTGCATATCGATATACAGACAAAATGCCTCCCCAAGAAGGATTGGTTCACCCCAAGGAATACGACATCAAAGACAGCAATGTGGAATTGATTGGGTCCGATCTTGACCACCGTGTCAAATACAATTCTGCCGCTTCAGAGCCCGCTTGGAACAATGGAAAGGTGGGACGAGAACCAGGACTATTCATTTGGCGCATTGAGGACTTCGAAGTCGTCCCCTGGCCCAAGGAGAGAGCTGGCGAATTCTACGACGGCGACAGCTTCATCGTGTTGCATTCATACAAGGTTGGCGATGACAAGCTAGGCCATGATATCTTTTTCTGGCTAGGAAGTAAGACTACACAAGATGAAGCTGGTACAGCTGCCTACAAAACAGTTGAACTGGATGAATTCTTGCATGGTGTTGCCACGCAGCACCGTGAGATTCAGCAGCGGCCCTCGGAAGAGTTCCTATCTCTGTTCCGTCATTACTCTATTCGGTCAGGTGGTGTGCGATCCGGGTTCAACCACGTTGAGCCTGAAGAGCCAAAAGAAGTGCTTACCTTGCTTCGTATCTTCAAGTACCCTGGATCTGGTCGCATCAGCCCTCTTGTTGTCCATGAGGTTGAGCCGACATGGGAGAGTCTGGATGAGAATGATGTCTTTGTCTTGGATAAGGGCAACAAGATCTGGGTCTGGCAGGGCAAGAAATGCAGCCCGATGGAGAAAGCCAAGGCTGCCCAAGTGGTCAATGACTTGACATTAGCCAAGCACGTGGATGTTGAAGTGCTTTCTCAGCTCGAGTCAAGATCAAGGATCGTTGTGGATTTGCTGGGCGGAAAGGAGGCTGATCAGTCATCTTTGCAAGCACAAAGACCTGGATACTTCTCTAAGTCGACCCATGAGGACAGTACCAGTTCCCGTCCTCGCAAACTGTTCCGATTGAGTGACGCCTCGGGAACATTGTCATTTGATTATGTCAAGGATGGCCGTGTTCAACAATCTGATTTGGATAGCAAGGACGTGTTTCTCTATGACACGGGCAGCCGACTTTGGGTCTGGCAAGGCCTTGAGGCTAGTGATCGGGAGAAGGCTGTATGGATCAAGTTTGCCCAGGCTTATATAAGCCATCTTCAAGATAGCCAAGGAGTCTCCGATGCTTTCCTCACTCCTATTTCCAAGGTCGTTCAGGGACATGAAAGTCCAGCATTCATGAAAGCAATTGCAGTTTAATGTGTACATAAATGGATTTATTGTTGTACTTTGAGCGCAAGCCATGAGTAGCACTTGATTGCACATGTGCCATGCTGATGCTTGTGAAGCAGCTATCATGCCCATACTTACATACTTGTAACATAAAGACTCAAAAAATCAATTCAATATTTGTATAGCTGGCTATGGGAGGCACATGTGCGTTACAGTCACTGCATTGAACGTTTGAATATATCTATGATCAACCTCTACCTCCACCACCGGCTAGATCAACTCATTTACCATTTAGTTGGCCCAAAAGTCTCTCCGCCAGTAACTGTCTTTTGAATTGCCGTATACAAAGAGTCCTATTTCCAGTATTAGAATCCTGCCTACACCGAGTCAGATTGCACGTACCATAGTTTCAAACGGAGCCGTATTTCCCCACCAATTGGGCACTGCGACACCAGGGAGAGTGATAGCGAAGAAAATGACAATAGTCGAGAGGATGAGTCCAGTATCAAGTCCCGCTGCGGTAATAAAATTGTACTCGCGCCACCATCCGCCCCATCTGCGTCGAATCCAGTAATTGAATATGAGGCCGAAAATAACCCAAGACGAGAAGCTGATTGGCGTAGCTCTATAAAATAGTTAGTTGCCCATTAGGCTTGAAGTGTAAGGATGAACTTACGGGGGAAGCCAGGCCATGGCACCCAACATCCTAGAAATGTATTGTCAGCAGAGTCAATCCAGCGGATTCTGGATCACATACACTGGTGCGTTGAGGAATCTGGCTTTGGACCGGGGGAAGGCTCGCATCAGAAGGTAGAAAGCTACAGGGAGTAGGGCTCCGAGCAACCAGAAGTATAAAATTGGTGTGTAGATTCCATCAGCACCAAAGATGCGTTGTGGGCCGATTAATCCTTGATGGCGGTTAGTGGATGGATAGATGCTTGGAGATGACAAGATTGGAGTCTATACGTACCCCAAACAATGCTCGACGAGAAGAAGGTTCGTCCATTTGGACAGGTGAAGTTTGCTGATTGAGTCCTATCTTCGATGAGCAATCAACATGCTAGAAAAAAGCTTGTTTCTGACTTACTCGGAGCAAACACCTTCAATATTTCCCAGAGTCCAGTTCATGACGGCGATCTGGACAATGCAAGCCCACATTGTTGGGATAACTTGGCACATGAAAGTGACACGGGGTGGGATTTTCATGTAATGAGCCAGCTAGAAAGGATGAGTTCTCTAGTTGCCGTGACAAGTTGGGGTGGCTTACCTTCAGATCTTGACAGTAGGTCTGACTGCGGGACTGTTAGCTTTGTATGACTTCGATGGCAAGAATGATATGACTCACGCTTGTCCCAGAGTGATTGTGCTGAAGACTTTGAATACCATGACACCGATGGGCTTTCCGGGAATCATGAAACCAGCCAAAAATGGAGACAGGACGTTGAGAGCTGGGGCTGTAAGCTAAATGCCCATCAGACTTGGAATTCATACATACCGAGTGATATATTGGTGACAGCCATGATCATGCAAGTCGGAACCTAACGATGTCAGTAAGAGTTTCATGAGTTTGATTCGATGTTAGCACGGGGCGACGCACAATGAAAATGACAGCAACAATCAGGGATACGAAAAATGCCCACCCTATGTATCAGTGAGTGAGTGCGACTCAAATTAGATAGATTGAAAACATACAGGGCAACTGGGAATCGTATCCAAGTACACCTCCCAGGCCGAGTGCAACCGCCACCAGAAATAGTGCAGCATACCACCACTCTGGAGCCTCTTGATATTTCTTCATGAGCGTCAGATGCACATCTGGCTCTTGCTCCCGAGCGGCTTTCGCCCGGTGCCAAAGTTCTTTGCTGTGATAGAGAATGACGTGAACGATGACTGCCGTCAAGGCAGCGAAAGACAGTCCATAGTTCAATATGAAGGTTGGAGCCAGGAACATGGGTGAATACTCCTTGTACTTTTTCTCGTCAAATGAGAAGTTATCGCCAAGGATTTTCGTGACATTGTATTGTTGTTGCGTATTGTCATAGGTGGTCGAAGTGTTGATGGGAAGGTATTCAGAATAGCTATTTAATGTTAGCTCCGGTCAACAGATAAAGGGTAGCATGGCATACAAAGCTCCTGTGTAGGAGATTCCGATAGTGGCAATTATGACAAACACTACCAGACCGATCAATGTGTTCAAGAGCGCATGCACGGGTGATAGCAAGGGATCGAGGAGATATGCGGAGACGTAGCTAGTAATGGGTCAGCTTTTTCACGCTATCCATTACTTCAGGGGGGATGCAGCTCGGCATCAAACTCACGTCCAGTCAAATGTCAAAGGTATGAGCGAAAGTCCAGTAAATCCACCAAATAATTGGTTCAACACCACATTGTTGGGCTTAATCCCTGTGATGAAAAGGGTTAGTCACGTACATGCAAGTCGAGAAGTCGAGCAGGATGATACCTACAAGTCACAAAAGCAAAAACCGACAACCCTTGCCAGATGACACCAGGAAACCTATGAGAGATAAGACTCGATTTTCGGCCCCAATTTAGAGTAGGAGACTTACCAATACCAGCAAAATGATCCAAGCATGACATACATGAAGTAGCGGTACCGCGAGATTGTCCAGCCATTGGTCTGCGAGGCATCTGAGGGACTTTTATCATGCAGTGCATAGAACAAAGTCGTGTTGGCGAATTGGGTAGGCCAGATCATAGCAGCGGGCCTAGACAGAATCAGCCCCGAGGACGTTAAATAGCGGACTGTACTCACCAGACAAGGAAACGACGGAAAATTCCTGCGAGGGCTATTCCGATAATTTGACTGCTCAATGCAAATAGAAGCTCAAACCCCCAGCCAATATCCAAGTCGTATAGCGCTGATAAGTGTCAATAAGTTAGGGAATTTCAAATAGATCGTAGAAGTACTAACATTGTGCTTTCAGAGCCAAGAGTGCATCGGTGCAGTATGCATAGCCGATTGACACGCTAAGGACTGTTAAGGATAAACCTTTTCTTTCAGGAAGTGTACTTACTTTGCCATAAGCTGTAAAGGATTAGTATTGAGTTCATATCAAAGATCAGGATTTGAGACTTACCGTGACAACTGTGTGTTCTTTGATGGTAAAGGGCCCCGGGTTGAAAGTCCACTGGACTCCAAATGTGTTAAATTTTCTGGTAGGAATCACTCTGGCCCATAGACAGCCGATTGGATATACAAGCAATTGTACAACAATGGCAGGGAATGAGATTGCAGGGCTCCTATCAAGAGCAATCAGCAATTTCAATCTTGAAAGTAAAGAAAATGGAAAGGAACATACCTCATGCTCAAGAACATGTTAAGTCCACTTCCAATGGTTGTAAACAACATTCCCAAAATCCATGCACGCACGGTATTCGCAATCTCTCCATTATCAGTATTGCGCACGGCAGCGCGAACAGATTCATATTGCGAGTCCTGGACAAAGGATCTCTCAAATTCGACAGCTTTCTCGTGATCATCTATATTGGCAGCCTCATTAATAGCATCGATCTCTTCCTGAGGCAAGTTTGGATCCCATTGATGAGAATTTTGAATTCCCTTAAGCTCTTGGATTGTGCTGTTGACGTCCTTGGTATGAGTGATGATTTCCAACTGTGTTGACAGCTCAAAACTGTCGTCGGATGAATTGGAGACCATTTTATGGATTATTAAAGAGATTCAATGGAATGCCCCAATAACCTTGAAGACAAGGGGATTCTTCGTCCTTAAGTGTGAAGTTATTCGATTTCCTAGTGTGGTTATCTGTGTACATCAAGATAAGTCATTTCCACGATCCCTACCAATCCAACCCCTTCATTCTTCACTTTCCCCGCACAACACGGCTCGTGTCGCTTTGTTGCAAGGAGTCCGATGCAGACAAAAAAGGACCAGACTTTGACCATCGGCTAATCGATAACAAACGGGCCACTTTGGGTTAAAGCGCGGAGTAAGACCACGAAATCTCGGCATCTTTTATCTGAAAATGCCCAGACCACGTCGATAGGCTTAAATTGTCCACTCGGATCGCCCAGCGACATTTAGCTTATTTTCGGCGGCTCGCTACGACATGCCCAAATCCCGAGTTTTTCCACTTGTCTTAATCTAATCATTCTCGTCACCTTCGCACTAGATTACGATTTCAACGCTGAGCAGAAAAGGTCACGTTCGCTATGGTGTCTGCTACGACCGCTCGCGGGATCGCAATTCAACGCGCTCAGGTTGATAGTATTCGCGATAGGATTGAACGCATAACCGCAGATCTCAAGGAGATCAAGAGGTTTTACCCCATCGTCATCTCTTCAACAAGGATAAAACGAGTACAACTGTTCCTCACTTCAGAATTGAATTCGCTTCGAGACCAACCCTTTCACTTGTATGACCAGCAGGAGAAAGTCGACTATCTCCTTGTTAAAAATTACCTAGAGAGACAACTTCGACAACTGCAGCTAGACTCTATTCAAGACCAAAAAACAACGCTTCTACTCCCATTTGCGGGAGCAATCGTCAGTCTTTGCGAGAACCGCGCTGTTGGAGCACCGGTAGAACCGAAGAACGCCGCACAGACGCTTTTTGAATCACAAAGCCAAATTGACGTGTTGATCCAGAAGATTAACAGTGATTCCACTCAGTTCAGCGTGGGAAAGAATTCCGCTTATCGTGCAGCTAGCACCATTGACTCCCTGCGAGTTTATCTTCAGGAATGGTATGATTTTTACAAGGGCTATGATCCCTCATTTGATTGGTGGGTGTCAAACCCCTACGGGGCAGTGGATGCTAGTCTAGAATGTGTCGCCTCCACTATTCGTGAGAAATTGGTTGGCATCGATCTACACGATGAGGATGCAATTGTAGGCCAACCGATTGGACGGGAGGGATTACTCGCCGAGCTTCTGGCCGAAATGATTCCATACACACCGGAAGAGCTAATCTCCATCGGAGAGAAGGAGTTTGTATGGTGCGTCAACGAGATGAAAAAGGCGTCGAAGGGTATGGGCCACGATAACTGGCACCAAGCACTGGAACAGGTCAAGAATGACTATGTTGAACCTGGGGAACAGACGCAACTTGTTCGAGATCTTGCAGAGGAGGCTGTGTCTTTTGTTGAAGAGCACAATCTTGTTACTGTACCGCCGCTAGCCAAAGAAACATGGCAGATGTTCATGATGTCGCCAGAGCGCCAGAAAGTGAATCCTTTCTTCCTCGGGGGCAAATCTATCATTGTGTCATACCCAACCGGCAGTATGAATCATGAAGACAAATTGATGAGCATGCGCGGGAACAATATTCATTTTTCTCGGGCAACAGTCTTTCACGAGATGATTCCGGGCCATCACCTGCAAATGTTTATGAATGCAAGACACAAACCCTATAGACGTTTATTCGATACCCCATTCTGGATCGAAGGATGGTCATTGTACTGGGAATTCATTCTCTGGGACGACGATCGATTCAAAAAGACTCCTCAAAACCGCATCGGAATGCTTTTCTGGCGACTGCACCGTTGTGCTCGAATCATCTTTTCCATCAAATTTCATCTTGGCCAAATGTCCCCTCAAGAGTGTATTGACCTCCTCGTTGACGAAGTCGGACACGAACGCGCAACAGCGGAAGGAGAGGTGAGAAGATCCTTGAATGGCGATTACTCCCCATTATATCAAGCAGGATACATGCTTGGTGCCTTGCAGATTCACGCATTGCGGAGGGAAATGGTTGATTCTGGACGAATGACAGACGTGGATTTCCACGATAGATTTTTGAAGGAGAATCGTATGCCGATTGAACTGAATCGGGCTTTGATGCAAGACCAGTCACTCTCGCCAGATTTTAAACCATCTTGGAGATTCTACTCTCTCTGAGTTTGAATAACCACTATATTTCTTGTCTTGTCTGCTGTCTTACGTGTGCTCAATCAAGATTGATGATTTAGTTGCTGGATATAAGTTTGTCAACGAAGATGACATTGAAGAAATCGGATATTTCAGTTTCAATTCTACGGGTCATATCACAATATGCGTTGCTTGTCATTTGCAAATAAACAAGAGTGTATAGTTCCAGTGTCAGTATGGACTAGAGGCTTTCCGCCACGCAAAAAGCGCGGCGCCTACTTGGGTGTTATATCACACCTCCTACTATATCTCATACTCAGTCTCCTACTGAGTCTCCTGCTCGATATCCTATCCAGTATTCTACCTTCTTACGTACCGGATCAGTCAAATGGTCAAAGGGCTCTCCAAATTCATAAACAGCGGAATAGAAAAGGAAGAGAAAACAGTGAAGTGGATGAAATGGGAGGAGAAGGGCGAAAAGAAAGTCTGGTGGAGCTTTCGTATGTCCCAAAAGTCTGCGATGTACTCAAAGTATTATAGGCACCTTCTTCGAAACCAATGTCAATACCCAAGTCCCCGTAGCTGCGTGATACGATTGGTAATGCCCTGCGTCGAAGCCCCTTGGTATTTCCGGAAGATGATGTTTTACTTTCGATTCTCGAACCGATGACAAAATTTCCCTTGTATAAGGAATGACTGAAGTGAAACTGAAAGTAGATTGAAACTTCATTGACAAACAAGGCACATAACTTCTATCGAACATAATAGAAGGCGAGCCTGGGCGAGGTTAGTAAGCCCTCAAATGCAAGAGAATCCGTGGTCTTGACAGGCTTCAAGTAATGGGCAGATCTTATTCAACGAAAAAGAGACACTCTGACCTGTGGCTTAGGTCATGAACATCGCATGCTGAAGGGGTGGTGGCTCTAAATCAAAAATTCAAGAAAAGATTGAAACATCTTCTTAACATGCCAATCTTCATTTTCATTTGCAAATGGGCATTCGGTTTTCGGGTAGAAGTAAGTCCCGTGAGTCGGGAAATTGAAAACTCCGTAACATGCAAACCCCACAAACTCCATTACATCGTTTGCCTCAAAAGCTTTAACCTCCTGTGCCAGGAAGACATCTCTGTTGCAGAAAGTATCCAGCAAATTGACATTCCTCTCTCAATTTAATTTACTCTCAAGCAACGACACTTCGAACTTTGTGGCCATGCCGCCGGTGCGCACTCGGGTGGGTCAACTCCCGACGTCCCAAACCAAGTCTCCACGCACCCTAGCATGTGCGAGCTGCCAGCAGCGCAAGATCAAATGTGACCGACAATCTCCCTGTGCAAATTGTCTAAAGCAGCGCATACAGTGCATACCAGCAACACAGACTCGTGTCAGAAAACGGCGTTTCCCCGAGCGGGAACTCTTGGATCGCCTTCGGAAGTACGAGGATCTGCTCCGAAAGAATAATGTGAAATTTGATCCGCTTCATAAAGATCCAGGAACAACAGGTGATCAAGGTGCTGAGACTTCTGAGGAGGAGGGGCCAAATAAGTCAAATCATTCATCTCCAGCCCCGGCGAGGTCAGAAAGTGCCCACGAACCTAAGTCGGTCGCCCTTTTTTCTAACACATTTGCTTCTTATGAAATCCTCCTCTAATAGTACCTCTTCAGGCTAACTCTTTACTTGCAGAAATCTTTGGCAGGCCATGAGTCAAGGGGTGGGTAGTGCACCATTTTCCGATTTGAAATTTTCGTTCACTAATCATGAATTTAGCCCCGTTATGGTCATACGAACGAGATGCTACACGAAGCTGTTGTCAAACTTTCATGGGACCAGTCTTTCGGGAATGACCATCACATTATTCTCGGCTCTCGAAAGGCATCTGTCGACCTTGCGACCATGCACCCTGAACCAGTTCATATTATCAGGCTCTGGCAGTTATACCTCGACAATGTCAATCCACTGTTCAAAGTGACCCATACTCCAAGCCTTCAAGGGATGATTATTGAGGCTGCCACTAATACCATGAGTATTGAGCCTCATCTTGAAGCCCTGATGTTTAGCATATACTGCATGGCAATCCAGAGTCTCACCGCGGAGAACTGCCAGACATTATTTGGTTTGTCGCAGGCCGATCTTTTAACAAAATATCAATTTGGTTGCCAACAAGCTTTGCTTAACTGCCAATTTTTGCGGACCGATAACCGGACTTGCTTGACTGCATTGTTTCTATTTCTGGTAAATCAAAAACACCTTGTCAACGAATTCGGCGCTCTAATGCTCTCTAGTTTTCTCTTAACTCGAACACAAACCCCCAGTCTCTTTCATCAATGCTTGGAATTGCCATCCGAATTGCCCAACGTATGGGCATTGACAGTGAAACATTTTTGGCTAAACAAAGCGTCTTCGAGGCTGAAATGAGCCGTAGGCTGTGGTGGTCCCTTCTGATGCTGGACGCTCGCATGGGCGAACTTTCAGGGGCCAAAACGTCCACTTTGAATCCTATATGGGACTGCAAACCTCCTATGAATATCAATGATTCGGAAATTTGGGCGGGGATGAAAGAGCCACCGTCTGTCCAGGGAAAAGCGACGGAGGCAGTATTTATTGTTCTGCGCAGTGAAATGGCCAATTATATCCGAAATTCCCCATTTCATCTCGATTTCTTGAACCCAGCCTTGAAACCAATTGCCAAAGATCTTCCAAATGGAGGTGACGTCTCAACATTCGAAACAAGAATTCAGGATGAGTATCTTAAGTACTGCGATAAAGATAATCCGCTTCATTTGATGACAATCTTGACAATACGTGCATCACTTTCGAAATGCTATCTCTTGGAAAGCTATGCAAAACATTTCGACTCATCGGTACACAAGACAGATGCAGAAAGTGACGCTTCTGTCTTACAGGCATTTCGCTTGCTCGAGTGTGATACAACGATTCTCAGTTCACCTCTTACGAAAGAATATGCCTGGCTTTTCCAGATTTACTTTCCTTTTGTCGCATACATTAACATCATCCAAGATTTAAAGAAACGGCCTGGTAATAATCTCACCGAAAGGGCTTGGCAAGTGATGAATGAAAATTACGAGGTACGGTCCAAGTCGCCCAGGGCCTTTGAAAGTCCTCTATTTGTGATATTCGCCAGAGTTATTCTCGAGGCTTGGGAAGTCCTTGAGTCGACCTTCAGGCAATCAGACTTCAACGTGCCATCTCCAAAAATCATTCTCAACATCAAGCAAAGACTAGCAGAGATGACTAAGGATATTCTGAATCCCAATACGGAGCCGCCAGACGATGCGCTTAACACTTTCTTGGATCAGTCATCGATGCTGATGCCGATGGGAATGGGATTCGGAGATGAAAGTCTTTCATCTGGCATGGCTGGACAGACTGGTTTCCCTTGGTCAGATCCGAGAATATTGGCCAACATGCCTGGACAAACGCCCATGCTTAATGATATCAATCATTTAAACTGGGTATCAATGGTCAGGGGCTTGCGGGAAGCCCGTGGATGGTGAAAAGAAGATTAATGTCCATCTTGTTCTACCAAAATTACATATAGAATATGGGGACCTGTGAAATCGACGCCGAAAATGACAGCTTTCGACGCCAGAAACGGCCTTATTTCCACCCGTAACATTTGCAGGGGAGCCAGCGCTTCACCGCCCCTGTCCAGCACCATCACTATTTTGCACCCACCTAGCGTCTTTAGTCATCATCAACCGGCTCTGATGTTTGGAACTTGTTCGACATTCATTCCCTTAGATTCCACTTGCGACCGAAACGACGCCGAAAATGGCTTCCCTCTTTAGTCCCATCCAGGGTCCCTCCCTCCTCGCCCTGCCTGGCTGGGCGCCTATAAGATGCTCGTTCCCCCCCCTCTATCAATGTCCTCACAGTTCCCCAATTCTCTTCTCATCTGTTACTCCCGACTCCCAAATCGACCTCGCGAACCTTGCTGCTCGTGTTTCCAGATTCCACTCCTGGTCATTCATCTTTGCTTTCCCCAATGACAGGTTCACTCGTTCGGTCGGCTCAGAGTGAGGAGCACCAATACTGGACTGATCCCATCCTTTGCGAGGAAACTCGAGCCAGACTGGAACATTTCCGTCGTTCTGGATGGCTTCCTCCAAACTTCAAACCAAGGACCTTACAAGGTATTGCTGTTGTCGAACGCTACTGGCGAAAGTGAGTGTGGATATCTCCAGGATCAGGCACCGTGGATAGGTTTAACTCACGAGAATAGATTTTCCATTCAGTCGGAGGCGGACTATGTGGACCATCTTCTGCGGGAGGATCAAGCGATCTACATGAACTTTTTCGACTGGATGTCCAGAACATCACGAGAGAAGACTCTACAGTCTTACGATGAGTATTGGCGCCGCCTTTGCCAGTATTTTGAGCTGTTTGCTCGTCGCCGTGTCAATGAAGACGTCCGTAAGCAGATGCGACGAGTACGAGCATTTCTTCCCTGCTGCAGAGACGACGCTGATGGTGGCATAGTTTCTAGATGGTCCCTTCCCGGCCGAGCGCAAGATTCCCCGACGAACGAAGAACAAGAATACCCTGGATGTAGATGTCTTCTGTGCGATCTATCGTCATCACTGGGTCCATTCAAGGTTTTTTCGTCATGGAAACATGATTGTTCAGTTTGCTACAGTGCAGCTATGGTCTGCCATTACCGGGACTCGCCCCGGTGTCTTGCTTCCACAAAACACTTCTTTACCCGGCAACCCCTCCCTTGGCAAACGCAAACGAGCCCACGCGTTTGAGAGTGATCTTCCGAAGTATATTTCATCGAAGGACCTTCCGGACTCTGTCTGCTATCGTGATATTGAGCTTTTCTATTTAAAAGATCCTCAAAGCAAACGTGACGTTCTCTGTGCCATTATAGAGTTTCGCAATCTCAAAGGTCGGCCAGAAGGCGCCGATGGGTAAGGGTGCCACTATACCTCAAATTCATATTTAATTGATCTGACGCCTATGTTTCTTTTCAGGACCAAGTTTTTCATGCACGGTGACTATCAATTGGCATATTGCCCGATCGCTCAGATAGTCTCCTTCGCTTTCCGTGATGGGGCTTTTGTCAATACGGAACTCACACCAGAGCTAATTTGGAGGCTGCGAGTTCCTAAGCACACTTCGTCCCTTCCTCTTCGGTGGAAACCAGAAGTCCTGAACACTCCCATTCTTCGACGCTTTGAGCGCACTCCCTACGGCTACGAACTCCATGAGTCTTTATCGATGACCTATGAATCAAGTCGGCAAGCCCTCAAAGAGTTGGGCCGAGACGCCAAATTTGAAGACGATATTGGGCATTACAACTTTCGCCGTTGGACGGCAAATGAAGTAAATCGTAAGTTATTGTTGCGCCAAAATGAACATGCTATCATCATGAAGGCCAAGAAAGCTTTGTGTTACCGATCGATGTTGACGAGCAGCTTCTAGGGAATTTCACGAGCCAGGAGCGGCAAAGGGTGCTTGGTCAGTCTGGCGACGCCGTCTTTGAAAAACATTATCAATCACAATTCATTGGACGCGATCTCCAGCATGTCGTTCTTCTTCGACCATCTCAGGAAGGCCTCATACGTTTCGCCGGAAGTATGCTCAGGAAAAGGGATGTTCAAGCTCCGTATGAGCTTTCGAATACGCACAAGCGTGCAATTTGCCAAAACCCGGATCTTCTGCAGTTAAGACGAGAGAAGAGAGAGCTCGGCGCGGAGATGCGATCTCTGGCTGGCTCAATCAAAAAAGCTCGAGTTCCCTTTCCACACCTCCACCAAAAGCACGAAAATGTCAATAAAGAAATAGCGAAACTTCGAAAGAGGCTAGCAACTGACACGCGAGAGGCAGCTAGGAAACACCATTTCCAGAATGCGCCTGTACTTGAAATCGACAGACAGATAAAGCAACTCCTCGGTAAAACTGATGAAGCTTCTAGTGAAGCTCCGGAAAATGAAGACTCTGGTGATGTAACCTGGGAATTGCCTACTCCAGACTATGTCTTTGCCGAGCGGGCACGCCTGGTAGAAAACTTTTACGGACCCGACGCAGAGAACTTCGACGAGGACAAGCTACTCGCTCGACGCACCCAGGTTACTAAGGATATGGTTGCGCTATTGCGGCTTTCCGAACCGAGTAGGCGGGGTAATCGAGTCAATTGGAACATTGGCGATGAAGATGATGATTTGCTTGATCCGCCAGAGGAATCGCCTCCACTCGAGGAAGACTCTATGAATTGTCCAACCAATATATGTATCGTCTGCTGTGGTCTATCTCGCCAATCATCATTGAACCCTCCTCCGCATAAATTTCCTCCCGATCGACAGGATTCTCTTCGCCGCCACTTGATTGATACGCACCTGCAACATGCGCGCAACGGAATTAGCTGCAATTGGAAAACCTGTCGCGATGTCCCGCTGTTCAGCGACATCACCAAATTCCTGGCTCATGCTTCCACCGAACATTCGTATGATATCAAAATCAAATTGTGTCATCTCCCGCAGGCATCACAAACTAGCTGTAGCGACGTTTCATCCAGAGAAGCGTCTCCAGTGTCGGAGAATCGACAAAGGACTGAGACTCCCGCCTCCTCCGTCGACCTCGAGATGAAAAATATTGACCCACGCTTGTTGGAGGCACATCCTGTCCCCGTTGCGATGGCTTTGCAGACTCAGCCAGTTACTGAAGTTTTATCTACCTCTGGTGGATCATCTCATCCCAACTCAGCCGAAACTCCGATAAGACGAGCGACGAGAAGCACGGCAAAGGTGACAGAATTCGCTCCGACGCCAGAGACGGAATCCCAACCTCAATATGTGAGGCGCTCATCTCGGAAAAAAAGTCATGCAGAGCAGCGAGTATGTGGAGTAAAGGAGAAGAAGCGACTAAGCCACATGAAAGTCCCCAAAGGGCCTCCGCTGCGTCGATCAAAACGACTGCGGTCTTAGGCAGTTCATTCATCTGTTGTTAATTTTTCGAATGATTTCGGGTTCATGAGCTCACTTGTTAACTCTGTTTCTTGAATATTGGTTATATCGCAAATTTTTTAAGGCAGCAATGCTTCCACACTTGTAGCTAATACGCAATCTTGCACAGTAACGAACTGCAATACTGCGCATCTTGGGCTTTCGATCGCTTCAAGGACAACTTGCGAAGTTTTAACATCATTCCAAGATTTTATTTAATACACGCTCGGGGCATCAATTCGGAATAGACTGAAGGAAGAGTAACTGCAGGACGCCAATTCGGGGATCTTTGGAGCTATCGAAGTCATGGATCGTCCATTCATTACCCTGGAGGATATGGGCACAGGTCAAGCATGACTTTGTCTGGAGGCCGCTGGAGATTGTGGCCCGATTCCTCATTCGTATTATCAACAGTTGGCTAAGGATAGTATTCAAGAAACGATATTCAATCACTAGTAAGTCAAACGAGGCTGATTATCTGGGCTTAGCGACCTTGATATCAGAGGCAAGAGACAGACATCCGCCAGAGTTGTACGATAGGGAGGGAGAACAATGTGCGTCCAAGACTTCTCGAAGGTGAGAGGAATCGACAAGATACCATTGCTCATCTGCGCTCTGAAGCTTCAAATCTTCTCACGAGTGGTGTGCAGAAAATTGGATCCTCAAGATCTGCACTATGGGGGCACAGTCGAGACTCTTCATGTCTCACATCCCTTCGCAAGATAAGCGCTTTAAAGCACAGCGAGATCTTGATCCGTCACTAGTATCGGCCTTGGATAACGCGAAGCCTGAGGAAGTCAGTTATATCTCTCAAATCAAAGAACGCTTATGGCCAACTCACCAGTTCAGAACGAAGAAAAGCCCAAAATCCGGAAGCGTCCGCTGAGAAAATGAACACTTGGCCCGTTTCACGTAAACGTATACCCAGACAGACATCTGCGTCACACATTTTGCTATATTCGCATGCTTTCTTCATCAGACTTGATTTACGGCGACATTGTTTCTGGCGTTTTGCTTTCCTACTCGAACCAGATCGACTTGGTCGGGTGTTTGAAGTGGTAGTCATTGTGGAGTTGCCTTTGACGGCGAGTAGAGTAATTTCTTGAATGTGTTTTTTTGATTCAGGGAAGAAAGAGAAGTGAAAGGAGCCAGCCAGTTTCAAATTAAATAGTCTTAATTTCTCTTTCCATTTTCTTTGGGTTGTTCTTCTTTCAACGGTCCTGAGTTACTAGTATCTTTCTAAGTGTCGCGTTGAAAGATTAAGATCGTCAACTGTTACCTGTTCCACTCTTCAAGCCTTCTGCTTCCTCTTTCCTTTACATTGAAGCAAAGGCCTATGGGCCAACGGCCATATACGCCTGCAGCTCGAGACATAAAAGGTGAAAGAAGGAAGGTAAACACATAGTGACTACTCGATTTTATATTGAAAATATAACCTACTGTGACAACTGAAATTTGATAATGACCACTTCGTCAGAATTGGAGTGAACAGTTTATCGCTGGTGAAAACGCACGAGCATTCAAGTTAGTGAAGAAAGAATGACCGACAAGATCTTCGCAATGCCGTTTCTTATTTCACCAGCGTTTGACGATTTATTCATCCAACGTAGGTTGGGTATATGCCATGGCTAACGCGAGTCTTGAGCGAGCCCGCTCACCTGAGTCTTCCCTTAATAACGACCTCGTCTTTTCATCACTGATACTAGCATTTACACAGGCTCGCAAATCCTCGGACATGCCTGCAACTCAATAATTCAAGCTTTTGTACTGAGCTGCATCGACCTGTATGATTCTGGTCTTCGCACAGCCAATCATCGGTCAAAAAGAACAATCTCTAGCAAGCTCGGTCCTACATCTCGGATCTATCAGGGACACTGTATTCACAAAGAAACAGGATGATCACATACATGATCTACGTAGGACTCACATGATGCGTATGGGATTTCATAACGCGAGGAGGCCATAAGTATATCGTATAGCCACTTGAAACTGATTTCCATGGGCGTGGCTCTGTTCCTCCTTACCAGCCTCATATATCAATAATCAACTGCCTCGCGACAAGATATTCTCAAATGCCACCATTCCAAGTCAAAGTGCTAAATAGAGCAAGGATGATCTCATCTGAGGACATCAACTAAAGCTATTCCTATCGCATTCATTCCAGATATCGTTAGTAGTGTTTGAACGCTATACACTTGAATACCCCACTATATGTAATCAAAAGTATGCAATGCATATAATCATAAAATACTCGCCATGTTCCTGCCAATTCTTGTCTGTACAAAAGGCGTCGTGCACTGCCGTAGACCGGCTTGGGGCCTGAGGCAACAATACCTGATAATCTATGCAGATGGCAGAATGGCAGAATTATCCAACCTATATTTCCGGCAGAATTCTACCCTTTGATATTCTGCCAGTAGTTCAAATCCCATGTTCCGGGATTGACACGGCAGAAAATTAGTCAGCATTTTTTTGCCCGGTCTATCTACATCTCTCTTACTGCCGGCAGAAATGGTACTGTATTGAAGATGTATTAATCTGTCATCAATTACGATATTGCGTATAATACTGTAAAAATACCAAAAGCCACCCAAAGCCATCATCCCACCTTACGAATCACGACTATCATTTGACGACTAGATCCAAGTTCTCATTGAAAACTCGAATAAATCTACCATTAGAGCCACTCTCTAGCTTATGCTAAAAGACTCTGCCAGCTCCGGGGTGGAACGAACGACTCTTGGCTGTTTCCGGGACGTAGGGCCAGCGATGAAATGAAAACGCAATATGGTTCAGTTCTTGGGACCATTAGTCCTTCATTAAAAAATACAATCATCTTTCGACCGGTAAGTTGCAGTCGCGTTACCAAAAGCCATGGTTGAGAATGAGAATCGAGATGTACGATCCTGGTAATGCTGGCAGCCCTTTTCGATTACTAGAATACATACCAAAAGGTATCGTCCTTCCAGGCAACGTGGAAACAATATGTGCATTTTGATCATGAAGTTATGCAAAATGCATTTGCTTGATCTGTTTATTTCATTTGGCCTTTCCCGGGGGCTTCTCTCACCACCAGAGTTACCTTTTTTTTCCTGTATCATCATTGAATTCGGAAACACAATCCTTTTCTTCAGTAGCTAAGTGGTACATCTCAGCTATTCAGATGATCATGAAGACTGGTACAAAGTGCATGCAAATATAATATACGTGTGCACAGGCCTATGTGTAAGTGACACGCATCACACGCTCAATGACATGAACACCGAAGCATCGTTTATCCTGGTCAAGGCGTTAAATATGGTGAAGGTGAACATGACAAGGCCATTAAAGAAGATTCTTCACTTCACATTCGATGACTCGAACCTCAGCCTGTTGATAAATTGAAATACTACAGTATCTGATAAAGATGCTATAAATATGATATCTTTACTCAAAAATCCCATGCCCACAATTGAACTCTCTTGAAAAATATTCTGTTCAGACATCGGGCTGAATAAATTTTTGCAACGATCCATCAGTTCTATTTATTCTCTCAGCATTGACAGCTCAGCAATTTCCTTTCACTATTTTATCAGCCATCATGACCAGCCCTGAAAATGTTCTTTTGAAATGGGAGTCAGAGGGTACGGACACCTGTACTCCTTCCGAGAAATCCTCTACGGTACCCTCGGAGACAAGTACCGACCGTGATTTCATCGCTTCTGATTCAGAAAGCTTGTCTCATGCCTCGCATAATTCATCGGATGCTTTGTATCTTTTTCAAGGGCATTCGTCTGAGGAAGAGTATGGTGTTCAGGTAAGTGCATTGTGATATATTCTCAATCATGTCGCTAATCTAGTGAACATCTCATGATAGGACGGAAAAGTTCCAATCAAAACAATCGCGCGACAATCAGTCATGCTGAATGGCCAACCTATCACCAAGTATCTTGTTCCTTGGTACTCGTGGGAAGATGATGAGATGTGAGAGGCTCATGATATGTTGGGACCAGCAAACAATCGCTATCAAGGCTCATAAGTGAGTATAACCGACATGCAGAATTGACCCTGCGAGCATTGATTTCTCCATCCAAATGTGTTACGTTAATTTACTTCCGTCTGATGTCTCCGTTAAAATCCAAATTGTAAAAGATTGCAAAGTCGCGATTCCGAAGTGAATCTCGATTTTGCGATTTGTTTCTGATCAAATCCGGCCTTCTATCACATTAAGTCCTTCGATGTATGACGCATTCCTGTTTCTCTTATATCAAGGGTGTACCTGCCTTATAGTATTGTATGTTTTCTCACATTTTCCCATCCATTGATAGAATAACATGCCTGACTGATTATCAATTGATGGAAAGCCTTACTTTTCTAAGGACTCTGCATTTCTTCAAAGCATTATCGACACCGGGCTTGTCACTTTGTAGTTTTCTCACATTATCTGTGTTCGCCGCTATATGATTCGGACTCCTCACTATAGCATGCTCGGTGTTTCCAAACTTCCACATGGTTCATACTAGAACGCAAGCTATCACTGACCCTAGTGAAAGACATGTTTGATGAGAAGTAAAATCCAGCAGAGTCTCCAGAGTCGTAAGACATTCAAAAGTGCTTTTCCAGCCGATCCCTCCATTGTTGCACTAGGTGCGGTATTCGTCGCTGTCCGTGCACCTTGTCCAACGGCATGGGATGTAGTAGTGACAGCAGGTACACTCAGAGTTGGCAGGTTGAACGTGGGAATGATCAATGACAAAGGCACATCGGCAGTATTCCAGTGTAGTTCTGCAGTTGTGTCAAGTTCCTTAGGCGCAGCAATGTTGTTTTCGGTACATGCGATGGAAGCTCCACTGATCATGTCGTTGCCGCATGGAAACATTCTGATGATAGATAAGTAAGACGTCGACTTGATCAAGAAATTAGGGTAGGGGGCCAACTTGGACTCGACTACAGACTTCATGAACATTTAATGGCTCTGAGATAATGCTGTACCAAAGATGTTTATTTTTGTGTGTCCGGATTCAGTAAATCGAAAATGGTTGAATGTGTCTGTTCAATCTTTGGTGCAGGACTCGTTTTTTAAGTTGAATTTTGGACTGAACAACAACAGTTTGGAATGATTCATCAGTTGACAAGTGCTAGAATATTCGTGTGAAAATATAATACTGCGCATTTTTATAGCTAAAGTATGCAGTTCCCTATGATCAACTTCTTTCAGCGCCATATTTCAACTATTGTAGAAGCCATAATTTGTTAGAGATTGTTTGTGGCAAGAAACTGAGAATGAAGAATTGAGACTCATTTTTCGAAATTTTCGAGTCGTCACCGTTGGGCTAGCCAGCTTTGTCGTGAGAGATCTTGAATTATTCTATCCTTTCCTACCTTTCACTGTTTGCTTTCGGAAGGGCTGCGTAGGCCTAACTTATGTTATTCACAGTTCCACCAGCACTATACATACCTATGCTCTCTGGGCGGCAAGGCTCATAATGAGATAGCAACACCTTTCATTGCTTGGTCTACAGTACACTTTTAACAATGACATTGAGGTGAAGTACGAAACGAGGTGTTTGTAGCAAATAGCGAAGCGAGAACATTATGTTACATCTAATACTGAATCTTCCGCACTTTGATAGTCTGTTGATCTTCACAATGGTGAGTTGCTCCAAATTCAGATGACAATACGAAAAAAAGGTTCAAAGAACAACCTGACTAATTCCTTTCAATATTCTTCATACACCATTCTCAGATCGATACCAGCCCCTCGACTTATTATTCTGACCTCGACGAAGGCAAAACAAAAGTAAAAACCGCGTCTTCTCGTTTGACTTTTTCCAGAAGGTGAAATTTATAGAAACACAACAGTGCCAAAGAGATAGTAAGAGTCGCCCCAGTGGCGACTGTAGTGACGATGGCCATCACAGACCATTCTCCCCGCTGAGATGCGCAGACGTTGATAATAGTAGTCAATAGCCCAGCAGCGGCGTTCAGCGAAATCGGCCTATTGATTTATCAGATTTAAAAATAGCCGGGTTGTCGTTTGAGTAGTGCAGTAACTTACGTGAAAAGCCTATTGATCAACCATATGTAATTGCTTCTGAGCTTCGCGAAATGCAATAGCCATGCAAAAGCTGCAAGACCCCCCAGAAGAAGACAACAGGCAATGGAGAGCAACGGAGGATTTTGGATCGTGTGCAACACTGTTCGACCGGCTTTGTTGGTTTGCAGAGCATGTTCTACCTGGTCGGAGCTTTGAAGAGAGGTGAACGTGCCTGGAACGACCAGATAGCCAGCAAGCAAAGCCCAGTTTGCCGCACTGACAGTGATGTTGAAGATAAAATCCATTTCCTCCTCTTCTCTAAGCATTCTCGCATAGGGAGTCTCATTGATGTAGCGAGTGGGCAAAGAATTGCTTGCCCTGGGCGACACATATTCCTCATTTGGGAGACTGCGTAAATGTACAGGCTTCGACCATGGGACATAGAAGCTTGGTTTTACAGATTTGTGCATGGCAGGCTTCATTTGAAGACGTCTGTTTCGCCAATGAATTTCCAATCGAGGATAAAGGCACAAGTCAGCGTGGATTTCCCAAATTTATAGTACTTTCACATTCATATGGTGCGATAAACCCGCACTGATCTTACAGTATCAACAAAGGGACTTCAAGTATCTAAGTCGCTTCAGGAGTCATTTTCCAGTGTCAATTCAGTTTGTCTCTCAATCAGGCGGCCCAGTCTCACAAACAGAAAAACTGAGGAGGTCCTCTTACGATTGGTTCAACATAAATTCAACCAAGCAAAATATCACTGCGAAGTGATATTCATGCCGGTTTAAAATTTCAAAAAAGTGTCTCAGCACCTCTACGATCATCTATAATGCGATATCCCGTTGGTGTCCAAGACTTCGCGGGCCGGTACCATGTCTTACTTTTGCATCAGACATGCCTCCCAATTTCGAACCGTTTCCCGAAATACCAACAACGTTTAGCGTCTTCCTTCCCGGCTTGCCCATCATGCGACCATGAAATCTCGTTCCGCAAGTGGAGCATGCGCTTTGTCAATGTATATTGTCCCCCATCGGTACGTTCTACCTTTTACACTGTCATATCCAGGCCCAGGACCGCTCGTATGAGGCTTTCATTCAAATCTCTTTCAATCTTCATATTGACCACAAATACCCAAGTCTGATACCATATCTCATCCAAGCGCTTTCAACCTTTGTGACCCGCAAATGCAAAAATGAGTTCTTTTCGGGAACCAGGACGGGTGTTGACGTTTGCGACCTTGATGATAGGCCATTCTATGCCACATGGAAGTTGGTGGCACTGCAAGCCTAATGGCCTCCTCTAAGCGCCCGGTATGGTCACTTATCTTGCTTGGGGTAACTCCATATCGTCTAGCAATGATGTGGACGTAGTGCACCATTCCAGATGTAGGGAGCTCGAAAAATTGCTGGCAGGTAGGAAAAGTGCAAGAATCGCGACGAATATATACAAAAGGGAATAGAGGCGACCATGCAGTGCTGCGGCTACAAAGAAAAGAATGCTACAGGCGTGTAAAAGTGGTGCTTTAGATATCAATGGGATGACAGAAAATCTTTTCTTCGCAAATAGAACGTCTTTGAGTCATTACATGGCTCCGAGCAACATGTTGACCCGCAGGCTCAAGTAGCTGCTTCAGGTCGCTTGTCTTATTCCGCGGTAGGAGAATAGTGGAGGGAATCGAATTCTGCTCAGCTAAAAAGAAATCAAGGAAAAGAATTTCGGATTTTCTAAACTTCGCTTCTTAGAAGTCATACTGTATCATCTATCTAAAAACACTGACTGGGAGAAGCCCTTTGGAAAGCGCCCGCCGCAGACCGGCCCACACAGCCTTCAAGATTACCTCAGGAAATTCCTCCATACCAACCATTAGGTGACTATCAACTTTAACATGACACCTGCCTCCCCGACCGCAGCTTTGATACGCCACTCCACCAACTGACCATGTTCCAGGTGCATGCTGGAAGCCGACTGGCTAGATTGTGCGCAATGCATCTACGCCCCGTAGCGGTCAGGAGCCCGTCTCTTCCTAACCGATCGACGTGGTAATGGCGGATCTGGAGATGCAGAGGCCACAGGAAGACTTGGATAGTCCACGTGCTCCGACCCTTGACGCACCTGGTGTGTACTTGGTCCAGCGGTACCGAGTACCGCTTCTGCAGGTGTAGGAGAGGTCTCGACGGAAGGCGTGATAGGAACCGGTGGTTGCTCGTTGTCATGTACTGTGATCGGCAAACTCCGGTGATCTGCTGCGGAGGCCCGCTTTTGCCGTTGATTCCACGCAGCCTCCACAGTTCGCATATCATAGTATGCATCAAATGGTGCGTCACTTTTACTTCTCACCTGGTTAGCTCTTGCACCACAAAGTTCAGAACAAAGACGCTTCACATACCATACTACACAAGAAGATTTGCTCCCGGGCGAGAGACTTTGAAGCCACGTCGACATACACCCTAAATGGACGCAAGAGGTGCATCGGCCACATTTCAACACGAGGGAGTCATTCTGCTCTACCCCTAGACAAATTCCACATGTCTCATCTTCTAAGCTTGATGTTGGACGGAAATTTTTCAGGCAAAGTAGAATCTCGTCCCCTTCCTCTCTTTCGATTGAAAGCACCGTCAGATAGTCCCCCGAGAGATCCAAGGGAGCTCCCTCCTCTCGTAAAAGAGTCTCTATCATTTTCTGACCGGAGAGACGGGAGGACTCCAAAGGTCTGGTATCTGTCGTGGGCTGAGCAGGGTCAGGCCGGCCGGGTGACATCAAAGGATTGCGTCTTGTACGCTCCATGTCAAGGCGAGCCTCTGGCAATGGCTCCCAGTCTTCTCTGAGAATAGGTTGTGGTGTGTTGACCTGAGCTTGGTTACGAATGGCGGCTGCTTTCCATCGCTCTCGGACATTGTCGACCTGAAGTCGACGGTGCCAGCGTGCGCACAGGAAATGAGGAACGATACCTTGTAGCCTAGTATAAAGGAGACCAAGGTCAAAGGGATCGCATGAGAGGTCATTCAACTTTTTGACACCCATTTGGTGGACTTCCTCTGTCACGGAGAGTTTGCAAGGTGTGCCTCGCTTGGTGAGACCACAGCATGTTCTGTTTGCTTTGTCCGGCACTTCACAAATCGCGAAAGCATCCCAGAGATAAGGTGAAGCCATGATGATAGTCGGGCGAATAGATGATGTGAGGGCGATGATTCGGCGAAATAGAGTGTTGTGAACAACGTCGATGATTCAAATTTGAAGTTGACTTTGAGTCATAGCCAGACATCTTATAATTCTTGATCTTGGAGGCAACCACAGTGAGAGGACAAAATATTTAGACACTTGCATTCCTCGAGCCTGGTGCTGATGATAGCAAATGCCATTGTCGATGAGGAGTATCTACAGAATGAGAAGTGCTGCTTACAGCGCATCAAGGGGCAATAAGAGCCACAGGCACCTTCAACTAACCTGCTTGATCCCTTGAACTTTTGGCCCCGGGATCAAGAACAATGGCTCTAGGATCTGGCTCAAGGGCCCCATGATTAGGCTCAGTCTCAGGGCCTGCGAATACATTCCCAGTCTCGGTTCAGTCATGAATAGGACCTTCGGTTGAGATCCTAGGACCAGCCGTCTGGAAACACGCTTGAGTCAAAAGCCCGCACGTGAAACCCAGGACTAATCAAGATGATCCTACAAATGTCCTTGAGGGACATCGGACTTGGCTTCATGAGTCCAGGACCAGCTTGTGCATTCATCAACGCACATACCACTCGGCCGCAGGAATCACATTTATGAGCATCCGCCATCGTATCTGAGCCTATGACTTGTGTTAATGTATTGCGTATATCCGCCTGGTTCCA